AGCTTGGAAGACCACAACAATGGAGAAGTAGATCTTGAACGAGTCCGTGTAGTAGTGGTCGAGGTAACCGTTGAACCAGCCGATGAGGAAATAATTCAGAGCAGTAAGCACCCTGAAGTGAAAGTTAGACCGGCGCATGGAAGAGTCTCGACGCGACGTACCAAGCTGAACCGATGGCATAGTATGTGCCGATGTAAGACATGATAGTGATCTTGGCCATGACGGACATGTTTGAGGTTCTGAAGCAAGGAGGATAAGTAACCATTTCCAAAGTTGCTCAAAAGGTGGATGGCTCACATGAACTTGCGGAACAGCGGAGTCACTGGGCCTCGAGTTGGCCAGTAGATCAGTGGGTTGAAGATGAGTTCAGAACAGCCTGCAGGAGAAGTGAGTCTCGTGAAACCCGCGGAAGCCACATGCACTTACCATAAGCATATTTTTCCCAACGCGCCAGTTCATCGTACACTGTCAGAGACACGCCTTCCTGGAAGCCTTCGGAGCCAAAGTACGTGCTGAAGCGGAGGTCATAGCCCTTGGATTGCAACCTCAACGCCATGTCAAAATCTTCCGACACCGTCGTCTCCGCCCAGTACTTTTCAACACCGTCCTCCTCGTAAGCAATGTCCTGCAAAGCAGACCACCGCAAGACCGCATTGTGACCGACAAAAGGTGCAATGTCGCCGTTGGCAACAGCGAACTGAATGGCAGTGTACACCAGGTTGGTAAAGAACGTGATACCTTTCTCGAAGAAGCTCGTTGTGACGTTCATCACCCCTGAGCTGAATTGGATGATGGCGACCTGGGGCGAGGCTTCCATTTCGCTCACCATGTCAAGAAAGCAGTCGGCCGGCACTCGGGTATCCGAGTCAATGATGAGAATGTAGTCGCCAATGCGGACATCGCCTTGCGCCCAAGTTCTGCCTTGATCTTCCTCAATGATCTGCTGGAGGATGCGTTGATATACTTCATCCTCATCTTGTTGTGTCCAAGCTTCGTGGCGGTGTATGGCGGCAAGCCTGTCCTCAATACGCGCAGAGACATTCATCGCATAGTTCATGTTGGAGGCTTTCTTGAATTTTCCCGCACGAGTGAAGGCTTTCTCTCCGCTCTCGGGTTTGGGGTTTGGATTGTGCTTGGGGCGAGCGACCCAGCCAATGTTGTGTTCTTCGTAGTACTCGCGGCGTTCCTTGGCTTCATGTTCCTTGATGAGCTGCATGCCATCGTCATTGACAAAGATGTTCACTGTTCCGCCCTGCATTTCGTAGGTAGAAATGGCTTCGCGAATGGAGACCATTGTTGGGTCGATGACACTCCAGAGACTGCTCACATGTTAGCGCCGGGTTCAAGCACCTTGCATTTTGAACTCACCCTTCTTTGTAGACTGGGCACTGAACAGTCACATGCGGCAGCGTATCCGTTTCGAGCCTTTTGCTTCTGATACCGGAGAACGTTCGAGAATTGGAGTCCAGTTGATTCACGGGGCCAAAAAGCTGCGAAATGCCGTTGACCAGTGTCTGGAAGAAGAACCAGCCGAGCCAGATCTGAGGCAGAATGACAGCCGCGAGAGCAAGGCGAATATAAGTGCTGTCGGTCTTCACTTCGATTGCAACTTTACGCCACCCGACACCGATGGTCAAGATGACAAGTAATCCAGCCAGTGCCATCAGAACAGCCTGGTAAAGAATGGTCTTTCTCGGGCTGTCGTCATAGCGACGTCCGTCTTCCACGTCGGCATTATCTGCCTTTTCCCGGATGCTCGGGGCGGCACTGGCATTTTCACTCTTCGGGATGACGAGGTTCTCGTCCTTCCACAGAAGAGACACGAGATGTTGTTCGATCTTCTCGGCTCTGGTGATGACCTGTTCGGGATCATCATGCCATACCACGAGGTAACCTGGATTCTGGATGAATGCCGCAAAGTGGTGCTTTTTGCCGGTTGATAGGAAGGTGATGTCTGGAAGTACCTGGATCCGCAGTCCATCAACGTACGGAACATACGGGAGCTGTGATGTTCGCAAGAATGTCTCAATGACATCCGTCTTTACTGTCATGGCAACCTGATCTGCTTAGCACAAGCCCATTCGTCACGTCTCTGTCCACTCACTTTGACATTGAGCTGACAGACTTGGTGGAAAAGCCCATTGTTCTCGAACAAAAGCTCGGATGGTTGACAGACGAAGTCATTCTTGCCTCGCTTCAGGATTACACCTTCACCGTCCACGCTGTTGGACCAGAGCTTCTCCATTTGTCGCTGCCGGAGGAACTTGACCATGATGTCGCACTTGAAAGCACCTGCCGACCCGAGCGGAGCCATCGAATCGGCGTGGGAAGCAAACGACATCTGAGACGGCGAGCGGGTTGGGAACTGAGGGGCTTCGAAGTCGAAGTCGTCATTATGGTAGGCCACGGGAGGCCTCTGTGGCATCCGGGAAATCTCGTCCATTTCCATGAATTTCCGTCGAACTATGGAGACGAGATGTGTTGACGTTGCCTAAGAAGAGACTGAGTGCATTAACCCCCGGAAACGCAGAATGAATATAAGGAGCTGCTGTCGAGTGGCTTCAAGTGCGTCCGATATGATAACGAGTGACTGTTGCGATAGCAAAGCGGGTGAATGGGGAACGAGTGACTGATGCTATAGCAAAGCGAATGTGTGGCAAACGAGTGACTCCTGCGATAGCAAGGCGAGTAAAAGGCAAACGAGTGTGGTGTGTTCAAGAAAGAGCGTATAGAAGGACAATGGAAAGAAAGGACAATGGCCAAAGCACGAAAGGAGAGAGGAAAGCCATCAGGGAGACGGGTCAGGGACATCATGTCCCTCGATCCAGGTTGCTATCTTGCCGTATCCACAAATAGCTCACTTCATTCTGGACTCAGGTGTTATCGCTCGGGGCTCTGGCCGTGAACTCGATAGGTGACGACATAGTTCTTTCCAGGTGAGGCTGCCTGAGAGCATGGCATAGTGGTCCACACGCAGGAACCCGTCTCGAATGCGTTGGACGCTAGGAGAAACGAGAAGAGATGGGTCCTGCAGCGTGAGGCCAATTTCGCTCATGCATGTTCCAAGATGAATCTGTGAAGAACCAATCGAGCGGTCGGCTTGCGGCATGGTTGCGACAGCCCTTTCTCACAGATTGAAGCCACCAATGCCGAAGTGGAAGGCGCAGCTGACATATACGAGAACCCAAGGGTATGAGTTCCGAGTAGCGCGTAATGCGCAGGGCTCTTCAGGCGTTGTACAGTCCCCCGAAGGGAAGCGTGACTCTGATTTTTCGACAGATGAGCATCTCGGTCACGTTTCAGTGGGTCGCGGATAGCCTCGCCCAACTCCGGTCAGCCTGAGAAAAACGTGAAGTTGCTCTCCAGGCGGAGGCGTGGCAGGGTCTTCCTGGACACCAACAAGAGGTCTCCATCAACGGCCATGGGCGCTACCATGAACGTGACTGTCTGGGGCGCTGCTTGCCTTGCTGTGGGTGGACGTCCATGCAAGACGAGTAATGGGCCAGGATGGGGGACGTTCAAAGAACCTCACCATCTTCATTCGTTTCAGAAAACTCGTTTAGGTGCTTGGCAAGCCACGCTTGCTGTTTCCGGCCCACATCCACGCCACTCGTGGCCGTGTGGTGGCTGCCCCTTTCAAACATGCTCCGCGAAACATAGTGAGTTTTTCACCCAGAATAGTACGAGGCAGGCTAGAAACGTGGACGTCGTTGTCGATCACGGCAGCTCATTCGCACATCGCCCTGAGCGCTAACAGGGATTCTGACAAGATTGGCGAACGGTAATCAAGCCCAAGGCCCACATTTAGCCAAACACGGCCGCTCATTTGCTAAGCTTGTCACCTCGCTTGTGGCTGCAGTAACAGTACACAGTAATATCGCCGATTCCAAACTGCCGTCTTTCGTTATCTGGCTCCACTGTTATTCATCAACCATTTTGCATACCGCACGCAGGGGAGATGATTCGCTGCTTTCCCACCAACGGCGATACACGCTGCCCGACAAGCTTCTCGAGACCCGATAGTCCTATTCAGCGGTCTCACCATGAGTCGTGCACTTCGTCCTTGGCTGCGCGTGGAGTACAGGACCTTGACCAGTCTTCAGTGAAAACACGAGTTTTATGGGTTGGAGTCTTGAGTGCGACCTGCTCCATCACTGCGCCTATGCCAACAGTGCCACACAAATGGCTAAGAGAGGGTCCCCTGTCACAAAACGCGACCCCAGTCCCATGTTCCTTGTCACGTCCTGTCGCCGGCTCACATGGGAAGCTGACGGAGGATCCCTGCTAACGGTGCTAAGACCACTTTTCTGACATATCCTAGCGCAGGTACACCCGCTATAACGCATATCTTATCGCCAGGACCAACGGCTGGAAGCCGGTATCCGCCCAATAACAGAAGGCGCGATATGGTTGCACCCGGGATTGCGCCGGCCGCAAGTACAGACCTGATTCTTCCACCAGAAGACCAAGCTCGACGGCGCTCAATCTGCGTCCTCCACCACGGCAAAATGGCATCACATGCTCTAGCGCCCGCGAAAGACGAGACTCCCCTGCAGTCGTTAATTTGCTGAAAGTCCAACATGTCGCACCGCGGGTACCGAAAATGGATGACTTCAGGCTGAAAAGGAGATTTGCTCTTCGTGGGAATGCCTCGAGGGGACTTTTGAGACACAAGGGCAGATGCAAGACAGATGCACATGTTACTGGTGCGCTTCCGCGAACTATTCACACAAGTTGAGTGCCTGTTCGGCAACTATTCCCACCCGAATACGACCTGTCGACAAATTGCAGCAACTTCTACGTCAGTTGTCTCATCTCTCAGGAGAGACGACCCAACTGTCCAAGAGCGTGTGGCAGCCCCCCTGAACCTCTCGTTCAGCCTGACGTGAAGCTTTTTCCAGCCGAACTTTGGCACTCCAGACTTTCTCGACTTCCGGTGCGCTGTCATTGCCTGTCCATATTCTTCTGGAAGAGGCTCCAGCAGGCTCAACAGTCCCGCCATGAGCCAACCTATGCAGGAGAAATATGCTCAAGAGCACGAATATTCGACGTCGGCCACAGCTCCTCGGTTCAAGTTCAACGACTCCAGGAATGCTTCTTCGGTAGCCATTCATCAACAGAACCTGGCGAACAGGTACTTCCGTTCTCGCCGGATAGGCAAAGACAACATCGAAAAGCCCTGGCTTGAAAAGAAAGATCCTCGACAGCGTTGGCTCAGCCTCTTCCCACTAATTGGCCTTCTGATTGGGCTCGCACTTTCGGGGTATCTGGTGTACGACGGACTTGCTTCTGTGGAGACGCCGGTGTACTGCTCCGTATACGAAGACGATTTCACCAATGGCTTCGACGACAGGATCTGGACAAAGGAAGTCGAAGTCGGCGGATACGGCAATGGACAATTCGAAGAGACAACCAGCACGGACGAGAACGTCTTTATCAAGGACGGAGTCTTGACCATCAAACCGACGTTGCAGGATGCCCGTCTCATTGAGACCAACAACATCATCAACCTTACAGCCAGTGGTCTTTGCACCACTGATAGCTGGAGTAGCTGTGTGACAAGTACCAACACCACCAACGGAACGATTGTCAATCCCGTCAAGAGTGCCAGGATCAACACCAAGAAGGGTGCTTCTATCCAGTTTGGGCGGATAGAAGTCGTTGCAAAGTTGCCCGCCGGTGACTGGCTGTGGCCGGCGATCTGGATGCTTCCGGTCAACGACACCTATGGTCCTTGGCCATCGAGCGGAGAGGTGGGTAACCCACTATTGCTTGTCATCTTCGTAGAGCTGACGAGAATCGCAGATCGACCTTGCGGAGTCGCGGGGCAACAACTGGACGTACGGTATGGGCGGTAACAACATCGTCAGTTCCACTTTGCATTGGGGACCGGACGGCGCGAATGATGCCTGGTGGCGGACCAACAACAAGCAACATGCTTCGCACACCACTTATGCCGCTGGGTTCCGTGAGTGCGTGCCTCCTCATGCTGGAGCTGCAGCTAATAATCGCAGACACGTACGGTCTTGAATGGACACCGACCCATATCTATACCTATATCGACACCCGCCTCATGCAAGTTCTGTACACCAATTTCAAGACGCCCTTCTGGCGGCGCGGCAAGTTCCCTGTTTCCGACACCAACGGCACAGCTTTTGTGGACCCATGGTCGCAGACAGGGAATCCCGCAACACCATTCGACAAGCCATTCTACCTCATCCTGAACGTCGCAGTTGGTGGGAAAAACGGGTGGTTCGAAGATGGCAAAGCTGGCAAGCCCTGGGTGGACGCCTCACCCACGGCACGGAAGGATTTCTGGGACGCCAAAGAACAGTGGTACCCAACGTGGCTGGAAAACAGCGAGATGCAAGTGAAAAGTGTCAGGATGTGGCAGAGAAAAGGTTACGGAACCTGCAAATAACCGAATGTGACAGACGTGGGATTTCATAGAATCGTCAAGTTTAGATTCCTTTTGGTGGTTGTGGGCTACTTGGCAACAAGAAGGGTCTTGTATGGGAAGGCACAAGGACGGGATCAAGGCGGACAATATGGAGTAAGTTAACGGGAACATCAATTCTGACGCCTGGCGATTGTTACAAAGTTCACATGAGGAGGTTACCGCCGAGGCTTGAAGACGGCAATTACTCAAGCGACAACTTTGACTGTCAAGATGTTGGTCAGACAAGCCGCTTTCCCTCATACTCCTGAACCAAGTCGACCTCTGGGCATTTTGCAAGTGACCTCGGCTACGTGCAGCTCACCTAACTTCAAGCATGTAATCTGAATCCACTTGTAATTCTAGCTTATGCCTGACATGGACCGTTCGTGAATCAGAAGAACCCTACCTCGGTACTTACTAGCTTTGAAAACAAGAGGCACACTTGATCAGTGTTATCTGGCTTGAATCGAGTCTTGGTCACGACATAGGCAATCTACAGCAACCACAATGGCCGCTTCTCCACCACCAACGAAGTTCGCACAGCTATCGTATCCAGCAACGGGCATCCTGCTCGTGACCTTTGCACGTCCCGAAAAGCTAAACTGCATGGGTGCAGCGGACGTTGTTGAGTTGACGAACGTCTTTCGTTGGTTCGATGATGAACCATCCTTCATAGTGGCCATCGTCACCGGAGCCGGCAAGAAAGCCTTCTCCACCGGAGCGGATCTCAAGGAATGGCAATCGAGTATATCTAATGCAGCCAAACCTGGCGCTGGCCCTGGTGATGCGCCTGGTGCAGTACCGCTGTCAAACCGGATGGGAAAGAAGCCAATAATCGCGGCGGTCAATGGCTTGGCATTGGGTGGTGGCTGCGAGACGGTGGTGAACTGCGATCTTGTCATCGCCGCCGACACAGCTTCGTTCGGCTTGGTCGAGGTCAAACGCGGTGTTGCGCCTTATGCTGGTGCTCTTCCACGGCTGATCAGGACTCTGGGCCTGCAACGAGCAAGTGAAATGGCTTTGACCGGAAATTATTACTCTGCACAGCAAATGAAGGACTGGGGAATTGTCAACAAGGTTGTACCTCAGGCCGACGTTGTCAAGGAAGCAGTCAAGTATGCCAAGCTCATTGCTGAAAACAGTCCAGACTCGGTCATCTGTACCAGAGCTGGGTTGAGGCAGGGTTGGGAAACTGCAAGCGTTGTGGAAGCAACCTCTCTGACTGGCAGGACTCAGTGGGCTGAGCTTCAGAAGGGAGTGAACATTCTGGAAGGACTGAAAGCATTCAAAGAGAGAAGGCGGGCCATCTGGAAGCCGTCAAAGTTGTGATCGTTGATCTGAGCAGTCCCCATCTGTTACGAGGACATCTTCTTCATCTTCCCGACGCAATGTGTACAGACGAACTCGCAAGATTCATTCATTCCGACTGCGCTCTGCTCAGCCTGGCATGGCGCCTCTAGCTAATTTACTTAAAAGGAGGATGATGGGGTGCCGTCTTTTTGTCAATTGCTCCGGATTGTCGGCGCCGTCATGGAACGGAAATGAATCGGGGGCGCGAGTCAACCAACAAGAACGCAATAGTCAACATAAAGGGCGAAGCTACCTTTCTCAACATACTCGGAATCTTTTGCAGCCTGCTCGGGATTTGTTCTTCGGACAGGCTTGGCCACCCGGAAGAACCATTGAAGCTTTCAGCAAACACTGGGCACAATCGACAACATGCAGAGACTCGGTTCAGTGTCGCGGGGATAGCAGCGATGTTTTCTTTCATCGAACGTCCGGGGCTGTTAATGTGTAATCAATACGACGGACCGCGCTACGTAGTTTGGTCCCAGCTAATCCTTGTATTTGACGAATGTCCCCTCAAACGGGACGGTCCTGGGGTAAAGTCCCCCAAGTGGACTGCTTAGCCGTACATAACATCCTTCCGCTTGCAACGATTAACCTTCGATATTCTCTCCCACCTTTCTCGATCTCTTCCAGAAACTGATAATGTCTCATATGTTGCCACCGAGGCCTGGACAACGCCGACTTCCGTTACCGCTCGGGCGCATGAAGAGCTTGACCAAGTCGAAATAGCAATCGGTGTCGAAGGCAAGGAAGAGGGACCTGGGTGCAGTGCAGGCACCTTGGTCTTGCGTGAGGCAGGTGATGCAGGTATGAGTATGGGAACCCTGACAGAAAGGGAATCAGGTGCATCCAGCATCAGTCAAAAGCCCATGTAAGGAGGGAAGCAACGGCAATTTCGAATACTAGGAGATTTCTGCTTCTGATAAGTGCGATCGTGGAGATATAGTGCGAACCGAGATATAGTGCGAACCCGCTTGTGCAGTCGCTGTTGTCGACACCTTCACCACAGTGGTTTGGCCACTTTCTCGATGTGTCATTGAAGAGCGACGAGCATATGTATGATAACGGGTGACGACCAGGTGAGCTGTGGAACGACTGCAGTAGAAGTCACCTTCAGGGACAGAGTGAGCGAGCACTGGCGATATTATGTGGCGCCACTGCTGCAGAGAGCTGTCCCCTCGTTGGTGCCAAATGATGAGTTTGGCGACCTGGTGAGTAGTGAAACTCCGGTTAATTGTAAGTCTCTACATTTGACCTGGGTTGTCTGCTCTGAAGACGGTGTCCCTTGCTGGCTCCTATGTGAGGACCTTCGCTTTCGGCACCGCGTAGTCTAGGCACTGGTCGTTTCCTCTGTTGTAAATCGTGGCACAAATGCTTGCTTTCGTCGCATTTGACTCTTCTCCACCTACTGAGATATGAGCAGAAACCCAAAACCTGCACGATTGAGTCGACTTACTTGCAAGTGATGCATCCGGTGCAAACTTTATACGGAAAAGCCTTCATCTTGGGCGCAGACTTTGTCGGAGCAGGTAGCTATCTTCGCAAGAGGCAAGCTACCGAGAAGGAATCAGGCTTTCGTGTGCGGTAGTAGTCTGAGCATGTTACAGAATCGTCTGAAACTACAGCGCCTTGGTCCGCAGATATCATTCGCTTTGAAACGAAATCCAGTTCGTAGGGCTGAGGAATTCAGAAACATGTCGATGATCGCGTCTTGTAGAGATAATAACTCATGTAGGAGGAGAATCTGGCACGTCAAAATAAGTCGGCTAGGTCACCTGTCTACTCAGACTGTAGCATAAGAACAGGACCAGACAGTGAAGGGTTTCCAGTCAGCAGCGCAATTTTGTCTCCAATGTGAGGCGGTTACAGAATCAGGCGCTTCTCGCGGCAGAAAAGCAGGAGGAACTCCCCAACCACGCCATTACGGGCTATCGTGTCGGGATGCCGGTCTGTCTTTTGGGAAATCATAGACAGATTGTAGTTATCCATCTGGAGGTCTGCATCAGATCATCTCGCTCGGGCGGCAGTTATGCTGTCCCAGTCTTGAACAGCACGCGTCCAGAGCGCACAAGTAACCAACCAGAGATGGAGAAAGGTGGAAGCGACACCCGAAACATCCTGCGGGCCCGTTTTCCGATTCCGTGTGTTCTCCGTTCCTGTTTGCCATGTCCAAGCGCGCAACTGCATGTTGCGGCACTACAGGAGGTAGTCACGTACATTTGACGCTTCCAGACAGGCTTCTGGTTAGCCGCATATAAAGTGTCTCGGCATAAAGCGCCCCGGTTCTTAGCTTTGGTAGCAACACCCTCCAGGCAAGCCGTCTCAGCCTAACCCCATACCTTCGAGGCGACGCATGCGGAAAGTTCAGGCCCAGAAGCACGGAGTTAACAAAGTTGGATATTGTATACGAATGCTGGTTTCGAGAGATGCTGGAAAAGTTGCCCCGGAAGCCCTAATTGACAACAGTAATCTACCCATTATGGTTTGGCCTAGGTACCAGGTGGGCAGCACGTCAGATGTGCAGCCCCTGCCGCGTCAGGCGTCCATCCCCGCCGTGCCGGCCCCAATTCTTCGTTCGTCGCCCTCCCGCCATGAGTTGCCAAGCGGTCAACTGTCGTTCATGCCGATCATTCCACTTGCACATCCCCAAGCATGCACAATAATGGACCTAACTTGCTGTTCTGTGCTACGCATCTGTGCTATCAGCTAGAGACTCGACTGTTCCATTGCAGTAATTTGAATTGTCATGACGCTCTCTGTTTGCTTACCGCAACCAAGACATTGCCGGGAGCTGCATCCATCCTCTCCCACCAGAGCAAGCCACCGACCAATCCCGGTTTCCACGCGTGCATAAGTCTGTGTGCTGTGGCGTGCGCCTCGTCTCTCAGAGGTTGCCAGATGGCACCTGTCCAGAACATCCTGAGCAGGAGACCACCAATATCGAGCACGCAACTTCTTCTAGCGCCCCTCGGCTGGAGCGACGAAGGAGGCGCTTTAAGCGTCGTACATATCTTCGTCATCACCGAAGTAGAAGGATATTGAGCCTCAATCTCCCCTGGTCCACCATGTAAGGCTCCTGCTCCTGAAGACAGTCGACGACCTCCACTTTTCGCAAACCACCTGCTGATCGTTATGGAAGGTAAACCCAGTGGAGCTTTCTTTCACCCAAGGCGGTCCTTTCTACGGCAGGACTCGTCTGTGTTACCAGAAAGCTACGAGCAAGCGCCCCAAGAAGATCACGAGTTCCAGACATACGACTCGCCAGAATGGGAGGAGGCGCGGCTGGGACTGAACATCTCCGGCATCCCGACAGTCAAACGTGTCCCTGTCGGCTCCAAAGCTCCATCCTACACGAGCAAAGATGGCCTGTCTGCAACCCTTGTGACAACTCCCGAATCATTGCTCCCTAGCACAAACCGTGATAGTCCTCACCAGGGTACTGGTTCCAGGGCTGCAGATGCAAGATCATGGACGTCAGATCGATCCTCCTACAGCCGACTCAACCAGCAAACCTCGCAGGACTTCTCTGCAGAATCAGGACTCATTCATACCCACAGCCATTTCGATGAGAACTGTCCAACAGATGGTGACATTTTGACGAGCCCATGGTCGTGGTGGACCATCTCCGTTCTGGCGCTGGCGGTTTATTCCACGGTATTGTCTGGAGTATTCCTCGGTATCGCGTTTGCAAAGCCCAGATGGGGCGAGTCAATCGGTACACACGGACACATCTCCTTCGCAAACGCTACTCTTCTCAGCGCCCTTATGTCGAAGACGGTCGAACTGTCGTTCGTCACAATCTTCGTTGCACTACTTGGTCAAATGTTGAGTCGACGTGCCTTCGCCAAGGAGAACAAGAACGGCGGCATCAGTATTGCCGAGATGACGATGAGATCGTGGGTGATGCAACCTGGAACGTTGATCACGAATTGGATAGCAGTCCGATATGCCGCTTCTACCATTGTTGGCATTCTGGTCTTGATCGCCGCACTGGCCGCCACTTTCTACACTACAGCAGCTGAGGCTCTTGTAGCACCAAAACCAAAATTTGGCCGCCTCGAGCATCGGACCCTTTACGGCAGGGTCGCCGCATCCTACGCAAATGCTCCGTACCTCGCTGGCAGGTGCCAGAGTCCCATTCACGGCAAAGGGATCGACCCCAGCTTGGGTTACGATGTCGAGGGAGACACTTGTCTCCAAATCGATTATGCGGGTCAAAGCTATCACAACTTCAAAACATTCCTAGCAGACTGGTCCCGGCGGCTCGATGTCGGCAACTTGAGCTCTGACCTCAGTTCTATTGTAGGCCGCCCTCCGCCCGTCAGCACCCTCTTCGACAACACGACATTGCTCGGTCAATGGATCACCCCAAGTCATGAGAATGTCACAGTCGACTCCTTCAAGCACCAGCGTTTCGTCCAGAACGTCACGCTAGCCATGCCGCATGCAAACCTCTTCAATGCCGCTCGGGATCCAAAGAACCACATCTTGCAACCCGAGGACCTCCAAGGGAACGGCGAGTACTCTATCCGAGCGGCGATCCCTGCACCCATGATCAACGTCTTATGTGTCGGGATGGATGAGACAGAGGTGGTGCCTATGATCGTCGATCCTTCCAACATCACTGACCCTGCGACATTTTACGTGGGTCCAACCGTCGTTGACGACATATTTGGCTTCGGGAACGGGAGTGCGCCCGAAATTCAACAGCCGCCATTCTTCTCAAAGCTTCCTTCGCCATATAACATTCTAGGCTTCATATCGAGCGGCTATGGTTACCCTGCGGTGTACATTCTCGCCGCGCCCCCTCCCGAAGGCGCGAGAGAGTCATATTTACCTTATATGGATTACATGCTGTGCTCTGTCAGATCTGCACAGTATCGCAATTGCACCACCTACTATCACGTCGCCCAGTCTGGTGGTCAGATGTCTGTTGAATGCGACAACAGCACAGGAAACACGTTCTCCTATTTCGAAGCGGTCCCAGGGGCAACAGTCGGTCATTGGGAAACAGATTGGAAAGACATGGGGGCAGAGTGGCTGCGCGCTGTCTCCTTGAACTCCGGGGTGTACAACGCCAATGCTTCAAACGACCGCATTCTCACACAGTTCATTCCGCCGTATTCCAATGCTTCCGGTGCTGACGTATACACATACCTCCCCATCAACTTGCCTACGCTGGGAGAAGCCCTAGCTGTGTTGGCGAGCAGCACCGCTGTTTTAGCATCCTCCACAGCACCATTCATTCACTACTGGAACTACTCGGAGCAGATGCTTGAGGAGCCACAGTATGAGGACTTCCGAGCGATGCTCAGTTACAAAGATTATGCATCGGGCGGAACGCAGGATTGGCAAGGTCTTTTCTACGTGGTACTAGTCGCTGTCTTCCTGCTCAGTCTCTTCAGCCTCATTTACCTGATGTGGACTTTTTGCTTGCTTGGCCGAGTCACTGACTACACCGAGCCACAAAATCTGTTCGCGCTGGCCATCAATTCTCCGCCTTCCAGCACCATGTCTGGGACGTGTGGAGCAGGACCCAGTGGTGGGCTTCTGGCCAAGAAGTGGGAAGTTGATATGCAGAAGTCAGGCAGCAGTCCGATGGATCGACATGTGCATCCTCACTTCTATGTGAGATGCAAAGATGAGACGGCGCCAGCGACTGCTAAAAGCCGCCGCAAGAGGCGAAGCAGACCACCTACGGTCGCATCTTTCTCCATTGCGGAGTCACCGGCAGTCGAGCAGTATATGCGGTTATCAGGGCAATGATGTGTGAGCGTTTATGGAACGGATAGGTCCTTGGTGAATCTTCAATTCACAACTTATGCGAATTTATGAGTAATGGTAATGTAGGAATATAAAATCTTCATCTTCATCACCGGGCATTCCTGCCTTACTTGCTCCTTGCCGGCAGTGGGCAAAACAGACTCCCAGCACGAGATCGCACTTCTTCGCAGAAGGGCACGAGCCGGGCTGAAGGAGCACTGCTCTACTTTACGGTAGGCTGGATAGCTTTCCCATTTAGGAGCCTCTCAGCAGCCTCCCTAACCAGAGACTCCCCGCAGTCCCCGCTCTTTGTCACATCAATTGAGGCTCTGTTGGCTGCCCGCCCAACGGCGAATGCGGGGGATCCTCTAATGCTTCGGCGGTATTCGTGCCGAGAGGGGCGGAGCTTTTGTCTCCGCAGGCTTCATGAGCTTCCTTTTCAATCATAGATCTGGGGTTTTGTTCCTGATTATCAACAATACCCTTGCTCGAACATGGAGGTGTGCAGCAAGAGCATGGCTTTCCCCAGACTCTGGGGATCGTCTGCACCGCATCCGCTGTCCTGGGCGAGGGCACATATAGCAGCCCTTCGCCTGGCCTCTTTGCGCAAGCTATCTTACACCTAGATGATTGAGGTATCTTGAATCAATTTGCAAGATGTTGAGAATAGTGCTTGCGAGTTGTTTCCTTCAGCTTGCATCCTTGGCAGCCTCTTTGAGCGTTCGCCAGAGCGGAGGGCAAAACACCTGCACGATTCCTTCCCAGTTCAAGTCTTCACGTGGGAAAGCGGACGACTCGCCTGCAATCTCCTCCGCCTTTGCACGATGCGCTCGAGACTCGACGATCGTCTTCACTGAGGGTATCGACTACAACGTGCTCCAGCCCATTTCTGCAACCAATCTGTCGAATGTCTCCATTAGGATGCAGGGAACGCTTCATCTTCCAAAGAACATCACGGCAGTCCAAGCACTCGTGAACAAGACCACCGCCGCAACAAACGCATCGGCGCTTTACTGGTGACATGACTTTCATCCTTGGGGCATGCCTCCACTGACAAGCATCAGGTTCACTCTGTCAGGTCCATCGATTCATTACATCGGCACACCAAATGTCACCACAGGCTGGATCAACAGCTACGGCCAAGCCTGGTGGGATTCCAACCCCAAGAACGGCAGTGGCGCCCCTTCCCGACCGCATCTGATGAGCTTCAACACCACCAATGGCTCTGTAAAATACTTCAAGTCCCGCAAACCGATCGCGTGGGGTATGCAAGTCAGTGGCAAGAACATCACCATTTCAGACACCGTCATCGATGCTGTGTCCAACAGCCATGGATTTCCTTTCAATACCGATGGTTTCGACGTAGGCGGTACCGATGTTCAGATACTCAACAGCGTCATCTTCAATGGTGACGACGCCATCGCGGTACAAGCTGGAGCCAATAATGTCTTGTTCCAGGGCGGCACCATCGGCTATCAGAGCCACGGCATGAGCATTGGCTCACTCGGACAGAATCAAGCCAAGTGGGCGAACGTGTCGAATATCAGGTTCGACGATATCACGGTCATCAACGCCGTGTATGCGGCACGGTTCAAGTCTTGGGTCGGAGGTAAGGGATTGGCGCAGAATATTACTTGGTCCAACATCAGAGTCTACAATGTCACGTTTCCAATTTTCGTGACGCAGACGTACATCAATCAAGGCTCCGCCCAGACTCAACTGGAGAACGGGACCACCGTTGGGAGACCGAACAACTCGACGGTCAACATGGAAGACTTCACCTGGGCCAACTTCACCGGAACAATCAACACGTTTAATCCTGGCGATGGTTCATGTGTCACTGATGTGAGTATTTGGCCGCTTGTGATTGAGTTCAACTGACTTGAGACAGCCATGCTGGTACGATGTTGGTCTGCCGGATCTGCAACACACGGAAGCCGTCATCATCGAGTGCAACACGAACACATCCTGCAAGAATTTTGCGCTTGACAATATTCAGGTCTTCCCGGAGACTTTGACCCCGTCGACAGTCATCTGCATCGATGCCGGCGCCGCATTGAATCCGAACCTGGGCTTCCGGTGCGCGAACGGGACGTATGCGCCTGTTTGATTTTGGCGGCAAAGAAGGGCCACGGACGAGGTGCACAGTGGAGTAATAGATGGCTTCGAAACAAGAGGTAAAGTGGCAGGGCGAGGCAGCCCACGAGGACTTGTTTTCAGGTAGATACTATCCGATTTCCATCCTCCTCCCACAAGAGTCCGCAAGAGACCTGCCAACAGGAGGAATGAGAGTATCGAATCGCTCAAACAACAGACACGGCGACCTTGCTACCGTCTGCACTTTGATCAGTCCTCATTCAACTTTCCAGAAGGGAGCCACTCACAGAAAGCTACATGGTCTTTGATACGGGCGGCCTTTTCCTTCGGCTCTGGATAGTACCAAGCCGCATCCTTCAAAGTGGTTTTATCAGCGGTGATGGTGTAGTAGCTTGCTTTTCCCTTCCACGGGCAGGTCGAGTGAGTGTTCGATAGCGAGAGGACTGATTGGTCTAGAGAGCTGGGTGGAAAATAGATATTGCCTTCCACGGTCTGATAGTCGTTTGTGGAGGCGATGACTTTGCCGTTGACTTTGGCGGTGGCTGTAGGCATATTGATCCGATGGGAGTGGACGTTGGGTAGCGAACAGAAATCGTAGACAGAGAATTGAATGCAAGATGAGGAGATTAGCTTTGGATGTGCTCGATAGGTCATATCTATCGGTAGATGTGATGGTCATCGGCCCCCATCTTTCGAGGCAGGCTAGCGAAATGTCAGCGTCGATGACAAATGCAGGATCGGGCCAATCAGTGATTGACGAAGCATAGGGTTTTGGACTTTCACAGTGATGAACGAGGTAGCTCATGCTTGATCTGTCAACAGATAATATCGCTCAGACATGGAGCTCCATTGTGCAAAAAAGCCCGAGGAAATTTGCCTCGAATGGGCTGAAGATTATGTCAACAGGACGAGTAAGGGCGGATGGGTGTTTGTAGAGCAACTGCAGCAAGAAACTCGAGCTGGAGCATCCGCCATCTTCTTTGGAGCGGCCAGTTGTTGTTGTTTGGAAGCAAGGTGATCCTCGCTTGTGGGCTTCAGAACTTCCACAATCTCAAGCATCGAGGTTCATGTTCGAGAGCAACCGAGGTGAACTTGAGGTTCTTGTTGAGCATGTTCTGGGGAGAAGAGCACGGCTCTGCATGCTGGGAACGCAGCAACCGCCATCGCAGTCTACATGGCAGAGGTGGACTGAGATTGTAATGGGCTCAAGAGGACCCGACAATGTCTTCAACGGTGGTGACGGATGCCAGGCACGACGGTTAGGTGAATAACGAACTACGGCTTCGCCTTTTCGTTGAACTGCAAGAACCCGCCATTCCTCTTTTCCGGGTTGCTAATCCTAAATGTCACTTCACTGCTCAATATCCCAAGCGTGGTGAAGTCTTCTGCCGCACGTCGAAAGCTGTGCAAGTCTCCTACAATTTTCTGGCTCCCCAGACTGCACTTCCTTGCTCTGCTCTGCTCTCACAGTCATCTCATTTCTCGAAGACAAAATTTCAACTCAAAGAAACCGCAATGGGAAAACTCGATGTAGCAAGATGGGAAAGACACTGCGAGCCATACTTGAATCCCCTTGTACATGCTCATCCATCTCTCCAAGGGACGTCGCTAATATGACTCCGCAGGATCATGCCATCAAGACTTCTGCCATGGTCTATGCCACTGTTCTTGCCAGAGAATATGCCGACGATTCCAACGATGCAGCCATCTTCGCTCACTGCCTGACCATCGCTCGGGACGAAGCTAAGAAATTGGCGAACTTCATCCATAACCGAGGCCGGGTTCCCAGCATGACAAGCACCATCTAGGTTGGCACAACCACCACGACCATGAAATACCACTTCGATGGTAGCGAAGTGAAGATTGAGGCAATTGAGAATCCTCTCAAACATAAGCTCTGAACCTGCCAGTACTGGTGGATGGGGGTGTATCCTGGGGGAAAAGAAGGCCCAAAACCGGACCGTCAAGATGTCTGAGGTGGAGCATGGAGACGGAGTGCTGTAGTCACATTGAGTTGAAATCGAACCTCACCAGAGAAGCTGGAGGTGCGATACGTACAACATCGAAACAGTGCCCTATGTCAATTGCGTGGCGGATTGGAGGACATGCTGGTTTACAGCTCTGCAAACCTCAACTTGTATGCTGGCAGAGTGAACCACAAGATTGAAACATGGAACCAACAGTGCTAGAGAATCCAGAGTCAAAGAGAATTCATTTGCCTCCTCAGTGTCGTTTCTTCGCACTGAATGACTTGAGAGGATCAACTTTGCCCTTTGATCGTCCACCAAATCGAGGCTTTCGACCACCTCGTTTCTTGTCACCTTTCCGGTTCTTCTCGTTCCTGAATCCGACAAACCCCATCTCCTCAGTACTGAGCGCTTTACGGCCCGCTGCTGGCAGCAGATAGTCAGGGACGTGCTTCAGGTGTGCTTGTTGTCTGACAATGGCTCCGTGCTCCCCATCATGCCTCAGGTGCCGCAGGTCTTCCGGATTCTCTTCAAAATGCTTCCTGAGCTTCTCAGACTTGACCAGTTCCTGCTTGATCTCCCTTGCACGCGCCTCGTGCACTGCAGCCCCAGTAACCGCCCGCAGCGCATCATTCATGCGATATCGGAATGCATCGACTTGTGACATATCGAACCGATACGGCTTGACTTCATTCCCTTTCTTTTCCTGCCGGGCGATGATCTTTTCGAGCACTCTTTCATCGTTCTTGGCCGATATAATGCTCGTCGGTTTGTGCTTGCCAAACATGTCATTGGGGATCACAAATGATAACGCCATTCCTGCTTTTCCTGCTCGTGCGGTCCGGCCTATGCGGTGGGTGTATGACTTTGAAGTTGCAGGCAGGTCAAAGTTAATCACGCAGGAGACCTCCTGGAAGTCAATGCCCCTAGACACTCCAAAGTCTTTCTCGTTCTTCGAAACCTTTGCTTTCTTCACTAGCCTTTTCTCGTCCTCACCTTCCTCGTCGCTCATTTCATTGGTCTCATCGTCTGGCTGTACCCGCGATTTTCGCCTTTTCATAACTCCACCGAGGACTTCTTGATCATCAGCCGCGATGAGAATATCATACAGTCCCTTGTTGAATTCCTGAACAACATGCAGTCGAGAGTTTACCGGCAACTCCGCATTCAGCACGCACGACTTGATACCAAATTGTTCAAGATAGAGCTTCAATCGATAGCTTCTGTCAACGTCCGCCACGAAGACAAGGCACTTGCCCTTCACCAGACGCAGTTTGAAGAGGACGTATATCAGCAAGAACTTCTCGTCCTCTCCACAGCGCACCACGTATTGTGTAACACCCTCACCCTTCTCTTCCGCTTCATCTATCCTGACCACTGCTGCGTCCCGGCAGAAGATGGATTTGAGCTCCTCGACCTCGGAAGTGAGGGTGGCGCTGGTTAGAAACGTTTGCACTCCGCGAGGAAGTGCGGCGGCAATGATGTTGATATCGTCTTCATAGCCGTACGAGAGAACAATATCGGCTTCGTCAATGACAAGATGCTGGATACTGTCGATGGATAGTTTCCCGGAGCTGAGGTACTGTGTCGCTCTGCTCGGAGTCGCAACAATGACATCGGGAGAGTCCTGCAATACGGCACTCAGAACTGCATCGGACAGACGTTGCGTCAGGTTCAGGGACTGGACATCTTTCGAACAAAACGCTGCAAAGGTGCCGAACGCCCTGTGGACCTGGTCTGCTAGTTCACGAGTAGGCACGAGAACGAGAGCAGTGGTGGCCCTGGTGCTGAGCGGAGAAGATTTACGCCGCAGTATTGTTTGTAGAATCGGAATAACGTAGGCCGCAGTCTTCCCCGACCCTGTCTTCGATTTTGCAAGCACGTCTTTGCCCTCGAGCGCCAGGGGTATAGCTTTGGCCTGTACAGGTGTCGGATGCGAGAAGTTGGATTTGGCAATGGCCTGCGTCAGGCGAAGATCGAGGCGGAAAGAATCGAAGGACTCGCCCCCCTCTTCGTCGTTCCGTGGCACTTCGACGGTTGGCGCATCATTGGAATCCAATTTCCGCTTCATTTTGAGGCAGACATGGGCTAGTGAGGTGCCTGAAGTCACTGAAGTTTTTCGCAACAAAAGGTGTCGAAATACGCCAGACTTTTCTTGCGGTCGCGGTTCAACTTCGGCAGCGACTTGAAGTTGGAGCAAAATTTCTGGAAAGTCACTGACACATTCTCCGCACCAAGCCAGTCACCCATTCCAGCCTTGTGGGAAAAAGTTCACCGCAGTTCGACAGCGACCATTTCCTTCCTTCCATCCGTGACGATCCCGTCCCTGTACTCATGATGCCAGCACCTACGAGGGTCGCAAACCAGAAGAAGGGAAACCCTACAGACGTGCTGCCGAAGGATGATGTTGAATTGCGTCTTGAAAAAGCGCTGTTCGGAGACGATGCAGGCTTTCTCGAGTCCCTGAAGAGAACCCAAGCCCAAGAGGAGTGGTCATTGACAAAGCACCGGGACAATGACGACGATCAATTGACAGACGGCGACCCAGACGGAGAGCTGGGAGATTTTGCAGACGACGTGAGTACGATTTGGCGACTATGCTTGTTTGACTGACCTGACCTTTTCGTCAGTTGTTCTTCCTCGACACTGGTGCGACCCAACTCCCAGCCTCAGTTGCACATGACCTTGATCAGACAGAGCAAGAGCATGTCTCCTCGAGCCGACAGTATACTTGGTACGACAGCGACGACGACCGGCTCACCATTTCCCTGGCCTCGAATACACGCCTGCGCAAGCTGCGGGACACCGAAGACGACGATGTCGTGAATGGTAGAGAGTATATACAGAGACTACGACGCCAGTACGAGCGACTTCACCCAACGCCCGAATGGGTCACATATGCTAGAAAAAGGAGGAAGCTATCTCATTCTGGCGATCAAGGTGCTGCATCCGACTCTGATGCGTCAATGGATGATGAAGACTCTCTTCCTTCGGCGCGGCCGCTCGCCGAACTACTGCGGACAGCTGGGTCTCTAACTCGAACAGTATCGAAGCCCAGCACGAAAGGATCGAGAAGGTTGCGACCTGAAGTCATTGATATTCAGCGATGTAAGGATGTAGCTGGATCCGGTCCTTCTTCCATCGACGCTCTGCAATTCCATCCTTACTACCCGCTCTTGCTTGCCGCCGGACCAAGCTCAACCGTCACGCTTTACCACGTTTCTCCTGAACCACCCAATCCGAACCCCATCCTGACCTCGCTGCACCTGAAGGGTAGCCCTCTACACACCGCTGCGTTTTGCCGGCCACAAGAGGGACCGAGCGGCGAAGAAGCGAATGACGGGACTCGTGTCCTTTTCTCTTCCCGCCGCCGGTACTTCCACACCTGGTCCCTGTCCACTGGCGTGGTGTCAAAAATCACGAGAGCACTCTACGGGCCGACTCGGAAAGAACAGCGGACGATGGAGTCTATGAAGCCTTCACCTTGCGGCCGTTACGTGGGACTTGTCGGGTCTTCCAAGAAGGGAGGCGGAAGTATTAACGTCCTGTTGACAGACAGCATGCAATGGGTGTGCAGTTGTCGAATCGATTCCAGAGGCGGCGTTGCGGACTTTGCATGGTGGCGCGATGGAAATGGATTTGCCGTGGTGGGAAAGAACGGCGAGGTCAGCGAGTATGATATCGAGACGAGGAGAGTCGTGATGAGATGGACCGATGAAGGGGCTGTTGGAACAACCGTCATTTCTCTGGGTGGGGACAACACAGAGCAATGTCCTGGCCGAAGCCGCTGGGTTGCTATTGGCTCCTCGAGTGGGGTGGTGAATCTGTACGATCGACGCGGGTGGATGGTCAAGCCAGCTTCACTCGAGGAACAGCAGAAGGACCAGAGACCGAAACCGGCCAGAATTTTTGACCAGCTGACGACGCCGATTTCACATCTCGAATTCTCCGAAGACGGTCAGATGCTGGTCATGTCATCACGCTGGAAGAAAAATGCTCTTAGGCTGGTTCATCTTCCCAGTTGCACGTTGTACAGGAATTGGCCCACGGATAAGACGCCTCTGGGCAGGACCAGCTCTGTTGCGCTTTCTCCCGATGGAGGGTACCTGGCCGTTGGGAATGAGCAAGGAAAGATCAGACTGTGGGAGATTCGAGAATAGCATACCCCGGGACTAACGCGTGTCTCTTGGGGGTCGTATATCAAGCACCACCTGTCTCTGGGTCAACCATTAGCCGGACATCGGGTGCCTTCGGCCCTCACGGAGCCTGATTCTGAGCGACAGACGCACGCTGATCCCCATACACGTGGTGGCTCCGTCCTGAACCTGCTACCGACCTTCTCCATTTTCGGCATTGCATACTATGCAATGCCTTTCAGACTGTCAATATCTTTCACCCCCACTGTATTGCCCTCCTTGATCCTCTTAATTGTCAGCGCGGCAATGAGCGCAGCGCCCACGCCACTGCCGTCTTCAGCACTGAGCAGTGAAATTGGGTCCTTCTTGCCCTTTGGCCAATCAAGGATCTCACGCAGAGCCAATGCACCACGCGCTCTGAAATGTGGATATTTGTTGAAAACCGACCCATCTGCGCCAACGTGACACGATTGATAGTTCTTCTTCTTGCATATCGCGGCAACCCCGCAGGCTGAGAGACGAGCGGCACGTGTACCGATCAGCTCCGACAGGCGACGGCAGAGCTCAAGCTCTGGCTTGGTAGCATTTATCTTAAGCTTCTCTTGGAACATATCATGCGTCTCCTGCAAGTTCTCGAATGGGTCTTCTTCAATGAATGAAAGAAAGGAGGCGTCGAGGGTATATGGCTTCTTGAGGGATGAGATATCCTGGCCCTCAAAGAGCAAGTTCTTGTTCTCGTGCAGGTCGACCAAGACAAGCCGAAAGATCTCACCCAGGTACAGTCCCGCAATCATCTTCTCGAACGCTTGTTGCCCTGGTCTCGGCGACGTCTCGTCAATGATTGTGTCATACTTTGTTATAGGAAGAACTTTGTGTTCGTTGTCAAAGGCACCATATTCGCAGTTGATGGCCATGGGCATGTCGTCGGGCAAGTTTAGGTGCTTGAGTTTCGGTATTGAGCCGCAGTTTTCCATGTATGCAGCATTGCAGCCCGTGCCGAAGATGCATCCAATCCTTATAGTTTGGTCGGTATATGCGGACGCGATCAGGGTGCCGGTCGTGTCGTTTATGATGGCGACGAGTTTGATGGGTAGGTTCTGGTAAAAGTTAGTCACTGTAAAGTCCTCCCACAGGCAATCCCACCCTCGATTGCAAGGCTTTCTGGAACTGAGGAACAACGTCCTGGCCTTCGACGCCCGAAATGTCGAATCCCTTCGTCCATCTCTGCAACACTCCGTGATCGACGTAATCTTGCGTGGCAGGGTATGAAAAAGTAAAGCCGAGTGGGAGGTGGGTGAGGTCCTCGTCTTCATGATGGTACTCGATGAACTGTTGCAAGCAATCTGCAATGTATTCCCAAAGCTCTTCCGCAGTTCCAGTTTTCAGTTCTTCCGGCATTTTGTACTTGCTCTGGATGATATCAAACTCGCCCTTTTCTTCCGTCAGGGTAATCTCGCACACCCGCAAGTTGGTACCGCCCATGTCGAGTGCAAGAAATGTGCCCTGTTCGTCACCGTCTGGAAAAGCCATAACCCACGTCGGATTCATGGGGATGTTGCCCCCTTCTTTCTCCAGACCGGCTTGCAACTCGCTCACGAAATGCTCTGTGATCTGCTTGAGCTTTTGGGCGTCCACTGTGAAGAGCTTCTCGAGTGTCGCAATCTCGTCGAGCAAGTTCTTTGGCACATCGGCCATAGACCCTGGAGTCGAACAGCATCAGTATCTGTCAAGCAACCAGCAACTGTATCATTGTGGTAACTAACCCTTGCGGGACGGCTTTCGCTTTGGACCCAACCCAACCATTTTGGCAGCTGCTCAATCGCGGGGTTTGGCGGAGGCAGAAGGTAAGGTAAGTATAAGTGACGGGCAAGTCTCGAGACTTCCGCCTGAAGTAAGTGTAAGATTGTGTATAAACAGAAGCCGGCAGGAGAGGTACTCCAGCAGAGACCTCAATCGGCCCAGCTGCGGCGAGACACGGAGACCAAAATATTGATGCAGCGAATATTCGGCGGGGTAATTGTGTCCAAAACCGAACGGTCGCCGACAAGGGTGTGTACTGTAGCTACGACATAGTGCCCCGCTTGATTCAGGGTGCGGTTCAACGAGCTTTGTCGAATGTGATCTCATTTGTGGTTATCCCTCAAGCTCGTCGTGCTTTCCTGTATGCTACCTAGACATATCCGTGGTACAAGCTCATTGCAGACACCCGCTGTGCTTCTTATTCAGAAGACTTTCTGCTCAGGGCCTCTCTTCCAAGTCTCATGATGCACTCGAGGCGTCCTCTCTGACAAACATTTCCTTGCTGACTCACAGCACTGTTTTCCGGAAAGTCTTTGCAAGGCCACCGCCGTCGCCAGATGTGCCGCGCCAGTTATTCTTCACCTCAGGCCCTGCCCATGACTCATAGACTGTATGTTGTTCATCCTGCCATCTCTCCCATGACGATCACGGCGTGAACTTCTTGACCAAGTCCCTGGCCTCTTGCCGATTGCTCTGGGCTTTCCTTAGGTGGTTAGTCATCAAGATTAACAACCTCAACCCGAGCCTCCGTACATGCGTTCGGATCGTATTGAGGCCAATCTGTGACCTTCCACTGATTGATTCCAAGCGCAGGATCTGGTGCATGATCCGCCATAGCAATTCTGGTCATCGCCTTGAAGAGTTCAACCCTGAGAGAGCTGTTTCCATGCATGAGAAAACCTTGGAAGCCCGGGTTGTGGCGCTGAAAGGAGTCGTACCCTTCGCGGTAGATCTCGTAGGCACACTGCTCAATCAAATACTGGATGATAGGTACCTGACAGACAACGGCTTCATCGCCACTGATGCGCCTTGCGAGCCAGAGAAGGTCGTCAAAGTGTACATTGTAGATAGCGTGAAAGTTTCGGAAGCAGTCGACAATATCATCCTGGAGTTGCTGCATGCGGTACTGTAATGCCAAACAGTATGCCTTGCGGAAATCCCGTAGCCCAGACCGGTGAGATGGTGTTTTGGGTGACACGTGGTATAGAGAGTTCACGACGATCTCAAAGGCTTCCGGTTCGTAGATTATCCCTTTCAGCGCATAAGATGTACTCGTCACCGGTGCCGGAATGTGCGATGCCACTTGGTTGTTTTCGACATGTTCATCTTCATTGAATTCTTCTTTGATCTCGACCTCATCTGTAATCACCGTATTTTCACTACGCGTAGGTGAAATTTCTGATGTTGGTGGTGAAGAAGGCTGCTGTATAGCTGGGTAGCCATGAATCTGGAAGAAGTGCGTCTTCTCTAGGAAAGAGTAGTGGACATGGAATGGCTCTTGTCGATCACCAACAAGAATCTGGATGGTAGGCTCGGCATACTTCCGAGTGGAATGTGATCGTGGCGTGGTTGGTGTCATCGTTGCGCCGAGCTATTCGAGTGAGGATCATAAAGCCTTTCCTGAAATGCTGAAAGTCTAGAAGAAGGTTAGGCTAAAGTAAAGAAGAGATCAAAAGGAAGTCCATACTCAAGAAAGGATATACAGACTCGTAATCCACAGTGAGGTTGACGTGAGGCCTCCCGATAAGCCTATGTCGCAATACAGGTTTAAGTCAGTCTGGTTTTTCTTTTGCGCCTAAAATTTGCGAGAAGAGTCTCGATTTGCGGCAGGCTAAAGGGACGGTTTCTCAGGTTTGTCCTCTTTCAGATGAGGATACACATGATTAAGTGTAAATGAGCTTGCCGACGTGGTGGTTTGTGGAGTGGTGAGAACATCAGAAGGTTCGGTCGAGGAAGGGATTGAAGTCGGTCGAGATGAAGGTGAAGTGCCTTTCTCAATTTCTGCCCTGATCCTGTCGCTGGTCTCACCCGAAAGCTTCAGTGAAGTATCAATGTCCTTTGTCAATTTCTCCACCTCTTGGTCCAGTTCCTCTTGTCGACTGTTCGTAGGAGCCTCTGGTCGCTTCTTTTCGACTTTCCCAGCGTTCGTTCTGGCCCACTCTTGTTCCAATTCTTCTCGCCAACCCAATGCATCGGCAAACTTACGAACGCCCTCATCGCAGTCCTGCAACAAAAGGACGTCATCAGGTCTGGAACCGAGGCCACCTACTCTCTCGAAATTGATAAGCACACGCGGCGTCTCCTCCCTTACGAACGATGGCAGACTGGCAAAAGGCTGTACAGTCAAACTGGTGCCCATGATGATTGCGAGATCTGCTTTTGCCGGTAGGCTTCGATTGCGGTGGAAGGCCTCTGGAAGGGCCTCTCCAAAGAACACGATATCTGGCTTCACAAGTCCATTGCAGGTCTTCCTGATACAGCGCGGGACCTCCATCTTCTGAACCGTATCTTTCATTCGGTCGTCGGGGTATTCCGTCTGGCAATCGATGCATCGTTGAGTAGCAAAAGATCCATGCGCATACACAATCTTGTCCCCTGGCACCCCAGCTTCTTGCTCAAGACAGTCGATATTTTGGGTGAAGAGCTTCAGCAATCGGCCCTTCTTATTAAGAAGGCTGATGAATGAATGGCTCACTGTCGGACGGTATTTGCCTGGATAGAGCTCGTGGGCGAGAGTGTAGAAGGGCAATGGGTTCTTTCGGAAGTACGAGATGTCAAAGACGGCTTCGGCATACGGTAGGTTGAGTCGGGCGAGGTTGGCGTACAGACCAGTATCAGGCGATCGGAAATCTGGTATACCGGCAGAGGTGCTGATGCCGGCTCCGGTCTGCGTCTTGTCAGGTACCAGTTTAAAAGGTGCGTGGAGGGTCTTACCATGACGACAATCTTTTTGACATCTTTTTCCTTGATATATTGAGCTACCGCTTCGATATTGCGCCCATAGAGCGTGGTGGGAGGTGTGGCCTCATCGACCGGAGTGGAGTTCTCGTTGCCCATGTTGAAGATATTCCAGCGCCCCACCCGCGGATTGGAGTGGCGGTCTCGTCGCCGACGACCTATGGCTGCTAGGAGTTTACGAAACACCTTGGAATGTAGGTAGTTGACCGACGCTGTGGTGATACGACGATAACGATGGAAATATGCGAGCTTCAAGCACCAAGATGTAGAAACAAGCGGCCGAACGAACTGTTCTGGGAGTGGAAGAACGGTGCTATCCCATGCCCACGTCATACCTACACAGCGAGAACAGTAGGTACCTTATGTGAACCGGAATCGGAACCCGCGTTGCGGACACGCGGCGGGACATCCTGCGAGGTTTCTCCAACAGGTTAGCCCTCCTTTCCACACTTCAGAAACTTGTCGGTAGGCGCCGAGGAGTTTACTGTAGAACGCAGGTACAGTAGGCTGGGGATAGGTGGTGCGCTACGCACTCCATTCCCCTATGTGAATAATTATTCTTCCGATATGAATGGGAATGACCGCATTTCCGACATCGATCATGATAATCAGTCTGCCGGCATCTACAATGCGAAGTCTGTTGGCGAAATCCGCTCCGCGCTGGTTGAACTGCACAGCAAAGAGGCCAGCGTGACCTCCCGGCTCGATGCTCTAATCCATGCACAAAAGGATCTTCAACGCGAACTCTCCCGGCTGGATTTGTTCCGCGCAAATGTCACTACGCAGGCGTCAAGGGCAAGAGCTGTCAGCAACGGCATGCTCTCAGATGCCGCCGCAAATTCGAAAAGCATTTCCAATTCTGTCAGGAAACTTGACCTTGAACAAGACAGGGTCAAGGCTACGCTTACTGTGGTCGAACAAGTCGGCGAGCTAAAAGCATGTGTTCTGGGTGTTTCAGGATCAATGGGAGCTGCGCAAGACTGGGAAACCGCCGCCAGCTACTTAAGCCGAGCATCGAAGATTCCCAGCGCTGTCATAAATGGCGAGTTCGCGGCCAGAATCGTCCCTACCGCTGAGGTGCCCGACGCTCCGGCGGTTACATTGGAGCATGCGTCGGAATCTTTATGTAGCTTGTTCCTGCGAGAGTTTGACAAAGCAGTCAAAGACAACGATGGCGCCAGGATTACTCGTTTCTTCAAGCTGTTCCCCCTCATCAATCGTTCCGACGTCGGTCTGGACGTCTACGGTCGCTATGTCTGCCAAGGTGTTGCAGCACGAGCCCGAACCAATCTCAATGCTGGCACTGGCGGCAACCAGAGCAAAGATGGCTTCTTCTACGCCAACGCCCTGACGAAGCTGTTCGAGCACATTGCACAGATTATCGAAGGACACGGCGGACTGGTGGAGCGCCACTACGGGGCAGGAAAGATGACACGAGTGACTCAACGGCTGCAGGTCGAAGCAGATCTTCAAGGAGGAATCATTCTCGATACTTGGGCTGACGAACGGAGGATCGATCGCCAACTGACCGACATCAAAGCGTACGCCTTTACATTCCTCGTCCAGAGCTTTATCCCCGCACAACGGGGATCAATGGGCACTCCTCGTGCTGGATCTCCAGCACCAGGAAGGTCGAGCGAGGATGAGTCCGTCGATATGAAACAGGTGGACGCTACACTGAATGAGATGACTTCCATGCTGAGCAAATGGTCGCTCTACACCAGGTTCATTGCCGAGAAGTGTCATGATCCCGCCGCAAGCGAGGACGCGACGATACCACCATTCCTGGTCAGCTCAAGCTTGATGAAGAAGGTTCAGGACAAGCTTCTTACCCCATTCAACACGATGACTACGTTCTTTCTCCGACGTTCAGTCGAGAAGGCATTCCAACTGGACGAACAGCCTCCGGACCTATCCCTCAACCCGCACAAACCACTGAACTCGAATCCGCCTCATGTGACTTCCGCTATTGAAGACATCATGTACATTGTCAACAAGGTTCTGCAACAATCGCTTGTTACCTCGCAGAAGCAAGTCGTTTTTGGTGTAATCCCAACCTTGGGCAGAGTCCTTGGCTCCGACTTCATCGGTATGCAACAGCGCAAGATGCGCGACGAGAGTTATCCAAAAGCAGCAATGCAAGGACATCTCCCCCCTGAATCCACCATCATCTCATTTCTTGTCCTTATCAACAATCTCGACGTAGCTAAAGACTACATCGACCAAATTGTTCATGTCAGACTCGAGCCCGCTCCTGGATCTCCGCATCGGACCCTAGACGAACTCTTCCCCGAACCCGGCGAGGCGGCAGCCGTAATGGCCACTCTGACGTCCTTCCGCACCACATTCTCTGAAAAGACCAATGAACTGATTTCCGACGGTGTCAACGTCGTCTTTCACAACGTGATGAAGCCCCGTCTACGACCAATATTGACGGACGCATTCCGGGACACAGATTATCAACTCACACGCGAACAGCTGCGAGAGCTTGCACAGTCACTGGATGCAGATGCCGACTCCGAAGGCTTCTCCGACGAAGTCCGTCTGCGATTCCAACTTGGTTGGGACGCTCTGACGAAACCCATTGGACGGCTTATGACAGAGCGCACGTTTGACCAGCTACTGACTATAGTGGTCACCTACTTGAGTAAGATGGTTGAGAAGCGGCTGTGGACATACCAAGAACGGGTGAACGACGTGGGAGCAGCTAGACTCGAACATGACATCAACGAGATCATCAAAGTGGTGGTAACGGGTCAGAAATACAGCTTCCGCGAGGCATTTGTGAGATGCAGCCAGATTTGCATGATCATGAACATGGATGAAGAGGAATGGGAGGAGTTGCAGATTTCCGGTGGCGAGGTAGCTGACAAGCTGAAGCCGGAGGAGAGAGTTCGAGCGAGGAACATGGTAATCAACTGAGAAAATGAAGCAGGTTGAAGTTTTTGAGTCTTGATCGTTTTCATATCTTGTGTCATCCCGTAGAGACAAAGCGCGCCTCGAATACGCCGTGTCTCAACCATGATCATGATGAGCATGGCTTACATCGACCCTGTTAGGCGATTTCGTACGACCTGGCTGCCGAAATACTACCTCCCACCCTTGCGGTATGTGGCAAACGTCGTGCATCTCCAGACCCCTTCTCCACAAACTGCTCCCATTTCTACCGTGTCTATGCACGAGACATAACACCCCACGCGCGGATCTTGTTGTCGGTGTAGCCAGAGAACAGTGTCTGACCGTCTGCGCTCCAGGTCAAGCTTACACAGTATGGCTCCTGCGACTTCTTGCCCTTCTCAACGTAATCGGGCTTCAGCTCATCGACCTTGCTCTTCTTCTCGAGATCGAATATGGTGATGGAGGAAGTAGTGGCAGCACACAGCCAGTATCGGTTCGGCGAGAAAACAAGAGCGTGGATTTCGTCACCAGCTTGGAGAGAGTACAAATGCTTGGATTCGTTCAAATCCCAGAGCATCGTGGTGCCGTCCTTGCCGCCAGACGCGCAGAGAGAGCCATCAGGCGATATGGTAACCGTGTTGATATAGCCGGTATGGCCAATGTGGTCGGTTTGGATTCGGCAAGACGCGAGTTCCCAGACCTGTGAAAGAAGATGTCAGTCAAAGTCGACCTCCAGTTCTGACATCGCGCAGTGCGATATGGTTGCCTCAGTCCGCTGGTGAATGTTTGTCTCATGGCCAATAGGCTCTGAAGTAGCAAATACTTTTGAATACGCGTAGCATCTTCGGCAAAGGGTATGATGTGGATATCTCATACCTTTACCAACTTGTCCCAGCCGCAGCTCACAATCACGGGATTTTGAGGGTTCGGGGAGAATCGCACGCAGGAAATCCAGTCCGTGTGGCCCTTGTCGGTGATGGTGTATTTGCAGTCTCCGAGGGTGTTCCACAGCTTGATGGTTCGGTCTCGCGATCCTGAGACAATCTGTCTGTTATCTGCGGAGAAGGAAACTGAGAGAACATCGTTGGTGTGGCCGACGAAGGTGCGGGTGGTGTTGCCTGTTGACAGCTCCCACAGTCGGAGAGTCTTGTCCCAGGATGAGGAGAGCGCGTAGGCACCGTCAGACGAAATGACGCAGTCGGAGACAATGTGCGAGTGACCGTGGAGTGATCGCTTCGGATACCCGTAGGCAGATTCATCGCGGGTTAGGTTCCAGATGATGAGAGTCTTGTCTCTTGAAGCAGATAGCAGCATGTTAGGGCTAGAACCGCTGTTAGCAAGCTTGCGCCAGTTGCAAGAACAATTTGAGGACTGACTTCTCCAAGCTGGTGGCAAGGGCGGTGACCCAGCCGCTGTGGCCTTCCAGGGTACCACGTTGAATGAGTTGCTCAGCCATGGTGACTTGAAGATAGGAAGGGAGAATAGGGTGAGGTGGTGGTCGTCGAAGATCGCTCGTTCACTGCGGTCTCAACTGTGTGCTCCAAAATTCGATGTCAGTCTTGGCGACGGCTACGGCAGGGCAAAACTCGCTTGAAGCTTTTCCAAACGTGGACGTCGCTCCCACACATTCTCACTAGCCGCATTTGCGGCTCATCCTCGGTCGCCCATCCCTTCGAGATGGACTCTACCTTCCACAAAGCTCGTGAAAGCTTTCCCCGAAGCCTTTAGTGGAGTCATGGTATCAGTGTTTTCTGCCACGATGTTTCGACACATGGTCTCTACCAATCCTCTTTCAGCTTGTAAGTCCTGTCCTCGGCGAAAGCTGCGCCCAATGCTCGACATATCCGTATGCCAGCTACTATGTCCGTGGACCGGCTAAATGCGACATGTCCCTGGAACGGAGACAATTATGCCGGCACCACCACAATACGACGAACAATGATATAATTCGAGATTTAGCCGCTCTGTGTCTCATCGCTCTTCTAGCCTCCGTTGCCTCTGCTTTATCATCTCCTCTTGCACACGTTATACCTAGAGTAGCTTCACTCGGTTGTGGACCATGGCTTCTTCTGATCTACCCAAAATGCAATACCGTTTCCTTGGACGTTCAGGCCTCCAAGTCTCCGCCATTTCTCTAGGCGGATGGTATGGTCTACCATGAACTTTGCAGGGCTCTTCGGCTGACTGACCTTTCAGGGTGACTTATGGCGATGCCGTCGGCGACGGTGAGTGTTGATCCGAAGTTATTTACACAATATCTGATTTTGCAGAGGCGACCTTTGCGTGCATGAAGGCCGCGTATGATGCTGGAATCAACTTCTTCGACTGTGCAGAGGGATATGCAGACGGCAAATCTGAGATTGTTATGGGGAAAGCTATCAAGCATTTCGGCTGGAAGCGCAATGACCTCGTCATCTCGACAAAGATCTACTGGGGGCAGGCCTATGGTGACAACATTGTCAACAATCAAGGTCTTTCGCGTAAGCACATCATCGAAGGTGTCGCCGGGTCACTCAAACGACTGCAGCTGGATTATGTTGACTTGATCTACTGCCATCGCCCAGACAGACACACTCCAATCGAGGAGACTGTCCGAGCTATGAACCACATTATCGACACGGGAAAGGCGTTCTACTGGGGCACGAGTGAGTGGAACAGCGAGGAAATCGCAATGGCTTGGGCTGTGGCTGAGAGACTCGGTCTTATTGGACCGGTGATGGAGCAGCCAGAGTACAGCATGATCACTCGTGACCGAGTCGAACGGGAATACGCTCTTCTCTACGAGAAGTACGGACTCGGCCTCACCATCTTCAGTCCCTTGAAGCAAGGTATCCTGACCGGCAAATATAATGACGGCATTCCGGAAGACAGCAGAATTGCGAAAGCCGCCGATGGGTACACTGCAAGTCAAAGGGAAAGCTATGGAGACGAGAAGTGGCAGAAGACGATAGCCCAGGTCAAGAAATTGAAGCCGGTGGCAGAAAAGCTGGGTACAGATCAAGCAACACTAGCATTGGCTTGGGTGCTGAAGAATCCCAACGTGAGCTCGGCCATCACCGGTGCCTCAAAGATCGAGCAAATCCAGAGATCTGTCAAAGCATTGGACCTGGTAGGCAAGTTGGATGACACGGTCATGGCTGAGATTGATAAAATCCTGGACAATAAGCCTACGCTACCCTACAGACGGTTGTAGTGGTGCTGTGCAACAGAGATGACAGGTTTCGGAAAGCTAGGGTGGACTGTGTTAGCCACTTTCGGCAAACAGCATTTCGCATGCGCCAAAAATGACATTATTATGGTTTCCAAGAACGAAGCTCTAGGACAACATCGCCAAAATCGCTGCGTTTTGTAAGTCGCGAAGGTGGACGATAGCAGCAGCGCCTTTCGACGCAAAGACACTTCGCCCAGGTGTGTTTCTTGTGCCAACCATCTGCTGCCTTGGGACTGTTCCTCAAGGAGAGAGCATGAAGCGAACTCCGGCTTTAGTTATAGAGGACGATTCACTGTAGTAGTGCGCATCAAAGTGTTGCCGAATCTCATTTCGTTCGCCGGCGAAGTAGTTCTTTCAATGAGAGTATGCAAAGCCGGTGATGTCATGACCGAAGCACAATCCACTGCAGCCGGGACTACATCGTCTGCGTATTCCGACCTCAATGCGTTTCGGTTAACCAACAACAGCTCACTGTTCCCCTGTTATATATGCAGCCAGCTACCATGAATTGCTCACGGGTCCTAATCAGGCCCGTCGCCACGCGCCACCTGATAGTATCCACATCTCGACGCTGCATCTGCTCCAGCTCGGGTCGCCTGGCCGATGCCGGGGACAAGCAAAGATACCACAGCAACGTCGATGAATACCGCAAGTACCAAATTGAGCGTGCGGACAACCCACATATGACCAACACGAATTCTACAATTCACAACGAGATGCCCTCACTGGGCAAGGACGCTTCTCCGCCAGAGATGATCAGCGCCACCGATGCCGACTTTGTTCCCAAAGACATAATACCAGAAAACACGGAGAAGATGACGGGAGGAACTCAGCCAGGAGATCCCAACAAAGTAAGCCAGTCAGATTATGCTGTTGGTGAAATGGAGGGCATCTCTTTCAGAGTCGAGCCTCTACGCCGTACAGGAGAAGACCTCCCTACCATGAGAGCCAGATTACTATGTTGGTGTTCACCCGAGGAGGACATATAGAGAAGGTGCTTTCGTTCGCCTGGATGCTGACTTCTTTTATAGACCAAAGCAGGAAGCGAGGGACATTAGAGTCTGACCTCCTACTCTCCACTTTCGCGGCAGAAAACTTGTCCTCCATGAGCCGATCCCAACTTGAGCAGTACGACCTCTTCCTGGATGAGAACGACTGGGATATTTACTACTGGGCAACTCAATCCGAAGCAAACACGCCTACGTCGCTAGAGTATGCAGAAGGCGCAACGTCGGAGACAAAGGACCAAACAACCGAATATTCCTCACCTGCAACGCCAGGACAGGCTCAAGAAACAGATGCGTGGAGGCAAGGGGCTCCGCGAAGTGGAGAGTGGGCTCAGACTGTTGGTGCGTTCAAGCCGGCATACAGGCCAGTCCCTCAACGATGGAAAGACAGCGAGGTTCTCAGCTTGTTGCGGAGACATGTCAAGGCACGCAGTGCTGGTGGAGTTCTTGAAAATGTCGAGGAAGCCGCCAATACTAAGCCCAGTGGAAGTGGCCTTGGGAGGATGCCTGAGGTTCAGACGTTCAATTGATCTTGTACATAAGTGCTACTCCAAAATTAAATGCCCACAGCCCCGTGTTTGAGGCCGACGTTATTGTGTATTCAAGGCATGCCTTGTTTGACTCCTGTGTTGATGTCGGAATGCACAACGGCGCTCTGAACCGCTGATGTCTTTTCTCGATCTGCTAACTGAAAGACATTGTATCTAGCTGGAATCTTAGTGATCGGTAGGTTCACGACAGGGTATGCTCTATAAAGCTTCCGTCGAGGTCTATCGCGGGAAGTCCTTGGCATTCTCTCACAGGCTGCTCACGGATTGTTAACCGCCAGCGGCAGGAAGGACTTTATCGACTCGTACCTCGTACATTGAACGCCCTGCAATGAACTTTCAACGCAGTGACGAGTACGCCGCTAAGCAAATTATCCGGGCTGTTCCATCGGCGGCCTCTATTTGGAGATTCTGAAGCCGATCCTCGCATACTCCGTACCAAATTCTGCCGCGCCGTTCATCATGACATGGCCGGCACCGCAGTTCCGACGACTCCGTCCCGGTTGAGCTCGCGCATCTGCCCGCTGTGGAATAACACCTACTCTCGTACTCCGTACATCCCCACCACAATTTTGGCCACAGCGATAGCGCAACAAATTACTCGTACGAGTCTTTGAAATCAATCCAGCTGCACGTTAGTCGGTCCTGACATTCTCTCCTTGAAATGGATCCTCACCTCGGGCTCGAACTTTCTTTCCCCTTCCTCCTTTTCTTGTTACAGAGTACTATCAGAGTTCGGGGAGAATATATCCAGCCTGTACTATATCTAGCGCCTCTCGTATACTGATGTGGCCTTGATATCTTTACAGCATACTTCTGGGAGTCCCTGGTACAAGCGCTACGGCAAGCCATGGCCGACGCGGATGTGGCTGATGCCGAGAAGAAAGAGTTGTTCCTGGACGTTCCAAATGGCGGTCCAGCCTCGTTGAGCCCAGTTTCAACGAACCAGTCTCAACCGCGAGGTCGAAACCGGAGTCGGAGCCGGCCTCGTGCGAGCCTCCATTCTACTCGATCATATGTGGACGGCCACAGCACTTACTTTGCGGAGCCACAGGTCGAAACAGCTCCCGGAGACCAGCATGGGGATGTCGAGCAGTCACCCGAGAAGAGCTTCGAAGTAGGGTGGGATGGACCAGACGATCCCATGAATCCGAAGAACATGAAGCCGATGAGGAAGTGGCTTGTAGTCGTCACATTGGCATTCGGTTCCTTATGCGTGACTTGTACATCTTCGTTGTACACAATCACCTATGGTGAGCCAAGGCTTGTGCTGGGGATTCAACCGATGCTGACATTGTCAAAGAACAAATGGACGCCGAGTTCGGCAACTCGAGGATAGTCGCAACCCTTGGACTGTCTCTTTTCGTCTTTGGCCTGGGCCTGTCCCCAATGATACTCGGACCTCTGAGTGAATTTTTCGGTCGCAGACCCATTTACATTTTTGGTTACATCTTTTTTACCATCTGGCTGTTCCCATGCGCCTTCGCCCAGAACATTCAGACAGTATTGATAGCGCGATTTCTTGATGGCTTTTCCGGAAGCGCCTTCTTGTCGGTTGCTGGTGGTACCGTTGGAGACATGTTCAACCGAGATCAGCTGCAAGCACCGATGATGATATACACCGCTTCACCGTTCATTGGCCCTGGGCTTGGGCCCATCATCGGCGGATTCATCAACTACAACACCTCTTGGCGGTGGTCATATTACGTCCTTTTGATCTGGTCGGGAGTCATGTTGCTTGTCATCACCTTGTTCGTCCCGGAGACGTATATGCCCGTGGTCTTGAGGAAGAAGGCGCAGATCAAGCGGAAGGAGACAGGTGACGATCGGTGGAAAGCTCCGATTGAGATCCACGAGAAATCAATCTTCTGGACGGTCGTCAGGTCTCTGTACCGGCCCTTCATGCTGCTGTTCTTGGAACCCATGTGCTTTAACCTGTGTCTATTCTCCGCGATTCTGCTGGGCATTCTGTACCTGTTCTTCGGCGCGTTCAACCTGGTCTTTACCGAGGTTTACAACTTCAAGGTCTGGCAGATCGGCCTCTCGTTTCTTGGTCTCCTCATCGGCATGATTTTGGCAATATTGTCCGACCCGATCTGGCACAAAAATTACATGCGACTGCTCGACAAGCACGAAGCGAAGACTGGTGAACGGAAATCGGAGCCCGAATATCGATTACCGCCTTCAGTTTTCGGTGGCTGGTTCGCTGTGGTCGGACTCTTTTGGTTTGCGTGGACTATATACCCGAGCATTCACCCGATTGTGCCCATCATCGGTAGTGGTTTCTTTGGATTCGGCATCATCCTTGTGTTTACAGGAGTGTTCACTTTCCTGGTGGAAGCGTATCCCCTTTATGCAGCCAGCGCATTGTCGGCTAACTCGTTTGCGCGAAGCTCCTTTGCTGGGGCATTTCCGCTCTTTGGCGTTCAGATGTACAACAAACTCGGCTTCCATTGGGCCACGTCATTCCTGGCATTTCTTTGCTTGGTCATGGCTCCCTTCCCGTATCTGTTCTTCATATATGGGAAAAGGTTGCGTCGGAAGAGCAGATTCAGCAACCTATCTTGAGGCGGAACGTTTGCACCTCGACCGACTTGTGGGTATACCATCCGAGTCAAGGGGCCCTGGTGTCGATGTGATTGGGAGGGCAACCCTTTTCCGACACCGTCTTGTTGCGGCGGGCACGACTTGATCGGTGGCTTGATTGTGGACCAGGACCTGTCCGATTTTCTCAATGATGTCCCCGTCTGCGGTCAAATCTCTGAGCGAGTATCGGAAAGTGCCAACAGGAGACCGGGCATGTCTCTTAATTTCAGGAGCAAGACTTTGGGCAGCTGGCGGTCCAGGGCGCAGCAGTCTGCATCGGAATAGGGACGGGCCAGGCAGCTGTCGATTAGACAGCATTTTCCTGTAATGTGGAAGGATTGTCAACCACCGACCATTGATGCAGCCAGAATGGCAATCGAACTGTCCATCCATGGATCCCACCGTTGTCATGTTGTCCGATGCTGCTATCGCCGGCCACTACAGTCGAATGACCAGTAACGGCTATAGGCGCGATGCGGATGGGGCAAAGCAGGTCCTGAGAGGTTGCAGGTGTACTGCTCGACCAAACTCGCAGTTTGTACCTCCATACGACGCTGTGAGTGCTTCAGAATCATTGCACCGCATTCGCCACAACCCGTGTCGCGTCTGTCTCTCGGCGGCGTGCATTTCTACACGAGTATGGATGTAACATCATGCGGAGTTCGAAGCAGGTTCCAGAGGGCGGATAGTTCGCTATTGCAAGATAGAGTAGGAGTGTTCCATTACGGAGCAATACCATTCATTGTACGGGGGACCTCGTCCTGTACGGAGTACCTCGTTCGGACCGTTGTTACTCAGGGCCATAGGCCGTGGGATCCCGATCAGCTCGGGTGAAGTCGGGCAGCCTCGTGGGACTTTCTTGGGAAAGCGGGTTGGCGATCCCCCACTACCTGTACCTAGTACCAACGCAAGGCCGAGGCGCTGCTACGGCCCTTCAGTGCCTGGAGCATCGATTAACCAGCAGTAGCTTCTCCTGGGCGCCAGCTGCTGGATTTCTCACGAAAGCCGCGTCGCGACACGGCGAGGATGGCTGAATAGCACACAGTAGGAGAATTACACCGACTGGATCTGACACCTACGAGTATCTCCACGGCGTCAACGCAGCTGCACACAGCTTGCTTCAGCTTAGTAAAAGGTGATCGCTAGAAATGCCGAGGGATGGATTTTGCGCCCAGTTTCAGGCTTTACTGTTCAGGCCCATTTGGCTGGAGCGTTGCGGCCCCTCACTAGCTCAGTTGCGCGTACTCACCGTGACCGGCAAGATTTTGTGGGGTCTCTTGGTGAAGGGCAACAGCAAATGATCGTTCAACTGATATTAAGTCTTGCGGCCTCGATCAAAGAACCCCTCTTAACTAGGGCGTTAGATAGGTACCCTTCTTGCTCCTCACCTCTTTCGGCCCATCTGGCTCTTCAGCGTGAGCCAGACCCGGCGCTGCATGCATGACAGCGCCATATTGGGTGGCTCTGAGATCTCCAACCTTCAAGGTTCACAGCGACTCCGCACAGAGGCGGGCGTGGTTGAACTATTACGAGCAGAGCGGGAACTGAACTGGACTGGATCTGAACTCTCGCAACTGCGCACACGAACCCTGCTCGCACTCACAAATCCGCACTTCAACAGCTCACGACAGCCGCGCACCCTCTTCTAGGTCAATGCCAGCTGGACTGCGGCTCCTCCGACTCAACTTCGCTTCCTCAGACGACCCCGCGTACTGCTCCCGAACAACGCTGCCTCCACTGAACCCAAGCCACCCGCGTATCCTTGTGTTCGACGCAGTGCCCACAGCGACCATCAGGAGATTACTCCTTTGTCATACCTAGACTGTGTCGCACGACACCTGTCGTTGACCTCATTGTCCATTTTGACTGGGAGGCAAGCCATTTCCCACCTCGTTAGGTCTGGCGCCTGCCGCGACACGATCGACTCATGCGAACTCGCGTCACAGAGCCACCTTCCACGAACCAAGAGCCTGGTCCCCATAGGGGACTTGCGGATCAGGCAGCTGAGACGGTGAAAATTCCTGCAAGGCACAGGAGATCTGCTTCTGGGAACTATTAGCCCGTCATCATTCCATATCCGGCAGAAGGAGATTTGGGAACCGTGTTACCGTGGTTGTTCCTGTGCGAGCCACCTCCTGCGTCCCTGCGTGTTTTGACATCCCATTGATGGTTTGCTTATAACAACATGGCGGCCTCAGATGCTGAGGATGGCCACTCTCGTTCGGGCTCCCCCGAGGACAGTGGAACCGAACAGGTGCAGGAGAACATGGCAGAAGGTCCGGGCAAGGACACAAAGCAGCAGAACGGGGCCAAGTCAACCAATCCCAAGGATCCTTCTCGCCCTCGTAGGAAGAAGGCACGCAGAGCATGCTTTGCCTGTCAGCGTGCTCATCTGACTTGTGGTAGGTGAACCTCGACTCCGCACTAGCTGTGATTCTCCGCCGCTGACACTCTCCAGGCGACGAGAGACCGTGTCAGAGATGTATCAAGCGAGGTCTACAGGATGCTTGCCAGGATGGAGTCAGGAAAAAGGCAAAATATCTGCACGATGCGCCAAACGAAGCCCTCATGCCCGGAGTTGGCGGAAACCTATTCAACCATTCCGCAAAGCTATCCTCGACAGTGAGCGGCGAAACTCCTCCACATCAGCAGTTCTTCCCACAGCCCCAGAATTTTTCCAACTTTCAGACTCCGTCGCAAATGCCTCCTCCGCTCATCGCCGAGCGAAGCATGAGCTCCAATAGCTTCCCTCAGCAATCCCCTTTGGGCACGAACTTTGCAAACGTCGCGCCACAGGTTCCCATACAGAGTCCCGTCATCGGTGCTGACCAGAGCGTTACGAGCAATTTGGGCGGTACTGGTTGGCCAGGGCCGATGTTCGACGAACCCGTGATGAATTTCGATCTTGCCAGCATGAATTTTGGGAACCATTACGGTGCGCTTGAGTTTGGAATGCTGGGCCACATGGCAACCAATGCGGGCGAAACCCCTCCGTCCGACACCGCGACACGGAGCGGCTCGATGACGCAGCAGTACCGCATGCCGTTCGGTAGCTTCAGCGAGAGCCCGACGACTCGACAGCAGATTTACAACGAGGCGATCCTGCCAGATTGGTCCAATGGGCCCGATCCGTACGGTGCGCATGGTCGGCATATGGCGCCGAATGCATTTGCCATAGAGTCTAATGCCACTCATTGGACATCTCCCGATACAAATGGCACGCCGGGAAATGCCGTCAAATTCGAGGACTCGCCACTACTGACCAGCCAAGGGCTCCAGATACCTCCTTCTGCGATGGAAGGCGGCCCCGTTCATCAACCATCCGGAACAGCAGAACATCGCAATACTCGTCAGCTCCCTCCAATTTCCACGCCCCAGTTGAAGGCGAAATCCCAATTGCCAGTCAAGGCTTTGAAGCGGCCTAGAGATCCGTCTTCAATCTATACCATCGTTACCCAGCCGTACCCTTACACCTCGGGCTTTCACAGTTTCATTGCCTATCTGCAGAAGCGGTTTGCCGCGCATCCTTCTAAGACCTTGACCATAGCCAAGTCGTTGGCATCCATTCGGCCGTCGTTCATTGCGACCACGAAGACTCTCAACAGGGAGGACCTGATATTCATGGAAAAATGCTTTCAGCGGACCTTGTGGGAATACGAAGGGTTCATCGAAGGTGTCGGAACCCCTACCATCGTGGCGAGGCGGACTGGGGAAGTTGCTGCCGTGGGCAAAGAGTTCCAGATCTTGACCGGGTGGACCAAGAATGTGCTGCTAGGCCGGGCGCCCAACCTCAACGTCAACAGAGGCCATTCTGGCCAAACGCCTGCTGCTGGGTCCGGCACCAATACAGCACGTCAGACTGGGACGAACACTCCGACACAACGAACAGCGCCCGAGAGTGAGAATGGCGAGAAACGGCAGCAGCCTGTATTTCTTGCCGAGTTGCTCGACGACGATTCGGTAGTCCAATTCTACGAGGATTTCGCACGACTTGCGTTCGGAGACAGTCGAGGCAGTGTGTGTGGCAGAGGGAAACTCCTGAAGTACCGCACCAAGGACGACGAGATTACACAGAACCTCAATGCGGAGGCCGACGCGCGTGACCCGGACGGACGAAATGTCGAGCTGCGCCGGCAAGAGACCGCCATCTCCCGGCGTGACCTGAAACGCGCGCGCGATGGCATCTCCGGCGAAAAGGGAATGCAGAAGCTTGGTTGCGCTGACGGCAAAGTCGATTGCACGTACTGCTGGACAGTCAAGCGGGACGTGTTTGATATACCCATGCTGATTGTTATGAATGTAAGAACTCCTCGAGGCGCAACCGGATTTTGCTAACCTGAAGCAGTTCTTGCCTTGTATATAGGCGGCCAAAAGTTGGTTTGTTTTCATGACTGGCCGTGTATCACCCGGGAAAAAATGGCTGGGAAAAGGATATTGCACGGGAAAAGGGGTCGCGGAGCTTCTGTCAGACTGATACTGGCGATAGGACACCCCGGAGAGGTTGACTGGTTCATGAACAGCACCAACAGCATGATATGATTCTATCGGCGCAGACTTGTACCCGTCGAGGTCTTCATGAGAAGTCTATCGAGAGATTGTTACAAGCCTAGGAGACCACCGGCTGCTTCTGGAAGCAAATCTGAGGCTGGCGACTGGTGAGAAGCTCATGGTGCACACGCCTCCACGCAGAGAGGCCAAATGAAGCGCCTCGGTGCTCTGCACGTCAATCATCGCCGGCTTTTCATCATGCTTCAGTCCTTGTTCAAGACCTCCTTCTCTACCTGCGTCGTATCCACGCTTTCCATCCACTTGAAATCCGTCAACCAGGCCTTCCATTCTCCATCCTCCTTATACCTCGCATACGTCTCGCGATCCAGGCTTCGCCTCGCGACGTCGCAATCGATCTTGATGTCGTCGACAAGGGCTTCCAAACTGACATAATCGTACTCGGGCCGTATGTAGCCCAAGACCAGCAAGTTCAGTGCCGCGCCGTAAAAATCATGCGTAAACTCGTGCAAGATGTGGATCTCGACGGATCGGACGGTGTTCTTGTAGAAAGGGTTGTATCCGATACTCAGCACCGCCGGGTGGATCTCGATCGAGGTCGACGTCGTGTCCGGAGAGGGCGACAGCGAGAGACCGACGTAACCGTAGTACACGCCGCTGGGAAGATCGGGGTAGGTCGCAAGCCCTTCGGGCGGGATGTTGGCCGTGGGGATGCCGAGCTAGAATCAAGCAGAGGCGGTTAGTGAGTGACCGTATACGATGGCTGGGCCGAGAGAGAAGTCGTCGGGAAGAGCGTTCAAAGCCACTGTGCCCAGAGAGGTCCTGATGGTAAGCGTGCCAGCGAATCGACCTTGGTCGAGGAACAGCTCCCAACGCCATCTCGGCTCCCGAGCAGGAGACAATGTCCAGTTTTCAAGAGACGAGTCTACCGGCCGACCTGATACCCTCGCAATGCCTTTCCATCATCGATCCATCCATGCGTGATGGACAGAACACGTCTTCCACCATCGGACAAGCGGTACGTCCTCCGGTAACAGGCGGCCCCACCTTCCTCGATCACCACGAGAACAGTGCAAGAGCAGGCAAGGCCGAATGGAATACCGCAGGGAGTTGACGCTCACCTCTTTACTTCCGCGTCCGAAGCCTTTTATTACCGGCCCGGACAGTTTTATTGGGAATGGTGCCTCGGGACCGGACCCTGGCCCAGCATACGGGTCGCGGGGACCGTCTGGTCGCATCTCTCGTTAGGGGAGACGCTGCTTCTCTTTGAGATCTCGCCTGTAAGAGCTATTTCGCTGGTGAGGTCTTGTTGCACGAATATGGAAGATAAAGTTGTTTGGGTTTCCGTCAGGAGTCTGACCGACACGTTCTGTTTAGTTTCGGCTGATGTGCTCGTATTCGGTCAGAAGCGACATTCTAATGTGTCATGGGAGATAGAAGGTTTTCGATATGGTTTCCCTGAGATCGTCCAATCGGGGCACGTCAATTATCGCAGCCTTGTTTGTTTCCACGATTGAGCTGGTGGGAAAGTACACGGGGTTTAATGGTGACCGTTTGATCTCTATATTCTATACACAGCGTATGTAGCCTGCCATAAAGGGCGTTAGTCGGTGGTCACCTATACATTTGTCGAATACCCAACACTGGGCAAGCGTCCTGAACTCCTTCTCCTTTCAGCCCACTTCCTCACCTCGTCGGCCAACCAGACGGTGCTGGTCATGCACACCAGGGAGAACAGGTCCCACAGAGTCAGTGCTTCGGTCTGAAACACACGCTGCAGAAAGGGCAGATATATAACACATAGCTGGCCCGCGAGGCTGCCCGCCACGGCGTAGTTGAACATTTTGTTTCCGAAAAGTTTGATCTCGCCGAACAGAACGGACTTGGTCTCTGAGCGGCACGTGAGAGCGTTAAACATGTCGAAAAGGACGAATGTCGTGAATGTCATGGTGGTGTCACGCTTTGTGACCGTGCGGACACGGAGGGGCGTCTCGTTGATAAGCGTGGGATCCACATTTGGATCGTCGATGTCAACCATTTCTCGCAGGTATATGAACAGAGTACCCATCATGATGATGGAGGCAGAAGTGAGTACACGGCGGATGAGGCGGCGGGTGAGCACGTTCGCATTGCGTGGGCGTGGCGGCTGCGTCATAACCCGCGGGTCCACGGGCTCGACTCCGAGAGACTGAGCAGGAGGGCCATCCATAAGGATGTCTAGACTGGTCAGCGACGGACACAGGGGTTAGATCTAGACTGTGACTTACTGATCCAAAGAATCTGCATGGCGTTCAGCGGATTCTTAAACCCAAACATCGTGCTGAGGAGGACCAGGCTCAGAGCGGCAACGCTCGTGCTCAGTTGAAACGTGATGAAGTTCTGAATGTTGAAAAAGATGCCCTTTCCTTGTTCAATGGCTCGCAGGATGGTCGAGAAGTCGTCGTCGGTAAGGATCATGTCGGCCGCCTCCTTGGCCACGTCGGTTCCCAACATTCCCATCGCAATTCCGATGTCAGCCTTCTTTAGTGCGGGCGCATCATTGACTCCGTCGCCCGTCATTGCAACCACGTCTCCTCGGGCCTGAAGTGCACGAATGATCTTCATCTTGTGGTCAGGGCTGGTACGAGCAAAAATGGTTGTCTTGCCAATTGCTTCTGACAGCTCCTGCTCCGACATTCGGTCCAGTTCATCACCACGCAAGACGGATCGCGAATCTGATGATGCTGGGTTGATGGGCATCCCAAGACTCTTTGCGATTGCCACCGCGGTGGTCTCAGCATCACCAGTGATCATGATGACCTTGACTCCACTGTTCATTAGCCGCCGAATGGACCTGTTGACATCCTTTCTCGGCGGATCGTTCATGCCCACCAGACCAGCAAAGCATAGACCAGTGAAGGCGTCTGTCTGCGGCTCGCTCGGTTTCTTAGCCCCGAGACTTGGTGTAGAACTTCTGCTGCTTTGCCGCGCCTGATTCCTTAACACGCCACTCGCAAAAGCAATGACTCGGAGTCCTTCTTCCGCCATTGCCTGAGCGGCTGCATGGGCCTCTTTTCGTCCACGCTCGTCGAGCACAACTTCCCGCCCATCCTTCGTCAAGTATGTGTCTGATCGGCTCAAAATTTGCTCGATCGAGCCTTTGATGTAGGCAGTTTCGGAACCGAGCCCATAGCCATTGGCCATCTCGCCGAGAGCGCTAGCAATGACCACGCCCATCCACTTTCTCTCCGAGCTGAATGGGGTCTCGCTCGTTCGGGGACCTATCTGCTCACGAATATCATCCTCACCATGCGCGTCCATCAAATCCAGCATGGCGATATCCGTTGGCTGGCCAAGCCATCGGCTTTTCGTCACTGTGGAGGATCTGTCTCTAGTAGAGGAGAGGACTGCAGCAGAGGCGGCTGTCGCTGGCGTTCCAGACCTATTTTGGGCGAGGCGGCCGTTGTTTGCGATGTTGCCGATGCGCAGAATAGTCTTTGTGGCCGTCGTGAGCTCTGCGGTTGGATCAACAGGGGCCGGTTTGCTGATGTCAAAATGCCAGAGTTTTGTTACCGTCATATGATTGAGGGTCAGCGTCCCGGTTTTATCGCTGCAAACCACATTCACCGAGCCGAGTGTTTCAACGCTGGGGAGCTTGCGGACAATGGCTCCCCTCTTTGCCATTCGCAGCACTCCAAGGGCAAGGGTGACGGTGACAATGATGGGAAGGCCCTCAGGAATTGCCGCAACAGCTAGAGACACCCCGATAGTGAACAGGTCCAACAGCTGCTTGCCCTGCACCAGCCCGATTATGATGATAACGCCAATGACAACAAACGACATGTAGCTGAGTTGCTTCCCAAGCAAATCCATTGACTGTTGTAGAGGTGTCCGTGGAGCTTCAATCTCTTGAAGCGACAGGGAAATTGTTCCGAACTCAGTCTTTCCCCCGGTTGCAATCACAATCCCTTCGCCGTGGCCTGACCTGACCAATGTACCCATGAACGCGATGTTGTGTTGCTCGTTCAAGCGCACATCAGCACCAACCGTGCCTGCGGCGTTGTACGGCTCGGGGGTGCCGTGATATTCATGATGAGGCTTGTTCCGCTCAAGAGCAGCGGCGTGTTTCTCTACGGGCTCGTTCTCGCCTGTCAGGTTCGACTCATCGATGGTCAATTCGGCGGAATGCGTGATTCGAATGTCGGCAGGGATGCGGTCGCCGGTAGAGAAGATGACTAGGTCGCCAGGGACAAGCTGAGAGGCTGGAATTGTGGTAGATGTCTTCTCTTCGGCCGGAATGGCACTTCCGTTTGTCAGTGGTTCCATCTCGATTGCTAAATTTTCACTAGCAAGACTCCTGGTCGTGTGCCTGGGCGCCGAACGTCTGACATGGGCGAAATGGGGAACCAGCTTGTTCAAGGCCTCCAACGACTTCTCTGACCGGTACTCCTGCACAAAGCCGACCGTAACGACAATCGTGACAGCAAGGGCAATACTGACAGCATCATCCTTGTTACCGATGAAAAGCGAGATGGCGGCGGAGGCGAGGAGAAGGAGTATAAGGGTTTCCTTGAACTGTTTCAAGAACCTCAACCACAGTGGCTCCTCCTCTTCATGTGGAAGCTCGTTAGGCCCGTCTTTTCCCAACCGTGCATAAGCCTCAGTCTGTAGTAGACCATGAGTGGTAGAGGTCTGCAAGCGTTCGGCCGTCTGCTGAGGAGTGAGGAGAGAGTATGAGGAGGTTATCGACGAAGAGGTGGAGGCATATTGCGGAATCGGACTACGCGGTCTGTTCCCTTGAGGTTCTGCATTGAACACCGGTAGTAATGATGACATGATTGCATCGTAGCTAGATTAGCGAGCGCGACCCCATCCTCCACCAAAAATACAATCCACGAAGAGTGGTGTGAACGACGGAGGAGCGGACGCGCTGATGAACGCCGGCAAGTCGACTGTGCCAGTAGCGGCTACGCGGCTCTTATAATGAAAAGAAGACTACGAAACCGCCTTGTAAGCTTCACCAACAGAGCGATCTTCTGCTTAACGCGTGTCCGGGTAGCAAAGAACGGAGAAGGCTGTTGTGAGATTATTGAGATTGCGCTTCCGCTGCGCAGCGCTGGCGCATCGAAATCTTGCGGTTTCCGCATCCGGGGCGGCATTGTGGAGCTTGCTGGGTGTGGAAAGTCAGCCGAGGCGCGACCGTTTGGCAACTGCAAACCGCATCATCGAGCAGCGGCGCCCAGCCACTCGGCCACTCTGCCACTCACTCCTTGCGTTCCGCTCCTCTTCCAATCATTTCACAACATACACCACCAACCTCCCTCCCCGTCGACTGAATCACCACCCTCGCATTCCTCCTTGGGCCTCAGCGCGCGATTTTGTTCGTGCTGTTGTTCTGCTCAGCATCTTTTTGGATATTCTAGTCATCATTTCCGCTTCAAAGCATCGTGCGCGCCGCGAAAACAAACCATCACACTTTCGACGCGTCTTCCTGCCTTCCGACCGCCACCTCTCGCCCATTTCACCTGCTCCTCACTTCGTCCCAATGTCAATCTGATCGACTACACGATTCGACAGCTCCCCTCCCGCCCACCATGTTTTATTCAGAACAACTCCTGGCCAAGACCGGACCGCTGGCTCGAGTCTGGCTCGCGGCGAACGTCGAGCGCAAGCTTTCTAAGTCACAGATCCTACAGTCGGATATCCAGAGCAGCGTTGGCGCAATCGTAGATCGAGGACATGAACCCATGGCGCTGCGCCTGAGCGGCCAGCTCATGCTAGGTGTTGTGCGCATCTACGGGCGAAAGGCGCGGTATCTGCTCGACGACTGCAATGAGGCGCTTATCAAAATCCGCATGGTATTTCACCTCCCATCGCATACTTTCGCATTCTAACCAGGTTACAGACCTTCAAATCGACTAACAATCACGATCTTCCGGCCCATGCTACCACCGCGGTCGATCTCAACCTACCGGAACTACTCACCATTGATGATTTGTTCTCTACTATGGATTTCACGTTCAATATGACTCAACAGCCAGCCATCACGGATGACCACACCCAAGACCTGGGGGAAGACTGGACCAGCTCACTGAACCCTCAGCAGACCAGCACGCAATCGATGCTCACTCCGGGCGAGGAACCCCTGTACAATGATGATGATCTCAACCTTGACTTCACCGGCGGCGATGACATGGCCATGAATGATACTACTGTCAGCATCAATGTCGGGCGTAACGCTCCGACCCCGAAACCGGCTGAGGATGAGATCTTCGGTGAAGAAGGACTGCTGCATGACGACGAAGATGGCCTCAATCTGGACTTTGACCAAGATATTCCCATGCTAGATCAGCCCGACGTACAAATGGCTGACGATACGCTTCCACCCGTTGGCGAGGACCAGCCCCTGCTATCCGGAGATGATGAGACCCTGCAACTACGACAGACCGCTGAAGACGCAAGGGCACGAAGAGAGACGGAGTCTCCCCTGTCGGAGGCAAATCCAGAACTCCTTGACGAGCTTGATCGTAGTTTCCAGAACCAGCTAGCGGAAGAAGAAGAAGAGATCGAGGAGGTGGCCGCGCAGCAACGACAACGAATCCGGAAGCAGAAGCCCATTGCTCCGGATGCCGAAACTGTCCTTCACAACAAACAGATCAAGGCTCAAGCAGAGGATCGCTCGAAGATTCTCCGCGTCCCGTCTTTTCTCCCTCGGGATCCCCTTCTCCTGACGCTTATGAGCATGCAGAAGAACGGCGACTTTGTCACAAATGCCATCAACGATGGCCGCTCCATGCACTGGGCCCCTGAACTACAGGGACTGCTATCTTTCGAAACAGTTATGAGATCCGGAGAGCGCAAGCGAAAGCGAGATAGTGGTATTGGTGGATTGAGCGAGGACGAACACAGCGAGAAGTCGCCGCGGCTGGAAGGTCCTGTGGACGCGATCGAGGACGAAGCAGTTCAGCTTGACGAGGCTCAACCATTGACACCAGCTCCTGATGACATTCTACTACAACCTATGAGTGAGGGAGGCCCTGCCTTGGAAGACATCGTCCAGGGCGAAGATGAAGAAGGCATCCACGGCGGCGATGACACGTTCGACGACACCACCATGCCTCTAGTACATCCCGCAGACAGTGGCCCGATCTCGCTGGGCACAAAGCATGCAGTCCACCTTTTGCGTGAACAACTTGGCGACGTGGGCGGAGCTCATCCTCCTTCACCAGCAAGAAAGTCAGTGCTTCTACAGGATCTTGTTCCGGAGGGACGCACAAGCAAGGAAGATGCAACCAAGATGTTCTTCGAGGTGCTAGTCCTGGCAACCAAAGACGCGATCAAAGTCGACCAGGGCAACACAGCAATAGGTCTACCTTTGCGCATCAGAGCAAAGAGAGGTCTGTGGGGTTCCTGGGCCGAGACAAGTCCTGGCGATGACCCTACCACAAATACAGCTTCTCAGCAAGTAGCCGCGGCGGCGTAGGCAGTCGGTTTTGGGCACGAATTGGATATGGCACACGTCTCGAGTTTTGGGTATTGCTGGGAACAAATAGGACCGCCAAAGGTGATATGGGCAGACTACTACTGTATTTCTAGCAGCCTGGCGAGGGGACACGCGCAGTTATGTTGTTGAACGGTCTGCTCGACAGAAAGCACGGCCACTATCTTGGAAAAGCGAAGGCGCCACTACTAGGCAGGCGTTGGATTAGCGCAGATACCCCAGAGAGCCGCAGTTCGGGCCGCTTCGGTCGATGACACAGCTCATAGCTTTCGAAGGAAGTTTTTGCTTTTCGCAAATGTCTCTCATACCTCTACTGGTGCTTGCATACTTTTATGAGCACATGGCGTCTGTCTGTTGGTGCCGTTGGCAGGCGGTATCTACGTCCAGGACAACATCCTATCCGCTCCTCGGGCAGATTATGATCGGACATGTTCATGCCCAATATCTCAGGAGCTCTAACGTGTCTCGACTCATGAAAATTGCGATGCCAGCTCCGACCACCCACTTCCGAAATGCAAAAGCTATGAGGTTGGTTGCAAATCCCCGGTTTGGGCAAACACTGCCGAACGGGAAATCGGTCCGATGCAAGCGAAGGCGGAAAAGACAGCTTGTTGTCAGATAATAGGAGCCCATACGATGAAGGCACCGAGCCAGGTGAGGGCGAGGACACAAGAGCTCACAGGTCTCGCGCCCAGGACGTGGACTGTCCAAAGATACGGATCTTGCGTTGGAAAAGAGCATTGGAGCCGTCGAGTTTATCGAAAGAGCAGGTACAAACAACAGATGGATGGCGTGAGGCGGCATTCAAAAGCAAGAGGATTTTGATATGCATTATTATGCATTCGGCGCTTTGCCATGGGGCAATCACGAGACTAGCCGGGCAAAGGGACAACAATCTCTTGAGCAGCTAAAAGACAAGTTTGGACATGGTACCAACAAATGCAGAAATACAGTCTAGGAGGCGTACGGCGTATCATGGTGCACCTGGGGAGGTCGTGATCGAGGAAGAAAAAGGTGTAGGTATGGGTGTCAAAGGTCGTAGGACGATACGACAATCTGGCAGACGAGCGCACCCAGTCCGAGAACTTCCAGACTCATCCCTAGATCAAGTGTCTTTCACCCATGTACCATCATCCATCAAGCCTTCACGCTTGGGTCCTTCTCTCATCCATGTCTCAACAACCCCATTCTTGGGATCCTCGTCGGGTAGACCTCTCGACCTCCTCACCTCCAGAACTGCCTCGCGAACGCGTTTTGTACACTCTTTCCTCAACTCGACGGCCTCTGGGTGATTTGCCAGGTTCTCAGGCACAAGGCCCAGAATTGCCTCGTCCCAACCTGGCAGGCCTGCCTCTCTCGCATGGCGATCCGCCAAATCGCGCCATCGCTTACGTAAATCGCCAAAGACAGCCTCAACATCCAACTCCTTCCCGAATGCGACCGAGATATTGTTGCCGATTCTGGGTAGGAAACGCGGAAATGTACGACTCTCGTGCATCACCTGGTCCGTCCCTTCGATGAACATGGGCACCACATCAGGACATTCCGGTGGCTCAAGGATCAGGCGAGCCACACCCCACTTGAAATAGCGCATTGTCTTGTCCGTGGCTTGATGGATCATGCCTTCCGGAAAAATATGGACCCAACTGTACGAATTGCTTGCATAGCGGGATGGCGAGAGATACCACCTGACATCGTTGGGTTGGGATGGGTACGAAGGTGGAAGGGTGATATCGGAGAAAGGGTCTACACAGTCCCACGGCCACTGAGGGTGTCTGTAGTCCTTATGGAAGTGAGGGTTGTTCACTGGACACAACGCCTGCTTTGTCGCGGAGATCTTGGAGAGTAACCGTATGCCTTCGGTCAAGGTGGCCTGGTAGGGGCCGCCGAATGGGGAGTGTGCGCTTCGATGAGTGGGCAGAGTTTGGCCCAGGGTGAAGAAGTGCGACGTGAAGGCATTCTTGAAGCAGATGTCATGACTCCCGAAACTCCAACGGTGGTTCATGTAGCCGTGAAAGGCGGCGAAGGAGAGAGGAAGGACGCCCCATATCAGTGGTTCGTCCATGACCGAGATGTGGTTGGAGACGGTAAGCAGACCGCGTCGGCGCGTTTTGTAGTCGGCGCGCGACTTGAGTAGGTCGAGGAAGCGTGGTAGTCCATGGACTTCCGTTCTGTTCAGCGCATAGATGAAGAAGCGTGAAAAGGCTGAGACGGCAAGGATGGTCTGGTACGAGGCACTGCGCCAGAACAAGCTCGGGGCTTCGAGGTTTGGGTAGAGGTTGAGGTCATCGCGAAGGAGGCGCATTGGGTGCTGTAGACGAGCCGAACGCGTGGGAACATAGACATGGTCAGAGGCTTTCGTAGGAGGTGAAAGCCCATCGAGGATTGATGCTCAACAATCTGACCGTGGTGGAGGCCGTGCCGCATTTGTTGGCTGTCAATAAATTTGCGGAGGAATCTAAGGGGGATCCACATCTCCCAACCCGCAGTTCGCAGTTCGCCGGGCGCCAGTCTTGTAACATCTGCAACTTGACTCGGCTTCGACCACGTTCAAGCTATTGGCGTTCTCATCGTCAGCTGTGTTGGCCATGTTCAGACCGACCGCCCCTCTGTCGGGAGGCTTACTATGGTATGTTGGCAGGATTTGAGCTGTTCTTGACCGGACAGCGCTAATCCTATGTCTCCGTAGGAAAATCCCGTGGCGCATCTCATCCATGCAAAAAGCGCGTCAGCGAAAACGATTAAGAGCAGTCGATAAGGTCGTCGACACAGTCAGCATGGCGTTACAGAAGAATGGCTGCGTGACAGCGAAAGCCGTGGAGAGATGGTACCAGGAGATGCCCCGAGAGGAAGAGATGCTGCCAAAGGACAAATACACCATCTTTGACCGCAAGGAGAAGAAATATAGGAAGGGCATCCACAGTACGTCGCATCATGAATCCGCTGAGTTATGATTGACAATGGCTTCAGAGCTGCCCAAATGGACGAGAGTCAGCCAGCGGCTCAACCCACCAGGTTTCTAATCCCCGACCGAGAACTACATATACTACGCCCCGCCCCTGGTCGTAACCCTTCCGAACAAGTCCTCGAGCTTTATCACGCCGCGAGCTTAGGATTCCGTGGATGATGAGAGTGCTGGCAGGAGGTGGCTATCCCCGCTTCCAGGAAAGAGGTTGTTTGTGCTGTGGTCAACAACGGACGGGTGGTCCACAACGCACGGAAGGTCACAGACCTTGGGGGAGCGCGACAGTCGGTAGAAGATCACTTGGAATGCTTTTTCCGAACAAGAACGGTATGATGAGACCGCTACACGACGAAGTTGAGGTTTGGGGCACGCTTGGTCTGCTCCTGTCGTTCGCCAAAGTGCCCGAAGAAAACGGATTTCCCCCGTACCGTGCAAAAGGAGGAGCCTACTGATGTTGCGTCAAAGTCTATGGAATCAAGGCAAGCATTGTAGCATCAGCCAGTGGCATACGGCATGGTAATGGTATGCGACACTTGTACAGCTATGAGTCAATATCTGTGTTTAAAGCGGCCAGGCTTGAGTCAAATAGCGAAGTGACATCAGACTCAGCAGTCTCGGTGTGCTGCCTTCGACACCATGACTCCGTCCATCCCACCTCTTCACCCTCCGTCCCCTCCACCCGGTACCCTTCTCCTCTCCTCCGTTTTCATTTTTCTCCCCCTGCGCCAATCGCCGCCGCAGACTTCATACATGCCCAAGAAGCACCAGCAGCGAGCGCTTCAGGTCAAACCGCAGTCGAGCAGTCCGCAAACTCTCTCACTCTCCAAGTCCTCCCGACATTCAAATGGGGCGGCCTCGCAAGGCTCGGTCAATGACCTAATCCGAGAGTCTCGTCGACTGCAGCTGAGAAGCGAGGCCCGCACTCCTCCCGTGCTTGACAATGCGCACTCGTTGCACCCTTCGGTAAGAGCAGTTCTTGACCTGCCTGCGCCACCCTCACCTGTCCCAAGGTACGGACTTGGTTCTCGCTCCGGCGCTTCGAGTTCAGGGCCGAGCCGTCTTCGCCGTATTCCTGGGCCGCCTCCGCCGCTAAGCTGGCTTACAGATAGCATTCATGCTCCTCCCTCTGTGCGATCTTCACATAACCGCGCTGATGGCGAGAATCATCGCGTTCAGGTCCGCACGAGTAACCTTCCAGATGGAGCATTTCCACCACCCAGATCCCTGCAGCATCTCGTGCTGAAAAAGATCGCATCAGAATGGGACTGGCATGCCGAAAATGATCTGCAATACTTCAACTACTTGCCTGTCAGACTACGAGAGACTTTGCTCAGTTATATCGCTGTTTTTGGTGAACATGTGAGGAGTGACCCGTTGAGGATCCTGCTCTTGCATGAGACAGATATCAAAGAGAAGGACGAAGTCCGGCACTTAGATTTAAGCAATGCGATCGGTCACTGGACTACGTTCAGACAACTGGAGAGGGATCTGTTGGCGAAAAAGGCCGGTCCCCTTACAGGTTCGATGGCAGTCGCCCAAGCTCCCCCAATAGAGTATGCCCCAGAAAGCTGGGATGCTGAGAGCGACGGCGACGAGGACTCGAATGACCCGATAATCCCTCCAGTACCCAAGACTGCGCCCAATTTCGTCAACCTAAGACATCTTTCTCTCGCCATCCCGTCAGGTAGTGCAAAAGCCGCTTCCTGGTCCTCTTTGCTTTCACTTGCAACTGAACTGCGGACCCTAACCTCCCTTTCGCTGGCATACTGGCCTCAACCTACCTTCACACCCAACGCCGCCTCGACGCGGGTAGTCATCCCGACCCCCGGTCCCGGACCTGTCGTCTACGGCGGCTCAGACATATACACCTCGCATGATAACAATTGGCGAGAAGCAGCGGGCATTTTGCGCACCTTGAGCCGTTCCTTGTATTGTCTGAAGTGGCTGGATCTCACAGGCTGTGGGGATTGGTTTGCTGCTTTGCAGTGGGTTCCTTCACCTTCTTCCTCTCCCTCGACATCGCCAACCAGCAGCTCATTGTCTGGTCCTCAGAGAGAACATCTTGCTCCTGAGTGGAATGGCGGCTGGCGTGGGTTAGAGAAATTGATCCTCGAAGTCGGATGGAGACCTATCGCTCCGCCCACGATCGAAGACCATCATTTATTCACGCCCGAAACATCCAGCTGGAATGTTGAGAACGAGCGTCGGCTCTATCGATACAGAAAAGATCGAGAACGTTTTGCTGATATCCGAAGTACTGCGCGCTCGGTGGCGCGGCACTTACGAGCAGTTCGCAAGAACGCCGGAGGCAAGTGGATTGACGTTGAATTTGGAGAAGATTTGGAGCCGCTTGTTGATCCCAAATGGTAGATTTAGACCTCAGTTCAGTTCTCTTCAGCCTATCACTTGGTGAAGAAATTGGTGATGCGCCGCGTCCCGGACTCGGTTTTCTTTGCTGGGCTGCTTTTGAGCGTCATATTCTTGTTGCTTGTCGCACTCTTTGGCTTCTTGCCCCCTACAGCTTTCGGAAGGGACTTCACAGGAGACGGCGGAGAGGGGATTTTCGCAACTTTCTTGGTTGGACTTTCTTCGCCCTCGTCCTCGTGTGTTCGCTTTTGTCCGCGCTTTTCCTCTACCGGGTTCGCGGTCGCAGGCAAGGGTGCCTTGTTTTCAGTTCCGTCGTGTTCGACCGTCTCTCTGTCTTCTTCCGGCTCTTCTTCGACCTTCCCTTTGGTCTTCTTTGGTGGAGTATTCTTGAAGAAGTTTGCGATATTCTTCTTGTTCTCCTTGCTGTCGATCGGCACAATGAAGCTAGGGGAATTGTTGCCCACTTTGCCTACAGCCTGATTGACGGGATAGCATTCTAATTCTCCCTGGTACGGTTTCAGAAGAGCCTGGAGTTCTTTGGACCACTTATTTCTCGTCGGATCTAGCCAAAGCTTGACTTCTTCTGTACCTGGCTCGAGAATGACCGGCATTCGATCATGCAAGAACGATAGCTGTTTGTTCGAGTCCGTCGTGATGATCGTGTATGTGTACAATTTCTCCTCCGTATCCTCATACTTGACACAATCCCACAGACCAGCGAAACACATCAACTGCCCATCTTTTCGCTTGACGAAGTGTGGGATCTTCTCTTTGCCACCTGGCCCCTTCTTCAACCACTCGTAGAATCCCTGCGCAATCACCAGACAGCGTTTCTTCTGCTTCATCGTATTCCACATGCCCTTGTTTTCGAGGAGAGAATCGTCGCGACAGTTTATTGTGCGCAACATTGAGCCGTAATCAGGGGAGCGTTTCGTCCAGAAAGGGATCAACCCCCACTTCATGACCTTGATCTGGTAGTTGTAGTGTTTCGGCTGGCTGGCTGCGGGCGCGACGGACTCTTGAGCCCCATCGTGCTGCGGAAACTGTTCCTCGTGTTGCTCGTCTTGTGGTGCAGTACTGCTGGGTCCGGAGTCGTCTGTGTCTCTTACACCGTGGTCTGGGACATCTGCTCGGTATACTAGGCCGTATGAACCTGGGGGGAAGTTGTACGTCTCTCGCGCTTCATCATCTTCCGGTGCTTCATCAACGGGCATACCTTGCTGCTCAAGCTGGTAGCGGACGAAGGAGGCACGAATGCCTAATGCGTATCGTCCACACATGATTGCGAAGAGCAAACGATGTGGTAGAGCACGGCAGGCTGCTCTGCCATTATTGCCAGAGGCGGATACGAGAGAGTTACGAAGCCTATCTGGAGAGCGCGAATGGTGAAGCGGATGGATGACGTCGACGCGACCAGAGAAATCCGGGGTCGAACTTTTACTTTTGGCGATCGTGCTGCGCTTCGCCTCACGACTACCTCACCTACCGTGTATCTTCCTTGTCTATTGTGAGCACTTCTCAGGTTCACATACACCCTCCTTGGTCATGGCCACAAATTCCGGCGTGCTCACAATCCAGCTTCTGCGCAGCTTCAAGCCTGCGAGGACGAGCCCATCGAGAACTTTGGTCAATGGCTTTCATAGCTTATCGAAGAATCGACCTCAGATTCGATGTATGCCTACACTCAACACCCGGTTTCAGAAACGCAATGAAAGAAGCTACCCCCGCCCACCGAACCGATTCGAGCAAGCCGTCATCGATGCCCGGCTCAAACATCCAATTCTTTTCCCGTTCTTGCTCTTCGGCTCCACCGCGTCTGTGATATTGCTCATAATCATGGCCTACGACCAATGGCGCAGAGAGAAGAAAGGGACGTCGGCATTTCCGCCCGCAGTTGAGGACCAGCTTCGGCTGGCCCTGCACTATACCCATATCTCCCCGGACCCAGAGACGGCATCGAAATACTTTTTGGGGGCGATCAAAAAGGCAGAAGAGGTGGGAATGGACCCCTACGGCAAGGAGGCGTTGGGCATTCGGGTCCGTTTCTCCCAGATGCTCGAGGAGTTTGGTCATGCCAAGGCGGCTATCGAAATCTTGGACGGCATCATCAGCGAGTTGCAACAGAAGCTGGATGAACTCGAACAAGCGCATTCCCTAAGGACTGATACGTCTCTTCAGTCAGGTCCTACATTTGCTGAGATGCGAGCGAATATGATCAAAGGCATCGTGAAGCTGAAGATCAAGATATCCTCTTTATACGAAAGCGACTATCTCCAAAATCCGTCCATGGCCAAGCAGGTCTTGTCTGATGCGGTGGGCATGGTGGTCAAAGAGACGAAAAATCCCCAACAAGGGCTGACGGACGACAATGGAGCTGGGTTGACAACTGGCGAAATTGCTGCGATGCTGTCGCAAATGGGCGACCTGTATGCCACATCGGGCGAGGAGGAAAATGCCGTACAACTATATATGCTCACTCTGCAACCGCTTCGAGCGTCATGCAATGGCACTAGGTCCTGCAGGGAAGCCCAAGTTCTCAGCAATATCGCTTCCACCATGGACATGGCGTTGAAGAAGCCAAAGCCTATCATCAACGGGAAGCCTGCGACGGAAGACTCTCTGGCCGCAGCCCGGCGGGCGGCATTGAGATGGGCAGATCAAGCTATCGCCACCAGTGATGCTGTCAAACCTGAGGACCGAGACGAAATCTGCGCTGCAGCTTCTCTGTCTGCAAAGATGACACGAGCGGATCTGCTGGTCGACAATGGCGACAAGGCGATGGCGAAGGAGGCATTTTTGAATTTGTTGCCGATCTTGCGAGAGCATAATCTCCTGCCGTTGATCGAAACTGCAGAGCAGGGATTGAAGAAGGCTAGCAGCTGAACACCTTCAGTACGACTTGATCACGTCAACGGCTGGTGTTGGCGCTTGCGCACGACTTGATCACGTCAACGGCTGGTGTTGGCGCTTGCGCACGACTTATCAAGCGAGATGCCCGTCAACGAGCGAAGTTAGTAACGTTCAGTAACGAGATGTAGCTCAAACCGGCGACCAACTCACCCCACTCGTTCATGGAGCACAACGAAGAAACAGCTTTCCAGGGTTGCCTGACCGTCATGCGCCATTGTGCGTTTTTACGAGTGTTGTGACTGCTTTCTTCAGCGTATTTCCATGACCTCTCATGCAAACGACCATCAATGGCCAGGATGACTTGCAGCCGCCGGAAAAAGTACAGTCACCGCGGCTGAAAGTGCTCAACTTGGAACTCCGGCTACAACCTTGCAAGGTCAAGGAGAGACATATGGATCAGCGACTTGAGATCACGAATTGGTGCTCTAATTCGCCGTGTGGTGGTCGCTCGCAGGGATGACCAATGACGCTTCAGGCAGCGAAACGAATCCAATGTTTCAAAAATCGCCCAACAACATCCACTCTTAGAGGCAGATGCCCATTCGGGCCTGTATTTGCAACTCGATCATGTCAAAAAATCTCCGACCATGGCTGAGGCATTGGCCACAGCTCCATGTAACTATTCGTCCTCAGCCTGGATCTCCTGCAGCTGCCAACATCGCGGCTATCGCGCGCCATATCGATCGAATATGTGCACTCCGCTGCGCCCGTCAGAACGTCCGTCGCTCAAGCGCCGGGCAGATCATTGGCCATGGTTGAAACCTCGGCTGCAGCTCGCCACCGGCTGTGGCATGTTGTCCATGGTAGACAAATACTCTATATGCCTATTGTGGTACGACATTACGACCGGCGGTCACTAAGGAGTCAAAATTGTATAGGCTGGGCTGGTGGGATCAAGAGCCTGGATTTTAACCCGAACAATGAGCGTGCGGAAGGCGTTCAGGATGAGCTATCTCTTACGCAAGAGCGGAAGGTACGGAGTTGATGTAGTTCATCCCGAGGACCAGATAACGAAGTAGGGTCGGTTGATAGTCGTACACCATGCCAAGCTTCCGTTGGTATCCGTCCGTCTTGATTTCCTAGTAACTCTAATTTGCCCGGCTATTCTTCTCAGGCGTTAGATCGGCAAAGATTGTTCTCCGAGAGAAGAGCATTTACGAACACTTTTCCAGCCTCGCAAGTGAGTTTGCAAGGCTGGCCAATCAACGACACGGTACAAACTTCGAAAACTAGGTAGACATCGACTTTCCCCGTCTGCTTTCGCGACAACCTCTCAAAAGTTAGAGATCAACAAACCTTTGCGGATTATTCGCCCAGTCGTGTGTGCCATGCATTGTGCATGTCATGCAAGATCATACGCTGGAGACCGCAGCGCCCAATGTCTGCTAAAATGGTTTATTCGCCTGCTAGGCTAGGGTGATGTAGCTCGAGCAACGCCAGCATCTATGCCTCTGGAGAACCCAACCTACGGAAATCTCTGCGAGTGTGGATAATACCGTGGCCTTCAATGACTGACGAGCTTTCTGGAACCACAGTCAAGAGACTGTCTAGCAGCCTGGCCGTGGCCAACTTCAGCGCGTAAGACCTACTAAGCGCTGGCCCAATAACCGTCATGTCTCAGATATGGACAGCACCCCAACGACCTCCCTCCCCGAAAACCTTGCAGACTCTGGCTGATATAAGGATGGAAAGGTCTTCAAAACTATGTAATGATGGTGATGGAAGCACCATCAGCTATCCGTTTTCTTTCACGCTTGCTAATGCTAATGCCCAAAGGCTAGAAATTCCCGTTCATCTGCCCGTTAGCCGTCAGTTAGACGGCTCTACGACTCGGGGTCAGGATTGTGGAGAACCAAATGGGTCGAATTGACAATGTCGTTGTGTCTAAGTGGCTGCTGCGGCAACAAAGCAACAGCGCTGGAACAAGTGCATCCAGCCAGCTGATGTGGAATTCAGTTTGGCTTTCCACGCTGACGCTTGGGGCGACCTGTGCGGTCTTTGCCATGGCGACTGTGGCGCTTTTGGTACTCTGGCATCTGAACGGGCAGTATGATGGCTTTGCTTTGCTCACTTCAAATCATTACTCCTGGACATATGGGCCGACTGCAATACTCGTCCTGATCGTTGCAATTTGGAGGCAGATTGACCAATACTGCAAGGTTCTTACACCATGGACGACGCTGCGAAGAGAAAACGCTCAAGCCGACGACAGTGTTTCCCTCGATTATGTTTCGCCGCTTCAAGTCCTCAGTCTGTGGAGTTCCTTCAAAAACGGGCATTATGTCGTATCCATTACAGTCCTCTCCTTCCTATTGTTGAAGCTTATCACGCTGGCATCCACGGGCTTGTTCTTCACCGACCAAAGGGTATTGACGGCTTCCGACGTGGCCTTCACAACTACAACAGACTTTGACGGCTCTGCGTTCAATGCGACTTCATATCTAGGCGTCGCAAATCCTTCTTATTTCTACACCGCTTACGCTGATATGGTCAAGGGTCTCGCAGACATCGAGGGAACTCAAGGACACCTCGTCTACCAGGTTATATCTCCACCACCAAGCGCGGTCTCGCTCAATGCTACCATGACAGCCATTGTCGATGTCTTCGTGCCTTCGTTCAATTGCGGCAAGGCTGTCGTGTCTGCCAATCTTCAGCCCGCGAACTCGACGGATCAGGATCCTGAAGACACATTGAACTTGCATTCTCCAGCGTGCGAGCTTCTCGCAGGAGCATTACCCATTTACGCTCTGAATCCGGCATTGTACGAATGTCCTAAGCGGCAGTTGAGTGGTCTGATGCAACGAGTAGATTGTTCCGGTCGAAATTCCACGACATTGTCTGGCAATTGGCAGCTATTGACAATGACGGATATGCGCTATGAGCAGACCGTTGCCAAAGCACCCGAGGACACATTAGATGGAGATTTTGAAGCAAGCACATGGTCCACCAGTATTGCAAACATTACAGCCATCGTCTGTCGCCCGAGTTACGCAATTGTAAGGCAGAGCCTCACGTATGATCTGTCCGAAAGTCCTCCAACGATCACGGTTGGCGACATCAATGACCCGAGACCCCGAAGTCTGGACGGTTTCCGCGACGAAGACCTCGCCCAGCTGTTCAGCTCAGCTTATGTGGATGCCGCCCTCATGTTTGGCAACAAAGCCGATCAGCCAACAGCCGAGGAATACCCAGACACTTTGTTCCAGACCATGGCTCAAGTTAGTGGTGGCAATTACGAAGCCCTGCTAGACCAGGACATTATGATCCGAGCTGCAGAGAAAGTGTTTGGTCATGTCGCGGCCCAGATCGCCGCCGAAGTTCTGGTGCAAAGCCGAACCCGCTCTGTGGCTGGTGAAATGTCATTCCCAGAGGAGCGATTGTATATGAGGCCATTCGCGGTCTGGATGTTAGCCGGCGGCTTCAGCATCCTCATCATATTATCGCTCTTCGTTTTCTTCGGCCGGCCCATCAAAATCGTGTCCCGCGACCCGGATCACGTCACCAGCATGGCATGGTTACTCTCACGGAGCCCTGCTTTCGAGAACCTGCTGATGTCTTGTTTATCCCATGGTCAGCCCTCTCTTGATCGGATGCTGCAGGAGTACGAATATTCCGGCGCTCTCAACGCTGATGGTATCTTGGTTAGCAGGGTTGTGGTGCAAGCACAACCCATCGATGCCACGACTAAGAGAAGCACAGAATCAACCAACGACTGGTGGAGGCCATTGTTCCTTCAGCTTCCCATGGTCATCCTATCATTGGTGCTTCCGTGCATTCTGATTGCCATTCTCGAGGTACTTCATCGACTATCAAGCAGAGCGGGCGGGATCGCGATTCTGGCTGGCTCTGGCAGTCTTTCAACGGCACTATCTACAAGATTTATGCCTGCCTTGACGCTACTCCTGGTCGCAACGTCCTTCAATGCGTTGGACTTCAACATCGCTGTGCTTGCTCCATATCACGCGCTGAAAACTAGAAGCAAGGGTACGAAGTCATCTAATTGCGGTCCATTGCTTGGTAAAATTCCAGTCGCTGCGCTCTGGACAGCATTGAGAAATCGATATAATAGCGCCTTCTTATCTGGACTTGCCGCCCTACTCGGTAGCTTGCTCACGATCGTTGGCTCCGGTCTTCTTACCGTCGAAGAAGTTGCGATGTCCGCGGCTGCTGGCTCGTCATTCCGAATGCTTGACAGTTTCGACCAGACTTGGACTAACAGCGTCTTGAACGACAACGGAGCGGCAGTAGTCAGCAGCTTAATTGAGGCAGCAAACTTGAGCTATCCACCCAATACTTATGAAGATGTTGCTTTTCCCCGGCTTCAACTATCCGACGGATATTCTGGGAGTGTCGCAAACACCACGCTGCTGAATACTAATATACCTGCACTACGGGCCTCGCTCCGGTGCGAGAGTCTGAACAGTACTCAGTACAATGTGACTGCTTCTTTCAATTCCCACATCCTTTCTTCCAGCATCTTTGTGCAAGCGGCCTACAGTCTTCCTCCGCATTGTCTGCTTGGCGGCCCTGGTGGGAACCTCTCAACATTAAAATTCGAATATTCGTTTCAGCTGCCCAGCTCTACGAATGCAAGCTTCATGGCCAAGATGCTTGACCTGCATGTCGGACCGTTCTCCGGGCCATTCGCAGACAGCTCAGATGAGATCTCCCCATACACCCAGCCAGACAACCCTGTCGGCTGTCCCTCGCTAGGATTCATCTACGGCTTCGCGAATGTCAACAATATTGGTCGAAACACCATCGCTACGATGGTGTGCTATCAGGTCCTGGAAGAACTGCAAGTAAACACTACGTTGGCAACGAGAGATCTCACCGTCCCAACGTCCAACCCTCCAATTGTTGGACCAGATCCCTTTGATGACCCACTTTTAACGTCGACAGAAGCACGCAATATTACGAAGAACGCCCTTTCCTATCGGATCCAAGTCCATACGGACCAATCGCTCTCACTATTCAACCAAACGCAATACTCGTCCAGTAGCATTGTTGGGCCCGCCATTGTCGACAACTTCTTCCAAGCGGTGTTTTTCGGTCGAACGCCGCTACCACAGGACGCGATGAGAGACTCATCCGCCATGAGCAGGCAAAGCGTCCGCACGGCAATACAGGCATTCTATCGCAGGTACATGGCGCAGGCAATATCGGCGAACATGCGGGTAAGCTTGGCTCCGTCGACGGCAGCAGCATCAGCATCGCCGAACGACTTGCGGGCTACAGTGCTCAACATCCGCACGCCTGTGTTACGTCAGAATGAACTGTCCAAGATCATCCTCCAGGTTCTTCTGGGTATCATGTTCTTGTGTGGGTTGACTGCGGTACTGCTTAACCCAATCAAGAACGTGGTGCCGTATAACCCATGTACGATCGCGGGATCGGCTGCACTGCTGGCCGGAAGTCGACTCGTGAGGGAGGCCGCTAAGGAATATGAGACCTTATCAGTGAAAGACTCGGAGGATTTAAGGCTCAGATTAGGGTGGTGGGAGAGTGACGATGATGTGGTTGCAGATGGAGATAGTGGCCAAGAGGCTTGCGGTAGAAGGTACGGGATTGATGAGTTGAACAAAATCGGGTAATGTTTGCGTGTGATTTGTCCTTAGATGTGTACTGTGTAATGTGGTGGAACTACAAAGCTATGTACTTAACTTATCCCAAGTACAACTCTATCTTTAGCACGAAAGAGAATTCAGTATCAGCTGTATCTAAGTAGCCTGAGACGGTCCATACAACTGGCTGCATTGAAGGCGGAAGACTATCCACACAAGACGAAAACATTTCGGAATGGCATAAAGGTTATAACGTTGCTGCATTGTTTTGCTCATGACATTTCTTGTATAGGTTCATTTCGTTCGTAGCTCCCGCGTGCCCACAGCATATATGTCGTTCGATGCCCGGGTGCAACTGAGAGATTCCCACTATCCCTAATCCAGAGCTGGACTCCCAAATTGAATGTTTCTCCAGCGACTGACTCGTCCGGGAATAATGTACAAGAAATATTTTCCATCAAAAGTATCCGACACCTGGACTGTAACCCTTGTGCCTGTTTCAAGAATATGCCGCACCAACAGGTGAGGAGATGGAATTGCCCTTGACAAGAATGCCATCAGCACACATGAAGTACGCGTATCTTTCGACTGCGGGCTGGGAATCGAGCCAAGAAACTGCTTCCTGCAAAAAGTTGGCGACGTCGCTGTCGGATCCAGTGGCACCAAACTCTGTCAGCCAAACCTTGCCAACACCGTTTTTCGCAGCTGTGTCGATTACGTCCTGGACATGGCTCTTGAAGTAATCAAGGTTGTTTGCAGAATCGTACCAATGGAAAGCGACGAAGTCGACCTTGCAGTTCCCCTTGCACTCGCTGAACCACTGGTTCAGCCAGTCGATACCCATGAGCGGGCTGCTACCGGCACCATTGGTGACAGCAGGAGAGCCAATCTGCACCTGGCCGGCGAGCGGATTCATGTTCTCAATGTGAAGCTTGGCTGCAGTGGCAGGGTCGACGTTGGCTTGGGAGGCGAGATCCGGCTCGTTCAAAGACAAGGCATGCTTGGATCCGCTGGAAATAGCAGCGGCGGCCGCATTTGCCCATCCGGATACCGAGCTGGGACCCCAGAACATGGGAACATACTCGGCCCCAGAGACGATTGAACCGTCTGGTGACGCACCCCAATTATATGCCCAGCTGATACCCTTGCCAGCGAAGGCGTTAGTCAGAGAGGCGGTGTTGTAGGAGAGACCCTTCTTGCCGCCAGTCGACCCACCGGTGCTTGGGGAAGAGCTAGGGGTCGAGGATGGTGACCCAGAAGAGGCACTAAGAGCTGCGCTGGAGGATGGAGCACTGCTGGGGATGGTTGCAAACGTAGTTGGGATGACCGAAGATGCACCGCCGCCGTAAGACGGCACAGCCGCAGAAGCGCTGCCACCACTGGCTGGAACCGAGCTCTGCTTGCCAGGATGGGGGAAGAACTCCCCAGCTGCGGGAGCACCGGCAGAGATGCTGTCTGAGGCGGAAGCAAGGCTAGTGGGACCACTGGTCGTCGAAGATGAGGCGGAGGTCATGCTTCCAGGAGCTTGAAAAAATTCGCCTGCGCCGCCGCTAGGAGCGAGTGAGCTGGGGCCAGAGGAAGCGCCTGGACCACCCGTGGGAGCAACGTCCAAGGCTGAGTCTCCTAACCCGGCAGTGACGGTGACGTACTGGATGGATGTAGAGGTGATAGTCGAGGTCAAGACAGAGCAGGAATTATCGCCTGAGCCTGGTACAGGGGCCGGGGCTGGTGCCGGCGAGCCCGCTGGAGAGTCTCCCGCCGGTGCAACCTCGGTGTTGGAAGGGATGGCAATTGCGGTGGGCACGCTTGAGACGTCCTTGCCAGTATCTGGGGAGGAGGAGTCGATAGGAACAGGGACGACAGTGACTGTCATAGCAGCAGTAGCTGTGGGTAGGACCGAGGTAGCTTCGACAGATGACGGTGACTCAATGGGGGATCCGCCAAAATCTGTGCCATTGTTTGGTGCCGTGCCATTGGTGATGGGATAGGTAGCACCAGTAGGCATCGCCAGACCGTTACCGGTACCGGTGCCAAGGTGGAAGCGATTGTGTCTCTTGTGGTTAGGGTGGGCCAGAACGGATGTGGCAAGGCCGACGACGAAAAGGAGTTTGGCAACCATGTTGGGAACGGGATTGTCGATGGGGATAGACTCTGACAATTGCTTCTTGCAGAATGGGGTAGGTGTATATGGGATGTGTAAGCCCGCCGGGGGTATTTGGTATCAGGCTTCAATCAATGAAGGACCTGGTTGGCTCAAAGAGTGACCTGGAGCGTAGCTCTGCTCTTTGCGAATGAGAGGACGAAGGACTAGCCTTGTTGAAGGAAAGACGAAGTGCAGTGTGTCGCACAAACGTGTCAGCGAGCTCAGCAAGAAGGCGGAAAGCTGGTGAAAACCAAAAAGAAGGGGATGCAAATGAAACGACAAGAACCTCAGAGTTATAACTCTGCCAGCAGAGCCGGTGGTTGAGAAGCTCCATCGAGGGGCAAGGAGCCACGAGTTCTGATCATGATAGCAAAATGGGTTGGCACGTTTCATCGTGGTCTCTTGTGTGATGGTGATCCAGGTAGATCCCGGTCCAGGTCGGGGTGGGGTTTCTGTAAGAGGGCTGTCATTTCAAGCCCACCGCCGGCCAAAGGCTCTCCAGTAACAGGTGTACACAGTAATGAAAGCGTTTCCATACCGGACTCTGACCGGACCTGGGCAAACTTGGCCATCCTTGGTGCTGGTTCGGCCTGAGACTGGGTGAGGAGGCCCAAGAGGAGGGCCAAAAAGGAGACAGCCGAGTGATAGGCGTGGATCGCGCCCAACTCGGATGTGGATTCTAAACGAGGCTAGCCTGGCACCTTGTGCACCCAAAGCCAGTCAGCATCCAGAGTGGCAAAGACTGGGGTCTGAAACAGCGAGCTTGGGGCGGCAATGCAGGGGAACGTCCACAAACAGCAGTCCGAGCGGCCAGCCACGCCGTTGATTCTCAAGATAAGCGTTAGCTTGGCCACGCTAATGTCGTGAAAACACGCCCCGGGCTGCGTACCTTGCAGAATCTAAAGCCTAGTCCTAGAGGGTCAGAGAGGCTGCCATCTGGGTGGGAATTCTTTGGGAGAGAGTTTCGGCCCGACATTAAGGATCACACAATTAAGACGTCCGGAAAGCATCTTTTGCCATGCGTGGTATCGATGTCGTCAAGCCGAAAAGTGTAGAAGCGAAGGTCGAGAATCAGAGGGCCATGCACGTGGCTACGAAAAACAGCTGTAGCCCGCAGGCGACGTGGCACGCCTGGCCGCTTAACTTGACTCGCTCTTTCCACACCAAAGCGACACGTCACCTGCAGCCACCCCGAAGGAGCGTGTAAGTGTCAGGAGCCGTTGAAGACCAGGTGAGCAACAGATGACGTGCGGGTCAGGAGGCAGCATGGAAGCAATTGCTGGGATTTGTACGGAGTACTGTGTACTACTGTGTATATCATCCTCGCCATCTCCACTGAATCACTCTTCAACCACCAAGCCACCATCTCGTCGCCGTTGTCCTGAAAACACGACTCCGGCGATCCGCAGCACGTCAGAAATTTTATCCCAATGGAGTCCAAAGGGCATCCATTCGCTTACGTAGCCATATCAAGCCGTGTTTATCCTTGAGAGGTTGAACCTCGTGGTCTCCTAATTTCGCATGTTCGATTCATGCATGTCATGCAGAAGCGAAGCATGGAATCGGCGGACGAGGCTTTCCTTGGAGCCAGCTCCAGGAGGCATACGGAGTAAATGCATATGGATATCTAACTAGGACTTCCTGTCGTGACCTTGCATCGCCGCCATCACATCATTAACATTGTCTTTGTCACCCTTGCGTTTCTTTGGCCCACGTTTGCGTCCACTTTTCTTCGATGACCCTTCGCCATCCTCCCACGCAGGCCCATCTTCATCCTCGTCATCTCCGAATCGGCTCTCCCCGAAACCGAGGTCCAGGTCCGCAGCGTCTGCCCGATTCTGCTCTTTCAGCCGCTCCAGCAATTGCTGCTGCTTTGCTGCTCGGGTGGGATCCGAGTCAAGGGCTTGATTACTGGCGGAGTCATCATGCCTTTGCAGGCCCGCTGCTCGTTTGAGGGCAGAAAGAAGCGTGGGATCTTTCAAGATCGGATTGGTGCGGTCTTCAGCCTCCTCATCTTGATTGCTTGTCGCGAAGTAATTTCGTGGCTTGCTAGTGCTCGACGAGGGGTCCTTCTCTTTCCTTGCTGCTGGTTCCGACTTGTCGTGGTCCTCGTCCTCGGAATCACTATCGATCCCAGCAAGAGGGTTGTAATCAGAGACTCCCTGGAAGATGTCGTCGTCTTCATCTTCGGCTTCGTCTCGGGTCGTCAGTGCTTGTTGTCTTGCGACAAATTCAGCCGGCACTTCCATGCCAAGAGGTTGCTTCTCTGCGCTGTCTGGAGTGTCCCCCATGTCTATCCATCTAGTCTTCCTCTTCGTCGTGCCATCCTTGTTCGTAATGAGCAAGACTTCCCGACGCCGCCCATTGACCACCTCGGTGAACTTCCGCTTGTTCGGGTTGTCAGAGGCCACCTTTTTGAAGCGGTCACCAAGCGCTGGCTCGGGAGGAGCGCCCTGTTGCTTTTGTGCTCGACTCTCCTTTAGCCTTCGTAAAATCTCATCGCGCGTCGTGGGCTGGTCCACCTCCATGCCGGCATCGTCTTGCTGCTTCCCTAAATTGCGATCCACGGCCTGAACCTCCTTCTCAAGCATATGATCGAGCTCTTCGTCAAGATCCACCTTGGCTTTCTCTTTGTTCTTCTCTGGTTGAGGCGGGCTGTTGAGATCATCTCCGCGTCGGACCCTCTCCAGCAATTTCCAGTCCAGACCTTTGACCAAATGAGTGCTGTTGAGATCTCCCCCAATGCCGATCTCGCTCTTGAGATTTTCAAGCGTAGCTTCATCAATCTGTTGTAGTTTGTACATCTCCTCCAGAGCCTTCAACCGCTTCTGTTTGTCGTCCGTTGTCTCAGCATCGTCTGCACCCTCCCTCCGAGCGAGCGTGCGATCCTCGTAGCCCGATCCCAATTTAGTGCCTTTAGGTGCGCTTGACTTGAGCTTCTTCGTTGGCGGTTGTCCAACATGCTCCTTTCGGTAGTCTGTGACCTGCTGTGCGAACATTTTGGAGGCATTGTAGCCGGCGGTCGACCGAGGCGTCATGGGAATTGATGCGCGGCTTCTGGAACCAAGTGCGGGCTTCTTGAAGCCTGGCGGGGAGGCCGCAGCACCTTGCGCACCTGCATTCTGGTTGCTTTGTAGGAGGTTCCGGAACTGAGAGTTGTCCATTTCGGACCTGGGGCAGACTGTCACTCGAAGGGAACCATAAGACACTCATGGGCGCATCGGGAAGAAGATGAGTTGGGCGCAGACATGACATGTGACGCGGGTTGTCGGCGACTTTTTCCATTGGGGGTCGAGGTGCCTGGTCACAGGCAAATAACTTTATCTCCATAGATCACTTTGAACTCATTCTCATAGCTTTTTATGGCATCAGAAACACTGTTCACACCTAGACCCATCGCAATGGGAAAGAAAAGGAAGCGAGTCGAGCGGGTAGAGGCAACAAATGAGCCTGCTCCCAAAAAGCAGAATTCCTCGACCGATCCACCACCTGGAGTACATCATTATCAGTCGGTCGAAGAGGTACCATGGGACATCCAAAAGTAAGAACCCGCATCCCTGATACTCGGATATGCTAATACATCATAGATACTGGAACCAAGGATACTCAATCTTCTCCAAATATGATGATGGGATCTGGATGACCGACGACTCTTGGTACGAAGTTACGCACGAGTCCGTCGCTAAGTACGTCCTCATCTCCAGACTTTGGCATGTGGTTTCTGACTCCCACAAGCACGATTGCACAGCATGTTGCAGAAGCCGTACCGCCGGGCAGACCGATTATCTTCGATGTCATGTGTGGCGTGGGTGGAAACACCATCGCTTTTGCACTCTCGGGGAAATGGAAGAGAGTGTATGCAATCGAGAAGGACGAATCAACCCTCAGATGCGCCCAGCACAATGCAGAGATCTACGGCGTGGCTGACCGGATTACTTGGTTGAAAGGCGACTGCTTGAAGCTTCTCGGCCTGGATGGCGGCGAGATGGATGAGCAGGCGAGAAGTTTCAATACCCTGGCAAGCAAGCTGGGTGTTATCTTCGCCAGTCCGCCCTGGGGAGGTCAGTCACTTCGGTATCGACCGAGAACTTCGCTGACATCTTGAGATAGGGCCTGGCTATCGAGACGCGGAAATCTTTGATCTCGAATTAATGCAGCCATATTCCTTCAGCTACTTGTACGAGTCTTTTAAAAAACTATCGCCCAGTGTAGCCCTCTACTTGCCGAGAACAAGCGATCTGAGACAAATCGCAAAGCATGTTGGCGAGGACAAGAAAAATCAAATAGTACATTATTGCACCAGGGGAAGCAGCCGTGCATTATGTGCGTATTTGGGGGACTGGAGTCCGCTCAAGCTGGGAAATCTCTGACGACGTGTTGTCCACCTGTCTGCGTGGTTGCGATAGCGTTTGGCTTATGATACCCTCCTGATGGATTGAATGATATGACTAGAGACATTGTTTGAAGTGAGCACTAGTAGCGGTTGCCCACCTGCGGCGAGGCTGCACAAGGCTGTGCAGCGTGTCATGGTGGCGCCAAATTGCGCTAAAGCGCGAGTCAAGCACCTGCGATTGCTGCCTCCTCCGAACTTGAACCCGATCTGTATCCGACAACTTTCACTTCTTATGAGTTTCACTCCGTCAATACTTCGTTGGACGCGTTAACATCATCGAAGCTCGACCGAACGACTCGAATTCCCAAGTTTACTGCCAGCGTCTGATTGCGATGCGCGGTCAGAGCCACGAACAAGGCAGTCCCGCGGGGTGATCCCAGGCGACCTTTCACCTCCACCTTACTCTTCTTTCCAAGACCGCAGCCATGGCTACCGACGTCTACCAACAGGCTAACGGCCTCGATGATCTCTTCGATAACGACGATGAGGACATGGGAGAACTGGCAGATATGCCCGATATGCCGGATATGTCCGATATGGCAGTGTTGGCAGACGCGACACCCAACACACCTTTTGACCAAAGTTTCAACGTCCCCGCCGAGGGCAACGATGAGTTGAGTGCGCTGTTGAACGAAGGCGGCGGGGAGGGCTTTGATTTAAACGAGCTGAATGATAGAGAACTGGAACAAGGGGAAAAGGCAGATGATGCGGTTGACTACGAAGACATCGGCGATGATGAGTTGCTACCGGACGAAGAACCGGCTCAAGACTCTCGAGGAATACCGACGGACTTGCTGCCTGGCATTGGAGAAAGCGCTCTCGACGGTCTCGATGACGACGATGATCTCTTCGGCCCTTCTAGTCCCATCCTGACAAGCGCTCCTCCACCCGTGACTGCTGCTTCAAAGCCACCCGATAAACCTCTAAGAGATGGAGATCAAGAGTCGGATCTTGCTTCGGACCACGGAGACGATATTACACAAGATCTCTCCATGCTCGAACCGGACCTGGATGAGATTGAAGATGCCCAGTACAGGATTCAGTTGGCACTGTTCGCACAGTCAGGAAAGGGCTTCGCTCCCACGACTGCGCAAGAGAACATCGATGAGTGGCTGAAGCTCGAATTTCCTGACTTCAGGCGCGACGAGGCACCCTATTTCAACAAACTCTTCCCACCTAGACCGTTCAAATGGCAGGGCAAAGCGCCCCTGAAGCCTCCGAGGCAAGTCCGGCCCACCAAAGTCAACTTGGAAATCGAGCAGGATCAGAAAGTGGCCTTCAATTCAGTAGTGCCAAGCTCTGCACCCGAAGTTGCAACCGACTTTGTGAGGACACGGGAGCAAGCGGCTGTGCAGGAAGTAGCGGAGTCTTCGGACGAATCCGATCCAGACGAACCCCTGCCGAGCGGCCTCTCCACGCAAGACCTAGAGTTTATGTGCACCGACTTTGATACATTGTCCCATCTGGCACTCTCGGAAGACGAAGTGGTTGAGATCAGACCACGAATCGTCGAACATGATGAAGATATGTTTGGTTTCGACGAGTTCAATGACTTCGAACAGCCCCGTAAGAAGCGCCGACTCGGGTTAGATCCTCAAGACATTGTCACAATTCATCAAATCGATGTTCCGTCCCTTGATGACCCTGAGAAACTTACGCAGAGACTCGCTGCCAAGGTTGTGCTGGATTTGAATGACACGGGTCTGCTGGTCGAAGAAGTTGATCTTGAAGCCGCTCGGGCCAAGGCTCGTCCGGGCGACAAGACGACTACTGTCAAGACTCTGAAGGACCGCCTACAACAGCGCTTCAAGACCTCAAACGATGCTGAATATGACCTTCTTAAGCAGAATCATCAACACAAAGTCCGAGGCCAGCTCACAAACTTGGCCATTGAGCACTCGCTGCCTGCGATCCGTCTGCAGTATCCGTATTTCCAGGTGCGCCTGTCGTTGCAAGACCTACGCAATTTTCACCGCAAAAGAATGCATTTCAGACACCCCATCACGTTCCGTCAACCTGTCAAAATCAAGAGGAAGCATCAAAAGAATCGATCGGCGAAGGAACTTTATCCAACAACGAAAGAAATCTCCCTGGCCGATAACTCCTCGACGATACTGCTGGAATACTCAGAAGAACATCCTCTGATGATGTCCCAAGCTGGAATGGGCAATAAAATCATCAACTACTATCGCAAGAAGTCAAAAGACGACAATTTCCGGCCCAAGCATGACGTCGGCGAGACTTCAGTATTGTTGCCCGAAGACAAATCTCCATTCCACATCTTCGGCCATATTGATCCCGGCGAGACCATGACTGCTCTCTATAACTCAATGTACAGAGCACCAATCTTTTCACAAGATCCCAACCCCACAGATTTCTTGGTGATTAGAGAGAGCACCGGCGTTCACGGTCAGACTCACTATCTGCGTAACCTGGAGAATGTTTACGTCGTTGGGCAGGAACTTCCGTCGGTTACCATTCCGGGGACACACTCTCGTATGGTGACCACCGCCGCCAAGAACCGTCTCAAAGCCATCTCATACCGCATTGCTCGTAAAAAGAAGAGCCAACGGATTCGTGTGGAGGAGGTTACCAAGCATTTCCCCGATACTACAGACATGCAGAATCGGCAGAAAATGAAAGAGTTCATGGTCTTCAACAAGGAACACAAGGAGTGGGAGATGCGAGCGGGTGATAAAATACCTACTGAAGATCAAATCCAAGCCTTGATTCGACCGGAGGACATCTGTCTGTTAGAGTCGATGCAAGTTGGTGCCCAATACCTCCAAGACGCTGGCTACGCCGACGTCGATGACGAAGACGATACCAAAGAGAATGAGGCCGATAGTATCGAGCAACAACTTGCACCATGGAGAACAACGAAGAACTTCATGCAGGCCACCCAAGGCAAAGCTATGCTGAAGTTGTTCGGTGAAGGCGATCCATCAGGCCGTGGGGAGGCGTTCTCGTTCATCAAGACCAGTATGAAGGGAGGGTTTAGGCCGATTGGCGGCTCTGCTATGGATGCAATCGCTCTGAAGAAGGAACTGGGCGGCCACAGCTACAACGTTGCCCGCCAGCAGAAATCATATGAAGAGTCTATCCGCGGCATTTGGGACAAGCAAAAGGCGAGCCTTGGCTCGAGGATTGAGCCGTCGGATTTGGATATGGATGGCGACGTCGACGCACAAGAAGACCAGCATGTCAATGGTCGATCAAACATCAGACCCACTTCAATATCCGGAACACAGACACCGTCCATGTCGCGGCGTGGTCGCGACGACGAGACGGCCACCTCGTTCAGCAGACGCAGCGTGGGTAGTCAGACCCAGAAAGTGCTACGGATTGTTCGTCAAGTCAAGACGAAGGATGGTGAAACAGTCGAGCAAGAGTACATTGAGACTGACCCTGCCGTCATCAAAAAGTACTTGAAGATCAAGGAAGCGGAAGAGATTGAAAATACAAGGTTTGCTCGCGCCGGTCTGTTCTCCTTCGCATGCTTACATTGCACTAGTATCATGGACATCGCGCCGACAGGTGATGCAGAGCAGGATGCTCGTAACCGAAAACGGCAAGAAGCACTCTTACCACGACAACACCTTCCGCGCCTGCTAACACTTCAGCAGAATCGAAGAAGCCCTGGCGCAACTCGAGAAGAACAAGGCCCGCCGCCAAAAGCGAAACAAGAACAAAGAAGCCGCCCTAGGAGGTACCACTTCCCCAGGGGGCACCGCGATGTCTCCCGACGCCGACGGCTCCTTCACCGGTGGTGGAAAGAACACACAACCTACCCAGAGGAAGTGTGCAAATTGCGGCCAGGTGGGGCATATCAAGACCAACAAAAAGTCAGTCAAGCCCAACGCATTGTGCAAACATTGTGATCTCCCCTTTGACCGCAAAATCGGATCCGTGTTGGTACATACGCCTGATTTCTCGAGTCGATGAGGCGTAATTTGCCCTTCATCCCGTGGTTCGAGAAGCTTGTCGGCAACCTCAACATCATGTACTGCCGAGGAACCCCTTATTCTTGAACAGATTGCTGTCCGACTCGAAGACAAGTGTCCGAGTGATCACTGCTTCTGCATGCGAGCACATCCCGTGGCTCGTTGTGCAGAAGCAATAATGGTGGTGCAAAGAACCATCACAGCCATTACAGTCTGTCCGCTAATGCCGCAGCCTCCTGATACCCCTACCGCCATGCCTAGCATTTATGTGTGCTCCTAAAGTTACTGACCAGATTGCTGACAACGTCTCTTGAAGATTATGTCCTCTCCTCAACGGCACAATCAAGCAGGAGGACGCTTTCAACAACGCTGCCTTTATGAACGCCCCACCTGGGCACTGATCAGAACAGGACACGTCTGGTCCTGGAAAACAGTTTGGGGCGGCAGGATGCTCTAGCTTGAAGGGATGTGAGACTCGCACGGTTGAGTTCTCGAGAATATTTCCAGCACGGGTGGCGAGTGCATCTAGGAATGAGGACTGGCATTGGTCTTTTGGCATCAGCATCGGCGGAAGATTGCATCGCATCATGCATACATACGGCCGGGACACTTGTGTTGCATAGCGTGGTCTCATAAAAGCAAAAGCATCTTGCATGATCAACTCGAATCCAGCATCGGAGCTAGCTAGTTACTGCGGCCGTCTTTCAGCCCGAGAGACAGTACGGCAGTGTGCGTCATGCCACTTGTATCGATACCATCATCCCGGTTTGAATACATTCCACCTGCGTGCAGTCTCATTCTCTAGCCTTGTCCAGGTCGAAAGTACAGTCCTGTCAAAAATCATCGGCACTGTCCCCCTTCCAAGGTTGTCTTCACGACGTGAGCGGAAAATCTGAACAATCGTTATGATTCGTTAGACCTCGTCACGGGTTTCTATCCGTCCCGAGCCCGCACCAAGTCCTTCTGTCCTATACAATACAAGTACATATGCGGAAAAAGTCGTAATCCAAGCCGCAATTCAGGCTAATCTTCCCTCACTGTCTTTGTATCTGTCCTTCGGTCCTTGTCTGTATCATGAGCCAGTCAGGCAGCGGTGAGATCAGACCGAGTATAGTGCATGGTGATAAAAAATCCGGGGGTCCAGTAAAAAGAAGACTGATCCGTGATTCTGTTCTACGACAGTCGTAACTGCCAAGGCCGCAGTGGTGAAATGCCCGGCCTTTAGCCTTTGTAGCAACTTGTTTCTGACGCGCCCTTTTCTCAGGGGCGTTTGGTGCTCGCTTCAGTGGACCCGTTGAGACTTTCCACAGGCCAACCTGGACATTTTGGGCGGGCTCGGCTAATGGGACAGTCCTCCCTTCACGAAAGGAGAGCTTTTCCCTAGATCGTGCGCGACCTTCTGCAACTCTGCGGGTCAATTTCTGTCAAACGGAGGCACTCGAGCTCGGGCGGTCTGAGCACTGATCGGCTCGGAGTCACAACCGGATGTGGCCCGGTTTTGCTGTCCGACACAAATCTGGGCGGGTACTCGGGATGGCCTTGCCATGCGATATAGTGTATAATGGTCAGAGCTCCCTGAAGCTTCCTTGGACGGGCTTTCTGCCTATTTGCAGGAAACTTGGAGGTCGGTTGTCACGTGGCGATGGATCAGACGGTGGATATGGGGCTTGAGGCTGGGCTGTCGGGCCAGGATTATACGGAGTGGGCATGCTGATTCTGTTCGACTCCGACATGTAGTCTTGATGTGATGGCTCGTACTGTGTGCTGCTTGGAGCGTAAGAACCTTGATAGCTGGACTGGCTCTGTGGTGGATACTGTTGACCATGATTATAGGCCTTAGGGGTGGTCATGGCTGCAGCGTTACCGCCGAACTGGTGGCCAACCAGGGATGGGAGACTGGAGTTTGATCGATAAGTAGGAGGCGGGCTCAGAGGGACGGCCTGGAAGTCGTGGTTTTCGTTATGGCTGAGTAATCGTTGGTCGCCCAGGTCCGAGTTGTAAGCGTGGTTCATGCCCGAGTCGTTGTGGAAATATTCTGGCTGGGCCGGATTCGGTGATACCGGAGCGTTAGGGACTCTGTTATAGCCTCCTCTCATCCATTGCGGCTGCGAGTCTAGCCGGCCCATTTCGAGGTCGCCGTTCTTGGCCTCGGGTGGTGCACTGGTGTCCTCGACTCGCCTCTTCACGGCAGTATCCCAGCTTGGCATAGGCGGGAGACTGTCTTCGTTGACCACTTTCTTGCTGCTCGGGTCGTCGAAGGTCGCAAACTGTGGGGCATTGGCATTCCCAACGCCTCCGTAGGCCATCGGGCTCGGGGCTGGTTGGTACCCCTGGTAGGGGGTAGGAGGCATGCGACTGTAGTCGTCTGTGTATTTCGAAGGACGGTCCCGACTTCGACCTCCTCCCTTGCAGCAGCTTCCACAGCAGGTAAAGCAGCTGACACAGCAGGAACACAGCTCGACGCCGCAGCAGATGCATCGAGCAACACAGTAGAGGACCGAGAAGAGGATTAGACAACCGACGACGATTGCGACAATAACAGGCCATCTTGAGACAGTCAGCGCATTTCTCATGCGGTCGAGTGTTTAGTCACATACTTGCAGTAGGTCTTGTCCATGCACTTGTCCCAGCTAGATAATGTGTCTTTGGCGTCGGACACTACGTCGCGACCGTACAGGTAGGATGCCATGTCGAGCGGAGGGAAGGTGGGATATCGTAGGTGGTGAGCGAAGGTCGTTAATGTCAAGGTATGCGTGTTCGTCTGCGCGAAAGATGTTCAACCGTGTAATATTCTAAAACAGCCTATTTGCGAGTCACCTAGACCAGCTGGTGGACAGTGCTGTGGCGATGAATGAATGCGATTATTGACAACGCGGCATGACAACAGACGTGGTGTGCAAGTTTCGAACGAGAGTGAAAGCACCGCGCATGTAGAGCAAGACGTGTGAACGAGAGGACACGAAGACAAAGAAGAGACTCGCCGGAGTCCTGCGCTATGAAAAGAATCCGAATTGAGCATGAGATGAGGGACGAGGCACGTTTACGGAGTACTCGTAACCAGGAGGCGGAGCAAGGTCCCCAGGGCGAGTTCGCGGCTGGGGGGCAGGGTCACCCCTGAGGCCAATCACACCTCTCAGGCGTCGCTTAGGCGGGCACTTGCAGCCGATCGCACTCCTGAGATGCATCTCCAGGCCAGCTGAAACACGCCGCCACCCATCCGAACCAGCCACCAAACAGGGATCCATATCCGCGGTGTGAGGCTGCAAGAATGCTAGTGCTTGATATGGTCGCGATATATACACACCCAGTGCGAGTACATTATCCTCTTCTGGCTGCTCGCATGAACTTGTTTGAGGTATTTCTCAATGCTTCCATTCCGCCATTTCGCTTGGGGGTGTTTTGTCCTTAGCTCGGTAGATCGATATCGAACAGAGCAAACCGAGCAACGAATAGATATTCGTGATAGAAATACGCTGGGTTGAGGATGTGTTGTAGTGCGAATTAGTTGCGTACTCGTGACAATAGATACATGCATTGCGGCTTTTCTTGCGCCATATCTCCAAAACCTCACCAAAACCAGAACGGTCACCGTCGTTATCGTACAGCCGTCCCAACCATACATTCGCCCTCGAACATTCGTCAAATTCACTTATCACAACAGGGGACATATTGCTATCTCCCTGCACTCAACCTGATCATCTCTTTGCCGGAGGAGGCCCTTCTGGAGCCGAATAAACTGGTGAGCCACCGCCAGCGTAGGTATTTTGCGGAGGTTGCATCTCATGCTCTGTCTGTCTTCCACCGAAATATCCTTGGTTTTGGCCGTAGTAGCCTCCCGCATTCTGCTGGTTGTATGCCGGAGGTGGTTGGTAGGATTGTTGCGTCTGTTGGTAGTTCGGGTTGTATTGAGGAGCATTGTGGCCGAAAGGAGTCCGTCCAGCCCAACCTGTACCGTACAATGGCTGTCTACCAAGGCGACGTCGCTTGCGAGAGCTGAAGAAGCTGCATTCCGCGTCAGTGTCACGCTGTCGTCTGTCGTTGCCACAAGACTCACCTGAAGAGGAAGAAGATCAGGAATGCGCCGAAGACGATTATGCCGAGGGCAACCCATCTGCCCCAATCGTACCAAGCACTGTTACACCGATACGCGCGATTACCATCGTAGCATCTGGCCATGGCAAAAGAGAAGTTAGTAGGAATGAACTCTGACTCGCTGTGACTTGCAATGAAGAAAATCGAAGGGTAAGGATATTATATAGAGGATCGAGGGGACTCACACGTTGCCGCCGTAGTACTGCCTTGCGACAAGCGTGGGACTCATGACTGCTCGGTGTTGTGTTTGCGTATTCGGCAGCTACGCCTCGAAGGGTGACAGGAAGAAGGTGATGTCAATAAGCGGAAGGTGCCTTCTCTCGCCGCGGTGGTTGGCCGGTGAGGCTCAGTGTTATACAAATCAATAACGAGGCTCAGACGGAATTGAGAACAGAAGTTTGCAGTTAAGCTGTTGATGATGAGATCGCGGGTGACAGAATCAAGATAGATATCGCAAGAAAGAAGGCAACGAGGGAAAGCATGATGCTTTGCAAGTAGGCGCAGCCAACACAATCAACGACGCCATCATGCCGAAGCCTGCAGAAGCATCCCTTTAGTGCCTTGACGGTGGCGCAGTTTCGACTTCATCATTGGCTGATGACGCCTCGAGCGAACTCTCCTAGGTCTGGCTCACAGGCTTCATCTGTGTCCACTCAGCAGTTATTTGGCATCGTATCTGCGCATCGAATCTTGCATGGTGCTCGGAATACGTTCTATACAATGCAATTGTGGCAGCAGCCAGCACTCATGGGGCGCCTCACGACATGATCGTCTTGCTTTGAAGGGAGTAGGGCGGACAATGATAACTATCCATGCACCCAGGCCCGCATGTCCGTCACGGCTTGGCGGCTCCAGCAGCAGAGCTTGGCTACGCGTCATTCCGGGCTGTGGTTCGGTGGCACGGATTTCGCCGTGCCGTGATGGGTGTCAGGCGTCGCCCAGGCGTCGAGCGCGTCCTTTGGTGTCGTGCTCGCCACCTGAGTTGCAGGATCATTTGCTTCTCTTCGCCATAGCCGCTGCAGCTGCCGAAGCATCACGGAATATTCTGTGGCGGGACGCATTCAGATATGGCTTCGGCAATCTTTTGTGCCTAGCCAGATGGACCAACTCGCCCAGCAGTACCCAGCAGAAGATGCCGATGCGTATGCGTATTCGTCCCGTCCTGTAGTCCAACATTGCGCCTGTCGCTCAAGTATTGCTTACTGTCGGTCCACAAAGCCGTGCCGTGATTCCCATAACAATGCTGCCTGACACAGAAATAAATGGCAATGAAGACAGGCGGTTCACTTTGCAGCCCTCGCTACGAGCCAGTGCAGAACCGCTTCTAGATTCGTCTCCTCCTTCGCGCTTATTCCATAGCAACTGACCTCTCGATGCACAATCGACTTCAAGTCCAGCTGGTCAATCAGCTCGTCCACCGACAACTTGTTCGGGAGATCTGACTTGTTGCCGAGAACAAGGAGCGGAATAGCTTCGAGCGTGGGTCGTGACATGAGCGCGTGCAACTCGTCTCGCGCAACGGGTATGGCATCCTTGTCGGCAGCGTCGACGACAAAGACAATGGCGTTGACCCCACGGCAATATCGCTCCCACATTGACCGGAACCTCGGCTGGCCTCCTAGATCCCAGCATTTGATCGAGACATGGCCCTTCTTCACTTCCTTCTTGTTGAACGCAACCGTCGGTACCGTGTCCACGGTGAACTCATTACCCTGTTATCAGCGCATTAGTCTCACAACGACGATTTCGCCAGATTGAGAGCGTGTAACTTACGGCGAGAACGCGCACCAAGCTCGTCTTGCCCGCGTTCTGCAATCCGACTATCGTCACGTCCATCTCGGTTGCCCAAAACATCCATAACAGCCAGTCCCACACCCACGTAAAGAAACCAGCCATGTTGCACGATTCCCAAGGCCAGCTGGCGTCTTCATGGGTTGGGAAATGCTTGTAATGCTGAAAGATGCCAGACGCCCAGTTGTTGATTCGTGTTGTGTCGTTGATCTTCTAATCGACAGGCAAAACCGCTACTCGCAGGAGATCTGAATGAAATGACCTTTGGCTTTTGGGGAAGCTCGAGGCGAGATGCGCCAAAATGCGGGGGGCGACACGTGATATTGTTTCATATGACGTGTATTTTGCCTACTCACGCCCGGATGTTCTTTCCTGGCACCTCCTACGAAACCCTCTCCATGGACACCTGGGCAGCTAGCCACGCGATACCCATCCAACAGCTGAAAACCCACGATGTGAAAGATGCCCTTGCCAGCTTTGAGCATGCAAGTCCTGCGTTAGCCAGCCAACGCCGCCATTGCGAGAATTTCATTTCGAGTTTCAGTTATGTGGTGCGCTATCTGCGGATATGCTACTGTCGTCGCGGCATGGTTGCCCCATCTGACCCGCCTGAGCACCAAGCACTGATCAGACTTTGTACCTGGTTGCATGTTCTTCTTGTCCGTCAGGTCTCTGAATTGGAATAGTCGAGTCTGAAGATACCAGGACTACACGGGCTCGTCCCCGGCTGTCGTTGTGACTACGTCTGCTTGTCCAAGATGCTGAACATGTAGGTCATCTTCATCGATCTGTTTTCAGCCAGGTCGAAGCTCCAGCCATGCGCCATAGATCATATCAGGGAAAGCACAGTGCAGGCCAGCTTGCGACGGACTCTCATAGCATCTCTTTCAAGCTGGGCTCCGTCGAACTCGTCAACACGTGCGTTAAGACAGACAAATCACAGGAAAAGCTGGTGGGGGAGCAGGCCGGCTTGAATGACAGACGGCAGCTGCTGTCCGGGTCTATGTCGATTGGCACCGTGGTCGGATGTCCACCACAGGAAATTGTTTGCAAGGATTTACAGATAAATGGTGCGTTGCTGCGGCATGGATCATCTGAGGCGAAGGAGAAGATACTGTACCACTCAAGCACGAGAGACCCAGATGGATGGACAACGGAAGGCCATAATTCAGACGTGGAAGTCTGAGGAACTGTGTAAGAACACTCCGTACAGTAGTGACTATCTCATGTTTCGTTTCTTCCTCTGGTGCCCAGTAGATGCCCAATCACCATTCCGCTGATGACAAGGGATTCAGCCTCGTCCCACAATCAAGGCCTGCCAAGCATGGGTTAAGAACCCACCACTTCGGCGCTCAGCCTGTTCACTAATCGTTCCGGATCTCCCCTAACAGTGGTCTCATCACCGAATTCATGTCGGACTACACGCAACCACAACAGGGCCTGGTAATATCGCCTCGCCAAACTCTGATTTGTTCCTATACAAGGTAGCTTCCTGTGAAATGCTGGGAAAAGGCAAAGCAACCGCACTTGAGCCACTTCCGTACGAAACAGTTCCGATCCCTGTTTCTCCAATCGGCGTCCAGGCCGGTGAGTGGATTCAGACCTTCTCGAAGCATCTGTTGCCGGGTTTCCATGGTGAAAGCCAAACTCCATGCTTTCACAGAGCAATATGGACTGATTCGCGGTCGCCTGCAGCATCGACGGTGGATACCATGGTGTGACTAGAGGGGTAAGAAAAAGACAAGTCGGTAATTTAGCATCTCTGGGAAGAGGATCATTTCGAGTACCTGTATAAACTCTTTCTGGAAACCGACCTAACCATCTACATCGTGTGCCTGTCGCCGCCCACTAGACATCTAGCTCTTGTATATCCAGAACTAGTCGACCCATGAGGCAAGGATGCATGATACGTACCCCGGTTCACGTCGTGCTTACGCGTACGCGTTTACTCAGCGATGTCGTTAATCAGACATTGCCGTAGCCCGCGGGTAGTCAGCAGAATTCAAGCTTCGCTAAGCTTTCACGCTTGAAAGATACACCGGCGCGGCGAGACGCAGGCTTATGCACGCGCAGCCCGAGCGCTCCGAATGCGTTGGCTGGGCTCTCAACGCGATGGACCTTGCAGAGTTGTCCGGACGCGAGAACCGGAGACTACGCCCCAACCAGTGTAGAGGTCCTATCGATTTCCGATAGGTCATGCGGTTCCCAAATCGGTAGTAAGAGTCAATGTTGAGGTAGGCTCGCTTCACCCAGATGCTAGAGAAGCATTTCTTGACGTACAAACGCAAGCCGAGGTCCGAGTCGAAGTGGGTGTCCGGCCGCGCCCTTGAAGAGAGCAAGGGATCTCTTGCCGTTGGTACTTTGTACGTAGTGAACAAGGTCAGGGTTGACTCAGTCCGCATGTAAGCCATGGTTGATGCGGCACTGCGTGCACGGCATCCCTCCTTTGCCGTAGCCACCATCGAGGCGTTAATGATCCTTCCACCGCAATGGATCGACTTTGTGCACATATTCTACCATTACAGCCAGCTGCGGGCCCGGAATCGGGCTGCTGAGTGCCGCGGTCGATGGCAGGAGGATCGGCAGTTCACTTGAGCTCTTACTTGTACGCGTACAGTGTACACGCTGTATCCGAGACCCTCGGGTCATCTTCCCACAATTAACTGAACGCCTCGCTTAAAACGCCCTTGCCTCCCGCTGGTTGGCTGTTAGCTGATTTTCAAGACTTCGAACCGACAGTGAGAGTTTCAGCAGGCTATTGAAACGTCGGCGAGGAAGACGGGCAAGTCCCTGTGCTGAGCATCTGCGGACGGCTTAACTGCCTCTCTGTACTTGGTGTTTGCGCTTCGAGATTGTGGACTTGTAAGACGTGGCTTAGTCGACTAGCAAGGCTTGCTCCTTGTACAGGTAGGCTGTTGTTGGTTGGTTGGTCATCGCCACGGCTGGACCCCGATCCTGTGGCTCAGACACCATAGCTGTGCTTCCTTCAGTGTAAAGACCATGATGTTTTGCTTGAGCCGTGCCAATCTAAGAAGGCCACGGCGGCATTCGTGAAGCATGAGCCTCGCCAGCATTCATGACGTCCTCGTCATTGTTCGGACCGCGTCCTCAGCGGTCACAGAGGATGAGAAGTGTAGAGCGATACTTTGTCGAGCCTGCGCGTCCTCCACACTGCGACCATGCCCATGATCTGCCCGGGCACTCGATATTCTTCTGTGGCCAGATAGGACCCTCAATGTGACGTCGATGGCTGCTTAGCGAAGTTGACGCAGGTGCTACAGAACGATGCAATCAGCGTCAAGGTCACCGACTCCACACCTCGGGGCTCGCTGCATCGAGAAGGTAGTCAAGCCTCAGGACGCTCCATCAAGCCAGTATTTCCAGGAGGCTAACGAGTACTGCCCTCGGTGAGTCGGAAAAGGGAACTGGCGGAGAGGATGCTCGCTTCGCCAATGCGACGTTTAGCGGTCTCTCTAGGCTCGTATGAGGTGGGAAGAACTGCCCAATGCAGACGGGCTCCAGGCCCCAGGCGACGAAGCTCCCAACAACATGTAGCTCCCTGCCACAGGGTCACGCTCCAGCATACCGACCAGATGCAATGACTAAGAAACTCGAACGAGGCGGCGGCTGACAAAGACACCGGTGCATCGCTACTGGCGCGGTCGAGCAAATGGGTTGGGAGTCGATAAATCAGCAGCTAGGGCTAAAGCCGAGTACAGCGCCTTCGTGCTTGGAGTCCAGATTCGCTTCAACGTCCCACGCCCAGTCTAGGCGGAAATGGGGGTGGAGTGTATGGGAGCCCCGGGAAGTGCAGTGGCTGATTGGCTGACAATGCCAACCGGCGGCCTCGTATGATACGAGACCAGCAGAGGAACAATCGCTTCTGGACGCGTTCGGCATGTACAAATTTGCGGATGATTTTCTGCTCGAAGATGGAGAAGGGGACTCGTTCCCCAGCCAATCAGCGAAATTCGTATCTTCTCAAAAAAGGGTATAGTGTGCTGCGTATAGAGATAGCACGATGCCGATTGGACCGACGTTAAGACTGTAGCTGGTTATCGCCGTTTCAACACTGAGGGAGATGCTGCTCCTCAGTACACGCATGCTCGACCGCGGCTCGGACGCTAATTGAAGGGGCACTCTGCATCGCTCGGTCGGGTCGCATACGGGGCTCCAGGGATGAGTAAGATTCGGAGAGTAGCCGTGCCGACGTTGCCCAAGGCTATATACCCGAGGCAGTAAATAGTACAGTACCTGGCAGGTCAACTACCAAAAACAACAAAAGCAACATGTCAAGCCGGAATCCAGATGGAAGGGTCTTCACCTTTGTAGATTACGACATCAACCGCCGTGGAGTCACCGATACAGCTCGGGCGCATTTGATGAGAGATCGAGTGCGGTCGAAACGAGAAGCCAGATCAGAATGGGTTTCCCGCAACCAGTTCTCTCCGCTACGTTGGATGCGACCAAAAGAGGACAACAACCAACCAAATCCAGGCAGACCAGATGCAAAGCCATCCAGCTCGGACGAATCAGAGGAAGTGACCAAGCCTCGAATCTCCCATTATGCGGCAGTCATTGATTTTGAGCGGGACTGTGTGACTGTGTCGCCTTTCGCCAGGAAGCCAAGGTCACAGTCGCCGCGGTCGAGGAAGGGGACGAAGTCCCAACACCGTAAGAACATGGAATTCCACGACAACTCTCCCGAAAGCAGTGCCTCCGACCGAAAACATGGCCGGTCACCGGAAGAAGGCTGTCGAATGGAAATGTCCCGGCTCAACTCACCTTTTCTCGATGCAGATTCTCCCAGGTCCATTGCAAGCCTTGTCGATTGTGAGCCAATGAGCTCAAATCAAAGAAGGACCAGCATGGAAAGTCGCTCGGAATTCGGTCTGGCACTTTTGGACAGGCTAAGGATTGCAAACACGCCGCCTCGGCAACTACCGATCGGATTGGACGCCGGATTGGAGGAAGAGTCCCAACAGATCATTTCGCAGGCTCTCCATAATTCCGCCGCCAGATTGTCAACCGTTTGGACGCCAGTCGAACACAACTTGCTGCAATATTTTGCTGTAAATGCTGTACCCATGCTGGGGCTAGATTTGTATCCGGAAATCGTTCAAAAACATGACCCTGTGCTCCAGCTCTTTCTGCCTTATGCCACCTCCAGCCAGTGGTGTTTCGAAACCATGATACTGCTATTCAGTGCGAATCATCAACGGTTAAGCGAGGCGCAGCCCGACCGCGGTGACATGGACGCTGAAAATCACCACCTCGCGTCTCGGCAGAATCTCATCCTTGCGAGGACGCGCGAGAGGATATCTTCCCTAGCTAATTGCAACGATTCGAGTGATGAAGACGTGGTGGCATTTTTGTTTTTGGCTCTTGCCGAGTACTGCACCGGCAACCGACAAATTGGTCTCATGCACTTCAAAGCCTGGAAGGAATACTGCGAGATGCGGCGAGTGTTTGGCATCCGGCCATGCGGATTGCCCTGTAAGACCATTGTCTGGTGGTGTGTCTCGGTGATGTGTGAGGACGATGTTTCCCTGGATGGGATCATCAATCCCACCACTAGAGCAAGGATACGCGATGATCCAGCGAAATTGTTCAGGTATTTCGAGTCCTGGAACGGCGCAGGGTACGTCGACATGGCGCAACTGTCTCGTCCGGAGCTTTGTGAGAGGCGTATCACTTGTTGAGGTGCGTGCTTTTGCGAGCGCATGTCAGAGACTGCGCAATGCCTGCAAGAGACATGTATGACCTCGTACCTGTATATGCGTGCGTGGTGGTCTGAAGGTCAGTGGCGTCGTCCAAAGTCCCAAACTCAGTCGGCTTGCACCGGCTCACCAAAACGGGAAAGCGCAGGTTTGGGTTATTGGCGTCAAGACCGTGCAAGACTTACCACCCAAAAGCATCGGCCATGATGACTAATGACGGCCCCCAAGTGCCGCCACAGCCCACCAACACCCCGCTGCCGCTGTTCGAACTATCACTGTGCCCTCCAACGCAAGGACTCACAAAAGACACGGACACTCTCGCACGCGATTGTGCGTCGCTCCATGTTTGCCATAATTGAAAGGCCCGCCACGCTCGATTTCCACCCCGGAATACCTACTATGCAAACTGGGCTTTACCTCGGCCACGCACTCGTCAGCCCTGCTGACTATCAAGTCGCAGCCTCTCGAGCCCGTATTGCCGACGATCCTTCAGAATGCGATGTGATCGGACGTCCAATGCTCTCATTCGATTACCACTCATTATCGGCCACCACTGCCGCGTAACGTCTCGAGGGTGAAGCAGATGGAACAGTGGCAATGAGACCATAAAGGAAATATATCAGTGGTCAAAGCTGAGCTTCCATGCTGACATTCAAGTGCAAAATGAAAGCGCAGCAAGCAAGTCAGCTGTCCGCGGCATGCTCATGTCTCACTGGTGGACTTAGCAGTCTTTCGGCAGGCCACAAAGATCGAGTTGCAGGTACGGCGTGCACGATCTCGAATACCCAAATGTGGCAGTAGGAAGTTGGAATTGTCTTTCAAGCTCCCGGACCAGCCTTAGTCATGCAGCCTATTTTCCGACAAGGCGCGGAGCCAAACTTGGCCTGCACATTTCCCGGCCCGATTGCCCCCGACGTGATGGGCGCATAACATCAGTAAGCTGTGCTAATTATCAACCTAAATCAGATCATTTGGGGATTTTGATTTCACGCATATACGCTCGATTTACCAAGCGGCAGCAAACGGTCAGCACATTCGATCATGCGACTCGACTCTTGGAATTGCCGATGTCGGCACCGCATTTTAGGGAGCCATCAAGGCGGCGGGATTGAAACGCCTGAATAAGAGGCTTCACTCACGGACAAACTCCACTTGTCGACAAAATACATCATTGAACCCATTAAAAACAGCACGGATGTCGTCAATATCAACCAATCATATGCGCTCAACGCCGCCTTGCTGACCAATGCCAGCGGCGACTGGCATTAACAAGCACCTCGGTAATCGTTGGCGCAGGCCTAGGCAGTACGTACTACCCTTACCACGGTTGTGGCCAGAGTGCATGGGTGGGTTGTGCCTGTCGATCTTGCATGGATAAATTTCGAAACAACTCACGACACTTTTTCAGGGTCTACCGCAGTATTTATATATTCTGTCCGTTGGGTCCACCGCTGCTTGGACCATCCGCAAGACTATCAACTACATAGTATAACCCAGCCGTTTGACGACTCCCACGTCTCACAACACCAGCTCACAAATCTCCCTCGGACGCCACTGGTTAAGAACTCCTCGAGAAGAATACCAATCATGGGTTCCCTCTCCCAAACGCACTCCTCGCGCCTCTTCGAGCCCATCAAGCTCGGCAACCTCACCTTACAACACCGCCTCGCCATGGCGCCCCTGACGCGCTTCCGCGCCGACGACTCACACGTGCAACTCCCCTTCACGGCGACGTACTATCAACAGCGCGCTTCCGTCCCAGGCACACTCATCATCACCGAAGCGACGTTTATTTCAGCCAAGGCAGGCGGCTACCCCAACGTCCCCGGGATCTACAACCAGGAACAGATCACCGCGTGGCGGAAAATCACCGACGCTGTCCACGCCAAGGGCTCCTACATTTACCTGCAACTGTGGGCACTAGGTCGGGCCGCGAACCCCAAGGTCCTCGAGGCGGAAGGTCCCTTCGACGTGGTCTCCGCGTCCGACATCCCCATCGACAGCGACCATGCCCAACCGCGACCCCTGACCAAGGAGGAGATCAAATCCTTTGTGCAGGATTATGCGCAAGCCGCGCGCAATGCGATTGAGGCCGGTTTCGACGGTGTCGAGATCCACGGCGCGAACGGCTACCTGGTCGACCAGTTCTTGCAGGACACGTCCAACATGCGCACGGACGAGTATGGCGGCAGCATCGAGAACCGGTCGCGCTTTGCGCTCGAGGTGTCCAAGGCCGTGGTTGACGCGGTTGGCGCTGACAAGGTCGGCATTCGCCTGTCGCCCTTCAGCTCGTTCCAGGGCATGAAGATGCAGGACCCCTACCCGCAGTTCACGCACGTCATGGAAGGCTTGAAGAAGCTCAACCTCGCGTACGTCCATTTGGTGGAGTCGAGGGTGTCCGGAAACGCCGACATCGAGGGCACCGAAAAGGTCGACCCTCTTCTTGACGTGTGGGGGAACACCTCCCCCGTGCTGCTTGCTGGAGGCTTCAGACCCGCATCCGCCAAGCGCGCCGTGGATGAAGAATACAAGGACCGCGACATTATCATAGTTTTCGGCCGGTATTTCATCTCCACGCCGGATTTGCCCTTCCGGATCGCCAACGACATTGAGCTCGCGCCATACGACAGGGAAAAGTTTTACAACCCCAAGTCCGAGTCCGGCTACATCGACTATCCCTTCAGCAAGGAGTTCGAGCACGCGAACGGCAGACTCTAGAGCAAGAACAGGGGATGTAGCATAGATTTAGACCATCAAGACGTTATGATATAATGATATGCATTTCGCATCGCTGCCAGGACGCTAAGGCTATATTCTAGACTGGGTGTGTTGTAGTGGACATTCCCTGCTTGAGAGGCACAGAGCAGGAAACATAAGAATACGTGCACCAGCTCGTAAGTGTGTGCGTTATACCCCAAAGATGTTATGCTCGCACCTCAGCATCTGCTGGACCGGCCTGTGGTGCGGTGTCATGTGTCCTCCTGAATCCACGTACACTCGCCTCTCGAAGGATAAATCCAGATCCTGCCCATCACCACCCAGCCGATAATCTTTGTATTTGGCCTTGGACAAATCTTCGGCAAGTATCTGCTCAACAATGTCTTTGGCCGTAACCGGGTGACGATACTCGTAGCCCAGGAATGCGCCATGTTTCCGCATCTCGAGGGCTGGCGGACCTGTGACTGGGTCTCGCAAGATGATGTCCCTTGGCCGCTTCTTTTCCTTTCTTCTCGGCTTCGGCTTGGTATTTTCGGTCGCGCCATTCTCCGTGGGCGCGTCAGCGTGGCCACCAATTTCGACTAGTGTGGCTCCAGTGCTAGGAGCCCCGTTCACAAGGGCTGGCATCAGAGGATGCTTCAAGCCTTTCACAGGTCGGAGATCAGCAGCCGGGACAGGGCCATCTTGGTGCGGAGCGAACTGCAAGCCCACTGAAGGGATGATGTGCTGACCTTCCTGTTGATGTTGGCTGGCTAGAGTGGATTTGCTCTTCGATGGCTGAACTGAATTTTCCATGCCGGGGGCCGGTCCTTCTTCCACAGTGGTCGCAGTATCGATGTCGGAGATTGGTTCCTCTTCCTGGAAGTATTTGGTATCTTCCCAGCCTTTGACGCGGGGAATGTATGGCGGTCGTCGTAGGTGAATGGTATCCCAGTCAATTCCTCGAAAGAATGCATGGCGCTTGATGTCTTCCGCGTCTCCCTCGTAAACAAATTGCCCTTGGTAGTCGTGATGAGTCTTGTCCGCGTCCTGGCGGATGATTCTGCCACCCTGGATCTTTCGACAATAGTCATTGAGCTGGTACTGGCGGCTGCAGAGCCGTTTCTCTTTCTCCACAAGGATCGACATTATAAGATCCAATGCTTCGATGCTCGGTTCTGGTATGTCCTGCGGCTGCGGAAAGATAAGCGTCTTTTTGTGCGAGAGGATTTTGAGCTTGGTTTGGTGGCGGTCGTCGCAGGCGAACGGCGTGTAACCATAGAGACATTCATACATGATAATGGCGATGCTCCACTAGTCGCACCGGCCATCGTACATTTCGCCACGAATAACTTCAGGGGCCATGTATTGCGAAGTGCCAACGACGGATCGGGCCATTTTGCGACGTTGAGACCGGTTGCGGAAATCCAAAATGGGCTCGCCAATTGCAGGATTCCCGTTAGACATGGAATCCTCCTTACCACGTCTCTTGCCGGTATGGTGTGATTGTGCTTGCTTCTCTTGCTTGTCCTGCTCGTCGCCATCGACGTTGACGCCCAACTCTTCCAACAGTGATTGACGGGTCTGATGATAAAATCGTTGATCGTGCGACCATTCCCCATCGAACGCGAGACCGAAGTCGGAGATTTTCAGATGCCCATCCCAGGCTATCAGAAAATTGTCCGGCTTGACATCGCGGTGAATCCATTTCATACGATGGGCTTCCTCGACGCAAAGAATCATCTCGGCGACATACCACTTGGTTGTATCTTCACTGAGAACATTCTTTCGGATGAGCAATCCTAGGAAATCACCTCCGATGCAGTATTCCATGACCAGATACAAGTGTCTCCAATCCTGGAAGGCAGCAATCAATGGGACGATCCATCTGGACCCCTCTGCTGCGACGAGGAAATCACGCTCCGCCCGGAGGTGTCCCTCTTGGCTGTTCCGGATCATGTCGGACTTGCGTATGACTTTCATTGCGCACACTTCCATCTTTGGCTGGGCAGAACTTCGTCGCCTGCTCAAAAACGACGACTTCAGATTTGATCGCGAAGGCTTATTGGCAGGCAACTTTCCTATCAACTTGCCCTCAGTAGCTCCGCCCTCATCTTTGCTACCCGGACCTTTAACAAGTCGGACAATCCCGAAGCTCCCTTTGCCGAGGACACTGATGGTGGTGAAGCCACCGGGACTGATGCCTCTGCTTGCTTTGGCTTGGTTCGTTGTGGTCTTGAGGGCGCGGACCTGACGTAGATTGTCACTTTCGGCCTTCTCCCAAGTCTTCCGAGCTCGGCTTTGACTCTCGAGAGGCAAGTGACGTTCCTTGATCATCTTTTCTAGGTCTCGATGGCGAAGATCCCTGGTAGGTGTGCGGTTCAACAAAGAATTGAAGTGCAGCTCCAGGTACATCTTCGCCGTCGCAGTGGCTTCGACTGTTTTGATAGAGAGGATGGAGAGACTGGTGGTCTCTGGGATTGGAGTCAACAATCGACTTTCTGTCACGATCGGATGTCTCTCAGCGTCGAATGAGTCCACGCTAGCACGATGAACAACGGACTGTGGCGTTGATGGATTAGAAGTTAGTGGAGTCGACGTGTTGGTATGGGTTTCCCAGTAGCTGTTGACACTATTGATGATAGATGACGTCGGCGAAAGCTGCGACGATGTTGCTGCTGCAGACTCAATCGCCAGTGTTTGTACGCTACGCCTAGAGCGCATGTTGGCTCTCTTGACGACAGTGCAGTTACCTTTGCCAAACGCTTCTCGGAATCTTTGACTGACACGACGCTGCAGCCCAGGAGCAGAATGGCTCCGCTTGCTAGCATCCATGGAGCTAGAGAAGTTGTACTCGTCTTCTTTAAGTCTGTTGTGACCACCCGGAGTCACAGGGGCACTTTTGCTGAGATCCGAGACTGACGTGGCGTCTTGATCTCCTCCATCAACATGAGGCATGGCCGTCACGCGGATCTTCAATGGTTTGTGCACTGTCGTGGTGTTGGAGCCATTGGCAAGCATGTACGCAGAGTGTGTGGCTTGTGTCAAAGAGTACATAGCATCAGTGTTGTGTTGAAGACTGCTTCTTTCACCCATGCTCAACATCGCCTTGACCCTCTTCTTGAGCTGTTCTTTCACGCTAACCTTCGATTGTCCAGTGCCTGTGGAGTCCACCGAGGGTGAGCCCGGGCCGTCAAAGACATGATTTAGCTTTGATTTCTTGGAGATTCGTGCGTTGAACGAGCGAGCGCAGGTGGCAGGAGGCTGAGAAAGGTCAGAGGGCCGTCGCTTTCGATTCCAGGCCGGAGGAAACGTCATTGCATCGACCAAGGCGGGACGACTTGGACCAAGCAGGGACTACTTGCTGGGTTATGTATGCATGGCATAGCAATGAACTCTAAGTGAAGCCGAAGTGAGAGTTGTGGATGATGCGGATGGTGGGCAAGAAACCGAGCAGAACGTGACAGGCTTCTGGCAAGCATGAGAACTCAGAGAGCCACAGGCACGCTTACCTTGATAACACAAACAAGCGGTGAAGGAAAGGCAGGAGTGGCCAAGTCAGCGTGCGCAGGAGCGATAACCATACTGTATGTGAAAGGTTCAGGTTGAGGCGTGCTGCTTTAACAGTCGAATACGACAGGAGGAAGGCCTCTCTCAATGACTGCATGTTGCACGTCCCTCTTCAGCATTTCGAGTGCCTTCTCCCAAGCTAGACGGGTGTCTTCGGCGTCGAAGTTCTCGTAGTCTAGGAGCATTCCAAGCCAGTTTACTACCGCGACAGCCTTGGCCATATCCCGCTCGACAGACACGACCTTGCACAAGTACTCTGAGAGTGCAGTCACGTCTTCCGAATCAGGACCATCGCCATCGACAGAGAATTCCCTTACCCATGCCGAGATCGCGTCTCTCAGCTCGGGCAAAGAGCTCAGCTTACGAGACGTAAACGTCGGCTTGTTAGGCAGCTTTGGTAGCTGTAATTTTTGTTGACCTCGGTCAATAGCCTCTGCTTGAGCCGTGACTTTCAGTCTTTTACCGGGGTCGAAATATAGGCCTGATCTGGCTTCCATGCGGTTCCTTTTCTGCTCTGCGATGATTTCCGCTCGGATGTCCTTGGGAAGCTCATCGAGGAGGGATTCCGATATCTCTCCCAGTAGGTACGCGTTAGACAGTGGTTCACCTCCACCTGATCTCTGCACAGGCCCGAAGTTTGACTGGATTAGGGTAGAGGACGAGTCCGCAGGTGGCTTAGACCTAGCCTTATTGAACAATGAGACCGTCTTCTGCTTCTTAGTCGGGGTCACAACCAACTTCTTGGACGCACCGAGAGCCTTGGGCTTCTGGGGGGATTGTGGAAGTAAGCTTTGATGCGTAGGGGTTCCGCTCCTTTTCCCTTGTTGCTTATACTGTGCCAGTATTTCCTCCCTGACGTCTGGAGGAAGAGCAGCCAGAATTTCAGGATCAAGTTGACTCTGGTTCGGTAGTGCAGCGTCGTTGTCGGGGATGTACGGAGAGACGGAGCGTGACAGAGGCTCATTGGAAGGCAAAGCTGGTTGAACGGACTTGCTCATGATATCGAGTATACTCTTCTGTTTTGGGGCCAACTTATTTCTGATATCTGCTGGTAGTTCGGCCAACACCGCTGAATCGATTTGTGATGGAAGGATAAATTGGGTTCCGCTCACATTCAGAGGTTTTTGAGTAGAATCATCTTCTTCCACGGTGGGATGAGCATCAGCGGCACCTAGAATGGCTGCATTAGCCTTCGGCTTCTCAGGTGTAGGTACCTCCTCAATCGGATCTACGGTGTCCTTGATGCGCGGTGTACGGGCAGAAGGCATCTTGGCTTGTTCTGACGGCACAGGAGATGCTGGTGTTTGGGTCTGTGGCCTCTTGAACTGTAACCTGCGCTGACTGCTGTCCATGAAGCCGCCAGTGCTGGCCGCAGATGGCTTCAATGGCTCTAGTTTCTGCATCTGCACCCCCAGGCCACGAAGTTCTCCAGGAGGAAAATTGTAGCTGCGCAAGATAGTAATCGCTTCTTTCCCGATCACTGCGCCGTCGTTTGTGGCAACTCCTAGAACCACACTTTTGTTGAATGTATCGCACTTGCCATGTCCAAGATTCTTTGGAGGATCGAGACCGGCATCGGCGGCTTTTCGCATAATCTTCATGGTCAGCTGTCTCCCCTTGACCAACTGCTCGAGGAGCCGCCGTGACAGCTCATTAGACAGGCTTTGAACAAATTCTTCCGCTTGCTGCTGGTTGATGAATCGGATACCCCAGTTGATCTCCGCTGAGACCGACTTACGGACGACTTGATCGCCCACCGCTTGCTTGTCAATCCCACGGGAGTATTCCCAGATTTTCTCGCCGGTCTTTGGTCCCAGAGTGTTGATGAGCTTCTCTTTTGTCAACACCCTGATATCCTTGACGAACTTTACTCCAATTTCTTCAAGTTTGTTCCCAATACTCCATGCAACGCCAGGCAAGTCAGTGACCGTCAATTCGCCAATGAAGTCTAAGACATCGTCAGGTTTGATGAGATGTTGCCCAGCAGGTTTTGCTTTCCGTAACGCCACTTTGGCAAGCAATATGTTACCACCAATTCCCACAGATACGTCACAGCCAGTTTTCTCCTTCACAGCAGCACGTAGGTCTCGCGCTAAATGCTGAACGTGCTCTTGTTCGCGATATAAGGAGCCTTCTGAGATTCCCTTGCCGTCAGATCCACCAGCCTTGATACACTGTTCGCTGACATCAACTAGAGCCTCGTCGATGCTGATACTCTGCACTACCCCATCAACCGCAAGAACGCAGTCGTAGAACTGGCGGCTTGCTTCTTCGTAAGCATGATAGTCGTAGGGCAGGATTTTGAGATCTGGACACATGCTAAGTGCTGCCTTCATCCACATGCCATTCTTGATGCCGTACTTCCTAGCAGGATAGTTGCAGCTTGCAATCTCTGACCCAGGCCCGCTGCCATGTGCGATGACTACAGGCTTATCGACTAACTGCGGGTGTTTTTGGAGGGACACGGCGGCGAAGAAGCTATCGAAGTCAACATGCATGATGTACCGTCTCGCACCAGGCGCTCTTTTCGGCTTAGTCTGCTGCGACGATAGTTTCTCTTGGGCGCGTGCCTGTATCTGCGCTTTCAGCTCGGCTTTCCAAGTTGACAGATGGTGTAACCTTGATTCACGGTAGTATTGATTGATGAAGTCAGGGTTCGCAGTGCTGGATTTAGCCATATGTGGATTGGAGAGCAGAATAGAATTGTGTTCTTCGGCTGTCAGTTCGCGCTTGTCGGGCTTCGGCGCTTCTGTTAAATCTGGTGCGAGTGAACCGAGTTCTTGCAAAGGGTCTTGTACATGCATCAAGCCATTCCCAGGGGGATCGGGCGCATCAAAATGCGCGTCACCAGCAACTTCATCGGTGGGAGCCCCCTCTCCAGCTCTGTTCATTGCCGATGGATCAGCATGTGGACAATTTGGATCCTGCTGATTCTGACGCAATTGCGTAGCATACCAACCCGCTTCGGACTGGTCTTTGTAGCTTCTCGGTCGACTATTTGCCTGGCTTACCATATGGCCGCTTTCGAAGCCCAGCACCTTCTGCGTGACCCCTTCGTCGACCAGCCTATACGCATCCCAGGGCAACAACTTTCCTGCCTTGACACTGTCGACTACCCAAGCTGGCTTGACGACGCGGTATTTGCCGAACTCTACCGTCTTCTTTGGCGTGAGATGACTGGCGATAACATGCGTAGCAGCAGTCTTCGCCTCAAGGTATTGGAGGAAGCCGCCCCCATGGCTTACGACGAGGCTGTGTAGGTCGCTCAAAGGGGGTTGGGTGTAGCCATTGACGTGGACAACGACACCGCGGAAGATAGGAGGTTTGTCTGCCGAGTTGGCGCGTATCTCGACATCCAGATTCTGCAGCTTGATCTTCTTCCTCCGCATGTAGTCGGCAAACCCGCCGAACTTTGAGCCTTCATATTCCTCTCCCTGCTCGTCACTGAAGGTGTGGCCCTCGATGCGCTTTCGAACCAAGCTGGAATTTTTCTCTAGTCGGGAGCCCATGGCGGTCTACGCAACATCATGATGATCGCGGCGCTGGCATGTGAATTGGCACGATCCTGGAATTTCGTGGTCGATCAGGGTGGTTGTGGAAGGAGTGAAGGAGAGGCAAGTGCTTGTGGCGCGTCACGGCCGCGACTCGCCGTTTCGCAGGCACAGGCTGCACATGCCCCACTTTAAACCTTTTTCAGCAGCACTCTAAAGCTTATCGATAAGCCGTTGCGGAGGTAGCGATGTAGCAAGCGTGCAGCCTCGATACCAAATTCAGATTTCACTTTTTTTTTTCTTGAACTCTTGAACTTCGTGAACTGCATTTGAACGTCGCATGCTTGTGCAAAGCAAACTACTCTCGCCAATTCTTCTCTTTCTCAAACGTCCACACTCTAATTGCTACACATCGCAAGTCTCGTCAAGATGTCCGGTATTCAGCCTGTGGCGGTCTACGCCATGCGAGTCCCTCCAGGCGACATCATGGTCCCTGCCGTCCCCGAGTTTGCAGCTATGGTGAGGCACACATTCTGCTTCCCATTGCACGGATGTGGTCATGCTAACTTCGCCCAAAGTTCCGTGTGACGATGGCTGCCATCGATCCAAGCGCAGAGCCAGAACTCGAAGATCCAGACGACAAGCGTCCGCCGCGAGCGACCCTGAAGCTGGTCCGCGTTCCCGATGATATGCTCGATGATGATGATGAGTCGGATGACGAAGACTTTGACCTCGACGACGATGAAGACGATGACGACGAGGATGAGGACGAAGAAGTCAACGGTGGTCCCAGCGAGAAGAAGTCCAAAACGAAAACTATGGACGAGGACGCGGACATGGAAGATGAGGACGAGGATGAGGATGAAGACGACGATGCGGAAGCCATCGCACAGCTGGCCAAGATCATGAAGCTTGCTAAGGGCAAAGGGAAGGCCAAGGCTGTGGATGGCGAGGATGATGCTGATGACGAGGACGATTCGGACGATGAGTCCCTTGAAATGGACGAGGTTGTCATCTGCACCCTTGACCCAGAGAAGGTATGGCGCGCGCCTCTCGAGCCGGGAATTGCATGCTAATGTACACAGAACTTCCAGCAAACTCTCGATTTCGTTGTTGGTGAAGGCGAAAAGGTCTTCTTCAAGGTCTCTGGTACGCACACTGTTCACCTCACTGGCAACTACGTGATTCCTCAGGACGATGGTTCCGCTTCCCTGTATGATGAAGATGATGAAGGAGAGGACTACGATCTGTCACCTGATGAGGATGAGCTCGATGCGCTTGAAGACGCCGACGAAGAGTCTGACGCTCTTGATGACCTTGATGACCCACGCATCGCCGAAGTCGACTCAGAGGAAGAAGAAGCACTCAACGTCGTCAAGGGCACTGGTAAGGGCAAGAATAAGCGTCCCGCCGTTGACGAAGACGAAGATGAAGGCGACAACCTCGACGATATCATGGCCAAGTCTCTCAAGAAAGATGACAAGCTCGAACAGACCGCAGCTGCAACTACCAACGGCGAAGCAGCTAAGAAGCTCAGCAAAGCCGAGAAGAAGCGTCTGAAGAAGCTCAAAAAGAATGACGGTGAAGCCGTTTCCGTCGATGCCAATACTTCCGAGGGGAAGAAGGAAGCTGCACAGACCAATGGAGATTCGGAGAAGAAAGTCCAGTTTGCAAAGAATCTTGTGCAAGGCCCAACTCCGTCGGCTACCCCTGCAGCCAAGTCTGACAGCAAGCCTTCGGCGGGCAGCAAAGAGAAGTCTGCCTCGGTTGGGGTGAAGGACATTCAAGGCGTCACCGTCGATGACCGCAAGATCGGGAATGGTCCAGCCGCAAAGAAGGGCAGCCGCTTGGAGATGCGCTACATTGGCAAACTCGACAATGGCTCTGTCTTCGATAGCAATAAGTCCGGCAAGCCTTTCAGCTTCAAACTTGGTGCTGGTGAGGTCATCAAAGGATGGGACATCGGGCTCCAGGGCATCCAGGTTGGTGGTGAGCGGAGGTTGATCATTCCGGCTCATCTGGCGTATGGCAACAAGGCTTTGCCTGGCATCCCTAAGAACAGCAAATTGACTTTCGACATTAAGTGCCTGGCCGTGAAATGAGTATGACCTGCCTGCAGCCGAGGAGTCTGTGGTACCCAATTGGTATAGCAAGTGTTGCTGCCATCAAGTCCTCATCGGCCTGCCGGAGACTACAGGTGAGAGACTGAAGGGCCGTCTTCGAAGAAGGTTTTCGAAGTTTGGTCTGCAACATTCAAGGTATGGCGTTCAACGGATCATCAAGAAAAGTTCATTGCGATTCTACGAGGGACGAGGGCAGTGCGAAGACCCTCTTATGCTCGAGTGAGCTGAGCATATTTTCAGCGAGGAGCTTGAGATACCCCAATCTGTACTTGTACATAGACCTGGCACTGAAGGCGTGCTTGATCATACGAGCTGGAGGAAATGTAATCAAATGCATGGAAACACTCTTCGCACAAGCTCATTTCAGCCGGTAGCTCTTGCCGTCCACTGAGGCTTTTACTGTTTCTCCTGAGATATGCTTGCGTGATAATGATAGTGCTCGCTACGTTTGATGCAGTGTCGAGCAAGTCACATCCTCAGGCCGGGCCTAGGTACATGGAAGAGCATAATAAACCGATTGGAAATCACGAGTCAGCCATAGTATAAAGTGAGGGAGCTCCAGTCACCAGTATATTAGACGGCAGACAATGTCAGCGAAGCTGGCTCGGCGCCAGAAGTGCAATACAAAGTGGACCCTTGATCGAACACGGTACTGGGGGGTCTGATACCTGCTGATGATTCCTCGGCAGAAGTGAAATTTTTGCACAAGGAAGAGCAGGAACAGATCATAGAGGCACAGTCAATCCAGTTGCAAGATAAATCCTTGTCATTTCCAGCGATTGTAATACACCGGGTGAAAGCCTCTGAAGCCGTCTAATACACACACACTGGCTCATGTGTTGGTACAATTGCGCATCCCCTGCGCCAATGGCCTGAAGCTGCTTCGAGTGTCTTGCTTTTTGAAGCACTCTCATGACAGCTCGCTCGTGACGTTGGAGAACTCGCCCTTCTCGAGTTTGGTTTGCCAGAAGATGGGGTTCGTGTCGGAAAAGCCGTGCTTGACCCAGCCATCCTCCTTCACGTGGTAGAGGTTGATGTAGCCGCCGGAGTAAGCATCTCTGTGTGTAGCCGCCAGGATACTGCGCCTGCCCAATTCAAGAGCCTCGTCATCTTCCAGATCATATTTGTAAAGGGCATCCAGCACGCCGTAGGCGAATGTCTGACCAGACCCCACGCAGAAAAGGTTACCGGCCAGCCTCGTTCCATCTGAGTCTATGTAATACAGCGCAGGCCCTTCTTGGGGTGTTACACCGGTAATCATTGTGCCCATCGAAAGTCCCATGCCCTTGTACGAGTAGACGAGGTTTGCCAGAATCTTGGAGGCCGCTGCCACAGAAATCCGTCGCTTGTGGTGGAGCTCATGCAGCCGACACTGTACACCGAGATAAGCCAACCAGTATTGGCAGTCCTAGTTACTGTCAATGGACGTGATAGATGAACCGCGGGTGTTGACCTACAGCAGCTCCTCCAGCCATGGTTCCTAGCAACATGGGGTTGATCTCTATGACCTTCTTGACTGTCTGTGAAGCAATCCAATTGCCGGCCGTAGCTCTTGAATCGGTTGCGACGATGATTCCTCCCTTGAATCTGAAAGCTAGCGTTGTCGTGCCGTGGGCAATCTTGATCGGGCAATTGGGGTTGGAGTGATCGTCTGCGGTCGCGCGCAGGAAAGCAGAAGGCCGAGGGATAGGTGGTAGGGCAAATTTGAGGGACAAAGGAGGTACTGTCTCGCAGAAGTCATTCTGATCGTCTGAGTTGACGCCTTCGTTGGCAAAGGGAGATTGGGCGTATTGAGCAACGAGGGTGTCCATGATTACAAGCTGCAGGGCTAGAAAACGAGGCCTCGGCGGGTTATTGTGATTGAGTCAATGAATGGCCCAGGAATAGAAGGAAGAATCGGTGTTGGTACAGAAACAGGAAGGGAAGAAACAAGTGGCTGCTGCAAGGCAGGAAGAGATGATGGAAGTGATTGACTGCGATGCGAAGCTCAGGTTGCTGATGATTCGCGTCGCCTGATGGCGCCTGAATGTTGCCGGAACGCAGTCACGTGGGTAATACGGTGGTGCGCAGTTCCTCAGCAAGGGTTGTCGTGTCCTCTCACACCCTGTTTATTTCGGACTCGCGTTCCTCTCATGTGCATCACACGAATACAGCGTCCGCCATATTTCGAGCGTTGGAGTCGTAGACTTCAGTAGAGATGATGAGATACATGCACAGCTGGATGACCAACCACCAGAACTACGTCCGTCATGTACTTCTTTCAATCAGACAGCGAGCACAAACGCGCAGCGCCACCAAGAAACCACCACTGCTCGAAGACTCCGTACGACTTCGCCTGTTATAACCTGTCAATATTCCAAGCACATGCCGATGCAACATACTCAGCTATTGGCATCGTTCATGCTCACCGGACGGTGTTGCATGTGGTACAATGCACCTCAAGGCTGCGTTGGCCCGTTGACTGGCTACGCAGGACAATCAGGCCCCCAAAGACGCCAGCCAGTGGCTATGGGATCACCGGCAGCCAAAGGTACTGCTTGCTTCCGATATTCGTACAGTCGTCCGTGTCCGCATAACTGCATAACCGTTCTCCTCGACTTGCCTTTCACAGCTGGACGCAAATGGCGGCAGGATCAGTGGTCCACAGCTATACACCGGCCTCTAGCATCCGACCAATCGGGATACCAGCATCTAAAGCAGAACCTCTACACCTTGCTGCGGCTGCGGCTGCGGCTCAGCCCAGCAACGTGCACCGGACATGCTGTTGAATGCTATCGAGGTAGGCGATCGTAAGCCAACGCTACCGGCGATCCGTAGACGAATTCAGTACAAGGACATGGATATAGTGAAGAGATACGATAGGTAAGCCAGTTGTACTGCTTGACAATGTTCTCCTCCTCCAAGCTCTCACTGCTCTTGAGCCTCATTTCGCTGGCCCTTCCGAAATCACCCCTCTGACCGTTCGAAGATGGAAAGTAACAGCCAATGTCCAAGGTTCCCGACCTCTTTCTCAGAACGAATTGCCGCATATCTCACACACAGGGGCCATCTGGACTTCACCTCAGAAGAGCACGTCGTTCTAGAGGAGAACATTCACCGCGAGTGACATGCCACAACGAACTATTTCCAGAGGAGAATGAGACCAGGCGGTCTTCTGTACCATGGCGGTATACCAGACCAGGCGGTGAAGACGCTCTGGAACCGGAGATACTACGCAACGAAAACAAGGTATAAACCATTCTACTACCGGCAACCGTCGTTTGCGTCCCCGTTGCGCTTCTTGCCAGCATTCTGTTAGGCCTGGTATATATGTAAGTTCTCTTTGTTGACCTTACTCAAGCTGCATGCGGTCTCCTGCTTTTAGGGAACCGAGACATGCTTTGACACTGCCCAGGTACAAGATCGAGCCCGTCAGGAACTTGTTTGAGCCACCAAGCGCCGAGTTGCAAGGGCAGGGCTTCGTCCTCGTCAACTTCTCTGCGAGTACGTTCGCAAGATGGCGAGCACCTACTGGGGGCCATAGTGACACTATGCAGCCTCTTTCAGCCTCTCACTCTTTGCTCTCCACATCTCGCGCAAGTTGCTCGAAGCATCCGAAAAAGCACAGTATCTGCGGCTACCCACTTCATTTCAGATGAGTCTTTTGGTTGGGATTCTGGTTGCCTCTGCTCAACAACTGAGGTCCTATCTTTGGTATCTTGTCCGTGCACGGCGAGTTTCTAGCATTTCACCACTATTACATTGTGTTGCTTCTATGATGCTCCTGAGCTTCTTTCTAGCTAGAGGCGTTTTCATCGCCGATACAGTGCTGCATTACACAACATCGACAATCGAATTCGACCAGATATTGATTCCGCCACAGCCTGTTCAGGAGCTGGGCCGAGGCCTATCCGAATTCTGCTTGAAATTCAATAGGACAAATTTAGGATTGCCTTGTTCGGTGGGCCAGGACGCGACACAAACAGATCCCAATGCAATTTCCGAGATGATGGAGACAAGTCGACTCCTTCACGACACATCTCAGGTCTCGCAAATCCAAATCACGTCTGTAGATGAACTCAGCCAGGCTCGACTGTCTTACCTTATGCTTGAACAGCAGACAATCAGTCTTAATACAGATTATAATGCCTCGACGCTGGGAATTCCTACCAATTGTCGGGTAGTAAACCCTCCAAGCTGTGGAATGGTGCTTTGGAATGACTAGTACGGTCTCCAGGTTGCGGCGAATCATAGCTTTTGCCAAATTTCCCTGATCGCTTCTCTGTTCGCGTCGATAGGCTGACAAAGAGACGCAGCTATACCAATTCTACCTGCACGGACATGTTTCACGGCACTTTGCAAGTGTTTCTCTGCTCCTATATTCGTGCCATAGAGCCCCAAGACGGAGTTAACAGGATAAAGGCATCGGCTGCTGACGAGAAGGTTCAGGGGTAAGCCACCAAGTTTCAGCACCAGTGCAAACGAATCGAGATCGCCGGATGCCTATCGCTCGTTCTTGTAGGTCATGCTCCAGCATAGTCCATATCGGAGGATCGAGAACTGCGCACTGCGATGTCTCAACCGGTCCTGTTTCTTATGACCACGATACTCCAATTACTGGACAGTGCCGACCGCAGTCCCGACAATTCTAGGATGTATAACCCGGCTCCAAACTTGATGTACTCCTTTTCCAACGAGTCAGGCTTGAAAAGCATCTATAACATGGTCGGCTACACCGACTTCAACAGCTTCGATATGAGCATCCTACCCTTTTCCGATGCTCAGTTGGTGAATCCTTTCTACATGGGCATTGCTGTGCGTACGTCGACGACGAGTGGGCAGTTTATGCCCGGCAGCCAAATGGTACAAAACAACACAAACATCACTTTTCTTGCAAACGACGTCGTGGATTTTGTCCTCGATCGCGCTGTCGTTTCGTACGACGGTCGTCACTCGCAGGAACCACCACAGATGCGTTTCTCCAGGAGTTTGGAAGTCTTTACTCGACCAAAGTTCTGTCAACCATTGGCGGCTACACTTCGCCCAGAATGTGCCTCGCCGAACAACAGCGGCAACCCATCCTTTTATCGAAGGTGCCTATACCGCCGTTGGCTATATTGATTGCTTGGAGTCTGTGCTACCCGTTGCTAGGACTCCTACTGGCCTCGCAGGCGTATCGGACCTCGCGCGGCAATGTTCGCAACATCGCAGCGAAGCTGAGCCTCCTTGGGCTTTCATAAGCTGCGTTCCGGAGAAAGTCGTGGAGGGACGTCGAGTCGTGCGAGTACTGGGGGGCCGGATGTCAACGAAGCGCCTAAGCACGAAGCAAGGCGTGTTATCGTCGAGGGCAGTGCACGGTGGGGTTATGAATTTACCGTGATGCTGGAGGACTGGGCTGTTACAGCCAGCTGTAGTTCGGAAAAGTGATCACTGCAGTACCGAGAAAACTTGTCCAGCTCGTGCTTCACGCGAATCAACATTCTGGGTTTCCCTTTGAGCCTGTGCATGTGCTTTGATGCAACAAGCTTTCTTGGTTTCAATCTACTTGGGCACACAGGGCTTGGAACTTTCGATGCACAACATCTTGTTGATTTACTTATCGCCACAAATTACGGCGTCCACGGTGCGCCTCCCACCATCGACAGCCAAAAACGTTACTCGCTCGACAAGTAGCACGCAGACTATGGACCCTGCACAACATATTTCGTCAAGCGTGCCACACTGCTCAGGCACCAGCCAATGGAAATCAGTCAAGCATCGCCAACGCCTGTTGCAGTGAGCCGAACACCCTGTGCGCATGCTTCAACTGTCATGTGGCGTCACATGTATCCCTGTCTCCTGTGTTCGCCCCAAGGGTTGGATTGTCTCTGTGCAGCTCCACCCCGGCAGCTGAAAAGCAGCCTTATCCGGGAACACTGCAGCTGGTGTGGGTATTCGCTGCCAGTTGACGGAGTTCCTGACTATGCTGGACACTTCGTTGACACCCTCGAGGTTCCCCGTCGTTTAGCACTGCTTCCTCGGCAACAATGTGTTATGAACCTGGTCGCTACTCACGGCGCCACGATACCTTTTCCATTCAAGTGACGAGTTGAAACCGACCTATGTTGGTCTATCGGACTCGAACACTTGCCTAAAGCGTGCAAGTGCTACGGCCCATAGACGGCAATACGGAGCCTATGCGTAGGGCATATTCGACAAAGACGAGAGTGGTGACTTCTCTACCGTCGGCAACTGTGGCATGACTGGAGGGCCTCTTCAAGAGCAAGGGCCCTGAATGGTCCCCTATAAATGCCATGCCTGCCTCGCGGCTCCTTGTGTGATGTGGACACGTTCATTTGAATCAATATCGGTCTAACTCTCAGAACGGGCACGATGTTTGCGTCACTAATGATCCTTCTTGTTATCCTCCTGTCAGTTTCATCCAGCGATGCAGTGGGAGAGCAGAAGGCTTTCAAAAGTACCGAGACACAGGAGCCCAACCCAACCATCACTGCCAGTCTCAAAGCAATCTTCACCACTCTCAACCTTCGGAAAAGTACAACAGACTCGACGACGACGGTGATGCCTACTGCGATGGTACTTGTGCACTGGGGTTATGCAATTATTTCTACACTCCTGAGTCAACACCTAATCCGGATCGCACCCTAACAGCTGCACCCCCCATGGAGACGCAACTTTGTTGTACTGTGGGCTGTGGTGACGGCTGCGCAAAAGGGAAAGATTCCCTTGGCGGCCACATATCTCCCTTCCACTTCCAGATGGCGGTTGCATTGATCGGTCAGACTGTACCATCGCGACTCACGAACGCGGGACCACTTGGAGAGAGGATGGGTGTGGCGGCCGATTCTGCGGTGCCCCAACAGGCCAAGCGTTGGAACCATTGATCACCATCTATCCAACCTTGACACGAGCGACACATCATGGGGCAAAGTCTACCCATGTTTCCTCTATCTCTACCATTGCAGGCGAAGACCGGGCAGAAGCGTATCATGCTCTGGAACTCGCTGGGAACGATCAAGACACTCTGCCCATCATTGTGTCAGGAGTTTCTGGAGAGCCAGTCACAGCCCTTGCAGACATTGGCCTTACCTTGATGGAGAACTACGCCTCTTCAGGAATGCTTGAGGCGCTAGGCGTCTCGTCCACGTCTTCTCATACTGATCAGTGGCAGGCCATTGCGAAGCCGGACCAGCGTGTTGCGGCCCTTGGCAGACCAGTTTTCAGAGTGACCCCACACGCGAATGTGAGCTTGAACCTCCTAGCAGGGCCCAAAGACGCATCAAAACAGTTTGCCAGCGTGAACTTCAACGTCTTCGACTTGCCTTCGCCTTCTCAAGACGGAACCTTCGTGTGGCAACCGGAAGTGTTCCTCGGCGTGGCGTTTCTAAGGGACGCAACGGCGTCGAGGCTCGCGGAGGACTTCGCCGGAAATCCCGCACCTGAAGGTGTTGCTGTACTGGCAAGAGGGATGAAAACTTATGAATTTAGCTTTGATGCTGGAAAGCTAGCGGATGGAAAGCGGGCAGACAGGAAGAAAGATGAGTTGTGACTTTGAGAGGTTGGGTTTACGCTCCTTGGAACGTATGTTGAGGCCTTTCGATTGACAAGGACTGATGTAAGCTAGATAGCCACATTGCAGAGTTGCTAGGCTCGCTGATGAACCTGCTGGCCAGTCATACAGAACAGCTGGTTCCTTTTGATCAGTACAATGGATTTGTGTTCCCATGTCACAGCAACTCCTTCGTACGGAAGAGGAAGACAAGGCTGCAATGCCAAGCCACAGCCTCGTGGATCCCGATTGGGTGCAGCCGATCGATCGCGTTCAGGTCGCGCCTCAGTTTTGCTGTCGCATACCGAGTTGCGCAACGACGGCCTCCACAACTGTGAAAGCTCTAGTGCTGTTGAAGTCACCTCATCCGGATCTCCCCTTCACTACTGGTATGCGGCATGAATCAAATGATGAAAGACCCTGCAGCCGGAGTGCCGGCGCAGCTGGTGAGTTGCAAGATCCCACAACACTAGGGACATCACTGATCAATCCAATAGTTGCCGCATCTGCACCTCGTCTCCAAGTATCGCTATCCTATTACCAGCAACCCTGCTGTCGATACCATTGTTGGCTACCTTTTGGAAGCGCCGAAGATCGTGCGCGACCTTCAGCCGATGCAATGGCAGTTCATCGACACTCCTCCAGACGGCTCATTGATCCTCGAGTGGCAGCCGCTCGAATACCTGGGCACAAGCTATGCGAGTGATGGCTTCATCTGGGCAGATGTGGAACATGTGTACAAATCCGAAGTCAGGGGATATGTAGGTCGCATGTAAGGATGTTGCAGGCATGGCTAACGACGTTCCCACAGACTCTCGAAATGCTCCTGCAAAGAGCAGGCTACCGAGCATCCGGCGAGGCGATGGCGACTCACTGCAGGAGACGATACCGGCTTCTCCCAGGAAACCCAGCTCACGGACTGCCGAATCCTGATCCCAGTCTATGGCTGACGCACTACTCGAAAGCCTCAGCGCGCGACCATGTTCCTGCTGCGAGCATCCCAATTCTGCCGCACGTCCATGCGCTGATCCAGCAGCGCAGAATGATACAAAGCCAGGGCCAGTTGCCGCGAAAGGAATTCATGCTGCATGATCGATCAAACTGGCCCGTCATCCACCTCCCCCCGGGAGTTGCCAGAGCTGCTGCCCAGGGACAGATTCCTCCGGGTGCCGGCCACAGGAGAGGGGCGAGCATTGCGCAAGAAGCGACACTAGAAGAGGAGGAAGACGTCTCTCGTGGAGATCTGCTTGACTTCATGACGCCTCGGGACATCAGCCGCGTCCGATACGAACAACACCACGAATGGATGGAGGAGATTATCGAATCGCCATATCCGACATTGTCCATTATTCCCAGTGATCTTGGCTTCGGACGGAAAGGACAGCTTGAAGAGTTGACCAAAGATTTCTTCGACGCCCCTGTAACCGCGACGAGGGAGCCAAGCTCCGGTCCTCCACCGCGAGTGGGCAAGATGCCTTCTGGTCAGGCTGACGACTTCATCAAACGAGCTTCCGAGAAGCTGGTCGCAATGCAAGCGGAACTGGAAGAGATGAGGAAGAAGCACGCTCGACGGATGGAAAAGTTACGCCGCTCCACGACATTGACAACAGCGGAGAAAAAGCTGCGCATGGTGTCCAACATGCCAGAAAGACGGAGTATTTCCAAGGACACGACAAACGGGTCTTCTGAAGCTGCACCCCGTGACGCAATCGACGAGATCATGGGCACTGTAGAATTGAATATGGGTCAAAAGCTGACAAAAACTGCCACTGTAACACTCATATCGAAGGGTGGTTTGGAGGAGCAAAAGCAGATCAGTCCCTCTCCAGTTGCAACCTCCATCCCAGCTGTTCCTCGAGTTCAGAGTGCGGTCAACCCTGCCGTCTCTGTGGATACGTCGAGCCAACAGCACGTCCAGCCGCAGCCACCAACCAGCATTGCACAAGAGCCAAAACCTCCACACGAGGCGATATCTACTCCGCTGGGTGCATCACAGATGCCGAGTCAACCAGCACCCGCAGCTTCTGAAGGAGAAAGTCAGCCGTCTGCATCAGAACCCGGCCAACCTACTTTCGTGGAGCAGCCGCATCAGCCAGATGCCCATCCAGACAGTGATGGCCTTCCGCGACTGGATGATATTGGAACAGATGTCAACATGGAAGGTATGGTTGATCATGTTGACGGTACAGACCAGGGTGGAGATGAATGGGTAATGATCCGCGAGGACGGGGCTCAGGACGGGGCTCAGAACGACGGTATCCCGGAGATGCAACCAGAGGGGGAACAAGGTCATGTGCAACCCAGCGCCGAAGTTGCTCCCGAACACGCTAGCGGTCAGGATACGGACCTTCAACAGCTACCACAAGCTCAGCTCCACCAAGATGCGCAACTGAACACCCCTGATTTTGATATGGGAGGCGATTTCGACAATGTTGAGGTGGACACCGCTGGGGACGCGCTCGCCAGCTACGGCGACGACGAAGATCTCAATTTGGAAAATATGGAGGGCTCAGCTTTCGGCGATGCGTTCCATACGGAGGACGAAGAAATCTCGTAGGACGAGTTTGACTTGCTGTTCTAGGATTGTTTGATCGAGCTACGCTTTGAAGCCCATGGGCAGCACGTGCTGGCCTCGCGAAGTGTATCGGTACTGATTTTCTCAAAGTTGCTCGAATACGCCGTGGAAGAACATCCCACGTGCAAGTGCGACCTGTAAGAAGTCGAGGAAGCAACTCCGCTAGACAGAAATTTCTTCGGCTTCGGACCACTCATACAGTAATAGGTGGCTTGGTTTTACTCCTTGAATGGCCGTCTGTCTGCCATGCATTAGCCCTTTTCACTGCAGGCGAGAAAGATGATAATTGATTCCAGCTCCTGTGAAGCGACGCTGCCTGTGGCTTGATACCGCCTGCCGAACCCCGCGGGAACTTTATCCGGCTCCCCTCCTCGACGATGCTACGCACTCCGGCGCCAAGCAGCCTCTATGGCTTGGTTGATATGGGCAGGTACGGCATCACTCCTCTCCCGCACAGATACAACCACTCGGCTTACTGATCATGGGCGACCATCAATAGCAATGGCATCCGGTTCTCAATCACAGACCTGTCACCCTCATCGGCCCGTTCTTTACCAACAATCTACCAGGATCGTGAGGGCATCTCCTTGTTTGACGCGCAGTATTCTACCGGGGTCAAAGGGCCCATCCCACAGGAAACCGTTGATGAAGTGCTTATCTCATTGACGAAATTCAAGACTGCGTGCGCCGACTTTGGAGTTTTTGCGACCAATATCAGGGTCCTAGCCACCGAAGCTACAAGGACCGCGGAGAACTCGGCGGACTATCGCCGCCAGATAAAAGATGCAACGGATTGGGAGGTCGACATGCTGCCCAAGGAGGCCGAGGGAAGAATAGGTGCCCTGGGTGTGGCTAGCAGCTTCGCGACTGTCGAGGGGTTAGTCATGGATTTAGGAGGTATGGTCTGCCTGGCCCAACTGTTTGGCCCAACGCTGACTCTGCTGCGAAGGTGGAAGCACGCAAATCACCTGGATGGTCGCCAAAGACGGCCACATCCAAACCAGCTCGAAAGGCAGCATTTCATTTCCCTACGGTGCGGCAGCCATGACACGGCAACTGGCAGAACTGTCCAACTCGCCCCCGGGTCACCAAGGGCACCACAAGTCGCACTCTCCTGTCTTGTCTGCGCGCGACCTGCTCGCGGACAAGATGAAAGCCGAGTTCAGAAGCGCCTATGAAGACCTTGACCTTCCCGACACTTTACATCACAAAGCTGAACATGGTGGACTGACGTTGTATCTCTCGGGAGGCGGGTTTCGAGGATGGGGCTACTTGCTCATGTCTCAGCATCGCGTCTCGCCCTACCCGATTCCCATTATCAATGGCTTCTGTGTGGCGAAGCGCGAGTTTCAACAAACGGCCCACATCACCACTCTAGCAGCCGAAGAGTCTGTGTTTCGCATCTCGAAACGCCGCGCTGAGCAAGTGCCCGCAGTAGCATTTCTGGTCAATGTGCTCGTCGAGGCACTGCCGATGATCCAACAAGTCCGGTTCTGTCAAGGCGGAGTGCGCGAAGGATTCCTGTTCGACACCCTCGACGCTAGAACAAAAGCTCTTGATCCGCTTGAGGCGGCAACGGCACAGTACGGAACTTCCTCCGCAGCTGATCTCGCCGCTCTGTTGTGGGATGGGCTTCCGGGCGTCAACAATCTTGACCGGTCATTACCGCAAACCTTCACTCCATCTTTCGTGAGAGCTGTCGCAGACATGATGTATCTACACCTGCCGCTACCCAAAGAGACCCGCTCATTGTCAGCCCTACATGCGCCCATCACGGGAGTTCTTGCATCCGCCCACGGAGTTTCTCATGCAGATCGAGCCATTCTCGCCTTGGCGCTTTGCGGGCGGTGGAACGCCGATGTTCCGCCTCCACACGACAACTTCAAGGCCCGTCTCTACGCAGTCCTGACGCACCAGGAAGGCTTCTGGGCAAACTACCTTGGCGCGTTGGCCGGCCTGGTTGGCACAGTGTACCCTGCCGGCCATGTCGACGCGAAACATCCACGGCTGAAGTTCTCGGCACGCTGGGCAGATGGTCTGGGCAAGAAGGGGCTGAGTCAGGGTGTGGTCCTGACGCTGCACTGCCGGCGTGATGACTCGATGACCTGTTCGGTGGCGTTGAACTCGCTGGTCAATGAGATCGAGAAGGTGGGCAAGAAGAAGAATCGCGTTGGTGGAGAACACGGCTATGGAGTCCCGATCGAGGTTGAGATCGAGAGAGAATTGATCTAGGTTCGAGAAGACGACCATCCGGTCGAGTCTTGGAAAGAGTTATCACGTGTCACGTGCTTGTAAGAATGCAATAGAGTAGAGGCAGTCAGCAGTTTGTGGTTCCCGAGATGGCGATGATACAGACAGCGGAACGAGTAACTCGACATCTCGTCACAACATCTGGGTTCTCTTGCAAGATAGACTGAGCCAGGAAGGACTGCATGTCCAGAACCCCTGTTGGTGGTGGTGTGGGAGGGGGCAAACCCACAGTGACAAGCGTAGGGGATGTTAGGGTTAGTTGGGTCCGCTTGGCAGCAGTAGAGAGAGTAATCTCAATAGCAACTTGTTGACGAAGCGGCTAAATGATGGTCGCGCGCTGGTGGGTACGACATAGCCACTCCCGGGGCCACTGTCTGTGCCGTCCCCGTCTGGAGATAGGAAGGTCCATGTCTGACTTTGACGGTTAGTCTCGGTGTTTCGTCCATGTCTGCTAGCCACGCGAGCAACCTCAATGTGGCGCGTCCTTGGTGGCTAAGCGCACCGCACAGTCGAGTCGCCTTAGCCCACCTGCATGCTCCGAATCCTGCGAAGCCGAATTATAAGTTCCGTCACACGCAGTACGGGCTGCTCTGCTGATGTCGATTCACTCTTCAAGGTGCTCACAACTTGGATTTCAGCCACGCGACACCTCCAACACCAGCAGTTATCACCCCTCCGCATATTTGAGCGGCCCCATTAACAACCGCTAGTCCGGCACCTCCAGCAGCCGCACTCTGAGCAGTCGCAAAGATGCTGCCGGCCGCGACGTTTCCGATGCCTCCGTGGATGGTAGCCGCCAGGGTCCCTGTTTCGTTGAAACTGACTGAGCACACGACACGAAGAGGACGGGGAAAGTTCCAGACGAGGAGGACATGGTGCAAAGTCTGCTTGGGAAGGAGGGCACTTACCAGCTTGGACTCCGCCAGCCGTGAAACCCATAGCAGAGAGCACTGGCACAGAAGCGAGAGCCGGGGCAGCCATGAGAGCGACACCGGCGGTCCCGGCGACAGCGCAGGCGGCAACAGCCGGGTTTTCGGCCGTCCAGGCGGCAGCCTGTTCATTTGGCATGTGCGTCAGAAGCTGTGGCTTGTACTCCGTATGGCAGCGAAACTTACTGATGTTACAGCCTTGGGCCCGTGGTCTATGATCGCTTTCTTCGCAGTCGCTGCGCCAGAGGATGCATAGTTCAAGGCATGCTGACCAACGTCACGAACGTGGGAGGCAATATGAGACTCAGCAACCATGGTTGATGCCCTCTGGAAAGACATGCTGGCGGATCTCGGTTCCCATGTAGGTGTGAAGCGGTTGAAGTGCAGGTGAGTTGATTGAGAGCTGGGTTGCAGTAGTACAGGATAATAAGCCAAGACTTGGGCCCCCTTTTCCATGCGGGGTCAGCCGCGTCTTCTTAATGTCACGGCTGGGTGAGGTGAAAGTCGAAGTGAGAGCGGGAACTTTCATGCAAAGCGGTCTGAGCATATCTTGCGGTAGAGTCAAGTACGGAAAAGCTCACAGGCCTCGCGACAGCGGGAGTGTAGAAAACTAAACTAATGTGCTGCTGCTGCTACCACAATCCAGGCCAGCGACGCGTGAACTGCCCACACAATTTCTCAGCAGAGTACGTGGTTCAACAACAAACAAGAAACAAGGTTGATATCTACTGGTCCAGCACCAGCACCAGCATCGACTCGAGTAGGTCACAGTCCCTACCGCAGCAATCATGGACATCGACATCTCCGACATTCTCGCCGACGTCTCTCGCTCTCAGAACTACACATCCACATCCTCATCATCCCACCTTTACTCATCCAGCGACACCGACGCCTTCACCGACCATCAACTCCTAACTCGAGCATGGCAGTCCGAGCGCTGCGCCCCAGACCTGCTACCATACCCGACCGACCTAATGGCACGCGTCATGTCGCGGGTGCAGGCTCAAATATCGCGCATCGAGGATCTCGCCAGCGGGATGAGCGACGACTACACGATCAATGGCACCGCGAAGCAAGGCGGCATGCAGAACGCCAATCTCGTGCTCGCGATCTTACAGACCGATCTGTCGCGCACGCAGTTCCTTGTACGGAGCCTGCTACGCCAGAGGTTGGCAAAGATCACAAAGTACGCCACGTATTACCTTGCCGGGCATCTGGAGTCGGAGGGCAGAACAACCGCGACGATGTCTCAGTCTGAAGTGGCCTTCTTACGACATCATCAAGCGTTATTGGGCGAGCTGTATGACAACAGCTTTCTCAACGCGTTCCCGCAGGCTTTAAGGAGATTAGATGACTCGAGCGGTGGAGTGGCCATGGTTGAGGGGCCAGACGCAAGTAAGGCCGTGGTTGTGCGCTGTTTGACTGAAGGGACGTGGAGCAACGAGAGGGATATTGACGATGCGAGAGATGCGGGCCACGACGAGGGGGCGAATGTGGGCCTGAGGATGAGACGGAACGAGGTCTGGATGGTCAGATGGAGGGACGTCAAGAAGGGGGTCGAGCGAGGAGAGGTCGAGTTATTATGACGAGGGAGTTCTTCGAGATGATGAACGATAGGCTACGACGATCAGACTTACGAAACAAGAGCACCAACAATGTCCTGCAGGTCAATCACGGAGCAGGTTTCCGCCATACATTGGACGAAGCATATTCTCGACTGCCTACCCACACACGACCAGAGCCTCCGACTCTAACTGGCGAGTGAGCCTCTCATTCCTTCTCTAAGCTCCCGGCCTCGGCTGGTCCGCCCTGCTCCACCTCCATGACGCCTTCCTTCTCAGTCTCACCGCGCCTCCCTTCTTCATCCCTCCCGCCGTCTCCCTGCAGCCCGACGGAACTGTCCCCAATCGCGTCCGCCGGTATGCGGTAGTAATCCAAGAAATTGACGCACAGGGCATAGGTCCACGCGGCAATGAAGAAACAGACGGGAACGACAAACGCAAAGGGCGTCGAGTCACGCCAATCGGCCGTGGCTCCCAGGAGTGGTGGGACGGCAGCACCACCGCTGACACCGCCTAAAGTCATGTTAGTATCCGAGACAGCCGCAATCGCGGACAGTGGCCGGGAAGGAGAGAGAGAACATACCGACTATCCACCCGGCCGCCCTTTTCGTATGGCGTCCCTGGCCCCGAATCCCCAATGCCACAATCGTGGGAAAGCACACGCTTTCAAAGAAAAGCGTGAGCATGAACATGGCTATCCCGGTGTTTCGTCTCTCTGTGATTGCCGCACTGCAGAACGCGATGACCGAAGTCATGTAGAAGAGGAAGATGTATCGGGGGCGGATGAAGCGCATGAGAAAGGAGCCAGAGAAGCGACCGACGGCGAAACAGCCTTGCGCTCCGGCAAGGAGAGCGGCCCCAGTGGCGTCGCTGATATCGGAGATCTCAGTAAAGTAATTGATCGCATACCTGTGGTCGAAAGTGTGAACGCTGGGCTAGCAGAAGGCGGGTTGGGAGACGTACCCTGCCAAAGCGACTTGGGAGCCCACATAGCAGAACTGGGCGAACGCCGCATGGAATACCGTCTAGATGAGTGGCCGTATCAGCCAGAAGCAATCGAGACACAAGAACGCAGTCGAAAGGCACCCACATATTGTTTCCGAAAGGGTCTTTTGTTCCTGTCCTCGACCCCGCCATGCGTGACACTAACTTGATGCTCCATGTCCGCGTCCGTGACCTCAGGAATCGGCGAGATGTAGAAAACAAACGCCAGGATGAAGACAAAGATGGCGATCGCGAGGTACACCCACTGCACGTTCTTCAGGCTCTGGATGTCATCCTCGGTGTTCTTGAAGAAGGCGTAGCTGCCAAGGACGGGTCCGACGACCGTGCCCACGGCATTGAACGATTGAGCCAGATTAATGCGCAGTTCAGAATACTTGGGCGGACCGCACACGGCGATAAAGGGGTTTGCTGCCGTCTCGAGACTCCCTAGCCCACTTCCAATGATGAAGGTGGCACCGCAGAAGCCGCCAAAGGACCGCTTCAACCCGGCCGGCCACATGAGGAGCCCGCCGATGCCGTACAGCGTGAGCCCGAACATGAAGACGGCCTTGTAACTGTAATGGCGGAGAATCCAGTTCGCGTAGAACAGTGAGGCCAGCGGATAGGCGCCAAAGTACGCGGCTTGCAGGCCAGATGAGCGGGCGCGAGATATGCCCAGCACTCCTTGGAAGTGCTTGTTCAGGGTGTCGAGAAGGCCATACGCGAACCCCTGGGCAACAAGTCAGCTGGAAGAGAGGAGGTGGCGCGGCCTCTAACCTACCCAGAGAAAATAAAGCGTCGTCACGAGAATGATGGGCAGTAGCGACTGGCGCACGGAGAGTTCAGAAGCTTTTGTGACGGCATCATCTCGTACCTTCAGCGTGGTGTGTTTGAAAAGGCCTGATTTTCTCCTCCCCATTGTGCTGATAGGAATCACGCCGAGTAATGGCAAGGTCAGCGGCCAGAAATGTAGAGGTGCCTAGTACGTCAACGCGCAAGGCCATCAACAAGATATATAGGGTCAGTCACGCCCTGCCTCAGCCCAAACAGAAGAGCAACCAGGACAGACCCCGGCACGACGTTGCATTATAGCCTTTGAAGGCAGTCACATCAACGACGATTGGATTGTAGTCCATGACGTGGTTGGCCGAGCAATATGCGCGTGGATGTAGCATGGCGACGGGGTGTCTTTTGCTCGCACGGTGTGGAGAGAAAACGAGGAGAAGCGGAGGAATGATCTGCATACGATCTGCATTCATGGCATGCGGCATTCAAACTCGGGTCAACAGCCACCGATGCGATAGACCGCGGCAATGGATGCTATTGGGCATTCGGCGAGGTCGATAGAGAATAGGAATAACGTCGTGAAGGGTCAAATTTTTCACTTTGTTCTCCTTTTTCAAGCGCCAGTACCTCACCCAAAGATACGCCAAATCCCAGTCCGAGATGCTGGAGGAAATTTCGTTGCAGACTCCGACGCTAAATGGACTAGGCAAGACCAAAACCGAAGGGTATACCCATCCCACATTCCAAAAAGATCATATCGTCTTGGTTCATGAAGCCGTTTCGACATAGTTGGAGGGGAAGACCCCAGTACGACCATCTTCTGTGCGCCCCGTCCACCAATCAGACTTGCTCTCGGTCCGTTTCGTGATGGTTATGACATCTCCTTTCTTAAAACCGAGGTCTCCCTCCTGGTCGGGGTCGAAGGTGAACAAAGCAATCGCTTGGTCTGAACGTAACGCGCCGGTCTTCTGCTTGAAAATTGGTTTCGGAGCCGTTGGTCTATTGGGCCTATTGTCGGAATAGTTGTGGTCATTCTGCAGCGTGCTTGATCGACTGCGGTTGGAGAAGGTGTCGAAATTGCTGTTACTGTTGTTGCCGGTGTTAGTGCGGCCAGCGGGCGGACGATCGTAAACATCGTCAGCCCATGTATTGGCTCGTCGAGCCTGACTTGGACTATCGCGGTAGACGTAGTTATCGTCCGCCGAGCCCATGGTCGAAGAGCGGTTGTTGCGAACATTGGCACCATAAGCCTCGCCAGTTCTCCCTTCCCAAACAACGTCATCATGCTGGTCGTCGTATATTGGCATGTCGTTGTACATATTGTCGGCATAGGCCGCACCTGAGAATACCCGAGTGTTGAGTACTCTCATCAACGGATCTGCCGCAGGAGGAGGTCTGACAGCACCCTCCAAGAGTTGCCTCGCTGTGACTCGACCATTGTAGAGTTTCTCGTTCGCGTCTCGTCTCTCAATCAGGACGCTGCCCTCCAGACTGACACCTGCGAAAAGTCCCTTTGTTTTGCTGTACGAGAAGACGCCCGCGACGCCTTTTAAGCTGGCAGCACCAGCAGCCTCTGCATTTCGTCCAACTGGGCCGGCGGCAATGGAAACGTTCCCACCGAGAGTGACGGAGGCGGCTTGGGAGAAGGATCTGACGGCGTTGTAGTCATTAAGGATGAAAACGAAGTCGGTCAGTTCGAAGCCTATTTGACCACCAAAACCCCCTCCTGCAGTTGCAACGGCCGACGGAGCCGACCACGAGCCATCGGCAAGCCGTGCGACGACAACGCCGGAACCAAGTCGACCAGAACCGAGGAACCCAGCTTTGAAAACGGTCAAGACTGCTAGGCCCTACGATATGTCAGCTGCAGGTCAGCAAGGGTGAAAAGAGCATACCTTTGCATTTGCGAGGATCGATGGAGGGATCACTTTGTCCGGGCCGAAGCTTTGTCTGGGGTCGACGAAAGACGCCAGAATCTTGCCCGCTTTCTTACACTCGCCTGCAAATTGTGAGACCGGAGCAACAGAGGATCATCGCAGCTGACTTACTCCGCATGGAGGAGGGTAGCGGATTATTGATACCGAAAGGCATGTTGAGGGATTAAAGAGGCTGTCGAGGGATGTCAATTTTCGTTCAATTGGTCGCGTCGTTAGGCCCCGATCACAGCTCGTGGAAAGCGTATAAGCAGCGATGTCGAGATTGAGTGAAAGGCGGGAGTGAGAGTGACGGTAACGGAAGCCGGCGGGCTGAGTGTCGAGGCTCCCGAGTGATGAGTGTGGGGAGGCGTCGCAGTACCACCGTACCACGCAAGCAACAGATTGGTGAGATATTGAGTCCGCTTGCAATGGACTTTGCTCCACGCACGGAGAAGGCGAACTGATAAGGATAATATACACAGGCAGCACCCCACTGAAGCACAATTCACCAACTGCAGCTGCGGGAGGGAAGAGGTTCTTGACTGGGGAGAATTGGATGAGGCGGGACACGCTGCACTGCGTCGTCATTGTCTTGGCGTGTCGTTGCCGTGAGGCGCAGGCAGACCGAGCAGAAACAGCACAGGCAGCTTGCAAGGTGCTGTAGCAACTAATACAGTATCACGCTGCGTTCCGCCGTCACAACAAGGCTTCTCGTCCGTATCGACAGCTCCGGGGAGGCAGTATCGTCCGTTCACCGACACGGTTCGACCTGTCCTTCAACGTGGTCGAGACTGCGCTTAAGAGATAATGAGCCTCACAGTCCGGGGCAGCTAGCTCTGTTGCAATGGCGACGGTGAGAATCTGCGTCGTCGGCGACGAGGGATGTGGTAAGTCGAGCCTTATCACTTCTCTAGTGAAGGACACCTTCGTCAGCAACAGGATCCAAGCTGTCTTGCCGCAAATCACCATTCCTCCGACATTGGGAACCCCCGAGAATGTCACCACCACCATTGTTGACACGTCCGCCCTCCCACAAGACCGCGCGACTCTGGCCAGAGAGTTGAGGAAGTCGAATGTCATCCTGCTCGTCTACTCAGACCATTACAGTTATGAACGCGTTGCCCTGTTCTGGCTCCCCTACTTTCGATCCTTGGGTGTCAACCTCCCGGTGATACTGTGTGCGACCAAGTCTGACCTCGTCACAACCTCTACTCCGGCGCAGATAGTCGAGGAGGAAATGCTGCCGGTCATGTCAGAGTTCAAAGAGATTGACTCGTGTATACGGACTAGTGCTCGTGATCACTTCAATGTCAATGAAGCCTTCTTCCTCTGCCAGAAAGCAGTCACACATCCAATCGCTCCATTGTTTGACGCGAAAGAGTCCCAACTCAAGCCTGCTGCTGTGGCGGCATTGCTTCGCATATTCTATCTCTGTGACAAGGATAAAGATGGCCTCCTCAATGACAGGGAGATGGAAGATTTCCAGCTCAAATGCTTTGACAAGGGCTTGAGCAACGAGGATCTGCAACACATCAAGGAGACCATCGATAACCACATCCCTTCTGCTGCTTCGGCCAAGGGAATTAGCTCTCAAGGCTTTTTGCTGCTCAACAAGTTGTATGCCGAGAAAGGCCGCCACGAAACCATCTGGGTCATTCTGCGGACTTTTCAGTATACCGATAGTCTGTCTCTCCAAGAATCGTTTCTCCATCCCAAGTTCGACGTGCCGGAATATGCCTCTGCAGAACTGTCTCCAGTGGGTTATCGCTTCCTGGTCGACCTGTTCCTCACTTCCGATCGCGATAATGACGGTGGTCTGAGGGACGAGGAATTGGCGTCTCTCTTCGCTCCTACTCCTGGCATCCCGCAATCGTGGGTTGACAATAATTTCCCTGCCTGCACTGTTCGAAACGATGCCGGTCACGTCACATTGCAGGGCTGGCTTGCGCAATGGTCCATGACCACCTTCATTTCACCGAAGACGACGCTGGAGTACCTCGCGTACCTTGGCTTCGAATCGCCTGATCGCTCCAATACCAGTACGACGGCCGCGCTGAAACTGACCAAGCCACGGAAGCGGAGAAGAAAGCCAGGCCGAGTTGGCCGGAACGTTCTACTTGCTCATGTTCTGGGTGCGCCTCAGTCGGGCAAGTCTGCCTTGCTAGACACACTGATAGGGCGGCCATTCAGCAATCTGTACCATCCCACAATTCAGCCGCGAGTAGCGGTGAATACAGTGGAGCTCCCTGGAGGACGACAATGCTACCTCATTCTGAAGGAATTGGGAGAATCCGAGGCCGCTGTGCTGGACAACAAGAGCAAATTGCTCGACCAATGCGACGTCATTGTTTACACCTATGACTCGGCAGACCCAGACTCCTTTGCATACATCCCCAACATTCGCAAGGCTTACCCTCACCTCGAAGATCTGCCTTCAGTCTACGTTGCACTCAAAGCTGATCTAGATCGAACAACGCAAAGAGCCGAGTATCAACCGGACGAGTATATTGCTACGATCCAGCGGATGCCCCAGGGTCCTCCTATTTCTACCAGTGTTACATGGCCTTCGATCCAAGAACTGTTCGTTACCATTGCTGAAGCTGGTCTCGAGCCAGCCACCGCATACCCACGACCTCTTGAAGACGAGGATAGTGGCCAGCTAATGAGATACGGCTTGGCGCTCGGCGTGGTTGTTTGTGCCGCTGCCGCAGCAGTGGTCGTGTGGAGGCGGTCGGCCAGTGCGGGAGGATGAAGCAGCACTCCTTGAATCCTTATTCCCTCGTCGAGTGAGCATAGTATCATCGAAAGACGAAGTGGTGATAGCGGGTCCCCAGCAGCATTGATTTCCCAACGAGTCTGTTTCCTAGCGAAATGATACCCACTTTTCAAACATTGACGACGTCTCTCTGACCTCTCACGCATTGCCGATTTGTACCTATTCTGTCATTGCGGATCCGTCAGGCCAATGGCCACGCATCATCTCATCCTTGATATATACAGAGCCTAAAGAAGCGATAAGGCTTCCGTCTTGCAACCTCAATACATCCAGGAGAATATCCGATGGAGACATAGAAAAGTCTCGCCCTTCCTCTTCAGGTCCGATAAAATAACAGAGACTCTCTCCTTCCGCCCATGACACTTGTCCACTCCACAGTGCTCACCAGTGACAGAAAGGGCGATCCGATCATCATCCACTCCGTCCACCACCTCCTCAAATATAGCTGCGCTAGCACTTGACACCCTGAGGAACAAGGACACGCTCACAATCGCCGCCCTATTCGACTCTACGCTCATCGAACCCCATCCAGAGCCATACACACCACACCCGCCAACATGCCCACCATCATCCCCCCCTCCGACAAAAAATACGTTTCCTCGCTCCTCTCGTCTCCACCCCAGCCTCACAACCCGGCCATCATGTCGACAATCACGACGCTAAACCTCCAAGACCACATCGAAGGCGGCCACTTTGTCGAAACAGACCGCGACCCGCTCCGCGTGCCAAACCCGTTCAAGTCCCATCCGCAACTTTCCGGCGCTACAGCCCAGGATGGTGACCCGGAGACCCGCAACGCGTCCACAACGATCTATTATCTCGTCACGCCGCGCAGTCCCGTCGGGCACTTCCACAGGAATCGCGCACGGACAGTGCATACCCTGCACTGGGGCCGTGCGCGGTACGTCGTCTTGCATGCCGATCGGGCGACTACTGCGTCTTCCGGGAAAGAAACGATATCCGCGAAAGTCGAGGTGGAGACGTTCGTCGTGGGCAAGGACCTCGCGCGTGGCGAAAGGTTGCAATGGATCGTGGAGGGAGGGAAGTTCAAGGCCTCGTTCTTACTGCCTGATGAGAGTGAGGATGGTGACGGGACCACAGCCAGCGAAAGCGAAAAGGGGTGTCTGATCAGTGAGACCGTGGTGCCCGGGTTTGAATATGCTGACCATGATTTCTTGACGGCGGAGGGGTTCGTCGAGAGTCTGGACGCGGAGGGGAGGGAGGAGTTGAAATGGTTGTTGAGGCAGGATCAGCGGGCGCGGTTGGAGGAGTTGAAATAGTTGGTAAGTCAGGACAAGCAGGGCGCTTCGACGAGGTGCTGAAGGCGATGGGGTCAACGTTAGGATGCAAGCATGGTAGCGGGCTGTGGTTGGGCACCTTCAATATGGGTACGACGCAGCACAGTGACACAAAGCAATGGAACGAGAGTTGCATCGGATGATAGTCGCTTGAGAGGCTTCAATGGTACAGATACGGTGTATAGGGGATATCGCTAGGATGAAAAATTGACGCTGCCCGACTCCAACTCCACTCCACCGAAGGAAAGTGGTTGAGTCATAAACCGTCGTCTTCTTTCCCGCTTCCGTCCGTTACCATGCCTCATCCGTCCCCCGAGCATTCCGTTGCGCTTTGTCCCTGTTCCTGAGCATCTGCCCCATCATAAAGTGATTGACATCCTCGTCCGCCCAATAACTCAAGTGACTTGCGATACTAGCTAGCAGAGACACGTCGAACATGCCCTCCTGGATATGGTAGTCGACTCGGCCATTGCTGTTGAGCGCGCGGACCTTGGCCTCTTCGCGCTTGAGTTTGCGAGCTCGTTCCTGCGATTGTCTGTACTCGGTCGAGCTACGAGCTTGAGCTTCGGCATCCGGACCTTCGGTGGTGGCTTGACGTTTTTGAAACCCAGCGTACAGAGTTTCAAGCTCGGAATCGATCAGCGTGGGTGCTTGCTCTGTTGACGGGGACAATTTGGCTGCGTCGGCCAGTTCTTGCTGTCTCTTCTCGTCGGCAACAGGCATGTCCATGTCAACTGCGGGTTGGGCTCCCTGTTTGGCTGCATCTGCAATTTTGGCCTTGTCCTGTGCTAAAGCCTGCTCTTCGCCAGTGATGCCGAGGCTTCTATTGATCAGCGTAGACGCAACACCGGAGGTCAGGTTGTACCAGCTCGACATAATCTGTTGACCTACTCGCTCGGAGATATTGGAGATACCCGGGGCGGCAAAGAGATTCTTCTTGGTGTATGGGATTGGCTGGGACTTGAGCTGCGCCATGGCTGGTGATATGAGCGGCTCTAGGCGGTAGGCTATAGGATCAGTAGGGTGGAAGATGTTGAACAACTCGCTGCATTTCGGGGACGAAGTCGTGATCGGTATGAGATCGGTCGGACTCTGGCCGGCATTGAGCTTCAACGTGGGATTATCGAATGGGTCGTTCTTCATCGGATCTGGATCGAATGGTGATGTAGGCACCGCCGTGGCCCCGAAAGCGCTGGCACCGAGTGACGGCCGGGCAGCGATCTTCCTACCCTTGAGCATCTGAAAGAGACCGACAGGCGAGCCAAGGGCGAAGAAATTCTCAACATCAAAGTCGAGTTTGAGGTCCTTCGATTCGATGCCGAGCTCGCGCGATGTCTTGCTCGAGACTCGTCTCGGACGCGTTTTCAGCTCCTCTTCCTGTCTGCACAGGATATCGAAGCATATGGCGCTACCGAGCGAGTGGCCACACAAGCTCACTTTCCCCGAGAAGCCTGTGCGTTGTTTGAACAGCCGATAGACTCGATTCGATTCTTGCTGCACAATCGAGGCAATGTGCTCTCTATACGCACTTTGGTAGAGGAGCACGTCCAATGCCAGATCGGTGATCAGGTTTCGCACCGCTGGAACGCCTTCCACGGTGATATCCTGCAGCGAGGGGTATTGATCTTCCAAGAAATCGTCAGCATCGCCAATGTCGAATTCCTGCCGGTTCTGCTTTAGACTTTGCTTCGGGAAATCCAGTCTGTGTCGCCAGCAGATGGGCAGCACCTGTACTCTGCAGTTCTTCGGGTCACCACTAAGTGCCTGGAGATCAGGAGCCGACTCATACACGGCCTTCATCGTCTTGCGTAGCATGTTGACATCATGGATGAAGTTGATGCTGTCAAGCCGCAATCCCAGTCGCTGACCAATACCGTGTGTCACGAGAACTAAGTGATCAATCTGTCTTGCCTGGTCTTCTCCGTCTTTCTCCCGAGCGTCTGCCATCTCACGTTCTTCTTGTTCTCGAGCCTCTTCCTCCTCGCCCATGTCGTTGGATTCCTCAGCATTAGGGAGGCCAGCCAGGGAGGATATTTGTCGCTCAAGTGCCGTGCGTCGTGGCTTCTCCGTCTCGTCCTTCTTCTTTGCTTGAAGCTTGTCCTGGCCAGGGTCGGGTTCGCCTTCCAAAGGTATTTTGGCAGACTTGCGTTTGTCTTTTGTGGCGGCAGGTTCTCCATCTTTCTGGTCAGCCTTCGGTGGGTCGCCCAATTTCTCTACCCAGCCTCGAACAACTTTAGTTCCCCCATAGCCGACGAATCTTCCGTAAACTGTGCTGCTCACTCGAGAGAGAAAGTCGTCCGTGGTCAGATATGCGACTGTATCGTCCTGATATGTCACTGTCGTGTTCATATGGATCCCGAAAAGTCGATATGTGTTTGGGCTGGTAGTTTGGCTATCGTCCTGCGATGGTGGCGACTTGCCCGAGGGCTGAGCCGGCGAGCCTTCTATAACCTCGGATCTAGGTCGTGCCCTAGGTTGAGAAGCTGCACGCGGCGATTGCAGATTGAGTCGCCTCCACGGACTCAGTTTCAGGTACCCTTCCTCAAGTTGGTTGGCGAGATTTTCGTCGCATGGTCTTAGGGGATTTTCTGCGTAGAACCAAGTACCTCTTCGAACTTCATACACCGGCCCCAGCCAATATGCGGGCAGCAGCTCCCGCTTCTCAATATCGACATCATACAGATAGTCTTCGTTCACTGGTACTTTGGTGCTCGCCGCGAGCTCAGCGCTTCCGCCTTTGCCTTGACTCTTCTGTGCAAGAGTCTGATATCGCTTTTCAATGTTGATCGAATCCGAGGCTGAGAAGGCAACCAGCCTTTTCGGTACTGGCGGTGGTTTGGCCTTTTCTTCGGCCGATAACTCTGGTGCAAAGGGCTTCCGCTTCGGCACATCGACGGCATAGTACCATCGAGCTTTTAGAGGAGGGCAGTCCTTAGGATATTTGGGTAGACTGCGAGGTCCCAGACTAAGAGTGTGGTCGAGCCCACTGGACTGCTTGAGAGCTGGAGATTTGTCCTTGGGCTTCTGGAGAGGTGACTTGGGCGGAGGTGTGCTGCTTCTACTCCAGGGGAATATCGTGCTCGCCAGAGAGGATTTGTTGGCTGCCTCCGCCATGCCCCTCCGGACAGCCCGTATCAGGGCCGGAAACCGATCCAATATGGTGGCATGTAATTGGCAGCCTTAAGCAGGATACGAGCGCGAGGCTGCACGGTCTTTGAGAGGGGACTCTGGAACACTCCCGCAAGATTGAAGCTCGCTTGATTACAGCGCGGAGCGGTTTGTGCGATTTTAGAGGTTGGCACCTTTCTGCTAGGGGCAGTTGAGATAATGATACAGAGAGAAATGGAAGAATGTTTGATGTTCGAGCCCAGATCAGAAGAAACAGGAGAATCAGCAGATTGAAGGTGCCAATGATGCAACTGGCGGGAAGGGAACGGATTAGGTGGCAGCCTTACCGACTAGCATCCTTAGCTTTGCGTGGCCTATTACATAACTCTCTAGCCTTGCCCGGCGTGGCCTGCGCCTGCACCTGCGCCCGCCAAGTCGCCCGAGTTGCTGCGCCGCAGTGCGTCATTTGGCGTCTGCGGCTGCCCGCATCCTGCATTCTGCAGAGTGTGTGCTTCGTGATCCCGCTTACTGTGGCTGCCCGCTGAGAAGCGCCTTACAGTACCATTGATTGCGACGCCTAACCAGGCACCACCATTAAGATCACTCCCATATCTCCTTCTTTATATCCCCTCTCAGTCACTCATACTCACCGACCGCATCTTTCCCACCCTTTCGACTGACTTAGCACCCCTCATATCCCTTGATCTCTTTGGGCGCGACTGCCCCTCTTCACCCCTCGCTCCTCAGTCACCATGGCCGCCATTCTCAAGCTCCAGCGCAAATATCCTCAATTCCCGCAGAACGAAATCTTTCAGCTACAAGATGCGTTCCGCAAACTCGATGTGGACGACAAAGGCTACTTGGACGAGGCGACCGTCATCAAGGCGACCCAACAGTCCGAGCGAGAGTCTTACGACGTGGTCAGGCAGGCCCTGAAAGAGGTCGAACTGGACAGCTCAAGAAGAGTCGAACTGGAGGACTATGTCGACCTAATCGCCAAGGTGCGCCAGTCTTCTCCGGCTCAGAGACGCATATCCGTTGGGCCTCAACAGCGGCCAGCCAACGTTGGAGGCAATGGGCTGCCTGCGGCTCCAGGACATGCTTCAAAGCCCAGTCTCGGCGGTGGTGGGAGAATCCAAGTACAGGGGTCATCGGCCAATGTCACCCACACGATAAACGAAGAAGAGCGGACTGCCTTCACCACCCACATCAACGCCGTCCTTGCCGGTGATCCCGACATTGGACATTTGTTGCCGTTCCCCACCGATACCTTTGAGATGTTCGACCATTGCAAGGACGGTTTGGTTCTGTCAAAATTGATCAATGATAGTGTGCCGGATACCATTGATGAGCGTGTATTGAACAAGCCAGGCAAGAAAATCAAGACTCTCAACGCATTCCACATGACAGAGAACAACAATATCGTGATCGAATCTGCCAAGGGTATCGGCTGTTCCGTGGTCAATGTTGGCGCCGGCGACATCATTGAGGTCCGAGAACACTTGATCCTAGGTCTGATCTGGCAAATCATCAGACGAGGTCTATTGGGCAAGATCGACATCAAGCTGCACCCAGAGCTCTACCGGCTGCTGGAAGACGACGAAACCCTCGACCAATTCCTACGTCTGCCACCCGAGCAGATCTTACTGCGCTGGTTCAACTACCACCTCAAGAATGCCGGCTGGGGGAGGAGAGTGAACAATTTCTCCGGCGACGTCAAAGACGGCGAGAACTACACCGTGCTCCTCAACCAACTGAAACCGGATATCTGCTCCCGTGCTCCGCTACAGACACGAGACCTCCATCAGCGGGCCGAAGAGGTCCTGCAAAATGCAGAGAGAATCGACTGCCGAAAGTTCCTAACTCCAACTGCACTTGTAGCAGGAAACCCCAAACTCAACCTGGCCTTCGTCGCCAACCTATTCAACACACACCCAGGTCTCGACCCGCTCGAGGAAGGCGAGAAACCCGAGATCGAAGACTTCGATGCCGAAGGCGAGCGCGAAGCCCGTGTATTCACCCTTTGGCTGAACAGTCTGGACGTCCAGCCACCTGTGAATTCATTCTTTGACGACCTGCGCGATGGCACGGTTCTCTTGCAGGCGTACGACAAGGTCATTCCTGGGAGTGTTAATTTCCGGCATGTGAACAAACCTCCCGCACACGGTGGGGAAATGTCCCGCTTCAAGGCGGTCGAGAACACGAATTACGCTGTAGAACTGGGTAAGCAGAACCGCTTTTCCCTCGTCGGTATCCAAGGCGCAGATATAACCGATGGTCAACGGACACTTACGCTCGGCCTTGTATGGCAACTCATGCGCCGGGACATTGTCAGCACGCTCTCTGGACTCGCTCAGCGCATGGGAAAACGCGAACTGTCGGATTCAGACATGATCAAGTGGGCGAACGACCAGTCTCGCAAAGGCGGCAAATCATCTTCAGTTAGATCGTTCAAGGATCCTGCGATCACCAGCGGTATTTTCCTCCTAGACGTCTTGAACGGCATGAAGGCCAATTATGTCGACTATGAACTTGTGACGCCAGGGAAGACGGTCGACGATGCGTACGCAAACGCGAAGCTGAGTATCAGCATTGCCAGAAAGCTTGGTACGTATAGATATTCTGCAACGAGAAGGTACGGTCTCGCGAGAGGAGCCGTATGCTGACCCGACGTGAACAGGCTCCACGATCTATCTCCTTCCAGATGACATCGTACAGGGACGGGCGAGATTGGTTACCACGTTTGTCGGTAAGTTGACATCCTCAACTCTGCTGTGCTTTGCACCAGTACAGTTGGCGGCTAACCAAAGATTCAGGCGCTCTGATGAGAACGGCGGAGAAGATGGGCGCTTAAGAAGGATGCTTCCTGATGCGCCACGAAGCACCCTTCGGACTCCAGTATGGGAGAAATGCCGCTTACGATCCTGCCTCTTGTGTCGGAGGTATATTCTTGAAGACCAGAGTAAGAGAGCCATCTGGTGAAGCGAGGCATGAGCATGCCGACGTGAAAGTTCTGGGCCCGACAGGATGATCTGGCCGTTTTGGACGATATCTTTACTTTACGAATGAGAGAAGTTCGATTTGAATCTCGTGAAGAGCACGATGCAGTCTGCGCGTGTGATTGTCATGTAGATTTATTCATTTCGCCGGCTTGGCCATGTGTTGCGCCACAGCCGACGGCGAGTGATTGTTCTATTTCTTCTCCAGGCATGCAAAAACAGCCTCTCGAGGATTCTGGTGGCTTAGCTGATTACAGCCTTGCCTGCTCTTTTCTACTCCAGCCGACGTCGTTAGCACTGGGTTGCTTTGACACACTGCGTTTCCCTCTCCAGATATATGCTGTGCCCCACTCACGACACTTCTCGTCATGGTCATGCATTTGATTTTTACACTTACTTCCCACCCCTCAGATGCTCCTCAAACCATTGCACCGCCTGCAGGAAGGCGTTCTCCTTGGCATAGGTCGCGACGCGATTCTTCAAATCCCCGCGGACGGCGAATCCGTGCTCCACGCCGGAATAGAGATTGATCTGATACGGCAGGCCCAGCTCTTTCAGGATGACCTCGGTTTCGTGGCGCTTCTCGGCCGGGAAGATCTGGTCGGTCTCGGCGGCGGAGATGGCGAGCGGGCCCTTGATGTCCTTGAGCTCGGCGGCCTCGACGAAGGACGGGTGGGCCGTGTAGCCGGCGTCGATTTTGCCGCTGTCCGGGCGGAGGTGGCGGACGACGTATTTGCCGCCGAAGCAGTAGCCTACCGCGCCGAGTTTCTAGATGGAGGCGGAAGTATTAGCATGTGCATGACTCTTCCATCTGCTGCGAACATGGACGTTTCCCCGTGGCTAATGTTGCCGTGTCTTCTGTTCTTACCTTGACGTTGTATTTCGTCCGCATCTCAATCAAGCAGGCGTCGATGATAGGGTCCACCACGGGGGGCAAGTGAGCCTTCTTGTCCGGATGGTATTCTCCGTTCAACCACTTCATGATGTCAAAGTCACCGGGACGGTTCAGGGGGATGGGATCCTTGTCGAACAGATCGGGCATCATGACGAAGTAGCCGTTGGCGGCGAACTGGTCGGCGATGAGTTGGGCGTTGTTGAAGCGGTGGCCGATGACATCGGTGATGCTGTCGTTGGGATGAGCGTGTCAGTAGTAGTGGCTTGGATTTGAGGATAGGCCGCGTAGCCAGGCAGCAAAGCAGGCAAGATGAAGGAGATAGCCGTGGTACGTACATGAGGATGCCATATTCCGTGTTCTTGTCTTCCGGATACTTGGTGTAGATCTCAAAGTCGCCGAGCTGGGAGAACTCGCCTGTGGCTTCTCCTTCGTGCTTGACGCCCTTGTAGCAGCAAGCGCCGGGTGGGTGAGAAGTCATTTTTGCTCACGGGTGACTTGTACGCTTGTGTGAGAAAATCAATGAAAAGAAGACGTGCTGGCGGGGTAGACTGCGGAACAGGGCCTGCAGGAGGTAGTTTATATAGCGGCGTTCGTGTAGCCGTTTCGAGCACGCAACAGGTACAACCTGGGACGGTGGGACGGGATGGGCTAGGCCTAATGAGAATGGGATGGCATGGTCCCCTACCTTACACCAGTAGGCCATATTTCAGATGCAGTGTGTCGAGTCAGCTACTGGCTGCTAGAAGCATTCAAGAAGGAGGGGCATCAAAATCGTTGGTCGATCTCGGTAGTGGTTTCGTTCTCGGTTTAGTGGAGGAGGTATGCTCCAAGTTGAAACCGGCAGCGAGATATCCACCCGGTCAGCGCCCGGAATGGACGTACCTCGTACAGCGACATGGGAGTTGCTCCTCGAGGGTTCCGAAGAGGCATCGGATACGTAGCACCATGGTACAGAATTCTTCACTGCTGGATTGCGTTGGTGCCCCGCTGGCTGTAATCGGAGATAAGCTCGTGGTGAGGGCCCGATGATGTAATCTGATGCAAACTAGCGGGGTTACCTACTGTGTAGGGTTCTGGCTAGCCAAGTCGGGCAGCTCGCTGCCTGAGGCAGTACACGCAGGTATCTGCTTGCACCCGAATCCACTGTGATGGCGTGTTGTTGGTAAGCAATTGCGCTTCAACTGGGCTCGGAGGATATGTCTGAAGGCGCTGCCGTAGGTTTCCTTCGCCGACAGCCATGTCACACTTGGTGCAGTGCATTCCGGGCGCACTCCTCATTCCATACTTGCTGCGGAGCCTCTTGTTCTCTCTGATTAAGAAGACTCCGCAGTGACAGCGCAAGGGAAGCGCTGAAGAACATGAAAGATCCGCAGATGCTTTGACCTTCAATGTACCGAGGGCCGGATGAGTAGCGAGAGAGAGAGAGAGAGAGTTGGGCCAAAGACGAATATTCACCCCATGCCTCGACGGCCATCCCATCCGTGGTTGTTGACCCCCAACGAAAATGTCGGTGATTGTGGGGGACACCAGCAGTACGCAAGATCACGGAGTATCGTGAAGCCACCGCCGTGCAGCTCGCGGACAGACTATATCCAATACCAGCAACGCAGCTCAGGCCCGCTATCAACTCGTCTGTTCCAGCGATATCATCCTGCCCCAAGATCCTCAGGTAAACAGATTAGCAGAACGGCTTATAGGTCGATGCCGAGAGTTTGACTGGGAAGCATTTGAAGTACTCCTCTGCGTCGCGCCGATCAAGTCCGAAGCCGCACACGCAACTCTCGAGCTCAGAGAGAGCAGACTCCAGCTCTTGCTCAGGGGCGCATTTTACTAAACGGAGATGAATTTCCTTGACAAACAGGTGTCAATTCCATGGTGCGCAGCCGTGAAACAAGTTCCTTGATCGATATGTCCAGAGTATTCGCCTCGCGCAGCGGAAAGAGATTTCTGGCGTTGAGCCCCTTGACCAGATTACCGAATACCATGGCGTCGCAGTTTTTGTTCCACGGACATTGCTGCTGTTCACTCATGTAGCGGTTGAGGAGGTTTCTCAGGTTGTCCATCATAGCTTCGATATACGCAGCTCGGCGCCGTTCGATATCACCTGTATGTTGACCATGTGAGCAATGCTGCAGGACAAAGAAGAAAGGACTCACTTGCGATCCATTGTGGTAACGGAAGACCATTGTCGTCGAACTTCGGGGCGGATTCGAAGATGGCTTCCTTTGTGGACTCCTGGAATGCCGTCTTTTTCTTGAAAACCCAGCAAAGGAACATCCAGTCCGTGAGATGCGGAGGGGAATCCTGCCGATGGGGCCAGAGGTCGTCAAATCACATATCGGTGTACACTTCCGCGCATTCATGCATCTGATACTTGTCGATTAAGATTGCGGTTTTGACGAGCAGTCTCTTTCAGATTGTGCGTAGTACAATCCGAGCTCGCCCGTGTATGATAGCAAGCAGGAGGTGCATCGCCTCGGGGTTATCGTCAGGTAACGTGACTCGTGTCAGTCGCCCAGAACTGAGCTGGACTCCCTCCTGGAAACCACCGTAGAGCATGGTACGAAAGACAGGCGATGCCAGCGCAAGGTGTCTCGAGGAGAGTCGGTATTCAACTTCCTTGACAGGCTGCGATACCTGGAGGTTTGAGGCGTCTGATTGAGTAGGTTATCGACCAACTCCAAGCTCTTTCTGCTTGTCATCTTGAGATACCCAGTCCACCTTGGCCGGGGCGATTGTCGGATGTGCGGTTCTATCCTGCTGACTGAGAACTAGGAGAACATCTCCCGAAGGATCGAATGTTGTGTTGGTTGACCAACCCATCTTTCATAGCAAATGCCAGCTGTTGCAGGTTGGCGAAGGAGCAAGACGGTCGGCAAGAGCGGCGCGACTCGAATTCCACCTGGCGATGATTGGCTGAGTTTACGCGTCAGGTCTACGCGGGCGCGCGGCACGTCGTAACACATGGGATCAGCGTAATGAATCATGGCCCCAGCTAGGTACGGAGTACCACCGAGCTACAATTGCATCACATTCTGAAATCATTGGTGTCTCAATCGCCCGGGATAGTATGTACCGGCAGAGAACGAACTATCCGAAGAGCCGTACGCCGCGCTAATGCCTCTCATATTGAGTTCCCGTAATGCTCAACGCATGTTTCAAGGAGACCATCCCTTCATGGTACGGTTCCCACGCGACGCCGAAACAGGTCTCATCGACGAGACAAGCCACTGATATAGTGAAGAAGGCGCATAATCCATCCAAGCCATCTTGGTTCAAGCCAGATAGTTGTAGGTTGGCTTTCCGGGATCCGATCCTCTCTCTAGATACTCCTTCTCTATCAACCCTTCGATCTTCTTCTTGATCATGTTGACGTCAGGCTGAAACCGCGATGAGATTTGGTCGAGGGTCTCTGTCATTAGCTGAGAATGCGACAACGTCTTGCGTGACTTCATGATGCGGACGATTGCCGCCTCGATGACAATACCTCGTTCTTCGTCTGTCCGCTTCTGGGTCGCGCGACGCTCATCCTGGTTCTCGACGCGGTTGCCGCCCCCACCAGCCACCACGCTGACTTTGATCTTGAGGAACTGGCTGCTGAAGTCTTCGTTGAAGTAGAATTTGTCGGTCGGCTTGACATCCTTGGTAACAGGTTCCTTACGGAGGACTCTCCACTTAGCCACCAAAGATAACGACTGGAGATTTCTGATAAGCTCAGGCTTCGGAATATTCGTTTCCGCGGCAATCTGCTCAAAGGTGAGGGATTCCCCAGCAGGGACATCATTGAAGAGCGTGAGGATCACCATCGCGTAAGTAGAGACATTCAACTCGTACCGTCGTGTCTTCCCGCCCGTGGTGAAAGTAGCTCTCATATCTGCGTCGCCAAGGCCGGGCATCCAGGTCAACTTCCGCCCAGTGTGCTTTTCAAGGTAAAATTTCTGAAACCGTTGCCGTACGCGTTCCACCGAGGCCGGGAACTTGCATTCGGCTCGAGACTCCTCGTCGTCAGGCTTGCTCAGCGATTCGAATGGCCAGATTGTCGTAGTCAAGACTCTGCAGTCGAGGTCGACACGTTTCGGATCAGGGTCACCGAGTTGTTGCACGTACTCCCTGTACTTCAAGTTGAGATCGTCTGAGGTCTCTGTATCTCTGATCAGACCTTCAAGCTTCTGGGTGAACTGGTTGCCGATCTTCATCTTCATCTTCGAGAGCATCTGTCGTTCCATCTCCCGACTCACTGACTTCTTCATCAATAGCCGCTTCGCCATGTGTCTTTTGTAGTATATTTCGAAAGTGTCCTTGTTGGCCAGATACTGAAGCAGTAAGATGCCGTTATCCAGGATAGCATCGACTTCAGCCTCGCTCTTATCCTTTCCGCCACGTTTGAGATATTCGTCAAGGAACAACGACAGGTGCTCAGGGCTTCTGTCGTTGATGTTGATAAAGTCCTGGAAGGAATTCTCCAAGGCCTTTTCCAGCACTGAGTCTCTCTCAAAAGCCTCGATCCAAAGCTTGTCGAACTTGGCCTTCAGCGCCAGAATCTGCTCGACCCACGAAATTGCTGCCTGAGTCTGTTGACTCAAAGCCTTCTCTTGCTGAATGCCCTTGCCGTCGGCGCCGGCTTTCTGGAGGGCCTTTGGTCCGGGTGCATCGCCCATGACGTTGGCAGATTTATTGATATCAGTTCCCAGCTCAATCACTCGCCTCTTGATCACGTCTCTCAGCGCACCTTTCCGTGGGTCAACTCTTGATATCAGCTCGTAGACGTTGGCTAGGTCTTGGATCTTGTCGTTATCTAGCATGTTCTGCACGCCAGTCCCCTCCATATTGATCACATCTTTGATATTTGCCGAGATAAGCTCTTTTTCTACCACAGATTTAATCTTCTGTTCTGTGATTTTGGAGATTGTCTGCTGGCAGCGCTCTTGTTCTTCTGATATCCGCTTCCTCGCCTTGGTGCAGAAGGTGGTAGCATCAGCCTCGACAAGTAGTGTCCGACCCTCTTTGTTGTAGAACTCTCTACTCGTCTGGAGGAACTTGGGTTCGAAAGAGATGAGATAGAGCTTGCTAGACTCGTCCTCGGTGAATGACTCGTAGAGGCCCTCTAGCATGTAGCAGCAGCCGCGGACGAGGGGTCGGTCTATTGTCTCGTTATTCCTTTCCATCTTGATCATATCGAGTAAGACCATCTCCAAGAGGGAGAGCACATTGACAGTTGGATCCGTGTCTAGGGGGGTGTTCAGCACCTCTTTCTGGAACAGTGCCATTGACGTCGCGAAGATAGGTGGGCGTTTCTTTTCTTGCTCCATGATGCGATCCTTTTGTGGCAATAAGCATCGTATCAGCGCATTTAAGGTGTAGAGGGAAGCATACCATGTACATGAGGACATCGGTGATCATCCCTGTGCAGAGCTGATGGTCGTTGAAAGCATCTCTCAGCGTTTTGATGAACCTTTCACCGGCGACTCTGTTTTCTTGAGAAGGGACGCTGTCGTTCGGGTCCAGCGCGCTGGCCAGGAGAGCTGGGGTTATGAAGGAGTAGATCCTAACTCGCACCGTGCCTCGCAGCCATGTCTCTATCAATTGTACTACTTTGTCGTATAACAAATCCTGCTTTTTCTTCAAGACCAGCTTGTAGGCGTTCCGGAACAGCTCTTCGAACGAGAGTTTTGAGGCATTCTTCGCAAAGATCTCTTGAAAAGCGACAGACAACGTGCCCCAGATGGCGTCGAAGTCAACGTCGTCTTTCGTCAGACCCTGTCGCCGAAACATGTTAGCACTGCGGGACAGAGGTGTGCTTGGGTGCAGGAAAATGGTGCAAGACATTGTGTAGGTCGCAAGCAGGGCGCAACACTGGAGTGAAGCAGGAGAGCAGCGCCTGTCCGCCTTTCACTCATTCTGCCGCACCGCATACACGAAGACTGGTCAGAGATATCGCAGCGGCAAAACGTACCCGTCTAGGTGCCCGAATCTTTGCACCCCCTTTCTTCGCCAACATGATAGCCAAGGCAACTCGGCCGCACTTAAAACACGCTCAAAACCACGTGGCCACGAGAGTGTGCGCAGACTCAATAGAGGAGAGTATACGGACTAGGAGGGGTTCTTTTGGAGAAGTGCGCGGACGAGTGAGTACTGTGGGCAATGGCGGCAGCGGCGTGGTGGCCCGGGTTGTCTACAAGCGACAGGTTGCAACCAGAGAGGCGACGGTCTTCAAATTCACTCCTTCACCAGCTCGACTGGAAGCTGCAAACTCGAATCATGCATCTCTGCAGCAGTCGGCCCCAAGCAGTGGCGTGCAAATCGTCGGGCATTCGGAAGAACTTCGGCTGGTAAAGTCCGCATAGACGTTCATACAAAGTTGTGAAAGTTCTAAAGTCACTCACCCGTTTCTTTAAGTTGTTACATCTCAGTCACTCTGAAACTCCAAAAGCCGCTTGACAATGCGATCAATATCACGTCCAGCGTCGAAGATCACTGGTGGGCTTTGGGCTTCTCAGTCGCGATCTACCTTTTCATCAGTAACACCAAGAGCCCCCTCGGCTCTGCGACAGACCGTCCCCCCCAGATCCTCGTTTGCCCCCTTCAAAAGATACTCTTCAGCACTTGCTGTGCCAGGAGCAGAACCCAGCGCGCCAAAAGAGAAAAGAGATGAGCAACCTTCTTACGAGTTGAGCTTCACCTGCAAGCCCTGTCTATACAGGTCCACCCACCGCGTCACAAAGCATGGCTATCACCACGGAACTGTCCTCATCACTTGTCCGTCCTGCAAAAACCGCCACGTAATATCAGACCATCTCAGAGTCTTTATGGATCAGAAATCCACTCTCGAAGACATCCTACGGAGGCAGGCTGCGAAGGGCCAAGATTTCACAAAACTGTTGAAGAAAGGAAGCCTGGGGATACGGCCTGGTAATTTGGTGGGCAATGAAGGCGAAGAGGACCTCGAGTTCTGGGAGGATGGCTCCGAAACCGTGCACACGCCGATCGAGCAGAAAAGAACAAGCCAACCAGTTCCCAAGCAGGGCTCGGTTGGTACGGAGTGAGAGTCAATTTTCCAACATAATCAAAATACGACAATACACGCTGGCCTCAGAGGAAGAAGATACCCCTCTGCCCAGGGTATCTCAGTGCTTTCGGCTGGCTGTTACGTCAAGAAGCTTCACCATGCAGACCGCACGAGTTTCTCAAATGCCGACTTCACGGCGATTCATACGAGGCTTGTCCAGCCCTCCATTATTGGTGCCGGACCAAGACCACACCCGCCTTCGCCTTACGGTCATGGCTGTGTTCTGCTCAGCTCTTCTTCCACGCGTCGATTCACAGTTCGCACCGTACCTGCTCTGGAGGTGGGTTGCCGCCGTACGGCTTTCGCAATGCCTCTCTCGGCGTCGATCCTCTCACTCGTTCATATGGGAAATGCGGTGGGTGTATGTGACAATAAATGGATAACGAGGGGTGTGTACAAGAATTCGCAGTATCACGAGTTTGGATGGCAATATACCAAGAGCCCATTTGTATCAACAGATCAGATGAAGCAATTTATCCATTCGTTGTGGCTTCTACTCTTCCCCGACTTCCGCTTCCTTCGACACGGACGCAAGTTCCACGAACAGTCAATGCCGTCTGCACCCGGGACGACAACAAGGACCCTGAACGCCATTGTATGAAATGCATGCAGTCTAATTAGTCGTCTAGCCCCCTCTATCTCTCTACTCTAATGCCCATTCAGAACGCTCTCCTTGATTAGATACACTCTGGCCTCCCATGGCGTCAGGTACTTGCCGACCTCCTCGTCCTCCCTCAAATTACTCACGAGCAACTCCGTCTTCACGTTCTCCAGGCCTCGCGGATAATGCAACGGCTGCTCCTCGTCGGAGAAACTCAGGAACACCAGCAGCTGCTCGCCGTGCCGGTCGGGATGACTCTTGGTGAAGGTGAAGACGTCCTGGTCGTGGAAGTCCCACACGGAGAAGTCCTGCCCGAAGACCATCAGCTCGGCATACTCTTTGCGTAACTTGATCATCTTCTGGTAGAAGTTGAGCACGGAGTCCGGGTCCTGCTGCTGCGCCGCGACATTGACAGCCTCGTAGTCGTCGTGGACTCGGATCCACGGCTTCCCCGTCGTGAATCCCGCGTTAGCGGACCCATCCCATTGAATCGGCAGGCGGGCGTTATCTCTCCCGACGAGCTGCAGGCCTTTCATGGCCTTCTTCAACCACAGCGGGTCTCCTTGGTGACGGGTCGCGACGTCGTTGTAGGCATTCAGCGAGTCCACGTCCCGTAGCTCCTCGATGCCCCAGTGCTCAGGGTGGTTGTACATGCCGATTTCTTGTCCTTGGTAGATGAAGAGCGTGCCCGTGAGAGTACACATCAGCGTCGCGAGCATCTTGGCCGCTTTCTCCCTCCATTCAGGCTTGTCCGTCGCGAACCTCGTCAAACTCCTTCCTTGGTCGTGATTCTCCAGGAACACAGTTGTCCAGGCGTCCGTCCCGCGGATCAAGTCCTGGACTTTGCGAATGGCGTCCTTGAACTGTGGCAGGGTATGTCGCACGGTGTGGTGTTTTTTGCCTCCACCGTTCGTGGCGGTTCCCAGCATGACAACGTCGAAATCAAAGACGCAGCTCAACTCTCTCGCCTCGGCGGACACGTATTGCAACACCTCTGCCGCTTCCGTGCCAGGGAGTTCTCCGACCATGAGCACATCGCCGTACTTGTCGAGTACCTCCTGCCGCTGCTCCCTCAGCCACTCGTGCATTCGCGGCCCGTTTGTGAAGTGCTCGAATGCCGGCTGGAACTCCTCGCCATGCAGTCTCGTCACCGCGTCCGGAAACGTCACGTCCTTCGAGTACAGATTACACGTGTCGACGCGGAAGCCGTCGATGCCCCTGTCGAGCCAGAACTCGATCGCCGACTTGTAGATCCCCCTGCGGACCTCTTCAACCTCCCAGTTGAGGTCGGGCTGCTCCTTGACGAACAAATGCAGATAGTACTGGTCTCGTTCCTTGCAATACTCCCAGGCGCTGCCGCCGAATATGCTGCGCCAGTTGTTGGGCGGCTGGCGTTTGCCGTCCACTATTTTGGGATCCCGCCAGACGTACCAGTCGGCGTACGGGTTGGCCTTGTCTTTCCGCGACTCTTGGAACCAGGCGTGCTGGTCGCTGGTGTGGTTGATGACCAAGTCGAGGATCAGTTTCATATCGAGGTCGTGGCACGATTTGATCAGGCCGTCCATGTCCGCGAGCGTGCCGTACGGCGGGTAGACGTCCTCGTAGTTTGAGATGTCGTAGCCCATATCCTTCTGCGGCGAGTCATACATTGGGGACAACCATATCGTCTCCACGCCGAGGTCTTTCAGATAAGGTAATGTGCTGATTATGCCGGGGATGTCGCCAATCCCGTCGCCGTTGCTGTCCTTGTACGAGGCGGGCCATATTTGGTAGCAGGTGCTGGCTTTCCACCAGTTGGGTTTTGACGCGGACATGGTATAACACGATCAAAGGATGTAGACTTTTAAATCAGTGTTTCCAACTCTAAGTTGAGAGCAGGATTCGAGGCAACAGAAAGGGCAGGGTGGAAGGGAAAGACAAGTGACAGGCAAGTCACACCAGTCAGAGAGACCGAAAGAACCTGACGGATGATAAGTGATACTATGCCTTCCGGTCACGACCTCGCTATACTATATACCTTGGGACTCAAGGTGCGTAGGGATTGTCAGCAGCGGACCGCCTTCCAGATGAAGTGCGTACACGACTGTGCCCAAGTGAGTGGCACGGCAGTAGGTCATTTAGATATCGACGATTTACTCGGCGAAACTCCAGGAACATTGGAGGTACTTTGGGGCTGACCAGCAAACAGGTCGCTTGGAATGCAAGTATCAACACCCGCGACTCCATAGTGACCCAACCGCAATCTGGGCAAGTCACCAAGGTGGTATCGGGGCAGGCGATGTGAAGTGAACTTGGGAAGAATTTCTGAGGAGGCGAAGGTTGTCCATGAGCTGTGCGGGGAGTGATGGGCAGGTTTGACCGAGAATTTCCCCGGCATGGGCTACGAGGGAAGGATATCCAGTCTCGCCGTTCTAGCAAGATGCTCCAAGAACATACTTTTCGTTCCGCGGACTAGAGACGCGAATGTAGCTAAAATGGAGGCTTCCCCCAGCTCTTGACCGAGGATGCTATCTTGGGCGTCTGCTCGTCTAATCTATCCATCGACAAGGTACTGGATCTTCCGTCTGGGAACCTTGCGCATCATCTCTTTATTTGTCTTGTAGCGCATAAAGACACAACAGAATGGGAACAAGACCGTGTTGATCGCACACCAAGCAAACAGGACGCCAAAGTTCAGTCCAATCCGACTATATGTGTCGAAGAGGATGGTGCGGCTGGCGTTGACGATGTGATACAGCGGCCAGGCGTAGCCGAACTGAAAAAATCCTGGAGCCAGTGGGATGGCATAGAATGATGTTGACACGTTGGATATGACCCAGAAGATCAACCAACTAAACGGGACGTCAGTGAATGCTAGAATGTTGCGGTAGCGACAGGGAAACTTACAATGCAGTCCACGGCTGGCCAATGACCATGGTAACGTTCTCGCTTGCCAAGCCAAGCGCATACATGCCGACCCAGTTCAGCATCCAATACACCACAAATGTACCCTGACCATAGGCATCCGGGTTCTTCGCCATCGTGACATCGTTGTGCGGATAATGGTTCGAGAAGGGGATGAGAAATGCCAGCGACACAAGCGAGTAGGCTAGCGACATGAGGAAATATGCTGCCGTGGTCATGAAGAGGCGCACGAGGACCAGTTCCCAGAAATGCAACGGCGGGTGGCCCTTTGGTATGATAAACTGGGTGTATACCGGCAAGAAGAAGGAGAAGGAGAAGAAGGCGATGATGATCAGGTAGATCAGGCCTATCGTCACAGCTGGAGTGGCTTGCTGGGGCTGGAACGGTCGGAGGTCGATCAAGGAGAAACCGATTGCTGGGTTCAAAGCCTGCGGTGCGCGTGAATACGTCGCAGCGTCGAGGGAGCTGTTGGAAAGAACATTTCGGATCCACTGCTCTCCGAACCTGGCTGGCAGGTCGATCGCGAACTCGAACAACTGCGGGTCGATGTAATTGCCATATGTTGTCTCATCTCTTGCTGAGTTGACAATTATTTGTCCTGCGCCCAGGGGCTCGTAACTCGCATTGCCGGTTGCAACCGCTTCCTGTAGAAGAGCTGTTGCGTTGGCACTGACGATGATTGCCGCCCAAATGTGCTCGTCATACACGGCTTGCCGTACAGCAAGAGGATCGCCGCCGTACTTCCCCGGAGATTCGATTCTGTAGCCCAACGCATAGCCAGGAAGTGCCGCCTGCTCTCGTGCAACCTGTTCAACCACGGGTCCGACAAGAGGTTCGATTCCCGCATAGGATCCTGTGCCATCGAAATTGACAACGGCAACTGTCAAAGCCTCCAAGTTCTGTGGGACATGAAATAAGACGGCCCAGTAGAGCGAAAGCACGCAGAGGATGTAGCAGAAGAGGATTGCAACCGTCAGGGACCATTTCTTTGCAGCTTGCTTCCACACATTCCTTAATGATGGGTGGAACAAGCCGACAGGTAAAGGAACCTCGTCCCCAGAATTTCGCTCTTCATCACGGTTGCTTCCGCCGGGTGTTTGGTTATCCTGCTTCTCGTGCTCGTCTCCAGGGATATCTTCTTTGCCTGTATGATCCCCTGGGTGGTCGCCTTCGGACTTGAGCGTATTCTCAGAGCTTCCACGGCTCATTTCGACGACGCCTTGAAGCTTGCGGAACCCAGGTGCAGGTCAGTAGAGAGGAGCGACGGTCGACAGATTAGCAACATGGGCAACTAGATGATAGGATATCGCAGCCTCACCGTATTTCAGCGACTGGTAAAGCTCTCCTGACGTAGAGATAAACTCGCTTCAACCCGCTGGGCGTCATTCAATTACCGTCACTGGCAATGATTCACCGCAATGTCCGGTCCGCCGCTCGTACATATTGTGGAAATCGGGCATGGTTAATCGTATGGAAGCCCGCAAAAGTCGTGACGTGAGTTATGTGCTCCGTTGCGCTGTGGACGGCGCAAAGCACCATCGGGGTCCGACATGATGTCACCTCACATGGTAGTCAGCCGTGTCAATAGAGAGGACGCGCTCGCTTCAGCATCCAGACGCTGAACCCCTCAGGCGTGTTGACGGGTATTTCATCATAGTTTGTGAGCAGGATGCCGGTGCTGGTGCTGGTGCTGGTTCCTGGAAGAACAAGCCTTATCAAGGCGGTTCAGCTCGGAGCTGGTCGAGCTTGGCGTCAAAAGCGTTGGAAACAGGCATTTCGAGATCGAAATCTCGACACGAGGACATTCCATTTCCATCTCTGGACCTGAGCGTGGCCCTGAGGCTCGCTGTGTGTATTCATCCTACTCCCCCTGGCACTTCCGCATCGCCGATCTGAACATGCGTCTCGTTGACTCGAAGATGACACTGGGATTGTTCTTACAACTACAGAGATTTCCCTCCTCACCATTTGCTGGCGAAATGCGACTTGTGCGACATCCCAACAGATGATGAGGAAACTAACGGAGTCATCAACCATGTCCCAAATGGGAAGGTCGAGAGCTACAGGCACCTGCTCGCTTCCGCCGATGATACCACCTCTCCTCCACTAGGCTGGATTTTCCTACTGGTTCGGACAGCAATAAGGTCCGTCCATCGTCACAGAGACAATCGACTCTCTCCCATCCTCGGCCGGACGGTACTCCTCGGACGACCAACCGGGTGCGGTTCGACCTCGACGACCGTGCTGGCAGTCCTCAACCCGAAGAATGGACGGACGACGATAATTACCTTGGCTTCCTAAGTCAGCGTGCTCCATTACTCACAGACATAACACCACCTTCTTCGTCGCCTTTTCTCTCAGAATCCTTTCAGACCGAGGACTATTTACCCGATGCCAGGCCCAAGAGCGGGATGCGAAGTGCTTTCATAAATATGGCCAACTCCATCATTGGTGCTGGGGTTATTGGTCAACCATACGCATTTCGGCAAGCTGGAACGACAATGGGAATAATACTGTTGATTGCGCTGACCGGCACCGGTGCACCCGGGAGCCACAGTGCTCTCTTCGGACTTACACTCGAGGGGAAGAAAAATACCGATGCTGCCAAAGGCAGCTCCGCACCAAAACCTAGTGGCGGCGAGGAGCCTGCCACCGATGGTGGTAAACAACCAGAAGCCGGCGACACCAGCTCGTGAGCAACAGCCGGAAATGGAGGCCTGAGTGATCAACTGCACAAGGCTGAGGCCGATCCCAGCCAAAAGGGCGGACAGAAGACGGATCCTGTACCATTGTCGGCAGATGGAGAAACTAAACCGGGCGCTGGTGCTACCGGCTTTTAAAACGACTCAGAACATGAGCTGTAACGACGACAGAGGATTGTGGCTGGGCTTACCAAGTTGGGGGAAGTCCTTGTAAGATATCTTCGGCCTGTCAGGAGTACACCGAATGGAGGCAAGTACATAGGTGATGGGTCATGGTTAAGAACCTTGGTGTTCACCTCGTCGACTTGGGACAAGAACAAGACGACGGATCCCTACCATTCACTTCATGTTGATATGGAATTAAACCCGTTTGTAACATGTGAGCCATCAGACTGCCAACACAAACGGCCACGCCGACTCTACTCTCCAGCGGCCACGTCAAATGGTGCCTATCCCCGGGACGCCATGGGATTCTTGAGCTGCACTATTACCACCGTCCAACGACCGAACCTTTCCCTCTCCTTCCACCCTCTGCAGCTTTCCCCCACAAAATTCAGAGCCCAGCTTTTCGACCCTCGTTCCTCTGCTTCTAGCTGTGTCTTGGTTTGCTCAACCATGTGACAAGACCAAAAAGTCCTTTGTTTCGTGTGCATCCCGATGGCCAGCCGCATAGGTTCGGCCGGCCAGCCTTCACTTTTTCGAGATCGAATTGACAGAATCTGTTTTTTCGGCTATGGTCCGTATCCGTACCAGGGCCGGTACTGAACCCTCTGCATGACTGTGCGGTACGTTAGCATGCCGATGAGGGTCGTGGTGAACGTCGTACCTCCAACTTTGATTTTCACGACCTGAAAGTTCTGCCAAATGGTGACTACGCCTATCGCCGTCGCAAGTACTCCGAAAACAATGGTCCATATCAATTCAGCCGCCATCCTGTTGGTTTGGTGCCAATCTGTGGTCCTTTCTGAGATGTACGATAGAGCACGGTGAGCTCTGTGTCCGGAGGCCTCTTGTCTTTCTGAGGATGAATTCGACATTGAAGCGAGACATAAAGCTGGATCTATATACCGACATTCTCAAGGCCCCGGCGCCATTTCCCCTGGCGCATCGGTTGTGAAGATGAAGATTGCCAAGACAGCGACACTGACTTTACCCCGGCGCAAAACCAACTTGCCAGCAGCAGTGACGGCTGCTCAAATTGGGTCGTTGCCCTGGCGCAAAAGACGCTCCACTTCTCCTCATCACTTTACCCCAGGTACAAGGCACAGATTAAGCCCCGGTAGTCTGAAGAGGCCCAACCGGTCGTGGTGATGGCGCAGTAACAGCCCACGCTAACTCAGCCGGCGGCCCTGTATCTTGGTTGCGCCGGGGCTCGTCACAGCCAATCAAGGGCGTTGAGCAGCGCGCCGGGGCTACCTTCTGGATTCGTTGTCCTTATCGTGGCGCAGAAGGACACACAGGTTCTTTGCGCCAGGGCAGAAAGACACTGCGCCTTCTGCGACAGGGCAGAGAATCAGATAGCTGCTGCCTCCCTGTTGCGGCCACAAGTGCACCTCAAGCTCAATCCTCATAAAATGACGATTTCCCATGGCGAACGGCCCTGGCGCTGCGCCGGGGCCTATCATACCGCACCATCTGATCTTGTGAAGTAGTCACTTCGCTCTCTAGAGTGAGGGATCAACCTCGGAACGCAGCAGCACCACCTTCAGCCGAACGCTCGACACCACGAAGCACAAGTCCTCTTGCATCCCGGCCCCAGTGTGAACGGCAGTCCGGTGAATTTCGCTTGATAGACGCGGGTTTATCGTCATTACCCACCGCCAGTCGCTCGAACTGAGGGCAGCTCACTCGCCCTCAGGTACCACACACAAGCATCTATCCGCGCAAATGTGCTCGCGGTCGACCACTCCAGACAAAAAGACAATATGCGAACGCACAAATGTACCGTTTGTGGAAAGACGTTGTCAAGGTCGACAAAGCTATCGGAACATCTTCGATCTCATACTGGAGAGAAGCCCTTCCAGTGCCCAGTCCCCACCTGTGCAAGACTGTTCACCAGATCATATGACCTAACCAAACACAAAGAGCTGCACAGTGGGTCATACAAGTACAAATGCACATTTGAAGAGAATGGCGTACGATGGGGCTGCGGTAAAGGATTTCACAAAAGAGGAGACTTGAACAGGCATCTTAAACGGGGTAATGCAGCACAATGTTGGCAGCCTCTAGAGAACCCGCAGGACGGGCCTGAGGCGGCAGTCATTTTGTCTAGCATGAAGGACGATCATGCAAAAATCACAGCTTCAAGAACTCACGAAAATCAGTCCGACGCAGAACTGTTGACTCGATTGCGAAACCTGGAAGGATTGCTCCGTAGTATGGGTGGTTTTGGGGGCGAGGATCGGGCGACACCGCCTCCGCCATTGTCGGCTCCTTCCATTGACGGTCCAGGAGCCGGCACAGAACTTGAAAGTCGATTACGTAGGATGGAAGGCATTCTCGGCCTGCTTGCCTCGTCGGACAACAGCAAAACGCATTCCTCTAACACGCCACCTCGACTTTCCGATGAAGACGAAAGGGTTGACAAAGGAGTTATATCTTCGAACGATTACCGAAGAAGCGATCATTATCTCGGCCCGGGGCTGCTCGGGATCCTACCGATCTCTCCAATTCTCAACGAGCAGAACGTGGCACTGGCTACAGCTCAAAACTCAGAAAATCCTGCGCAACCCGAGGACGGTAGCGAGAACCGGCCTTGGAGTAATTTAGCCATCGATACCGCCGACGTGGCGAGTACGATTAGAAGCAGGAACGGCTTGGCCGCAGACACTTGGTCACAGCAGGTCTATCCCCCTGAAGGGTTACATTTACCTTACGGACGAGTTACCGGACCAAACGACGAGGCTGTGTCAGCGAGGGATCCGAGTCGCGGTGATTTTGAACTGGCCGACAAGCATTTCTTGCAGGTCCGCGGCACTGATGTCGATCGCACCGAGCCAAGCCGGACCCTCGTAACCGGGGATAGTGAGGGTCAAGGTCATCCTTCTTTGTGGAAACGGCCGCCACGTATTCTCCTGGCTGAAGATGATCCAACGTGTTGGGGGATCTATTCGAAGTGGCTCGAAAGCTCCGAATGCATCTTTGACATTGTGACGGACGGTCTTGGGGCGATTAATAAGATACAGGAAGGGATCAAGTACGATGTCATTCTGATGGACATCATCATGCCCAACTTGGATGGCGTTAACGCTTCGCATATTATCCGCCAAGTTGACAGGACGCCAATTATCGCCATGACCTCAAGTACCCGAACAGACGATTTCGCCCTGTACTTCAGCAGCGGTATAAACGATGTCTTGGTAAAGCCGTTTACCTCCAGAGCGTTGTTCGGAACGTTGGCAAGGCACCTCACTTACTTTGACGTGACACGGCAACCCGAAAGACGCGCCAGTGACGTCAACGGCGATCAAGCGATCGTTGAAAGCAGTATTCCTCGTTCCGAGTCGGCATTCCTTCATACAGCTGGCGGAGTTGACCACGGAAGCACCGCAGCCGCAACAGCCGCACTGACCCCTCCACTTTCACTTGGGAGTATTCGCCAAAGATATGCATCAACTATAGATGCTCCAGCAGCTCCTCCGGAATCAGAAAGTGGCAAGCTCAAACGGTCAGAATGGAACCGAACAGATTTGCAGTGTCGCAACCGTAATTATTCAGCAAAAAGTAGATCAGATCTAAGAAAACACTCTGCACGACATGCACGCGAGCACAAATGCCCCGTTCCGTCCTGCTCTCAGCGGGTGAGGGGTTTTGCTACAGCCAACGACCTTAACCGACACATACGAGTCGTGCATAACGTCAACACTCGAAACTCCAAGGTATACAAAATGCTTTGGCGTTGACTGTACGGCGCCAGACAAGGAATGGTGTCGACTAGACAATTTCAAGCAACACATCAAGAAGATGCATGGTGGTGAGAATCTGGAACTTCTGTTGCGATTGTGAGTCCGCATTACGCCCACCGTATATAAGTGGGATTGACTAAAGTGATATCCTAGGTCGAAAGACTGGTATCAGGCGAAAGTTGGATACCATGTTAGTTAATCTGCCAGCATTCACAGGCATCATGACGGCATATTCCAATGAAACAAATCAGCAAGTACTATAGAGTGGTGGCGAGGCATACCGCCTTTGAAGCCCAACATCGGAGGTCTAATCTCTACCATGAGTGGCCGTACCTCTACTACAGACGACCTCTGGGCTCGAGCAAAGGCCAGCAAGGTCGGCGGCGGCGAGAAGTATATCTAGGAGATCCAGAAAGACCAAGACCGAACTCTTCGACGCTATATCCAACAAGTCGGATCGAGTCTGTTCCCTCCAAGAATGGATGGTTGGCTCCGACATGACGGTGGGGATTCGTAGCGCTTCCACCGACACTAACAGAAAAATGCCCCTGCACCTCGTACCTTGTCCGTGGTCTTTGGAAGACTCTGAGGTCGATGCCGTGCAGTGACCGATACAACCATCTGAAAATGTTCTGCGTTCGACGCCACCTGCGAACGCGAAATTGGTGATGTGGACCGATTTCGCCGAAATCGTCGGGCATTGTCCAATGGGCAAACATACCGGTCATCAGACATGTTGCACTTGGTGATCAATCTCGTATTTGCCCTGACCCTAACTTCAGCCTTGTCCCTGTTTGACGGGTACCAAGGTCTGGACGACCTGCACCTCCTTGCTTTGCGCGGTAGCTTTTCCGTGGCTCGAGGAAGCCAACTGCATTCAGCAGATAGATGTGAATTTATTACGAGAGTCTGAACCCTCCTCAGATTAGAATGGATGACGGATTGTTCAGTCTCTTGTAGAGTCTGAAGACCGGGCAAGCCTGTAAAGCACTCCAATATATCTATTTAAAAAGAGCCATCGATCCCTCCAGCTGCAGATAAATCCAAGGCGAATGACCTCGATTGGAATTCTCTTGATCAACTTCAACCGCAACAAGGAGACTTATTGGCGATTCCTTGCGAGGTGACCGGTGCAGTAAAAAAGCCATGCCCAGGCACACCAGGGTCTCAAACATCGCTAACGAAAAGAATGATGCACACCAAGTCTGAAATTGCGGGGGTTAGTCAGAGAACCGCGTCCCCAAATCTGCACACTGAACTCCGCAGATCCACGAATAAATTCGGGGGCTATGCACGGGGCAGGCTGATCTCATTCTAGCAGTGCCTGCCGTGCTCTGTCCCCCAGCTCGCCCAGGCGCTCCAGACGCCTGAGGCCCAAGATATTAATAATTAAGACAGTCGCCAACCTTGGACCTTAGACCTGGATTCGGCCTTTGCTCTTGCCCTCGATGACCGCTCCGCTTGATCGAATCTCGTGCACGGCTCAACCCATCTTCCTGCAGTCTAGAGAACTCAGTAAAACCACGCAAACCAAACGTCAATCAAGATCTCATTTCCGCAATGATGGAGCAGAGCTCAAGCCGTCCGTACCGTCGACAAAAGCGTAAGTTGGCATGCAGGTATTGCAATACTCGCCACATACGATGCAAGACCCCGGAGGACGCCGACCCGAATGACAAGGCCGCTGGCCGAACCCGCCAGCGTCGATGTCAAGCTTGCTTAGATGCCAACGAGGAGTGCGAGCTCGAAAAGCCCACTCATGCAAAGTAGGGATATTTCTTGCCCCGCCGCCATGGTCAAACAATGCGCCAAGTGCTAAACACTCGGTATTTCAGGAGTTCTTCCAGATCGCTCAAAGCACGTCAGGTGGAGGCCCGCAAAACAAACCCACAACAGTCTTCCGCGATTCCGGAACTGTCGCCCACACCACCAACAGATCAGCAAACTGACATCAGTCCGCAGAACGATGCTTCCAGGCTGCAAACAGTAGGAGTGGACTCTGCTTACGCGCCCCCGCCCAGCAGGAACTCGGCTCAGGAAGGCTCAGAGATGCTTCTGGTCCGGCTGACGGATATACGAGACAACGATGAAGTGGGACCCCGGACTAACATGACTAACAAGGTCGTTTATTTCGGGGACGAGTCCATTTGGTTTTATAGCCTTCGAAAGGCTCGGAACAGCAAGTCCAGATATTCTGCAAGTCCACAGTCCAGCGCACAATCGGTGGACAGTAACATCCACTATAAAGTGCCTCAGACACTAGATGATCAGCCTCTAGATGTCCCAGAGGACGATCTCGGCCTAAAGCAAGAAGAGATTCATTTACTCCAGCAAAAAGGGGCGTTTTCTCTGCCACCTCCGGACATCCAGAGGGAACTACTTGACGCATACTTTTTATGGCTTCATCCTTTACAGCCGATCATCGACAAACAACAATTTCTTTGCGTTTTTGACTCCGGTCAGGCGCCCATGATTCTCCTCCAAGCACTGTTGTTTGCAGGCACAACCTGCTGTGACGAGAATGTCATCTTGAAATATTGGCCGAGTCGTCGGTCTGCTCAGGCTGCTCTATACAAGCGGACCAAGGCCCTTTATGACGCCGATCAGGAACAGAATCGTGTCACTATTGTTCAAGTTCTTTTCTTGATGTGTTTCTGGTGGGGCAGTCCCACGGACAACAAAGACTTCAGTCACTGGCTGGCGGCATCTATACATCTGGCGCAAGTAATGGGCATGCATCGATCGTATGAGCACATCCACGTTATGATGAATTTGAAACTAATATTCAACAGAACAAAACACTCGCAACTGTCCATCAAAGATCGGAAACTCTGGAAACGAATCTGGTGGACCTTATATGTAGGCACAAGCCAAGTGCCGCAACTTCGTTCATGACACCTGACTCGTTGACTTACACAGGTTCGGGATCATTTCGACGCTGCATCAGTTGGCCGTCCTATGATGATAAACGACGACGACTGTGATATCGAACCGCTGCGCGAGACTGATTTCGAACACGGAGAAGACGGGAAGCCGCCACTGGGAGCTGGTCACTGCATTGAAATGACGAAATTAGCAGCTCTGAGTATGCGTTCAACTCTCGTTGGCAAAAGCGAATTGGGCTGATCTCAAAAGTTGGTCGAGCAGTCCGAGCCCTCCGCACCGGGCAAAAGAATAAAGCCCCGAGCGACTCTTGGAAAACGATTGACAACGATCTTTCGGGGTGGGAAAAGCAGCTACCAGAGCAGTTCCGGTATCACGAGGAAGAGCGCCGTCCACAACTGAAGTTGTTTGCATCCATGCTCACGTTGGGCCTGCAGTATGTGGAATCCGCCGCATGATATGAAACCGCCTCTCACTAACGAATGTACCAGTTTTTGCAGGATCGTGCTGCACCGAAAAATCTTCTTGGACTCGAACCCCAAGGCCGATTCCGTCTCCATGGCCCCGGCATCTGCGACCGCTGTGACGCGAGTCGTCGAGGAGCTAGTCACCGAAGGTCTACTACCGCGTGCACAGGTCCATTTGTATGTTGAAGACGCTCTGTGCAGTACTTGTGTGCATCTCTTCGCACCCGCTGACATTTGACGTTCTAGAATAGCAGTTATTTTCGCATCTTTTACAATCCATGTTATTTCTATTGACCAGAGTGTAGGGGCACGAAGGCGAGTGTTGCAACACAAAGCCGAGCTCTGTCTCTTAGGGCTGGGCGAATTTCGTGACTATTGGCCTTTTGTGGATTGGATGTACCGTCTGTTCAGTAACCTATTGCACAGGCTGGGGCTTCAAGGCGGCTCATCTGAGGCATCCGACAACAAGGAGCTGTGGACCAACCAACCTCGGCCGGAAAATATGATTCTGCAAGATGACCTGATGGACAGCAACCGAGAGGTTGCTCGCGACAATCAGACGACCATGTCTGTACCAATATTCGACCAGAATGCAAACTCGACGGCCGATGTACAGCCAGAATTTGGCGCACGGCAGCAGTTCATGTCTGGCATGTTGACGTCGGAGAACTTTTTGGACCCTTTTATGGCCCTTGACAATCTCGAATGGTACGATTCGAACACGGCTAGTTTAGCCTACCTGAGCGGAAATACCATGCAATGGACCGGCGATCCACCATCAGCAGCGGAAAAGACGTCGCTATCCTGAGTAGCTGCTTATGTCTGCTCTCGTAGAAAGGTATCCCTTTCACCTTTCCACATACCAAGCCAGGTCATTGCCCTTCTGCAACTCATATTGCAGGAATCCGTTCCCCAGAAATCGAAATCGGTTCTTGTTTCTCGGCTTAATGTCGAAGTCTTCCGGGCGCAGATCTTGGATGAGCCGCTTGAAAAGCAACGCGCTCCCCGCAAACGTCGCCGTCACTCGCCCATCGATCGTGTTGTTCTTGTACCAGCTCCGACATGCGCCGGTCCAGGTCAGTGTCTGGTGGATCTGATCGGAGTAGACGATGAAATCATCCACTACGCTCTGCTTGGGGACGACCGCTTTGATGTCTTCCGAGGCAATTTTCCGCATCCATTTGATCATGTACTCGGCACTCCACCCTAGACTTTCCATCAAGGAGCCGTGGCCGATCAGTGCGTTCGGGCCGGTGAACATGAAGTAGTTGGGCATGTCGGGCGCGGCGAGTGATAAGTATGATGAGGGTTCCTCGACCCATTTGTCCGCGAGATTCACTTTGTTACGGCCAACGATAGGGTATTGAGGACGATAGGAAACATCGAATCCGGTGGCGCAAACGACTAATTTTTTCCACTTGATCAGCTTGCTGATGACTCGGGGATTACACGCTCGAAGCGATCCTGCTGAAAGGAAACTTACCGACATCGACTTTGTAAACCTGACCATCAGTTGTGTGGATGCTATCGGCATCAATGTTGGTGATGGGACTTTGAGTGAGTCCAACATTCTCGCGCAAGAAGGCTTCGAGATATCCCTCCCCGGGAGTAATTCTTCGACACCCCAGCTCCCATTTTGGAATGAGCTTTTCGCACAGTTCAGGATTGTTCTTCAGCTTGGCCGTCATTTGTCGCCGGGCAAGGTCAAGAATCTGCTCGTTGAGTTCCGAATTCTTGACAAACTGTGTATTGCTTGTTAGTCCGTCGGCGAGTATCCTGGCTGTTGTTAATCACGTACCATCTTAAAACTGTCATTGATGCTGTGAATGATCTTCTTACGGTATTGATGATGCTTCTGAGGGTCTTGGAGGAAAGCTTGCTTTTCCTCATCCGTGTACTCCGGATTATACGCCGGGTCGTCTTTTCCAAGGAGCGATGCCGGGCTCATGGTGCTGACCACCCAGGTTGGGCCACGTTGAAAACTCGTCACTTTCGTCCCCGGTAGCTTGGCCAACTGAGGCAGAATTTGGATCCCAGAGGAACCATTCCCGATCACGGCGACGGTCTTGTTGCTGTAGTCGTAATCGTGGTCCCAGCTGGCCGAATGCACCTTTTTGCCCTGAAAGGTTTGCAATCCGGGAATCGATGGCCAATTCCAGGTGCTGTGAGAATCTCATCAGCCTTGTCTTTCAACTTTCCAGACGACGGGGATTCAGGACAGAATCAAGGGTGGCTTACTTCAAAAACCCCTGGGCTGAAATCAAGATGTCCGCGTAGTCTTCGATGACGGTGTTGTTATGCTCGACTATTACCCGCCATTGGCCGCGATCTTCTTGCCAGTACGCTCCGGTAACACGATGATTGTATTTGACATCACGCTCAAGATTCCACTTCTGAGCCATTTTCTTCATGTATGCCCAGATCTCGGGGCCAGTAGAGAAGAAGCGACTCCAGCCAGGATTGGGGTCGAACGGAAATGCCTTTGGTTGTTAGCGTTTGATATATGCTCCCTTGAAGGCTCCTTTGATTTTTTGGGACCGTACATAGATGTGTGAAGGGACATCGCAGACCACTCCGGGGTAGGTATTCACCAGCCAAGTTCCTCCTAGTTCGGACCTCGCTTCATAGATGGTGTGATCAATCACATCGCTCAAGTCGCTGTGTTGATGCTGGAACTTGTGGGCCAGAGTGAGCCCCGAATAACCAGCACCAATTGTCACCACCCGAAGCTTTCTGGGCGTGTATGCTGGTAACTGTTTCAAACTGGTGCTCACATCTTCGAAATGGTGGGCATCGCTGGCCTGTGCGCTGGGGTCAGGAGTTGTGTCGGTTGCGATATCGACGTCATTGGCAACACCGTTGGTAGCGCCATTGGTAAAGCCATCGACGGTGCGTTTGACTGCATGTGTTGGGTTAGTGTTTGCCTCACTAGAGCGCGTCATTGCTATGTGATCGCCTTTGTAAAAAAACTGTGGGATTCTATCACGACAAAGATAGCACGTTGGCACCTGCCATTTACTCAGAAAATGGCACCGGCTTCAGAGATATACCCTTCCCAAATTTGTCCCATGTCATGCACACACAGCCTTGCCAACGGATGGGTCAACGAAGGCTATGCGGAGGTCCGCCCGTCAGTCCTGCCTCGGAGTCGGGTCTCGAGCTCGTAAACGGTCAAATCTACTTGGTTTTGGCTCTAGAGTGGCGTGTCTCAGCTCGGTACGCTCACAACTTTATTTCGGCGAAATCGGCTGACCAGTTATTCAACGCTTGTTTGCCCTAGTAGGAGAGAGTGGCAGGATGGACGTCATCTTGAAGTTGGGCTTGACCTGGGGCTCTTCATCGCCGAAACTCGAGTGTCCAGACTTTGGAGTCGGGTAGCACATTCGACTCTCCGGGGAGTGTTCATGACCGCAGGGGTGTTAATTAGAGATAACAGTCTCGGACATCTCAGTTGGAAGTGGTCAACTCCTGTCCACTCGTCCCGGAAATACCATATAGAGCCTGCGTTTGTTGCGTTAAGGTTAGATCTCCGGTTTTAAAAAGGCTTACCACCATCGACGCATAGTCCCAACAGGCCATGGGTTCCATCGGCGGAAGTCTCGAGTACGATGCCGTCCTCATTGGCGCCGGTTTCGGGGGCTATACTATGCTTCCCAAGCTGCGTAACTTGGGACTTCACGCAAAGATTTTCGAGCGAGGTTCGGGGTCTGGAGGTGTCTGGTCAGTACGCTAAGGAGATGAAAAACGGATTGTCCACTTGACTGACACGTATTGCAGGCATTGGAATCAGTGTAAGTGGACAGACAGTGTCCACGATCTAACAGCGAGCTGATCATGGCTCTAGACCCTGGTGCTCGCGTTGACAGCGACTCGCCAGCTTATCAGTTCTTCGACAAGGAGATTTGGGAGGATTTCACCTTCTCCGAACGCTTCCCTGGATTCCGCGAGCTGCAAAAATACTTCCAACACGTCGAGAACAAGTGGGACCTACGAAAGGACATCGAGTATCACAAAAATGTCATATATGCGTTCTGGGACTCAGATAGTCGACGGTGGAGGGTGGGGTGTTCGGACGGAACCGAAACGAAATGTAGATGGCTGTTCGCAAACGTGGGCTTTGCGGCCAAAGAGTAAGTCACCGACTCTGATTGTCCTCTTCACTCTGCAGCACGACTAAGCAAGAGACAGGTACATACCGTACCTCAAAGGCTCTGCCGATTTTCGTGGCGAGATGTATCACACAGCACACTGGCCGCACCACGAAGTCAGTCTTCGAGAGAAAAGGATTGCCGTCATTGGCACAGGGGCAAGTGGCATTCAGGTGATCCAAGAGGCGGGAAATGTCTGCAAGCATCTCACTGTGTACCAACGCACGCCCAATTTCTGGTAAGCTGCTCTGCTGTCCATGTCTCGGAGGATGCAGTCTGACCTATTGATTAGCCTTCCAATGCAACAGCGTACCTTGGATGCCAGAGAAGAGCAGAAAAAGAAGGATGACGGGATTTACGAAGCAACTTTTAAAGCGTGCGAGAAGACCGATGCCGGTGTCCCATACCAAAACAACGGACGCAAGACCTTCAATGACACGAGTGAACAGCGTGAAGCTTTGTGGAACTCTCTCATCCAAGACGGCGGCTTCAAATTCTGGGTCGCCGGTTACGCGGACATGAATCTCGACCAGAAAGCCAACGACGCCGCCTACGACTTTTGGCGGCGCATGGTACTCAAACGCATCAAAGATCCGGAGAAAGCCAGGCTGTTAGCACCGGAGGTCCCACCGCATCCTTTCGGTGCAAAGCGTCCATCGCTGGAACAGAACTATTTCGAGGTCGTCAGCCAGGAAAACGTTGACATCCTCGACTTGAACGAGTTCCCCATCGAAGAGATCAATGCCACGGGCATTCATACCGCGGCAGGGCAGGTCGATGTCGACTTGATTGTTCTTGCAACGGGTTTCGATGGTCTGACGGGCGGTTTTATGGATATCGACCTTCGGGGCGTTGACGGACGGACTCTAAAGCAGCACTGGAGCGACGGGGTCAAGACTTCCACGGGCGTGGCCGTGCCGGGGTTTCCCAACATGTTCTTTCTCTTCGGGCCGCAAGCACCGTCGACATTTTCGTAAGGAGGTCCCGTTGTTGCTACTACTTCATCGTCAGCTAATATTTGATCTCCAGCAACGGCCCATCTTGTATCCAATTCCAAGGCCGATGGTTCGAAAAGCTGTTCAAGAGAATGTTGGCTGAGGGCATAGAAACCATGGAGGCCACAGAAGAAGCGGCCAATGACTGGGTGGAAAAGATTCGCGAGAGGTGGGAGGCAACGCTTCTCCCTCGGGGCAAGATAAGTCGACTCTTTTCTTGCGATTTGTCCGTCGCTGACGCCACTCCACAGCTGGTGGACCGGTGCTAATATCCCGGGCAAGAAAGTGCAACCTCTAAGTTGGGCCGGGGGTCTGCCCTCATACATGCAGATGCTTGATGAGACGTTGGGCAACAACTACCAGGGCTGGATTGTAGGACGCGAAGTATCTAAGCATGGCAGGGTATCAGAGAGATAGACCATGCTTTATTTTCATGGCCGATTCAGACAAAATCTGCCTTGTCACCGGTGCGTTCCTTGGTCTATTGTGCTCCAGTCTCACATGAAGGTACGTGCTCAGTGGAACTCACGTTCAAGAGATCAAACGAGTCAGACAAGTTTTTTCAGTCTCAGTTGCGACGCACGCACGAAGGAAAATGAGACAATGCAGATGGCATATGTACTTGATTCTCTCCATACTTGAAGACACTCCTCCCTCATGTGTTGCACGCGCGGACCCAAGCACCGTCAACCGGCAGTTCTACACCACTGACATAACTTGCCCGTTCACTTACCAACCACACCGCCGCTTCCGCTAGTTCTTCTGCGGTACCCATCCGTCTAAAAGGGATGAGACTGACGAGTTTGTTGTAATCTGCACCGGCTGCTTTGGCCTGTTCCACCAGAGGTGTGTTGATGAAACCGGGGCAGATGGCGTTGACTCTGATCCCATCCGTCGCATAAGCCACCGCATCCGTCCTTGTTAGCCCCAAGACCCCGGCTTTCGAGGCGGGATAAGCTCCGGCCGTCGCGTGAGCCGTGATGCCGAAGATACTGCTGATGTTCACAATAGCCCCTCGCTGGGTAGGTATTGCTTCTGGGTGATTGCGAGTCTTGAGCGTGGCGGGTTGCTTGAGGAACTGGCGGATCTGCGCCCGTTCGCACAACCACAATCCTCGAAGGTTGACGTTGATGACTCGATCGAATGCTTCCGTCTCCAATTCATGCGTCCGTAGTCGGGGTTTACTGGTCACGCCCGCGCTGTTGATACAATAGTGAATGGATCCAAATCTTGAAACCCCTGCTTCCACCATCTGCTCGACGTCGGCTTCTTTGCTCATATCGCCACTGACGAGAACGGTTTCCACCGCCGTGTCAATGTCTTTCAGTTCCTGCGAGACATGCTCGAGGCCATCTTGAGTCAAATCCGAGAGTACGAGCCTCGTACATCCTTCTGCAACGAGAATTTTAGCACAGGCTCGCCCGATTCCCGAGGCAGCTCCTGTGACAAGGCCGACGCTTTTGTTCCGTCAGTACAACCGTTTTGTTTCGTGGAGGGCGCGTCCTTACCCTGTCATCAAAACGGGAGCCATTATTGCGAGAAGACGTGTTGGACAAGGCGGTGATCAACGGAGACAGAGACACAGCAGTCACTGCATGATTATTTTCACTTCCTAACCGCAATTTGTCCGGACCAAACATTCCCGAGGGCCGAGGTCGAGTATTATCTTTCAATAAAACTCGTTGTGACCTTTCACATCGGAATCCAGCCCTACAGTACTGTCAGTCGCATAAATCCGACTTTACGCAGCTGGGAGGTGTTAAATCCGAGTCAAGAGCTCACAAGACACCGGCCAAAGTGAAATGGAGGTGGATCGTTTCGCCGAATTTGGCTCGACACAATCAGTTGAGGCCAAATATCCCGGATCCGCACTTGGACGACTGTGGAATCAAGGGATTACATGTTTCCATTTTCACAGGCTTGTGTTCAGGAGACGCCTGGGGGCTCGCCTGTATATTCCCCGTGGATGCCGCGGACTTGTTCATTTGGAAAAGCGTCCAAGTGTCAACACTTTCGCCGGAGACCCCAGATCAGCCACGAAATCGGACTGGACACTAGTATGAGAAGACCAGAGCTCTTTGATCGTCCCTTGACCGTCGACGCAGCGACCTGGGCGAACGCTCACGAACCATCCACTCGAGATGCTGATTCATTCTTGTCGTTGCATACAGTGTACGTGTACAAGGCAAGATCCTGTCGCTCATCACTCAAGTCAGCACGTAGGTTTCCGCTAGAGCCTTGACGGCAGTTAACCAAGATCCGGCGTTGTTCTACGCGCAGACATGGATCAGCGATAGCAGTGGCAGCCGGACTTCAACTTCGGACGCTCTTCTGTCAGCCTTACTTAGTAGTTCCAAGCCTTCTGAACATTGAAGCCTAGCCAATATTGCAACAAAACACTTGTCTTGAACTTGCGTTGCTGCGTTGGTACTTGGAATCATGGCAGGACGCTTCCACGATAAAGTGGTGTTCGTCACTGGAGGCACTTCTGGTCTCGGAGCACAAACATGCGAGCTCTTCATTAGTGAAGGCGCAATTGTCTTCGTCACGGACCTACAGGTACTGTACTGTTCAGATGGTCAGGATCCATTTGGATCAGGCTTGCCCCAAGACCGTTCCAGTTCGCGCCCAGACAGCGATTGCTGGCAAGATGCTGACGAGACTTGATCGAACAGGAACGGAACGCATCGCAGCGCTTTGGTCGAAATGCCCATTTCCACCCGTGCGATGTCTCGGGTAGGTAACCTCTCATTCTCACCAATCTCGATATCCCTCTGGGCTCTTGGCTGGGTCTTTACACCAGCACTGCTATGTGTGGCTCATCGAACTTCCCATTGACATACGAAACACCACCAGATCCAGTGTCTTGCTTCGCCGCCGTGGATGCATGCATTAAACAGCTTGGAAGGATCGACATCCTGTTCCACAATGGTGCCATGCTGAGTCCGATAGTTCCAGTGGTCGACCACGACATTGACGTTTTCAACAAAGTCATCATGACCAATCTTTGTGGTGCATTCTACCTGGCCAAGGCCGTGATTCCCCACATGAAATCGGCTGGAAAGGGCGTGATCGTAAATACCGCAAGTGTTTCGGGGATTGGAGGAGATTATGGTCTCTCTTCCTACAATGCTGCCAAAGGGGGATTGATCAATCTTACCAGGACGATTGCCATGGACCATGCAAGAGACGGAATTCGTGCAGTGACCGTCTGTCCTGGGTTCATGGATACTCCCATGACTGAAGGAGTACTGCAAAACGAGAGGCTGAGGCAAGAATTATTCGAGAGCATACCGATGAATCGCGGAGGGCATCCAATGGAGGTGGCTCAGTTGGTTCTGTTCCTTGCTTCCCACGAAGCATCTTATATCACTGGACATCGTAAGGAACCCACCGAGAATTGGTCTCATTCCGCTGTCTGCTGACCACATGCAGCTTTTGTTGTAGATGGAGGATGGATTGCTCGCAACCCCAGCCCAAACTGGTACAAGTACATCGGAGGCACTCAGGAATGATCTCTCGTGTGTGACTACGGCCTTACGGATGGTTAGCAATTGAGAATACATTGTTGCTTTGGCTCAGAGGCCCAATGTCATTGCACATGCTATCCCTCAGCTTGTTGAACTGAATGGTAAACGTGTTAGATGAATTGCATCCGACCATGGAGTGATCCGAACCCGTAGCTGTCGAATGTGACACGTTGACTGACGGCTTATCCTGCGCCTCGAGATTCAGTACCTCCACAAAAACGAAGGCTACATTTTCTCTCCTTGTAAAATTCGTGCTTTGACTGGTGGTCGGGGCGGAGGTCAAGTACGATGACACATTCTGTCACATTCGCCGAATGGCAATACACTAGCCTTGCTGCGGAAGGACTCCTGGGCCCTCTTTATCTCCACGTTTCCAGAGCCCGTGCCCATCACTATTGAGGCTGCCGAAGCCTGATATCTGGTGGGATCGGAATTCTGCAAGTTCTGTATCTTATATCTTTGGGGTCGCGATTGCATCGATAAACCGATTTTTCTCAGGAATCATGTCGGGCGCAACCAGCAAGACGTACCAAGTACGCTCAGAGGGGATTTTCCTCGGATTGCCTGTTCTAGATACTTCTTTGAAGGGCCTGAGAGCCATAGTCGTTGGCGCAAGCGGTCAATCTGGTCGACCCGTGGTCGATGTGCTAAGTGCCAATCCGAATCGATGGGAGAAAGTGTACGCGTTGTCGAGGCGGCCGCCAACAACAGATGCGAAGAGCGTCGAACATGTTCAAGTAGATTTACTGTGGGAGCCTGAGCGGATCGCCAGTATCTTATGCAAACACAAAGTCCAAGCGTACGTTGGTCCAAGCTGGATATGGCCATAGCAGACAATGACTGTTGCTGACATCTTCTCTTCTTCAGGGATTATATTTTCTACTTCGGCTATGTACAAGTTGCAAGGCCAGATACTGATTCGGAGGTATTTGGGAATCCCGACCACTTGGCCGAAACCAACGGTGAGACAATCGGACTGGATGGTAGACAATCAGTCTCACTGATTGCACATGTACAGGACGGCTCTTCGAGAATTTCCTGCTCGCCTTGGATCAAGCCAATATTCAACCCAGACGTATCGTACTCCAGACAGGAGGCAAGAACTATGGGGTTCACCAAGGGCACGTCAATGTACCACTTACAGAGGGTGCACCGAGGGTAGAACTGGAACCCAACTTTTACTACACTCAGGAAGATTTACTGGCAAAGTACATTACGACACACCCTGGAGCGAGCTACAATGTCACCATGCCGCAATGGATCTTGGCAGCCGTCGACGGGACAGACATGACCATCTTCTATCCGCTGGCAGTGTACGCTTCCATCCAACGAAAGCTCCTCCAACCTCTCAAATATCCCGGTGACCTGACATCCTGGGACAACAACCATCCCATATCTACAGGATTCATCCTGGGTACATTCTATGAGTGGCTGGTCGTGACCGAAGGTACCGAAGGCGAGTCTTTCAACATCACTGACGGATCGGAATTTACCTTTGGGAGATTTTGGCCCATTCTGGCCTCGTGGTTCGGCTTGGAGTGGAGGCCTCCTCAAGACAACGATAGCTACCACGAGGTAGAGCTGCCATTCGTGCCACGGGGGTATATCTATCCATCATCTCCGGCGTTCTCGGGTTGTGCTGATAACGAATGCTACTACAGATACGGGCCCAAAGGCAAGCTTCGGTCCACCTTCAGCTTCATCGAGTGGGCAAAGGAGCCGGCAACGCGACAAGCTTGGGTCGAATTGAAAGAAGAACACAAGCTAAACACCGACCCGTTGCAAGAACCTGAAAAAACGTTTGCTTTCCTGCAGTTTGCGCTCGAGCTAACTTGGTCCTGGCAGACTAGGTAACAACCCTTTTTCGAAATCTTGCGCCCGCAAGGAGGGGCAATGCTAATCGATGCTGATAGTATGAGCAAAGCTCGCAAGCTCGGCTGGCACGGGTATGTGGATTCGATCGAGTCTATACACTCAGTATTCCAGAAATACACAGACATGAAAATGATCCCGCCTTTCTGAAGTAGAGGCACGTGTCATTGGGCTGTGCGGTCAGTCGATCATGTCCGCTCTCATCTGCCGGAGTTGACGGGATGGAACCTGTTGAGAAATTGGGTTTAGATCAGATCTTGTAAAGAATATGGTCACTGATTTCAGGTTATGTGTCACCGGTGCATCGGTTTGATGCCACAGCCTTACGGTTCAGCCTTGCGCAACTGCCAAGAGGGGTTCACCGCAAATGACACGCTCTGATTGGTTGCGCAGTTGCGCACTGCGCATTACCACATCACAGCGCCGACAGCGCACTTGTACATAGAACTCTTCGTCTTAGCTTTACAATCATAATTGCACGTTCACAGACGAAGCTTCCTGCATTCCAGTGCACCGTGAATTTATGCTCCAACCACTGGCCTGTGATTCCGCGCGAAATCATCAAGGAACGTGCGTAGCCATGTCCCCAGTTAGACGATTTTGAAATGGAGTAGAACTGACCCTTCTCTCCGCACCAGCTCAAATTCATTTCTATCCATCTATGCCATGGGAAGTCATCTCCAGGGAAGTCTTGGGTAATTCGCCCATTTTCGCCGGGACACTCAAGCTTCGCCGAACCGTGTGTCGGCACCACTGAAGAAGTCCACTAGGCTTTGCACGTCGGAAAGATCAGGTCCATCTAGTGATATAAAGAAATCTCACAATGGAAGCTATGCAATCTACACCGTCTCTTGGAACCGATATTGGATCGTCGAGACATTATTTCGATACCTCCCGCAAGCCACGCATTTTTGACGGACACCGACGACGAAATCGTAAACGCACGACAACAGAAAATCGATCAACATGAGACGCGTCCTTTTAACTGGTGGTTCCGGCTTCATCGCTGCACATGTAATGGACTATCTCATCCAAAGAGGCTACAGTGTGGTGACGACTGTGCGTTCCACGTCAAAGGCTGAGAAGATCAGAGCAGCATACCCGAAGATCGGTAAGGACCGACTGGACTTTGCGATTGTGGAAGACATCGCGCAAGACAATGCTTTCGACGACGCCGTCGTGTCCAACCCACCCTTCGAAGCGGTTATTCACACTGCCAGTCCATTTCACTTCAACGTGACCGACGTTCAAAGAGATCTCCTGGATCCTGCAGTCAAAGGCACAACGGGCATTCTCAAATCCGTCGTCAAAAACGCACCCACTGTCAAGCAAGTCGTCATCACTTCGTCCTTTGCCTCGGTCGTGAACCCTTACAAAGGCACGTGGCCAGAGCACACATACACCGAGGAAGATTGGAATCCCATCACTCTCGAGCAGGCCTCGGAAAATGTCGCCAACGGATACCGGGCCAGTAAGACGTTGGCAGAGAAAGCTGCATGGGAGTTCCTGCAGCAGGAAAAACCATCCTTCTCGTTAACGACTCTCTGCCCACCGCAAGTATTGGGACCCGTGATCAGCCACCTCAGCAGCCTGGACAATCTCAACACCAGCAACCAAGTCATCCGCGATTTGATCCAGGGGAAATTCAAAGACAAGATCCCGCCAAACGCCACGTTTACGTGGGTCGACGTGCGTGACCTTGCCCTGTGCCACGTCCTGGCACTGGAGAAGCGCCTGGCCGCAAATGAGCGCTTTCTGGTTACTGCGGGCTACTTCTGCAACTCGGAGCTGGTGGACATTGTTCGAGAGCATCACGTTCGATTGCGGGATCAAATGCCTGCCGAGGGTAGTGATGGCGGTGGGTATCCAGAAGGCGGGCTCTACAGAGTCGATAATTCCAAAGTCGTCAAGATCATGGGGATATCGTGGAGGAGACTGTCAGACACGGTGATGGACACGGTCAAGTCACTGCAAAATTTCCAATCATAACGGACGTAGACAGGTCAGCCTGAAAGATATATACACTCGCTCTGGGAGCAGAGGTTGGAATAGTCGAACATTGCACCCTGATTCATGAAGGAGTATTGAGATTACTTGACCAAGTCCCCTGGACCAATTTAACAGTATGTCCCGTCAGATCTTGCTTGCTTGCGTGATACTTTGCATATCCCCTTTTCTGACTGTAACGGTATCAGTGACAAAGTCTCCCGAAGTCTGCTATAGTGCATCTGCTTTACAGACTGGCTCACCAGAAGGCCAGAAAGCCGCCGGGACAAGACCTCACGTATAGCAGTATTGGCGCAAGAAACCAACCTCTTTCCATCAACCTCCACATGTGAGGCGCACAGTAGTATGAAGCAATCTGTCGTCCCGCCTCGAACAACAGCATCAAAAGCTATCACAAAGGCTACTTCCCTTCTATCACGGCGCGTCAGCAGAGCTGAAGAGGTCACCTCTTGACGTTGTATTGAGACATGAATTCTAAGACAAAGAGAGGACTATGAAGGAGTGCCTCGCTGTGTGGTGCGAACTCAGGCGATCCAGCCAATCAGAGCACAGCTTCTGCGGTGAAAGCAATACGGCGAGGCTGACAGACGAGGCTGTGGTAGCGAACCGTGACACCTCGACGCCCGCACGTTCCTTGGTCAGATTGTTTTCCACGCGAGCTGATCCACAGATGAGCATCTTACGGCAACTAAAGTTTACAAACTAATCGCAACATCCAGTCCACAGGAAATCTGGAACAAGAAAGCCTCCAGGCATCCCTCTTGGCTTAAGCAATTTCGGCGAAATGTGTGCATTGCCTCGCCGGGGGCATACCCGTGGAGGACGGAATGAGATCGAACCCGACCGGGGAATCTTCTCTTTCTCCATCATACGTCCCCGCTCTCCAGATTTCGCGCTTACAGTACTGAATAGACTCTGACCATCGAATGTAGCGTACTGTACAGTTCTTGGGCATACATTTCCCCAGGATTTACGAGGTACGTTAGTGTCTACATAACCTCTACTCTAGGTACCCATCCCAACCATTCGAATAGACTGAAATCAGCACTCTTTGGTTTACCACGAGTTCTTACAGTATTGACCTATATCGACGGGCTAGAATCTACAGTCTTGTCCACCATATCTCAGATCTGACAATATGGCCGACGAGAAGATCGAAGCTTCAAGTTCTCATGTGGAAGACCAGCCCAGCGTCAGGGTCACCGAGCAATTCTTCCAGGGTGTGCTGCTCCGAACTTTTTCGTTTCCATTTCAATGTTTCCTGGCTAATGATTCCCCATGACTATCAGCTGAGCCTGCCTGGTCGAAATACATACCCGGGGGTTATTCACGGTCAAGATGCGTGAAACTCTCGGGTATGCCCATGGTGATATGCATTCTGATCCTCGCCGGGACATGTCTGCTTTTCTTCGGCTACGACGCCGCTGTGATGAGTCTGGTCAATATCAATCCAGACTATCTGGAGCACATGGACTCCGCTGGAGGAACCTCAAAGGATGCTGCTCGAATCGGTGGGATTGTGAGCTTCTGGTTTCTCGGCTTTCTCGTCGGTACGACCACCTTCCATATCCAACACTCACCAGAGTGAAATCAGTCGGATGCAGGATGAAATGTACTGACAATCAATACTGCATAGGTGCGCTCATGGCCGGTAGCTACGCCGACAAGATTGGGCGACTCAAATCCATTCAACTCGGATGCGTCTGGGGAATCTTTGGCGCCTGTCTGTTGGCATCCGCTGAGAATTTCTCCTGGATGGTTTGTGGACGCATCATCAGCGGAGTAGGGTGCGGCCACCTCAATACGATCGCACCAATCTGGACGTCAGAGCTCGCAGACTACAACTTGCGAGGCGCGTACGTGTCTGTGCAGTTTACCATGTGTGTTGCGGGTGCGACGATGTAAGCACGGGAAATGTCTTTCTGTGAAAACGATACTTACTTATATTGATCAGGACATACTGGATGGAATATGCCGCCCTCAAAACCCAGTCTCTTCAATTTGCCTGGCGCTTCCCACAGGCTTTCCAGATGGTGTTTTTACTGTTCATTGTTCTCGTCGCAAATTTCCTTCCCGAGACGCCCCGTTATCTGGCCAAAACAGGCCGATTGGAAGAGGCTCGAGAGATCCTGGGTCGTTGCCGCCTTCGGCCTTCCGAACACGCGATTGAGCAAGAGTTGGCCGAGATCCAGGAGGCCATCCGGATCGAGGCAACCTCCTCTGCCCATGGATTCATCTCCATGATCTGGAAAAAGGATGCTCTGCATACCCGTCGCCGCGTTGGCCTCGCCATGGGGATTCAAATGATGGAGAAGCTCTGTGGGCCTGATGCCATAGCAGCCTACGGACCTATCATCTTCGGTCTCAGTGGATGTAAGTACCTTGTTCCACGTTATTCGATATCGGTATACACGACCAAGTGACTGATCTGATTGTTACTGCCTGCTTTTAGTTACCGGCAATCTGCCTGCCCTGCTCGCTGGTTTCAACTTCATCTCCTATACCTGCAGCGTGCCAATCGGCATGTACTTCGTCGAGAGAGCCGGACGAAGGAAGCTCATGTTGATTGGTTTGTTGGTCATGGGCAGCTCTCTGCTCATTGCAGGCCCACTGGCCAGAATGGCCATCAATACGCCAGAAACCGACTTGTACAAGAAAAAGGCCTATGGTGCCGCGGTGGTGGCCTTTGTCTTCTTGTACACCTGTGGCTTCGGCAGTACATGGATCACTTGCTGGTAGGTCCTCCGTTCCCTCCGCCTTAGACCACTGCTCTGCGCACTGTCCCCGCCTGGAGGCTTTCTACAGTCCGTCGGTTTTTGCTTACTTATTCACCAAACAGCTGGGTCTACCCTACGGAGGTGTTTCCTCTGGCCACACGCGCCAAGGGTGTCTCACTGTCCATGGTGTCATTTGCCGTCTGGGGCGCCGTCATCAACGAGGTGATCCCGTATGTCATCAGCGCCGTGGGATGGTGGGTCTTTATCATGTTCGCGGTCATGAACTTCCTCCAACTCATCCCGGTGTGGCTGTTCTACGTGGAGACGGCGAATCGTCACCTCGAGGATCTGGACATCCTCTTTGCGAGCGACAGTCCCTTGGCCTACGAAATGGAACGCGAATTCGGCGAAAAGAAGCGTGCCCTGGGCTTCCACGCAGATGCACCGGCGCCGGTGCACACCGTTTGAGATGCTGTGTTGGCAGCCAGCCAGTAGTACGACCTCACTTCTGGAAAGGCACCACAGGTCGAAGGACCAAGGTCTACTACAACGGTGCCCAGTGACAGGTGTCGGTACACAGAACAGGGGCGCACATTGAACGCTCAATCCCCAGTACCGGTGCCACTGTCGGGCGCGAAAAGGCGGTAGACGCATACAAAGGCTGTCATGGTCAATACTTTGGAATCTAACACCCGCGGCATGTATGTACTTTGTGGGAGTAGAGTTGCAATAACAATGATTTGCCCGGAAATTGAAAATCTCCGATTGTGCCCTCGAGTACGTGTGATGTCGGCTCAAGAAGCGTTCACCCACTGTTCACTGTCGAATGCAAAGTGACGTCTAAAAGGCTCGGCTCCAGCACAGAGGCATCCGAGTCTGTCGTCTCTGATATCTAAGAAAGGGCTAGGGTTGGTCCAATTCGGCGAAAAAAAGAGAAAAGTAATTGCAGATATTCTTGCATGACAACGACGAATCAGTTGAGAGAGTCATGATTCTTTACGGAACAAGCTCGCTTGCTTAGGCACTATTATCGACTTGACTGACAGCTGTCTGGACCTTTCAATCCACGACTGCCGTTGTTTTTCAGATTCATCCGAGTGGTGAATCAGTTCCATACTTCTTGCATATGAATGACTTGAAACTTCGAACCCTCGCGCGATGTCACAGAGTTCTAATCAAGTAGAGCGACAGGTGCTGAGACAGGACGACGAGGACATGGAGATCCCAATAGAGGGATGGGCAGGTGTTGTAGTACGTGAAGTTGTGACAATCTGTTGGAAGCGCAACCAGAAGAACTTACAAGGAACTGTGACAGAAAAATGAAGGTTCCGATTTCTTTGTGTCCGTGGAGAAGGTCCCAATTCCCAGCATCGGTCGGTAGAACTACTGGGTACACATCATTTGTGCTATCTTCAATGACTGATAGCGATGTTTGCCAGGGCCCTTTGAAGTTCTCATCAAGCTCAATGTCACAGGTCTATGTCTGACCGATGTACATTTCATGACGAACGACTGGGAATTCCCCAAAATGTCCGAGATGGGCGTGTCGTGTGCCGGACACGAAGGTGCCGGAGTCGTGGCGAGGATTGGGGAGAGTGTGAAGAACTTCAAAGTCGGACAACGTGCAGCATATGGTCCTATCCATAGTACATGCGGTCTCTGCGACTCTTGCAAAACGGGGAAAGAAACTTACTGCCAGCAAGCAGTCTTTACAGGCGGGACTGTGGACGGTATGTGGACATGGTCCCCCGATCGGGAGAAGTACCACGTTGACGCCGGATAGGAACTTACAAGCAATACTGTGCCGTTCCGGAGAGCTTCGTTCATGTGAGTAGGGAAGCGAGCTGTTGAGTATTTGACTAGACAGATACTAACAGACTCGCCATGACCGAAGCCGATCCCCGAGGTAATTACCTTATCAACCTGACTTATGGCGACTCGCTGGTTACTAAGTATCGACAAACAGGGAGTTCCAGACAACGTGGCCGGGCCTGCAATGTGCTCTGCGGCCACGATGTGTTCTTCGCTCAAAGAGTCGGGGCTGAAAGCCGGTGACTGGGCTGTTTTCCCAGGGGGAGGCGGTGGTACAGGAATTCAAGGTGTACAACTGGCATGTGCCATGGGTCTAAGACCCGTGGTAGTTGATAAAGGAAAGAACCGCCAAACGCTTGCACTCAGTCTTGGTGCTGAGGAGTTTGTTGACTTTCTGAAGGAGCCAGACCCGGTCGCGAGGGTCTTGGAAATCACCCACGGAGGTGCTCACGGGGTGTTTGTCAGTGGTATGTATTGTGAGAGGACCTTCAATACATTTAGCTTGCGACTGACTTTGGCAGCTGTACAATCCTATCCGGTCTCGCTTGATTATCTCGGCTCACGTCGCGGCGGCGTGGTCATGTGGTACGCAAGACGTTGCGCAACTGTCACCCTCGAGGAGGACAGAAGCATATTGACTGGGACAGTGTGGGGCTCCCCCCGAAGGGCAGGTACCACATCGACGCAGCCCCCGCCCGGCTTTGTTTGAGAAATCAGTCGATCACGGGTACATTATCGGCGGGTCGCGTTGATATAGCTGAGACATTGGAATTTGCGAGACGAGGTGAGGCACGAAAGAGGGCGGGGCGAAGCAATTGTGCTGATCCTTGGTGACAGGAAAGCTCCAACTTGAGCCGACTGTGGTTGGAAGGAGCAAGTTCAATGAAGCTGTTCAAAGGCTAAAGAACGGACAAGTAGTAGGGTAAGTACCATGATTCGATGCCCGCCGAAGTGTGTTATCGCCACTGATGTGGATGTGTATAGGCGGATGGTTGTAGACTTCAACCTGCCCTGATCCTTGAGCGATGAGCGTATTTTCCCAGGCAAGCAGCGCGTCTTTGCACCTTGTATGATTGAGAGGAAGGTACGAATCTTAAGGAATCGTACATCGATCCATCTACTCATAGTATCTCATCCGCAATGGAGGGATCGAGGTAGGGTCGACTCCTCAGAAAGTCAATGGTCGAGGCAAGGTTTGAAGCATACTAACAGATACAAAGAGGTAGGAGCCCATGGAGCTGTCTCAGTTTTGCTGCGGTCATAAACTCTCTGCATTCCATATGAGCAAGTGGTTTGGGTGATGGACAGGCAATAACTCTTTCCCCATGTGTCTCCTATCTCTCCCATCTTGCCACGCTCATTTCGCCGAATGCTCTTCCACGATTAAATTTCTAAAGCCATGGCTCAGTTGCAGAAACAGGCCAATTCAAGTCCAGGTACTTGAAGTCTCCGACTCTCCGTCAGTTTGGCATGGCGCTCTCAGTCCCCATCAGACACGACGACCACAGACCCGTTTTTTTTTTGAACGTCAATTCCTGATTCCTTGCTAGCTCACGTGGTGCTAGACTCTATGGACCTTGCGCACAATATGTTCCAGATACGCACTCTGCATGAGCGAGCAGAAGTTTGAACAGCTGCCAAATTCCGTTCACAACGACGTTCTTTACGAGTCGAAGCCACCAATGACCGCCAACGAATTTGGCCAAATGCTTGATGGTCTGATTCGTGACTTGGTCGATTTCTGTCTCGACGTGGAGATGTTGGTTGTGGAGCCTAGTGGCGCCTTGTCGGATCTAAATGGCATGGTTTCTGCAAGATTCAGACTGAGCCATGAAACCCCAAGCGAAAAGTCGGCAGAAGGCCGTGTGGTCTTCTACGAGCACGTATTTTTCTACTTCAAGGACGGCAAGATCGCCCAGATATGGCCACTGATTGCATGGCCGGGAAAATGAGGCTGTCGTTCGGATGGCATCATGGATCAAGTTGTCCTTCCCAACAGATAACACAGTTTGTCGTGCGCAGAGCTCCAGCAAGACCAGATTCCTGGGTTCCTGTCTGCGCCGTATCGATGCTTAGATCAAGACGAAAGGATCATGACTGCTGCAAAGTGACAGCCTGGGTAACAGCCTCGCCGCGCTATGCCCGCCTTGTCCGTGGTGATTGGCCGGTCCTCGAATCTTAACCTCGGCTTGGGTTCAGCTTCAACCGTGTGTATTGAGTGACATCTGCTCGCATTCGTCCCATGGTTGTCCTCGCCATAGAGGCGTATGAGTGGGAATTGAGCGCAGGCGCCCGCAATGGACCGGTCGCTTGCGACTTTGTTGCGGTCATTGCAGACATCAGATATTCCCGAGGATGCTCTCCGGTTTGTCAAGCTGCCCGTCATCCGGTCGACGAGATGCTAAATTGAGTCCAGGTTGCTGCCAACTGCCACCAGCCTCTTGTCGCGTCTTTCGAACCCTCTCAATGTCACCCTGTTGACTTCGCGCCTCCTCGCGAGCGATGTGCTCTACCCGCAACCGACCGTGCTTGTGTACTGCAGGCAGATCTTCAGCGTCTTCTATACTGCCGTGTTGCGCTTGATTGAGGACAAATCCAGCGCTGTGCAAAAACGTCTCCAGAGCAATCTCTCTGTGTCGGAATGGACGAGGGCTGTGGTCAGAGGAGCAGACGAGAAGTCACCACGATGGAGGCATACTTTATTGCTGGGGGCGCTTCTTCTGGGCCTGCAGTCGAAGGACTTCGAAGGCATGTCCACCGATATCAGGAAGAGGCTGGAGGCTGCACTTGTGTTTGCGTCCAACATTGCCTTGCAACAGAAAGACGCCGACCCGAACTGCGAGCTGGCTGTGGTCTTCGTTCTCAATCATACATTTCCCCTACTTTCAGACTCTCACAGGGCTCAGGTTCACTATGACCTGTTACTCCCCGTGTTGATCGACGCGACGTTCTTCTCGCCAGAAGGCCTAGAGCATGGCTACTGGCTAGGGGTCATCGACAACGATGTCCGACCGTCGCCAGGACAAAGGTTCAACTGGCCCTCAACCTCCAACTCATTTCGCAAAGTCACCGAAATCAAGGCCAGGACACTGGTGGGAGGCCTCGGTTCTCTGTCACGGCTGATTGCCCATAGCATCGACAATGTCGGTGACAGAATGATGATGATTTACAGTATCAATCGGATAGCCGAATTTGCCAGGACTCTTGCCACATCCTGGAGACAGAACAAGTTGTCCGAGGTCGATCCTAGGGAAGAAGCACAATATCTGGACCAGGAGACGGTCCAAAAGACTCTTCCGGTCCTCCTTCAAGTTCTTCGGGATTCAATGTTCTCCGTCATCGCCATTCTCCGACCAGTGTTAGGCCGGCTGCTGTGTGACGGGGTGCTGGCGGCGGGTACAAATGCTCCTGGAATCGCCATGCAATGCTTGCACATCCTTCGCGACACTTACTTTGCAGCGCATCGGTTCGGGTTGACGTCCTCTTCTCCGTATGTTTTTGTTAACTTTACTGCCATTGACATCCTCAGTCAATATCCGCCACAATCGGAGAATTTCCTGGAAAACATTCGTCCTGTCGATATCGGCCGGATTCCTCCTCATCCACTTGATCGACTGCAGGACCTCTTCTTCCTCAACACTGCAGAGCACTTCACCCTGGTACTGGCACCGCGAACAAACCAAGGACTTCTTTTCAATGCGGCAGCGCCGTATGTTGATCCGCATGGAGATCCACAACTAGGTGAGATCTTCGAAGCCGCACACAGTGTCATGCTAGCTATCCTTGCCGCACCGCAAAATGCAGAGTTGGCCAACAAGAATGTCCCATTCTACATCGAGACCTTGCTCCAGAGTTTTCCCAGACCATTGACAGCGCGACAATTCCGGTTGGCTATCAAGTCTGTCGTGCGACTGGCGGCGCCACCATCTCCGATTGCGGTATCCATGCCCCTCATGCAGGCCATAGTGCTTGACCTGCTCAGAGAACGAATGGACAACGCTTCGGAGGAGCTGCTGCCTCCCAACCCCGATCTGCCCGTGGAGAACAACGAGCCATCGTCTGAAAAGACAGTCTTACTTCTTTCAATCATCGATTGCTTGAGCAGCCTGCCGATTTCGCTCCTGGAGGAATGGCTCCCTTTGACTGCAGAGTTACTACACAAAATCGGGAATGCACGTCAAAGACAACAATGCCAGCATCGACTATGGGACACACTCAGCAATGGTGAAATGGATGTTGAGCGAGCGCCGCTCTGCCTTGCTTGGTGGACTTCCAGGGGAGGCCGTGAGCATGGCATGCTCGGAGAACAGCCGGGAGATCAGGATTACACTATGAGTGGTGCATTGCATCTTGACAGCAAGCTTTGAAGATACCATGTATTACGGGGGTCCTCACAACATCATGGTACCTGTTTGGCACTGACTGTGGTCGCCTGAAGCCCTCCTCAGTTTGTTCAACAAAGGAGGAGGGAGAGGATTTTGGAAAGTTTGTGTGCAACAGCCACAAAGGCGGCATGAATGCAGGATCAATCCATCTGTGAGGATTCTTCTGGCATGCCGGCCCCATCTACTTTTCTATACCCTCTGCACCAGTCTGTTAAAGACGCAGACCTAGTCAGAGTCTCAGAATCACTGTTAGTCGCACCATGGCCTCACCGCGGCGCATCAAGAATTTCGCCAATGACCCCCAGACACCAATGTTCCTCTACAACATCCTCAAGCAACTAGATCTCAGGTCAATCAACTGGAGTGAAGTAGCGGACAGTCTCGGCATCTCAAATGGCCATGCTGCCCGCATGAGATACAGCCGCATGAAATCACAGTTTGAAGGCCTCTCAAGTCAATCCAAACCACCAAAGCCCAAGAAGGAGAATACCAGTCCATGCAAGTCTGCCAAAAGCAAAGCCAAGGACAACAAATGCCGCCTCATCGAAGAAGAAACCGAGCGACTGGGTAGTGAACAACAGAGCATTCAGTTTGCGATGCAACAAGAACATGATCGTAAGAGAATCAAACTCGAGCCACAGTCGTGCACGAGCGCTTGGAACACAACGGGCAGCATCTACACCGGATATCCGGCTCTACCTGATTTGAACACATATTGGTGTCAGCCGAGTACCAGAGCCGAGCCAACACCCGCTGCAATGCCAACTGCCTCCCTTCAAAGCATCCCATCGACACCTGCAATCAAGCAGGAACTGGAAATGACTACTTTTTGTTCCATTGGTCTGCCCAATTTAGCGCCAGCGATCAAGCAAGAGCCAGGCCTCCCAGCGAAGGACTCTGATATGGCTGACTCTGACGTTGTCATGGTGGAACGTGGAGCAGGAAAGAGTTTGACGCAACGTTCACCTACTTTGGCATACAACGTTCCCGGTGCTCCCAGCTATCCTCCATCTCGCACCATCAACGCCTTCTTCGACCGCCGCCCCACAGCTGTTCTTAACACACAGCCTCGACCGTTGGTGGATAGCATGGCAGGGTACAATACACCTCAGACCTTTTCGCATGGTGCTTATCCGTACGTTATTCACGGCAATACCGCGCAGAGTGCCTCGCCGTGGACTGCGCCCCCTATGGGTCAAAGGCCAACTGCAACTTCGCTTGAGGACAACTCCCCCAACATGATGCTGAACCCCTACGCCACAACATACCAAGATATGCTGAACATGCCTTTGTACCGACGCAGCCCATCTATCTTGCCAATTTCCAATCTGAGCACGCAACAGATTGTGAATCCGCCAGCTTCCGATCAAGCACCATGCATGGGACGAGAGCAAGACGTGAAAACTGCACCATCGGCCACCGTTGCACCAGCTCCAGAAGACCAACACTTACGGGATACCACGGCCAGCCTCAATACCATGACCTCCACTACGTTTCCGGACCCTGCGGCTGGCCGACCTGGACCGCCCAAGGCCGAAACTATGGGTGAGCAGATATCCACCACGGGCAATGCGGGCTTGGCGAAGACTGGTGCTGAGGGGTTGGAGAATGCATTTTCTACGCCACTGGTCTTTGACGATTCTGTGGTGAAGATCAAGACTGAACTAGTGGAACTTTGAAGAAGACGGAGACGAAGCATTGTTGGGAGAGTTGGGCTGACCGAAGACAACACCGCCTGAATGTGAGTGGGAAGTGGGTCTCTCCCGAGCGGAGATGGGGAATGAACACGACGGTGGAATCACGAGTGATGGAGCAAGTAAGACGTTGATGTGGTATGTAGCGGATTATGCTTTGCTTGCACAAAATGCAGCAGAGTCTCTCATGTAGGGGCGGCAACAAGCTACCTCGTTCGCAAATGTGAGGATCCTTCTAGTGCTTCCACAGCATTCTGATCTTTGCGTGCGTTATGGCTTGCCCACCCAGCTGAGAAATCGAATGCCATGTGCCACTTGCACACCAAATGTCGAGTTCTGTCGTGATATTGTCTCTCCTCTTTGCCCGATGCTGGCCTGCTGCCCGTGTATACAGTACATGCGGGGGAGCCAATCAGCATACTTGCTTCAGTCTCGGCTGGGCGTCGTGGCACGTCATCGCCATCTCATCTCAGCAGCACCATTCGAACTCGTACTCAAGAATCAACGACCTTCAAGGCACCTCACCTCACCTTACCGTCCAACCATGTAAGTGTCACAAACAGCACCTTGCACCCCTCCCCTTGACCAGGACCAAGTGTAGCATAATAATCATGTTCTCGTCCTTCTCGTCCTTCTCGCTCCCTCGCTTCGGGTTCGGCCGGGACTCGGGCTCCTCCACCGCGATCGACATCCCCTCCGTCGAGGTGCACGACATCGAGACCTCAACGGACAAGCGCGACCGGACGCTCAAGCACCTCCTCAAACTAAACCACACGAACTATTCGATCCTGTACAATCGGTTGAGATTCCATAACCATACGCCTCACGTACGTTTTATCCTATACCGCTCCACTGTTCCCATCCCTGTCACCCGCCGCCATTGGAGCCACTCTATCCACTCTACAGACCACCAACTAACAGTCGCCAGCTCCTCGGCTCGGCCTACCTCCTAGGCAGCCCGCCCGAGCACCTGAACGACATTTACGAAGACGCAGCCCGCAACGAGGGCCACGAACCGTGGGTCGACTCGCCCTCCGAGATCGCGCTGCATGACTACCGCGACTTTCTGGGCCAGCGCAACTACCAGCGCGCGTGGGTCGATTTCTTCGAAGATCAGCTCGTGCTGCACGGGTACGAGTGGAAGAGGGTCGTCGCCAAGTTCCTTTTCGAGCGCGGCCCCAAGGGCAGTGCGACCGAGGAGCCCATGTTCTCATGCTTGACTGCCGGGTTGGCCCACCCGTTGATCCACCTCGGGTATGCGTACGAGTTGAATTCGCGGGAGGTGGCGATGGAGGCCATGGGGTTGGCGGCGACGTGTTTCGACGCGCGGTTGGCGGGGTTGCTCGAAAGTGGCACCAACCCAACGACGTATTCCACGGGCGATCTGTTCGAGGTGTTTGCGCACGTTAACAGTGATGACAGACTAGATGGTGTGTTCGAACACCACGGGGGCGACAATCTGAGCAAATTGCTGGGTGACGCAAAGTTGACTTCGATCCTCGTGGAACATTGGTCGGCGTGGAAGATCACCGACCCGACCAAGGATTTTGCGCAGAGCCAGGCGTTAGCGGCCGCTTTGTTGGTGTCTAGTGCGCCGAGCGTGAGAGGTCATGGCTGGGATTTCTTCCTCGTGCACCTTCTCACGAGCAGTCACGCCGTCAGGATCCTGATCCCGTTTCTGGAACCACAGTATCATGTGCGGCTCGTCAAAGAGTGGTTGCTGATCGCTCTGGCGATCTATATCGCTCAGCTGCGGCCACTCATCAAGACGTCTTACATTACAGATGTCGACCTTGCGGGGCGGAATTGGGTCTTTGTCTCGAAGCAGGCGGTGGAAGGACCGTACAAGTTCGACGCTCATTTCGTCAAGGCGTGTCGCGCACTGTATGAGGCCGATAAAGTCTGGGGCGAGTCTGGGCCGAACGGAGAAGAGAATTACTGGTTGAAAGCAGCGGTCAAGTTCGCCGGCGAATTTGCTGGTTGGGGTGGGTTTGGCGAAGAGGATGATCAGATGGGGGAGGAACTGAGGAGGGATATGGCAGAGAGACAAAAGGCTTGAGTTCAGGCATGGGATGCGGGAGTTGCATCGGTATCATGCGAAATTGTCACAATGACAGACCGGCCCAGAAGCGACTGCATATTAGTCCTCTCCACTGTTGCAACTCGATCCCCATGGTGTTCAAGCATGCCCAATGGGCGTAGACAGCTTCGTGATGCGCTCTCGCTTCATCCGGCTTCGTCTCCGGCTTTGAATCGGAGCTGCTCCGCTGCCAAGAAACCCCCCCCTTTTCCTCGACAATAAATGTCAGTTGGTTCTTCATCTCTCTTCTTTCGGTTGCCCTTCGAACGATTACCCGAAGCTGCCGGTGAAGTCCAGTTGTTGTTTGCACCGTTTGATTTGCCTGAGTCGATCCAACCATGAGTACTACGCAAACAGCTGACGGACCTCCTGCGCGCAAGCATCACGTGACAGGAGACCGTGCCCGCCAGTTCGTTCGAGAAGTCCTGCAGGGGAATGGAGTGCCTGAAGAGAATTCAAAGATCATAGCGGATTGCCTGATCCAAGCTGATTTGCGCGGTGTTGACACGCATGGCATGAACCGTATACCTTCTTACATGGAACGCATACGGCAAGGGGTCCTTGATCCGGCCGTAGAGCCCGCGTTCCATCAAATTACACCCGTGGTTGGACAGGTCGACGGTCGAAATGCGTTCGGCTTCCTGTGCGCGCATCTGGGAATGAAGCACGCGGTTGAGATGGCAAAGACGTACGGTATCGGTATGGTCAGTGTCAAACACTCGAACCATTTCGGCATGTCTACTTGGATTGTCCAGCAAGCAATCGATGCCGGGATGATGAGTTTGGTCTTCACAAACTCGAGTCCGGCGTTACCCGTCTGGGGAGGTAAGGAGAAGCTGATGGGCGTGAGCCCAATTGCCTGCGGTGCACCCGCGGGAAAGGCGCCGCCCTTCATCCTCGACATGGCCCCGAGTGTCGCCGCGAGAGGCAAAATTTACAAAGCGAAGAGACGTGGTGAGAAAATTCCACTCGATTGGGCGTTGGACGGGGACGGCAAGCAAACTGATGATCCAGCTGCGGCCTTGGAGGGCGTTATGCTTCCAATGGGCGGGCCCAAGGGGTCAGGTCTATCCATCATGATGGACATCTTTTCTGGCGTGCTGTCTGGCAGTGCGTTTGCGGGACATGTGACAAACCCATATGATTCAAGCAGACCCGCGGATACAGGGCATTTTCTCGTCGCCATCAAACCAGACCTGTTCATGAGTTCGGATGATTTCAAGGACCGCATGGATTACCTGTACCAGCGCGTAGTGGGCTCCGAGAAAATGGTTGGCGTGGACAGGATTTACTTTCCAGGAGAGATTGAACAGATCACGGCTGCTGAGAGGTTAGAGTCGGGTATTCCGCTAGTGAAAGCAGAAGTCGATGCACTGAATGCCGAGGCTGAGAGAGTCGGAAACTCTCATCTTGTACTCTCAGATGACTAGCACGGGTACCGTTAAAAGACCCCCGTGTTGTGGTGGTTTTATGCATGTCGGCATTTTTGTGCAGGTCTTCGCCTCGGTCTGGTTAATGATGGTGAGAGCAAATCCGGCTAATACTGATCATACCTTCGATTCTTTTTCTATCCCTCACCCCTGTAATCTACGTTGTAGTAGCTTGGACGGACACTCATAATATGGTGGCTGCTTCGTGGGGGCAGATGCTTCACCCGTATTGAGCAGCTTCTGTGTAGATGAACTTGGTCGCCGGCACGATCGCGTCCCTGCATGGGCATTTCCGGGCTTATTTAAGAATGGCATCTTTTGCCAATGGGAATTCCTCTCCGCCGGTGGCTGACAGTACGTGCTGGAGCCCGGAGGACGCCCCTGCGTGCCGAGAACCAGTCGCTGGTCGCCCCTGGAGCTTAGCGAACGATGCACATGTCGTCATTGCGCAGCCCACGCAGTCATTCCGTATGTGGCGGTTGTTGCAGGCTTGTCGGCTGCGAGCACTCTCAATGGCACCGAAACAGAAGGGACTCGGGAGCCGCCTAACTAATTAGGAGCACAACGCTCGGACATGTGATGGTTCGAGTTTGTCACCGGGCTGAACACGTCCACTGTAACCCGGGCTGTTAGGCAAGAAGATCTGCAGGTTGTGGCTTACACTTAACTCACCGGTGCCTTGATTTTGGTATCTTGATCGCCGATCAACAGGCGCTGTGGGCACAGATCTTATCGAGTCCTTAGACCCTCGCTGCTGGGAACCTAAGGGGTCCAGTATGGCGACTCGCAGGTCTAGATTGTTCTCAAGAGGGTATGCCCTCGTAGGCTCACAATTCAAGTTGCAAGAGACCACCGTGGAAATTCGGCTCGTGCAAAGAGGAAGGTTTGCGATGTCGCACTCGTGCTACTTCGACCATGCACGACCATGGGAACTCGCGTATGAAGCGCAGATGTAACTGGCAATGATGCGCGCGAGTAACAGAGAAATGAGTGGAAGATGAAAAGATCCCCATCCCGCAGCCAGCGTCCCAGGATCCCAGCGAAGTCAATTCCTGGTCAGTCTGCGGTCAGTTTCCACTCTGCGCCTCGGGATATTCCCTTCGCTGTCCCATCCCTCGACTGCACATTTGCGCCACTTGACTCTTGCTTCACCTCGACACAGCAGATCTTCTACGGTCTCGTTGGAAGCTGCAATTGCACCTCGAATACGCCCGCCGAACTCCACATTGCAGCAATTTGACTCCCGTGTTTCTTGGACTCGCTCCCTCGCCTCGCCGTTAGAACGGGCATTGAAGTATATCTCCTACTCTCGTCGACTTTATCTCTCGACTTGTCACTATCCGAGCCCACGTCCGCCCATCCACCTCGACGGTGCACTACCGTCTTTCGACCCATCGCAGTTCGCTTCCCAGTCACAGGGGGCACACCGCATAAGAGAGTGAGGATATCTAGAGGAGAAAGGAGGCACAATCCGAGGAGGCGAATTGGTCCTGAGCACAAGAATGACCACGCTTTAACAAATCTACTCATGAATTGTTCGGCGCAGGCTCGTGCGGGATTCAGTACAGCGGCCTGGGGGATCTGTTCCCCTCGATTCCTCCGGCGCCGCGTGCGTCTGCCTGCAAATGTCAAGGCCACCTTCACGTGAGGCCGCAAAGCCCGTAGCGGACCAAGACACCTCGACCTCGTCGTCGTCATCCGCGCCTCCTCCTGCCGGTTCGGAATCACCAATTCGACGCGGTCAGCAACGCCCGCCTACATGGGTGCCCCTCCCACCTATCCCGTCTCAAGTGAGCATGTTCACAGGCCGTTCCAGTGGCGACCCAATCGTGGCGACTCCGTTATCGCCCAAGTCAGACGACGGCAAGGCGATATTGAGTCCCGGTTCGATTGATCGTGTCTTCCCGGCTCGTTCTGCCATTTCGATTGATCCTGTCGCCACCCCTATGCCTCGTATGGATTCTTCTGGGGGTTATCCAGGCATGAGGGCTGCTGCCAGGCAGAGGGCTCCAAGTATCACGCTCTCCGGGCAGCCGCCTGTACCGACAACAAGAACAACGTCAGTCTCCGATGCATCGGAGATTGGCTCGGTGTCGGACGCTGCTCAACGGCCTTTTGACTCCGCTCCTCAAGCCAGCGGCAACCTCGACCATAAAATCTTGGCCAATATGGTCACTGAGGATACCGCCTCCCGTAAGTCAGAAGCCTCGAGCGTCTCTGGTGGTATGCCCATCCCAGCGCAGCAGGGCACGGGATTGGTCACGGCACGGTTCAAGCATGTGGTCACTGAGGAAGGTCACGCGGTCGTTACCGGGCGAGACGGAGAGACGCTGCAGAGATGCGAGGACGAGCCTATCCACATTCCCGGTGCCATTCAGAGCTTTGGACTTCTGATTGCTCTACGAGAGGAGAACGAGAAACTGGTTGTTCGAATTGCGAGCGAAAATTCTGCCCAGATCATCGGTTATACACCCCAGCAGCTCTTCAAAGTCGAATCCTTCTTGGACATCTTTAGCGAAGAACAGGCTGACAACCTGCTGGATCATGTCGACTTCATCCGTGAAGAGGGCGCCGGAGATGCAACCTCCACTGGTCCTGATGTTTTTATGCTTTCGATAAAGCCTCCACACTCCCGCACCCGGAGGCTGTGGTGTGCCATGCATCTGTCGGAGACAGACGCCGGACTGCTTATCTGCGAATTCGAGCTGGAAGATGATACGATAAACCCGCTCGTCCCCTCAGAAGACCGGATTACTCCCGAGGCTCCCGAAGACACACTCGGAAGTCAACCTACTCAAGAAGAGCTCATGGATAGCACGGTCAATATCAGCAAACCACTGCGCGTCTTAAGAAGTGCCCGTAAGAAGAGAACTGAGGCTGCGGCTATGGAGGTCTTCAACATCATGTCCCAGGTGCAGGAACAGCTTTCCACCGCCCCGACGCTTCAAACATTTCTCAAGGTCCTGATTGGTATTGTCAAAGAGTTGACTGGGTTTCATCGGGTGATGATCTACCAGTTCGACCATTCTTGGAATGGACGGGTTGTCGCAGAACTTGTTGATCCAAGAGCGACCAAAGATCTGTACAAAGGATTAAACTTTCCAGCATCAGACATTCCTAAGCAGGCACGAGATCTGTATAAGATCAACAAAGTTCGACTACTCTACGATCGCGACCAAGAGACATCTCGGCTGGTTTGCAGGACTTTGGAGGATCTTGAGAGACCTTTGGATATGACACATGCCAATCTACGGGCAATGTCGCCCATCCATATCAAGTACCTTGCCAACATGGGCGTCCGATCGTCCATGTCTATATCCATCAGTGCCTTCAATGAGCTGTGGGGCCTGATATCATGTCACTCTTATGGATCGCGGGGCATGAGGGTCTCGTTCCCTATCCGCAAGATGTGCCGCCTGGTGGGAGAGACGGCTTCGAGAAATGTGGAACGACTTTCATATGCCTCACGATTGCAAGCGCGCAAGCTAATCAACACCTCTTCTACTGCTACGAATCCCTCGGGCTACATTGTGGCGTCATCCGATGACCTGTTGAAGTTGTTCGAAGCCGACCTTGGCGCCCTCTCGATCAGAGACGAAACGAAGATTTTGGGCAATCCCAGGGGCCATCTCCAGGAAGTCCTTGCCATGGTGGAGTATTTGCGGATGCGAAGGATGAGTGCTGTCTTCTGTTCTCAGGATTTCACCAATGACTTTCCCGACCTACGATACGAACCAGGCTGGAAGTTTCTCGCTGGCGTCCTGTTTGTGCCTCTGTCGACTGGCGGCAACGACTTCATTGCTTTCTTCCGGAGAGGCGTGTTGCAAGAAGTCAAGTGGGCGGGCAATCCTTACGAGAAATTTGTTAAAGAAGGCACTGAGGGTTATCTCGAGCCGAGAACGAGTTTCAAGCAGTGGACTGAAACCATCGTTGGTCGATGCCGAGATTGGACGGATGAAGAGATTGAAACCGCTTCGGTGCTATGCCTCGTCTATGGCAAATTCATCGAGGTCTGGCGCCAGAAGGAAGCCGCGCTACAGAACAGCCAGTTGACCCGCCTCCTACTAGCAAATTCTGCACATGAAGTCCGGACACCGCTGAATGCGATCATCAATTATCTGGAAATTGCGATGGAGGGAGCGCTTGATCAGGATACTCGAGAAAATTTGGCCAGATCACATTCTGCCTCGAAATCGCTGGTCTATGTCATCAACGATCTTTTGGATCTCACGAAGACAGAAGGTGGTCAGACATTGGTCAAAGACGAGCCATTCAACCTGCTGCAGACCATCAAAGATGCCACTAATCCGTTCATTGGTGACGCCAAGCGGAAAAATCTAGAGTACGAGGTCGAGATCTCGCCAAGTCTTCCACGAAGCGTCCTTGGAGATCATCGACGAGTCCGACAAGTCGTGTCCAATCTCATCGCTAACGCGGTACAACACACGAGGGAAGGAAAGGTCGTTGTGGAAGCATATCCGTGTCCAACTTCACAACCGCAACCGGGCAAGACAGAGATCGAGATAGTCGTTGAGGATTCTGGTGCCGGAATGTCGCAAGCCAAGGTTGATGCCTTGTTCAAAGAGCTAGAAGAAGTCTCCTACGAAGAGGATTTGCCGGATTCAAAGGCAATCATAACCGATCCGTTGCCTGAGCAGCCGCAGTCCGAGAACGCAACTCTAGGGCTCGGGCTCGCGCTGGTCGCCCGCACCATTCGCAACATGAAGGGCCAACTTCGGGTGAAGACAGAGGAAGGGAAAGGCTCAAGATTCGTGATAGTATTAGGTTTCGATACCGATGGCCCGGAACCAGTTCAGCTCGCGATCCAGCCAACATCGCCGGATCTGAGCTCTCGGCCAGCAACCTCGCCAGGCCACCAAGAAGGCGAGGTCACTCTGATTTACAGGAACCCGCAAAAGGGTCCGGACTCAATGAGTACGAGGCCTGCTCCTCCGCCTCGGAGGGCAAGTGCAGAAAGTATGAATAGTTTGGCAAGCTTGAAGAGCGCCATGAGCCTGAAAAGCGACACTAGCCGGAAAAGTGGTGCGGACAGACTCATTGACGCCATCCAGCAACCTCTACAATTCGCTGATCAGAAGACCAGTAGTCCTGGACCGACGCACGACGAAGCATTCCGCCGCAGATCTCTCGAGTCACCAACCAAGTCCAAAAGCCTGCCTTCCCCAAGAGACCTCAAATCTGCTATGCGGACAAGCGGCTGGGAAAAGGTGAAGGATTCTGGCACGCCACTTCGACCTGTGCGAGTACCAGATGACCAGGAGGATGGGGCCAGTGGCTCGAAGATCGGACCGCGAATACTCTTCCGGGAGCCAGTGTCGGAGTGTTCCCAGTCTGATACCACCGAGGTCAGCAAAGCAAACCCGACCGAGAACTTTTCTGTGTTGGTTGCCGAAGACGACCCGATCAACAGCAAGATCATGAAAAAGCGGCTTGAAAAGCTGGGACATTCCGCCCAGATGACAGTGAACGGTGAAGAGTGTTCTTCGGCGTACGCAGAACAGCCTGCCTGGTTCGATGCTATCCTCATGGACCTTCAAATGCCCATCGTGGACGGCTTCAGCTCGACTAAGATGATCCGATCCTTTGAAAAGACCCAGGGCAAGTCGTGTCTGTCCAGTAGAGCTGGACAGAACGGACGGCTCCCCATCTTTGCGGTCTCTGCTTCACTGGTGGAAAAGGAGCGCAACAAGTATGTTGACACGGGGTTTGACGGGTGGATCTTGAAACCAGTGGACTTCAAACGCGTCGACCTCCTGCTCAAGGGCATCGTGGACGGGGAAGCTCGGAACGAATGTCTTTACGAGCCCGGAAAATGGGAAAGAGGAGGATGGTTCTCCACAAGGGAAGAACAGCACAATCCTTTTGATGTGGACACGCATCCGAATCAAGAAAAGCAGGCGACTAGCGTACCGGGCCCAGCGTCGACGGGTGATGGGGCTCAGGTATCTTCCTTGTCGGACGGCCCGGGGACGGAAAGATGACGTGGTGCTTCCGACTTGAGACAAACGACACGAACACGATTTAATAGAGCATCCACAGTCCTGGGAGATGGTGTGTCTGGGCATGACGGACATCCGCTGGAAAATCCGGATGAGTTCACGACTGAATCTTTAACACGCGACAGTTGACACGATACATTACTATCACAATCGGCGTGGCCATGACGTTCTTGTGGCTGAGGCCTATCCAACTAGGGCTTGGAGTTTGTTGTTGCGTGGCCATACACCTTTTGTGGCAGAAGCCTACCCAGCTAGGGCTTAGAGCTTGTTGTCGTTGCAGCACGACACTCATTGTCATTTGCATTGGCATTGGCATGGCTGGCATGGATGCTGTAGGATATTGGATGTGGTGGTTGCACTGAGCATGAGCATGAGCGCTTTGGTGATCGTTACACAGAGTACACCGCGATAGACGAGATGAGATGATGTGCATCACGACTGGGATGAAATACCAAAGTGTGGCTTCTGGTTTCGTGGGGCTGGCGACTTCGAGATACATAATGTAGCCTCCACCCGGAGTGACTGGAGCCTCGCAACACACAAACGATATTAGTAGCGCCAGGAGCCCCAACAGACCAGAGTAGCCAAGTACTGTGGGCGAATACAAAATGAAACGCCTACACTCAGCTTGGCATGTGTTATTACCAGTATTGCATACGAAGTACTTTGTCTCATTAGGCCTACAGCGTCTGATCTATCCGTCCCGTACCATGTTGTGTCTACCCATATCCGCTTTCCGCTCGTCGACTTGTACAGGATCGCTCATCCACTTTGCCACCCCTCCAAATTCGCGATATTGCCACACATGACGAGTCGGCCGAACTCATAAGACGGTGCACGCACGTAGGTGGTTCTCTTGCCCATGCCCATGCTCATGCTCATGCTCATGCTCATGCTCGCTCGGAATTTCCACTCCTTGCTACGGGCTCAGAGACTGCAGGTGTGTTCGTGCCCTCTTGCCAGATTACGGTCCGAGGAACAAGGAATGTGTTTGCGTACATGGCTGAACGGTTCGCGGTTCGCTTCAGCTCCTCCACCACCTTCCCCGGAAGGCGGAGGGGATCGCCATCTTCGCCAATCCACATCAGGGGGCGTACTGTCTGTGTGTGAAGGCAAGAAACCATTCTCGTTGTTGACAGCGTCGCAAGGTGGAGGACCGCACCATTTGGGCCGTTTCTGTAAATAGGAAAGGAGCAGGTCGGGGTGTGGCCGGACTGGTAGGGCTGAGTTGCGGCAGGAGTCTTCGACCGAGGTTGCGGACAGGACTTCTGGCGAGGCAGAAGGCGAAGACTCGCTTTGCTGCATCTGGACGTTGATGCTGAGGCTTGCTTGAGCCTGGGATTTCAGGCACGAGAGCTCCATTTCCGCCAATGCATCGGTATGAGCTTTGAGGTTCGTGTGTTTCCGCCGCCATTTCTCTGCTTCTTCGTCCATTCCCAGTGCTTTCGCCAGTGACGACAGCAGGTCAAATGACAACAAGATAAAATCTTCAGGGAGATCTGCCCGATATTCCAGCATCTTGAAGTAGTTCTCGACTTTCAAGAGCGTATAATAGAAGGCCTTTTCGTAGTCCTGGCTCATGAGGTACAGGTGAGTCAGGTAGCTGTAGGCGTGAGAAAAAGCACCTCCCAACACCCCGTCGTACTGCATTTCGTGCATTCGTTGGACATGAATCAGTGTGATTTGTTCGGCTTCCTCGTATCGCTCGGCTGCCATGAGGATCTCCATCACACTTCTTGCCGCACGGAGTGCCCCAACATCGTACGTCTCCCATCCCAAAAGGAGGCCACTCAGCTGCGGGCTGCACTCGTCCAGGTCATTATTTGAGTCCATCAAGATGGTCTCGGAGTCCAGGAGAAAGAAAGACTTCCGGTAGAAGTGGCCGGAGAAGGCGTTGCGAGAGCAATCGTGCGATACCTGGGTCAATCCGGCTAGGTCTTCAGCCTGGAGGCGGCTCAGACTCTGAAGCACGGCCATGCGAGCATCGTGATTGACATGCTTGTTGACCAGAACGCCGAGGTACTGTAGCAGCTGGTTGGCGACTTCGCCCTTGCATTCCGCCAGGTACGCCAAAAGCTCGACCAGACAAAGTAGCTGGGACGGTCTTCGCGACTCGACGACGAATTGCAGTTCACGACCTGCTGAGCGCCACTGTCGATAAGCCTGCGATAGATCTCCCACTTTGTACCTCCTGACACCCCTCTCGATAGACAGGAAGAAGCGATCTCGGGGACTGATTGGAAATTCCACGCCAACTATGCATGCGAAACCCATGACATCTTTGCCGAGCTTCCACAATCCTGAATGCAGCGAATCGCGCACGAAGACATTGAAAGAGTGAAGAAAATGTTCGATGTTCCGTAACGAGGCAGGGGAACCCAAGGAGAGCGGTGACTAGGGAGGAGTATAACAGATGAGGTCATGGACAACTCCTGGCTCAGTGGGCGAACAATGGTCCGGGTACAAAGCCAACCCTGCACGTCCGGCGTAGCGCTCGACATCGGCCATGTCGACAATCTGCCCTCTGAGGATAAACTCGGACTCCTTACCAAGCGACCACCTACTGGCACGCCGCCAGAGGATCTCCTTGACTTCGTGGCGTTTGTTCTTCTTGTCAAGGCCCCATCGCGCGATGCGGGACTTGTACATTTTTGTACTGAGTTCGGTTACTTGTTGTCAACCAAAGGGTGGAGAACGTACTTACGTTGCTTTGAAGCCACGCTCTTCTGCCATGATCACCATGACCTCCTTCAGTGGGCGGCCTTCATCTCGGTAGAGCCGAGTGATCGTGGCCCGGTGAGGCTGCCATCCCGAGCCGGCGTCCGGGTAGGTCGCCCTGAGCACCATATCTGGTTTGGAAGGCTGACGAGGATGGGAAACAGACAATGACGGCAGCGATCTCCTTCAGCAAGAGGGCGGAGTCTATGTTCAGGCTGAGGGAGTCTAGAGGTAGTGAAAGGTAGTCGACTTCGAAGGAAGCTGGGCAGGTACATATGTCGTGGACGGGAAGGCAGAAAGACCAGGGTAATGCAAGGTAGAAGGGCGGGGAGGAACAACATCATTGGTCGCATACCGAAGGGCCATGCATTGCATTAGCTTCCTAGCCTTACGATTGTGCCCTTACCTAGCTGGTTCGCTTGAAGTCGGCCCCCGGTTGCCGACTGCTAGTTCCTCCGTGCTTCATATCTCTCTCTACCGAGCAGGCCCAGGGCATGCGTGCGGTCTCCGGCATCTAGCATGCTCGTGGTTTTACCCTGAGACTGCCTTTGAAACTGGGTGTATAGCTATCTTTCCAGTCCATCATCTCGTCCGTCGTACCATCATTCACCAAGTCAAATCTGCGAGCAAGGTGGGCAAATGTGGCGTAGAGTTCAGCGTAGGCCAGGCTAGAAGATACTGTTAGTAGAACGGTCGAGAAGCATGCAGTCGCAACTCTTTGAGAAAGAAGCCGGGTGGAACTTACTTCATTCCGATGCAACTTCGACTGCCTCGTGAGAAGCTCACCATGTGTCTTTCAAGTTCATCCGCATTGGGCTCCAGCCAGCGTTCTGGTTTGAACGAAAAGGGATCCAAGAATATTGCAGGATCATTATTGTACACATAGTGAGAAAAGGAGACGCGCGTCTGAATCTGTGAGCTTTGGAGGCAAAGGCGCCACCATCAGAGGCAAACTCACTCCTGGAGCAACAGTCTCTCCGCAAAGCACTGCCCCACGCTCGGGCACAATACGATGAAGACGGGCGGATGTCCCCATAGAAAACCGAAGAGATTCTTTCACCACACCACGCTGTAGAATCGCCCGTTCAGCCTGCTTCTTGCAAGAGATTGCCTTGGGAATTGCAACTTACGAGGAACGGCAAGTTTTCAAGATCGGCCAGCCGGGCAAGGCCCTGCGTTTCCGGAAGGACCGACATGACTTCCTGGCGCAGCCGTGTCCAAATCTCAGGTCTCTTGATCATTTCCCAAGTCCCAAACGACAGCGCGTGCGCGGTTGTGTCGGTCCCCGCCAGGAACATAAGAACAGCGTCAGCTGCAAGCTCCGTCGGTGTCGCGATGTATTGCCCCTTCTCACGGTCGGGGCTGAGAGCGTTACGGAAGATTGATGACGCCACTTCTTTCGAGTCGGGCGGCGCTCGGGAAAGCGAGTCGATGAGATCTTTACATTGCTGCGCCGTCTCAGTTCTGGATTGAATGAAGCAAGCAGTAGATTGAAACTCACATCCATCACCTCTTTCATCGAAGCGACGCTTGGAAAACATAGTCTAACCGCAGTCTCCGGCAGCAGTGAAAAGATTACCTTGTTCAACACGTTGCCGATAGTTGGAAAGTCTGAGGCAGCAAGTCTCGCAGGTCAGTATTGTCATGATTGCCGCTGCCGCTGCTGGAGAGAAGAAGCTCCTTCCCGCGGGCTGCGAGTGCCAGCGTAGGCCTTGAGGCAGGAACAAGGATGGAGACATGTGAGCTTACTTACACCAGAAGAAGGGTGTGATAGAGCCAAATTCGTGGAATTCGAGGATCAATTTTGCCCGGAATTTGGGAACGTCGAGCAGTCCCAAACTCATTTGATAGCAGTAATACATTGTTACATCTGCGGTCAAGCATTCAAAGGCTAGAACTAGGTCGATTGATTCATTCTGGCCCGCTTCTTCTTTGAGTCGACGCAGGAAGAGATCGACCTTCTCGTGCATTAGGGGCTCGAGGCCGTTGATTTGAGCTTTTGAGAAGGCTTGAACGAAAAGGTCCCGATGAGGTTTAGCAACGCGGCCATCGCTAACGTTGAGGAAACTGCCATCGACCATGGGGGCATTGTAGAACTCGGGAGCCCTATTGAAATCGGATCCGGACTTGAACACTCTGCACTCGCACCATCAGCATCCTTCTCCAGCCGTCTCGGAGCTTGCCATGGGTAAATTACGTGCGGTAGGCGTCCCAATCGAAGACGTGCAACTCGTGTGGGCGAACGCGTACAATGGGTCCTAGGTCCGTTCAGTATGCTCCTTTTGGTGTCGGGAGCTGCTGACCATATTTGTCATGAAGCGCTTTGAGGTGTTTGACCAGCGAGTCTTCTGACAGCAGGTCGTAGTAGACCGCATACAGGTTGGTTACAGCAGCAAATCTGGGCCCGGGAAAGCGTGACAATGGGTGCAAAGTCAGTCTGTAGAAAATCCGGAGCACCAATGCCAGTATGAGGAGCGCCTGGCCGAGCAGCAGGAGCGACAGAAATGCCATCTTGCGATCAACAGAAACTGTCCATCGAACATCGAAGGTAGGCAGAATGGTGACGTTGAAGTCCATCGTATTTCTATGCCAGGCTTGCTTTCTCGAGAGCTGGTCGCCTTAAGCGCATTGTCGCAGTCTCTTCGACCATGCCCATCCATATCCCCATGTTCCAAGAGGTAGTGGGTCTGTAGTGAGCCTAGCGCTGACGACTTGGTCCTGAGGCCTGCAATGGCTTTCACCATTCACGACTATTCAAGACAAAATGCACGTATGGTACCTCGTTCAGTGGACGCCTGATTCTCGAAATCGAAGTGGGCTTGAAGGGAATGAAGATACGGAATGCATGCTGATCTGTCACGCATCCTAAGAGCGTCAAACAGGAAGCTCCGAAGATGCAGAGGAAGCAAATGTGGGCGAGGCAAAAATGAGACAGAGATGAGGCCCTCCCAAAAACTTCCTGGTTGGGTGTGTGATCCACAAGTGAAAGTGATTGCATGCTTGTGAACACAGTCAGCTATGAATAAAGAAAATCACAGAGCTGAGTTACCCTTCGTTGGCCCTCGAAGGTTTTGGTGTAACTACTTACTAAGTCCTGTTGAATGCATCTATTGTACAGTGCTCTGTTCAAGCATAGTGTAGAATTATCTCGAGAGGACAGCTTCAGTGTTCACCCCGAAAATGACTTATTGATCAGCCACAGGTGAACCTGCCCTGACCACAAGATAAACCACATACACAGTTGTTTTCCGTCGCCACAAGAGGACAAGTCTAGGAAAACTCATGACACGATCTCGCTCAGTGGACCGAACACCTCGTACGACTAGTGAACGAATGGGAAGCAGCAAGCGGTGGGCTTGTATCGAGCCCTGCGAGGACAGAAATAGGAACAACTCTACGGGTCGCCCACGGGTCGCATCACACACCCCGCATTTGCAGTGCTTGTGGGAGAGGGGACCTTTACGCGTGCACAAGAGTCAGAAGACATCATGAGATCTTTTGCAACTAGTGCAACGCTGCCCACTCACAGCACAGACGGATGCCACCCTGAGTTCCGGTTTGTTTCTCGCATCGGATAAACCATCTGTCCGTGAGTTCCGGCTCGGACCACCACAATTGGACTAGCCCAACGAAGCATGATTGGCTGAGCCTTAGACATTTCTGTTGGCTGCGCCTTCGCTTCATTGCGAGCTTCTCCTTCTCCCGAGCCGACGTCACTCAGCTGGCGACCAAGGTACCATCTCAGCAGTCCCAATAAGAGGATCTGTGGAGGATGCGTGCGTACTGGTTCAGCGCTCGAGGGTTTTCGAAAGTATCTCGCATGAACATCCTTATGCGAGCCAATCGTCTCTTTGTTTTACGAGGAAAGCTTTCCTCCACCCTCTCCATGCTGCGGCAGCTTTCTGAGCCTCGACGCGCGGGACCAAAATCCCTCGTCTCGAGGAGGACAGCACGACTGCTGAGCAATGCCACACCTCGCCCGCCACCAAACCTACGGTGAATGCGCATCATAGCTTGAGATCCATCACCTTGTTGTATAAGAAGGTAGGAACCTCCTCGCAATGGCTGTCTTGATCATCAGACAACAAACAGCAACTACAATCACTTCAGCTATTTCCTATCCTCTATTTCCTTATCACAGTCGTTCTACACAAATCCAATATCCTTGCTTCATTAATTCCAGCGCCTCAGCAAACTTCCCTGATACTTGATCTGCATACTTCAACTCGGCTAATCCAACAACCATGTATACTTCAATCGCTTTCATTGCTGCGACTCTCGCCGCCAGCGCCTTAGCTGTTCCCGTCAGCAACACGACCACCACTTCAAACTACTGCGGTTTTGGGACTAATGCCGATGGCTCATGCGTCAGCCCAACTTCGACCACAACCTCGGCTTCGTCTACTTCCACCTCAAGCGTTTATTGCGGGTTTGGAACCGCCCTAGATGGCAAGTGCAATCCGCCTCCGTCGACCACCACATCAGCCTCGTCGACGACATCATACTACTGTGGATATGGCACCGCTCTGGACGGCAAGTGCAATCCACCTACATCGACCACCACATCAACCTCATCGACGACAACGTACTGGTGTGGATACGGCACTTCTCTAGATGGCAAATGCAATCCCCCACCATCAACCACAACCAGCTCAACGGCTACCACCTCTTCCACCTCGCACTGGTGTGGCCTCGGCACTGCTGATAATGGGTCTTGCAACTCTCCCTCGACGACGACCAGCAGCACATCGACCAAGACAACCAGCACCGTCAGCAGCACGACAACAAAATCCACGACGGTGAGCACAACCAGCAGCGCTAGCAGAACATCGACCAAGACAACGAGCACCGTCAGCAGCATGACAACAAAATCCACGACCGCGAGCACAACCAGCAGCGCTAGCAGCACAACCACTCCGGTCTCCCACTACTGCGGCTATGGTACAGCATTGAACGGCCAGTGCAATTCCGCTCCTCCTACTTCGACCAGATCGTCAAGCACTGCCAGCAGCACGACTGTATCTCACTACTGTGGATTCGGTACCGCTGCCAACGGCCAGTGCTTGCCAGAACCTCCTGTCTCTACAACCACTCCTAACGGCTGCCCCACTGCTATGACCGTCACCCAAACCGTCACTGCGACCCCGACACTTGCTCCTCACTTCTTCTATGGTCTCAGCGACTGTGTGGGATGCCAGACGGTCACCATCACCATGGCTGTCCCCACCTCGATCGGGGCTTGGTAGAGCGGTCCGATGATTTCAGAAGGCGAGATGATGCGGATTGGGGTGGTACGGCTGCGGTGCAGCTTTGGACTGTCTTTCCTTTACAGCATGCATGGCGTGGCGTCGACTTGAAAGCATTTCAGCATAGCGAATGGTTGGTAATGATAGACACATCCTTGGACATATAGCAAGCTTAGTCACTCCTTTGGCATAGCGAATGGTTGATAATGACAGATACATCCTCGTACATATATAGCAAACTTAGTCACTCCTTAATACATGGGAAGCTTCCACCTACGTTCGAGTCCCTTCATTTCACTTTGACGCACATCTGAGTTCTGACTGAGGTTCTGCACCGGAAACGGAAAGAGCGGAGATGGTCTGCCGGGCAGGATGTGGGGAAGGCGCCCCGGATAAATGCCACCAACCTTCGCCTCCACGTCGAGATTAAGAGTGCCAGACTGCTCAGCTCGTACTCGGGCCGCGTATCTTTGGCTGGCACTTTAGCCGTCTTCCAGACGCGGAAGGGACCAAAATCCACAGATGCCGTGCCCAGGCCTTGTGATGGCACAGGCGTTACCAGTTCTATGAATTCTTCCTCCTTCGCAACCCCACGCCCACGACATTGATACTGCGCCATGCGTTGACCTAGCATTGTGATCCCAATTGCATGCGGGCAGCGACGACTTGACTCACAAGCTCCTTCGGCTCCGGATTATGTCTACGACAAGGACATGCACAAGGCGAGAGCGGTGACACCTCGGCCGGATCAAAGCGCTGGAGTCGCAGCGTCGCGCCCTGCTCGTGCTGTGGCTTCCAGCACCTTCCAATTCGTCACCGCCATCCCCACCTCCGACGCCGAACGCTCCCAGAACAAGGTGCTTGTTCGATCCAATGCTTCGAATTACCATTGGCGGCGAGTCAAGAAAGATGTGGATGGAGCCCCAAGTCGACCGGTAGCAAGGCGTCGCTCTTCCAACCACGGCCAGCGCCAGGGCAAATCCTCAAAGAAAGCGCGTGCTCCTACCACTCCCCAGACGACCGGGTCCTCCTCCACAGAAAGCGAAGGTTCATCACCGCAGATAGAGGAGGACCTCGTGGAATCCATCACAGATTCGCCCGTCGCAGGAGGCGAACTAGTCTCATTCTCGCCCAACAGCCTGTCGGCCTTGATCGTATCTGGCCACCATGATCCCTTTGAACAATATCCCTGTGAGCTGCCGAAGGAATTTGTCAGTCCTGTCCTGGACCAAGGTGAGTGATGGATCATCCGAACCGTACACATTGCTCGATGCTGACTGCCAACAGTGAACAGCTTCCTGTCATTGATGTTTCCACCCGAGAAGGGCCAAACCCTGAACCCACACTCCGAGAAATGGCTTCAGATGACATTCCACGATCGGACGCTTTTCCACGCCTCGATGTTCTGTCAGCTCACGCGCAATCGAGTTTTCTTCTCCTCCCCACCCGAGTCCCGAGAGCAGATGCAGTGTTATACGGAAACCATTCGAGGGGTCCACCAGAAGTTCGCCGACAGTTCCATGAGCTGCGAGGATGAGAATATCCTGGCAGTGTATGCTCTATCTTATCACGGGGAGCCTCGATCCCAACGCCCGGCGGCCGCACCCACACAAGGGCCATTGACTACTTTGCAACTCCTCCATCTATACGGGGGCCGACTCCACACGGTTAATGTACATTTACAGGGGCTTGCCAGAATGTTGACCCTTCGCGGCGGCCTGGCTCAGATCAAACTCCCGGGCTTAGCACAGGCTATCTCATTGTAAGCGATGCACTTGCTTGACATGGTCACACGCAAAACTGACTCAGTCCCATAGCGGAGATATTATTCTAGCCAGCCAAACCTTGACCAGACCGATGCTGCCATATGAGCAGATGGGAGACGATGTCATTGGGCCTCTGAACCTAGCGTCCAGGAAGAACCATCCGCTGGTCGGCCTCGGCAGGGGATTTCGAGTTCTCCCAGAGTTGCTAGGCCACGAGACTGTGGACCACCTTCTGATCGTCCTGAAATGGATCATCCAGTACACATTTGCTGTGGATGATCATGTCAAGAACAGACCGGAAGCTCAGAAACTGGGATGCATCTCCGACGAGAGAAATTTTGTCCAGCACAGCCTGATGCTGTTGACGCCGCTCCCTTCAGAAGTAGAGGACGAACACCCATTAATCAGACTTGCGCGGCTGGGCACGGTGGTATATAGCCTGCTCGTGGTGTTTCCGCTTCCGGCAATTGCTGCACCGTTTCACCAACTGGCGCACGACATCAAGGCACGGCTTCTCGACCCAGCGATCCAAGGTTGGTGGGGCGAAGCATCTGACCTGATAATGTGGGCGACTGTGATGGGTGCGATCGCGGCTATAGGATATCCGGAGCGACAGTGGTATCGCACCATCCTGGACGAATTCACTCGACAGGTCGGGGTCGAGAGCTGGCCAAGTATGAGAGATCGGTTAGGTATGTTTTTGTGGTATGAGTATACGAATGACGCCGACGGGCTCAAACTATGGACGGAAATCGAGGAATCCAACCTGTTCAGAGTCCCGAAGTAGGCACTCCGACAGCCGGCTGGGAACGAAGCTCGTCTTGAAGGTGCACACGACGTGCGGAAGCAGGGTTTCGGCAAGGACCGGTGCCCTTTAGATGGCTGCACATGTAGCAGATGAGCAACAAGGAGGAATGTGTCTACCGCCTCTTGTTGAAAATATTCTTTTTGAGCGACACTAAAAGTAGGTGTGCGTATTACCTGTGTTACCTCTGGGCGTGCTTCGTGCTGTCCTTCTCAGGGTCGTTGGCGGCATCATTATATGTGGTGTGTCCTTTTCTGCAGGCTTGTGGGTGTGCCTGGGGGATGCTTCTCTGTACGGAGTATAGGCGTGCCTGGAGGTACTCCGTACTGTAGCTGTCCTTGTGAAGACCTAATTACATAGTTCCTGCAAAGGTCGGAAAAGCTGCCTCGGCCTGGGCGACTCACGCGCCGGAGCTTTGGCCACGTTGACGCATCTCGCCAGCGGTGGACGAGTCAGCAGCGCACTCTCTGCACTCCGTACTGTACCTTGCATACAGATGTCTACTTCTCACCCAGGCCAAATAAATCGACATGTTTGGTGCCCTGAACCGATTCATAGCCCGTCTGGACGGCGAGCCGCCCCCGCGACAGACCGACTCAGGACCATCCGACACCTCCTTTGGCTTTCAAGTTCTGCGCAACACGAATAAAGAGCTCCAGCTGGAGCCCTGGTTCGACTTTATCATTGGCATGAACGGTCACTATCTGGTATGTATATTTGTGTATGTGGCCACCCAGGCCCACTGGAACACACCTGCTGACTGAACTGAACGAAGGACTCGCCGGACCCGAACCTGTTCGTCACGGAACTACGCAACTGCGCAGGCGCGTATTGCACGTTAGATCTCTGGAGCGCAAAGGTACGAAGATACGCGCACGGCGCGTGGGGGTTTGTGGCTGAGTTCAGTTTTGTTGACTGCTGGCAGGGCCAAAGAAGGCACTCGCTCACCATCCCCGTGCCTGCTTCGGCCGAACCCTTGGGACTGTCCCTCCAACTCACGCCTCTCAACTCCACCCAGAATATATGGCACGTCCTGAGCATACCTTCTCCGCTGTCACCCGCACACCAGGCCGGCCTGCTCCCGCACAGCGACTACATCCTCGGCTCGCCGAGCGGGACGTTGAAAGGAGAAGCGGCGCTGGGCGAGTTAGTCGAGGATCACCTGAACCGGAGCCTCGTGCTGTGGGTCTACAATTCCGAGTTCGACGTGGTTAGGGAGGTGGAACTTGTGCCGCGACGCGGCTGGGGCGGCGAGGGTGCGCTAGGGGCAGTCCTGGGCTTCGGGGCTCTACATAGACTCCCTGTGGGGTTGGGCGAAGAGATCCAGGGACCCGGGGAGAGCCTGTTTGACGCCGATGGAAAGAGCCACAGCCACGAGAATGGACAGGGACAACAACAAGCCTTCGCCAACAACGCCTTCCAGCCCGTACCGGTCGAAAATCTACCTACTCCACCTCCACCTCCGATGATCAGCCCGAATGCACCTCCTCCGCCGCCGATGGTAAACCCCAACGCTCTTCCTCCTTCGACTACTGCAGGACCCCCGAGAACACGAAAAGGCCGGCATCATGCCGCTGCCATAAAGAGTGGGTTCGACGATATGTTCGCCGAGGGGACCAAGAAGAGCGCCGAACAGGACCATATACCGTCGAGGAAGGGCACGCCTCTTGCGCCGCCTCCCAGAACTGGTTCTGCTGGACCGACACCCCACTCCGCGACGCATGAGAAGGGAGATCCAATATCTCAGGCAGGCGACGAGCTAGGCGAGCCGGGCGATGCCGAAGAAACGTGAGGGCCGGGGTTATTGAAAAATGTTCTGACCACCATTTTCGGGGACAGCAACACGGAGAAAGGGACCATGCCAAAGATCAAGTATCGAAATCGGGCTGTCTACCCTTCTTGTCCGCCACTTCGACCTCGTCTTTCCACCAGCCCATGAAGTCTCGAATCCTGCTCGATCTCTCCTTCGCCATGGCTCGCCCCGCATCGGTCTTCATCATCCCCTCGAGCTTCAGCAACTTGTCCTCGAAATGCTGGATGGAATCTTCCAGGCTCCGCGCGCCCTTTGCCCCTCCAAAGGTGAAGCACCGCCCAATACCGATAGCCCCCATCGCGTCGAGCCGGTCAGCATCTTGCACCACAGCCAGTTCCGGTATCAGCTCGATGAGCTTCTCTACGCGCTCCGGATCCTTCACTTCAGAGGAATACGACACGCCGTCGACCAACAGTTGGATGTGCTCGGCGTAAGACTCCGACAGTCCCACCTGGGTGACCGCCTTGCGCAACGACCCCGCCTGCTGTTCCGTGCTCACAGCGACATACTTCTTGTCCTCGACGTCATGCAGCAACGCTCCCAGAATGACACTCAAGGGATTTAAAGCCGGGAGGGCCTGTCTTTTGCGCTGGTCTTCTACCTTCTTAAGAATGGCAAGAGCGTTGGTGACGACGCGTCTCACGTGCGCAAAGTCATGAGAAGCGTCGAAGCGCGGATCCTGGAAGTATTGTTCTGTGAAGGTGTATATTTGGCGGACGTGTCCGGCCTCTTCGTCGGACAGCGACGGATAGGTCGTGGGATCCCAGTATAGAGATTTCGGCAGTTCCATGGTTCTAAGGAGGGTGGTGAAACTGATTGGGTGGTGATTAGGTCAACGCGCGAGCGAGTGAAAAACGGACGCATCAGTCTTATCCAAGGCACGAAGACCAAGACTGTGTTATGAGGAAGTCGGTATGTACTATGATACAATACTCGCTATGACATCCAAAGTCAGGGCAAGGACTCGTCTGCAAACATGGACTTTCGCCTCACAAGATCAAAAATGGCCACGAACGGTTAGCGCCAAGACGGAAAAACTTCGGCCCGGCCTGCATCTCCTCAAATTCCCACCAGTCGCACGCTCGTCTCTACCACAGTACAGTCTATGCGCCTTGCACGACGCCCATGGCTCTCATGCATTCGATACCGTCGTACATCCAATCTTCTCTTCTCCACCGCCGTGACTTGCATTCTGTACAAGAGCAGTCTTTCTCTTCTACGTCTGACTGATATTCTGACTCTTGTCGACTTTCGGTGACCGGGAACCGCTGTTCATATCTCTGGCGTGCCTCCCAAGACATATCCGGCTCCGCGTCGGTCACGTCTGTGGACCGCCATTTCACAGTGTGAACTGGAGCTCTCTGACGGCGACGTTTCCGCGAGTTGGCTGCCGTGCGGTTCGGTGTAGGGGTGGTTGTGGCCGGTTCCGCAGATGCGTAATTCCCCATGCTGTCATCAGTCTCTGCTTCTGCGGCTGTATCGTGGCAAGAGTCGGCACGGGCCTCACAGGTGGCGGAGACACGCTCTCGGGACAGCAACGCTGCCAATGGCCCTCGACTTGACCGGCTGCGAGGAAGTGATCTCGGCGACGCCATGGGGAAGAGGTAGGTGTTACTAAGGTCTTCCCATTCTGAAGAAGAGGTATCTTGCGACCACAACAACGGGTTCGCGCCAGACCATGACCAATGTGTCTCGGCCACATAGCCGTCGGGAAGATGCATCTCGTGAAGTGGTGTTTGGAAGGACGGGATGTTGCTCACTATGTCGAATGTCGAATGTCGATGGCGCAAGGAGATGTTGTAGAAGGCAGAGAAGACGGACATCATAGGGGTTTATCAACGTCTTCTCGACAAGGCTGGCAAGGGTGGAGCTGTATCTTCCTTGAAGGTAGATCTCAAATCTCAGAGACTGATGCCATCCAATCCTTGTGGATTGTCAGTGCTTTCGAGGGAAATAGTGCAGAGAAGGACGCATGGAAGGGCCCACAAGGCATAGGTAATCGCGCCACATCAGATGTCGGAAGCTCCACCAGTGGGCCATAGCGCAAGGCTTGGATTCAGGAACCAGGGTTGCTGCGCTCCTCAACATCTGAAGACAAAGTCTCCCACCAGTGTGCCTTCCAGTTTCAGCTGCGTCAGCTTGCAGAATACTGGGGAAATCCAAATACTGCCGTCAACGAGCGGGTCGACGTTGAATGTCCACCGATGTTCCAACGTCATTCGGTCCCGACCGGGGCGCGCCGACGAGGCTCCAGAGCTAGCAAAGGGCAGCGGTGACCTCGTGCGCTATTTGCAGAGTCGGTTCCATTGGCCTGACCACAATTACAGAGGGACGCCAAGCAAACGAAACAAGATGCAGTTTGTGGGGGACACAGGTCAAGGAGGAGCCATGATGAGTAACCCGCTTGTTCTGGAAAAGGGGGGTTTTCCGGTGACCATGGTTGAAACTATACCAGCAATCATTCCCCTTCCTGCTCCCTCCAGTTAGATTCTCCAATCAGCGGATTCCATCGGATATCAGATCACACACGGGACCAAGACACGGAATCTACCTGACGACAGGACGCAAATCGAGGAGAACTCGAAAGCTGTTCGTATAAGCAGGACCCCACCACCCCATTCCGGCATGGCCTCTAAGTATCCAAGACCGAGTCCGTCATACTCGTTGGCTGCCACCAACCATTGCCCACCACTGGCGTCCTTTCTGGCCTAATCCCGCAGTATTCACGCAGGCTTGCGGCTGCAGCCCGTCCCAAGCTCCGCCTCGACCAGTTGATGCTAACGTTACTGTGGCAGCACGATGCACCTCTTCCCCCAGCGCATTCTCCGAAGCCTCCTGCCGTAGGCGAGCAGACTTGACCGCTCCTCATCACTCTAGCCAGTCAGAACATCTGCCTCTTCGACGTCTTACTACAGCCGGTAAGTGGTGTCCGTAAGGTGCTCCAGCGCAAGCTCAATTTACCGTGTCCCTTTCCTGGTGCTTGTGCCCTCCCTGCTTTGTCAGAGCACAAGTACCTCTACACACGTGTTCCTTCGTGCGGTCCCAGGCCCGCCATGCTGGACCCTGACGTTATGCCCGGATTTGAGTCTGCTAGACACCTTGCCCACAGCGACTCGGACAATGCAGACTGTCACGATCGACCTGCGTCATCATTCGCAGAGGTCTGTACTCCGTATCCAAGTCAGCCTCGTTAAGAGAACAACAGGACCGTCTCCTGAATTGTATAATACATTGGACACTCGCCGACCATTGAATCATTTACAACACCCACAACCTGCGCCACGCTGACCAGATCGAGCTCGACACGAAGTCACCATCAGTCAGCAGACCTCGTCAACACAAGCCGCTGTGCTCGACACATCGGAACCTCATCTTCACAATCAATTGCAAATATGCAAAGAGTCGATCAGAATCTGGAATTGGTGTTCCCGCCGGAAGTTAACCCTGCTTCATACGCCTGGGCTTTCCTGTCACAGGCGCAGCAGGAAAACAGCTCTAGGGATGTCTTGGATCTTTTCCTCGAGCCGGGTTCGCCATCTCGGTCGCCCCTGCTAGACGCCAGCCACCCGCGCAAGCAACGTGATATAAAGATGGCACAAGACATCTTTTCTTATCCTATCGGGCATGACTTCACCTCCAGCCAGTCGTCAGTCAATTATGCCAGCAGCGTGCAGTCGGACGACTTCTGGATCGCAGAGGGCACCGCATCAGAAGTCCCTGCCACCACGCCGGCCGGTGTAAATACAGTGGATCGAAGACATCGGCGACGCGAGCAGAATCGCAAAGCCCAAAGCAATTTCAGGCAGAAGAGGAAGGAAGAGGTGCGCGGGCTCCAGCGCGAGGTGGAGGAACTCCGAGCTCAACTTGCCGCTTATCACAGGAGAGGCCCGACGGCTAATCTGACTATATGCACGAAGTGTCGGACCTTTTATCCTGCGGCAGCCGCGGATGCGTCGCAGCTTTCCAAGGATGCAGACATCTTCGGCTAGACTGGAAAGACCGTGCCGTTTGGTGTTCACCATTGTCAATAATCGCTTACCATGCGTATCAGTGGCAGGACAGCAAGTCAGTTGGAAATAAACGCAGTATCTTTCGCGAGCAGCTTATAACTATCGTGCTGAGCGACTGATGGTGTCAGGGCCATGCGGAAGGCCCAGCAGTCAACCCGAGTCCGAGGGGCGTGGTACCGTCCGCCCCTCGCCCGCTGTCGGATTCTGTATGGATAGTACAACAGGTGCTGCCGAAACTCTTCAAGGAAAGTGACTGGTCCGCTCACTGAGCACAGCGCCTTCGGAACACCCACATTTTAGGAGACGGGACTGGACACGGCGGCCACCCTCCGCCATTCGCCCGGTGGACACCACGCCAGCGATACCGCCCCAACTAAGTGTGAATGGCACGGAGATTCGAGACGAGTCAACCATATACCCCTCTGCGCTGAGATCAAGGAGCCGTCTTGGGAATTGGAGCCCACTAACAGGGATCTCGATGCCGAGGAACCGGCCGATCCTTCCACATGTGAGGACGAGGTCTGGATAGCGAGCAGCAATACTCTGTACAGTGGCTGTCATTTCCAACCCTCATCGCTGACCCAAAGTCGTGGCTCGGACGCCAGCTTGGGAACGCAATGGGGAGCGGGACGTGGAACAGCCACTGGTACCATGAGATGCCAGCTTGAGAAGCGAGCGCGAAGGGAAGTGGGAGTCGGAGTCGGAGTCGGAGTCGGAGTAGAAGATGCTCTGCTACATTGCCCGGGCTGCAACATGCGTCCCGAGGCCGGGTACTAGCGGTGTAGCAAAGTGATGAATTCAAGTCCGTTGCCGATTTCCTGTACGTACGAGACGCGATGCGATGTGATGCGATGCGATATGACTCGGTGCTCTGATCAAGCACAGTACATGGACCGGCACCGGGTCTAATATCGACACCGATCCCCCGATGTACCTGAGATGAGAACTGACCACTGACATCTCCACCTTCATCCATGCCCCGTGCTCCCCTGGTACTGTAGTAGGCTGGTGAGTGATTCAAGAGTCAATTGACTGCAATCCAAGGAGTCCACCTCTCGAGTCAGTTACCTTTGTTTGACAAATCTCGCATCCGTGTACTATAGCCCCTTTGGCCAGTCGCTCCTCCACATACTATGGTTACCTTGCCTGCCGGCGAGATTAGTTATCAATAAGCTCAGCTTACATCCATCCCCTTACCAGGCCGTTGTGATGACCTCTACCTACGTACCTTTGTCTATCCCCGGTTCGGATAGATCGTATTTCATGCATCATATTTTGTCTATATAGATAGTATGTACGCGCGTGTATATACACTTCCCCCAGTGAGCCCGGATTACGCGCGGGATTGCTCCCTTCAACACAGAAAGGGCCTTGTGTACCGTGTGTGATATGCCGTGATATGCCGTGTTGTGCACATACGTATGTATCCACTCACTCCAAAAGTACGGATGAGATGTTCGCTTCGGAGTGGTCAACGGTCCACACACCACGAAGTCTCCGCGGCTATCATAAGGCGCAGCTGGATTCACAGACGGGAACAGGCGAGGGCGCAGGCATCCGTCGATTGGCTCACCGGCAGGGTCTCCATAACAGAGAAGCGTGCTCGGCGATGTTCATGTAGGCGAGTTACCTTTTGTAGGTCCATCTTGCTCGTACTCCGTATATATACAGTACTGGGTAAACCCCCTTAGGCCGCCCTTCGTATGATGGCGTGCCTGCGTTCGCGAGTCGGTGAAGCTGACAGTACAGTCCGTGGGATTAAATGGTGAGACAAAGGAGGATCGGCTAATGGGGGCGTGTAATCGGTAAACTATACCAAGTCAGTAGGCAGCAGGCCGCAAGCAGTATCCAAGACAAGGATTTATAACGTGAGGTGTATCCTCTTCCAGAGCGGCGTCGTAGCGAACATCATCCACGAGGTGCCTCCACCATGGCCCACCAAGATCCGAATCCAACCCTCCTGGAACTCGCACAGCAGGTGCAGGCCGACTGCAGGATCATAATCGACCACCTGGCGCGCAATGCTCTTCCTTCCCCGTCCCTCGCGGCCGATGCGTACCCGTTCTTCCCTGGCACGGGACCTCCCGGTGTTGACACCTTCCCACGCTTGAACGAGGATATCAGAAAGGCGAGGACGCGGCTCCAAGTCGCGGCCACGACCCTCGCGCAGCTGGCTGCTGGGCCTGCAGACGCGGCGCTGACGGGCACCATTGGCCACTTCATGTCTGCCTGCCTTCAATACATCCATCACTTTCGCTTGGCGGAGCACGTCCCTGTGGATGGGGACATCAGCTACAAGGACCTTGCTGCCAAGGCTGGCGTGGTTTCAAATCAGTGTGCTCGGGTGTTGAAGTTCGCGGCCACCAAGGGTTGGTTCCGCCAGACGCGGCCCGGCCATGTCACCCACACGGCCATTTCTAAGATGTTGCTGATGCCCGACTTCCGGGACACAATCGGGTACGTCACGGGAGAGTCATTCGCGGGCGGGCCAAAGATGGTCGAAGCTGTAGAGAAGTACCCAGGCAGCGCGGAGAAGAACGAAACGTGCTGGAACTTGGGCCACAACACCGACCTGCCCATGTTCGAATACTTCGAGCATCAGCCCGCCAGGATGCAGCGGTTCATGGGGTGCATGCGGTATATGGCGTCAGGAGAGAGCTTCAGTACCAAGAACGTCGTCGACGCGTTCGACTGGCAGGGCCTGGGCAAGGGGCTGGTCGTCGACGTGGGCGGCGGTTTCGGTCACTGCTGTTCAGAAATCGCAACGGTGGCTCCGCACCTCGACTTTATCGTGCAGGACCTGGAGAAGGTGGTTGCGCAGGCGCAAAGGGAGCGCGCCAATGACAAGGACATTGATCGCATCAAGTTCCAGGCGCACAACTTCTTCACCGCGCAGCCTGTGAAGAACGCCAGTGTCTACCTCCTCCGGTTCATCTGCCATGACTATTCGGACAAGTATGCGGCGCAGATACTGGGACACCTCGTGGCCGCGATGGGGCCGAATAGCAGGATCATCATTGTAGACGAAGTTATGCCCGAGGTGGGTGTCCTGAGCAGCGTTGAGGAACAGCGCGCAAGGTGAGGATCTGTCCTTGAGAATGTTCGCAGAGCAGTACTAACGGGGTGCCTGGAGCAGAATGCTGGACATGGAGATGATGCTTAGGTGAGAGTTACCCGAATGCTGTGCCCCAAGGATCAAAACTCAAGACTCTCGCATTTGATTCACCTTGTTTTTGATACTAACATCAATAATTACAGCTTCAACAGCCTGGAGAGGGAGGAAGAGGGCTGGCAGTCGTTAATCGAACAGGCCGATGAGAGATTGGAACTGCGCAGTATCCGGAGAATACCAGGGAACGTCCTCGCCGTCATGGAGGTGGGTTTGAAGCAACCCAATTAGCAAAGCTTTGAGGACGAAAGGGACGGAGAGAAGCGAGTGAGCAAAGTGCCGCAGTCCCGTTAGAGCTTGAAAAGCTCGGCAATTTGTCGCGCCAAGAGCGACTCCCTTCTCACTTTCATTTCACTGTCACCTTTCATTTCCCCATATCGTCCTCGCTTGTGCCTCCACTGCAAATGGACTTCGTGTCATCCTCTCGGAAAAACCAACAACCATTTCTTCTAGGCAGATACTGGTGAAAGACGGCGGTCTCTACACAGTACAGCCGGGAGGGTGGAGGCGCAGCGCCTTATTCCACCCGTTGGCCGTGTCCCTCGTATTCCTGTGCAAAAGCCCGGCCCAGCTCGCGTTCTCGCTTATCTCGCCTTGGCCTTCACTGCAAATGACTGCAGCCAACTGGAGTCATCCTGTCGTCTCTTGCTGTCTCCGCCACTATGGTTCGCGGAAGATCCTCCTCGACCAGTCTGGGTCGGAACTTGAGACTGCCCAGCGTCCAAGTCGACTCTTCGTTCGTATTGCTGCCGCCGTCGAGTCTGCCTTATGGCTTTGTGCTGCACACGTGGCAGCGTTGGGAAGAGGCTGTGTCGTTGACACGGAAAGATGTCGAGTTCTGGGTGATCGAGAGTTCGGCCCCTTTCTCAGCTCATGCAGATTAAGGTTTGCAAGAGGCACGATACAGCAACGAATCCCAGTGAGTACCTTGTGTCGAGGTGTTGACCATGAAGATATAGAATAGAAAGTAGATGGGAAACTGCTCTTTCCTGTTCACCCACCATCGACCAGCTTTACTTTGGAAACCTCCGCCGATGTTTCTTACCATGTATAGATTCTGTCTCAGTGTCATCTTCTGCGCCTTCAACAGCCTTGTGCTGTCATCGCCGGCTCCTAGAGCTGCAACGACAAACTGCTATCCTCTCATTGCTGGCTCGCAGCAGACCCATTTTCCGTCCGGCAGTCTCCCCTGTGTCGCGGTGCCGGAAAACTCTGTCACGCAAGGCAACCTCAAGGTGTCGACCTATCATTGGGTGAAAGGTCCGGACACTGCGGTGGTGTATGGTGACAAGGCGCAGCTCCACTTGAAGAGCATCAACGATGGCATCCAGAAGGCTGTCAAAGCCTATGGAGGTTTTCTGAAAGATACTCCACTAAGCACAAACCTAGTCTTCATTCCAGCAGCCTCACTGCCCGATGGGTGGGGTGACACATGGATGCAAAAGGGCACCACTGCAGCTCAACGTAAATTCAGCGTCCTCATCGCCAACTGGAGGGACGGGTTCCAGCCCGACTATAACAAATGGGCCCGGACAACCGCCCATGAGCTCTACCATTGCGTGTTGATGAGCACCAACGCGCAAGACGCGCAGGCTGCCAATCCCTGGAACCAATGGTGGGACGAGGGAGGGCCTTCCTTTTTCGCAAGCGCACTGTTTCCTGAGCCGCTAGATCCGACGTTGAAGATCTATTTCGACTCTGATCACCCGGATCTGAACATCCAAGGCTGGTTCCAGACATACAAACCTACGGTACCTTTGTACAACCAGGGCTATAGCGCCGAGCTATTCTTTCTCGACATGTACACCCGGCCGACCCAGAGCAGGCAGGACTTGGCGAACATCCACAGCTTCCTCTCTCAGCAAGAGATGAGCTCAACCGAACAGGCTGAACAAGCTCGCGTGGCTGGCGACGGCTTCACTCCGGATCAATTTCGAGAATTTGCACAGCGCTTTGTAGATGGCGTGATCAAGCTGAGGCGAGATGCTGACGTCAAGGCAGCGGTATTTCCAGTCTATAAACAGGGATATCAGGAGACGAAGACCGTGAAGCTGGGCGCAAACGCTGCTCCGGCCACCTGGACCGCCAGCAAGCTCGTCTCCTTTGGCTTCATGCGTCTTGACCTCTCCCTGCAGGCGCCGGATACGAAGAACCAGGTCACATACGCCATCAGTGCGTCCAGCCAGGGTGCAGGCACAACGATTTTCTATCGAGCAAAGACGGCCAAGAAGTGGACCAAATTGGACGCGGGAACCTCGAAAAAGGTCACGGTCGGCTGCGGCTCGGGTCCGCAAGATTACGTCTTTCTCTTTGTGTCTACCGATGGCACTGACCCTCCCAAACCGGTGCTGAAAGTTGCCAGGCAATCAAGCAAGAAATGTCCGTGCACCCCGTCGCGTCGCAGCCTCCTCGGTGTACGCCAAGAGTCATGTGAGTCCGATGAGTCCGACACATGTCTCGCCGGCACATGGAACCTGGATCTCGACAGCCTCAAGGCCGCAATCCAGACCGCTCTCGCAAAAACTTCTGCTGATGCTACTGTAACAAATCTCAAGCTGGACGGCTCCTCGACCTTTGTCTACGATGAAGCTGCCTCGACGGCCTCCATGTCGTTTGATCACACGACTATAAGCTACGATGGCTCTGCTTCTGGATATGAAGTTCACATTGATATCGACATCAACGGCAAGGCACAGGGTCCGGTGGCGATGACAGGTGACAACTCCTTTCACTGGACCGACATAACGGGATCGGGAGAGTACAACACCGCTACCGTCCTCAAAGGACTAGGGGACGACACTCCGATCGAGGTGGACATGCCGCTGACTTCGGTTTACACGGCCGATGTGGTGGTCAAATATACTTGCAGTGGAGATAAGTTGACGCTGGAGGGCCTCGAAAATGGGCTATACATATGGACGTACAGCTATACAAGAAGCAGTGGGACTGCATAGGGTTGAAGCGGTCGAGACGGAGTGGTGTGTGTATGTGTGGCCCGTAACTACCTGACAACTGCACAAGCTACATGACAAGCATTTCTCTTCTGTTGCATGATGCTTGAACATGACTCGCGCACTGCCACTGGCGCTCTTAGCCAGGATATGGGGTCGAGGCCCTTTCAAGACAAGCGTGTGCGTTTGAGTGGCGGGCAACAATGCTGTTTCTGAGTCAAGCACCAGAAGCATTCCCTGCTAGTCCAACCCGAAGTGGAGGCCGTATCTCGTATTCCAGCGGACCGGGAACAGCCGATTAGTTCGCGACTTGCACCAGGTTTGGGAAAGATCACGAGCAGATGCCTCGGTTGGAGAATTTCTCCCGTCAGACACACGCAAAAGGGCCAGATCCCATGCTGCTCTTAGCAAGCATTGGCCAGGCCAGAGATATCGAGGTCAGACACTTGGGACTAGCCGCATCAATGATGCACTAGACAATGCCGCTTAGCAAGGTGCGTGGTACGTACTCGTAGTGGCGGTGGCAGTCATTCATTCATTGACCCGAACCCGTCGGGGAGGCCGAACAAGGTCATTTACCACAGTGTCATTAACATACTGCGTGCTGCACTTTGATATCTTGCCTCGTGTCTTCGTGCAACCGCCATATTCTTGTCTGCAATTGATAGTTGGCCGGCTTCAAGACACCTCTTCAGATTTTATTCTTCGACCTGATACCGCGTGTCAGTCCACTGACTATTGAGGGCGATCGAGTCGCCGCCTCGGAAAGTGGCTAGCCAACTGGATACAGCCCTCTCTCAAGGCTGCAGTCGCATCCAGATCCATCTCTCCGACAATTTGACATCCGACTTCTCAAGAACATAAAACAGACCCCAGATACTGTTCGGCGACAATTTCACTTTCACTCCCAAGTCCAGTCGCCTCAGGCATCGCAAAGATGCCGTTCAAATTTCCAGCCTTTCTGAGCACATACAGCTTCTGGGCTGCCTCGTCAATAGCAAGCGCCGTCCTGCTCGTCCAATTCACGCCACAATACTCCCTTCGACAGTCCTACTCGTGGACCGCATCCACGCTATTCGCACTACAATGGCTCGTCTACTTCCTCTACAGCGTATTCATCTACCCGCACTACACGAGCCCGATGCGCCACCTCCCGACCGTCAAGGGCGGGAGCCCTGTCTTCGGCCACTGGGGCACCCTTCTGGCCGAACCGTCCGGAGTACCGCAGCGGCGGTGGGCCAACGAGATGCCCAACGACGGACTGATCCGGTACCTGCACCTATGGAACCGTGAGCGCTTGGTGGTCACCAACCCGAAAGGCCTGGCCGAGGTGTTGACCACCAAGAGCTACGAGTTCGTCAAGCCAGACCTGCTCCGCGCGGGCATCGGACGGGTCTTGGGCGTGGGCGTCCTCCTGGCCGAGGGTGACAACCACAAGACGCAGCGCAAGAATTTGTCTCCTGCGTTCCACTTCCGGCACGTCAAGGAGCTGTACCCGATCTTCTGGGCAAAGTCGCAGGAGATGGTTCGTGCGATTCAGCAGGAGGTGAAGAAACTGTCCTCCTCCTCTGTGTCCGCGGGTACTGACCCGACGACGACGCCACCGTCCCCTCCAGCCCTCGAGATCGGCGAATATGGCAGCCGGGCGACACTGGACATCATCGGCGTGGCGGGCATGGGCCAGGACTTCCACGCGCTCCAAGACCCGACGAACGAGCTCAACCGCGTCTACCGCGCCGTGTTCTCTCCCGACCGCACGGCGCAGATTTTGGGCCTCCTGGGCTTCTTCCTGCCGGCGTGGTTCCTCAACGCCCTCCCCGTGGACCGCAACAGCCAGGTGCAAGCGGCGGCCACCGTGGCCAAGGACACGTGCCGGCGGCTGATCGAGCAGAAGCGCCAACGCCTCGCCAACAAGGAGCCCATGCAGCCGGACATCATCTCCGTGGCGCTCGAGTCCGGCGGGTTCACGGACGACGACCTCGTCAACAACATGATGACTTTCCTAGCCGCGGGCCACGAGACCACGGCTTCCGCGTTCCAGTGGGCGGTCTACCAGCTCTGTCGGAGCAAGGACATCCAGACGCGTCTACGGGCCGAAGTTCACGAACACATACAGAGTTTTGATACTACTGAAATCACCGCCGACATCATCGACAACATGCCCTACCTGCACGCCGTCTGCCAGGAGACGCTGCGCCTGTGGGCCCCCGTGCCACTGACCCTGCGCGACGCGGCCCACGACACGACGCTTCTGGGGCATTTCGTGCCGCAGGGCACCAAGATCATCCTGTCCCCCTGGGCCGTCAACCACAATACCGCCCTGTGGGGCGCCGACGCCGGCGAGTTCAACCCGGACCGCTGGACCGCTCCCGGTCAGGCCAACGCGGGGGGCGCGGTCAGTAACTATGCGTTCCTCACGTTCCTGCACGGCCCGCGCAGCTGCATTGGCGCCAAGTTCGCGGTCGCCGAGTTCGCGTGTCTGCTGGCCGCGTTCGTCGGGAGCTGGGAATTTGAGCTCGTCGATCCGGAGAAGGAGATCGAGGTCAAAGGTGGAGTGACCGCAAGGCCGAAGGGCGGTGTTCATGTCTATCTGAGGCCGGTGGAAAAGTGGGCGAGTTGACAAGCGGGCGCGTGAGCGCGAGCGAGAGCGTGAGCGTAGAACGTAGAGCTAATGGGTATGATGGCAGCATTGCCTGGCCGGCTTGGAGGTATGGCTACACAGCTCGACGCCCGGTATTAGAACGACGACGTGTCATGTGGTGTACGGACTGTCTTTGGGCGAGGGGGAAACATATGACAGCCATAGTTGCGAGAGCGACGGGGGAACACATGACATATCGAAGCATCCGATCAGCGTAGCATTTTGGGATTTGATGGGATTGAACTCGAGTGTGTGTGTCCGGGCTAGGAGCCCGAGCAGAGGCATGTATCAACTTCAAGAGCCTACAGGCCACGCAGGTGCTTGTGATGGTGACCAATCAATATAAAGAGCACCGGAGCCCGACCCTTCGCTGCTGGATCAACGGTTCTCGGATTGAGCCCAGCTACAGTGACTGTGGAATGAGATTGAGCACTAGCAATATTATTGTTATTGCCGGTGTCACCGTGGTATCACTACATGTAGTCTATTGCCTGGTCAAAGAAGGAAACTGGGCACGTGCCCTACCCTGCCGAACGCGCAACCATCGTTACTGCTCGTGTGTCTGCCAAGACTTCGAGCTCACGCTCGATCGCTCTAGCCGTCCCTACCGAACAAAACACCCAATCCCTCACCCTTTGGAGTCGCGCCAGGCACGACGACCTTTTTATCCCAGAGAACCGTCCCAGCCGGAGTCCCGGGAGTCCCAGCAGAGCCCGCCACCACAACATCCACAGCCACGGCGGGCGGCGGAATGTGCGGCGTAACCAGGTCAATGCCACGCGAGTGCCCGGCACTGGTGCTGTACAGCGGGTTGGAGCGCGGAGCCAGCGGGCGCAGGTTGAACTCGTACATACTGTCGACGCTAGAGGCAGTCGTGGTGGGCGTGTTGGCCAGGCTGGGAGTTGTGGTGCCCGGTGTGAGGGTCGACATGCTCAGAGTACTCTTGTGGCGTAACGTGGCTGGACGGTCGCCGCGTTTGACAACATGATCCAGGTTATCCACATAGCCACCGGCCTGGGCATGATGGAAGCGACTCAGATAGCGAAAGGCCTCGGAGTTGGTCGAGGCACCGCGGTGTGGTAATTTTGGCTTCCATTCGGTGGGGTCAAGATCTGACTTGTGGTCGTGGATGTCGACGGGTATCCGGGCAGACGAGAGGTCCTGGTACTGATACTCGGGACGGGCACTGGAGCGCTGGGAGAGGTTCGGACGAGGTGAGGAGGGAAGAGAGGGCGGAGATGAGGTGGAGTCAAGAGACAAAGTAGACGCCGACAAGGGTTTTGCAGCGTCTTTGCGACGGCACCTGAGAGGTAGGTATTAGTGCTGCGTGAGCGAGGAGTGAATTGAGGCAGAGGCATGTTTTGACTCACGCCTCGCTGCAGTAGAGGATCGAGTTGCAGGGCGTCATGATTTGTTTCTCGCACATGGCGCTGTGATGCCTCTGTCAGCGCTGCAGTGAGATTGCACACACCGGCTCTGGGGAGCCTCACCAGAACTGCAAGAAGCTGGCCGCCATGTCTTGCGGCTTGCTCTTCTTATCAATGGCAGGAGCAAATGCTCGCGGGGCAGAAACTGAGTCACCCTCACCACTCCGGCGCTTCAATTTTCTCGGCGACAAATGTTTGCCATGGGATATTTTGGACGTGGGAAGGTCCATCACCCATTCAGCGTGGGCGGTCAGTCAGTCAAAAGAGAAGAAGGGAATGGCATCGAGTTGGGCAGCTGATGGATGATTGTACACCGCAACTGACCTGCCTCGCATTCCAGACTGCGCCCGCGACGAATGACGATAGGTGGATCTGTGTCATTGCCCGGTTCCAGGCGCGTGGGCCTGCCGCAACAACTTTCCGGGCGCCGTGGCTAGTTAAGCGACACCAACAAGTCGGCATTGGGGGGCCACTGGGCGATCAGCCGGCATGGGCACACCGATAAGTGCGCCTCTTATCGAGCACCTAAGCCGCATTCAGCCAAGGCAGGACGGGTATGCGACGGGGGATGAGCGATGGTCTGAGGCTGCATCGTCCAGGCACGAGCCACTAATTGATTATCTGACTTGGGCTCAAACAGAGTCTGAGTCCACAGCACTAGTACGAGTACTTTGGTGCTTGCTCAACGGATTCCTGGTTGCGGCATCTTTGCCTAGCACGGTGACACAGCCTCGGCGTTAAGAGTTGACTTCAGCCTAACTCGTACGCAGTACTCCACAAGGGTATTTGCATTATCTTGCATACTAATACTGTGTCATGGTTGTGGATTTTGAAAACAGGCGGCATGTCTTTGTCTCGGCCGTTGGCATCAGTCGCAGACAAGGAGTACCGATGCTACAGTATCAGGCTTTGAACCCTCATACAAACCCCTCAGGCACTCCACGAGCCGTGATGCCGTTCTCTCGACCAACATAGCACCCGAGCATGCTGCTCCATGCGTATTTGTGCTCTTTCAGCTCTTGGAGCTTCTTGTACGCGGCCGCGTTGGCATAAGCGATGCCGGTGGAGGGGTCTCGGTACCGAACGGGCAAAGCTGTGATCAAGCAGAGCTCCTGGCTTTGTTTGGGTGCTCTTCCTGTTCGCCCTGCGGCCTTTTTGTTGTGGAAAAACGAGTAATCCTGCCGAGCATCGCCGGAGAGCTCGTCGAATTTCTCAAGGATGACGAGGTTGCGGGTAGAGTCTTCCTCAATTGGGGGAGTTTGGGGTTCCGGTTCAGGTACAAGCTCGACTATTAGAGGTATTGGCGCGGGCTGTCCTGGATCGAGAGGTGCGTGGGTGGGTGTGGGCGGTTGAGTCTGCTCCAGCGGTGCCTCGGTCTTGATAGTGACGCCTTCCGCTTCCTCACCTGAGATGGTCTGCATCGGTGCTGGCTGGACAGCTGCCAGTGGGGGCTCTGTCTGCGAGCCAACATGATTTAGTGCGGATTTGAGGGGTTTCTCTATATCTTGCTGGGTCACGTCCTTCATTTCGGCGTCCCGCTGCACGTCTAATTCCTGTGGAAGAGGACTGGCCGGTTTACTCTCTGAAGCGTTGCTGTCTGTTTGTAAATTGGCATATTCATGTATACCCACCAGGAAAGATTCCTGGAGTTCAACTGAGGCAGGCGGCATAACCTGTGGTTGTGGAGTGCCAGCACAAGCGGCAGGCACAGGTACCATCTCTGGCGTTGGGCCTTGCATGGAAGGGGTTTGTTTCTCTGGCCCTGGACCTTGGACGGGAGGGTTGTGTTGCTCCGAAATAGACGTAGTCGTCGGAGTCACTGGGATGGTGCCTATCGACTCTGCCGCCTTTTCTGCAGCAATCAATTCGAGCTCTGCTTTCGATTTCCGTCCACGCTTTTTCGGCCCAGGCTGCTCAGAGCTTGTGGCATCTTTGGTCGCAATTTTGCTGGGATCCGGCCGAATCCATTTCGCCTTTTGGCTCAACCAGCTGATGACAGGACCCTCCAGCTTCCTGTTTTTTAGGGCCGCCAGCTTCGCGGCTTGTTCTTCTTGCCTCTTCCTTTCCATCGCCTCCCACCGGTTCAGGCTCTTGGCATTCTGGCGCTCCACCCTCGCCGCCTCTGCCAGTCGGTCGGCTTGCGTGAGTTCTCTGGGTGCATCCTTTGCTCGTTCTCTGTCGCGCTTTTCCTTCAACGCTTTCAGCTTCTTGCTCTGGGCTTCGCTTTCCTTCAGGCGAGCAATGGTCTCTTCCCGGTGGGCGATCGTCTGCTTACGCAGGGAACTTCGGCCGGAAGTCTCATCGTGGACCCATGTGACTCGTTCCTTTTTCTTTGAGGGTTTCGGAGGGGCAGACGGGGCGGCAGGCTTTGTGGGATCGGTCTTGAGTTTCTTCCGCACTCCCGCAACGCTCGTCAGTGCTAGATCCGCCTTGCGCTTCTTGGCCCTCTCTTGTTTCGCCTGGTTTTGCAACTCCTTCTCGCCCTCCAGATCCTCGGCAGCGGCATTGGGACCCTGGTCTTCGTCGTCACTAGACGACATGTCTGCGTCCTCGTCGTCGGCGTCGCTCCTGAACTCATCATCTTCCTCCTCATGGTCGTCAGCGAAGAGTAACGTGACTTCGTCGGGGTCGTCGGCGTTCCCGGCCTCCTCCAGAACCATGTCCCTGTCATAGCGGTTGCCGGCTGTCTTGCGCCGCTCTCTGCCGGCGACTAGACTTTCGACGGGCACATCCTGGGGTTCATCGTCGCTGGCGTCGGTGTCTGAGAGTTGAGACGTGTCCTCCATGGGTTCCTCGTCCGCCATTTTGGAGGATCAAGGGCATGAGGAGCGAGGCGTTGCGAAGATCTATCCCAGATTCAAGATGAGGGTGTTCGTGGAAAACGGTAGAAGACAAAGTGCAAGACGAGGGGGGTGCTGCTCTCATAAGCAGATAATTTATACGGCGGACCTTTCGGCATTGAAGTGCAGCTTGGTCGCGTTCCTCACCACAGCGGCGAAACGCGTAAAGTTTGGACTCGTCATTGAAGGTCCATGACTCCAAGAAACACTTGCCTGCCGGGATACCACTTCCTTTTCTTCCCTGAGGCATAGTTCTGCTCGGTCGGAATGCCTCCTCGGCGCAAAGTCGTCGACGACGAGCAGGAGTCGGCCGCAGAAGCACCTCGGACAGACAGCAAGAAACGCAAGCCGCGCGCACGTAGTCCTACCAAAGAGCTTGCAAGTCGCCCGAACCCCCGGAGCAGGAAACGTGTGAAGACGGACGTGGAGTTAGAAGAAAAGGTCTCGACCACAGTGACTGCGAAGTCAAACGGCACAGTAGAAATCGACGAGGAAGCCGATATCACGATCGAGGCCACCGAGACACCGTCCACGACCAGCACCAGCATCCGCAAGCGCAAGACCAAGGCGAAGGCCCCGGCTGCAGAGGCAAACCTGGACGCAGAGCAGGGAGGAGAGGACGACGAGGCGGCCGCCGTCACACCCAAGCCCAAACGCAAGCGCAAAACCAAGGAAGAAAAGGAAGCCGAAGCCATGCCTCTCGCGGCCCGCACCGTGGGCCTGAAAATGTACGTGGGCGCGCACACGAGCATAGCCAAGGGCGTCGAGAACGCGATCACCAATTGCGTGCACATAGGCGGCAACGCGTTCGCGTGCTTCTTGAAGTCGCAGCGCAAGTGGGAAAACCCGGCGCTGAAGGACGAGAACAGGGACGCATTCCGCAAGGCGCTGCTCGAGCACAAGTACGACGGCATGCAGCATATCGTGCCTCACGGATCGTACCTCGTCAACTTGGCGACCGAGGACAAAAATGCCGCGAAGCAGTCGTACGCGGCGTTCATTGACGATCTGCATCGGTGCGAGGCCCTGGGTATTCGATACTACAACTTCCACCCTGGGGGCGCGGGACAAAGCCCTCTCGGCGACGCCATCACGCGGCTGGCCGACAACCTCAACCGCGCGTTGGCCGAGACCAAGACCGTCGTGCCTCTACTGGAGAACATGGCGGGCCACGGGACGTTGATCGGCAACCGCTTCTCCGACCTGCGAGACGTGATCGCGCAGATCAAGCCGGAGTTCAAGTCACGCATCGGCGTGTGCATAGACACGTGCCACGCCTTTGCCGCGGGCTACGATCTGCGTTCGCCAGAGGCGTTCCAGAAGACGATAGACGAGTTCGACCAGACGGTCGGCATCGGATACCTCAAAGCTCTACATCTGAATGACTCGAAAATGCCACTCAACAGCCATCGAGACCTGCATCAGAACATCGGCCTGGGGTTTCTGGGTCTGGGCGCGTTCCACAACGTCATGAACGAGCCGCGGTTCCAGGGGCTGCCGCTCATCCTCGAGACGCCCTGTGAGAAGCCGGACCCGGATGATCCCAAGGGCAAGAAAATGATTGAAGACAAGAATATTTGGGCTACGGAGATCAAGCTGCTCGAGAGTCTGATTGGGATGGACACCAAGGGCGGCGAGTTCCGGCGGCTAGAAGCCGAGTTGGCTGAACGAGGCAGGGAAGAGAGGGAGAAGATGCAGGCGCAGTTTGAAAGGATCGCAAAGGAGAAGGCCGACAAGGAACGCCGGAGGCTCGAGAAAGAGCGGAAGGCCCTCGCAAAGGAGAAGGGAAAGGGGCAGAAGAGCTTGAAAGACATGTTCGCGGCGAAGGAGGGTGTCACGGGGAAGAACACGAAGCAGAACAAAGGGAAGCGGGAGAAAAGTCCAGCAAAGGCGACGAATGGGATAGGCGACCTGAGTGACTCAGAGATGTCTGAGCTGAGCGACTCCCCAGACTCGCCATTGACTGACATAAGCGACTTGAGCGACGAAGAGAACCGACAGTGAAGTGCCGGAGAGGGTTTTGAATCGCTAACTCTGCTCACGATTGTCTTACAAGTCATAATGTGTTTATGGATATAGCCATTGTTCAGCGATACCCTTGTTGCAACAGCAGCTCAGGAGAGACATGAAAAGGCCCTCATTGCTGACCCTGACTGCAGCACGGCTGCTGCGGTCGTTACAGTCTCAATAGTCACCGCCGCCTGCCTCGCGTCGTTTCTCTGCACCGCGCTCTTCCATCTTACTGCTCTTGAACAGCCCGCCCGCCTTCTCGAGCAGCTTGCCTGTGGTAGAATCTTTCTTGCCGCCTCCGCGCTCGTTATCATCATAGCTTTCCCCACCGATGTCCCCACCAATGCCACCACGCTCTTGCTCAACGGTGCGGCCTGTACCGACGCCATAGTTGTCGTCGCGGCCTGTACCGATGCCGCCGGTACGGGTCGAGTCCCCGTATGTGTCGTCGTGACCTGGCTTATGTCAGTGGTTGGAAATTGAGCACGAGTAGGAGCGACATACCAAGTCCGCCGCCCGTGCCGCGAGATGAATCGAAATCATCTCCACGAAGACGGGTACTGTCATCACCAAAGCCACCACCAGTGCGACCAGACGAGCCGTAGGTATCATCGGCTTGGCCGTAGCCACCAGCAGCTTGAGCTCCGGATCGACCACTACCCATGCCTAGGACATCTGATTAGTTCTGGGGTATCTGCAGGACCCATTGATCACTCACCGTATTCGTTGTCCCGGCCCGTGCTTCTGCCACCGGTCAAAGTTGGGTTTCCGTAGGTATCGTCTGCGCCTAGTCCGCCACCGGTACGGCCAGAGGAGGCAAAGTCGTCTCCACGACGGCCTGTGTTATCGCCACCGATGCCAGAGCCATATGTGTCATCGCTTTCTCCGAACCCACCAGCGGCTTGAGCCCCGGTTCTGCCGCTGCCTAGGCCTGTGCTGTCGTTCAGCTCGAAGCGCGTTTTTCTCCTTGGGTCTAGGCTCACCGTATTCGGTGTCTCCAGTGGTTCTACCGCCAGTGTAAGATGAGTCTCCGATGGTATCATCCTGACCCAAGCCACCTCCTGTTCTGCGACCCGTGCCAAAGGAGTCATCACCCCGGCCGGACGACTTGGTGGGAGTCAGCCTTCTGAAGGGGGAAAAGGGTCGGGCCAGGTCAGCATACGCCGTAGCTGTCATCACCGTAGCCAGCACCACGTCGCTAGATCCATGTTAGTATGTCTCTCAGCTGGGGATCATGCTTCTTGTCATACGTTGTCGTCGTCATAAGACATTTTGCTCAAGGTTTCTTCACTTCGTTCGGCAAGATGTAGAAAGGCACGTTGCAAGATTTTGTTAAAGTAAGCGTACGCGAAACAACTTCCAGGGGCGGCACGTCCATTTTATAGACATAGAGTACAGACAGTCCAGCGAGGACCAACCATTTGTTGTTGTTCACGTTGTGTTTGGGGAACAGCAGAATCAACGCTTGGGTTGACGCGATTCCAGGGACAGCATACGTAAGTTTCCCTCTCAACCAATGACCACGGTGATCGACCCCGCGTGAGACAAGACGAGGTATTGGGAAGCTGGACTCGCACAGACAGGAGGCACAGGAAACCTGGAACCTGGAAAAGCATCGTGATTTTCTCGTCTCAGTATTGGTCGAGGGGGTAAGGAATCCCGGGAACGTCGCGCCTCGGTACTACTTCGCACAGTGAGCGTGACGACGCATTCCAAACCGCATTCCATTTGCTATGGAGCGTTGAGTTTCATGTGCCATGGCTGAGATGCACAAACGCGGCTGTAAGGGAGCCTGTGCGATGTTTGGAGCAGACCCCGCAATTGACCATCGCAGTGACGACATGCCGCGATGGTGTGACCCAGCATCTTGTGCGGGAGAGGAGCAGAGGGGTTTGAGTTCTGAAGATCGTGTGCGACTAGCCCGAACTCGATTGGACCAAGGGATCAGCATCTGGATGCGGTTCTCCTTACTGCAGCTGTACGAGTACGGGGTACTCGTATGAACGCGACTTGGAGATGACGGACCAAGGTGCAGTGCTTCGGCGGCGATGGCGTAGATGGTCCTCAGCATGTGGTCGTACTCGGGCGCTTGCTGTGACCTGCATAAAGCTTCGCTTCCTAGCCGCATTTCCCTGCCGAGCCTGGCTGATATGTCTAGCCACCAGAGTGGCACCCAGAGTGGAGGTGGTTGCTGGCTCAACATGAGTGGCATCAGTCATCCAGCAGAGCTTGAGCTTGCACCATTTGACCCATTGGTGTCTTGATCATGAAGTACTCGTACAGGGGGCTGGGGCCTCTTAATACAACAGGTCGGCTCCATTCAGCTGAAAATTCCCCAGGTAATTTGGCCAACTGCGCGATGCGCAAGAAAAGTCGGCAAGAGTTGTCTAGTTGTCCTCCAACACCTTCGAAGTTGTTATGGACAGGCAGCTGAGCATTATCATCTCACGTATTTCGACTGCATCTGGGTTAGCACCCACAATAGTTGAGATGTTGACCAGTATACTTACCATGAACTTCTTGTGGAAATCCGATCTCAGTAGATCCTGCGCTTGGTCAGCTTGCTTAGATACAGATCTGAGCTTTCCGGAGCATACGCACGTTGACGAACTCCTTGTTGCCCTTCTGCTCGGTCCCTCGGGCTTGGTTTTTGAAGACCACGTCGTCGTCCCACCTCCGCTTCACATTGAACGCTTTCGGGTTGAGCAACGGGTTGCCGAGTGCAATGTCCTTTTCTCGCAGATCTTCTGCTTGTTTTGCCTGATCGGCCTCTTCTCGAGCCTTTTGCTCTGCTCGTTCTCTTTTGATTTTCTCCAATTCGCGCATGAGTTCGGCTTCTTCATCGTCACTTTCCTCGTCACTGCTCTCGGAATCCTCGTCCCCAACCGAATCAGCATCGATATCTCGAGTCTCCTCTAGGATGCGCCGTCGTTTCGCTTCGGAATCCTCATCACCGGTGTCATCCGAGGCTTGCTCGAGCGAACGCTTGGGAGGATTGGGCGACTCTGATGCAGGCTCGGACGTCGTGCCTTTGGTCTTTGCAAAATGTGCGGCTTCTGCTGCGAGTAGCTCGGCTCGTAAGTCTCTTTGCTCTTTATCAGCTATGCCACCTTGACCAGGCTGCCGGACCTTGAGCAGAGTGTGTGCTGGCTGTAGTCGTTGGTGGTACGCCGGGCCAAGCTTGGCCTCTTTGCCTCTGGCAGGGTCAAATGTAGGCCGATGGGCTGTTGTCATACTGAATGAGAAACTGCGTGGACTGCCAGAGCAAGGACAGAAGGAGTTTCGCAGTGAAGAGTACGCTAGATTCTGACACACCAAGAGGATTGCAGCCCTGGAAAGAACCTCCAGATTCTTCAGGCGAGGCGCATGCGATTAAAGCTTGGCAAGGCTGAAAGTCAGCCTTGCCACCTTTCAATAAGATAAACGTTGATTTCCAACCAGGCGAGGCAGGAAACGGCATCCGTCATAATTAGGGAATTAGGGCAATTGAAGTCCCCAGAACACCACGCTACAGACGCTCATAGACTGAATAAGCCGCTCCTCCTCTTTCCGAAAGGGTAAACAACCAAAGCGCTCAAATACAATCCAACACTGATCCCAATTGCCACCTGCACCATGCCATAGCCCACATTAAATATCGTTCCACTGTAGACATCTGCGTTCATTGTGGAGTTTTGGGCATCCAGAAACCCGGCCGTGCCATTGTTAATGACACTGACACCTGTCGCGTTACCTGTGATCTGATTGGCGCTCGTGATGCCCGCCACGAGACTGCCGCTTGCTGCCAATCCACTTGGCACCTGGACAAATATCGCCGGCAACATAGCGGCGGCCGCCAACCCGTGGAAGAAGCGGGAGTAGAGGTTTGCCAACGTGCCAACAGCGAAAGCACCGATTCCGTTGGCGACCTGTATATTGTTCGCGAGCTTCGTAGAAACCCAAAAATTTGACTGGTAGCCGATAAAGGCGATCCCCGTCATGACCGGTATCTGTTTCCATTTGGCCTGATTGATGATCGCCAGGCATGTCGCGAAGATCGGCACCCATACAAATCTGGCATATATAAGCCTCGGTCCGTGATTGGAATCGTTCCACCAAGTCGGGATGCGGCACGTCACATCGCTTTGGGCTTGTGGATAGATGAGACCCATCACCACACTTCCTAAAGACACCTGTTAGAGCAGCCCAGTGTTGCTTGTAGTATGGAGAACTCACCGACTAAGATACCAAAACCGAGGAACAGAGAATAGATGATAGCATACACCATCCTCACAGATCCTGAAACAAGACTTTTGCTCTGTAGCTCCAACGCCGCGCAAAGCACCGTGTAGCCAGGCAGGATGAGTGCTATGCTGCTCTGCGCAATCGCTGAAAAACAAAATATCGGAGAGCCGTCGTGATAGATAGAGCCCAGGCCTCGAGAGACAAAGGCGATGAGGACGGCGGCAAGCACTTCGAACACATGTGAAAACTGTTCCGATTTGGTGACAACAACGAGCTGCAGAAATCCCAGTGTAGCTCCTAGGATGAAGTTAGGGGCAAAGTCGACAGGCCGCGCTGAGAACGCAAAAGGCCCGACCGAGATGGCAGCAATGCCGTATGCAACGATTCGCAGTGCCAGCGAATGCCTCCCGCTCTTCTGCATGATCTCACCGAGATCGCGGGTCCCTTCTTCAGCTGTGTACTTGCCATGGATAACTAGCTTGTACACGTCGAAGACGTCTTTGAACTTACCCAAGTCAACGCCGCCGGATTCCCTGACAAGCGTGACTTCGGTACTCATGGTAAGCTTGTCGTTGATGGACACGAGCATGGAGCCTGGCAGATAGAGAAACTCGGCGTCGATGCTGAGAGCACGTGCCGAAGTGTTCATATATTGTTCCAACCGGTGTGATGGCGCTCCCACTGCCATCAAGCTTCGGGCCAGTTTCTTCAAGTACTTTCGACAGGCAATGATCTCAGCCACATCTAGAACAACTCGCTCTTCATCCGCCAGTGTAGAGCTCGATGATTTGGGATGGAAATAATTGGTGGGATGCTTGATCATATCTACCGCAGTGGCAATCATGCCTTGGGAGGATCTTTCTCGGTGATACCCAGGTCGCGGGACATGATTCCTTGCTTCAGGAGTGGCTGTTGAAGCGGAAGCGACCGTCGTTGCGAGTAAGGTACCCAGTGATCCGCTGGACTGATGCTCAGATTCGCCCTTGTCATACCATTTTGGTCGCTTGGGAGTTACCCTTCCCGACGAGGTTATTGAATATTCATGGATGTCGGAACCATTTCGAGAATGGTCTCTAGAATGGTAGCCCCTCGGAGAATGCTTGCCGGATGGAGGCGAGCCAGGATCGTCACGGTAGGCCGGCCCAGTATAGCCGCTATGCTTCAGGGCTGTGAGCTTATGTATCAGAGCAATAGGACTAGGACGGTAATCGACTGGAGGTGGAACATAGTCCATGTCATGAAGCTGCTTATCCACAGCCGGTGTCTCCGTCCCTGACCTGGGTGGACGACGCCATGTACTTTGGTCGCGGCCGGTGATGGTTCGGAGAAGTTGTTTTGCTTCATGGTAGTTCTCTCTGCCTGGCTTCAAAGTTTTGGGGTCGTCTTCGTCGCTATCGTCGTCATCAGTGGAGTCCTCTAGGATCATGTAGGGGCGTTTGTCTTTCCCGAGCGATTCGAGAGGGATCTCGTCTAGTTTGACTGGCCAGTCACTAACAGGCTTTGTGGGAGGAGATGAGTTGGGTGAAATGAGTGTCTGAGGAGTTATGATGTGGGGTACCTTGGATCCGGCATGTTGCTTTTGAGGGAGAAGGGCGTCGCTCAGCCTGTTGTGCAGCCGGCTTGCCCGGTCTTGGGCTTCAGCAGCTGCGGCACCTGTTCTCCCTGCCCAACTAGAAGCTGTCAGGCTCAAGTCCGCAACGTCTTCCGACTCAGACAATCGGATTTCCGGGACATCTGCTCGCCCGCCCGGCTCGGCGAAGGTCTCTCGTAGTCCATCCTGTTCCTCCTCATCGGCCAGATCCGAGAATTTGACCTTACTGCGTTGCTTTTGTTCTTTTGTAAGGACTCTCTGGCTCTGCTGTATGCCTGTGACGGGAGTTGAGGAGTCGCTGGTGTTGCCGGAACTGGGCGTGAAGTGATTTTCAGACTCAGCCATGCCCGCAGGTACCGATGAAAGGGATTCTAGTTGATATTCCAGCCCTCGAAACGTCGACAAAGGAGGGATAAGGTCAAGAGGTGGCACTGAAGGCGGTATACGGAGCTGATGACGACAAAGAAAGACTCTTGCAACAAAGAGCAAAGGTGGTAAAATTGATTGCCACGTTTTGGGGGGAGAGCCGTCGACGTAACAAAGCAGACAGCGGACGATTTTTCCAACAACTCAGCCTACGCAAGTGGAAGGTTTAAAATGAAGAGACCACAGGAGGAAGAAGTCGGAAGCCATGCTGGAATACACTGAAACGGGAGCAAAGTCCAGCAGGACAGGCTCGAGAAGCTGCTCGATTTGCATGGCCGTTTCCAGTCCATAGGCCCACGTTCTCGATAACGACCTGTGTATGTTACGCACGTGGTGGAGACGGCGCGATTTTGTCAGATCAGTCCCATATCACGGTCCCGAAGCCCACCGAGTAAAGGGGACTGGTAATTAGCTCGAGTTACATGGCTGAATAAGTGGAATCGCTCACAGCGACGCCAATCGGACAGCTGAAAGATGGCATGAGAAGGAGACTCGATAGCGACCCAACAAATATGCATTTGGCTGAGGCTCCATGCCAAAGCTTGACAAGGCTGACGCAACACCGAAGTCCGGCAGCTAGGAAGAAGTCTGAGGTGGCTTTCCTCCAGTGGCGTGGAACAGCATCAGCGAGCGTGATACGAGATAGGTACGTACCTGAAAATGAGACGTGCTTATCTCGCAATAAGTGGAAAATTTGAAACAACCTCCGAACGTGCGGGTCGTTCGTCAGCGGTTGCTCAGTACGTGGCGTGGCATGTGAAGGTGGACTTGTATCACGTGATGGTAATCGTGTCTTCTCCGTGTGTTGATACAGTACAGCCAGATTGGTGGTGTATGCATTCCGATGTCGAGTCCTGGCAGACCACGACAAAGCCCAAGTTCCTCGGGAAAAAGCTGTGTCCGTGTTCAGAAGTGACCGCCTCACAAGCCGAAAACCCAGACTGAGCCGGCTCAATGTCCCGCAGCAAAAAGTCTACGGCGGAACTCTTTCACCACAGCAACAAGGCTTGGCGAGGCTGAAGTTCGAAAGCCAATGGTCTCAAAACTGTTCTTTCAAGAAAAAATGCTGCTGCCAGAACGGTTCACTCAGATTGAAAACATCCTTTCTTGGCCATCTCTCGGATGCGTCGAGCAAGAACGATGTCACTGCGCGCTCAATCGCAATTTACCGACAAGTTAGTAAGTGGTGGTTCGTGAAGATGCCTCGTGAAATCGACATCTCCAATATCGAGCGGAATTTCATCCTCGAAGCACTTCAGCAGGGTGTCCGTGTCGATGGGCGGAGTCTCGACCAATTCAGAAGCCTCGAGCTGGAATTCGGAGACGAATATGGAACAGTCACAGCCCGCCTTGGGAAGACCAGGTAGGCTACAACTGACCTCCCCGGAAGAATATCACTAACTCCATGGGAAGAGTACATGTTCAAATCTCGGCTGAGGTCACAAGGCCTCTGGAGGACCGCAAGTTCGACGGCATCTTCACTATCACGACAGAACTAAGTCCTATTGCGTCTGCTGCCTACGAAGTCGGCCGGCAAACAGAGCAGGAGGTGATCCTCTCACGGACTCTTGAAAAAGCAATCCGGAGATCACGAGCCATCGACACCGAATCTTTGTGCATCATCTCCGGCGCCAAATGCTGGTCGATTAGAGCCGACGTCCATGTTCTGGACTCAGATGGTGGTCTCATCGACTGTTCCTGCGTCGCCGTTGTAGCAGCATTGCGACACTTTCGCCGACCAGATGTCTCGGTGGACGGAGAGAACGTTACCATTTACACGATGGCAGAGCGCGTCCCGGTACCGTTGAGCATCATGCACAACCCGGTCTGCATAACCTTTAGCTTCTACCATGGCGGGGATACCATAGTACTGGATGCCACACGCAACGAGGAGCAGGTGCGGGAGACATCAGCGACCTTTACCGTCAACGACTTCGAATTATGTCAGGCCTCGAAGATGGGAGGAAGCCCAATTGATGCGATGGTCTTGCTAAAATGCATTAACACGGCCTTGGCCAAGGGAAAGGAGATCAATGGGATCGTTGCTAAGAAACTAGCGGAGGATTCGACCAAACGGGACGTGGGTGGATTGATTGCCGAGCTCAGGGCTGAGAATGAAAGATGACCACTGCAAGCAAGACGTGAGGCGATGTCCAGCCAGCCATACACGTTCGGTTTCGCCCAAGGAAAGCGGTTCGCGAGGCTTTATCGCGGCGAGCTGAACACTGGGACGTGACGAAGAAATATGAGGCTGTATGGATGCGTCTTCCAGGAGGCGTCATTGGAGATATTTCGTTCAAGATGACAAAAGTGGCAGTGCAGTCTCGGGTGCCATTTTTAAACTCTTGGTTGATTCTCGCGGCCCGGCGTGTCGACTGATTGCTTTCTCCTGCCAGCATTCAGGAGTCAACTGGTGAGATCGAGATTTGGCATTTCGCTTCATCACTGATATGATTTGAAGCAGAGGCTGTACGCAATACTGCGTAGACACCGTAGAGATGTGTGATATAGAAAACGGGCATAACAGGGTCCTCGGCCTCCCTTGGACTGGATGGGGCTAGGGTTAAGCAGATTTCTGCAGCTGTGATATTTTAGCGGGTGCCTGGCCAAGTGAAACTCGGCCCTAGACCCAGTTCGGCGGGGCATCCACCGGTGCAGCCCAGTGCAGCCAGTGTAGCCACTGCGCTTGCCCGCACGGGGCCTTGGGGGCGCCTCCAAGTCTTGCTCCGCCTGCGGCCGCGCATCCAAACCGAAACTGGCCTTCTGGGTGTTGGCATTGTCACCGTCAATCTTAACGAGAACAAACCACGTCGCTGACGCCGCCATTCCACGACTGTGTCAAACAAGAAATGTCATTAGCAACCACATGCACTTGCGATCGAAGACTTTCATGATCTCTATGGCACGGTAGCGCCAGCGACTTGCTCGTCATTGCACCTGGCGCGTTGGAGAGATGGACGGGAGGCCCAATGCGCCCCCAGCTGCCAACTACGATAACAACCTACTGTATGATCTGGGGCAGTCACAGCCGGCCTACAGTACAGGGCAGCGCCCTCCCGTGGACGACTCGCAACTGCTAAATACATTCAATATTGACGACTCGGACGAAACCCAACCCAGACCCTCAACTAGCTACGATGACTTTGTCGGCGGTGGGAGACCGGGCGCACCTGGTCAAGCCCAACCTGCCGGCTCCTCGAGTAGACCGTTCACCGCGCCATACATGAACGATGGGTCACACAACTACTCTCAAACCTCAGATCTCCACAACTATGCGAGATACGGAGACGCCGAAGACTTGACCGAGGAAGAGTCGGGTTTCAAATACTATGACAATGGAGGGCCGTCAGACGACCATATACCTGGTGGTGGCGTCAAAGTGGTCGGTAGACATCATCGACGGGATCGAACGAGTATCATGTCGATGGCCGGGTTGGTGGATAGAGCCAAAGGGATCGTGGGCATCCGGGACAGCAACTACTCGGACATACATCTCCCATTAACCGAAACGGGATCGCGACACTCAAGAGTCGACACTGCAGGAACGGATGATACGCCCCGGGGCCGAGAGAAGATGGAGTTCAGCTTCGACAGCATCAAAGACTTGTTCGGGAGGAAGAAGGTCGACCCGTCAACGCTAGGTCCCAGGATTATCCACCTCAACAACCCTCCAGCCAATTCTGCGAACAAATGGGTCGACAACCACGTCTCCACTGCCAAATACAACATCGCTACATTCCTCCCGAAATTTCTCTTCGAACAGTTCTCCAAATACGCAAACTTGTTTTTCTTGTTCACCGCCGTGTTGCAACAAGTCCCCAACGTCTCGCCCACGAATCGATATACCACCATTGTGCCCTTGATGATTGTGCTGATGATTTCCGCCATCAAGGAGTACGTCGAAGACTGGAAGCGGAAAAAGGCCGATAAAACGCTGAACGACTCCCAAGCACGGGTGCTGAGGGGGTCCAGCTTCACAGAGACGAAATGGATCAATGTCGCTGTGGGCGACATTGTGCGAGTCGAGTCGGAAGAGCCGTTTCCTGCCGATCTGGTTCTACTCACAAGCTCCGAGCCGGAAGGTCTTTGTTACATCGAGACCGCAAATCTCGATGGCGAAACAAATCTCAAAATCAAGCAGGCCATTCCTGAAACGGTTCACTTGGTGAATCCTGCAGATCTGGGGAGACTGAGTGGGCGAGTGCGGTCAGAGCAGCCCAATAGCAGTCTCTACACTTACGAAGCAACCTTGACCATGGCTGGTGGCAGAAGCGAGAAAGAGCTCCCTCTGACACCTGAGCAGCTGCTTTTGCGCGGGGCTGTTCTACGCAACACCCCCTGGGTACATGGTGTCGTCGTCTTCACAGGCCACGAAACGAAATTGATGCGCAACGCTACAGCCACCCCCATCAAGCGTACGGACGTGGAACGAATGCTGAACAAGCAGATTCTGATGCTCGTGGCTATTCTCCTGGTTCTCAGCGCAGTCAGCACCATTGGCGATCTCATTGTTCGAGCAACAGCCGGTCAAAAACTGACATACCTCTATTACGGCGATTACAGCGCCGTGTCGCAGTTCTTCCTGGACCTCTGCACATACTGGATCTTGTACTCCAATCTGGTTCCCCTTTCACTTTTTGTGACTGTGGAGATCGTGAAGTACTTCCAGGCTTTTCTCATCAGTAGCGATCTCGACATGTACTATCCAAGCACCGATACTCCAGCGGTGTGCCGAACGTCATCGCTTGTGGAAGAACTCGGGCAAATTGAGTATATCTTCTCCGACAAGACGGGGACTTTGACCTGCAACATGATGGAATTTAGACAGTCCTCGATTCAGGGCATTCGCTACGCCGACGTGGTCCCGGAGGACGTGAAAGCATCTGGCCCAGATGACCTGGATGGTGTCCACGATTTCAAACAACTTCGCGAGAACCTAAAGTCGCATCCCACCAGAGAAGTGATCCACCAGTTTCTTTCTCTCCTGGCCGTCTGTCATACCGTCATTCCCGAGCGCAAAGACGAGAAATCCGAGATCAAGTACCAGGCTGCATCTCCTGACGAAGGGGCCCTGGTCGAGGGCGCCGCTATGCTCGGCTATCGCTTTGTGGCGCGGAAGCCTCGTTCTGTGATCGTTCAAATGGAAGGGCAAGAAGTGGAATACGAGCTGCTGGCGGTATGTGAATTTAATTCAACGAGGAAGCGCATGTCAACCATTTTCCGGTGCCCGGATGGCAAGATTCGGATCTATTGCAAGGGAGCCGATACTGTGATCCTGGAACGATTGGCCAAGGACAACCAGATTGTCGATGTGACCCTGCGACAATTAGAGGACTATGCCACCGAAGGCCTGCGAACATTGTGTCTCTCTATGCGCGAAATACCGGAGCAAGAGTTCCAGGGTTGGAAACAGATCTTCGACAAGGCAGCCACAACGGTGGGAGGTAACCGCGCCGAAGAACTGGACAAGGCCGCCGAGATCATCGAGCGCGACCTTTACCTCCTCGGCGCAACAGCCATTGAAGACCGGTTACAAGACGGCGTGCCTGACACAATCCACACACTGCAACAGGCGGGCATCAAGGTCTGGGTTCTCACGGGTGACAGACAAGAGACGGCTATCAATATTGGTATGAGTTGCAAACTAATCAGTGAGGACATGACACTCCTGATCATCAATGAGGAGAATTCCACCGCCACCCGGAACAGCCTCCGGAAGAAATACGACGCAGTGAGAAGCCAGGCCGCCTCAGGTGAGCACGACGTGCTCGCACTTGTCATCGACGGCAAATCCTTGACGTTTGCCCTGGAAAAGGAGATGGAGAAACTATTCCTTGATTTGGCCGTCATGTGCAAGGCCGTGATATGCTGCAGAGTATCACCACTGCAGAAAGCTTTGGTCGTCAAACTCGTCAAGCGCCATCTAAAGGCGCTTTTGTTGGCCATCGGTGACGGAGCCAACGATGTGTCAATGATCCAAGCTGCCCATGTCGGTGTCGGTATTAGTGGCGTGGAAGGCCTGCAAGCCGCTCGAAGTGCCGACGTCGCGATCGGACAGTTCCGATATTTGCGAAAACTTCTGTTAGTGCACGGCGCATGGAGCTACCAGCGTATCAGCAAGGTCATTCTGTACTCGTTCTACAAGAACATTGCCATGTTCATGACGCAGTTTTGGGTAAGTCAGCGACCCCATTCAGGCACGATGTATACTGACACGAGGCTCGTAGTATTCGTTCCAAAACTCCTTCTCGGGCCAAGTCATTTACGAATCCTGGACGCTATCCTTCTACAACGTGCTCTTCACGTTTTTCCCGCCCTTCGCCATGGGCGTCTTCGACCAGTTCATCTCTGCCCGGCTACTCGACCGGTACCCGCAACTCTACCAGCTCACGCAAAAGGGCGTGTTTTTCCGCATGCATTCCTTCTGGAGTTGGGTTGCCAATGGATTTTACCATTCCATTCTCGCGTATATTTTTAGCAGTTATTTCTTCCTCAACGACGGGATCCTGAATGACGGGAAAGTCGCAGGCCACTGGGTCTGGGGTACATCAACCTATACCGCCATCCTGCTTGTCGTTCTCGGCAAGGCCGCACTGATCACCAACGTGTGGACAAAGTACACCGTGCTCGCCATTCCAGGCTCCTTCATCATCTGGCTGGCGTTTATTCCGGCCTACAGCTATGCAGCACCCAGCATCGGCTCTGGTTTCAGCACGGAACTCGATGGTATCATCCCCGTCATGTTTAGCTATCCCGTATTCTACGCGCTTTGTCTGGTTTTGCCCCCGGTCTGCCTCATCCGCGACTTCGCCTGGAAATATGCCAAGCGAATGTACTTCCCGCAGCAATACCACCACGTACAGGAGATCCAGAAGTACAACGTGCAAGATTATCGGCCTCGGATGGAGCAATTCCAGAAAGCGGTCAGGAAGGTTAGACAGGTACAGAGGATGAGGAAACAGAGGGGATATGCATTCAGCGCTGGGGATGAGTCGACAGGAGGACAGACGATGCGGGTGCTTAGTGCGTACGACACGACGCGTGGAAGAGGAATGTACGGCGAATTGGGCAGCGTTAGGCCCGTGGATGGCTCGGCAAGCCATTGAGTTGCGCACTGGAAAGCGAGGAGGGGATCAAGGACAGATCGAGGTTGAAGATCCAATACCGAGATGAATGAAATGTATAGCATGATTGATATATGGGCCGACAGGCGCAGACCGGCGACTGATGAGGAATTGAAGACGTCTCCCATCTCCGATGATGAGAAGGAGCGTCGTCGTCCGTCGTGGTAAACAAATGACTTTTAGGTTTGAGGCTGTCAGCGAGCCGGCTTGTGCATGCATTTCAGCCGTGCTCTCCCCCCCGTGTTATACGTGATGAGATGACGACTCAAGCATGGAAATTCATTGTTGCCTACTTTTCCCATCCATCGGGGCCATATAGATTTCAGCGCCTCTCCCACCCAACAGTCCGACACTCCACGCCGGCCTTCTCGTCCCTGAACCACAATTCCTTGCCGTCCTTCTCGTTGTGACAATCACTCTCGTCCGAGTCCGCCTCGTGACCCACAACTTCATCCTGGATGCTCTCCTTCCTGCGTCCCGCGTGCTGGGGCAGAGTTACCGCCTCGTCGCCACCGATCCACTCCTGCACCCTCTCCAGCTGGAGCACGGGCCTCCACTTGGCGGACTTGACGCCTGAGCCTGGCGAGGGGAGGAGGTCCGGGAAGAAGGTGTCGCATTCAAAATCGATTGCGACCTTGGAGTTTGTTCTGCCACGTTGCTCGGAAGAGGGGTGGGTTGACGACGATGGTGTAGGTGTTGATGCGGAAGCTGATGTTGAAGTTGAAGTCGAAGCCGGCGCCGGCGCCGCCAGTTTCCGGATCTGCGTCTGCAGGATGCGCACGTCAAAGTGCAGATGCTGCTCGGATTCGGATTGTTTGAAGGGGTTGGCGGGTAGTGCTTGTGCTGGTGCTTGGGATTCGCCTTCGGTGTCTGTGCCGGTTTCGCTGCCCGCGCCCCCAGTGGGAGTGCGTGGGCCGTGGGATGATAGGGCGAGGACTTGGCGGTAGATTTCGGCGCCGCCTATGCAGAAGATTTTGTGGATGGAGAGCGAGATCGTCGATGGTGGGGCGGATGTCGAAGTTGGTGTTGATGTTGGAGCCGCAGTGGCGGATGATAGAGAGATGGGCGTGGGTGAGGAGAGTACCGCCAGAGCCGACGACAGAGATTGAGAGATCATGATGGGCGAAGATGCGCTCCGTTTCGAGGACCCAGGTGGTGGCTGCGATGGTGGCGTCAGAACCGTAATGGTACTTTGCTGGGACGTCCTGGATCGGGACCTGCCCTTGACGCTCCCTCCCGCGAGATGGTGTGTCTCCCATGCTGGAGCTGGAGGAGCAGCTCCAGGGCCTTCCGACGTGGCTTGCATCTCCCCCAATATGCGTTGCGACAGGTCGCTTTGGCTCCCGCGCGTGATGATCACGTTCAATCGTCCTGCCAACGGTCGAAACCTCGGCGGGATACTGTCCCACGTCTTCCTCCCCATGACGACGGCGTTGATTGGTCTGCATTTCGTGGCGACATCTTCATCCTCCACAGGGACGTGCGAGGTGAGTTGTTTGAAAAACGCCATGTCAGCTTTGACCGCCGGCCAGGGCAGCTTGCCCTTGAATCCAATGCCCATGGGCGGATTCAGGGACGTGGCGACGATGATGTAGATGGGCTTGGGACGCATGAAGATCGGCGTTATGACTGTTGTTGTGGTTTTGATGATGCGTTTCTGCGACGGCGAGAGCTGGTCCAGTCGTTCTTCGTCGAAAGGGTCCGCTGGTGGGAGATTCGATGTCGGAAGCTCTGTGGGTGATGGTGGTGCTGAGAGCGTGGTTGATGGGGGTGTTGAGATGGTCATTGCTTTTGTTTCGCTGCGCATGCCAACGCTGACGGGACAGTCAGGTCGTGTGTCCAGTGGTATTGGTGCCGCCGAGTCTCCGTCAATAGATGGGTATTTAAATCGTGCGATACTGATGTTTTTCGGAGTCACGCGTCGGTGGTGGTTGCTCTCCCGATCGTCGCGCTCTTCCCGCAGTGATTCAATATTTGGGCCAAGATGATACAGACTGTGGCGACATGTTGATAGTGCCGGGTAACTTATTTGGTTATCTGCTCTCCGAGGGGAAATGCGGCTGAAGAGATGCGCTGTCAATCATGTACCTATTGTGTTTGAGTCGGTCTGGATGTTCTAGACCCCGAACATTGGCATGGGAAGCTCTAGACGCGACGTTTACCCCTGGACGCGTTACATCAAGCGGCATGGCGGGGCACTTACTCCGTAGACTTTGGAGAAATGAAGCTACGGTGAGGTGTGTCAGATGATATCTATTGTTCTCTCAGGAAGAGTAGAAGCAGCAAAGGCCTCAAAGCAGGGGCATTCAACTACATCCAAGCAGGGTATTGGTAACCTTGTTAGTCACCATCAACTCGACTAGGCGTGTTCGTCGCCGCCATCACGAACAAGTGACGTTTCGTACCTTTCGAGGAAGTTCCTAAAACCTTCCTCGACGATCCGGATATCTTCTTCCATCTTCCTCTGCGCTGCCTCGTCTTGCCCGTTCACGTCTTTGTCTTCGTGATCCGCCGCCAGAGTATCCAAGCCGCCGAAGAGCCAAATCTCCTTCATTGTCCTCGTCAGCATCATGATTTCCTCGGCTGCCCGAATGACTGCTGTGGATTCGACGTCGAGTTGGAATTGTTGGGCCGACGTCTCAGTCAACGATGGAGGGACTGGCGCATTGCCACCCATTGTCCGAGACGCCGTGTCATCTAAGGCAACCGCAAAGATGTTCTCTAGCCGCTTGATGAGAGTAGTTGAAAGAGCTGTGATTCGGGCTGCCCATACGTCAACTGGCTGTCTTACAATGCACTGCAAGCGCAAGATACATTCAAGAGGAGGAGGAGATCTCACTGATGGGGCATACCTTGTAAGAACTTGGCTGTGGGCACGGCGTCCGAAGGAGCCTGGCTGTTTGGGTTTGATGTCATGTTCGCAAGGCTCCAAATGGGCCTCAGCTTGTGGTCTTCGCTTTCCGCTTCGCCAACCCTCTTCCCAGAGTTAAGGATTTTGCGATTTCGACTCGACGAGATCCATGTGATGCACTTGCGGCTGCAGGATTGAAACCCGTAGTTTTGGTCAGATATTCTGACACCAGTGTGACTGGACTGAACGGATGTGCTGAGCTCCTTCACTTAGTTCTTCATCATCACCCTAACAACCGGAAGAGATGGGTCGAGTACGCTACATGTCGCACTACTGCTCCAATGCTGAAGTGAAGCCAACTCAATTGTCCTAACACCTGTATTGAAGCCTAGCAACGGAAAGCGGAATGTGCCTGAATGTGTCAAGTCCGCATCTGAACGCAAGTGCTTCGCCGAAGATGAGGGGCTGCTGTGGGCTATACGGAGAGAGTAGCATTTTCTGAGCTGCCAGCCGCTCGTCATCCTGCACTTTGTGAGGATCGTGGAGGGTCTCGCGATTCTTACAGGTACCTCGTACCTTTTACGCCTACTCCGTAGAGCATGAGAGAAATGTCTCAACAAGCTAGCTCAGCATGCTCATCCCATCTGCCAGCAGGTCTGTGTCACCGGCTTATTCTTCCTACGGTCCTTGGTGACTTGCACCGATTACACGATGGGTGAGTGGACTTGACAACTCGATCCTTGTGGGAGTCATGCTTCTTGTGACCGTGTCGCCACAGAAATTGCCCCGCGCTGTACGGAGTACTCTGTAAGCATCGAGAAACGACCCTGTACTGCATTAGTGAGCTGCTCAGGGCGGCTCGAGATCGAAGCTGCCAGAGTTACTCCGTACATAGGCACAGAATCTCGGTTACTCGGAACCTCCCCTCCACCGCCAGCCTCCCCATCTTGCCTTTTGTGCCCGCCACGCTGCTGATAATTTTAGCAGCATTGTGGCCGAAATCCCCAGCGCCGAACATCTTCCCATTGGGCCAACCCTGCCAGCCACAGACGTGTCTCAGAGCTCGATGTAAGCTCGTAAGAAATTCTCCGACAATGCCACCTTACACCCACCATGCACTTTTGACCTGCCTCACCTGCCACTTAGTGTACCAGCACACCGAAGTCCCTCATGTGGCCACGCAGGGCCACGTTGACAGTGACGTCGAATGCTGGAACCGAAATGCGTATTCGTACAGACAGAACAAACTCGGATGCTCGGCAACGTGGGCGTGCATGCGCTACAAAGTCGAGCACGATTCTCACTGGAGAATCATCACCACCCACCACCTTCGCTCCCTGAGACACCTGCAATCCTGCATCCCATGATACTCCCTTTTCGGTACAAGGCACTGGCGACGAAGTCAGAAGAATGAGATAGTATGACTTACAAACTGAATTGCGGAGTCACCGACGTTGCAACGGTGCCTTCGCACGTGGGGGAGCAGTTCTCTGACCAAATCCGCCACTGCTGGGACTTCGCCCCAACTACCGGACCGAGAAGTCAGGCAACGGTGCCCGCATTTCTCTATACAAAAGTGGTGCTGGTTTAAGGCTCTTTGGCTGAATCCTATTCGCCCCTTTCTTTTACGCTGGTAAGCCAAAACCCATACGTCGTGCTCCACCTAGTGGAGTGAGAGGCATCTGGTTCATCCCGGCGGTGCACCTGTTCAGCCGGATTAGCTTTTCCTGCTATGGTCTTCGATGATACGTTGCTATGCTGCGCCATGGTAAGTTCCAGATGACGATGGAAATGGTCAGCACGTCTCAGTATGGTTGTAAGGTGAGTAGCATGGTATAAGAGGGGCGTCCTTCCATGACTGAGACGTTCCTATTGTTCATCTCACCAAGCACACACAGTACAGTCGCTCGCTCTTGTATTCTCATATACTAACATTCGTTCTACACTCGCTTAAAATGGCTCCTTCCAAGTCGGTCGTTTTGTTTTCATTGCTGGCACCGGCTCTGTCTGCTGTGTTGCCACGGGGAGAAAGTGCCAGCGCCAACACATGGGGCGATTGGGGGAGCTCTTCTTCTTACACTACTCCCAGCACAACAACAGCATACAGCACTAGCTCAACCACTACTTGGTCGCCTCCTGCCGTGAGCACGACCTCTGTTAGCCAGAGCTGGGGTGACTGGGGCTCTTCATCGACGACTCCCAGCACAACCTCAACACATATAACTTCGTCTTCCAGTACCCCATGGGGTGATTGGACTTCAAGCTCAACCACGACGCCTTATACATCTTCCACCACCTTGTCAACGAAGAGTTGGGGCGACTGGACTAGCAGCTCAACCACTACTCCCTATACCTCTTCGACCACTTCCTCGACTAAGAGCTGGGGCGACTGGACAAGTAGCTCCACGACAACACCCTACACTTCTTCAACAACCAGCTCCACCAAGAGTTGGGGAGACTGGACTTCAAGCTCCACGACCACACCCTACACGTCCTCAAGCACATCATCGACCAAGAGCTGGGGCGATTGGACTAGCAGCACCACGACAACGCCCTACACTTCCTCATCTACCTCGTCAACGAAGAGCTGGGGTGACTGGACTTCGAGCTCCACGACGACGACTTATACCACGAGCTCAACAACCACCAGCAAGTGGCAGGACTGGACCACCAGCTCAACCACCACTCCCTACACCACCTCCACCAGCAAGTGGCAGGACTGGACCAGCAGCTCAACCACCACTCCTTACACCACCTCCACCAGCAAATGGCAGGACTGGACCAGCACTTCGACCTATTCCACCCCTTCCCCTTCTCCCTCCCAGGGCTGGAACGATTGGCACCCGAGTTCCCCTGCTGCTCCTGCTCCTTCTCAGGGCTGGAACGACTGGCATCCATCGGCCCCGGCTCCTGCCCCTTCCCAAGGCTGGCATGACTGGACCTCGTCGAGCACTTGCACTCCTGTCACGACCACCAGCACCTACACCCAGCCTGCCAGCACCGTGTACGTAACTCAATCCGCCACCACTGTCTACGTGACTCAACCCGCCAGCACCATCACCAAGACACTGCCTCCTTCTACCGTGACACTCCCAGCCACCACCATCTATGTCACCGAGACTGAAACACAGACCACGACCGTGACCACCTGCTCTTACCCCACCGGTACCGGCGTCTGGGGTGACTGGTCTTGGTCTGGCAAGGGTCCTCGCCCTGGCCCGACCCAAAGCGCAGGCTGGAATGATTGGAACCATTAAACCCAAGGTATGTGATGGTACATCACACATGACGGATGATGTATCTCGAAGATGGCCAAGAAAGAGAATTGCACAACACCAGCATGTGATGGATGGAAGCTGAGGATATCCGACATCAATGAATTTGTATGCCTAGGGCACCGCAACGCACTTTGAATATGGGTAACTGTACCATCACTGATGCATAAGGACGGTTGATCTGCTAATGCAGTATGACTTACCCAGCGTCACTCCTTAAGAGTTAATGTCTAGTTAGTTAGTATCGCAGAATTAGAAACACGAGGTCAAACCTTGAGTCCATGGCTTTCACCATCAGTGCGTCCAGTCAAAGCGCGGTGCCTCTTGATCTCAGAGTGCGTGTCGTCTAATTACCTCGTCTGCTACAGGTCTTGCACGGCGACAACCTGCCGGCAGACGCACATCGCTCACGGGCCAAGGCTCATTATCGGTTATTACCGGACTCGCAGTGGCAATCCCGACGGAGAGTACTACTGTTAGATAAGTAGTGTTGAAGCGCATTAGAGAGCTCGATGTCAAATAGCACTTTTCACGAAATGCAGTCCATGAATACTGTTAGATTGTGTTATAAGGTGTTGCAGAGCTGAATAGCAGATTGCACTTTTCATAAAGCGTAGTACCGTTAGATGGTGCTGGAACCTGACATGTGCGACCGGCGTGCTCTAGACCAAGTGCTGGGGACTGTACTGTAGCTTGTCCTTGTCGACTACCTACCTAGCTATAGAGGAGAGAGAGAGAGAGCTTCCTCCCGGTCCTGCCGTTTATTACTGCAGTACCTTCCCTACTTAAGAGTGCCGTTACATACCTTAGTGTTGTAGGACGTTGTAAAGCCCGTTAGTCGATAGCACTTTCAAGAAAGTGCAGTGACGTTAGATACTATCAGAACCCCTCGGATTCTACGACCGGCGTGCTCTGGATTAGATACTAAGTAAGTGTATACTGTAGTGACCTGTGACCTTATCGACCAACTACCTCGTAGACGAGACAGCCTTGTTCCCCTTAGCCTGTTCCGGAATCTCGCTGTACCTGGAATGGCATTTTCAGATGTCTGATCGCGGTACTCTTGCAGAGTGCTTTGTCTAACGTTAGATGTCGTTGGTAGGTATAGCACTTTCTTCAAGGTGCAAAAAGTGCAATGCTGTTGGCTACCGATGGATATCATTGGAAGAAAGTCGTAGACGACGGGCCCCTCCACGCAATCACCTTAACTGTACCCCTTGGATTCACATACCACTCTGGTACTGTACTGCATCGACAATGCCTTGGACATTCTCCATTTGGCCTGGTGGCGCTGTACTTATTCATGCTCATGAGGCCCGTCGTGAATGCAGCGCCTTCACGGACCGACCTACTGTAGCCTCCCTTCCACCTTCTGCTCCCCAGCCTCAAAAGACCCCGGGAATGAACCTCGCCGTCCTCTCATGCCACGATCTCCATTCCCCGCCGAATTCCCTTTCCAGCATCCTTTCCTCCTCCACGACCCTCGTCCAAAGCGCGAAGAGCAGAGCCGAGACCACCACAGGTCCGAACACCCATTTCGCCAACCCGCGTAACTTGTCGTGCTGCCTGGACGGGATCCAACAACTTCCCACCCCATCCGTTCGTCCCAAGAGCATCACATTTCCAAGCACGAGCGTCACGAGGCCCACGTAGCTAGGGTGCTGAACGTAAGCGTACACTCCCCGGGTGACCAGCCTGTCCGGCGCAGAAAGGAAAAAAGTGAAGTCCCGCCCCAGGGTCCCGTAGGGGATGAGTCGTAGCGGGATGCCTAGCAGTAGAATCATCGTGAGCGGGATGATTGTCGGAGCTGACCAGCGTAGGAGCTTGGTGTTGATGTCAAAGCCATTCCCGTTGCTCCTCCCGTGGCAGAGAAGCGAGGCGGGTATGTTAGGGTAGTATAGCGCGAGGAGTGCAGTGTGCAAGGACAGTAGGAATAGAGGGGTCATCGCGAGCTTGCCGAATGAGCTGCTCGTCAGACCTAGCCGTGAGAGTGTATCTGAATCTGAATCATTGGCTGATGGGGTATGTTGGGCCACAGCAGGATCAGGGGCAGGAGGTGAGAGGGCGATGAATGTGCCGAGGGTTGAGGCCACGAGTGTAGCCGCAAAGGATGCTTGAGACACGGAGACGGAGACGCGGACGAAACGAGGCATTGTTTGGGCTCATGCCGTAGATGGAGAAGACGTTCGACGTGGCCAATGCTTTCCCAGGTGCTGATTGTCCTCTTTTTTTGGTGTGGTTGTGGAATACATAGATGCGGTCGTGGTTTTGTGCCGTACTTAGTGGAGGTACCGATACTCCGATGGTGGAGCATGCAGCTGTTGTAAACTCAGTTGCCAGTGCACAGTGTAAGTACGGACGATGCCGATGCAAAGCGCGGAGTGATTTTCTCGTTTTGGTGCTCACGTCGAACACCTTGTGTCTAACGTCAACATCCACTTGTAGGATGCTTCCCACGGTTTCACAGTACGACTGAGGCATATTCCTGGGCGATTCGCACAGCGGCAAAGTTTCTGCTCGAGAGCCATAAACCGAAATCGCATGCATCTAGGAGAAATGCTGCGGCATCTGAAGCTTGGGATAATGAGGTATCTAGCTACCAATGGTGCCCCATTGCACTTGTTGTCGTAGCGCCAAATCTCCATCCCGGTCGTGATGGGCACGGCGATCCGCTCAAACAGTCCACACGGACCGTTACGAAGGCGTGCCTCTGCCACGATGGACAGCAGATCCCTTCGGCAACGCCGCTCGTCTACACCTTGACGAAGCAGAACGCATGGTAGAATGCCACAGCTTCCCTCTCCTCCTGCGTCAGCTGTATATCTCCTCCTTCATACCTCACGACACCCATGCGCACCGCCAATTGCATCATTTCGCGGTTTCCCTGCTCCTGATTCCAGATATCCAAGAATGGCTTTCTGTATCGTTGCTCCAAGTTGTACTGCTCAGCAATTGCACGGAAGGCTTCCCAGGGCACCACAAACTCAGGCACGTCCACGGCTTCGGCCATCCAGTAGGTATATTTCCAGGAGAACGGAGGTCGAAAGGAACCGTCTGGCTGCAGGGGACGCATGGGATCAATTGGAAACCGCACCTTGTAGATGGAGTTTCCCCATGACGGGCCCTCTTCGTCTGCTTCGCCATCTTCTTTCTCCTCAGAAGCGCCTCCCACACCCCCGTTCGCTTCCGACTTGGTGGCTGCCTTGTTCTTGAACCACTTTTGAATGTTCTCGGTGCAGACATCGCTGTTGGGGACGACACCAATGAATCGACCGCCTTTCTTTAAGCTTCCGGCAACATTGCGGAGCATGATTCGCACCTTCTCCTCGGACTCGAACGAGTAGTGCATCGCAAACATGCAGGCCACAATGTCAAACCCGCCGCCGCCCCAACGACTCGGTTGCCCATTGTCCGCATTTGGATCGATGCCGACTTCACGGACAATACCAACGTCGCCGATCCACGCTCCAAAACAGTCCTGCGCGAAAAAGCGTCCATCAAAGATCGGCCGTCGGCCTCGTCGCATTTGGCCATACCGGTCGCGAGCCTGCTGAATGCTCGTTTCAGCAGGATCAAGGCCCACGTACAACCCGACCTGTTGAGGCGCCAACTGCCATTTGCCCAGGTCACCTCCTTTCCCACATCCGATGTCCAGCACCAGGAGAGGCTTTTGCTCTGCAGGTTCCTTGGCTTCCTCGCCCCAGCCAGCCTCCTCTTCTTCCTCTTTCTCCTCTGGACTAAATTTATGGATGAGGCATGACTTGATCCAGTTGTTGAAGCTGCGCAGTCCTTTGATCTGAGACTCGTTTTTCCGCCAGTCACGGCCTTTCTCTTTGACCCACTCAGGCCTCTGATTGTACCATTGGTTTGAAACTTCTTGGACACCGCGGTTGGTCTGAGCAAGTAGCGCAGCTTGCTTTTGCTCTCTTTCGGCAGCAAGACGCTGTTGCTCTGCTAAAACATTCCGACCGCGCCCTCGTGCTCCCCCGGGACGAATGACTTGGGGGGGAGGAGAGACACGGATCGGGGAGGGTGACCTGCGGCGTTCTCGAGGTGGGGAGCGACGTCGGTAAATTTCAGCTGCAGACCGCCGTGAAGGAGGTGACCTTGAGCGTCTGTGAGAAGGCGCGTCGCTTCGGTCTTGTCTTCGGCGTTCTCCTGCGTCAGGTCGTCGGCTATACGCATCGGAGGCATAACGCGATGTACGGGGCTCATCTTCTCTCGGTTTACGCGGGATTCGAGGAAGATCCGCTGGCGTTCGGGGCTTTGTCTTTTCTCCCTGTCCTGCGTTTGTAGCTTGCTTCAACGTGCCTGAGGTAGAAGCACGGGAATCTTCCAATAACTCATCTTTCCTTGTCCCAGAATCTTTTGCCTCGCCGTCCAACGACTCTGATCTTCTTCGTTTCCGGGGTTGTTCTGACATTGTTTGCTCCGAGTCTGGCCGTGATGTCCCAGATCCTGTGCTGTTCTTCTCGGGAAAACCGTTGTTCACCTCGCCGTCCATCGACTCTGAGAGCCTCCGTTTTCGCGGCTGTTCCTTTGTTCCTTTCGCAGAAACCGGACTTGCAGTAACGGCGGCCTCAGCCTTGTGTTCCTCTTCAGGATCTTCCGCGATGGCGTCTTCAGGTAGCGCGTCTGGCAGCGCTTTGAAAGTGTCTCTAGCCGGATCGTAGGCAAGGGACGAGCGTCGTCTCTTTGGCGGTGCTGGGTCGCGAATTGCTTCGGACATGTTCGGCGTCACGCTGAGAACAAGACAATGAGCACCTGATGCCAGAGTCCTAAAGTGCTGTTTGCAGTATTGGAACAGTATCAGGCATCTGCATCTGTTTTCTGATGTGACGAGCCAGAACTATGGAAACATTGCACTGCCGCACGAGCATCAAGTTCATAGAGTGCGCAACAGCGGAGTACTGAGGCAGTGGCGGTTCTCTACGGTGGACTATTGACTGCTCTAACGAATGTCACTGAGATGGACACAGACCGACTCGCTTGTTCACTTCACTGATATTTGCCTTGACTCTCTGAAGCCATGGATCTGTATGCGCTGTCAGATTCCCACACCTATATCAACGTCTATTTCGTCGACTCATGAATTTCCCTCGCTCCTTCCTGCCCAGCCTGTGATTCTACCTCGTCGTCATCCTTCGAGGGAAGGTGGTCGACGGTGCCGAACACGACTTCCATCTCTTCCAGACTTTTCCCCATGGTCTCCTTGAGCACGAAGTAGCTGTAAGCAATGATTGCGTAGTTGAAAATAGCAAACATGAGGAACGTCCTCCACCCGATGTTGTCAATGGCGTGAGGTGTGATTTGGCTCATCACGAAGTTGAACAGCCACTGGCTCGCTGCACCTGTCGCAACGCCGATCTCTCGGATCCGATTGGGGAAGATCTCGCCAATGTAGAGCCAGGGTAGAGGCCCCCAGGACATGTTGAACGCAAATGCTTCCAGGTACACCATCGCGATACCAGCTGCTCCTGACGAGGTGATGCCCGTGGCAGACGGGCTCGGAGGGTGCGTGGCAACGATGATGGCGATTATGAGCATGAAACTCCCCATGGCGAATGCGCCCGCCATGAACGGCTTTTTGCGCCCAAATCTCTCCACGAAGAAGGTAATGAATAATGCGACGCCGGCCATCTTGACAAGGCCGAAGAAGCCGGTGATGAAAAGCGTTTTGTTGCCGGCCCCAATTGTGGCGAAGATCTGCGGTGCGTAATATGCGAGAGAGGTATTGCCGGTGAGCTGTTGTGCAAGCTGAATGGTGATTGCAATGAACATTCGGTATCTGTTCGATGGCAGAAGTAGTTCTTTCCAGGTGACTCCCTCGGATTCGCGAATCTCGAGTTCCACTCCGGCGAGGATCTCCCGGAACTCGGCTCGGATTTCTGGACTATCGACACCACCGCGGACCCAGAGGAGTGAGGCGTAGGCTTCTTCATTGCGGCCCTTCTTTGCTAGCCATCTTGTCGATTCCTTGACCAAAACCATGCCCAGTCCGAGCAAACCGCCAGGCACTAGCTGAAGCCCAATGGGCACCTGCCACTGGGTGGACGAAGTCTCGGAAATGCCCTTTTGGGCCGCATAGTCGACCCAGTAGCTGATGCAAACACCCGTCGCGAAGAACAGCTGGAAGCAAGAGCCGAGCTTGCCTCTAATCTCTTTGGGTGCCATCTCAGCAGAGAAGATTGGCACGAGCACCGTGGCGGCGCCAGTGCCCAACCCACTGATAACGCGGCCAGCATAGAAGAGGCCAAGCGAGTGGCTATTGACGATCTGCATGATGCATCCGACGCAGAAGACGGCCGAGGCTATGACAAAGGCCCATCGGCGGCCCAGCCAGGCCGTCAGCGGCCAGATGAAGAAACAGCCGAAAAAGGCACCTCCTTGGAGGATGGAGACGCAGTTCGAGTTGACTTGAGTCTTTTCGGCCTTGGTATAGCGAAAATCGTTTTGGAACGACGGCAGGGTCAAAACACCCCCAACGATACCAGTGTCGTAGGCGAAGAGAAAGGAACCGATACAGCAGAGAGCGACAACGTAGCAAGCTCGGAACGTGCCCAGTGCTTTGCCCATTTTGATATCCTGTGGGCTACTGGTTGTGGGGGATTCTGAGGGCTCGCCTTGTTGCAGGAGTCGATAACCAGTGGCAGAGGATGAAGAGGCCATGGCAGACCTTATGAATCGCGCATGGAGGGACCACGATGTCACCTTGGAGGAGGGTTCGGTCGAGTAGCCAGCGGATCTCGGTGCTAGGACGTTGGTCCAAGCCACAGGAAGCAGGAAACGGCCAGTTCGAACGGTTCACACCATGGATGCGGGGTGAACAGTAGTCCGGATGATCGTTTGCAACAGGTATCGCCAGTGTAGATCCAACAGCCGAGTACTTCTACCACGCGGGCGGGATGTAAGCCAGCCAGTAACGAGAAGGATAAGCCGCTGCGGCGTCGAGCAAGGCTGATATCGGCTACGACGCGACAAGCATTATGGCTTTACTGGAGATGCATGTGATGGGACGGCGACCAAGAGTGGTTGCAGATGATGAAGCTTCGCAAACACGGCACGATCACGCCATCAAGGCTTGCCAGTTTCGGGCATATTAGATGGCGTGCTGGGACCGGCCTTGTTTGATTTCGTTGCATTGATCCTTCTCGCGTGCCACGAAAAGCTTGCTGAGCTCAGATTACAACTGCCACGAGCCTCGCCTTTGCTGGTGTGTACTCCGTAGAGCAGATGAGCCCAAGAATCAAGTCTGATGCACAACCCCGGACATTACGGGGTGCTCCGTAGACTACTAGTACCCCTAATTCAAAATTAGCTTAGTTTACTCGTATTCAGAGTAGGCCCTGAGTCGGGGTGCCACGCCTTCCACTGTTACTCTTACCGAGGCTGAATATTAGGCGCTCCTTAGGCCTGCTTAGGGCTGGCGTGACTGGTTAGGCCCCTTAAACGGACAATCCCCGCATCTCACGGAAACAATTCCCTAACACAGTACAGTACCTACTCTTAGGTACCTGGGTACGCAGAGGCAGCACAGGCAGGCACCTCAGGCGCCTCTCCACCGGCGGCTACAACTCACCCACACCGTCCGGCGTCGGAGCCAGGCGAGATGCGTGCCCTCCCAAAATGACCTGCAGATCACATCTCGCTGTAACATTGCTCCGATGTCGATGCTGGCACTTCTGATGCGTGCTCACCCCTCCGTGTTGATTCTTCCATTGTTGGCGTCTCTGCATTCACAAAATCCCTTTCACTTGTCAAGGCTACCCCTACATAGACGTGCACAATGGCAGGGCGACGCCCCAACTTCCTCATCATCGTCGCTGATGACATGGGATTTTCGGATGCAGGATGCTTTGGTTCAGAAATCCGCACGCCAAACCTCGACAAGCTTGCCAAAGATGGCATCCGACTTACGGGCTTCCACGCGGCGGCAGCGTGCTCCCCGACCAGGGCAATGATCCTGACGGGTACAGACCACCACATCGCGGGCTTGGGCAACCTGATCGAGTGGACCGATTTCTCGGGACAGAATTTCCCCAAGGGGAGCAAGTACTCAACGGCTCCGCAGAGAGGTATGCCAGGTTATGAGGGCTACCTGAACGCTCGTGTGGCCGCACTCCCTGAGATCCTGAAAGAGGGAGGGTATCACACCGTCATGAGTGGCAAGTGGCATCTAGGTCTCACCAAGGAACGAAGTCCTCAAGCTCGTGGCTTTGACCGGAGTCTGGCGCTCCTGCCTGCATGCTCGAACCACTATGACTGGAGACCGGAGGCAGAGTTCCCAAAGTTCCTCGAGAAGAGCGTCATTGCTCTGCACATGGAGCACGACCACTACGTCAAGGACCTCCCAGAGGGGTGGTACTCGAGCGATGGATATGGCAAGAGGATGCTGAGGTATCTGCAGGAATGGAAAGAAGATGACGAGCTCTCGAAGAAGCCCTTCTTTGCGTATTATCCCTTTTCCGCCCCGCATTGGCCTTTACAAGCGCCCAAGGAGTACATCGATCACTATCGAGGTGTCTACAAGGACGGACCGGAAGCACTGCGCCAGGCACGACTGAAGAAGCTGATCGAGCTTGGAATGATACCCAAAGATGTCAAACCGCATCCCGTTGTGGCCGACGAAGTCCCAGGGTGGGACGAAATGGACGACTTCCACAAGAAGGCCTCCTCCACCTCAATGGAAGCGTATGCCGGAATGATCGAGTGCCTAGACTATAACATTGGTCGAGTCACCGACTACCTAGAATCTATCGGCGAGCTGGACAACACGTATATCATGTTCTTTTCTGACAACGGTGCCGAAGGAGCTGCATACGAGGCGTATCCCATGGTCGCGGGCGAGCTCATGGAACACATTGGAAAGTACTACAACAATTCCCTCGAAAACATCGGCAACAAGGACAGTTTCGTCTGGTACGGTCCACGTTGGGCTCAAGCTGCCACAGCCCCCAGCAGGCTGTACAAAGCTTATACCACAGAGGGAGGGGTCAGGGTGCCCTGTGTCATCCGCTACCCAAAGTTGCACAAAGGTAGGGAAGGGGAGATCACCGAGACATTCGCAACGGTGATGGATATAGCACCAACGCTGCTTTCCCTTGCCGGGATCCAACACCCGGCTCCAGAATGGAACGGGCGACAGGTCGTGCCCATGCGTGGCAAAGATATGACTCCCTGGCTGAGCGGCAAGCAAGACTTGGTGCACGATCCAGGCGAGGCTTTTGGCTGGGAGCTGTGTGGCCGAGCTGCGATCCGCAAAGGACAATGGAAGGCAGACTTCATCCCGTTCCCCAAAGGCACATCTGCATGGCAGCTCTATGACCTGTCGAAAGATCCGGGCGAGACAGAAGATCTCGCTGATAAGCATTCGGAGATCCTGAAGGAATTGCTGGATCTATGGGAAGTATACTGTGAAGAAACCGGGGTGGTACCCCTGCAACCAGAGCTCGGTGCCCGGTTCCACGAGGCAGTCGAGGCACAGATGAAGGAAGGCGAATGGATTGAATATGAGTACTGGAAGCCCGGTGCCTTAGAGGAGAGAAGGAGACAGGAATATGTCAGGGAGATCGCAAAGGTGAGCGATCCGAGACTCAAGGAGGCCGCGGGAGGACAGCCTGTCAATGTCGCGTAGGCATGAGGAGTGGACAGCTGCTCCAGACCACAGTGTGACTCGGCAAGAACCAGCCCGGCACGGGATTCTCCGCAAAGAGATAGATGGCACCTTTGGAATCGACTCAATTTTCAACCAAAGCAGAAGCTGTGTTTCTCGTGGCGACCCTGCTGCTGGCTGCTGCATGATATGGCGCGTGCTGGGCCTACGCGCACGTCCACGCAGGTTCCAGAGCCGTGGTCCAAAGTCACGTACTGTATTCGAAGCGCTCAAAAAGCATATCATCGCCATTGCACGAGTCCGAGGGAAACAGTCCACTGTAGTCTGTTTTGAGACTGGCTCCGCCGGACGACTATGAGGAAGAAGTCGTACTCGCGGGAGAGCAGCACGCAGGTTCTGCAGCCTTCAGAATCAGGGGCAGTGTGCTTGAGCAAGTGAACTACTCCGTATGTGATCCCTATATATATATATACATACATAAGGTAGTTGGTAGTCAGAGTGTTGCAGAACGATGTCCACATGGTGTTTACAGCGCATCCGTCCTCCGTACATCAGTAACGGGGGTACTTGTGCAAATACCTGACAATGACCACCCGTGCCACTGTAACGAACCAGGTACTCCGTACGTAGTCCTTGCATCCCTCCCTACTGTAAACAGGTACTTCTCGAGTACCCTTTCTCAATGTGTACCTACCTAGATAGGTACCTGGTACTGAGCATATACCGTATAGCGTAACGCCGGGCCACATACCTAGGTACATAAGTCATGTGATCAAGTCCTTTCTCGCTCTCTCGCTCACCTTTTACAGTAAGTGGACTCGCCAAAATTCAAGTCAACTCAACGATATGATCCTTGATCGTGCTTTCTAGTCCTGATATTCGGGTCCTCGTGCTTCATGCTCTTTCATAAATCAAGTACCCTGAGTCCTTGTGCTGGTTTCCACTCTTGGTGCTGCATGCTCCTTCACTACCTAGTCTAAGTTCTTGTTCTGGGTTCCGCACCTTGTACTTCATGGTCGTTCGCTGTTCTTCTCGTTTCCTAGCACCCTCGTGTTCAAAGCTCCTTGATTTCCTCCGTTCATACTCTGGTATTAAAGTGCAGATGTACTCCACTCGGTACGGAGGACGTCCGGCCTGGCGATCTCGTAGAGTATGCTCTGTCGATGCTGTTTGAGGCACCCAGGAGGAGCAGCCTGAAGTGAGCTGATCTGAACCGAGCCGACGGGGCCTGCGTCCTCGCAGGACTGTTATTCTTCAAACAGCGTACTGTGTAAGGCGTGTGCGCGCGTGAGAATTGTGTCGTGTGCAGTGTGCTCCTTCGTGTGCTCAGACCGGTCGTCAGCACAGATCCCACATGACCGCTCAGATGCTCTGGAGAATGGTTCTCGTGTATCAACTGCTCGTAGGGACCAGTTTTTGACACCTGTGAACGCCATCGCTATTCACCCAATGCAAGGAGCCCTCATCTCATCCACATTGCGTGTCGCTCGTCATACATACCGTTTAATTCCTGCCTGAGATGCCATGCGTATATACAGTAGGGGTGTCTCAGTATACTTCCAAGTCCCAACGCCAGTGATACGAATCGGGTCAGGGTACAGTCACGTCTCATCGCTGAGGACCATACCCGTATCCGTTGTTCGCGTAGCCTGTCTGTGTCTGTTGCGGCCAATACGCCGTATACCCGCTCGTCGCGCCGTCGTTCCTAAAGTCGTCCATCCTCATCGCTGGGTGGTGCCCATAGCTCAAATCCGCCGCCGCATTATCATCCCTCAATCGAGCATGTGCATGTGATTCATTGTAGTCGACGATACCGTAGGGGACAGAATCCTGTGAGTGGGCGTGTCCATGCCCGTGGGTACCCAGCGGCTCGCGCTCACTCGCCGACTGCGACCGAGTGCGATTATGCAAATCATCGAGCTTGACGTCCCCACCACCTTTCGCCGCAATGTCGGCCATCCTATTATACCGGCCCAGCTTTGTCTGGTTGTGCCGGCTCCGCACGTCCAGCACGATCTGGGCGATCTGGGCCAACACTCCCAAAAACTCAAACGCGTAAAAGGCCTTGTACGTGCGGCAGATCATCATGCCGTCGTCGCTGGCCCAGTTGGCGCGGCTGCACGTGTGGCCGAGCGTGCCGACGATGTTCCATGTCAGGAGGGTGTAGCCGACGAGGTAGAGGATCAGGACCGTGACGTTGAGGACGAGGGAGAAGATGGGTGAGAGGAAGAAGCATGTGTAGATGATCGAGGTGAAGAAGAGGGAGAGTAGGGATAGTAGCGTTGACGCAAGGACCTTTGAATCACGGAGTTAGTCACGATGTGTGTAGATCTCAGGCAATGCGTGGCTCACGATGATAAACGTCCAGGGCAACTTGAACCCGTCATGCCGCAGCTGGACGCAAAAGTAGATCAAGATGCCGCTGACGATGGACGCGCTGATCAAGGCGATAGCTCGCACAAGATGGAAGGCTAGTCGTGGGTAGACTTGTGGGCGAGAACGCATTTTGGTGGCCGGCATGGTGGAAGAAGAGGTCGCCCGTGGGCAGGTAAGTGAAGGAGTGTATATACAGTATTGTGGTCAGGAGATCTTGAGTCCGGCAGTGTTTCAGAATGGAGGAGTTTGTTTTGTATGGAAGTACGGAGTACTCCGTATTTCGCAAAGGATCGGGGAGTGCTCAAGCTTGTGGAACACAGATGGTGCCAAAGCAGCTGTAGGCAACGGACGGCGCAGGTGTAATGAATGAAGAAACAGTACTCCGTACAGTGAGCACCGCTGTGGAAGTGACACTTTAGGAGAGAAAGACGAGCAGAACTACTCCGTAACGCACGTCGTAATGCCAATGGCCGGAGCCGTCGCAGTCGGTCGCCAAGCTGAAGACTGTTGGCAGTGAGGTTGAGGCTGAGGAAACAAGGCTCAGCTCAAAATAGAATCGTCGTGCGTGTGCTGCCAATCACGATGCATGGTTGTGCCCCCGGCTCTGCCAGTCTCAGGCCGTGTCGGGGCCTAATTTGACGGGCGATGTGGGGCCTTCGGGGGCTGTTAAATGCGGGGTTCCGCCCTGTGGCGCTTCGTAGAATGATCTGTCACAAGCTGCAAAGAGGATCCATGCTCAATCTCTAGGACTCGTACCAGAGAGCACTCCGAATGGAGCTTTGACGACAGTTGACGCATACGCTTGATCGAAGAACGCGACGAAGGAGCTTGAATGAAAGGATTTGATATTTTTTTTCTTTGCTTCGCTTGCAAAAAGGCCAGAGGTGCTATTCGACCCACAACGGTCAGAACGGTCGGAACGGTCAGAACGGTAACCACATCCACGTATCGTCTCACCCCCGATAAAGGTCCAGAGGCTCGGATCGTCTCCGTCGGCGGGATCGTCTTCGACCCTATCGAAGTGGACTCTCCTTGATGATTCCATTGCCCGGCACAAAAGCCCCTGCTCCCGCCGCATTCAGCTTGAACGCTCCACCTCCCGAGCTGCCACTCGCACTACCATTTGTTTTTGGCGGTGACATTGGCAGCGGCGTGCCCGACACCGACGAAGACACTGGCGCCATGTCTGGAGTGTTCCGTCCACTCTGCACCGCACTGTTCGCTGCTCCAGTACCCATGCCATCCACCGGCACCAAGGTGCCCCCAATACTCCGTGGTGGCGGCTTCCACCCATACTTTGTGCCTTTGCGGTAAATGTCTTCGATCATCTGCTCCACGATACCCGCGTCCTCGTATTCTTGGAATTTGCGCCAGAGACGTAGCGCCATACGGGCATCCTCGATGCTGTCGTGTCCGTCTATCTGCGCTGCCTCGTCCAAGCTGGTCTCTTCCTGGATGTATTCCTTAAACACAGCCCATGCCAAGTATCGCAGTGAGAAACGACGGTTCTTCCCAGGCGCCAGGTAGAGATACTGTGTGTCGACTGTTTGTGACTTAGGGACGTGGATGTTTGCTTTGCGAAAATCGGAGGCCAGACCGTGGCCGACGAAGATGCACCCTAGGTTGAGAAGAATCCAGAGTTTCTTATATGCCACTTTGAGTGGGACGAGATTGTGCTGTGAGACTTGCGTATCGAGGTCTCCTGGTCGAATGCCAGAATACCGTGTCTTGTAATCGACAATCGGCTCGTAGATGGTGATGTAGTCGTCTATGAAGGGGACGCCTTCGTCCTCACCCTGCCCTCGGAGAACGCTGACTCGCGCAAGACCGGATTTGGCTGGTCGAATGGTCTCTTGTGTTCCATCCGCCTTGACATTGATTTCGGCTTTCTCTAATTCGACAAACTCGGTGTCAAGGGCTATCGGTGCCCCCTGGGCGGGATGTTCCTGTGGCCCCAGGATCTTGCAGCCATCAACGGGAGATAGACCATTGATGCTATAGTGTTGGTACAGCAACGTGGTGTCCATCGTCCGTTTCCAGCTGTGGTCGAGTTTGCCGTGAGCGCTCTTGACCTGGTAGGCAATCACGCTCGGGATCTTCCAGTTCTTGTTGAAATGCAGCGCTTCTCGTGGATCAACTGGTGACACCAAGAAATCATTGAACAAGTGCCAGTTCGGAAAAACCTTGTGGCTGGAAGGAACGTCCGGCCTAGGGCTTGATACTTCCACATTGACCATGCTGACCAGGTGAGGCTGGTGCCGCTCGCTGGTGTCAATCTCAGCCACGAATCCGACCAGTTCATAGACCATGAGACCTGGTGACTTGTTTCGAATGTGCAAAGCAAGATCGGAACCCTCGAAAACGTACACGTTCCTATCCTGCACGGTGAGGCCGATCTCGGACGGGAGCCACCCTGGAGTTTCCCAGAGGTTGCGCATTGCAGTGTTGCTGCCCAGCGCCGCATTGATCATCAAAACAAAAGGCAATTGCCGGATAGTTTTGCGGATGGCAAGTTGCTGATACCGTCGGCATCGGCTGCACCAGCCTCGATTCTTGGCTTCCCGCTCAATGGTGCTCTTGAGAACAGATGAGAATTTGATATACCTCGTCGAGTGTTTCGAGTCCAGCTGAGGATAGACCAAGTCATGCACATACGTGCTGGCCGGTTTGGAGGTTTCATTGTTGCAGTACATACATCGTATTGCTTCAAAAGCCTTGGTCGCAATGACCTCATCCACACCATCGCTGGTCGACGCAATCAACGTGTAGTCATGGGCCATCTGCTTCAGAAAGAATCGGTTCACTGCTTGAATATTGGTGGACAGCGGTGTCACATTAGCCACCGACAAGTGCTCAAACAGACTGAGATTCGCAGCTTCTCTAGAGGCTCCGAAGGCCCGGAGCAGATTTGTCGCCTGGCAGTTCTGACCATTGGCTTTCTCCAGCATGTCGAAAAGAAACCCGAACTCGCAAAGGAGACAGTTGCCGGCAACACACGACGTCGCGGCATGCTGTATGGCGACGTTGCGGAGAAGCGGAACAAATCGATACAACTGCAACAGAGAGTTGACGAATGAGTTTGCAATGTGAGTTTCGAGGCCGGAATATGGTGTCTTGTTGTAGTATCGGAAGTCGAAGTCGTCAACACCGAATCGGCTGTACTTGATCTCGACATTGCTGTACTTTAGCATTCGCTCCTCGTCCGTCTGAGCTCGTACGTTCAACGAGACACCGGCAAGGGCCTCTGCCGCATCGGCCAGCTTCGTACCAGCTCCATTGGCGGGTTGATCCTTTGCTCTCTCGCTCAAAAATTTCGGTGCCGCGATTGATGTGGGCACGTGGCCGATTCTCGTGTCTTCGACTTGGTACCGAAGAAGTTTCCGTGGATTCAGGTTGGGAGCGTAGTGGCCCATCTCGGCAGTTTGCATGTGAAATACTAGCGACGGCTCGATTGTCGGGGGTGGCGCTCCTACCTCGAAAATCATATGGCTGGGCCAAGCTGATAGTAAGGGTTCGGAGTAGTATGGCATGCCTATCGTGTTGAGTGGTGCGTCATTCCAGTCAACGTGCGGCACATTCTGTGGAGGAGGGTCTGCAAATTCGGTCTCTTTGCTAATGTTGTTGAAGCGGACCTTGGATGGAGAACCCCAGAGATATATCCATCCATTCGTATCTATGATGGCCACAGCGTCTCCGGACGAGGCAATTTCCATGCCCAGCATAAATTGCACGTTTGCCTGCTTGAGCATCACGTTGACGGGATTCATCAGATCCACCACCTGCATCTGGCCGGTTTGCGACGCCACGAAGCTGGTTGTTTGTAGTTTCGGGTGCAAACGGACATATGCAGCACCTGCATGGAACGGAATAGGCGGCAGCGAGGTTAAAGATTTCAGGTCGTAGACGTTCGCCAATGGGTCAACAATAGGTACGCCCATTTGCCGGACTGAGAAACCACAAGTCACGAGAAAGTCATTGCGAGCATCCATGTCATTGACAGCACTGGAATGTGCTTTCCACGATTTGAGCAGTCGGTAGTCGGTGAGGCTCAAAATATGCACGTTTCCGTCGTCGGTAGCGGCACAAATATGCCGGTTTTTCTTCATAATGGTGTACTTTGCCTGTGCGGGATGTTCTGACACGATCTGACCCTTGTCCAGGTCGATAACGAAGAAGGTACTGTGGCACCCGTTGACGATGATGAGGTTGTGCGTCCCCACGCTGGCGAAGGTCATGCATCGCAGATCATTCATGTTCGGATGCGCGATATGCCATTGTGTCAAGCCCCTTCGACTGACGCAATGGGCACTGGAAGCAGAGATGGAGATGATGCCCTTCTCGTGGACCAGTAGCTGCTTGACGGGACCCTCGCCCAGATGAGCCTTGACCGAGACATACCGTTGCAGATCGGCGCCGTAGAAAGACGTGACCCGTCCCTGGGTAGAAGGTAAGATGGCTAGATTGTAGGGCTGGGGACACGGCTTACCTGGTCATTGCCGACCCAAAGGAGTTCTTGCACATCGTCGAATGCGATGGCACTGGCGGGAGGAGGGATCGCGTGCAGACCCGAAGAGGGCACTGCTATGCGGGTGATTTCATCCCAATCCGCCTCCATGAGCGAGATCGAGGCGGCTGATGTTGGCTTAATGCAGACCCGGAGGACGTAGCATCGTGGGCCTGGATTTTAGTTATGAGGCCCTGGGAGACGCCTGAACTCACTGACTGGGTTGCTCTCGTCACCTCACGGCCGTCGTCCTTGCATGGGCCTACTGAGCATTGATGGGGAGAGGTGGTTGAGTTCAGGCACAGCGCAATGAGTGGCTGATGATCCGGCGCGAAATGGTGGCACTTGCTTTCTCCGAACTTCCTCCCGTCTCCGAACGACAGGACGACCATCAAGGACGTGCCACGGTCGCATGTGCAGCTTTCACAGGTCTTTACCATTGTCACACCATCTTGAGGTGGTTTGCACGTGTTCACAAGCGGTATTCAACTAATCTCCGTCTGGAAGAACCACATCAAGCCGGCAAGCGGAGTGCTACACATACATACGCCATCAAGTCGCGCCTGGCCACGCTTCGCCTATTTATTTCCCCTCAGGTGTTCATCCTGCTTTTCAGGTCACTTTTGCGCTATTCCTGCCACTCCTTGTTATCTAGGTGACTCGCCATGTCCAGCTACGAGAGTAAGCTTAGATGGCAGCTGAGTGTGTGTTTACATTGACAATCTGTAGCTGAACACGCTTCCGATCCGCCCAATCGCTCTGAGGCCCAACCCCGAAGGCCTGACCTCTCCTCGTTCCTGAGTCTCCTCTCCGAAGTCACACCTGATCGACCGGAAGAGCGGTCTCGGGAGGGAGCAGTCCCTGTTCCGGCGGATGTGTCTGCGGTCTTTCGCTCGCTCGCAGAAGCATTTCAGGTCATGCTCAGGATAAACGACAATGCCGACTCCAACTTGCTCGAGAGCATGATAGAGAACCTGATGGAGACTGCCGAGCGTCCTCCGCGAGAGGTGAAAGGCGTGGACGAGGAATACATTGCAGCATTGGAGCGAGTGAATGTCAAGAAAGTCAAGAAGGATGCCGATTGCCCCATCTGCGGTAACGCGTTTGTCGAGGACGCTCACCCGCTTCTGGTGCGCTTGCCATGTCATCAGAGTCACATATTCGACCTCGAATGCATCAGACCTTGGCTCCTGGTTAATGGCACATGCCCTCTCGACCGGATCGACCTGGCTCAGAGAGAAAGAGACCGCAAGAAAAAGCACCTGGAGGAGATCAAGAAGAATGCCGCACCAGAGGATGAAGAGGAAGAGTGGGATGGACTATATGGCTGAAGCTGGTAGGACTCTGACCCCGAATACCACTTCAGGTGTACTTCACGTCACTCCGCACAGTGCCACCTGTTGTGCGAGTACAATGCCGTGTTCTTCTCTACCTCCACTACCGCGGCTACCTCGAGGACTCGGGTCTCGACTGCATATTGGGGGGGACATCGGCAGACATTGAGTACCTGGCTGCGTCGTGGCTTGGCGCGACGTGTTTCCGAGCCGGCTCTTTCACTCGTGGCACAAGAAGAGCAAGCTGGCCTCAGATTACAGATTACGCCCTTAGCGCACGGTCTTCTGGAAGTCTACAGCTTTCGGCGGATCGGTATCTTCCCAGCAGGATTTCGTAATCATGACTCTAATCAAGACAGGCGGTCACTTCCTCGCTGTAGCAACCACCGGAGCGATATCAGGAGACCCGCTGACAAATGCGGATGTGCTCTGGACGTTCTGAACCGCACTTTCTATTCAAGAAAGCTTGAATTGGCGGAGGGTAGCATTATCCGCCAATCAGTGCAGATCCTGCAGATGAAGCTGGATTCACTTACCTCGGTCTCTACATAGGTACTGTGTCATATGGCTACGTATCCCCGGATAACGCCCTCCTCCATTTCATATGCTTGATATATTGCCGGTGGATTGCCTTGAATTCTTATTGTTATTTAAGTGGAAGCAAAACCTGGATCACTCACCTATGTACTTACCCTGCTTCGGAATCGTCGGAGAGCTTGTTACGCAGACACCGGCTCATCTACTGGCCCCAGCGTGAGTTGGTTGATATTCGAGGCCAAAAAAACGATATACCTCTTACTTAGCCAATTTTTCCCCTCGTCCAAGTTGATAGCTGTGCGGACAGGGCATCGCTCCCTGCTTGACCACAACACATTCAGTACAAACGTGTCTTGTCAACCAGCTCGAACGAGCCCCGTGATGGCGTCCGCTCCGTCGTCAACCCGCACTTGGATTGTAGCCAACCACCCCAAGGATGTCGCGACATTTGACAGTAACGACCCAGGTGCGACGTTCAAGCTCATCGACCGGCCTCTCCCATCATTAGAGGCAGACCAAGTGCTGGTCAAGTCGCTTTATTTCTCTAACGACCCGGCTCAACGCCCGGCCATCGATGCCTCCATTAAGGCCGAGAGGCATTACACCGCCCCAGTCAAGCTGGGAGACCCGATGATGGCGCGTGGTCTGGGAGAAGTTGTCGAGTCCAAAGCAGACAACCTGCCCAAGGGGACGATTGTCCAAGCAAATCTGGGATGGACCGAGTACGTCGTGCTGGATGCCTCCGAGTGCAGTCCGCGGCAACCGCTGCCCAACGGCCTGAGTTTGACGCATTACCTGGGCGCGTTCGGAGGGCCCGGGTTGACGGCGTATTACGGCCTCGTCAACGTCGGCGAGGCGAAGAAGGGTCAGCGAATTGTCGTGTCCGGCGCCGCTGGGGCGACTGGGAGCATGGCTGTTCAGATCGCCAAGAATGTGAGTCCTCGTGCGTGTGCCTGTTTCTTGTGACTGCTCTGACTTTGCGGCCAAATGAAACAGATCGTTGGGGCCTCCGAAGTCATTGGCATCGCCGGCTCGGACGACAAATGCCGCTGGGTCGAGAGCCTAGGCGCGGACAAGTGTTTCAACTACAAGAGTCCCAGTTTCGAGGAAGACCTGACGAAAGCAACGGACGGCTTCGTGGATGTGTACTTCGATAACGTCGGAGTAAGTTCTCCGAGCAGAGGTCGAAAGGCCATATGAGAGGCGTTTCACGCGACATGCTAACGCGTTTTGCCGCCAGGGTACGATCCTCGACTTGATGCTCAATCGGCTGAAGCGCAATGGCGTCGTTGTCCAGTGCGGCCTCATTGCCGGCTATAATGGAATGAAGCCCACGGTGCTCCAAAGTAAGTAAGAGAACGTCCTGTTTGCAATGTCTGCAGCCTGCTGTGTGTTTGCCACAAGCTGCGTCCATGTCCTCGGCAGCATTTGTCTGCCACTCTGCCACTCTGCTTAGAAATCGTTGAATTAAGCGCCGCCGACGAACTAACGTGGGGTGCCCAATCCAGATTACTTCCAAGTCATCGCCATGCGGCTCTCGATCCGGGGTTTCATCGTCTTGGACTTCGCGGCCACATTTCCCGAAACAATCCGACTGTTCACCCAAGCGCTGAAGGAGGGCAAATTGAAGATCAGCAACGAAGAGAGCGAGCAGGTCGTGGACACCAAGTTTGAGGACGTGCCCAGGACGTGGATGAAGTTGTTTGACGGAGGGAATACGGGGAAGTTGGTCACGAAGGTGGTCTGAGCGAGACCGTAGTAACAAGAGACAGACGGTGTTGAAATCAGGAGCCTACAGTACCTAGGTAGCCAGCATATCCGCAGACAGTGATAGAAAGGCAATGCCACTAGTGCTCCGTGCAGTACAGGTTCGATTGGAGGTTCGCGAAGGGCTAACGTTGAGCATGGCACTCATTAGTCTGTATCGCTTTCCTCGCTGTCATGGCGGGCCGCAAGCGGATTATCCATATGCACGCAACTGAGCATGAATGCAGCGAGTTAAAGAGTATTAAATTTCGGACCGTCTGATGACTGTGCAGTTTTACAAGCATGGCATTCCCAATCTCCGTCTCCACGTCACCAAGGTCGTGTAGACAGGTCACATCGTGCGACAAGGGGCCCTGTTTGTTCTGGCGGAGTCACCGACCTCGATGCCCTGAGTCGCTGATGACCCCGTTGGTACATGCGCGTTCGATTGGTTCCAGGCAAGCACAGTACTTCTGGGTGCCATGCTCGAGTGCCCTCTGCTCTCTGCCTTCCTCCCTGCTTGCTTGCTTGCCTGCTGGTCCTTGCCCGCCTGCCCCTGTGTTGTTTGAGCTGCGCTTTCGATCTCCGAAACGGGAAAGGTCGATTTCTCCCTCCTGGAAGGATGGTGGTTGGTATGCTGGGTTTTTGTCTGATCTCGTACGAACCAGTGTTTTTGACACTTTTAACCGATTGGAAGCTAACTTTGTTGAACGCCATATGAACCTCTCGGTCATACCATACCCTCCACATAGTTGTGAAGCCGCTGTTGTCACCTCAGTTGTCGCATGTACGCTTCTGCAGGGGTATCCGTGGCCGCTCTGACGAACTGTTGAGAACGAGTTCCCTTCGTAACTTGTAAGGTTCGTGACTGGTATGAGGTAGCAAGTACCCAAAAGGGAGATGGTATCGAAGATGGTGATCGCATCTGTTGTCAGTGCCTCGTTCGACCACCGGCCCTCACGTTCCTTGAACTCCTTGGACCTTTTCAACCATCATACTGTATCTCACAACCATAATCTCACAACCACCTCAGGCCTCTGGACTCGCGGTGACCCCGCCACTAGAAATACAATGAGGCCAGCTGATGTTGAAGTTGACGGATGCGGCCTTGTCGGCCTTGACGCGTCGTCCATCACGCGTGACTGTGACTTTGACTTTCTGTATGGCCTTCTGGAGTCCGGGGAGTGGCTGGAGTGAGTTCACCGAGGAGGACTTTGATCTGACGGACGCAGCGTCAGCGTCACTGGCAGTGGACGCCAAGCGGGAGAACAAGATGGAGAGAGAAGGTCTCTTGGTAGCGGGCATTGTGGTCGATCTGTTGGCTCTGATCTGGTCTGATCTGATCTGATGTTTGGGATTTGGCTGAGGATTGTAAGATTTGACCTGAAATCGAGGTTCAACTAAGGTATGTCTAGGTACCTACACACACTTCAGCGTGGAGGGAGGAGTGTTGAGAGCTTGATCTTTATGTAGACAATTAATATATATGTGCGCCGCAGATGTGACATTCACTCGCAGGGTGGACATCGGACCGCGTTCATTCACTTGCCGACAATGTGAAGTGAAAGTGCCAGAAGTGACACAAGAGCGATCCATACCTAAGTACGGAGTACCTACGTTGTCCAGTCTACCAGGTAGTGCTTATTGGGCCTCATCCGAGATGGGAAGGCGTTTGAGCTCAGCCCGTACTTGAGACTCTTATTCTAATTACCCCGTGGCGCTGGATGGGAATGACCAACCCCAGGGCCATCGGAAGGGATGGCGCTATACTTTCAAGCTGAAATCCATTCGAGCTCGTGGGTGCATCAGTGAGATGAGCTTCAGCTGAGAACTCATTCTGAGATGGCTCGTGGGGCAGTTGGGTGTCAGTGACATGAGCTCAAGCTGAGTTGGATACTTAGCTAGAGGGCAAGTGTTGGACTGATCAAGTCGCAATTAACGAAGGAGTGACATGGCATTTCTGACGGAGTGCCAAATCTAAGACTGGTGGCGTGATCACATTTGGCCTTTTGCTAAACTACCATCGTCGTAGGCGCATTCTAGTAACTGCAGTCACGAAGTCATCACGGTCGAGAACTATCTGAGAGATTCAAGGTCGTAAGACGGCTGTTCCTCCCGGAGTACGACATCTTACTCGTCAGTGGAACGGGTCTCAAGGCAGTGGACTTTCCCTTACACTCATGGAGCGGCGGTGACATTACTTTTTTGCACGTTTTGCATAATTACGTGACAGAAAGGCGATGTCTCAAGTGGCAGGAATGCTACTCATCCTTCTTCGGTATTGTATGCGTCTATTCACTTATGGCGGAACAGTACGCATAACACAACCCGCATCACTCTTTGGTAAAGCATATGATATAATATACTGTAGTAAGTAAGCTGGCCAAGGGCGCACTGACACAGCCCGGAGCCAATGTATCGATACCATAAGACCGCTGCCTATATGCCTGTGTAAACAGTAAGACTGTGCGGGTTCAAGCACTCTGTGCTCGGTTGGCCAGGTGCTCCGTACTGACTGTAGCTATGGCAGTACACAGTACCATTACCGGCCGTGTTGTTGCTCAATGCATTTCCCCAACCAACGCAACGCACCGAACGCCTGTAAGATCAGAGCCCACTGGCCAGCCCTGGATATGTTCTTCTTAGTGCGCGTCCTCGTTTACCAGCCCAGGAAGTGCACTCCCAACCACAACACCCCATAGAACCGGAGCTCGGCCAATGTCGACAGGATGATCCCTCCAGTGCCGTCAACCCAAATCCGGCCAGCAAGTGTTTGTAGTCGTGGGTCGCGCTAAAACGCTCATAAAGACAGTATCGTGTCGTGTAAGAACAGTCCGATCAGAAATCAAATATTCAACCATGAGTAAACACGATTCCAACCCCGCGATCCCAGAACCATTCCTGCCGATTTTCGTAACGCCGTTAAAACAGAGAGCCAACTGCCCGGTGTGAGCATTCTATAATTCTTTGGGCTTGCACAGATTGATGTCGTTCGTCAAGCGAATGGCATGTACGCCTGTTGTCCTTCTCCTTTAGCTTGGAGAACTGCTGTTTCCTGGCTTAGCAGTATTGAAGTCGCTCTTTTCCATAGCAAAAGGCAACAGATCGTCGTCATCGAACCGATTCTCGGGCCGACTGCCACTACTTCTTCCACGCCAAGATACGCTGACACTGCTGCTTCCAGGGTCAACACTAGCTGCCGTGCCACTCACGCTTGACGTCGATCCTTGAGAAGCCCCTCGGCCACCGCCCGCTCTCGCTCCTCGGCTTCTGTATACATTTCCTGAAGATCGACCCGATGCAGAATCCGAGGCTTCGGCATCATTGGTCAGGGCAGTGGCGAGACCTGAAGGACGATGGACCTGGGATGACTGTCGAGGAGACCCGGTTGACGTCCGCGGGACTGAGGTCTGTGGTTGGGTGGCAGGTTCATCGCGCTCAGCCGTCTCTCGGTGATGACCTCGTCGGTCCGCTCCCATACTATGGCTGCGCATGCCGTATAGATCACCGATATCGTCGTCTGAGCTCAAAGGTCTGCGTTGAGCAGAGCTTGAACGCTGGTAGTTCAAGAACGGTCTGGGAGAGTTTGGAATGTCGATGGCGGGCACATTAGCTGTAGACTGCGCGTGTGCAGTCTCCTCTGTCGGAGCTTCAGAGGGAGACGGAGGTGCTTCGACAGCCAGACGATGTGGCTCGTCAGTGTCGTCGTGACTGTAAGCAGCACTTAGTCGAGAGGGGGCGAAAGGCGTATGAGGTGTGTGAGGAGAAATCGGTTTACCAGGAGAAGACGAGGTGGAGATCGACGTTCCGGCCACCATGGCCGGGACGCCTGATAATTGTCGACTGGAAGACACCGATGATCTCTGCATCATGACCGACGAAGACATGGAATCTGAGAGCACAGCATTTGAATCTCGCATCCTATGGAATCGGTTTAATGCGGCCGTGGTCCTCCTGGTGTGCGCTTCTGCCGTTGCTGTCGATGAAGGAGCGAGAAGATCTTTCCGTGACTCCAACATTTTCAAGAAAGACGAAATATTCTCCCCATCATCATCGCCCATAGACCCAGAGCTTCCACCAGCTGGAGCTGCTTCTGCCATCAAACCCGAGCCAGGTTGGGCAGAAGACGTGGCGCTTCCCCTACCACTACTTGTCTGATCTTCGTCAGTGCGAGTGGTCGTCCCCCCAGAGGAAAGACGAGCTCGTCTGTGGCTGAAGCTGCTGCTGTACCTGACTGTGGTAGGCTTGGGCGAGCTTGACGCCGACGAAGCAACGGCATTATCCGACGCAAGAGACCCAGCCCTTCGCCCAGCGAGGGAAACTGGAGCTGCTGGTGAAGGGATACCTTCTTCCGTCAAAGATCCCAGGGTAGGTACTCTCGCAGAGTGAGTCCTTGGCGAGCTGGCGAGGGGAGAAACGCCGAGAGGTGACGCTGACAAAGTAGGAGTCTTGAATGGTTGAACGGAGAATGAGCTTCTGCGGTTGGCCGCCACCGCTCTGAGCGAGGTCCTGGAGCTCTGCGTAGCGGTCGTCTGCGGTTTAGCTGGTTCAGCAGTCGGGGGTGGGCTGGCATCGAAGTCTTGAGCATCTCGGAGGGCCGAAATTGGATCTGTGCCCCGTGCCAGGCCTGCTTGATGGAAGCTTGTCAAACTCCCGTACGCGTGTCCTAGCTCTGCACGCTGCTCAATCGAACTCTGACGCCGATGTGCAGGTAATGACCCAATCTCGGTCTGAAGCGCTCTTTCACTCGGCAGGGACGGCCGAAACAGCTCATCGTCTGCTCCTAGAAACCTCGAGCTCAGGAGTTCCTCCGAGTCGTCTATCCTAAAGTCGCAGTTTTGACGATAGTCGACTTTGACCGAGAAGGGCCCGGCAGGTGACTCGGTCATCCCGAAGTCATAGGAAAACAAGACGTCTGAGTTACTGTCGAAGAGTCGCGTGCCCAGATTATCGGAGCGAGATAAGTGTCCCATTTGTGATCCGTCGATCAACCGATACCCAAGCTTCAACGCCATGTGAGAACGTCCCTTTCCAATCTTCCTCGATAACTTCCAGGCGGGCAGGAAGTTACTGTAGGTGTACAGAGAGCGGAAGAAGACGATACTTTTCTTGTAGACCAGAGGCAGGAGCGTAGCTAGATCTGGGGGTATGGGAGCCGTCGCCTCGCCGAGATCAATTGTCCATCGCTCAAGTATCACCTCGTTGGCATCTGTTGTCCGCCGTTGGTTTGAACGAGAGCCGCTTCGAGCAGACAGCAGGGTATTGAGGACGTCCCATCTCTTGCCATCTTCATCTACAATCACCAGCCGCTGGCCTTGAAGTAGAGACTCGGTGCTTAGGAAGATCTCGATTACCAAAGGCGGCGGCCGGTTGTATTCGACATCGCAGGTCTTCCATCTCTTGATGTCGTCCTTGTACTCATCCGTCTCATCAATGTCGAGGTTGAACCACCGATTTACCCTCTTGTTATCCGTCTGCCTAGAGTAGGCTGGGGCCAGCTCGACTCGAGACTGCAGGATGATGAGGGCAGACTTGGTGTGGAAGTTCTGGATGACCTGGTTGAGCCTCTGCATCTGGAGGACGGGGTTGTCCGCGGGTGAATCTTGACGAGCAGATGCAAAATCCTCCGAGGAACCGGAGCCTTGAGTGAGAGGAGATGTGGTCCGGAGCGTTTGGACGTCTCGATCTCTCGGGTTGTTTGTGCGAGTGGGATTTGTTTGTTCAGAGTTGGCGGGGGAGGCACTGACGGGAGGAGGTCGAGGGTGTTGATGCATGGTACACTATTGGCGTTGGTATTCACTTTTTTCAGGAGCCTAGCTTAGCGTTCGAGAGGTATTCTGGTACTGGCGTTTATCCGGTAGCCATCCATATTTTGGTTGATGTGATATCCACACTTGTGTACGCTGGGCCGGCGAGTCTTTGGATGGCGGTCAATGCGTCGATGTCTCTGGTACAAGGCTGAACGGCGTGGTAGGAGGACACTTCAGCGAGATGGGAAAGCCATCATGGCACTATAAAGAGGTGAGGTAGTGCTGAATACGGCCAGCGATTTGGTATGTTAGGGGTCGAGGTCCGGTGCAGTGCGACTTTACAATCGTCTCGAATCGTGGGCATATGACGGCACCTGCATGTGATTGGCGCTCATGCGGAGGAACAGCCACAACCACAGGTCAGGCGATGGAGGTACGAGTAGCGAGGTGATGAGATCTGATAGGGTGGGATGGGATAGCCCAGCCAGGCAGAGATAGGACCCTTGGACGAGACAAGGTGCGAACAGAAGGATAATGAGTCGACGATGGGATAAAGCGATGGGGATCTGAGGACCCAGGACTCATCCAAATGTCGGAGATATCATGGCGGATACCACTGCAGCCAACCACGCCAACACCAAGCTCTAGCAAGGATCAGCCGATACAATAGAGCAGCGAGGTCCATCGCCGACCGAAGCGGTTTAGTTCAACTGTAGCCGGTGAGCTCGTGTCCTAAAGTCCTCTTAATTCTAGGTAGCAGTGCTCGAGCAATGAGAGTTTGGACAAGCGGGCACACGCACATGTGGCAAGCACGTTTCCTCTGTACGGAGTAGCATCGCCTCAATTCACGTTCGATTCATCCTGCTCTCACTCTCACTTGGACTTTCACCCGTTGTGCGTGCGCTCAAGCTGGTCTACTGTGTACTCACGCCAGCGCTTGATATGCATAGTTCTTTGCACATGGTGGATCGAATCGGATCCCGATCCTGAGCTGTCCAGCAGACGCCATAGGCTGCATCGTCCTGACTCCTGACTGACCTGACAGCTGTTGTGCTGCACGCCGCTGCTGTCTCCCCTGCCGGGCGGCGCACATTCGATGTTTTGACGGCCACATTCTCTGCTACCACTTACAGTAGTACCGTCATAGACTGCCAGCGAACCTTCTGCTGACTTACTGCAGCTACACAAAGTGCGGTATGAATATTCCCAGAAACAGATACGTTTGCCCCGGCTTCTCTTGCCGCCCTTTCAACCACCGCTGGTACCCCCCACGTCCTCTTACGCTGTGTGCATGTGCATGCATGCATGCCTTGGCTACCTAGCTAGCGGGTGCAAGCATCCATGCCCTTCAAACAGTTAGCGCCCACCATCCGAATCCGCCCGTGTGTGTGTGTCTCCTCTTCCCTATCCATTCCGCGCCGGCTAGGCTGAATCTAAGGCTCGATCTCGGAGTCATACGAGTACTCGTACGCGTAGCAAGCCTCCGGACACTCATCAGCCTCACACCTCTGCACTGTAGGAGAACCCACAGGCCAGGCTGTCGTTCTATGCGTCTATGTCTGATGCCTCCAATGGCTTGACAGGGATCTTCCTTCGGGTAGAACGTTCTTCTGCCTGTCGGATCCTCAATAGGCACCAATAGTGACGGGGAGACGCGATGCAGTCTACCGAGTCCTCATATCGCAGTTTTTCAATTGCGAATTCAGGCAAGGCACTTTTGTGCGGGCCAATATTGGGAGCCCATTCCAGCTGAATGGTACTTCGGTCTTGCAGCCTGCTGCAGGCCTTGCCTTGAACAGTATGGTCGAATCCTTCCGACGTAGGGCCATTCTAAGCGAGGCCACCTTTCTGCAGTACTACGTAGGCACAAAGATACTGCCCTCGCTCGTGTACAGAGTACGCCGGCCGTGTTGGTTGTTCAATTCGAAACGAACCCTGCCTCTATCGAATTTGTACACGGCTGCCTCCTGTGATTAACCCGCTACAGCGGTCTATTACTGTGTGGTCATCGATGCCTTGCCCCCTCGATGCGGATGCTGTGTGTGTCCTTGACCCCGCCCTCGGCCACGGTTAGCACCGCCTCGCGACATCCCAGCGAGCCCAGGGTCGGTCTCTCCGCCAGACGTGAACCCCTGTGCTATAGGAGGACTTTCTGTTGACCGTGACCTTCTCTGGTGTCCGTTAGCTTCAGCTGCCAACGTTGCCTTTGCTCGTCCGCTACCGCGACGAAGTCCACCACGTCCGCGACCTCCTTTACCGCGACGACCAGCAGTTGCGGTGGCCTGCGCCTCTTCCTCCTGCACTCGCTTGCTCTCATTATCCCACCATGCCTGGAACTCCTGCTCTTGCTGAATTTCCTGAAGGGATCGCTTCGCCACAGCCTCTCTAACAGCCGTCTTCTCGATTTGCTGCTGAGAGAGGATCTCAGCCATCGACGTCCGTGCATCCACCAGTGGCCCTCTTGTGCGCACCGGCGTATGGCGAATCGACTGAATCTGAGGAGACGCAGGCTTCGACGAGGGAGGAGTAAGGCCAGGGGGTGGGCCATCACCAGCCTGTTCTTTGGCTACAGGGCCTGGAGATGATGCTCCAACCGATGGCTGGAGCAGGGATATTGGCAGCTTCGCCTGAGCTTGTTTGCCTGATTCTCTCCGCGCACCCGTAATCGGTGAGGACTCTGTCTTGAGCGATTTTGCAATAGTCTGCCATGGTGAAGAAGGGGCATCTGCGGCGGGCGTTGCCCGGACGGTCTCTGAGATTTTGACCGTCTGCTCCTTGATTTGTTGCTGCTGTCGTTTGCGCTCTTTCTGAGAGACTTTAGCGCCAGTTTTGGGAGTCGTTGAGGTTGATCGCATTGCCTGAGTCAATTGAGACACCCGGCCAGCTGACGCTTGCTCCATGATGTCTTTGAGCCCGTCTTTTCTCGAGCCGTGCAGGGGGATCTGCCATGGTGCTCCCCGACTGTTAAACCCATTGGTGGGAGTTACAGCGCTGATCGGATCGGCCACACCGTGAGTCTCCAAGTCCGACGAGCCCGCCCCTCCTACGCGTATTGTACCTCTGGGAGGTGACCCAGGCTCCGACCGCCGGGTCGGCACTGACGGCCTTGTCGGCCTGGTGTTTTCTGACGACGAGCCAACCCTAACAGCAGGGGAATTCATGTCTTCACGGGCAGCAGCTGGGAGAAGCTCAGGGATGTCCGCGTCCATGTCGAACGGAAGATCATCTGCTGTATCATTCGCCATAATCGCGGGACTATGACTCGGAGTGCTGAGTGGAGATGCGTCCGCTGGAGTTCGTAGGGCACTTTTATTGTGCGGTGAAGATGCGTGGCGATCCAGACTCCCATATCGCACCTTCACAGAAGACGCGTAACGTTCTTCGTCTTCCACCAACCGCGAGCGCAACCGCATGGAATCTACTCTTCTCTGTCGAGCTGTCTCGATCTGACTGATAAGGTCAGGATGACTCTCTAAAAGATCAGCTTCAGCGCGCTCGCTGCGAGCAAACGGCAAAAAGGCCAGTTGATTATCTTGCACAACAGTGTCGAGCTCCAAAAGCAGGTCTGGGTCCAGGTCATCGAGTAACCTCAGCTCCATCATGCTCTCAAGATTTAGGCATATGTATTCGAGCGCAGCTTTCTTGAAGCTCTGGACTGTCGACTCTGCAACTGTGTTAACCAAAGAGCAGATATTTCTGACACTGACATATCGGCCCAGAGTCTGCTGGCATATTTGTGCTAGTCGGTCTAGCATAAGCTCGTTCGCAACTGACATCACCTCGATGACAATGTCCAGGAACTCGTCGAGGGTACTAGTGACAATGTCATCAAAGAGCTCTTCTCCTGTGTCGGCGTACAAATGGCGTAAGACCATGACGAAGGTCTTCTCATCAATATGTTTGAGGTCGACGCGTACGGCCTCAGACTCTGCTTCAGCTTCATTGCGCCGCGATGCCATCCACATTCCGCCAGTTCGTCCGTTGAAGAGACCATCGAAGAACGGACAGCGACTACACAGTAGCACACTGTGCGCAGGTAGTTCGGCGTCATCGGCGAGTTCGATAAGCACATCGGCGTCGGAGAAGAAGTCGGGGTCTAAGACTGCAAGCTCCATATCGTTCGCAAGCCCACGGACAGGATCAACCATGACTCTTACTGCGCGTTCAAGACCTCTCATTTCGAGGTGAGTTGCGATTTTCATGAGCTCAAGCCGGACGGACCTGTACCGAGGTGCGAGGTGCAATGCCTGGGAAGTGTAATGCCACACGTCGATCAAGTTGTCCGTGTATAAGTAGAAGACGAAGGTGGCGAGAGTCAGGAAGTCCGCGCGCTTGAACGTAACTTGTATCTGGCCGTCTTGTCCGTATTCGATGGAGAGCACGTCAGGAATGGCAAAGTAATATGTTTCTTGAAATTCAGTCAAGGCGCTCCGCATCACACTACTCCTGCCCTTGAGGATGAACGAGTGGATCGGAATGCGGACGTCTGTGACTGTTGAAGCAATCCAGAGATCGTACTGGCTCCGGGATAGCGGTTCGTGCCGTTGAGCTATGGCAAGAAAATCGGACTCGGCTGATGCGTTACTGATCACAACACGAGCTATCTGGGCTGGATCATTGCCTGATGAGGGTGTAGTCTCCGTGCGTCCATATTCCCGGAAGGGCAAAAGATGAAACACATCATTCCACAGGCTTGGTGAGTCGGGCAAGATCTGCTCGCGGGTCACAGTGGCATCTTTGCGCACTGCCATAAAGGCACCAAAAGCATTGCTTCGAACAGCGACAACCCCCGTCAGATTCGGGATCCGGACGAACTTGTAATCCTTCGGCCGACCCGATCCTTTCTTCGTGTCGCGGACAGACTTGACATTCGCACGCTTTTCCTTTCGCCAGGCAGAGCCGGAGGCCGTACAAATGATGATCGAACTGTCCTGACCCACGGCGACATCTGTTGCTGCCATATGAGCTTTGCCGAGAGACCAGAGGCGCGAAGGGACAGGTAAAGCATTACGTGCCTTGGTGGGATTGGTTGTAGACGCATTGGAGGGCACTGTTTCCGAGACCCTGGGGACTTCGATAGTGTAGACTTCGCCAAAAGATGACATCGTGCAGATTGTGTTGCCTCCGCCGGTAACCTGCTTGATGTAGTTTGTTTCCACATTGTACCTCATTGAAAGATTGTCCGACATGTAATAATTCGAGAAGGTCTCCAAGGGAAACAACACCTTCGTCCAGCCGTAATGCGTGAAGACGATCACGTCATGGTTCTCGAGCAGGGCGATCGTTGCACGGTCAATCGCGCTTACCGACTGGATGGGCGACTGCAAAATAGAAACTCCAACCCGGCGTGGGAGCACCTGCACCTCTAATGAGCGAGCGTCGGCGTCCATCAGGCCCAATTGGCCTTCGTTTTTGCCAAATGTGTACAAGGCCGAAGGTGTGTAAATAGCTGAATGCAGAGCCGATGCTGCGGCCCCTAAAATGACTTCCTTTTTGATGTAGCCGAAGAGCTGTCGGGGAACCAGCTGAGTTGGTACCTCGTCCTTTGGTGCTTCTGGAAGGGCATATCCCAATTGACCGTAGCGGTTACTACCCCACGTGAAGACTTCACCCTGAGAGCAAACCGCTATGGAATGATCCTGCCCAAGTGCGATTGCCGAGATGCGTCGCTTGGCTAGACCGCCGGCCTGAATACTACGATATATGAAGCTGGTGTTCTCGTCGCCAGTCCCAAGACGACCACCCGGACCATATCCACAAATATACAAGTTGGAAACTGGATCGTTGGTCAAAACAGCCGTGTGAAGCTTTGACATGACGACATTCTGAATGGTGACGGGCCGACATCGAATTATAGCTGGCAAGGTCTTATGAGAATGAAGAGCGCCGGTGCTATGCGTGAGATCTTCGTGTACCCAGCCTTTCTGTCTTTCAGCTAGATGGTCATGGAGAAGGCGGCGGAGTAGATGCTCAGGTCTCTCAAAGTGAAGGCGTTCGGGATAGTGCCTGTCGTCTCCGTCGCCCGTACCCAGAGACAGATTCTTGTTGCTCCCAAATGCATAGACTTCGTCGCCTAGTAGATCGACTGAAGGATGGACATGGGGCCTTGAACGGTCCTCATTTTGCTGGTCCCCATTATCATCAATGCCATTGGTGCTGTCATCATCGCGCACAGGTGGGAGCGTGGATGAATCGTGCTGGAGGGAACGAGGTGCAATGGTCAAGCCGAAAACCTCGAAGGGACTATTGCCTTCATGGTCCTTGATCTTGACCAACCCTCCAGCCTGCGAGTGCTGAGCAGTCGTCGTGTAGTCAGTGGCGTCTTGGAGGTCTCGAGCCATGAGCGCGTGTGCAGTGGAAATATTGCCAAAGTATAACGCTCTGTGCAGTGGCGTCCATCCGCTCTCCAAGTCCTGTATGGATAGGTCCAGAAAGGGCATTTCCAACAGAACCTTGACGAACTGCAGAGCATCTTCCGACCGCAATGACGCAGCGTGGTGCAGAATGGTTCTCCCAAAGCTGTCCTTTGTGTTCAGGTCGGCTCTCGTGAGCACTGCGCCAGCATTTTTGCCCGGGGTGGCGTTCGTTGGGGTGTGCCCTGAACTCTTTCGATATTTCAATGATGTCTTCGGAGAGGCGGCCAGGTTGCCTGGACTGCTGCTCTTCAGCCCGAATCCTTGTCCGGTGCTCGTGGTTCTCGGTGCCGTGGAGGAGACGGTGGCGTTAGCCAGGTAGTGTCGAAACGCGTCGACATCATCTTCGAACAGGCAGCGCCAGAGATTGTAGCTCATGTGGTAGGTCGGGGATATGTTATTGTCTCCGATGACCTCGTCCGCGCCTCGCTGTAATCTCGACGGATCACGGCGTGTTTAAAGGCGCAAGGTCGAGCGGAGACAAGGGGGCAGACTTGAGTGGGACTAGGACGACTCAATCGCAAATCATCGTGTGCGCTCTTCGGTTTCTTCGTCGCGGATGGTCGATGGCCTGCTCTCTATAAATTCGACTCGTCTGCTGTGCGGGTAACGGTGATGGTTCGATTGTGAGAGAGATTGAGAAGGCGGTGGTCGTTTCGTGGAGGGGTAGGAGAGTCAGTCACGTCGCAGCTTGTCGATAAGTTCCGATGATGCTGAGGGACGCCTTGAACCAATCACATGCCCCCGTGCCGATATGGGCTTCGCATGGTGGGAAAGGCATCCTGCGTCTGTGAACTCTGTCGAAGGGCCCATGTGGTTGGTGGCAGCGCCGACTTTGAAGGGCGTCGTCATGAGGTGAACCAGACGAGGTAAATTCATGAATGAATTTCCAAAATTAATGATGCGCAGAACCACCTACTGAGTAACACGGGCTGCATGGGAATCGGGGCCTTTTCGCTGGGAAAGTGACCTAGAAAGAGCGGTGTGGTACACAGCTACGCGGTGGGTCTGGATCTCTACAGGACCTTCCACCTTCCACTTGGTATCCATTGCGCGTCGTTCTCAATCCTTCCTAGCCTTGTATCTCAGTGCATGCTGCGCTCACAGGTCTATAGGTAGTCGCTAAAGGCCCATGATACCTGCTGCCAAACCCAGTCCTACCAGAGCCGCTGTCGGGGCAGGTGCATGGTTACATGCGCCAGAGGATCCTAAGGATGATGGACCCGAGCCAGCTATCGCTGTCGATGAAGAGATTCCCAAGTTGAAGGTCGGCGTACCCGCTAGGATCAAGCTTGATCCCGAAATGCTAGCTTCCGGTACCTGTGTCTCAGGCTTGATCGTAGTCAGCTGCGTCCCGGTGGCCATCGCGGTGGCTGTGGCACTGGGGACTGCAGTGCCGGTCGGAAAGACCACGATGCTGCTGGTCGATGCTTTATTCTCGTCAGCTTGAGCCAGAGCTGCGACGTGGTTTTCCAGGTCGAAAACCGCGTAAGCACTTCTGAGGAAGCTGTCGCCCAGGATACTGAAGCCGCCACTCTCACCCGTGGTCCCCATGGACAACATGCAACCACCTGACGGATCATCGAAATCGTCTGGTGTGTATATCTGTCCGCCAACTATATTCGCGAGAGGCACTTGTATCGTGATTCCCCCCTCGCCGCCAAACGAATAACTGATCGTACCAGTGCCGTTGGAGAGGCTGCAGGGTATCAGATAGGCACCGGTGCCCCCTGCATCCCAGACTGCTCCAAATCCAAGAGCCAAAGCCCCGAAAACGTCGTTGGTCAAAAGTGTGTTGGTCGTTCCCGCATCCAGCAATGTGGCTTGAGAATACCCTTGTGGTGACAATGGAGCGGTTTTGCCTGTGGAGTCAGTGAAGGAGACGCCGGTCAAAGCCACATAGTACTCCTTTACCACGCCATCCGGACTAGGCTGAAGAGGAAGGGCGACCAAGTCTCCGGTGTATTTGGTCGTGTCGATGCCGCCAAAGACGATTGAGCCCGTGCTCGCTTCGGGGTTGTTCAAGTACAGGCTGAAGGCCTTGCGGTCGATGATTCCCGACTTTACGAGATTGTCCATCACTGACTGATATACCCCGCTTGGGCCATCGTTGTGTGCTTCATTGGTGTCATATCCCACTCCCATCACTCCGTGGTGGTCGAAAAGCACACTCGCCACTCCGATCTGTTGATTGTCGATAGGGGCGGAGCCGTCTATCGTAATGGTATCAGAACCCCAGTCACCAGCGTCCGTATCACCGGGATAGGCGTAAGTCTGTTGAATGATGAGTTAGCGACGAACCTTCGAGCAGGGGACCTATGGCTCTGTCAGTGGCATGTGCGGATGGACATACGATGTTGAAGCCAGCTTGTTCGACAACCTGATACGTGCTTGACGAGCTCGGGTCAAACGAGCCGAAATCGCACTGACCCTTCTTGCAGAATGGTGCCGAAGCCGCGGGGATCCACAGATCAGATGACCCAGTGTCGAGTGTTACAGCAAGCCCCTGTGGTGGCGTGCCGACAGTGAGGTTGACCAGGTATTCAAGCCCTTGGTTCGGCGTCAATACTGCATCGAAGCTCCCGGCTGAACTTTGTCGGCGAACAAGCCTGTTGGCTAAGGGGGCTTGTTTGTGCAAGTCAAGTTTGAGGTAGCCAGGCGACGCGATACATGAACCGACAAGGGCTGCAATCATAGCACCTGCGAGGAAATTCATGTTAGGCATCCACCGATGTCAACCCAAGTGTGGTGGTAGTTGAGCTCGGGTGGGAATGACGTGAAGTAAAGTAAAGACCAGTTGCACTTTGTATTTCAATGAAGGACGATGGGTGAACAATCCTGCTTCACTTTCACTTACACAGCCGTAGACGACACGGAAGGAACAAACACTGTGCATTTGAGAGGAGGGCTTACGTACATAGGTACGGAGTACATTCATTGGAAAGCTACATGGCAAGCAGCCTTGTGTGACTTCCCATTCAGCTGCAGGTGAAGTAAACGCCGCCGAGTCACAGTAACTTGATCAGCCACGTCCTACATAGAAGCTAGGGCACAAACAGCCGAAATAACAGCCCATGGAAGGAACAAAAGCCTTCGACACCGCCACAGCTAGCATAGGGCTGTAGATGTATTGGTAGCTTCGACTGTACAGTAGCCTCCAATCGTCAACTTTTGCTCATTCTTAGCGGACAATGCGCAAGCCCGAGGATCAGAAAGGACGTCGAGAGGCAAATATGCGGCTTGTTCTAACCCCTGGGCAGATGAGATGTGTTTGATGTGCCGTCCACAGGTGGCGAGACCAGTTCTTGCTCATGCTACTTTGATCTTTCTTCACGGTACTCGAATGGGCTCTCGAGTAACAGTGCGGGCCGAACTGTCAAATCCAATTACCGCGTGTAGCATTGTCATTGCGATGCGCTCTCGTCTCTGAAATGCCAGCACGTAGTCTGATGAGTGAAAGACCGGTCTGCGACTGGCACACAGCTGCTATGTCCGCTGTGGTGAAGTTGCGGTCGCCAATGGACAACGAGGTAGGCAGCTGATGCGCCCATTAAGCTTATTTCTTAGTCAAGCAAATGCTCAAAAAGCCTCGGTCTATGTGGAAATGCTCCGCCTCAATCACCCGTCAATCCTTCATGACTTTTGGCACCTTCTGCGTAAGCAGTGAGATCTTGCTGGAAGAAATTAACAAATAGTTGTTACAGCGCCATTTCCACAAATCATTTTTGAGGCATTGATGTTGGATAAATGATTTTTCGCCGTGGTTGAGGGGCGGGGAGCTCATTATACCAAGTTTGAACCTGTAGTTGTTCATGGGTACTCCGTATTGTCCAAGCCATGGATCGATTCCAGTACGCTGAGCCTGCCATGTTACCGGACCGTTTCCCCATTCATCGCCTAACTCCTGAATGTCAACCTATCACCAAGCATTCTCCTTCCGACACGAGGAAAGTATCCCGTACCTTGACCCCTGAAGCCCCCCGATCACGAGCTTTTGCCTTTCTTTGATTCGGCAGTTGCGCGTCCGAAAACCAATTCATCACGACCCCAGGCGGCGACAGCGGCAGTCCCGCAGGGCCCGATCAACACCGTGAGCAAGGCGATCTTGACAACGCCAATAATAGTCCAGAGATTTGTTATCTGCTCATGTTTCGCCCCGACCCGTAGTGTCAACGCCCACACAAGGGCAGCAGAGACGCCGACGACAATGTCCCATTGAAGGAACCAGAGCGCGCCGTCGGCCAAAGTCTGGACTTGAGGCTGTCCGAATGGGACGACAGTTACGAAGATCCTGTCGGGCTGTAGTTGTGGAAGGTACTTGGCGCTGAACAACACCGGGAATAGGTAGGCCAGCGATGACAGTCCTAGCACAGCCAGATGAGATCCCGCTGACGACAAGATTGCAAAAGGGTATGCCAGTCGAAGGTAGCGGACTGTTTTCAATCTCTTGTCGCTTTCAGTCAACATGGAGGCTCGTTGATCCAGGTTCAGGGCAAAAATGGTGAGGATGAGTTGGGCCAGGCCTATCCAGATTGACCAACCCTGTTGAATTCCAGTCCAAGTTTGCTTGGTGTCAAATGAAATGACATTTGGTGCCGGTAGACACATCAAGATGGATGGAAGTCCGAACCCAACCAGGATGGTGATCGGAACGAGGGCGATCTTGATTGGCACATCGACGTAGAGTTGGTAATCCTTTGGATCCCTAACTGTGGACGACGTCCAGAGATGATATGCGAACCAAAGGGGCGCAACGCAGGCATACCCTACTATCGCAACACCAATGCCAAACAAGGTTGTGCTAAGGAAAGTCAATGCAAGGAAGTTGACGTTCAAGCGAGGCCTGAACTTACGCAGTAAGAATGAACTTCCCACGGTTGCCATTTCTGAGGCCCTCTATCATGATCAGGACCCAGGATGCAAGGACCTGTCCGCCAAGGTAGAGAAATGACAACGAGACATCGGCTCGGTTTCCATCGATAGCCGTGTAGAAGAAGCTGACCAAGCTTGTCAATTGCTTGTCCAGCGCACCAATGCCCGTGTAGGTCTGTTTCATGGGCGCTGTGGTCGGCCCGGGAATGACAGCGCCCGGCTCCGCTTGATGACCCAAGATTTTGAGCAACCCATTCTGGTATGGAAAGCCCCAAAGCGTCCAGAATCCTGCCACGGACAGCAAGATGAGCACGACCTTGGGCACGGTGAGCGCCATGGTGTTTACGAGCGAGGGTGTGTTACACACGCTGTGCCTAAACAGATATCGTCAGAAAGTTGAGGTGCAAAGAGTCTGAGGTTGAATGAGGATCAGGCTGAAGAAGAGAGAGAAGTTATCTCTCCGGTCTTGCACAGGCTGTTAAATGGCGGCCTGCCTTGCGAGATGGACGTTCGTCCAGCTCTCTCAGCTGGTCGAGTCTCAGCCTCAAGTACGCCAAGAGAGGCTGGCCCTGACGGTGGTCAGATTCAGGGTAGGAGGACTCCAACTATGAGTGGTTGGGCCTGGCACTCGACTGCCTGTTCGGGGCGTGTGCATGACTTCCAAGGCCTGACCCTATGCCCTGCTAGGCGTGATGCACGAGCAATTTAGGCATACGAGGTAGGAGTTCGCACCCAGGTTCGCCTGAGGCGCCACCTACGGTAATGTGTAATCAGCCCAACCTAGCCGCTTACCTAAGCGAGGTCAAAAATTTGCCGAGGCCTTCATTCGAACTTCACTCCAACTTCACTTCCCTGTCGCGCCTTACTGTGGGTTGTCATCCCAAATCTGTTTCATCCAGAGAGCCATTATACAGGTTGGTCTCTTTAGAATTCAGGCTCATTTACAACATGCTCAAAAGGAAACGAGAGGACAGCGCCGGATCGCTCGACAGCGAGGACGAAAATTTGAAATTAAAAGTCTCCAGACTGAAGGCCAAGACAGGCCAGGGTGTGAAGGCTCTGCACGACGCGCTCAAGCTTGCTAGAGGCTTCGAAAGACAGAAACTCGGCCGCCGGCAAAAGTCTGCCAGCGATGCCCCTCAGACGCTGCTGCGCCTACGGGAGGAAGTCATTGTCCTTAAGCAACTGCAACTCGACAAAACAGCCAAGAGCCGACTATTCAAGAACCTCTTCAAAACGAAGCGCATCAGAGAGCACCCGGTCTTCATCAAAGCCTATGGAGTGGAACCTGTGCTGGATAATGTCAAGGCCGGCGCCGAAGCCAATGTAGTAGGCAGGTTGTTCAACTCTAATCCCGTTAAACAGGCACTGCCGGTGATCATGAAGTCGATATATGCTGTTCTTGGTATCCCGCAGGTCACGCCACCCAAGCCTGTAGGAACAGGAAATCCTGCCAGCAAAGCGGCCAAGGAGAAAGCAGAACCCAAGTTGGATAGTGATTTCGATGGCTTCTCCGGCAGTGACATGGAAGACCATGCCGTTCTTGGGGAGGAACAGGGTCTAGGCTCGGATGAAACGGATGAAGAGATGCTTGGATATGCAGGTCGGTTGGCTTCTTCAAGCGAGGACTCGGAGGAAGACAGCATTGGCATCCCATCACTGTCACCACAGAGAACAGGGGTTCAGAGCCACGACGTCGGAGGGTTGGCCGGAAGAGAAAGTCTTTCATTATCGCCGACTCCAAGTGAGGTTTCTGAGCCTGATGATGCAAGGCGGCCTCCTGCGTCGCACCTGCGTCACAAGACTAGCACGACCGCATTTCTCCCGTCTCTCAGCATGGGAGGCTATTATTCTGGATCAGACTCTGAAGACGACGGAGATCAGCACCATGGGCCCGCATTGCCGAAACCACGGAAGAATCGACGTGGCCAACGTGCACGCCAGCAAATCGCCGAGCTCAAGTACGGAGAAAACGCAAAACATCTCGGGAAACAGAAGCCTCAGGACGCGAGAAGTGCGGGCTGGGATGCAAGAAGGGGCGCAGTAGGTCAACACGATTCCCCAAAAGACCGGCTTTGGAAGAGGATGGCCCCTCAAAAACGAACGGAGGGTCGCTCGACCACTCGAATAGGACGGACATTGAATTCCGACAAGCAAAAATCACGAGATGACCAAGGGCCCATTCACCCTTCTTGGGAAGCCGCGAGGAGAAGAAAGATGCAGGATCAGGCACAAGCCTCCTTTCAGGGCAAGAAAATCACATTTGACTGATTTCGGCCTGCAATCCAAGCGCTCCGAAAGAACCTTAGTGTTGTCAATCCGTCAAGGTCGGTTCTGTCGAACAAAGTAGATTGGGGAAAACGCATTACGTTTCGGTATCTGAGCCCAACCTCCTCCGATGCACCACCACCCGCCTCCCAGGCCTTGGATAGCCGAACATAGCAAAGACAGGCTGATTTTCAGTCACGATCGTCTGGCCACGGGGTATGGGCAGTCACCCGATAGACCTTTAATCAGCCTTCTTCGGCGACCCCTCAATCCTTTCCGCTTTCTGAGAGGCTGTCTCGTCCGACAACTCACTAGCTCCTCTCATGGTGTCCATCTCAACAGGCCTTGTCAGGCCCGACACCTCGGTGGGATATCCGTGAGAATCTGTAGGCGTTGACATCGGAAGGGCTGCGGAAGGCTGATAATAAGCTGCAGGATATTGTTGTGCTTGCGTATACGTGGGGGCTTGAGCCATGTGATACTGTTGATATGCCTGTCTCTGTTGCTCGAGTTCTTGTTGAAGGGCAGCCTTTTCGTTGAACCCCTGTTGCAGCAATGTATCCCGGTCTTGCTGGAGGCTGCTGTAGTCGTTTCGCAAGGACTTCCGGCTTCGTAACACCATGAACAGGGCAATGAGGGAAGCGATGAGAGCGGCGCCGAGAATACCACCGACGACACCCCCGACGACGCCGCTGTGGTCCTTTGCTGAGTCTGGCAAAACTACAGTGTGTCAAACAGTCAGATGACCTTGCATCGGTTCTTCTTTGCAACTTACCGGTACTATACGTCGTGTTCACCACCTGATCAGTTCCTGGCAAGAGTATTTGCCCAATGGTTGAGGCGGCCTGGAAAACCTGCGATTCGGTGGTGCAGCAATTGTCCTGGTCAGACTTTAGCATCAGGAGACGTCAAGAGGTCCTGGCCTCGTACCTCATCGCTGCCTGACCGACAGCAGAAAGAGCCATTGTTGGCATCGCACTGAAGAATGTTGAATGAGTATCCAGCTGGCACTGTTTGGCGTTGTTAACGCGATCCCCGACCACCATACGGAAGATGCATACTGAAATTGCATTGCTGCGGACATGCTTTGGCTTTGCCAGTTGGGTCTACGATGGGTCATAAGCCAACGTCCAACAAGTGGGTTGTATAAGCGCACCGGTGCATCCATTTGCCCAAAGATACGTCGAGAACCAGCCCGACGTCGACATACAAAGACCCGAGTCCATGCAGATGTCATTTTGTCCGTCGGTACCATTTAACGCACAGCAAGAGCTGAACTCAGCATCTGGATTACAAGGTTGGAACCGGCCTGGGCACGTTAGCAGTCGCCAGCGGGAAGAATGGTCTTCACCTACTGTCGAGTTCCTGCCCGTCTAGGCTGTAACATGTCTTCTTTGTCTGAGCGGCCAGAGAAGAGGCCGTGAGGAAATACAAGGCTAAGAGGGAGCGGTACAGCATCTTTTGAACGAGGTGTGTGGATAATAGAACGACTGTCGCTGAGGAGGTTTGTCGCTGCGCAGGAACGAATGTATGAATTGGGTGATGAGAGGCTGCTGTCAAACGGGGTTGAGAGGCTTGAATATCAAGGACTTCTAGCCCAGAGCAGCCATTGAATAGACCAGACGGACGCTGTGGGCGCAGATCGGTAGAGAGGAGGATCTAGTTCAGCTACGGAGACCTGGGCCTTTTGGCTAAGCACTGGTACCGTATTTAGGCGCTGTCGACTGTGTCAGGTACTCAATGACCCCGGCAGCGGTTCAGCTCCTGAAGGTCTCCGGCTCTCTGAAGGTCTCCGGCTCTCTGAAGGTCTCCGGCTCTCTGAAGGTCTCCGGCTCTCTGAAGGTGATGGACTAACTATGACCAGGGTCTGCGCAGCCACTGAGTAGCATAGCAAGTCAGCAGCCAACGGTCTCGACAACAACCAGACGATCGGACCGCGAAGGCAGACGCCGTGGTTGGAGTTTAGTCACCATGTTCTATTTCCACCGGATGCTCGTCAGCCCTTTTCTGACAGTCCTCGCATACTGGTGCCAGGACCCGGGAGAATCCTTGAAGGATTGCATGGACGGATTCCGATTCCACCATTCCAGGTTGATGCTCTGTGGCTGTCTGTATCAATGGAGTATTGGACACATGCCGATAGTGGAGTCCCGGGCAATGGTGGCGAGGCTGAATGCTGAATCATACTCCGGATGGACGCCTGAAACGCTGCGAGCCGTGCGAGCCCTACGCCGGCCTTCGTATCTACCAATCATCGTGGCCGCTGTCTATGCTGTGCCGCGTCGGGCGGAATTTCGGCCCCTGCCTGAGATTGTTGCCAGCAAATCGAGCCTTGCACGCTGTGTACCTGCATGCAGCCTCAAACAAAATGGCAAATTTACGCTGCAGGTCCAGGCCGATTTCATCCCGTTTGTATTCCAAATGGTGTCCACAGACGGCTCCCAGATCCATCAACCACCAGCATTGTTCATCCTGCGAATGGGTCAACCGCAGTCCTGCACAGCGGGTCAGTCAGCAAAGCGCTCAGCCCTGGCGTATCTGGGACGCATTAGTCTGTACAGAGTACGGTATTGGTCAAGGCGACTGAATGGCCTCGTCTGTGCCGAGTAGACAGGATGGACCTCCATGATGCGCTTGCAACCGGACAGGCTTGGTATGAGGATCTTCAACAACTCGTCCGTTCCAGGTACAGTAAGTACTCGATTATCCCCTTCCTTAGAACTCCACATCCATGCCATACCGCATTACTGATCCGTCAACGCCGCTCGCACAGGTTGACATCCTTTGCCAAGTTGCATCTGCGAACCTTGGACTTGAAAGTGGTGCCCCATCGGAGTACCGAGTAATCGTTGCCCTGCAATCGAAGACACCGAACCAGAATAGCAACGTTGCTAAGTCATCCTTGACTTGCCACTTGGTTCTCCCCCTTGATATCTTATATACCAGAGATTGACATCCACCATGGGTTGATTGATGCACCAGCCTGCAGTCTCTCGCTAGTCGACCTTCAACGACCCAGTCTTTCCTTTCTGTCCAGTCACTCCTTAACGTCATGCTTTTAACTCAGTACGCTCTTTTCACTTCGCTTCTTGCCGCCACCTCCCAGGCCTGGCTGCCCGGTGAGCACCGACAAATCATCTCCCGCGACGGAGTTGATCTCTTCAACCGAAGCAGCCTGCACGAAGCAGGACTGCTGAGGAAACGATACCTCCCGGACAACTACGGAAACGACAAGAACGCCATCCGAGGCGTCAACTTGGGGTCGCTCTTCATTGTGGAGGACTGGCTGTCGGACGATGTCTTCAAAGGGTTCGGTTGTTCCAACAAGTCGGAGTTTGATTGCGTCTTGTCGATCAACGATCAAGACAAAGCCAACCGTGACTTCCGGGGTCACTGGGGGTCTTGGATCACGAAGGATGACTTCACGGTAGGTCGCGAGCCTCGCACAACGCCAGTTGTCCTTCTGCTAACTCTACCTTCCAGCAAATGGTCTCCTACGGCCTGAACACCGTCCGTATCCCTGTGGGGTACTGGTTCCTCGAAAGCATCGTCGACAAGAGCGAACACTTCCCCAAAGGCGGTGAACATTATCTGGACCAGGTCGTCGGGTGGGCCAAGGACGCTGGCCTGTACGTGATCATCGTCCTCCACGGCGCACCCGGCGCTCAGGCCACAGACGCCTTCACTGGCCAACTCAACCCGACTCCAGGCTTCTACAGCACCTACAACTACGACCGAGCCTACCAGTGGCTCGAGTGGATCACGAACAAAGTCCACACGAACCCAGTATACTCGACCGTCGGCACGCTGGAACTGGTCAACGAGCCGGAACGCAATTCCGACACGGCGAAATATCCCGACGCCAAAGCGAACACGGACAGCATGCGCCAGGTAAGTGAATAATATAAAGTGAAATGGGCGCCGCCTGGCTATGGGGCTGCTGTGCAGTGACCGGTGATCACTAACGTTCAATATCCACTATAATAGACATACTATCCGACTGCGTGGTCGAAGATCCGCGCCAAGGAGTCCTCCCTGAATGTACCATCGGACTCACAGCTTTCGATCATGATGATGGACCAGAAATGGGGCTCCGGCGACCCCAAAGAGTACCTCCCAGACCTGAACCTCGCGGCCTACGACGACCACCAGTACGTCAAGTACGCGGGCGTCGCCGAGGACAAGGACGCGTATCTCCGGTTCTCATGCAACGACGATCGGTCCGGCAACTGGCCTGTCTTCGTGGGCGAGTGGTCCCTCTCTGTCGCGACGGACGTGGAGTGGACGGACGAGTGGAATCCCAACAGGGATGAGAACAAGGACTTTTACCGCAAGTGGTGGGCCGCGCAGGTCATCTCGTACGAGAAGACGGCACAGGGTTGGGTATGTGTATAAGCATAAACTATCCTTACCGGCCACCCACTAAGGTGTCTGAAATTGAGGATCAACAACTAACCAGCCGCACAGGTCTTCTGGACATGGAAAACATCAGGCAGTCTCAACGATCCGCGCTGGGACTACAAGATGGGTGTTGCCGCGGGGTTGATCGGGACGAATATAGACAGTGCTTACAGCATGGGTGCGTGCAGCTAGGAAGTTGTGGGCGGCGGCTCGAGGACAGTTCCAGTTCCCGGCTACTGGATCGGCAATGGCAAAGGCGAAGGCAGTGCAGACGAAACATGGTTTTGTGCCGTTCAGTGCGTCGTGCGAGATAGGTGGCCAGCACTTCTGACGGTGCTGCTCCTCCTTGCCAGTTGATTCGAGGTGGACCAAGGGCGCATGGATGGGTTGTTCGTCTTCCTCTGGTGGTGGACGCCTTCCCTCAGGAGGCGGGAGGCGGGAGGCTTGCGGACGGGGATCGCAGCGCTTCTTGCCAATGTGGAACAATGCATGCATGCATGCTTGCACGCACGTACACATGCCAGCTACAACCCCCGCTATACTATGAAGCAGCCTCGGGCAGTCTTGTCTGATGATCCAGCGCTAAAGAAGGACCAAGGAGGACACCCTCCCTCGACGAGGCTGTTTGATCGGAGCTATGGGCCAAGGAAGCTGGGCGATCCGGATGGGGGAATGAGAGCTGAAGTCGCCGCCCAACCCTGGGTATGGGTTTTGGCTGCATTTGCTGCACGCACCGATGATTGTGAACGAAACGAATGGGAGATGGGCACCAGATGGAGGTGGATACAGAACGAAGCGCTCGAGCACCCGGGCTGAGGGGAAGTGAGTGTAGGGTGGAAGAAAGTCAGGCATCTGGTCGGAGCAGATACTCCAGGTATTGAACGACCGAGCAGGGCCAGTATGTACTCTTTAGATTGAGAGAAGATGAATCCGGCGACTGGGACGATTGAATGATCGAATGGAAGCCACGGATGGTTACCCAAAACAGAGAACCGACTCTCCACCGTTTGTTCCTAGGCAGCCCGGCCCTCATTCTCACCCTCATCCCAAGTCCAAGTCTACCTCTGAAGCGCCCATTCCGCAACCCCCTTCGCGTGCAAAGTCGTCGTCTCGGAACGTCGACACAGTAAAGTCCTCCGCCCTAAAGACGAGTCTGAACTCCGTACACGCCAATACGACACACTCGACGCCCTGCTCGCGGACCAAGCTCGCATACGCGTCATGGAAAGACTGCCTCACATCCCGATCAATCGTCGCCTTACTCAACTCGTTGAAGATCAAGCCGTCGACCCGTTCTCGGGACTCCGCCCCTGGCACAGCAACCTCCAGCCCATACTTCTCGCGCAGTCTCGCGACGTAGAAGTCCTCCTCCATCGCGGCGCGCGTGCCGAGCAGTCCGACCCGTCGGTGTCCGCCCTTGACGACCTCCTCCGCCGTAAAGTCGACGATATGCAGCACCGGCAAGTCTAACTGTGTGACCAGCGCGTCGGCGGCCTTGTGCGCCACGTTGGCGCACAGGGTGATCGCTGGGGCGCCGGCCCGTTTTAGTTCAACGCCGTGGCTCACTAGCATGGCGGTCATGCCCTCGAAGTCTCGCGTGGTGATGAGGCGAGCGATGTCGCTGTAGTCCAGGGAGCGGAGGAGGAGGTTGGCACTGTGAATGCCGCCTAGGCGGGTGGCGACGTGTGTGTTGATGGTTTGGTAGTAAAGGGCCGTGGTCTGCCAGGACATGCCGCCTACGTATTAGGCCGACTAGCCTGGTCGTCATTGTGGGGACAAGGATGGGCATTCCTAGGGGGATCGACATGTAATCTGGTTCCACGGTTCTGGTCTCTCAGAGGGGCTAGCAGTCAGGAACCTGCCACTATGCTTCGAGGGCGTAGGTCTAGGCGATAGAGGCCTGAGTGGCTGCTTTTGAGATTACCCTCACCAACGCTTAAGATATGAGATACATCCGTGGCCCGGAGGGTCCAGGTGTAGAGTACTTGTTCCCGTGTCGTAGAGTGTGCGTGGTTTAGGACAGCTTGGGGGAGTATCTATCTATTTCCTGGCTCCACCCGCCCAGTGTGCTCGATATCGCGGATCTACCTTTGGATGCTCAGCTCCCACAGCCCGGAGTACACGGCGGCTTCATCATGCCAACAGATGTACTCCGTACGAGGAAATAAGAAGAAGAGGAGAGCAAGAAGGCGGTACGGAGTACGGAGTACGGAGTATTCCGTATGAGACCGGTCCTCCACGTCTCAGTGACGGGCCCGGCTTCGGAACAATGACGAGCCGAAGTGCGCATTGACGTCGTCCGGCTTCACGCCCGTCGTTCTCGTCCCGCAAGCACACTGAAACATTGACAGTCTACGAGGACTCTCAGCTTCCGGCTGTCATTTACACTCAAGATTATGCGCAAGTGCTTCAGCACCTGCGCGCGATCTCTGAGCCATGAAAACCCCCTAGTACGTCCTCTCCTGCGCTCCCTCGTCCATGGGCTCAAAGTGTTATTATGTCGATGCTAATCCCGCTCCCGCCAGGGTCTCCCTCGCAAGCCTGCGCCAGGAAGCAAAGGCCCTGCACCGACCATTCCACGGGCCCAACATGGGCTCCCGCAGAAGCGACCTCTTCGCAATGTCGCCCACACCATCGCCGTCTCATCCGCGAAAGGCGGCGTGGGCAAGTCGACGCTGGCCGTGAACCTCGCGCTCTCGCTTTCACGCCACGGCTTGCGGACCGGCATTTTGGACACGGACATCTTCGGCCCTTCGATCCCTACGCTCCTCGGACTCTCGGACGCGGGCGAACCGAAGCTCACGGAGAAGAACATGCTCGTGCCGTTGACGAGCTACGGCCTGAAGAGTATGTCTATGGGGTATCTCTTGCCGAGCGAGTCCGCGCCGGTAGCATGGCGCGGGTTGATGGTGATGAAAGCTCTACAGCAGCTACTTCACGAAGTGGAATGGTCGCCCGGGCTGGACGTGCTGGTTCTGGATTTGCCGCCCGGCACTGGGGATGTGCAGTTGACGATAGGCCAACAGGTGGAATTGGCGGGCGCGGTGGTCGTTTCCACGCCCCAAGATATTGCTCTCAAGGATGCTGTCAAGGGCGTGGAAATGTTTCGCAAGATGAACATTGAGGTCCTGGGCATGGTGCAGAACATGAGTGTCTTTGTCTGTCCCCACTGTCATAAGGAGACTAAGATCTTTGCGCACGATAACAGTCCTAACGGCCTGGGCGGTGCGGAGGCGAAAGCAAAAGAACTGGGTGTCGATTTTCTAGGTGATGTGCCGCTTGATGCGAAGATTTGCGCCGACGCGGACAGGGGCATGCCCACTGTTGTGGCTGAAGAGGCGAGCGGAGTCAGAACCAATACAGGCTACTACGAACGGATCGCGGAGAAGGTGGCAAAGAAAGTCGGCTTGAATTGGATGTGAGAAGTCCTGGAGGGTTTAGTATCCGAGGTCAAGCAAGGCAATGTTCGCTAGAAGGTCCAAGCTGGCAGAGGATACCCATCTACTGGCAGCGACAACAGACCGCTTGTGCTTTGTTTCTGAGCCTCAAGTCACTCGCATGTGTCCGGAGTTGCTGGAATAAAGCAACGAGACAATTGGATTACTAAAGCAACGAGACAATTGGATTAGATCAGCACCAGGTATCACTCGTGCGCCGCATCGGATATCGCTGTAACTTTGTGTCTGAGAACTTATCAAGGTCGTCATGAGCTAGAGTCGATATCTGGGTTCTCATTGTCCAAGTACATCTCAGCAGTGTCGTCGTGTACCTGGAAGCCACCGAGCTCGGATCTATGTCCAAAAGCGCTTGAGCGCGGCTGCAGATGGCCGTCCTGCTCATCGTCGTTCGCACTGCTGGGCGTTTTCACAACCTTCCCAGGCATGACCTCAACGTCGTGGTCGAGTCACTCTTGCCATATCCCATCTTAAACTGCCGACGGGACGAATATCCCCGCCTTATAAAATTGCGAGTCGCAAACTATACCGGTTTGATACCTACGGTGCACGCTTATGTTGTGAGTGATGGTCGCTGCAGGAGCTTGTACTTGGCTTGCGTCTGAATCTGCGCTCTAGATTGGTGGTTGTCGTCTGAATGATATGGTCAGCAATGACGCCCAACTGCCTCGACTCGGTCGGCGTTTGGAAAGTGTCACAGTCCTCATATCCGCGGGCGTGTCGGGTGTCGTGACATCGATACTCCTTTCGCTGTCTTGGTGGCGGTGGATGCTGTTGCTGCGGTTGGCGCTCGAGATGTTGGTGCTCGTCGTGTTGGCGGCAACGGCGGAGTCTTCGTCGCTGCCGCTGACAGTTGGGTAGGAGTACTACGAGCATCTGTTGCTGCGCTTGAAGCACCGCTGCTTGCTGGCTCCCCAAGTTTTCGAAGCTGGCTCTCCGTTGGGTTTGTGCTGACCTTTACTGGGTCAATACTGGGTAGCGTCCCAGTGACGGCTGGCTCTGCAGCCACCTCGCTGGATTGCTCTCGACCTTCTCCCCGTTCTATGCTGTGACCACGGCCATCGGCTTCGTTTTTCTTCCTCCTCTCCCTCTCCTTTTTCTGGACCTTCTTCTCACGGTTTCGCCGCGTGCGTTTCTCTCGCTCCATTTCATCCGTCGCTTTCGCTTGATTGCCGAGTTCTTTCCGCAAAGCGAGTCGCCGACGGACGAGAATCCGTCGTTTCTTAGATGGTCTTGTCCTCACCCGGGCTCTCTGTTGCGCAGAACTTTTGCGCTGGCTAGTCGTCGAGTCCACCTGCTCTAACGGACGTTGTACTCCGGAACCAGACTGCTTATTGAGCAATTCGACTTGAATTACTCGCCATGGAAGTGCCGTCCCGGGCCAACAGGTTGACTCCGCCCGCGAAATGACGTCTGTGGTAGACATTGCAACAGCCGCAAATTCGCCCTTTAGCTGCTGAATGGTAGCTTCGGGGAGTGCTGCGGTGAAATAATGACTCTCTGGGCGGTTGGGGCGGATAAAATGCGCTTTGTCCAGCGATAGGGCGTCCGCGAGAGCAACAGGCTCTGGCGTCGCCGACAGTCTGACCGTTGCATCGGCTGTAGCTGGCTTGGGCTGTTGGTGCTGCGCCCTAGAGCTCGTTCCTGGCGCGAAAAGACGGAATTGATACTCTGGCTCCTCGGCATCGGTAACTGGAAGCGGCTCGTCTGGAAATCGAGGAGCCTCCACGTCCGCCAAGGTGGGCGTCACGAAGTCATATTCGAAGCCATACGATACCTCTATGTTATCACTTGGTGGTTCGCCTGGTGAAGCGGATCTTGACGAAGCGCGCGACCCGTGCGAGTCGTCATCTTCGTGGAAGAGACGGGATCGTTTGACCCTTGGCGAGGTCAGTTATTCGTTTCGCCGTCAACCTGCATAGCTTACCTCTTCGCGTCGGGCACGGCAAACATCTTGCATATGGGAAGCCTCCTGCCCTCCGAGTTCTAGATTTTCGAGGCGGAAGGACTTACATCGGCCTTAAAGCCAGGTGAAGGACTTTCAGACACGAACCATTTCTAGAGACGAGTTTCGGGGGATGGCGCAATTCGCTCCTCGACTTCGGTCAAATTTTGTTCCGGGATGGAGACATTGGAAGTGATATCAAGGTCGACGCCCTAGCCGGAAAATAAAATAAAATTTTGCAAGTATAGCAGAAGGTGAATGAGAATGACGGACACTGAGGCTAGAGAATACTAGAGTCTCCAGCACCTGTGAAGCACGCATCACTAGTTGACCGGCGCAATCAAAAGAGTAAAGTATCAAGTTATCCGGTTCGTCGTGCGTCTCTGATCCCATCTCACGCTTATCGCTCGTAGCCATGAATATTTCCTCAAGGTGAACACATTTCTAACATATCCTGCCCTTTCAGAGCCGCTGTCGCAGACATGGCGGAGGTCAAGATCCAAGAGGAAAACATCCCCGACACATATCCAGGTCTGGCTTCTCCTTCATTTCTTCGTATTGCTCACCACGTTGATGGTACACACCATCACCCCTCAAGAACCCCCATCTCTTCCTTCTACCACTCAGCCTTCCTTGCACCCTCTTACTCGTTCGAAACCAGCCCACCTCGCACACCCACCACCGCTAACATCCTCACCCTAGCTCCCGTCCACATCGGCGTCATAGGCGGCACGGGCCTCGAACACCTCCCGGACTTCCACAAAGCCGCCGTCCTCGACGTGACAACACCCTACGGCACGCCCTCCTCCCCGATCACCATCCTCGAACACCCGTCCCCCTCGACGGGACGACCCATCCCAATCGCCTTCCTGGCGCGGCACGGTCCCCACCATGCCCTCGCGCCGCACGAGGTCCCTTCGCGCGCCAACATCGCGGCCCTCCGCCACATTGGCGTGCGGTGCATCATTGCCTTCAGCGCCGCCGGGTCGCTGGCCGAGGAGGTGAAACCGCGCGATTTCGTTGTGCCGGACCAGGTCATCGATCGGACGAAGGGCGTGCGGCCGTGGACGTTCTTCGAGGGCGGCGTCGTGTGTCATGTCCCGTTTGCGGATCCGTTTGATCGGCAAGTTGGCGATGTCGTCAGGCGGTGTGGACATAGTCTCGAGGGCGAGGGCGTCGTGTTGCATGATAAGGGGACTGTGATTGTCATGGGTGAGTGAACCAACCAGTGAGTCAGTGAGTTAGTGGCGAGTCGGTCTCTGTTGTTTTTTGTTTTTGCGTTGTGCGTGGCCGTGTGGCTGGCTTCAGCCGTGTCTTTTCAAGGCGCTGAAGCGGAGTGGAGCGGAGTGGCAATGTGGTCGAGGTACCTACGAGTTCAAGATCCAGTCCCACAACATTGGGATAGCTGGATGATCGGAGGTGGAGTCGTCTTGCTGGAGAGCTCTGCGACAGATTCGTGTCGAGTGTCGACTCGGCGCCGCAGTCCATGCTTGCGAGAATGAGTGGCGTGCCCAAAACGCGAAGATGCGTTGATTGCACAATCTGCATTGCGTTGCGTTGCTCCGCTTCTCTATATGCTATACTATGCTATGCTTGCTGCTCTACGCTGAATTGGACTAACTCGATCACGAACAGAGGGACCACAGTTCAGCACGCGGGCCGAGTCGAATCTATACCGCAGCTGGGGCGGCACCGTCATCAATATGTCGACATTGCCAGAGGCCAAGCTTGCTGCCGAGGCCGAGATCGCGTACCAGGTTATCCTGATGAGTACAGATTACGATGTACGTATGCCTTTCCCTGCTTCTGAGTCTGCCTTTCTGCCTACCCAGCATGTCTCCAACACACGTGCCCTGCTCTTTGACACGCACACCCACCTACCTACCTGCTTCCTGACCCGGTGATTACAGTGCTGGCATGACGCAAACGAGGACGTGTCGGTGGAGATGGTCATGGGCCACATGCGCGCCAACGCCGTCAACGCCCGGCGCTTCATCGCCGCCGTGCTCGACGAGCTCTCCAAGGAGGAACATCTCGACCTGGTGGAAGCGAAGCATCTTGCCGGTGGCAGGAAGTTTGGCGTGAGTACGTATCCTGCGGGACGGGACGAGAAGGCGCTCGAGAAGTTGAGGTGGCTGTTTGAAGGGTATTTCTGAGGATTGTGAAGGGTTCGAACTCGGGCAGCCGTGTCGTTTTGCGTGACCATTTAACCATCACGCTACACGGCGAGTAACGTGAAATATGCGAATGGGACATACGACATGCGAAACGAGAGAATAACGGACAGGGCCCGACATAGAAAGAAGGGGAAGGCGTGGTGGCCTTACACCGGCTTGACTTCAACGTCAAACTGCGGTAGAGGAGACCAGGCAAGACATACCGTGGCTGTAGACATATATCCTATGAGTGCAGGAGAAGGGTCCTCTCAGTACTCCTAATCATAGTCACGAGCAAAACTCTCCAACAAATGCCACCTGGAGCGAAATGCTGGCGTTTTGTAACTTTCTCGAAGATCAGCATCCGAGCACACGTTCCTCGTGCACGGGCAGGCAGTATCCGTACCTACTTTATTGCAGACATGCGATGACGAACACCAATGTCGATCGGCGGCGATGAGCTTTGAATAAGGTTCGCTGGGAAATTAAAATACGTGCTCGCCGAAGGAACATCCCATACTGTCTTGCTGATCGCTACTTTGCGAGAAGATCCTGCAAACCTTGTCTTGACGTCGATAGCACGTTCCAGATGCCAAGCAGGTCAAGCACGTCCCATTGTATCCATCGCACAATGCCGGTGGAAATTCCAACCATTTTAACTTGAGATTCACAATGTCAGCGGTGGAATGTCTCATCTCGTCCGGAGTACTCCGCACGGATGCCATGAAGCCAGAGGAATCACGGAACGGAAGATCCATCTTCCGTAAGCCAGGAGTATACACTCATCGTCATTGGTCCTAGGAGGAACAGGGACCCGTCACGTGAGCTGGCGCTTTCCGCGCGTCTTTTGTTGACATTCCATCTTGGCAGACACGTCTCCCCCACTAAGGTTCAACACCATTGACAAAGATCTGAACCGAGTCAGAACCTTGAGGCATGACTTGGATGTTGAAATCTGCTCATCCGAGAATGACGCTGCTGTGACACTCGACAGTCACTTGAGCACTGACGTACAGAGGAGAGTTTGCTTCTGGTTTTGCAATAACGCCGGTGTTGAACAGCCAAGTTGACTTCGCTATGGAGCTTGCCCATGAAGTCTCACCAGGAGATCCCCCGGATTCAGCTGTGTCGCACTGAGCGGGGAAAGGCCTGTCATCTCGGCATTCAAGCAAGGCTGTTCATTCTGCCCCGCTGTCAGCATATAGGAACAGATGGCTGCGTCACCATAGCACGAAAGTGGCGGCTATCTCTCTGTTTTGGTTTACTGCGCCTCGATCGCGATTGAAAGTGAGAGAGAAGCCTCAATAGCCGAATGTAGATATAGAAATCAAGGAAACGCGGGACTCAAAATGATTAAGTGACGTAGGGGTGACCATAGTTTAGTAGGTTGGTCGATGTCGGCGTCGCCCAGATGGTCACGATGGTTCGCATTCCTGCTTGAACTGTTCAATATCGGCTGGCGGCGATTACAGTATGTGGGGGATCGGTAGTTGAGCGCCGCAACCGAGAGCAACCATGATTAGTGTGAAACAAGCTGCCGCACAAATCTAGCGTAATAATTGATAGCATGTGCTTCCTGTGCTTGTGTACGCAGGAGACACAGTCTGAGGTGAGACGAGCCTTGGCGAGGTACTGTGTAATCAACAACATTGGAAGTCACCCCTCAAAGGATTCCACATCAGACGCTGAAGGCCAGTCCGTGAGCGTTAAGAGAAGAGAGCTCTCGGTCTCATTCGTACGGTGTCCCCGTGGGTACAGCCACAAGCGAGAGGATGAAGCAACTAAAGACTGAAGCCATGCTCTATCGGATAAGGCATGGGTGGCCTTGGATCATCGATTGATAAGAGTTGTTGATGGCGCAATCCAATGTTGAGCTGAGGTCTGAAGACCATGTCCTTCTGTTTGCACCACGTGAGATCTCAAGACGACCTCAGTTCGCTTGTTTTGGGCCTCCCACCCAGAGAGATATGCGTAGAATTTAATCACATGCATGATCAGCGGGCTGAGTGACCTGAGATTCACGAATACTGCCATAGTGACATCTAGGCCTTCGCTTCTTCCTCGTGTTGCTCTGTGCTTTCTCGTAGGACAGACCATTCTTTGACCCAAAAATATGGCAGTCATGGCACAGTGATTTCCGCACGCGCCCGTCTGGCCCAAGCGGTCTTACGGCTTGTAGAGGTTTTCATTGCAAATGACATCAGGAACACAACCAGAGCACCAGAGCACAGCTTCCATCAACGCGCAGGACTGTAAGCTGCAAACTCGTGATAGGTTGGTGCAGTCGGTTATTGCACAGGGCAACCTCGCGTCATGCGGCGCGAGGCTTGCAGGATGCGCGCAAGTCTCTTTAGCCTTACTAATTGAGGGCTAGCTCAGAGAGAAGAGGTTTCGCGCCCGGATGGAGAATTCGGGTACAAATTGACAGAAGTGACAGTGGCTGAAAGAGGTTCTCGAAGCGCCAGAGAAAAGCGACGCCAAAACAAGGCCAAACACTCGCATCGAGATCTATACACAGTTTGAGTGAATCGGAGCGTGATCAGCCGGCGAGAGGATGGGAGCACGATTATGACATCAAGACGGAACACGGCAATATCGCAAAACACAGGATTCACGGCCTAAGTGGCTGCCTCAAGACGCGAAACCTGGAACGAACTTGCAGTTGAAGCCACGGCGGCCAGCGAGCGGAGCAGTTCGTAAAAGGTTGAACTCTATTCACCTGGCGTCCTTGGGTCGGAGTGTTGCGAAGCTCGATCAGGCACGGCGGCTTTGTCACTGGCAGGCCTGGGTGTGGGGTCTGAAGCTTAGAGCTTAAGCAACCCTAAGGTCGAGGAATGGACATCGCCGTCCGGGCTTCGGGGCGGGCAATGCGCCTGGGCTCTGGACTTGCTCTTGGGCTTCACTGAGCTTTCTCTCATGATTCTTCGCTGTGGTCTCGGTGACATGGGCGTTCTCGAACGGCAACAATCATCCTTGGATAAATCAAGGGCATAGATACATAGATGCAGTAGAGCAGATCAGCCGAAGCCGCAGCGGCTGTCAATGCCAATGCCAATGCCAGTGCCGCCACAGCTGTGCGGCTGTTCTCTGCCAACCACTATTCTGGATTCATAGGCGGGCCCGCAGTAGCGGTCTCTAGGTTCTTTCTGGGGCCCTTGGGTACGCTGCAAGTCTGTGCCTTGCATGCAGCGTGCAACGCCCGAGGGCTCCAGCGGGCTGCATCTCCCACTTCTCCAACATCAATGCTGCCCAGCAACAACAGCGACTACCACGCACCAGTCTTAAAACTCTTCTTTCCCCTCCTTCTTCAGGCCACCGAGCTCCAGGTCGAAGCTTCTTCTCAGCCCAGCTGTCTCCTGTCAGTGAGAGAAGCAGAAGCTTATTGCTCGGTGTTCCATTGACAGTCACCTACGCCTCCCTCGTGACTGACATATGAGAAGCCGGCTTCACACACGTCCTCCGCCAGCCGTCCCTTGCAGTCCGACATCCAACAGTATGGCTGCTTAGAAGAGCATAATATCGAGCTCTCCAAGGGTCACTGTCAATTCAGTTCTGGTCTGAATTCCTTGTCACCCCATCAAGTTTCGGCACTCGACGTTGTACAACCGACTTATCGGACGGGATCCCAACGAGTTCGACCGCCTGTGGTGCCGTTACCGTGCAGTAGTGAGAAGAGACGAACAAAGGAAAAGCAGCTGAGGATCTATCTTACCATTATCACAACATGATTGAAGCTTCATCACCATTGGCGGCCATGCAGCCTCCAGCATTCATGGGCCATTGCGGAGGCTTCAGAGCAGATGCTCCTCCATCATATGCTTCGTTTGCGGCTGCCAAATCATTTGGTACGAACAGCTTCAACTTCAGAGACCTGTCAATGAAGAAGTCACAACCGGATTATTTCAGCCTCAAGCCTGTTCGAGGGTCGTCACCCACAGCGAGCCTGGCTGCGGACCTTTCACAAAACTTCCATATAGATCAGAGGTTTGCATGCACCCTGGTGGAAGGAAGCCGTCGTACCCAATGCTAACCTGTACTTAGTCCGCAACTACCTACGCCCCGAAGATCCCTCTTTCCCAATGGCTTGTTCGCGCAGGAAGGTCACAGTGAGTGGTTTTTGATAGACAAGACGGGTTACCTCGATTAATGTTTGCAAAGGAAACCTGACGACCCCCCCAATCCCGTCCTCCTCCCCCGGGACGAACGATTGTATGGACATGGACCTGGATATATCTCCTCTGCCACACAAAATGCCTTTCTGCACAGTGTCAATACAATTGCAGTCACCTTCACCAGACCTGACTCCGACCGATAGGATGTCAATACCCTCACCGGCTCCGGCTGATTCTCCTACCGCCTTTCCGGAGCTGAACCTCCCTCAAGAGAGACGAAAACCAGGATTTCTACGGCCTTCATTAGCTAAAGCTAAGGGCTTTAGTACTGGCACCTTGCCGCAACGGCCTGCCCTCGAAAGCCAGCTACCACCCTTCCGATTTGGCAATGGCAACTTCTCGAGCAAACCTGCGACCTCATCTTCGCTTTCTCTCTCGGAAATCTTCGAAAGCTCTCCTGTCCAGGACAAAACTGCTGCACGACTGTCGGCTCCTGTATTTGCTCCTCCACGCTCTCGCCCGGCCCTGGCTGCCACTGGCCAATCGTCTCGCAATGGATCCCCCTCATCCAACCACATGAGGAAGTCGTCTAACCCTCTGGTGAGACCTCGCAAGCAGTTCCGACGATCTTTGAGCATGTTTGAGCATCCCGAAGAAGTGATGAGGCAAGAAAAAGACCGTCTAAGCCCGCCTCCTCCATTATTACCTTCTATTATGGACGTCGAAGCTCCACATGTCCCTCAATTGCCCCACTTCAACCTGGAAGGTGAAACGGGCTGCCTTCCTCGGATATCGAAAGAGACAATGGTCTCAGTGCTAGATGGGGAATTCGACCACTTGTACGAGAAGCGTGTCGTCATTGACTGCAGATTCGAATACGAGTATGATGGCGGCCACATCGAAGGAGCTGTAAACTTCAACGACAAGGAGAAGCTTGCAGCTCAACTCTTCGAGATTGAGCCGACCCCGAAGGCGCTGCTCATCTTCCACTGTGAATACTCTGCCCACCGCGCCCCTCTTATGGCCAAGTACATACGCAACAAAGATCGCACTGTCAATGCGGATTGCTACCCAGCATTGACATACCCAGAAGCCTACATATTAGACGGCGGGTATAGCAACTTCTTCAAGGACTATCGGTTGAGGTGCTATCCTCAGAATTACGTCGAGATGCACGCAAAGGAGCATGCTCTCGACTGCGAACGAGGTCTCGGAAAGGTGAAACAAAGAGTCAAGCTTGCTCGAGCTCAGACATTCGCCTTCGGCCAACATTCACCTCTCGATTCAAGCCCTACCGCCATGGGTCGAAGAACCTTGGATAGCGACATGGATCTCGACATGGGCCTGGAATATACCCCTGTTGCTGGGCCGAAAACTGGTCTCGACGCCCTCCGCCGCAACCACCGAATGCTGTCCTATTAGCGGCTTCGCCCTTTTCTTATCTTTCCAAGCATCACTGCGTTTTAGCCTGGCGTCCGGAGGGGTCTTTCGCCTATCTTCATGGATCATTTTGGGCGTTACGATAGCGATGCGGACTTGGGCTCTTTCGAGCAATACCCTGGAATTGACGCTTCTTGTGCATCCATGATTGAGCTATACCAACAATTGGGCATGGCTCTGGTGGCAGCGTTGGAGGCACTTTCTACTTTTGATACCACCGATCTTTGGCATTCAAGCTTGTAAGATCGTGAGACCACCACATGTATTGGTCACACACATACCGACCCGTTTCCCTTTTACCAGCGGACTTTCGTCTGGTCCTCGATGCAAGGGGGTTAATAGCCCCATCGCGAGGACCGTCAATGCAAGACAAAGTCCAAACCAAATTCACACCAACTCAGAGCAAGCACGCGAACCTTTTTCACCATTGTTGATCTCTCGTTTCAGCAAGCTCTCGCTTTTTGATGTTCACTTCAATGAGACATTTCCTGGATGCTGTCTTCTTTCCACTACGAAGTCCCTGCCGCGTCTATGGGTCTAGGCTTGGTGGTCGTCTGCATCGGGGGCTACCTGTCAAGCAAGGGCATTTAGATTGGAGGACGGGACATGGGGAAGGAATTCAGGGTGGCTTAACCGCGATGGCGTGGTGTGCCAGCGGTCATTCTTCACTTCTTGTGCATACCTTTATAGCATCTGGCGTTGCACGTGAGAATCAATCAAAAGGAGCAAGCATCGAGAAAGGTGGCTCGCCAAAATCCTCTTCACTGTACAGAGAGCATAGTGAGCGTCTAAGCCAAGCGAATTGAGATGAATAGGGTCACCGTCTCTAAATTTTAAACCTCTGCCCTCGACTTATGCCCAACTCTGAGCGAATACAAAGCCACCTTCGGACACATCTGTGATACATACACATCTCGCTGTACTGTCCGTACCCGCGTGAGCTTTACTTCCTGCGGAGCTCTTTTCTCGTCGTTCGCGCCAATCGAGCCACCTGTCTTAGTCCGCTTGTGCTGGAGTCCACCACAACCCAACACTGCGCATTGGAGGGTCCCTAGTTACGCAGCATTCTGATCCCTCTGTACCGACCCTTGACCAGTTGTGCAGGACAATGCGTTCGGTCAAGATGCCGCTCGTACAGTACCGTACCACCTGTCTCGCTCTGAGGGAATAACACCTATCAGTCTGCGAAAGGGTCACTGTACATGTACCGACATGGCAGAGTGAGACAAATTGTGGACTTCAAGCTTGAACAGGTTGGACTCGGTGTTCATGTTCATGATCATTGCTTCTTGTTCCAAAATCTAAACTGAACACCTCTTTCAAACAGCGAATACAGCACAATGCAGATGAGCGTGCTGACAGGACAAACATGCTCTGAGTCATGCAACTCAGGGTGTGGCTGTGCAGCAGGCACGTGCGAAAGTGCTTCCATGTCCCCATCAAATTACTCCTTCGTTTGTTCCCTGGTCAGATCCCATTATGGCCACTTCTCTGTTCTCACTTTTGCCTTCTAAGAGTTAGCCGTGGTTGAATAGTTGTTCTGCTTCGTCGTCCGTTGCATTCTCCTTCGCTGGTGGCACGAGATCCCTTGTCACACGACCTTCCAGAATTGCCCCTTCCCACAGCGAACTTATATTCTTGACCAGATCCACAAACTCTTCCTTCAGTATTAATTCACAAAAGTAACTCCGCAACGCGGCTAGTCGGGTCGGAGGTGGAAGTTTGTGCCACGCTTCGAGCCGAGAGTCAGCATTTAAAAGGTCGAAATTCTGGTCGTGGACCATGCATTGCTCTGCCACGGGCAGTAACGGGTCGCTCAACGCAGCAGGTACAGTGACTGGCGGCAGGTCTTGGCTGATGTTTCGTCCTCGACGTGGCTCCCTCGTTTCGAGGGGAGTGGCATGTGCTTGCATGATAGGTGATGCAGGTGTCGCAGGGTCGCCAATGATCTGATCCGCGGGCGTGCATGGTGGCAGTGCACCTTTGGAGGCGGCAATATCTGTCGCCCGCGCTTGCTTGGTTATGACACTCGGTCGGACGCATGCAAGCGACCGCGAAGCAGATCGGGTTACGCGGCTGCTCACGACTTCGCCCAGCTCGGGACTCGCGCCTTCGCAATTATGGGCTCCGTGCTCTGATTCTGGTATCTCTGTACTCCGTCTGTTCGTTCGGCTGCCTTCATGCGGAGGGACGGCCTCTCGCGCACAAGGCATACTTCGAGAGGTAGTAGCGGACTCATATGGAAGCAGGCTGTATCCTGGCTGTTGAAGTAATTCTTCAACTGTCGGTACCGGTGACTTCTTTGCAGCCGGCTTCCCCTTCCTCGTGGAAACAGCGGCTGCTCGTGGCTTTTTAGATGCCGGTGCCTTCTTCGCGTTGCTGGGTGCGCCTCTTTTACCCCTAGCCTTTCCGTTGGTCTTTGTCGGAGGCTCCGGCTTGGCTTGGCCAGCTTCCTGTAAGTGTCTGTTCTCCTGGCAATGCTGAGATATCGACGTATTGCTTCTAGTTGTACGCAACGTGTCAGGATGATTAGATTCCCCTTGATACATTGGCCGGACCGGAGTTTTCTGCCTATTGCGAGGAAGGTCGTGAGTCACTTCCTGACGAGGCATCGCAATGTGGGAAGGCTGCGCCGTTACGAAATCCCCATGTTGCCTTTCAGCCTCAGGGATGCTTTCTCTTTGGTGCAAGGCGCCTTTCAAATCCCGAATACTAGATTGTACCGGGTAGGATCTGAATTCCTGCTTTCCAGGGACAAGAGTCGTGGCTGTACTCAATGAAATATTTGATTTTGGATAGGCTGGGCGGGGTCCTGTTCGGAGACCTGTCTGCATCGGGCTGATAGCCGAAGGTTGTCCCATTACCCGATGTTCTCCACGGTTCGCGAACGCTGAGAATATCTGGGGAGGTGGCATCGCGGAAGGCGCCACTGGAGCTAGCCGAGAGCCTGAGATGGAGGACGCGCCGTCGTTGATAACGTATGTTCTGGGACCACCAGTGTCCCCATCGACCTGAGAAGCCGATTCATCAGGTGCGACGAGACTGACCGAAGGCGCCTTCGGAGCTGGCTGAGGTTTGACGCTGGGAAAGGTGCCGGCTTCAACGGTGGGTACATTAGCGCGGGCCAGCATTTTCATGGCGTCGTAATAGTCTTCGTTCTTGCTAAAGCGGATCTGGAAACGGCGGATCTAAAAGATAGTGAGCCAGGAAGGCTTCAGTAGGGGTCACTGTCACCTGTCCATTGTCCAGCGGATATTTGATAGCAATCATCGGGACTTTGACAATAACAGCGACAATGGGAATATTAGCAGATGAGACAGCCGGTGCTTGAGCCAGAACACGGTTAGCTTCGACGGAAAGAGCGTTGAGATCGAGTTCTTCCTGTAGCTCAATAAGTAGTGAACGGTGTGAAAGGACAGTCTTTCAGCAGCTCAAATACCATGACCTCTGGATCCTTCAAGACCTTGAATTTCTGTCTGTCCTCTGTGCGGCCATCCTCGAGCTGAACGGGGCTGGTTTCGAAGATGGCAAAAAGAGCATTCTTGCTGGACAGATGGATCCATGGTATGGGAACAATATTGTCATTGGAAACAGTAGCATAGGAAAACTTGAGCAACGGAAGACACAAAGGAGACGACTGGGAAAGCGGTTGAGAGCCTTGAGAAGGCATAGCGGCCAGTTGGACAATGAAGATACAACGCCGCCTTGACTCACAGACAGCTTTCTGCAATGGCTCTGAAGCATTGGCGCTGCTAATAGTACAGATACTGCATGGTGAGAGACCAATGAGACAAGGATGAGGAGGTAAAATGCAGTCGCGTACCCAGAAGCTTAGCATGAATGCTAGCGAGGGACGCGGCCAGTCGGAGAACGTGATCCGCACGGAACCAGCCGGTCAAGCAGGAGCCAACCCACCGTCAGCTGCAAGGGTAAAGAAGCTGCGCACGCTGCGTTTGACGGTTGTGTCTCTGAACACCTGAATCGCTTGCACATCGTCGCGCCCGGACTCTTCTTCCCTCATCGCTGCTGCCGAGTGGCATCCTCCTGTTTGCAAACGTAGCGCAGTGCCTGGCCCGGAATGCGTTCCACCGACGGAAGAAGCATCGCTCGGTAATCGTTCGAACAGGTGTGACACAACGGAGGAGACAGAATGGCAGAGCCACCCCGGAAGATAATAGAGGATGAGGAGGAATTCATGAACGATGTGGCAGCCTTCCACGAGAAGCGAGGGTATGTTGAAACCAGCCACGCGAGGAGGCCTTTGCGACAGGCTGCTGACAGTTAATTCTGTGTTCAAGGACAACCTTCGACCGTGATGCCAAAGTCAGTGGCCGGCCTATCTCCTTGCACAAGCTGTACAAAGTGGTCATGGAAAGAGGTGGTTACGATGTTGTGTCGGCAGAGCGCATGCAGTGGAGGAGTCTCGTCTCAAAATTCGGGTTCGGCAAAACTCACGAGGCTGTCATGACATTTCAACTCAAAACCGTTTATTACAAGACTCTCGCGTGCGTGTCACCCACAGTTCACTTCACGTTCACGCCCACATACCCTCTACTGACACTTTTCATTCTTCCTTCAGTGCGTACGAGATTGCGACGTACTGGGGAGAAGAGCCGCCGCCAAAAGAAATTCTTGAAGACGTTAGCGCCAGAGGAGGCGATCTCCGCAAACGAACCGTTGACAATTACGCGGTTGGCAACCTGCGCGCGACTATTGACGGCGCCATGGGTGACGGAGCAGGCGAGTCGCAAGGGGAAGAGCAGCTGACACCAAAGAGGGAGAAGATGGAATCTGAAGAGCCCGGCAGTGCAAGCAGATACCCTACCCGTACGTTTCGTGCCGCTCAAGATGGTGTGATCCTTGTTGACGTGATGATACAGGCCAGTTGAGACAGGACCCGAAGCGCACGCAGATATTCCAACCAGACACTGCGCCCTCACGCACCCGTAATGTGCGCGCAACAGACTCTCCCTCAGTGCCAGCAGCCCAACCCATCTACACCAGCGCGTCAGTCGACCCTCGCAGTTCAGGGTTTGACTGGTTTGACAAGTACGAGCCACGACAGCCCGTCGCCCTCACGCTGCGACAAGTCCAAACTCCCGGCAATGATCCCCTCTACTACCCCCGCAAGGCGCAGGCCAAAGCGATGGCGACGCCTAGAGTTCCCCCAGAACCACAGCAGTTGCTCAAACAAGCCATACCAGCTGGCATGACGGGCCCAAATATCTATCTCCGGTGTCTCTATGGCTTACGATCGGGAGTCCAAGAAGAGCAGGACTTTGCCCTACATCACTTGGTCAAGGTGTCGTACGAGCGAGGTGACAAGTACAAATTTGAAGGCTTCCCTTTCCTGGCCGAGTCACTGCTCGAAAAGGCGCTGGAGATCACACAGCTCATCTACGGCGTCAAATGGGAGATCTCGTACGATGAAGACGAAGAGGGCCAGCCCTTGAACACCCTGAATGCCGCCTTCGGTACATCGGATTTACTTGAACGTATCCGTACTGCGACCCCGAAAGTCACTGACCAGGAGCTCGAGATGGCCGACTTCTCGACGAGGTTGGAGAAGCTAAAGGAAGCTGTCCTGGTCCTGCGCAATATGGTCATATTGGAAGAGAATGCACTCTTCATTTCCAAATTCGCCTTGTTCAAGGACTTCCTGACCATTGCCGCCTCTCTACCCCATCAATCAAGGATTGCAGAGTACAAGCAATCGGCGCTCGAAATAGCAGAACAAGTCACTCGATACTGGTCGCTGAAGCCGAGAGACCCCTTGTATCTTTCACTGCTTCCCTACCTGGAGTCCGATGACCGCAGCATGATGATCTCGGCGATGCGATCCATCAATAGAATTGCTATGGACACTCCCGACGTACATCGCTTGACTGATGTGCCGCTCTCAACCATCGAGCGGCTGTTTTCATTGACTCTCCTTGACGATAACGAACTTCTGGAAGCTACCCTCGGCTTCCTTTACGCATACACCGCCATTCCAGAAAACAACACAGAACTCCTATCCAATGTGTTCCACCTCCTGCCCAACTTGATCACACGACTCACTAGCCTGCTACTCTACCAATCAATCAAGCAGGAAGAAAAGGTGCTGTCTCAGCCGACTCCGAGGTCGCAAACTGCTCCCGCCAGCATTCCGATCGTTCCCCCGGAAGTGCATGCACATCTGATGCAATTTGTCGAGCCTGAACGCTCATCGAGATGGCTACGCTGTTGTTTCGAAGAGTCGCTGCTTGACGACATCACCCAGATCGCCATATGGCAAGCATATCAGGGCAAGTTTGCACAGAACAATCCCATCCCCGCAGCTGAGTTCATCAAGAACGTGTCAAACACCTTTGCAGCCGCTCAGGCGCAAGTCATCAATGGGACTACGCCAAGATTCATCATCAAGGGCATCAAACCACGCAGAGTAGCGGTTGATGTGCAAGGCCGACCTCTGTTCAGATGCTTGTGGGACATGACTCAGCCGAATGCCCAGGATCCAAGTGGCCGTGTCAATTCCCGAAATATCTGCCCCAATTGGTCAACCAAGCGCGAGAGACTGTGGGAGCACATCATGACCGAGCATCTGAAGATAGAAAAGACGCCGGATGGACGGTTGCACCCCAAGCCTTCGGAGGAGTGGATCTGCCGCTGGACGCACTGCATGCGGCAATCACCTCTTACCAAGGCGAGCGAACTCGGCCCACACATGCGCGTGCATATTCCCCAGACTGCCGCCGAGCAGTCCAACTTCATTCACGAGTTGGCAAATGACGTTAAGGACTCCGACCCCGTTCAGATGAAGCATGAATGGCATTACACCGCAACGGATGCGACCAACCACCCCTGCGGCATTCCCTGGATGAGCGTCATGATCCTCCGCAACATCGCGCGCTATGCCAACAAACACGGACAACCTTTTGAAAAGGATGGCGTGAGGCTGAATGAGAGACTGTTCACGGCCCACAAATACAATCTATTCCACGTGTTGAGCGTGAATCGGACATTGAGAGATTATGTCAATGATCTGCTGATGATGATTGATGTGGCGGGGACGGGAGAGGAGAAAAGAGGCATGAAGAGAGAACACGGGGACGAGGGGGACGATGAGTAGACTCGAAGAGCCGTTGGAGAGGTGAGCAGCTGGTGTTGCAAATGATACCCTGGGGGAGTCTTGAGAGGTACGACATGCGTTACATGTAGCTGCATGTCGCTGGAGCTTTCCAAATTTTCTCTGTGCCGGTCAGGAAACGCAGCATGGCGTTCTTCGCAGGCTGCATTGGGAAGGCCATATCGCGTGTGCCAACAGCGATGGATCAAATAGCGTTAGGTTGATCGCGTCATGGACAGTCGCTGGGAGATCGACTGCGCAGCGAAAGCTATGTACTATGTACGCTATGGCATGCATGCATGGTATGGAACGCCACGTCCAGGATTTCCAATCACGCGCTCGCCTCAATGCTTCCTGCACGATCAAAGTGCCCTGTTCCGGGCTTTTCATACCTGGTTCCTCCTCGTGAATAGAATTGGAGATGAGATTGAGATCAAGCTCGAGGATCGTGCTGCTCCACACCCGAAAAAACAGGCGAATCGCAAAATTTCCCTCGGCGGCCCTCATGATGGTGGTGGTGACCGGTGCTGGTGAGAAGTCCAATGTGGGTGTTTTCCAAAGCAGATAACTGGCGCTGGTGAGAAGTCGAAAGGAACTGTTGTTCAAACCAAGAAGCCCTAGTCATTCGGTCGGTCGCTCGCTCGCTCGCTCATTAGCAAGTCTCGCGACAGCAGCGTAGGAGGAGTAGGAGTATGGAGCAGCGAGGATGGGTGACTATTGAGGAACTTGTGTGGAGTACAGAGTAACATCTGTCAAAAAGAGCTCGAGTTCAAGCTGCCGGTTATCAGCGTCGATGTCCGTTCGCCCGCGGTAAATGACGGGGTGGTGGAGGCGAGGCTGACCCCTGCTGGATATTCGATGGGTGGGCATCAGATCGGACGAAACGAGGGTGTCGGTGCGTGCGTGCGTGAAGATCCACTGAATGCAAGATGCAGGTTGCCGGATGCATGCAGAAAGGAATGCTAGGCGACCTTCGAGACCTGAGCGGAAACAGAGCATGAGACTTTCCGATCTGAGCTGAAGTGCGAATGTTAGTCGTTGCTGCTCCGCGTCTGCCACGATGAAAGAGCACAAGATCGACTGACTGATAGTGCTTACCGATGAAGACAACGTCATGAAGCCTCCTTTCTGGTCGAAGCGGTGGTGTTGTAGGGTTTGTCCTTGTCGGCGCCATGTTCCCAGCACCCCTGAGGCCTGGTGCCCGACATGGTCTTCATGTTGTGATTACCATTGCCATTGCTGCAGCCTCTCTGGAACTGACTCTCGTCTTTGCCGACCCGTGTCTTGGGACTGACGGATCCGTCGTGATTGGGGCGCTGAGAACATCGGTCTTCAGCCCATATGTTCTCGTCGAAGACAGGGCATTTTCCTCTACTCGCGGTCAGTAGTCTGGTTTGCCTCGCCATTGCATTGGGAGTCCAGACCACGCCGCCTTGCTGCTGACTTTGGTTTTGCTGCTGCTTCTGCTTCGGCGGTTGTGCTTGTTGTTCGGCAGTCTTGATGATCGGCTGCTTGTGCTTGAGACTGCCTCGTTCGGCTTCACGTTGCTGGAAATGATCGCGCGTGCGCTGGCGGCTAATTGCCTGCTCTTGGCTGTTGTCCATGTTGCGTTGCTGAAGATGAGTCGAGGCGGATTGAAGCCAAAATGCACGACAAGCAGGTCAGAGAGTCAGTCGACGCAAGGCTGAATGTCTGGCGGAAGAAGGACGGAATGGAAAGCCTGTGATATCCGCCGAAAACAAATGACAAGTGAATGGATCTTCAGCTTTCTCGTGAAGCGCACCAGAGATCGAGAAGTGACCAACTCACCCAGAGTAGCTCTTGGGAAAGACGAGACATTGATTCCAAGAAAGGTGAGCGTACATGGCACAGTGTTGCGGATAAAAGCGAGTGATGTCTGTGAGAAGGAAGTTTCAAGATTGGTCAACTCGCCGTGTCCACAAGACCAGAGGAATAGGGCTCATATCAGGTGCGACTTCGTGAAAGCTAAGAGACGGCGCCACGATAATTCCCTTTTCAGTCAGCCTTGCCATTCAACGTACATGTACAAGGCTCCAGCCTGGCACGGTAAGAAAGGTTGTGATCGCCCGGTATCGGTGTGGATGGACATCTTAACCCCCCAGCCAGCAACCTCCTCTTTTGCAGGTGACTCTCTGCTCGTTGACACTGTCTATGTGTCCCTTCTCAGCATATTCGAGGACACCGGCATTGTTGGGTGAGGCACAAACGGAATCGCATTGTCTCTTCCACTGTCTTCAGCCATCTGCCTTGTTCGTGGGTTCTTGGACGGTAGTATGGAGATGCTCCCGATGCGTCAAAGTGGCTGGTATGCTGCGGAAGTCGAATACAGAGTGAGGCATATCGTGACATGGCGAAGTATACAGCTGTTCCGAACAACACTGGTGCAGGGTCGGCCTTTTGTATCTCAGTCCCACCTCTCACGGCAACCTCTCGCTCACCCACTATTCTTGAACAATCCAGAACCTAACCTGTGTTGAATCAGCTGGTCGGCCACAACAAGTTCGATGACTGTGCACCATTGCGGAGGACTCACTAGCTGTATCTGGATTTCAGCAATGGACGGAGCCTCTCCTGCAGCAGTGTACGCATCCACGCAGCCTCAAGAAGTCATTATGTATCCCTTTAGAGATGTATTGAGCACCGGGCGTAGGGCGCCAGGCCTATTCGCTCCCGGCTACGAGACCAAGCCGCTGAAGGGCGGCCGTGACTTCGCCTAGCGTACAGCCACTGACGCCGTCAACAACTGAGGATCCCACGTGCGGGCGCCGGGTCCGGATAAAGTACCTTGTATTCATGATGGCTGAGGTGGAGGTGAAGGCTACCCTTCACGTTGACTGTCAAGCACTGCCCCGGCATGGATCGAATGTCAAAGAGTAGCATAAGGAGAGCAGGAAAAGTAGTATCCCGGCGTGTCGCCTGTTCACTGATTACTGCACCCCTTCCATGCATGCCGTATGGTCGCCGACCCAGGCAAACTTCGTGTGTCCCGGCCATGACTGGGCACCATCCATTGCCGATGGCTCGCCATTGCAGGCAGAAGTGACCGTGCCACTCAAGTTACGGTTAAGCACGAATTGCATTGGGAATCGCGATAACGATGCTGAGTCCATGGATTTGAGCACAAGATGCACCCATATCGGCGTGATCTGTGCATGTGCGCCGCGTAGATCCCTGCTGGTGAAGCATGACTGTCCATGATGAAATTCTCTTTCCTTAATGGTATACCAACTCTTGAGCTTCTAGCATTGAAGTATGTGCCTCAGTGCTGCTGATTCGCGAACGTTAGTACGTTGACTGGTGATACCGTATCCGCATCGCGGGCAGCGTTGGCCGATAGAAAGAATATCGTCCTCTCCGGGTCAAATGTCTCAAATCTACCACTCCGGGAGTGATGTCGGCGAATTGATCGAGGACCAGGATTGTCCGCCAGACTCCGTGTCTTTCCTTCTCACTTTGAGCAGCTGAGGGATGCGTCAGGTGTTCTGGTCAGGTTCGCATAAATGTAAAGAGCCCTCCAGTCTGGACGAAAGTAGCGACTATAGTCAGCGCAGGCCGATCGACATCGTAGCTGAATCGTAGAGCGGTCATAGGAAATCCAGCTTGGAGCGCACTGATGCTGAGGACGACTTCCGTCTCGAGCATGGCGACGTCGCGGTAGTGATGAGGCACAGGGTAGAGGATCCAAGTAGAAGGCACGTGGGCCTTCAGACAATCATCCTCATATCTAGCAGAATCAAGTTAAAAACCCGCGCGGAGGGATTCGCGGATTTACGAACTGGGGTCGAACGTGTATTTGAGGATGATAGACCACCATAAATGAACGGCCTCAGAGGAGCTTGCGGCGGTGACGACAATTGACGCAGCACCTACGATACTGACCTAACACGTATGAACATTTAAGTGTCCTCCTGCCGCACGCTGTCCTGAGCTTCTCACCAAAGCGGCAGGACAACGACGACTACTATCCCAGGCCGGGGTTCTCTGTGTGATACAATTCATTCTTTGAGCCTTGAGTACATCACCGCGTTCAGCGTCTTGTATGCCTCGTCTGGGGATATTTGATCCACAGATTACTCGTACGGAAGTGAGTCGGATGAGTTCTCTGCCGTTGATCAACAACTGACCCAGAACACCACAATCAGCCCAATCTCGCCAAATCTGTCTTACGGCGCAGCATAAGACACAATGGGTACAGTGCAAGACCACATGCAACAACTCCCAACGCCCCCAGTTTGTGGTGGAGGCACCCGGTGGGTGTGCATTGACATCATTGTCCAACTGGTGTTTGAACGGTGTCTGCGGGTGGTGACCGCGACGGCCACCTGGAAACCAGATACGCTTCCCATCGAAGATGCTGGCATCGCCGATCTGACAGTCTCGGGGCACAACCTTGAAGGCAGCTGGTTATCTTGCTTATCACCACCAGGCCTCCTCTTGGACAGACAGTCTTGTGGCTGCTACTGGCCGTGTCGCAGGTTTCGGCTAGTTGACTTTTTGTGCTGTGACGCAGTGGCTGCAACTTTCTTAGCTCGTACTCCGAGCTTCTCTCCCCATTGTGCCACACCTCGACACCTCCACATTTGCATTCTACCTTCCTTCGGTACTTCCTTACCGACTAGGCACCATCCTCCCCGTCTTCATTATCCCCTAGGACTCTGTTCATTCTTGGGACCTCGCATCGTCCTCTGATCAAGGACGAAATCAGCAGAATTGATTACGTCCACGACAAGCTTGCAGAGAAAACACCTTGGCACTGGCGGATTCCTGGACATCACCGCTGCTATGGCAGTAGCTGAGAACGGAGGGCCTGTTGAGGGTATGAAGGATAGGCCCAATGGCCATGCGAATGGTCATGTCAACGGGCACGCTGTCGGTCCGCTCGTTCGGCGGACAGGTACTCGCCAGCGTCGACGCAGCTGGACATCGTGGATTTTCAACAATACTGCCAGGTGTGATCCGTCCGTGAATTGATAGTCGGCATTCCTAACAATGACACAGGCTTTTCATATGGTACTCTCTGTTCACGATCCTATTTCGATGTCCGTCCTCACCAGCCACCCTCACCGACTCATCTCCCGCCGTCTGTCGACCATACTTGTCTACAAGAGAATACATCCGACCCCATGTACAGCCATACTACGATGACTACGCAGCTCCATACGTGGCTAAGGCCGAGCCTTACGCACATTTAGTTCACACACGGCTGGTTCGCCCAGCCTCCAAGATTGCTCAAGTCAACTACGCCAAATACGCTGCTCCCCAAATTGACGCCGCAAAAGCATATTCACAGGCACAATGGGAAAAGCAGGTTCTACCGCAGCTCAATCTGGCCCGAGGAAACGCAGCGAAGCTGTACGAGAAGAATCTAGCACCCCATGTCGATCAATGGGCTGCAGTGGCTCACCCATACTACACCTCCAGTCGCGATTCTGCCTCGCACGTTTATCAAAAACAGCTCCTCCCTGCAGCAGAATTCGCCCGCCCACACATTGGAAGAGCCTACAATGCATCTCAACAGTATGTATTGAGCACGGCATACCCATTCCTGCGGCATGTCTGGGGTGACCTCATCATCTTCGTCGATGGTACTTTCCTGCCTCTGATCAAGGGCTTGTACATTGATAATGTCAGGCCCCAACTGGTCATGATCAACGAAAGAATCGCCAAATACCGAGAAAGCCGACATGTCAAGGCTGCTATGGATGAGGTTGACAAAATGCAGTCTACTTTTACGTCTTCCACGACGGCAAGCGCAGCAGCCACCGCTTCGATTGACGATATCTATGCAATGTTCGAGTCAGAAGACGAGCCGGAGTCCGCTACCGCCGCATCTACTCAAGAATCTCAACCTACCGTCAAGGAGCGCGTCAACCCACCAGTGGTCAGTGCCACAGAGGAACAAATCACTGACGACCTGCGCACCTGGCAGAAGAAGTTCGCCGTGGCAGCTGACAAGGGCAGTGATGATCTTCGAGAACGCGTGACATCTATTGTTAGCAGTCTTGTGAAGAGCGACATTGATGGCGTTGGCCGACGATTGGCTTCGGCTCTGGAGAAGACCACCGAAAACGAACTGGACAGTGTCAAATCCAAGATCAAGTCTACCATCGCCTCTCTTCCCGAAGATGCAAGTGCAGACGAGGTCAAGCAAGCCGCAGAAGATATCCTTGGCTCTATCAGAGCCGCAGGTGCTGAAATCAAGGCACGAGCTAAAAATGTCCGCGAATGGTCACAGAATTTCGAACGGGCCCTGATCCAGCGACTCACTGCAGCCTCTGCCTCCACCCTTGAAGTTCTGGACGGCGTCAAGGATGTCGGCCTGCAGGAGGTGGGCATGCGCTGGGCTTGGATGGAAGGAGTCACTTATAAGCATTGGGAGAAATTCCACGCTTTGCGGAAGAAGCTCGATGAGTGGAAGACCGAGGTGCGCGATGTCGCCATGAGAAGCGACGAGGCAGAAGAAGCTCTGGCTACTGCGCGCCGAATCACCGAGGAAAGCATGGCAGTGACGGAGCATGCAGCCAAAGAACTTGCCCGACTTAAGAGCGTCGCTCAGTGGAAACTGAAAGCACGGGACGCTTCCGACGACTTCGAGACTCGAAGTATGCCTGCCGAAGCTGTCTCTGCTGCTTCCAGCTTGGTTGCTGAGCTCCAGGGTGCTTCAGCAGCAGGCGTGCAATCTGCAAGCTCTGTGCTGTCCCAGGCGAGCGACTCTGCTTCGTCCGTTGTAGCCGGTACGACTACAGGCACCGTCGAGTCCGCCACGTCTAAAGCCAGTGAGGCTGCCATGGATGCCGTTTCGTCGGCCTCGTCGGCCTACGAATCTATGTCGCGGCCCTCTGAATCTGTGATTTCCCAGGTCAGCGGTGCCGCCGAAGACGCCAACGAATCGGCTTCGTCGGTTGTCGTCGGAACCAGCACTGGCAGTGCGGAAGCTATTCTTTCGGATGCGTCCGGAACCGGCTCGAGTCTGACTGATGTCGTGGGGAGTTCTGCAAGCTCAGTCTCGGCATCAGTTGAATCCCTCGTTTCACCTTCGTCCAATATTGCGTCCTCGGCCAGCTCTGGTATCGATGATGCTGCGAGCTCTGCTTCGTCAGCTGCCGGTTCAGCATCTACACGAGGTTCAAAGGTCTTCGCTGGGGCCATGGCCGCAGAAGTGACAGGGTCTACACCTATCCTTGACGATGTCTTCGACAATGACGGGTCGTCATTTTCAGAAAACCTGCAGAACGTCGTCAACGCAGCTGGTGACCGCTACGCAGACGTCACGCGCGCTGTTTCTGAAGCAATCTACGGAACCACCCAAGGAACGGTGGAGAGCATGTCATCTGTCGCAAGCGAACAGTACTCGAGTGCTTTGGCCGCAGCCTCAAACGCTTTGTATGGGACACCAACGGGCACGGTAGAAGGCATTACAAATGCAGCGTCCGACAACTACAATCGAGCAGTGGCCGCTGCGAGCTCCGTCATCTATGGCACGTCAACTCCAGTTAGCGAATCAGTTCTGCAACAGGCCAGCTCACTCTATAGCGACGCCATCAGCCGAGCACAGGAGAACTATGTTGCCGCAAAATCTGTCGCTTCCAAACAGATCTCTGGCACTCCTAAGCCGATACACGAGCAGATGTTCTCTTCGATCGATGCCGCATACTCTGGCGCTCTGGATGCTGCGAACAGCAGGCTTGATCATGCTCGTACTGCTGCGTCAAGCGCGGTCCCTACGACGAACCCGTTCGAGTCCGTTACCTCCCTGGCTTCTGCAAGACTGCAGGACTCGATTGCCGCCGCCTCGGCGCAATATGCCAAGGCCAAGGCCGCAGTAGGCGCCACTCCAGCTCCTGCTCATGAAAGATACCTTCAGGATGTCAAGAAAAACTATTATGCTGCTGTCGGCCTGGCACACGAGCAATACGATGACTTTGTCCAGGCTGCTTCAAGCGCGATCTACGGTACACCTACTCCCGTCTTGAGCAGCCTGTCAAGTGCCGCATCAGTTGGAATCTACGGGACACCAGTGCCGGCTTATCAGAGTCTCCTTGACTCAGCCTCCTCCCAGTATTCCGCGGTCTCGTCAGCCGCCGCTGCTAGCCTCAGTGCGTTCAGCTCATCATCAGGAACAACAGCACAAAGCCTGTGGGATGAAGCTGTTGCAGCATATTCCGGCGCCGTGGACGCCGCATCATCTTCCTTGTCGTCTGCTTCTTACGCGGCAAGCACTGCCATCTACGGCACGCCTGCACCATACTATCAAAGTGCTTTTGACGCTGCATCCTCACAATATGATGCTGCCACTTCGGTCGCTGCCTCTCAGTATTCAGCACTGCTAGCTTCTGCTTCTTCAGCAAGTGGCAAGAAGAAGGGATCTTCCGCGCAGGCTGTAATCGACTCCATCTCATCGCAATACGAAGCTGCAATGTCTGCTGCGGCAGCATCTCTTTCAGCAGCCAGCCATGCTGCAAGCACCGTAGTTTACGGCACTCCAGCTCCGTACTACCAAGCAGCTTTAGACTCGGCGACATCCCAGTACAATGCAGTATCGTCAGCAGCAGTTTCCCGGTACATGGCAGCATCGTCAGCACTCGGCGCGAAAAGCACAGCGCCGGCGAAAAGTGCCCTTGACTCTATCTCAGCTCAATACGATGCCGCCCTGGCTGCGGCGTCATCGTCCCTTTCAGCAGCGAGCTATGCAGCAAGCACTGCCATCTATGGTGCTCCGACTGGGTCCATAGAATCGATGTCCAGTGTCGCTTCCCAAAATTGGGAGGCTCTGGTATCTAAAGCCAGCGAACAGATTTACGGCACTCCAAAGCCATTCTACGACGACTATGCCAGCAAGGCAGGGGAATACTCGGCCCAAGTCACAGACTTCGCAGGCGACAAGTATGTTATCATTCAATCGTACGTGTCTGAACTAGTCGTCGGAAGGGAGCCAGACTTTACCGAGTCGGTCATGAGCCGCTTGAGCTCTGCATACTACACCGGCTATGATTCGGCCTCTAGTCTTGCCGGCGACGCGTACAGCTCTGCGTCATCTGTGGCTTCCTCGGTTGGGTCCGCTGCCGCCTCCTACTTCACCCCTCCGCCTCAGGTGTCCTCCATTCTGGACTCGGTCACTGATCAACTCAATGCCGCCGTGGATGCAGCAAGTGCACAAGCCTATGGTACCCAGAAGGGTACAGTTGAACAAGCTACCTCTGCTGTGGCAGATAGCTACTCCTCCGTCGCAGGTGCAGTGAGCGAGGCGATTTATGGCACTCCTGTTGGCTATGCCGATGCGGCGTCATCATCATTTGCTGATCTGGCCAAGAGCGCGCAAGACGCTGTGAGCATTGCTGTCTATGGCACGCCAACCGGAACAGTCGAGTCTCTCAGTAGTGCTGCAGCAGATACCTATGCTTCTGCTTCGTCTGTCGCTTCGGAAAACGCCGCCTACGCTGCTTCGGCGGTGAGCGATACTATCGACACCGTGCGAGGACAGGTCTCTCAGGCATTTTATGGACCCGAGCAGAGCTACACGGAGAGTATCAACTCTCAGATCGCCGAAGCTGTCGAAAGTGCGCAGAGCAGAATCGCTGCGTTCTACAGTGATGTTGGTCAAGGCGCCACTGGTGCTGCCAGCGCCGTTAGCGATACTGTCGCCAGTGCGGCGAGTGCGGTGAGCGAGTCCGTAAGCAGCGCCACGAAGTATGTCAAGGACGAGTTGTGAAAGAGGGGAAGTTGAACGCGATGGAAATTGAATGGCGGCAAGGAGCTTGTACGACAATGAACATGGTATGAAGTGATGCTGATGCGTTGGGAAGGCATCTGGGACTCCAAAATGTGGACACGCATGGATCATGACCCTCCTAATACCTGGACGTGCTGTTATGGGCGAGGCTAAGATCTATGTTATGAATCGCTTCTTGCTGGCTGGCGTTTGCTTTTCAATGATACCATAGTTTACGTGTACTACGCTGTACGTTTGCTGCCGAGGGATTGAAACCCAGTCCCCCGTGTAGGTGCGCTGCCCCCTGTAGATCAAACATCTTGATGATTATATCAGAGGACGGAGAGAGTGAAGGAAAGGGAAGGGGCAGAGTTTCGAGCCCCGTGTGCTCTCTTTGCTGTAGGTGCTCTGTATACTCTCTCTAATGCTTCTGCTCTCTCTGCTGTATGTGTACAATCCAGGCTAATATACGGAGTAATCTATGTTCATATCATGCTATTCCTCGAGGATGCATGTACGCCTATGTCGCTCTGTGTCAGCCATGCACATAGAGAGTACGCTGTCCTGCCGCTCCGAATGAAGGAAAGGGCAGGAGGAGAGTTTCGAGCCGAGTATGCTGAACGTGACTCTGTGCTGTGTGGGCTCTCTCTGCTCTGCGTGGGCTCTCTCTGCTCTGCGTGGGCTCTCTCTGCTCTGCGTGGGCTCTCTCTGCTCTGCGTGGGCCCTTCTGCTCTGTGTGTGCAATCCAAGACAAATTACCCACGTTCATACTATGCTCATCATCGAGGATGCATGCACGCCCTATGACCTTATGTCTATCTGCGTCCGTGACGTACACACTTGGAGAGGAGGCGGTCCTACTACTAATTACTATTTATCCTCGTGCTCTTTATCCTTACGCTGTCCATTACCCCTGCTACCGTAATTTGTAGCCAACTCCGGATGATTTCTCGCTAGTACAGTACATAAGTACTTACCAGGTGGTTAACCCCAAGAGGGTACCTAGGTAAGTACTGTACGGAGCACACGTCACAGGTTCATCAATCGAGGTATCTATCTACATAGTGGTGTCGAGTCTGAGCTCCGTCTGCACAGCCAGCAGTTGATAGCATTCATGGCTCCAGGATTCCGTGCTCGACGCTACGGTACTGGACTAATGGGACCGGATTAGACAGAATCAACCAAGGTTACGAAGGAGATTGGATTCAACAGGATTGGACTTGATGGGACTGGATCAGACTGCACTACGCTACACTCCACAGAGAGAAGTACTGCACCACCTACCGTACGCTGTGCTACACTAAGATGAGATACGATGACTTGTCAGTATGTATGCAGTACCTCTGCGTGGCTTATGGCTATGTGTGCGTGTGTCTGCGTGCCTGTCTGTATCTCTCTCTGTGTTCTGATGCCTGTGCGAGTGCATACATTATCTCTGTCCCTTCCCTTCCCCATCCATATGCAATCGCATACATACACGAGGGATACAGAGGCCCAGGCCCATTCATTTACCATTCCATACCGGTGCATCCCCATGCCATGCCTTTTTAAGTTGCGAGCACCCATATCTCCCACAACCCGCTTACTTTGCCGTCGCCGTCGCCGTCGCTTGATTTGCCTTGCCGCGCGCCTCGCCACGTTCCGACACGCCACACCATGCATTCAAGGGCCCGTGCAAGGAAGCCAGCAAGCACGAAAAAAAACCAACAACACCAAAATCCCAGGCCAAAATCAGGCTCGGTATAACACGCACGCCAGGCAGGGCGCAATGAACGACAGACAATCACAGGCAACAGTCAACAGGAAACGCAGAAACCTTCAAGGCAAAAAGCACAGAATCATAAGGTAGGTAAGTAAGTCAGTACTGTAGGCCACAACACACCACACCGCTTTTGTTCCCTTTTATTCCTTTTGATCCAGCCAGCTAGTCGGTCGATTGACGCCACAGAATGCTTCGCTTGCTACAACTGGCACGCACTGGCTCGCACTGGCTCGCATTGCCTCGGAGTGCCTGCTTGCCCCGCAATTGCGTCTGGCGTGGAAGAAAGGGAACTTTGCCATGTCCTTTCGTTCCACTTTTTTGACGTGGATCCCTTCATCCCGACATGTCTTGTCGCCATCTGGTCTGGGTCTGTAGGTCGAAACCATGATTCCTGTCCACCAAATGCGCTGCGGAACGCAAGGAGACATAACTGGCGAGTAATCTTGTTGCTTCCTTCCCATGGAGAATACAGTCACTAGAAGCCCAAAGAGCAGACGACATGAGCAGACCCATGAACAACAGCGAGTCATGCAGCCTTCCTTGATCACGCCGCACATGTCTCGTCCAAGAACATCAAATCCCTCCTATTGGAGGGCATGTGAAGATCAAAAGTTCCGAGCATGAAAGGCCAGAAGAAACATGTCCCAATTACTCCATATCCTCGTCGTCGTCAAATTCGTCGTCATCGTCGTCCAGACTCTCCATTGCGTCCTTGATGAATTGAGCGGCCTAGGGGCACAAATCGTCAGCATTAAAGGTCCCTGTGATCAGAAAACCAACATACCTTTGGATCCAAATTCAACGCCATGGTAAACGCCCTCACGGCATTGCCCTTTTCACCCAAGATCTTATAAAGCCGGCCCATTAGGAACCACACGTTCGCTTCGTCAGGTACCACGTCCCTCAGGATTTTCAGCTCCGCGAGTGCCTCCTTCGGCCGTCCCAGCGACATTAGACAGCGTGCTTTCTTGAACCTGCTCAGCGCGGACTGTGGTGCGAGGAAGCACGCCCGGCTATACATGAGGAGTGCGTCTTCGGGGTGTTTCTGCTTCTCGAGAACAAGACCGATGCAGCAGATCAGCACGGCGTTGGTGGGGTTGATCTTGGCGGCGGTACGATAGTGCTGCTCCGCGATGTTCCACTTGCCCATCTTCTCGTAGACTTTGCCTAGGCCGTACCACGCGTTGTAGTGCCGCGAGTCTGCGGCGATGGCCGAGCGATACGCGTCAAGTGCCTTCTCGAATTCTTCGTTCGCAATGTATTCATGCCCTTGCAGGGTGAAGCCGTAGGCAAAGGACGAGTCTAGCTGTGTAGATCGTTTGAAGCATTTCAACGCTTGCTCGTGCTCGCGCTGCAGAGAGAACGAGTTGCCGATCGCACACCACGCCTGCGGTGACAGTCGATCGATTTCAATGAGCTCGTGCGCAAGGTACGCCAATTCAATCTCGGATTTCAGGTGCCAGAGCACGGTGGAATAGACTTCCATGTCTTCTAGGCGGGCAGGCGCGAGCTGTCGGACGCGGATGAAGAACTTTTCGGCCTCGGCGTACTGGGCTTGTTCGTAGTATGCTTTGGCGATTTGGGACAGGATGTAGGGTGTTTCGCGGTGCGGTGAAGGGAGGGCGTTGTACGTTTGGATGGCATTTTGACAGTCGTAATTGGTGAGGCTGAGCTGGGCCGAGGCAATCCTGCCGACCAGCTCAAGGAGTTCTTGGAGGGAGCGAATCTCCTGGTCAACGGTGGAGGACACTCGTGTCTTGGGATTCGGTATGGAGGGCAGATGAGGAGGCGCACCGGCGGTGGCTGTCGGCTTCTGTTCTTTGCCGTCCACATCCATTTGATCAGCCGAGCCTGTCCTCGTCCTATTCCCACTTACTACTCTCCCTACGGTCGAGGCATTTGCCATACGACCTTTGATGGCTGGCGCTTTTGCTTTCTTGATGTCTCGACCTTCCCGTAGACCGAGCGTGTTGGCCAGGGACGAAATCTTGCTTCCTGCCGTACTACTCGCACTGGGAGGCCGCGCTGTATTGAGCAATCGATTACTTCTCCTCGTGCCCTCGGCGATACTGGATGGCGCGACGTGTGAGGTTGGTTGACCCGAGACCGTTCTCTTAGAAGGCGCTGCTGGTGGTGGCTGGGGAGGATCTTGCAAGACAGTGGTTGCATCGTCTGATACACCTTTCATCTTTGACCTCATCCGAGTCGACCCAGCCTTCCACCTAGGCGGTGGATCTGCTTGTGACTCGGTCGACGTCTTTGTCTTCCGCATAGGTGCGGCAGGGGGTTCATTTTGTTGGTTGGTGGGTGCACCTTGAAGCACGCCCTGGTCGGATTCTGGTTCGGTCGAAGGAGTGGCCATGCCTTCCTCGTCCAGAATTGTGCTCGCTGTGTTGACGCTCACTTTGCTCCCATTGAGTTTCTCCCACAGCACGTTGTTCTGTGGCCGGCTTGGTCGCTGAGACGAGACGAACGGATCTGACGGGACGTGACTCTTCTCTGCTGGAGGATTCTCAACCTTGGCACCTTGCTGCTGGTTCAGATGCACCGCGGCTATCAGGTCTTCATTCAGCCGGTAGATATTGGGCACGGCAATCTTTGCGCCTGCATCGCACAAGCCCGTGAACGCATCCCACATGAAGGGATTCATCTTGAGAGAGGCGGCCCAGCATTCCACTGCTTGGTCGATGTTCTTGTGTGCCTTCCATAGTTTACCCTTTAAACACAATACAGCAGCGGCGTCAGGTACGTGTTGGCGTCTCGACTCATTGTGTTGACCCCACGAGTTTCTGCTCTGCCAGATGTGCTTGCATTTCTCGAGTGCTGTGAGACCTTCCAGGAAGCGCCCGAGTTCAAGCGAAGACTGAGCAAAGACGTACGCGCACCCCAGGTGGCTCCCTTTGACTGCAAGGGCGCGAGAGGTATCCCATGCGGCTTTGAGAAATCCCGACTGGAATTGACAGTAGGCAAGGAGGTAGGCTGCTTCGGGGGAACGAGATTCGTAGGCCACTAGCCGGGATGCGAGGAAGAGGGCGTTTTTGAGAAGGTTATTGTCGAGGTGGTAGTAGATTAATTGGCGTAGCTGAGAGGTGACGGGGGAATGGGCTGTAGGCGCCATGACGGAGGAGAGATAGGGCAATGTAGTTGATGGTGGTGGCAGGTCATGAATTCATCAACGGACTCGTGAAGTCCAAACAATGCGCCGCGGTCATAACAGAGTCGATCAATGCATGGTAGGGAGCACTAGGGCGCCGTAAACACAAGGTCCACAAGAAACGTCAACCGAGCGCAAGGAAGAGGACGTGAAGATGTTTGATTGTAGGGATATGTGTGCCGAGTTGAGGTTGTTGTTGCTGCTGTGATGCGACGGCATCGACACGGCTCGAGGCTGGCAAAGCTGTGGCTGCGGCGGCGGCGGGTGTGGCTGGTTGGAGGCAACTGTGGCGCTGTAGCACCGTGGCGGGGAACAAGGCTGTCAGCTCAGCCTTGTCACAATGGGGCTGCCACTACCTCTGCGCCCACTACTGGTAGAAGTGAAATACGTACTATCGTCGTGAGCACACGACTTCCACAACTGCACCAAACATGGCTCAGGTACGCTTCCTTCCAAGTCACGCACCTATATGCGGGACACGCGACTCATATTGCCGTGTAGAAAGCTGCCAAGTCCCTGGCGATTCGCAACTCTGCCCGCCTACGCCAAACCCACCTCATAACCATAACGCTGCACGCCATCTTCCTCGCCCTGTCGTTTACCCTCCGCCGCTCCCTGTCCTTATGGCTATACCTCCTCCTTTGCCTGCCTGCCATCCTCATCGAAGTTTACTTGGACATCTTGGCCCGTCCCACCTACCAACCCAGTGGTGACCTGAAGCGCCCTGGGGAAGATCTAGACGCCAAGGGCCTCACAGAATTCATGTGGGACATCCTGTACTGGACGTGGATTAATATGATCATCGTCGTCATCTTCGGCAATCGCGCATGGTGGGCCTATCTAGTGGTGCCGGGGTATGCCATATACAGTGTAGTTGGCGCGGCGAGGGGCGTGAAGAGTATGATGGGCGGAATTGCAGGAGGAGCAGGGGATGGGGACGGCGTGCAAGCGACGCAGAGCTCCAGCAAGAGGCAAAGCAAGATGGAAAAGAGAGGCGGCCAGAAGGTTGTGTACCGGTGAAGAAACAAACAAACAGGCACTGGTCACTTTTCTCCCAATCCTACCTACCGCTCGTCGCTGATCTTATCAAACCACCTACTCAAACCCACCGTCCCGTACAATTCCTTCCACTTCTCCCCTAACTCCTCATCCTCCTGTACATACTCGCCCACAAACTCGGCCGTCTCATTCGCCTTCCGCCGCACGCTTGCGCCGGCCTCCTCGATCTTCTGACCCGCCCGCGCCATCGCCAGGTTGTAGTACTCGACGCTGGCCTTGGCTTTGTCCGAGAGCCGTTTTGCGGCGGCATTGCGGCGCCGCTTATATCGCCCCAATATGATGGACAGCAAGTAGTACGCCCGCACGAGCAGCCGCTGGATGAACTGCTTGACCAACATGGTGATGCCGTGGGAGAAAAACGCTCTCAGCACCTCTACGTGCAAGCCCTCGTACAGTGCTTGGGGACCCTCGGTCTGCGCAATGGCCAGGACAGTGCTGAAGATGGTTGCACGAGCGGCTTTTTGCGTCCCTTTGCGCCCGAAATCTTGTCCCACCACCTTCTTCTCGTCGCGCTCTTCGTGCGCGGACGATACACCGCCGGCTTGCAGGCGCGCTTTGGCCAGGCTGAACGGGTACGTGAGACTCGATGCGCATGCCTTGCTGACGGCAGAAAAGAGGAAGGTGAGACTCGGCGGCGGGTTTTGTCGTCGGTCGCGTGGCAGCAGGATCTTCTTGAGTGTTTCGAAGAGGAAGAACGTGATGGATGGGTTCAACGTCAAGACCAGACTGGCTGAGTACCCGGACCAGAACCCGAGCGGGCCTTTCTCGTCGAGGATATCTTGGGCGATCTGCCGTGCCGTGGGTGTCGACCTCGATTGTGTCTGCTGCCCTTCCCCCGTCTGGCTTTCCGTGCTCGTGCTCATAAACGCGGCAGCTTGCTTCCTCGTCACTATAGTCGCAATGGGCGTCGTCGCCAACTTTGTCAAACTCCCTGCCACAAATCCCACGCCCAGTTCCTCTAAAGCCGGCAATTCCACCTTCTTGCCTGCATTGAGCCGTGCGTGCCTCGCGATCCCCCGATCCCGGAGAAAACTGTAGATCAAGAAGAACAGGAACGCGTCCGCGATGGTCTTGCCCGTGTCCTGCAACAACCCCGTATACAAGCCTGAGAGGCCTCCTTCGTTGTGGTAGATCTTCTGTACACCGTCGACGAAGCCCTTGTACTCGTCCTGGCTCGGCGTGGCCTGGTCTTTGCGGAGCTGGCGCTGGATCTGGAGCCGCGTGATGATCAGGTCGACAGGGTAGAGCGCTGCATTCGAGATGGCGGAACCTAAGGAGCCCGAAAGCGCGTGGCCGAGGGCTTCCAGGGCTTGGGACCGGCGCGGCCTGGGTGAAGGAAGCGCATCTTGTTCTTGCACGAGGTGGAAGAGTTCGAACGCGTCCTGTGAGGGATGATTAGTCGTCCAGCTACTACTGCATGCATGTCGCTGGGAGCAGATGTCGACGCGGGATACGTACAAGTTGACTGTTGTATGGGAAGTTGGACATGGTCACGACATCAGTCTCGCGCTAATCATCTCGTTTGAGATAACAATCCAACGACAACAAGAGCATGCGACCGAGTCGACGACGTCCAGGAGGCGTTGATGCCTCGGTGAGCGAGGGAGCGATGATGTATGTCGTCGTGCTTACCCCACACTTTCTGGCATGCACGTCCGTCGTCCTAAGCGAGTCTAGGCCACTGGCACAGATGAAGCATGGATCGGATTGTAGAAGACTGCAGAAGACTGGACATGCGAAGCTCGGTATAGGACCGAGGGTATTGTAGAGACAGAAATGCAGGGGGAACCATTGCCCACACCGACCCAAAGCTTCGCGCCATCAATGTCGGCCACGTAGAGACTGTTCACTCCTTCCCAAATCATCGCAAACTCTGCTTCCCTACTTAAACGCCATCTTCCCATCATGTCATCGTCGCCGCCGCACCGCAACTGATCAGCCGAGACCCTTCTAAGCTCTCATGCTGGTGCGTCGCCGCAGTCCGTTCTCGGCCGCCTGCAGTTCTCTCGCTAGCCGCTCATCGGCATCGACGTCGCTCTCTCCGCCTATGCTCCCTCGACTCACAGGACGGGCGGAGGCTTCGCGCGACGCACTACGTCTGCTTGTGAGGATGCCCGCCATCTGATGCGTCGTGCCAGATGTGTTGCTGGATGATCGCTCGCTTTTGATGCTTGTCACAACCGTGTGCGCACTTGCTGCACTCGAAGCCCGTCGATCTGTGAGCGATTTGGGGAAGGGTTTGCTGGGCGACCTCTTCTCTTCTGGTGTGTATCGCTCAATCTGCTTCGGTTGTCGTGATGATTGTCTAGACCCAGGAGTCCACCCGAATGGTGCCGAAAAGTCGCCATTGACCATGGACCCGTTTCGAATAGTAGACGGCGTTGAGATGTGTTCATCGTGATTCGCAGTCACCGAGCTCACCATTATCGTACTCGGATCCTCCTCGCTCTTAATGGCTGCCCCTTCCTCCAACGCAGGGTCAATCAAGACCGTTTCCGAGTCGACGCCGTTCGTCATTGGCATGTTTTCATCCGCTTGGATGTTGTGATGCACCTGACCCGCGCCCTTGAAAGGCCCGGGTGTGTGGAAATCTTCGTCGCTAGCATCGTTGGTCATCAGACTCAGGTCGCCGTTCGTCAAAGCAGGATCGATCAGATCATCTAGGTTCCCGCTTTGTCTGCTTTCGTCGCTCAAACGGGCACGCTTCACACTTGACGATCCACGAGGCTTCGAAGGCTCGGCGACTTTCGCAGGATCAATGCGCCCGTACTGATCATGCACGCATCGGCGCTTCGGATTGTTAGTACAAGCTTGACCAATATCTTTCAGGTAACCTACCTTGCTCTTTCTACAGTCTTCACATGCTTTGCTCCGACTCTTCTTGGACGATGACTGTGGGTCGGACTGACTGGCCTCCGCGCCCGCAGCGTCGGATATTCGTGCCTCTGGAGAAACTGGCCGCGCGTGGGTACCGTTGGTATATGCTCCCGCCCCGGATAGTGGGTGGACATCTGTGTTGGAGAAGCTCCTGGGTCGAATCTCCGGCGTCCGCCTGGGTGTTTCGCTGCCGGCCTTGTGCTTGCATTTGATCCGCCGTTTCCGGCAAGGCTCACACGCTGCTTTCAATCCGTGTCCCTTCGGCTTGGCTGCGGGACTCTGGGATCTGCGCTCGGGTGGTGGACGCGTCTGCGAGCCGGCTTGCGCCTGCGCCCGTGCCTCGGCCTCTGCCTGTGCCTGCGCCTTAGCGGCGTTTCGTGAAGATGTCCTCTCGCCCGGTAGACGCAGCGCCTCAGGCTTCCTGATCTTTTCAAGCTTGTCTGCTTCCAAGACATCCTCCCAATGGAAAACCCATTCAGGCGCCGGGGTATTGCCAATTTTCCACGCACACCATACAGCAAAGAGTTTGATCAGCGTCATTGAGTCACCGTGACCCTTGGGTATAGAGGCTTTCACCGCGTCGATCTGCTTCTTCGTAATGTCTGGAACTGGCAGACCTGCATCGATGCGTGCTGTGCGGTATAGGTAATCTCGGAGGGCTGGCAGTCCCTCCATTTCAGACTTGGGGTAGTATCTCGCGTTATAGAAAGCTTCGCCAGGCTCTGCGGTATTATCAGCAATATCCACTTCGTGCCAGATAGGGTCGGCTCGTAGGAAAACATAGTCAGGGTCGTCGCGGAAATCCTCGAGGACTTCTTCAGGCACCGGGTCTTCCTTGAGGTATTTGATGAGCGTGTACCACATAACTTTCTGAAAGAAAGGATATCGAAATTTGGGAGCGACGTGTGTCACTTTCTCGATATTCACAATCTTGAGTTGCATTGCATAGTCCTGGCGAGTCAGGAAATTGCCGCCAATGACCAGGCTGTCTTCGGGAGTCCAAACAGAGTGAATCCAGCCAGCAGGGATGAAAGCTGTGTCCCCCTCATGAAGATCGACTCTCGTGCAGTTGCATAGATCACCTAGCCATGTCTCGTTCTGTGAGTCTGAGTTGCACCAGTCTTCGTACTTCTTGAGATATCTATCCTCCGGCGGAATGAAGAAGAAGGTCTTGGTGCCTTTGAGTATGTGATAATAGACAGAAGAGCCGCCGAAATCGATATGGAAGTCGGTGTAGCTGTCAGCAATCGACATCAAGCAGTAAAAGGAGACTGGTCTCTTCTTGGTCCGAGTTTCAGCATCAGGATCCCATACATCATCGTCTAGATCAAGATCGCGAACTACTCTCGGGCGTCGAATCAGGCGGCCCAGAGGACTGTGAGAAACCTCAAGGCTGATGACGTTGTGGATGGGCTTCTCGCCCGGTTGCTCGTAATAGTCGGCCCATCGTTGCAGTGTCCAATGGCCCTTTGTCTCTTGGGACTTGACATCAATGACAGGGACAGGCTCGTCGAGGCCATACATCTCAGCGACCCTCCGCACTGTCAAATGTTGTGGAATCACCATATCCAGCAAGTCTTGCTCGCAGTTGATGACCTCCTCTTCTTCCAGCCGTAGCGGAGCGGCGCTGTCGAGGCCCGCCTCTTCTCCTGCGCTGGTTATCAGGGTGTCAGGGGTTGAATCTTTCAGGGCAACATCCGAGTCCGGTCCAGAAGGTTCGGATGGGATTTTCGCACCGAATCGAGGATTCCATGCTGCCGGTACCACGAAAGGTCGCCTGAATCCTTCGAAGCTCTCCATGAACTCCTTGGTGACCAGCTCTGGTCTGATGCGGGCGAAGTCATCCGACTGTATATTTAGCTTTCCTTCTTTTATCCGCTGGATGTAGTGATGAGTGTAGGTCTCTTCGGAGGATTTGACAAGCCCTTGATTGAGACCGGCATAATCAATAGCCGTCCTGGGTCGGGCAGATTTCCGGACGTAAGTAGTCGGGCCATGCACCGGCTCGCAGTCTTTGCAGCTGTACTTGTCGACGCTCCTTGCCTCGCCTTTTGTTAGGCCAACACATTGTGCATGGAACCAGCGTTTGCAGAAATTGCAACTGATCCAGAACGTCGAGGCGTTTTCCTCGTCATCCACGTTGTCGAGTTGCATGCGCCCACATTTTGCGCAGGCCTCTGCCTGTGTCTCCACCTCGACTCGGCGACGTTTCTTCGGCGGTGGGTCTAATGAGCCGCTTGTAGGCTCAAGTGGTGCGTCGACGACCGGTGGGAGAGTATGTACTGGTGCGTGGGTTTCGGTGTCCTCTGGTGCTGCCAGAGCTATGTCTCGTGGAGGGAAGGGAGCTTGCTGGTGTATCGAGTCATCGAGATCCGAAATAGATACTTCCACATGCCCGCCTTGGGCTTCGACTATTGAGGGTTCGTTCGTGGGACTGGGTTGGCTTTGTCCCGCCGCACTTGTATACATCGTCCACGGCCCTGGGGTGGCTTGTGGGGAGGTTGGGGAGGTCGACTGCTGGTGTTCGGGCAGTGTGTCAAGCTTGGGAGTGTTTGCAATCTTCTTGAAATTGAGCTCGTTTTTGAGGCTGAGCAGTAACAGAGCGTCTTCGTTCATCTCGGCGGCGGCTGCGCTGCTGTAGCCGCCACTGGTTTTCGGTCTGTCTGGGCGCGGTGACCATTCGAGTGTGGGTATTCGCTCCGACTTGATTCGTTTGGCTGGCGGGCCATTCGAGTAGTCGTTGTGGCTATAGCGGCGGGTGGCATTGGATGTCGCAGCACGAGCAGCTGCATGGGGGGTGGCTTTGGGAACAAAAAGAGGGCTTGCATTGACCAAAGCAGGGCTGGTTGCAATGGCAGCCGTGGCAAGGTCGTCAATCGTCGAGCCCGAGCGTGTATGGCCTTTCCCCAATGCCTTGGATGTGTAGTCTTGCGAGGGGATTCTAGAGCGGCCATTGTGTTTCGCTGCGCGACCTCTTATCTTGCCCGCAATATGAGCGGAGCCATGCTGGTCATAGTATAGGTGATCGGGCTGCTCAGCAGTCTCGTCGCCGACAAGCCCTCCAATGTCGGAAAGCCCGAGGCCTCTTATTGAGTGGCCGTTGTTAGGAGAAGTGCTCAAGGGGATAGCAGTATCGTAGGCGCGGGATTCGAATATGGGATCAGGGGAGAGGCGCTCAATGTGTTCGTCTAACGGGCGCACTGGGCTCGCGCCTCGCGACGCCGCCGGGTCTAGGCTCCGGCGCCAGATGGTCGAGGTAGGCATCGTCCTCGTCGTCGCCGTCGATGGGGAAAGCTGCGCGACGTGGAACTTGTTGCGGAGGCGGGGTTTGCAAGGTCGAGCAGCAAGTAGCAGACGGGACGGGGTGGAAGACGTTGACTACATTGATGGCGAAGCTTGTGTGATCTCCGGCAGCAGGCCAGGCGCAGTGAAGAGAGCAATGGAGGTCGTGGAGTGGTAGAACAGGTGTGGTGCAAGTCGAGGGTTGCGGTTCGGAGTTGCTCGAGGGAAGTTGACGAGCACGCTAACCACGCTTTACAATTTCACCGCAGTCAGTCACATCTCAATCACCACCGACTGTCGCCAGCGCCACACTCGGTCACGAAGAAGACTCTCACCCCGCACCTATACCGTCCCGTTCACTACCGCGATGTCGCGATCCAACAGACTCGCCCCGGAGGCCAACCGCATCCTCTTCGTCAAGAACCTGGCCTACGACATCGACAGCCCCGCCCTATTCGATCTCTTCGGCAAGTTTGGTCCAATACGTCAAATCCGCGCTGGGACCTCGACGACCACCAAAGGCACAGCTTATGTCGTCTATGAAGATGTCCTAGATGCGAAGCAAGCCTGCGACAAGTTAAATGGGTTCAACTTCAGAAATCGATATTTGGTTGTGCTGTATCATCAGCCGGAGAAGATGAAGATGGAGGTGAAGGAGGATATCGCTACGAGACAGGCCAACTTGGAAAAAATCAAACAGGAGCATGGTATTGACTGAGCAATGTTGTCAATCACGGTGCTGTCCGGTTATAAACAGGCGCATACACTCGCTAGACTGCGGCTTGCAGCACAACGACTCCGCAAGGTCATGCTGGTACAATCACTATACAATTCCTGCGATTGGCACCACGCAAGGAGGTCTCGACAAACCGCTCCAGGGCCCGGGCGCGATTCGGCGACATAGCATTGGAGGGGGAAGCCAGAGATTCATGGGCCGGGGCGGCCGTGATCTTGTGTCAGGATAGTGAGGGAAGGAGTAGGGGCCGGACCGGAGGAGTCTGGTCTTGAAGGATGATGTTCTATTCAGATATTGCAACAGTGGATTGCTTCTGCTGGGATTGAAATTGGACAAGAACATCGCAGCGTCGAGAGTGACCTGCGACGCAGACTCGACCAGACTTGCAAGCCTTTCATACATGCCTGCCATCGTCCACCTTCTTGTACACCTTCCACCCCTCGGTCTGCAACCGCTGCTCCTTCTCCAGATTCTCCTCTTCCATCTTCTTCAAATGCTCCGCCACCCAATCCCTAGCCTTTTCCTCACTACTGCCCACAATCCTCGCCGCCAGAATCGCTGCGTTGACACTGTTCCCAATCCCCACTGTTGCGACTGGAATGCCGCGCGGCATTTGCACGATAGCCATGAGGCTGTCCAGGCCGTCCATTGAGCTGGCTTTGACAGGGACGCCTATTACAGGCACAGGTGTCTCCGATGCCATCATCCCCGGCAGGTGTGCTGCGCCACCCGCCGCTGCTATGATGGCTTTCAAGCCTCGTGCAGCAGCCTTCTTGCCAAAGTCGAGCATGTACTGCGGCGTGCGGTGCGCCGAGGTAATATGGACTTCGTATGGGATGTTCATGGTATCGAGCAGTGTGAGGCCAGGACGCAGCGTGGCGAGGTCGGTATCGGATCCCATGCACACCGCGATGAGTGGTCGCGGAGATGGTGCGGGATTCTTCTTGAGGAGCTCCGCCTGCGTTGCTGCAATGGAGGCAGCTGACGAAGAAGATTTGTCGTCGCGGTGCAAGCGCACGGCATCAGCCCATTGGATTAGAGGGTGCATCTTGATTTCGCACTCTGATATGCTCGAGCCCGTGATGGTGATGTGGCCCATTTTCCGGCCGGGTCGCCCATCACCTTTGCCGTAGAGGTGGATTCTGGCCCCTGGGACATCAAGAGCGGCCTGGGCGACTAGTAGATGGGAGTCAGGTTGCGGTCCGCCTAGTATATTCAACATGATAGCCGCCTTCACTGTCAATTCTGTCGCTCCAGCGGGTATCCTTGACGCCAAACCTGGAAGAATAGCGCGGATCTGCGCCTCGTACTGTGACATATGGCATGCTTCGATTGTGTAGTGGCCAGAGTTATGTGGTCGTGGTGCGATCTCGTTGATGAGCAGACTGTCATCATCGAGGAGGAACAACTCGACTCCAAAGACGCCAGTACCAAGAAAAGTAGACACAGCCTGTCGAGCAAGATCTTGTGCTGCTTTCGCGACTTGCTTCGAGACCTCTCGAGCGGGGGCATAGACCAGTTTGCATATACTGTCTTCGTGGATTGTTTCGACCGTTGGGTATGCGAGGGTATTCTTCTCCCAGCTATCGAGATCAGCTTCTTGTGCAGTCTTCACCACCATTGCCGCCAACTCCATCTTGAAGTTTGCCCACTTCTCGGCGTACAGAGGTCGGTCTTTCAGAGCTGCAAGGGCCGGTTCAATGTCTTTCACCGAGTGGACCGGATAATTGCCCCTTCCATCGTACGCTTCGGTCCGGGACTTTAGCATCATGGGATAGCCCAGCTGCTCTGCAATGTCCTTCAGGCCTTGGGGATGCCAAGTGCCCACTGCGATGGACTTAGCCGTGGGGAGGCCGTATTTTGCATAGTGCTGCTTCTGTAGAAATTTGTCCTGGATCGTCCGCACTGTCCGCCAACTGGGCTGGATTCTCGACCACGTGGAGCCGTCCACATGTGGTCTTTGTTCCTCCAGCTCCTCCAGCACCTTGGTGTCGACGTGCTCGATCTCGTACGTGATCACATCACATTTGGCTGCTAGCTGCTTGACGTCGGAGGCCTTGGCGAAAGAACCGGTGACATGCTTGTCAGATGCGACCAGGTTGATCTGTTTGGCTGGTGCATTCTCGCTATCAAGGACGGCCATTTGGATATTCAGTCTGTTGGCCGCTTCCACCTGCATGCGACCCAGTTGGCCGCCGCCCAGCACACCGATGACATGCTTGTCCATCCTCGGTATCAAAAAGCGCTAGCTTGTTAAAGGGGAGAACGATCGATGACAGAGATAAGAATATTGGGGGTTTCCCAGATCTCCCCGTCAAAGGACGAGTAAGATTGGACCGAAGGAGACGACCAAATGGTGGATTACTTGAGAGAGAAAGAGTCAAGTATATGCTGTGTTCTTGGTGCACCGCTGGGTTACTTACGCTTACTTCTTAATTTTTCTTTCCTCACTTTTGCGGACGCCCACCGCTTGTGCTCGGTGAAGCTTCGCTGCATGGTCGATCATCTCCGGACATGGGCGTACGAGGCGCAACTGCGACTGAGGTCGGATCTTCTGCCGTAGTTATTACGGTGGAGTATTTTATGACTGGCGAAGAACTTGTAGCCTAAACTCCGGCCTGAGGCTCAAGCACTCGTGTCACCAGTGAGGCGACACAAAATTGCAGCCCAAATATTCCGTACGGAGTAAAGACTCGTAGAGCTCCCGAAAGCAGGAAATCATCGCCTGAGGCCGGGCTGTGCGCTATGTACATTCCTGGGGCAAGCATCCGGGGAAGTAGGTAAGACACGTCGCACAAGCGTAACCTTTGTAATTGTACAGCATCATCACGCTGCAACCATCGCACACATCGTCGTTCAAGGTAAGTGGCGGCGAGCGTTGGGGTGATACGAGTCACAACACCAGTGACCCAGGCACTCGAACAGGGATGCTGTGCCGTGGATCATGACACGCAGGGGCTCATTCGCTTGCGACGCCCTCTTGCTTGTTCTTGCATCACCTGTGGCTGGCCAACGTGTTCAGGCTGCTTCGCATATTTCCACTCGTGTTCAGCTGGGCCAGTAAGTTAGGTTGGGCAGCGACCGATGCACTCCTCATTCTCCTAATGCAGGGAATCCTCTACAAAGGCACAAACGAGCTCGACTGTGAACCGTGGTAACCTGTAGTGTCGCAGCTCGCTTGACGAGGGACATCATGCAGCCAACTAAGAGTCGATGGCCAGGTCCGGTGCAGCCGCGATCCCCGTCGTCGTGCCGTTGCTTTGGCAAGGTCCGTCGCGGGGGCGGTAGCGCGGGTGCCCCGTAAATCTGGTTCCGGGTGCATTCCGCGTAACCAACGGCGGCGTTCGAAGCTCGCTCCCTTGGTCTACCCGGGTCCGGGGACAAGGGTATGAGAACAATCGAAAACTTGAATTGCCGGCCGACCTTCGGTGACCTCTGCCTTTCGGGTGATATGGACGTGGGATGGATACTCCGATAGGAAATGAGCTTCTATAGTGTTGCAAGTACCGAAACCATGGTGTTGCTAGTAATCACGTTACGAAGCTGTCAGGGGAGCTTGGATAGCTCGATATTGAAGGGGGAGTGACAACCCACTCCCCTAGCGAGATATGGGGAGACACATTCTCGATCCTTTCAATCGATCGGGTGCACGTCAACCTCGCTCAGTTCTCGATTGCCCAGTCACACAGCACAGGCAGGGCGATCAATCGGCTCACAAATTCCAGCGACGCTTGCCACTCACGCATGTCTCAGAGCCTAAGGACCAACGAGTCAAATGCCAGCACAAAGAGTTTAAGGCCCCGGAGTACAAGAAAGCAGGAATGGATTCGACGATGACCAAGTGGCTTTTGATACAAACGAGCTAGCCTGGAAACAGTCCCATTTGCTCGTCCCGGACGCGGCGTGGCTCGTGGCGCTCCGGGGAAATCTCTGGCGTGTTGGGGGTTTGGCACGGGCCAATCCAGCCGGATTCGTTTGAAAGGTGAATCCCACGTCGCCTTGACCGCTAGATTTTTCTGAACCACATTTGCCAGGACTCCCACTCTGTTGGCAAAGGGGTATTTGATACCCAGGCTCCCTCGAACCGCTGGTCTCCCCTTCTTCATTACCACTCTTGCCTACAGACATAAGTAGCCTTCATCCATCAGCCGACCGAACTCATTCACAAGAATTTTGTTTCATCACCACATCCTCAGCCTTGTCTTTTGTACCTGCAGTAACTGCCGATCATCGCCAGCAACCGGAAAGTCTCCCCCCTCGGTGTGAGTAGATCACCCCCCTAATATTCGGCTATCAGAATCGATACTGATTATTCTCTATAGTACTCCCACAGTCCAAGATCACGAAGCCTCTGTTTCATCTGAGCACTCTGTCTCCCGACATCATGCAACGCAGCTCCTATCGCTCGACGGTGCTCTCCTCGGAGACCTCGACCCGAGATATGCACAAAGCATTCGAAGCATCTCCACGGCCCAAGTTCGCATCATCCTCTGATCGACGACAATACCCCGAACACCATCCTCCTCCACCTCCGCCATCGCCAGTTCACTGGACTCGTGAGAAACAGAGCCGCTAAACCTCGATTTCCAGCACGGCGTTCGGATTGCAATGTTTCGGTGATGGTTGTACTGCAATAGAGGAGTCTTGTTTTTGGTGGGTTTACTTCTGGATTGTCATGTATACCCAATCTTAATTCGCCCATACGGGCTGAGGAGCTCTGGCAAGGGCACCGGCAACAAAATGTTGCCGGTCATAACTTGGATTTTGTCATGTCACATAGTCTCATTAGCCCTCCGCATGAGGCTTGTCGACTCTGTGAGAAGTCTCCGTCGACTCTGGGCCATTTGCACCAGATTGGGAATTGGATTCTTGTGTCCTCACGAGAGCATCTACATCCCTTTCGAAGACCTGAACGTTAACGGGGTCTTGCGATTCCACCTGGTCGGGCGATGGCTCCTCTTGATTTGTGGGTGACTGAGCGACATCAGCTTCTCTCTGTCGCTGTTGAATTTCTTTGAGCTTCTCCAAGAAAGAAGCTTGCTTCTCTCTGATTCGGTCCTCGGTCCTTTGACTAGCCAGGGCGTTGTTGCTGTCTTGCGGCTGTCCGTTCTCCACGTTACCGTCTGCCTCTTCAGGTCCAGTCGGTCTCTTGATTATTTTGGCTTGATGGCCAACAAGCTTGATTCGCGATGTGCCAATCAGGTTGTAGTCTTCCATTGATCGTAAAGCTTCAGCGGTATCAATCGTGTCTGGGTGAGTGAAAAACATATTTGTGCCCATCAAGTCACTCCAGTTGCAACTGTACACTTCGCCCTGGTAGGAGACAATGGGATTGACCGAGTCCAGGTCGAGAATCTGCACACGTGCCTGATAGGGCTTGAATCGATCTTGCTCGCTCGCTGCAATGTGGGCGGGCGTATCTTGTGATTCCTGCATCGGTGTGCCATGGGCTTCTTCTGTTGGATCACTCGCATGATCCGGACTGGGTTCTTCTGGGTGGAACGTGTGTGCAGAAGTGCCATCAATCTTTCTTTTTGCAGGAGTCACCGTCCGGGGCATGCTGACGGGGCCATCATGTGTTCTGATTCCCGGGTTGAGAGAAGAGAGGTCAATATCAACGTAAAAGGTCTGTTTCAAACATGTAAGGAAAGATCAATCAGACGACGCAAGAAGCACGTAACGGTCCAATGCAAACCCTACCTCTGTCTCATCTTCATCGTACTCGTACTCATACTCGTCCTCGTCGTCAATCTCAGGCTGTTCCATTTGCGAAAGGGAGCTTCGTTGATCGTCATTGACGAGTGGTTGACACGAATATCGACTGGTGAGAACTGTGGCAATCACGTGAAGGAACCAAATTTCAAATGACAGAGCTGGCTGCGGGCTTCATTTCCAGCTGCTGGCCACCAAGTCACCCCCGCCGCCACTGCCGGAACGCTTGTCACCGCCTTAAGCATCGCCGAGGCCTCGACAATGCACACATTGCAGCTGTCCGACGCTCTATCGCAGACGGCCGCTCCAACGTGTTAAAAACTGCTAGCTTTATTCGCGGCATGAGTTATTTGAAAAGTTGGTCTGGACAAGGAATCACCTCACCGCCAACAGTTTGATGGCAGGAGTGAAACAGCCACGACTGCAAGCGATGCTGTACCGTGTACTCCGTAAACCAACTCAAGTTCAGTACGTAGGAAGGTGCCGAACCACGGCCAGCGGATTGGTTCACTGGCACTCTATTCGGTACCTGTACAAGTAATAAGGTCCCAACTTGGTCGCCTAGTTTAACCCGCCAGTCATGCCCGGTGAATCCAGAGTGATGGGCTCTGGTCTGATACAGCCTAGCGCCCGGAAGCCTAGGAGGGCGACAACGGCCTAATCTGGTTAATCGAGGCTGCCCAAGTTAACGGATCGGGGTGTCAGTCCCTCGAGGCGAAACAACGTGTGCATCACGAGGGGCACGACTCGCAAAGTTGGAAACTTGAAGTCGACGCCGTCACTCCCGGTCCTCCCAATTCCAACCCTCACCCCATCCCTTCCATCTCTCTAGTCATCAATAGCCTGTGGTTTCAGCACATGTGGAAACCCTTCTATAGCGTCGAACTTCTGACTCATTCAGCAACAGCAGCATGACTTGCCCGCCCCCCCCCATCACCAAGACCCCGATAAGATAGCCACGACAAGAGAACCCGGAGTTCCGACTATCGATCAGCTTCCGGGGCCACTTGGCCAATCACATATCGCCCATCCGAGTTGAAAGAGTACGTCAATCCCCTCATTGCCTGTTTGTTGCCCAGCCGGAGTTACGAGTACGGAGTATTACACATCTGCAGGCGGAAGCCGGCGGAATGTGGCATCGTTATTCAGTGCTCCAAGCCGGTGCGAGTGAGCTGTCGACTCTCTGGGAGCCCACAGCGGAGCCATCGAAGCTTTGAGCCCTGCATTTTATGCTCCCTATGCATAGGCTTGCCCTCACATAAGCCTGTTTCCTCAATGCAGTCACTGGCGCTGCCATTCCGAGCCTTGTTCGGCCGGGCTGCCGTCCTGACCGTAACATCCGCATGGTGCTTGGTGCTCTTGTCAAATCACATCCCTTCGTTTGTTGTCAGCTTGCCTTCCTCGTGATGATCAGGCTAATCCTTTCGGCGTTCGCGCTGATGTACAGTGGCCTTAGCCTCTGGCTACCATCATGGCAGCCAACCACCGCTTACCCAACCCATTTTACATACACACTCGGCCGGACCCTCGATACTTCCCAGTGTTTCTTCCACCGCGACTCTCGTCAGTCTAGCACAAAACCACGCTCTTTCTACCGCGCAGGCGCCGTTCGGCTCGCATCTCGACTCACATCCCTCTCCCCTCACCGTCGTCGTCGAGTCTGCTTCACAGGAAGTTGTAGAACCCATTACTCCACATGAATCGGTGAGCGGCACGGCTTTGGAGGGAGCAGAGCAGATGGGGCAGGTCAAGACAAAGGCCACCATTGGTGTGCTGTCGACCATCATACTTTACATGTGCACGAACAGCATTTTGAAGGCAACCCATCCAGAAGCATTTATCTGGCAAGATGAAGATCGGGAAGAGGCTCGCTGGATCGCCACGTCCCGATACTGGCTGGACAGGAAGTGCTGCCGCTGGCTCGGGGTCTGCGGTGGGCTTCACATGCACCTCTCGTCAGAAGGGTCCAGGTTTGGCCATCGGCCTAAGACGAGCCTCAAACACAACCTGGTGGATCAGAGCTCTCACTGGGACTGGCAAACTGCTTGGACAGAGGGTAATGATAGACCTGAGGACTGGACCGCCGACGAACGTGTTTTGAGGGAGATTCCGGACTACGTCATGGAGTATGCTCCTCTGGTTCACCTCTATTCCCAGGAACAATTTTGGCCCTGCGATATCGCCGAACACCTCTACCACATTACACCCACGTTGAACTACACGCCCGTACAGTCTGAACAGCAACACCCCACCCTGCAGAATCTTGACGAATTGAACCAGTGGCAGCGTGGCCGCTGGGTGTTTCTGACTAGCAACGACAACGTGGAGCAGCGGCCAGAGTGGTTGGAGGGGGAGAAAAACATACCAAGGGGACCAACAAGTCCAGATGACCAGTTTGAAGGCAATGAGGGCTGGGTGCACAAACCAGGGAGGACGTATCTCCAGGGTGTGAAGAATGCAATGGCTGGCGTAAAAGAATGGTTTGCGCCGAACCTCGATGGCTTCGAGCAAAATGACGACTTTCAAATGACAGCGTCCGGCCAACCAAAGAAGAGCACGTCGGCACGCCATCCACACCGTGAACTGAAGAGGTCAATCGCTTCGCCTAAAGATGGCACGCCGCCGAACAGGCTACGAGGCGGTCGGAGCGATGCACCTGCAGTTCTCGTCACCGTGAACAAGGGCCATGGCATCGTCGACGCTTTTTGGTTCTTCTTTTACAGCTTCAATCTGGGAAATGTCGTACTCAACGTCCGTTTCGGCAATCACGTTGGCGACTGGGAGCACACCGCCATTCGTTTCCAGCATGGTGAGCCAAAAGCCGTCTTCTTCAGTGAGCACAACTTTGGCTCGGCCTACAGCTACGAGGCCGTCGAAAAGATCGGCAAACGGCCGGTGATATACTCGGCCTATGGGACCCACGCCATGTATGCCTTGCCCGGAGCACATCCATATATCCTGCCCTGGGGTATCCTTCACGACTTGACCGATCGTGGCCCACTATGGGACCCAGCCTTAAATTCCCATGCGTATACATATGACTTCAAGAATGACACGCTTCGATCGTCAAGCCGAACACCCAACGCGCCCATCGGGTGGTTCGATTTCGCCGGACGCTGGGGTGACAAATTTTACCCTTTAGGTGACAAGCGTCAGTACCGATTCGCAGGTCAATATCACTACGTCAATGGGCCTCTGGGACCGAAGTTCAAGCGGCTGGGGAGAAAGAAAATTTGCCAGGGTGCGGACTCTTCTCCGTGCGTGATCAAGAATTGGCTGGGCAGCGGAGACAAGATCGGGCGTCTACCCCATGCCAACCCTGACGACGACGAGGACGGGGATGGCAATCTATAGACGAGCGGAATGAGGGTGGAGATGTGATGTCGATTATGCTCGTGTTGACCTCGAGTCACGTCCTTTGATGAAACTGCATCATGATACCCCATTTGAGATACCATGGACTCCTTGCGGAATGGCCGCCGGCGTTTGGGAATGGGAAGACACTGTGCCTTGATGGTTTATTGATACCCTCTCTGCCATAGACGTGGTTGGTGATGCCTACACAGTACTACATATCTGTAACAACGGCTGGATATAGCATCACTGAGCTAGAAATGCGAGACCATGTTCTTCGCAAGACTTGAAAACTGCTCGTAGCTCCCTTTGGAACTCAACCAGACCCCACCGCTTTTATCCTCGTTGACTTTGTCACTCACCCTCGTCTCACCCTCTCCTCTCCTCCCACCTACATTGCGCTCACCCTTCATTCACCATCGTCTTCGATGGACCCGTTCCGTATATAGTCCTATCTCTATACTCTACACCCTCTGATCTACCAGAATCTAATATTGCGGGCGATCAATATGGCCCGGTTCTGGGTCCTCCTCATATCTACTGGATGCCAAATTAATTGGACCAACCCAGTATCCATGACGCCAGTCTTTCGAAATGTCTGTTTTTCTTACATCTTCGCACGTCTTCTTGCCTTGACATAGCTCGGCACTCTCTCCGGCAACACCTTGATCATCGCCTCCAGCCATTTCCTCGTCGTAGCCGGATCAATCACGCTGTCGATCTCAGCCGCCATGGCCATGTTGATGGCCTTGCCTTCGTCGTACATGTGATCGATCATCTCCTGCTCCTTTTCCTTCCTCTTTTCCAGATCTGTGATAGCTTCCAACTCCTTCCTGTACGCAAGCCTTACGGCGCCTTCGATCCCCATGCCTCCGAAGACGGCACTCGGCCACGCCACGCACATGCTGTTGTTCAAACTCCCTCCACCGAGCATCGCTTGCGCGCCCAGTCCGAAACCGTTTCGCAGGACGATTCCCAGCACGCGGCCGCCGAGAAGGGCAAACTCCTGCGAGTTGCCGAACCAGTCGCCGAAGCAGCGGTACGTGCTCCCGGCGCCTTGAGCTTCGGTCGAGCGCTCAAAGTCCGGCCCGACCATGAATCCGGGGGTATCGCAGAGACTGAGGAGATGCATGCCGCCTAGGCGGATGAGCAGACGTAGAAGGCGGTTGACTTTTGCTCCGGACGTGACGTCGATGGCGCCGCCTAATGGGGATGAGGAGTTGGAGGCGATGATTGCGATGGCCTGGCCATTGATGCGGCCAAAGCCGGTGAGCACCGAGAGGCCCCACTCGGGACAGAACTCGATGAAGCTATCGTCGTCGAGAACTAGGTTGATCACGCGACGAACATCATAGGCTCGGCGACGAGATGACAGGGGCGGCACTGCGGTGCGGAGGCGAAGAGGATCCGATGTGTAACGCGTCTCCGACGGTGGCAGCCGCGGATGCGTGAACAGCGCAACAATCTTGCGGACGAGCGGCGCGGCTTCGACCTCGGTGTCCACTAGCACATCAATGCCACCGGAGCGCATATGGACGTCGACCGGACCGATATGTTCGTGCTCGAACCGGCCCAGGCCACCACCCTCGATCATGGCTTGACCGCCCATGCCGATCGTGGTGGACTTTCTCGACGGCGCATCTTTGGAACCGCCTCTTGTGGCTATGACAATGTCGCATGTCCCCAAGAGTGCGGCGTTACCGGCAAAGCAGTATCCGTTCACTACTGCGACAGATGGAATCCCTCGTGCCTTGATCTCGCCCAGCAAAGCAAATGATGGCGTCTTTAGGCCCGCCATGCCCAAGTGATCGGTGTCGCCTGGTCTTCCGCCGCCCCCTTCCGCGTACAACACCAGGGGCGCAGGGTGATCAATGACTGATTGGAAGATACGGTCCAACTTCTGATGATGGAAGTGTCCTTGTGTGCCGGCAAGGACGAGGTAGTCGCCAATGACGACTGCGACTGGGTGAGAGTCTATCGTCGCCCAGCCTACGATGATGGCATCCCCGCTGGTTCGAGCGATGAGATAGGACAGGGGGTACCTTTTCCTCTGTGCCGCGACCACAAGGTCTCCAATCTCGTTGAATGAATCTTTGTCTACGAGTAAGTCGAGATTCTCCCGGCCTGTGAGGTATCCGTTTGCATGGCGCTTGGCGACGTCCTCTTCGCGGACAGAGTACCGTAGAAAGGCCTTGCGTTCGTTCAGCTCCGTCAGCTCCGGCCGCAGCTTCTCTGGGTTCGCGGTTTCGGCTAGATCGTCCGTATTGCTAGACGAATTATCGCCATCAGAGCGGGTGAAGAGAAGGGCATCCCCGGCGTTGACTTGCTGCCCTTGCGTGACGGCCACCTTGGCCACAACGCCATTGTAGGCACTCCGGACGGAATGTTCCATCTTCATGGCCGCTAGAATGACCAATTCTTGGCCAGCAGTGATCTTGTCGCCTGCACTCACCTTGATGGAAAGGACAACGCCGGTGATATGCGCGAGCAACTCTTCAGAGCCTTCAGGTCGCTCAATTTTGGCCGCGTCCTCCTTTGGTGAGGTATTAGTTTCTTCGGAGGTGCCGTCACCTTCTTTAGCCCGCAACGCGTCTTCGATCTGCTGCGTGGCGCTGTACAGCGCCACGAAGTTCTCCTGGATGGTCAAAATGTTGCTCTTGCCCTCTTGCACGATTGGGAGATCCAGCAAAGCCATTAGGAACGCCTGATTCGTTCGGCATCCTACGATCCTTGTCTCGTCGATGGCCCGACGAGCGAGCCGCAGGGCGGACTCGTACGAAGAAGAGGTGACGATGAGTTTCGCCAAAAGGTTGTCGAACAAAGGGCTCACGGCATACGACCGGCCTCCTTCAAGAGCTGTCTCGACTCGCACGCCCGCTCCTGGAGGGAAATGTGCCTGTCGAATACTTCCCGCTTCAGGCTGCGCGGTGCCATCTTGCGTGAAGCTTTCGGCGTTGATGCGTAGCTGTATGGATGTCAGTCGAGGTGGTGGAGGCTCCCGCGTTAGCTGCAGATCTGCCAGCGTGCGTCCCAAGGCAACCTGAAGCTGTAAATCCACTACATCAATGCCATTGATCTGTTCGGTAATGGTATGCTCGACCTGTATCCTGGGATTCGCCTCCATGAAATAATAGCCTCCGCCTGCTGCATCGACAAGAAACTCGATTGTGGCGAGACTCCGCAACTTCACTACTTTCCCTAGTTTCACCGCCGTTTCGATGATGGCTCGCCTCAGCCGTGGCGTGATGGAAGGCGAAGGCGCAATCTCGATGACTTTCTGGTTTCTGCGCTGGAGCGAGCATTCTCTTTCCCAGAAATGGCAGACTTCTCCAGTGCCGTCTCCGAGAAGCTGGACCTCGATGTGTTTGGCACCGTGCAGATATCGCTCCGCGAACAAGCTCCCATCGCCGAAGGATGCATGTGCCTCTCGCTGACAAGCCTCGTAAGCCGAGCGGATGGCTTGCTCGTCCGTACTGTCATCAATGATGCGGATGCCGCGCCCTCCGCCGCCAGCTGCGGCCTTCAGAATGATTTTGCTGGCTGGGCCTAGGCTCTTTGCGAACGCCAGTACTTCTGCGATGGAGGAACCTCGACCGCATACGGTCGTCGTGCCCTCTAGAACCGGTATCCCTGCATCTGCCGCTAATGACCTCGCGCTGATCTTGTTTCCAAGTCGTGCCAACTGCTCGCTCGATGGTCCGATGAAGACGATGCCTTCATCCTCGCATAGTCTCACGAACCCAGCGTCTTCGGACAAGAAGCCGTAGCCCGGTGCGATACCCCAGCATCCTTCTTTCTTCGCGATGTCCACAATATTGGCCGCGTCCAGATATGCACGTGGACCTTCTCCTGGGAGGGCAACTGATGAGGTTGCAAGGCGCACGTGTGCCGCATCCTTCTCAGAGGGAGTGAACAGAGCTACTATGTGGATGCTGGAGTAGAGCGAGTACGTCCTGACGAGGCGGCATGCTATCTCGGATCGATTGGCTATGAGAATCTTGATGGGTTGAGAAGACAACATCCTGGACGCAACCCACTAAGGCGGTCATCTACTGGAGATGGATAGCTGTCGTGTGTCTCGCACACTAATGATCTTTGTCGCGTTTCCAGGTGTCTGCAATGTTCATGAATGTGGACTCCAAAAAACTGTTACCGCGGTCCCCGGCTGCTCGGCTGAATTCGACGATGTCCCCATCAAGCACGCCTGTCTAGCAGTTTGAGTGCTCTGACCAACCTCACTTTCAGAGAAGTATCCGTAACGGCCGCCAGCTCCCATGGCGCGACACCCTAGTTTGTCCCAGAGGAGGATGAGCGGCGAGCAGCTTTCCCCAACCCTTGGCAGTAGACTGGAGGGGTACCTAGGTAGGTAGGTACTTACGTCCTAACCTCGGCATTTCCAAAGTTGGACTCCAGACACGTACGTACTGCTCTTCCTTCGTCTATCTCTGTCATGAGGTCGCTGGGACACAAAATTAAGATTTGAAGGTCAGCGTCCCGAGCCTTGAAGCTGAAGATTTGCCATTGGAATGGTGGCACAGCTGAATTGCAATAGGTGCCTTTTGTGGAGTTGTTGACAGCCGGGATCGTTCAGAAACGATATCGACTTGCCGTGGGCTCAATCGCGTACACAAGTATCATGGGTATCCCGCTCATGCCTCATCGTGTGCAGCTGAGATGACATTATCGCGCTGAGCATTATCAACGGGGGCAACCCGGACAGACAGAACCAGGCAGCACTGTGGTGGCACTGATGGGTAATATTCTGCCCAAGGACGGTGTTTGCTTTAGGATACCTGCAAAACGAGGGAGAAGGCTGTTAGGTGGCTGTTTGTTCGTAAGGTCGATCTCACAACGGGGTGAGCCGACCACCACATATGGGCCAGATTTTCGTGATAGAAACGTCTTTACTTTCCTAGGTGGACGGAGGAGCTCAAGAAGCACAGTGATATGCTCTCAGTATCGTACGCATTTAGAGACGAATGTTCAGGTATCACTCGTGATAATGCTACATCAGTTATCAAAAGGTCAAGGTTGCTTACCCCATACAGTAGGTGAGAGTCCCGTCGCGAATGAATGACGATGTCGCTTGGCAGCGGCTTCCACCCCCGCCTGCTGAAGGCAAACGCTGCCTGTCAAGGTTTCCTGCGCCTCTGTCAAAGAAACTTTGTAATCCTTTAGACCACGCGTCGTGCCAGCAGGCTGACACATATTGTCACCGAATCTACCATATGGGCCTGTGTTAGAGTGCCCTCCTTCATTGCGCACATGCACCCTCCTGGACTACCTCCGTCGCCGGCAGCGCAACTCGACCATGACATCGTTTCAGCACTCCAAACCTCCTCATCACTGAGCCTCGAAATGACCGGCACGTCCCTCATCTTCAGTATAGCCACGGCGGCACTGTCACAGACGTCGGCTTCTATTCCCAACCCAACCAAGTCTCCTGCTGCCCCCACGTCCGACGACGAGAGTAGTGGCGAATGCAAGTTGCTAGGCTCTTTCGCCATCTTGGTTCAGGCAGCGCTGGGTGCTTTGGCTCTGTTATCTTTGGTCTTCAAGAGATGGAGAGAAAGGCCACAGCGACCCTTGAAGGTTTGGTCGTTTGATGTGTCTAAACAGGTTGTCGGGTCGATTCTTCTGCATTTGTTGAACCTTCTTATGTCCATGTTCTCGTCTGGACAGATCGGCGAGAGCGTTGTCAACGCAGCAGTGACTACACTGTCAGCAGAAGAAACAGACGCATACCAACCGAATCCATGTTCTTTCTACCTACTCAACCTGGCTATCGACACCACTGTCGGTATACCCATCTTGATTGGCATACTAAAGATTTTGACCATTGGCGCGAGTTACACACCTCTGGCGCGGCCGCCAGAATCGATCGAGTCAGGCCATTATGGCACGCCCCCAAAGGCTGGCTGGTGGGCCAAACAGTGCCTGCTTTACTTCTTGGGCCTGATCGGCATGAAAATATGTGTCTTCATCATTTTCCAACTTTGCCCTTGGCTGGGGAGAGTTGGAGATTGGGCCCTGCGCTGGACCGAGGGCAATGAAGCGGTACAGATTGCATTCGTCATGTTCATATTCCCTCTCATCATGAACGCGCTTCAGTACTACATCATCGACACATTTATTAAACAGAAGAACGGGCCACAACTCGACAATGAGGAGCACGGTGAGCGTGAAAGAGACGGGGAACACGGCGCTCTGTTGGCGGAGGACGGTTCGGCCCACGGCCAATCTATCGATGAAGACGAGGCCCGTAAGACCAGAAATGCATCTTCGAGCCCGAAACGCTCCGGTCAGCTGGAAAGAATCAGATCCTACGACCCGGACAAGGACGGGGAGCTGGATTCGACCAGACACGGTGGCGCAAGTAGCAGCTTGACGGCTGATGGAGAGGAAGAAGCTATTGAGCATAGGCCACGAGTATGAGGGTAGACGGTGCATTTGGGTAGCGTTGTTGGCGTTTTCGCGTGGAGGGTTTGCGACTGGGGATTATGGAATCGTGTATTATGTGTAATTCCTGTTTGGATATGAATGACATGATCAGGGAGGGCTGAGAGGAATGGCAATGCATATGAGATGAAGGGGCTGAAGGATTATGCCCAACCACGGCTATGGCGTCCGTTCGCTTTCCGTCTCATGTTACTCTGCAGAATCACTTGGATTTCTTCCTGGCCTCTTTTCACAATTGTCCGATCTCAGTGGCTGTTTGAACAGGACCAAATCCCATTCGCTCCGATGCTAAGCGGTGCAGTGGCGGCACAAGCGTCCCGACGCGGGCAGCTGATAGGGCTGCGCCCGTTCCTGGGGACTGCTAGCATCGATGCGGTCAAGCTGGCCCAGCGAGGCTCCATCCAGGCACCGGGCGGCTATCCAATTGCGGGGGAAGTGACGATGATGTCTCGTAACAAGTTCCTGAAATCGCTGTTGTTTTCCCACCATGTGATGCATGCTACTGCGCCAGAAAAACTTTTGTGCCCTTTGCCTCAAGAGACTGATGTATAAGAAGGGGCCACGTTGGCCGCAGGCGTGCGAAAGGGAGACACGTATTGCGAGCTTCGCCCCCAACCAAGTGTTTCAGCTGCTGTGAGATCTTTGGTGTCTTTTCCCTTATCGAGTCGGCGGCATTGGCGAGCCGAAGGGTCTGACCGACCGGAGCGCGTGTTCACCAATTCGGCGTCTCTCGCCTGGATTAAGAACAACATTCTCCTTTGTCCCTCTCGTCAGGTCAAATTCCGCGCACTGTCGGGTCTTGCTACCCGGCTTGATTTGCAGCTGTCCTAAGATTGACCGCAGTCGAAGACAGCGTGATTAGCTGAACACACGTTTGCCTGCCAGAAGAACAGCTCCTGAACTTGGCGGCTGCCCCCCTCCTCTCACATTGATTTTACATTCCATTGGCATATTCTCACTCCCTCTTCTGTCAATCTTGAATTCTCTTTCCGATTATCGAGGTATCACACACCTTCCCCGGGCCACAACATGGATCACCTCTCAGCCAACGGTGACCGGCCACTGAACCCGGCCAAACACAAGATCCTGGACCAGGTTGTGAGAACACCAGGAAGACAACCCTCACCCCAGCCGACTTTATTGGGGGTACCTGGTGCCTCCCACTCGAATCAGTCGCTGCACCGCATTCTCTCGGATCATAGTTCAGGATATGTTGCGCCCAAATTCGAGGGCAAGAAGGCGCAGATGGAAGAGGGTATGTACCCAGTCCACGGAGCTTGAACAGTTGCTGACTGCGAGAACAGTTATGGACCTGATCGAAGACAAGGGCTTCTTGCCCAATGATTTTATTGCGTCCGAAACAGAATGGTTCTACAACTCCCTGGGCATCGACGACATGTACTTCTCCACCGAGACCGTCGAAGCCGTTGCCAGCAACATCCTCTCTCTGTACGCCGCCAAGTTGGCCGCTTACGCACGAGATGACAAGAAGTTGGAGATCAGACTGGCAAAAGAAGCGTCCGATCATGCAGTCTACATAGACACAAGCACACCTGGAGTCAGCGTGATTGAAGGGCCGCGATACGAGCAGCGGATCGACGAGAAATACATTGACGGCTCTACACCAGCGAGGAGCTACAGGGTCGAGTCTTTTCGCTCCAGCAATGCTCTGCCCGACAACCCAGATCAATCCCTGCGATGTTATTTCATCTATCAGTGTCAGTTCAGCAACCCCAGCACCAGCCCAGACGAGACAAATATTGAGGTCATTGGTGAGAAGCGGTTCCTCCAAAAGGCAACCCAGAAGACAAAAGAAATCTACCAGGAGATTATTACTTATGCCGTGTCAAGGACTGGTCCCGTTATCGAGATGTTCGACATGGAGGGTACACGGGAGAAGCGACTTGTTATCGCCTACCGCCAAGGTTCAGCCATGGGTGTCTTCAGTGCATTGTCAGATCTGTACCACTACTATGGAGTTACGAGCTCCAGAAAATATGTTGAACAATTCTCCAACGGCATCACGGTCATCTCCCTATATCTGAAACCTGCTAGCGGCGACATTGCTAAGTCGAGGTTCCCTCCCATCGAGGCCGCGATCCACCAGATCATCAAAGAAGTCTCCCTGCTGTTCTGCATTCCCCAGAACAAGCTGCAGGGACAGTTTGCCAGCGGCAACTTGAGCCTGCAAGAGAGTATCTACGCTCATTGCGTGCATGTATTTGTTCAGCAGTTCTTGAACCGTTTGGGCTCAGAGTATACGTCGTTGGTGGCAGCACTGAAGGGAGATACAAACGCAAACGCGGAGCTGCTCTCAAAGATCAAGAAGCGCCTGCGCACGGAGACTTTCACCTCGGAGTACATCCTTGAGATCATCAACAAGTATCCAGACCTGATCCGGAATCTGTACCTCTCGTTTGCCAGCGCCCACTACGTGCAAACCAGAGGCGAGCAAGATGACTTCATCCCGACGCTGAGCTACCTTCGCTTGGATGTACAAAATGTCATTGATGATGCGACGCTCTCGGAGCTGATCTCCAAGACCACCCAGAACCAGCATGACGAGATGGTCATGCAGTACTTCTTGACCTTCAATCGCGCAGTTTTGAAGACCAACTTCTATACCCCAACCAAGGTGGCCCTGAGTTTCCGCCTCAAGCCCAGCACCGACTTCTTGCCCGAGCATGAATACCCTCAGCCACTGTACGGCATGTTTTTGGTCATCGGCTCCGAGTTCAGAGGTTTCCATCTGCGATTCCGCGATATTTCCCGCGGTGGCATTCGTATCGTCAAGTCCCGTAACAAGGAGCTCTACGCCATCAACGCCCGGACCCAGTTCGATGAGAACTACAATCTTGCCAATACTCAACAGAGGAAAAACAAGGACATTCCGGAAGGTGGATCCAAAGGTGTGATCCTCTTGGATTACCATCACCAAGATAAGACGCGCGTCGCATTTGAGAAGTATATCGACAGCATCATGGACCTCCTTCTGCCTCCCACAAGCCCTGGCATCAAGGACCCTATCGTCGATTTACACGGACAAGAAGAGATCCTCTTCATGGGTCCCGACGAGAACACGGCAGATCTCGTTGATTGGGCTACAGAACATGCCCGAGCTAGGGGTGCACCCTGGTGGAAATCTTTCTTCACCGGCAAAAGCCCGAAGCTTGGCGGAATCCCTCATGATGCTTATGGCATGACTACACTGTCAGTTCGTGAATACGTTTTGGGCATCTACCGCAAGTTGAACCTAGACCCGAGCAAGATCAGAAAACTCCAGACTGGGGGCCCAGATGGAGACTTGGGTTCTAATGAAATACTCCTGGGCAATGAGAAGTACGTTGCCATCGTCGACGGTTCTGGAGTTTTGGTGGATCCTGCCGGCCTGGACCGTGGAGAATTGGTGCGTCTGGCGAAGCAACGGGTGATGATTGCTGAGTACGATATTTCAAATTTGTCGCCACAAGGATATCGCGTGCTGGTCGACGAGACAAACGTCACTCTGCCGTCTGGCGAAAAAGTCAATAACGGCATGACCTTCCGAAACACCTTCCACCTGCGTGATGGATCGCAGTACGACCTGTTTGTACCATGCGGCGGCCGCCCGGAGTCGATCGATCTCTCCACAACCGCCAAGCTGATCGCGGATGGCAAATGCAAAATCCCGTACATCGTCGAGGGCGCCAATCTCTTCATCACGCACGATGCCAAGCTCCGCCTAGAGAAAGCTGGCTGTATCATATACAAAGACGCCTCTGCGAACAAGGGCGGTGTTACGTCGTCTTCGCTAGAGGTCCTGGCAAGCTTGTCCTTTGACGACAAGGGCTTCATTGAGAACATGTGTGTTGGTAGTGACGGCACCGTGCCCGAGTTCTACAAGACCTACGTCAAGGAAGTGCAAGAAACCATCAAACGCAACGCCTGTCTCGAGTTCGAAGCTATTTGGCGTGAGAATGAGGCCACCGGCATCCCTCGCTCAACGCTCTCCGACCAATTGTCACTCGCAATCACCAAGCTCGACGAAGACCTCCAGAACTTCAAGGAGTTGTGGGACAACAAGTCACTGAGGATGCAGGTGTTCAGGGAAGCATTGCCTCGGACTTTGCAGGAGAAGATTGGCTTGGACAAGATCCTGCAACGGGTGCCGGACAAGTATCTCAAATCCATCTTTGGGAGTTACCTGGCCAGTCGATTCGTGTACGAGTATGGTTCTACGCCAAGTCAGTTTGCGTTCTTTGACTTTATGAGCAAGAGGCTAGCTACTGCTGTCACCGATGGGAGGTGATAGGCGTCACTAACGGGCGGTAAACTGGGCGTTGGGTTCGCGACAGAAATCGGTTAGAAAAACACACGGGATGGAGTACCAAGCCGATTTATCTTAGGTCATGCACCGTACTGGGAAGTCCTAGTTGCTAAAAGTACCGGCGTATGTGACGTGTACGGAGGAACTCGTAGTTATACAGCGTTCAAATCCACGGAAGCATTACTGGCGAGGTCTGATACAAAGAGGTGGAAACAAATAGGCGTACAGGGTATGGTTGACCTGTGTCCTGGCGGCTCAAATCGACCGACCAGCCATTTAAAATATTTTCTTCTTGATTCCGGCTTTCCTTTGGTCGACGCGATCTCTTCTCGATTCCAGCTTTTTCCTTTGTTCGAGTCAATCTTACTCGTGACTGCGCATGGTTGCCCTGCCCGGACGAGGCCTTGGCCCGTGCAACACGATAATTACACTGGGCTTTTGCTTCAACGGCATACTGCTGCCAGTGCGCGGAGTTGCGTCCCCAGGATAGTGTATCTGCTTGGCTCATACTCCGTACATGCTCCGTATATTTTGCCAAACTACAAACACACGACCAGGTAGGCAGGATGTAGACACACGGCATCTCCCCACTTCTGACCATCAAATCCGGCATCTGGATCCAACGGCCCAGTAATAGGCTCCACACAGGAAGTAGATGGATACGTATACGGAATAAATATCTCTGATAATTATAGCGTGACGCGTACATGGACACGGAGCACGTCTCGCCGGTCTCCAGGAAGCCGCTCCGTGTGCTACAGTACTTATGTGCCGGGTTGGCATCATCAGAAAAACAGCGGTCGCTATGTACTGTACATAAGACTGTGTCGGCCCGGCGTGCCTACAGTACAGTACAGTACCTACAGTAGGCACCTAATTATAGCAACACCAATGAGTCCCCCGTGCACGTTCCAGCGCATGGGGGCCCGGGTGCAAGTTTCTCAGCACACCTCTGATCGGCGTGGACGTTGACGAGGGAATGGTAAGCTGGTATGATATGCTATGATCTGATATGCTGTGCTATGAATACTGTAGCACACGCACGCTGCGGCGCTACTGATTCCTCCTTTGCTACTTACTACAGCGGATACAAGCACGAAATTCTGGTTTAATCACGGAGTACTGTACTCCGTACTCTGTCTTTCTACAAAGCCCTCGAATTGGAACTTGGCGCCAATTTACAAGTAATGTGGTGTACAGCATGAGTGGCGGCTCTCCCTTCTTTTGCTTGCCAGGATACATCATACTCCGTAGTTGCTGGCCTGTTTGAACCATGTCCCTTCGTGACGCAGAGCATCTCCTATACATAGGTGGTTATCCGGGGTGTTGGCTGTGTAGAGCAGCAGCCGAGGGACCCAGATAGGAGGTTTCATTTGACGGGTTCAGTGGACACAACCGTACCTGGTAGTATTATACTCATATAAAGGTGTGACAATGATACGTTTTGGGCTGCACGAGCGCGGGATGGATAGACAATTATATACAACATGAGGATATCAGGACATCTTCTCGAACGCGGTCTGAAAGTCCGTCTCAGTGCGGTCGTACATCTTTGGCCTCTTTGTTCCACTCTTTTCAGAATGATCCACGACATTCTGAATCAGTTCCTCCTCGTCCTCCTTCACATTATCTGTAGCCTCGACGGACTTTTCTGTGGCGACATCATTCTTCTTCTCCTCCTGATCTGCAGTCTGGTGTCCCGCCCGGTCGAGCGTGCCGTCCGCAACCTGATGTCCCGTCATGTCGTAGGTGCCGTCCGCAACCTGATGTTTTATCTTGTCGTAGGTGCCGTCTATAACACTGACGACACCCTCCGCGCGGACGACGGCCGTCGAACTTGTGCTTCTCAAGGGCGCCATCCTGCCCATGCCCTCGTCGAGCTGATGGCTCTGCAAGCGATCCAGACTACGCTGGCTGCGAGGCGAGTCGCTGCCAAAACCGGCAAGAGAGGTATGCGGACGTGACATCGCGCTTGGAGCCATGCTTGCGACGCCGTCATCAACTTCAAGTTCCTCGCCCCCATCAGAGTTGACGCTCGTCGTCTCATGCGCAAGCGCGCTCTGTGGTCGTCTTGTCGTGGTCGAGCTGGTGTTGGAAGTCTTGGCGGGTTCGCCGACTTCTTGCTGAGCATCACCGTTCTTCATCACGCCAGTGGCAGCAAAGACCGCCCTCGTGCTCGCATCATCGGGAACCATACCACTGCGGCCGGTCATCGTGCTCGCGGCATCGGAGAGGATGGGCGCGTAGTGTGGACTGCTACCGCTATCATCGCGGAGATGGGACGCTGTTTTGAACTTTGGTAGAAATCCGGAGGAAAGTAGAGACGCAGTTGGAGACGTGGCTCGCTCGTCATGAGGCACTGTTGGAATTGTTCCCGCTTCTGGTGACTCGGCTGACGACATTGAATGCTGCGGTGGTACTATCGCGGGCACGAAACGACCTTCAGTCTGCCCTCGGTCGGTCACTGAGATGGTTCGCTTTCTCCCACGAGTCCGTGACTCGCTCGTCGTCCGTTTCGTGCTGGAGCTTCGGTTCCGGCTTTGAGCACGCTTCACGGCCGTCACTTCAGCTGGACTGGTTTCCACTTGGCCATCGGTCCCAAGCGGTATCTCCGTGTCTCCGTCACGCTCTGATACCGGTTGTCCGTCTTCTACAGCCTCTTCTTCCCTCTTCAATGTCGTCTCGTCGTGCTTGCTTCCCCATCCACTCCACATGGCTAGGCCGTAGCTCTTTCTCTTCTTGACGGCCACTATATCCTTGTCTGTCCGTCGCCCGGCAAGCGCGCTAGGAGGTGGATGCTCGCCAGCCTCGAATCCCATAATTTTCCCACTGGCGAGAGCTTTGACTCGTTCCTTCTGCACGCGCTTCCTCGTGCTTGCATATCTCGCGTCCCACGAGGCCTTAGCCTCGAGCCATTTTCTGACCGGACCAGGCTTGATCACTCCGACATCGTCGGGCTGCATTTGGAGAGCGGGCAGATCATGCGGTTCGGCCAAAGGATAGATGCGTCCATAGCGGTCAATCCTTTGCCGAATCATGTTATTTGTGAAAGGCGGTATCGGGTCGCCAGCGCGGCCAACGCTTCCGGTCGTCTTACTTGCATCTATCTTGGCCCGGGAGATGCTATCCGCTGGTGACGCAGCCTCGGCATCGCTCGCTGAACCGCTGTCGCTCTGAGATGAAATTCTCGATATGTTGTCATCGTCCATGATTTCAATTGCACGCTTTTGCGCTTTTGCCAGCACCCACGCCCCAAATTGAGCGACCGAACGGTACATGAACTTGGCAGGACGGGTGAATGAGAGAGTCGGCGCAACGTGGCACAGATCATCCCACACTTGTAACATGACCGGTGTCGGTTTGTACTTGTTCAGTATCTTGTCGTCGGGGTCGTATCTCGATCTATAGGCGGCGCCGAGGGGGTATTTTGAGGGATTTGCCATCTTGTGAGCGAGGTAGATTTGCTCATCTCGTAGGATCTCCCCACCACCAGTCAGAATCAGAACCGGCGGAAGGCCACCGAGGGATGGCTGTAGGACAGGTGACACCAATGGATGAGCCAACAGCTGGTTTGTCGTATACATCTGTATTTGATCTTTCAGGACAACTTGCCTCCCATTTAGCTCAATAGAGAGAGGCAGTTGAGGCCCAGGCTTGACTCCGCCGTCATCTTGAACTGGCACGTTCGTGGTTTTGTCGCGGTCCTGTGCTACTTTAGGTGAGCCCTCATCGCCCCTGGCAAGCCTGCTGATAGTCGCAATTTCTTCGTCATTCGGAGGCGGCCAAGCCGCTGATGGCTTTTGCATAAAACCATAAGCGGGAATGTAGTCGAGTTCAGCATTACCGCTCAGGCTTGGAAACGAATGCGAAAGGTCGACCCACGGCGAAATGAGGATCGCGCCGGCGGGCAAAGGAAGTGCTTGATCCCTCAGCATGCACAGGATCGACACAATCATCCCCCCGCCGGCCGAGTCGCCCGCCAGGATGATTTCGGTCGAGTCGTGCATGTCCAGGAGATAGAGGTACGCGGCAAGACAGTCCTGCAGCCCCGAGGGGAACGGAAACTGTGGCGCCAATCTATACCTCGGGGCGAACACGCGGGCCTTGAGCTTCCGAGCGTGTCGTTGCATCTGATAGCGGTGTTCATCCACGCTGCCGAAGAAGTACGCTCCGCCGTGCACGTACAGCATGACGCGCCTACTCTTGGAGCCCTGCCTCTTCTGCTCGTTGTAATGTGCACGCATTTCGATCCATTCCGCCTTTAACTCGCCCCCTCGCGGCCGCCACTGCCACCACTTCGTACCACCAACGGATTCTACACCCACGGGGCCCAATTGACTGGTGATGGTACGCGCCGCCTTCGCGAGGTAGTCGTCCGGGACCGTGACATTTTCGGTCCTGACCCACGACGGGCTGGGCACCCACTGTCCCGTGAAGGACTGTAGATCCTCGACGGTATGGTGGGAAGCGTATTTGAGGAACGTCCGGATCAGATGCAAGCCTTGATCGTAGGAGATGTGGGCGGTGGGCTTTTCACGGCGTTCCTTTCGGTTCGCGTACTAGATCAAATGTCTGATCAGTCCAGGCCCACGCGTCGACAGAGCGGGAGTGCATACATGAGATATATACGTCTTTACCACAGTCGGAGTGACGGCCGCTCCAACGGCCAAGGTCGTAATGGTCATGTTTGATCACCCCGGACTTCGCGTCTCGCGGAATTTCATGTCTGCCGACATTGTTGACGAGGTGGACGTCGACTGCGCTAGAGTTGAAGTACCAAAGTGCCCAGGCGAGCCAGTCCGTCGGTAAACACGAGCGCGAGATGAGGCTACGTCATACCTCGATTGTGAGTTACCTACGAGTTCGGGGTGAGAGTGTGGAGAGCTTCGAGGATCCACGGTGCAGATGAACCCGCACCGCCGACCTAATTACTGTAAAGCCCCAGTAAAACTCGGGGTGCTTGGCCAGTCCCTACTCGTACTCGTACTGGCAACGCTGCCGCCTCATATCGCTTTTGCGTTGATCCTTCCGTTTCCTGGTACGGAGTAATTAGAGATCCCACTGTACGTTTCGGAGGATGCCGCGGTGCGTGTTTTGCTCACCTACTGTAGTAGTACGCTAGACAATGTTTGAGGTGCACCATAGTTTTGCTCACCTACATGGCATTACGCTAGACAATGTCAGAGGTGCACCATAGTTACATTAGCTGAAGGTGCCAGCGATTCTGCCGATACGGCTCCATAAGCGCATCGGTTGTTGGCAAGTATTTCGCCCTTCGCACCGGGATCGTTGTGAAGAAGACCGTGACTCGAATCGGGACTGCTGACACGGGTCATCTGGTGTGAGAGCCTTGCACAAGTTATTCTGTCACACAAATGTACTTCGTGAGACGGTCGAGCGTCCTTCGAGAAGCAAATGGTTTCGAGTGACTGTCACGTGGGCAGCAGGGGACCGTTCAAAGTCTCTCATCGTGACATCGAGTCTTCCAAATGATGCGCAACACTTGAGCGTTAGACCACATCCAGCAGCCTAAATGGATGCCGTAGCAAATCAACATCTATCCTCTTCGTTTTCATTCTAGGTACCACAGACTCATCTATCTGTACGTCTCGCTGCCGTCACCATCACAGCCACCGTCTTCGGCGACAGCCACGAGCACCTTCCCTCCTCCCTTCTCCCTCGTTCTCGTATCCACTACCACCCTCGCTGTCGGCAAGCTCCGCGCCTCCGCATACAATTGCTCCATCTTGGTCGCCGTGGCATTGAACCTCTGATCCTCAAATAATGCCGCCACCAATGCCCCGATGCCCAACCGCGCCTGCACATCCCGCACGCCATGTCTCTCGCACAGAACCCACGCCCACACCCCCAGCACGATACCAACCACAGGCAGCACCAGATTCAGCACAATCAACGCCACGAACTCGGCGATGGGCACCTTGGCGACCTGCCTCGTTTGGGTCAGGAACGCCCCAACAGCCTGCCGATCCGGGAGAGACCCGGCCGTCAAGCCCAGGATCGTGCGGTCGAGCACTCTGCTGACTTGGTACGCCAGGTCGTGGGGGCTCCCTGCCGACGCGGCGGCCAGGTTGATTCCCGTGCCAAGATTGTCCCTTCCGAAGCCGTACGTGAGAGGGAAGTAGAAGGGCGAACTCGCCGTGTCGTTCATGGGCGTGGTCACGGCGTCGTGTATGCTCCCGTCCATCCGCACCGAGTATGTCACTTCCGATAGCAGCGTGGTGCACGAGAGGATGCCGTAGATGTTTCCGTACGTGTCGGCGACCAGATCCTTGGTCGGGTCGTAATACATGCCGTCGATGGTTGGCGAGTCTTCGCCGTCCTGACGCATGGCTTCGTCGGTGCCGGCCGGCAAGGAGAACAGTACCGCCGACCACACGTGGCCGTGGACGGGGCCGACGGAGGTGTTGAATTCCTTCGAAGATGTGTTGAAGAACTCTAGAAGGACGGGGAAGAGGCCCGATTGACCACGAATGTCGGAAAAGTTGCCGGAGACTCGCAACCCCGCCGCGTCGGGAGTGCAATTGTACGCCCAGCTCTGACAGGCGTTGCAGTAGCCGTCACCGTTGTAGTGCGGCTTGCACCGTTTGGTGGCTGGCTCACATGTTGTTGCGGAGGCGTAGCTCTGCGCCCTGAAATGCACCCCGGATGGAGCACTGGCGGGCGTCAGAATGGCGGTCTCGCCATCGTCGCCCAGACGGATGGTGTTGCGTGTGGACTGATTTCCAAGCGTGAGGTATGCCTCGGTCGAGTTGGCAAACGACGCCGACGCGCCAGATCCGCCCGGGTTGACATTACAGGGAGCAAAGGCAGAGACAGCGGTGGCATTCCAGCAGTCAGTCGAAAGTCGACGGCCCGGATTGAACGCCGTCTCGAGGTACTCGACGGTATTGTGGTATTGGACCGTCGAAGTGCCGATATGCAGAAGAGCGTCAACCACCGTTATGCACACTGCGAGGATGAGCATGAGTAGAAGCGCCAATGCTGAACTGTTGAGCATCGGCACTGCAGCCACCCTCTTCGGCCTTCGTCGAAACATATACTTGAGGTATCGGTAAAGGTCCGTGGTGCTACCGCCGAGCAGACGGATTGTGAGCTCGAATTGAAATGGCGACGGGAGATGGGCCATCTTTCGGGCCCTGGATGCTTTCTGCAGTGTAAAGGCCGCCATGTACGCAAACAGAGTCATGGCCACAGGGACAAGAGCAAGTGCCAACGTCGAGGAGAGGGACGAGATGAATACCAGCCGGGTTGCCGAGTAGTTCACATAGTAGTCTTGTTTGCTGAGCGGTCGGTCCGTGTTATCCGCGGTGATGCTATCGGGGAAGCCGAGATCCTGGCTTCGAGGCTGTAGATTGGCATAGATCAAGTACATCAAGACGGCCGATAATGGAAGGGGAAGAAGCAGGAGCAGACAGGTCAAGATGATCTCCTTCTTGTAGTCTCGCATCATCGACCTCCGCGAAGACGACGCACTCCCTCTCGTTTGCGGAGAGCGATCGTGAGTATCAGGTCCTAGGTCGGGCATGGTGGCATTACCATCGTGATGTTCAGGTAGTCCGGCGACGAATAGATTCGTGCCGCTGCTGCCGTTCGCGACGGCGTTATACTTGGAGACAGGGGGACGAGATGTTCGATGTCCTGGCGGCGTCGACTGCAATGCATCGTATCGAGCACTTTGCATCGACATCGTGGTGTCTGAGATCCTGGCTCTGGAACGTCGATGGCAATGCCATTCTGGGGGCCTGATCGCTATCTTATTCCCTCTGTTCAGCCCGAGTTGGTGTTTGAGTAGCAAGACTATTCTTGAAGACACGCTAATGTTTCAGACCACCAGGCCCCCAACACCTGAACGGGGCGGCTTGCCGCCTCGAGGCAGCCATTGGACTTCCTGCAACGGCGTCCTCAGTGTTGTTCATGTCGTTGTAGGAACCCTGCTGTAGAGGCATTGCAGAGTCAAAACAAGTGGGCCGAATAGATCGTAGTACCTGCATGTTTTCGAAAGTTTGTACTATTTAAGATCTTCAGTCAGGCAGACTCGATGCATTCGAAGGGTACAAAGGAAGGTGCGGGGGGGTCGGACACAGAACCGGGAAGCATGGCAGAAGGTGCTTCTCGTGATGGTCAGTGGCATGGAGGGGGTCCCCACAGGCACGGCCCGAGCACGACGGCAAGCCTGGATTTCGGACCCACCACGCCCAGCCATATCCTTAATTAGGTTCTTGCTGCACATTGGAAACCAGGACATCTGGGCCTAAGGTGACCGACTTTGTTTCAAGCTGGTCGAGGTGTTGTAGCAAGTGCAGTTCGCACAGCCAGAGTAGGCCTAAGGCCGTGAGAACGGAGTAGAGAACATGCAGCCTTGTATCCTGCCTGCGAGAGGGTCATGGCTGGACTCTCATGTCGCTTGCGCGAACCGAGGTGGGGGAGAGTCCAACATCGCGTTCTACTGGGCCAAGGATGTGCTGCGAGTCCCTGCAGTGCCTACGGTATATCACTCGTGGACAGGATTTGGTTGCGTCTGGGTCTCCCAAGGTAGCCTTTACAGTCTTCCGCTATTCGAACACGCCCGAACCATCATAACCAACGATGCGGCCATCCTTTCGCGAGATCTTCCACTTATCGCTGCGTATGTTCCACATACATACAGAGTCTCCCAATCCTCTGAAGGGCGTCAGGCCGACTGCAGACACGTCTCGAGCGGATCTGAGATGATATCCCATCTCAAGGAGACTCTACCTTGAAGTCATCCTCCGCCTGCCCACATGCATTGGCCCAAAACTTCCGCCCCGGCTCATCACAATACGCCTCCATCCATAAGAAGGACCTCATGATCTCCTCGACAATGGGCCACGAATCAGGCTTCCGTGGGACCCTAGTGAACTCCAGCAACGTGGCGAAGCTGCCTAGTAGCTTCTCGCGCTTGCGATATCCGACCGCCTTTTCTGCACACATCCAGCCCCAAGCGACTGCACAGTGGAATAGGCCTTGGTGTTGGCTGGGAACGCCCACCTTGATCGCCCTGGTCAGGATACGTGCCAGCTGTTCGGCGATTTTGGCATGTAGCTTGGTCTTTAGTGGCATGGGCACCACGACGAACACCGCATATGCGAACAGGATATGGCGACAGATCTCGTGGACGACCTGCTCGGGTAGACTTTCGTCGTCGATGAGGTGCTCGGGCAGCATCAAGATATCATGGAGCACGCACCAGCGCATATATCTGACAAGTGCGATTTTGGGAGTATGCAGAGGTTGTTGCTCTTTCGGGAGATCATAGCAACGCAACAGTTGATCAAAGTCCGCCGAGAAAATGCTCGTGTGATCGGCAACCTCCACAAGATGATCAAGACCGGCGTACCCATTGCTGATCAATGTGCGAAAGCCTGTTGTCCGAGTCCGAAGCATGGCTTGTGCAACAACGTCCGGTTCATGGGTCCGCTTACTGATGTGCACATTTGTCGGCACCAGGAGACCGAAATGAGGACGCTGTAATCCCCGCCAAGCTGTCATGATGTCGCACCTTTTCACGATTAGTCATTGGAAGCATAGAAATTTGGGAGCCACTTACAACTGGATGATAATGGCCAAACTCCTCCGTCGCAGCGTAAGAAGTCCTCCTCGTTGGTCGACGATAGAATACACGGCAGTCAGATGTTCCATGCCAATGTCCATGCTTGCATAGTATTCGACATCGTGCAGATGGGACAAAAAGGGCAGCTTTTGCCGCTTGTACGCATCATGGCCCTTTAGGTTCTCGCCGGTTCCATGAGACGCCAAGGTTATCATGCTTAGGAGAGCTTCCTCGGACACAGTGTCGCTGTTTTCCTGTATATACTCCAGAAGCGAGCTGATGGCTTTCGTCTTGTACACAAGCCTGAGCTGCTCGTTCTGCTTCGTCGTCCCGCGGCCTCCATACTGGTATGCATTGTGAGTGGCGCCAGCAAAGACGATTGTGTACCAAGCAATAGGACTATACATGACAGACTGCATCATTTCGGCTCTAGCGGCGTTTAGTCCTTCGCCGTCGGTTAGACACAACTCTGACCAGTGCGATGTGATGGCATGATCCAACATTTCGTGCACGTAGAGTGGAGCGCCGGCGTCGCCGATGGTGTTGAATGGATCGGATCGACTTGCTCCCAGAAGGACCTGGATAGGCAAGTGTTGCTCGAGCTTGAGCTCCGGGACGGCTGGTTCATCTGTTGGATTCACAAGTGGCTTCACTGGCTTGCGAAACTTATGCACGGGCTGGGCTTTGTTTCTCGCTCTGCGCAGTTTGGCGGTCTTGTGATATTCGCGGGCGGCATGTTGGCACCGGGTCACTCCTTCGTCAGAACTGGTCTTCCGGGCTTGCCCTTGGCCGTCGCATGAGATGAACAGGACCTTCATGGCGTTGGACTATCGCTGGTGTAGCTTCATGCTCTGGAAAGTTCCAACCCTAAGATTGTCGTCGAGCAGCTGGTCTATCTTCCGCGAGAAGACGTCCCGATAGCCTCATGTTCAGTCCCGCCTTCACGACGAGTGAATCAGGAATAGCCATCAGTGCTGCCTTGTCCGGAGTGACTGCCATTGGCGCAAAACGTGTCCTTCAAAGGTCTGGAGCTGAGAACCCCCTGTTTGTTCCCGCTTCGCTCATAGGTGCACGAGGTGCATGCTTCGGTTGCGCTTCCTGTATTGGTGCACGGCTAGGGTGGTTCAGCCGACAATTCAAGCCACAGCGGCAGTTGAGCGGGCAAGAAATCTTTCTGAAATGCGCATTGCGTCGAATGAACAAGGCGGTGGCAGATTGAGAGCCGGAGTTGGGCTGATTAGCAGGCCGCACTCTCTGGCCAGATACATGTACCAGAAGCGGGGGCCTCGATGGCATGTGAAGGGTGGACAGACACCGCCTCTGGCAACGCCCGAAAGGTGCGGAGAGCAAAAGCTGCAGAAGGCCAGTGTACATAGGCGATGCTCTTGGAAGTCGACTCAGGTGGTCGAGCCCATCATCTTCTGTGCACAGTGGCCGAGTGAACAGTAAAGCAGTAAGCACCAGTGTTCGGTTTGCGAAGCTCGGGCTTAGAGGCAGACAGCGAGCGCCACGCCAGCGTTCCAGAGACTCTCACAACAGCTATGGCGGGCCTGGACTGCACCCCAGGTCCGATGATAGAAAGAACAGAGCCACGCAGGCCATACCACGCCCTCTGATCTGTACTGATGAGTTGTCCAACACTAAGTATGGTGTCGAAGTCGGCATCCTCAAGGACTGTGAGCAGAGTCGTTGCTTTGACAGCCGCACGGCTGGCTAGGTGAGTCGCACTTTGACTTGTCTTTACCCAGATGTAACTACGTGCTGCTGCCCGGGGAGCTGTTTTCCCTCACCTAGAACTCACCCTCGTCTTCCCGAACACAAGAACAACACATCCACTGGTGGAAGTGTGACTCCACGTTACGACAGGAACAATTCTTGAGTGCTATGGCAGGCACACGAGCAACACATCCTCCTCTATTCTCCTCTACCACTATGCACGCATCGGACTTTAGCGAGTGAGGCCTTGGGAAGCTCTCCCTTCATGTCCCCTCAGGACGAAAGTTGCGACGGTGATTGGCGGGATGACAAATCGACAATCTCGCAATACTTGGAGAATATAGCGACGACTCGTGCCACAACCGGTACCCCGTCCACACGACACATAATAGCTACACATGCTTCACGATCTCGGGCAGCGTCCTGCCTCGTATTCGTTCGTCTAACCTTAACACAGGACATCACCACCTCCGCCATGGCCACAAACGGCACCAGTCATCCAGAAATCATCCTATACACCAACCATGGCTGCCCATGGGCACACCGCGCCCATATTGTCATCAAAGAGCTGGGCCTCCCCTACAAGGAAGAGATCATTGACCTGGATCGACCGCGTGACCCATGGTATCTCAAGGTGAACCCGGTAAGTTGTCCCACATTGTGCCGTGACATTGTTTCCCCCCGACATATGACATGGCCATGCTTTGCTGTGCGTTGCGAACACACTACCACGCTCTCGCCTGTCTCATTCCTTCAAATTCCCCCATTGACGCCTCCCTGTGCGTCCAGCGCGGCCTGGTCCCTAGCATCAGCTACAACGGCGAGATCATCATCGAGTCGGCCGTCGTGGCGCAGTTCCTCGCCGACGCACACCCATCGTCTTTACTCCCTCCATCTACCGGGGCGTCCAACGCCCTGTATCGCGCCCGCGTCAATTTCTTCGCCGACACGTTCATCACCAAGGCGTTGCCGCACATCTTTGCCGGACAACGCGGCCAGTCCGAGGCCGAGAAGGATGAAGCCGCGGAAAGCCTGGTCGCGGCCGTGGTCAAGGAACTGGAACCCCTCTTCACATGGGACCCCGCCAGCAAGGGGCCCTTCTTCGGAGGCAGTGAGCGGGTGACCCTCGCGGAGGTATGTCGAATCATGGTCCCCCCTCCAACCCCGGTTCTCTACCTATCTATGCTGACCTGGCAAACAGGCTCTAACCGGCCCCTTTGTGCTCCGGCTCCTCGCGCTCAGCAAGCCCGAATACGGCATCTTGAGCCCGAAGCTGCACGCCCTGCTCGAGGAAAAGACTCCCAAATTCCAGGCCTGGGCTTCGAGAGTCATCGAGCAGCCCAGCGTGACGTATATTTGGAACGAAAAGGCCGTGGCGGAGAGGACCAAGGCCAGGTTCGCCAAGCTGGCGGCCGAGAAGAAGCTCTAATCATGATGGCGGCAGAGAAGGGAAACTCGGCGTGAGGCAGCACTGGCAGATGGTCTACAAAGGGCGACCAGCGCAGAGTTTAGGGATATGGATACGGATACGGCTACGTACCCAAGGTAGTGAGTGACACTTGGCACATAAACTCTCCCGTCCAGTCCTACCCTGTCTCGAAGTACATACATGATGAGCAATACTCTTTCCCTGGCCACGGCCGGCGGAAGCACAATGGACGAATCAATCACTCACATCATCTAGTTTGTAGTTTTTTGGTATGCAGTATGATTAGATCAACCGCACAACTCCACGGATGATTGACCTTCAGCACGAGAGGGGTCGGCGAAAGACCCTCATCGAGAAGACAGTATATGTAAACCCGTGACACTCACTCTCAGGGGCCGGCCTCACAGACGAATGCAAAACTATAGCGAAGACACGTATTGGAGAGAACCAACGTACAAGGAAAGCTATGACTCACCGACTGTAGTCGACAGTGTAAACGAGAGATCTCACGGTCGAAATGAATCAGCCGTCGTTGGAATAGACATGGTTTCATTTTCATCTAAGAGTACCAGGCACTGAAGAGATTGCTTGATGCCTAGTAGGCACCTGAGCCGGGATGCTCCGCAAAATTCTAATTCGCCCGCCACGCTATGCAATGTGTACAAAATCTGCTTCCCCACCACACCAGGTCTTCCTCACAACGCCTTCTCCTTCCCTTTACTGCTGGAAGCGTTGTCGTTCTTTTTCACCCTCGGCTTCGGCTCTTGGAAATTATGCAACCGCTCCCCAAGCAGATAGACTTCATCCCGAACCATGACCCGCCACTTCTCCACCTTTGTCTTCATGAACATGGCGCCGACGTAATTGACCATCATCCACAAGAACAGCGGGTACGCGAATCGATACATGCGCATCTGTTTCTCCGTCTCGTGGACCCGGAAGACCGTGATGACGAGTTTCATGAAGCTCAGAGGGCAGACGAGGAGGACCAGGCACACCGTCGTGACGGGGAGCACAAACGCGCGGGATGCCAGAGGGACGTCGGCTTGGAGGATGCCGTTGCGGGTGATTGCCCGAAGCGCCCGCGCCGGACGGGAAGTGGGTTCGGTAGCGTGAGTCAGCACGCGGAGCAGGAGCTTCAGGTATAATAGGCCGATCGTCCAGGATTGGAGGATAAAGATCGTAGCGCCAGGGAGGCGTTTACTGGTCGCCGGGGTCGAAGCCGAGATGTCTTGAACCTTTTCTCGGTTGACGAGCTCTAGCACGTCAAAGAGCGGTATGTGAATGTACAGTTCCGTAATCAAGGCCATAACAAAAGGTAGCACGACAGTAGTGAAGATGGCCAGGTAGGCCAGGCCAAGAAAGTGCAGAATTGATCCCAGGATCTGTTTCCCCGAAGCGGTCACTTTCACTCGGAGATAGTCTCTGGCCGGTTCGGCGTAAGCAATGGCGTATCCAACCGCGGCAAAGATGTGAACGCCGACTGTGAACGCGTAGAGGTCGTTAGGTGGATGCTGCGATTGGGACAGCAGCTGGGTCATCTTTCTGCCGACTAGCAGAGGTCCAATGGTGAATGCCACCCCAGTTGCAGCTGCGAAAAGCCAGAGCAGGACGATGAACGTCGTAATCCGGCTTCTGAAGTTCGGTGGGAGATAGACCTTTGTGAACTGAGGATCTTTCTTGCCGTGCATGCCGAAATCCGGGTCCGGGCGACCATCCACTCTCTCATTCTGCTCCGTGACTTCGAGGAAGACATTGCGCCCTTTGGCGATGCGCACCGAGTCAGATGCCGGCGCTCGAACGTAGGTGCCGTCTTGTTGCGGTCCGGTCATACTGTCTTGGGCGAGCAACCTCCACGGCAAACCTTTCGGATGGGTGTATTGTTCCTCCTTTCGCTCCTCTCCAAACAGAAAATTCGTGAGTCGTAGTGACCGAGCGCATCCCCGAAACCACCATTTATACATTGCCGAGATCTTCTTTGATGGCTCGGCCTTCCGAAGGATAAAAGGAAGTAGGAAGTTGTAGAAGACTATGTCGATGGGAAACGCCAGCCTTGGTTCTGTTGTAGACCATCGTATGGGCAGGACGCCACCAACCCAGTCTAATGTCCACACGACACCACCCAGGCATAGCGTGACCAGGCCACCGTAGACCAACGCCGAAAATGCGATTTTGCCCAGTTGTGCAGGTACAGGTCGTTCGAGAACGTCGCGCACGGGATGAAACGTCGGATCATCGGGGTCGCGGATAAAGTACAAAACTCCTTTACGCATGATCTTCCGGCAGATCGATACGAAAAGGGCGAAATGAAACATGTAACAGGTACCAATAAACCAGTGAATGAATATTCCCGTCAGCGGCGTCTGCGTCATGAAAGCGATACGGCTGGCCACGGTGGCGTTGGCGAATAGAGGAAGAAGTGCTAGGTCCAGTAGCAGTCCGCAGTATAGCGGAAAGACTAACATTTCGATCCCGATGATGACAATCACTTTCATTACGCCACCTGCTTGCCGAAGAGAATCGGCGAAGTAGCCTTCGACTTTCTCATTATCTTTCAGTCCAAGAACCAGATGAGCTGCTTCGAGAAATACGACGCCAGCGACAGCGAACAAAGCATAACCGAGGATGATTGCAAGGATCCGGTCTTGATTGTTCCACTCGGCAAGGGAAGGATCGAGATCATGGACACCTTCTGTTGGCTCAGTCGAAAGAGCAGTCGATAGAAGGTTGACGAAGTTTAATCCGAGCTCTTTGGCTTGCGGTAGCTTCTTGACGACTTCTGGAGCAGACTTCAGCGATTTTCGAAGAGACACCAGAACGGTGCCAGAACTTGGGCGCTCAGAGGTCAGAATCTTTTCAACCTGGCCTAGCAGGAAGGCCGCGCCGTGCAGTGCATTACGTAGATGGTTCTTCAGGGAGATAAGCGCATGGTGCGATTGCATCGAGAAGTTTGGCACGTCTGGCCTGAGACCAAGGACGGCCGCGGCCAAAGTCCTCTCCAGTCGTGTACCGCTTTTCTGGCTCAGGTCGAGGGTAAACCCTTCTATTGTCGCAGTGTCGATAATTCGGCCAAGAGGTGGCGATAGTCCAGATATGACTGCTCTGATGAGCTTCATCGGCTGGCTGAAGAGGAAACCGGCAAGCCCAACCACGAAAAAGATGACGTCGACAACAATATCTGCTGAACGCGACAAAACGAACAGTGGTGCCCGCACAAGCATGAGAGTCGGCCGCGATAGAAACAGAAGAGCAATCTTGCCCCACATGTACGGAAACCAGAAACTCATCGTCAAAGTGATTGTGATGAGTAGGAAGGAGAAGAGTACGTTCTGAACCATGCCGAAAATGGGTCCCTCCATGCCGAGGAGTTCTAGCACTCCGTCAAGATCTTCCGCATCATCTCCGGCGTCGTTGAGATCGACACCCATGAACATGTTCGGCTCCGGGGGCTCTGCAGGTGGTGCTTCGATTGCTGGAGGCAGTTGCGGGATCTGAGGAGCTTCCCGGTTGTGGACAGGCACAAAAGGCGCCTCTACGTTGACATCCTCCACGATGTGTTCCTCGTCTTGCGTATCAGCGCGCGGGCTCTCACGAACTTCCGCGGCCTCCGGCGTGTCGACTTCAATATCTGTATGCCAGAGCCACTTGGAGATTCTGCCAGTTATCGAATCATCGGCGGTAGGCTCCTGATCGATGGAGACAGCGACTTGTTCAGCATCTAGCTCAGGTGCATCGTCGAAAAGATCGGGCCGAAGATCGATGTCAAAAAAGTCTCCTCTAGGGGGCAAAAGGTCTGTGTCATTCGAAGAATCGGGCGTGGGGATTACTTGCCCATCTGAGTCGGTTGCAATTTCATGGGCATCAACTTGTCCTGGTGGCATTTCTGTCTCATTGATCATAGCAGGGTTTTGCGCGAACGAGACTCTCCTCCCCTGGAGCTCTGGTGGGTCTGTTTCGTTTTGGTCCATGTGCTGTAGCAAGTCCGGTTGCAATTGGCCAGATCCAGAGCCTCTGGACGCAAATTCCACGGGCAAGGCTCCTTGCGCCTCGATGGAAGAGCTATCCAAGGTGCCCGCGTCCATGGTCTGAGCTTCTAAAGCCGTGGCAGACATATGTTCCGTCGTATGATGGCTGCTAGAACTGCGCCTTCGGACTGGCCGACTTGCACTGTCACCAGCAACCGCGCTACTCTCACCAACATCCTCTTCGACGTTGGCTTCCCCTATATCATCAGGGCTCGTCAACAGGCTCTGTGACCGGACCGGCGGAGCCGGTCTTTCGATACCAATGCCGGTATCGTTGAGTATGTTATCATCCGTCAGCGCTCGGCGCCGTCTAGGAATAGCTATTGGCCGTCCCGCAGGATCCATGAACCCCCCTTCAGCAGGAGCATTCGCCTCGCCGCCCTGGCGGCGATTCCGTGGTCGAAGAAGGCCCCCCTGGGGCCTCTCGTTCTCAGCTTGCCGTTCTTGAATGGGGTTGTCGTTTGCATCAGGGTCCGGCATGTTCAAGATCGGTTGCTGGTTGATGACCCATTCCCGAATGAGGAACACAAGGATAAAAGCAGTGACCAGCAGTATACAGATCAGCTGGCCTTCGATGATGTCAACGGTGGCATTGTTGACCATTCGCGACCCCGACCAAGCGGATAGAAACTCAACGTCTGAGAGTAATGAGGGAGGTCTTGAGGACATCACGGCCGCCTCAGCCGCAAAGTCTTGCTCGCCATCAGTGCCATCAATTTGTCTTAACCGGGGGATAAAGATGGCCAGGAAAAAGCCGACAATCCTACCGATGATGCCCTGGCCGACGATGACTCGCGCGATGTCTCCCAGTGATATCAGCATGGGAGGAAACACCAATGTTATGCGCTCGAGATAGTCTGGTACAGTGAAATTGGCAAATTGTGTTCGTGACGCTCGGGCTGCGGAGCCTGTAACAGTTGTGTTCGATACAACCACTGGGGCCGTTTCTATGCTTGGATGGCTGGGGGTGCTGCCGTCCGCAAGCCAAAGAAATCCTCGCCAGACTTGTCGGATGCACCAAGGTAAGCAGCAAGTCCAGATGATGGCCACCAGCAGGTAACGTGTCCATCGCGCAAATTCTCTAATTCCATGCCGAGCGAGTTTGCGGACGAAGAGGGGAAACGGTAATCGTGCGGGCATGGAACGGTCGTAGAGTTTGGTGAAGCGAAACGACGTCTTGCACAATTCACAGTACTTCTTCTGAGAATGCGACAGCCACTCCATCAGGCATTCTTGGTGGACGAACTTGATGCTCCCAGAGCATTTGCACGGGTAGTAGAGCGGTTGAGCAACGGTGCCTTCGCCCCGGCATATTCGACAGTAGTTTTGTTCCTCCTCGTTTGGCTCGGAGCGCTTGAGCTTTGTGCCTTGGGCCTGCCCAACAGGGTGGCTGTCTTCGAGAGGATTCAGCGACATTTTGCGTCTTGCTGCAGGATGCGGAGGAGGGCAGAGACGAAGTGCATGTCGAGAGGGATGCCGTCATTAAGTCATTTCGATAAATGGTTGTAGGGGCGTGGAGGATGCAGAGGGTCTCCTTCGATTGCGTAGATCAGAAGGGTTAAGGTCATACGGCGTGGCAGAGGAAGTTGAAGTTGGTAGAATACGACGTGACGACCGCAGTCCTACCGCTGCAGTGACTTGTCGAGGCGTTGTGTCGAAATGTCCCTTTACGGTAATTGCGGACTTAGTGACCTCTGCGGCTACGGTGAAGCTTAGACCACTTCCTGCAGTTGGTCTCGTGCGCAGCCATGGTGAAGCGCCATCACTTTTGCAAGCACCACTCAGCGCCACTCGATAGTATCTGCTCTTTTTCCACTTTGCTCATCTTCCTTTGTCTATGCCTGCTAGATGACTCGCTACGCGGGGATTGAGTGCAGCGCCTATTCTTGCAACCAATACCATTCCCGAAAAGAGCAGTGCGAATCCATCACCTCACCGTCGAATATGACTCCCCATCGTAAGCACAACTTCCCATAAACGATCCGAACACCACAGTCCCTTAGGCGCCCCAGCTACCCCTCCACGCCGCCTCCAGATCCCTCCCCTCGTCGGCAAGTTTCTTCTTCTTCTTCGCAATCCCTTCCTTTACACATTCAGCCACATCCTCCGGATTGGTGCCACGTTTCCGTTTCTCTACTCTTTCCTCGCCTAGTATCGTGTCATCCGCGATCAGTTTGTATATCTCGGCGACGCCCTCAAAAACGCCGGCCATATTCCGGCCGTTGGTGGCTACCTGGGTCGGAGTGGTGTGGTGACCGTTATGCCCGTTGGAGAGCACAGCAGCGCTGAAACCGCCTTCTTCAGAGAACGTCTCGTTGATCTGCCGCATTTCCTCAACCCAGCGGTATGCTTTTGGTGGCATGCCCACAAGCCCGGCTTCAGCCAGGTCAAGCGTCTTCGGGCTGAACTCGGCAAGGTGCTCTTGGAGCTCCTTGAGCACGCCGCAGCTATGTGCGGTGGTGAAAGATAGGATGGATAAAGCAGTCATGCCCTTCGTGAGAGACGCGAAACAGGATTTCAAGGCCGAGGCTTGGCCGATTCTGGGGCCGAGTAATTTCATATTTAGTAGTTCGATGAAGGAGGGGGTGAGCAAGTGGTCGTACTTTGGCCCTGAAATGACAATCGAGGGCTTCTTCCAGGTTTGATCTTGCTTCGCTGCCGGAGGCCCTCCAATGATACCGCCGTCGAGGAAGTTGATATAGATAGGGTCTAGCTCGGGTTCCGACTCCCTTCGTTGGAAAGAAAACGTGCGCGTGATGGATAGCCTTCGGGGTGAAGCCGGCGACATTGGAGTGGAAAACATCGTGGCGATGGACTTGGCGCTTCTGGGCGAGATGGCGTTCAGGTCAATGTATGTTATGCTGGGGGCTTGAGAGGTTGCTTCGGTGCCTTTCCTCTCACTACGCCTCTTGATGGCTGCTTGTGAGCGGCATGCTTCAAGAGCTCTTCGTGCCGTCGCGATGGCGTCTCGAGGTGGTACAATGCTCAGGATGATATCGGATTCAGCCACCAGCTGTTCATCCGACTCGAGAGCTGTTATCTGTGACGACTTGATGCGGTCGAGGGTGTGCTGGCTTGGAGAGAGCTCAGCAAAGAGTTCAATATCTTCTGGACGACTATCTGGTGTGTAGACTTGCCTTCTGCCCGTGGCGACCGTGTAGACGGTATGGTCGTGATGGCGGAGGAGCCGGGCTATGCCCATGCCCATATCCCCAATGCTCAGGATGCCCACAGTAGGGTTGATCTGTGCGGATGATGTCGCCATTGTTCTTCGGAGTGGGAAGGTCGGCAATGAGAAGAGAAGAAGACGTGGCCTGAAAATCAAGGGTCTTGTGCAAACCATGAATGGGAATGTACAAGACGACGTTGGCTTGTCCAGTGCTGAGGCTGTCACCGGTTCCAGTCGCCGAGCCCCGGATGTTGGAGCCCCGCCACGGCTTAAGGCCGCACAGGGCTGACCTACCTGTACGGATGACGAATGGGGAGTGCCCAGGCGGAGGAAGGGCAGCTGATACAAATCTGATATGGCCTCGATGGGCAATGCAGGCGCACAAGAGGTTGCTGAGACCCAGCTAGAACCAGGACTTACCGCGTTATCCCGTGCAGGATATGTTCCAGAACCTCGCGCCCTCAGTATGCAAGCGCTTGCGTCCGTCCCTGACTTGACCAGATACAGCAAGATGCTCCCCGAAATGCTCTCAGGGTGACAATCGCGACCATCAACTGATTTGCAGATACACGTCCAGGGCTATCAGCCAAAGTAGGACGGAAGCCTCCCCTGACGACTTGCCAGAATCGTGGTCTGTTCCTGCAATTGCTGCCTACAGTGTTAGCCATGGATTTTACCCGCTTCGTGGGCAGCGCCTTTGCGGCCTGCCGCACCCACCGACGGGCTTATCAGTAGGTCTCAGATTAGAAAAAAAATATAGCATAGCGTGAGGTACTCGGTATACTCTGCAGATATTCAGCGACATAGAATCCACTAGTCTCGGACGACCACAAAAAAGCAGTTTGCAACGGAATTGAGCCGACTGGATTAGGTCAGTAACCGCATTCCTGAGTTTAGATTCTGCTGTACTTACAGGCGGGACTCGAACCCGCAACCTTGAGGTTGGACTTTGTTAAGAGCCACACGCTCTACCGATCTGCTAATGTTAGAATCATAGTCTTTCAAGACCAGAGAAGAGGAAACTCACTGAGCTACCCCGGCAAATCTCAGGTGATTGTTGAACATATTTATGCTATTAAGATTACTATAGTATAAAATGATTGATTTCCTAAGCAAGCTGACCTAGGCCCCAGTCCATTGGGTATTTAGTTGTTTTTAACATGTTCTCCAACTCTACTCCGTACTCACGGAGACAAGCACGTTCATTCCTCTTCTCCTTGATACCTAGTCCGTACACTATCCTTTCTGCCGACATTCCCTCACATCCGGTGACCATTGTCAGGCTGACACTGGGTCGCGAGCTCTCGATTCCGACTCAGGTGTAACGCTCTTCGGTTGGTAATTATACAGTACAGGGTCACCAGACTTGATTCAAGTACCCGAACAGCAATCTGCTAATCGGAGCAACACCAACACCTTTGACACACCTCGCGTTGTTTGCATCCTCCTCAGATGGCAAACGCCCAAGGGGCTTAGCCGGTGGCGTATGAAGCAAGGCTCGTGCGCTTTCACACCAATCTCCTGTTCACGTTATCCGTGCCCCAAGCCCAGGTTCTGCCCGCAAAGCGGTCCTAGAAGGGTATTTGCTCCATGCCACCGCTCTGATGATCGCTTTCATAGGTTGTGATACTTCCTAAAGGGGCAAGAGCATCTATTTGCTGGTTCATGAAATTGGCTCCGAACATCCCTTCAGGGCAGGAAGATTGCTGAATCAAGGTAGTTTGACAGGAGTATCAGCGGTCCACACTTTTACGAAGCTTGCACAGTCACGCACGTCTTTCTCGGGTCATCGCCGTTGTTTCTAGCCGGGATAGGTAATTTACTATCTCCTGGCCATCTATCAGGCGAAGGCGAAGACGGGGCTTTCAAGGTCGCAATACAGCCAATAGCATTGAAAGAGCAGGTTTTGACGCGGCGATCTGTCTGATATCCCTTCCACGACAGACCTGCAGTCATAGATCAAGACATATGGTACCAATGCTACACCCAATAGCCGATGCCTCCAGATACGGTTCTCTTTCTGTAGCAGACTCGATACACCTCCCACTCCCTTGAGGGTCGTAACGACGGCTTGTCCTCCAGGTAGGCTAAGATTGCTTACATTACTCGAGGCAAAGCTGGGAACCTCGCACGGCCGTTTCCGGAACACCCCTCTCGTATCGCCGGTACGAGGCTCGTGATGATTCGAGCAGAGTACAGTAGCAAGCAATTGCCTGTTGAGGAAAGAGCTCCACTCGTGCGACTCCGCTGGCGTCCTGGATGAAGAAAGAATTGACAAATCAGATAGTTGAGCAGGGCATGGCGCGCTTGAGAGAGACCAGACGAGCGTCAGGCTACCGTGCAGTTTTACATTAGGGTGACTCGCATTATCGACGCTGAGTTGGCAGGGATTTCATAGCCATGACAACCAAGCAGTGCCATCTTTAGTCCAGCGAGCATCAGCACTGGTCATTGAGATTTTGAGGGACCCTTGGCGGTTAGAAACACAAAGTCACACCCTTCGTGCGCCTGGTTGACTTCACGTTCATAGAGACCCCGATACCCTCGTCTCCCACTCCTTTCCAGCCACGGTTCCACCCTTCTCGACTGGTGGGAGCCAGAAGAAGACTCCGACTGGGACTGCCGTTTCCGTTCTGCAATGCGCCTCGTGATCTCCTGATCTTCCACATCCAAGACCAGTTTCCTGTTTTCAACGTCACAAACGATCTTGTCTCCTGTCTGCACGATGCCAAAGACCGAGTCCAGATCAGCAGACTCTGGTGAGATATGCAGGATGATCGTGCCTCCAGCAGTCCCTGACATTCTGCCATCGCTGATCCGCAACATGTCGGCCACGCCTTGTTTGCCCAGCTTTTGCGGTATCGGGATCAGGCCGGCCTCGGGCATGCCGGGATTGCCCACGGGTCCTATGCTCTTCAGTATCAAGATCGAGTTCTCATCCACTTCAAGATCCGGAGAGTCAATACGTCTGGCCATGTCTGCGCTATTCTCAAAGACACAAGCCGAGCCACGATGGTGGAGAAGATTTCGGTTCTTGGACGCAGAGGCTTTCATCACGGCACCGTCTGGACAAATATTCCCATACAAAACCAATAGACTCGAGCTAGGGTAGAGGGGATCCTCAAGCGAGCGAATTATCTGTCGCGAGTACAAAAATGACTTGAAGGTGGTGGAATCGAGAAGCTCGCCGAGAGTCTGACCCGTGTAAGTCCTTGCCTCGAGGTGCAGTAATGGTCTCAAGGTATGTAACAGCGCCAGCATGCCGCCCGCGTTGTGGAAATCGGTCATGTAGTTGTCGCCGCTCGGCTTGAGGTCGACCAGGAGTGGCGTTTTCCTGCCGATGTCGTCAAAGGTTTTCAAGTCGATTGTGCCTGCCACCTTTGGATGGCGGTTAATGATGGCCATCAGATGCACGACGGCATTGGTGCTCCCGCCAATGGCTTGTAGGACCGTGATTGCGTTCAAAAAGCTCTCCCTGGTAAGGAGATCTTGGGGTTTCATTCCGTCCCTCTTCAGCATGGCAACGGCATCGCGTCCAGCTTGTTCTGCTACTCGAAGTCTTGCAGAGCTGACAGCCGCCGCAGTGGCACCAGACTTGAGTTCCAGCAAGCCCAAGCCTGCAGTGATGCAGGCCATGGTCGACGCCGTGCCCATGACGCCGCACGTACCTCCCGTGGGCGCGAGCTCTTCATTGACCGACATGATGTCCTCCAGGTCGACATTGCCAGCGCGGTACCGTGCCCAGTAACTCCGGCAATCAGTACATGCACCCACCCTGACGCCTTCGACCGAGCCAGGCATCATCGGACCAGTGATGAGAGGTAGCATGAGCTTGTTCGCTGAGATGCCGCCCATCAGTTGAGCCGGGACTGTCTTGTCACACCCGCCTATCATGACTACCGCGTCGACGGGCTGAGCCTTAATCATCTCCTCAGTGTCCATGCTCATCAGGTTCCGGAGGTACATGCTTGTCGGGCTAGAAAAGCTCTCATGCACACTGATGGTCGGGAAGTCAACGGGCAGACCACCGGACGCCAGGACACCCCGTTTGACAGACTCGATGAGCTGCGGGACATTGGAATGACAGGGGTTGAAGGACGAGTAAGTGTTGATGATGCCAATAATGGGCGAGGAGAGTGCGGCGTCGGAATAGCCCAGGGCTTTGATGAAGACCTTTCGCAGGAAGAGTGAGAAATGCGCATCACCGTACGAAGTGAGGCCTGCTCGAAGACCAGATGTGGAATCAATTGGGCGAGACAGATCGTAGTCGGCCGCTATGGATGTGTGACTGTCGCCGTTCTGCCCATTCGCGGCTGGCATATTGTCGTTGGCCGTCATGGTTATTGAGCCGGTAATGGGAGTCTCCGATGTTCAACGGTATATACTTCCAGGGACGAGTATGCAGGAGCCTGAACAGATACAATACCACTGTACCTGCTCGAGTCCACCGGAGTGGCAGCCCGCATCTTCTTCAGCATTGTCAATGGTCATCGTCTTGAAGGTAATTGGAGAAGTTGTTTGGAGTGTGTCAACGGCAAATCGCCGACGGTCTTCGTTGTCGGTCATGTTCGGGAGAACTTCCGCCGAGTTGCGCTACGTACGGAGTGCTCATGTACAGACTACATGATACAAGCCTGTTGCTCGTCCACATGATGATACAGAGAGAATTTCATCAGGTCTTCCGTCTGCCTCATTCGTAACAGTGCTGAATGGCTCGCTGACACCACCAGGGTATCGCAATCACCAGTTGCTCGACTTCTTCAGCGTCTCATTCTGGATGATCTCCACCCAGTAATCGTCTGGATCCAGCACAAAAGCCACGTTCTTCATTCTGCCATCCGTGAGTCTCTTCTTCCAGTTCACGCCCTTCTCCTCCATAAACTGGCACGCTTTGTCAAGCTCGTCGACACTGATGCAAATGTGGCCGAAGCCTTGAGGTTCGTCATTGCCGTTGTGGTATACCTTCCCTTCTTCCTTTTCGGTCCCGTAGTTCCACGTCAATTCAAGCAGACCTTCTTTTCCGGCAAGAGGATTGACCCCGTTGGCCGTATCATTGGGGTCCGGAATGCCATAAGAGCCGGGATATCCCAAGAAATACAGGGTAAAGCCTGCTGATTTCTGCTCAGCGGTGCGCATGAGCGACATTCCCATGACCTCCTGGTAAAATTTCAAGCTCTTCTCAGGATCCTTGACCCGAATCATACTGTGATTCATCCTGTAGGCCTGAGTGTCTGTCTCCTTAACGCCCTCGGTCTGTTCAACAGGCTTCTGTCCTATGATCTCGACCCAATAGCCGTCCGGATCAAGCGCAAAGGCGATGTGTCTCATCCGCCCGTCTGTAAGCTTCTTCTGGAACTTGTACCCCGCATCCTCAATGCGCTGGCATGCTGCTTGGATGTTGTCAACGGAGATGCAGATGTGGCCGAACCCCTTGTGAGGGTCTTTATTGCCGTTGTTTATAGTGAACGAATCGTCTGACTCGGTGCCGTAGTTATGGGTCAATTCGATGACGCCCTCTCGGTCGGTCCAGTGCGCGTTTGTGCTCGCAGAGGCCGGTCCATCGTAGGCGAGGAAATACAGGCAGAATTTGTTGTCCGGGAAGTCCAACTTGTTGATGAGACTCAAGCCGAGCAACTTGTAGTAATCAAGGGACTTCTGAGGGTCTTTGACCCGGAGCATGGTGTGGTTGAACTTCCATTTCGAGTGATCTGGCGCTGACATGTTCTTGGCTGATGAGCTCGTCGTCGAGAATGCGTTTGACACGGCGGCTGTGATTGGGGGGAGCTGGAAATGTTGTCGCAGCTGTTGGAGTCGTGGCAGGCGGGATGTGAAGCGGGAAAGCATCAGTTGAGGCGAATCGTCCAAGTGGATTGTGAGAATTCGCAGTCACGGACGCTGCAATCAGTTGCGCATCATTGAACCTTTTGCTGATGATGCTAAGGGTGTGGCCGTGAGAGGAGAATGACGTGGGGCAATGCTCTGTTGACGCGCACTTCTCCCCCACACCGGGATTCTACCGGGCATGCCGGGCCATTGCAGTTTGGGCCTCACGGGCCTAAACCCCGCGATGTGTCGCCTGCCTTCCCACCGAAGCAGCCCCCGAACTTCGTCCTGGCTTCTAGGACTGCTTGGCCCTTGCCGGTGGAAGATGGCTTCCAGGGCTCTTTGGCAGCAAGCAGCCCACCAATCCCCTCTAGAATGCAGCTCTTCGACGTCGAATCACAAGCCCACAAGTTGATCTGCAAACCCAATCAACAGACGATTCAGGCGCGTGCTGGTCCAGCGCTCTCGGTGCTCTCTCCACACTGCCTCGGCCTCCCTCCACATCCGCTTGGTTGCATGGGGCTCTTCCGATGGTGGGATTGAGATCGAGCTAAGGCACTCTGAATATCAATCGTCTTGCTTCTGTCTGAAGCACAATTATTCAAAATCTCCCCTCTTCAATCCTGCTGTCGCGTGCCCGGGAGCTGTAGAGCATATCACACTTGAGTTGGCCGCGCAGCATGTCTCTCTCCCCCGCAATTCGAATCGCCAGGACCGCCGCACAGCGGTCGACGTCTCTCTTGAAAGCCATTCAATTTGGCCACCCTCCTAATTGCCCGTGCCATTCGAATCCAAACTTCCATCATGCCCCCTCTGCTTTCGGCGAGGCCAGGAGACGGCTCGCAACACCGATCGATCACTCCCGGTCCAAAGACTATGCGTTCGAAATGGCTGCTAGCTCAATCAGATTTGGGCCTGGTTGCACAAAAGAGGTTGGAATGGACATGAAAAACATGGGTGCCAAGCGTGTATGCGTCGTGACGGATGGCAATGTTTCCAAACTGGATGCGATGAAGCAGGTCATTGAAGGGTTGACCAAGGAAGGGGTCGAGTTCACGGTTTACGACAAATGTCGGGTGGAGCCCAAGGACAGCTCAATCAAGGATGCCATTGCCTTTGCGAAACCGTACCAGCCGGACGCCTTTCTGGCAGTCGGCGGAGGATCAGTCATCGACACTGCCAAATTGATGAACCTGTACACTTGCTTTCCTGACGCGGACTTCCTGGACTTTGTCAACGCTCCCTTGGGCAAGGGGCTGCCCATCACCAAGCCTTTGAAGCCGCTCGTTGCTGTACCGACCACCGCAGGCACAGGGTCTGAGACGACAGGCACCGCCATCTTCGACCTGGTGGAGAAGCGCGCAAAGACCGGTATTGCGCACCGCGCCCTCAAGCCCACGCTGGGCATTTGCGACCCCCTCAACACTCGCACCATGCCATCGGCCGTGCATGCGTCTTCTGGCCTAGACGTGCTGTGTCACTCTCTGGAGTCTTGGACCGCCATCCCTTACTACGAGAGATCGCCCAGGCCACCCAACCCGATCAACCGACCTGCTTACCAGGGCGCCAACCCCATCTCCGACATCTTTTCACTGAAGGCACTCAAGTCTACAGTGCAGTATCTACCGCGAGCGGCCAAAGACCCTGAAGATCATGAAGCACAGAGCGAGATGCTCCTTGCGGCAACCCTGGCGGGCGTCGGATTCGGAAATGCCGGTGTACACTTGTGTCACGGCATGAGCTATCCCATCAGCGGACAGAACCCGGGCTATAAACATGCGGGATACCAAGTCGAGACACCAATTATTCCCCATGGCGTCAGCGTGGCGGTGACTGCACCTGCCGTGTTCCGATTCACTGGGCCAAGCAATCCCGACCGCCACCTGGCTGCGGCGGAGTGTTTTGGCAAGGATATCTCAAATGTGAAGAAGGAGAGTGCCGGTGAAGTTCTCAGTGAAGCCTTGGCGGAGTTCCTTATCAAGCTGGGAGATCAACCTCGTGGCATCAAGCAGTTGGGTTTCACGAAGGAGAGCATTGACGATCTGGTGGAGGGCACACTGCCCCAGAAGCGAGTTCTAATGTTGGCACCGAATTTGAGCGAGGAGGTCAACCAGGAGAGAGAGCAGTTGAGGGGCCTGTTCGAGGAAGCGCTGGAATACTAAGGGAATGCAATGTTTGTGGTGTTGGCCATGCTTGCCTTGTTGATCTGTTTGGACAGTTTGGACAGTTTGGACAGTTTGCAGCTTCCCCGGACCAGCCAAAGCCAAGTGCGGGGTGTCTGGGTGCGACTTCGGCCAGTCAAGCCCCCACATTGCTCGAGGTTGCTGGTGTTGCCATGGTTGATTTGGCTAACAAAGTGACGCACAGGACGCACAACAGCAAATGAATGGATTGCATGCTCTCAGCTGGGGCCACGGGGAATAAAAATTGAAATGTCTTGGACGACTCTCTGGCTTGTACGAGTCTCGCATATGTACTGTCAATAACAAAAGCTCCGCCGACATCTTTGAACCTTCACTCGCTTTTACTGGTTTTCTTTCCATCGTGTCTCAGCGTGGTCCGCCTTGAGTTGACTGACAGTCGGCCGAGCCGCGAAACACCTCAATAATCTGTTTTCCACCCCAAGGTTCCTTATGCTCATGGTGCAGCATATACACCGCCCATCCCGAACTTATCAACAACAACTACAAGACTCGAGCGACAAGGAGCCACAATTATGACTATTACCAACGGAGCCGAAGGCGAGGTGCCCAGGGCCCGGGTGCTCTGTCCAGAAAAGCTCTCGGCAGACGGCCTGACTCTCCTCCGCAAGACACTCGACGTCGACGAAAAGCAAGGCCTAACAGCCGACCAACTCATCTCCATCATCCCCGAATATGACGCCCTGTTGGTCCGTTCCGAGACGAAAGTCACCGCGGAGCTGCTCAACGCCGCCCGGAAACTGAAAGTCGTTGCTCGAGCGGGTGTAGGTGTGGACAACGTCGACGTCCCCGCTGCCACGAGGCTGGGCATCGTGGTGGTCAACTCGCCCAGCGGCAATATTCAGGCTGCTGCCGAACATACCATTGCCTTGCTCATGAGTATGGCGAGGAACATCCCCGACGCTTGTGCGAGTCTGAAGGCCGGGAAGTGGGAGAGGAGTCGGCTTGTCGGTGTCGAGGTCAAAGGGAAGACCTTGGGGATTATCGGTTTGGGCAAAGGTACGTTGACACCTCCAATGCACGCGTTGAGATGATCCTCTGTGCCAACGTGCCCTTAGTCGGCCTGATCGTCGCTCGAATGGCTCGAGGCCTAGGAATGAACGTCGCGGCCGCGGATCCCTACGCTTCACCTTCCGTTGCTACCGCCGCGAACGTGCAACTCGTAGAATCACTCTCAGAGCTGCTCCCCCTCGCCGACTTCCTCACAATCCATACCCCAATGCTAGCATCAACCCGCGGTATGCTCTCGAGCGCGGAGCTCAACTCGATGAAGCGAGGTGCGCGCATCCTCAACGTCGCCCGCGGAGGCATCATCGACGAAGAGGCCCTGCTGTCGGCTCTCGAGTCCGGCCAGATCGCTGGTGCCGCGATCGACGTGTTCACCGCCGAGCCACCGCACAAAGATCCCAACTCGTGGGCCGCAAAACTCGTCCAGCACCCCAAATGTATCGCCACGCCTCACCTGGGCGCCTCAACCATCGAAGCACAAGAGAACGTGTCCATCGACGTATGCGAGCAAGTCCTGCAGATCCTCGCCGGGGACCTGCCGCGAAGCGCGGTCAACGCCCCGATTATATTACCGGCCGAGTACAAGACGCTGCAACCGTTTGTGCGCCTCGTCGAGAAGATGGGCTCCCTGTACACTCAACACTTTACGTCGCCGAATCAACCCCTCCACCGCCGAAACATGAACACCTTCGACCTCATCTACGAGGGCGAGATCGCCAACATGTCGTCCACGAAACCGCTCTTCGCGGCCCTGATCAAGGGGCTCACCTCGCCCATCTCCGACGCGGAAGGCTTCAACGTGAACATCGTCAACGCCGAAATGGTGGCCAAGGAACGGGGCATCTTCGTCAACGAGCAGAAATCGCGTGATCCGTCCACGCAGGCATATTCCAGCCTCGTGACCCTCGTCGTCCGACCCGCCAGTCGAGCGCCCTCCTTGTCTCGCCATTCCAGCGCCATCGAGACACCCACCACTGCCTCGTCCCATCCAGGGCCTGGCGGCGATGGGCCCACCGCGAAACAGCACATCATCTCGGGCTACTGCAGCGACAACTCGCCCTTCATCAGTCGGGTCGACCGCTTCGCCACGTCCTTTGTCCCCGAAGGCACGCTGTTGATCTGCCACAACTACGATTCGCCTGGCAAGATCGGCGTCGTGGGCAGCATTCTGGGCCGAGAGGGCGTCAACATCAACTTCATGAGCGTCGCGCCCGCGACGTACTCCGCGGCATCCACGCTGGGGCCGAATGACGCGCAGCAGGCAGCTAAAGAGACGACGGAGGCGTTGATGATTCTCGGCGTCGACAAGGAGGTTGGCGAGGCGGTCAAGAAAGAGCTGGTCAACGCCAAGGGTGTCTTGAACGTCAGTAGCGTGACGTTGTGAGGGAGGTGCGCGCAGAACTTTACCTGGGATGTGGACCGTTGCCCGGCATTCATGATCGCGCCTCCGTGCGAGACGCTCTGCATGAACTGTATGTGGAAGCGTATCGAACCGGAGGGAGGAAAGGAAACTCCTTTTGACGCCACCGACCTGGTCCTACCTACTTGCTTGTTGACATGGCCGCTCTGCTCAACACTGTCTGCGGCTTCACCTCCACAGGACAGAGAATGTCCGTTATTGCGACTCTTCGTTTTACTCCGTCCATGCTCATTACGCAAGCTGAGCTGGTTTGTGCCGCTCACGTATTTCAACACCGGAGTGGCTTCGTGCTGCACTTTGGTCTCAGACAGCACGTGCATATACGCACGCATACACGAACAGATAGATTGCCCCCATAAACATATAGTGCTATGTGATTCATTTTGGGCGGGGGCTGCAAGGAATCACCTGACAAAATCCCTTCGAATCAGAACTTCAAGAGGTTTTCTTGTGCTCAGACACAGTACACTGTCCCGAGGGTCTAGATGGATCATGTTTTGGCCTTTTCCTTCCGCTTAAGAAGCCCCTTGACATTGAAAGGCTTTTTGATCTCCTTCATCCTCTTGAGCAAGTCCTTCATCTTCTTCTCTCTCTGCTGCGAGGTTATTGATTCGTCGCTGCCTTTGGTCGAGGCCGGCTCCGATGCCGTAACGGAGGCAGGAGGCCTGGGCCGTCTCTGTCTATTGTTCTTCGCAATTGCAAGGTATACCAATACCCAACCCGGTACTCGCTCCTTGTGCGAGACAACTTCCTCGGTAGACCTGCTGCCGTGTGGTCTCTGGATTTCAGTGTCCTGGGCCTCAGCTAGCCTCCAGGGACAGTATTCGAGATGATTCTCCACGGCATCCAATTTACTAATGGCAGGCGCATCGCCGCGGTACAGCCAGAGACCCAAACTGCGGAAACAATGCCGACATTCTATGACATCCTCGGTCTTCCTTTCCCAGCCACAAATTGCCAGTCTGAGAGCGTTGATATTGGTTGTTTCCCCTGTGTTTGATTGAAATTGATCAAGCTCATCTGGGTCGACCAAAGTGGTGGTGGGGAGAGACTCCACAAGTGGGATCTCCTCAGGGTGGCTCATGAGACTGTCGTAGCGACTTCGTAGACCAGACAAGGTCAAGTGTGTGTTCAAAAGACCCTCGATGCGCTGGATCGATGGATCACATCCACGTTTTCGCCAGAGACAGCTTTCTGCATGTGCACTGACGATCATACTCTGGTATCGTCGAACGATATTATCATAGACCTCGGAAGAAATGGCAAAATCGTCTTCATCATCTTCTGCTGCGTCCTCGTCATTGACGGCTTCACCCTCTTGCTTTTTGGCTCTAAGCGCCTCGTTGTCGACACTAAGGTCCACGTAGAGTCTCTCCTTGCAAGCGCCACAAGCCACTGTATCTGTGTCAACACAGATCCATCCTCGCTTTGCCCACGCAGCCGCATTAATGGGGTCTGTAGAGGGAACATGCCACTTCGTGACATATCGGTATGTTTCAAGCCGTTGCAGGAAGGCAGGTCTACTTGAGGGAAGATAATGACCGGTAAGGTCATTCGACGAAGAAGCGGCGGGATTTGTAGCCGTGGTGGTAGGTGCTATGCGGCGTCTTTTGGAGGAGTCCGAGGCTGTGTCTTGCGTGAGGGATGGGGTGGAGGTGTTATTGTGGGAGATGAGCGACGACCGAGATGGTGAGCCCGCAGGAGAAGCAGCACTGTCAGTCAGTGCCTCGAGGATGCGATCGAACTTGCGTTTCTTCGTCTCAACTGCGTACGACATGCTTGGTAAAATTCCGAGTTTTCAGTCGTCGTGTTTCTCGACTGTGCTGCGGTCTCGAGAATGGACGGCGCTCCTTCCAGATCGAACTCCGTCGTAAACATTGGTTAACTAAGTTAGGTTAGCCAGCTTTTGCCGATTTCAAGTTTCCGTCACCGTTCGCTCAAGTCCAACTCACCTCGTTTTCACTTCACTCTATATACTGACGAGCGTAGGGAGTAGTATTCTTTCTTTGCAAGGTCTAGTACACCAAGCAGTCTGTTGCAAGACTTAGGTGAAGCTCTATGGTTACTCCCGAGGCAGTGAATACCGCTACCACTGCATTGTCTTCAAGACTCAACATGCAAGATCTGCTGCCTTACAGAGCCTTCAGCCCGCTTGTACGCTCTGCCTCAAAGAATACTGAAGCTGTGGTAACGTAGACATGAGTCGGTCAAGTATTTCCAGGTTGCGCCCAACTTCCATCGCTCACTTGTCCCTCATTTCCAACTTGACCACTACTCTTCACTCTTCTTTCCCAATGTCCTTTTCACCCCGGACTGAAGTCCTTGTGTGCGCTTCCTGTTACATTATTGCCGCGTTCCTGTACCACAGACATCCGTCCAATTACTCGCGATTCGTCTTGACAGCCGCTCTGGGGTATTTCGTCAATTGGGTCCTCTATTACCATGAGCCCACCTTCCAGCGAGCTGAGCTGGCTGTTAAGCGACGAGACTGAAGCACTCCTGGAACTTATTGAGCTTGAAGAACAGTTCATTGACTTGCAACCTGTCTGGTAAGGGTCTCACTATGGTTCAGCCGGAACTTGCGCTAACAAAGACAGGTCTAATACATGGACACCAATCAATCAGACGAACAGCGCCAACGTGGCTCCTTCCTCGCCGTCATCCTTGCAGCAGGATGCCGAAGAAGAGGAGCCATCAGCGTCCGCAAGCTATCTTCGTCGCGCTGTTCTTGCCTCTGCGCATCGGATGTATGAGACGAAAACAGCCAGAAAGCGGAAGTCTTTGACAGCTTCACCTCCATACATACGCAAGAGAGGAGCTGTCGGCGTCAGTTTAGAAGACGTTGACCATCTCGCTGGACTGTCACAACACAAGGAAAGGCCGACCAAGAGACCTCGACTGACACGACAGCCCAAAGTTGCTCGACTGCAGATCACCGACAGCTTAGTGCCTATTCGCTCAAGCAGGCTCAACGCCACTTCTGCCTCTGAGAAACGCACAGCTTCGCAAGCTTTCGGCTCAGAGATAGACAGTCGACCAAAGAAAATGCTCGTTATGAGAGGAGGGTCCATCCCAGCTTGGCAGTCCGATACTGACTCTGTCGCGAAAGCAAAGACGGAAATTTTCGGAGATCTCAACAGCGGCACTAGTACGAAGCTTCATTCTATTGACTTCGAGAACACCATGCAAGCAGGGCATGAAGATTCAGAGGACCTCTTCGACAACGACGACACCTCTGTCGAGGAATTTCTAGAAGCCGAGAAGGTACTCTTTGCCGAGTCATCTGTTCCTCCCACCTCGTTTAGCGACACCCCAGCCATGCCAAATGTCGACGAGAAGCACAAAACTCTAGATAAGCCGTCCCCCAGCAGCAGCACCGGACAGTCGCCCATGAAACCCTTCATGCGGCCCTTCGTCCCCCTCCCTTCTTCGCAGGACACCTCGCCAACCGGCTCAATCGTCTCCCCTCTGCACCGCGCTCCTATCTGTTTCCGCATTGCCGAACCCCTACGCTACATCTCATTCACATTCGGCTCTACGCCACCTGTGCCTGTGAAGGTGCTGAGTCTTGAAATCTACGCGATCTTGCACAGCATCAGCAGCACAGACAACGAGACTTCCGGTACCATGGAAATCGTCCTTGCAGACATTTTCTTCCCCCATCGACCACCTTACCTCAGGGCCACGACCAGGAAAATGACCATTATCCATGCAATCGGCCAGAAACACAAATCCCCGTCTTCGCAATTGTTGAAAGCGCTACAGGGCAACCTCGTCTGCCTTATCCTCCAGGTGACTCCCCGCTCGGACACCCTGCCGGCTACGGTGCCCGGAAGCCCAATCCCGCCAACCACACCGCTAGCCGGGAAATATACAATCACCGTGCTGAGGATCGAGCACACTGACTGGGATGAAATTCGGCGGACGAAGGACATCCTCGACCGGAAGTGCCCCTAGATTGAGACTCTGCTTCAAAGAGGTCCCACATAAGTCAGTAAGGCGCCGGCCGAACTACCTTCAGAACACGAAAGCCGTGACTCAGTTGGAGTTGAGGACAATCGAAGTGAGTGAGTGAGATGAGCGAGTGAGCACGACGGACCATGGTGTTACGAAGGCGTAAGTCAGCGAGTGACTTGAGCCAGTGAGTACGACAAACCATGGTGTTAAGCAGGCGTCCGTCGTAGGATGTGCAAATTGTGCAGTACTTGCTTGGGCCAGGACGAATGATTGACTGAGCGAGATAATGTGAATTACTGGAGCTAGGAGCGGGAGTGAGGAACTGTGCGAGACGTAACGATGGCGAGACAGGTCAGCTTGCAAAGAGCTTTGAAGTAGCAGATAAGACAGTTTGAGTGTTCACGACTGACTGTTCCCAACTGTATCCACCACCTAGTCTGTACTTCCACCTTGTTTATTCATCCCCACGTTTGCAAGCGAGTGAGCGAGTGGAAGTTATGCCACCGGCCAACAGGAAGCATGACTGCCTCCTTGACCTAAATGCGAATAGCGCCTGCCATGGAGTAACGAGTATTGTACTTAAGCAAATAGTGTGTGCATGTGACGTGCTCTTCAGGAGCCGTTAAGCTTTGCACGCTTCTACGGCGTCAATGACTCGCCTAGCCCTTGACACCAGCACTCGCCAGCGCACCAACGATGCCTTCCCGCCAGCGGTTGATATCCTTGGCCTTTTTGTTTGCCATTTTCTCAAGCTTCTCCATCTCCTTGCGCGCCGCTTCAAGGGCTTTTTGTGACTCTTGAACACGCTTCTGGAGGGCCTCGTTTTCTAGCAGACGGAGGTTTGTGGTGTCATGGATGGCTCCTGATGCTGTGGTTGCTGGCCCTGTGGTGACAGGCGCTGGAGCATTGGTTTCGGAGTCGAGGGGCTGCGAAGGGCATTCGGGAGCGATGGGACCCCGAGGCGGCAGACGGAGAGCATTCGTCCTAGAATGCGGTCCCAGGCCTGGCAGCGAGTTGATGCGACCACCCGAAGCGACCCTCGAAGGGGGACGGGCGTTGCGGGGCGGATGCTCCCATGCGCCGGGCATCTCCAGGTGTTCATCTGTGTCGAAGACGCGTTCGTCGATATCATCCTCAAACCCATCGTCCTCGCCGTCTTCGTCAGTAACGCCGATTGCACCATCAACTCCACCATCTTCGTGGTCAAATGGCTCGAACTCATCGTCGTCATCCTCCATTTGCCCATCCTCCCCCACAATCCAGACCACTCCGTGACGTTCACCGTGTCTGGCAAGCTTCTCCATGCCGCCACCAAGATTTGTAAAATCGTCCATTTCAAGCACACCGAGCCCGGACATAGTACCGACGTCGCCAAACTCTTCAACGTACGTCTGGCGTCTTTCTTCCAGCTCAAGTACTTTCTCGCTTTCGTCGGCACTCAGATGTCTCAACACCCACCCATTGGGCGTGACAAGACATCTCTTCAACAAATCGTCCTTTCTGTCCCCAGCATCCGCAACGCTCACGGCGTTACCGTCTTTCAGTGCTTGCTTCTCTTTCATTGGTAAGTAAATGTAGCCAAAAGCGTCGTTAGCGCTATAGGCATTGCCGTCAAGATATTCTTGCCCACGCCGGGAGTCGGGCGGGAGCTTGTAAGCAGCCGAATTGAAGGAAGGTGGATTCAACCATGGATGGTCTTTGCTAAGGTCGCCAGATTGAAGTAGCGAGGAGATGATCTTGGGCATCGAGGACACGTGTTCCTGGAGTAGTTTCTGCAGGGCCGCATGGGTGGCAGTGGGGCTAGCGTTGGGCCCGGCGGCTTCGGCAGCGTCATGCAACAGGTCACGGACACTATAAGCTGGTTTGCTATCTTCCGGTTTCAACGGAGGATCTTCTTGGGCCCTTTCGGGGGCGGGGGTACTTGGTTCGGAGGGCTGGGAATGCGTTGTGCCCGCCCTCTTGGAAGGTGACGCCGCGGTAGGGATTTGTCCCAGCTCGCGTTTGGAATCCGGATCGCCGGCGTTAGCAGCCTGCCTGTCAGTCGTGTCTGCCAGCTTGGCGCCCGTGGGCTTCTTCGGGCTGGCAATTTCGTCCGCACTGGCAATGGCGCCGCTTCCCAGGCGTTGCCTTTTCTGTTTCTTCTGTCTCGCAACAACCGGGGCTACCTCTTCGACAACAGGCGTACTCGCGACGCTAGGAGTCTCGCCCACCTCCGTCGTCTTCCGCGACTTCTCCTTTCGTTCCTTCTTCAGCTGAGCCTTGGTCTTCGTGCGCTCAGGAGCAGAGCCTATGATGCTTGGTGGAGGACTACTCGCGCGAGACGCGTCGTGGGACGGTCGCTCCGACATCGCAGGAGTAGATGGCCGGCTTTGCTGGGCCGAAGAGAGAGATGGTCTTCTGGATCCTTTCCTAGCAGCTGAGGGAGGCAATATGCTCGATCTCTCAGTAGTTGCCGACGCAGGAGTCTGCTCTGCAACTTTAGGCGTTACACCAGTTGTCACACGCAGCACTCTGGGTCGCGCAGAGGTCTTAGACGGTTCAGAGGCTGTTGTTGTACCAGGCGTACCCGGTCGGCTCATTGTTGCAGGCGTCGCGACGACTGAGGACTCTAACAATGGTGTTTCTGCTGCGGATTTATACGTTGGCAGCGAAGTCGACGCACTCGAGAGGGCCACTGGAGGCAATTCGATCTTTTCAGGCTTGACTGCAGGGGCTTTCTTAGCCTTTTTGTCAACACTCCTGTCGGTGGCAGCCTCGGCGGCGGTATCTTCCTTCTTTTCAGTCTCGGCCTTGACCTTCTGACGGGTCTGTTTCTGCTTGGGCGATCCCAGGCTTATCTCATTTACTTGAGCCTTGAGCTTGATCGCCTGGGGGACGGGCTTCTCATCACGTTTGGACTGTTTGCTCTCTTCCTCGGAGACTTCCGAAACTTTTGGTTGTGGCGTGGACGTGCGAGGGCCGATCGGTAACACTGGTACTGCCGGGGTAACGGGTGTCGAACTGGTCGATGTGCTTCGCAGGGCCACTGTCCGTGCAGGTTGAGTAGGAGAATCTGGTCGCTGTGGAGGGGGCGGGTGCGCATGGGCCTGTTCAAACCCTGGTGGGATCTTGGGCGTCGAAGACCGAAGACCAGAGCTCTGGTAACTCTGCAAGGACGAGACTCGAGAGTGTATAGGTGGGAGAGGCGTGGTGATCGGCAAAGGTGGGAAGTCCTTGACATCAACTAAGAAACCCCTTCGTCAGTAAGCGACCTCACGAACACCCCGATGACAACCCATGGAAAACATCAAACACGGCAACGGCGGGTACATGACTTGGGCTCAACAATACAGGTAGAGGCGACCCGGCTCTTCCACGTCGTCAAATCCCTCGTCTCACGGGTTCTACTGTCTTGGAACATTGCTCCTGAACGATGTGTAAGAACTCGGTTTTGATCTGCCTGACTTGTCGGTGACGTGGCCAGGGGAAGGGTACTAACATACATGATAGAGCCGTGAAACTTGACGAGTGATTCATCTGAAAGAAAAAGCCTGATGCCGGTAGATCGATATCCGTGCGTCCCACCCTGCCCGCCCAGGGACGGTCTGTCCATGTCGTGACTCCCCCAGCGTTCGCTTTCCAGCTACTAACTTATGCATTGCTCACTGGTGCTGCGAATTGGAAGGCCTATTCCACCAACGCCAAACAAAATCCAGGGAGACGAGGAAGAAAAGGAGAGATGCCATCATTCACCAGCGATTGTACCCGCCGCCGCCGTATAGGTTTGATTGTTGGTACCCACCTTGGTTACCCCCAAAAAGCCCCTGCCCTGTTGTGGTGCTCTGGTGAACTCTGGCTGATGCAATACTTGGGTCTGCAAGATGCTCTACACCACCTCCTGAAGAGGAAGTGTTAGCGTGTCTGTGCTTCTTGCCCTTTTTTCTTTGTTTGACAAGCCCGGGATCTTGATATGTCTGGTATTGAGCGTAGAGCGGGTTGAGAATTCCAGGGGCAGGGGCTTGCGATGAGGGCGAACGCAGGGGGTTATTTTGCAAGGAAAGAAGTAACTCACGCTTAGCCATGTCATGACCTTGATTCGTCCCGCTGCGGTTTCTTGAGTAGACTTCAGCATTGATGTCCTTGGAAGCTCCAAAACCAGGATTGGTGAAATTTTGACCGTGCGCGAACATCCCGCCGCCGCTGACTGGTGGGGTACCGGCCGTCGGTAGGCCTGGAGGAGGTCCTTGGACGCCGCTGGAGTAAAAGCCTTGTTGCTGTCCCGGAAACCGGTTGCTGGTACCAGTCTTGGTGTCGTTGTTGAAGTATCGAGATCCATGACGTTGATGATTGCTAATCTGTTCGTACTGAGCTTGGCTGAACTGTGGCGCACGTCTTTCGAAATCTGACATCTCGAAAGCAGTATTCTGCGTATTGGGCTGGCCAAGACCGGGTGCTTGTTGGATGTTGCTGCCGTTGAGAAGAGCCAGTTGTTGTCGTTGCTGCGGCGTCAAACTGCGTATGTTCATTGAGGAGAATTGATCATTCACCGGTTGTGATGGCCGCCCAATGGCGCCACGTGCTGAAGAGCTTCTTGGATGATCGTCCTCGGGTTCGCCACCTAGGGCGAGGCTGCCGGCCACGATGTTGTCTTCCTCTAGCGTCTCTTCGGCGGCCGAGGTCGCTTGCGCTTCAAGCTTTGCCCTAGCCTCGGTCTCTAGTTTGGCTCGTTCAGCCTCCTCTTTCTCTCGCATTGCGCGACGCTTGGCACCCCCGTAAGGGTCGACGAAACAAGGCATATCGTCTACCGCTGCGCGAGCCTCTGGGCTGAGACATGAGTCGTCATAGGAGAACTGATAAGCCCTTGATAGGATTCGTTTGGTGTCATTGAAGATTTGTTGCGCAGGATCCACCAGGTTGGGCTTCGGTTTCGCCACGGGCTGTTCTTGTTTGGGGGCAATCTTTGCCGGCGCGGTCGACGCAGATGACTCGTTGATGGGGGACTCCCTGAGTTTGGGTTCCTCGGTTTTCTTAGCGGCAAGGGAGGCATGTGTTGTTTGCGGGCTGGGGGTAGCTCCACTGTTTGAATGACTGGTGCGTCTCGTTCGGGTGGCGCTTGCAGTTGCAGTTGCCCAGCTTGCCGTGGAAGGCAGGGCGGAACCATCGTGTGAGTTCTTCCTGCTAACATCATTCTCTGTGCTTCCCTGCCGAGCCATGGAGTGAGACGTTGACCCCTGCACCGCGGAGAGAGGACGGGGAGGCGGATTCATCTGCGCGGCTGGGGCGGCGATCGCTGGTCGATTGGTAATTCTCGCACCATGAGGCTCATTCTGCAGGGAGGTGTGCTGCCCATCTTCGCCTGTTTCATGAAGGAAGCTGCAGTTTCTGTTGGTGCAGGTCTCACCTCGCAGATAGGCGGAGCAGTATTTTGTGGTGCCAAATTGAGCCCGAAGCACGCGGTCGCTGTTGACAGAGCCGTCAACGGAATTGATGCAGAGTGCGGCGTCCTCCTTGCGAGCAAAGGTGACGTAGACGCCGATGCCTTGGTTTGTTGCTCCAGGTTTGGCTTTGCTGACCACGATTTTTTCGATTTCACCGTATTGACCGAAATATTCTGGGCCGCGGAGAGTCTGAAGTAATGCCTGCTCGTCCTTGATCGAGGGAATCAGGCCGATAACATAGACGAGATTCTGCTGTTTGACACGCACGCCGGCCAGGTTGCGACGTGACGAATTCTCAACCTCCCGCTTCTCCGTCTCTTTGCGTTTCGCGGCCGCTTGCTTTTTGTTCTTATTCAGCTGGTCGAGCTTGAACTCTTCGGCAGTCGGGATCTTGTACTGGATCGTTTTCTCGTCGTAAGGTCGGCGACAATTAGGACAGGTGCTCTTCTCGTAGGTAGTTTTCAGGCTGTTGAAGCAGAACTGGCAGATCTGTCTTGAGCATCAGTAAACAGAGTCCTGCGCGCAATGGAAACTGATGCAGCTGCGACGCACCTGATAGCCACATGGACAAGGTCTGAAGTTCTTGTCGGACAGGTCGAACTCTTCGATGCATAGTGGGCTATTCGTCACGTAATCAGCATTCAGCCCAACTGCGCCGGGTAGTCGGACTCACCATGTCTCCTCGTCATCGTCGATGACGGTATCCTGAGACCTACTCATAACGGCGGATATGCCAATAAGACTGCGGGGGAATCCACCTCTTTCGACTCCTGCACCACTAAGTGAAGGTCAAGAGCGGCCTCCATGCACTGGTCTGTGGTTTTTGCCGGGCTGAGTAGGATGTCGACGGCTGCGGGAGATGTGACAAAAGCCAGACTGCTTGGGAGGAGTGTTCCGCAGCGTGGATTGACGAGTGAGATGATTGCGAAATGCGTGCACCGAGAGACGATCTTGTCAATGGTTAAAGAAGTATGAAATGGCCGTAGAAGCGGCAGGAAGCAGAAGGCGAAAGGTTGCGAACGCAGTCGCGATGCATCTGACGCTAGTCCATATTCGTCTTAGCACTAAATGTTTTCTATCTTGGCAGTGCAAGATGCGCTCGCTCACCTTCGACTCACCGAGTCACCCATCTCAGCCATCTCAACCACCGGCTCTGCTCCACAGCGTTTATCAAGATGATGAATGGTGACTCCGGCGCCGAATGGGATCTCAACTACCGAAAGGACTCCTGCACACTCCGTCTCATCTGCAGCTTAATGCTCTAATGCTCTTCTGAGGCTGTTGTCATGAAGCGGGAGGACCGCCACCGGCAGCTCCTGGACAAACTCTTCCTAGACAAACTCTTACTAGCAGAGCGGACAAGCCCTTCCTGGAGAGAGCGGTGAGGAGCTTGAACTGATATCTTGCAAGGCTTCGATCCCAGGCAAGAGGAAGGGGCCCACTCCGGCACACTCATAAACTTCCTATTCCACGCTGTGCTGGTCTCCTCTTTATGCGCTGGTGACTCTTGTGACAGCCACGCGTGTTCTGTTAACCCTTACCTCGACGAGAACGCTGGACTTCGCATGAGAATAACCAAATTCTGCCGTTGTTCTATAGAGACCGCGCCCAGTCAGGGACGTGAGGACGACAGAGAGGACATACGAAGTATCGGCTCCCCGCAGCGGTCAGGCCAAGCTCGAGGCAAACACGACAGCAATACACGTGGCCAATCTCATGCCGGACCGTTGTCGACGGAATCGTTACGCCCAGTGGAAACCCCACCATTTGCGGCAAGCCTCCTTCTCGTTCTCTGAATCCATGATTTCCCTTTCAACTTAGTTGCTCAAGATTCTTCAGCTGATTCCTCAACTGAAGATGCCAGAGACGAAAATGGGTCGTGTCGCAGCCTAGACACGGTGCGCTGGTAACCGGGCTCCGGCACAAAATACAAGGACGTCCAGGAGGGGCTTAAAACGGGGGACAGGATTCTTTCACCTTGGTAGATTTGCTAGAATGGTCGCAGCCGTCACCCAGACCTCCCTTATGAAGCCTCTAGCAGCGTAGGACTGGATAATTGTGGGAGCCGTGTCGTGAACCGTTTAATCCTTGCATTCGATAGAAACAGCAGAGGACAAGCTCTCAGCTATCTAAAGATCAAGGACAAGCCATCGATATCTGCTTTCGAAGGAACGGAATAAGGACGGCTCCTCAAACTGTCTCGTTCCACCAAGCATCAGTTTCCAGCCAGCTTTTCGCCCTGCGACCTGGCTGTATTGGTCGTGCGGTGATTTCTCTTCAAAGACACAATACGTGACCGTAGTGTAGCGCTTATCCAATGTGGGCTAGTCTACCTTGGCATGAATGAGCTCCGTCATGGACCATTGTGTTTGGACGTCCACCTACCCGCTTGGACAGGCTCCCAATTGAAGTCACGTTCAAGAATCGACGGCCGCTTCTCATTCTACAATGGCGTCGGCGAAGACGGTGTTGCGACTGGCCAGCAAGAGGCCGCTGGGCTCAGCTCCGCAGTCCTCCAAATCGGTGCAACGCGCGACTTTCAGCCAGTCTACAAGGCAATCTCAAGAGAAGGCTGGGAGTAAAGCAATAGATGAGAGAACACCTGCGCCCGACCTCCTATCAGAGCTGCGCAAGGCACCTCGACCTCGTGAGTACGCGGGCTGGTAATGGAAGACGAAGAGACTGACCCTCCCAAGCCATGGGCAAGCTCTCAGCCCCGATCGTCAACGATGCGGACAAATATGCGGACAAGGCGCTCCCTCTGCATCAATACGGCCAGTACCTCATGTCCTGCCTACCAAAATACATCCAACAATTTTCGGTGTGGAAAGACGAATTGTGTATCTACATCCCTCCTTCCGGCGTCATCCCCGTGTTCAGCTTCCTCAAATACCACACCGCGGCGGAATACACCATGGTGGCGAGCATTACTGGTGTCGATTTCCCCACCAAGAACTACCGATTCGAGGTCGTCTACAATCTGCTTAGTGTGCGACACAACTCAAGGATAAGAGTCAAGACGTATGCAGATGAGACAAGCCCCGTGCCTTCGATCACCTCACTGTACGACGGGGCCAACTGGTATGAGAGGGAAGTTTACGATCTGTATGGTGTCTTTTTCACCGACCACCCTGACCTGCGTCGGATTATGACGGACTATGGCTTCGACGGGCACCCCTTACGCAAAGACTTCCCGCTGACAGGATACACCGAGATTCGATATGACGAGGAGAAGAAGCGCATCGTGGTTGAACCTCTTGAGATGACACAAGCATTCCGAAACTTTGAAGGCGGTACAAGTGCTTGGGAACAGGTTGGCGTTGGCTCGGACCGGAAACCGCCCGAATTCAGGTTGCCCACCCCCAAACCGGAGGAGAAGAAGGAAGAGAAGAAGTGAGTTGAAGCTGTGCTCGGCGGCGAGCCAAAAGACCGGAGCCCCCCAGGGTCCACTGTAAATACACCGCAATTGACCGTGTCGTTTCTCGGATTATTTCTACCCAGTTATCCTTCGGAGCGTAGCGTAGCAGTTTTATTGACCAGAAGTGCCTTCCACGGCCCGAATGGCCGGCGCCGCCCAAGGCGCCTTACCACCGCAGCCGGAATGTTGAATGCTTCTGCCAAGCATTTTGGACAGAGTTTGATACATCAATGAGTGAGCCCTTTGCGAGCTCGGCACAGGGTCCTCCGAACTTCTTCGCGTCTACTTGTGTCTACTCAGCCGGTCGAAGAGAGAAGGATACGGAAACCAATAGCCATGGATTATCTTTTGATCCGCGCTGAGTTGCCCACGTGACCCCTCTGACCACTCGTGCCACTTTAACGTGCTCTCGCGTAGCTCTCTACTTTGCATGTTTGAAGTCCGATCTTGACCAATCGTTCCTTTCATGCAGGTGGATGAGGCCAGTATGAGTCGACTGGCATCAACTCAGATCACGAGCTGGGTGGACGTTCGTGAAGAGAACTCCAGAGAACTACCTTCCACCATGGCTTTTGCGCTCTGCTCCCTTGGACCTCGAGGACCTCAGTCTGGCACAGCCACAATTCTAATCAGAAGCAGAAAGCTGGCAGCCTCGCCTGCCACTCTCGTGGAAAGAACAACCAATTGATCTCTTTACGTTTCATTGCTAGCACATGTCCATGGTCGTGGTTGCTTTAGCCGGCCGTCACTTCGTCGAGGGCCACTGTGGCAGTAGAAGCCGAATGTGAGTCAATGCATTTCTGCACAAAGCCTTTGCTCGAGCATTGTTATGCCTCGACGAATTGTGAATGGCGCACAATAGCAATTGCATCAACCTATTATTAGCTTTGTTGATCAATGAGCAATGCTTTGTTATGTGCACTACGGCTTTGTCATGCTGCCTGTGAATGGCGATAGTTCCATGGCGATCCTTTCTTTCAAACACCAAGGAACATTCACTTGTTGTACCGAAACTCTTTGTTCACCACTTTGTGTCACAAACAGGCACTTAAAGTGCTCACCTGCAGATGCAGCTTTCACTGGCCTGGCACATGTCGACGATTGGACAACACCATTATTTAAAGGGGCACATCGCTCACACCCTCTTCCGATCGAACCCTCCAACTCAACTACACCATGGATTTTACCACACATCATACGGTGCCAAATCCGCCCGAGTCGACGCAGCAGGCAGAAATTAGAGAGGATATGGAAGGTCTCCACGAACCCACCGTGCTCCCCGAAGGGGGAGCAGATGCGACGCTGTCTTCAGTCCCAGAGCGACTCCGGCCTGAGGACTCTCGTGATGCTCCGGCATGGGAATCTACCCGATTGGCCACATGGACTGTCCCGCACATCAGGCGCGAAGGGCATTTCTCATATTTCGGGCCCATGTCTATCGATGGATTCAAGAGGGATGTGGAATCTTTCCTGTCAGAATATCTCCCGTCACGTCCGGAGAATCGGCGTGGCGATCTTGTCGAGATGTTTGCAGAAGGGTTCCCTGAGCTGACCATCGAGCAGCAAGCCGCCTTAGGTGAGTTTTTCATCGAGTGTCTTGATCTTTATCAACTTCCTTCTGAGCTATCTGATCGCTTCTGGGAAGGTCTTCCGCAGGCCATCGAGCTAATGTCGCCAGACGGGGATGAATCGATGGACGGATCCGACGACAGCTGGATTCCTGGAGTCGGCGCTGTTCCTTGGTTCAACCCGACAACAATCATAGGTCGAGACCCGGCACGATCCGAGGATCCTTTCTACGGACCGGATACCGAAGGGTCTGCAGCTCCCGACGAAATCCGTGACTGGACAACAGACTTGTCCTGCTTGCATACGGCGTTTTTCGACATTCATGATCAAATGTCAGACATGATTCCCGATCTGGTGGTGGGGGTATCTGCCGACCCGCTTCATATTCGTGCTGAGCGCCTACTTAGGGAGAGTCAACATGATCTCTTTGCTGCAGGTTCATTCATCGAGTTGGCGGCCAAGCCACGCAAAGGCCCTTTCTTTCAGAGCCTCGTTTCAGCAGAGAGGTCCCTAGCCACAGCTAGAGAGAAAATCTTCAGGGCAGAGACCTACCTCGTCACCCAAGAGGATACGCTGCTCGCCGGTGAAGATTGGAAGTTCTTGGGCCACGCCAGCAGATACGAGCGGAGCAGGTATCGAGACCATCTGAGACGGCTCGTCGCCAGCTGCCGGACAGAAAGAGTGCGCATTTTCTCCATCGGCTCCTCCAGCACTGAGCTCGAACCGGTCACTCGATCGTATGATGAGAGTGAAGATAAGTGTCCGATTTGCTACGACGATCTACCGGAGGAAGGCGAGATTGCTCCTCCCCCTGCAGTGACGTTCACCTGCTGCAACAAGGCTTTCCATGTCGACTGTCTTCTAGAGTGGTTGTTTGGGAAGATTCGCCAAGGCATGCATTGCCCAATGTGCCGCAAGGGGTTGGACCTTGACTTCTTGGGAGCGCTCATGGAGCAGAAAGTACAAGAGCTGCAATGTCTCTGAACGACAAGCGTAATTGCATAGAATACACGGCAGGCGCTGTCGACAATTCGGAAAAGGTAAGCGGGTAGAGGTTGCTAATGTGTTGCGACACGAGATCGAAAGGTATTATGTAAGTTATGTAAAAAAAATTGGGCTCCACCCCGGATGAAACAGATTCAAGCGGTTATTGGCAGGTAAGATCGGTGCTTGTGCGCTGATTGTGAATTTCTCTTGTAATGTAGCGTTGGAGACCAAAATCAACGTTCGTAGGACAGCTGAAGCACAAGCGCGTGGAAGGGAGACCTCTCGCTGCACTGGCTGGATTGAGGAACAGGACACACGTACGGTAGCCAAGTATGTCAGTTTGCATGATTTATTTAGGTTCTGTTGCATTGTTCGAGTTCTATTACCTGTAGTCAGCCTGTTGATTGTCTGCTGTTTATGCTTACTCGTCCTTGGCCCCCGTAGATATAGTGTTGTATCCTCGATAGCATAGAGTCCGTAATTCTCACACGGCACAATCCATACGTAACGCCCTCAACCATTTATCGTTTCCACAACAAGCGGCACCACAGACTGAATTCGATGTGGACATCGGCCAAGCGACCTCCGTGCGCTGAGGAAAATGGCGCATCATGACCCGTGTTGATTATGTAGAGATCCGAAAAGTGTCCCTGCGGAAATGTGACCGGAGCATCAGGAGCACGTAGCGGTTGATGTTCGGCCGCTGAGTCCACCTCGGCAGCAAGCCGCGGCGGTGTCACTTCGCACCCACATGGCTGACCCCAAGGAACAAGTTCGGGAGGTCTCGGAACACGCTCGTGCGTAGGTGCAGGCGCAGTGAGGTAGGTTTAAATCCACTGCCAGATCGAGCGGAAACAGTGCGGTCGGAAAGGCGAGGCTGCGTCTGGACGTACTGTGGTACAGCTACAGCTTTCATGTGGGGTCTGAAAAGGTTCAGCGGACAAAGAGTGGGAGCCTTGAGGCTCGCCCAACGAGGCCCTGGGCCGCACCCAGAGCGGGACCTTAGGCACCGGGCTTAACTATTAGCCCTACCCCGGATTTTGCGCTTAGCAGATCAGTGGCCCTCAGCACCAAGTGGGGGGCATAACAATGACATCAGTGTCGATTGCTGGCTAGCACACCACCACGAAAGGCGATGAGACTGTGGGCAGTGCATCAATCACACAGTTCTTGAGCAATGCTTCGGTCAGCCTTATCACTCGTCCTTGGCTCTTTTCTTTGCTCTACCTCCGTCTCTCGATCGAGGCTGTCGCTGTGGACCTGACGTGGTAAGAATCGATCCGAGTCTTCCCGCGGCCAACCAGCCCATAGGTCTCTCATCCGGTGGGGTGGGATTTGTTGGGTTTTGGTTACCAGAAGCAATTCCGGATCTCGTCCCGTCTATGATTGGTCGTGACGGCGCTGGGAAGGAAGTCAAGATGTTGTGGCATGTGACAAGACGAAGGTGGACGAAAGAGGCTCGCAACGATGGGATTTTCCGACATTGCAACTGTGAGGCCAAGTGGCAGGGAAATTGGGCCCACAATGCTCGAGGGCGCACCGGCGGTCCAATGGCAACGACGTCAGTGCATTTGAGCAAAGCACCAGCGACATCAGCAAAGTGACTTGAGAGGCAGGTGCACGGTTGTTGCTGCTGCCAACTTCCCCGCATCTGGCGTCTGTGGCCTCTGACGCTGCCGAGTCTCGCACTCCCCCGAGCCGAAAGCTGTCCAATCCACGACCCTTGAATGTCGAGTCCGCTTATCACATTGGTCCGAGGAGCAGTCAATCGACCAGGGTCAAGGTCAGGCACTCGTGGGCAGACGGCCAACGGCCACGGCAGCACAAGACACTGATCGTCTCTGCTGCGGAGTTGACAACCTTCATCCGACCGAGTGCTTCCTTCCTTCCTATATACCCAGCTGGCCTCGTTCTTACCCTTGTGACATCCGCATCCATATCATCTCTGCTTGTGTTGTGTCAATCATATCGGTGAGCGAAGCACGCGTGCCTCTTGTCGTCGGGTCGATTGCACGGCCTGACAGATCCCGCGCTCCGCACTAAGCTTCCCCCGCTCGGCGTAGAGCGATAGACCGCTCCTTCCCCCCAGACTCTTGCCGTTGGTGCGAGGCCGCGATAGCATAGTATTGCTGTGGGTTCTGCTTGGTCGGTACGCTCAACCGCCTGTTCTGGCAGCATCTCAAAGCGCCAACCAATATACCTTAAATTCCATTCAAGATCACCGCAAACATTCCGACAATCTCGTGGGCGCTCGGGAATGCTAATTGAACACGGACAGATCAGATACAAGCGGACGAGCCTGTGAACCCTGCCGTTGACCTCTCTTTCACTACCCCAAAATGTCTGGTAGCACTGCCAACAGGATCAAGGAGAGCGCCCGATCGGCTGCTACCAAGGTCGAGGAAGCTGCCACCGAGGCTGCGAACAACCCAGTACAAGCCAAGAATGACTTCCTTCACACACCCGCGGTTCGCGCTGCTCTCCCCTTCGTCAATGGAGGCCTTGCAGGCATGTTCGCAACCGCCTGCATCCAACCCATAGATATGGTCAAGGTGCGCCTACAACTGGCGGGAGAGGGTGTAAAGACAGGTCCCAGGCCCACAGCTTTGGGCGTGACAAGAGATATCATTGCACAAGGCAAGGTCCTCGACCTATATAATGGTCTCTCAGCCGGTCTGCTCAGACAAGCCGTCTATACCACTGCGCGACTGGGCTTTTTCGACACATTCCAAACCGCGCTGCAGGCACGTGCTGAAAAGAATGGCACGAAGATTACCTTCATCGAACGAAGTGCAGCCGGGCTCACAGCTGGTGGATTGGCTGCGATGGTGGGCAACCCGGCTGATCTGGCGCTCATTCGCATGCAATCGGACGGCCTGAAGCCCAAAGAGGCCCGAGCGAACTACCGTTCGGTGTTTGATGCTCTGACTCGGATTGCCAAAGCTGAGGGCGTCACAGCCCTTTGGGCGGGAGCTTACCCCACTGTGATCCGCGCCATGGCTCTCAACTTCGGGCAACTCACCTTCTTCGCCGAGTCCAAATCTCAGTTGAAGCACTACTTCCCGGACATTTCCGAAAGCTCGAATCGCTTCGGTGCATCCGCGATTGCTGGGTTCTTTGCCTCGTTCTTCAGTCTGCCGTTCGATTTTGTCAAGACGAGGCTGCAGAAGCAACAAAGAGGGCCTGACGGAAAGCTGCCCTACAATGGCTTCTTCGATTGCGCGAAGAAGGTCGTCCGCGATGAGGGTTGGCTCAGATTTTACCGCGGATTTGGCACCTACTACGTTAGGATCGCCCCACATGCGTAAGGACATACCTGGAAACTTGAGAAGCTCCCAGACTGACATCGAACAGAATGATCACGCTGATTGTGGCGGACTACCTGAAACTGATCACGGCCTAGTAAGGCCTTGCTATCCTCATGCCCGAAAGGAACCCGGGTGGTGGGACAGGCGGCAGCAAGCTGGAGGCCGGTTCCCTGCAGAATTGGCAAGAACGCGCAAACGGAGCGAGGAGTCAGGCTCTGATGAGAAAAGCGCCAGCTCGTCCCGGTTTTTGACATTTCGATACCCTGAGATGGATGCCCAAGCATGGAAATGTCGATATCGCGCCGTATAGCATCATCTCGGCGTTTGCAAGATACATGGTTATGTGAATTGGATAGTACTGAGTAGACGAGGAAAGATGCGAAACAAGGATTAAATGGCTTCAACTCTCATTCTCACTTCATTGTCACTTTACTTTCCAGAGCACTCGGTAATTGCGGCCCAGGAAAAGTCAGGCAGGTCGAGCGACCGCTTATGTAAACTTTTCGATTGAATTGTCCGCCGCAGGCTGCGGAGTGAAATTCACGACTTTGACCAGTCAAACATTCTACCAGGCCAACCAACGACTATGAGCACAAAGGGTGGGCAATATGAGTGCTTCCCTACTTCTGCAACTTGTGCTCACGGGGACTTTAACCCATTACGAATCGCGAGGCTTGATCGATGACAAGCGGTTGGAGCACCTCTTGATTGCGGGCAAACAGATTCTCTACAAGTCGCACCAGGAGAGCGACGTCCGATCTCAGCTCGGGTTCAACCCTCGAATTTGGCATGGCTTGACCAGAGTCCTGACCGCGGCGATCCCGGTGCTCGAACAGCAGTCTTTCTCTTACAAGAACCCTCCGAACCTCAGTTACGGTGGCAGCAGCTCTGAGCTGATCGCGGCGCATTACCCATCTCTAGTAAAGGACATTGAACGACTGAACGACCTCTGTACGATCGCGCGCAATCTCCTCGCGACCACCAAGAAGGCGCAAAATCTGGCAGCAGAGAAAGCCTTTGACCAACAAATCTTGAAGTTGATCGATGTTTGCGTCAAAGTGACGGCAAGAGGGTTCGATGGCGAGGCAAATCCGCGGAACGAGGAGAGGTGGCAAAAGGTGGTGAATCTCTACAAGAGGCTGTTGATTACGTGTCTTCAGTTTCTGCACAACTTCATCATGCACAACGAGCAGCGCAAATTGGTGCTCTGGCTGGACCTATTCGGTCAATCGCAGGCTCGGGACGTGGATGAGCTAGGAAGTCGTTCTCCGGAAGAGACAGTCCTCGATCAGGAGAAGGATCAAGCTGCGAAAGAGGACAGGATCAGATCGACAGTGGAGGATCTACCAGATCGCCCGAGTCAACTTTCTGTAGAAGGTGGCAATCTTGGTTACAACATCGACGACGTTCATGCCCTATTCGACCTGATGAGTACGAACAAAGAGCCTGACGAGCAGACCCAAAGAGCGGCGAAGGTGCTGATGGACAAAATCAGATCGGACATGGAGCACCTGTCCGGCATGAACGCAAACCAACTCGATGACAGTCCGGATGTATTGTTGAGGGTGGGTGCGGAGCTGCGTGCGTGGTTGCTGAAGAAGGAAGATTCCGCCACTGTGGCTGCCCACTCGTCACAGATCAAGCGAGTGGCCGAGAAGATCATGGCACTGACTCACGGCAACGGCACTAAGACCAATGGCCATGCAGCTCAAAGTCAGTTGAGCCAGCTACCTGCACTCGGATCCTACAGTGGCCTCAAAACTTCGCAAACCTTGACGGAGGAAGACTTGAGAATGCCAAGGACTGCAAAATCCGCCGCTGCAACATTACAAGAGGCGAAAGACGAGCTCATGGCGAGATTACACGAGGCACCCATCATGGATGAAAACGGCGAACCGGAGTATGACGACGAAGGCGATCCAGAAGATGACGAAGATCTCGACGATGATGATGATCTGATCAGTGTCGGGGACAGCATGGGTGACGAGGATTACCAAGGATCAGCAGATCAAGAGCGAGGACTGCTTACCGATGTTCCTCTTGTCCTTGGTCCCACAGAGATCGAAGCCCTACCGATGATCATTCAAGCAGGCATCGTCGACAATTTTGGTTCGAAGAATGGCACAGCAGCCCAACAGCAAGGTCTCAAGACCAACATGCAAGCTGTCCGCTGCCATATTCTCCTTGCCCAGGAAGCTGGACGCAATGTCCTTCGGGAACTGTTGATTTTCATCGCCGCTTGGGATCTGCCCGATGATGAGTTCTACTTCAAGATGATGGTGCAGATCATGGAAGCTATCCTGAAAAATGGACTCATGTCTCACGCATACTCGGATTTTGGTCAGCCCAAGGATATCATCTCGCCAGCCCAGGCCGTGGTGATCAAGATCCTGACCCACATTTTCCGTGCCAAGTATAGCCCTGCTTCAGTGCAGCAGCAGCTGCAAAATTCGAGTATGGAACAATCACCTGCACCACAGCAGGGCAAGTCACGACTCCTACCGTCTCCCCTAAGTCGGGTGGACGTGCTCACTGTCCGTTACATTTTCATTGTCTTCCGTGGGAACATCATACCAGAAACTTGCGCACTCATCTATTTGCAGGGACAGATTCGGGCTGGCCTTGCTTTAGCAGAGGACTTCCCCCTGAACCTGTGGGACATGGAACGCGTGTATGAAGGAGTGTATCAATTCCTGGAGTTTTTCGCAGTCCTGACCGAAAATAACGACTGGAAGAAGTTGTTGGTGCAGTGGGAGATCGTGTATGATCTTGTCACCTTGATCAAGGAGCTGGACCAGAGCATCGCGAAGGTCGGGTTGACGCACGCGATACCCGCTCGGCCCTCGAATGGTGATGGAACAACCTTGGCTGGACCCTCAGCGCAGGAAGAAGCAGCATCTACCCTTCCTGCCCACGTCGCTGTGGAGCGACCCTATGATACACAATCTGCATCAGAACCACAGGAAGCGTCCACTTCGAAACCGGTTCCGCCACCGCGACAGGCTGCAACAGCAGCCGCCTCTCAACCACCACCACCACCACCCGCGCCGGCGACAGTGACCGAAGAACCTGCAGACTTCGAATGGCGCAACCTCAAGAAACTCATCGTCCTTGTGCTCTCTAGTCTAGTGTGGAAGTCTCCTACCGTGCAGAATCAAATCCGTGAGTATGGGGGAGTGGAGACAATCTTGAGCTGCACTTCTTATGATGGTACGTGACTCCCTTCTTGCCCGACTCAGCAAAGAACACCCTCGTTCCTGCATGGCCGGCCTCTACTTGCTCTCATGACAGGATCTGATCTTTACTAATAGATGGACCCAAAATGTAGCATGCAACCCCTACATCAAGGAGCACGCGGTGATGTGCCTGAAATTCCTGCTCGAGAACAACCCCGAGAATCAAGCCCTTGTTTCGTCATTGGAAGCGAGAGAAGTCGTGCCTCCACCCGACACTGGAGATGCCATGAGCATAACAGAGGCGTTGGATAAGCTTGGTATGGATGTCGCGCTGATGCCTGATGGGCGTGCGAAGGTTGTCCGGAGGGATGGAGCAAATGGTCGGAAGATGGGGTTGCGGCCAGGGCAAGGTAGGATTGAAGAGTTGAGGGAGGAGGTTGAGGCGCTGGGGCTGCCTGTCAACGAGGAGGAAACGGTAGAAAAGGGAAAAGGGAAGGAGAGAGCCAAGGAGTCTGCGAGCGACGACGGTGAGATTGAGTTCATGTGAGAGCCTTCCACATCTTGCAGACTCTTATGGTCGAAGGGTCGTTTTTCTAGGTCTGTGGTGCGCTCCAAGCATCTTCGTTGAGGCAGACCACGTTCGCCGGCAACGGTGTGGACTGGGTTCCATTGACGTCGCCCAAGCGCCAGCTGTAGGGTTCCGGTCGACGCCCGAAGACTTGGTCCTAAAGTGTTTTTCCCCGTTGCGCCTTTCAACGGCATGCCTGTCCATAGAAGCCACTGGGCGCATAAAAGCCACCGGTCAGGAGTTATGGCATGAGGGGAAGGGACCTTTGGCATGCAGGATGATTACGGCCACACGTCCTCACAATTGGTTGGTAGGAGAAGCTAAGGTCGGACTGTGAGCCTGCCCACCAATGACATAGTTTGTGAAGGGCAGGACGCCCCACCACGACGCAGCTATTTGCCAATGCCACCACTAGCACCGTGTGGCCTACACAGCTCGAGCACAGCCTCAGCTTGACAAGCCACCGACGAACGAGGAGTCACCAAAGAGACAAAACCTCTTCCCCTCCCAGCCTTGTTGCCTGGACTCTTTCTTTCTCTTTCTTCACTTCCTTTTCCTTTTGTGTTGTCCTAGTTACGCTTTTCGCAATTGTCGTTCCATACCTTTAGAGAGACACGCACTTCGCCAGCTGTTTACTGCCTTACCTCCTGAGCCTTAAGTCATCTCCAATCCCGATGTCATCATCTTCCGACGGCCGAAGAGAACAAAGGTCAAGACTCCGTCGCGGCCGTCGCGGACCAGGTGCACGACGTCAAGCCTTGCCGGGGCTGGTGGTAAGTTCTCCGCTCATGCAGTACCTTTCTATTAGCTGGGCGATCCATTAACCCTTGACCCTAGCCGGCCATCGTGGTCCCGGAGATTCTGACACCACCGATGGAGGATCTTTGGGCAAGCACTTGGGCAAGCACGAGTCTGGAGAGGGATGGACACCCAACAAACGAATTGGCATACGAGTTCGACGTTTTGACCTACCCTCTTGCCCGATCGGACGATCCCTGTTCGTGTCTCTTCGAGCAGGCTGAGGAACGGGGTCCTGTCGATAGGAGACAAATCCCAGCAGCGACTGCTGAGATTCAACCGCCGTCGCCTTTTCAGTGGCAGAAATCTCAATGTCCTGCGAGCGATGTCGGCTCTTGGTATGCTTGGCTTCTCGCATCCAAGCACAGAAGGATCGAGGATCACATTTCCCTGTCCTGGAAACTAGGAAGTGTGATGTCGGATGATTCTGGTGACATAAGTGGTGCCGAACCTATCGACCAAGGAAGACCGAGATTCCAAGTGCCTTGCGAATGCATGAGCAGCTCAAAGGACATCGCCAGAAAGTCTATGAGAAGACATAGGCTTGAGTGTCCACCTAAAATGCCCCTGCAGTCACGGAAGTTATGGCCACTGCACAGCATCAACATTGATCGTGGTATTGGGGACAGAGGTTACCTGACAGACGAAGCCTTATTACCGCCAGACATTCTTTGGCAAATGAGGCACTCACCTAGATGGCCCATTAGGTCGACCCGACTTGCTGACCCCAGGAGATTGACCATCTCCAAGACGACAATGCCCTCTTTGCACCACATGGTGCGCCATCGAGCACGTAGCCGCAACGTGGAGTCATGGCGCCCCCTTACCTCTCCCGGATAGACTGCAATTCGAAACAGGCGCACTGCCAGAATCATCATCAACAATTCTACGACTACACGCAAGGTGCGACGTGTCAGCCCTTGTGGATCCCAACACCAACACTATATTCGTCCCAATACCAAGTAGAATATTCACCGCCGGGGTCTTTCGTGGTCCCTAGTCCAACAATGCAGTCCACACAGCATCTCCCCCCTCTCACCTACGACTCCTCACCAGACCAACAAGACTTAGACATGGCGGGCCTCGAGCTCGATTACGATATCCTCAACCATCCGAGCTTCCTGCCCGATTTCAATCTGAGCGAGTACTACAAGGACTTTACCTTGTTCACATCGAACCAAAGCTTCATTCAATCACCGCTTTCCAACGCCAGCTTTTTCCCCAGCCTCGACTCATACAACTCCCCGATGGCAGCGGCTCCTCAGCAAGTCCACAGGTTTTGCTGCCAGTTTGCCGGCTGCACGCTGACATTTGCGCGTCAATGCGAGCTGACGCGGCACGGGTACAAGCACACTCGGCCCTTCGGATGCCCCCACTGCGGCCGCACTTTTGCAGAGAAGCGTCGATGCGTCCAGCACATCCAATCAGTGCATGACCTGGCAACCGACGATGATAAGACCATGTGTCATGTGTGCAACTACGCGCACGTCAGGCCCGACGCAGTCAAGCGGCATCTGCGGTTGAAGCATGGCATTGGGGCCAAGTTTGAGCGCCCATCGCCAGCAACGTCGACTGACCACTCGGACAGCCAGGGTGGGCGTAGGAAGGGTAGGAGCGGGAGGAGGTAGCAAGCATGTATGCAGGGCATATGTGGACGCAATAAGTGGAGTGATCTATTGGAGTTTGGAAAACCTGGCTTCCGGGCTGTTATCTTGCTTCACATCCGGGGGGAGTTCTGGATTTCGTGTATCATAGAATTGGATGACTAGCGAGCCACCGGAATACTATTTCTTTACGTTAAGATAACCTGAATTGGCGTCTGTCAACATGTCTGCATGCCCGTCGTCGTGATCCTTGATATCCCTAATCATGATATTAGAACCACGGGAAGCAGTAATTATGCAGCACCGATGAGGCCGACACTCCTCTCATGAGATCTCATTTCGAAGGCCACGACCGTCGCCACATTCGCCTTCACAGGTCTGTTTCGGTTAACGCCCACTCCGGTTGATGGCTTCGTCCCTCCTTTCTGCAGATCTCAAAGCATAAGGTGGTGGGTGGGATAAACGAGGACGAGGGAGGCTTGCCACGTTGATGCTTCGATCACTTGTCACTTTAGCGTTGCGGGGAATGTGGGGGTCTTCGCTTAGTCATCTATCGGCCATGGCGTCACTGTCGATCCTCCACCCGCAAGAACCATCACGACGCGGTCCATTGTATTGTGTCCAGCCTCACAGGACTGACAGGGTGCGAAGGCCTCTAGAATGCCTCAACTCCAGAGGGCATTCGAGCTCACTGCTGAGCATCCGCTTGGCTCTTAGCGACCTCCTTGCTGGCACAAGCATCCTATCTCACCCGGTTCCTTTCCCCACCTCAGACACCATGACCCTCCTGTCACTCCCACCAGAGATACTGAGTATCATCTGCGACTACACCATATTTGACCGCCTGGGGCCTGAACGACGCTTACACCCATGTACCAACTGCCGGTATCTCAACAGAGGCGCGCGACGGAAGGAGCACGGCTGTCCTCCCCTCCTCCTCTGCTGCCGACACCTCCACAACATATCAAGCCAAGTCTTCTACCAGCACGTCACCATTGTCGTCGGCCTAGACTACCACTCCCAGCCTTACTACTTTCGATGCTACCCGACACCGGACCGCGACAAGGATATCTTCTCGGTTCTGCTGGGCCGGACCTCGATCCTCCCGCACATCCGGAACCTCGAGCTGCTGATCGCGCGGAGCATCTCCTACAACCCCGGCACGCAGACCACGTGTCGAGACATCGCGTTCCGCTCCAACTGGGAGGACTTGCCCACTGTCATCTCCTCGTTCACGGCCCGCCTCCCAAGCCTACACTCCCTGTCATACACGGTCGGGGTGGGGGCCTTGCCCAACGAGGCGCTGTGCATATGGCCTCACGCGACGAAGACGGAACAGATCCACCGCTTCATACCGGACGAGACCGTCTTCGAGGACACGTCGACCTGGCCGATCCCGTTATCTTACTACGTCTCACTGAGCACGCTGCTGCAGGCATCAGACGCCGGGCTTGGTGGTCGTGAAGTCAACGTCACGCGTCTGCGTCTCTGGCTTACGCGTCTTCGAGTCCCAGCCCTGAAACAATTTGTCCGCGGGCTGAGCAGTGGCGATGCCCCGGAGCAGGGCGGTACTCCTGCCTCACAAGCGCCCGACGACGAGGCCCTCGCGTGGAGAGCGCTCTTACGCAATCATACCTTCTCCAAGGTGATATTGCAGCTGCCGAGGCTGAGGGTCCTTGACGTATATGTCCCCGAGGGTCCGTCTATGGGTGCGAATATGGACGGCCCGTGGGAAGACCCGCCGGTCGATGGCGCTATGGCTTGGACGCTGACGCGCGCATTGGAGACGATCTTTCCGCATGTCAAGACGATACGTCTCTGGCGGGCGGGGTGCGAGAACGTCACGAGTGGGAAGTATGCGGTGTTTTAGCTCGACTTTGATTGTGATTTTGATTATGAATTTCCTGAACTTGGAACTTCCAGAGCTGATTAACTTGAATGGTCGGGAAAGGTGCTATCGTGCTGGTGCAGGTTGCTACTACTCCAAGCTACGTGGAGATTGTTCTCGATGAGAGTACGACGCGTAATGAGAGCGTTCAGAACGAGTACTAGGAGTACATAAGGGCACCTGTATGTTCTGTCGTCTATTTCGCCGCCCCGAAGCACTCATCCTGGGCGGTCCTCGGCCCTTTTGGCGCCGTTCATTTGGAGACGGGAAGGCCAGTCCATCACAAGCAGTCAGATGGGGATGAACTTCGTCGACACCTGCCGCTTTCCCCCTTGACGTCTGGAGTCTCGCATGGGAGCTCTCGCCTTCGATTGGGTTGTGAGAAGCGACTCCTTTATTCGGAGGCTTGATCAAAAATGTCAAGACAGAACAGGCAATATCGTCGCATCTGAGAACGAGTTTCGGCATCACTAAACAGGACCGTTCTTCGAATGTCCTACCATTCTACCATCCTGTGCAATTCCTATGCAACTAGTAGAGCGGCTAGCATGAGAGTGAGTGAGTGAGTGAGTGAACGCGCGAGTGAGCAGTACCGACGACGAGGGACTTCTCGAAACACGGGACGATGGTTGCGAGAGGTCTCGCCGAAGCGCGAACTGAGCTGGAGCCACGGAGAAGAGTCGCCCAACTCTCGCTCCTGAAATACAAACACAGTACAGCCCAGGACATACAGTACACCGGCACCATGTTCACTACACCCTTCTCTACTCGACTCCCCTCCCAGTAAGACTGTACCGTACCTTGCCAGGCTCACCACCCCCACAGCATCCCCCACCATCTCCTCCTGCCACCTTGTCTAGTCATAATACCGCGCCTTTACTCCCTTGATAATACTCTCCTCCTCCCTCCCCACGCGGGACACATTCTTCGCCACCCGCGCCTTGACCCATTCGCCAGCCGTCAACCCGACGGTCGCCTCATCCTGGACCTTGTGATATCCCAACCGCTGCAGCACGGGACTATCCCTTATGGGCACCAATTCAGTCTCATCGTCGGGTCGCACGAAGTAGAGCACGCCGTGGCGGTCGACGTCGGCCTGATCGGCCGGCGGGACGACCACGCGGTGGATGCTCGATTTCAGGAACCCGTTCGTCAGGAACTGGAGCACGTCGGCGATGTTGACCGTGATGGAGGCGGGGTGGGGTTTGACGTGTTTCCAGGTGCCGTCGGGCGTGCGGACTTGGAGGGCTGCGACGGGTTGTCTGCGTACACACACACATGATCAGGATACTATGCAAAGGGACCAATTGGCCAAAAGATAGCAACGACGCTGGTCTTGTCCTGCCCTGAACACACGCCGCAAACGCGAAACTCTTACCTGAAGAGCAAAGTGAGGCTCCCAAAGTCGGTATGCCCCTTCACCCAGACGTTGTCGAGTTTTTCGTTCTCCTCGGCCGAGCGGCGGCTGCAATACCCACGCCACTTTGTCAGCTCATGCTTTGTCTGTATACTAGGGCATAGATGCGTGCGCGCGGGGGTCGTACGTGACTCATCGCGCGAGTCGAGAGTGACCTGTACTTACTGATACTTCATATATCGGAAATGACAATCACTCTGCTCGTCATACCGGTGGATGTTCAAGAAATAGTCCTCGGGCAGCTCCAGCACCAGCGCAAACAGCACGAGCAGCTTGCGCACGATCTGAAAGTGGATGTGCGTGGCAAAATACCGGATCTCGTCCCAATGGTCGGTGATGACCTTTGGGTGGTCCCGCTCGTACCGCTCTGTGAATTTCGGCGTGTTGTAGATCTCCGTGTTGTCCTTGACGCCGTTCTTGATCTCGCGGATGCCACGCGGCTTGTAGCCGTTGTAGCCGCCATTCTCGAGGTCGGCGCGGTACTTGAGCTTCTCCTCCGTGGGGAGGTCGAAGACTTGTTTGCACAGGCTGAATTGGCGGTCGACTTCCTCTTGCGAGAGGCCGAAGTTGATGATGTAGAAGAAGCCTTACCACCAAGTTAGCTGGTGTTCTTGGACGGTTCGACGGGCGCCACAAGGATCTGACGTGGCGTTCGTGTCGGAGTGTGGAATGCTATAGTGAGGCGCCGTGTCCTGCGTACAGTCTACGTACCTATTCGGTTGACGGCGTCGAAGAGCTGAGCCGCCAGTTCCTGCTTGCCGCCTGGCTGGTCGAATTTGCTGAGGTCGAGGGTTACTAGGTCGGCCCAGTCCACTGCGAGAGAAAAGTTAGCCCGTCCCAAAAGATCACGAACGTACGGTCAGATGAGGATGCCATGGCCGGCAACTGCTTACACTCCTCCTTGGTCTCCGGTACGGGCGTCCATCGGGGCAGCGAGAGAAAGGCTGGGCGTGTGATGGTCTCTGTTGCCATTGTGAAGAGCCGCTTCGCAATCGGGTTTGGTAAAGAATTCGTATCCCGAAGGTTACCAATCCCGTATTATGGTCTCGCGTCAATGTATCTGCTGTATGTACCACTGAGTTTGGCCGGGATGATGCCATTCAACACGGGTATTGCTCATCAATGCGGGGAACGTTGCCGACGGATATCGGCGTGGCTGCTGGAGTGCGAGAAGTGGTTGAGAAAATGTTGACTCTTGGTTGGCTGTATGTCTCCAAATGCTTACATATACTCAAAAGGGCATACTTTGTTAGCCAAGTAACCTCGGTAGAGCAGAAGGGAGAGTTCGAAGACCAGGTGTAGGGTTCGCTGGGTTGAGCGCAGATGGGGAGTCCATGGCTGGGCCGGGCAGGCCCATCGCGTGATAGCACGTGCTCTTCGAAAGTATATCGTGCTGAGATACGATCCTGGAGGAGGTACTGAGGTGACTTGTTCTGTCCAAAGTATCGGCTAAACCCTATCCTCGTGCTGGATCCACTTGCTTGCGCTACACTTTCGTCCCTGATCATGTCCACCTGTTCACTCAGAGATGGATACAGAAGGTCAGTGTTGTAAAGGTCAGTGTTGTAAAGGTCAGTGTTGTAAAGATCAGTGTTGTAGCGGACTCATCACTGTTCGCTGCCACTCTCGGTCAAGGTCGAAGAGGTGTCGAAACAGCATGGATGCGAGCAGCATCTCTTGGGATTAACTCTCAGCAGCGGCATCCCGCAGTGTACTTGCGAGGAGTTGCAACGCTTCCGGTCCTTCTACAGTCACAATAGATTCTGCTCGCGCTGAGAGTAAGGAGTGCAAGACTTGCACCACGGGGATGAGATCGCGTAATCTCGCACAGTCGGTTCACGCTGATCGATGTCCTCCGGGTTCAGGATTTGCAAGCCGGGAATGAAGGATCGTTCGCTCGGACCGTGTCTTGCCACAAGGACGCCCTGCTATCGGTCCGGGATTGAGCATTGCAGTTTCTCTCTTTCGTCCGAGAGGTTGACCTACATTCCAGAGTTAGCAGTAGTGCGTACAGCAGCTCTAGCAGATCGTGACAGAGCAAATGACCCGCAAACCCTAACTCGGCCACCGAGACGTCGCGTTCCTTGTAGCGTCCGTTAGGTGGATACAACCATGAGAAGTAGCGGACTTTGACCATGCATTGAGAGTTGGGCATATGCAAGGCTTCCCGGTGAGTCCAATTCGACGTGCTCCAAGTGGTCCACAACCGGAATAAGACGTACTCAGATTAACCTCTCACAATCAGTCTTGCATGCTATAGCAAATCATTATGCAGAGATTTGACTCCGCTGTGATATTCACCGTGTTACGTTGGCTCGGATACGTTGGCTCCCAAGCTGTCCGTGAGGATATGCGTCCGGCTGCAGCACACACACTCGGCAGATCGGGGCACTCACCAGATGACAGACAGCACCAAGGAAAATTGGGCAGACCCAAGGAGAGGTAGAAGGCGAAAGACCAAGTGACTATGGCCCGCGTGTTCCTAATCCCTAGCCGGATACGACATTGGTGCTGTCTACTCGTCTACTGAAGTGACCGCAGCTTTCCCGGCATGTTGTCCTCGCAATGGACACATCGACACGAGGTAGAGCTAAGATGCGTCAAGCTCCTGAGCGTGTTGCTTGTTCCTTGCGCGAAATGGACATCAATCAGCACGCTGCGCCCAACTTGGAAAAGATATCACACGTACTCACTTGTAAGGATCACTCGCATCATACACTGGCGCGATAAACATTGTCCCGCACCGTCTTGCATGGACGGCCTGTTGGGACTTGACTGCCGGCAGCGCCCTCAGATCTCTCGAAAAGGCAACATCAGCCACAGGACTCCATACGCGACCTCAGCACGGCACCATGGCTGTCAAGGCACCCAGACGAGGCTATGGCGCGGTTATCTGAAGAGATCAGAGACTGGCCGCCAATCGGCCCATCTTGATTCTTACAAAGTCAGAATTTAAAAATAGGGCGACCTAGAGCCAAACTCCCTGCCAAGTGGCTTTCTCCCGCGGTAGCCCAATCGCGGAGGCTCGTCTAACCAAGCTTCGCCGCCGAGAGGGCTTGCTCTTAGTAAGCTCATTTTAGCGTACGCTCGTTCATCCTGCAGCTCCCCGAGGTTCGGTTCGCTCTGGAGTACTGTGCATTATTTTGAGCTGTGCTCTTTGTCATCCGCCTCCCAATCGACCTCTATCAGCACTAAGCCTCTACCATGTGCGGCAATCACCACCATACCCTCGATCTGTGCAAGCGCTGACGCCTGAACCACGAGAAAAGATCCCAACTCCGCGAACGTGGCCTGGTAAGGCCCTCATCCGTAGGCTGCCTTCTGCCACTGCGCACATGGCGCCGGTACCCGCTGTGGAATGACCATAAACGTCCCCGTTCAGGCCGCCCGATCTCGCTGCCCGTAACAAGATTGAGAACATACTGGATCAGCCGTGCGAGGGGTCATGCGGGTGGGATTGTTCTTCCTGCTGCTTGCCATCCTACAGCAAAGGAGTTCCACACGCACGGTACAGCCGGTGAGCCAATATGCAAAAGGCGTGCCTCCGAGAGCCAAATCACCGCCTCGCCGGCGAGAGAGAACGACATAGCCAGCGCAGACACAATCTCGTAATCTCCTTGTACGCTTCTCTCGCATTTTGGTGTGGCATCTCAGCCTCAGGCCCCGTCCAAATCTTAGCTCTCACTCAAGCTTTGCTTAGATGCTTAGCCCTCGCCCCCAACGATGAATGCGGGCTGCCGAGAGACACAGTGCTGTGTACGTACCATTTGGTCTATATAATTCAGCTGCAGGTCGCTTGGATTAGGTCTTACTCCATCAGACAACAACACGGTCCACTCTTTTACACAGTCCCATTACATTAACAAGCTCAGCACCCGTTTCATTGTCCGCGAAAGCTTCTCCCACTCGTTCACAACCAATACAGTTCAGATCATAGCTACCCTTGTCTTCCCCTTCTGTTAAAGACACATTCACTCACTTAGCATCCACCTTACAACATAGTAGTAATGTATTCGAGACTGGCAACCATCCTCGGCTCCTTGGCCATTGCTTCACTTGTTTCGGCCGTCCCTGTCGAGAAGCGGGACATATACTTCGGCAATCGGGGTGGACACAGTCAGAATTGGGGCAGCTCTGCCTCCGTCTCTGCTCCTGCCACCGCCAGCGGGGGTGGTGCTCCGTCCCAGACCTATGGTGGTCAGCCCCCTTCGGGCTCTTCGGCCGGAGGCTCCAGCGATGGCAGCACCAGCATCTTCAAGTTCCCAACATCTGATGGCTTTCCCGACATCCAGAACCCGTCGGATGCCTTGACTGCCATTGAGCAGGCAGCTCACGGTCTCCTGCCCAACGGACCACCGCCGCCAAGCGCTCCTGCCGCAGACGATCTCACCTCGCTGAGACTCATCGCCTTCAACGAGCTCTTCGAAGTCGCCTATTTCACAGAACTGCTGTTCAACGTCACCCATAACGTGGCCGGCTATGAATACCAAGACCAAGGTGAACGCCAGAACATCATTGACGCCATCACCGCCGTGATTGCGCAAGAGAAGGAGCACCTGTTAAACGCCAACGGCGCGCTCGCCCACTTCAACGCCGGCCCCATCGAGCCCTGCGTGTACCAGTCCCCGGTGTCGGATCTCAAGTCTGCCATCAGCGTTGCCCGCACCTTCACGGACGTCGTCCTCGGCACGCTCGGCGACGTCCAAACCCACTTCGGACAGAACGGTGACGTGGGGCTCATCCGTGGCGTCGCTGCCGTCATCGGCCAAGAAGGCGAGCAGAACGGCTTCTACCGCAGCCTCCTCGGCCTGATCCCCTCGGCTGCTCCCTTCCTGACGGCCTCAACCCGCGAGTTCGCCTTCTCGGCCTTGAACCAAGCCTTTGTCGTGCCCGGCTCGTGCCCCAACGCCAATACCATTGATCTGCCCATCTTCGGCGCCCTCAGCCCTAACCCGCAGTTCCTCGACCCCAAGGACCAGGACGTCACCTTCTCCTTCTCCGCCACGGGCGACTACTCCAAGTACGCGCAGAGCTACAAGAGCTTGAGTCTCGTGTTTATCAACCAGCAGAACGTGCCCGTCGTGGCCACCATCAACAGCGCCTCCATCGACCAGAGCGGCACCGTCACCATCTCGGCCAAGTTCCCCTTCAGCCAGTTCCTGATGAACGGGCTGACCATCGCCGCCGTGGTCGACGGTTCTGGCCCCTTCAACAGCATCACTGACGTGGTCGCCGCCACCAAGTTCGGGCCCGGTCTGATCGAGGTCAACTAAGCTTGTGCGTTCACTGCTGGGACTGCATTCCGTGGATGGACGGATAGATGCTCTGCATTATCATCCCTGTGACGGGTTTATGAACAAATGACAGATGGTACGACGAAGCATTTTTCTTGGGGCCAAAAGCTTGTAATTGTGGGTCTGTAGTAGTTGGCTTCTCGCTGCTGGTAATCCTTGGCCTTGCTGTCGGAGTTTTAGAGATAGGTTCTGGCATGAATCTGGGTCTGGGGTGCCAATATTGGCGGCTCCTCCCGTGAGAGAAGAGACAGGGACGTAATTGATTTGATGACGGTCTTCTCCCTCTGTCGATGTATCGCTCCTGCTTGGACTGTGTTTCCTTTGCTTGAATTCGTTCTTCCAATTATGGCATGGTCCCACCCAGCCCACCACACCATGAGGAATGTAGGTCGAGACGTGCATTGAGGATAATACCGTAGAGATATCGTGCCTCTACCAGCTTTCTCTAGAGCCATGGTCCGCAAAAAGTCTACTCGCTCGCCCACCGTCCCGTACCCTAGGTAGCCACGTGGCCCTGCCGTCCTCAACATCAGCACATGCCGCCGTCAACGAGCGCTCCAACCCCTCCACCACGTGTACGGAGGCCGTTGTCCGGAGAGTGGACGCCCGTGGCAAAGCCACCCTCATCGGATATGGCCTCCCACGTATCCGTAGAGTCAGCGAAGAACTCGTAAGAGGACGAACAACAACGGGCCGACATAAGGCAGGATCGGGAAAATGAGCTGGAGGACGTAATGCGTACGTACGAGGGTGGTCACGTCCCGGCGGAGACCTCCTTGTCGTTGTGCTGGGGGCGTCCGGGCGCACGTGTAAGAGTGCCATTGCGAGGTCACACGATAGGGAGTCCGTCAGTCAGATGCGCAGATCGGTGGTTGTTGGCCCGTGGAGGGGACGGTGTCGTCTCACACGGGAGCCACGGGGCGCAATTCGATCAATAATCAGTGCTGGTAAGGGGGACCCGCATTAGGTCGATTTCTGAACACAAGGATCGAGGCTAGTGCGGTTCATGATAGATGGAGGTGTCGTGTCGTGGCGGCAGCATTTCCTTTGATCGAGATTCTTGGATGTAGAATCTTCGCCCGGCACGTTTGCTCAAGTCCACTCCGCTGTGACTGAGGATACTGATCGGTATCTTTGGGACAAGGGCGAGGATGTTTCTGTCATAGCCGGAGCTGGACAACCGCGCTGTCGCCGCTCCAAGGGCTTCCTGACTGCTGGCTGAAGGCGCAGTCCTCGCAGTCTCAGCAGTCTGACGTGCTTCATCGGTCGCAGAGGCTTATTCGGGTTCCGCCCAAACTGTGTTCGTTTTGTTGCATTCTGGATCTCCACGATGGTGCCCAGCTCCGTCATAGTCTGGTGGCGCTAGAATAAAAACACGTTCTTTCGGCGCAGGCACAATCGTTCCCTTTTTTTTCTCGTGACTGCTGTCTTATTCCGGGTATGGTACGTGCATCTATGAATGTTTTGTCGCTGTTTCGACGTCCATGCAGAGAAAAGTAGCGAACAGGGGCATGCAGGCGAGGTGGCAATGAAGATAAGCTCTGGAGGGAAGTAAAGCTCATCGGCCACGGCCACCTACATACCGAGTAGTGGCTATGGGAGGGATGGATGTTGACTAAGCACGAATATACGCGATGTGCACCCACTGGGTGAGCACGCACAATCCATTCACCATGTTCTCACCTTTTTCCTCTGCCCCTCACCAAATACTGTACGAGCTACCGCGCTCAAAAGGCGCCGTCTACAAAGTATTACAGACATTCCTGGATTTGATGGGTTTGCTAGAGAGCATCACCCTCACACAGTACCATTGCTCCCCAAGATCAGAGCTTGTAAGCCATGTCTTGCATTGCACATGAGCAATGGGTAGCAGCGAGAGACAGAAGGACCTCGATAATGGAACCAATCGAGGAACGGCGCTCGCAAATTGCATGTCGGCACAACATGTCGGAGCAAACGGAAAAAGATTGTGTCACCATAAATTCATGCCACTACGTGTAGTTCAAGTTGTCATGAGCCCTGCGTCATCAAGCCTTGCAAGAAGATGAGAGGAGGATTGTGCGTGGCCGGAAAGAGCGCTTGAAATGTCCGAGAAGTCGCGGTGAGGCAACAAACAAGCTGGAATAATCCTAAGAGTACTCCGTACACCCCAAGGGCGGGACGCGTCTGTGCTCCACGCCACTTCGAGCCCTGGATAAAATCAACGAATAGGTTGCCTCGGTTGGAGGCTTCATACTTGGCGAGGAGGCGCATGATCAGGTGCAGTAACCATCTCGAGCTAAGGATGATGTTTCTCGGGCTGAGAAATCGCAGAGGGGATGTCAGGAACGATAATCCTGCCTTGAACACGAGCAAAAGACACGATATCGTGGTCCGACCGCTAGAATAGTGTTAGGTACCCGAGGTGCCGACGCTGACATGCAGCAGAGGTCAAGGTCGAGGTCGCTCATGCGGCTGTGGCCGCGACTCCGGCCGCCGTGGGTTGTTTCAGGACACGAGGATGTCAGGGGTGCTGTTTCAGCAGCTCCTCTACGATCTAGCACAAGTCTTCAAGCATTTTGCTATCCGCACCGTGTCCGAGTTCTAGCATGACATTGCGGGGTGTTGACCAGCAGACCGTTGAATGCTTCACACGGCTCAACTTAATCTCAACGGGCGTTACGTGGATAAAGATTGAATTCAAAAGCTTATGAACTACGAATGGTTCACGAGCTGCGGGAGCCAAAAAGCATTTGACACCGTAGCCAGAGCACTGAAAAACTCAGGTGTTGATCCGTGAAGCTGCTGGCTGCAAAGATCGTCCCTCGTATTCTTGCAAATCAACTCCCTCGCTGCAGTGTTTTTGATGCGCAGCATTGCTACTCTGGACGGGTCGCTCTCGCCTATTACTGAAGACTCGCTCACCGGTCCTTCAGCAGCTCGACACCTGCTCGCAATGATGCCACTTGCCCCAATCCCGAAACAGGCGGGGAGGGCGCACTAAGCAGGGGCCGACAGATGCCGCGTTTCAGGGCAGCCAGGGGCGGCCCAATGGCATGGAACCACAGCCTCTAAGACAAAGTCTTTCATCCCTCCTGCAGCGAAGCTACTGCAGGCACCTTGAGAGAGGGACATCCCGCGAGCATGCTTCCCAGCACAACCGACCCACCCTCCGGGGCAAGAGGCAGAAGGCGTGCACGTTAATCGGGCAAAGGAGTCGAGGGCAAGAAATTCAAGTCATTCATTGTGCATGCGGCGCGGACTTCGACTATGCACCTTCTGCCTCGTCTGCTGACGCACTTGGATGATGTGGCAAAATGGACAAAACGAGCAGAATGAGAGAGGCTCATAAAATGTGAGTCTACAAGACCGCTCAACTCACTCTCGCCTCCGCAGCTGCTCAACTTATGCTCCAAGCATTGTATTCGATTTCTCTTCAGGTCCCGGTTGCGCAGCTTCTCTTTACACTAGAATCTTGTCAGTCTCTTCAGCAAGCACTCATTTGTCCTTAAGTCTCCTTGCGCTGGCGCAATTCCGTCCTTTCGCTCGCTTCTGACTCGACTATTATGAAACGCTGCCACTAGCCACCAGACCAGCAACTCATGGATCCCCGTCGCGGCAATCCCCTTCCGCCAGCCTGGCCTTTACCAGATGCGTTTCCCTCCAATGGTTACGACTGCTCTGTGCCTGCATCACAGCCTCTGGAGCTCGGTGATCTTAATACTTACGCCTTTCCATCCGCACATGAGCAAGCCCATTCAATTGAGCTGAAGGTGAAGGATGCCGTACACCTTTTGGCCGCCTTAGGTCTCAATCAGAGACAGATCCGCGAACTTCGGAAACCACAGTATCGTACCGCATTTTCCTGCCTTGCAAAAACAAGTGAGGATGACATTGACGTTGCCTACATCGCGGTCATTTCGGAGCGGCTGAGGAGCCCGACATCGAATCCTATATCAGCTCATCACCTCTCTGGGGTGCCCAGTCTCGTCTCCGATCAATCCAGTCTCAGCATATCTATGGCTACAGATTTCAGCATCCCTGCGTCCCATAATAACGCTCATGGATCTGAGCATATCCCGAATCTGGCATATGGAACGTCCCGCTTTGAAGCAACCCCGGATCAGTCGGACATGGCCACGACGAACAACCTCCATGATAATCAAACATCCTTCTTCGATTTCTCTGACCATGACAAGATGCAATACCAGTCTGCTCCCCAGAATGTGGTTCCTGTGATAGTGCCCCTGCAACGATCACGCCATGAGGCCCTTTTGCCTAGGCCAGACACTGCGATGAGAACTCCATCTTCCATGGCTGGAGATCGAAATCGGTCGAAGCTTGATCCTGCGAATCATTCATTCATCATTGCCCATCACGACCGCCAACGCAACCGGCCTCCAAAGCCCAAGTTTCCGTGTCCTGAACCTGACTGTCGTAAGGATTTTTCTAGCTCGAGGGAGTTTGCGAAGCATCTACGCGGAGACCATGACAAGAATGTCATCTTCCACTGCTTGCACAGTTCTTGTCAGGATGTCACGTTCGAGACAGGCCGTGCTGGAATGTGGACAAGACATCACAACCATCTACATGCTTCATGCTTGGAAGAGGGCGGATGCGTCCAAGAGACACGCGGACGAGAGAGGAAATATTGGGGCTGCGGGCTGTGCCAGGAGGTTTTCACCGACGCCAAATCGTACGCTTCTCATCATGCCGAACACTTCAAGAACAACAGGTCACTTGACAAGGGCGATGTTAGCTCGTCCACCATGATTCGGAGCTTGCTCATGCAGGAGGCCACGCGCGAAAGGTGGCAGAACCGCAATGCCGGGGCCTTTAGCTATAACGGATTGATCTTTCATCTTTCGTGGGACGGGGTTGACATGTCAGACATCAGAGACGCTCTGGAGTACGGCATTTTCGAGGGAGCCAGCATCTCCGAAGCAAATATTGCGGAACGACTTCTTGACGAGATCGAGAAACGGGCCATGTCGCAGCCGGACTCCTCATCTCGGCATTAAGGTGTCCACTGCCTCTCTCCTCGGATGGCGCCTCGAGACGATCCAAGGCCTGCTCCTCAATCATCAGAGACCTATGTGAGCGTTTCCCGCCGCGTGGAATGTCCCCGGCATCTGTCAGCCACCCGACTTCATGACCGAAGTGTCGACATACCTTGCAACATGCATCCCTGGACGTACTCTTCCGGCACTGACCTCCTACCGCCTGTGGAAGTGGGCTTCTTTGTTATCGCGCTTTTCCATCAACGCATAACCACGATGTCACGACTCCTTGGTCTAATGTCGGATGAAGTCATGCTCCTGGTTCAATCATCCGACTGCTACAACCCTCCGATTTCGAACACAGTCCACCAGATGTTACGACTATCCCTTCAGCCATATTTCAGTACCATTTCATTTGTCTGTAATACCATGTTTCCAACCACAACTACATTACAATACCCATTCATGTATTTTTACCATGGTCCCCAAGCGAGCACTCCAGTTATCATGTTATCGAGCGAAGACGACGTTATGAGCTCCGGAACCCCCCAGATATCCCCAGTGTTATCATGTACCATGTATTATCAATATGTATCATATATTATGTATTGTGTATCAAGTATTGCATAAATATATCATTCCCAACGACATAACGACCGAGCCCCCACATTCGCAGAACGGGATGGACTGTCTGTTGCATGCGATGGCCTTCACCTTTTCAAAGCAACGTCTCTAGGATTTATTCAGAGACCCGACGCACCAGTCCGACCCACCTTGCACTCGATCCGGGAAACAAGTGAGAACTAAGAACCCAGGGTATCGTAGACTAGAGTACAGTACAATATCCGCACAGCAGAGATCCGCATGGAAGCCACCAGCGGCGAGGACTTTGGATCCAATCCAATCCAGTCCAGTCCGAACCGCACAACTCCCATCATTAAGATACCGCCCGATGTAGGAGGACGAAGGGAGTAGATTCTTCCAGCTTGTTCGTCTACAGATGTTGGTCGTACACTCCACACAGACCTGGCGAACTTGGGACCACGGCGCAATACGTCGGTCTGTTCGCGTGGCCGTCTGTCATTCTGGTCGTCCACGAACAGGACGGCAGAGCAAGGTCATCACGACATGATACTACCCTGCTCACTGGCGGTAGTCTTGCCTCCACTCGCCTTATCTTCCACCTCCATTCTTCCTCACGGCCCTGCGAGAACGACCTCCTTCTCGACCTTGGCCAACCTTTTAATCCCCACAAAATAGGCCTCCTTGCTCTGCGCTCTCGAACTCTCCGGCTTCTCGCGATGCACCTTGTGGAACATGGCTTTGAGGGATTTCTCCAACGACTTGTCCTCGGCCCCCTGGTAGAACTTGCACACAAAGTGCCCGCCGACTTTGAGCGTATCGTAGCTGAATCTCAGCGCCGCGCGACAGAGGTCCTAACAGTGGCCACATTCAATTCAGCACCATACCATGCCGAGGGGAGGGTCATGCATGCAAAAGTGATGGTGTGCTGGCTTTGAAATAAATGGAAGGTGCGCACGGGCCAGGACTCACCATACTTCCGGCGTGATCGCGGAACGCGTTTCCACTGGTATTCATCAACCTGTAATACGGGTTACTGATGCTCTTCTTGTACAGGCCGTCAAGCGGGTCCCAGGGTTCGCACATGTCGCTGAGCACCACGTCGGCACACTTGTCCCGATGCTCTGCGGGATCGGGATCGGCCACCTCTGCATCTGCCACTAGTGTCTTCTCGTGGCTCTCGCGCTCGAGATAGCCCGTTGCTTCTTCCTCTAGCGCCGCGGCTTGATCGATCGCCGCTCCGCCAGGAGGGTTGGAGGCGGAGGAGGTGGCGATGCTAGTGTCGAGGAGGGCAGACGGTCGTCGGAGCCGTCCGCGGTCCGGGTCACGCAGGAAGGCCTTGATCTCTGCTTGGATGTCGGGGGAGAGAAAGTCGCCCTGGATCGTGGACACGCCCTTGGGAGGCTGCACGGGCAGGAGGTCCACGCCGAGGACTCGCCCGCGGGGTTTTGTCAGGTCGGTGGCTACCTTTGGACGCGCACACGTGTCAGTAACAGCAGCGTCCTCCGCGTGGCACTTCCTTCATGTTTGGCTGGGGTGCTGCCACATATCCTCCTACGGAGCCCAACTGCCCTGAAGGGGACGCAAGCATACCTGACTCCAACTCCCCGGCGCAAACCCGAGATCCACGACCGTCATGCCCGGCCTAAACAACCTATACCGCTCATTGATCTGCAGCAGTTTAAACGCCGCTCGGCTCTTCAGACCCTGCACCTTGGCCGCCCTCGCGAACTGGTCCCCCCTTTGCCTCTCAGTCCAGCGCCTCGTACTCGAGGACGACGACGCGCTCCGCCGCGACTGCGACTGGGCCACCCGCACCGGCCGATGCCGCCATGTCGAGCGGGAGAATGCTGAGTGTGAGGTGGAAGGAGATGATGTAGGACCAGCAGGTGATGAGGTAGAGTTTGGCCAGGGGGGACATCGTGCGAGGGTACTCGCAGAGTACGAATGCCAAGTGAGATGCGCCGATGTGGGAGGGCGAAGGGGAGGGGGAGGGGGAGGGGGAGGAAAGGTTGTTGTACGAGTCCGAGTCCGAGCTCCCGCTGCTGAAAGGCGGAGGAAGGGTCGGAGGTTACATGGTTGCATAGCACGCCGGCCTCTTACGGATATGAGCGGCGTGGGAGGGGGAACGGCTTTGTCCGCGATGGGCTCGTACTGTAGGTTGGCTAGGTTCAACGAAGTATTGCAGTCAAGCATGGGCATGGGATTCACATTGGTCTTCGAACTCCGAGAGCGGCATCATAGATTTGCCTCATTGGGGAATTGGTTGCCGCTGCTTTTGCGGACACAAAGAGGGCTGCACGAGGTTAAGCATGAACCTCAACTACGTACTCCGTACTATTAGGATTAGCGCTGCTTTCATCGAAACAAGCAGGGGCCCGAGGTGTGAATATGAACCTTGACTATTATGATACTGTCTTCTCTAGTCTAGCAAGATTGTTCCTACACAGGTCAGCTAGATACAATGGCATACAGGTGCATCCCTCTTTGAGTGGTCTCGGTTTGGAACAACAGAGGATTTGGTTTCGCGGACGATATCCTCAGTCATCCACACGATCACACCCGAACTTCTACTCCCTCCACCCTTAACGTCTGACATCTTCCTCGGCGTCTGGCAAACTCTGTTCGTCTCCGAGCCTTGGGTTTCTGAGACACATCGCAAAGCCGATCAAAAGCGTACAAAGGCAGATACCAGTGATGCAGAGCAACCTTTGCGCATGCTGGTACGATGCGATGATGGCTGATCTGACAGGCGTGCCCGCTGGGTACAAACTGGCCATTGTAAAGGGGTCGGCGTAGGTTGCAGAGGCGAGCGTGGCGTTGCCGAACGGAGCGAGATTCTCCTCGAGCTGTCCTGGCAGGACATTTGTCCAGATGGTCCCCGAAATCGCGCCACCCAGGGCTGAGCCGACACTGTAAGTCGCCAGATAGAGGCCAGTAATGACGGCAACATGTTCATGTTTGGTGGCCGCTTGGATCGATGCTTGAGCTGGGTACGGAAACATACCTCCGGCGATGCCGAGGAGTACTTGGGCGCCAATAACTCCTGATTGGGAGGCCGAGCTCGTGGAACCACGATAGTGAATCAAGAGGCCAAAAGCAACCAGGAAGAGACAAGTCCCGGCCACAATGAACCACTTGAGTCGTCGGACCTTGTAGACCACCAGGCCCAACAGAAAGCCCGTAACCACCGAGCAGAAGCTGTAGAGGGAAGAGACTCTCGTTGCGTTCATGATGCTGAAGTCAAACGCAACGATGAGGACGGTGTAGAGGTAGTCTCCTTGCATGTACCACGCAAAATTCAAGGTACAGGCAATGCCCAAGGCGCCCCAGACCCCACGGTCTTTTAGGAGATGGAACGGCACAAGCGGACGTGGTGCTCTCATCTCCCAGAACACAAAGACCGGAACGCACAAGATGCCGATCACAAGCGGAGCAATGACGTGTGCTTTGTTCCATGAAGAGGTGTTTCCGCCAGCGATCGTCAGCGGCACCAGGATGAGGGCAAAGAGTGCGATCAACAGAATGATCCCAGGGAGATCCAGTGCCCAGAAGAGCTCGACTGAGAGTCTTTTCGCGCCCAACATCTGGTAGGGTGTCTTGTACTTCTCCAATACGCCAGCTTTGCGGGCACGTCGGCCAACAGACCACAGGGCAAGCATGAGTGGGAGGGCGCAAACTGGATAGATTATGCACCACATGCCGATTCCCCATTTCCAGGTCGTCGCGCCCAGAACGGCCGCGGTGACATTGCCACTGATCCATGTGTTGATGATAAATGGAGTCGCAGGGACATAGCTGAAGAAAAGTCGAGCACGGAGGGAGGTGATGTCAGCAATGATCACCTCGACGAGCAGCAGAACGCAAGTATAGCCGACTTGGTAGAGAACTGCACCCCCGAGGAAGGCGTCGATGCTGGTAGCGGACGCTTCGATGATGGTCCCAACGACGTAGAAGACCACACTGACAAATACCAGTTCCAGACGACCGAAGACATCGGCAATTTTGGCCGCCGTCGGCTGCGCGGCCGCTGCAATGACTGATCGGAGCGTTGTTACCGTGGCCAGCAGAGAATGATGGCCCATGGAAGCGGTGGCCGTGGCCTGATAGGTATACCGAATGGTGCCGTCCAATCCGTAAGCATAGGCGATAAGGAAGACTCCAATGAAGAGAAACAATCGGTCCGTTCTGGTAAGGACTTCGTTGATGGCTTCGATCCTTACGACACCAGGAGACTTCTCTGCTTCCACGATGGATTGGCGACGCTCGGAAGGCTGCTGAGCACCATAGTTGGGAGCGCCATGCTCTGCAATCTTTGGTTCGCTTGGGAAATCATGAGCTTTGGCGTGCGAGTCGTCGGACGTTGAATTGCGGAATCCATGAGCAGCCATGGCTGGGTATTCACGGTACACTGTCCACAACAAAGATCTCGTAAGAAGAAGCAAGACCTCTACGGACGAAAGCGAGGGCGCCAGTCGTTATTGTAGTCCAGAGAGGTGATCCACTCTTAACGTTGCCTCGGCGCCGCTGTGCGAGCGACTTTCAGGTCAAACCTTTTCAAGGTAGCAGCAGAGCCGAAGTAACGCGTGCGAGTAGCGATCGGGAGGCCAGCCTAAGGGACAATCGTCGTCACTGGCGACCTCGCTCGATAGCATGATGCCACCCTGCGGCCTTGGGCGACGTGAATGTGGGGGTTGCGGCATGGTGACAGGGGACTCATTGGGCGATGGGTGGATAGCATAATCTTATCAGATGAAGAAATTTTTCATCAAAAGCGGGGACGATGACGGGTGCCGAAGTGCCACAAGCACGAATGCCAAGTGATCGCCGATAAGTGATGTGAGTTCCTCGCCCCATGTTCCCGTAGTTGCGGCGTCGGTGCATCGAGATTCGAGGGGAGAGCTCGGGAGAGACAGAGGTGCCGGTGTTCAGGCATGGGACAGCTTGCCAGCTAGAAGGAGCTTGCAGGACCTTGGAAGTTGACGATCGTGGTGCATAGCAGGCATCTAATCGCGCGGACATGATCTAATCAGATGTTGGCTGGGCGGGCTCTGCTACCCACTCTTTCGGCACAGCTTTCCGCTAGCCAGCACCATCAAGACGCCGCCGAGGATGTTGCGATTGCTGCTCTGCCACCAACGGTTAGTCGACTGCTTATTCAGGCTGGTAGTCGCGTGTGTGTTGAATCCACTCCGTACTGTGGTAAGAGTCACCTATAATGCCAGGGAGACGCTACTCGATTTTGCTCAAAGTCAATGTGCTGCTTGGTGTAGTCCGGCCGTCATGCTGGCAAAAATCAAGGTGCTCCGAAATCGGCCACTTGACAGCTTGACGTTTGTCGAATGCGTACGGAGTATATTCGCCTAGATTTGGGCGACGGTGCTAGTGCATCTCGCATGCATTTACCCGAATTACATGGCCTGCTCAAGTATGCGGGCGCCTCGGATCGCGGTCGCTATATGCCAGGGAAGGCATTCGCGACTTGGGTCCACACAGCCTCGACTAGCCCCAAGGGTTACAAGGCCACGATATTGTCTGATGACATCGTCCAGTAAGTCGTCCGGCATTACCTCGTTCGGCTTGTTGGAAGTTTGGGTTATCGATTTGAGGAGACTGATCTCAATCATGTTATATCCATCCTCTCCTCTAGGCCCTCGGCGTTTCATGAGGAATCCTGTAACTTGAGAGGGACGAAGCTCAGTCATACTCCTGGACTGATTAATGCCATATGGGAGAATGATCCCCCAGCTCTCTTCAGACGGATCGACTATTGTAAGATCGCTCTCGGTATTTGGGTCGAAACCGGGATCAGAGGGAGTCGAAGGATTCATGAACGAGCTACCACCCGGCGTGGGTGTAGCCGGGACAGCCTGGTCTGGAGACGTTATGCTGGCTTGTGGCGTCGAGACGGGTGTCCCATACTGGTTGTGCGCACCGGACAGGGTGGGTTTCCCGTGCGGTGGTGGTGGAAACACTGCCAGTTCTGGCTGCAGCTGGATGGAAAGGAGCAAAAGCAGGCATTGTTTCTGCGGCGTAGGGGAAACATCAACAATCCGTTGCCACTCCAAAAGCTCTGCTGGTTCAAAGTAGCCGTGCCTCACAACAGCCAGCCGCCATGCTCCACGAACTTTGCTCATGAGGTCATGAGACACCTCCCACATCTCTTTCAGAATCTCCTGTCTAGGCCTCCTTCTGCCCGACTTATGCACGTGAGAACAATAGGACATGCTAAGCGCGGTGTGGCCCAGCTCATCCGTCCAGGCTGCGGCAAGCCATTTCTTATCCAGACTCATGGAGTATGCCAGGTGGAGACAAGGACCATTCTTCTCCAGTGGCGAAACATATGTGGGTGACAATTGTAAGCGCACGGTGTTTTCTGACCTGGAGAGGACGACAGCCGATCCACAAGCAGATGGATGTCCTGCAGAATCCAGAGGTGGGAGCCGGTTGTAGACCTCGACGGCCAGCTTGAAGTAGGCTGTCTGTGGACGGATAATCAGTGTCTCCGTGTTCGCGATGAAACTCTGTGGGACGATCTGCAACTGGAGGTCTGAAACGCACACACTACTGGTGCGGGCTCTGGAAAACGCCTCGAAGAGGTTGTAAAATGCAATGCACATCTCTAGATATGCCGTCGGACTCTCGCCCCTACTAACCATGTAGACAACAACAGTGCCACTTATGCTTGTCGTCGCCGCGAGGGCGCTTCCAACGATGGTCGTGCATTGAACCAGACTGCGTTCTCCCGGATCATCTGGGTTCCACGATATCAAACCGTCATCTGTAACGCCCGGGAGGTGTCCAATAGTATGGGTTCCTAGATCACAAGTGGTGTAAGAATCCGAAAGTCTCTGCAACAGGTTAAGACAACCGTCTCTGATATTTGTTCGGTGTGGGTGTATGCAAAAAGCGGTAACATGTTTCTGGCCGTTTGCAGGCTGGAGATCAAGGGTATCCCAGAAATTCAATATGGATATATTTGCGGTGAGAGGCCGTTCGATACGCCTTAGACATATCTGACTCGCCCTGATCTTAATCACACGTCCTTGGACCCTTGTGCTGCTGTGATCGACTTTGAGATTGGTAAGTTGAAACAAGTTTGACGGACCTGAAGATGTATTGATTCCGCTCAAGTCAACGTTCATTTCGATACACTCGCCAGGAGAAATCCGCATGTCGCCCTGATATTCTCCGTGAGCAAGCAGAGATGTCTGGGACATTTGATCGACCAGCACTTGCGCCACGTGCTGGGGTTTCTGCGAGGTAGTGAGAGGAGTTTTGTGAGGATCTGGTTCATCCAGCTCGAAATCATTAGCCGTGGGAGGTTCCACCAGGACCGGCCTCATAAGACCAAGAAGCTGTAGGACTTCTTGTTGAATTGTCTTCTTGTCAAACTCTTTCTGGTGGCTGTTGGCGTCTTGGGAACCCGGATCGTATTCGGTCCATTGTCGGAAAGGCGGAGGGACTACATTGCCTGTGCTATTGGCCTTCGGCGACTGACTGAGACTGGTCATGGAGCTGTCACTGTCAGATGGGCTGGAAGGTCTTTCGAACACCGAACCAGACTTGGGTCGCGTTCTCAATCTAGAAACAAGTGGTAAGGGATTAAACCAATATTCCCCTTCTGCATCGTATCTGCTATCGTGTATCGGAATCGAATGGAGGGCCTTGGGACTGTCATAAATCGATGAACGGCGTCGAGTGTTGATGGTCGAAGCAGTGGCCCTCCCCTGCTCGCTTTCCCACAATGGAGGCGCCGGCTTGGGCGGGCTTTGAATTACCTTGTCATCATTTAGCGATAGGGCAGTGTCCTTGCCGGCAGTCTGAGCTTTAGGCACCTGTGGCTGGGCACCTGTCGGTATATGTGGCGAATCGCCCACTGTAATTGTTTCATTCTTGACGGAATGAAGCGGGCCTCCATCAGTCTTCGCATCGCTGGGATCGACCCGCTCTTGCTTGTGATCGCCACGGCTCGTTGAGCCCTCCTTTCGACTGTGGCTCGCGCTGCGCGACTGTTTCGGCGGGACACCTGGGCCATCGAAGAAGTCCCAGTTAGGTTCGTCACCATTTGCTTCCTTGCCGAAGTTGTCGTCCGGCATCTCCTCAAAGAGGTCTTCATCATAATATCCGGACATCGCACTCGTGGGTGGCACATCATCATAGTCTGGCATCTCCTCATCATGTTGTTGGGCCAACTCGGCAGAGCCGCCAGACAGATTTACTGGAGTCATCACCACCCCGTCGACAGAGGAGAGGCCTGGGGTCGGATGGGTTATGCCCACATCGGGTGGAGTTGGATATATTGTTTGACTAGCGGGGAATGCGGGAGGTCCAAATGGTTGGAAGTGTTCTGGGTCGTCAAATGTGCCATCGTCGGCAAACAAGGGTTCGTCCTCCTCATCCTCCTTAAAGACCTGGCTTCCAGTTTCCGTCTTGGTTGGGGCGCTACCGATGCCGAGAATCCAGTCTCCAGCAAATTGTATAGGGTCACTGTCATCCTCAATGATGCTCGTTTGTGCCGTTGAGTTACCCTCGAGGACAAAGCAGAGATTTGCGGGCCAAAAGATCGGTTTCCAGGTGATTGGGTTGCCGGAGCCACCTTCCGCATTCGTAACATCTGCTTGATTGTTGTTCGAGATGTGGCCTAGCTCCTCGACAGGCACTTCAGCCTCGATCCAGAGCACATCTGACGCTTGGATAGCAATATCCATATGCTCTTTCAACCATGAAGGGAGTAGGTGTCTCCACGTTTCCCTTCGCGTATCGGAGATCGGTGCCTCGCCGCTGTGTTCTTCGGCCAGGCCACCATTCAGATCTCTCTGGGCAGCGAGTTTTGAGAGCGAGACTCGTGCAATGCGCCCAACTGGTGCAAGGTAGACGGCCCTAAAGGCCGAACGGCGGGCTTCGCTATCGGCTCCCGCGAGACAATGATGGAGGGGCAAGAACGAGAGCTTACTGTCTTTCGCAATGGTCAAGACAATATGTCCATTGAGGGCCACCTGCAAGTCTATGCGATAGAGAACCCATGTTCTTCTTTCGGCAAAACTGTCGTGCTCGGTTGCAGGTGGAGCGGTCTCGACCAAGTAGAGGTTGGAGCCGACCGCTTGCAGGGCAGTATTGCCGACAGGGAAGAGCTTGACGCTAGAGACGATGGCGGTAATAAACAATCGGTACAGACGAGCTTGTTCTGGTTTCATCAAGTCTGGTAAGCGAGCAGCAGTCTTGTACGCAATGGTACAGCTATTGCTTCGAAGGACGAAACCAAACTTCATCAGCAAGGCCTTCTGATCCTTTGGGGCGGTGATATCGACCTTCTTGTAGAAGGTAAACAGCTGTCGGGCTTCAACATCAAGGGCAGCAAGAATGGAGTTCTCCCTAAACTGACGTTCAGTGGTTCGAAGCCGGGCAAGGATATTCTCAGGCGTGGCGGCAAATGCTGAGGGGTCATGGGTCGGCGGATTGGCTGCTGTGCATACAATGTAGGCTATTTCGCCAAAGTCATTCTGTCTGGATATTAGCTCTGGGTTGGCAGGCAAAGCTTCCACCTACCAAAGTGTACACATTAGTTTGACAGTTCCCCGGAAAGTCCGAGGTGGCATTCATTTCGTTAGCCGTTTGGGGGCACGAGTATTAGATGTCGACAGCAGCGCGACAGTATGGGATGTTGGGCTTTGAGGCGCATTGCACAAGCGAGCTCGAGTTTCTAGGCGAATTGGTGGATCAAGTAGGGGTCCCGTGCAGAGGCAGAAGCAATGCTGCTGCTGACCTTATTGAAGCGAGGCGAAGCCGGATGCCGTCGTGGATACAGATCGCACCGATCTCGAATGGATGTCGGCGTTTTGATTATGCAGCCGGGCCGTAGAATATAATCAGTGAAGAGGCCAGCTCTGATGTTGATGGGATTGATGATCGGATGAAGCGAGAGTGAGCGGAAACGGAGCAAAAGAGGCGGCGCCCATGTTGTCCACGTGACTCGCCCTCTCCGCAAAACCGCGCCGATCGATTCAGCAAAATCTTTTGAGTGCCACCAGGTAAGTATCGGTTTCTCGACACGCCTCTATGACTTTCCTGTGTTCTAATAGGATCAGGCTACTTCATCCAGCGTCTGTCACCATGTTTGCACGATAACCTTGGCGTCTTTGTCCAGCATGAGACTCACGAACGGTACCGTTCCCGTCTACACGGTTGCTGGCTCGTCAATAAATCGCAACCTCCCAGACTGGCTTTCCCAGCGGCAGAAACGCAAGAAAGACCCCGAGTATGCAAATCGCGTCGAACTGCTGCAGGACTTCGAGTTCGAGGAAGCGAGCCAGTGCGTGCGGATCAGCGAAGATGGAGAATGGGTTATGAGCACCGGCACCTACAAGCCGCAAATCCATACACATTATCTGCCCAACCTTGCACTTTCCTGGGCGAGACACACGAATACCCTGAACAAGACCTTCATCTTCCTCTCTACCGACTACTCTAAGACTGCCCATCTGCAGGAAGATCGTTCACTAGAATTTCACACCCCGGGCGGATGCCACGAGTCGCTACGGATCCCTCGCTATGGTCGCGACCTTGCATATGACAGAAGCAATGCGGAGCTGCTGGTCCCTGCGGTTGGTGTCAACAAGAGTGGCATGGGTGAAGTTTTCAGGTTTAATCTTGAGCTGGGACGATTCATGAGCGAATTCGAAGTTGATGTCGGTGGGGATGACTTGAACACAGTCGGTGGCGGAGCGCTCCAAGGTGGCATCCAGGCCGGAAGTGTTAATGTGGCCGCTGTGGCAGAGGGAAGTCACAATCTGCTAGCATTTGGAACGTCGCGGGGCACAATTGAGTATTGGGACACCCGCTCAAGAGCGCCAGTGGCGACACTGGCTGTACCTTCAGACTTCGATGGACGGCCCGAGGTTACGGCGCTCGACTACCATCGATCCGGGATCAGCATGGCCGTTGGAACTTCCTCTGGCCTCATTTATCTTTACGATCTCCGTTCGTCGCTCCCCACCCTCAAGAAAGACCAGGGATATGGCTACCCTATTCAGTATGTGCAATACTTGACCCAGGGCGTTCAAACCCGAGACTCGGTAACTGAACCCAAGATTGCGTCTGCCGACCGACGAATACTAAAGCTCTGGGACGAATCAGACGGGACGCCCTGGACGTCGGTGGAGCCAGCTGTGGACATCAATTGCGTGGCTTGGTGTAAAGATAGCGGCATGTTTTTGACAGCCAATGAAGGCCGACAGCAGCATGCTTTTTTCATTCCCCAGCTCGGGCCAGCCCCAAAGTGGTGCTCGTTCCTGGACAACGTCGTCGAAGAAATGGCTGACGACCCCAACGACCCCTATGCTTTCACAAAGACAAAGGTCGGTGAGATCTACGACAATTACAAATTCCTTACCCCACCTCAGCTGCGCATGCTCAATCTGGATCATCTGGTCGGCAAGACAAACTTGCTGCGTCCTTACATGCACGGCTTCTTCGTCGCTCAGGGTCTCTATGAGGAAGCGAGGCTCATCGCAAATCCCACCAGCTGGGAAGAGGAAAGAGCCAAACGAGTCCAGGCGAAGATTGACAAGGAGCGGGAGAGCAGGATCCGGGGCAAGAAAAAGATTACCGCCAAGGTCAATCGCAAATTTTTGGAGAGGATACTTGAGCGAGAAGAGAAGAATGAGAGGCGGCGGGCTCAGCGTGTGTTGGCCCGGGGTGGCGACGAAGGTGCCCCAGCAGAAGCGGCCAGCAACGCTGCAGCTCAGGGTGAAGACAAAGGTCTGTTCCCTGATGCTCGATTTGCGAGGATGTTTCAAGAAGAGGACTACGCTGTGGACGAAACTTCGAGGGAGTTTCAGCAACTCAACCCTAGCACCAAAGCGCCTGCTTCAAACCTGGACAGAGAGAAAGGTCTCACAGCCGTCGAGGAAGAAGCCATCGACGAGGTACCTGGGTCAAGCGATGAAGAAGAGCAAGACGAAGACGATTTCTATGGCAGCCGAAATAAGTCAGATACCCGGATATCGACCGCCGATTACAAACGTCGTCCGAACAAGAAGCAGAAAAAGAGAGATCCGATACAGATGCGTGTCACATCGTCAGGAGCAAGAAGTGCCGCAAGAACGACTCATGACCAGTCCTTTGGGTCTCGGGCGGAAAATCTCCAGCCTGTTGAACGAAAGCAGCGTAGGGCAGGGTTTGGTGGAGCTGCGGGTGACAAGGTCATCACGTTCGAGCCGACAAAGAAATCTAAAGCTTTGGATCAGTCACACAGTTGGTCGACCCGCACCTCAAGAGGACCTGATCGAAGAAGTGCATCCGGAAACACGTTCAGAAAGATGTAAAGACCCTTAGCGTTGCGCTCTCATCCTCTGGTTCGAGCATTATGACAGTCCATCGCCCGGATTACATTGTCCGATCGCGCTACGGCCCCAAAGATACCGCCTTCCATCTTCACGGACTCGATAGTGGCTTCGTGTAGTTGCGGTGTTGCAGCCGCTGTCGCGTCTTCAAGCAGAAGACAATCGAAGCCGCGGTCATTGGCCTCTCGCATGGTTGTGGAAACGCAGACATCTGTGGTCACTCCGCACAACACCAGATTCTTGATACCACGAATCCTCAAGAGATGCTCAAAATCCGTGTGAGCAAAAGCTCCTCTGGCGGGCTTGTCGATGATTACTTCGTCAGACTCTGGCTCTAATTCAGCGACAACGCCGTGTCCAGGTTCTCCGCGAACTAGGAATCTACCGAGTGGACCTCGATCGCCGATGCCCAGTTGGCGTGGATTGTTGGATGATCGGAATCGCTCGCGACTTGATAATGTGGAAAGGTCAGGTCTATGTCCTAGAAGACAGTTATTTCCTGGCAAGTGACTGGTGCTTGGTGTGCTGCTCCATACCTTCTCGCGTGAAGAAGACCGGAAACCCGGCTCGGCGAGCAGCGGAGAGTAGTGCCTGGATGGTTGGGATCAGGCTTCGAGCATCCTCCACATCATAGCCTTGACAGTCGAAATACCCACCGACTTCGCAGACTGGCAGTTTGTCAGCTCGCGTCGCCAGTAAGAGAAATGGAGATTCTTCTACAGTCTCGTTGCATATCAATGACGACTATCGCCGATGTGGCAGGACCGAAAGAAGCATCGTGGGGATAGTGGTAGGGCTCCGCGATGACCGAGCGGTCTAGCCTCGAGTGCATTGTTGCTTCTCCCATTGCGTAGATCGGTTGAGAACATCGACTTCGAAACCAGAGATTTTGTACTCGACCCTCTTCCTTTTCCAGCCTGTGCGCACCGGGTATATATCGATACGCGGACAACTCCGACGTCAGTCTTGAGTTAGATGTCTCAGACGCCGCCCAACGCTATTGACGTTCTACGCCGACTAGACATCGCACAATGATTATAGGCGTCGCCTAGACCTTGAGTCGACACTCGAGAGGTTTGGCCGGATCACATTGAGTCGCAACACTGTTTGCTCACAGTCGCGATATTTCCATATCACGGATTGATTTGTATCACAGTAGATGCATAGGGGGGATCTACCCCGTACGTAGACTCGTGGAACACGTGGTTCATACTGGTCGCCCTCCAGGTATGGAAAGTGTAGCGGGTCAATCGGAGAATTGAGTGTAGGCTAGCCCGGCTTGGCGTGATCCGTTGCTGGTGGCAGGGCAGGACCCCGTGTTTGTCGTTGTGTCTCCTGCAAGTAACCTTTCTCTGACCCAAAACTGCCACCGAGGGAGCTGCCTCCCAGTGCAGACTCGGCCAGGGATACTAACCACAGCAGCAGCAACAACATCACCATTGTCGCCATCTTCTTGGATATCCGATTATCGACACTTGGACGACAACCGCGACAACACCAAACGTCACCGCCTCAAACCCGCGTCGCATCTCCGCCAGCCTATGGGGAACAGGTCAACAAGAAACATCAACGGACATACCACGCCACCCCAGCACCGGATCCGACTCTCGCGTATATAAATCACAGCGACAACGCCAGGCGACAATCTTGCTACGACTAAACTCACAAAATTCCACCAGCATGGCCCTCCTCGATGGGGTGCCTTCTTCACCCCCTGGCGCAGGCTCGTCCACCGAAGACGCACTAAAGTACTACAAAGCACAATATGAACTGTTGGAATCCGAACTCGCAGACTTCCAAGCCTCTAGTAAGGAACTTGAGGCGGAGTTAGAAAGAGATGTCGAAGCGACCGAAAAGCGCGAACGGCAGTGGAAGGACAAAGCTTCCAACCTGCAATATGAGATTGAGGAGTGGAAGACGAAATACAAACAGTCGAAGCTGGAAGCCTCGAACGCGCAGAATGCGCTGCAAAAGGAAATCACCCAGCTTCGAGAGACGAACCGAGAGCTGAATCTGCGACTCCGGGATACCGAGGTCGCCAATGACGACTACGAGCGAAAGCAACGGAATACCGAGTCTTCGCTGGAGGACATGGAACAGAAATACAACCAGACAATTGAGCGCAGCGTCATGCTTGAGGAAGAAATGCGTGCTGCGGAGCAGGAAAGAGAGGCACTCAGGATCGAAGCGCAAAGGCTGCGCGATGAATTGTCCGATCTAAGGATAGAGGCCGACATCACCAAAGAGAAGTTGCAGAAAGCCACCGAGCAACTGGTACCACGAGAAAAGCACTTGACCATCCAACCAATATCGCTATCGGCGTCTCCACGTTCCGAATTGTCTCCCACGACCACGACTGCCTCTTCACCGACCTTCGACACACCGCCAGCGAAGTTATCCTTGTCAGACACGCCCACACCACCCTCGCCACCATTTTCTGACAAGTCGACGAAGGTATCCAAACCTTTTGCAGCACCAGGACTTCCCAAACCCAGGCAATCACTCACGGCCGGCGGAATTGCTTCACGACCTTCCACCGCGGGCTCCACTGCCTCCAGACCCGCTGGTCATGCTCGAGGTCCATCGATTCCAGCCTTAGGCCGAACTGGACCCTCGGCTTCATATCGACAGAGCCTGACGAGACCCCCGAGCTCTCAGCAACGACCTTCAGGTTTACCTCAATCAGCGTCAATCATTCACCTCAAAAACATGCAAGGAAAGCTCGCAGCGCTCACCGAACGAGCCCACGCGGCCAAGTCTAAGCTACCGGCCCCCGTTCGCACCCCACCCAGGACTTCACCCAGAAGTGGTTCCGCGCTTGGCAATCACATACCAGCCTCTGTCACTGTGCGCTCCCGAAAGAGGACAAACGGCAGTACCATTAGCGGCAATGATTCTATCCTTGACAGAATGCAAGAAACACCATCGGCGCCCAGGACAAGGACGAGTCGACCGTCACTCAACCTAGCACCTACATCCCCAACACGCGCCGAGACTTCCGTGCCGAGACCCAGGACAAGTCGGCCATCGCTCAGTCAACTGCCACCGTCGCCGAGAAGAGGCGAGATGGCCGCACCTCCACCCCGCCCAGCATCACGAACAAGCGGTTTCCCCTCATCTCGCTCGTCATTTGCACCCAGCCACTCTCGCCCAGGAAGCCGGGCCAGCGTCTCTGGCTTCCCACGAGCCCCTCTGGGAAGCGGCATTGGTGCTGGCTTCGCACCCAACGCGTCTACGGATCGAGTCCGACCACAAAGCAGTCTCAGCAGCTATGGCGGCTTGGACGGTGCCATGGACGAAGAAGATGAACCCAACGAGGTTGACGCTGGCATCACGCCCCTGCGGAGACGGTCGACCTTTGCTAGGGGACGCACCAGCGACGTTGGTAGTGCGATCCCGAGTCCCAGCAAACGGTCAAGTTTTGGTGGGGCGAGTAAGATGCTGAAACGGCAGAGCATTGGCTTGAATGGGGTGGGGAATGCACAGGACTCCGGTATAGGCTTGACCAATGTTCAGGAGAATTATGACGTGAATGAGACATTTTGAAGTACCAGTGGCATTGGATGAAGGTTAGCACCACCGCGCCGTGGCTTTGGTGCGGGCAAGAGCTTTGGGATAGGAGAGGATGTCGATATGCATTGGATCAGCTCCAGTGCAGAACTGCCTGGATTCGGAATGGCGACCTGCAAGCGTGACCAGGAGCGATACCCTCATTTAGCAATTTTCATGATATTGATACGAAGTACCCGCCGAGTGAAATTACGGGACAAAACAGCAGATGATAATGCTCCCTCTCATTTCTTCCCGTTCAGCACGACCAGCTGACCTTCTTCCGCGCCGTCCAGATCTGCATCCCAATCGCCCTTTGCGGGTATATCAAACCCCACGAACCCACTCCGCGTAGGCACGAACTGCCTCAACGTGACCCCCGCCTCGCCCAACACCCGCCGACTCGCCTCATCCATATTATAACTCTGGCTATACACGACCTCCTTCACCCCGACCTGCGCAATCTTGACACTACACGTGAGGCACGGACACGTGTCGCAATACAGCACGGCCCCTTCGCGAATCCGCTCGCGCCCGGCCTCGAGCAGCGCGTTCTCCTCGGCGTGCAAGCACAAGCACGTCGCCAGCGCGACCCCGCCCCCTGAAGCCCCCGTGTTGCACCGCGGACAGCCGCCCTCGTTGCAATTCACCAGCCCGCGGGGGGTGCCGTTGTAGCCCGTCGAGATGATGCGGGCGTGGTGCACGAGCACGCAGCCGACGCGGCGTTTCATGCAGTTCGACCTGCGGGAGGCCAGGCTGGCGAGCGTCATGAAGTAGGCGTCCCATGTGGGCCGGAGGCGGGTGGGGGAGGAGAGGTCCAAGGTGGCGAGGAAGGCGTGGTATGTGTGAGGGGTAGGGTGGGTGTTGAGGATTGAGAGGTGCGCGTGGGCGAGGAGGGGGGCTAGTGCTGAGCGGGAACAGGTGTCGGGGCGAGAGATTGGATCTGGAGCGGGACCTGGATTTGTGTCTGTGTGGCCTCGAGAGCCGTAGAGTTGGAGGTCGTTGTAGTGGATGAAGTCGGCGAGGGGCATGCGTGGGAGGTTGCGTTTTGTGCAGCTATGGGTCGGTGTTAGCCACTTTTGGCTCTTGCTTTTATCTTCCACTTAGAACGGCGGGCGCGGTAGGTGTCTCGTAGATTGGAGCCATACTGTTATGCACACGCACATCTCTTGTGAAGGGGTCGGGGTTTGAGTCCGGCACAGCTGGTCCACAACACGCATGTGTGGTTGCACTTGGCACAGCCTTTGTTTATGGCCAGTTTCCACCGCGAACATGCTGGTAGTGAAGGGTAGAATTCATATCGGTGGAAATGAACAGAAACACCAGGGCTTGGGCAGAGGGCAGAAACCACAACGCTAAGAACAGACAGGAGGACCAAGTTTGCGAATGGCTGAGATATCCACACGTACCGGTCGCTGAACCTCTTGTATCTCACACCAACAGGTGCGTCAACGTTGATTAGCATAAAAAAGGGTCTCCTGAGAAGCAACTCTAGGGTCTCTTCGTCGTAGATATCGGTCAAGACCCAATGCTCACGCCATCTTTTGGTCACGAAATCTAGCAAGGATTCGACGTCGGGAAAGGAGAGGCCTCGAGTGCCGACTTGGTCGGTGACACTGGGCAGTAAACATAGCTGATCTATCGTTGGCGGTGATGGTGATGACGTGGCATTGGAGCGAGAGACGTGTGATGGGATGGTGCCGTTGGATGAGTTCTGCAAGGGTTGTAGCTGGGTCGGTGTGGGAAGATGCAGGCGGAGGAAGCCGAGCTGTTGGACTAGATATTCGGCTGTGGTGTGTTTGCCGGCGCAGATGGAGCCGCAGATGCCGATCAACATTGTGCTCAGTTGGCGTTTTCAGTCTGGCGAGGACTGGGAGTGGTCGGCGATGAGGCCCCGATAGAGTGCGTAGGTGGAAAGCGCACGCAAGGCTGTCGCGTCTGATACTGATGTCCGTGGACCATCCGATATCGTGCAGTGATGGCTGGCTTCCTTGACGTCGTCGAAGTATGGACGGGCTCGAAATCGACGGGTTTGGATCTCACTGCTTCGACGCGGCCTTGCGCCCGACGGCCTGAGGACTCCTCCTCTTGGTCCCGGTGTCCTTCTCACAAGACGCGTAAAGTGGTCATACGACGCGTCAAATGACAGTAGAATGACGCGGCTCGCCAGGGTCCTGCTGACTAACTCACCGCGAGATCCTGTCACGTGCGCGATGCATCTGAGGCGAAGGTGAGGCGAAGGTGACGGACGCGGCGGGCGGGAGCCGGTGGTGCCTGATTCGAGCCGAGCTTCGTTTAACCCCAGCCACTCGCTCCATTCACTCCGCTGCACATGCACGTCGTCCATCCGGGACACACTCCGGGGTTCCAGGCCAACCTCGATCCAACTTTCTGACCTTGACACATCATTCTGACGGCTGTCTGCTCCGTGGATATTATATTCCCTCCTTCACCAGCTTCAAACGTCGGACACATCGAACACTTACTGCAAGCACCGCCACGCCCAGGGACTGGGACGGGTTCCCTCTGTCAACCATGCAATACGTCCCCTTCGCCTCAGACATTGAGATCCCCTTCTACGCCTCCCTGGCGTCGCACAAAATCAACCATGACAAACTCGACGATTCGGCCCGAAAATTGCTGGGTCTGTACGAGATCCGGCCGGCAGACAACAAGGAACATTCCTGCCGGATGCAAGTCCACGCCAATGCTCTATCTAGCGACGAGGTGCCTGCCGGCTTCTATCGCGCCGAGGGCATCATCAGAAACTTCAACACGGTCGAGGAATATCGCAACATCGACAAGTTGGCCATGATTCAGCAAGCGGGGAAGACCATCTGGGACGCGATCAACGATGGGACCATCTATTCATGTCCGAGTCTGCTGGCTAGCTTTCTGGTGCTGAGCTTCGCCGATCTGAAAAAGTACAAGTTCAACTATTGGTTCGCGTTTCCTGCACTGGTCATGGATCCGCCCTGGGTGCCTGTGCGGAGTACAGGGAGTGTTGCGAGTCCAGAGACGGGAATACCTTTCAAGAAGCTAACTTCCATCGAGAGCACAACGCTGGTGGATAACGTCATGACGTGGAAATATGCCGTCGACTCCAGACAACATGGATTCTTCCTGGCGAAGAAACTACGTGACAAGCCTGTCCTCGAAAGAGATCCCAACGACGATGATGAGGATGCTGGTCCGACTTCGCCACGAACGCCGCTCACTCCGACCTCGAGCCTCGGCTACAACTGGCAGATCAGCTCGCTATCGAGCTACGAGACCGGTTTCTTCGACAATACAGATCCCGAAGACACTTACGTCTGCTTCGCCGACCCTTCAAACTATAGCGAACCCGGCCCCGTCGCCCCGGGCTGGATGCTCCGCAACTTACTTGTCCTGGTCCGACAAAGGTGGAAACTCGACAAAGTCCAGATCCTCTGCTATCGAGAGACGCAAATGCGCCGGGATGCAGCACGTAGCGTGATTTTCAACATGGAGGTCTCTTCAACGTCAAAATCCGCGGGTGCCACAGCAGCGCAGCCCGACTATTCACAAACCATACCCAAAGTCGTCGGCTGGGAGCGCAACGCCGCCAATAAACTCACCGGCCGCACCGCCGACCTGACCAGCTACATGGACCCGACGAAACTGGCCGACTCGTCCGTCGACCTCAACCTGAAACTCATGAAATGGCGCATCTCGCCTAATCTCGACCTCGACAAAATCAAACAAACGAAATGTTTACTCCTCGGGGCAGGGACACTGGGCTCGTACGTGTCGAGAAATCTGATGGGCTGGGGGGTGAGACATATCACGTTCGTGGACAATGGGAGCGTGAGCTTCAGTAACCCCGTCCGCCAGCCGCTGTTCACATTCAACGACTGCCTCGAGGGAGGCAAGAAAAAGGCCCTTGCCGCAGCGGAGGCGTTGAAGACGATATACCCCGGCGTGCAATCCACGGGACACGTCCTGAGCGTGCCCATGGCAGGCCACCCAATCACCGACTACGACAAGACAAAGTCCGAGTACGAACAACTAAAAAAACTGGTTGACGAACACGACGTGATTTTCCTGCTCATGGACACAAGGGAGTCGCGATGGCTGCCCACCGTGATGGGCAAAGCGGGCGGCAAGATCGTCATGAACGCGGCCCTGGGGTTCGACACGTACGTGGTCATGAGGCATGGCGTGAAACTGTCGGCGCCCAGCCACGACGTTGACCGTCTCAAGGAGGGCGAGAGTGAGACTGCCACGGAGGCAGGCGCGCAAGACTACCAAGCACAGCAGCACGGCCTCGAGGGCGAAGAGTTGGGGTGCTACTTTTGTAATGATGTCGTCGCGCCCGCCGACTCCATGAAAGATCTGACGCTCGATCAGCAATGCACCGTCACGAGGCCCGGCATTGCGGCCATAGCCTCTGCCTTGCTGGTCGAGCTGCTGATCTCGATCCTACAACACCCTTTGGGACCCGCCGCGCCGGCCACGACGTCGTCGCAAGAACGCGGTGATCATCCGCTCGGCATCATCCCGCACCAGATCCGCGGGTTTCTCGCCAACTTTACAAACCTCAACATCACGGGGCAGAGCTACGATTGCTGTAGCGCGTGCTCGGACAGGATCCTCGCCGCGTATGAGCGGGATGGGTGGGAGTTCGTGGCGAAGGCGATGAACGAAAGGGGATATGTCGAGGAGATCAGCGGACTTGCGGAGGTGCAGAGGCTGGCCGAGGAGGCCATGAAACGGGACATTGACTTTAGCGAGGGGGAGGAGGACGACGAGGAGGGGCCAGAGGATGAGGAGGGAGAGTTGGTTTGAGTGTCGTCAAAGGGCAGGAGAGAGAGCGTTTGTTAAGTGGTAGCAGCCTACCGTCACGCCAAAGCAGGAAAATTGGAATTCCAGATAGACCATTCTCATTCGCCAAGGTATTCATTCCTTTGCATGCATGAAACGCTGCATTGAACCCGCTCGATGTGCTGTGCTGTGCTGTAAAATCGTTGTGTAAGAAAGGAAGAGCAAGAGTTGCTTTCTCGCGAGCCCGCACGACACGCTGCATTCAACGCTAGACGTGCATGTGCTGTACTACAGTAGAATTAAAACGCTTTTTGGATCGGGTAGTGGTAAGTGTTTGTGCCCACATGCCCCCGAGAGCGGTCAAGCCTTCTCCTCGACCACCCATCACTACCAGAAGGTGTGATCGGTACTGTAGAAGTGGTTCCCTTTTGTGTGTGTGCCGCCGAGAGCGACAGAGGTGTTGCCGTCACTACCAGAAGGTCTTGGGGTTGTCCGCATTCTCGGCGTCCAGCTCGCTGGACTCGACCTGATCGGCCCATGTTCCTCCGCCGGCGCCAGCGCCACCGGAATCCCACCTCCGCGGGCTGGGTTTCTGAGTAGTGTCCTTTGCAGATGCAGGGGCTTTTGTGTTCGGGTGCGGTTGTGGTGCTTTTGCCGCCGAGCTCGAACCCGCGCCAGAACCGGGGAGAGCAGGAAATTCAACTTCGGCAGAGGTGTCAGGCTGCTGCTGCTGCTGCTGCTGCGGGCCCGAACCTCCTCTTGCTGCCCCTCCGCGTCCTCGTCCTCGGTCTCTGCCGCCGCCTCCCCTTCCGCCTCTCCCTCTTCCTGTTCCCCGCCCTCTTGCCCCATCATGCCACTCATACTGCCTGAGATCGTCGTCTGTCGACGGTGCTGCCCCCGTGAACCCCCTCCCGCCATACTCGGCATACCCACCCCCACCACCACCGCCTCTACGTCCTCCGGCGGCACTGGGGTTAACGTCCTCCTTATCCCGATCCCATTCGCGGCCTTCCCTATTCCCCAACTTCCGGAGCCGATTCTTCTCCCGCTCCCCCTCCATCACGCGCCGCTCTTTGTTCGCGACGGCCCTCTTCTCCGTCGCGATGCGTTCCCGTTCCTGGAAACTCGCGGCGTCGGCTTGCGCGCGGGCATGCGCGGCCGCCACGTTTTGCGAGCGTTCCTTTGCGGCGGCGAGTTTGGCGGTGAGTTGTTCGTCGGTGAGTTTCACGCGGGCGAGACCGCCTGTTAGGGTGCGGTCGCCGCGGACGGCCGGGGGTTTCGCGGGAACAGCAGAGGGTGATGCACTCGCGGTTGCGCGGTCGTCTGCTGCGGATGCAGATGTGGGTGCGGGTGCGGGTGCGGGTTGTTGAGGCCCTGCAGGTTCGGTGGTTGTCGTCTCTGGTTGTGGTTGTGCGGGCTCAAGAGCTTGCGGTTGAGGTTGAGGTTGGGGTTGAGGGTGTGATTTCACTGCTGGCACCGTACTCGTTGCTCGCGTGGTCGATCTAGTAGAGTCTGCTGTTGAGGGCGTCGCCCACTTCGACTCTTCCAGCCCAGCACTCGTGGCGGCCTTTCTGGGTCGGCCACCACCGCCTCGTGCGCCCTGTTGGCTGCCTCTTCCCCTAGGTTTCTGTCTGAAGCTTGACGTCGGAGCGTCATTCGAGGTTGTGGCGGCCTGCGGAGCAGGAATAGCTGCAGTAATGGCTTCTATGGGCGGTGGTACTGAGGCAGGCGCGGCAGGCTCAAGTGAGACTTGCTCGAGCTGGGTCGCCATGTTTTCTGGGGACGGCGACGGTGCGTTCTCGATGGGGATGATTTCGTCGTCGAAAAGGTCGTCGTCGCCGCGGGATTGGGAAAAGTCCTCCATGACAAAGACACTCGAGGAAACAGTCTAAGCATATATCTACTGGAACTTAAGTTTACGCGGCAAAGCAAACGAATGTGGTCGTTAGTCGTACTGGGACTCGTACTCGTAGGCGCAAGCTCATGTCACTTCAAGGTCGATTGTGAATTGTCTCCAACTGTGTCGAAATGCGGAGGAGCTTAGCACCACGGCACCACGGACAAACAAATGACAACACCGTGACCTGGCCCCCCAGCCTGCCCCCTTACTTTCTGCTCCATTGCCGCATGAGCATGTGTTGCATCCTAATTACAGTGAGCTGCACCCCGGCGAGCGCGTGCCAGTTCACGTCTCCTGCAGTGTCGCTTTAATGGTGCCAGGGTGTTTCCGCTTCTGGTCAACCTGTGTCGAAAGTACTAGCATGAGACTCTTGCGCGGTTGCTCTCGGCTCTCTTCTCTCGTACTGTAGCTCGTCTTCGGAAGCGAGATAGCCCAGCCATCTACTAGGGTGACCCCGTAAACGTCTGTCAAAGAAACGAGAAATCCAACATGGGGAAGAAATTGATTGTAGTGTAGGCTTGGAATTTAATGCCTAGCCCACTACTTCGTACTTATGCATCTCTATATCGCTTTTCTGGCGCGCTGGCGCTGCTTCGTTGGCACAGTGCGGCCACCTCTAGATCCCCAGTTATGCAACGTGGTCGTCAGAATGGGGGCAACCAGAAAGGATACCCTCCGTTCTTGATCCTGAAAATGCTCATCAAGAAGCTGTACATGCCGAACAGGACGGCCGCCCAGATGATGACCGCGGCCTGTTGAGTCTTTGGGTCCCTGATCCGCGGGACGCGGAGCGCGAGATTGATTGCCGCAAAGGCCAGCAGGGCATCTAGTGCAAAGAATCATTAGCAAGACCATACCTGAATATCGACGCTGTCCTGTCTGTACTCACACATGCCCGCAACAATCTGGGTCTCCATGCCATACTGGTTCTGGAACCCGCCGGCGAAATAACTAATCCCGCCCCGTCCATTGCCCGCCACGTACGGCACCTTGCGGATGTGGTTGAACATGTGCCCGCTCGTGAACAACAAGATCATGATCAGGCTGAGGCCCGCCCACAGGTTGCGGTTCTGCACGACCGGCATGATGTACGGGTATGCTACCGTGAGGAAGGTGAAGACGCCGAGTAGCACGGTAACGGTGACGCCGATTCTCGCATAGTTGATGGGCCTCACAATCGAGGGGTAATTCTGGCCCGGTGGAAGGTGTCGCAACAGCCAGCCGTGGACAGCTTCGGCGGACTGGGGACCCAGAAAATCCAGCCGGGGAGGTTGGCCGTCGGGTTTCGCGTGCGCGCCCGTGGTGGGAGGGTACAGGAGTAGCACGGGTGCGGTTTGGAGTTGGAGCTGGAATGCCACCAGTTAGCAGAACGGCGATGAAGCCATGGTTCTCTCAATCGCTCACCTTCATAAACACGTTCCTCCCTTGGTCGAAATCCAAGGTCGCGAATAAGATCCTGCTCTGCCCGCTGCGGTCGCCTTTCTGCCAGCTGCGTCCTAGGATGTTCCATTCTTGATCGAACTCTCGACAGATCCCACATGCGTATTTGGCGTCCCGGGCGGTCAGGAGCACGGCGAGGGAATAGTCGCGCGGCGAGGCCGTCAGGTCATTGTAGCTCGTCTCGTCGAGTTCAAAGGGCGCCGAGTTGGACTTGTAGGTGTCGAATTTACTAGTGGTTGCTGCCTTTCTGGCGGAGACCGCAGCGGTCAATGAGAGTGCCGTGAGGGCGAGGAGCCTCAGAAACCGCATCTTGACTTGTAGTGCACGCTGATCGTGGTGGGAATTCAGTGGTGAGCTTCGCAATAGGTGTTCAGTCTTGGATCGAACTCGGGAAAGTTGCACTTTACAGTCAGCCAATCAGACGTTGCAATATTCGGGGACGATCCACGAGGTGAGATATGTCCAGTTTTAAGAGTAGAATACGGAGTACAAAGCAGTACAAATTAGTGGTACTCTCGCCGCGTCACAGTCTATGCGTGGCTGAGCTATAAGCCTTCATCAAGTCCATGGCATTGTTGTATATCGTCAACAAGGGACAGAAACACAGTGCGATTCGCTTCGGAGTCAGGAATTTCTACCCAGCATGACATCGAGCACCGTACGCTCACAAATGGAACCTCCATCTCGGGTCCTCGTCTCCAAGCCACCGTCCCTCAGGATCAACATCCCCTGACTCCTTAGCATCGCGCCTCGCATTCTCCCTTTTCAGCACGAGATACAAAGTGGTCACCACTGCCAGGTTCGCCACCATGTAGGCCAACGCGAACGAATGTCCGAGAAAATATCGCGGTGCCGTCTCCGTGCGGTAGAGCTGCGTGCCTAACACGGCCCCCAGGTTCCCAATACTAATCTGCATGGCGTTGGCGACGGCGCGTTTGGTCTGTCCGCTGACGTTGTTGGCGGGCCAGCTCAGCACCAGCGCCACAGACGGGTAGATCCCGCTGGCAGCGAAGATGATGCCCACGTATGACACGCCAGGTCGGGGATCGCTGAGCAGGAGGATGTATCCGAGGATGGCGAGCGAGGAGGACGCGAAGATTAAAGGCGCACGGATGCGGTATTTCTCTGAGAGGATCGCCAATGTGACCGTCAGGCAGAACGCGATGGCGTAGGGGGGAATCGACATCAGTTGCGCAGTCGCCGATGTATAGCCTAGGGATTTGATGATCGATGGCAGAAAGAGCGAGAGCGTGTACAGTGGGAGCGAAAGGCTGTGGAAGCCCAAGGCGTAGAGCCAGCATTTGACGTCGGTGAAGGCTTTCTTGACATTGGCCCAGTCGAGCTTCTCGTGCTGCGTGGCATCGCTATCGAGCTTGAGGCGGTTCTGGATGTATTCCCGTTCATCGTCGCTAAGGAACTTCGCTGTGTCGGGGTAGTTGTGTATGAAAAAGTAGGAGGCCGCGGACACGACGATGGTGAGGAGTCCCTCCTTCAGGGCGCGTCAGCATGATTTGTCGTCCTCAGGATCGCGGTGCTTACTAGAATGAAGATCCATCGCCAGCCGTTGTAACCGCCAACGCCTCTCATCTTCGCAATGCCAAAGGCCAGAATACCTCCGAATGCTCCCGCAAGCGATGCAGCGCTGAAGAACAACGCGACTCGAAACTGCCGTTCGTTGCGCTTATACCACATCGACAGGTAGAACACAATGCCTAGTGGCTATGTCAGTGTCAGATCACAGCCATGTGGGTGCCCGCAACATACCCGGAAAGAGCCCCGATTCAGTGACACCGAGGAAGAATCGAACAACATAAAACCCGGCTTTAGATTGAGTCACGCCCATCAATGTCGCCACAACGCCCCAAGCGAAAGTGAGGGTCGGTAGCCAAAGCTTTGGGGTCCAGACCTTCAACACGAGATTGCAGGGCACTTCAAAGAGAACATATCCAATGAAGTACAATGTCAGGCCAGTGAGATACTCATCGCCAGACATGTGTATGTCGGTTGTCAAGCCCTCGATGCGCGCATTGCCGACATTGGATCGGTCGAGAAATGATAGGAGATACAACAGCGTCAAGGCGGGAAGGAGGGTGAGGTCGAGCTTCCGCACAAGAGCTCGCTCGTTGATGCCTTCAGGAACATGTTCGTTGGCAATTTTCGGTTCGGCTGCTCTGGTGCCACTGTCGGAGTCGCTGTTTGACGGCTTCTTAACTGAGGCCATGTTGGTCTACGGCTTCCTCCCACCCAGCAATGCAGGTAAATAGAGTGGTCTTTGACTGGGAAGTGGTCGTGGCAGCGGTAGGTCTTGCAAAAGCAAGGGAGATGCTTTGAGGTGATCATCATGGAATATAAAAGCATCCTGTGATATCCATTTCCTGCATTGCGACATCATAGCCTGACGACCAACAACGATCATCTCTTATGGGCCGCGAGATGGATTGACGTTGTATCGGTTGCAGGGCCAGTCGAATTGTAGGTTGATGGTGGTGTAAAACACATGGTAGATGGCGTGCTTGAGCCATCTCAAAAAGGAAGCTGCAAATAAGAATAGTGGCCGCTCATTAGTCAATACTCGTTGCTGTCCCCAGTTGCCAACGGGATGCAAGCAGCCGATCGCTTATCTTCTATGTACAGGTAATCAACCTTGTTTGTTTCCTTAAGGAACCCTCATGGACATTTCAATATGGCTCTCGCAGCATCGGGAATCCAGGAATCGGTGTTTGCTCATATCAGACCGACTCGATTGGCAAGGTCCTTTGGTGGCTCTTGTACCGTGGGATGTGAGCACCCAAAGCCTCGTCGAACCATAGGGGCAGGTAAGGCTCCAGAAACTCTATAGTATTGTCAGGACTTACAGCGGTATGGAATGGCCCCCACTCTGACGGCAACAAAGTGGAACACGGACGAGCCTGGCGACAACTTACCATGAAAGACGAACCGCCGGAGTATTTTCTGGGCTTGAGGCCACTCGGTCAGGCCGAGTATTTCAGCCTGCTGTGCAAACGCTTTTGAGAACCACATCCTCGGAGGACTGAGGCATTTGGTCTGCAGGTTGATACGCCATTCGAATCTGGCACCGTAGAAGCACATCCAAAGCAAGGCTTCACGACACTGGTTGAGCACGTCCACTGAGACCGTGTCCATGACCTTTCTCATCGTCCCTTCGAGATGATTGATGGTGGGGATGTGGTGGCTGCTCCGGTGGTCGCACCCATAGATTGTCGCCTCGAAAATCCCACGCCGCAAAACATGCCGAGTTGTCAAAGCCAGCGAAGCTTCTACGAGCCGCTACGATCTCTCTCCATCTTGTAGGCTCTGCCAGCGATCAAGTTGATGTATAGGTTGATCAAGACGCCAGAGTCGTATTGGGAATATGATGTGACGATGGTGTAGAAGGCATCTGTACGGTCCAGGTCTGCGAGATCATTCAGATTGACCTTCGTAGAATGATAGACGAGATATTCACGAAGTCGTCTTCACCTGACGCGCGGCCAATAGTCTAATGCTTTCGTGAAGAGCTTGGTATTCTGGAGGTAAGGAGGGCGTATCCTTTTGGGGAGTATCCGCCCAGAACCGGCGAATCTGTCCATGAACCCAATCCTCGTACCCAAAGAATGTGTTGCGCAGTTGTGCTATCACTAGTTCCACGTCGTTGTTCATGCAGGTCATAAATAGCGTTCGGATGTGCACGTCGGGACCTCGATGGTGTCAGCCAGACGCTGGATGATGCCTGCATGTATTTTTAGCTCCTGTGCTGTCGCCTTCTTTGCACGCCGCTCGAAACAGGGATACGATTTGGGAGCTAACGAGATATCCATTGGGGCGTCGAGTGACATGTTTTCGATGTGCCGCTTCAGGATCTCCATGCTCTTGGTTCGTATCTGGATGGCCAGCATGTCCAGCTCGCGGGCCCTGTCCGGTGCAGAAAACCTCGCCAGAACTGGCATATAGCTGGAGCACCATGAGAGAGCACGTTCTTCCTCCGACAGCTCGTCTTTCATTGTATTCCATACTTTTGTGACTGCGCAACGCCCAAACACGTGAAACCCTTCTCCGATCGTGGTAAGGCGAGAGGCTCCAGGAGCAGACTCTTTGAATTTCTTATAGGTGACGTAGACTTCCGGGAGGTAAGCATCTCTGATTAAGGTAAGGGCTTTATTGATTTGTGGCGTGATAGGTAGACCCTAGGTATTGAATGGATCCAAGTTGCCATCTCGGAGGATCTGTAGCAGATTCAACCGGTGCCGGGACCTTGTGGACGGCCGGCTCGGTCTTAGGGCCTCATCTAGCCGGTAGACGGATGCATGACCGAGTTGGCTGTATTCGTATTGCTCGATAGAATCGGCACCCTGTGGTGTACTCGCTGTAGCCCCTGTGTAGCACCTGGTCATTGATCTAGCATGGTTGTCAAGGGATGACAGTGACGTGCCTTGACTCTGAGCCCGCAAAGCTTCCTCAGGCTTCTTGTTCTTCCGCTCCCTCCGTCTCGCGTCTGATATTCCCAGAAAATGAGCTCTATCGACGGACAGAAGTCGTGGACCAGAGCATAGAAGGCAACCACCAGAGCTTGTCGCAGGGCGGCTACTTACGAGACCACCTCGCAGTGTGCGCCTTCTTGTTCGCGATCTCAAATTGTTTCTCGACCTGTGTAGATGTTTCACTAAGCTGTGGCACAAACCTCACTGTAGAATGTCTTTGAGGACGCATTGCCTTGTTTTCATCCTAACCACTTGGCAAAGTCCAAACAAGGTGATTAAATGGACATATTGCCAGGGCGACGGCCATGACTTGACCTCGTCCTGGGATATAAGAATGGTGAGACAGATGTTGTGAGTCCAGCCAGAGAAAAGGTGGTGAGCTGCGATGAGCTAATATGCCTGCATGGAAAGTCCAGCTAAGGGAGAGATAGAGCGGTGGGAGGCTCATGTACGTGCTCGGCTGTCGAACTCGGAAAGGGTGTCAGGAGAAAGGGAATCATACTCCGTACTGCACCCTGCAATCTCAGTAGTCGCTGAATGCCCAAGCCCATCACGCGATTAGGAAGGACAAATGCCTTTACTCAGCACCGAGCACGGATGAAGGGTGGGTGAAGAGGCCATGCCTGGGACTTAGGTACTGTAATGTGCATTTGATAAAGGGCTCACCCAACTCATCCAGGACTCGCACCTAATTGAGCATCTGGCTCAAGCTACTACGACTTTGTCCAAGGACGCGCACAGGATATTCGGGAAGATACAGGTGTTGTCTGGATGGAAATCCCGTCTTGACAAGCTGGAAATTTCTCACTTACAAAGCGACGGCACCAGCTACTTTCTCGCTCCTTCTTTCCTCCGCTTCTCCACCCGGGCTCTTACTTCCTCATTGACCAGCACAATTGCCTCTCTTGCCCCATCCCACTTCGTTCGACCGCCTGGGCGACTGCTCTCAAACAGTCGATAGAAGTGCGGCGAGTATATCCCATGGGCGAGCAAGTTGTAGAACTGCCGATCACTCCACCAAAGGTTCCAGGAATCCGCAGTAAAATAGCCAAGGTGACTGTCGATATTGCAGCCTCCCCTGTCCGTGACCCATGGAAGCCACTGCCGACTTCGAACACTCAGTCTGACAAATTTGCCCTGTGGGCTGAGCGCGCGGATGCTGCTAACCCACCTCAAATGCTCAGCGTACCATTGCTCCATTTCCTGATGTGACGGAAGCGAAGGCGTCTCCGGCCGGTTGGACCAGAGAGTCGCTATCGCCATAGAGGCGAGATCCGAAAGTAGAAATGCCGGGAAGATGATGATTGCGAGTCCGACGAAGGCAAGGCTCTCTGGGTAGTCCAGGGAGAAGATGTTCTGATACAGCCGCGGCGTGTCGTTAACGTGCCCACCAGGAACGTTTGGGTTCAAAGTCGGGTCGTATCTCCCGAGGATAGAGTAGTCGAGCGAGTAGCCGGTGCAGAAGATTATGCTGTCCACGGTGAGTATGCTGCCGTCCTGCAGCTCCACCGTCCAGTCGCCTGTGATACGTCTTGGCGCATGTGTTGAAATGATCGCGCCGTGGCGTAATGCTGGAATGAGAGTGTCTGATATGGTAGGGTTCTGATGAAGAAGGGAAGGGGCCGGCTGTAAACGCCACTGGGGATCAAAGGTGCCGAACTCTTCGCGCTGTACCTTGTTGACAAAGCCGTCGAGGAAACGTATGGAAAGCCATGGGGCCACCGAATCTATCGCGTCCTTGACCTGGAATTGGCGGTAACTGAGGCCGTGGTCTAGCGACTTTCCGTTCTTGAGATGTCTGGGCATGACAACAGCTCCGTGCCGATGGGAAAGATAGATTTCACTGGCAATTCCAATGAGCGATGTGGCTGTATCTGCAGCCGAGTTGCTCGCTCCTATGATCATCACGCGTTTGCCTTGGAAGTGTTTCGGATCCTTGAATGCTATTGAGTGTAGGACCTCGCCTTTGAAAAGTTCTAGCCCTGGCAGATCGGGCATGATTGCTTTGTTGTGCGGCCCAGTGGCCATCACGACTTTATCGAACTTGAGCCGTTCTGGCTCCGCTGAGCTGGGTCCCGAGACAGTGACGTGCCAGCAGTTCTGCGCGTCATCCCGTTTGATGGAATGCACCCTTGTCGACAGGCGCAGATGAGGTCTAAGTCCGAACGCGTCGACGTAATCATTTAGGTACTTGTCCACTTGTGCCGAGCTGGGGTAAGAGTCCGTTCCCGGAGGGAATGCAAAGTCTGTGAAGCATGCCCGTTCCCTTGAGATATTGACTATGGTACTCGGAAGTGCAGAGACGTGATGTTCCGCAGAATAGCGCCAGATACCTCCGATATAATCGTTCCGGTCGAATCCGGTGACCCTGAAGCCTTGCTCGAGCAGATTCTTGACGGCGTTGACACCCTGGGCCCCAAGACCAATAACGGCGACAGACGGCTGCTGTGCATCAGCCATGGCGGCAACTTGCTATCCAGCTGGGTTGCCCGATGCAGGAGCCCGCAACTGCTGCTTGTCGAACATCGTGGATTTAGACGGACTCGGCGACCTCATATATGCGTGCTTAAGGGAAGGTTTAAGCGTGCTTGGAGACGGCATCGATATCGACTCTCGGCTCCGACATTCGATGGTGCCAAGGACGCCTAGACCGATGTCGGATGCTCGTATCTTTGAGTGTTGAACTTTATGTACTGGTAAACTTAGACAGGTGGCCGGCCAACCTTCGTACGTGGCTAACGAGGCTCAGCAAGAGAGGGGACTAATTGACTTCAAAGCTATGTACTCGTACTCGCAATCAAATTTCCTAGCCATTTCTCATAGGCGCCTTCAACTTCAATGCATCTCTTGCCTCTGATCCACAGACATCTGCCGTGGACGTCTTCAGCTTTCTCTGCAGTTGCGAGGTATGCGATTCCCATGGCAACGTCCACTGGCTGGCTAGACTCAGTTGAGAAGGCATGGAGGATCTCAGGCGGCAAGTTGGCAGTCAGGCCGGTGTGCGTGAGCCATGGCGCAACCATCGAGACTGTGATGTTCTTGTCTTTAAGCTCTTGCCGTTGAGCCGAGCTCCGCATCAGTCCGATAAGAGCATGTTTAGATGCTACATAAACGTCCTGATTCACAACGCCCATCTGGGACGCCGCTGAGCCGGTTATCACGATTCTCCCTCCTTTTCCCTCTGGGAAGTGGTGCACGGCCAATTTGATTCCATACAGGACTCCATAAAAGTTGACGTCAAAGACGACTGTTGGTGGTTGCTTCAACTGTGAGCCGCCTTCGCTCGCATCTTCTCGTGGTTCCAATTCAGATGCAAGATAATTGGATACCACTTTCTCTTTCGCTGAGGGCGTTTGCGATGTGGCAAGCTCTGGGTCGATGCCGGCATTGAGACAAACTATTTCTGGAGGTCCATAAGTTTGCTTCACCCAGTCGAACAAGGCAACCTGCTGCTCCCAATTGGCGACGTCGCACGCTCGAAAGTCGCAGCCATGGCCAATATCCTCCGCGGCTGCTTTTAGTCGGCCTGAGGCCAAGTCGACCAGAATGACTTTGGCCCCGTGCTGTGCGAAGAGCTGGGCGGCTGCAAACCCAATCCCTGAAGCGGCGCCTGTGACCAACACCACTTTCGAGTCTTGGAGTCGCTCTGTAAGCACTGAGGCAGGTGGCAAGGTCACTTCGGACATGATGGGCGGGGCCAGACTAGCAAGCAGATTCAATGGAAGACTCTAAGGTCATGAGGCGGGGAAGCCGTCAACATAAATAGGATTCATTGTGCCTGAAATAGGCCAAGCTGTGATCAACGGGCATAGTGATGTGGTCCACGGCAAACCAAGTCCGACAGCGTGGATCACGACAGCAGATACTTACCCGAGCGGTGATTAGAAAGGACGTGTCCTGTCCTGGCCAGAGATAGATCCACTCCAAGTCGTCAAGTCAACGGTCACCCAAAGGTTGAAGCCTGAGTACAAGGGTGACTTGGCGCGGATCACTCAGGCACTTCACGTATCCACGCATGTCAGCTCGGAGTTAGACACGCTGTTTTACCTCATCCGGGAGTAGGACAGGGTCGAAAGCGATGAGGAGAAGACGGGCGCGTGAAGCGATTGGCACGTTTCAATGCAATGTCCGCACTGGACAACTGGCGATGGAGGCCCCAAGCGTCCTGCATTCGCAGCGACCCTCGCCAAGTAGAGATATGGAACGCCTGGAAGAGAAGAGCGGCGGGTTGTAAGCAGCTGCAGTGGCACGAATCGGGAGCGCAGGCACAGATGTTCCCAAAGCTGCGCAGTTGCATTTCTTGGTGGGCGAAACGGGGCGCGATGATACACTAGTCCGTTTTGGGACAATCAATAAACACTGACAATGTGAGGCATGGGTGCTTCCACTCCCATCGGCCTCTTCCGAGTGCGTCCATATCTGTCTGCAAATACTTGACAAGCATGGAAGCAGAATCATCCTACCTGAGCCCCAGTGAGATAGCGCAATCTATCAAAACCACCCAGCTTGAACTAGCCTACGAGCGTGTTTTGCGGGAAGCCGACCGCATCTACGAAGAGGAACGAGCGCGAGCACTCCGCGTCCAGTTGCTTCTACTTCAACATGAGAATGACGATCTTCAGCTACACGTTGAGGAGGAGGAAGACGAGCATCAGCACATGGAAGATATCAATGAGGAGTTGCGGGCGCAGCTTGCCGAAGCCGAGGCAGGCCTGCAACAGACGCAAATGGACCTCAAAGCCCGCACCCGAGATCTGGAACATCTGAGAACAGAAGTGGTTGCTCTGAATGCCGCAAGTACCGACGCAACAAGGTTGCTGACCGAAAAACTGGCACTGGCAAGAGAGCTGAACACCATCAAACCAGAACTGGAGCACCTGAAATCGCAATCGTTTATCAACCAGAAACTACTATCGGAGAAACTGGCATTACAGCGCGAAGTCAGTTCTCTCCAGGTTGAGCTCGAGACCGAAAAGCGTGCTGTGCAGAGAATCAAGGCGAGAGAGGAATCAAGCTCTCGTGAAGATTCGGCATTAATAGCGGAGGTCGAAGGCTTGAGGAAGGAACTTGCGAAGGCACAGCGTGAGGTATCGAAGTACTCGGCTGCTCAAGAAGGGACCATAGCGGAGATGGAAAGCTTGAGGAAGGAATTGGCGGAGGCCCAGCGTGATGCAGTGAAGCATGCTGTTCGCGACGACTCAGCGTCCACAGCAACCGAGAGCCTTAGAAAAGACCTTGTCAAGGCACAGCGTGATGCGCAGAAGACAGAACGCGAGAGCAGGAAGAAGATAGCCGAATGGGAAAGCGAGAAGGAGGTGCTGGAAGCAAAACTGGATGCATTCCGCAACAAGCTACGAACGACGAAGGAACAACTCCACGAGGCACAGGAGGAGATCGAAAAGTTACAAGCAGCCAAGATGGCTCAGTCGGCGGAACTGACGAAAGCCCGCATGACTGGTCAAGCTGCAGCATCAAATGCTAGAAAGAGAAACGTGGCGAGGTTCGATCCCGACATGACCATCGGCACGCCGGGAAACGGTGGGCCCGCTGCGAAGAAGCCTCGGATATCAGTCAATGTGGGTGACAAGTCAAACTTCTCGATTACACCCTTCCTAAACCGGACCCTGAGCATCCTACCTGAGTCTCCAGACGATGAAGATGAGCCGCAGGAGATGGCCCACAAGCTGAGTAGCCAGCAAGTTGACGGAGCTGGTGGAGAAAAGAATCAGGCCTCCAAGAGCAAGGGCACAAAAGAAAAGCTGGACAGGGCAGCCACCGCACGGAAACCAACTGTGCCTTCCAGCAAAACCCGACCTCCCAAGGCACTCAACGAGACGAAGAATGCCAAAGCCAACGATACAACGCAGAAACCCCGGCTCGCAAGATTGGTAGAAGAGGACCCTGGCATGGAAAGCGATGAAGGCGGCGTGGAGCCTGAGGAGAATACCGACAAGGAGAATAATGGGGACAGCCGCGCTACAACCAGGGATTCAACCGAGCTCTCGAAGAAGCCGAGACCTTTGACCCAAAGAACGAATATTTTTGATGAACCTGACTTTGCACCCGCACCAAAGATTAGGAGCCTGGGCGGAGGTGCTGGGCTAGGTCGCATCAACCTCAAAGCAAAGCCAGTGGGGAAAGGGAAGACATTGGCTGAGTTCTCACCCCTTAAGAGGGATCGCCGTGCTACGAGCATTCTTGAGTAATGCTCGATGCTGGAAACCACGATGGGAAAGACCATACGACTTAATGTATATTACGGCTGGTAGGCGTTGCTGCGCTTTTGCTTCCTCCATTGACTGTAGCTGGACACATGCTTCAGCACGGGATTTGTGCTTGGTCGGGCGGATACTCATGATCCTCCATCAGTGCAGGAGACGCTTTGTAAACGACTTGAATCTTAACACCAGCCGTGCTCACGAGGTCCAGCGCGTGCAGAGAAATGCTGTGTGTTGCTGCGCTCGATCGTTCCGACTGTAGGAAGAAGTGAAGGGCACCACCCCCGGCTGCTGAGGGCTCTCACTCGTCACGCTTGTCAAAGTGTCAAAAAGTGTTACCGGCGTGGTCGGCCATGTACGAACAAAGAAGGGCAATCGCTATTGGGTACGTCCCATATCTTCGGACTCGTTGGTGCTCGTAGTCCACGTGCGTTCTACTCGTGTCGCGGTGCCGATCATGACGTCGCCTCGCGTGGGGAAATTGGTCGACGAGACATCGCGACGTCGACGATCAAGTCAACCAGAACACAACACTTGTCGTTCACGCTATAGTCTAAAACCTTTCGGGATCTACAAGTAATCTGTTATGCTCTAGGCTCTTTCCCTTTCACCGAGGAGACTGGCTTCTACTTGAATGTTGTTTTGACATTGGCGCCAGAAGGCCACTACCTGCAGGGACGACCCAGGTCGGTTGACATACCTGTGACTCTGTGAAAGGCCGATCTTTCAAGGAGCCACCTTGCACTGTCAGTTCCATTTTACAGCGCACCTATACTCGGGCTAACAATATGGCAGCGTTGTAGGACAACAGCTCACCCCCTGACTACTATTCGATTATGGCTACCCCTGCCCTTCCTACGAGAGTCAAGACTGCCAATGATTCTGACGACGACCTGGTGAACGAAGGTGATCCGTCCAGCACCGCGGGCTTGCTTATCGAGCGCCTGCAGGCGTGGAAACACATGTGTGGCTATCTCGAGAATTACATCTCAGCAGTCGCCAAAGAACAGGCAGGATGGGCGAAAGAGCACGAAAAGAACGTTATGAAGACACTGTCGCATCCTCTTCGCGAAGCTCATCACTTCGACCCTGCACTGGGTGGAGTTGCTGGCTTGTTTGAAAACTTGAAAGCGAACACTCAGGCTCAGATCAGTTTACACACAGAGACCTCGAAGAACCTCACTGGATCCGTCCTGCCAATCCTCGAACGTCTGCACGCCGAAATCAAGAGCAAGAACAAGGAGATCACGAATGGCGCAGGTAAAGGCTCAAAGGCCGTTGACGCAACGCGCGGGAACTCGCAGAAACATATCGAATTGCTGGGACAGCAGGCAGCTCATTTCGACTCGACCGGAGGCAAAGTGTCCGCACACCATGACCCTTATGTGCTGAGGAGAGGAGTCCTCTACCGGCTCAATAAGCAACTGCTGGAGGAGAACAACAACAGACAGGATCTGATTGAAGTCCAGAACTCCTTCTCCAACTTCGAGGCCCATGTGCTCCAGACCATCCAGACAGCGTTGAACTCGTACAATCAATTCATGAGTGGCCAGGCCGACCGACAGAAAGCCTTGTTTGGTGACATCGCTGCGACTGCGAGCAAGATCCCTCTTGACTTTGAATGGAGCGGATTCATGAAGCGGAATCAGCATGTTTTGATCAATCCCAGCGCGCCCATGAGGACGATGAACGACGTGTCTTTCCCGAATGAGAACCACCGGTCCACAAAGCCGCTCATAGAAGGCACTCTCGAGCGTAAAGCACGCGGAATGGGCGCTCTCGGCAGATACAGCAGCGGGTACTACGCCGTCACACCGGCAGGCTACTTGCACGAGTACAAGGATAAAGAGAACTTCCACAAGGAACCCACCCCTGAGCACTCTCTGTATCTTCCCGACTGCATCATTGGAGCTGTCGATGGTCCGAAATTCACCATCAAGGGTAAAGACTCATCGGGCAGCAAATTCGGGCAGAAGATGGCCATCACCTCGGACTTTCAATTCAAGGCCCTTACCAACTCTGATGCACAGCAATGGCACTCTGTCATTGCCAGCTTTGCCAATTCCGGCGGAAGTCTACCGACAAGTCCGGTTGAGAGTCGCAACATCACACCCATCACTACCAGGATGGAAGAGCCACAGACCCAGGGTGTCACATCTGCTGGACCAACACCAACCAGTGCCAAGACACCCACCAGCGCCCAGCCGACGAGTGCCACGTCGGCTACTGCGCCGGCGCCTGCTGGAGAAAGCCTCCACACGGGCCCGGGTCCGCATGTGTTGGGAGACGGGAAACCGGGCGAGAAGTAGGACTACTCGACGGACAAGCAAGCTTGAATTGTTACGGCCGTGTATGCTTCTTGGATTGAGATACTATTGGCGCTTGTCATAGACTTAAGTTTAGTCGTTGATTGCCTTTTCTAAGTAATAAGTGACGGACCTGTTGCTCATTCTCCAGGCAGAGTAACCTAGTCTTCAACAGCACCATACCAAACCAAAATGACGGAATACTTCTAGAACCACGACAATCGGCATGCCCATCCATCCAGAATGCACGGTGCGGATTTCTGAGACAGCAAGAAAGAAGGACTGAAGTCACGCTCCGCAGCCCAGTAGAGCTGAACGTGCGCGCCGAACACACGTACGCAGGACCGTCTCGCAACTGTCCCTGACGCTAAGAAGGATGAACGGCCAACTCGGGCCACCTTGGGGGTACGAGTAAGTCACCGTGTACACCCACACTTTCCCTACTGTTTGTCCTGTAGGTGCTCCGTATACAGTCCTGGCTTTACCGCGTATAGCACGACACTTCCTCCATTGCTCCTCCTGTACGGTACATGGTTCTGACTTTCCCGAGCACGGCAGAACACTCCCACTACTGATGATCTCGTCCTGGATACTCCGTACAGGGCCTGACTTTTCTCGGTCGTCATCAGACGTGAACATGCTGATTACTTGAAGGGGGACTATACGACCGGGCGCGAGCGACTAGCAGTCGCAAGGGAACTACTCTACTCGAGGCTATTCTCCTCTAATCCAGCTGATTTGATTTTCCCGTCTATCCAGGTGACTCGGTTTCTCCTGTGAGCTAACCCGATTTCTCCTCCACTTTACTCGATCTTCCGCGCCTCCTTACCCTTCCAAGTATCCTTCAACTTGACCAGCGCGCGCTTGAGTTTCTTGATGCCCACGCCCAATTTCCCCTCGGGCACCTCCTCGACGGCGACGAACCTCCGCACCAGCAGATTGTAGATACTCCCGAACGCGAGGGCCATGACCGTGCTGGTCAGGATGATGACATTGTACGGCATGGAGAAGTCGGGCGTCGGGAGTGGGAGCAGCAGGCTCGTGGTGCGGAGGTAGACGTCTCGCGGCGTGTGACCTATCGGGTCGTGCAGGGCGTGTGTGAGAATGCGGATTACTGCCGCGGGGATGTTGAACCCGCGGTTCGCGTCGGGTGGGTACTCGGTGTAGCGCAGGATGGATTTCTCGAAGGCATAAGTCAGGGAGATGGTCGTAAAGGGGGGAACGGTCACGAGGAGTTCGAGGTGCGTGGGTCGGTGGCGGTCGACGGCGGGGGAGTAGTACATGTCTTTTATGAGCTGTTGGGCTTGTGCGGCATCTGCACGGGCAGAGGGACCGGAAAGGGGATCGTTCGCCATGGGGACGATCTGCGCGGTGAGGGTGTGCATGTAGGGCCGCATGAACCAGGGGAGGGTCTCGAAGTAGACGAACGTGACGGGTTCGGAGGACGATGGGTTCGTGAAGATGGTGCGCATTCCGCCGTGTGCGGCGCCGTGGCCGGTCATGGTTCGCTCTGCTCTGAGGAGTTCGTGGCCGAGATGGTGAGTTTTGGGGAGGCGAGGTTGTTGAGGCGCTTCGAGGTCGAATTCTTCAAAAGGCATGATTGAGTAGCATCGATGCTCGTTGAAGCCGGGTTCCGATTTGACTTCGAAGCCGCTGTGGCTGACGAGGACCATGCGATCGTGCGGGACGTTGAGGCATATCGGTTGTGCGTCTTCCTCGTCATCGTCGGTAAGTGGACATGTGCCTGCCATGGTGCGCCCAAAGATGTCTTTGAGGGACCAAGATGCTTCATCCACCATGTCTCGCGGGTAGCAGGTGTCGTGCGAGTGGTAGGGCTTGGATTCATCGCAAACGAGCTGTTCTTGTGGGATCGGTCTGGGGATCGGATTGTCTCGTGGCCGTTTGGATCGTTCGATGTCGAGAACCACGTCGATAGTTTGCGCGATTTCGATTTGACAGTTGTTGGGGCTAGCTGAACACTTCGGCCGGACGTCGATGGCCATGCTCTGCCAGGACGCGTCAAACACTTTGTGGCCGTCCAGCAGGCTCGAGATCCCTGCCTTGCCCTTGCATGGCAACAGTTTCAAGAATGGCGTCAAATTCTCCGTGCAGACAACTTCACCAGGCAGCACGCCGTGCAAGAGATGCAGATTTCGACTTGCATTGTAATGCGTCCCTGACGGGTGAAACGACAAGACCGGTTTTGTCGTCCTCGTCGAATCAATGAAGTTTAACGAGGCGCAAAATAACCCCGACAGAGATTGGGCCAACGTTGTCCACTTCGCAAAAGCTTCATCCTCGGTGTCTGCGTCGATCCAAGCCCAGAGCTCAACACCCGTACCGCCTTCTCTTGTGCCGTCCCATGGTCGGGCTCCCCAGGTCTCTGGATCCCACCGTCCGGTTGTAAACCTCAGATGTAGTTCTTTTGTGTCTGCATGCCGCAAGGCCTGTCCTAACGAGCGGGGGAAGTACCTGAAATTCTGAGCCTCGTAGGCTGCGATACTCTCATTGCTGCGGAAGTCGAATGAGGCGAGGAGGGACCCGAGGGGCAAAGGGGTCAGTGTGAGTTGCTCATAGTAGTCGGAGGCGGCGACTCTCAGAGCGAGCAACGCGATTGATAGGAGAGCGAGCAGAGACCGGGACATACCGGCATTATTATAACCGCAGTATCATCGCTTTTGTGTTGGTTATGACTGTACTCCGTAAGCATGTGGTGGAAATGGGGGAAGAGGACACGCTGAAATGTCGCCGATCTAATCTAATCTGCCACAGTTGATTGCGGCGCGGTTTCTCCTCCACCACTTCTTTCTCGCCATTTGCGGAGAAGAGACGAGGACCTTTCTTTTCCAGCTACTCGATATCCCTCCAAGATATTCGTCACACCTCGTAGGACTTGGACACACCCCTCCCCCCGTCATGGCCGCGGAACAGCGTAAGCTGCTCGAGCAGCTCATGGGCGACCAGTTCATGGGCATGGGCTCATCGAGCAAGGCCGCAAACCTCACCCTCACCTCGCCTACCGTCTGCCGCTCATACCTGGTTGGCACCTGTCCTCACGACCTCTTCACCAATACGAAGCAAGATCTGGGACCTTGCCCCAAAGCCCACCCCGAGAATCTCAAGATGGAATACGACGGGTTGTCACAGGCCGAAAAGCAAAAATACGGATTCGAATACGACTATATGCGCGACATGCAGAAATACATTGACGAATGTAACAGACGGATCGACCAAGCGCAAAGGAGACTAGAAAAGACACCGGATGAGATTCGTCAGACGAACAATCTGCTCAAGCTCATCTCCGACCTGACCAAAACCATCAACACCGGTCTCCTCGAAGTGTCCTGTCTCGCAGAGATGGGCTCCGTGAGCCTGGCATGCACCGAATTCCACAAAGTCCGCACCGCGAAGCTCGCCAAAGAACAAGCTGAGCGCGACTTGAAGTCTCTCTCCGACACGAGCGGTCCGTCCGGACACCAGAAGCTACAGGTCTGTGACGTGTGCGGCGCCTATCTTTCGAGACTCGACAACGATAGAAGGTTAGCAGACCATTTCTACGGAAAGATGCATTTGGGGTATGCGCAGATGAGGAGGACGTTCGACACGTTATCGAAGGATCTGAAGGGTCGGGGACCGCCGCCCCCGCGTGCCGAGGATGGTATGGGCGCCGGTCAGGGAAGTCCAACTGGGCCAAGAGGCTATGATGACGGTTACGGCGATGGGGCCGGATGGGGAAGAGGTGGAGGTGGATATGGTCGCGGAGGAGGAGGGTACGGACGTGGTGGTGGAGGAGGTTATGGACGTGGACGAGGACGAGGAAGGTGGTAGATCCGTCTATCTTCTCTCGCTGGCGCGCCCAGTCCCAACCAGGACAACCATGCGCCAGAGACGACGCTCTATCCGTTTTTTTATCGTCCACGGAATTCTCCTTGTTTGGCGTCCCCCGCGGATGGTGTTGAGCATGCCTCAAATGTGAGACCGGCACTGAAAAAGAAGCCATCTTCACAGATGACTCTACTGATGGAGATGGACTTGATGCGACAAATACGTTGCGGCATACGAGGGGCGAACCGGGATACATGAGGCGTACTCCGCGCGAATGGCGAAGTCTCAGCCTCTGCACACGGCCGAGGCCCACAGGACCGCACTTTGAAAGGACCAAGACGCTGTTCGATTACGTGGTTTGATGGGCTATATCAAATTCTCAGCCTGTACCAACTCGAGCTACACTCAACAACCGACAAGCGAAGAAAAAGAGTGAGTCCCAAGATCGCTGCACCAAAGCGACGAGGAGAGCCAGCTGAAGGAGGACACTAGCTCCCCAGCTGTGAGGATATTGGGTTCTATGAAGAGTCCAGCCCACGACAATACAGTGCAGGCGGAGAATCTGGCTCAGGGTAAGGGTCGGAGCACGAGATCAGCTGGTTCATGCAAAGCGGTGTGTGAGTGCCCGGTGACGACTCTGGCATTTTCACGCCTGAAAGGACGTGCGGATTCACGTTGTATCGGGATGTGGATGCAGGGAGCATGTGCAGCAGCAGGGTCTAACGTTGTATTTGGCAGGATCGCAGCCGGGAGGGAAAGAACAAGCTGCTGAGGTACCGCTCAGCCATGATGCGCCGGCCGCTTGTATTGGGTTCTACTTCGTTTGCAGTCGGGATTCCAACCATGGAGATCTCATGCATAAGGAGGGACCAAGATAATCACGAGCGCCAAACTTTTGACGGAGCCAACAATAGCTCAAACATTCTATTCCTCCTCAATCACTCTCTACTATACCAAAAACGTTCCTCATCGTCGCCTGCCCACGCCAGCATCCGCGCCCCGGTCCGCCATGCTCACGATCTCGCCCACGCCGCCCTCCTCGAGCTCATCCTCCAAACGCGTGACCTCCTCACGACAGTCCCACCATCTCTCCTCGGCCATCTCAAATGCTTTCTTCCTCAGTTCTTTGATCGTCTGCTCCGCGCTGATGGCCGCCACCTGCGCCGCCCCGCCGTAGGATTGTTTCTGGATGATCATGTTCTGCCAGTCTTGAGAGGTGCGGTTGAAGAATGTGGCGCGAGATTCAAAGGGGCGGGGAAAGGGGAGGTTATCCTGAGACGCGAGGGTGGAGGAGTCGGGTTCGGGTTCTTCAGCGGCCGGTGAGGGAGGCGGAATGGTGCGCTCTGTCGAGGGCGTGGGAATCGACTTCGCGAGAGACGGCGTATCTGTCACGGTGGACATGGCGTCTCCTTCGTCTTCCATATCTTCGTCTTCGTCTTCGTCTTCGTCACTGTCCGAGTCCATATTCTCGTCACTTTCTTCGACCGTAACGTTCCAGTTGGGGGGTTCGACGTAGAAGAGCTCCTTTACGCCGTCGAGTTTGCCCAGATCGATGGCGTAGAGGTCGGAAAATGTGATTTCGACGTCTTTCTTCTCAAACGTCCCGCCGAAGATATAGAGCGTGTCGTCTTGCACTGTCAATTGGGCGTTGAAGCGTGGGTGAGGCATTTCATATCGGACGAGGTATTCCTTGCGCGGCTTTTCGGGCTCGGGCTCGGGCTGGTCGTCTTCATTTACAAGCGTCATGTCACTGTCCTCTGTGGCGATTGAGCCTGTGGTCTCGAGTGCGGCGAGGTTGCGGAGGAGTTCTTCTTCGTCGGCTTTGCCGCGGTCGCGACCTCGAGATTGCTGCTGTGCTGTCTGTTTCTTGGGGCCTCCTGCTTTCGGCCGTCTCAGCGCAAGTGGGAAGAATCGGTTGCGGTCAATGTTCCAGACGAACATTTCGTTGAAGAATTCGCTGTCGATGCCCTCCTCGCTGGCTTCGACGTCGTGGACGCCTCCCACCAACACACCACGACCTTTGTGGTAGGTCATCGTGGCGCCGGCACGGGGCGGGTTGGGTCTATTGGCGGGTTGCTTTCGTCGTTCCCAACGGAGGGTCGGTGGTGTCCCGCTTGCTGCGTCGGGAGGTGGCGGAGTGATGCGCAAGAACCATGTGTCTTGATGGACCATCGGTTTGATGACGTTACGGACTGCTCCGCCGCTGCTCTTGCCACCTTGCTTACCGCCGCCCCCACTGCTTGTTGTTGCTTTGACACGGGAGTAGCCTCCGTAGAGGACGGCGCCGGACTCGTGCGGAAGGAAGCTGAACGATGATCGTGGGTCTGGTCTTTGGCTTGTGCTTGTATATTTCATTTCGTGCCACGTGTTTTCTTTAACGTCATACACCCACGTGTCGTTGAGATACTTCGTCTGCTGGGACGTGTCTTGAAAGCCGCCGAACAGGACGATGTAGTTCTTGAAATAGGTCATGCGATGCCCACTCCGAGCCGGCGGTATCCTTCCTTTGCCTCTCGGCTCCAGCTTTGTCCACTCTCGAGAGTCGGTGTCCAGGTGCCAAAAATCGTGGTAATGGTAGAACTGATTCTGCTTTGGTGATGAGAACTCGCCGCCTGAGATGTAGATCCCACCGGTGTTTCCGCCTCGACAGGCAGCGTGACCACTTCGGGGTAGAGGACTATTTCCTGACACGATTTGGTGCCACTCACCTTTGTCGATGAGATAGACGAACAAATCATTGTAGAAGGATGCAACGGTGCCGTCGTGGTACTCACCGCCGAAAATAAAGAGTTCGTTCCTGTTTGACGGCGATGCAACAATCGTGCTAGATGACCTGGGTCCAGGAGGCCGGCAGGCCTGCTCTGTCACCTTGAGGAACTTTGCCTGTTCTTCGGCATACGCAGCTAGCACGGCGTCAAGGTCAACCTCCTCGTCATCCGAATCGGCATTTAGAGCAGCCTGCTTTGCACTTTTCTTCTTTTCGGACTTCGTGGTTTTCTTGCTCTGTTTTGCGGCCTTCTGGGCCTTTTTCTCGGCCTTTGCTTTCTTGTCCTTGGGCGCCATGGTGTGGCCGGCAGTCTGAAATCAGTGGCGATAATAAGGCACCGAGGGTACCCGACGAAAGGCAGCCGCGGCCGAAACCGACCTTACCAGCGGAATTGTCTCTTCCCTCAGGAGCTCGAGGAGAAGCACTCACACAGCCAAGTTCAACTTGAGACACTGTCCATATATGCGCCGAGCGTCCCTGTCTAGAGAATTTGACAGATACGTGGAGCTGACAATGCATTTCACATGTACTTAGATACCGTCGCCCTGGCCAGCATCCGCTCGTTGTGCTGCGCATGGCTCGACGGCTGTTGAAAATTTGGGTCACATGCTCAGGTGTCTTCTTGGCGGATTAGTCATCATACTGCAGACGCGTTCCTCTTCACGCGTCAGTGGGGCTTTTCGGTGTTCGTCAACTTACACAGTACTCGCACCACAAGGCTAGCCTGCGTGCCTGCACCGCCAACAGCACCACTCACCCACGCCCTTATGTTACCGATTCACTAGACGAGTGAGTTGCAGCAAGATGCGACGGACCTATGACCAAGAACAACCTGAGCACCTGTCTTTCATGGCTGTTGCAGCATCCACACTCTTTTGGCAACTTGGATCATATATCAGCTATCGCTGACACGCCCACTGCGCCGTACGATGAAGCTATTGCCGCAAACGCAGACAATGAGATGGCAAGACTGCAGTTGGCGCCACAGACGAATTACCGACCAAAATTGCATTCCCAACTGAACAATGCGCCGAATCCCTTACCAACACCCACCCCCTCCCGACCGTCAGAAGAGCCGAAGCCGGTATCGACTCGACCGAAGCAACCGCTGGGAACGCCGTCTGCCCCGCGACACAATGCTACAATACGCACCCCTGGAACGGCGTCAGGAAACATCGGCTTCAGTGATGGTGTCCTCGATATCGATGAGATTGATCTGACAGGGGATGTCACAACTTCTTCCTTTGGCGATTTTGGTCCCCCACTTAGGCTGTGGAGGGAAGACTCGGCTTCTCGCGTAGAACCGCTGCCCAAAAAGAGCGGAAAGAAGAGGAAGAGCGATGAATATGAGTCAGATCTCCTTTCCCCACGATCCAACCGCAAGACAACAAAGGTTCTGCAGCACGCGACTACGACAGTGTCCTCAGCTCGTGTTCGCCAGAATGATCGCTTGGAGAGGCACGTCCAGGAAGGATTCAGCCTTACACAGACCACTCTTCGCCAAACCCCACCACCATTATCGCAAGTAGAAGACGAGTTTTCTGATTTCTCGATCAATGACTTTGAGGAGACCCAAGGTCAGCCGGCGGTCAAACCCGGTGATGCTCAGCAACAACCAGTACCGACCGGTACTCAGCAAAGTCAGACTTCGAGGCGGACTAATGTTATTCCCGATTCGGATGATGATGATGAGGAAGGCATACCATCTGCTCCAAAGGTTGAGTCCGACCCAACCAGTCCAACTCCCTATTTGGCTGGGCAAAGCCATGACCGTTGGGACGCTGTCGGAGATGTCAAACAGTCGCAAGAAGCCTCCCAAGTGCCCACGCCATCGCAGCCTCTTAAATTCTCTCAATCGCCTCGGAAACCTACCTCTCCCCATCATGGCGCTACACTGACCCAACCAGCCACGTCAACTCAGGAACCAATGTTCAAAAGCAGTGCGGCAAGTACAAATTCGAGCAAGAACCTTACATCGGAACAGAAGAACCTTATCGCCAACTTTGCCAGTAGTGGGCAAGAGCAGCTACAGAGTCTATTGCAACGGCTCGAACGGTCCAAGAAGGCCGTCGATGACAAAATAATGGACGAGATATGTGAAGATGGCGGTGCGTCTACTGAATCCAAGGAGAGGCTGAGGGCGATAGGGAACAAGATCGCTTCAGCCACGCGGCTACGAGACGAATTCGATGCTCTCGCGAAGCTCCGAAAGCACCGAGAGCAAATGGTGGCTCAACGCAACAAGCTTAGCGGTTCCGGCCACAGCGTCAACCCAGATGATCCTGCAGACGTCTTGATGTCCTTGTGTTCAAAGATCTTCCAGGCGAAGCGCGATATCGACGCCCGAGAAGCATCGATTTTCGGACTTCTTGATCAGATTGGGGTGTCTACTGCTAGCCAAATGACAGCACCTCCCACCAATGTCAGCGACAAGATTTTCTCTCCCGGATCCACCGTTTCGGAACAGAACGTTCTTGTAGCCTCGACGCAAAAAGGGCCCCAGTCGATCTCGAAACAGATGAAAGACGAGGATAGACAAGGTCTTTCTCACCTCTCTACTCAGTCAGTCCGTCAAACACCGGCACCCTATCGATTCGATAGGCCGCTATTAAGCATTGAATCGTCGAACCGGAGTCCATCTCCGCAATACACATCGAAGCGATCGGCGTTCGTGGAACATGGAGGACCTCTTCAGTCAACTTTGAGGACCGCTCATTCTGCCGTGCCAGGACCTGCTTTCGCCTACAATGAGCCCGAATCGAGTAGTAGGGGATTCTCAAGAACCATGGCCAGCCCGACAAGAGACTATTCGTTCGAGGAAGACGACTTTGAGGACGATCTAGACGACGAGGAGATGTACCAAGCAGTCGAGGAATTCGAGCAGCATTTGTCGTCACGAACTGCTGAACCGTCAGAGAGACCTGGCCGTGCTGCGCTTGCCGAAGTTAGCGACAATATTCGCAAGGTATCTCCCAAGAAAAAGCCATCTTCACAACAACCAAGCTCCTCGCATGCACTGATGCAACACCCCTGGTCGAAAGATGTGGCGTCGGCCTTAAAGAAGAAGTTCCACTTGCACGGGTTCCGTCACAATCAGTTGGAAGCTATCAACGCAACTCTGGCCGGCAAGGACGCGTTTGTGCTAATGCCTACTGGAGGGGGCAAATCTCTGTGTTACCAGCTTCCGGCCGTCATAAAATCCGGGCGAACGCGCGGAGTTACTATTGTGGTCTCGCCCTTGCTCAGTCTGATGCAAGACCAAGTGGACCATCTTCAAAAACTGAAGGTCCAAGCACATCTAATCAACGGTAACAGTACTCCAGAGGCGCGCAACTGGGTCCGCCAAGCCTTGCAGGATCCCAACCCGGAAGAAGTATTGCAGCTTCTATATGTGACGCCAGAGATGTTGGGCAAGAGTCAAGCCATGGTCTCCGCGTTCGAAGCTCTATACAGACGAAAGCGCCTGGCTCGAATTGTGATTGACGAGGCTCACTGTGTCAGTCAATGGGGACACGATTTTCGACCAGATTACAAAAGCCTGGGCGAAGTTCGTAAGCGGTTCAAGGAAGTACCTGTCATGGCCTTGACAGCAACAGCGACTGAGAACGTCAAGATCGATGTCATGCACAACCTTGGGATGAGGGATGCGGAGGTCCTCACGCAAAGCTTCAACAGACCCAACCTCACGTACGAGGTGAGGCCTAAAGGCAAAAACACTGAGGTACTTCAGAGCATCGCAGACACCATCAAGAGCTCTTACAGGGGACAAGCGGGTGTTGTGTATTGCCTGTCGCGTTCGAACTGCGAGAAAGTGGCGCAGGATTTGAGCGACAAATTCCAAATCGAGGCACAGCACTACCATGCCGGTATGCCATCGGAGGAGAGGATCGACATTCAGAAGAGGTGGCAAGCTGGAGAGTTCAAGGTGATAGTCGCTACCATTGCCTTTGGCATGGGGATCGACAAGTCGGACGTCAGATTTGTCATGCATCATTCCATGCCGAAGAGTCTAGAGGGCTACTACCAGGAGACCGGCCGAGCTGGTCGTGACGGCAAGAGATCCGGTTGCTACCTGTACTATGGTTACCGTGACTCGAAGCTGCTCAAGCAGATGATCGAGAAAGGTGACGGCAGCAACGAGCAGAAGGAGCGCCAATACCAGCTTCTGCGAAATATGGTCCAGTTCTGTGAAAATCGGAGTGATTGCCGCAGGGTCCAAGTCCTGGGCTATTTCAACGAACATTTCAACCGCGCAGACTGCGAGAACGGGTGCGACAACTGCAACTCTACCAGCACTTTCGAGACACAAGACTTTTCTGAGCATGCACGTGCCGCGATCAGCATTGTGAGAGAGATATATCGCTCCAAGGTGACAGTCCTGCACTGTGTGGACATATACCGTGGTAGCCGCAACAAGAAGATCACCCAGCTGGAGCATAACACGCTCGCCGAGTATGGCAAGGGTGCCCACCTGGTCAGAGGAGACGTCGAGCGTTTGTTTCACAGACTCATCAGTGAGAAGGCTCTGACGGAGTATAACAAGGTCAACAAGGCTGGGTTTTCGACACAATATATCAAACCGGGCCCCGTAGCCCGTGATTTCGAGGCAGGCCGGCGATCTCTGAAGATCCAAGTCCTTGCATCACCACACGAGAAAGCTAGGACCAGCGCACCACCACCTCAGAGAGCCCGCCAAAAAGGACAGGGAACCGGTGTTAGAGCCGCTGGGGATTACTATCCTACATCAACCAACGTGTCGTCTCCTCTACAGCCTCGCACCAACCGAAAGCTTCCACGCCCCGTCGAAGACCCGAATTCTGATGATGAGGACTTCATTGTGCACACAAGTGAGATGGAAGGCGATGATGGGCGTGGTGCCGAGGACGATGACGCCTTCGACGACAATCCTGCGTTGGACCACTCTGTAACCCGAAAGACCAAGCTGGGCCCTCCCATCACAGCGGATACAAGCACGAGCTTGAATTCCATCCATCAGCACATTCTCGATGATTTTATCCAGAATGCGCGAGCTCAAATCAAGCGTATATCCATCACGAAAGCTCTCCGGCAGGTACCAATCACAGATCGTACCTTGCGTCTGATCGGTGTCGAATTTCCACAGGATCCAACGCAGCTGCAACAGATGAGCGGCATGAACGACGAGATGTTCAAGATGTTTGGGCCTGTCTTGCTTCGATTGATAAAGTCGGCGTTCAATAACTACGAGGCGATGATGAGAGCGCAAGAAGGTCGACCTGATGATCCGAATCACCAGACAGTCATCGAGATAGACGATGACGATGCTAGCGGGGAGGAGCCCGGAACCGACGTCGATATGGACGACGTGGACGAGACCGAGAGTGGCCATTACTTTAGCGTACCTGACGATGACGACAAGTCGGGCGGAAGGGGTAAGTGTGATCTCTACATTGTCTGACATTAGTCGCTGACACATTCTAGCGCTTCCGGCTTCGTTTTCTGAGAACAAGTCTCGCAAGACAACCGGGAAGAAGGCCCCGTCTCGTTCGAGGTCGGTTTCCAGAAATCGGAAGGGTTCTCGCGGTTTCCAGCGTGGTGGTGGCGGCGGCGGCACCGGCAACAGCAGCTCGAGAGCAAGGACGAGTGCTGCGAAAGGAAAGAGGGTCAGTGGTGGTGTTGCGCGGAAGGGAAAGAGCAACTCTAGTGCCCGTTCAAGCACCAGCAGTGCTGGGTTGTCGCGATTTGTGCCCAAGAACAACAAGACTGGATCGTCACAGCACAGCGCAGGTGGAAGCAAGATCAGCATGATGCCGACTTAACGAACAGGAAGGGTGCATGGTGATGGCAGCTCGAGTGCTGGTCGACCGCAAGCATGCACCAGCCCGGAAGGTCAGCGACGCTCATTGCAGAGTGAGCCCTCGCTCGTCAAATTATAGTGTCCGGAATCTGATATGGGACGCTCCCATGAACGTGCCTTCCCAACCCAGCGATGTCTGCTCACTGCGCCTTCTCACGGGAAATTCCCCCATGGCGCCTACCTTTGTGCTTTGAGCTGTTCTCAGTCATCATTCAGTTATGGAAGAGCCATTGTTGATGTCCTGCGCAAGTTCGATACCACCTCACGACGCACGAGTCCTCTTTCACATATGCTTCACTTTTTCGTGACTTGCCTCTGACCACCCCTGCAGCTTCTTCGCTTACCTTTCTTCACGCATCCCACAACCAGGCATGCAACGCGCTGGTTTGACATGCCACTGGAAGAAATCAGTCCGAACATTCGAACACATGCTGCTCAAGATGGGCTTAAGCAGGATGCGGTGGCACCAACCTCCACCACTTCCCTGCGCTCAAGTGCCGTTCAGGGCATGCTGAGAAACACAACCGAGCTGGGAGATACAGGTCCATTCGCGGTTCGTCCTTCTCGAATCCCTCGCTCCGGCTCACGCCCGCAGCCGTCCAGGCGCCGCACGGGTTCGTTCGACGACTCTTTCGCTTCCCAGCAACGGCTCAAAGGCTCCCCGCGAAGACGCTCCCACCGGCACCATGGGCCCCGACCAATTCCCTCGTCTTCAGCATTATCAGGACGAGAGACCGTGCACTCGGCACACACCTCACTGCACTCTGGCCTGCGTTCCAAGAGAGCCGGACACCGCCATCAGTCACACGGTTTGAAGGGACTGGGTGGCAATAGTATTCCTCCTCATTCGCTTCATACCCACCGGTCGATGGTCACCCTTCGCAGTCAGCGGACCTTTCATGGTCTTCATTCCGGCTCTCCAATGCTTCGACCCGGCCACCGTCCGCTACCGGCCCACCGAGCACCTTCCCCTGCCTTCAGTGAAGCATATCCCTACAGAAGTGGCCCGAGATACGGTTACCCAAGAGTTGGCAGTGTCGATACGGTTGCATCGTCTCCTGCCTTGACATATCATCGGCGCCCTGGTTTACTTGGATATCGTCCCGAGTTGAACGACTCTTTCTCCTCCTCTATTCGCTTGCCCTCTCCTGCCGTCTCATTTGTCAATGGGCCGTCTGGCAACGGGTATCAGACACAAAGAACAACCACTCCCATGTCGGCTTCTCTACAAAGCCTTCGACCTGGGTGGAATCACAGCGCAGCCTCGTTTAGAGGCCTCACGAAGTCACCCACGGAGTCGACCGCACCTCCTTATTATGACTACTCGGAGTCATTCCTAGAAGAGGACTGCTTCTCGCCACCGGATGGTCCCCCTGCTGCGAATCTGCCCTTCAACATGGACCAGACAATCATGGAGGACGAGGCTATCCCCGAACGCCGCCAGGCGCAGTCACCCTTTGGCACGATGCCTGGTTCATCCTTTCGGCCATCGGAATTGCCAACCTCGCACAATCGCCGTCCAAGTGAGACCTCGAAGCATTCGAAGTACAGCTACACAGGGGTTATTCCGCCTCGACAGTCGAGCCTTGCAGGGACCTCTGGTCACAACAGAAGTACAGCACGCACTCCTGCAAGTCAAGAGGTGAGACATCTATGGCCATTGGCTTCGTCACGATGGCTTGTATAGCACGCTGACATATCTGCCACAGGTTATCAGCAGGTCTGCAACTACTCACCATGTGGCACGATCCAAGTCTGAGAATCCACAAGCGTCCACCGCCTCCCGTCGAGCATCGCATTCGACCCACTCTAGTGCATTCTTCCCCAATGCCTGCCGGAGCCCACGAGACCTCACCACTCTTGCTGCTCGAGTCCACTCACCACTCTTCGATGAAAAGCCTTCAATCTCAGGATTGTTGGAGTATGGAAATCCGAAGCGTGAATCCGACAAGAGAAAGGCTTTAAGCCATGTTCAACGGGTTCGGGCTCAATGGCAGCTTCCGTCTTTCAGTATTCGACCGCTCTCTTTTGGGACATACTCACCTGGGCTCAAAGAAAGACGAAAGACATCTGGTGATGTCCGTTCGAAGGACGGCCCCGACATCCTATCCCCAGTGCCTGAGCGGCCCATGTCATCGCAGAGCAGAAAGCGCTTCAGTCGGATCCTGGAAATCTCTGACAACTACGTGACGGACCAAGGCAGGCCTCCTTGTACTCCTCAAACATCTTCGCGGCTTGATGCAGTCGAAGAGCACCCTGACTTGCAAAGCCTGGAAAGGTCCCTGTGCTCGCCCTCGGAATTTGAGTCCAGACTGAACGTCGTAAATCAGGAGGGCCAAGAGCAAGAGCATGCTACGGAACATGCTGGATATGCGTCGCCAGGCGCGAACGTGGATTCGAGTCAGATCACCATGCAGGAAAGATCAACTATTGAGTCTCTTCTCGACAGGCACATCGAATGCTTGGGTCTGAACGAAACAGGCGATGACGTTGAAGAAAGCCGCTTCGACGGGGCGGACGCTCTCGTGCATTCGGACACCGCACCCAAGAGTAGCGGAGAGAGCACAATCAAAGGAGGTACTGTTGTCCAGCAGGCTCTACCACGGTGGAGCTTCAGACCAACAACATCAAGCTCCACGATCCAGCATTCCAGTCTAACAAGTTCTGAACGACGTCGCCTCATCCCTCGACGGCTTTTCGCCAGTATGGATGCCAGGCTGCCACCGGGAGCGGTGCTCGCTGATATCCAGGACACTTCCATGTCCAATCCTGCGTCTACCATTTCCGACCTTCAGCCGCGCCTCTCAGGCTGGCAGACGCTTCCCTCCACCAGTGGACTGGTGACCTCCGATTCTGCAAGATCTACTGCAAAAGCCTCATTGGCTTCGGGTGACATAGCGGACACTGATTCGGATCCTCCGAATGCAAGATTTAGGATCCGAAGAGTGTCAGAACTCAGTCTGAGTCCCGAGACATCAAGCAGTCCGCAGAACAGTCGGGCGTCACAACTTCACCGTCGTTCGAAGAGCGACATGCTTGCCAGACAGACATCACACCGGCGCCGGCGGGCCCGGATACTGATAAAGGCCAAAAGGAAGTCGCAAAGTCTGGGACAGCTTGCCAACCTTGCTCAGGACGGCCAGGCTGATCGGATGACCGAATATGTCGGGCACTCGGAAGACTGGGTAACTGAGGATTCGCCTGAGGAAAACAGCCAGACTTCGCCCGTTGCTGGGTATGCAGAGCTGAGCGCAGACTCTGTGGCGGTTCAGCCCCCAACCATACTCTCCGCGGAAGCGAGCGCCCTTGTTCCAACCTCCGTGCCTCGGAGATGGATCAGTATGGTTGCTGCAATGCCCAATCCTGTGAAGAAGAGCATGGAGATCGTGCGAAAGGCTTCTGTGCGGACTGTTCAATCACATCAAAGCAATACCAGTGTGATTGAGCCAGTCAACAGCACGCGATACGATTCCCAGGTCTCGCGTTTAGGCTCAGTTCCTCAACTCGCACCCCCAGAATTTGGCCCTCCGCTCACATCATCGGACCTGAACCTTAGCCTCCGATTTCCAGGTCAGCCACAAGTGTATCGGCCACCCTTGCGTCAGGTGCAGAGTTTCTTTTCCGATGACAGCTCGGCCGCGCTCGCTCACAAGCGACCAAGTACTCTCAAGAAACGGTTTGACCTTCCAAGCTTTCGTAGCGGTTTCAGCAAGTCAAGCGGGTTGATCGGGACTCGCCATAGCTCCACCCAAAGAGGAACGAATACTCTCCAAACAAGTGCTTCGTACCGATTGCGTCACCGAGAATCAGTTGAGTACCGGCATGAAGCATTCGGCAAGACCGTGCCCATGTCGGATTTTGCATACAAGAAGCGCAAAGTCCTTGGCAGGCTGAAGGAATGGTGGAAACGGCAGTGCATGCAAAAGACCTTGGACTTGGTCAGAAAGAAGAGCGGTCGGAACATGCAGCACGCAGCTTGGGCATAGCGATACCGTATCGGCCGTGCATTATTCACGCGAGGAGGGTGGCTTCTCTGGCGGAACATTTTGGAGGGGGATACAGAGGCTAGTTGTAGGTATCGTTTGCATCTTATTTCGCATCATGTAGGAGCAGCTGGCGTACAGATATCAATGTGCCAAAAGTCTTGAGAGGTTGTGTCTGGAATGAGATAGTTCCGTGGCAGGCCTTTGTGACGGCATGAGAAGTGGGTTGGCACATGAGAGGCTACTAGTACATCATGGAAGCCAGAACCGTGGTACAGCGTGGTCCGTAGAGAGACTCCTAAAGAACAGCTTTCAAACACCATGCTGACCGTCGATCTTGGACCGTTCTAGAGTTATCGAAGTCACGGTGCCGAACTAGGCATCGCAGCATCCATTCACCTGGGTGGATACCCAACCACGGGGGAGGCTTGTTATCGTACTCCGTCGTCGTGTTACTATACCCACGCTACTTTGAAACCGGGATTTATCACTTGCTATCTTCTCCTCCATGGACCTGCGTAAAGAAATGTCGGATGACGAAAAAGACAATCTTGGTATACCATGCTATTTTTTGAAACCAGAGTTCTTGCTCACTTCCAATCTTCTTCTCCACGGCCTTGCCATGGCCTTGCCATTAAGCAATGCCAATGATGAAAAAGGAAAAAAAATCGCACAAGGCGACTGGCTGACACACAGGACGGAGCGGGAGCAGATCAGGAATCGGCCTAGAAAAAAACTCCCCACTCCTCCTCATCGATACGACAAAAACAGACAAGCGACGAAGCACACACAGCCCACGCTTCCTCCTTCCTCCCCACTGCACCCGCGAGAATCATCCAAGGATGTGGAATGAATGGATTTCGTTTGCGGCCTTCTTCGAGCGCATGTTCTAAGTGCACACATACACTGCTGGAACCAGCAGTCCCAGCCACGCAGCCACACGGCCCGAAAGTACAATGTGTACCGGTGGAGGCGGTTGGTGGAGGGGGGAAAGCGGTTCCAGAAGTGCAAGGTGCAAAGTCGAGCATGCGGCGGTCGAGGAATGCTGGAGTTCGGAAAGAGTGGTAGTGATGGGTTCCGTCGTTTGTCGTTTTCGCGGTTGCAAGCCCCCAGATCGGACATATAAGAGTACGTACGCAGTACGTGATGTCTGTCCCCCAGTACCCACATTGATTGCCCCCAGAGGCTACAGAGTGGTTGGATCCCTCTACCGAGAGACCCGAGTTGTTTGTGTTGCTTGACCTTTGACCCAGCCGGAGTCAAGAGCCATAGCAACGGATGTTTGCATTCAATGCGTGATGGGGTCTTTAGCCCAACCAATTCATACATGGTTGCAGACCGAAATTTGAATTCCCCCGAAAGTCCGACGCGTTGATCACCGGATCTCCTCCTGTGCCGCGCTGATTTGGGCAGCGTGCTTGTGCACGTACCGTTGACCTGGTATGAGGGCATAGATCTTGGAGTTGGTGATGCTTTGCTCTTCGCGACCTTTCAAGGGATGGCCATGTCTAGAGGTGATCAGTCTCTATGTCCTTGGCAAAAATATTCGGACGCTGCACCTTCGGGTGCGCAATGGGCCAGGTGGGAAAGCCATACTGGGACTCTGACTAAAGCTGCACCTTGGGGTGCGTAACAGGGCCAGCTGGGGGCCACACTGGGAATTTTGAGTAAAGCTACACCGTGAAGTGCACAATAGGCCAGGTGGGCACACACACTGGCAATCTTCTACCTCGCAGTTCGAGCGTAGAAAAAAAGTCACAACATCCTCGTCAGGATTATGTTGAGAGTGGTCCAAAGTTTCCATGCGAAACTTGGTGTCCAAGGACTGCTTTGAGAAGGGAGTGACCCGGAAATGTTTGGCTGCCTCGTCCAGTCCTTGGATCTTTCGTGGCGCTTCCAAACCGAAGTCGTACGTCGGCATCTTGAAGTTGGCCTGTCCATAGGTCCTGAACAGTCCACAAGCCATAATTTCCCAGTCCCGTGAATCCGGAAGGTATCCTTGGGTATCCGGGCTCGACGAGGCGGGTCCCTCACGAGAGTGGTTTCCTTGGTAACCTTTAGATCCCTGGCGGGCGAAGACTGTCAGTGGCCTGTGCGTCCTCTGGCAGCCCGCCGTAATACTTTGATCTTTCGATCGACATTCTGGCAATCCGTTGTGATAGGGTGTGGCAAAACTTGCGGTTCTTGGGCACGACTTGCTGGGCAATCACTTGCGATACAAACTAAGTCTGCATCACATCGACCACCGTCAAGCTGTTGTATGCAACCTACGGGCCGAGGACGAACGTACCACTGCGGCAATACAACATGCTCACGTGATTCCTCGGCGTGAGTTGCACACAACAACCAGCCCGCCCCTCTTGATACCGTACCAAGTCCACGACGTGCGAGGGGCACACGCCGTGAATGGAATTTCCATGCATCGACACCAAGGTGCCATGCATGGCAGAACCCCATCTGCCAGCCTAAGCCACGACCATTTGCGGTACATAGAAACATTGTGAGAAGCGAGCAGAAACTCCACGTAGAGGCGGGCGTCGTGAGACCTTCACAACGGTTCTTCAAGTGGACGAGTCCACATCCGAACTGCCTGAGCCCATCTCAAGCACTCCGCAAGTTGCCTCAACCTCGGTGATCCCAGGAGCTCTGCCATCAATGACGGAGGCGCCAAGTGAAAGCAGGAACGACTGTTAGCAACCGACTCCAACGTGTTTGGGATAAGTGCTGCCGCATTCTCGAACTCGTGTAGAGGTGCAGTTGTATCCTTCGTCTTGCCCCGGTGAGTGTTTCAGTCGGCTGCCGGCATGCGGAACCCCAAGTCCACGCAGAAAGAGGTAGGCTCTAGTTCGAGAGCACGCCGTCGAGTGTCGCCCTGTAACACCTCACTCAGCATTGACTGGTGTCAAACTGGAGGGGGTTCGATGTCTCGAATAGCTGCAGTCTCTAACTTCAGAGGTCCCTTGCGTAAGGACCAGAAACAGGGCACAGCCGAAGCGCCCTGTGGCTTGCCTCCCCAAGGACGCTACACCGTAAGGTAGAGAGGGAACAAGGAAATTGAGGAAAAGGTAGTGAAGGGTATATAGCAGAATAGCGAGCAGTAGTGCAGCAAAGGAAGCGGAAGAAGGGGAAGATGGGAACGGCGGACGGGCTCATAACAGGTAAAGAGGAGAGGAGCGAGGAAGGTTGGAGGGTGGAGGAGGCTGCAGGTTGGGGGAGAAAGCTGGGGAAGATGGTCGAGCTCGAACTTAAAGTCACGAAGTCGTCCGGCTTGGCGAGGAAGTCGCGCTAAATGCGAGACGCGTGGTTGGCAGGGAGGCAGCTTGCGGGTGCGGGGCACGACGGTGCTGCTGAGCACGAGATCAAGGACGAATGAAGCATGTGTGAGAAGCCTCGGTCGGTGCTGGCCATCATGAGCTACGAGGTAAGAAAAACGCTGCCATCAATCTTAGGGAACTCCTTCATTCATCTGTCCTTTCACATTCTCTGGAATCTCTGCAAGGCCAAGGTGCAGCACGTCCAGCACAGTCTGGTCTCACTGGAATTAAGTTCCGAAAGTGCCGCCGAACTGCTTCTTCGAATCCCAGGCCAGAGTTCAAGAAAACCGAAGTGACCTGTACAATGACTCCACCGTTCTCTCCTCCCTTGCTTTACGAGTTTCCATGTCCTTGATTGTTCAGGAAGAGTCCATTGGCTCTCCCTTGTCCATGAGGCGGGTTGATGAGTCCGCCTTTGCGCAATGGAAGCGGCCTACCCAAGTTTGCATGATGGATTGACTCGAGTATCTATCCAAAATTTACCGATGCAAGCTCGAAATGAGCGCTTGCAACTCATTGTTCCATCCGAAACATGGGATTATGCTGGTGAAATGCCAATTTCTATGCAGCTTACGGCTTGGTAACTGCCTAACATGCAGGCTTCGCGTATGCCGTGCGGTCGAGGGGTGTACCTGACCTTTTAAAGGTATCGCACGTACTCCAACTTTCAGACCCCAGTAGAGAATCGCGGTAGATGAGGCAGCACCGTAGAAAGAATTCAACTAGGGCCGTCAGATATCATTGCGATGGATGCCCATGCGCGTGTGTGGTTGACGGATCCGACGTTTACATGTCGCCATTTCGCAGCTCTACGTACTGTGTAGTAGAACAGAATGGACTGTCAGACACAATCTAGTCCCCACTTATGTACCACTCCCAGCCAGTCGGCAGCGGCCTCCAACAACCCTCCCGCTGCATCTCTATGTACATGCCCTGTGCCTTGCTTCTTGTGTCTTAACACTACTCGGGACCTGGGTCATTTGCACTACGTTCTTTCGACTTTCCGTCTTATCAGGCTGTTCCCAACCCTCCCCTGGAAGTCTTGTGTCAAGCAGGGGCGTTCACCGGCTGAGCGTCCGTCCAGATCCTCCCCTCGCCTTCACCGTTTCTTGACCTCCACACCATGGATCTAGCATACGACCATATCGTCGAACAGGCGTACAATCCAGCCGACCGCGCTTCCACGCCGACTCCAGGAGACAAAGCACCGACTGACTCGACGGATCCAGCGACCCCGAAACCACCCAGCTCTCCTAGGCAGAGCCTGCAGTCCGAGTTCCAAGAGACCTTCAAGGCGTTCTCCAATTCACAGTGGGGCGCAAAACTAGGAGGCTTCTGGGGCAATGTCAGGAAGCAGGGCGAGAGTCTGTACGAGGAGGCGAAGAAGGAGGCAGCCGACATAAGCAAAGACATGGAAGCCCTGCGATTGAAGGGTGCGAAGGGGCTCGGGTTCGGCGCCGAGCAGGAGGGAGCACAATCGTCGGCAGCAGAGAAAGCAGGAGAGTCTGCAGCGACGGGCGATGATGCTGGTCCAGAATATGAAAACAAGGACTTGCAGGAAACCGACACTTTCCTTGCACGGTTCAAGGCTGAAGCCGCCAAGAGGCTGAAGGAAGTCCAACAGGCAGAAGATGCCGCGGATGAGGCTCTCCTCAGGTTCGGCACCAATATCCGGAACTTCCTGCGAGACGCCGTATCAGTGACAGCACCAGATGGAGACGAGGGCCAGAACGGTCAGCCCGGCGAGGTGCTCTTCGAAAGCAAGGACGGCTCATCTGGAAAGCGGGTCATCCACACGAGCAGATTCGACGCGCAACTTCACGTCATCCACACGACGTTGACGAGCTTTACGCGAGATCCCAGCGGAGCCGGCACTCAGTGGGACAATTTCAAGGCCGGCTTTGATATCGACAAGATGACCACCCGCATCGCCGAGGATCTGGGCAAGTACGCCGAGCTGCGAAGTTCCATGGAGAAGCTGGTGCCGGAGAAGGTAGAGTACAAGGATTTCTGGACGCGGTACTATTTCTTGCGGCACGTCGTTGAGACCCAGGAGGAGAAGCGAAAAGAGTTACTCAGAGGTATGAAGCCACTACCATCCAGCTATCCACGATTATCCACTAATCCAACTACCCGCGCAGCATCAGCCAACGACACCGAAGAAGTCGGCTGGGACGAAGACAGCGACGAGGACGACCAAGAAAAGCCCTCATCGACTTCCTCCCATCAAAAGGAAGCGGTGCCCAAGGTGTCGGTGTTGGTCGCTCAAAACACAAACGACTCGTCAACCACAATCCATCAGCCTCCACCTCAACCGCCAGCAGCGGCCGACTCATCCGCATCGGCCCTCAGACCCAGCCGCCGCTCCCACGACGAAAAGTCCGTAGCGGACAGTGACGCCAGCTACGACCTCGTCAGCGGCGCCACCAGTCGCGCACCGGGAAGCCCCAAGGATGAAGTGCCGAAATCGTCGATCAAGACCGACGAGAGTGACGAGGAGGACTGGGAGTGAAGTGATACCTTAATTGATGTTTGAGACTGTATCTTTGGGGGGGTTTTGGCACGGAGTTCATGGCACCATGAGATACCCCTGCAAGATACCGAAACTACAGAGATCCGAGCTTGCTGAATGTCATTCATTGCTTGGACTGAGATAGGCAAGGCTATCCAATCCTGCAAACAGGTGGTAGTACAATACCGTACACTGTGAAGTGCAAGTCGGGCTTCGGGCAGAGACAGTCTATCTGTCAGTTGTTTCTTTCGTTGGGCCCTGTCCAGCTTTTTCCAACAGGCCGCCCTCTGTGACAGACATGCTTGCGTGAAGAGTCCGGTATGTGGACTGGCAAAAGAAACCAGCAGAGCTCAGCTCTGTACATCGTGCTTCCTCCCGGCTTGTGGTGGTAGACTCTATGGGCTTCCTTGTCCCTAGCAAAGTGGTATGAGAAGCTCGTGTCGAGTCGTCCTTCTTGTGCTTGTGCATATCGACAGCAACCTGGGTATACCAGAACTTTTGGCACCCCTCGATGCTGCCTTGAATCTGTTCGATCCGGTTCCCCAAACTGTGTCTGGACTTCCAACGGTGTCGACTTTCCAGTTGGGCTGTCCTCAGACAAAGAAATGCTTGAAGTGATTCAAGATGTCCTGCTGGCAGAATCATCCATAGACTGAGTCCACTACTCAGCGTATCCGAACACATCACCGGCCCCTCTTTGCACCTCGCCCTGAGGAGCGCCCTTCCCCGCCACCTCGTCGATGAGGGTTATTCGAGCCAGGCGCATTCGGCACCACGCGCAAACCGGCGACTCCCTTGAGCCCCATTTTACCTATGGTGGACTTTTCCAGCGCGGGCACCTCAGCACAATCTAGGCCTCGGAGCGCGAACTGGTTCGCCTCGTTGACCAGTTCAGCAGTCGACACTCGCAATTGCTTCATGAACGTCTTGTAGTAGCCCAGCCATGCTTGATACACTTTTGCCTTGTTCTCCATGGCGGCCAAAGCGGGTTCGATGTCCTCGATACTGTACGTAAGCGGCGAGGGGTATTCTTGCACCTTGATATTCTTCAGTTGACGCAAGAAGCCTTTCTCGAGCTCACTCAGGACCAGGATGCCGCGGCCTTCGGCACCTGCGCGAGCCGTCCGTCCGAGCCGATGGATGTACGACTCCCTGTCTGCTGGCAGACCGACCTGAAAGACATGGGAGACGCCTGGAAAATCCATACCCCGAGCGATGACATCTGTGGCGACGCAGATTCCGTTTCTAGCTTTTCGAAACTCGTCTGTGGTTCGGGTCCGCTTGCTCTGCGTCATCCGAGAATGCAGGACCGAGACGCTTGGAAGCGTACCAGTTGATGCCAGAATGTGGCCGTAGAAGTCAGCATGAGCTGCGGTGGGAGCAAATACAATGGCCTTGAATGCATCTGCTGAAGCGAGCTCTGCTTCAACCACGGCGACCGTGGCAGGCGCGAGGTCGCTCATGCTTGGTGTCATGACAACATATTGGTCAACACGTTCATGAGTGGCTGCTTCACCCTCTGGGATTGTCGAGATGAACTCGTAGTCCTTGTTCAAGAAGAGATGCGCAACTTTCTGCACTTGATCGTCAATTGTGGCGGAAAACAGCATGGACTGCCTAGGCAGTTGTTTCGGCAGGTAGTTCAAGATCCTCTTGATATCTGGTAAAAACCCCATATCTAACATTCTGTCCGCCTCATCGAGTACAAGCGTCTGGAGTGAGCCCAGCATGCGTTGGACCTCCTCTTCACCGAGATGATCTAAAAGTCTGCCAGGGGTAGCAATTAGAATATCACACCCACCGAGGATAGTCCTTTCTTCGGCAACCTTGTTTGTCCCTCCTATTGAAGTGGCTACCCGATACTGTGGGAGTCGTTGAAGCACTTTCTTGGCCTCGGTTGCAATCTGTAGTGCAAGCTCTCTTGTCGGGCAGAGGACCAGTGCGGACAATCGTGGACTGCGATTCCGCAGGATGGTGTCCACGGCAGGAAGGAGAAAGGCCAAAGTTTTGCCTGTCCCTGTCTTTGCCTGCGCCAAACAGTCTTTCCCTTGAAGCAGGTATTCCAATGTGGCAGCCTGCACTGGCATCATGTGGTCAAAGGCGAGATCATTGGTTAGAGTGTCGATGATGGTAGGGTTTAGGAGATTCTTGTCGCGAAGGTCTGCGAATCGAGGAGTATCTTGCGGGATTTCGATGGAAGGCGGTGGAGGGTCTGCAGGTATTGACCCCAGAATATCTTCTTGGCTGCCGTTCAAGGCGATATCGGGAGGTTTGCGGCGGTCCCCGCGCTGTTTGCGTGCGAAATGGCCTCTGCTACGACCCATGGTAGTTGAACTGGCGAGGGTGGTGTGTTGTGGAAAAGATGGCGCGTAGCAGCGCCGCTGGAGACTATGTACGCAGACTCTGTATAAACCACGTCTCGGAGGTAGGACATTCAAAGAAAAGATAGAAAGCTTGCGCATCTTCTCATGGCAGGCGTTTCTAGAAAGCTCAAGTTTGCTGGCCCTCACTTTGTCGTTCACTCAAATTTGATCAAACGCGACCACCGACGCGAATTTTGCCAGCAGAAATGACATCATTGGCACAAATAATTTCCCATGTTCGTGCTAGTCCTTGCAAGGGGCATGGGAAGCATTCATCGTTGCACGCCTTATGATTGAGGACGTTGCTGGCTTGAGTCTGAACTGGCCTAGAGGACCTGTGAGGAATTGAGAGGGCGGTCAACCCATTCGCAGCTGAACGCGAGGACATTAATTCCCAGTTAAACTTGAACCATGTCATGCTTCGTTGATACCGTGCTGATTCATCCTTGTCTCGTTCCAAGAACATGACACGAGCAGCTGCCCACCAGCACAGCACTTAAGCTGCTATATACTGCTCTTGTATTGCTCTGCTTGAGTCGCACTGCCAGGCCTCACCACTGCTTGTCCTCGGCCACCATTTGTCAGGATCCACATCAGCCATCATGCTCAGTATTCAAAATCATCGTCGACACCTGTCTTTCCCGACTGCTCCTTTTGCAGGACCTCCTGCTTCCGATACATTTCCGCCACCTGCCTGGTCGTTGTCGCCTCGTCCGTCTTTTTGTCATCTCTGCGTTGAATGAACCTAGGAAATCGGAGGCTAATTCCGTTCTTGCCGCCCATCTCTTCACTCGCAGCTCTATACCTTGGGGAGAGAGTGAGGTCTGCGGTCTTCACCTCCCATACATAGCGTGCCTCAAACCAGACGTCAGGCTGATCATTCTTCGTCGTGGAATGAGAATAGAATGGCTTGGGCCGGTCGATGACAATCTCGGACAGCTCTTTATGTAACTCTTCCAGAACCTGTTCCGAGAAACCCGTCCCGATGTTGCAGACCGTTTCGAACGTTTGTGTGTCTGAGTTGTAGGCAGCAAGAAGGAATGCGCCGTACCAGGAAGTGCGCTTGCCTTTGCCATGGTAAGCACCCAAAACCACAAGGTCGAGGGAGTCGCCAACGCCCGACAGGTAGTCTTTCTTGACTTTGAGCCAGTTGCGCGAGCGTTTCGATGGCTCATATCCTGACTCCTCGGTGTCAAGCATTTTCACCATCAACCCTTCACAGGACGCTTTTACCGAATCGTCAAGGAGATGTTGAATCTCTTCAATATCTTTGGCATCGCCGTATTGCGCGAATTGGAATTCGCCCTCGACAGGCTGAAAGGCACTGTGCAAGAGCTCGCGCCTTTCGCGGAGCGTCTTCTTCACCAGTGCCTCTCCGTTGTAGAAGAGCATATCGAAAGCAAAGACACAGACCTTTACGGTGACGTCGGATGTTTTGACATCTTTCCGCTTACGGGTCATTAGCTGTTGGAAGGGTAGGACTCTCTTGTTCTGAGGGTCCCAAGCCACAGTCTCGCAATCCAGGACAAAACTTTTCGTCGAAGGTTTGATCCACGTGTTCAGCTTCTCCAGGATGTCGGGATACTTCTTTGAAAGGTCTTCGGAATTTCTTGAAAAAATGGCAGCCAGCCCCTTGAACGCCTTTGGATCTTTGCTCAAGGTATTTTCTGCGGCTGGAAACTCTGAGGTTGCCTCGGGCGCGACGTAGTGAATCTGTGCACGCTCTCCATCGTACTTGTACTCGCAAGTAAAGTCCTTGCCTTCGAATCGGTCCAACACTTCTGTGATCGACTTGGTCGGTTTGGCAAGCATGGGTTTCAGCGGCACTCCAGGTTGCAGTTTACACGTCTCGTGCAAGTTGAAAATGCCATGTTCCAGCATTGCTGGAATGATGACTTCATACGATGGTAGTTCACTGTAGACAGTCTTCAGAGCAGCCTCCCCTTCTGCCAGCTTCTCCGTGCTGGGGACTTTGCCCTTTTGAGCAGCTTCGTGAGTTACCACAGCCTGCGCCAGGGCGATGATAACCGTCTTTTCGGCGAGACCGAGTCTGAGCTTTCCTTCCAGGAAGCGGACGAGGAATTTGGCTTCGGACGGTCCACCCTTGTCCTTTTCTATGTCGACATTCTTGCTCGCAGATGAGACGTCCGCAGAGGCCATCAATTTGTTGATAGCTCGGACTTTCTGGTCTTGCGAGCCATGTCCCTCCATTTTGGCAATGTCGAGCAGACCCTGGTGCACTCCTCGAACGGTAAGAGGTTTTGGCTTGAACATCTGACTCTGCTTAGACCTGCTCTTGGCTGCAACTAAACCCAAGTCTCCGATCTTCTTGTGGTCTTCTTTGATAACCGACAACGAGCGTCCGGAGCTCTCTCCGATAGCTTTCATGATGAGCGACTCGCCGATTCCGAGTTCGATACCGGCATAGTCGGCGGCAAGCTTGTTGAGCATTAATTGCACTGTGGGCAGGAGATCCTGCGGCGTCAGCCGCATGACTTGTTGAAGGAATGCTGAGCAATAAGCAGTGATCAGGAGTCGCTTGGTGGTGAGCTCAATCAACGAGAACGTTGTGCACAGTGCTGCGTAAGGCACATCTTCCCCAGCTGTCCAGTCCGGATAGGGGTCTTTTCCACTGGATGCAATCGTTGCCTGGATCTTGGCGACCTGTTTCTTGTTGACCCTGGGTGTTTCTTCTTCGCTTCCAGAAGCCTCCTCCTCCGCCTCCGATACAGGCGTTTCCCCGTCCGGCGCATCGGCACCTTCCTTGTTACATTTAGTCGTTGTAGGTGGCTGCTTTTCTTGTAGAACATTAGGTTTGCCCTTGGGATCAACGTTGCTCGCCTTGGCTGAGTTCTTGGAACTTGCCTTTGGCGGAGGCGTTCTTCTTCGTCGCTTGACCGGGGGCTGAACGTCGTCATCGTCGTCTTCTCCTTCTGGTTCTTCGCTCTCAACGCTGCGTCTCTTGTTCTTTTTAGAAGGAGAGTCCTCAGTGTCCTTCTCACCATTTCTAACAGCACCTGCGTCCTTCATTTCTGCATCTGAAGTGACATCCTGCGCCTTTTCGCTTGACCCGTTGACTGCCGTAGGAATAGCTTTCTTCGCGTCTGATGGATTCTGATTGAAGGATAAGGTAGACTGTGCTTTGGGTTTGGTGCCATTTTGCTTGTTCCCCAGGAACTTCCTGTGGTTGTCAGCACCATTCAGATACCATCAGCATGATGAAGAAGGTCGTAACGTACCCCAGTGTCGATTGCCTCGCTTGCGGCATGCTGGCTGAACCAAGTGTGAAAGCACACCGAAAGCAAGGTTTGAGAAATCGAGCTGAGGGCAATGAGAGTGCGATTGCAGAGTTCAGGCGAAAATGTGACTGACTGCGGGGCCTTCGAGGCAGCCAAAGGACTTGAGAGGCAGATTTAGGTCCGACAGAGTGAATACCTTGCATCAATTTCATTCGTTTAATATCTGTGCTTTGACCACGACTGGTTCAACAGATCATGCTGAATTAATGGGAACGAAAACGCGTCGCGGCGCGTTGGGTTCTCTACGGGCGGAGGTTTAATGACGTGGTAGACGCGAGTATTGCCTGTGATTGCCTGCTGTACACTCTTTGATGCACTCGTACAAGCAGTGCGCGAGAGAAGAATACTGTGTACCTCTGTGCCTGGAGCTGCCTGCTCTGGAGAGCGTACCACCTTGCCCAATTGCAATCTCGTGGACTTCATCGACACGCGACAGGCTTGATAGAGTGCTCGGAAACTCCATACACGCCGTACTCGGCTCTCTGGCTGACTAACTGTCGTGGCTGTGCGCGCACAGACTTTGCTGAGCGCACGGCCCCGGAAGAGGATCACTAAACGAAGAATAATATACTCCGTAAGGCTCGGACTAAGCCCACCAAGGTCTGTTTGAACTTCGCTGTTTCGTGTTCAATGCATGGTGTATTAGCTATCAGCCCCGCACCTCTCGAGGCCTATTAAAGCAAGAGCTTCATGCGCCCGCTAGAAGTACTGTCTTATCCGTGAATTCCGTGAATGCATCAGCGGGCATCTTGCTTGTATGACCAAGCCAACCGTAATGAACCGTCGTCCCGCGATTGTCCCTTATCGCCTTGAAGCGATGATGCATACTTGCGCCATTCGCACATGGGTATCAACAGCTCATTTTGAAACAAATAGGAAAATGTCGTCAATCCTCCGAACCGACCCTATGTGTGAAGTGCAAACTGTTCAAAGCATCATGATGGCAGCAAGACCTGCAACGCCGGCAAGGCCATGAACACCAACTGTGGCAATGGGCATAGCGGCACCTGTGGCGCTGGATTCAGCGGAGGAAGCCGCAGAGCCGGCAGCACTGGTTGCACTGGCAAGACGTGACGATGCAGAGCTGGCAAGTGAAGATGCGGAAGCCTGAGCAGATGTACCGGCACCTGATGCTGCGGAGGATGCAGACGCGACTTGGGAGGAGAGAGAGCTTGCGACAGAAGAAGCCGAAGCGCTTGCGGCAGATGCTGCAGAAGACGCACGGCTAGAAGCGCTTGAAGCAACCGAAGAAGCAGAAGCCTGGTGCGAGTTAGCAACGAGTGGTATGTGTGGTAGAAATGAGGTCACTTACCCCTGCACCAGCTGCGCCGAAGATGGTGGAAGTGCCAACCTCGGTCGTGAATGTGCTGCCATCACTGTTGGTTCCTGTTGAGAAGAGAGTCTCCGTTGAGATGGGTGTGGAAGAGCCGCCATTTCCGCCTGCGCCACCAGCACCAAAGATGGTAGACTCGCCAACCGCGGTAGTGATGGTGCTGCCACCAGAGGTGATGGTCGAGAAGGTTGTCTCAGTCGAGACCGGAGTGGAACCACCAGAGGCGGAGCCGGAGCCATCACTGGCAGTCATGGCAGAAGTAGCCGAGAGGGTACCAACAGAGCTTCCAGCACTTGAGGCGGAGGAGGCCGCTACGATCGTCAGTACCTTGTCCCAACCCTTCAGAATGTTGTCAAATACTAACCATTGGCACAGTATTGATTGCCGTATGCTGTGATGGCAGAGATATCGGTACCAGGTGGGCAGGATTCTTGAGAACAGTCGCGAAGTCCGAAGCCGAAGTTCTGGCTGGAGCAGAGGCAGATGGTGTCGCCAGTAGCGCAACCAAGCGAGGACACGAGTCCGGGAGCGACCATGTTATTGAAGCAAGTTTGCTGGAGAAAAGGTCAGTATGGTGTGAGGAAGTTAATCGGCGCTTCGAGATACTTACACCGCATTGTGGCAGGTCTGCGAGGCTCTGAGCGACACCAACGCTGATAAGAGCAGCGGCGACGACGAAGGTCTTCATGACTGAGGACAGGATGCGTGTGAGAGTTACGCGTTTTAAAGGGTGCGGTCAGTAAGAGGATGCACTGTACGTGGCTTTGGAAGTGTAACTTCTGCGGAAGACGACGAAGTTCAAGGGATGTGGAAGGGGAAGAGGATGTGTGGTGCTCAAGTAATTGAGATGTTCTCCTGTGGATGAGGTGACAGGAAGGTGGAAATGAGAAGCTTTTGAACTGTAAGTTGGAAGTGATGGTCGACGGAACGGTCGCTCGATTGGCAGCTGCAGGAGTGACCGGAAAGTGGAGACCCCTGTTGTCACTGACGAGCAAGAGCGGTGGAATTGGTTTTTCCTGCAGGTGATGAGAGTGGGAAGCTTCAGGCCAGGAACCAACTTTCCCAGATTAATACCTTCCGGGACTCGGGTTAAAGAGCACGTTGATGATTGGGCTCACGAGGGATACTATCGCCAAACCTTAACCTTGCAGGAGTTCTGAGCTTCGCCTTTCACCGGACTTTCATATGCACCCTGAGTTGCACAGACTCAACTTCTAGGGAGCTAGGCGCTGTAGAGCAGCCAAAGCAACGCCGCGGCCCTAGACCGTCCTGCGGTTGCTCTGCACGACTTCAGCCACAGGAAGCAAGCTGCGCAAGCTGGTTCCTGGTAAAGGACATACTATCCGGAGAGGCGCGTTTACGCGTGGAGATCGTCACGAGTACCCAGTCTATGCTCGAACCTCTCTAGCACGATTCGATTCGAGCTGAAAATCATCTCGAGATCTCAGCGGTAAGCACCCAATCGCCAATCTACTCCAGCATCTGAAATCCTGCTTTGGGCACCTCAACGTACGTCTTGCTGGCTTTTCCTCTACTTTCGGTGAAGACTCCTGTTGTGCCTCGTACATGCCTGATGTAACTATTTGATTATTGTCCAGTTTGCCAGTCCTACTTGCCACAGTACACTATGGCTTTAGGGAATGTGACTCTAGCCTCCTCGCATTCTGTCCGACCAAGACCTGAAGCGAAAACCTGGGGCAACACGAACCGAGAACTGTGGGCACCCAGAAAATTGGGAAATTGGCCTGTGCCGGATCCACAGTGACGCAGTGGGAAGAGGATGGAAGCACAGCACCAGCTCCGAGGTACACCGTGAAAACTCTGTGTACGAGTGCTTGCGCTCAACGCCAATAAGGCCACCAGCTACAAAAAGCCGTTCATCGGCACTACTTACGTATCGTCACCAACCAGCTACTATGAATTACTGCGTAAACTCATTAAGCCGTGGCTGATCGGAGTTTGCTCACCATTGGCAGTTGGCGGAGTTGTTGACAAAGCGAGAGGGACGCGCACACCGCGACCTGCAGACAGGGTCGCGGACCAAGGCATACCAAGACGGAAAGCCGCATGGCATGAGACAAGCATTGAGCCAGTCGATGCGAGGCCAAAGAGTGGTTATCATAGGCCTAGCGTGGCAACGCCCGTTCCTGCCTTGCCTTGCTAGCCGCTGGTAGTGACGGGCGCAAACGCCACATCAGCCAGGCACCACAGGCACAGCCGAGAGAAAGTGCTTGCAGCAACAGCCCCAGTAGGCTCCGTCGTGCATTTGCCGAGGTCAGGGCAGCGCGGACGAATGCCACCTGAATGCAGGCCTCGAATTCTTGTTACATCATCGAGTTCAGCTGGATATCTCACCTTATCTCGATCGATTGCAGACGCTTCCTTCTTTCGCCAAAGCAGTTCCAGTTCGGGAGCACACCAGCTGACTCGTGATCGAACTTGCGCCCTCATCAACCTCAAACAGTGGTGGTGAGCTTGTGCGATCCCGCTCGGCTGCTTGCCGTGTCAAATTTCCCGATGTGATTGCTTGCCAAGGTCACCCAGCGAGCCCAGCCTCTCCGCACTCACCCTTGGGTCACCGTTGGCTTGTGGTGCGACTTGCTTTACTCCTGACAATTACGATCAAGCTGAAGGTCCTCCGTTATTATGCTTCGAGAGACAACGAGAACCACTTGCGTGGATGATAATCTTGAGGTATGCCACGCTATGTTGCAGAGATTAGCGGATGTAGAATTCGTCTATGCCCATTCAGCAAGTCACCATACCTGACTCCAACGGTCATGCTCGTACGGTCTATATTTCATTTTCCATGTTCTCGTCCTGCTTTAGCGGAAGTGACGTCGAACATATGTACAAGACCCAAGCTGAGCCCAGGAGGCATCAATGCTGGATGGACAATGCATTCGCGTAGAGTCTGCTCGGGGGTTTACAATCATGCAACCTGACCCGGTTTCGGGAACATGCTATTTGCGAAATACTTATTGGATGTCTGCTTTCGGAACTTTGGGCGACAGCATTTCCAGGTATCGTTCGAGGCCCTTCACATCTTGGTCACGTCTCGCAGCTTGCATATCATGATCCTTGAAATTTAGGTAAGCCAATGCTGCCGAATAAAGCTTCAGAAGCTGCCACCGTACCCATGCATCTGTGCTGTGGAAACATGGTGACACTCAGATTTCTTGCTCAAATGTGTCTCGTGGATCGAGACTGCACTGCGTACCCTCTTGGAGGCGGTCCCAGTAGCAACCAGAGGAGGGACGGTTGATTTCAGCCATGAGGAGGGAAAATAGGGAAGTCAATGGCTTCTGGAACGCAATTCTATTCCACTCAGGGACCGAAGTGTCGACGTCGTGGTCTTCCAGTAGCCAAGTGTCTCTACTTGCGGTCAACTTTTTATCTCTTAAGGTGAGTACATCTTGCTGCCGAGCCTTGTCCTGATCGGTGGCATCAAGAACATTGAACTCACTTGGCTCACTATTGACCTCCAATCCTTGGGAGTCACCGTCACCAGTCGCGATAGATATACCCACCTCCTTGGGATCAAATGGCTGGTTGCGGATAACTGTTTGCTTAGAGAATGGCCCAATAACCCCCAAGGTTTCGCTCCCTATGAGTGCGAAATGCAACGATAGTGTCGAGACAGATTTGCATGTCAAACTCGTACAGGAAGACCTCGACAAGGCCGTTTGTTCCCTTGCTTGGATTTCACAGCGGTCCGTAGATAGCAGAGAAAGGCCGAGCTAGTCCTGGTATCCCTCCCGGTAGTCATCGGAGGGAAACTAGTTAGCGACCCCCTTTAAGGCTGGGAAGGACTGAACAGCATCGATGTGAGTGCTATCTCAACATTCCGAACATGTCGTATGATCGTGTGGTCAGCGCCGGGCAAGAGGGAAAGGGACATGCATGATTACAAAGAAGACGAGCTGGCGATGGGTCGACCATACGGTCGGCATGAGCCCGGAGGACCAGTAACGCGTCTCATCAGTACTGTGTAAGAGTCATGGAAGCGAGATGGGTGAGACGAGAGGCTTCAACGGTAAAGCCTCCGTAATGTTATGTGAAGCCACATTCTTGGCACTCCACAGGGACCGCCGAAGTGCGCACATGCGCCACACGAGGCTAGTGGTTGTGGTCACTGTTACTTTCTGGCCGTTCCATAATGTCGACGGGTTGATCAAACACGGAATCACCACCTTAGGGCCTTGTCAACATAGCGGCTATGTCGTCAGTGCCAGAGAGGCTTGAAGTATGAGTCTGCCGCCTCACCTGCCTAAGGAATTGGCATAATGACTCAATCACGTCAACAAGCCTTTCAACAAGTAAAGACTCCCCAGCCTCTACATCGGTACCACCCCATGCTGATCAAGCGTAGCTGCGTCCTCCATGCGTCGAGCTTAGCTCCGTTGCACTCAAGTTCAAGGCAAATCAGGCTTCGGCGAAGGCAGTCCTGCTGGCGCTGGAGCGGGTTCACCATACCCTGCAGCTACTTGCAATTGAGAATCTCCTCGACGAGAAATTGGCAGAGTATGCCTTCTTCCCTCTTACCCACATCTTCAATCAATCCCAGCGCCTGTCTTCCCGGAGTCTGGAGCTGGCCGTCAGGTGCGTGCAATTCCTGGTCTCGAAAGGATGGCGGGAGAAGCTCGTCCCGGAAATGTCAAAGCAGCTGCTCATTCTCATGGGCTTGCTCGTCTCGAGAAATCCCAAACAACAGGTCGAACCCGCAACGGATGAACTCAAAGTGGCGGCGTTTGAGTGTATGTCGAGCCTCGTTCATCAAGGCTCTTCTGCGGCATCTGACTTCTTAACGGGCGTTGGCCACAACAACATTGTCGACCAATTAGTCTATCAGCTGCTCGAGGCGCTGACAGATGCATCTTCTGAGCTTGTCCAGATCAGCGCTGCTCATGCTCTTTTTGAAATCCAGCGTGCCATCAAAGACAAAGCCTTGATAGCCAGCCTTTTACCTCGAACCGTCTCCACCTTGGTCAAAGTCCTTAGACCCAGCACGCAAGCCAGGCGAACGAGGAAGGTCCTTGTGGCTTACCTGCGACTCTTGACCGATATCTTGAAAAGGGCCCTTGCTGATGAGGTCGTTGATCAAAACCTGGCCGAGGTAGGCGCTTCCCAGTCATCGAGGACGCTGGGCCCAGACGGTGTTGTGGTACCTGACAAATCCTGGCTGGATGCCACAACTCCTCAAGTCGACCTGGCGTTGGTTCAGGTGGTCAAACTCAAGACGCATGACGGTTCTGACGTTGCTGATGCGCTCCTCGACCTCTGTCTGACGGTGATCAATGACTGTTCGCAGACTCTCGCTCGCTCGGTTCCTCTCATGCTCGACACGCTGGCAGTTCTTTGCGATTCATCCAATGAGTCAAAGGCTAGTGCAGTATTGAAGCACCTGGTAACATCGAGACCCGAGCTGGCAGAAGTCCTCAGTGCCAAGTTTTACGACTGGACACAAACCTTACCCAGGGTAATGCAGGGCAACGATGACAAGCCTAAGCAGCAGTTGCTTAAGCGAGTCGCAACATCTTTCAAGGTGCTTACAGATACTTTTAATATGCCTAGTGCAGCAACATCTAGAGTTACTTCTGTGTTGATTGACACGGTTGCAGCCGCCATTGGCTCAAGTACCAAGAAGTCGAAACTTATCAGCGAAACCGTACAGATCCCCGCAACTGAACTTGTTCAACAATCTAAAAGTCTGCAAAGGCAGTTCCTACCCGTTCTTCTAGGTCACCAGAGCCAGTCATCCTCAAAACAGGAATTAGGACATCTGATTGCCTCCCTCAAGACACATCCCCTCAGTCAGCAGATTATACGGGGTCTCGTCGATCATCTACATGATCCTGATATCAACAGGAAGCTATCGGCAGCCTGGCTTGCCTTGCAATTTCTTGAGTCGAACGAAAGTCAGGCGTTTGACGTGCTGACATTAATCGAGGACGATGTCTCCGCGTCGGATCTGTCGGTTTCCCGTCCTTTCCTCATCGCTGACTTGTATTCAAACGCACTGCCTTTCCTGACGGAATACCCTGACACGATCCATGAAGACGGCACAGATTGGCGGCTTGTTGCGTTATCACTGGAAAGTCTCGTGCTGCAAGCATCTCAGCTCGGTCAGTCGTACCGCCCTGAGCTGATAGAGATACTGTTTCCGCTACTGTCCCTGTTGGGTTCCCACAATGCACTGCTCCAGCAGCATGCTATGACGGCCTTGAATATCTTGGCCACAGCATGTGAGTATGATTCCGTGGCTTTCATGCTGGTTGATAATGTGGACTACTTGGTCAACGCGGTTGCACTCCGGCTCAACGCTTTTGACGTTTCAAGGACTAGTCTTCAGGTCGTCACGATGATGGTTCGCCTTTGTGGTGCTAGACTCTTACCGCACCTCGACGACCTGATTGGCAGTATCTTTGGCGCTCTTGATAGTTTCCACGGCTACCCCGACCTCGTTGAGCAGCTGTTTGATGTCCTCCGGATGGTCGTGACGGAGAGTTCGAAATCTACCTGTGTCCTCCCGGTAGAAGCCGGCCAGATAGCCGCAAGTCGGAAGGACAAGAGAACCCATGTGTCGTGCCTGGATGACGTCCTTGGTGACTTGAGGACAAGAAGAAAGAGGAAGAACAGGTCCGATGCAGAGGATGATCTCATGACTACGACACCTCATCGGCCATGGACCACGGCCCAGGACGGTGCTGTTGATGCAGAGCAAAACAGTCACGAAGAAGTCCAAGAGAGCGGTGATGATGAAGGGCCACTAGAACATACCCACAAGAAAGAGGAACCCAAAATATCGAAGTCGCACCAGCTTCTACTCAACATTGCGCAATCCACAGTACCTCACTTGTCTTCACCCTCTCCCAAGGTCCGTCTCACTTTGTTGGAGCTCCTGCAAGACGTATGTCCAATACTGGCACTCCATGAGAACACATTTCTGCCTTTGGTCAACCTGATCTGGCCAGCAGTCGTGGCGAGGCTTCTTACCACGAACGACGAAGCTGCCAACGATGCAGCTTTCACCGTTAGGGCTGCAGCTACCACAGTAAGGGTCATGTGCCGTGGCGCGGGAGATTTCATGGCCAGCCGAATCGAAGACATCTTCGGGGAGCTCGAAACCCTCTTCAAGAAAATCTTTTCGAGCGTGGTAGGACCAGAGAAGAGCTCCAAGCCAGTCGCGCTGCTCAATGCCCCCGGAGGATCACCATCCGCGCTCACGAATAGTCCTTTGGTCCCAAGTCACCAGAGCCTGATGACTGGTGCTCAACCTGCTATTTTTTCTTCTCTAGATGGTGCCAGGTCTTCCAAAGGGCAGATCTTGGAAGCCCTCGTCGACTTGCTGGTCACCATTCTCCGAGACGTCCGGCTTTCCGATGACAACGCAGACACAGTCTTCCAACTTCTGGGCTCATTTAGGCACAGGGAAACAGTACGAGACGCGCTGCTAGAGTACAACGAGGATGCCGTTTGGCTGCTGGAACATCATCCAAGCTGATCAGATCAGGGCTGGAAATGCGGCATCCCCAACAAGGTTTGGGCCATGAGGGAATTACGCATTGACAAGGACGTGATGAGCCATGTCTGGTCCAAGGACTTCAAGCCACTTCGCAACTCAGTATTCCGATGTCCTCGCTGGTAGGCAGCAGCATTTTTGTGATTTCACAACCGGGGATTGGATTCTCCCAAAGAGGCATTTCCGACATCCGGAGTTAAGGGGCCCTGGAAACGGTCCGAGCTCCCACAAGCTCACGAGGCTATGTGGCCCAGATGGGATAAGGTTGCGAGACAGCCAAACTCAAATTCACCTAGCAATGAGATCCTTTATGCGCGCCCGTGGAGATATGAAGATTGTCGGGCTCAAGCGAGCAGAGGCAGAGAGACATAAATCATGGAAGAGCGCCATGACCGAAGCACCTCTTCCATTCAGCTGCCAACATCCCGTCATCTACCCTCCTTGAACGACCACCAGAGCAACGAGACTTGTGCCAAAGACTCTTCCTCATATTCATTACCCATCCGTCGTTGACTTTGCAGAGCGCGGTCCCTCGTCCGACAAGATGCCAGGAATCATCCAATTCTTGGGCGGCCAGTTTTCTACACCGCCCATGCCTCAGACCGACCTCACGGGAAGAAGTATTTTGGTGACGGGCGCCAATACTGGGCTTGGCCTTGATGCCGCCCGGTTACTGGCGCGGATGAATTGCACCACCATCGTGCTCGCCTGTCGAAGCCTGGCGAAAGGAGAAAAGGCCAAGGAAGCCGTCCTGCAGTCCTTGCCCAACGGTCACAAACAACCGACCATCGTCAGCCTCGAGACCGATTTGACCTCGTTCTCGAGTGTGGTCGCATTTGCTGAGCGTTGCAAGGACCTTCCAAGACTTGATGCCGCAATCCTCAATGCGGGGGTTCTCCTGGAAGAATTCAGCTTGGCAGAGGGATATGAGACGACAATCACCGTGAATGTGATCTCGACGTTCCTCCTGGCCACCTTGCTCCTCCCTACCCTGCGTTCGTCCGCAAAGCGATACAACATCACTCCCCACATTGCCATCGTCGGGTCGGCGGTCCATTTCTGGGCCAACGACAAAGATCTTACCACTCCCGCCGACGGCGAAATCCTCCGATCCCTATCTGATCCTAAGAAGGCGGACATGAAGGGGCGCTACTACCTCAGCAAGTTACCGGTCATGCTGCTGGTGAAATACTTGGCGACAGTGCTAACGAAGTCGACTGAGGAAGACTCCAACGACAAGCCATTGGTCATCATCAACAACGTCGCCCCCGGGTTTTGCAAGACCGACCTGTTCCGTACTAATGACGGCGTTATGGTCAAGGTCATGAACAAGGCGATGGGCAGAGAAAGCGAGCACGGAGCGCGCACGTTGGTGCATGGCGCTGTTGCTGGGCAGGAGTCCCATGGGCAGTATCTCAGTGAATGCCAGGTCAAGAAGTACAGCGCGTTTGTCAAGAGCGCCGAAGGTGATCGAACTGCGAGGAGGCTCTGGCAGGAGTTGAGCGCCATATACGAGGGACTCAAGCCGGGGTGTACGCAGGCGTGGTGATATCTTCAGTGAAGGTTATTTGAAAGGATGACCGAGACTTCATTATGTGATGCGAGCGATTCAACCGACTGCTTATTTTCAGCGTTATCCCCGTCACTCAGTCACTTGGCGGGAGGCCCGAGGGGCGAAGTGGCGCTTTACTGCTTGGAGACTGGGTTGTACATATTGTACGCATGCTGTGGGGTTGATTTCTGGCGTACACCTCGTGTCCATTCGTGTCCAGGCTCGAGTCTGGTCTTCATTGTGCATTGAATAGTGGTTCTGTCTTGATGTCGATGCGTTGTATATGCAATTACCGCTGATCAACTTCATACATCTCGCTCTCAACGCCGCAGCGCGATCAGCATCACCATCAATATTGCTGTATCTGCTTCCACCCCGACTTTCGCCACTTGATATATGCAAGCCATCCGCAGCTCTGAAGCCGCCGGGACTTAAGATTGGATGTCGCCAGAATGTCCGACTTCTTCTCTCTGACTCATAAGTTCCGCGCCAGTATTGATGGGCAACCGGCTGGAGTCGACGGCAAGTCCAGGAGGCGCAATCGGCAGCCTCTATCCTGCGCGCCCTGCCGCCTGAAGAAGCTGAGATGCGACAGAGGCCATCCATGCGAGACGTGCGTCAAACGGGGCAATCAAGCCAGCTGCTCATATGGCAAACTCGCTTCCGCAAAGGCTTCCGACACCGCTGCCAGGAGCGCGACCCGAGGACGAGCTCAAGAGCGGCTCGGACGCCTAGAACAACTCGTCATGCAGATGGTTGATACAAGTACCTCCAACGGCTCGAAGCCCAGTCACAGTAACGAGTCCGACACTGGCGCCAGCACCGACTCGTCAAGGGACAACGATGCGACGGCTCTCCGAACCGGTATTGCAAAGGACGGGCATCTGCAGTATGGGTCTGCCGAGTCTCGCTACGTCGGGTCAACTCACTGGTCTGCTATATTGGAAAGCCTCCAGGAGCTCAAGTCTGCACTCGGCGGCACCACCGACGGAGGAGACCAGGCTGCTGGCGCTGAGCTGGATGAAGCCGATGAGGTTGAACTTCAAGACACGGACAGTCTCTTCGGCCCAACCAGCCACGTCTCTATCGCGCAAATCCTGGCTCAAGCCCTTCCGCCACGATTACAGGTCGACCGGCGCCTGTCCACCTACTTCAACAGCCGCTATCTCGTCATACCATTGATCCACACGCAACAATTTCAACGGCAATACGAACAGTTCTGGCGGACACCGCTCGAGACCCCGCCTCTCTGGATCTCCATCCTGTTCTCCATCTGTTGCTTGTCCGCCGGCCTGTCCGAGGCCGTAGGGTCTGGGCCGACCACGCCGGAGGACCAGCCTAGTCCCCGCGTGAGCTTCCTGCATGCGGCGTGCCAATGTCTTCAACTTGGCGGCTTCACACGACCGAAGCGCTACGTTGTCGAAGCCCTCGGTCTCTATGCTCAATGCAAGTACATGTCCACGCTGGACCCATCGGGCGAAGTTGGCCTGATCTTCTCCCTCGCCGTGCGCCTGGCCTATCGCTCCGGTTATCACCGCGATCCCTCCCAATTCCCTCATATCTCCGTGTTTGAAGGTGAAATGCGACGGAGAACCTGGGCCATGTGCCGGCAGTTCGATCTCATGGTGTCCTTCCAACTGGGCCTGCCGAGTCAAATCCCCCCAAACAGCTGGGATACGCGGAACCCTCGCAATTTGTTGGACACGGATTTCGACGAGGACACCAAAGTGCCACCGCCGTCCAGGCCCGAAACCGAAGCCACGCAGCTCCTGTACTTCATCGTCAAGGCCCGCCTGATGACCACGTTTGGCAAAGTCTGCGCGCACGCGCTTTCCTTCGGGGCCACCGAGAACTATGCCCAGCAAGTCATGGATCTGGACCGAGAAGTCCGCGCCACGTACGCGACGGTGCCGAAAGTGCTGCACGTCAAGCCCATGTCCCAGTCCTTTGCCGACCCGAGCTATCTCACAATGGTCCGCACGAATTGTGAGTTTCTGTACCAGAAGTCGCTCCTGGTGTTGCACAGAAAATGCATGACCCAAGGCACGCACCCGGCGTCGACGCAGGCGTGCACCGACGCGGCGATCGCCATCACCAGACACATGCTCGACCTGCACAAGGAGTTTAAGCCCGGCGGTCAACTGTTTAACGACAGGTGGATGCTCAGTTCGTTCACCATGAACGACTTTTACCTCGCCGGCATGGTCTTGTGTCTCGAAGTGAGCATGTGGAAGAAAGCCAATCCCGCGATCGACATCCACGCCGATGAGAAGATGAGAGAGCAGTATATTATGCTTAAGGACTCTTTCGCCATCTGCGAGGAGTTGAGTGCCACGAGTACCGAGGCGAGACGCGTAGCGGCTGTGTTGCACCAGGTCCTGGGCGAGGAAGCCTCTTCCACGGGAGGATCTTCCGGACCCAGCACTGGCACCGGCACCAGCACCAGCACCAGCATCAGCACCAGCGCTGGCAGACCATCCAACCCATTCGCGCAGCCCGGAAAGTTCATGCCCTCGGCAATGTTCCCCATGCAATACGACTTTAGCTTGGCCTCGGCCTCTCCAACGGTGCCGAACGGATCACAAGGGCGAGGGCAGGGCCATCCCCTCCGCGAGAACCTATCCAACTCGTCCGACACGATGGACGCGACTTTTCTGCCCGGCATTACCAGGGCCGCCGGGGTAGCAGACTCCTTCCAAAACCTCATGCCGGGCATCAACAATCCTGTGCCACTCGGCGGGAATTCATTCTTGAGCTTCTTCTCCTTCAGCCCGGCGTCCTACGCAGGCGGTAGCGGTCATGGCATGTCGAATGCGTCCGCGACAGCGTCCGATCCGCAGACTTTTGATGCCACACCGAGCATGGACATTGACTGGCCCCTCCTTGATCAGTGGATGGCCCTCCCCAACATGGTTGATATGCTCCCCTTCCATGACGGCACGGGCGCCGTCACGCAGGCGTTTGCGGGATCTTCCGGTATGTTCCAAAACCAGCATCAAGATCAGCGACCCAGATCGGAGAACGAGAACCTGAACGGGACAAGCAACAGGAACGGCACGAGGAATTGGGATGAAACCGACAACAAGACCGAAACCGACCCCGCCGCTCTCGATACCGATACGGCTTACCCGCCCCTCGCGGACGCCCAGACAATGACCACCAACGGTGAAGGTCGACCAGCCACGGACACGGACACAGAATGGACGAGCACGCCGTACCCGTTCCTAGGCCACGAGAGCGAGGCCAGCACAACGAGGCATGATGGAACGGGGCCGCCTACAGCTTCGACGTCGACGTCAGGTTCGCTATCAGTATCGTCTGGGAGTGATCATGGGCGCGGACATGGACGAGACGAGACTGGAGTGACGGGTCCCAGAGCGCTGCCGTTGGATTTGAGGCTGTGGTCGCGGCGGCACGGGGCAGGACGGACACAAGCACAGACACACCGAGGGGGAGGATACCCTATGTATTGATCGATTTGCGTGTATCTGTGCATATGCATGTGCGTGTTGGTACACCCATACCCATACCCATACCTATACTCGTAGATAAAGGTACAGGTACAGGTACAGGTGTAGCATAAGTTACCCAGAGTATACTGTACTTTAGTAGAGATAGTAGATTCGCGGACTCAATCCATACTCCGTACTCAACCTTACGTGGTACATGTACTCAGTGCACCGTCCATGCGTGGGGAGCGATGATTGACTTTGATCACCGCGTCCGGTGGCTACTGATACTTTATTTGCTGAACATTACGGAGTACATGATATCACCTTTTACATCCCAAGTTATCAGCATGTCCCGATTCCACCCCTTTTACGCCCTACATTCTGCATAACCGCCAGTACGGCGCACATTCCGTTTCGTCCCCTGTGCTACGCGGATCCCGCGATGATGGTTGACGTGATGTGGATGAATTACATACGTTTGGTTCCCCCTGCCAACACTATCTCACCTATACCCCGTGTGTTTTTACTTGTGCTTGTACTTGTGCTTGTGTTGAACGCCTTGAATCCGCCCGACCCCGTGTCTGGGTATCATATTTTTATCGTATCACATCATCTCGTGCCCTACCATGGCCATGACAAGTCGTATCATGCCATGTACCGAGTAGAAGAGCATGGATAGGCCACGCCACGCCACGCCTTCCAACGCCTTGCAATGCCAAAACATGAACGATGAGCCAAATGCTGCGGGTGAGACTGCTGGGTATACCACTGCACTGCCGCCGCCACCACCTCCACGCAATCTGCCAAATGTTCAAGGCTCCCGCTTGACAGCACCCTGCATGCGCTTCCGTTCCTCGTCCCTCGCCTTCCACGCCTTCCTGATGTCGTTGGCGTGGTCGAGCAGATCCTGCTCGGTGACGTGGCTCTGGATGCTCCGAATGACGCTCCTGTACACCTTGATGTGGTTGGACTGGTCCTTGTCATGCCTGAACCGATGGTACCGCCACCTCTGCTGGTCGTCCTTGGCGGCCTCGACGATGATGTCCTGCAAGGGATGGCCCAGAGTTTTCCATTCCCCGTATTCGTGCGGTTCGACATGTAGATCGTCAATGTACGAGTACTCGTTCGAGCCGTGGTGGATGTACAGGCAAAACCGTGTGGGGAAGGCGTAGTAATCCGGCTGGGGGGAGCGGTCCGGGTCGTCCGGGTCGGGGTCTACGAGCGGCCACTCGATATGTAGAAGAAAATCGACCGTGTTTTCGGCAGGGGGCTTCCACTTGAGGATGTGCTCGTCGGTGCCCGTCTTGTAGGGGGTGTTGCGGCACGTGAAGATCAGGCCGTCGTTGCCATGCAGCTGCTTGACCTTGGGGATGATCTCCTTGAACATTTTCTCGAGGCCGTAGCTGAACTCGGTGGCCTTGTCCTCGAGCACGAACGGCCGTGGCCGGTCGGGTTGTTGCCTGTACATCTCCTTGTAGGGCCCCAGGACGTGGGACTTGAAGTAGGCGAGCCGCTTGTCGAGCGGCCGCTGCATGAGCACCTGCTTGTCCAGGACCAGGCAGTCGAACACCAGGAATTTGATGACCGGTGGCCGGTCCGGGTAGCGGTCCTCGACCAGCTCGCCGTCCAGGATGGTGTCGGTGTGGAAGCGCTCAAAGGTCTTGTCCTCGTGGTGCGGGAAGTGCAGGTACGGCACGAACCAGTAGTCGTTCTTGCGGTCGATCAGGTAGTGGATGTCGTGCTCGCCCTCGCGCGTCAGGTACATCAGGTAGCGCAACCCGTCCGTCTTCTCGCACACGTAGTAGTCCTGCGTCTTGAGCTCTTGGATGTGTTCGGCCGAAAAGGACACGGGTTGCGCGCCGGGGAACGAAAGGTTGCGGCCGCGGCCCAGCAGCTGCGCGACCTCGCGCTGGAACTCTTCCTGCAGGCCTGGCGTGCGGCCGGCCCAGATGCCACCTATGCGCTCGAGGAGGGGGTTCGCCTCGGGACCCGCATGCCCGTCCATGGCTGCGCGGGGAGAGGTAGGCGCGGGTACAGGTAGTCCGTGAAGAAAGGTGTACTGTATTCTGAGATCGCAGGGATGCACGGATGGGATTTAAGTTGCAGATGGAGTCCGCCGGACGCTCGCCAAGGCCAGATCCCCCCAGGATGGCGAGGCGGAGGCAACGAGTCTCCATCCCCAACTTCACTCGTATGGGCCGTCATGACTCGACACGGCACCTCGAGAACTCCCATGGGCTTTCGCATGTCTGAATGACTGTAGACTACACATTCATCTAAGCACATCCTCACTATGGCGCCAGACGGATCACCCGGTTTGTGTCTCCCCCAAGATGAGATGCACGGCGACTAACTTCCCATCGCAGCCTCGTCCCACTCCCTCCTCAGCGCAACCACCTACAAACCCAGCAAAGCGATCAAGAAGGCACCCAAGGCGCAACTGAAGAGGACAACTCTCAAAAAGGAGACGCAGGTCAATGGTGGGTACATGTCGTATGACCGATGGCCTCTATTAAGCGCAATTAGGTATTAAACATGTCGGCGACGCGCCGTCTCCCGAACTCCCCAAATTCGAAGGCGACACCATGGCCAACTTCCCCGCCGGCCATCCAGAAAGCCTCGAGACGCTCGTGTGCAAACACTGCAAGAAGTCAATCCTCCAGCGCACGGCCAAGGAGCATATCGCTCTATGTCTAAAGTCCAAGCAGGACAAGGCGCGGAAGAAGAAAGAGGCACGAGAAGCCGCACTGCGAGCCAAAGAGCGGGCCGAGAAAGTCGACGACGACGATGATGACGACGATGACATCCGCGGGCCCGGCAGAAAGGACGCGGCCAACGGCGGCGACGACGACGGCACGAAAAAGGGCAAGAAACGCAAAGCCGAGGGCGACGACGACAAAGAACCCAAGAAGAAGAAGCGACGAGAAGATCCCAAATCCAAAGCCGCGAAACCCAAGGGCCCCGTCGACGTGGAGAAACAGTGCGGCGTCACGCTTCCGAACGGGGTCCAGTGTGCACGGAGTCTCACATGCAAAAGCCACAGTATGGGAGCCAAGCGGGCTGTGCCTGGGAGGAGTCTCCCCTACGACATGCTGCTGGCGGCGTACCAGAAGAAGAACCAGGCCCGGCAGCAAAAGGCCGCGATCGACGCCAACGCCCCGGCTCTCTTCGACGACGAATTGGATCCCACGCTCAATGGGCCGGTCGACTCGGACGAAGAGAAAGACTCGGTCATGACGGCCATCTCCAGAAGCCTTGCGCGACCACAACCCCTGGTCACGCGCGAGCTGTTCCCCATCAGGCGCAAATATCCGCTCGTCCGGCTGAAAGAGATGTTGTCCAACGCCATGAGTGGCAACCGAAACGGTACCAGCATATTCAGCGTGCCTTCGGAGAGTGCTCGAAGCGCTGTTCCTCAGTCGACCATCAACGAGACCTTTCCCCCGTCGACTGTGTCGGCTTCGCCTGCTTTGACAGGGATCGGCTTGGCTCAACCAGGGCTCAAGGTGCCTCTTAGGAAGTCTTCGATCGACGTGGCTTAGATGCCTCAACTTTATATCAGTTTCGAACTGTGTTGTACCGGAGATATTCCCCTGAGGCAGAAGTGTGCTCGGGCGCAGTCGCTCACTCGCACTTCCTGAAGCACAAACTCGAATTCGTCCCGCCGAATCCAAAGCTGTTGGTCAGCGCGACGGTGATTTGGGCCTGTTGGGCTTCATTGGCAACGTAGTTGCAGTCGAAGTCTTCGGTCTTGAAGACGAGGTTGATCGTCGGGGGCATCACGTTCTGCCACGGATTCATGTTATTATTACGATACCCATATATTTCCCGTCCATTTCAGAACAAAGGACAGGGTGAATGAATAAAACATACCTCATGAATAGCCAAAACTGTAAACAGGGCCTCCACCGCACCCGCGGCGCCCAGGAGATGCCCGATTGCGCCTTTCGTGCTGCTCACGTTGACGTCCTTCGCGGCGGCTTTGCCCTGTTCACCCAGCATAAGCGCCTTGATCGCCTTGTTCTCCGCCTGGTCTCCCAGCGGCGTCGACGTTGCGTGTGCGTTGACGTAATCCACCTTCGAAGGAAGGATCCGCGCCTGTTTGAGCGCCTTCTTCATGGCGAGAAGGGCACCCCCGCCCTCTTCCAGCGGTGCAGTCAAGTGGTGCGCGTCGGCGGAGTTACCGTAGCCGATGAGTTCGGCGTAGATGCGCGCCCCGCGGGTTTTGGCGTGCTCGAGTTCCTGCGCGGTAGATCAACATGTGTCTTGCGCCGCTTGCGCGTGGCCAAACCTACCTCGAGCACCAGACAAGCAGCCCCTTCGCCAATCACAAAGCCCGCCCTGTCCTTGTCGAACGGCCGCGAGCTCTTTTCGGGCGCGTCGTTGAAAGCAGTCACCAAACTCCTCGACCTGGCGAATCCCCCGATCGCAAGCGGGTGGATACAGCTCTCCGCCCCACCCGCGATCATCACGTCCGCTTCCCCTGCCTGGATAAACCTCGCGGCATCGCCGACAGAGTGCGCTCCCGTGGTGCAAGCCGTCGTGACCGCATGATTCGGGCCCTTGAGACCATAGCGCATGGAAATATGTCCGGCGCCAAGGTTGATGAGCAGCCGTGGCACGAACAGCGGGTGGATCTTGCGATAGTTGTGACCCTGGGCGTAGGCGAGCGACGTGTCGTACAGGTCCGCGAGATTTCCTATGCCCGAACCGAGCGTGACGCCGGCCATCTCGGGGTCGAAATTGTTGCCATCCTTGAAGCCCGCGTCTTGGAATGCTTCCTCGGCGGCGGCGAGGGCGTATTGTGCGAACTGGGCGGTCTGGCGGATTTCCGTGGGGGAGAGGTGGTCTTCTGCCCTCCACACTCCGGCTTCAGCAGTCGAAGTGGTTTTCGGGGTATCAGGTCTGGAGACATCCCGGGGGACCAGACCGGCGACTTGACTTGGCAGTCCCCTAAACTCGTCGCCGAGGTGGCGGGTAGAGACGATGCCGCAGTGGCCGTCGAGCAGGCGAGTCCATATTCTTCTCACGCCCACTCCAAGCGGCGTGACGGCGCCCAATCCAGTCACCACGACTCTCCTCATGTCCGGCCGGGGTCAACTCATTATCCGCGCTTGCACAGTCTCGTGCCCCGTGGTCTAACACCTGCAAGAAGAATAATGTCAGTCGCGTCTTTGATGATTGCCCGATGCACGTGAAACAAGAGCCTTGCAGGACGAGTCTTCGACCAATCAAAGCGTCTGTCCTGGAGCAGGAGATGTCCGCACATTTCTCGGATCCGCCGTCGCTCCGTCTGCAGATTTTCCCGCCCACGACACCCACTGACGCCCTATTACTCAATGGATATCCATTAACGTTTTCCCTACCTACGGATCATACCTAGAACATGTTCTCTTCTCCATGTAAGTGTTTCCACGACTGATCTTTCTCCCGACATCGATTCTCGCCCCGTGACACCACACCGTGACTTCTGCCATGTTCCTTCTGTCGTTGTCGGTTCTCCTCCCTCTTCTCCCGTTGACTCGATGCTCTTTCTACGATAACCCGGAGCTTGAGATCCCCACCGAGTCCGGGACCCCGCTGGACGAACTGAAAGCGAAATGGGACTTTGATGTAAGTTTCCTCCTGCGAGTACTCGAGCCGCGAATTGGCACGTCGACAGGCACAAGTTGAACATTTCGGCAGTGGGGATTCTCGGGGATATCGACCTTTGCACATCTCCACCATGTAAAGTGTCTCACGACGCCATATGAACCATTTGATATCGGCATCATCGGCGCCCCATTCGACACGGCCGTAAGTTATCGACCTGGTAAGGATTACCCTCCTGTCAGTGCCCGGACTCTCGAGTCCAGCACACACAGTTACCTGCCAGCCATGTCGACTGGTAGTCTAACGGACATGCTCAGGAGCCCGCTTTGGCCCACGCGCCATCCGCGCCGCCTCAGCACGACAGACCTCCTTCCGGGGCTTCAACCACCGAGCCCATCTCAACCCGTATACCTCGTGGCCGGCGATCCTCGACTGCGGAGACATTCCCATCACGCCGTTCGACAATGCCCTGGCCCTGCACCAGATGAGCAGCGCCTACCTTGAACTTCTGTCCCGACGACCCCTGAGCTACAGTAACCCGGAAGGCCACGTTCATCCCAAGCTGATCACCCTGGGTGGAGACCACTCCATCGCCTTACCAGCCCTGCGAGCCCTGGAGAAAGTATACGGCCAGCCGATTGCCGTGTTGCACTTTGACGCACATCTAGATACCTGGCATCCCGGTGCCTATCCGAGCGCGTGGGCCGAGACGTGAGTTGCAATCCGCGGTGATATCGATGTTGCTATTTGCCCCCAAAAAACAAAAAAAAAAAAAAAACAAAAAAACAAAAAAAGAACAACGTCAAGTAAGTCGCGGCTAACAAGTACCTAACCCAGCCCAACGCAAGCCGACTTCACGCACGGTACCATGTTCTGGGTCGCCAGCCAAGAAGGCCTCATCAACAACGGCTCCTCCGTACATGCCGGCCTCCGCACCCGCCTTCTGGGCAACGACTTCCACGACTACGAGGACGACGAGAAGCAGGGCTTCCTGCGGATTGAGAGTGACGACATTGACGCGGTAGGCGTGCAGGGGATTATCGACCTGATTATGGAGCGAATGGGTGAGTCACGCGAAGCGAAGCACAGCAGAGCAGACCCAGCGCAGCGGAGCAAAGCCCTAGGGATCCTTCCGCGATCATTGACAAAATCCCCCACCACCCCGAACCCGTGATCTAACCTGCCGTGCTCCACAGGGACAAAAACCCCAGTCTACCTCTCCGTGGACATCGACGTTATCGACCCCGGCCTCGCCCCGGGCACGGGCACGCCCGAACCAGGCGGCTGGACGACACGCGAACTGATCCAGATCCTCCGCGGGGTCGAGGACCTGAACCTCGTGGGCGCCGACGTGGTCGAGGTGTCCCCCGCGTACGAGAGCGGGCATGGCGAGAGCACGGCCCTGGCGGGGGCGCAGGTCGTCTTCGAGATGCTCACGAGTATGGTCAAGTGAGTTGCCCTTCCACCCCTCTGAGGTTCTGCGTAGATCGCGTGCGGGGGTTTGTATGGGGTCCCAAGCATGCCCCCTCCTATATGCCCCTACGCACCAGGCGACTGTATCGTATCCGAGCGTGGATGAACTGCCTTCGCAGACAGAGTCGTATTCGTACGTCACATCAACGTCACCTCGCTAACCGCCTGTCTCCAATCTAGGCGGGGGTTGAAGGATCGCGGGGAATGGCAGCCCGAACGTGTCACGAAGCCGGGGAGGAAGATTGGTGGTCAGAAGGCCCAGAACACCGAGAAGCAGAAGAAGGTGGTGAGGGATGAGTTGTGAGGGGGCCGTGCGTTCCAGTACTGCCTATAGAGTCATGGTGAATGGTGGCTGAATCAAGATCAAGGTCAAGATCTAGGTCAAGATCAAGGTCAAGATCTAGGTCAAGATCAAGGTCAAGATCTAGGTCAAGATCAAGACCAGCGTCACGGCCGTTGCGTACCCTCGTAGAATCCGATCTGAGCTACACGATGTAAGCGAGAGTGCGTGGTACACTAGAGTTGGGGGTTCACTTGCTGTACGGAGTGCTAGAGTCTACACTATGACTGCCTGCTGGATACTGTACATGCTGCGAGTCCACGGCCGAGACAAGGTTATGATGATTCATCCTGTCAAGGAGAGGTCCACAGCCTCTATGGATCGCGCCGAAAGACTGAGAATCCGAGCACTTTACGCTGGGTTTATGGCTCTCTCGGCATATATGCTTGTCATGAACGTAGAGGGCACGGGGTTCATGACACATAAGGCGTCAGTTAATATAGAACTCATGGAAACGAGGACGCAGAAAGTACAATCGCCACATTGTGTCCGGCTTGAATCTCTTGTCGCATTCATCATCTCCGGTCTACGAGGTATATATGTACTGTCTCCCTCTCCCAGTCACTGCGACTAGGTCAACCGTCGCTCCACTCCTACTACGTACGACTTTTCGCAAAGTCTGGCCGCGACCCGCCTGTCCTGTCTGACATCGATCTATGCTGTGTCGCCCATCCATACACTATAACAAATGCCGTCTACTTTTACACGGAATGGGCGCTTGTCTTGGCCACAATCGTCATCGTCCCTATCGCAAAGTGGAACCTTGGAAAGAGCAAATGCATAACATCTCTCATGCAAGTCGCCGAGCGTAATCGGATCCGTCCGTGGAATGACTCGATGTCACCACCTCCAAATGCTGGTAGAAAACGTCGTCCGCCAGATCCTGTGACAAAACACATCGTTTGTCCTCCGTCCGGCGCCATGCTTTTGAGAAGAGAGTGGAAAGTTGGAATCGTCAAGCGTCAAGAGTCTTCTGTCGCGTGCCATCGTGATTCGAGGGAATGGGCATCATCTGTCCTTCAAAAGTTGTACTTCGTCCCCTGCCGCGTGTCATCGTGATTCGGGAGAACGGCCACCTGGTCGGTCAAAAGTTGTACCTCGTCCGTCCTCAAAAATTGTACCTCGTCCCCTGCCTCGTTACCGGCTTTCCCTGACGGTTTAAAGGAGCCGCCTCGGACCGTGTACTCGACCTCGTCACCTTCTCATCTTCATAGCTGACGTTCTTCCGTCCTCGTGCTCGCGGTTTCGGCAAGGGCTCAACATGTCGATGTCCCAACTCAGCCAAGGCACTTGAGTTCCTCCATCGGAGGCACCGATGCGTCTTGTCGCTCACGTACGTCTTGGTCCGCGTCGTCATCCGGGTCGATGGTTCCTCAGATTCTTCTTCACGGGGCGCAAGATATGCCGCTCGCTTCTCCATGTGTTTGATGATGGCGTCTCGCTGCATGTTGAGCTCCTTCTTCAGCTTGAGTTCCCGGACCCCGCGCGAGTCTAGCCACCCGATGAGCATGTCGAGTTCTTCCGCCGTCTCGTAGAAGCCCCACTCCTTTGCCGAGTTCAAGTTCGTTGAACCTTCCTCGAGTTTCTTTCGCTCGGCCGGCGTCATTTGGAAGCGTCGATAGTAGGCTTGCTTGTCCGCCTCGCAGATATCGATGAAACCCTCACGTTCCATGTCGTCGGGTCCCTGTATCCATATCCGACCGTTAGCGTACCCTGCATCAGCCGTAGAACTGTCCGGCAGTCCGCCATGAGGCATCGCGTTCCTCTCGAACCACCAGTATCGATTGCAGAATCGGTCTTTGCCCAAGACCCGCGTCCGAGGACAATCTGCTTCACGCAAATCACCATCGACGATAATGATGTTCTCCTCGGCCTGCTCAATCTTCTCACGCTCCTTTTCGATCTGCTTGAGCACCTTCTGATACTCCTTGCTGCCTTTGTTCTGCTTCTCTTCTTTTGCCTTTTTATTCCGTTCCTGTTCCTCCTCGCGTTTCCGCTTCCGCTCGGCCGCCCTGTCAGCACCTCGACGCAGTGATCGTGTAACAACAGGATCCTCGTCCTCAGAATCTGGAATAGAGACGTCTTCGTCTTCAACCTTGGTGTTCTCCATCGCATCTTCGAGTTCAGGCATGGGAGAAGGGGACTTTTCAGGCTCGGGCGCGAGCAGTCTGCGCTCGATCTGTAGCTCCTTGAGTCTAGCCATAGCCTCCTTGCGGGCTCGCTGATGTTCGATCTTGATCTTTCGGTAGTGAGTCATGGTGTTGCTCATCTCTTCCAAGAAGTTCTTGACGATCTTTGTCTCGAGGAATAGCTGGCAGATGATCTGTAGTGCTTCAGCACGGAGATTGATATCCATTGTCGAGTATTGTATGCGGGCCGTGTCTATCGTGGGCTCGGCGTCCAGGGGAGCGAGATGCGACAAGATTTCGTTGCAGATGCGCGTCACTCTCGGTCTACCGGCAAGCTGATGCAGCAGCCCGACCATTACCAGCTCCCAGCCACCATCTTTCAAATCTCGCTTCTGAAGTCTTTCAACCCAACCGTAATCCAGGAACATCTCAGCTGCACGATGGTCAACCATTGGCACATCTGGCTGTGGTTCTGGTTCGGGCTCAGCAAACTGCACCTTATTAAGGCTGCTCCTCGTCCGTTTTGCCGGGTACTCTGGCTCAGGCGTGGGCGTTGGCGGTTTGCTTTCCTCTGCTCCTTCGTCTTCCTGGTCCTCCTCTCCTTCGTCCGGGTCAGGGAGGTCTGGAAGCGGGATTTGAATGGCGCCACCGTTGTCACTTTCTGAATTGACCAGTTGCTTTAGCACAGCGCAGTGGATCTCGACGAACAGCTCACAATCAGCTTCAGGCGATGAGAAGGACATGGCTTCCACGAAATCATCGAAGGTGAAGGAGTCCACCTTGAGTACCTGACAATACACATTGAGCGTATTCCATGTTTCGAGCAATAGACCGACGGTCTCCAGCTTCAGGCCTGGGATGACATGGCTCGACGATTTTGCATCGCTGCACTGCTTTTTGGTGACAAATCTCAAGGTTGGTCGATGGGTGCCGTCTCGGACTGGCTCCACGTCAAGGTCATCGATCGGATATTTGATGGGCGGCGGAGGGGGCGGGGGCTGAGCCATCACCCTGGCAGGTATCTGCTGTTGTGACATGGGCGGAGGATGATAATAGTGTCCATTCGAGGGTATGGGATGGGGGTAGCCAGGAACCTGATAGTAGTGGTCCCAATCTTGAGGCGGTGGCCCTTGCATGTGACTCCAGGAGCGTGGTAACAGACCGGGCTCATGCATCGCTTGTGGTGGGTAGTGCTCGTGATACGGCGACGGGATATGCGCCTCGACATGCTGGTGGTGCTGAGCCTGCTGGTTTTTCCGACCTTTTGCGGCAGGCTTCAGGTCAGGTAGTTTGGGGCTCTGCCAGACGCCAAACGAACCCTCTCCTTGTTCGGATTCTCGCTTCTTCTCCGCCTTCTTGGCTGCAACCTTATTAACGTGCTGTAGGTGTGGTGGTACGTTGGTGTCGATTCGGAATCGTTCAGCAATCTCTGGCTTGACCAGCCACGGAGCGCCAGTCCAACCCTCTCGCGTCACGGTATTCTTGATGAAGGAGCGCAGCATCTGCTTGGTGAAGACTTTCCGGTCCCTCACAATGTGGTTGTCGTCCACCAGCGCCTCCTCATCTGGACGGTCAATCAGCCGCACAAAGTATCTGGAAAATGCCTCTCTTGCCACGGATCCGTCTGGTCCCTTGACTTCTGCAAACTTGGCCTTGTCTCTCACCCGTCCGTTGAGGCGACTCGCATCGTCTAGTATGACAGTGACCAGCTCGCCCGGGTAGAAGTCGTTTTTGAAGTCGTTGAAGACATCCTCGACCAGGTTGTCGATGCGCGAGACGGTGGAGAACTGGACCCGGCGCAGGACTGGTTCTCGCAGCGCTTGAGGAAATGCTTCGTCAATCTCTCGTGAACCAGCCTGCTCGCTCCGCAGCGCATCGAAGAAAGTCAGACCAGAGCGTCCCGACACTTCGCAGGTGAATCTCTTGGACTTGAAGAAGTCCATGCGCTCAAGGTAGGCATCGTAGGATGTGAATACTTCATTTGACTCGCCAATAACCCAGACATCGGATTCCTGGTCGTCGATTTGAGGATGCGGTAGATACCGGACGGGTTTTCGTTTGAACAGGACCATCCCGACGGGCGGAGGAGGGTAAGAACAGCTGCAAACCTGACGGCGGGGTATGTGGAAGGGAGGAAGGGGTGCCGGCGAAGTATTTCACAGGGTTTGCGACCTAATATGGAGAGGCTGTCAGTGTTTTGCATGTGGCCAGGATTGCTCGTCTGTTCGACGCGGTCTGAGACCTCTTGCGACAGGTGTTGATCCTAGTAGACTTACATGCAACCAGACTAACGCGTCATTGAAGAGATAGTTTCAAGATTGCAAACGAAGGTAGGAGGGGTGGTGATGAAGTACGTGGAGAGAGCTGTCTGGTGGTGAAGAAGTAAGCGTGAAAGACAAAGGCTCAAACATGGAGGAGAAAACACAATCATGCGAGTGCCCAGAGTCCAGAGATCAGGACTAGAGAGAAGTCAGAGGGGAGCATGAGCATGGATGGCAAGTGGCAGAGTGGAGTGGATCCCCAGGGTTGTGCAGTGCAGTGGGCGGATGGCGTGGTGGCTTGCGGACGTGTGGAGCCTTGTGTGTACAGTAGTGGCTTGTATACAGAAGGTGAAAGAGACCATGCCTTGTCCGGAGTATGTCGATGCAATAATCATAGCCATCTCTGGTCCGAGTGGTGGAGCGCATACCGGCAACAGGGCGAGGCCAGGGGTGCAGCATAGAAGAGCAGGAAACAGCGCATGTAGCCGAGCTATACAGCTCCTGCCGCACGCGCGGATACAGTACCGCTGTTTACCTGCAGGACAAGCAGCATAGAAGAGCTCTGCTCAAGGGCGAAATGAAGCGTACTGTGTAAGTGGTGCACGGTAAACGGCGAATGCTGAATGGTGAATGGCGGACAATTGATCGAAACGCATCATGGCGAACCAGGGATCGGCCGCCAAGCCGAATGTGGCCCGCCGGCTACGGCCTCCTCCTTTGCCCGATTGGAGCCAATGAACGGCCACTGGACTCCTTGACTAGCCATGGTCACTCACCAATTCTGCTGCCCGGGGCTTTTCATGAGCGTAGTTGTACTCGTTCGAGTCAGCGTCACGAGCTGAGTTCAAAGCGACTATTTTTGCATCCCTAGGAGCACTCTGCAGGGAGTAATATTCCATAATCAGCCTCAGAGCCGACCCATCCTCGTCATATGCACCTGTATCCTGCCCTTACGGTGGCTGCGACGGCCGTACGTCTCCGCTAGTGGTGACTTGGAGTAGGGTTCATAACCACGATCACCAGCTGGCCCAACACGAAGGTACACGCGTCCCTCGCGTCACGAGGAGATCGGTTTCACGCAGTATGCAAGGCTGGTCTCCTTGTTGTACGGCTGTTCTAAATTATTGTGCATACATTTTGACCACTACGCAAGGTAGAATTCCGCAAGCTATCTCTCGGACAGATAACACACCATGAACCCCAACCACGAACCCAGCACTCCTATTGCCGAGTATGAGCTGATGAACATCAGCGGCAGAAATTGATATCTGTTCCCAAACACTACCTGGTGAAGTAGCGAGCAGTAAGCCATCAACGGCACTGCTATTGCAATGTAGAGTAGAGCGAACCGGTCCAACAAGAAGACTCTCCTGCGTGCCGGAACCGGGGCCAGCTGATCAAAGGCATACAGGAAGATGATCAGCCAGGATATCGTGTAGCCAACCTTGATGGGAAACTCGGCCGCGGTGAACAGCAGCGGAAACAATGAGACGTGACCTGCAACAGCCAAAGGACGGAAACTTGCTAGGTATGGCCGGTCCTTGATCGACAGCAGGCTGAACGGAATGATCACCAGCAGGATTGCCTTTTCATGGACATGCCAGCCAAACAAGAAAGACGCGTATCCACAAAGGGTGAGAGCGCCAACGAACGACTCCCAATTCGGAGTAAACCATAGTTTTGTCAGGGCAATCGTCTGAAACGCAAGTGTGAGTCCGAAGCACGTCTGAGCCGTAATATCCGGTAGAACAGCAAACGAGGTATCTCCAACCAAACCTCGGGTAACGCTGTGCACGGCCTTCTCGTCCACACTGAGACCAAGATAAGGCGCAGCAACGATTAGCACTCTGTCAAGGAAGGAGTATATCGCCCATGCGTTTGGTGCCCAATATGCGTGGCAGAGACCCCGCGCGAACGGAAACAGTCGGCTCTTCAGTTGGTCTAATTGACCCCATGCTGCGAAAGGCCCAAATGCCGCACCGAAGATGCCGATTACGCTTGTCCCGAGTTTGAGAATGTTGGTGAGCTGCGGCCGAAACATGTTGTTTGGGTGAAGACAATATGCCCGGAGTAGGTAGACGAAGTAGGCGGGCGCCAAATATAGGTAGATGTGTTTGAAACACAGCAGTACTGCGAAGAGGATGCCACTGAGCAACATAGTCGATCCCTTCCTTGCGAACACAATCGACAGGATCAAGATGCCATACAGGAAGCCATTGTACTGAAAGTGGATGTGGTCAATGATCAAGAAGCCGGGCGAGAGGAGAATGGATAATGACACAGCATGGCTCCGGCGTCGCGTCGAGGGCGGTGAAGACTCCGTGTATCTTCCTTGTTAGCTCGGTCTCTCAAAAAGGGAGTCAACCTACTTGTATAAAGCATAGACCAGGAGTAACTCTGTAATGATGACCGAACTCCGCTGAAAACATATGGTCGCCCAGGAGTCGTAGTTCAAATTCTGAACTTGCACCATTCCAGCATCAATCAGGCTGGCCGGCCATGACAGACACCATTCAAACACTGCGAAGGCCGGAGGGTAGTCCAGAGTCCATTCTGAGGTAGCCTGGTAAACCCGTCAGAGAGGACTGTACCACACGCTAGCCCTCAGCTATCCCGACCTCATAATACCACTTCTTCACGGGCAATGAGTGGGTGATGGCAAGCCAGTTCCGATGGACCTCGAAGTCTGTGGACTTGTACGCTGGGAATAGCAGTATCTTCAAGGCACCGGCTACAATGGCTGTCTGAAGCAACGAAGGCCATTGATCATGACCGGGTCTGTTTGGCTTCGGCTGCCTCTTTTCCTTGAAAAGTATTAGCCAGGTAATAGCGCAGACTCTCTAAACATGGCTGGAAGCTCACCGGAACGATTGGTGTCTTGTCACGGAACTGGTTCAATGATTGTGAGACGGCAGAGGCCATTGCGAAGAGGCACGTCTAGCTGGACCTGGAGGATGATGTCCCGGGCACGCACACACAGGTCGACTGTAGTTAAGGCCAAGACACGATCAAGGCCAATGCCGCACCGTACTGTGTAGAAGTGACGCCCCCATTGTACGGAGACGCACAGAGCAAACACACGTTGACGAGCTCTGTCCGAAGCGTGTCCTCTTCTTCTTGACGTAGCCGGTGCGAAGAAGTTGTTGATGCGTGTTGAAATGTCTGTCTGTCTGCCCTGGACATGACATGACACCTGGTGACCAACTATACATTTCTCCATCCACACTATAATCTGTATCTTATGGACTCATTTGAGAGCTTTAAACATCATGTTGTGTTTCAGAATCTAAACGTCCGTCATCTCGTCGAGCCCGCGCCGTCCACCCTCGACCTTGCGCGAGAGATCCGTTACTGTGTAATTGCCGTTTGTGCTACTTGGGCAACTGTATCAATATTCAAAAGTTGGATGTCGAGCACGAGAGCCTCCTCTTCCTGAGATTTACTCGCCTTTGTGGATTTCGAAACTGTGCCAGCACCGGTCGACTGCTTTCTCTGTACAACAGCCACCATGAAGGTCGCTCTGCCTGCGCCATTGATCTCCCTACTCTGGGCGACATGCTCATTCGCTCAAAATGTCGTCGAAGACATGTCCTTCGGCCACAAGAACACCCTCTCACCTAACTCCTTCGCCATCCCGGGCTGGGCCATGCTTGGTGAGGGGCACGTGCCTCAACTCCTCTCGGACAAAGTCATCCTCACTCCTCCCTACGGCGGCCACAAGCGAGGCGCATTATGGGCAGAACAGAAAAACACCCTGCAGGACTGGGCGGTGGATTTCAAGTTCCGAGCGGGAGGTCAGGACAAAGCAAGCGGCAATCTGCAGCTGTGGTACGTGGCCAACGGAGACAAATCAGTCAGCACATCGAGCCTCTACACCGTAGGTAAATGGGACGGCCTGGCCATTGTCATCGACACGGTCGGGGGCGTGCAGAAAATCCGTGGCTTCCTGAACGACGGCTCCGTCGAGTACAAGAGCCACCAGAACGTTGACGGCATGGCGTTCGGACACTGCGACTACGTCTACCGCAACCTGGGACGACCTTCCCACCTCAAAGTGCGACACACTCGTGCGGGAGGCCTAGAAGTGAGCGTCGATGACCAACCCTGCTTCGCAACCGCGAAGGTCAGCCTCCCGACAGACTACAACTTTGGCATGACCGCCGCCTCGGCCGACCCACCGGACTCCTTTGAAGTGTTTACGTTCACCCTCTCCTCCGTCACGACCCCTCCGCCCGCGCAGCAGCAGAACAACCAGAACCAACCCCCACCTCCAACATACCAGAACCAACAAGCCCAACCGCAAGGCGGGGCCGGCATGTTCGCGTCCGACGACACGCCCGCGTCGCACTACACCACCTCGGAAGCCCAGTTCGCAGACCTCCACAACCGGCTGAACCTCCTCTCCAAATCCATCTCCAACCTCTTCACCGAACTGCAGCGCGTGTCGTCCACACTCGACACCCGCCACAATGAGCTGCTCTCCCGCATCCCGTCCTCGCAGAGTATCTCCTCGCTCGACAACCGCGTCGCGAACCTCGACCGCGTCGTCTCGGCCCTGGAGAAGGAGCTCAAGAGCAGTGACCACCGCACGCAGTTTGCCAAAATCAGCGAGCAGATAGCACAGACCCACCTGGGCGTGACGGAGCATGTGCCGCAGCGGTTGAGGGAGTACGTGATTGCGCATACGCCGCGCATCGGATTTGTCTTGTATAGCTTCATGGCCTTTCAGACGTGCTGCATTGCCGGGTTCGTGTGGTACAAGTGGCGGAAGAGCACCATGCCGAAGAAGTACCTGTGATGGTAATGATGAGGACAAAGGCATTGGGAAGGCGTCGGGCGGCCATCTTTGAAGTACTGTACTGTATGCCAAACGCAATGGAATGGAATGGGATTACATGCGAGCGATTTGCTCATGTTCTTCTGGGTAGATGGTCTATCTAAGCTTGTCTCCATGGTCTATTCCGCCCGTTGATTGCTGTTCGTGCTATTCAACTCTTTTGGGGGTCTTCGTCTTGCGTCGATCTCGATTTCGTCGTGCCTTCGTCTCCCCATCCACAATGCGCCCATCCGTTCGTGACTGGTGCCGTGCCCCGCTCATCACCCGTCTAGGGCTTGCACCGATACGCAAACCGCGGGTACAAGCAACATTCCCTCACGGTCCATCTCCCACACACCCAGGCCAAGAACCGCTCCAACCCCAACCCGTACCCACCGTGCGGACTTGTCCCATACCGTCTCTGGTCCGTGTACCAGTAGTATGGTTCCGGGTCGATCCCTTCGCGCTTGTACCCGGCCATCAGCTCGTCAAAGTCCGAGATCCTCATACTCCCACCGACGATCTCGCCCACGCCCGGCATGAGCACGTCGACCGACTCAGTAACTCTGCGGTCGTCCTTGTCGCGGGGCATGTAGAAGGCCTTGATCTCGGCGGGGAAATGCGTCAGCAGGATGGGCACGTTGAGGATGTCGGTCATCTTGCGCTCGGCCGCCTCAGCAATGTCGTCACCAAAGGCGTGGGGCTGGCCCTCTTCGTTGGGGATCTCGTGTTCGACCAACCAGTCGATCGCGTCCGAGTATCGCATCCGCTTGAACGGCCGGCTGGGCGGCTTGAAGTCCGGGTTGAGCTCGGCGATGAACTTGGCCACGGTGGTGTCGGCGAGCGCAATGTTGATAACGCGGCAGACGACGTGTTCGATGTGGGCGAGCAGGTCGTCGAAGGAGATGAAGTCGAGTTCGCCCTCGATGTGTGTGTACTCGCTGAGATGCCGCCGTGTCAGGGATTTCTCGGCCCGGAAGGATTTCTCGATGCAGTACACGTCGCCCAGACCCGCGAGGCAGGTTTCCAGGTACAGTTGGGAGGATTGCGTCAGGTAGGCCTTTTCACCGTAGTAGTCGAATTCGAAGAGGGTGGCGCCGCCTTCGACTTGGGTTTGGACCATGGCGGGTGGAGAGACCTTGGTCATGTCCAGTTCTTCGTACGTCTTGACGAAGGCGCCCTCGATGGCGGCGCGGACTTTCATGACTCTGGAAGCGACGTCGCCCCGAAGCACGAGGTGGCGGTTGTCGAGGAGAGTTTGTGGGTCGCCGTCTTGTTGGACTTTGTTGGTAATGGCGTCTTTGTCGCCAGCCGCGACCCCGATCACGGTGAAGAAGTCGGCGTGGAGTTCCCGATCCAGAGGCGCGTGGGCTCCTGGTGGCAGGGATTTGAGCTCACCTCGGACTTCGAGCGAGGTTTCCAGGGTCAGGGTCATGGCGGCGTAGGTCTTGATCAGCTGGCCGGTAAAGACACATTGCATGAGGCCTTTGCCGTCTTTCAACGTCACGAAAATGACATCTTTCTGCGACCGGAGGTGGTGGACGCGGCCAAAGACTTTGACCCGAGTGCCTTTGGACTCTGCTGTGCCCAGTTTGATCTTCACAGGGTCGACGACGTTGAGCTTGATCCGCACGGGCTCGGGCAAGCTCTTGTCTTCTTCGAGAATCACCTTCTTGGCCTCTTCCAACACGGCCTTCCGCTTGTCCCCTGCTTCCTTGTCGCGAATGGCGAGATCGACAGCCTTGGCCAATTTCTTTTTATGCTGTTCATAGAGGTTGGTTGCTTTCTTCAGGGCGGATTTGGCGGCAGGTTTCCATTCCAGCCGGGTCGCTGGGTCGCCGTTGGCATCTACCGGGCCAGTTTCGGATTTTCGTGTCTGATACGAGGCTCCTGGGTGTTGAATCATGGCGTATAGAAGAGTTTTATACGGTGCCTCCTGGGAGCCGGCGGCGGACTCCTCGTCCCGGCCGACGTCCTCGTCGACGTAGATGGTGTCCGCCATGTTTGTGTGCAAGCGTTTCGTTGACAGTGGCAGCTAGGAGAAAGCGCTTTCTGGCTCACCCGACGATATTGAGTGAGTCGAAAAAGCTGCATGAGTCAACGGTGGCTTATCTGATAGACTGAAAATTAACATTTCGGGACCTGGCGTCTAAGCGCGCTTAAGAGAAACAGTGAGGCTAAACTCGGGCAGGAACGCCGGTACAAGTTTCATTTGTGCTTCAGAAGCAGCGCGTCATGCACAGCAGTTCTACGGAGTACTTACTCCGTACTGTACTCTCAATTGAATATGCTCGTGTTCCGAATTGCCCAAGACTTTAGTACAAGGCAACCTGCGTACGAAGTGCCTCGTAGGGTATTAAAGGCTTCGTGTCTTGCTCCTACTGCCGTGATAGACGCTGCGGGCATTCTCGTTGGTCTCACAAGCGCGCCGATGCTCACGTCTCCGATCATGCTCAACTTCCGGCCTGCAATCAAAGTAAGCGCCACACATCCACAACTCAAGTTGACGGCGGTGAAAATGTCCGCAGCCGGCCTGTCACCATCACTTGAGATTGATCATTCGCAGAGGTTGGCAATGCTTGTCGAGGTGTCTCTCTTGACGTTGCTGGCAGACAATATGATCTATTGGACAGCAAGACGGCTCTGTTTCTGTCCTCCCCAGCTTTCGCAGACTGCTGTGCGCTGTTAAACCCGGCCGCGGCTCGTATCCAATTGGCCATCCACATTCCCGGCCCCTTCGAGGTTCTCCATAAATGCAATCTATCGCCTAACCAAACTGTCCATAGCGCGGCCTTACCTGCAGATTGATCATCCCTCTCCATCATCTTGCAGCCACACGTTGTGAACCTAAACTCATTTCTCCTGTATCAGATTCACCTTGAACCACGACCACCTGCGGCCCGGGTGCAGTCGAGCTTCAGATCCCCTGGCGATGGGGAGTTGCTACCAGCCTGCGTCCTGTGTTGGGAACTGGCACTGGAATGCTGCCCGACTCCGCTACGACACCCATGGACGCGGGCATCTGGTGTCTGTTTGAGCCACATCCGCGTGCCTGATGGTTTTCTCCGGGCACTTTCCCCCTTATTTCTGATGCCACAGGCGAGCCTCCTAGCCACCCATTTCAATTTAGCGATCCCCTAGGCTCTCGACCCCGGTCAATTGGTAGCCTCCATTTCTGAGCTCTACTTTCACTAATTCCTGCTGCTCACAGTTGCTCCTTCTTCTCGACTCTCCCTCCGCGCCGCTACCGTCTTCTTTTCTATTCCGTCCTTTTGTTCCCTTCATTCGCTCGTTCGAGTTGTCTATTAGCCTTTATTTTGGATCTTTACGCCCGATAGACTCGCTTGTACCAGTCCATATTCAACCAGCTCCTTCGTTTTGTGCAGACTCTGCGAGAACCACACCCTCCGCATGGTGGATCAACACGTCCGGCCGATCGTTACGTATACCTTGATTGCGAAGAGCTGCTTTTCGACGACCAGGTACTGTGCCTCCTGGCAACCACATTTGTCCCGACCACAGCGAGTTTACCAGTACCAAGTTGTCCTTGGACCGGGTCCCAAGGGCACAGTCAGACAGTAGTCCCATATGCTTGCTGCAATGCAGAGTCAGGACGTGTTTGGAGGATATGGCGGGCGTTTCCCTTCTTCAAAATATGGTCCCGATAATACAGGCTTCAGCCATGGCGTGTACCCTCCTACCCAGACGAGCTATCCCCCCTTCGCTGATCGCAACATGAGAAAGCCGGTGATTTCCTCGATCGCTACTTCCACCAAAGATCACCAGCATCCTTATAGTGCCAACGGAGAGACACCCGCTACCGCGTTTGATATGAGCTTTACCCCCCTGTTGCCCTCGCAGCTCCTCCTCGGCAGTCCGTTCCAACCTGGGTCACCTGGTGCATTCGCTTCTCCCCAGTTTCCGACCTTCAATCGTTTTACTCCGGGAACAAATGCTCTCCACAATCAAACTCGGCAGTATCAGCAAAATCAACAGATGCAGGCGCAGCTGCAAAGTCCCACCCAGCCTCATGCCAATCCTCTGTCTCCCCAGGGCTATCAGGGTGTCATGTCACCAGAGACCTACACTGCACAGTCTCCAACCGGATTCGGCGGCCTCGGTGGTGCTGCGTTTGGACACTACCAGCCTATGGTCGGCATGGGCAATACGTGGATGGCTGGGACCAGCCGGACTGTATATCTGGGAAACATTCCTGCCGATACTTCTGCAGAAGAGATATTGAGCCATGTTCGAAGTGGACAAATCGAATCCGTCAGGCTGCTGCCAGAGAAGAACTGCGCTTTCATCTCGTTTCTTGATAGCAGTTCTGCGACGCACTTCCACTCTGATGCTATTTTGAAGAAATTGTCCATCAAAGGACATGACATAAAGATCGGCTGGGGCAAGCCGTCCCAGGTGCCTACCTCTGTTGCTCTGGCAGTGCAGCAGTCAGGCGCATCGAGGAATGTGTATCTGGGTAATCTGCCCGAGGACATTACTGAGCAAGAAATCCGAGAGGAACTGGGCAAATTCGGGCCGATCGACACCATCAAGATGGTGCGCGAGAAGGCAATCGCGTTCGTCCACTTTCTTTCGATCAGCAACGCCGTCAAGACCGTAGCACAACTGCCTCAAGATCCCAAGTGGGGCCCTCCCCGTCGAGTCTATTACGGCAAGGACAGATGTGCATATGTCTCCAAGACACAGCAGCAGAACGCAGCACAATACCTGGGCATTGCACCGGGCTACGCGCATGTGCTGAACGGGGCAGACCGTGACTTGATCTCGAATGCACTTGCCCAGCAATCGGTGGCTGCCGCCGCAGTCGCAACTACGGCTGGAGGCGTCAATAACCTTGGGAACCGAACGGTCTATCTTGGAAATATTCACCCTGAAACGACCATCGAGGAGATCTGTAATGTGGTACGCGGAGGTCTCCTTCATCATATACGATATATTCCGGACAAGCACATCTGCTTTGTGACATTCATTGATCCCACTTCAGCCGCGTCTTTTTATGCACTGAGCAACCTGCAGGGGCTGATGATCCACAACCGCCGGCTTAAGATTGGCTGGGGGAAGCACTCTGGAGCTCTTCCACCTGCCATCGCTCTGGCTGTAAGCGGAGGAGCTTCTCGAAATGTGTACATCGGCAATCTGGACGAGAGCTGGAGTGAAGAGCGGCTACGACAAGACTTCTCGGAGTATGGTGAAATCGAGCTGGTCAATACCCTACGCGAGAAGAGCTGTGCCTTTGTCAACTTCACCAACATTGCGAATGCCATCAAGGCTATCGAGGCCGTCCGGCAACGTGATGAGTACAAACGGTTTAAAATCAACTTCGGCAAAGATCGCTGTGGGAATCCACCGCGTCAGAACCTGAACAACGCCAACGGCAATCAGCCTCGGCTCCAGAGCTCCCTCGATGGTGCAGGTTCTCCAGCTGCAATGAATGGGTTCGAGCACGCTGTGTCGCAGTCGGGATCTAGCCCGACGAGGTCGACTATCCCAACGGGCCCCAAGGCCTCGTTCGCTCCCCAGTCTCAGGCAAATGCTCGTCAAACGAACGTATCTGCGTCTACGCCATCGGCCATTCTGAATGCAGGCAACAACAATCCGCTGACCATGTACCTCTCTCACGTCTCTCAACAGCAGGCTCAAGCTGAGCAGGACATGAGAGACGATAATTTGACGTTTGCTCAATTGCAACAACAACAAAACCAAGCTTTGGCTAATCAACAGGCAGCCCTGTATGGTGATATGCCAAACGGACACAGTGGACTGGACGTCCCATCTCCTTCCCACGTCCCTCGGCAAAGCAGTATCAGTGGCGGCTTTAATACCAGCTCTCTCAGTAATGGTGTTTCAACCACCATCGGGGGGCTTCTCGCCCCTACTAATACCGGCCTTGGAGCGAACAGAAGCGCACACTCCCGTGCCGTGTCGCTGCCCGCGTTCTCGCAAGAGATCTTCGGCGGGCCGAGTTCTGCGCAACAAGGTTCATCTTCATCTCGCGGCTTCGGTGGCCATGCACCGCAGGGAAGCTTCGGCGGATTCGGGTCCGCATTTGGTACGGGCTTTGGTACGAGTGGCTTCAATGGTCTAGGCCTCAGCAGTGACGGCCGTGGAGGCCTTTCTGGCTGGGCGGAGGAGGAAGTGGGGGCTAAATAATATGTTCTAATTGACATCCTTTCTTTGGGTCAGTGTGGGATATGGTATGCACGTCTGCTTTGATGAGGTTTTCGCTCTGGGTGCGAGCTATCTGTTCTAATACTCGTGAATTTGGGCACGGCGATCTGATGCGGATCTGGAACTGCATCTCGGTCTTTTCCTTGTGGCTGTTCTCTGATTCAGGCTCTCAAAATCCGAGTTTGGATTGTCTCGGCGACAAAGTCATGTAACCAAATGTACATATAGCGGTTTGGAAAAGCGATGGTGGCATGCTAAGGGAATCAAAGTCTGCGGTACACTACAGGCCACCACCCTTGAGGCTCTGCCACCACTGTCTGCAGCATCATAGATAGTAATACTGTACTACGGAGGCAAACAGTTACCAAGCTTGAATCCGCTTGCACGTATCGCCGAATTTAATCTCAACGCAACCAGATCTCGAAGACGAGACGGGCACGAGCAGCGTCATCCATGGTGGTGTTCTGGAAGATGAAGCGACAGCTGCTGCAAATCACTCGTGACTACCACGACTATGGCGTGGTCAAGCAGGCCGAGATTGGCTAAAGAAACCACAGTCCAGGTTGGTTGTGCTCGACGTGGCTTCACTACTGTGGACGTATCAGCATTGCGTGCTTCGATGGCTGCTTGTTGTCCCAACACGAATCTCTCCAAAAGACTTGGCTGTCCCGACGCAGGAGTTTCGCGTTCAGGACCTTGCCAGATTGAGGCGTAGATAACGCCAGGAAAGGCGAGCGTGTCCCAGTCGAGAAGGATGGGGAAGCTTTGCTCATTTGGGTACGAGTCCGACTCAGCTGAAAATGCTGTGTACTGGGAATACCGAAGGCGGCCGTTGTCAGTGCTGCGCTTTGATTCCGGGCAATGATAATAGAGACAGAGATACGGAGTACTCCGTACTGTAGCTTGTACTCTGTGAAGGGCACGAGTACCTTGATTAACTACAGTACCTACTGAACGAGCTACTGTACCGTGAAGAGAGGGAAGCGGAAGTCAGGCACCCAGGCACCGGAGACTTGATCCCCAGGCGCGCCTAATCCAGCAACCGTCCAGACCCCGGCCCCCATTCTCTCGCGCTCGTCCATGTCCGCAGCCACAGCTTCTCCATCCCTCCCTCTATGGGCTTTGGTGCTGTGGTCTGCGTCTGTCTGCGCTGCGCTCGTTCACGTCCGTCCGCATCGCATCCACGTCGTCTCCCTCAGCAGCTGTCACCACCTGCATCCTCGCGTCCGTCCCCTCACAACTTGTCATTTCCGGTAAATGTCACAGCCTCTTTTCCAGAAAGACTAGACTTCTTCCAGCCCAGGATTCTGCGTCTTGAACATAACCACGTCCCTTCTCTCGCTGGTCAATTTTACTCTATTCGTCCTGGATCCCCTGGGGCCGTTGACCGCCCTGTCTCGACCACCACCGCCGACTTCAGCCTGCCTTTTGCCGTTCTCTGTCAGTCCCGTGGATGAAGAAGAGATTGGACAATATGAGCTGACTGGATTGACAGTCTCGACTCCCTATCACTTGATATCAAACACTGGATCTATCGTTCTCGAAACTCCCTTACCGCCCTACGATCGCAGGCAGAAAGTGAAGTAACAGTTCGGCCCTCACAAAGGCCGACTCGTTATATTTCGTTCTACAAGTCACTGCTCGCGGCTGGTACTTTCACGTCTGGTGAGTCAAGCAAGATGTTGTCCCACCTCCAGAGCATTGCGCCTGGGAAAAGCAAGAAACTAAAGGTTCGCGTCCTCAGACCCATCAATCCGAACCGCATTCGTCATCTTGAGAACGATATCTTTGAGGTGAACGAGAGCGGCATGGTTGTTGCCACGATCAAGTGAGTTTGCCGGATGCCGGAAAAGACAGCGCCATAATTGACACATGCGGGCAGGTGTGTGGTCGTTGGCGACGGTGCGGTTGGCAAGACATGCTTGTTGATCTCCTACACGACAAACAAATTCCCCTCGGAATATGTTCCCACGGTCTTCGACAACTACGCCGTGACGGTGATGTGAGTTCTATCTCTCAGTTCTGAAGCCAGGGTCGCATGCACATCTAAAGTCTTATGACCAGAAACTGCCACTCTGACCTCACCCTTTCGTCTATCGTCACCTGAAACACTTGTGCCCGTCTGAACTAATCTTGGATCTGCAGGATCGGCGACGAGCCATACACACTGGGTCTCTTTGATACTGCCGGACAAGAGGACTACGACCGACTTCGACCATTGTCATATCCCCAAACGGACGTCTTCCTTGTCTGCTTTTCCGTCACCTCGCCAGCTTCATTCGAGAACGTGCGAGAAAAGTGGTTCCCAGAAGTCCACCACCATTGCCCCGGCGTACCTTGCCTGATTGTTGGAACTCAGACCGATCTCAGAGACGACCCATCTGTGCGTGAAAAGCTTGCAAAGCAGAAGATGCAGCCAGTGCGCAAGGAGGACGGCGAGAGAATGGCCAAGGAACTGGGAGCCGTCAAATATGTCGAATGCAGCGCCCTGACCCAGTACAAGCTCAAGGACGTGTTTGACGAGGCCATCGTGGCAGCGCTAGAACCTCCGCCAAAGAAGAGCAGTAAAAAGTGCACGATCTTGTGAGAGAGGGACTTTGGATCATCCAGACGAGGGGCTGATCATCCTTCCTTCCGAGGTTTGTGATACTCTTGCTGTATCACCAGGTGCCAGGTTCCCTCGCGCTAACCACATTTTGCATAGCACACAACCTTCTTCATTCTCGTTCCAGGCCCGCGTGCGGAGCATTTTCATGAGCTCGGATTGTAGCCATCTTGGACACGGAGGGAGCTACTGGTACAGTAGGAGACATTTTCTGCTGCATTTCCCAACTTGAAATGTGCATGTGTATTCCTGCGACACATCGGAAAGAGTCCTGTCCCAAAGCTTCTACCTGTGGTCACGTCGGTGAAGACGGGGAATGCTTTCTCGCAATATCTCGTTCTCATTGGAGTTCTTGTACCAGGTGATCCGGAGACCTTGGAGTGCGGAATTGGGTGTGGTATTTCCCAACGGGCTTACAATCTTGGAATTTCCATCGGCAGGCTTCAGGCGTCGGATGGCGTTCACTTCCACAGTCGAGATCGAGACTTTCAAATTCATTGCAAATTGCACCACCCTGAGCTTGGGGGATCTCCAGAATTGCCGGTTCCCGGACGAGCGAACGCTGACGAGACTCTGCTTGTTGTTTTGTGTGTTCGTCTTCGTGCTCATTGTCTTCCCTATGTGTCCGTTCAAGCAAGATGAGGCTTCCCATGAATTTGCTGGTTCCTCTCTATCTGATTTCCTTCGGTATCTCTCAGTCCTCTACTCAATTCTACATTGACCAAGCACTCCAAGCGCCTTCACTAAACAGGGACATGTTGGAAAGCACACAGCGCAGTCACTATATAAGGACATATTTGAAAGCACGCAGCACTATCCTGTCTTCAGGGCCACATGTATAGCAGACAAGGAGCACAGCTTTGGAACCAATCGTACGCCCACAACTACTATAACAATGATCATGATGTTGACGGTGACAGTAGCAACGGAACAAGAACAAAAGCAACGGGAGTCTAAGCTACCGAACAGAATCTCAGCCCGATCAGACAGGAACACTACAGTAACACTCTTGGATAAGCGGAGTGACCTGGGTCTACTCCGTACTGTGAGTCTCATGTCTCATGGCCACCAACAAGGGATCTTGATCCAAGTATGGCTGTGGTACGTATGCAGAAATATCCTGCCTCTGCCCCTGCCCCCGTCTCTGCTCCTGTTCCTTGTACACTTCTTTGGTCCATCTTCGGACCAACCCTCACGAGCACTCCTTCACTCCACGATCTCGCATTGTCTGTCCACCAAAGCAACGCTTACCTTGAGCGTAGGTCGACAGATGGGCTTGGGAGATCAAGAAAGACAACCGAAGCGCCATGACACGGAGGATCAGACCAGTTACTTGGCGCACAACGGAGTTCCACAAGACAATTCAATACCTTACCTGCTATAGGTACTTATGGGCCTTACTGTAGTACTGTAGGCCCCTCTGCCCTTCCCACTGGGTGCTACTACGATAACCGACATTTCCCACTCAGGCGCGTCGTTTACTGTTGCTCTCAATCGACCGACAGCTGGCGCTCAATACCCAATCGGAACTGGACTTTACCTTTTCCCAGAACACACCATCATACAATAGCAAGCACCGGTAGTGGTAGCGGTAGCGGTAACGCGACCAGTGTCGCTCTCGGAACCACACCCCCCTCCCCACCATCAGATGCTTCACATGGACTTCACATACACGATGGATCAGAGGATGTGAGTTGAGAATGAGATTGAGGTCGACTCCCCATCTCTTCGTTCGATACCCTTCTTTTTTTCCCTCATCCCCTTCCAGTCACTCAGTCAGCCGGCTCGCCAGCCAGCCGAGGAACCAAGCAAGCTGCGCGCCGGTCAGCCAGTTACAGTACAGAGTCCTCGACGTGCACACTTGAAGCGTGTTGGACATGAAACCTCGCGGGCTGGCTCTGCTGGCCTCCCATCACGGCTCCGAATAATAACAGGGGTAGAAGATATACCTGCATCCGACAGTACCTACATAGCCCGGGCATGTCGCAGTCGCAGTACCAGTCGCTGTCGCTGCCGGAGTTATCCAAAACAGCTCTACGCTGACCTCTGCTCATGAGATTTGAGTTCTGATTGATATAATTAGGTAACATGATAGCAACTGCGTACCAAGGGCATCGCTCGAATACACCTACCTACCCAGGTACGCTACCTATCCATTATCGGGCTGCTCCTCAGTCAGTCAATTAGTCAGTCAATCACTCGCTCACTCACTCACTGACTGTCAAGGAGAGGTCCACAGACAGCCTCAGGAGGATCGCCCAAGAAGACTGAGGAATCCGGGGGGCACTTCTATGCTGAATCTATGGATCTCTTAGCTTGTATGCTTTGTTGTGAAACCCGAGCGAGGGGCGAAGGCTACCTGTGTTTTTCATGACACGCACCCTTCGAGCTGGACTAGGCGGGCTGTTATGTAAATGTATCCTTGTTTCTTTTGACGTGCACCCTTCGAGCTGGACTAATTCGGCGGGCTGTTATGTAGTTGGATCCTTGTTTCTTTTGACGTGCATATGTACTTCATGTCGGATCGCGTGAGGGAACTGGACACCCTCGACACCAGCACACACGCTACGCAGTATAGATGACATAGTATAGAGGACTCAGCACACAGCACAACGGACCACAACCACGATATCATTGAGATGGCTAAAACCCCAACCAACCAAGCACGGAAGAAGAAGAATGCTATATTTCTCCATCCCCATCCGGATATCAAGGCTACTCCGTACTTCCTACTGTACGAGTACAGGACAGGACATGACATGCATGGCCCTTTTTTCCACGTGGCATCGCTCTGCACATTCATTACAATATCTTCCATTTAGGGTGCGGTGTGCGGCGTGCATGTAAGAGAGCGCGCCCAGGTATCTCTCGTACGGCGGAGGAATGAGTATCCTTCGCCCAGAAGCACAATTCAAGAACCCATCTCTATCCCGTCCATCCCGTCCATCCCGTCTGTACCGGTTCCATTCCCGGCCCCATTTCCATTCCCATTCCCATTGCCGTACCCGTGCCGAGGGACAAGGAGTTTCGATGCTCGTGCATATCCTACAGGTGTTGACTTTCTGGACACCGAACTGTCATCTGGCCATTGTAGACTTTCCTCCCGTTTCGCCATCCAAGCGGGTTTGCCGGCGTCGGCAAAGGGTCCAAGTGGAAACTCGGCTTCGGCCTCGTCATCCGCGTCTTGCGCGTCCCCATACTCTGGTGTGTCACCGTTGAGTAACTTTGTTCTTGAAGCAGCGCTGAACTGTAAGGCAGGGTCGATGGGCAAGTCCTGGACTGGAAATGTCTTCGGTGGAGGTACGTCGAACCCGCCACTTCGCAGGATTGGATCAATGTTTGGGTCTTGAGCAGGAGGGATCCGGTTGCCGTTCACACTTCTACCCGAGTGTCCGGTCTCTACCGGGCCCAATCGGTTCAAAATTGCAAGTCTTCGGTTGATGAGCTCCTGGAGTTGTAGCAATTGGTCCACCTCTGTTCGTTCCGTAGCTCTCACGACCTTATCGGGAGCTTCGCTGATCAGGGTATTGGTCAATTCTGCTAGTGCGTCTCCCGAATATCCATCGATGCCCCTCTCGGACATCCGAGCGAGGTTCAATACGGTCTGCTGTTCTCTAATCGAACGTCTCCGCAGAGCGACGTTGGCTTTAGCAGTCTCTGTAATGGCGAGGGCATTTGCACCGGTGAAAAAATCCGGCTCGCGGATCTTGATAAGGCTCTGCTGAGGTGGATGATGAAGGACGGCGCCATCGGGACGGTATTTCCGGTTCCGGGTCTTCTTGGGCGCATCCATCAGTCTGGGGAAAGATTGGTCCTCGTACCAACTCTTCTTGACCCGGTCGATAAAGTCCAGGCGGATACCCATCTCTGGGACACGATAGACTCTGCCATTCATCTGCAATTCCTTCAATTTGCCGGCGTCGGGCTGGTCTTTCATGAGCTCCACCTCGATGACTCCATTGTTTCTAAAGCCGCGAGCGACGGAAATGTCCCAAGGTATGGCGTTCTTCGGCTTCCGGGGTTTGGGAATGCGACCGAGGTCGCCGGGAGCTTTCTCGGCTTGGCGACTGACAGACAAGAGGTCCTGATCGACATGAAGCGGACAGCGCCACGCGGCACCGGGCTTATCACCGGCGCGACGCCTGGGCGGTACGGCAAGCGGCGGATCTATGCAGTCCAGGTGCCATTTAGCAGGACAGAAATCGCACGGGATAATGTCGCGTCCATTGGTGGTCAGGTTGCACTGATAGCATCGGATCATATTGCCTTTGCCGTCGCGCGTCTCCTTGTAGTTGGGCTCCTCGATGAAGCCAGCCCGGTTCATCCTGCCGACATTGTTCTGGGTGCGCGGGAGACCGACTTCTTCATACTCGCCTTCCTCGCCCGTGCGGACCCCTTCAAAGTACTCGCGAATATCATGAGGTAACGCGTAGGCCTTGGGGATGATGTCGTCAACTCGACGGATGGCCATGCCCAAGAGACCTGCCGGAGAAGGCGCCTCTTTGGTTCTTCGGGCGACGCATCGTGGGCAGTACCATTCGCCTTCGACTTCTTCCTCAGGGTTTAGAGGGGGCTCCAGGCACGAATGATGGAACGAATTCGTGCATCCATCACAGCAGAGCAGCTTTCCTTCGCCACCGCACGACGCACAAAATTCATCATTATCCTGAAAAACCACGTCAGTGACCAAAAGTTGGAACATCAATCACATTGGCAGCGAGCTTTGGCAGGGAAGTGCATGTGGGCTGGAGGTGAGGTAGACAATGACAGAAAGCGGGCCAGGAGTAATCGGAGAAGAAGGCAGGATCAGGAGGTTGCTGAGAAGGGATTAGAAGGGGGAGGTGGTCCGGGAGCGTTGGCTGAGCCAATGGTGGCGCGGCACAGGTGGGAAAAAAAGGAAGAAATACGATGGACTTGGACGGGCTGCGTAGGCGTGATGCCTGGGGGTCTCGGGACTCACCTCTGCGCCTGAATCCGCCCCTTTGGCATTGCCGATCGCAGCATCACGGCTGTCACGCCCAGGCCCCGCACGTGAAATTCCCGCCGTGATTCCGCCATTCTTGGGCTTGTTGGGCCTATGGTTGACAAGTGTCAGTCGTTTGCTCCATCCAAACGTATACTCTGCCATTCGGTGCCTCATAAGCTGTTTTGGACAGGTGACCGCGGGAGCCTGAAATGGGCTCAGAGAGCCCGGCTGCCAACGCATTCCCAGAGCATTAAATAATCAAGAAGAAAATGCATGCACTTACGATACCATCACACGCGCAGATTTGCGAGTCTTCTGCGCAGGTGGTTGTTGTTGTTGTTGAAGCCTGGTCGCTCTTGGGGTTGCGGCTCGTGACGCAGCCTTTGCCACGCCCAGCGGCGGCGGTGGTACAAGCAGCGGACCTGGAGAGGATGATGCGGCTGAAGTAAGGTCAAGGTCATCGGCATCAACTTCATCATAGGCTCTCTTGCGGCCGGTGCCGTTGGTGGGGATATCGCTAGCCGGTGCCTGTACGCTCAAGGCAGACGGGAATGCCGCGTGCGAGACGGCGAGTCGGTTGGGGTGAATGACGGGCGGAGGTGGATCGTCGGTCACCACAGGGCGTTCTGGGTGGCCGTGAATTGGCCCTCGTTCGCTGCTTTCCGGTCGAGGAATGGTGTTATAGTCATGGAAACTGTCATCCAGAAAATTTCGTTTCCGTCGAGAGAGCTCATCGATATCGAATTCGGTTTCTTCTCGTCCCTTCTTGAATCGCTTGCTGGCGTTGGCCCTCGAGGCAGTCGCGGCCTCTAGTTGGGAGTGGTCGGGCGATGGTTGAGCAGGATGATTTGTGGCACTGGCAGATGAACGGAGTCTGCTGCCAGCTGTGCCCCGGCTTTTGTCTTGGCGCCGTGCAGCTGACCCCGATTGTCCACTGCCATCTGGGCCATCCAGCTCCATCCATGTGGACAGGTTGATCGGCGCTCCATCAAAGACCGACGGCGGCGACGACAGTGAAGAGGAACTGGATAGACTGCCTGATCGTTTTCGTTTGTGCGGCGAGATAGTCGCGCTTGGCCGAGTCGTCCTCGTACTTAGCTCAGAGACGCCTAACTGAGGCGGCACCGTGGACGGCGAAACGGGCATCTCCTCAGAACCGTATGTATCCGCGGGTGCTTTTCCGCTGAAGTAGAGGCTGAGCCTAGGATGTGGCTGTTCGGGATAGCCAGGTGGAGGAATCTGGGCGTGACGTGGTCTCGGTGAGCGTTCTCGGTAATTGGGCGAAGTGAGCTCGCTGAATCTCTGAGGAGACGGATGGTAAGGGCTAGCGGACATTTCAGACTCTCTTCTGTGCTGTTTGACACCAGATTTGATGTAGCGCTTGAAGAGTTTGAACTGGCCTGGGGTGGGCGAGTTGTTCATCATGGCCTCAACGACATTCCACAGATCGTAGTTGATGTGAGCATCCTCACGGATTCGCTGAAGACCATTCACGAGAGCCGGCGTGTTCTTCTGCTGGGCTTCCTGAATGGCGCGCTCCACATGAGTCCGAAGTCGGTCTTGCCGTAATTGCTGCTGGATCGACAGTGGTTTTGGTGACACATGCTGGGCAGGAGCCAACGGATACGTAATGGGCGACGGTGACAGGCCGCCAGGTTGTGGCAACTCTGCAGAGAGTCTCCCTGCGGGCCGACCTCGTGGCGGACTCGAGATCAGGCTGGTATCGGGCGGCACTTGATGGGGAGGAGGAAGCTCGTGAAATATTCCAGCAGACGGCCGCTCTGCCACTGCCTCCTCGACGGGCGACGCCAAATCCATCTTTTCTGCTGGCTCCGTCACGGGTGTGACCACCTCCTCCGCTACCTGTGCCGGTGTTGGTCGTGGCGAGGGTCTGGCATAGGTCAACTTCAACTTCTGCAGGAGGCGTTGCGAAGGCGCGGTGCCTAGGGGCTGCATGTTCTCCAGCACTCCCACCCTCTCGAGGCCTCTTGTATCTTCAAAACTCGGGGCCGGCGGTCGCAGCGCTGGCTCGATCCAACCGTCCAAACTGGTCTGTTGCCCATTTTTCGGCGGAGGCTCTTCGACGGGCTTGGGTGCAGGGCCTTTTTCACCAAATGTCGCAGGACTCGAGTAGCGGCTCGACCTGTGGCGCAGCGACCGAGTCGCCATGCTGCCTTCTTCCTCACGCCGCACGCGCCGACTGCCTAGATATTCGTTCAGGGACGTGCAACGAGCTGGAAGAGAAGGACTTACTGTGGCGCGAGCTGCAACTCGGCAGGCAATGGGCGTGGTGCGAGGGCGGGTGGCAGAGGCCTAAGTTCAACGGAGCATGGTGTTGTGGTGGTCGCAAACGCAGGAAATGCAGGAATCAAGAGACGGGCAAAGGGGCTTGAGCCTTAGCCTCTGGCCTGCGCTGCGCGGCTCCCACCCAGTCACTGCCAGTCACCCGCCGGCCTCCGCGGCGGCAGCTCTTCGGCGTCCCTGCAGCTGCAGCTCCCAAGGCTGAGAGCTCCCTGTTTTCTGTTACTCACTCTTACTCTTCCCTCACTTTCTTTTTCTCGTGTTTACGTGTGCCTGTCAAGCACCTCTCACCCCACGAACCAAGCGTTGGCAAGAGTAAAGTCCTGTCTGCCCATTCAGACGACAGCGACATTACGCCTCGCCTCATCTCAGGCAACAGTCGCTGTTTTCATCATGACGTGGCGACAGCTCTACCGGCCTGCCTTGGCCTGGCGTTGCCCCTCTTTTGTCTACAGTCTAATCGGATCACGGAGTCACCACAAACGAAACTCAGGCACAGGCAAGGACCATCATGGTGACACTTCTCGTTCATAGACTTCTGTATGATAAGTGTGTTTCTGATGTGGTCTTTTTCTCCGTCGACCCGTTGCAGCTCCTTGAGCTCCGGTGATAGCTCGACAACCAAGCCATCGTGACTGACATCGCATGCTGCCAACCTGAAACACAGCTCCTCCCGGTTGCGACTTGGTCACGTCAGATGCCCAACCAGTGAATCCCAATCATCCCGTGCACATTGACCGTCATCTGTAAGAAGCTATGTCTCATAGACAGTCTTGCTGGACGGCAATTGCACAAGCCATTCACTCCAGAGCGGTGTTGCGTTTCCGCCGAGAGGCAAACACTCACTCGTCGTCACTGTCGTCTTCGTCATCATCGTCGTCCTCTTCAGCTGCTGCGGCGGCCTTCTTAGCTGGCTTCTTCTTCTTTTTCTTGTTCTTGCTCTTTGAGCCGGTGGACTTGGCCAACGGACGTTCCAGGATAGCCAGAATCTCCTCGTCCTCGATCTTCTTGTCGGACTTGACAGCATCTAAATCCAACACAGGCGGGGCCGCAAGACGAACCAGGCCATTCTTTGTGATACCTAAATCCCACCTTAGCACGATGTAACAACATGAAATATGTCTCTGACTTACCAACGGTAGTGAACAGCCTCGAGACGGGTGATCCGTCTGCCTCGGCAGCTGGTTTGTACTCACGCAGCACGCCAGATCTGATGCACTCGACCACACCCACCTTACCGGCTCTCTCGTCGTCCAACTGCCGTAGACTGAAGGGGAAAGTGCCGAACTTCTTGACGATTTCTGAAAGAACCTGCCTTGAACTGGGCCGCTTCAAGCCGTAGGTCGTGGTGGTCCGTCTGAGTAGAGTTGATCGTTTGTCTAGCTCCTTGACCTTGCCGGAGCCCAGACTCATGCCCACTTCAACTCCCCAGACCTCGCCGACCTCTGCTGAACCTTCTCCCTTGGCGCCGTCGGCAGGAGACAGAATGATCTTCTTCTTACCCTCGATCTCGTTCTTTTCGAACAGCCAAGAAGTGGTATGCTGAACAACGTGGACGTCATAGGCTTTCGCTATCTTGTCGACAAGCGACGAGATCTTGGTCTGCGTAGGCGGTTTCTCCGCCGCGGCCTTCTTCTTCTCTTCCTCTGTGCCAGTCGCCAGTAGGCCCGGCGGGACTAACAATCTCAGCAGAAGTTCATTGGCATAGTGTGTGGCTAGCAGCAGGTCTGCCTCTCTCCCCGTGATATCTGCCTTGGCACCTTTTTCCTTGGGTACGACCACGGTATTACCCACAATCGCACCGAAGCCATCAATCTGTGCTCCAAGTTGGATCTTGATCAACTCTCCAGCCTTGATTGTGGTTGCTGCCTCCTCCGCATCCGAGACCAGGGGTGTAAAAGGAGTGACGTGGGAACTGGGTGATATCGTGCAAGGAGTAGCGATGCCTTTGTTGACCGACTTGCCCTTGTACACTGCATTGTGTCTCTGTTAGCCCTATAATGAAATGTTCAAAACCAACCGAGCCCGCGCCAGCCCAGGTGGTCGCAGTGAGCCCGGCTGCCTCCGCTGCTGCTGCTGCGTGGCAGAGGCTAACATGCCTTTGCTCAGCTCTTCGTCAAGAAGTGCGTCTCCCTTTATGCACAGATCCACAATCTTTTCCCCGTCGGCCAGCCATTTGGCAACTTCCTCGAGGACTTTGTGGCTGATGGTCGCCGCGATCTTGTACCTGAGCCGGAGGTTAGTAGAGGAACGAGTAGAAGGCCAAGAACCACGGGTGATTACTTGGTCAAGTTATCCGCATTGAGAATGGAAGTGTCTGGCCGAGTATGTCAGTCTTTCCTGTTCGTAGCGGAGAGTGTTGTTCCTTCAACCATAGTGGGGTGAGTAGCGTGCCCAGAGCCGGGACGTGTCCCTCGCCAGAAGTAGGTGTAGGTTTACGTACCGGCATCAGCAGTAGTGTCCGCCATGCTGACCAGGTGTGTTCTCGACGTGACTTTGTGGACAGGGAGAGGGAGAGGGTCAGGGTCGTGGTTACAGTCGAGCCCTCAAGGCGTTGGTGGGGAAATTTGAAGATGTGTTTGTGCGTGCATTGAAGACATGAGGGGAACCAGCCAGGCAGATCACACAGAGGCAGGGGTCAGGCAGTGCCTGGTGGTGCCTGGTCGAATCATGGCACACGACACACCACCTGCCCACCGCCGTCTGCCACATCAGTTCACTGTGGTCGAACTACAAAGACTCGACAAGACGAGCAGCATGGGATTAGAAGCTCTGCTCTGCGAGACATTATCAACACTTTCTGCTCTCGTTCACATAATCGTAGCTTTATTGGCAGGAAGACTATTCCAACGCTGTGAACAGGACATCTATCGTTGTCCGCGTACACAAATCCTAGAGTTGGATCTATGTGGACTCCTTCTTCGCCGTCCGGGCTTCCACGTGGGACCTATGATTGCGATTCTTCAGGTGAGACTCGAAGTTTGTGGCCGTCAAACCATCTCCCGGTAGGTAGACCTTGCCCTATCAAGAGCTGTCAGCGAAAGATTCGCTGTCAATTGCAACAGATTGTAACTCACAAGGCAGTCAGAGCACCTGATACGCGGCACATATTTGTGGGGAAATGATCGAGTGGCTTCACTCGGCGTAACAAGCTTCTGGGTGGCCGGATCAACGGCAGTATGTTTCATGAGGGCCTCGAAACGATCGTTCGGGTATGTTTTACGGAGACGTTGTAGATCTTGAACAAGCCACTCCGGCGGCGGAGGCTGAAGGCAAATATGGGTCAGCGCACATAGTGGTAAATGGACTTAATGACACTTACTGCTGGGGTCGTTGGATTGGCTGTGGCGTCAACTGCACCTGGAATATCTGTTGAAGCCGACGACGGAGCCATTGCTGGAGAGGGAGGAGGCGGCATGCCTACGAGATTCAGAGGCGCCGCGGATACAGACCGTGAATGCGTGCCAGGTCGAGGACTGCCGGCGTTCGACAAGTTCGACATGTGTGCGGCTCTGTCCCTGAGCCGTTGCGAACGCATCCATTCTCGCATTTTCGCTTTCCCGACTTTGAGCACGACGACCAGCTTCTCCGGCGCAGATTCATCGTCGCTTTCTTCCTTGTAGTCTCTCTTTCTCGCTGATGCTCGCCCTTCATGATGCGATGGTGCTATTGATTCGGGTGTCGCCGACCTAACCGATGCGAATCCGCTCAAATTCGATCTTATACCAGCGGTTGCGCTGAGTGCAGCGTTCCGAATTCCCCTAGTGCGCGCTGTTCCTCCTTGCAACAGATGCGCGGGAATGGCAGGCGAATCAGGGGCCGAGTCGTCACTGTCTGATTCGTCCGAATCTTCAAAACCGTCTCGCTGTGTGCGCACCGACTTCCTGGTGGCCTTCGGCATCCGGAATATTCTGCTTTCCTCCGTGGTTAAGGCGGCTCCAGGAATGACCGAGGACACCACCAGGGATCTTATCGTTCGTTGACGATCCTTGAGATCAGGAAGCGCCGGACCTCCCCGACGATTCGTGGAGCGCTTCTGCCTACGTTGCTCCCGAGAAATGGATAGCTCGGTTCGCTCAAGGTCTGCCTCGTTAAGTTCGTACAGGTAGGGTGTGTAGTCCTTGGCCGCCTGGTAAGGACGGAATGTAGTCGGCAACGGGGTTGGCAAGAAGTTTTCTCTCAAATCGGGGTCGTCGATGGGGCGGCCGTCGAACGGATGGCCCGTGATATGTAGGGACTTGGAGAACAACTGACATTGCTCACGTATCGAGTGTGCAATGGCAGTTGTGAACTCGCCAGCCAACGATAGATCACTGGTCATCTGACGCGCAAACTCCTCAGGCGAATTGAAGGGGTTGTTTATCTCCCACTCGAATTGGTCAATGAGGGTATTTTGACCAATGGTGATGTTGAGCTTGATGAGAATCCGCATTTCATCGTTCTTGTACGCAAAGTATGGAAGGGTTGGCTCCCAGGGTTCGTCATCCGCGTAGATTTGAGGGCAGTAGTCGTTCAATTGGTCACGAATATGATTTGCGATTGACTGGGTAAGCGGACGACAGTTCTGGACTTCGAGCCCGAAATCTTCAACCACTTTCTCCGCAAAGTAGTCAATTGAAGTCGTTCGGTCGTGGAGATTCCAGGTGAAAGTATCGCGCAATTTGATCTTGCCCCATTCGATGTCAAGCCGGATAGGTACCAGTTCCTCGCCCTGTTCGGCCTGGATGTTCCGATCCGGCCGCGATACTCGGGGCGGTAGAGTCTTTCTCTTGCCGGGTCGTCTTTGTCGAGGATACAAGACGGGGTCGCGAATAGTTTTGTCGTCTGTCCTTGGATTGCCGAACCCCTCGTAACCATAGCCAAAAATGGAGCCAGGGTCATGCTCTCTTCTCTGTCGCAAGCCCTGATAAAGCGCGAGCTCTTGCTTCTTTTGTTGCGATATTACCGGATGGGCAAGTTGATCCGCATAGAGGGCCTTGTAGTGATACTCGCGGTCAACGTACTCGGCGGCTTGTATGCGATCAATGGGAGTCTCGCGCTTGCGTTTTCGGGTTGGCCCGGGACTGGCATCGCGGCCGTTGGTTTCAGTGATGGACTCCTTCCTTGTGACATCGATACCGGAAGCTGCGAGGACTTCTTTGGCTCGTTCCTTGCCTTGGGCGATGTTTTCTTCGTTGCTGGGAGGTTGGGCAGATGATTCCGTAGGCGCGGTCACCGCAGTCGCACCATCGGGAGTATTGCTCATCGCGACATATCAAGGAGGCGATTCCTAGGACGGTGACTGGCTGGCCAGGTCTCGTCGGACGCGTTTCTATTGTTTTGATTAGCCATTGGGAGACCTGACGAGCGGAAACTGGGCAGGCAAAGAGTTGACTGGAGTAGGAGGCTGGAGAAGAGTCACAATGTCACGTCGAGACCATAGGGGACAGGAGTGAAGTATAAGCAACCACTGAGAGACGGAGAATCGATACATACCAGGTCCGGATCGGATGTAGTCGATGCGCTCAAGGCCAATGTATGGGGTTGGTATGGCATCAATCTCGAATCTGGACGCTGGGCTCAGGCGCAGTTCGCGACGGGACACCATCCCTCGATTGGGTTTAGCGTCGACCTTTTCAGGAAGCAAAACAGCCGATACCTCGCCTCATCCTCAGCTCAGGTGCTTCTCAACGGCACTTACCGTGTGAAGGAATGGGCGGTACGAGCGACGACAAGCTCCCGCGAGATGCCTCGACTGACTAGTACAGTCATCAGGAAGCACGGCGCAAGTCGACCAGTGTGGTGTGTCTTAAGTTGTGATAAATATACGCAACTACCGCGTGGAGGCGAGTTGAGGACGAGTTCCCCTTCTAACCATTAATCATCTACGTATTTTGCGTCCCACCCGTCGTTCTTACCACCAGACCGGGGAATCTGTTCAGTAGGTATGTAGAAGAGAGGTCCGGCATAGTGGGTTTTGCAGGTGGCCAGACGGTGGCCAGACGGTGTCCATCAAGCAGAATCTTCAGCTGGATTCACTGCGCCCAAGAGCAACCTGTTTCTCACCGAAGCCCAGGCTTACTTGAAGGCTCTTATGGACCTGACTGAGCATGTCCAGGGCCCTGTGGTTGTCTTGTCGTGCTGAAACTTCCCCCAGCACCGGTGAAGTGGGCTTCTGTGTTTAGAGCGGCGAACTAAGCAAGTGACATCATTGGACACTCCGGGGTCGACGTCCTCCCGTCCCATCACGGCGCACCACGCCTTCTGTGAGACTCATTCGCAGACCGCCGTGCTGTCCCATCGACCACGTGGAGAATATCAGCATGTTTACATTTTCTGTCCGGGTCCTCTTCAGGTCCTCAGTGACTCCGTGCCACCATAGCCACATGTCCTAGCAAATCTTATCGTCACTTACACCTATATATGTTCTCTCTCCGCCTCCTAGATTGCCTTGACTTCGGCTTCCACTCCTTCAAAGGATAGTCTTTGGACAAAAATCGAGCTGACCTGACTTGGGATTCACTGCTAGAGCATCCTTGAAATCAGCCCCAGAAACGTTTGTTTGCTATCAGCCTTTTGCTCTACAGCGCAGTGCACTGACTCTTTTTCTTCCTACGCTTCGCAACACCCCACCATGGGTGACGCCTCGTCTCCTGCTCCCCCGGAGCAGTCGTCCTCGGTGGTTCCCATTCGGATCCTAACACAAAACATCCGCTTCGCAACCGACAATCCAGACCGGGCAGAGAAACTGTGGCCGGACCGATTCCCCCACCTGTCCAGCCACTTCAAGTACCACACGCGGCCACACTTCGCGCCGCCCACGACGCTGGTGTGCATGCAAGAAGTGCTCCACGAACAACTTGTCGACCTCCACCAGAAGACGTTCAACACCTCGAGTGCCGCACACCCGGCCAACAACAGCAACAACAGCAACAACAACAACGACTGGACCTACGTCGGGGTCGGCCGCAACGACGGCAAGACCAAGGGCGAATACAGCCCCGTCTTCTTCCGCCAGTCGGCCTGGAAATGCATCCACTTTGATACCATCTGGCTGAACGAGACCGGCCAAGTCGGCAAGAAGGGCTGGGACGCCGACTCCGTCCGCATCCTGACCTGCGCGGTGCTGGAGTCGGTTGGCAGCTCACACGGCTCACCCCGTGGCGACCAGTCAACGTCACCCAAGCGAATCCTCGCAATGAACACGCACCTCGACAACGAGGGCGAGATCTCCCGCCGCGAGTCCGCCAAGGTGATCCTGGCCATGGCGTCGCGCCTCCGTGCCCGCTTCTCCCCCGGCTTCACATTCCTGTGCGGCGACCTCAACTCCCGCCCCAACGGCGACGCCTACCAGATCTTGAATAGCCCGGGGTCCGGCTTCGTCGACGCCCGCCGTCTCATCCCCGATGACGGAAATAAGGACGGCAAGATCTACGCCTTGGGTAACGAGCTGACGTTCACGGGCTTTCCTGAAGATCCGGCCGCCACGGGCGCCGAGAGGATCGACTTTGTCCATCTGGGCGTTCCGCCGCAGGACACGTCTCCAGAGAGGGAACCAAACGCACATGACACCTTGAGAGACATGGTCCAGTGCTATGGTGTGCTGCCTAATCGATTCGACGATCGGGTTTGGTTGAGTGATCATCGCGGTGTCGTCGTGGATGTGCTGGTGGAGTTGTAGGTCTCCTCTGCTTCTCTTCTTGCGCTGGATTGGACGGATAGCTTGGGTACGGACCAGAGAGGAGAGGACGGGATAAAAAGGGAAATTTACTTGCATTCAGATGGGCACTGCATTGCGAATCGGCTTCTGGATTACAGTACGTTGGGACTGCTGTCATGCATGGTCTGTAGGCAAGATGCGCGTGTGTTCGCATCGTGTGGTTAACAATTTCGATTTCAGGGGTTACAATACAGGAGATCGTCTCCCGCTGTTCCTACACTAGATATGTAGGACGGACCAGGTCGTCAAAAGATTCCTTTAATGTACAGAGACCTTCTTTCCTATACAACCGAAGCCATATAAGCAGAAGGTTGTATCGCTTCCGTCATCTACACCACGCACGTAAGAAGCTCCCTTGAGAACCCTCCCCTTCGCCTGTTTCGATGCTTACCTTTGGAGGATAAAGATGTGGTCAGCCAACAAGGATAAGATCCGGCGATTGAACTTCGTCGGACTTGTAATCTACCAGCGCCTCACCACGCGGATGCACCTTCGCCGTTTCCCATGGTCCTTCACGAATACTGATAATGCCTCGACACGGTTGCTGCTGCTACTGTGCAACAAGCATGTTGCGCACACTGCGCCAATAATGCGGATGCACCGTGCTCTCCACCTCGTCTTTGCTCAACCAGCGGAAGTCGTGGATTTCTTCAAGGCCCATGTTGGGGGCGACAACCACGCCCTTCTTATCTCGTGCAGAGCCCTTCACTAGACCAGCGGGGAAGTTCTCAGTCATGGTGTCCTCGCTTTCACTCGTATTGGCGGTGGTCGGCAGTGCAGCTTGCCCAGCCATGATCCGCGCTTTCATGAAGAAAGTCTTTTCGCCATCGATAAGCGATTGAGTGGCTGCGAGATCTTGTTTGAGTGGCTGCGATTCCGAAGTGGAAGACATTTCGGTTGTCGCAGGCGTTGATTCTGAAAGAGGCAGAGCAGCGCGCCCGGGGATGTACCTCTGGGGTAAGGATGGAGAAGGGCGCGGAGAGGAGAATTTCACGATGGAATGGCCGACGGGATGGTTGCCCACGAAGAAGGTGTTCATGTTGGGACCGAGGGAGGTGAAGAGGATTCGTTGCGCAGCCTGCCAAAGATATCTGTTAGCATTCATTTGCGCGTTCCAGATCCCTCGTCTTGCGCGAAACCACAGTGGGTAAACGGATCAGCAACTTACCTCTTTCAAGCCTTCATACCCAGCGATGGGCCCGGAAGGAAACTTCCAATTCCACGTCTCGTCTCCGTTGTCGTCGCCCTTTGTCTTGACCAGCAAGTACAGTGTACGCTGCAACCGCCTCTCCAGACTCCTCAAGTCGCCCTTCTCGTCCGCTTCTGTCGTCCTCCGTAAACCTGCGTACTTTGGATTGCCTCTCCCAGTGAATTCTGCTTGCCTACCTTCCTCGGCAACCAACTTCTCGACGATCTGCTCCGGACGACCGGTCTCATCACCCACGAGGACCTCATCGTTCCATGACTCTTTCGTGTACGCGTTGTACATTCCTATATCCCGTGTGGCAGTGCCTCCCCGTTCGCGTCGGTGTTTTCTCCAGTGCTCAAATGCGGGCGTGTTACGACGATAGTAGAAATACTGCGTGAACGGCAGTACTAAGCGTTCATTGAGTCGCCGCTGGTACAGGTAATAGGCTGTTTCGAAGGGGTGCGGGTCCGGCGTTATTAGCGGTGGACGTGAGAGCACGACGCCGGCTTTTATTGTGAACGTCGGTTGAGGCGCAAGGAGGGCTTCGGCACCGAGGGGAGAGAGTTGAGTGATCGGAGGGGCAGTATCTTGAGAAATCCCTTGAGCAGCGGCTGCTGCTGCATAGCTTCTTCGTGAAAGCGTCTGAAGGCAGGAAGAGCAGATGTGCTGCAGTGCATTGGGAGACGCTACAGTGGTCATGTGAGCGTTCCGTCCATGAAAGATCCAATGCGTTGGGCACATACCGAGAGCGCCAATGACGCGCTTGACGCCTCTGGAGCGAGGAGACATGTTGCTGCGAGCGAGCGACGCCTGGTTACACGCCGTGGAGGAGTTGAAGTGTCCTTTGCTTTCGATGCACGATGCTCAATGCTCGAAAAAGTTCCAGGAGCGAATCACGATCGAGGGTGCAAACGGCAGGTCTTCCGAACAGCTATATTTTCCACACTTCCTCTCTCACGCGCCTTTGTTGTTCTTCAGTAAAGGTTGGACAGGATGTTGAGCTTGGTGTGAATAATGAGGACCCTCCGTTATGAAGCCAGGCCGACCTGCCGCGGAGCATCGTCCAAGCACAAATTCGAGCGACCAGGATCCTATGCCTACCGTGTCCCGAAATATCGTTCGCTGAAACGAGAGGCAACACCACCATTGTGTTCAAGCACGTCTTGAAAGCGCGACCGGCACTAATTCCTTATCATGAACTGTCCATCTCTATGGCTTCTTCATCATCATACGGTGCCCAGACTGAAATTCAAAAGGGAGTCCTTTTCGCTAGCAGGACCGACTCTTCATTGTTATGAAGGTACTGTTAGATAGTTACTCCGTACAAATTGTCCAAACAAGGAATATCTTGAGAGTCAGGGAAAACCAAACTTAGGAGACACCTCAAGCCTTCGGCCGTGCTCCAATCGAAACACAGAGGTTCCCATTCATCCTCTCTGCATCTGCTTGTCCCCGTCCTCAGATTGGCACCATCAGAGGACACATGACACTCGCGCCGCCGTCCACAACCATGTTCGCTCCTGTGATATACGAGCTGAACCCACTGGCGAGGAAACCTGCAACTCGGCCAACCTCCGCCGGCAAGCCCGCCCTCTCTAGGCCGATGTTCTGCTTCTGCATCTGCGGGCTCTGCAATGCTGCGGGAGGTAGTTGCGTGTTGTAACTCATTAGATTCTTCTTATCGTCGAATCCATTCAGAGAGACACCCACGTCGATTTGCCCAGGGGATATGGCGTTGATCCGCACACCTGTGCCCTTGAGCACCGCGACACCGGAGCGCACGACGCCCAGGGCTGCGTGACTTGACATGGTGAAACACGGTCCCCAGCAACCCCCGTAAGTGCTCGCAGTGCTGGACACTACAATTATGCTTCCATACCTCTGATCCTTCGGTGCGGCATTGGGATACGTCCCTTTAGGGGATGTCTTTTGCATCGCATGCGGTGCGTATTTCAGTGCGAAGAATGGAGCCAGGCTATTCGCTTCGAAGCATCTTTGGAGATCGGCCGGCGTGGTTGCGTCGATGGAGGGAGGACCCAAGAGACCCGAGGAACATACCCATACGTCAAGGCGGCCATAAGTATTCAGGGCTTCATCGATGAGGGTGAGGGTGTCTTGTTCAGAGGAGATGCTGTAAGGATAGTCGATGATCTTGGTATTAGGGTACTGCTTGGAGAGAAGAGAAGGGAGGCCTGAAGATTCTTCGTTCGCTGTGCACGCATAGATGGAGGCGGCACCATGAGCTTGACCGGCAGAGTCGATTAGTCCTGCTGAACAGTGGATGAAGGAGTGAGGAGTCACATACCAGCTAACTCGGTCACAATAGCACGTCCCACGGGCATGTTTGCGCCTGTGACCACACAGACAAAGCCATAGAGCTTCCCATCTGCTCGGTATGGGGAGAAATGGTCTGATTCTTCTTCTAAAGTCATCGAGTCGGGCATTGCTGCAGAAGCACAGAAAGTATGAACGAGGTCCTAGCAGTCAGGACTATACACGTCGCGAAATCACGAGATGTGGCAGAAGCTCGACTGACTATTCACACAATGTCATCAATCTGATACGTACAGAAAATCGTATTGAGATAATGCGCCAAACCTTCTGGCTTGATTGAGCTCGCGGTGAGCTTGCAACTCTGCAGCTCTGACGTGCAACCACGAAGTAAGCTGCCATCCCGACTCACCTTGTGGTTATCTAGCCAATGGCAACAGACTTGATTTGCTTGCATGGTGCCCAGGCTGATACGAAACCACAAGATAGGATTATGTCGAGTCTTTCTCCGCGCAATCGCAGATGGAGCGACGACGATCGCGTCGAGGTGGAGGGATAAGGCTTCGTTATCGCCTCGGTCTGATTGGTCGGTTTCATTACTGACAAGTATTAAGTCGCGGAACGCAAGTTTTCACTCTGCACTCCTGCCATTCCCAGAGAACACATGGCCGACAGCTACCTTAGGTAGTAAGTGTGGAATACTCCGTAGAGCCTCTGATATTTGGTCCAGAATATGTGTCACCTTTCACGGATAGCACCGAATCATCCTTGCGGAACCGATGACGAAACCTAACCAGTCAGGCACGTTGTGAACGAGCACAGTGTCAAAGCGAAGAAGGCGGCAGGAGGTACTTCGTACATAGCACCTTTAATGGGTCGTCGGCGTAAATAAAAGACTTCATGGTGTACGGAGTACAGTCGAGCCCGTGGAAGGAGCCATCTGCAATATCCGAAAGATCGTTCTCTGTACGAGGTAATAGCTTGTTAAAGCTTGATCAGGAAGGCGCCATCCCCAGCATTAGGCTGCACCCGGCCTCATTTGCAGCGCTAATGCAGGACAAGCCCTGCGCCTGCGAACTCGAGCAGAATCGCGCCGTGACGTTTGTGGTTCTTCGTCAGACTCACTGGGTGCTCACTGCCGCTTTCTGCCTCTTCTCACATGCCGTAGACGCTGCACAGCTTCTCAACATTTTTCAGACAACCTCGATGGTGCTTTCCCCTGGAGGCAAAATGTACCTCTGCCGCTAAGCACGACTGGGCCATGTCGTACCTTGCCAGCCACCGCCTTCACCTCCTCTCGCTCTGACAAGGTGGTGAAGTCGTCCTTCGATCAAGCCGTCGCATTCAACATCAGTACCGTGAGAGAAGCCCCACTGTGTGCAAAGCTGAGTCTCTCACTATGACCGTCAAACAATGCTCGACATTGCAGTTTCTTGTGCAGTGACATCTTCTTTGCAATCCCATCATACCTCTCCCGAAAAGGGTAAAAGAGATCTCTTCTGGGTAAAGCAGCACATGTTTCACCATCGCTCCGCTCCGCTTGAGTTTAGATACCTGCCGTGTAGGGTCGGTGCATCTCTGTATGCAACTCCCTGTAGGCTATTTATGTGGTTGAGCCACAGTGGCAGGCTCCCCGAAGGACCCTCAAAACGCCTTCCTTGTAGAAATGGGTCGTGTTGTGCCAAACTCGCAAGGTTGGAGCGTTCGTGGGCGAGACACCTACACTGACTCTCGGTTTACAAGCATGTGTCTCCTCAGTTGTGCCTGAGCAATGCCTCCATGACAAGCACCGAATCGGACGGCAAAATCCCTGCGCCGACGCAACCTTCATTTTCACTTCATTTATTGTTTTAGGATGATAACTGCCATGCAGATGATCGAATCGAGCTGGACCTCGCCGCAAGGCCAAACGAGAGGCTTGTGCTAAAGGATAGCAATAGCATGAGTCCTTCTGCGGATGGGGAGCCTCCTTCTGCCAAAGGTGGAACTGCTGGTTATTTCTACGACGATGGCCCTCAACAGTCGTCATCTTATGGATCAGTCTGCTGTCAGGCACAAGACATGGCTGCCAAGCCATACGAGAAGATACCGCCCTATCCCATTTATTGAGAGGACTGAATCGTTACACCTGGGGAAATTCAGTCGACAGTCCTCACCAGAGGCATACAAGCGGCTGCGGCCCCAGATACTTTTGCGGGGAGACTATGGTCTATCATTTTCCCGGAGTCCGCACTGCTGTTGGCGTTGGTAAACTTGTTGGCGTTTGCCTGACGGAGGTTTCATTGCAGGTTTGGTATGGAACAGTCAACCTGGACTGAGCGTCTCGTCTGTCGCATCTCAGCCTCGATCACTGTCGGAGCTGCAGTTGTTGTCGGCCCGATAAGGAGCCTAGCAATTGGAGCGTAAGAGGGAAGGGCCAGTAGTGAGAATTACAACCAACCCGAAGACAGAGCCAGCACACCTCACTTTCTACCCATGTTTCGCCGCCGCCAACTACGGACAGCGAACACATGTGCAAAGGAATCGTCTCACCTGCTCAAAGAAAACCTCTGAGCCGTGGACGCCACCGCGACCGTTGCTTCTGACTCAGCGATCTGCAATATCCATACAAGCTGTTGTGCTAATCATCGTGGAGGGCGCGAATAGTGCAAGCGCCTTTCCCGCCAGTTCGTTTCAGGATGTCGAATGGATGTCAAGGTAGATGTGACTCCCATCGGCTGACCCTATCAGCTTACTCAACATATCTCTCTTGACTACGACATGGCAGCTACCTAGGTATGTACACCGTCTGCAGCCACACAGGGTCCGTCTCCCATTGGGTCTGTCCCGTCGGGCCCCCAGCCGAGGGGCGAGCTGGATGAGTCCAAGCAGGGGCGAGTGTTAGCCTAATATCCGCTTATTCTCGGCAAGGACGTTTTGCAGACCGAGGAAGTCTAGGAATTGTACAGCGAAGATAGAACAGCTCAATCAACGAAGCGCACGGTCCATGTGTTCACAGCCGGCCGAATGCAGGCCTAAAGAACCAGATCTTCCCTGCATGAACAGTGAAGATAGCTAGGGCAGATATGCGTGCGCAGCATACACGGCTTACGAGGTACCTGTGTGCCTGTGCAGCTCAAATGAGAGGTGAAGGGCTGTCTGACTGGCCAACCTCGGGAGATCGGGAATCCTTTGACTTCCCCGGATTTACAGGTTCGTGTTTGGTCAGCCACGACCCTTTCCTTCGGGTCCAGACTCAACCACCCCCATGGCACCCGTCTGAGGTTGAGCAGCGACGCGTACGAAACGCAGATCATTGGTGCTTATCTGCTTTCCCGCCTAACCAAAGCAGACCAACGCTGTGGAACGGAAGTCGTGGCATTTCAGCACTTGTTCGCGCCTGACGAAAAATGCCTCAAGATATCAGTCTTGCTTCGGTCTGCAGCAGCTGGGTTGAACTATGTTTCTTAGCCGTGCATCAGGACGCTTCCCGAAGTAAACATTGCACGGGCTGACGAAAGCATGTGGAGGATTGTTCTGGCATTTCTGACCACTGACTTGACTGGTCGGGCACCGTCTGACCAGCTCTTACCCAATGGATACTCCCGCCTGAGTCTGGACCACGGGACCATTCCGTTTCCGAAGCTGAGATTTCCTGAAAAGGTCGCGTCCTAAGGATGCGTGTTGTTCGGAAAACAAGAATCTTCGAGGAGCTTCGGATGCATCTGAGTGACGGTTACACAGCACAGCAGCAGCAGAGAGTTCCCTTCCCGCAGGGACATCCACATGTTTCTCATCGTCGATCCACGTGCCGCTGCCTGAGAGGAACGCCCTTCTTCAAAGCACAGTCAACCGCCGCGTCACCTAATGCAGACCCGGATAATTAGGCATGCACCTCGACACTGCCGTCACACAGAAATAGGCCCCGAGAATTCCATAGCAAGCGGGAAAGAGTAGCGCCTAGATGTGAAGTCACTTTCCAGCTGCTGAAAGAGCACGTTTCAAGCCCCACCATGGATCGCCTTCTCACATGGAGGCGGGATTCGCCGTCGACTACTGGTTTGTTCGGGACGCTGACGGCGCGGCAACCCAGCAAGGCTTCCGGCTCCTGTCGATCGCAGCCAGATACTGTCATCATACGACAGAACAGCCGGAGGACAACTTCCGGGTTATCGACGTCCAGTCAGCATGGCCCGCTTTGTACCAGTAACTTAGGAACAGTACTCCGTACGAGTACGAGTACTTGGTTCCCGGTCCTGATCTCGATATAGATCTCGATTTCCTAACGCGTCATACGCAGTACTCATGCCATTGTCGCTTTCCGGAGCCGACGCGCAAAGCACAAGAAAATCATACGTTTCGTCATCCAAGGTATCGGCTCAACGCAAACTTGCTATCCCGCTAATTTCTGGTTGACACATGCTAGAAATCGTGCAGTGGCAAATATGCCAGGCGTGCACCTTCGTCAACACCTTCCAAAAAAAAAAATAGATCCAAGCACCGCTCAACGTGCTCACACGTCAGCCACTCAGAAGACGCGTCAGACCACACCTGCATGCGGTGGCTCCGTCGCATTGGCACCCCCAGCCCTTCCGAGTCGCACAGAAACGCCTGCTCTTGTGCAACTTGACCGCGAACTCGCACTCGCATTCGCACGGCACGTAGTCCCAGGTATCTCCAAACACAAAGGTGAAGCCCATCCTATCCTGTCCACATGCTGCAATGCCCACAATTTGTGGCCGACAACCTCGCTAATTCATTGACCACTTGCCACACAAACGCATACACACGGCTCGGAGCTCACTGTAGCTCACAGCGCTTGCAAAGCCTGCACGATCCGCTCCGGGCCCAATTCGTGCGCGTGCGCCGTGTGCCCAATCTGGGGTTTCACCACATCGGGCGCCAGCTTCCGCGGCACCACGCCCACGCCCACCGGCGCGTTGGCACCCCAGCACCGCTCATCCTCTGAGGAGAAGGACGCCTCACTGGGTGTCGCGCTCTCGCTCTCGCTCTCGTCGCCCAGGAAGGTCTGGTACTCGAGCACGGTTCCCTCAAAGTCCGGTAGCACGGCGTCGCGCGCGGACTGGATCCATAGCGCCTCGGCCGCGCTGAGCTGCTGCATCCACTCGACCACGGTCATTGATTTGCCGCGGTAGGTCACGGGGATGTTGGCGTATGGGGAGCTCGGGGAGAGTAGACCGGCCAGCCGGGCTTTGTGTTTCCAGTCCGGATGGGCGTCCTGGAGGAGGTACGCCCGCTCCGCGGACACGGCGTTCATGTAGTTGAAGAAGGAGGTTTCCGAGTCTACCGACACACACAGAATTAGTCTCGTTTCGTGGTACCCAGACGTAGTACCAGGGGGAAGTAAAAGTAACAAGCAAGCAAAATCATGAGCCGAGGGAGCCTTGACTTACATGATCCAGGCATCCCAGGCAGAGGCGTCAACCGGTCGAACCGCTCGTCCAGCAGCGCTTGTAGCCGTAGATACGAGGCGTACACGACTGACGTGGATTCCTGGAGTGTCCAGAGTGCGTTCTGCACGGGCTCGGGCAGTTGGCTGAGCATGTCCGCGGGTAGGGCCGCCACGTGCGAGACGTTGCTTGGGTCGTGCGAGTGAGGGGGTTCCAGGAAGAGAGAGTCTGCCCTGTACGAGTGCTCGTAGTTGGAATGCATTATGATTGTGATTGTGAATTTGATTGCGGATTGAATTGGTCTCGGCTTGGAGCGTGGCGAGGATGCCGTGCCGTGCCGTGCGCTGAGAGGGAGAAGCAGAGGCAGAGAGTACTGTAATATTCGTGTATGAGTAGAGTAGTGTGATGCAGTTGACGGGGCTGTGGATGGGATGGTAGATATAGAGGCAATGGAGGGCGGTGAGTACGTTGACTTCAGCGTTGATGGTGCGAAGACATGTAGTCAGATCAGACCACGACCGTTCTTATATGTACTTCGTACGGACATGGGACATCTCGTACCGCGAGGCAGCATATCATGGAAGAGGTGTTGGGACGGGGGCGGCTAAGCTGATTGGTACGGAACAGGACATGCGCAGAGCAAGGATGTGGAAACTCAATATCGTCAGATTGTCTCCATTATGGAGTGGTGGTCAACGGCCGCCCACTCGCTCAACCTGCATTGGCTGGAGAGAAATAGCGAGCGAGCGAACAACCGGAGCGAGCTATGTTTCTGCCGTCAGTGATACATCCACCCGAATGGCAACGTTTGTTCCCTTCTGGAGCCCGACCTTGCCCAGATGGGTATTCGGTCACGGAACGAATTATTGTGCAAGTCCGCGTGACTCTTTTCCACGATTCTCTGCAATCCGGCATGAACGACAGGTGTCACACCATATGTGCTCGAGTCTCAACACAGATGCGCCCAGCGGAAGTAAACAGTTGACTCGGGTCGTGTAACCCACAGAATGGCCGGAGAGAATCCCGGTGAAAAGAAAAAAAGGGGTACGTAGATGACGCCCGTTCTATTCAACCAATTTTTTGCGGACAAAGAGAGCCGCTTCAATCGCAAAGATCCCGCTGGGGGAGAAGAAGAGACACTGTGCCCGGCCGTAGCCGGGTTTTCCGCGTCAAGGCCGCCACGCCGTCAAAGATAAAAACATTCGGCGTGTCCCCCATTGTGTAGTACGTCAACCGACATGCAGAAGGGAACAGTTTTCCACCCTTTGTTTTTTTTGCGGGGTTTACGCAATTCTGCACCGTTCGTTAGCGGCCACGCTACCCACGGGCAACGGACACGGAGAGACATACCGCTGAATAAGGTGTACGCCAGAAGCAGTCTCGACAATGCCACTCATTTCGCCCGGTTGCAAGGCGAACGCTGCATCTTCGAACTCTTTCTGCATCTGACCTTTGCCGAACAAGCCAAGGTCGCCGCGCTTTCGGGCACTGCTGCAGTCTGACTCAGTAGGAGCGAGGTCGCCAAGGGTGGTCTGGCCCGAGCGGATTTGTTCTTCGTGGCGTTTCAGTATCTCGATGGCCTCCTCCTTGGACCGCGTGATGGTTTGCTCCTTCCAGCTGGAAGGGCGACGGCTGTCTCGGTGCTTGACGAGTAGATGTGCAGCCCGGATCTTGTCCTCACCGGCGGCACCATCGACGCGGCCGTTGGTAGACGAGCTGTGATGGTTCGCCATATAGACTTTGAGCTTGTCGGTATCTGCATCGGCCGGAGGCTCCCATCTCGACTCGTGGGTTTTCTGGTTGAAATAGTAGGGAAGGTTCTTCGAGTTGGAGTGGCGCACCTCCCAGTCAGGAGGTAGACCCGTGTCGTCGCCCTGTACGGACCGTCGTCAGTAGGAATCCTGCGCGTCGCGAGTGTGACCTCGGCAGAATGTATTGGGCTTACCATGGTTCCGCAGACAGGTATGCCCCTTTGGCAGCGGTCTAGAAAGGTCCTGCTGTGAGATGGACGTCAACACCGCAGAACAAGCCGAGAATGCTAGTCAGGCAGGTAAACAGTGAATATTGTTGGGACAGTTGACCAGTGGTTGGTGTTCTGGCCTCGAAAGCCCGAGCAAGGTGGGGCAGCGAGTTTTGTTGTCAGCAGATCGATGGATCACGAATACAATTGCTCCGCGACACAAGGCGGCTAGGCTGGTGAAAGCGGCAAGATAGGCAGTTGGATGGACGAAAGTGGGATAAATGACAGGAACAGGAGGATGACTGGCTGATCCGGCCATGGCCTGAATGGCTATAGGTTGGCCCAGAAGCAGGAACTGCGGGTAACAAAAACAGCGAAGCCCATGTCACCAGATTGAGGTGTGTACCTGCCTTGCTCTGTCACATGGCTGCATTGACGGATGTCCTCGATCATCGATGAATCGTCAACCAGAGTGCCGGTTGACTCACCGTGGCAACTCATCTAGGTAACACCCGTACCTGGTAGTTTTGTTTGTAAGATAAAGGTTAGAATGTGTTATTGTACCGAGCTCCAGCGAATGCGGGGAGCAGGGAAATCATGTGTTTGCCTTGTCTTGCAGGACACCCAAAATATCTCCGTATGACTGCTTCTTCAGAATCCGGTTGTATCAAAGTCACTTTTAGACTCAACAGGACAGCATCAGTCACTTCGAGTAGTATATTGGTTCTTCCCTCACCCTCTGATATCATCAATCTGGCCTTGCAGCATTTACGAGGCAAAGTCACCGATCAGGTCGTCATCAAGGTCGACGTCGCCTCTCTGCCACCACCATCTCCCGAATCCAACACCACCAGACCTTGAACAGGATTTCTATTTCCCGGACTCCCTGACACGCCACAGCGCTCACCTCCCGCTTCTCTTCGGCTAGCAAATATGTCATCTGCTGCGTCTCCTGCCCAGAGTGAGGGCGAAAACAAGCGTGGCGAGGTCTCCTACAGATTCTGTCAAGAATGGTAATTAGGCCACTCCCTAATTCTTTAAGTCATCCTGTCTCTAGAACGGGTCTAACCAGGGATCTCAACAGTTCGAACCTGCTCTATCCCAAAGAAGACCGCGCAACAGCAACCCTCCTCTACGTCTGTAAAGCCTGCCACGCAACCTCACAACACGATTCAGCATGCACGTACCGTCAACACCTTGGAGCCAACGTTCAGGAGACAGCTGGAACCACCGCTGATGTTGCGTCTGATCCAACGGTGGGTCTTGCCTCTTCCGAGCTGTCCTTCACCATACATTCAGTCTGTACGCTCTGCGGAGACGCGTTAAAATGCAGGAATTGTGGCCAACTACCGGACTAGACAGAGTCGGAACGCTCAGAAGGGTCAGGGGACTCAGTGTCTGATACGTGGCCGCGTCTGCTTTCTCACGTTCTTCGAAGCCAATCTTCACAAACCAGAGACTGACAGGTCGCCCTTCTTTGCACAGCTTCCTCGAAAAACCAAGAAGTGTCCAAAATGTGGGGAGATGGAGTCGGTTTATTTCCAGTCACAACAGCGTGCTGCAGATACAGGAATGGTCAGTGCCTCTAATGCAGTCACTCGGTCGCAAACTTCTAACAGTTGTGATTAGAAACTGTACTATGTCTGCGTGAGCTGCAACCACGTCTATACGACCGTTTGAGCATAGCGATGGTGGGATGGAATAACGATCTGGATACCCATGCATTTCGAGGCGTTTGGGATTGATTTAAAGAGGTTGCAAGAGCTCGTATCGTTCGCAGCTGATGTCGTGGGCGTCACCAGAAACCCAGCACGGCTTGCATAGAACGAATACAGTGGCTCTAAATACGGACATTCCACCTCGATATTTGTACAGAAAGTTTCAACTGCGCTGGGGGTATTGGCCACTGTCTTCCAAACATTCTCTCATGACCTTGCGCGATCAGATGTGCATCGGTGCTAGAGACAAGATCTTGGACCACTTCTTTTCCCGTAATTCAGCTCCCACTATACTTGACAACCGTGTTCCGATTGGGTCGCCATTTTTGTTGATGAGGACACAGGCATTGTCGTCAAACCGTATCAGACCTCCATCTTTCCGCCGCTCCTCCTTTCTTGCTCTGACGACCACGGCATGCCGAATGTCTCCTCGCCGTACTTTGTTGGCGATACTCAAGCTTGATCCGCCAGGGGTTTCTGGGCCGAAGGATTTCTGTTTCTGGACGACAACGATGATTCTGTCACCTGCGAGACGGAAAAGCATCAGTCGAGGATCCCGTGGGGTGTATCGTGGCGTATACCTATCCTGGCATGCTGCACCTTTTTTCGCATAACCGCGACACACTCGACGACGGCGGCACCGGAGTTGTCGATGCAGTTAAGCATCGTCTGGCACGAACCCCGTCAGCAACAAGCCCGACCGCCTTTAGGCAGCTGTAGGATTCACCTTTAGTTGTATCATTGTCGCAGCATCATGCGCCCTAGCTTGCAGTCATCGATCACTCCACGAGGAGGTTGTTGCAATAGTGAAGGCAGAGTCAGTTTAGCTGCAGATGAATTATTTCGTGCAGATGGATTCGATTGGCCCGAAGCCCGGAGCACGGGTGGGTGGCAGATGCGCGCACGCCTCTTGCGGGAATCTCGACAAGTGCCCGGCTTGATTCAGACGCGCTTAAACCGATCAGCCAAACAGAAGCCGCGGCAGCCCGTGAGCCCGCCCGTTCGCTTGCTGCTTAGGCTTGTCATCTCCCCCCCAAGAATGCCTGACCGGCCACTGACCAGCCGCCGCCGACGTTCTCCCCTGCTCCCCTTCTCCCCCTCTCCACTTGCACAGTCGAAGTCACCCTTCCGTCGCCCTTTCTTGTCTCGCTCTTGACCAAAGTGAAGCAAGCTGAAAGTCTCTCCCTATCTCCCTCAGCTTGGACTGCACCTCATGCCGATGTGAAGTGCATAATCTACCCGATCATTATGTTGCGATGTACTCACACTCACTTTAATATTGTTCCTCACACCGTCGCTTCGCTCAGGCTGGCCTGATCCAGACCGCGTTCCAGATACCGACGGCCACTCGGTTCACCCCTTCCACTCCTTCCCAGCTGTCTGCGGCCTAGAGCCACTACTGCGCACAGATTCCCGTGATACAGTGTTTCCCACATTCTAATCAGTGTACATCCCATGCACCAACCCGAGTCTTGATCCTGAGGATTCCTACACGCGACCATGACTCGCAAGAAGTCGACCAAGGAGCCGGACAAGGCCCAGCGACTCTCCCTTGCTGAGTTGGCCGCCCATGACGATGTGTGTTCGGATGTAATGGTAGATAATGTCAGTGATCTCAGTATGCTACAAGAATCCCTTGCGCTTACAACCGTCAGGCTTATTACAAGTCCAAGATTCGAAAGAACCGCACCAAGCACATTCCTATTCGAGGCATTAAGGACGAGGAAATACCCAAGATCCTTTTACACAAGGTCATTGTCGACAAAGATGTCAAGGCGGCCGAGAAGGCCCTGCTCGCTCTTCCTGGGCCTAAGAGGTATAAGAAGAGTTTGCGCACCAAGGCCGAACAAGAGCATTTCTTGGAGCATTTGAGGAAGTACATCGCCATGTACCAGACCGACTGCGCCTGGGAAGTGTCCACGACGAACCGATACACCATTACCACCTATGAAGCTGCTGTGACGGCGAGGAGACGGATCCGACAGGGCGACACCATCAAATACCTCACCGGCACTCTTGTCCCTCTCACGACGGAAGAATCTGCGGAGTTGGATATGAGCAACCGCAATTTCAGCATCGTTGTATCCGGTCGCAAGAAGAATTCTTCCATCTTCCTGGGTCCGGCACGTTTCGCGAACCACGATTGTGACGCAAATGGACGTCTGGTCCCACATGGAGAAAACGGAATGGAAGTGGTTGCCATGAAGAATATCGAGGTCGGTGATGAGATTACTGTCTCCTATGGCGATGACTACTTCGGCCCAGGCAATATGGACTGTCTGTGCCATACTTGCGAACAGCTGGAACGGAATGGGTGGACTTCGAAGGCGGCTATTCTCGACACTCCCAGTCGTACAACCACTCCACTCCAAACACTACTCCACGAGCCCCTGTCAGCAAATCAAACCCGAGGACTGAAGCGGAAGAGAGACTCGGATCTTTCTTATTCATCCTCTGCACCCCCTCCCTCTAAGCACGCTAAGCCTATGCAGTCGCCCTCCAAACTACAGCAGTCCTGGACTCCACCAGATAGTTCGGACTCGGACATCACGCAACAAGCGCTCCGTGAGCGGAGATCAGAACCTGTAGAGACGCTTCGAGAGGCGGCTTCTAAGGGATCTGTGGCTCTTTCCCCGCCTCATAGTCAGTCTCGGACCGAAAATAGCGAGTCGCCCGATCCCATCTCGCCGGTTGCAGTGTCATCAGCACCTGTGGAAGCGGCAGATCTACCAGCAGATGCGGTGCAACAATCATCCACGACCCACGAAAGCAGTCATGAAGGCAAGATGCCTGCTAGATTGCTCGAGAAGTTATCAACCAATGCACCAATGTCACCAGCGCCAACATCTCCCTCTAGCAACGGGTGTTCGACCGAGGGTGTACCACCTATTCAAGAGATGTCCCACGTACAAGCCACCGATGCAGCTGTAACCATCAAGGTTGAAAGTGTCGAAACTACCAAGATGGAAGTAGACGAGGATACTATCATCGTCGCGCCATATAGGGAGGTCTCGTTGCCGGCTGCTGACAATCAACGGCCCCCAAACCAGCAGAAGAAAGGTGTTTCGCTATCGGAAAGCTCGCAACCGACAGTTCCTCATGCAGTCTCCACGCTTGCTACGACGACAGTCACCAAAGAAATCCACGAAGCATCGATCTCTGCAGCCACAGAAAATAGCGTCCTACCATCGATAGAACCAACGAGCACTTCAAGAACTGTAGCTCAGCTGACGGTTCATCCTATGACTGGCACGATTCGCATTGCAGGAGACTACATCCTGACCCGAAAACTACTCGCGCAGCCTCACGATCGTTGGGTACAATGCCACAACCAGAAGTGTCTCGGCTTCTTCATCCAGCCCAACGGCTACCAGACCCGCCGCGAGTGTCCGCGCTGCGAGCGGCACAGCATGCTGTACGGTTTTCCTTGGCCGAAAACAGATGCCGATCCACGCAAACTGCTGGAGCGCAAACCCACGGGTAAAGGCAAGAAGACCGGAACACCAGCCATTGAATATAGCGCATATCGACGACAGGGGAGGTCTGGCAAAGGGACCTGGGTTGAAGGTGGTGGCGATCCTGAAGAACGGGTCATGGACCACCGCACAATTCATCGATTCGTTCTACCAGAGGAAGAAAAAGAGCAAACAAGGAGGGGCTTGCTGAAAGAAGCTGAAATCGCAAGAGCAGCTGGAGACCACCAGCTGGCCATCTTGGAGGCAAGGATGCGCGTTGGCTCGCATTCCCGAGCACCCCACGGTAATGGCTCGGAGAGTGCAGTGCGAGACGTGAATGAGAGTGGGAGTGCAACGCCAGACGAAATGAGACGACGGAGTAATCGATTTGTTACGAGGCCTGTGGGAGTGTACACGGACAGATTCTAGGTGGTTGCGAAGGGGCCTCTTGGCGGGTTGAGATAATAACCTCTGGATGAGTGGTTGTGAGCGCCCTGATATGGCGACAATCAATGATACCACGAACGAGTTTGGGTCTGGGCTGGAGACCACGAAGATATGTGTTGGAAATCCAAGGTTTCCGGCCGGGTTCGAGGCCAGTATCAGCCCACTGGTTATGGCAAGGGCCAAATGTGCAGAAGAACGGTGTCACACAACATGATGAGTAAATATCCTGGCTCATTTATCGTCTAGCATAGCGCAGTGTGCTCCTTGGCTCTAGGAATACGACTCGTGGCATCAACAGAGGTCCTTTAGATTGTGCAAGTTGCATTGTTCAAGGAGGACCTCCCGCTGGGTGGTATTCACTTTCAACTCTACTGAGCTTGGCAGAAGCCATCCGGATTTTCAGCTACCTGACACTTGCGACGAGTACGGAGACATCACTGATTACAGAGCCTGCTACAGTACGAGTACAGCACAGGAGGCGTATTGAGTGCCTTGATACTCCGTACAGCATGACTTAGGTATAATCTAAAGTATAAATACATAATCACACATACACGGTGGATCGGTTCGTGTAACCCCCCTCGAGCAACCTTTCCACTAATACGTACTCCGTACAGTACTCACTTACTTCCACAAAGTACTCACTGTATACGTAACCCAATCAACAAACCTCAATAACGCGCGCCTCGTCCGCGCACCCATCGACGGCCTCCCCGTCCATAATCCCCCAGGCGTACACGCAGCCGACGATGCGGAAATACTCGCCCCACGCATCGGTGTTGCGGCGGAGCAAGAACGGGATCTGACATCCCTGAATGACGACGACGAGGTCGCCAGCCCGAGCGTCGTGGGGGAGCAGGGCACTCGTCCTCCTCGTGCGTGTCAACCCCAACTTGCGGCCCAGGGCGTACTTGACGCTCTCGGCGAAGACGCGCAGGTCGCTGATGTCGCGGTCGGAGAATCTGGGTTCGGCGTCCTTAGACGCTCTTCCTCTGGGCCCCGGATGCCTTCTCCGATACATGACCTGATGAACGGCGCGCCAGACGTCCAAGCACCGAGTCGAATGTTGCCAGTCGCGCAGCCGGACGAACCCCTTGGCCTCCTGGCCCGAACCCTTGATCATGTCCGCGATGGTCGTGCGCCAGCATTGGTCGACGAAGGCGTCCTCGGGCAGGTGTTGTAAATGCACGACGGAGAGCATCCAGCTGTACGCGTCGTCGAACCAGACGTCCTGCTCGGCTAGGTGTGCGCGGCCCCTGATCTCGCCCCGAGCGAGCAGATTCGTGGTCATGTGGCAGTCGATCTCGTCGACGATCCAGCCCAGGAGGCGCAGCCCGGTGGGGCGAACTAGGGACATGCCGTTGCGGAAATCCGTGGCACCGCCGCAGGCCCGGAAGACCTCGTGCGGCCGCGTGTACCCCGACGCGTGGATCATGGCGGTCAGGTCGTCGCGCTGGGTGTTCTCCAGGTCCAGCGCCCAGGAGACGTAGGCTGGCTTGTCCCCGACGCAGTGGTACAGAGGATAGATCCCGAACCCGCGGGCCAGATACTTGCTCACGCGGAACGCGAGGTCCGGGAGGTCCTCGTTGTAGTTTACGGGCAGATGTGTCTTGATGTCCGCGTCCGAGGACAGCCCGAACAGGGCGTAGACTTTGTCTCGCGTGTCCGTGGCCTTGTACAGGCCCGTGGCGGCGTGGAGCTGCTCGCAGAAGGTGCCGGTGTTGTCGTCGTGCTCGCGCAGGCCCAGCATGTGCACGATGGCGCTGGCCGAGTCCGCTACTGTTGCCAGATTTTCTTCAATCTGAGGCACACTGGCTTCACGGGCCGTGTATGTTTGGTTGAAGGTATATAGACAGCTCAGATGCTCGTAGGCGCGAACGATGCCCCTTTTCAGGAAACTCTCATCCCGAAACTCCCCTCCGATCAGGAACCGGATCTTGCGCGCGAGCACGAATTCCTGGATGATCCAGATCCGCGTGTACCAGGGCCGACAGGCGAAGCGGGTGAATTTCTCCCAGAAGGGGCTGTCCGCCGGCGCGAGGTCCAGCTTGTTCAGGCACTCAAACACTTCTGGCAGGTTTGGACGCTGTGCAATGGCTCGCCACGTGGCGTCACAGGGGGCCTCGTACCGGCTCAGAACCTTCAAGGTGTCGAGATCGTCTTGCTGGACCTCGCCGAGGTCCACAACCACTTCCTGTGCCTGGGCGAAGATCTGGTCCATCATCTGGACTTGTCGGCTTTTCTCCTCTTTTGCGTCGTCTGTATCCGCCTGGTCAATGCAGAGAGCGTCTGCCCATAGGACCTGGCGGAGATCCGATGCGGCCCGTAGCCTCCGAAGTGCCGAGTATAGTGTACGGGGAATATGGGCCGTCAAGTCGTTGCAAATGATGGTTGCTTTAGGGACATCCCGAGGGCCCCAGGCATACGATACGGCTGTGTAAGGACGTTTCAGCGATTTCAATTCGACATGACACATCGTGCACCGAATGATGGCGTCGGAGCTTTGAGACGGTAAGAGCTCGAAGAGTCGAATATGCTGCGGACTCTCAAGGGGCGTATAGACATAGCTTGCTGGGGCGATGCTAGCTTTGGAGAGGCCTGTCGGGCCTGTTGGGCCTCGAATGAATACCGAACCGAAAACATATTGAAGAAGTGACCGAAGAGAATATACATGCCACAATCGCCGTAGGGTTTGCGTTATAGTGTTGTAAATGACATAGAATTTTGCATACATATCAAAGCAAGAACGAAGACTAAACAGCAGTCAAGTGAGTAGTAAGAACCTACCACTTTGCTCACCTCGAGCGTGCCATCTGTTCGTGTAGGCTACTACTGCATTGAGGCTGTGTTGTGTAAGCGTAGCTTCGCCTACCCTGGCCGGCGCTTAAAAGGGCCCCTGCTGCCGCCTCCCAGAACAGGAGGGCTTGCATCCTCCTGTCCTTTTGAGTGTTTGAGGCTAACCTTCAACGTCGGCTATCAGATGCAGGGGAGACTGGAATGCTGCAAAACAGCGCTCGCGTACGAGACATTAGCGATACGTTCAGGAGGGGGCGACTCCCTCTTCCCTCTCTTCCATGTACCCGAGGTTTGCCATGGTCCAAGGCAACATTCCGTGTGGTATATACCCAGTGGTTTGCAGGCATCGCCACCAAAACATGAAAGGCGACACAGGGGAAGCCGAATCCTGTGCCTCGTACTCTGTACTCCATACAAAGTACTCGTACTCGGGGTTGGCCATGTCAAATGTTGGAACTCCAGAAATTGTGCATTCGGACTTGGCTTGTTTGTCTCGAATCTCATCGCGATGCGGCCAACATACGTCATTCATTTGCCTTTGCGACGAACCCCACGCGGCCCTGACGATTGCTTGCCTGGCATGATCCCTGTCTCCGTGCCTGCTGTGCCACACGAACAGGTGTGCGATGATGTCGATGGCTCGATTGCCGCCTTCCAAGGCATGTCTGGATGTATATATCGCACGAGCTGCACCGCTGATCCGTGCTGACCATGAGTGACACTGAATACCACTACATTAGCCTCCAAGATAACAGTGACCGCGCAATGTCTGATTCCGAGAACAAAGAGAACATCCAAGAGGACCAGCAACAGGCGCCTCAAAAAGAAGGTACGCTGTTCGCGCCGGCTACGGGAGCACTTGATTATGCCGTCGTAGCTAATTAGCCACTACCACAGGTAGCTCCTGGTATTCCAAACCTGAGCAACTGGGGACCAGTGCCGGAGACAAGATCGAGAGTACTCTTTCGCCTGTAGGGAAGAATGTCGGCCCTGTGCTGGAAAAGGGTGGAGGTGTCGTTGGAGGGGTCGTGGATCCCGTGCTTGGTGGTGTGATGCGGTCTGGTAAGGGCTTCGGGGAGCAGTTGGGTGTAGGCTACGGTAATGCCGAAGGCGGCCCAGCCAAAGCGCAAGAGGCGGAACATAAGAGGATGAAAGAGGATCTGGGCGGGAAGGAGCAGACCGGGGATAACCCGTTGGGTCTGTGAAGCGGAAGTCGGCGTAAGAGGAGGGAGGGAGTGTGGACAAGTGATATATATGCGGCGGGTCAAACAGGCGGAATGAAAGGCTCTGTGCGAGATGACTGACGACCAACACTCGCGCATACATTCACTCGAGCCTCGCGATGTGCAACCCTGAGAGATGGGACACCGTTGTTGGTGACGGCATTTCCCATCTACGCGGCGATATGGCATGAGATATACCTATATGTACGCATGTACGTATGTAAGATTCAACGACATATGTGTACCATAGCCAGTCCAGAGGCACGCGCATCCGCAGCTCTTCTCAGCATGCATACCGTGTCCAGGCAATGGAACAAGTTATTCTGATGCATGCCGAGGCTCTTTGATCGTTGGAGTAAGAGTGGGAGAGTGGCCATCTCGTGAGGAGAACGCATGAATGCCTCCGACGGGATCGGATCGATGGCCTGAATGAGTGATATGATATAAAGTTGTCCATACTGTACTGAGCCGTGCGGATCCCGAGTTGAACGTGACGAGCCCGAGAGTGATGCTTCGTTGGACAATACGTGCGCGTGTCACAGGCATTCACCTATAAGCCAAAAGGAAGAAAGGCCAGAGATCTCAAGATGGTCGACTACGACTTCCCCAAACCGCCACGCTCGCTCGCCAACAAAGTCGCCATCATCACCGGCGCGGGCGCCCACGGCGACGGTATAGGCAACGCGCGGGCCAGCGCCATCTTACTGGCGGACGAAGGCTGCACCGTCGTCTGCGTGGACCGGGCGCTGGACTTGGCGCAGCGCACCGTCGAGATGATCCGCGCCGAGGGCAAATCTGAGGCTATCGCCCTGGAAGCCGACGTGACGGTCGAAGCGGACTGCAAGCGGATCGTCGACACGACCATGGCCAACTTCGGCAGGCTGGATATTTTGTTCAATTGCGTGGGCATCGGCGGCGCCACGGGGACGGCGGCGGACGTCGACATGGCCGCGTGGGCGAGCAGCATGACGGTCAACGTGGCCAGCATGGTGATGATGGCCAAGTACGCGATCCCGGAGATGGTCAAGAACGAGGACGAGTGGGGGTATCGCGGCGCGATCATCAACATGGGCAGCGTGGCGGGGATCAAGGGCGGGACGCCGCACCTGCTGTACCCGACGAGTAAAGGCGCGGTGGTCAATATGACGAGGGCCATGGCCGTGCATCATGCGGCGCAGGGGATAAGGGTGAATTGTGTGTGTCCTGGGATGGTTTACACGCCCATGATGTACGCGGGGGGTATGTCCGAGGAGGCGCGCGAGGCGAGGAAGAATCGCAGTCTGCTCAAGACCGAGGGCAATGGGTGGGATGTCGGCTGTGCTGTGAGATTTCTGGCCTCTCCAGAAAGCAGGTGGATTACGGGTTTGATCTTGCCGGTCGACGCTGGGGTCACGGCCGCGGTAGGGACGGACATACCTAGGTCGGCGAGCGTCAACCCTTGAATGTCACGAAGTCGAGGCCGGGGTCGACGACATGATATTGACAATCTATGCCCTTCCACAACCACCGTCAACGCCATGGCTATGCTATCAATTGACAATGCGCTATGCTGACCCGGGAAAATAAACACAAGAGCTGTACTCCTCGCATGCAGATTTGCGTTCACATGCCAATCTCCCTTCTTCGCCGCTGATGCGTCCTCCCAATCTCCTTCTTGCGCTCCCTCACCCGGTCATGCTTCCTCTTCTTACCCCTCGCCGCCTTCTCCGGCTCAGCAACACGTTCAATCCGGCGTTTTTGTCTTCTCGCCTCTCTCCTCTCGCGCATAATCTTGCTGACCTCGGTCAAGGCTTTGACGTACTCTGTATCTCCCAGCTTCTTCTGCAGCTTTTCCATGACTTCGTGGGACAGTTCGATCAGGCTCTGGTAGGTAGCCGAGAATGTAGGATCTGCTGACTGGGGTGGGATGGTGTTCGGGTCGGTCATGTGTTGAAGAGGGAGCAGAATCTTGTGGACTTGCGACCTTGGTAGATTGGCCTCCGACAAGCCAGGCAAAAGACCGGAAAGGAGCTGCAACGCCGACTTCTTAGGGAGGAATGCCGCTGAAGATAGTCGATTGGCTTCCACTCGCAGAATGCGTGACAGCTGATCGAGGAGATACTGAATACCCGAAATCGTTCGTGTTCTCGCACCATCGTCGCTAGACTCAGCCTCGGAATCCATCTCCGACTCTTCGCTATCGGCTGGTTTCTGGTTGAGCTCCATCGACAGTCCGTTCTGGTCCAAGCACTGGCCGAGGAAGCCGAGAATCTGCACGATTTGCGCACTCAGATTCTCATTTCCTTCGGTACGCCGTAGGACACGGACGCTCGCCTTCAAAACTTTGAGAAACGCGTGCGATTCCATAGACATCCCGTACTCACAAGCCAACGGAAGCTTGGAACGATCCCCCGAAAGACAGTGGCTGAAGAACTGGGTGCACAGACTTGCCGAAGTACTCTGCATCCACGCATTACTGTGGCCCAAGGTCGACCACACAAAGGACCAGAGATGAGTCTGCTTGCGGTCCAGGACCGTTTCGGGATGCGACTCGACCAATTTTTGCAGGAGTAGTAGCCCTTGATATGGCAGCTCCCACCCATCCTCTTCGGAAACGTCGGCCTTGTCCAGCGTCTTGGAGAGGATGCTGCGAATTTGACCAAGTTCGTCCTTGCTCAGACGGACATCTGCATCCAATAGGATACCATATGCCTGCAGGCCGAGTTTCTGGAGCGCCGGATTCTCGTTTTGCTCGGCCCAGGTATTCAGAGGTTGTAACACTTCATTCAAACGAGTACGGTCTGCCAGGCCGAAGATTCTGCCCAACAGAGCACCAGCAAGTTGTCGACATCCCTCATTCTCATCGTTAGCAATCCGGAGAAGAAGTGGAATAAAGAACGCAGATATCAATTCCTGGACAGCTTCTCCTTTCATTTTGCCGATCAAGGTGTTGATCGCTTCCATCACTGATTGTCGGCCTTCAGGATAGTCGTACTCGAGGTTCTTCATGAGGAATTTTTGTTGCTTAGACCATCGAGAAGCAGTCTGTGGATACTCGAGCAGGAAATGCACAAATACACCTCTGGCCACGTCGCGTGCCCCTCTGGTATGGCTCGTCACCATCATGACGCCAATCTTGTCAGCCAGCTCGTAGACCTCTGGCGTTTGGATCTTCCTCGCCATGACTGCTCGAATGAAGTTGAATGTGACGCCTTGTCGATCTGGTTCCTCGATGTCTGGGCTGACACGATGCAGAAGCTGTGCTACATCCGAGTCTCTGAGCTTGATGTCCTGTCGTTCGCGGAGAACCGCTGCTACCAATTTCAGCGCAGCCTGTGCCCCTTCTTCATTGGTGTCGGTTGAGTTTTTCACAATCTTGATAGCCTCGCTCACGTACAGTGCGGCATTGTCTTCGAGTTCCTGCATGGGCAACTTGATGATCGCAGACAACAGGCGCAGAGCCGATATCTTCACGTCTTCCTGGCCCTCGACCAGGGCATCGCCTATGATGGGAAGAAACCCATGCACGTTTTCGGGTGTCATGACATCGGCATATCTCTGCAGCGTAGATCGCACCAAATCCAACGCGAACCGCGCGAGCTTGAACATCAACGTCGAGGTCTGGGTCTCAGTTGTCTTGTGCAAAGACGACATCTGGATGAGATACCTCTGACGGTTCTTCTCTTCAGTCGTCAGTGTTTGCATTCTGCCGCTGCTCTTTTGCCGATATAGATCCTGAATCAACTGGTACGCAAACGTCAAGATATCACGCTTGCTGGCCGATGGGTTCTGTGCCACACCACTGCCGATCCTCCGTAGTAGCTCATCAATCTGTCGAACCTGCTTGGTTGCCAATGATCCCGACAACAGTGTCTGAAGCGGAGCGACCAATTTTGACACAGATGCGATACTGACTGAACGAGCCAGAAGCTCCATGGAATCAAAGCTCTTACTGCTTTTGACCTCCTTCATGCTGCTGATATAGTCTTGGTTGTCCTTCTCTTGCCCAACAGTGCCAAAGATATCATCCATGATGACCGGCACAAGGTCTTCAACACAATAATCCAAATCTCCGAGTTTTCTGTGAGGAGAGAGCGCCACTAGGATTGCGTGCAGGGTATATGAGACGACATGCAACTGATATCCCCTTGTCAGGGCTGTGCGCATCTCTTTGACAACGAACTGTAGGCTGTTAGGACCCAGCAACATCACGCTTTCGCAGAGCGCTTTACGTGCTGCATCTCGTGCCTCTTGAGCTCTGCTTCTGAGTATATTGGCGATATCGAGTATGATCGGTGAGGCGGCGATCGGAATCTCCTCTGCTGGCAAAAGTGTGATGAGCTTGATCGCGATGACCGCGATCGGCAGGCGAAGGCTTATCTCAGCCTCATCTTTGTAATGAATGAGTTCTGTCAGTTTCGGGATAAACTGAGTCCTCAGTTCCTGCTCGACTATGCCTTTTTCTGGGAGTGCTGTGGCAAGACGAAGCTGTGGCTGATCTGGTGTGTCTTCGCTGGGGTTGGTACGACTTGCGTTGGCGGATACCAGCGCATCAGCAGCATGTCCGAGTAGTCGGCTGGCTGACTTCTGCTCGTTGTCGGTCAAGTCGAGGTCACTCTTGTACCTGCGGAACAGTGTCTTGAAGTGCTTCCAGTCGAGCCACCGGAGGACGGTGCCTATCGCGGCGATGGCTTGGCCTTTGGTGCTCTGAGCTGACTCGTCTTTACTGGTGTCATTGGCAAACATTTCCAGCAGAGGTATGAAGATGTCCACAACGTTTTTGACACTGATTCCTCCCTTTTCAACCTCCGACACCAACCGTCTGATCGCCCGAAGTCTGCGGTGCTGCTGAATATGCAGGATATTCAAGAAAAATGATGCTTCCTCATCGTTGCCGACCAGCAGAGACGTCATATTGGCCAAGTCTTCGTTTCCCCTAGCATGCTGCACAAGCAGTCCGAGTAGGACGACAAAATCTGCCCTGACAAGCTCTGATGGGTGGCGCATGCACTTCTTCAAGATAGGCAGGACCGAGCTGATTATCATATTGTTGACTTCTGAGTCCTCTGCGTCACAGCACTTGGCAATGACTTGTTTGAGGCATCCCAAAGCATTTGATCTAATTGTGAAATCATCACCCGTCCTCACAAAAAAGAGCAGGTTGTAGACAAGAGGGAGGCACACTTGACCAAACTCCGCGATTTCCAGAGCTTGGACTGCATGGAAAGCCTGCAGCCGCGTATCATAGTCGACCTCTCCAAGTCGATGGGAGGACGTGGCATTCAATTCTGTGCAAAGACGTGCTACCTCAGTCAATAGCTCGTTCGAAGCCGCCAGCCGCTCCAAGACTTCACAAAGGATTTGACGATTAGTCTCATCCTTGAAGTAGTTGAACAGAGAAGAGACTGAAGCAAGGAGCTGCCGGCGCAAGTCTTCCTCCAGAGTCTCCTCGGAAGTCAAAAAAGCCTGGATCGAGCGCAAGAGTTGCCCTTTGACATTGGGGGCAACCTTGAGGCCGTCATTTGAAAGCAGACTAGTCAACAGCTTCACCGTGGCTTCCCGAGATTCCAAAGACCTCGCGAATGGCGCGATTCTGGGCAAAACCGCTGTTAACGCTGCAAGAATGTCCTTGGGCGGCGTCCGTTCTAGCAGGGAAATGAGTGCTCGCAACAAGCCATCTGATTCAGTTTGAAGGAGATTGCGAGCTTCGTTCGGCATAATGGAGCTGTCTTCAGCCAGTTCAACCCAAGGGAGGACGATTTCGGTAAGAATGAAAACCTTCACAGTGTTCGGAGTGGGTTCTGCAGCTAGTGATTGCCAAAGTACATCTGGCACGCGAGCATCGTACTTTCCGAGGCAGACGACTAGTTCGTGAGAGTGCGCCCAAACGGCGAACAGCCGTAGCAAGCCTGAGATGCCTTGAGTTGTCTCCGACGCGAATATGTCAAGCCGTGGGCTAATTCCGCTTGCAAAAAGCACAGGTAGATAGTGCGGCCAGTCAACCTCCGGACAATGTTCGAACAGTAGCACAAGGCATTGAAAAGCGGTGCGTCTGATGTTTCGGGCTAGTGCGGTAGTGGGAGTTGCTTTCACACCAAGCTGACTTTCACCCTGAGGGGATGCTTTGACGATACAAGAAACAACCGCATCGACGACTTGTGCTCCATACTCCGCAAATTGGCTCTGCGAAGTTTCTAGCATGGACAGCAGTAGTCGGAGGAAACCATATTGCTGATCTTCGGGGACGAAGACTTGGTCAAGGGTCGCCATATGAGGCGAGTTCCCCTTGATATTGACATCTCTCAACTTCCCAAGAGCGACGTCTAAGAATAGCGCGACCTCTGACTTCGATAGCCGAAAGAGGGAGCGCAACAATGACTTCCTCCGGGCATCTTGCGAGCCTTGCGTACCTGCTCGGCCCACAATCGTACCATAAACCAGTCTGAGCGCAATAGGAAGGATGACTTCACGATCCGCCGATTTCACGGAGTCTGACTCTTCGTCCGAGCTCAGAAGCGTGCTAATCTCAGAAGCTGCTAACTTGCCCTCGGCGAGTTGCGTTAGCTTGGCCTCGTATTGGGTGAGGATCGGGTGTTTCCACGTCAACACCGCATGGAATGCGAGTCTTCGAACGTCGTCGTTCCCGTTGCTGAGGAGATCGATGACCTTGTTGTATACTTCCGGAGACTTGAAAAGCACCCGTGGATTCACGAACTTGCTGAACAGAGTCAACAGCGCCTTACGGTCTGAGAGGGACCATGGCTGATTATCAAGCTCGGGAGTCAAGGTGTGAGAAGACACAGAAGCATCAGAGTCTGGGTTTGAGGGCAGCTGCACGCGGCTGAACGGCGCAGCCAGGAAGACGGGCACCAGTACACGGGAACGGCGCTCTGCCGAGGCTGGTATTGTCGCTAATACCTGCAAAGCTAGAGTTCGGCCATTCGGTGGTATGGCCACGTTTTCCAGCTGATGCGCAACCTCCACCATTGTAAGAAATCTGTCATCTGAGTTCTGAAAATCAGTCAGGACCGAGGAGGAAAGAGATTCCACCTGAGCGAGCTGAGAACATTCAAAGGACGATATGTGCCGCCTAGGCTGTTCTTCACCTTTCCGCTGTGGTTGGACTGTATCCACGGGTGTCTGAAGCCACTGCATGGCAACATTAACCACCACCTCTTCAGTTGATGAGGCTTCTACCAGCTGAGCGAGTGTACTGCACAGCTCCTTTCTCGTCTTGTCATGGAAAGCTGATAACATGCCAAGACAATAGAAAGGAATCAGATCCTGGTATGGAGACTCTGCTGGGATACTTCGATGCAACTGAGGAAGCCTCCGAAGCAACATTGAAATTTTGCGGACTTCAGCAGGATTATACGGTGTGTCCAGAATTTCAACCATCACACCCGTCGTCTCCACAAGCCATGGCTTTGCATCCGATGCCTCGACTAGGGAGAGTAAAAACAGACTCTCCCTCTTCAGGCCTGGAGAATTTGCTAGTAGATTCTTAATAAGATGGTGGCGCAGGTTGTCAAAGCTTCGATGCATTGAGCTCTGAGCTGGAGCATGCTTTCGAAACAGGCGAACTGTCGCATGAACGAAAGGCTCTAGGCGGAGATAAACGGAGGAAGTCTTCAACACGAGACCTGCGAGGCCCTCAAGTTGAAGGTCGGTGTCAGAAACAAGGTCGAGGTATGAATCAAATCCCCAGCCCAAGATCGTACGTCGGTGGAGGTTGAGGTCGTTGCTTCCTTCGCCGAGTACTGCGCCTAGCAGCTTGTGATAGGCATGACGAGCTCTTCCCGTGGCTTCAGGGCCCCTGGAAAAACGGGAATTCTTGGCTAGACGGAGACGCCCAGCAAGTTGTTGTATGGTCGACGAACTCGCGGCATCCCCCTCCGCTCCTAGCCGAAGGATAGCGAAATCTTCATAGTCTGCAGGACAAGCCAGCAAGCCACTGGTTGCTGCTCCATCCACACGTATGTTTCCTTGTCGCAATCTTTCCAGTGTGTAGTAGAGGCTGATTTCATCCTCGGACCAATGGTCAACAATGTATTGTTGTAATTTCGGAAGAACTAGATCAACGAATCTTTCTTTTCCCAACTCTGCACAGAGGGTCGAGAAGGCAAAATACTCGCGGGCTGAAAGGTATTCAGCTGCGGTTTTCAATAGCTTCTGTGAGAACGGCAAAAGTTGGTCCATGGGAGCATATTGAAGGATTTCCGCCGTGATAGTGGCCAGGGTCGAGTGAATCAGAGGCAGCTCATCGGTTAGCCGCCGGGCAGCTTCTGCCAGAGTCTGGAAAGTCCGGATAACATTAGCCCACCCAGATATCATTGAACCTTTTCGTGTCCCAAGGAGAACTACAACGAGTCGGAGAGAGAGAGAGACATGGTTGGCCACCCTCGAGGCGGCGCAACGTTGTATAACCTCCAGGAGCACTTCCAAGACGGGACGAAACGAGGTACTGTCCGTCTCATGAATAAGGCCGATAATGATGCCTTCCATAGTGGATTGGGCTTGAGACGGATCGTCCATTGCGAGAGCGGTATCCAACACACAGCGAACCAGCGATGCAGAGCATGAATGAAGCTGTCCATCGAGTCCGCGAGCACTATCGACACAGAGACTCATGACACCCAGCTGATACGGGGTGTATGGTGGAGATGTGTTGTCCTGTGGTAATGCCCCGAGAAGGTGCTTGATGGCGAGACTCAAGGGGCCTCTCTTCTTCTGGTATAGGACCGTCGCTTTTCTAAGCAGAAAGGCCAATGATTCTGCGCTGAACCGGACAATGTAATCCTTCTTGGACGACAGGTACGGAGTCATGATATCAAGCAGGGGCCGCAGATCTTGGACAAGCAATTTCGCCAGGTACTTGAACATCCATGCCAGGCACGTAAAGCACCACTCGATGACATCTGCCTTGTCCTGAGCAGCTGCGACTCGTGCGACCAACTCCACTGTCCGTGAGAAGTATCGCTCGAAACCTTGACCCAAATCATGGGCGAGATGCGCAAGGAGGCCGAGGAGCGGTTCGAGGGCAAGCTCGTCATTCTTCTCGATATGCTCGGCCAGTAGATTGAAGACAGTGTCGGCGTGGTGGAGCAATTGCGGCAGGGTTTCGGACAGAGGACTGGCTTTATTGAGGAAGCTCGTGAAGGTCTGCGACAAATTGAGCTCCGCCCATTCTTCTAAGGCTGTCCGAAAGAAACTCTGCAATATATCGGCGTCGTCCTCCGCAGGCTTCCTTCGCTCGACGGTATGGACAGGGTCAATCTTCAACCTGGTTATGCGCCTGTTGAACGATTCGTAGCGGTGCAGGTTTGTGGAAGTGGTCTGTTTCTTCGCCTTGCGCGAAGGCGCGAGTTGAAACCCAGGAGATATTGGAGCCATGACTGCGATTGTCACCGTCCAAGTGCCAGTGTCATTGTCTGTTCAGGCTTCAATGCGTGTTAATAAGAAGTCTCGTCTGCACGTCGCGTGGCTTCAGTGGTGACAAAAATCTCAGGTGCGGCGAGCGGCGAAGAGCAAAAACTTTCCCCGCACCATCAACTGCAAATTCCCATTGACGCTTCACTCATCAAAGGATCCGCAGTAGCAGGACCCTGGCCGTCTACTGTGGATCACCTCACTTGCAATTGACGACAGTGAAATCCACTTCACTGGCGAGCCTCAACCACAGATACAACACAAAAAGCTACTCCCAGCAGGGCTGGAACTCCTTCTCATATATCCGTCGTCATCTCAGACCTCAAAAATACCTTCCTCACAATACTTTCGATATCTGATGGTACTTCATTTAGACCGGAGAAGTCCTAATGGCAACGGCCGATTTTGACTGATAGATTCAGTAACCCACTCTATAAAATCACGACGACCTCAACACCCCAGTCAGGATCTCAATATGGGCACCGCAAAAATGTGAGTCAGTCCTGGGACGTGCTAAAGAGCACATGCTGACGCCCTCTCAGTCTGGTGGTTGGCAGCGTCCAAGGTGAACTCAAGAAGGCCTTTGAGAAGATATCTAAGCTGCAAGCGAAACAGAACTTCGCCTTGGCCATCATTGTCGGCGACCTCTTCAGCCCAGACGACAAAGAAAACAACTCAAATGAACTAGAGGCACTTCTCAGCGGTCAGATCACCGTTCCGCTGCCGACATACTTTACGGTTGGTGACAACCCATTCCCCGAGAATGTCAAAGCAAAGCTCGAATCCGAAACCGATCTATGTCCGAACTTCTACTACCTGGGTCGCAAGGGGATCATGACCACCACGGAGGGTGTCAGACTTGTCTCCCTTGGAGGCCGACTGATCCAGGACGAAGCCTCGTTCACCGGGAAGCCCGGGAATTGCGATCCAGCCTACTTGGATAACGAGGCTCGAGGCCTGCATGGAGCTCACTCGGCCCACATCCTCATCACCAACGAATGGCCTGCCAATATCCAGAACGGATCCAAGATCGGTCTGCCCGAAGGCGTCGACGGCAGTCGCGGCACGCAGTCGATCTCGAACCTCTGCCAAGCTCTCAAGCCGTGGTATCACTTTTCCAGCAGTCCGGCCGGTCTGTGGGAGCGCGAGCCCTTCAAGCATATTGCCGACTACAACTCTCTGGAGGAGCCAAGCGTTACTAGGTTCAAAAGTCTACCCAGCGTAGCGGCGTCCACCAAAGAATGGATGACGGCTTTCACTCTGGATATATCCCGACCACCTGCGACAGTGGAACCACCGGCGGAATCACCGTTCGTCAGATCTTCGCCTCCACGAAAGCGACCAGCCCTAGATGACCAGGCCGCGTACCGTCGCTACGCCGACGAAGGCTACGAGTCGCGCCATAACAAGCGTGCGCGGAAAGGCCCGCGCAGCGATCCGAGCGACTGCTTCATGTGTCTCAACAAACCTGGCTCCAAGACTCACCTTGTCGTCTCCCTCGGCGAGGAAAGCATGGTCTCCGTCTCGCGGGGGCCCTTGCCTTTGCCAATGACATTTCCTCGGCTGTCTTTCACGGGCCACGTCATGATCATCCCATACTACCATGCCGCCGACGAGATGGCGCAAGGGAAGCGAACACTGCAAGAAGTCGCGACCGAGTTCAAGGAGATGTCCAAGTTCCGCAAAGCCCTGAGCGCCATGGTGGGCTCAAAAAGCCACGGCGAGCTCGGTACCGTGTGCTGGGAAGTCAACCGGACGGGCATACGGCATCTACACTGGCAAGTCATTGCCTGTCCTACGGATCGCATCAAGAAGGGCATGGTCGAGGCGGCGTTCAAAGTCAAGGCGGAGCAGTACAGATATCCGGCCTTCCAGCCATGTGACGCCGACAGCCAGCTGGCCGAACGATCGGACTACTTCCGCGTGTGGACCTGGATGGCAAACCCGGTGGAGTTGGCCGACCATACCAACGGGAACGTAGCAGACGAAAAAGACCTCGGCGTGGCACAGTCCATCTATTTCCCCTTGCCGACCGATCTGAAATTCAACATCTGGTTCGGCCGGGAAGTGATGGCGGGTCTCCTGCAGTTGGAGAACAGAGTCAACTGGATGGATGCGCTGCTTCGCAAGGACGGAAGTGAGCAGGCGGCCGAGGAAGAAGAGGCCGATGGTCTGCGCGCCGACTTTGAAGAGTTCGACTTTGCCATGAAGTGAGGGGTTGGTCCTGGAGCAGCATTACAGTACGCTGGTACTGCGAGCTTGACCCATCTTGGAGCAACGAATATTGGCACTACTGGTGGTCTAGGTTGAGCCCATATTTGGAGCAAGGAATATTGGCACGGCTCGTGGCCGGGGTTCAGCCTATCTTGGGAGAAGGGGCATTTGTTTTCACACATCTGAGATACCCATACAGCCAGCCTGTGCTTGATTTTGGGAGGTTCAGGTATTCGGCCATCACTGAACCGATGCACCACCGCACAACACATAGATCACAATATCATCATATTTGACGCCATGTGGTCGCCGAACTTGGGTGCAAGATGCGGAAATGTGCATATCCATGGGTTTTGAGACAACAAAGTACTCAGGAGCGATGTGGGATAGAAAGCATTTGATTCCCTGGGTACGCTGTAGCTTCCTCCAGATATCAAGTGGTACAGATCTAATTTCCTCCAACTCTATAACACTCCACGCCGCTGATAGTTCATTGTCCAACACAACGCCCGGCTGAGGTACGGCTCAAGAGTACTCCGTAATAAGCCTGCCAAAATACCTCAGATTCTCAGCTGATACATACCAATACATTCTGTATCGTCGCTTCAGCGAGTCCATTCTCCAATCGAAAAAGATAAATCCTCTATTCGCAACTCCAGGCTCGTGAGGTTGTTGCTAGGTGCCGGATCCCGTCGAATGCTCAGAAGCAATTGGACAATATACACAGAGATGGTTCGGGTTCGAAAATAGGAGTTGAAAGTGGGTTGCCTTCCTGTAAAACAAAGGTGCCGAACAGGAGGGCGAAGAGCGTGCTTGGAAAGTCGTCGGACTAGCAATAGTGCCAGACAGTGTGCGTCTGAGTCGTGTGCCAGCGCAGGCTGTTGATCTAAAGAGATGCTGCCTCCTTACGATGAAGGTTGTGGCGGTTTCCCCGGAAGCAGCGCGGAATCTCGGTAAATTCGTACACGACCGCTCGAGGTAAGCATGGTATCGTCACGTCGTATTGTGGCCAGGACGCCAAAAATGAAGCTCAGCCGATCTGCCACGAGATTTCACCACACTCTCCTCTCGCGTTCTTGAACTCCTCGACCCGCTCCAGCATCCATCCCGAGATGTACTCTTCTTTGCCATCGACAGGGCGGCCCATCTTGATGGAGTGGCTCAGCTTGCAAGTCCCGGGATGCCAGGAGAACTGTACGCATTCTGGATCGGATTCGCACACCTCACGGCATTTGTCGGCCGACTCAACGGAACCCTTCTCGAGCTCGGAGAGATCGTCCCACATCTTCTGTTTCTCTTCGTCATTCTTCCAGTCCCAATCGGCGTCTTCCTTGACGTGACCCTCTCTGGGCTCTGTGAATGTCTTGTCCCCGGAGCCGTTATTCCAGTCTTTCTTCTTCTCGGAGATGTGTGGGACAACGAAATCTTCAAAGACGTCCTTGAACAGGTATGGAACCGCGCCAGGGTCTTCGTCATCCCACGTCTTGTTGAGCCACTCCTGCTCAAATTGCCAGAGGGCTTCGACCTCGTATGAGTGGACATGATGCCAGGTAATGGCCGGTGTGCACCACGTGCGGTCTCCCCACTGGTAGCTCGATGGCGGGTCAACTTGAAACATTGGCCAAGCACCGCTCACAGAGACTCCGGCATGGCCCATTGCAACCCCAAGCATAACATCACCGCAGCAGATTGTCGACGTCTCCTTCTCCCAGTCGGCGATTTTTTCAGGTGTTCGTATAGCTTCAAATCTTTGAACAGCTTTGCGCGAGAGTAGGTAGCCAGTACCGCCTTGAGCGAACGCGGTTGGCCCATGCCAGTAGACACAGCCTGCATATAGCGGGTCGTCCGGATCCATGCGGTCGAGCAAGAGAAGTAGATTGGCCCAGCTGAGATATGTGTCGGCGTCTATGGTGATAAACCACTCGGCACGGGGATATTTCACGTAGGCTTTGTGGAGCATTGGAATATTCTTCCACTTGTCCAAGGCCCAGGCTTTGTCGGATCCAAGCACACTCACGTCGCCATGTGCGTGATGGGCGGCATGAATGGCGTTGTAGAACTGGAAGTCCTCGTGACCCTCCTTGTACTCTCGCCCGATCTCGTCCAAAGCATCTTGAATATGGAACTCTCCGATGTGTTGCTCCATGTCGGAAAAGATCATGAAGTTGGGTGCGCATTCTGCAAGGGTGACCAGTAGCTCAGGAATACGGACGAATACTTCGGTAGCGCCAGTTTTGACCATCACCACGACCTTGTCTGCGCCTGGTAGCTGGCGACACGGTGGAATATGCGGCTCGGAAGCGTGTACAGGAATAGAGGGGTGTAAGGGAACTTTGGGTCCCGAGGAGTAGGCAGGCCCCGTTTTCGGCTTCTCAGGCTCGGGCTCGGGCTCCTCCTCTTCATCTGGCTCTTCATCTGGCTCTTCTTCTGGTTCTTGCTCTGGGTCCCACACCGTGGTACCGTCGACTGCTGACGGGGAGGCCGGATCTTCGTCGAATTCATAATAACCATCTTCGAGGTCGACGTCGGTGTCCTCGGGGAGCGTACTTGAGCTTTGGCTCCTCCACCAAGGTCCTGACGACGAGGCCAGGCCGCTTTCAGACTGTGCGTTGGGATCAGGGAGGTAATAAGAACGGAATACCAGGAGAGAGACGAGGACAAGGAAGACGATCAGGAGTCTCACTGGGCCCAGCCCGCGAGGAAAGGACAATGCCATGTTGCTCATGGCGTCCAATGCTCACGATGGCAGAAGAGAAGGAAAGACGGCTTGCTGCGATAGATACGAGCAACGAGAGGGGGTGCGCAGGAGCCCATATTTGCGTGCCTTGACATCTCTATCCCTGTCACGCTCGACACAGGCGGAATGGTCTTGAATCGACAGCTCTGGGCGTCAAGGGGGTATCTGATAGGCGGCGTACCTGACGATCAATTTGGTTCGGGCGACGGAGCTTATCGGACACGCACCCCTAGCAGGACCCGACTGCACACTGACGAGGCCCCAGCTGTACTGGGAAGCCCCTAGCAGCACCGGCAGCCCCTTGCCTGAAGCTGCGCCTAACAGCGGGGGCTTTACTATTTGTGGCCGACGAGCTGCGCCAATCTCGACCGCCACGGCGGCCAATGGCTATTTTGATCCATCCCACGCTGTCGCCACCACCTGCCTTCCAGAGTTCGGAGATGCAACTTCGTAAATTGGACTGCAACGGTTACGATGCGAATATGCCTCCTGAAAAAAGCGGCATGGCTGAAGAATTGAGTACACGTGATATTGGATATGAAGCTGTTGTTCGCATCCTTATTAAGGGCTGGCTGATTTCCATGCCGGCCTGTGCGCAAAAGGGGTCGCACAAGCACTCGATCTCGTTCCGATTGCAGCAGTGGGACGGTTCACGACGCGTCGGCTACTACTGTGGTACTCGCACATGTACGCAATTCACCACACCTTCGCATGATGTGACGCATCGAAAATTCTTCCTTCGCTCCTTCCACGCTGTGTAGTCTGCTCTGCAACCATCTATGGCAGCTGGTGGAGGGGTGAAGGAGACATGGAAGGAAGATGAGAGAATTGAGGCCTGCCTGTGCACGGAAGCCAGATTTCTTGTCGTGGAATACCAGTTCTGACTATCTGCACCCAATCCCGTCATTGCTTGCGCGACGATCACGATGATGATTCCATTGCAGTCACTCACACAACATAAGCCCGGTGTATGACAGCGTCGCCGTGTTTGTGGAGCAGCGACAACGAGTCAATCATCAATGACCTCATGCGTGCTAGAAAGAAAACGAGCAGATATTGGAGATCGTATCGCTCCTTCAATGATCGATATAAAGTCTTCAAGGGAGTATTTCACTGCCCACAGACTCAATCGAACCTTCGCCGCCTCAGTATGACCAATTCTCAGCGCTGTTGGCGGCAACGTGCGGGACACAGTTTGTCCGGACCACGCTGAGCCAGATTCCACACAGGCTATTCCGTCTGGAGCCTGCCTTTGAAGAGCCAGCTGTCGTTGTTCTGCCGAGACGGATACGTTGTTCGAGGACTTTGATAAGTGCCATGTTCTCCAGAGAGAGAAAAACATGAGCTACTTGGGATGTGAAGTTGGACCGGCAGGATGTGTGAGAAGGCAACTGCTTCTGCCATCGGACCGATCTGGAAACCGGTAAGGGAAGAATGGTTACGTGCTTAACATACTTCGTCAAGCCTGTCGGCACGAGGCTGAGCTAAAAGTCGACATGATCGGGTAGGTTTCGTCTCAGCCTACCTTTATGTGCTCAGTACAAGATTGTTCCTCCGACACTGGGAAACCGAAAGTAGAGAGTGCAAGAAGGGTAGCAGGGCGTTGAAATACAGCAAAGATGCGCGATGCTGGACCGCCAGAAAACGGATTCCCCAGACGACTCTCTTGCGGCGACCAAGACCATCCACAAGCCGGTGTATCTTTGGGACGAAGCCATAGATATTCTCGCCTATGACCAATAGTGACAATTTTCTCTTCATGACATGGCTACCCGCAGCTCCTTTCTGCTGCTCTGCTCGCAGAAGCGTCCCGCACTGATCATGGGCTTGTGCATCCACGCCCCTTGTGGCAGACGTGGCTCAGCTTCCCGTCCTAGCCTTCCTCTCCTCCATCAGTTTCCGAGCATCCACCAGCCCGTTCTGCTCCTTCGTGCGCCATTGTATGGCTTTGCAGAGCCCGTACAAACATTTCACTGTCGGCATTGCGACGCCCGCTTTCTCGCCTTCCCCCAACGCCTCGCCGAGGATGTTTTCAAACTCCATGTACCTCTTCTTGCGTCGGTCCTGCTGCATGCTCGGCGCGCAGAATATCTCTATGGGATCACACTCGACCATATCTTCGACTAGAGACTCGGGCAGCTCCACGTTTGCGGCCGCCTTTGCCGCAGCACGTATCTCGTTCATGGCGGGCCGGACGAGCAGGTTCAGCGGGCTTGCAGGATCTTGATCTTCGGATGCAAGTCGAAACCGCGTTGTGTCCAAATCTGTGAGCGCGCAGATAGGATTCCACACGGCGTTGTACATCAGCTTCCTCCATCTGACGAACAGCACGTCGGGCTGGTACGAGCACTGGACCTTGCCTGAGGCCGAGTAAATCCTGACAAATTCCTCAGCGGCATCGATTTGCCTCTGCTTGTCCATGGTCTCGGACAAGAACGGACCGATGTACAGCCTGTCGACATCGTTTTCCAGGATGTGACCGGGACTGAGCTCATCGGCGCCCATCAACGATACCCCTGATAGGCAGATGTTGCCGGGGAACGCCGTCAGCAAGGGCTTCTCGATGTTCAATCCGTTCTGGATGAGCACTATGACTGAGTGGCCGGGCGTCACGGCGGGCTTGATCAAGTCGACCAGAGTCGGCGGCACGTCTGGGATGTTCTTCGTCGTGCAAATGATGTAGTCGAATGAGTCCTCTGGGGACGTGGAGCCAGACAGGTCAGGAATGCTATTCAGCACCTTGGTAGGTCGCCAGCCTTCGAATTTGCCGTGGTCGCAGGAGTCGATGGTGAAGCCCTTGTCCCTGACGACAGCGTAGTTCGACCTCAACACGGCCGTCACCTCAGCTAGGCCTCCTCGTTCGAGATTCAGTGCCGTCATTGTCCCGATACCGCCAGCTCCCACGAGCAACACTCTAGCCTTCTGCGCCATCTCGCCGACTGTCACGACTCACTCCGCTGTGGCTACGACAGGGTTTTACCTTTACACGTGGTGATCGTGATCCATGAATACGCAAAAGGGCCCTTTTTATCTACCAGACTCTCGCAGTTGTGACGAGGCGCACCTGCAAAGTTGTGGTCGTGATTGGAGGATCCAGCCTCAGACAAGGACGGTCTCTTCCGCGTACTGGAGATGCCCGCTACAAGCTCCTGAATGTGCGCAATATTCTCCCCTCGGTTCCTGCGGCAATCTTCTTTCTCTAGTTCAAAGCCTGGCTCTAAGCTCTCGAGCGAGGACTGCTGCGTGGTACCGGCACCGTCATGGAGCACCTCGTCCTCGGCTCATCCTCGCAGTCGCACCCTTTCTAGCGGAGGACCGTCAGGTTCTGGGCAGAGCTCCATGTGCCGCATCATGGTCCGATCTGGGCTCCCTCCGGAGCATGCATATTCGCTACTTTGAAGAATGATCTGAATGGGTGAAATATCTTCACACCCTTGCCGGACAAAGCCTTCTCCGGTCGCCACGCCGACTTACTCTACTCATACCGATTGGACGCAAAGGTGATCGGACTTTCTCCGATATGGCCGATGAGGTGACGATCAAGGGACAAGTATTCCCCGCATCCAGAGGTATATGTTGACGTTGGATTCTTGTCGAGCCTTACTCCATCACATTGAAACGCAGGCGACGATATAGAACTAGCATCCACCTCAGTCACTTCGTACGCATCCCTCTTATTCTGCACCCACCTCACAATGGGCTCTATGCCAACGGACCAACCCGTGGCCCCGCCGCCCTCGACAACGACATACAATATCGCATCCATCCCCGCCGACGGCATCGGCCCGGAAGTCATCACCGCGGGCATCCAGGTGCTGAACACGCTCTCGCGCGCCTTCTCATCCCGCTTCTCCTTCAACTTCACGCACTTTGACTGGTCGAGCGACACGTACCTAGCCACAGGCCGCTACATCCCCGAGGGCGGCCTGGACAGGCTGCGCACCTTCCACGCCATCTTGTTCGGGGCGGTCGGCGACCTGCGCGTGCCGGACCACATCTCCCTGTGGGGATTGAGACTGGCGATCTGCCAACCCTTCCAACAGTACGCGAACGTGCGACCCTCACGCGTCCTCCGCGGCGTGACATCTCCGCTGGCGGCGTGCCAGGGCTCGGCCGCCAACGCCAAGAAGCTCGACTGGGTCATCATCCGCGAGAACAGCGAGGGCGAGTACGCGGGTCAAGGGGGAAGGTCGCACGTCGGCCACCCGTGGGAAGTGGGCACCGAGGTCAGCGTCTTCACGCGCCACGGATGCGAGCGCCTGCTGCGGTTCGCGTACGAGACGGCGCGGTCGCGACCCCGGCGCAAGCTGACTTTGGTGACCAAATCCAACGCCCAGCGTAATGGTATGGTGCTGTGGGACGAGGTCAACGCCCTTGTCGCGCGCGACTATCCGGACGTCGAGGCCGACAAGATGCTCGTCGACGCCATGACGTGTCGGATGGCGCTGCAGCCGGAGACGATCGACACGGTCGTGGCCACGAACCTGCATGCCGATATCCTGTCGGACCTGGCGGCCGCGCTGGCGGGAAGTATCGGCATTGCCCCGACGAGCAATTTGGATCCCACGCGCCAGAACCCTAGCATGTTTGAGCCGATCCACGGGTCCGCGTGGGATATTGCGGGCAAGGGCGTCGCGAACCCGGTGGGCACGTTCTGGTCGTGTGCCGAGATGGTGCGCTGGCTGGGCCAGCCCGAGGCGGCGGATCTGTTGATGGAGGTCGTGGAAACGGTGCTGGACCAGGGGGTCAAGACGAGGGATCTCGGTGGGCAGGCTGGCACGGAGGAGGTCACGAATAAGGTGTGCGAGGAGATCTTGAGGTTGGGAAGTGAGAGGCAGGGTGTTGTCAAGGGTCAGGAGACGCAGTAGACGCAGTGAGCGGGTTTGTCTCTCAGCTGAGTACGATATGATGGGAGTTTTGAATAAATGAGCGAGCAATAGAAATGAAACGAACACTAGTACAGACGCGGACTGATTCAACGCAATGCAAGTCAATGCAAGTCAACGCAACTCAAATCAACTCAATAAGACCCAACCAGACGTAACTCCACGAGGACGCCCGTACGAGCGCATCGAACCCCAACTGCACAGCGAGTCAAGTCAAGTCAGTCAAGTTGCCTGAATCGCCGACCTATCTTCTTCCCTCCTCGCTCTCAGCCTGTCTCGTCAGTCTATCAATCACTTCTCACCTACTCTCTCCCTTCATCGCAGGCTCCAACACCGCCATTCCCCTCCATCCACCCCTCTCTTTCGCCTCCTAAACCCCACCTCCCACTCCTCCAGCTTGAACGTTTTCACCTCCCCAACCTGAGCCCCTAACTCCGAGCCCGAGTTCAACTTCAACTTCAACCGTCCGCTTTCGAGCAGCCCAATCAACCTCTTCACCCCTTCCCTCTCATACATGAATTTCCCTCGGATGACTAAATCCCTAAACATCACCGCCGCATAAGGGATTTGAACCATTTGCGTGATGCCACCCATGAAGCACGCCTTCCCGCCCTTGCGAAGCGCCAAGATACAGCTAGCGATGTGCGTCGAAGCCGCAGCCCCCGCGGGCGAAAAGTCGATATACGCGTCGATTCCGCCGCCGGGACGTCCACACGCCCGGATCGCGGCCGCATCCTCCTCGACGTGCCCCTTTAATTGAACGACTTTGATACCGCATGCGGAATACGCGGGCTGCAAGACGGCCTCCATGCGCTCGAGCGCCTCAAGTCTTCGTCCACAAATGACGACGTCCGCCCCCATCGCCAGCGCGACTTCCACGGCCGCGCCGCCGAACTGGCCCGTCGCTGGGGCGATGACGAGGGTATCCCCCGCGTGAATATCCAATGCAGCCAGCCCGCCCATCGGCACGAGCAACTTGAGAAGGTAGGCTAATTCGGGGACGGTGTGGCCGAGACCAGTGCCAGTGGTGCCGGCGGCGGTGGCGGTGGCGATGGTGGTACTGCTGCGGTTGCGGAGGCTACCGCCGCACAACCTATCTTCATCTAGCGCGTGGACATTCTCCAGCGGCCAGCGCGCATACTCGGCGTAGGACCCATCGCGCCATGCATCCTCGCCTTTCATCAACCGGGCGGCCTGGTCGGAAGTCCCGCCGTGGACGCCGAGCAGGATGCTCTGCGCGGGATCGTCACGCGAGCGGACCATTGGGTCGAGCAGCACGAGTTGGCCGGGGTGCAGAGTCGTGGCGTCGTTGGCGAGAGTTACGACCCGGCCGATGGCTCCGCCGCCGATGGTCTGTGGTGGGTGGAGCGGGTAGTTCAACGCGCCGGAGTACAGGGCCGCGGCGTAGGCGAGGATGGGCGTGCTGAGGATCTGCACGATCGCGCTGCCAGGCAGGAGGGCGGGAATGGGTGTGGATTTCACTTCGAGGGGGGCGCCGAGCGATGGGAGGGTTAGAGCTCTATGCGTTTCCGGGACGGATTGCATGGTGACAGTGCAGAGCGGGCGACGAGCCAGATCAAGAGCAATGCAATGAAGATAGATCGTAGGGATAGCAGTAGGACGATGAACACGCACCGGACTGGCAGCAAGCAAGGGCGGCAGCTCTACCTTCTTATATACGAACATATATGCATGCGCATATACACATAAACGCATACATACAGTCCTACAGTCATACGGAAGTCTGTACTTACTATCCAGTGCACGTTGAGGAAAAAGGAATCCTGGTAGTGTGTATTCGTACTGTATCCGCGTCACGGCCAAGTGTACACCTCGATCCCTGTCGCTGTATCCATTACCATAGCTGTAGCGAGCACGTACTCGTACTTGTAGCTGACAGGGAGAGGGGAAGTCAAGGTCTAAACTCCATACCAGGCCAACGGAGATAGGCGGCTTTAGCATGCATGGCGCCATGGAGAAGTCAAGCGCATTGTGTATGCACGCAACGGACTGTGGAGGGGGGGCGGGGGTCGCAGACGGCATGGTCGATAGTTGCATTGCTGCAATACGAGTCGTTGATGAAGAAAGTGGACAAGTTGGGTCATCAGTCGGGTAGGATGAGGTAGGCAGACATATCTCCCGGTCAGGGTCGGAGTTGATTTTGGTCACATCGGCACCCATAGAGACAGAAACGGGGATGAGAGCAGCGATGATAGAGGAAGGTCGAATGCCGGTTCATCTCGAGTTGGTATCGGTCTTCGAAGTGTCTTTGCAATACTTAATACCCGATTCTTGCTTCTCCTCTCATGGCGCTGTGCCCTAGAGATAGCACTTCTCGGAAACGTCGTTTAGACACCGTGGGCGATATCACTGCTTGGCTGCATGGTGTAGGTCGCAGCAACTCTTTGCTGAGAAAAAGCAGGTACTGAAGGAAGAACAAGTCCAGCTCGATCCCGTTCGAGGCAGAGACGATCTCGTGCTTGACATTTGTCGTCGGGACACCTAGCTTAAACCCTAGCTTTCAGAGCGCATATGCCTACCGTTCAACCGGACGTTATCCCTCTACACCGACTACCTTTACCACGACAAAAGGCGGGCATATCGGTCCTTCGGCACGAAATGATCTTCTGCCCACAGTGGCGGATCATCGCACAGTAGGGCCAGAGACCGTGCGAATCGACACCATCGTGTCTTGTGAAGCGTTGGTGTTCACATCGCTGTCTCCGGTCTCCTCAATCGAAGTACTCGCACTGGAAGCATTGCTGGTACGCTCCAGCACATCAGCAGCGCTGTCAATGTTTTTCGGGGTTATTCCCCGAATATGGCCGTCTCCTTGTATAGTAGAATTGCCGCTGCTCGCATCACGTCTTGGTCTTAACTAAGAGTTTGTCGTGGCTACCGGCTGACCTCGCAGCATTCCCGGAAATGGATTGACGGACAATTGCACCTCTAGGCGGACCGTCGCGTGTCTGGTCGGTCGAAGGAGCGGTTTCTGTTTGACCAATAAATACTCCGCATTTTGGAGCCTGGCTGGGCTCATAAGCTTTCGTTGGGCGGGTCTGCGAATCGGTTAGTATCGTCTCCGTAGGGCACCATTGAATCAGAGATACACTCACCTGTATGGGACAGGTCATCTTCGGTTGGGGGAAAGACAATCCTGGTTCAACAACAATCAGTTTAGTACATGGGATATGGGATAGGCGCCTGTATGATACATACGGGAGACACTCAGCGTAAGCACTGACATCCTTGTCCAAGAAGTTGCAGAAGACAACTTTGTCCAGCTTGCGGCCTTCTAGTTTTCTTAGAAAGGTGTAGACCTCCTTGGAAGCAGCTCGTGCTGCAGCCTTGCTGGGATAGCCGTAGACTCCTGTCGAAATGGCAGGGAAGGCAATGGTTTTGCAGTCATTGTCCACGGCAAGCTTGAGACACGTGCGGTACGCGCTGCGAAGGAGAGGTTCGGACTCCTTGATGCTGTCGTAGACCGGACCGACTGCGTGGATGACTTTCTTGCAGGGCAAATTGTATGCATCTGTTATCTTCGCAAAGCCGGTCTCACAACCATTCAGGGTTCTGCATTCTCGAAGAAGACTGGGACCGGCAGCCCTGTGGATAGCTCCGTCAACGCCACCTCCGCCAAGGAGACTACTATTTGCAGCATTTACAATCGCATCACATTCGAGCTTGGTGATATCGCCCTTGTAAGTGCAGACCTTGTTGTTAAGCTGTTGGTCAGGGGTGGGCAGGTCTTCTTCTGTTGAAAGCTTGAGCTCTCCTCTGCGGTACAGCTGGGAGACGGTGGGTATTTCCGCCACGGATTTGACGGCCGAAGACATTCCGCGGATCCACGTTCGAGAGAGCATATAAGGTATTTTGGATGGTAGAAGTTGAGAAACTGGGGAAAGTGAGGAAGTTGTGAGAATGAAGCTGTAAAATCGATCGGGTGAATCTCCAACCGCGGACACGCGGGGGAGTCGCGCTAAGCAGCAGTGGCAGCGGACTAGTCACGTGGAGATAAGAGGAGGTCCCGTCACTGATAAGCAATGATCAACATGGCGCACCCTGGGGATAACCTATTTCTTGTCCGCAAATGATCGCGCTCGGTACGAGTATCAGATAATGCAAGCCTAGGGTGGTCGATACGGATACGACGGCAGTCTTCATTGCGCGCGTAAGTATGGAAAGTAGACCTTTTCCGTGTGCTACAGTAAGAGCATTGCTTGCTGAAGCTCTGCTCCGACAAGCCATGGCCATCACCATCCGGTCAGCAACCGAGGACGACCTAGCCCAGGTTCGCGAAATCTTAGCACTACGTTCTGAACACTGTTGCTTCCTTTCTGGTGAGAATGCCACCCTCCGAGTATGTCACATCCAGATTCCGGGAGCTCACTTCTCGCAACCTCCCGTATCTTGTTGCGGTGGACGATAATAGTCAGATTGTCGGCTACTCATACGCGTCAGCTTTTCGAGGTTACATGATAGGGTATGGTCATACAGTGGAAATCAGTCTCTTCTGTCATCAGGCCCATACGAACAAAGGTATCGGCAGTCAAATGATCAAGCGGCTGATCGAACTGCTTCGCACCGCTCGACACCTCACCCGAGAGATTGGCGATGATGAACACCCGCTGGAATCCGACGTGATAAAAGTGATGGCGATCATGGCGGTTGACGAGACTGCTCCTGGCGAGGGCCTGGCTCTACGTGACTGGTACAAGAGATGAGGCTTCGAAGAGGTTGGCAGGCTGAAGGGAGTTGGATTCAAACAGGGCAGGATGTACTCAGCTCATGGCACAACAAAGTATCGCCGGCTAACGGAAGTGCTAATAGTATCGACACCATCTATCTCGAAATACCCCTGCAGTACTAAGGACTTCAATTTCCTGGGGACGCAGGTGCGGAAGCAAAATGTGACAGGAAATGCCTGATTCAAGATCCGGGAGTTAACAGCTCTTGATCTTTGACTTGAATTGTTGACAGTCTGGATCCTGTGGAGGCTGCGATGCTTGGTGGCGTCAAAGTTTGGGGCTGTGCGGGAAGAGACAGTCACACGAGTCTGCCTCGTAACAGTCCACACCAGGCCGATTCACCACGAACCCCAGCAACGACCAGATACCTCTTGAGAGTATGGACATATACTCCGTACACATCGCATCTTTCATGGAACTGGCGGAGGCGTTGGGGATGAGTCATTCATGACATGTCACTCGGAAGCATGCTGCAGCCTTGTGATCGCCCCTTTCGGATCAACATAAGTCCGGCCCCGGCGTCTGGTCATTTGAAAGTGACACACCTGGGATTTTGTTCAACACGAGCTCAGGCTTCGATTTGCGAACCACAAATTGATTCTGCTGCCTGTTATGCTCTTTACCCCGCCTTTCTCTGTCGTGCCTGCGTACTGTGAACCTCTGCTTTGGCTTGCCGTCCAAAAGCGCCTGATCCTGCGTCGATACCCGACCTCAGGTTCAACAGGGCTGGTAATCTGTGGCATGCTGTTAGACTTGTCTCACTCCAGCGAGCCATAGCGCGGTCGGTAGCCATTCAGTTGGCCTTGGAGCAGACTGGTCTCTGTCCCCTGACGTTTCGCAGTCACTTCTGTGAAGCTGGGGTGAGGTTCTGATCACGGCGCAGCTCCTCTACACCGATCAGTACCGGCTGAACGCGTGTTCGTCTGGATTTAGGGTCAGGATAGATCCTGCTTTTCGAGGTGGGTGGCTATTGGACTATCGTGCGTTGACCCTCGAACAGTATACCATTCAGGAATTTACATCTGTTGATGTCAGGTTTGACCTGCTTGGCCGGGACCTTTTCCAGGTCGCAGGCCGTCGGTCGGCAGCATTGTGACTTTGCGTGTCTGACTCGTCATTTATTCTGTCGCTTGCCTTGCGAACTAACTGCGCTGCGCCATGATTGGCGTACAAGAGGCAGGGATTTCCTCATCTGGAGTGTCTGCCAAGTTGGGACGGCTGCCTACTCAGGCCATCACATCTATTTAATTCAGCCTCTCCTCTTCGAGATCCGCCTCTCAATCACTCTACCATCAAGTTGCTGTTCCTTCGATCTTGGCATACGACTCAAGATGGGAACCCAATACTACCATCGTCAACACCTCTGCGGTTGCTGGATTTTCTGTGAAACCAAGCCCTACTCACCCGCCAAGCGGCGATATCTTCCTCAGGTCGACCTGAACTCTTCGACCACCATCCTCGCTACCACATCCCGTACCACTCTGAAGCAAACATTTGTCAACGATCAAGACAAGAAATTGAATGAAGTCCAGTACACCTTTCCCCTCTACGATGGCGTCAGTGTCGTCGGCTTCACATGCACTGTTGGCTCCAAAACCATCGTCGGCATCGTGAAGGAGAAGCAGGAGGCCAGAGTTGTGTACCAGGCAGCCGTGGCTCGGGGAGAGACCGCTGGTCTACTAGAACAATTGCCCGAGGCTTCCGACGTCTTCACCACTTCGATCGGCAATGTCCCCGCGAAGGAGAAAGTTCGCATTGAGATCGTCTACCTCGGCGAGCTCAAGCACGACGCCGAAACCGATGGCTCACGATTTACCATACCGACGATCATCGCCCCTCGTTATGGCGCACTCTCCGGAGAATCTGCAAGCACGCTTTCGAATAGTGCCTCGAAAAAGGGCCGCATCTCCATCTCTGTCGATGTCACCCTCGAAGATGAAACCATCGTCCGCGGCTTGCAATCTCCCAGTCACCCTATCGCTGTCACCATGGGTCGCACTTCTCAGATGCATGAAGACGCGTTCAGTAACAACCACGCCTCAGCCACATTGACCCTTGGTTCCACCGAACTAGACAAAGACTTTATCGTCGTCGTCTTAGCCAAGGGTACTGACACTCCTCGTGCTCTTCTTGAGAGACACCACACCATCTTCAACCAGCGTGCTATCATGACGACCCTTGTGCCAAAGTTCAATCTTCCAAATATCTCCCCAGAAATCGTCTTTGTGGTCGATCGAAGCGGCAGCATGCAAGGCAAGATTGAACTCGTCGTGTCCGCCATGAAGATCTTCCTGAAGTCGCTTCCAATCGGGGTCAAGTTCAATATCTGTTCCTTTGGCTCAACCTATTCATTTCTCTTCGAGCGGAGTAAGACATATGATCAGTCGAGTCTCAAAGAAGCTTTGAGCCACCTGGATACCTTCGCCGCAAACTACGGAGGTACAGAGATGCTTCGACCTGTCAAGGCCACGGTCGAGAACCGATACAAGGACTTGCCACTGGAGGTCATGGTCCTCACTGACGGCGAGATCTGGAACCAAGAGGAGCTGTTCACGTTTGTACATGAAACGGCTAACGCTCGCTTCTTCACCTTGGGTATCGGCCACGGAGCCTCTTCTGCCCTCGTCGAGGGAATCGCCCGCGCAGGCAACGGGTTCGCTCAATTCGTCGGCGACAACGAAAAGATGGACCGACGAGTCGTCCGCATGCTGAAAGGAGCACTCACACCTCACATTACTGACTATACCCTTGAAGTCACATATGGACAAGGCGAGTCGCCTTCGGGTGATGACGATTTTGAAATGGTGGACTCTGCCAGCACCGAGACCCTGACCATCCGTTCCCTCGCTAGCAACACCAAGGAACCAGAGCAGAAGAAGCCGATCTCCCTATTCGACACCAACGCCACAGAGGAGCCGCCCAATCCTCCTGCGGGTCGTTACGACAACTTGATCAGCGTCCCTCCTCCAAAGATCATTCAAGCGCCCCACAAAATCCCGACGCTGTACCCTTTCAACCGTACCACGGTCTATCTACTGCTAGGTCCTGACGCACCTACGAAGGCTCCCAAAGCTGTCACTCTCCGTGGTACTAGCCAACATGGTCCTCTCGAGCTTGAGATCCCGATCCAAGACGTCGGGGTCGGTGAGACAATGCATCAACTTGCGGCGAAGAAAGCTGTGCACGAACTCGAGCACGGTCGCGGTTGGATCACCGAGGCACGTGATGGCAATGGCAGCCTCCTCAAGACCGCTCACGAAGGAAAGTGGGATCTGATCGTCGAGCGTGAGGCGGTTCGATTGGGCGTCCTCTTCCAAGTGGGAGGCAAATGGTGCTCATTTGTCGCCGTCGACAGGGAAAGCCAACAGGAGCATCACAAGCCACCTCCTACCGATACCGGATCGACGTCGGAAACCCAGTTCAGACCACCCGTCAGGCTGAGTCAGCCTCCAGCAAGGATGTTGTTCTCAGGGGCTGCCGCCTCCCAGCCTGTCAGTCAGCAACAGTTCGGAAGTAGCTCCAGCTCCAGCTTTGGGACGCTCAGTGTGGGAGGGCGGCGAAGTGCAGGGAGAGGAGGTGGTTACGCTGCTGGCATCGGGAAGAGGAAGGAAATGAGTGGGACACTAAGTATGGCCAGCGCAGCGCCCGCACCGCCTGGGGCAATGCAACGGAGTTCAATGGGAGCTGCATTTGCGGCAACGGCACCGCCCCCGGCTCCGGCTCCAATGGGTCAGCTTCAACAGTGTCATGGCATGCTCTCGCTCCAGCAAGGTAACAACGATCGCGACCAGATGGTGGGTTATTCGCAAGCACTCCCGCCGCCCCCACCGATGGCTCCTGGCGGTGGCCCTCTTTTCGGGACTTCACGTGCAGCTTTTGACCATCAACATGGTTCAAACGCTCAGCAGAACAGCAGAAGTGCTGCCTCTCCAGCTGCTTCGGCGTTTCTAGGTGGAGTTTCAGCAGCAAAGAAGAAGGTGACAGGATCTGGCAGGCCCGGCAAGGGCTCCTTCTACCGCCGTTCCCGAACTCGCGGACTCGAAAATGATGACGAAGACAGCGAGTATGCAGAAGTCGAGGTTGACATCCGTTCATTGCCTGACACGGAGAAAATGCACAAGATCATCGACCTGCAGGAATTCGACGGCTCATGGCAAGTGTCGGACAGACTTCTTGAGCTCCTCGGTGTCAGTGCCGACCAGTTCACCAGCTTGGATGTGGGCATTAATTCTTTAGTGGGCAACAAGACACACCGAGCCACGGCCCTGGCAATTGCCTGGCTGAAGGCCAAGATTCCAGCCGAGGAGGATGTCTGGGAAATGGTGGTCGACAAGGCGATGGGCTGGCTCTCAGCGCAAAGCCGTGACGGCAGTGCCGATGAGGCGGTCAAGCTGGCCGGTAAAGTGTTCTGAGGGGGGGAATCGCACCGTGGGAACCCGCGAATTGTACTGACTGACTCGTCTTGACCTCAGTGTGGCAACTTGGACAGTCGAGGGGTTTGGATAGCTTTGCAATATGAGATGCCGGAACACATGCCCACTAGCGCTATCGAAAATAAAGGCAGCATGACATCGATGAAACACGTGAGTTGGTCTGATCTCGCCGCCTTCCAAAGTCAGACAGGACGCGAGATATTGTCGGCAACTTGGACAGGCGCCGGTCTGGATCTCTTGCGCGCTGTAAAACCAAAATACATGCCCAGTAGCGATATGGCAGAATGGCAGCATGACGTTGATGAACGGGTGGAAGGCAGGGCCTCAGTGGCTTGCTCAGACTCGACCGTCAACGAGCCGTCGATCCATCCCCCCGTGGCAGTTGGTCTAGCGTCGCGCCTTCAATGGTAGATAGGACGCGAGATAATGTTGGGTACTGTACTACCTTTTCATACAACCCCCTCCGCGAGAATCCTAGGTAAATTAGCTCGAAGAAACAATAAAAGCTGTCTCAACCAGTCAAAGTCATGACTTGTCTTTCCATTCCTTCCTTAGCTCAAATTTTACTGGATCTATATATAGAGTAGGTCTAGCATATCTCCCCTGGCTGAGTAAAGAGATGTACAATGCGAGTAGCCTCGAATACAGATAGAACGTCGTTTCGACCAAATGAAGAGGAAAGGGCCTTGGGGCGAAGAGATGGGATTAACACATGGCTACACCAATGGGGATCAGAACCGCCTTCTGCAGTCTTGGGTCGATGGTGTGTATGTTGCCTACTATATTGCTGCAGCCACTGTCAATGCCTTGCACGGCGACTCGGCACCAAGACGTATGTATGAATACTGTAAATTATTCGACCATGTCTGACATGTCCTTCCGCTGTGATATTATACAGGGGCACTACTCCCTGAGGTTCCCCTAACCACGACTGGTGGTGGCTCCTCATTTGTCAAAGCGGAACTCGTTCTCGTCACCCGCCTTTTCGGCCTCCTGCTCAACCACCCTCTCAATCTCACTCGCCACGCTCAAGACCCAATGATCCCGCTCTGCGCGACTGCGGCACTTGAAGACCATGCCTCTGCCAGGGACGCCCAATTGACCTACTCTCTTGAGCCTAGCTCGAGTTCGGCCTGTTGTTGACTTGCCCTCGTCAGCTCCAGCGGGAGTAGCGTCGTCCGAACCGGCCGTCTTGAACCAGCCTTTCCTCCTGTTCATCCAAACGACGAAACAGGTCATAAAGTCGACATCGGCACTGGTCCAGCCGTCTTCGAGGTAAACTCGAGGTAGACTGGCTAGACCTGGATGGTTTGCGTCAAAAGTCCGGTTCTGGTATAGCAGGTCGTCTTCGACAAGGAGACCACTGTAGACGTAGCAGTCCTTCAAGTCCACCTCCTCTTGCTTCTCTTGGTGGATGAACCGTACCTGTTCGCCAGTGGTCTTCCTCAGGGCGGACTGGAAGATGAGCAGTTTGCCACCGCTAAGTATGACCTGACACCGGCGGAAAGTCGCGCGTCGACGCTTTTTCAGGAACAGGGAGCCGGACATGGTAATACTTCGACAGCTGCTGATGCCGCACATGTTGTACAGCTCGGGGCTTGCCTCACTACGGCTGACTTCCCACTTCTTCGCAAACTGGCCGATAACGGCTTCCATCTCCTCGTCGACGTTCAACTGCTCCAGATTGGCCTTTCTGATCGACTTGAACGTGTCCATTTCTGCCGCCACGCGCAACTTCCAGTATTTGACCAACTTCTTCAACCTGTGTATCCACTCGTCGCGTGTCTGCTTGGAATATGCCTGCAGCCGGATGACGAGCCCATTGTCCAGGAGAAGCTCGAAAACGCGGTCATCGTCGATTTCCTTCGTGGAGCCATCCTCTTCCCTGGTGTCGGAGACGTCCTGGTGGAAGTCGACATCGGAGCTCGAGCCGGTCTCCAGTGATTCATCGACTGGGGAAGCACCCCATTTGATGGTGCGGACCTTCCGGATGTTGCACATATTGACATATCCGTCAGCGTCCGCTATATTTGCTACATTACGCCGAGCTTCCTCAACAGCATCTCGATCATGCTGTTGTAAGTGATCCGGGTTGCCAGATGACAGCCATGAGATCTCGCCATTCTGTAACTTGTAAGGTTCGATATCGTACATCATCGGTGTCTTTTCCACTATCTCGTGGGCCGAAGGAACATTGCTCCCACCGATTGTCGCAAGTCGTGGTGGGTGAGGCGGAGTTGCCTTTGCTGGTCGATTGAACACTAAAAATTGGTTATGTGTTGAAAAGTACAATCGTTTGAAGAATGCCTTTCCCATTCTTTTGTGGACACCCTTTTGAGAGGTCAGGCGGATCAGAAAGCCCTCAATGGGTGCAGGCTCGACGTGCGATACACCTTTTCTGCCATACGATGTGGTAGGATAGTGCTGTTTCGGTCGGAGTTCAAGATTGTGCGATCGCGTCATTGCCATCGTGCCATACATCTTCTGCTCGTTGGCACCGTAGACCCATTCAAGTCTGTCATATCTCTTCCAGGCGAGACCCATCTTGGCAGCCTCGCGCCAGACATGCAGAACATCTGACCACTCTGGATCTCGTTCGAGCATCTCCAGACACCGGGAAATGATTCTGCCAGAAACGGCTTTTTCTTCAGCGACGGTTCGAGCAAGGGCGCTTTCTTCATCCGCGGCTTCTAGACCAGCCGTCTCGAGTCCTTCGAATGGGTTGTCCAGCCTGAGCGTCAAGTCCAGATCTGGGACATTGACCTGCAATGTCGTGGGCCTCTCCAAGCCAAGGGCGTCCCTGAGGAAAGTATACCACTCGACGGAGTGGGCCATTGAGATTGGTCGCATCACTATAATGCGTGTGCCCTTCTTGTATGGGTGCCAGACCACCACTGTTTTGTCCAGGGCGGAATACAGATTGACTTTTGCCGTTTTAGGATCGAGCCGAATTTCGTGAGTAGGCTTCTTTTTTGTCTTCTCGTCGTCGATTTCCGGGATCACACGCGTCTTGTAGATTTGCAGCCGGAAGTCGTCAATATCCTGCTTCTTGCTCTTTCTCGCGACGACCATGAATTCTCGCCATTTGTCGAGCATCCTTGTCTCGATCTTGACACTCTCGTTCTCGTCAAAGTCCTCCGGAACTTGTTGCAAGGTCATGTCGACTCTGACCAGCATTCTTTCCATCTTGACAATCGTCCCCTCGCGGAGGGTATTTCGCCTCAGCCTTTTGTTCGCCACCCGGTCCTGGGCACGGACGGCTTTGTGTACCATCTTGTGCTGACCCTTGTGGACTCCTTCGGAAACCTTGAACCTGACCCCAGTGCGACTTCGCGCCAGTTGATAGTTCTGTTCGTTATCCAAAGGGGCCGGCTCGTGCTGCTCGAGTGATTTGGCAGCGGCGCTGGCAACGGGGAGTAGAGGTGTCATCGTGTCGGCAGTGCCCTGTGTCAGTGTTGACGGCTGCAAGGAGACTCTGTTAGTTGGCACATCAGGCGCGTCGTCTTGATCCCCTGCATCGTGTTCCGACTGTTGTGGTGCGAGTATCGGTGTGGTAGCCTTGGAATCGGAGAAGGGATCTTCTTGAGCAGTCTTATAGGACTCGGCTCCCGCAGACCGGGCAGTCCCCGTCTTGCTTGGACCCGGTTTCAACAAGTCATTGGTCCCGTCGAGGCCTTTGTCCTGCGGAACAGGTGTTGACTTGGTGCCTTTTCGACCTTGGACGTCCTGCTCCTCCTCGATCCCTACAATCTGAGGCAGATCTGTCGTAGCTACAGGTTCAATGTTCCTTGGCTCGTCTCGGTCCTCTTCATCTGCTGGTGTTCCTTGCTCTTCGATGTCTGTAACATCGCCAGCACTCGAAGCTTCGTCGTAGACGTCTTCGGGCTGAGGGAAGCTGAAACTCATGCGAGCAGCAGTAGAGGGACCATCGAGGCCTGTCAACGTTCTATGGTGGGGCCCATGGTCGGTAGTAGCATGGAAGCTCTGTCGCCTCGAGGAATAGGTGCTCAGCTCGACCCGTCGCCTGTACCATGACTTCCTGTGGCTATTGAGCCATCCTTCCGGGATCGGACCTATGAAGAAGCGACGCGAAGTGAGGTGCAGGTGTTCGGCAGACGCATGCTTCAAACGATGGGCGGTGTAGGAGTCTGGGTCGAGAGCGTCGAAGTCGTGTTGACTGGTCGTGCTGCCCAGTGGCATGACCTGCGATGTAGACATGGTTTATCCAGGTATATGCAGAGTCATAATCCTAGTGTATATAGACCACTCATCGTGTATACTCGTTGTGGGTATGATGAGGCTTCTGAAGCCTGCAACAAGGAATAACTCGTGCCTTGCCAGCGTCCATGCCCGTAAATTGATCGCCGCCTGCCAAAGTTTCGGAGCTTGTTCACATGCGCGGCCGGTAGCAGGCGCCTCGAACGCGATGACGTTAATACCTCGACCTGTTTGTAGTGTTTGCCGTGTTTGCCGTGTTTGCAGCCACGGGCGCGAAAGTGCATCGAGGGGCCATCAATGCCATATGTTTACCCCTCGGTGATTACGAGTAGTTAGACACATTCAACACCCCCTTGGACTTACAGTACTTTCACCTTCACCCTCACCTTTCCTAGACCTCTCTGCACCACAACAAGCCATGTCCGCCGCAAAGATCCCCGCAGGCAAGACCTGGTTCGACACGCACAAGGTGCACTTCGAGAACGTCCCCACGGGCGCCGACGACGGCATCTCGACCACCGAGTTCCTCGACGCCTCCGAAGCAACGACGACGCTCTTCGACCTTTTGGGTTCCGTGGCTTTTACGCCCGTCAAAAACGACATGCTAGGCAACATCAACAAACTGCGCGAAAGACAGAGAGCCGCACCCGAAGGCTCGACCACCGTGCAACAACTAGTCAAGACGGAGCTGGCCTCGAAATCACACAAAGCCACCGAAGGTCTCCTGTGGTTGACTCGCGGGCTGGACTTCACGGCCCAGGCGCTCCGATCCGATCTCACCACCAACGCTGCGGTCAAGGTCACGGAACAGAAGCCGGCCAAGGAGCTCGCGGACGGGTTTCGGGCGAGCTACAAGAACACGTTGGCGCCTCATCACGGGCTGCTTATCAAGCCGATCTTTAGTGCCGCCATGAGTGCTACGCCGTACAGGAAGGACTTTTACGCGAGATTGAGTGGAGAGGGCACAGATCCGGAGACGACACGGCAGGAGGCGGAGAGGTGGGTGGCTGCGTTGGAGAAGCGGGTTGCTATTCTCAAGGCGTTTCTGGCCACCAAGGAGGCTAAATGGTAGATTCGCTGATTGGGCAGGAATACCGGGCGAGAGGTCGCCGGGTCTACAGATATGAGCCTGCGCAATTGCTCCCTTCACCTGGGCAAGGTGGGGTTGAAAATGTCCTCCTAGGAGAATGACATCAAAATCTACATTGATTTCTGGCTGAGCTATTCATTATGAAGTAATGGGACAGAGTCATGAATGAAGCCTATGCTTAAATCACGTTCAGACAAAGAAACATGGAGCCAGGCCTTAAAAAGACCGCAACTTGAATGCAAGACTTAGGAGGCATACTCTTGAGTCAGATGCCCACCCCAGGTCCGATTGCTATACAGTGCGCTGCCGCGCGAGATAATCCTGAAGCCTCCTCTCCTTGTCCGCAGTGCTCTCGCCCTCCTCTCCGGCCTGCTGCCACCGCGGCTTGACCACGGGCGCCACCCGCCCGCCATCCTTGTTGAGCCCGACGCTCTCGAAAGCGATCTCCAACTCCTCCACCAACCCCTCCGCCACGCTCCTCGTGCTCGCATCCCCCTTTACAACTTCTGCCTTCGCCAACGCATGGATAGAATGATACCGCTCGAGCATCCCCCTGGCGCGTAACTTGGCCGGCATCAGCTCCCTGTTCCGCCTAATCATGGCCAGTTCCAATGCAGCCCCGCCACTCCTGAACGGATCTTCGCTCTGCACCGCTTGTTCGTCGGGATCGAGCCTCGCGCTGCCGACAACATCCTCCTGCACTCTCGCGTCCTTTTTTGCGGGGGTATCACTCTCGTCCCGGTCAAGCCACACGGGCCAGTTCAGGCCGGGCACATACACGGCGAGCACGACGCCGCAGACCAAGTTCTGGCTGATGGGGCCAAAATGGTTCGAGTCGATGGACTTGTCGCGGTTGTTCGCGTCGCCTTCTACCCAGATGTGGTTGTACGGGATAATCACAGGGCAGTCATCCCCGCCGTTGTATCCGGGCAGAGGCGTCACCTTGTCACCCGGCAAACCCACGACTCTCTTCACAGCGATCGTGTTGGGGTCATGAGGCGTGTAGTACACGACGACCTGGCCGCGATGGAGTTTGAACCTGGGCACGCGGAACATAGGGGACACCTCGCCGAGACTGTGTACCGTTTGGACGAGGATCAGGTCCGGCGCCGCCGGGGGTAGTTCTGGGGAGGAGTTGGTGTTGAAGAAGGGGGCCATGGAGACGCCGTGCACGCGCATGATCGTCCAGGGGAAGGACATGTAGAGGACCGCGATGGGCGGGCCGAGGAAGAAGAGGCGCCATATCCAGCGTCGTAGCCACGAGGGGGGATGTAGCCTTTGGACGAGCCGGCGGGCAACGATGACAAAAGGTCGTGAAAAGAGTGTACTGCCCCAACTTTTCTTCACCTGTTGCTCCATCTGGGCTTTCGGAGCTTGCTGACTCTTGACATTTTGTGCTACCGCCGTCTTAATTGCGCTTGCTGGCGGGAGAATAGGTTTTTGGGATAGTCTCGCGACGAAGCGCTGCTGGGGGTGTACTCGGTGTATTCGGTAGCCGGTACGGAATGCGTGGAATGTAAAGCCTCTGGAGGCGGGAGGCATCTGTGGTTAGGATCCGCGCCGCCGGCGACACGTCGTTCGATCGAAAGATTTCTCAGAGGAGCGCGTCATCATGGCAACCAAGTCATGCTCGATGAGCAAGCTACCTTGACCAGGGCGGAGAATAACACTTTACTCAGTACTATCACTGAAGGTATGCAGCACTTTATGATCGGGGAAAGCGCTGCCAAGTCGGCCGAAACGAGGCTGCCCAGCAGCCTTGCTAGTGCTTCCGACATATTCAAGGATGTACGGAGTAGACCAATCTCCATCGACAAACGGCTAGATTCGACACTTCAGGTGCATCACTAATATTCGGTGATACAATCTCTTACGAGTACCGTTGTATGAGCTGCTCTAAAGCTATTGAGCCATCCTGCTAGGACCGCCCTTTCTCGCGTTCGACGCCTGTTCCAGATCGAAATCTGACGACCTTGCATCGTAAAGAATCCACCACGTGGAAAAGTCGATATCCCAAATCCGCAAAGGCGTAGTGGGTACTGTCTTGATCTGGCTACCGATCTCCCTCCACCTTCTTCTCCAAGCCCGGGCATAAAGCCCGGGACATGATCCAAACGAACTGCTTGGATACCTCCTTCCCCCAAAAATCAAGGCGTCAGTCATCTGTTCCACAACACTGATGGGAGTCAGGGTTAGAGGACATTGATCACATACCTCTGCCCTGGACCACAATGAGACTGGCATCAATACTCTCACTTGAGGCATGGGGAGGTGGTTGTCGAGGCTCATAACCTGACTTTTGATTTTTGGGACTCATAAGCTGTCGTTGATTGGGCTCATAACCTGATATTCTTTTTGTGGAGGTTCTTGTGTATGGACTCCAAGTATGCGTGGAGGTTCTTGTGTAGACTCCGCGGTATTGACAGAGGTTCTTGTGTAGACCCCGCGGTATTTCATCGACAGAGGTTCTTGTGTGTAACTCCGCAGCATTGTAGGAGGTTCTTGTGTAGACTCCTTTTGTATTTCTTTTTGATGTAACTGCACCGACCTTCTTTTGAGGCGGTGATAACGAGAGGTGTTCTTGTGGGAACCTCCACGAGTGTCCAATTACTCCTTCATTCAACTAGTCATTGCTGGGTATTATTGTGCCTTGCTTTTGTACATTTTCCATTCATTATTCATTCATTCATTCATTCATCAGTCATAGGACGTGAGGTTGGTGGCCACGAGGTGCATTGTGGAAAGGCACCTTACGGCCACCCGATAGCACGCTGCATTGAGACAGCTCAGAGGCCTGGGTGGGTCGGAAGCCGCAAGAGATTTTGCGGAGCAACTGCCTGAAGGTGGCCGCCGCTTGAGCGGCGCAAAAAAGTCGTTATTTGTTGTACAGCATCATTTGGATGCAGTGCCTGCTATGAGGCCACAGGCACTTTGCCGTGGCGATGGAGATGTTTGAAAGGTAGATTTGGTTTGATGGCGGGTGCCTCTCGGAGGTAGTTGAGAGGCACCGCCACTGAGACTTGCGAATGGGTTTTGGGGGACAGCGCCAAAATGCTGGGCTGCCCCCTAAAGGCACGGAAGTCGTGGTCGAGTTTAGTGGGCTGGCGACCCCAATATTCCCTTTGGGGTCACCAGCACGTGGTTGAAGATTTGGTAGGTATGTAGGTAAGGTTGCCCCTTAGAAGGGTTCATGGGGCAACCTCATGAGGGTAATCCAGTTAGGTGTGTAGGTGCCTTTTTAAGGCATTGGGGAAGTTTTAGGGGGCACAGCCTTTGCAGCTGATTTTGGTGGGCTGGTGCCCCCTAAAAGTGGTGAGGGGGCACCGCCATAAGTTAGGATTTGTAGGCAGGTAGTAACCCCCCAGGAGTAGTTTTAGGGGGTATAGCCTTGCAGCTGATTTTGGTGAGCTGGTGCCCCTCGAAAGTGGTGAGGGGCACCGCCCTGAAGTTGGATTTTGTAGGCTGGTGTAGTACCCTAAGAAGATTTTTTAGGGCAGCACCGCAGGGCGTAAATAAGCGGTGGCTGCCCCCTAGAGTGATTCGATCTTTGGTCACTCTAGGGGGCAACAATTTGATTTGGCCGCAGTCTTTGCGAGAAGAGCGAGGCGATGGAGTTGATTGCCTGTAGCTCCGCGTTGCTGATGAGTTTGAAGCAGATGAAAATGCCATTGTATACAGGCTGCACTTGTGTATTCCAAGAACCGTAGTGGAATATAGATTGCATTCGTAGATGGCGCCCTCCCAAGCACCTTGAAGCGAATGTTGGAGGATGGAGCAGATGGTCTTTAGGCATCTGTCCTGGTAGATTGCAGTCTGCGTAGATTGCAACGATGTAGATTTCAGTTGAATAGATCGTCCAGGTGGTGGTCTCCCAAGCACCAGTTGAGCGAGTGATGGCATGTTGCCAATGTCTCTCTACACCGTAGATGGTAGTAGATGATAGTGTCAGATGGTGTTCTCTCAAGCACCAAATGAAACGAGGGTGATCGTAGATTCGCACATGCCGCAGTGTCCTCTCAAACACCAAGTAGCGAGTGTGATTGTGTAGTGATATGTGTCGACGGTGATCTCCCAAGCACCATCGACAGTAGAAGTGGCTTGAGTCGACGACATCCTCCTGAGACCAGTTGCTTGTCATGTGGTCATTGTCGCTGGAGGTGTCGGGGTCGCCAAGATTGACTGGTGCACTGCGGGCAAAGGGAAAGACAGTATCCGAATCTCCCGAGGGGACCGGTAGAGGCCATAGCCCAGTGCCAACAGCGCACCATTGAGTTTTGTCCAGTGTGCCCGCAAAGCCGGGAAGCTCGCTGGAATTGTCTGATTGTTGGCTGGCCACTCCCATCCCCACCGATATTGTATGACTATTGACTTGCATACTCACGGCGATTGCAGGATGGATGGCGAGTCAACCGGATGTGTGTACTCAGGGTGCCCGCCTGGCTGGGAAGCTCGCCGAGATTGTCTCTGTGCTGGCTGGCCATTCCGCTCCCCACCCATATTGCACCGTGGCATGCTCATGGTGATTCCAGGATTGGAAGGCGGCCGTCCGATCCCCACCTTTATCGTATGTGGCAACACGCAACATACTTAGGGCGATTGCAGGATCGGGACGGTTTATCAGCCTGGTCCGTAGACCGGTGCCAAAAGGGCAGAGAGGGAGAGAGGAGAGAGAGAGATAGAAGAGAGAAGAGGGGGAGAGTGTGTGTGCCGGAGAAAGGAATACCGAGAACAGTACCATACTTGCCATTAGGCCCTCAAGGACACCCCAGGCCGTTCCCAATGACAGTACTAGCACCTGGGGACCTATATTGAAGCTTACTGGCGAAGCAGAGGGCTTACTCAACGGCTGCGATAGACAGTCCGGTCACGACCGCGGTGTCGGCGGCACCCTGGCCAGCACCGACGGAACCGCTCGTCGTCAGCTCTCTCGCACCCCTCCCGAACGACACCGTCGGCCTTGTCAATGGCCTTCGGGTCGACGAGATTGGATGCGAAGGCGACCTCCTGCCATCGCTCCTTCACCTGCCCGCTGGCAAGACGGAAGCGCAGCATGCCGCGCTCCGCTCGCTCCACGGGAGGAGCCTATCACAACACGTTAGCAATGCAATAGGGAAGGGACGACGTGATACTTACCGGCACACAACACCCACAGTCTGGGGGACATGGCACCCCGTCATCCTCCTAGGAAGACGGGGACGGCCGCCACACGAGATCCTCGTCGGTCTCGCGGGCGAAGTCCCGCTTTGTCCCGTACCCCCTCTGGGTGATGCGGCGGTAGAGGGTGCGGAGGGAGTGAGGGATGAGGAGACGAGCCATCTTGGATGGCATGATGGCGGTGATGAGAAGGGAGAGTTTCAAAGGAAATGGTTCTTGGAAATGGTTGTGTATGGGAGCACAACAACCTGCACTGGTGCAGGAGTTCTCTGTTCGTAAGTGTGAGAAAAGGAAGAAGAAAAAAAGAGCAGAAGCTCGGGCGGAAGCTTCCCTTATGAAGGTATGCTAGAGGCTGTGTGCTTCGCCGGACGTCCGCCAGCCTCCTGCCAGCCTTCCAAGCCCTCCGACGAGTGAGAGATGCGTCCTTGTGTGCGTATGAGTGCCATGGCCAATCCAAGGCTCGTCCATGATGGGTGCGTTGATGCAGCGGTCGAATGCTCCAACGCAGTGGAGAGAGATCCGCCTGCCAGCCATGCCAAGACTGATGCGAACTACTTGCCAAGTAGAAACAGGGTGGGTGGTAGGTAGATACGGGGTGCGTACTCGGTGCTGGTGGAGCGAACCACAAAACTTTTCTTGCGCGAGCCCGCTCATCGTCGACCATCCTCGGAACCGGTTGTATCGGCAATTGCTGGTGTCCATGTAACCCGAGTACACCGCCTCCAGCTTCCCATCATACCTGTTATGATTTCGAGGCAACATGAGCTGGAGCAGCAGCATAGACGGACTTGCCTGTAGCACTAACGTTGGGTGATGGCAAGGCTGTAGATAAGCGAGGAACACTAGCGCCGATGCGATGCTCGGTTGGTGGTTCCGATCGGCTCCACTGACTGCCAGCCACCACCCCACATGCATGACAATTCTCTGATCCACCAGCAGTGGGCCTGCAACTTTCAACGGTTCTGACCATGAGCACCGGATATCAGATCCGTGATGACTGCTGGCTGTGCTTTGCGGCGTGCACTGATACCCCCGTACGATAGCAGTAACGATATCTCACCTATATGGTGCTCGTCTGCACAGAAAACCGTTTCGCAATATTCACAGTACTGCTTGCTGATAATATTGCACACCTTGTACATCAAGCGGGCTTTGCAGCCAAGAACGGCGGGAAAAGGGAGAGCGTTGGGTGGGCCTGAGCTGTGATCGACTGAGGTAAAAGCCGCATTGGGAGGGAGGCAGGAAAAGTACCAAAAGTGCCGTCTTTGAGGACGGGGCACAACCAAATGGACGACCCTTGGCGATTACGTGGCGCAATGGTCAATTCTGTGGTTAGGCGTCTGCCAGCAGAAAGGACATTGTGGCAAGAAAATGCATGTGCTGCTCTTGGAGGCTGTAGCAAAAGCGGCATACCATGGGACGGCGGAAGGGAAAAAAGATTGTGCTAGAGTCAGGGAGGGAAGGAAGCAAGAAAGGAAGACAGAGGGATGAGGCTGATATGTACTTTGTACTGCGAGAAGGGGGAGTAGTGTGGTGATCAGGGGGTGGTCTGTGTGCTTGACTGCAAAAATCGTGTATTGCACTCCGACGTACTGTACTGTGAAGGACTTTGCAGCTCATGGCTGTTTTTCTGCAGTGCGAGGGCGGGATCAGAGTAAGTGGCACCAGTGCTGATATCAGTCAGCCTGGGCTTGAGCAATGAGCGTTGCTTCGATAGCACGATATAGGGGGGGTGACTCTCATAGTTCGTCTGTTACTCTTTGATATCGGTCAAGGCCTAAGCTACTTCCTGAGTTCACTCGCTTTTGGCAAGATGCCTTGCTCTTCCAATTCGGTCAGGGTCTCATCAAATGCCGTCCAAGTATCCTGATAACCCTTCCATCCCATCCCTCTGGCTTTGCTCATACTAGTCACACAAGAATAGTTCCTGCCCAGCAAGAAGCTGATAAACACCCAGGTCGCATTATCCCATGTCTTCTGGTCCAAGCCGAACTTGTCTCGCAGCTCCTCCCATTTCTTCACGACTTCCGGTCTCTCTGCCCACTTGGCTATATCGATCTGCTGGTGCAGCCAGCTGTGGTCATTCTTGATTTCCTCCGGGTCCAGACCAATTTTCTCCGCATGATACCAGAGCGGTGGTGGCGTCGGCATGTCGACGTGCGAGGATTCGAAGTCCTTGTACTTGCCCTCCTTGGGAAACATGTTCTTGGGGACCTTGGCACCGTATCGTTCAGCTAATCTTGGCCATAAGTTCTGCCAGCTTTCGGTGTCACCGTTCACCACGTTGAAAGTTTGGTTACCGGCTTTGGGTTCCAATGCAGCCCATTCAACGAATTCTGCGTGAAGCTTCGCGGAGGTCCAATTGTTGAACGCCATATAGTTCTCTTTGCAGCCGGGAAACGCGAGTTCGTGGTCCTCTGACACCGACGAGTACACGCTGGCGTACAATCCCAGGGCAGTTGCCAAGTTCATAAAATTAGCTTGGGCGACCCCAATCACATCTTGAGGGTACGTGACCGCCCAAGTCCACAAGTTCGCGTCTGCTGCGGCGGCGGCGGACAAGATCCGTTGTTGCTCGTAGTAGAAGTTGGGTGGCCAGGGGTTGCCTTCAAGCCAGGTATCTGTCTCAACCATTGGCATCTTGGGTACGCCTAGGTGCACGCCATACTGCTTCAGCCCATTCACAAGAATGAATCGCTTCAGGTGCTTCAAGTATCCCAGGTCTCGCAAGGCGCCGATGAAGTTCTTGAGCATGGTTCCATTGATCTCAAGTGCCTTCCCTTCATCAGGGTCGGCTAGGTACGCGCAAAAAAAGACATAGTCGACCTCGCCCACCTCCTTCAGATGAGACACCATGTCTTTCGTGTCGCCTTGGAGGTCAATTGTTGCATGTTGGATCTTGGGATCATCGTGGGATGATTTCTGGCTTCGGGAAAGGGTAATAATCTTGGTCCATTGGTCAGATTTGAGAAGTTGTTGCACGGTAGCCCGGCCTGTGATGCCCGTGGCGCCAGTGATGAGTGCTGTCGGCATGTTTGACTAGGTCCTGGTACCCCGATGGAAAGCTACTGTTATATGATGTGGGCAGGGGACAGTATTTGCTGGTCGTGGTCTCCGGGTCGAGTGCACTCGCGCGTCGGTCGCAGCTGAGATAGATAAGTTTTCCAGGCCGAGAATCGGCGCCTGCATCCTTCCCAGAGAGACTTATTGAAGAGACACGGGCTTGTCGATGCTTGATCGTCAATGACGTCCGCTTTAACGTCACGACCGGGAAAGGATATCCGGGGACAATCAGCGTGTGGAGAAGTTACAAACAATCAATCAGCTACACAGCGTGCGTCGGCAGCGCCACAGAAGCGTGACATAACGGGAATGGAGCACGATCTTGTCGATGACTCCTGAGACTGTTCTGGTGCGCGTCGTGGTCAACAACGTTATCTGCACCCAGGCAGCGCAAACGTAAGTAAGTTGGAGTCAGCGAAGCGGGCAGGACACCAGTTCAAACGCCTGTGAGAAGAATGCAGGATGCACCGTGACTCAGGCGCAATGATCAAGTCCGTAGCATTGCATGCTATATCAATGGCTCTCATCTCAGACATCAAAGATCTCGCCAATTCCAACACCAACACCCGCCCGCCTCGCATCGACCAGATCTAACCGCCAGCCTGCCCATTGCTTCAAGCCCCTCTTCACCTCTCTGACATGCTCGACCATCTTGCGCGCCTCTTCTTCTCTCTGCGCGTGCGCAAAGGCGTTCTCGTCGAAAGTATCATCATCGTCGAACTCCTGAAGCAGGGAATCGTTCCTCGGTCGAGTGGGTTGCGTGCCCGGAGACGTCGTGCTCGCCCTGAATGCCGCAAGACCCGAATTCAGCACCTGCGCAAAGTTGGAATGCCTCTGCTGGGAATGCTGGTTTGCGAAGCTCCGTCGTCGACTGCTGGCATTTCCGGAGCCTGTGAGGTCCACTTCGTCGAAGTCCTCTGCACCCGCTGGTTCAAGGGAAATTCTCGACTCGCCTTCGTCGCCGCGAGGTTGCATTGCGATCCTCTTATCTCTCCAAACGCCTCGTCTTAGGTCGAAGACTTCTCCCTCGAGCTCTCGGATCCGGCGCTCGAGCTTTTGTCGCTCTTCGTCCTCGAGCTCGTCGAGGCCCTCTCCGCCGGCGTCTCCACTCATGGCTCGTTTGTGCTTTTCTCTCAGTCTCGCGTTCTCGCTCTCGGCCTTTTCGATCTTGGCGCGAAGAGCGGGGACTTCTCTGGCAGAGGCCTCAGCAGTGGCGAGTTTGCTGGCATGCCTCGACTCGGCTTCTCTATGCAGCTTGTTCATCGCTTCGACCTTCTTATCTAGTTGTTCTGCTTTCTTCGCAAGCTCGTCTCTCTGCGCAACAGCCTCTTGTAGTTCTCGTTCGAGAGTTCGGATCTTGGTGTCCTTGCTTGTCCGCTCCGTGCCGTCCAGCACCGCCTTTTCACTGGCTTTGGAGAGTGCCTTCTTGGTATCTGACAATTCGGTCTCCAGCTTGCCCAGCTTGGCTTCTGCGGAAGATAGGGAGGCTTGTAACGCAGCAATCTGCTCTCCGTGCGTCTCACAGCCCTCCGTCTGACTTGAGAGCTGACTCCTCAACCGTGAAATCTCAAGCTGCATATCTGAAATGGTCGAGTCCTTCCGCTCCAGCTCACCCTTCAGCGTGTCAAGATTGGCATCATCCGCCGAGCTCTCCCTCCGTGAGACAGTAGCCGTAGTGCTGGTCCGTCTCCTCAAGGTCTCAATCTCAGCCCTAAGCCGGCGGATCTCACCATCTGCGTCACTTCCCCCAGACTTTGTAGCATTCTCTTCTCTCACCTCCTCCAGCTCTTCTTCTACCCTCCGCCACCGCTTCTCGTATTCTTCGGACTCTCTCGCCAAGCGTTTATTTTCTCTTTCCAGCTCTTCTATCCTGTTCATTGGGTTGCCCGACAAGGCAGCCGGACTCAGCGGGCCATTGTCTCGAAAACTCGTGCTGCGGATCTTACTCTGGATAGATACACTAGGTTGACGGCCTAGGCGCCGGGTGCCCGTGGCCTTTGTAGATGAGGATAGTTCTTGGTCCGCCGCGGGAGGAGAGGTCGCCGTGGGAGAAACAACGGTGTCTGAGGCTGGCGGAGGCGATGCCACGTTGGCTGTTGATATCGCAGCGTTGAATACTTCTTCGTCAGCGTCAACTGATGCTGCGGCGCCCTCGTTACCATCGTGGTCTTTCGAATCTGCTTCGGTTGCTTCAACCGCGCCTGGCGTGGCACTCTCGGGTACGACGTCCGCTCTTGAAGTGTCCTTATCATCAGGCTCAACCTGGGCTTCCGCTTCTATTCCGTCTTCTTCATCATCCTTCTTGGGTGCATCTTTTCCTTTCGTAGCAGCACTAGACTTCTCGCCCGCACCTCCGGCAGCTGCTTTCTTCTTTTTCTGCAAGGCCGCAACCTGTCGCAGACAGATCACTAGTTAGCAGGTGATTTCTAGACGGTTCTTGAAACGCGATGCACGGTAAAGGCTGTAGCATTCTGAGGCCAGAACTGGCTTACCCTCTTCCTTGCGGCCGCGAGCTTCTCGGCTTTCTCTCTGTCCTCCTTTTCACCCATGCTAGTTTCGAGATATTGACCTCTCAAAGGTATGTAAGGAGTCTGGTGTGCGGTGAGATAGCGGACGCTGGTGAGGAAGACCTGCAAGCTTGATGGTGCGTGTCGGTGGTTACACGGCTATGTTGCCTGCCAGCTGAGCATGGAGGGGAGGAGACGTGGTGTTATTTACGCGACTCTAGCGGCTGGATGGAGGATGCTGGGCTCTCCGCTCAGAGGTCCGGTCAGCACCACGAGGCTTACAGGATCTATCGTTATACTAGGTGATGGTTCTTATGAGACTTGATGAAGCTGCTTTCTCGCTTCACACAGAGTGAAGGCTGTCTGCTGAGTATGACCTGGTATTTCTGCTGGTTTCAATGACGACCGCCACCATACTCGTCAAATGTGACCACAATCACTCTACGGAGTAGCCACGATTACCACCCACAGCCCGTCTCCCGTGCCTTTCCTCTAGACGCCTGCAACGCCCAAAATCAGCATCAGTCCTGTCGCTATCCAAGCAGGCTTTCGTCAGAGGCCGCTCCCACCGGCCTTGCTGAAAACGCCATGCTCTGTCTGGGTATCATTAGTAGTACATATACCATCAAGGCCATCCGATCATTGTCCGTGTGCAATCCCGTCTCCGACTCCATCATCAACTCATACCCAAACTAAAGGAATGTACGTTTCGAGACGGTAGAGTGGTTTGGGCGAGGAGGGAGCGAAGTTTCTGAAGAAGAAAGTCTTAGACTTCCATAGGACCTGCTACCTCTTCGCTTAGTCCCCGAGCAGTGCTTTTACTCATACTTCTTGCACTGCGCACTTCCTCGTCACTCAGAATATAATTGTCGTGCTCGTCAACAACTGGGCGTGCAGGTGGCCCGAACTGCTCGTCATCGGCCCGAGACTCTTGCTCTTCGGACGAGCTCTTCAACTCCAGCGGCTGCATTTGTGCCGGCACCTCGTCGGTTTCGACCGAGATCATAGGCGTCTCCATGGGGTCGTGCTCAGGATCACCCCGGACCTCGACGTCGTCTCGATCACCGAGCCAGTATCTTGCCCTCTTGGAAGCGCCCATATCTGGCGTAAGCCAGCCATCAACATCCTCGTCTGCGAATCGCTTGGATTTGATTGGTGTCTTGAGAGCATCGATCGTCGGAACGGCCAAGACACTGATGCCTCTCAGGTACAAGTAGCATACCCTCTTCCTCGCTTTGTTGAAGAAGAAGTAGTTCATCGACCATATTGAGCCTTCATCGTCGTCCTCAAACGGGTCGATATCTTCAGGTGCATAGCGGTACACCGCGCACTCACGCAAGCTCATCTGCTGGTCAATGAGTCTCCACATCGCAGGACCCCAATAAGGCTGTTCAGCTGAGACCCCACCAGCGTCCTTAGCAAAAGTGCTCAAAGGCCTCGGACGGAGATTGTACATTGTCGTGTCAATCGTGTTCAAGACATGCCGCAAGCTCTTTTCCCGTTTGAAATCCGTCGGTCGCAGGACATGCGAGAAGTCATAATGCGGGTGACTGGCGTTCAGGGTCGCAATGAGATATGCGTATGTTCTTCTCGAGCTGATCATTCCCAAATTCCCGAACGGACTGCTTCGACTCAGGTTCAGGGACGAGGCCACCATGTGCTTCTGTGGCGGTGAAAGAGACTTGGAGAACTGGAGGTTGGATTTGTATTGCGCTTCGAGGCCATTCTCAATGTTCTTGTATAGTTTCTTGTCCCCTCCTGCTGCCTTGGTGGTGTATAAATCGCACCCTCCGACGACGTGCAGGTCCGGTGTACTGAAGTTCAGGGAGGAAGTGACAGTGTCGAGATCGCGATTCGGCATAAACTAAGAGGAGAGTTAGAACCGATCAAGGAGAATGATAGACGGAGATGACGGCCGCTTACCTTCATATTGGCGGTGTCGGTTTAGGCGGTGTTAAGACTGAATGTGTCGCATTAGAAGTAGGGCGATATGTGTCGGTAGGATGTTCGCTCGAGGGACTAAAATGATGCGATTTTGCGGCGACCGCAGCGCGTTGACGGCCAGATAACGGGCTCCGGCGTGAGTGATGGGAGTCAAGTGATGTTGTCGACCTGATCGGACTATGCGATCGCAAACAAGAGATAATCCGGGCTGGCTGCAGAGACAGCTCCTGGCGATGCGGATAGCTAGACGATAAACGCCTAGCAGGTCAAAGTATAGTGATACGTTTCCATTGTATAGTTGTTGACGGGTGATGCGACGTGAAGAGAGGTGATGTTGGGAGATTGGGGGACGACGTGGAGGCCGCGAGCGGAGAACAAGAGGAATCCGGAGCGCAACTGGCGAGCTGCGGCGCGGGCTGAGCATCACGTGCACCATGTGAATCGACCAATCTCAGCTGATCCCACCGGCACATGCACAAGCGAGGGCAGACACTCGTGTCGCCGCCAGACTTACAGCAGTTCCAGGTACGCGACAAGGTATAGCAACGAAGTCAACTGTAGCTTAGATGTCTGAACCATGTGCGAGAGACTCCCGTTCCGAGGCGACCACGGACGCGACGGCATGAGGTAATTGCTGTTTGCGTTAGCCAGTCAGTCAGGGGTGTTGGTCTTAACTGTTCCCATTGCTCATCACCTGGTGCTCCATACATGATACGGTCCTGTTGCACATGGCAGCCAGAACACGAGAGACCTTGTTTGCGAGGTCCATGCATCCTCCATTGAGTATCACTGACCAACGCCTCCAACTCCATGCTCCAAAATATACGTGGTAGGTGCGCTCAAACCAGGCCACCCCTTTTCAGTGCTTCTTCGGTGGTCTGCAAAAGACAAGTTCGTTAATCAAGCTGTGATCTCATGGTTTGGGTGAAACTCTGGAGGCGAGTTGGGGCACAGGGTTCGCTTCAGTCGACATCCCTCCACGAATGGACAAGGATGAACAGCGCCTAGGACATCTCCGCTTTCGGCATCATGTTCTACATGATTTTGGTGACTTCGTCCTCAACCTAGACCGACGTCGGACAAGACTATTAGCATCGAGGGACAAGGGAGGACAACGAGATGAGAGCATACCGAAGGGAAGGACATACAAATGGGCCTGGGCTTGCAGCACGGAAGGCTGGCTGGTACTGTGCCTCGTCCCGGTGAAGGAAAGGGATCACAGGAGAAGAGGAATGGAATGAATCAAGCACGACTTACCTCCATCTCTTCAAGGCTGTCTTCCTGGCTTATGCATCTCAGGACGTTTTTCTTACTGCTCTCTTGCAGCTCGCCAGCTAGTAGCAGTTCGTCCAGTATAAAATATGCCTTTTGGAAGTTGAAGATGATATCCAATTCGCACACATTCCCATAGTATTTGTCCATCTGTTCGACATAACGATGTACGATCTCGAGGGTGATCAACTCATTGTCAGTGGAGTCGCAACCGGCGATGAAGTAGAGAGATGCATAGCGACGGTAGACAATCTTGGTGTCTGGTCGGTTGTGGGACCCATGTCAGCGCAAGAGCAAAAAAGGAAAATGCGAAGGACAATAGGCAAAGGTGAACAGGCAGGGAATTGACTCGGCTGGGGACACCCGCACCCTTATATTCGAGAAAGTTGCACATTCGAGTCCGCCGAGCGAGCACAAGTTGAGTGACATCTTTAATGATTTTTGCCTTCTCTCTGGGTGAAAGGGTGGAGAACCATTTTGCTAGTCTCTGAAGATATATACAGCTCGAGGTCAGCGAAATGGGACACGGTGCGGCCTTGTCGGAGAGGTTGAGCATACCACTTTGCCCTGACGGGATAGCAAGACGAGATATCTATCACACAGGTCAGTCGATCCACTCAAAGCATGTTTCGCTTCAGGCTCACTTGATGGCCATCTTGCAAATGCCAGGACATTGTGCGTGCGAAGACGGTCAACCTGCGGAGAGGAAATTGTTTGAATGAGCCTCGCAAGAAATTGCTGTTCAATTCATCGCCTGCCGCTTTAGGAGCCATCCCACGATGCCAAGCCGGAACGCAACATCCCTCACTTGCTCGCAGTTTCGGTGTCTGCCCCTCGTGGCGACAATGCACTCAACTCACATTGCGACTGCCCGCGCTTCCGGAAGAGAAATCATACCACCGATCGCTCTGGCTTACTGACGGTCTCCCTGGTATCACACATTCGATAATTGAAACGAACAGTCTTCAAGATGAAGTTGGTATTGTCAACATCGTATGCATTGCTCCGTAGAAGTATCTCACACGACCAGTGGTTGCTGATCTAATTCAGCAACTTAATGTGCTCGGGACAGTCAGTCGTACGGCGGCCGCTATTCTCAAAGTCCAATGTCGAACTCATAAACTCTCTCCGCGCCAACTTTGCTTCCTTCCAGCACCATTCCTCCAGTAGCACGACGCCCAAGTCCCCATACCCGGTATGGACGACGCAAGAAGGCGATACCCTCTACGTGCCGTCATGGCGTCCGACACCGCTCACCGAGCCACGAGACTCGTACGATGTCACCTGCAAACTGTTCTTCCTCCCCGGCATTCCGAGTAACCGCCGGTGTCGGCATACCAAGGAGGCGATTGATCTAGTGTTAAAAGAGCTGGGCATCGACCGCATCGACCTGTTGATCGTGTCCTACCCGGGGGTGAGTTTTGACGCTGATGACGAAGAAGATATATCCGCGGACGAAGACGAAAGCGCTGCCAGCGACGAGTCCGAGGGGCTGGATGCACAAGTCAAGACCTGGCAGGTGCTGGAATTGTTGCACGAGCAGGGCATCATCTCACAACTCGGCCTCTCTGAGTTCAGCTCCGACCGGCTGGCCAAATTCTTGCCGGAGGTCAAGGTCCGTCCCTCGGTCGATCAGATCAATGTCAAGGACTGTTGTGTCGTGCCCAAGTCACTCATCATGTATGCCAAGCAGAACAAGATCGAGCTTCTTACGCATGCAGATTGTATGGACATCCTGCCTCCTGGCACGACGCGAGAGCTGCTTGGCCCGGGAAAGGACGGTGCTGGCATCATTGCTGCCACGGCGGACGCTGGCCCTGAGGACCTCGGCCTGAAGGGTGACATTGAGCCCCAGTGGGTGATCAAGTATACCGCCGTGGTTAAGAACCGGGGCGTTATCGAGAACAAAGGATATTTTGCCGTTGCTCAATTAGGTAGCTGCATCGAAGAGAAGCCGGTCGACGGAGGAGCCTCGTAACCAGCGGCGTTGATAAGTATAATGTCAGACTCAGCATGGCGTTGGCTCGGCTTTATGTCAGGAACCCTTCCTGGTCGCTGTATACTTCCATGAAACATTGTCGGAGCCGCGTCTGGTAATGTGGGCAGCGACACATTTGGCGTGGAACTTTCCGCAAGACCTTCTTTCTCATCCCTTCATCCAACCATACTTCTCTTTCTTCCTCGCAATCTGACCTCGTCCAGCCTCTTCAGCACAATATTGCTCCCCTTGAAACTCCCCCGGTATCCCTCCTGACCTTGTAACACCTCCGCATCAAACCACCCTTCCTGCCGGGGATGCGTGGACCCAAACGCCCGTTCCAGAACATACAGATCCACGGCTCGATCTTCATCTTGCACAGACTGCGTAGCCAGCCCAAAATCGATGAGCACAATCTCACCCGCCAGGTCTGGCGGTTCTAGTTTCGGCTTTGCATCTGCCTCTGTCTCTTCTGCCCCGTTTTGCTTGCCGTCCGTCATTTCATTCTGCTGGCCCTGGCCCTCACCAAGCGGTCGAATCATGATATTACTGCTCGTCAGATCCCCATGCACGACACCCCCCCTGGCATGCATCGCACCCACAGCCTGTCCGATCCTTCGTAAGAGCTTCTTGACCTCGCCTTCCTGCGCGGCAATGTCTTCTCGCACGCCCGGGGCGTCTCGATCCCGGTCCAGACTCTTATACCACGCATCCCACTCCCTCAACAGCTCCTTGACGCTCTTCCCCTCGATCCACTCCATGAGGAGCCATGCGCCCGCGCCCTGTCCAGCATCGCTCCTCGCGCCCCTCTGCTCGCCACTAAGGCCTTTGACTTTCCTCGCGACATCCCATTCCAGGCTCAACACGGCGGGCACACTAACTCCACTTGCTGGCCCAAGTGCGCTCAACTTGACCAGGACCCTCGCTTCCGCGAGGACGCGCTGCTTGGTCAATCGCGCGTCGAGGGTCGGGTGCCGGTAGGCTTTTGAGGGGCGGAATTTCAGCGCCGCCGGCGCCGAGGGGGAGAGGAAATGGGTGCGGTAGAGAAGGGCTTCGGCGCCCTGTGTTATCAGAGTCGGTAGGGGGGATGTGTTTGTGAAGGGAGTGGGGAGGACGGTCCGCTGGTCTTGCAGGGCTGTGGAGCGAAGGGGGAGGACACTTTCAGGCTGGTGTGAGTTCTGGGTGGTGAGCAGGGGAGGGTTGCCCGGGGTTGTCATTGTCGACTCGAGCCGCTCACTGTATACACTGGTTCGATTTTAGAGGTCGTTGATCTGACCATGGAAGAATTCGGGTGTCCAAAGTGGATCATTGCATTTGCATCGCTCGTAACATTCTCAGATTGTGGAAAATTGTTACTTCATAAAGCGTGTCTGTTCACGAGCGCACCAAGCGGGGCGAATGCTACTGTGATTCTTGTTACATACCGAAACTTACCCGGCGAGGCTGTGAATCATTCCTGAAGTTGCAGGGTCTGGATTCTGTTCCTGTAGAAGACCGTGGCGTTGAACGATTTCTGGACATGTCGCCGCGTTCTCAGCACATCAATATATGGCACCTGTATTGCTAAATGGCCGCTGTTAATCGTGGACCTGCGCATCTGAAGGAGGGCCCGCCTCACCCTTCAATAGCCACTAGGGAAGAATTGCACTCTGCGAACGCCTAGGTCTGTCGTTACGAACTCTCTCCTCCATCTGCCTCTGGACTAAGCGCTCTCACCAGGCGGTGCAACTCCTCAACCTGCTCCTTGAGCTGCCTGATCTCCACGACATCGGCGTCCACCTCGACTATCGGCCTGGTCGACTGGACCTTCTTATCCCAGCCTTCCGACTCAAAATCCAGCTCACCAGCCATTTCCTCCCACTCTTGAATTGTATCGTCGTCCTCCTCGCCCCTGGAACGGTTGCTTCTCACAGATCTGGCGTCAACGGCTTCCACAGCAGCTGTGACCAGCAGCACAGGGAAGTAGATGAGACCCATGACATAGTTGTTCAATCTCTCGTAGCGGTGAGAGTCCATCCACCATTCGAACGGTAGGATGAGGAACAATAGTTCGATCAGGTTGAATGGCGCGATGAAGACATTCTCGTCAGGTGCACGGACAAACTGTAATGTCTTTTGGGCGAACATGGCCATGTACTCATCGATCGCGTTCTCCGTGATATCCTCGTATGCACTGTTGTATAACGCAATGAGGATGTTGAGGAGGATAACCATGACCACAAAGGTGAAGAGATAGTACAGAATGAGACCAAAGGGGTGGGCGTAGTTGTCGAAGCCGTCAAATTCAGGGGATTGCATAACGGCATTTGCCATCGCGGTAATGACAAAAGAGCTGATGCTAGCGTTTCCTTCCACCTGGTTCAGGCCGATGAAGGCTTGAAGGAAGCCGACACAGACAACGATCAGGAGGGCGAAAAAGATGAGTGATTCCCGCATCATGACCTTCAAGACCACGAGCATGGCGCCGAAGAAGCGGAACGTGTCCAGGTACAAGAGAAGTCGGCCCCAGAACATAGGTGCAGCGACGCAGAAAAGATGGTATCCCAAAGCGTTGAGTTCGCGGCGTCTTTCATCGTCTTCGTCGGGAGAGTGCGCGAGAGCAGTCATACGAATGATGAAGGAGGCTGTCAACAGAGCGTACAGACAGTTGTTGAAGGCATTCCAGAATCCAAAATACCAGATGCCGACTTTCCAAAACTTGGCGACTTCGTCACAGACGAAGCCCAAGGTCATCAAGTAGAGAATCCCCTCAACAACGTCCAAGTCGCCGTCTTCGTTAACGGTATTGACGGCAGCGGTGTATAGGGCGAGGTAAAGGACGGATATGGAGATTTGGACAACGTTCTGGTATAGTGGTGTACGCATTCGATCGGGATTTAGATGAGCCCAGTAATTCGTGTTGTCCCGCTCCTTGTAAAAGATAAAGCTTCCCGGGTCGAGATCGTCTTGGTGAATCCAGCCCCTCCAGAGATACTTGATGCATTTTTGATAACCTGATGAGCCGATGACGATCACACAATGTAAGTCGACAGCTCTTTCAATCGCGTTGGCCGGCACGGTTTCCTCATCCTTCCGTACCACTGAGTAACGCTTGAGCAGGACCTCTTGCATAAGATATTCCTGATCTTCCTCGCCCTCAATGATGCGTTTGGCAATCATCTCACATGCCGTTGCCCGGACATTGTGTAGGTCGGCATCCCATAGCTCCAGATTGGCTTGTCTGTTAAACCATCTCTTGCAGACCAACAAGCAGTACACAACACAAGAGGCATAGTCCTTCTCTCCTGCTTCTTTTGCGGTCTGGACAACCTTCTGGGTAATGACGGGACTGTTGGCGGCTATGACTTTGTCTTCGGGCATCTCAAAAGGAATGACTTCTTCAATCTGATACTTCAATCGAAGGGCGACTTTCGTAACCTCCTTTGCGGGGAAGGCAGATGGTGGGATTTCATGGCTATGGGACGGGAGCACTAATGGTCGTTAGAATCATTTGCAAAGGTTCAAGCGTCGTGTGGTTTACATCTGCGCATCTCATCGCGAAGGTGAGGCGTATCTCTCTCACGCGTCGCTCCCCAGAGCTTCGTCCATTTGACCATTTGTTGATATGACGTAGGATGCAGCTGACTCCGAGCTGCAATTCCCAGCAAGCAAGCAGCAAGTGTCAACGGATCGACGAGGGGTTGTGGAAGTCTTGGCCCGAAAAATGGAAAGGAACAACCGATAAGAGAGACGGAGAGAAACAGAAGAGAAGCCAATACTCGTAGCTGCAAATGTCTCAAGGTAGCATTTCCTCTTCACGGTGATGTATTGAGTTTCTGTCCCGGAGCTCAAAATCAGGTTCTCAGCAATCCCCGCATCAAGCTAAGCGAGGAGTTTTTTGGGCGCTTGCTGAAATTCGCAGTGTGCGTTCCTCGAACCCTGGCTGCATCAGCCTCACAAATGCCTGGAGCCCCCTTCCACTTCAAAGACAGCTCACGCAACGGGCATTGTGTAATAGTCCCGGGGGTTGCGGTGCAGCTGGCGGATGCGCTGATGACCGGTCGCTCTGATCGCAGGAAATGCAGACAAACGTCCGCTTCTGAGCGTTGCCAATCCGGATTTGAGACCAAGGCCCATACCGAAGAGTCCGCCTCGGTGCTCTTGGAAGCATCCAAACAATGTTTCGGGGCGTGTTTCCTCCATGCACGAGGATATCTCATGCTCGACACACCGCTTGCGATCTTCATAGATGCATTTCTATGCAACTTCCGGGCCTTCGTCACTCTCGCTGATGTCCTCGTCGCCACTGACCTCCTCATTCTCCTTTGCTCTTTTGTCCATGAGAGCTTGCAATTCGGCATCATCATGCTCGGTGACGGCTTTCGGTGCCATCTTAACCACACAGCCGCCACCTGCCGCCTTGATGCTCTCGTCAATGTCTTGAATCGCTTGTTCCAGTAGCTGAATACCCATCCCCTTGTCCAGACACTGGCTGGTTAAGACATAGTGAGGTGGAGATACCAGCTTGACCTTGACTTGTGTATCCGGGGTATTTTTCGCTTCAGCTTTCCTCAAGGCTTCCTTCACAGCATCAATGCCATCGTACTTGAAGCACGTCACCTCGACGTCAGCTCGAACCTTCGTCGGATGAGGCATCAGCTTCTTGCTGATATATGACTGGAACTCCTCCTTGACAACCTCGTTCGGAAATGTGACGTCGTTCCAGATGTCGGGATTTGTGATGGAAAGTTTGAACGCATCGTTCGCGTGGCCGTATTTCCGGTTCAAAGGCCAACCGATATCTTCGTACAACTTAAGAATGGGTGTTTTCGTCTTTTCCGCCACGTGTCGCATGATCGAGTGTACCGACTTGCTCTTGTTGTAGCGCTCCTCGCATCGGACAATATCTTCTGCTGACACTCTTCGCTTGGACAGATCGATGTAGCCCTTCTCCTTGTCCACTCTCAGCACGACTACTACTTCGTTACGACCGATCCGAATAAGTTTCTGTATCGATCTGATACGTCTTCGAGACAGTTCGGAGAGAAGAATCATGCCATCGATGTTGTCGTATTCCAGCAGCTTGACGTAGGCGCCCATTTCTGCTATCTTTTTGAGAGCGGTTAGCCAGTTTTTTTGATCTCCGCCATGTCTAGGGTCGCCTCCTCACCTGCTTGACGTTCACCATCACAAAACTCTCGATCTCCGGATACTTCTCCTCATAGAACCGACAGTTCGTCAAAGAATCTGGGTCCGCCATCGTGGCGATTGTGAACTTGAGAGTCGAGGCCAAATATCAATGAGTTGAGATCCGCAACCACCTTGAACGTGAGCAGTTCGTGCGAAAATAAGCCAGAGTGATAAGTGACTCAGTGCCACTTTCGGTCGCATGTGCAGTGGAGGGGATATTTCGCCCTCCGGGACGAACTTTTGGCGCCAAGCCGGAGAAGGATTAAAGATCGTCCGCTCAGCTTGGGTGCTCCTTAGCGGCTTAGTCATTCCCCGGAGCTTTCTCATCAACGGCCTTCCTGTGCCTGGCCCGTCTCTAGCATTAACTCCAGAAACAACTACCGAGCTGCTAGAAAATGGTTCCATGCAGCTAGGCCAAGGTGCGGTACCCTCAAAAGGATGAAGTACGTCGCATTCGGAGCCACCGGGATGCCCTCTGTCCGTCTTGAGTTCAGCCTATAAAGCGCGAAATGTTTGAACTTCCGAGCTCTTGAGTACCGGACCCTTTGGTTATTCAACCAGAATCATGGGTCAATCTCAAAGTCTATCTACAGAAGTCGAGATTCAGGCGCCGCCGGATGCCGTCCGGGCCACAGTACGTAGTCACTGACCAACCTTGGAGAATCCAACCTTCTCGCTAAGCATGTGCAGTTCTTTGACTTCCCTCGATACAAGCAATGGTGCAAATGGACAATTGACCCCGTGGAATCAGGAAAGAAGGCATCCGAATTGAAGGCAAATGAACGCATCAAGGTCAATTTGGATGGAATGGCTTTCAGTCCGGTGGTGAAAGTGAGTCGCCAGTAACTCCATTCATAAGACTTCCCTAAGCATTTCAAGGAAAATTCAGCAGACTGTTTCTCGTGGGAGGGATCACTGTGGGGAGTCTTCACAGGAAAGCATCAGTTCTATTTCTCTCCGAGCACGAAGAACCCAGGAGGTACAACGGCAGTGCAGGTAGAGGACTTCCAAGGACCATTGGTCTTTCTAATGGCACCAGGGTGGAGTTTCAGGCAGAAGACTCTTGATAACTGGGATGCATTCTTTGAGGATCTGAAGAAGGAAGCCGAGCAGTCCTCACCATAACTTACCACTCCCGTCTTAATACCTGTTATGCTAGACTGAATGAGCAGATGTGTTGCGACTATAGCTTCCCCTAGAGTGAACTTATCGCGTAAAGATTAGTATTAGCCGCAAATGTTGCAGCATGACGCCCGGTTCTCTAATGAAAACGTGGACGAAGTGCAGGGCTACTGATTGTAGCTGCCTCCAGTATGTGCCTTGGCCGCCGAGCATGCCGACGTAGCATTATGCCTTCTGAAGCCACCAGGGAGCTCCCGAGAGGACATGCACTGTGGTACTGTAGTATTTTCTTCGTGCCCGATGGTCTCAAGCATTTGCTAAGCACTGCCTTGCACGTAGGTGGCACGCACAACTGAGATGTGCCCGCGTCATTTGAACTGACCAGCTTGACGCAGTTGATTGGGATGTTCACGAGGAGAAGCCGACGTACCGATCCCCGCGACGCTTTAGATAAACGAACGGCTTCACAAGCTTGCAGCCAGAGATTTCATTCGCGTGGGAGAACCTCCCTAATTTGTTCCACTCATTCACATGGTCAAAGGTTTTCGGCGTACCAGAATTCTACGCTTGCAGCAAGCTCCGTCCTTCTCAATCCTAGAGGTTGGCGCTTTGGACGGACTAAACTCGAAAAACATCATGGAATCAAGATAGGATCAATCATATTATTTGTCTACGCTCCTCCTCACGAACACTGACCACGATGTCGGAACGATTGCCATCTTCCAATGAGTCGCTAGATCCTCCGCCTAGTCCTCGACGCCCTTCTCATCAGCACACCCGATCTGTTCAGCATGTACCTATCAATCCTAGCCGGTTGCGGGAGACGACAATCATGTCTCCAGAGGACCGCATGGCAAGATCCAAATCGAGTGAAGAGGTGGGCGAGAGGAACAGGTCCAAGCTCCCTCAGCCGGCAATAATACTAGACGAAAACACGCCCCTGATTGCAGAGCCCGAACCCGTTCTGGACGAGCAGGGCCCTACCGTTCAAGGACAGATCGAGGAGCCATCAAACGAAGGGGCTAACGCCAGGACTAGCTTGCTGGGCAATTACCATCACAGTCGCATTTGTGGGCGAAATAACTGCAACCACGGCACCTTCTCCCCCCGAGCCCCTTCAATCGACAGCGAAAGAAGCACCATCAACTCGTTCGGCGGACCATACGCGGACGACGTTGCCGAAGATGGGAGCACACAGGATCCAGTCCGTGGTATACTGGGCGAGGCTATCACAGAATCATTGACAAACAGCAAGAGCTTGAGCACTACACGATGGCTGGCCAAAAGGCACGGAATCAGAAGCCAGAGATGGATGTACTTCTCCTATTATTTCCCCGTTATCAAGTGGGTTCCTCAATACCGCTGGAGCTGGTTTCGGGGTGATCTTGTCGCGGCCCTTACTATGGCCTCCTTCTATATCCCCATGTCGCTTTCATATGCTTCGAATCTCGCCCATGTACCACCAATCAACGGACTATATTCATTCGTCTTCAACCCGCTAATTTACGCTCTTCTTGGTTCCTGCCCGCGGATGGTTGTGGGTCCGGAAGCAGCTGGCTCTCTGCTGGTCGGCCAAGTCGTGAAGACATGTATAGCGAAGGGAGAAGCCGGGGATGACGATGCCAAATTGAATGCTGAGATCGGCGGCGTCGTCACTGCAATAGCCGGAGCCGTTATTTTCACGGCAGGTCTCGCACGTCTCGGTTTCCTCGACAGTGTCCTCAGCCGACCCTTTCTACGAGGTTTTATTAGTGCTATCGGATTCGTTATAATCGTTGACCAATTGATTCCGGAATTGGGATTATCTGAGGCTGCTAAAAGACAGGGTGGAGTTGCACACGGCAGTAGTGCTCAAAAGATCATGTTTCTCTTCAAGAACCTAGAGAAAACCCACACTTTGACGGCCGCAGTATCCTTGGGAGCATTTGTTGTTATCATGATATTCAGGTAAGCTGAGGATACGCCATTTGGTTGGAGCGAGCTGACGACCAAGATTTATGAAACAGAGGCTGCAACCCAGGTACCCTTCGGTAGCATACTTCCCCGATCGCTTCATTATCGTTGCGCTTTCTGCGGTATTTGCCTGGAGATTTAACTGGAACAAAAAAGGCCTCGACGTTCTCGGAGAGGTCAAGTCAGCCACTGGTGGCACTGGCATTCCGTTCCACTGGCCGTTCCAGTTCCGGCACATGAAACATATCGACACTGCCTTGAGCACTTCATTCTTGATTGCACTACTAGGCTTCTTCGAATCTTCCGTGGCAGCCAAAAGCTTGGGTGAAGGGGGTGAACTGAAGCATATGACACTGAGCGCCAACCGTGAATTGATCGCACTGGGCACAGCGAATATTGTGGGCGGCTTCTTCATGGCTCTCCCTGCATTCGGGGGCTATGGAAGAAGCAAAGTCAATGCTTCCACCGGCGGCACGACGCCCATGAGCAGTATTCTGCTGAGTCTGATCACGCTGCTATGCGTGCTCTTTGTGGTACCGTATTTCTACTACCTACCGAAAGGCGTTCTGTCAGCGATGGTCTCAGTGGTTGCGTACTCATTGATTGAGGAATGCCCTCATGATATCAGGTTCTTCTTGAAAATCAGGGGATGGACTGAGTTGTCATTGATGACCATTATCTTTGTGGCGACAGTGTTTTACTCTCTCTCAGTTGGAATGGCATTGGGTATCGGCCTCTCACTGTTATCTTTGATTCGGCACGCCACCAAACCCAGGATACAAATCCTCGGCAAAGTACCTGGCACGACAAACCAGTTCGAAAACGCGGAACTTACGCCAGAGAACATTGAGTATATCGAGGGCTGTCTGATCGTCAAGATCCCAGAGCCGCTCACTTTCGCGAACACCGGAGAGCTGAAAAATCGTCTGAGGCGGCTGGAGCAGTACGGGACGAACGCGGCCCATCCGTCCTTACCGCGAGTGCGACACGAAGACAACAATCGAAACATCATTTTCGATGTCCATGGAGTTACAACAATTGACGGCTCAGGAACGCAAGTCTTCACCGAAATCGTGCAGGAGTATGTCAAACGAGGCACCCGTGTCATTTTTTGCCGCCTCCCCCAGAGGCGAAGCAAGGTATTCAAGAGTTTCGAAAGAAGTGGAATTGTAGATTTATGTGGTGGTAGAAGACATTTCGTGGGTAGCGTTGAGGAGGCCTTAAGGTTGAGCGAGGCCGAGGACGTTGAAGAATATTTCAGCGAGAGGCTGGACAGCCACCATCACCAGCTCTGAATCCGACTGGAGGCTGTGCTGCGCTCAAACTCAACTAGTGTTTTCAGCCAAACCTCCAATTATAACACTTTGAAGCGCGACCTGTTTTCACCACAACGGCCGCACCGGAGTTGCAAGGATGAAGCGTTGGCAGCCTTCTCAATGTCCTCCACGTCAAATCTAAGCAGCAGCCATGATGGCGTATTCATCGAGTAAACTGGCAGTCTCTCGTGGGAGGTATGCCTGTCAACCGAAGAGGACAATTGGCCCAACAAAGCTGAGTCCAAGATGCCTGGAATGTTAACATGTTGGAAGCGTTCACGGCAGAGAAGTCCATCTCTTCTGTCCTTCTTGCCCTCCACAGAAGCTAACGAGAACGATGTAGCCAAGCATGATCGCGCACAGGCCCAAAGCACTGTGGTGCGGTGTCTTACTGCGCGCATTACGCACATGCGCTGGGAATGAAGTGAATGAAGCTGAACCTCGACTTGGACGTCTCCTACCAATTGTATGGGCGTCCAACTCAGGAGCACGGTCGCGTGCCGCTGCACAGCGGTGGTCCAGTAAAACTCAAAGCGAAAGGACGCTAGATGACATGAACATAATATGTATCTGTCGCCACCAGAGCTTCGACCGGTAGGCAACATTTCTCTGGGACCTTTCTATTTGCTCAGTACCGAGTGAGGGTGGGAGTACAGGCGGGCACTTCACTGTTGCATCTGGCGTGCTCCGTGTTCTTACCCGTTCTGAAACTCGCCTCGAAGCTTTTGCCTTCCTTCCCACCCAAGGTCCCTTCTCAGGTGAAACTCGCTTGAACGGCTCGTCCAAAAGCTCAGGATCCATTTCGGCTGTCGTTGATTTTTGTCCCACATGGCCTTAATCGCGACGGTAGCGATCCTGTGTTGGAGTCTCATTACTACCTGCCTTTCGCAGCAAACCTCTCCTGGCATTCATCTCCCGCTGTTCCGACGTGGCGGTCGATTCTCTCACCATGACCCCGCGAACCTCACCTACCTCACTGAGATTCTCAATGATGTCGAGGCTAGGTACGCGCGCTCTTATCGTGCAGTCGAAGGCAATCGCCTCGTGCGGAGGTGGCGGCAAAGTCGAGAGAAAGGGGAGAATGATCCAGAGGTGATTGATGTTGCAGGACATGAGAATCGATGGTAAGCCACGATTTCACTCGAGCACTCGCACGCTTCTTGAGGATATGACTGGGCCCGTGCCAATAGCGTCTTAGGTTCACAATAATCGAGGTGGCCAATCCGAAGCAGACCCTCAAGGTTGATGTCGACATGCTGTCTCCGGATTTCTATACAGTCGTCACCTCGAGCGGGGCAGGAATCGGCTATAACGCCTCTGCATCAGGAAGTCACGGTTAGACCTGGATAGGCTTGGGTGTAAGGGACAAGGTCTGACTCTCAAGGTAGGTTTCAGTGCCGATCGTGTGCATGCCATCTGCAAACGGTCCAGCGAAGAATTCCATTTCTCCGGTATGTTCCCAGTTCGGCTTGACATGCCAATTTGCGCGCCTTCCAAGTCATCTGGACAAACACTGGTCATGTCGGGCACATTGCTCGGGCTGGCTCCACATACAGACTCTCTGGCTCGCCTGGCCTCAACTCCGTTCCTTGCACAATTAAAAGAGCGAGATCTGGCCAAAAACAAAATATGGTCTGCCACACTGCTGGATGGTGAGACCGGCATTCTCAGCATCGGTGGCACGATCGCGAAGGAATTCGAAGAGGCAAAGATACGAGGGGAGATCGAGCTGAAGCACCTCGGAGACCCGCTGGTCACGACGGATTGGGTGGACGAGCAGGTGAACGCCAAATTGACCTTTCTTATACCGCCTGACGCCTCATGGGACAAACACTTCAAGTGGACTGAGGTGCAGGGGGCGGCGGGATGGTGGACGGCTCTGATGAAGGGCGTTTGGATCAACGGCGCAAAGGTATGACAGACAGCACGCTTGCAAATACCTTCTAAGCAGATCCGTATTCAGATTCTCAAAAATCAACCTGTCATCTTCGATATCAACACGCCCTTCATCCTCGCCCCGCCAATCGCAGCCAGACGTTTCTACGAATCCATTGGGGGCACAAAGCGATTACCACCACCTTACGACAACTTCTTCGCCTTTCCGTGCCTGAACCGAGCAAACATCGCTCTTGAGATCGGTGGGTGGAACTTTCCTACCATGCATGGCGAGGGCACGTCGGCGGATGCACTGTACGGCCCTGCAGGCGGAAGGTTCAGCCTAGGTAAAATGGCAGACGGGACAGGGTACTGCGTGGGCAGCGTGGTGGAAACGAGGATGGGACTGAAAGAGCAAGGGATGGACAGCGGAATGAAGAATATGTGGGTGCTTGGGGAGCCTTTTTTCAGAGGGTTAGGAGTGGTTTTTGATGTGGACGGAGGAAGGGTGGGTGTAAGGACTTATTGATGATATGCGGTCTGTACGCCTCATGAGCGGTAGGCAGGACACAGACAGAAGGTGCACGGTCATATGAACACTGTTAGGCAAGTGAGCGGCTGGCGCCTGAGTGAAGAGCATCTTCACATTCCAACGACAATTGCACTTCTACCCTTCCAATGTTTTGCATCCAATAGATTTGCTTACACGAGTCCAAGTCACTTACTCTCCTTGACGATTTGCTTCAACGTCTTCTCGTATTCCTCGACCTCTTTGGCCCCAACAAGTGTAATATCTCGCCGTTTACCTTCAAACATGATGGTCGGGACAGCATCAACTCCATTCCCGGCTTGCTGCCGGACCATGTTCTTTACGTCCAACATGCCGTTGGTCTTGTCTTCGATGAACGGCCCCGCTTCGCTTTCAGGGATTCCAGCGTCGGCAGTGGCTTCGAGTAGGGTCTCATCTGCCGACGGGTGTTTCTCGTTCTCGAAATATTGCGAGTAGAGAGCTGAGCCGGACGTCGACAGATATCGTAAGCGTATATCCCAAAACGATGTACCTGTTGTCGTGGCTGCCACACAAGTCGTGGGACTTACAGTTTATAATCTTGTCGGCAACTTCCGGGCCTTTCTCTTCCTGGAAATGCTGTATGACTCGATGTGCGTCCATCGTGTTGGCCACAGTACCTCCAAACTTGAAGTTGATGCCAGCACTAACACCATATGCGGACATCAACGCGATATACTACCATCCGCTTAGCTCCTCGAGATATACGGAGTATGTCTCGGAATACCGGAGTTCCAGGACAGCAAACATTGCAGAAAGAGCTACCGGCGCGGAAAGTGCCTTACCATCTTCATCTTCTCCTCCGAGTCGCCATAGCGACTCTTCTTATACCAGTCATATTTGCTTTCACCCTCTTTCGTTGCCTCGGGATATAGCTGGTATGGGAAGTACTTCACCGTGAAGGTGACATCGTTTGCTTCATCACTTCCCCGAAACCGTCGGAGGGCTGTCAATAGTCAGGTGGACGCACATGTCAGACAACTGACGGAACGTTTCCAGCAGCGATCCACTGCGGATCGCGAAGGGCAACAAACCTTCATCAAGGCTGCAGACTCGTGGTATTGCAACGTTAGTGCCCACCTCAGCAGATGCCTTGCCGGGGCTGGGGCAGAGCAGGAAGCAGAACTCTACCGTCTTTTTGCCAGGTATGTCTGTAATACTATCAGCTCGATTGTGAACATGAGCGACCAGCGCATTGCAATGCCAACTGAAATTCCAGGACCACGGTCGACGGATGTCTTACCCAAGGACAAATTGTATCCAACGTGAAGGATATTTGTGCTTCGAAAGTCATGGTCCGGTCGGCTCGCTTTCTGCAGGCTTCCGGCGGCCTGGGAGCAACAATCGACGATCGGGAATCCAACTGCAGCAAAGTTTTCAAAATCGTGAACTTTACAGACACGACTGCAGCGACCGATCCACGCTATTGCCTTGAATCCAGTCCGACGCTGTCCGCAAAATCGTGATCAGTGATGGCAGGCCCGTGCAGTGGTGTTGCAAACGATCTGACAGGCAACGGACGGGGCATCTAATTACTGGCCGAAGTGCAACCCCGCGCTTTGGCTCAGTTGAAGCTGACTGGTTTGTCACCGATGGTTCAGTTAAAGCTGACTGGTCTATTATCCATCCGCGGTTTCGGCGATGCGGAGACTCAGCAGTCACCACCAGGAACACTGTCCGAGTCCTGCTGTAAATTGACCTCTCGAACCAGCTCTCAGGCCTTCAGGGCATGTTTGACTTACACCTGCAAAGATACGCCGTATCCAGCCCGGAAAACGGTGTCGACTCAACGCTATTGGCTGCGCCACCAGCGGAGCTCCCGGTCAGCCTCCTGATCGCCGGCGTTAGGCGGTGGTGGCAGCGAGGCGGGTCGCTAAGCAGCCACCGAGAACCTGCCTCCCACGCGAGGAATCGGCTGAGCTGGTTCGTCCATCTGTCTCTCGCTAACCCTGCCCCCTGCACCGTTGGACCCCAGCGTTACCGTGGTCACTAATACACATCCAGCCTCCAAAACATCCTTGGCGGGCGGCCACCATGTTTCACCTTGAACCAGCCCACTTTCTATTCGCCTTCCACGAACGACAACCTGCCCGTCAACGTCGTCCCGCCCAGCTCTTCTGGGTTCGCCTTCCCGATTCTTGTTCAACCACCGAAGTTTTCCATGAAATCCTTGCGAAAAGTCTATAGAAAAGTGGATCACAATGCAGGCTGGACGCAGGAGACAGGTGTTGGGCGGCTGCAACTCCCTCGCCAGCCCATTCCATCCCGGCTTGTTCCCCTTTTCAACACTCCACTTGCAGGTTATCCTCACCACGATGACGCCCCGATGGAGCTACAACGTCTATCGATATGGACACCGATGGGGCTCTTTTGCGCACCACCAGGCTGAGCCTGCCTCCTGAAAGGAGCAGTAGCGTGGCCGGTAACCCAATTGAGTTTCCCAGTCACATCGTACACCGCGAGACCTGTCAACCTCTCCTGCCGTGCATGACGTGCCGCTCGCTCCTCACAAAGTATATGAAGCCCCTCCTTGGTCTTGCACTGTGTTGTTCTTCATACGTCCTCGACTCAATAAGACATTCACTACTGTCCCAGACACAGTCCTTCGTTCACAAGGTCAATCGTTCGATATAAGACCTCAGACATTCGATCAATAACACAACCCATACATTAATCCCACGCGGAATACTCCGTACACACCCAACACCATGAGAACAGCGCTCGTCCTATCGGCGCTCGCAGCGCTTGCCCTCGCTGCTCCTGGCGGTGGCCAAGGAGGGTTCGGCGGCGGTGATCAAGGCGCCGGAGGACAAGGGGGCCAAGGAGGTCCCGGTGGTCAGGGCGGGCAAGGCCAAGGTGGTCAAGGAGGCCCTGGTGGTCAAGGTCCCTCCGGGGGCCAAGGTGGCCCTGGAAGCAAGGGCGGCGACAGCGGCGCCAACGGCGGAAACTGGGGCGACTGGTCTGGTCAAGGCGGCCAAGGCGGTCAGGGCGGCCAGGAAGGGCACAACGGCGGTGGTGCTCCCCAGGGCGGCGACAAAGGAGGTCAGTGGGGTGATTGGTCTTCCAGCGTTCCCGCTCCCCCTCCCCCTCCACAGCCTACTACCACAACTCCCGCACCCCCCACACAATCAAGTTGGTCCGACTGGGTATCAACGACGACAACACCCCCTCCTCCGCCCCCTCCCCCAGCTCCCACCACATCCCATTGGCAAGACTGGTCTCAAAGCTCAACAACAACACCCCCTCCACCCCCTCCCCCAGCTCCTACTACTACATCTCAATGGCAAGACTGGTCAAGCTCATCGTCCACCACTACCACTCCCAAGCCTAGCCCAGTCCCCGAGACGACGAGTCACTGGCAAGATTGGTCGAGTACTAACGTAGTTCCCCCTCCAGCCCCAGAATCTTCATGGGGAGATTGGTCCAGCTCCGCGCCGCCACCGCCTCCTCCCGTCGAGACAACCTCATGGGCAGACTGGACCAGCTCAGCACCGCCTCCTCCCCCGGTTGAGACAACCAGCACGCCTGTCGTGCCAACAGTTCCCACTACAACTTGGGGCGATTGGACTTCTTCCACCCCTGTTGTTCCTACTGTCCCAACCACTACTTGGGGTGACTGGACCTCTGCCACCCCTGTCGCTCCCGCCCCGGTCCCAGAGACAAGCTCTTGGGCCGACTGGTCTAGCGCTCCTGCTCCCGCCCCTCCCGCTCCTGCTCCTTCTAGCAGCCAGTGGAACGACTGGTCCTCGAGCGCGCCGCCTGCGCCGGTGGTGACTCCTCCCACGCCTACGCCAGTTGCGCCCACATCATCTGTCTGGGCTACTTCGGTCGTTCAATCCACAACTCCAGTTGCGCCTATCGCCAGCCAGTTCACCGGCGCGGCCGCTCCAGTCGCCACTGGGGGAGCCAAGATTGCCGGCGCTGCCGCGGCCATCATCATCGCAGCAATGCTGTAGATCGGTCGACATTGGGCGAGCGCGTCTTCTCGGAAACATCATGCTTTCACTTCGGCGTCCACTTCCTTGGCTACAGTCCTCGGAAGTAATCGCAAAACAAGATCATCATCTTCGGGGATTTTGTTCATTTTTCACACCATCGACTTTGCCCTCCGGGCCTAATGACTCTAATGAGAAACACGTCCACGACACTCATGATCACTCCTTTAGCATGAGATGCGGTCCGCTGGACTGGATCAAGGAATTCTTGGAATGGAATGGAAAAACGGCTTCTAACATGTGATATGTACGGAATAGACTTTGAACAGAACCGGCATTTTGGATATATTCAAGGGGGCGATCCATGTATCCCGTAGTGCGCAAGCACACTAGCATAGCAAAAAAGCTGTAGCGCCATTTTCAGCCTTTGAAAAAGGCCATGGCATTTCAAGAGGAATGCAAGAAATGAAGCCGAAAGTTTCGCAATACGTATCACGTTTCCTCACCCTGACAGAGTACTCGCACACTTACCCCGCACGGGGTACTGTTTTAATTGCCCCTCGTTGCCTCGAATTGAATGCATTTCCACGCCCACGCAAGGCAGACAGGAGGTCAGGTTCTGCGGACGGAAGATCCTGTTGAATCGACTGATCATCATTCCGCCTGTTAGCAGGTCTGCCGTCCGGACCGGATGTCTCAGACGGGTAGGACAGCGTGACCGTGTGTGTGTGTACTGTGTAAGGGGGTGCGAGGGAATGCTGGTCTGGGCTAGGGGTTCTTCTCTACTTACACAATGTCTGTACATATGATGAAGGCACTACAGGAGTAGGGGTCGGAGCTACAGCATATGCAACCAGGCATGCATGCAATGACAACACAGAATTCGAGCTCGAACAAGGACCGACAATCGTAGGCTCTGTTCACCGTCTCCCGTCGTCGAGGTAGCTGGCGCCCAAGACGCAGAGGTCACCATGTCGAAATCGTTGCACCCCTTGCCGCGGGACGAGTGGGCTCGCTTGTACGTGCTAGTCACGTGCAACAATCACGTGAACTTGTATTTGCTTGGCAGAGTGATGCCGCTCGAGCGCACGTGCCACCAGTTCTTCATCTGCCTGTTTCACACACGATGATTAAAGTAAACATGAACCACAACTGTAATTGACCGCTATAGTTCTGCAAGGACGTGTAGATACGGCACAGTAGAAAGGACAGTCTATCCTGTGGATAGAAGTCGATTCGATGGCGCCACGCTCTGCTCTCAAGATCAATAGATCGCTAGCTCAATATCCACAACGTGCCATGTAAGGCTTCGGGACTCTCGGATCTTAGCGTATTTCGATTGTCACTGCCGCTGGCCTTCTACACTTCCCTCAGTCACCTTAGCACTGTCCGGTACGCTTCAGGCATCATGCATTGGCTCGTACTGTTGTCTCAGCGGTCAAAGTAACGGCGTGAAGGGCCATCGCAAGGAAAATAACCGCGCTGCTATGGGTGGGCGACTGCAACTGTCGAAGCAATGGTACTCCCACTTCCGAGTTATTGTCTTGTGCAGTTTTTTGCATCTTGGTCTGAGCGCTCAGATCGCTCAGTATGCTGTCGACTATGCCCCGCTGATCTGGCTGCATTCCGACGATCAGTATATGCCCAGCGACATCAAGGAGCATGTCCTGCGCACAGCTCCCAGGATCGACTTCCAACGAATAGCAGATGGCCCGCTGCGATTGGATCTCGACAACCTATCCTCATTGAACGGATACGGCAAGAATGGCACAAACGTCTTCCTCACGGCCGTCGAAGATGTCACCACGTTCCCAGGCTGGGTTCTCGGAGAGACGCCCGATGAGGACGGAGCTCTGCACAATTCCACTGCATGTGCCGTTGTCGCTGTTCAGCACGAGATTCCCGGCAAGCAGACCGTCGTGGACGTGTTCTACTTCTACTTCTACTCTTGGAACGAAGGCGGGGATATCACGCAGGTGGTGCCGCCGCTGAACAGGCTGTTCCCGGACAGCAAGCCTGGCGATCACTTCGGCAACCACCTGGGCGACTGGGAGCACAACATGATCCGATTCGTAGACGAAAAGCCCGTGGGGATCTATTTCAGCCACCATGCCGGCGGCGAGGTGTGTGTTTGGGATGACGAGTCGTGTCTCTCGAAACGGGGTGAGCGGCCCGTCGTCTTTAGTGCTCGAGGCTCGCACGCGAATTACCCGTCGGAAGGAAGCCACATACACGACGACGCGCTGATAGATATTGCGGATAGAGGCAGGCTCTGGGATCCAGTCAAGCTTGCCTACTTCTATACCTACGATCCGGCGACCGAGACGTTCACTGCTGCGGAGCCAGGAACAGCGCCAACCGACTGGCTCTACTTCAATGGGAACTGGGGTGACCAGCAGTACCAGGACTCGGATCCACGACAACAAACGGTCCCATATTTTGGCCTCAAGAAGTATTACAGCGGGCCCAATGGGCCCAAGTTCAAGCGTCTTGTGCGGAGAGGTCTGATGCCCGATGAAAAGGGGAAGTTCAACCTTATTAAGACCTTGGTGCACTGGTATATGGGGTGGTATGGGTGCTGCCTGAAGGGCATCAATCCCTGGCTGGTTGTCATTGGCCTTCTGATTGCTCTCGCTACAGTAATTACCTTGGGCGTGGTCTCCGCCAGGTTGGCCCGACCAGCAGTGAAGGCATGGGTCCAGACTAGGAAGGACCGGCAGACGAAAGAGGAGACGGCGGAGGTGCAGCTCCGGCTCCTTGATCCTGAGAGGGCAGACGCTGATGATGAGGCATAAGCCTCCCAGTCCGGATGCGAGGGTCCCAAGCCTCCTCAGCACCAAGGCACTCGAGCAGAGTCCGAGCGACGGCGCTCATGACGACAGAGTTTTGTGAAGGGTACGTCCTGTTCCGCCAGGAAGACGACATAATCCAGTTGGAAAAGCAAGCCTGGCTGGATAACTAGCGCATGCGCCACTCCCACCGCTGTAGGTCAGGGGCATATCAAGGTGCTCTCCCATCTGGCAGCCTGTGTCCTTTGCTGAGATGGATGTCGCGATTGCGGACCAGGACGACTCCTTTCTCGCAACGAGGCTGCAAAGAATCCTTCAAGGTTCATCCTCGTCGGCTATGCGAGCCCTGCGACATCCTGAATCAGATGCTGAATTACACCAGAAGACGTCCCTGATGCCAGATGGGAAGTGAGTCATCTAGTAGCACTGTCATGGCAAAGATGAGCAGAGGCACGAACCTGACTGGAAGACTGGGAAAGCACTAAAGGCTGGTCTTCGTGAACGACCGAGTCGACTTCATGGCCGGCAAGCAGCGCCGCTTGTTGCCGACTTTTTCTTCCTAGCCCTATCGTCCGGATGTTCAACAACCGCTTCGACCGTAACCGATGGGGGGTTTGGTGGACTGGGACAGGAAACAGGTAAGCCTTGCGGTGGTGATGAAATCAGTGCTCTAGAACATCTCATCGGTGAAGTCTCCCACCTGACTACGGAGGTTTGCCCTTTCAATCGACCATGCCTGGCACTAGGGAGCTAATCATCCAGTCCGACATCTCGCGCCCCCACCTGATGTTGTTATTGGAGTATCTGACAACCAAGGCGATCATTCAAGTCTCTAGTCAACGAGCTGGACCCCTCAAAGGACGGGATCGATTCCAGGTTTCGTTCCGGGAGGGAGAGTTCTCGCGGGGGGGCGTCTTTGCCAACACGGTGGCTCTACTTTCATCGAGTGGGACTTCAGCACAGAACGAAATGAACATCTCGGGATCGGATACTCGTCGATGAAGGCAAGCGAAATGAGGTATGGCTGCTGGCGGACGCTCAGCGCCCGGAGTCTCACGCGGTCGCCCAAACCCTGTTACCGCTTCTTGAGCGAGACACACTTGTGCGTCCACTTGGTGACGCCCGCAACGAACTCAGTTATGGACAGCCGGGACACGATTGCACGAGTTTCGCGAGCGAGTCCAGAAGGCTGCCGAGAATGCATTGGATGGTGCTGTACTCTGCATTCAGTACGGATTCCTTTCTTGCTCGTCGGTTTCATGGACAGTCCGTAGAGGCTGGCTACCACTCATACTCATTGCATGTCGGTCAACTGCTGGTGTTGACACTTGGATCAGCATCTGGTGACATCCATCTACGCTGTGACACAGTCAGTGGAATCGCAGCAGCGGTGGTCTGATTAGTTGGCATGAGTGAGACACTCAGCCTCTGCCGCGGTATTCGAGGCTGTCAGACAACGCAATATTCACTGCGGCCAAGCCAAATGAGCCGCTTAGTTAGCGATGGCAGGTAACAGGCGGCGGCCAGACGCCCTAGAATTAGGGCCCGAGCTTAGCGCGGAGGCGACTGATTTTCGTCATACTGTGTCACTATTTTTGCCCTCGTCGGCGCAGTCAAAGAACAGACTGGCCACATTCCTCACGAATACTCAGGTGCGCTGTCGTGGCTTTCCTTGTTCATTTTCGCTTGTACATATTGCCCTTCCCAATCGAATGTCAATTGGCTTGTCTCCGGTGTCAACATGAGGGTCAATGCCTCACATTTCTTTCTCGCCTTTTACTTCCTTCTTCGCCCTCACTACGTCCGTGGTGACCGCGGCCAAACCCAACAATGCGCCATAGACCCAGACTCGATCGTTACAGACGCATGTACCTCGTATTCAGACCTTGAGCGGCTGAATGCCGATCTCGCCCCTTCGTTAGACGATCTGACGCAAAAGACGGATTTCTTCGCCTACTACCGACTGAACCTCTACAACAAAGTGTGCCCCTTCTGGAACGATGAGAGCTCCATGTGTGGGAACCGCGCGTGCGCGGTCGAAACGATCGAAGACGAGAGTGATATACCGTTGATCTGGCGGGCTGAAGAGTTGAGCAAACTCGAGGGCGCCCGAGCGAAACACCCTGGCCTCGCCCAACAACGCGAACGACCGAAGGACCGACCGCTCCAGTACCAACTGGGCGCGAATGTGGACGAGAGCTGCGTCCTGGAGGACGACGACGAGTGCGATCAGAGAGACTACTGTGTGCCGGAGGACGAGGGTGCAGCCGCGAAGGGAGACTACGTCAGTCTGGTGAATAACACGGAACGTTATACCGGATACTCGGGCCTGGGGGCCAAACAGGTGTGGGACGCCATCTACAAGGAGAACTGCTTCACACCGCAGCCGGCGAGACATGCCTCGCTGAAACCTAAGCCCCTCCAAGCGGCGGCCAGTTTGAAGAACGTTTTCCAAGAGTACGGACGGCAGCACGTGGACAACTCGGACGACCAGTACCCTCTGGACGACGAGTGTCTGGAACAACGGGCCTTTTACCGAATAGTGAGCGGCATGCACGCCTCCATCTCTGCCCACATCTGCTGGGATTACTTCAACCAGACGACCGGCGAGTGGGTGCGCAACCTCGACTGCTACAAGGAACGCCTGCACCAGCACCCCGAGCGCGTCTCGAACCTGTACTTCAACTACGCCATCCTCACACGCGCGATCGCCAAGCTGCGAAGACACCTCGAGTCGTACACCTTCTGTTCCGGCGACACGGCGCAAGACTTCCAGACCAAGCAGAAAGTGCTGGAACTGGCGGACAGGGCGGCGGCGGGGCCGCACACCTTTGACGAGTCCGTCATGTTTCAGGACCCGTCGGTCATGGATCTGAAGGACGACTTTCGCAGTCGGTTCCGCAACGTGTCAAGGCTGATGGACTGCGTGGGCTGCGACAAGTGCCGGCTCTGGGGAAAAGTGCAGACGGCGGGATACGGCGCCGCGCTCAAAGTGCTGTTCGAGTACGACGAGACCAAGAATGGTGAAAACCCTCACCTGAGACGCACCGAGTTGGTCGCCCTCGTGAACACTTTAGGACGAGTCAGCCACAGCCTCGATACGATCCAGAAGTTCCGGCACGCGGTCAACACGGGCGACATGAGCGTGCTGAATATGCAAGGGCCGATCCCACTGTCGCAAAAGCTGTCCGGCGATCACGAGCAACGGAGGCCCGTCGATGCGAGCCCCGTGGCGGGGGTGGGCTTTGACGACGTGCCCGAGCCTGAGTCGGATGACCATGACCTCTGGGAAGATCCCGACCCCGAGACGAAACCTCGCCCCCGAACCATTGCGGACGAATTTCGGGCGGAATTCGACCTCGTGTGGCGGACTTATAAAATGGTGCTCCGCTCGTGGGTCGAGCTGCCGTTCAAATTCTTCGCCATCCTCGTCATGGAGTTGCAGAGGCTGTGGAATTATTGGCTGGGGTTGCCCGTGCCGGCGAGGAGTTGGGATTTTCATTTCCCGAGTAGGGATGAGTTGTGAGGTGCTTGATCGGCACAGCACCAACGAAGTACTAGCTTCGCTTTGCTTGCAAAATCGTGGGCATGGCATGGCATGGCGATTTGGGCAACACATACGGAGGTATGAGATACGGCGTGATTTTGGGATGCATTGCCAAAGATCGATGGCATAGCACTGCATTGCAGAGCATATCATGGGATGGGATGGCCTCGAAAATTACAGTAGCATAGCGTCGGCGTTGGGGTTGCACCATTTGTATAGGCAGAGGCCACTTTACACAGTACTTAGATACTTGAGCCCAGGGCGGACGCGAAGACGGTCGAATGTGCTTCTGCACCTGCGCCTGCGCCTACCTTGAAGCCAATCCGAAGTACGGAGTATATGCCACAACATGATACAGTACTGAGTACTTGATAAATCACCTTTGAGATCTAAGATCAACGCACCGAGTGCTGTACATACCTATTTACCGCAGTAATCGATGCATGTACTGGGCCAAGCGGCCCCTGATACCTACCTAGGTACGGATCTCACTCGCACGTCGAAGATAGATTCCCGCCGGATAAATTGGGATTGTTCCATGCAAGTCTTGGAACGCGCCCTGTCCAGTCGAGGTATCGAGCTGTATTACTTCTGCACGTACAATCATCCTCCGCAAGTACCTAGGTACAAATCCCTATTGTAACGAGACTCAGACGCGACGACGCCCAAGACTACAGCCCAGATGTTACCAACTGTGGTACTGTGGTAGTACGAAGCCAGGCCGTTGTCCCGACAACCACGCGTAAATAAACCCCCACAACCTCCCGGTTCTCCCCTTACCGTTCGCTGCAGCACTGCACCAACCTTACGCAGCACAGGGCACGCACTATCCAGGACGCGAGAAGGACGCGCGCGTTGGTCCGGACTTTTCTCAGAACCCATCGACTTCGCATCACGTCGCATCACGTCGCATCATATCGCATCACATCGCGTCCCATCCCATCAATTGATGGACCTGATTTCGAAGGAAAGTTGAAGTTAATCGATTAACAGCATTGGGGTATTACTCGTGGCATCATACACCACACCATCATACTACTGGACAAGTTAGCCAACACGCACGCTCATGCAACCGTAGCGCAATACATACCTGACACAACACGACGTACCATGCGGAGTACCTGCACCGCCATGCAGACGTCGCGCCACGGTATCATCTCGACACCATGTCCCCCGCCAGCAATGTCGCATCACAGCAAGCGCGACTCGGTTGCGATGGGTACAACTATGAGTACGCGTACATTTGACGAGGACGACAACACAGCAGACATCGAATTCACAGCCGCGTTTCCCGCACCTCGACATGGACTTGGGATCGGACCTGGAACTGCAGCCGGATTGAGGAATGCGAGGCCGCGCAGACGACGTGCCGCGGCTGATGTGGTGGGGTTTGCGATCCATGAGGATCAACCAGCTGCAGGTGCCGGCGATGGGGCAGGGGCGGGCGCTTTGATGAAGGCGGTTCGACGGAACGCTGGTGTTAGTCCTGCCGCGCATACCACGACTCGTACTGGGTCCATGGCGACTGCCAGTGCAATTGCCCAACCGCCTCAGCGACCGAAGAGGAATGTTAATTTGGCGGGGACTGTTCCGGTGGCTTCAGCTTCAACTTGGAAGGGCGCACCTGCCTCGACCCATCATGCTCATGAGGCCATCTACCAGCACGATGTATCGGAAAAGGCAAACATACGCATGGACGCCACGTCGCGTAGACTGTCGCAAGCGCCGAGACGACCGGTCGTCAAGGCTGAGGGTGCCAGAGTTGTTGCGCGGGCTTCTCCTCTACGGGAAGAAACGATCTCGGTGCCGACTGTGGACGTTACGGTTCCAAAACCCACGGCCGCACGCCGAGGCACCATTTATATCCCCTCCGAGGACACGACGATGCCGAGCATGTACATGGGGATGTTCAGCCCGATCAAGGATCTTGACGTGGCCAAAGCATCCATGTCTGCGATTGCTGAAGATGTCGAAATCACGGGTATTGCGGCGCAAATGCTTGCGAAGAAGCAGCGGGATGGGCGGAAGTCAGTGAGTACCAGGTCTCCCAAGAGAGGTGCATTACAGGTTTCGTCGCGGAATCTTCAGGATAGTGCCGTTGCGGAGGACCGCTGGGGTCAAGGCGGTGGGAAGGAGAACGTGCCTCCTGGTCGAGCGGAGGTTGGCGACGAGAAGGTCAAATTGACAAAGGGGACGTCGATGGTTGATGCACGAAGCACTGGTGGCGAGACCGCACCACGTCGACCTCAACTGCAGGCCACGAGAGTATCTCGATTGTATGAATATACGGCGAGCGCAAGGACGAAAGCCAACGACAGGAAGATTGATCAACGCACCACTGCGAAGCCCAGCTGGAACGCTGGCCCGCGGCTGAAAACGAGTCAGCCAGTGCCTGTACGAACACAGCCGCCAGAGCCAAGATCAAATTCTGTGACAACACAGAGTGACGAGACGCAAACTAGGAAGCCGTCGATGCCCAACCGCTTCGTTATGCCCCGACTTGGGCTTCAGCAGCGGATCAGAGAGATATACCCCGTGCTCAGTGACGATCTTGCCGACCTCTCAATGTACGAGGACAATTGGCTAAATCATCAGGAGATAGCGATCACACAGCTCATCAACAACCTCTTTGGGGCGTCCACGACGGTTCAGTCACCTATGGATTCGGAGATGTTGAGAATCCGACTGCTGGCGAGATACGGCGGTGCAGAGAACGCCCTACTGTACAAGCGACTGCAGGGAGCACTGCTTTATGGTTCCCTCTGTGTACCGTCCGAGATCCTCAAGGGAGAAGGCCGCTTGAGTAGCGATCTCGGGAGACGCAAGGCATACACCGACCTCTGGCTTGACACGTACGACCTCTCCTGTCTTCAGTCAGCCGTCGAGGTTGTTGTTGGACGACACTGCACGAAGTCGCGGTCGTCGTCCTCGAGCCGCAGAAGTAGCGATGGACGAAGTGTCAGCCGCCGTGCTTTGCAAGCGTTCATTGAGACATTTATGATCAAGAATGAAGATGGGACGCCAGACGAAGCCTGTGCAGACCGTGCCGCGTGGTCTTATCAACGCACCTTACTTCGGAGCCTGATGCTCATCAAGCTTTTGGACAGCACAAAGGCTCTCCACCAAAGACTCTTTGGCGCCTGTCTCTTCCAACCTTCATCGCAGTACAAGTCATCTGCGAGCGTCGTCAGGGCTCTTTTTCAAGTGCTGAATCCAAGCGCTGGGGATCCGATTCGAGCCTTGAGCCATCTTGCATACACGGTCAGTCACTCACAATATCCTCTCGAAGAATACTCGTACCAGATCGAGAACATTGCAGTCGACCTGCGCGATGGAGTACGGCTGACGAGGCTTGTGGAACTTCTCTTGTACCCATCGGCATCCAACTCGCTCGAACATATGGGTGATGCAGAGTCAAGCACGACTGTTGTTCTACCAGACGGAGAGCTGCTGTTGCTGACAGATGAGCAATGTGACTGGCCTTTGTCCCAGCATCTCAAGTTCCCCTGTCATGGCCGGGCCACCAAATTGTACAATGCCCAGATCGCGCTGAGTGCGCTTCACAGCGTCAAGGGCGTGGCTGCACTAGTCCAGGATATCAGCGCTGAAGACATCGTCGATGGCTATCGGGAAAAGACCGTCAAACTGCTCTGGGGTCTGACCAGTAAATGGGGGCTCAGTAGCTTGATCGACTGGGAAGACGTCCAGCGTGAAATCAAGAGACTCTGCCGGATGGGCAACAGCAGCCAAGACAACGACTTCTATGACATGGTGGAAGAGGAAGAAGGTTATGCTCGCCACAAAGTGCTGCTCAAGTCATGGGCTCAGGCAATTGCTAGCAAGAAAAGCATCCCGGTCAAGAACTTGACGACCAGCTTCGCGGATGGAAGAGTCTTTGAAGCCATCGTGGACGAGTACGAAGGGTACGCTGCCGGCAAGGACAAGGACAAGGACTCGTCCACACAAAGTCGACCACTTTCCGCACGACTTCGTGGCCTTGGGTGCAGTGAGCAATTCGCCATGCTCTTCTCGCTCACTTCCCCTGAATCGCCAAATCGCACCCACCTCTTTGACCGGGACTTTGTGCTAGCCGCGCTGGCGTTCCTCTGCTCGAGGCTGCTGGGCCCAACCAAAGGCGTCAGATCGGCCGTGACGATCCAGAAGGCGTGGCGTTCATATTGGGCGCGAGTGCTCGATGGGCGCAAGGTCATGGTCAAGGCACTGGCGGAGGGATGTGCCCAATCTGTCCAAGACAGGGGCTGGAGGCGCATGGCAGAAGCCGGTAGCTCTGCTCCTAGTATGGATTTGGCTAACGATCATGGGGTGGCTCAACGACGGGACCAGGCTGAGTCGGGCAGCAACGCTAAGGCCGGGATTGCATCTCCTGCAGAGACAGAGGAAGAAGACATCTGGCTCAACATCTGAGCGGTGAACGAAGTGACAGGTGACAGGGTAGATGCAGCTGCAAGTATGTCAAGAACGTTGTGTTGAGGTGCCACGAAATTCTGCAAGGCGACACGAGTCATTGAATCGTATCGGCAAGGCAACAGGATGGATTTCTTTGGTAGCGATCCTATTTGGGGGGCTGCTCCGAGTAATGAATAAGGATGGATGCTGAATGTAGAACCGAATGACTAGTTGACGAGTCCTGAGTGACTAGGTGGTGAACAAGTGAACGGTACCTACTGTGCTAGTCGCTCCCTGCCTCGTAGCCTAGACGGCCGCGCCGCGGATCCCGCCGTCGGTCTAGCTATGTACCTAGTGAGGGGCCACCTACACAGTACGAGTAATTAGCCATTGGTGACCCGGCCGTGCCTGACTGCTCCCTCACCTCTTCCTCGTGCTCGTGTTCTCTTCAATCGACAAACACCGTTGTGATCAATCTCACATCTTCTCCATGGACGCCAAGGCGTCGATCTGTCCTTGCGCACGCTATCAATTACTCCTGGGTAACTCGTATTCTTCCAACCGGTGGACTTTCTGGCATCTGCCGTGTAGGGCTGCACGTCCTCGTCTTAGATCGTCTCCCTGCGTTTCAGCCACTGCCGAGATATCCCGCCGTTCAGTCGTTTGCCGTCACATCGTACGTCCCTCGTACCGTCCACCCCTCACGCGCTCTACGTCTGGCGCCAAAAGAATCTCGAGCCGCCGCCCCGAAATAATGCCTTACCGTGCATCGATGCCGTGGGCCGCGGTGCCAGTCATGCAATGTGTGAATGCAGCTAACGCCATTCTGGTTCCTAATCTTCCAGTGAGGCGGACCGTCTAGCCTTCTCCTCGCAAGCCTCTTCCTCTTAAGCCTCCAGCCGAGGCCACCGCATCTAAGCGAGCCGGGTAGCTGGGCTTCTTCATCAGGCTTCCTAAACTCGGATGCCACCAGTCTCTTTGAGGCCAGAACACTGCAAAATGCCGACTGCCGCTTCCGTAGAGTGAGGACGAGTACAAGGATGCCCTTGCCTTCAGCACACAACCATAAGACGACTGGCATCGTGATTCGGCCTGGTCCACGGCGGCATACCCCTTGGACTTCCCCATCTATCGCACGATCCAGATTCTTCCACCCGTCGCACCGCCGTCACCCGGCGTCCCGGTGCGGTCAGAGCGGTAGGACCGCATTTCCCCTCGTCAGGATCTGCTGTTTGAAATCTCCGCTCCATCCTTGCATTCGGTACATTCTACCCACAGTGCCGGGCTCAACCACTGTCGTCGAGTCCCGCCATTCTGGTTCAGCCGATTCACAGGTGCATTCTCCTGTCAATTTGCGCCGTCGACGTGAAGCCAGCGCTGACACCGGGCCTCTGATTCGTGGTACGCTGCCTACTGCCATTTCCCGGCTCGTGTATGCACGCTTCAGTCGCTGCATCATTGACCGAGCCACGGTGAGTGGCATGATGAATGGGTAAATTCGTCGCCTTTTGCGTTCTTCAAATGCTTCCTCCTGCCTTCATCAACCTCAGTCAAGTCGACGGCTGTCTTGCCTAGCCAGACCGGCAGCGCCTACCAATGGGCAACTCACCCATATCAACCCTTCCACCGGAAGTCCTGCATCAAGTGCTTAACTATCTGCCTATCGCGACACTCCTCAGGTTCAGTCGGACGTCGAAAAGTAATTACTCGGCCGCCATATTAGCCCTGCAAAATTTACGACTGGCGATTCTTCCACGCCATATTCATGGCGTGCTGGCCTTCCTCAGCTCCTCCACCTTCGATGGCATCGAGTCGGACCTGGGAGATACGTATTTTGACGAGCCTACTCGAAACCAAGTCATCATCCCGTCCGCTCTACCACCGCTCGATGGCCCACAACGATCACGGACGAAATGTCCATCCCAACGTACTGTCACGCCGGCTCAATACCGCGAGAAGCTGTTGCAACTCCAGAACGCGTTGGCGTGCTCCATTCTCTCGACCCCGACTCTCGTGAGGCTGAGCGCCTTGACACTCCACATCTATCACATCGTTTCACCTTCCTTGACCGAAATCCTGGCCACGCTTCTCCCCAACCTACGAGATTTGCGCCTCAACTTCTGCCACCCCTATCTCCACGACACTTGTCTACCAGCACAGTATTGGACCAATCCTGTCTACCTTGAACCAAGCCCCATATGGAATGCTTTGGCTGGAGTCGGTGGCGACAGCGGCGCGAATCTGAGATTGAGAAAATTGGAGAAGCTGACGGTTGAGCGCGCCGGCATCACCAGCTTCCAGTTACGCAAGTGGATCGAGTGTAATCCAAATCTACGAGAGCTGAGGCTGCGGAATGTCGCTGGCGTCGACGCCGAGTTCGTGCAATGGCTAGGACAGTATTATGGTGCCGACGACGCCGAGCCTAAGGCGGCCAGACCGGCGAGGATGAAAATACTGGCCCTGGAGAGTTGCTCTTCATTGGTGTTAGATAATGTCGAGCAGCTGACCTGGCTGGACTCGTTGTTCGGCGCGTTCAAAGCAGGACTCTGCGACCGGGAGGACGACGACGATTCAGCACTCCAAGTTTTCTCCCTGCGGTACTCGAAGTCGGTCCAGTCGCCGGCGCTGTGCGCATATCTGGAGTCGCGCCGTCCAGGCGTCCAACAGATCACCTTACCAGACGGCCGCACTCTGGCCCCGAAGAGCCGCCACAAAGGGTCAGGTACAAATGAGCCTTCTGAGGGAGTCCATCCCTCCCGTACCTGCAGCCGCGAGAAACGGCACCGACCCAGAATTATGCAACCGGTATCTCAGAGGGAAGGACAGGATGACGGTGACAACAATGTCGAAACATCCGACATAAACGTTGGCGTCCACGCTCTCAGCATGGACGAAAGCCAAACACAAAGCGTCGACGATGAGAGCGATACGAGCGAAGATGAATCGACGTCCACGTCACCTGTCTCGTACCTCCGACTGATCAATCGGCGTCCACCAAGGAAAGGCTGCAAATTTATTCCTAATGATATCATCGAGCCCGATCCAGATGTAACTTGATGGAGGATGCTGTTGATGCAGAATATTGTTACGTGTGCTTCAGAGGGGTTCAAATGAAGGAAATGAATGATGAACTTTGCTAGAATGAGACGAGACGAGACGTTACAACGCGAGATGCTGTATTATGACATGACAAGAAAAGCCACGAGATCTTTCACTAGATCTTCGGATAGGCATATAAGGGAGAAGCAATATAAGCTAGATAATGCGGGACTGATGAAATGGAGACTTTGATACATCTACATCCACATCTACATCGATCTGCAATGCTACATTCGATAGGTACGAAGTAGCCGTCCGCTCGGTCCGTCTCATTCTGGAGACAAGGTCAGCCAGGCCAGCCATGAAATCCATCTCATCCATCGTCCATCCATGCGCTCACCTCACGCGTACGACGAACTCAATCGTCGATGAAGTGTATACCGTGTGCTCGCACGCTGCACGCTGCGCGCCGCACGCCGCACGTCCAGGGCAGATCCAAGGTCAACGTCACGGTTACGACCCGCTTTCGGTATGCGCTGACTCCGTCAAGCGAGACAATGCATCTGTTTTGTCCATACTTTCAGGCTAGCTTTTACCGTCCTGTCCTCAACAGCGTGTCCAGGCCACTGTCTATCCTATTCCGCTCGACCCCTGTATACTGTATCATGCCCTGTCCTACAGTAGCCCTAAGTCACCTACCCGCGTCTACAGACTATGTATCTATTACCTCCATCACCAACTACTCCCCACTCACACCGCTCTTACAAGACATCCAGCGCCGCCGTCGACCCTCGCATACCCATGTCGATATACCTGTGTTACACCTCCACGACCAACTTCTCCCCACTCACGCCACCCTTGAGGATATCCAACGCCACGTCCACGGCGCCCAAACCCTTATCCACCACCCGTGCCTTCGGCGCCGGCACAAAGTTTCCGGCCTGCAACCTCGGGGCCAACCACTCGTGGAGCACGAATTCAAGATGCCTCGCCACAGCGACGGGTTCCTGCGGGCCCATGACGAACTTGACTTCCACGCCCTCATGCCGCGGCGTGGTCTCGTCAAGCTGCGGCGCGGAGGCAACTTTGCCGCCCCCGCCGGCGCCGAACGCAGCGACCACGTCGACCGCGGGCTTCAGGTCGCCCGTGGCGCGGTACGCGGTTTTCAGAGCTACAGTGTCTGATTTTGCCGCTGCGATGATCTCCTCGACCACGCCGGCGGAGGTGTAGTCAAACGCGCGGGTCGCGCCGAGGGCGAGCAGTTGGGCGTGGTGCCGTGGGCGAGAGGTCGCGTAGATGGCGGGGAAGCCTAAGTGGGCGGCGACTTGGATGGCGGACATGCCGACGCTGGAGGAGGCGCCCCAGATGAGGAGGCCGGGCTTTGGTTTGGGGCCGTCACTGTCTCCCGGTGAGAATACCGCGGTGGTCGTCGTGGGGAAGCCCAGCGTGGTGAAGCCCGTCCAGGCTGTGAGGACGGCCATGGGCAGGGTTGCCGCGTTGGTGAAGGGGAGGGTCGAAGGGATGTGGCACGCGCATTCGATGGGGAGGACGACTTTCTTTTGGAAACCGCCGTATTTCTGGCATGGTGGCGTGGGGTCTTTAGCACAGATGTCGACGAGGCAACGGGGCGAGGAGAGTGGGATACGTATACGTATACGACTTACAGGCTTACCGCCATGGACAAACGCCGGGGCAAAGCCCAGGACGCGGACGCCGGGCTTGAAGGGCGAGGAGGCAGGAATGTCGCTGCCGAGGGCTTCGACTGTGCCGGCGATATCGGATCCAATGATTGCCGGGTATGCCGCGATCATGAAGCCGAAGTCTTTCATGATGAAGTCGACGGGGTTGAAGGCAATGGCGCTGACTGAGATGAGAAGTTCGCGAGGCCCGGGGATTGGGGTCTCCACGTCCTGGACGATCAGAGGTTCGCCCTTTCCTGGGAGGACTGCGGCTTGGTGGGTGGAGGACATGATGTGCAGGCTGGAGGTGGTAGTGCGGGCTGAGGATCTCCCGGTTGGTTCTGATAGACTGAGGATGTCCTGGGCTGAGTGGGTGAGTGAGTGACTGAGCGTTCAACACACGGATGTATATGTATTGCAACGCCAACTGGGATGAGTGGCGCTGAGGGATTGATAGACGGGGACAACTCAGGACTTTGATTCAGACCTCTTTATATATCTTTCTTCCGCCAACACAGTACCGTGGCCTACTGGGCGTGGCTGCTAGAGTCACACAGTGACTTTCCCTGGTCATTATTCTCTCGCCTGAGACAACTTCTCGAGTCCCTGCTCTCCCACCTCGCTTACCACGTCGTGCATTGGCCTAGCCTCAGCAGGTCCTGAGAAGACGCCGCTCAAACCAAAAGGACACGGCAAAGAGGCCGTTCGGCAGAATAGAAGACCCCGAGTCCATGTGCATTGTGTGGAGTGGTCTTGATCTTGGCCATGATTGATAGAAGACCTCGGGCACATCGGACGCGAGCCTCTCGAGACACGCGGGCTTCGGGGTTACTAATGGGGGTTAGATCCCAAACCAATTCTCCCATTCCTCAGAGATGGGTTTCCCCAACCAGGGGGGTAAGCACTGGTACACTCGAGTTGGCACTATGGTTGGACACTTCTAAACGTCGTATTGGTGTCTCTGCTGCCGTCCTGTGTAGACTCGCCAAGGCACGACCAAGCACTGTTAGTGTCGCCGAAGCGAAAGACGCTGGAACAGAAGGACTGAAGGCATAATGTTGCTCCGGAACCAATGCTGCCTTAAGTTTCATACGCACCCTCGGGCGAGTAGTCAACCCAATGGCCATCACCATTCCGTGCCACGGTTCCCCAATTGGCAAGGTGTACGCGTATTAGTGAGTTGACAGCCTTACTTGGTAGACATCCGTCTGTGGTGTTTGTGCTAAAGAACAACGGGCCGGACTTGGTAGCTTTGACGAAACGACCTGGCTCACGTGATGTCGCGTCGTCCCTCCCTTAGGCGCGTTTCCTCGTTTCCTCTGTCCACCTCCCCGCTTGCGACACCACCAATACAACAAACTCTCAACTTGCTCATATGCGCAGAGGACGCACAGGATGAAACCTCTACTCTACGACACGTCATGGACCGTGTACACCATTCCACAAATAACACCTCCGCTCTCGAAACTTCTCTCAGCGCCTGCCACAACCCCGCAAGCACGCGAGAAGCGCCGCGAGCAGCTTGCTTCGCACGCACAATTTTTTCAAGAATACCTGGACGAGAGCCGCCCGCGGCACGAACGCGACGATGAGAAAACGTCCTTGGGCGGATTAAAGCACTCCACATGGACCCGACTCGACAACATGCTCGACCAAGATGAAGACGAGCATCCGCATTCCCCTGTGCCGCATACTGGGCAGAAGCGACCGAGACAGCAGTTGGGACAAGAAGAAGAAGACCGGGTCCAAAGCAGCGCTCTGGTCGTGTGTCTTGCCTACGAAAAAGAAACCTTCAGATTCATTATCTACTCGACTTGTCGCTCGACCGCCAGGACGTCAAAACGCCGTCGTACGACTTCCCCAACATCAACATCCCAAAGTACCTCAGCACTCTCTACAGACGACACGGCGGTCCTGCTCTCAAAATCTTCGCCCTCTATGTTGAAACGATTCACCACCTACCTCTCTGACAAATTCTCCGTTGACGCGATCCGTCCTCTCTCCCTTTCCTCGCCGTTTCTCCAGTCCAGCTTGGAACGCTACATTTCCACCGTCCCATCCGCTCTTCTCGGCCAAATAAGGCTCACTCTCCCATTCGCGAGGCCCATCGCTCCTGATCTTAAGAGTCTCGAAATCGCAGTCCCAAGAGAGACGACCGAGTCGTTCACCAAGTCCCGGTCATCCCAGCGAAGGAGATCCGGTCCTCGACAGACGCGTGGCGAGAACCTCTTCATGCACCATCTCGCCAAATTTATCCTCACCAAGACTGGCCTCTCCATCCCGACGATCTGTAATGTCCCTGGTGCGTCAGAAGGAGAGCCGAAGTCGTTGGTCGTGGTTCCGCAGCACGGCGCCAGCCCAGCAAGAGTGTCGAAGATCTCGACAGCGTGTTTCGCCCTTTCTGCCGAGTGTCGCGTCAAATTTGAGAGAAAGGCCGTGGAGGCTGCCGAGGGTGTGGAGGGCGTGCATGGCGAGGTCGATTCAAGTCCCGACGGCGCAGAGAATTGTGTCAGACGTGCCAACCGCGGACTGCTCGCCGCGCTGGTGGGCGAGGCGCGCCGGCAAGTAAGGGACGAGAGTAACCCTTCTGATAGTTGTGGCTAGGCTGGTGCCTTGTAAGCTACTGTGTAGAGTTTGCCTTTCCTGGCGTGGAGACAACTTGGCCCCTGAAATGGAGCCCAATGTCCTGCACTCCGGTACCTCGGTGACGAAGAGATGATACTGTACATGACACGAATAAAATTCTGTACAACAACTGCGATGGACTTCGAGGGCCAGTAAGAATCCAGATTGTTTTGGTACTTCGAACGTGGTGTACACTGACTGTGATGGATTTCGAGGGCCCGTAAGGCAAGAGAATGCTCTGGTCCTGTGACGGTGTCCATAAATCATTAATTAGAGCATGGCCCTTGAGACTTGATACCCACCAATACGAGCATTCAGTACATACTCCGTACCTGATTCAATATGGAATACTCCGTCCCTATTCAATACCCCATTGTGTATAACACGGGCTTATCCTCGGAAGGGAGGGGTAGGCAACCCAGGTCCTGCACACTCAATATTGGGGCACACAATAGAGTAATGAATGATCACTTCTGCCCGTAGGTACTCACAATCACGTGCATTGCATTTCATTCAGTTCAAATTCCCGACCTTAAAAGACAAGGATGTAAAATCTAACAGTACTAGTACTCGTACCCGTACTCGTACCCGTACTCGTACCCTCTGTTCAGGGCTTCCATTCGCTCGTGAATATCAATGCTCGCTCGCTGTATAAGACAGATGAGAAAACAGCACTTGGTATGAGATATGTTGGTATAGATGCAAGCGGCAAGCCGGTATGAGTGACTGGTTGGCTCGCTACACTCCCTCCTTGGGATACCAATCCCCACGTGCTAGGCGATGCCTGCACTGTTCACCTCGTCAACGCTTGTACAAGCTCCATCTACCCATTCTCTGTATTCTTGCCCTTTCCTAGATCGGACTCCCTTCTCTGCGGTGGTGTATTCATGCCCGATCCGCCGCTATACAGGCCTGTAAACTCCCCGCGGACGCCCTCGACGAGTTTCGTAACGCCATCGATCTCCGCCGTGAGATCCTCGACGTTTCCTGCCAAGGCAGCCACTTCGTCGAACTTGCGTCGTCGATTGGCGTCCGCGATCATCTCTTGGACCAAGAACTTCTGCTCCTCGAGCACGATCAGCCGTTCTCGTAGCGACTTCTCTTCCACTTCGAGCTCGGATATCCGTTGCGAGTTTTGCGAGGTGAAGCTCGCGACGCTGAGGGCCGATGACGAGTTGTGGCGCACGTGCCCGGAATCAGGGCCGTTCAGAATGCTGAGCGAGGCTCGCGGGTTGTTGGGGTTGCCGTGTATGTCTGGCTTTTGTGACGAGCCGTGTGGGGTTGCGTGCTTGAGGACCTTGGGCAGTGATTTGAGTGGGAGCATGTGTAGATGCAGGAATTGCGTGGCGTTTTGATAGATTGCTTTCTGGAGTTTTAGCTGTGTGGGTGACTGTGATGGCATGTCTCGGATTCGGCGTGCGGCCGTGTCGTACTGGGTGAACGAGTCCATTAGCCGTTTCCGAGTGCGACTCGCGTCGGTAATCTGTTGCGACGAGGGCGGGCGGTCTGGGTCTTGGAGCGCCTGGAGAAGTTTTTGAAATTTGGGCATCAGAAGACGGATGCCACGTTCGAACTGGAGGAGGTTGGTGTAGGCACGAGTGAAAGACTCGATTTGGGGCGAGGTCAGTGAGGCTTGGAAGTCACGGCTGGAGAAGATCGTGTGGTTGCACTCTTTGCACAGGCGGATGTCGAGAGCGATGGTGTCGTTCGGGGGTGGCTTTTCTGTGATGGACAGGTGAGTGTTAGCTGTCATGACATTATCAGCAAAGGAACAAAGTGAGGTGGTACATGTACATACTAGTAGCCACGTTGAGGCCGATGACAGTTGAGCAGCCAGTCGCCGGATCGCCACAAACAACCTTTCCACATGTCCTGCAATGGTGTCTGCGGAAGGTATATTGTGTGAAGTCTTGTTGGCAGTATGGACATCGAGGGACTTCGGCATCATGCTGCCACGAGACAATGCTCTGCTCGAGTGCCTTTCGAGGATCGTTCTGCACCCAATTAAGGGACCACCTCTTGTTGTGAGTCGGCTGAGGAATCTCGTCCGGGGGGTTTGCAAGGAGTTGAGTTAATCTCGATAACCTCTTCTCCAGCCTCGACACTTCCATTTCCCTCTGGCTCAGCTTACTCCGCCTTACAGACTCAAGGTCGCTCATGCGATCTCTCTCGAGGCCGTGTCTATCTGTGTAACCCTCACGACTCTTGTAGCATGTCTCACACACTCGATACCATAGACCTCGAACGGGTTCATGCTGAGCCGACCTTGACAGCTTCATTTGATACATGGTATGCTCGTCACAGAAGAGCTTCCCGCAGTGCCGGCAGTTCACCACGCCTGTATTAGTACCCAATCTTTTCCCACATGCCGGGTCGGAGCAGTTGTCATAACCAGTTCTCTTCTGCCAATGCTGCCTCGTGATGATATCGTCTGGGTCGATAACGGTCTGGGCTGGCTTCGGAGGTGGCGGCGGAGGAGCAACATGGTCTCTTGCAACAGAGTCTTGCCTTGGAGTAGGAGTGGTGGTTCTAGAAATGTCATTGTTGGACTCGAAGACATCTAGTCCCTTGAGTTTCTGATTCAGGACGGCCAGAGGTTGGAACTTCTTGGCCTTGACCATCTGCTGCTTGAACCAGTCTTTTACTTCATCCTGCTGTTCCTCTTCTATCTCCTTATGTGCGTCGTCAAGATGTCGATTCAACTGTAGCAGAGTGACCATTTCCTCGTTGCAGATCGGGCAGACCAGGCGGTCTGTTGCACCGGCCGCCAATGACAAATCTGGCGCTCCATGATCAAGGGAAACTCGAGACGCAATGTCCTGAGGATCTGAGGAGGGCGGAGTAGACGTGCCACTCTCGGTGGTATTGAGGGAGAGAGTCGACGCCGCAGGGCTGAGGACATGAGTGGGGAGAGGTGAGGGCGAGGTCGGCTTCACTGGTGGTAGGGGTGGCCCTAGCGTCCTACCGCTTCCCAAAACCCTTCCGCCGCCGATTGTGCGCCGAGACATTACAGCGGGATGAGATTTCCATGAAGCCTACTTACGCGGAGGAGGCTGGTAAAGCGCCGCAGTATGGAGTAGAGGGGTGGAACGAAACGACTCGGCGGAGGAAGGCGGAGCGTCAGTGGCACTCAAACGCCGCCAGGCTGCTTAGTCACCGCGAGAAAATACACAAGCACCAGCACTGCATCACTTTCATCCACATTCTGCTCGTCTATCATAATCTGCTGGTAACACCGTGGAGGTTCTTCACCGACCACGCCCGCAGCGCTGGCTCAACTTCAATCCGGAACATCTTGTCACTCCACCCATCAAGCACTCTTTCCAGCATCCTCCTTCAGACTGACGATCCGGTTCAACACAATCTTCCCCGCTGCGTCATCCGTATCCTTGTCTAGACAGAAGTAGCCAGTTCTCATGGCCTGGAATCTCACCGACTCAAGTCCACATTTCTCCTTTTTCTCCCCTGCTTCCTCCGGCCAGGCCGCTCGTGCCCGAATCTCTTTCAATCCAACCTCGGCCAATGCATCGGGATACACTTTCAGGCTATCTTCTCGAATATCCGCCAGGAAGCTTGGCTCGACAGCATCTGGGTTGTCCGAGTTGAAAAGAGGGTTGAAGACGCGGACTCCACACTTTATCGGCGAGCCGTGCTCGGGTGCGTCCGCAACCCAGTGAATATATGCCTTTGGCTTCTTGGGCTTCTCTCCCTCTGGTGGCCTATCGTACTTGGCATGAATCTCAGTCACCAGGCCGGTGGTTTCATCCTTCTTAAAGCTGGTGGCGATGACCGGGTAAGGAACCTTCAATAGACCCACGGGTTTTCCTGGTGCCATGCGGAAGAAGTCTTTGCTATCCACCTCTCGAAAATCGTCCCGCTCGATGTACACTTTTTTGGTGAACGGTAATTTGTGGGTGCCCATGTCAACGTCTTTGGGACCGAAGGTATTTTCGAGCTCTTCATAGTGATCGTCGGGTAGGTCGTCGATGATGACGGGTACAGGGTCCAGCACAAGCATGAGACGAGGGACAGTCATCTCCAAGTACTTGCGTATTGACTGTTCGAACCGTACGATCTGAATGTTGATGGTGGCTGTCGTGACTCCGAGCTCGCTAACGAAGGACAGGATGGCGCCGGGCGGTACACCCCGTCGCCTCAGGGCAACAAGTGTGTATAGTCTCGGGTCGTCCCACCCGCTGACGATCTTTTCATCCACCAGTTTCTTGATCTTCCGCTTAGAGAGCACTGTTCCCGTGACATTCAGCCGGCCATACTCTCTCTGCATGGGCTTGTGAGGGACGTCAACTTTGTTGTTCAGCCACTCGTAGGAGACCCTCGACAATATGAACTCGGTCGTACACAGTGAGTGGGTGATGCCTTCAAAGCTATCGCACAAACAGTGGGTGAAGTCGTATGTAGGATAGATTCTCCATTTGTCACCAGTACGGTGATGGGGCTTCTCGAGGACGCGGTAGGCGACAAGATCCCACATTTGGGGGTTACCATCGCTTAGATCCTGCTTCATCCGCAAAAAGGCCTCTTTGGGCTTGTACTTGCCATCTCTCATGGCTCTGAATTCAGCTAGTGACTCTTCGATTGGTCGATCCCGATGTTTGCAGGCGTATCTCTCATGCTTGTTCTTCAGGTCCGTACCTCCGCGCTGGTCTTTGAGCTCCTCATCTGTGCAATGACACACATAGGCGCCGTTTAGTGTGATTAGCTTCTCCGCCAGCTCGTACAGCCTGTCGAAGAAGTCGCTGGAGTAAGTGATCAGGGCAGGGTCAAAACCAAGCCACCGGACGATATCTTCGATGGCGATGAAGTAGATCTCTTCTTCGGCCTCCGGATTCGTATCGTCGTAGCGAAGGTTGCACTTGCCACCATGGAATTTGGCAAACCCGAAGTTGATTGCTATCGCCTTGCTGTGGCCGATGTGAAGATATCCGTTGGGCTCGGGCGGAAATCGCGTCACTACCGGTTCATCTGCGGGCCTTTCCTTGCGCACTGCTGCCAACCAGCCTTCCTTGAACATCGCCTCTGGGTCAGCCGGCGCCGAAGGTGCTGCATTTGCAGGTTTGGCAGGTTTCGCTGCTGCCGGCTTCGGCTCCTTGGGCTGCTTCGGCGGTTTGGGGACCTTTTCTTTCTTGGGCTTTTTCTCCTTAGTCTCCGTTATCGCAGTCTCGATATTTTCCTTCGTACGCTCTGGCAGATCCAGGCTAGCCTCTGCGGGCTGAGCCATATTCCCGAGCCCGCAAGCCCTTATCTATTTCCCAGGGCTGTGTTAGACCCTTCTATCGAGGTCCGAATTGTAGAGTGAGACAAGTGAACACTGAGAAGTCCTTCTCGAGACTAAAGAGTATGGCTCTGCGGGGCAAATTGTCCCTAAAAAGTCCTTTGATCACCAAATGTAAAAACTGAGTGAGTGGTGGAGATCTGGTCTGGCAATGCTGGCTGACTCTCATTGTCGTCGACAATGTGAGTGAATGAGTCAAGGGAGGATGACAAACATGCCAAGCCAAGCCGCAAACTTGCAAGCGGCGACGATTCCTCCGTCGCCTGCGGTACGTGATACCCGCGCCTTCTCGAATGTGCCATCTTTTTTACGAGGACACTCTGTTCGAAGGTCTTCGTCCACGGCCGCCCACGAGGGAGCACCCTCTCCCGAACCAATCTCTTCCAACAGACGAGCTCTTGATTGACGCTCGCCATGGCAGCGAAATCGTGAGTACCTGTCCGTAGTCGGCCATCCATGGCGCTCTCTGATGTATCGCAGATCTAAACTGGTAGACAATGACCAGATCGAATCGGCCAGCCTCCACAATCCCTTATCCGTCTTCCTCAAGGCTTATGTATGGCCCTTTACCATCTTGTGGCCTATCTTCTTCGCTCTCTACCTCAATGAGGACCTCTACGACGACTATATTGACGGCCAGGAATGGACCTTCGTCTACGTCGCAACCATCGTTACGCTCCAGTCCTTGACCTGGCTTTCGACCAAATGGAGTGTCCACTTGCAAACCGCCTTCACCACTACCAAGGCGACGAAGGTCGAGGACGCCCAGCTCATCAAGGTCATTCCCGTCGCCAACTCCGGCGCGTCGGGCATTTGCAAATTGGAAAGAGAGCGGGATGGGAGGACTTCCTTTCTGTTTCAGAAGAGGCGCTTCGTCTACTCGCCTGAGACAGGTGCATTTGCGCCGTTGAAATATGCTCTGGATAGCGACCAGAAACCGTTGCTTCGGGAGTTCCAACTGTCCAAAGGGCTGACCTCCGACGCGGAGATTGAACAAGTCCAGAAGCATTATGGTGACAATACTTTCGACATACCCGTGCCTACATTTGTGGAGCTGTGGAAGGAACATGCTGTCGCGCCCTTCTTCATCTTCCAGGTCTTCTGTGTTGGTTTGTGGTTGCTGGACGACTATTGGTACTATTCCCTGTTCACGCTTTTCATGCTTGTCGCCTTTGAAAGCACAGTCGTGTGGCAGAGGCAGCGTACCTTGAACGAGTTTCGAGGTATGAGCATCAAACCATACGACATTTGGGTATATCGCGCCAGAAAATGGGTCGAGATCAAGAGCGATAAGCTGTTACCTGGCGACCTGGTGTCAGTCGGACGAACCCAAGAGGACTCTGGCGTTGCCTGCGACATGCTTTTGATCGAAGGAACTGCCATTGTCAACGAAGCCATGCTTTCCGGGGAGAGCACTCCGCTCTTGAAAGAATCCATCTTGCTCCGCCCAGGAGATGCGACCATCGAGCCGGAGGGTTTGGACAAAAATGCCTTCTTGTGGGGCGGTACCAAAGTTCTCCAGATCACACATCCAGCCGCCAGCGAAGATGTGCCGGATACTGTGCCACAGGTGCAGTCTGGTGTTCCTACACCCCCTGACAAAGGCGCCATGGCTGTTGTCCTCAAGACCGGCTTCGAGACCAGCCAGGGAAGCCTTGTGCGCACTATGATCTATTCGACCGAACGCGTCTCGGCCAACAACGCCGAAGCATTGATCTTCATTCTATTCCTGCTCATCTTTGCGCTCGCGGCTTCGTGGTACGTTTGGCAGGAGGGTGTCCGGAATAACAGAAAGCGGTCGAAACTCCTGCTGGACTGTATCTTAATCGTCACCAGTGTCGTACCACCAGAATTGCCTATGGAATTGTCCCTGGCAGTCAATACCAGCCTGGCAGCGCTCAGCAAATTCGCCATTTTCTGTACGGAACCGTTCCGCATACCCTTCGCTGGTCGTGTGGACGTCGCATGTTTCGACAAGACAGGAACACTGACAGGAGAAGATCTCGTCGTCGATGGTATTGCCGGTCTCAGCCTCGGGAAGAAAGGCGCTGCCGCTGAGGCAGATGGTGCTCAATCTGAAGTTACTAAAGTTCCGGAGTGCGGAGTCTACACCACGCTTGTTCTGGCCACCGCTCATGCTCTAGTCAAACTTGAAGAGGGCGACATTGTTGGAGACCCGATGGAGAAGGCCACCTTGAATGCTCTAAACTGGACCCTTGGCCACAACGATACTCTCACCAGCAATCCGCCGCCCAAATCCAAGAAAGCCAAGCCGACCAGCACAGCAGGAGCCTCGCACATCGTCCAAGTCAAAAGACGCTTCCAATTCTCGTCCGCGCTGAAACGGATGAGCTCCGTGGCTACGGTCCTCATGACCGACCCGAACAGTGGTCGCAGAGCAAAAGGTACATTCGTTGGTGTGAAAGGTGCGCCCGAGACCATCCAGAAGATGTTAGTTGCAACCCCGCCGAAATACGAGGAAACTTTCAAGTACTTCACTCGCAATGGTGCTCGAGTGTTGGCCCTTGGCTACAAATACCTCTCAGCCGAAGCAGAGCTTGGTCAGAAGCGCATCAACGATCTAAAGCGCGAGGAAGTCGAGTGTGACTTGCAGTTCGCTGGCTTCTTAGTTCTTCAAACCCCTCTTAAAGAGGACGCGATCAGAGCCATTCAGATGCTGAATGAAAGCAGCCATCGTGTTGTCATGATCACCGGCGACAATCCCCTTACCGCAGTCCATGTGGCGAGACAGGTCGAAATTGTCGACCGGGATTGTTTGATCCTAGATGCTCCCGAGCACGATGACTCCGGCACAAAACTCGTGTGGCGCAGTGTAGACGAGAAGACCGTCATTCCAGTTGATCCAACGGCAGATCTAGACCCTGAGACACTCGCAACGAAAGACCTGTGCGTTACTGGGTATGCCCTGGCCAAGTTTACTGGCGAGAAAGCACTCCCCTCGCTACTCAGGCACACCTGGGTCTATGCGCGGGTCTCGCCGAAGCAAAAGGAAGAAATCCTGATCGGCTTGAAGGACCAAGGGTACACCACTCTCATGTGTGGCGATGGCACGAACGACGTTGGTGCGCTGAAGCAAGCTCACATCGGCGTTGCGCTGCTCAACGGCTCCCAAGAAGCTCTGAACAAAATCGGAGAGCATTTCAGGACGAACAAGATGAAGGAGATCTACGAGAAGCAAGTTCAGTTGATGGCGAGGTTCAATCAGCCAGCTCCCCCGGTCCCTCCTGGCATTGCACACCTGTACCCACCCGGCCCCCGCAATCCTCACCACGAGAAAGCCGTCAAAGCGATCGCTGAGAGAAAAGGCATCACCCTGGAAAACGGCGATGCCGGGAACGGTACAATTGAAACCATCACGTCACCTGGCGCTCAAGCGATACAACAGTCCACAGCGAACCTGTCGCCCCAGCAACGACGGCAGCAGGAAGTCCAGCAGAAAGCTGCAAGCTGGGCCGACAAATTCACTTCTAGCATGATGGAAAACGAGCTTGATGACGGTGAGCCACCTACGATCAAACTGGGTGATGCTTCCGTCGCGGCTCCATTTACCAGCAAGCTAGCGAACGTGGTGGCCATTCCCAACATCATCCGCCAGGGCCGTTGCACCCTCGTCGCCACTATCCAGATGTACAAGATCCTGGCTCTCAACTGCTTGATCAGTGCATACAGCTTGTCGGTAATCTATCTTGCCGGCATCAAATTCGGCGACGGTCAAGTCACAATCAGTGGCATGCTGATGTCGGTGTGCTTCCTCTCGATTTCGCGAGCCAAACCTGTGGAGGCATTGTCACGAGAGCGACCACAGCCAAACATCCTGAACATGTACATCCTCGGGTCGGTCCTCGGACAGTTCGCCATCCACTGCGCGACTCTCATCTACCTTTCCAGGGTGGTGTACTCCATTGTCCCGCCGGCCGAAGAAGTCGATCTCGAGGGTGAATTCGAGCCGTCCTTGCTCAACAGCGCCGTCTACCTCATGCAGCTCATTCAGCAGGTCTCCACTTTTGCCATCAACTACCAGGGGCGGCCCTTCCGTGAAAGCATCCGAGAGAACCGAGGCATGTACTGGGGTCTCCTTGCCTGCTCGTTTGTGGCCTTCGCCGGAAGCACCGAATTCCTGCCCGAGTTGAGTGAAAGACTTCGTCTCGTGCCGTTCACACAAGAGTTCAAATGGACGCTCACGGCTCTCATGGTCGTGGACTTTGCCGGATGCTGGGTTGTGGAGCAAATCTTCAAGACCTTGTTCAGCGATTTCCGGCCCAAGGATATTGCGATCAAGCGGCCTGATCAAATTGAGAGAGATGACAGACGGAAGAAAGAATTAGCGGAGAAAGCTGAGCAGGAGAGGATCGCAGAGATCGAGAGGAAGAGAGGGGTAGCTGACAGTACTGTTGCAGCGACGTTGAAGAGGTGATCATCTTGCACTGTGTCGGGCCTCGCCCGGATGTGTACAGACAGCACGTGTTAGACGACATAGATGGTGAAAACCTTTTCGGACGGAATCTCATACACGCGAGAAGGGAATGAATGTATTTGACAAATCGATGCCAATTGATGGGTTGCAGGGATCCTCGATCCTGTCTCCGTCTGAAATTCGTGATCCGCTACATATTTGACTCCGTGATGCGCTCGTTTATCTTGGTATTGGAATATGGGTCCAACAGGTCTGCCTCGCCATCAAGCAGTACCGCGCGCTTATGTGCTGTATAGCTGGTGACCACTCCGAGTCTTCTAGGTAAGTTACGGCTATCCTGTGCACACTCCGTCCTTACTGTACGAGAGATTCAAAAACGCAGTAATCCAGTTCGTCCTCCGTACACAATGTGTACTCAAGCCTCGTCGTCTTTCATGGTCGAAACCCTCCTATTTCTTCTCCTCGGCCACAAGTGAGTGACTCGTCTATTCCAGCTGGACATCTCATCTCCCTTCCTCCCGTCGATAGGCTACGCTACTTATACTTGTTTACTCACTCTTCTTCCTTTCTTTCCTCTCAAGCCTAGTCTGTCGCGCGAATAATGTACAAGGGATGTGCTCTTCACCTATTGATATTGCAGCAGCCCGGTTTCCACGATCACGGACTACAATACTGTCGGAACTAGAGCTAGACCACACTGCTGTAATTACTCATACAACAGAGGAGAGGAAGGTGAGGTGACAACGGGGATGAATACTCCGATACATACCTCTTGGGCAAGGGTTTTAAGGGTTAATCCCTACTTAAGTACTCGGTCTTCTCCTCTTTCCTTGCGCGTCTGACTTTAGCGAGTAAGTACCAGGTATGTACGTGCGCTCTACCTTTCGCGGTGTGGCTGGCTCCGCCACTGAAAAATTAGGAGGCCGCCGAAACTGGAGCTAATTAGAGATCTCGATGTGCCTATGTACGACGGAGGAGAGGCCGATTTGATGGTATACGACAAAGGCGAGGAGAACGTGAGGACCGGGAGAAATACTCCGTAATGCGACAAGGTCTTGGGCAATGCGATGGGTCGCCGGGATGGTCGATCACGGAGTTGAGCAGAGAAGATATCACATATAACTGCTACGCTACGCTGCGCTCCACAGGATCATGCTCACTTACCGTGGGTGTATACGTTCGAATCAGTCTGGTCGTACTCATCGCTCATTTCTCGTGTTCATCCTCATATTATTCAATAGCGCTATTCATTTTATATCCGCCGACCCATCCGGAACATACATACCGTCCCTACCAATCTATCCTCTTCTGCGCCGCGACACCGATCTCCCGCCCCGCATTGACGTTGCCCGTCCCCGGCATGGCGCCCACGGTCTTCTGCGGCCGCAGCCCACTCTTCAACCCGAGCTTCTTATCCAGACTGGCGAACGGGCTGGACGTCTCCTTGGCCTTGACGGCCCACTTGGTCGTGCCCAGCACGTTGTCCATCTCCTGCACGGGCGGCAACTTGAGGTACACCCAGCCGTCGTCGCGCTCCTCGGCCGGGAACGTGGCGATGGACATGCTGGTGTCGTTGGAGCAAGAACCCGCACCGGAGGCCTTGTCCTCGAAGTTCACGTCCCCGTTGAGCTGGAAGTTGCGCTTGTGGTACGGACAGCTGACGTAGAATTTACTGTTGCTGTCCTTGCAGTCCTTTTTATCCGAGTCTTTGATCTCGCCGATCAAGCCGTCCGCCAGCCCAAAGGTCCGGCGATGCGGACACATCTGCTGCGAGGCGTAGTACTTGCCCTTGAGCTTGAACACGGCGAGCTGCGTGTCCCCGCGGATGACGGTCTGGCTGGACCCGGTGTCGAGGTCTTGGAACCGCTTCGCCTCGACGATGGGCTGCCACGTTAGGCTCGTCCAGCGCGTGCCCTTGAAGTCGTCGTGCACGGGGTCCTTGGCCCAGTACGCGGGGCGGGACTGGCCGCGCTCTTCGACCTTTTCGACCGCCGGCTCGCGGTTCTCCTCGCTGTTGGCGAACTGTTGGAATGACTTGCGCTTGTCCGGGTCGTTGAGCACTTCGGTCCACTCGCAGAAGAACGTCCCCACAAGTTCTTGCATTTGCTTCTCCAGCTCGGCGCAGATGCCCAGCTTGTCCTCCAGGATGACTTCGCGCAGGTATTTGATCCCGCCGGGCAGGTTCTCGACCCAGCGCGCCGTCCGTTGCAGGCGGTCCGCGGTGCGGATGTAGAACATGAGGTAGCGGTCGAGAATGGGGATGACGTCGTCGGGAGGCACATCCTTCGCGAGGACCTCGGAGTGCCGTGGGGTTGCGCCGCCGTTGCCGCCGACGAAGATATTGAAGCCCTTCTCCGTGGCGATCAGGCCAAAGTCCTTGTTTTGCGCCTCGGCGCATTCGCGCACACAGCCCGAGACGCCGCCCTTCATCTTGTGCGGCGAGCGGATGGACTTGTACCGCTCCTCGAGACGAACGGCCATTCCCACAGAGTCACCGATGCCGAAGCGACACCACGTCGTGCCGACGCAGGACTTGACTGTGCGCAGAGATTTCGCGTACGCGTGGCCGGATTCCAGACCGCCAGCGACGAGCTCGGACCAGATGTCCAGCAGGTCTTGCTTCTTCGCGCCGAACATGTCGATACGCTGGCCACCGGTGATCTTCGTGTACAGGCCGTATTTCTTGGCCACTGTGCCGATGACGATCAGTTTCTCCGGGCTGATCTCGCCGCCAGCGACACGAGGGATCACAGAGAATGTGCCGTTGCGTTGAATGTTGCCGAGGTACTTGTCATTGGTGTCTTGTAGGCCATGCAAGGGCTTGTCCATGACATGCTTGTTGAACATGCCGGACAGGATCGACGCGACCGCAGGCTTGCAGACTTCACAACCCAGACTCTCGGGGTCGTTGCCACTGTCTCGCATGACCTCGCCAAAGTCTTTTAGCTTCTTGGAGTAGACGATGTGGTACAGATCGGCGCGAGAGTACTTGAAGTGAGGGCAGATGTTGTTCGAGATCTCCTGGCCCATGTCTTTCATGGTCTTGTTGAAGATCGACTGCACAAGGGGCATGCAACCACCACAGCCTGTGCCGGCCTTGGTGCAAGACTTGACATCTCCAAGTGATTTGCAGGAGCCGTCTTTGATGACACCGGCGAGGTCGCTTTTGGTGACGTTGTGGCAGGAGCAGATCTGGGTGTCGTCAGTGAGGTCGTCGGCGTTCTCATCGCCGTCCTTGGAGGCGCCGATGATGAATTCCGAAGGAGGAACCTCTAACTGCTTCTTGTTCTTGACCATGGGCACCAGCTTGACATAGTCCTTGGTGTCTCCAATCATCATGCCGCCAAGCAGGTACTTGCCGTCCACGGTGAACAGGTACTTCTTGTAGACGGCCGCGAAAGGATCTCGGTACGTGAGCGCTTTGACGGCTGGAGGTGCGGGCCCATCAGTAAGGCTCTTGACCTTGTCTTGGGTGGCCTCGGTACCTTTCTGCGCCTTCTCTGCTCGTTTGACATGTCTCGCCGGCAGGTCCTTGGGACCGTCTCTGTCGGCGAAGAAGTCGCCAAAGCTGGCGACTTCCACACCTAGCAGTTTCAGCTTGGTGCTCAAGTCGGGTCGCTTGAATGTGCGAGGGCTGTGGACTTTGGCTTGTGTGAGGTTGAAGGACAGGACATCAGCTTGCTCAATGCCCGGCGCGATGAGCCCGAATGTCTGATTCTCCCAGCTCGCACACTCGCCGATGGCGTAGATGTTGGGATCGCTGGTTCTTAGATCGTTATCAATGGTGATACCGCCACCACGGTCGGCGCATTTCAAGCCGGCCTTTCGGCCAAGCTCATCCCTCGCTTTGATGCCAATGGCGAACATTATACATGTGCACTCCATCTCCTCGCCGTCTTCGAAGACCACTCCCTTGACGGCGTTGTCCTCATTGGCAAGGATCTTACCCACCCGCTTGCTGAGCATCACGTCCAGTCCGAGCTTGCGGACGAGCTCAACCACCATGCCGCCTGCATCGCCGTCCAGCTGTCGGGACAAAACCCATCTATTTCTCTCGATGAGCTTGACGTTACCGAACTCTTCAAGATCCATCATGGCCTTGGCGGCTTCCAGCCCGAGGAGGCCTCCACCGACAACGCACCCTGTCGTGCCCTTGACAGTGGCGGAGAAGTCGATAAGTTTCTGGAGATCTTCGATGGTTCTGTAGACGAAAACGCCTTTGGCATCGTGACCTGGAGTGTGCCTCGGCAGGAGAGCATCAGAGCCAGTGGCGAGTACCAGAATGTCGTAGGGGATCGAATCTCCCTTGGCAGTGATGACAACCTTCTCAGAGGTTTTGATCTCCGTGGCCAGGGTGTTGAGGTGATAGTTCAGGGCATCGGTAGGATGGCCTTTGTACCACTCTTCAGGATTGAGGTACAAAGACTCGACCTGTCGGTGCTGGAAGAAGCTCGTCAGCCCGACGCGGTTGTAGGCGAGATGAGCTTCCTCCCCAATGACTACAACATCGTATTCTCTCCTTTTGGCGTCGAGCTTAAGGAGTTTCTCACTGGGGTCCCATTGTCAGCGCATATTCCTCTATCCCACATGCGAAGGGTATCTGCGAGGCAAACGGCTTACACGAAAGCAATGCCGACCATGCCCAAGCCGACGACGACGACTTTCTTCCTCTCCCCTTCCGACGGTTTTTTGTCCTCACTGGCCTCTGCGTCCTTGGGGGGACGGCTAATAGCCATGCCAGGAGAGGACGTTGCCCAGGACATGTTGCCGGTGCTCGTGAGGCTGACCGAACGCGATATTCCCGTCGACGGCCCTTATAAGTAACGCGAAGAGAGTGACGAGGGCATGAATTGGCTTCGAGCTCAAATGCCTACGGGGGAGGGATGAGAGGATTCATCCATCGTCCCACAGATGGTCGATGGCTCTGTCTGTGCCATGGCCCAACACCCGACGCCACCCACGCGAGGCATCATATCCGCGGGGATGGAATTGAATATCAACCCAGCCAACGACATTGCCGGATTTGCTTATCAGCGAGGCTCAGCAGCAGGGGAGGCAGGCCAAGACGCCCATTTTGTACCCTCGGACTCAAGGGCCAATGGGTGATATTGCATTGTCATTGTCTGTCGTCAGTCGCATATCGGCAGAGGACGCGAGATATCTGGGTACCGCTCAATCGGGAACCTGTCGAAGATCATGTCTCCTCCACGGTCTGAGATTTGACGGAGGTGGAGCGCTGCGATAAGACATGAGGGATTGTGCAGGAGAAGGAGAGACGCAGCTGAGTGGCTGATGAAACTCGCGATAACACGACAATCGACTAGCGCGGTATTGTATTGTAACCGTCCGCAATACCGGTACCGGCCTGTGTCATCTTCGTACTCCCACAGCATCACAGTGTCGGTTCACTACATGTCCTGTGTACACAGTAGTCTGTGTCTAACTAGAGACATTCATTTCCCATATCCATATCTCGATCACCTCGTCACATGCTTGAATATCTTTTCCACAATCGCAAGCCAAGAAAGGTGCCAAGAGCAAGAAACCCATGTTGCTAAAGCCATAATCCCGACGCCAGGGGTGTGCGATTGAAAGAATCCCCATGTTCCTTGTCTGGGACATGCGTCTCAGAAAAACATGAGCTGGTCGTTGCTCCATCCGTCGTCCAACAGCGCCTTGTGCATAGTCTTCTCCATAGCCTCGGGGCCACAAAGCAAGACCAATGTCTCCTCGGTCTTGGTGTAGTTTTCCTGGACCAGCTTACCCGTGATACGCCCCCGGAGGCCAGTCCAATCGGCCGGCGCCTTCGTCAGCGTGTGTAGGATCTTACATCTGTGCTCATTGCCTGCCAGTAACGCGTCCAGCTCTGGTTTGCATAATATATCTTCCAACAATCGGTTGCCGTCGAAGATGATGCAGTGAGTCTTGTCCTCTGGATTGCGGATAACAGCGCGGAACACTTGGTAGATGGGTGTAATGCCGCTACCGCCACAGATCATCACAAAGTTCTTGACGAGTCTCTCTTTGCCCGAGATAAGACATTTGCCGTTGCCAAGGTATTCGAACTTGCCAATTGGCCCCTTCATCTCAATGAAGTGTCCGACAGGCAGAGCATCCATGGCTTGAGACATCTTTCCTCCTTTGCCACCAGCATCGGCGAAGTAGACCTTGACAAGCATATCCATATATCCCCGCTCATTGATCTCCGAGATTGGGGTGTAACTGCGGATGATGGCTTCGCGAGTGGCGGGATCCCGCAGCCTAACCATCAGGTGCTGTCCGACGGGGAGCCCTAGGCGCTGTTCCGGATGCTCTAGCTTGTAGGTGAATATACGGGTGTCCCAAGAAACGATCCGCTTGCCGTGAAGAACAGCTTTCTTCCACGATTTCGGATTTAGGAATTTCGCCGAAGGCTTGCCCGACTGGTCGGCCTCTGTATCATCCTCAGTCAGGGCAGTTTTGGCGGCTTCGTCCAAAGAACCAATATGATACTTGGGCATCATTGCCTTGGCGGTCTCGCTGTGAATAGCAAGGAACTCCTCCGAGCTGTCGAGACCGGCCGCTGAAAGGATGCTCTGCGCACCGCCGGGATGCTCTTCCAAGAATGCGGTGCCATCGTATACTTCCCCATTGACAACAAACCAGGGTTGCTCCTCTCCATCGTGCTTCCGCAGCTCATCGATCGTGATCGGATTCTTCAAGCCTTCCTTGACCATGGATATCTCCTTGGCCTGTTCTTCAGGAGGCACCACAGGGCCTTCACCCTCGAGCTTCTCACCCCAGAAGCCGTTGGCCAGATTTCCACCGGCCTTCTTGACCCTCTCCATCCATCCGCCAGGCATGAGTGCGGGCTGCGTCGGGTGTTCGAATCGAAGGTAGTCGCCTTCTAGTGTAATGGTGACGCGAAACCAAGGATTATTCATCATGCCCAGTACTGACCAGTACATATCTCGAGGCTGGACATTCATGCTCTCGTCCATCGCTCTGACAAAGATGTCCTTCGTGCCAGCAAGTTCTCTTGTGCCCAGATCTATCGACCAGAAGCACCAGCAGAAGCATGTTTCACGCCACGACATGTCGATCCGGCCACCAAACAGATTTCTTTCTGTTTGACGATATCGATCCTCGGCGTAGTTGATCTCTGCTAGCCGCCACGTTTTGCCTTTGTCCAATGAGACCTCTACCCTGGTGATCCGTCGCCCACCGCCGCTGTAGGCGTATCCTCTCGCTCTATAGGTGCTCGGAGCGCCAGTCAGGCATAACTGCTCCTCGTGCTGAGGATAGCATATCGCTGAGTTGGGACTGAGATCGTAAATAGCATATCTGTCATCGGTCCACCATTTCGGATTGTTTGCTGATTCCTCGGGCGATACCATTGTTGGCAGTACCCGATTGTCATATATGTGATACCAGTTGTCGCTAGGTGCATCCGTGACGATGAGTTTAGTGAGCCATTTGACCGATCGACCGCCTATTTGGCCCGGGATGACGGCGCGTAAGGGTTTTCCATGATCCGGTCTCAGCGTCTCTCCGTTCATCTTATATGCGAGCATAAATCCGCGATTAGGGTCCATCACCCAGTTCAGCTTGACAGAAGTCCCGTAGAAGCCGTTCGGAAGTTTGTCAGCACCCTCCATGCAGACATACTTCGCTTTCCGCGTCGGTTTCGCTTCTTTGATGACATCTGCCATGACCACGCCAGTGAACAGCGCCGTCGATAATCCGGCCGCACCCCATGAAAACCCCTTGCTCTTCCGCACCATATTCTGCTCCTTCCGTCGATTGCCGGCACATACCAAGGTAATCGGGCAGGTGATTTGCTCGTATTCGGTCATCAATTGTCTCAGCGAGATGGTCAAGGGATTTTCGACAAGTCCCTCAACCGTGAACTTCCAATCAATAATGTCCTCGTCGCTAACTTGTGGCACGGCTCCATGATTCCTCACGTAGAATAGTTCGGGACTTGTCAGGAAGCCTTCGTTGAATAACTCTGTTAGCGGCGCTTCGACGTTGAAAGGATGAACCCCAGTTAGTCTGATTAGCCTCGGATCCCGCGGTACATGGCTGTCGGGTGTCTTTAGATCGACATCCAGTACCTCTGTGGGTGCTTGCGTTGGGGGTGGAAGTGGTATCTCTACTTGCTCGTCATCTATGTCTGAAGTATTGTCGTCTGTGGGCGGCGGAGATGGAGGCAGCGCATCTTCAGCCTGTTGTGTGTCGAACTTCTCAATCTTTTCGGGTACACCCTGGCTGTCCGTGGTCGGGTCTTCCATCTTCGCGTGATGATAAAGATGCAAACAAGCGTGACTACCAGAGTAACCAGATCAACGAGAAAGACGCACTGGAAGCAATGGCAGATTCAGCTCAATTCAATGACGGCGCATTTACACAATACCAGCAACCACACGCAGAACCACGACAATGAGGGGCGGAGTGAGAGTAAGGCCTACCCCCCTGCAATTTGCGTCACCGAGGATTTTGGGGGGGCCATGATTTGTGCATTTGCCTGTGCGCGTTCATATCAAAGAGGTCTTCTCAGGCCCCGTCGAGATCGATTCTGCACAACAATGAAGATCCGCGGGATAACGCGAGATTCTGCGCCTGTGGCACGTTGCGAGGAAATGTTGGAGCTTCCGCTTATCTCTGGCCTTTCTGGATCAGGCTAGACGCTTTTGCGGGTCGTAATCCCATTACACCTACCATTGCGATCAGGCTTGAAACCTGAGAGCCGTTGAGCCTGTTCTTGTTTTGACATTAGGCAGGCTTGATATGATGTATTGCTGATACCGTCAGTGCCGCTGTGTTGTGACAAACCTCAGATCAATGCAGTGCTGATGGCGCTGTCAGACCGACAGCGATTTCATCTGGGTAGGTGTGCTGGGGGCCTGTGCCACGTATGGCTTACAGGTACTCCGTACACCATCCTGGTGGTAGCAGTGCCGGAGATCCGACACGAACGTTGACAAATCTGTACGAGGTAGAGAGGACAACAATGGACGCTGACCATGAAGACGTGAGCAGACGCTAAGTCAATCGCTCTGGCGACTTTGCTTGAATGTGTGACCAATGACAGCAGATCTTGGCATGTGACTCGGCCTCGGAAAATCTTTAGCACCGATCAATTTTTTGACTGCAGCGCCGACAACGTCGGTGCCTCATTCTAAACTCCTCACCGGTGACTCTAACTCTCAGCCCTCGTTCCCTACACGAGGCAGCCGTCGCCATGCCTCAGAACGAGTATATCGAACGCTGGACTAAGCAACACGGCAAGCGACTCGACAACGATGAGCGCGTCCGCAAGCGGGAGGCAAGAGAAGGCCACTCCCAGTCCGAAAAGGCCCAAAATCTACGCGGGCTGAGAGCCAAACTGCACCAGAAGAAGCGCCATGCCGAGAAGATACAGATGCGGAAGGCCATCAAGGCGCAAGAAGAACGAGATGTCCAATCTGCGGCACCGAACGAGCCCTCCTCGACACCTCTGCCCAATTACCTGCTCGATCGATCACAGGCGAACAATGCAAAGGCCTTGTCGAGTGCAATCAAGAATAAACGGGCTGAGAAGGCGGCCAAGTTCTCCGTGCCGTTGCCGAAAGTCAAGGGCATAAGCGAGGAGGAGATGTTCAAGGTGGTTAAGACCGGCAAGAAGACTGCGAAGAAGAGTTGGAAGCGAATGATCACACAACCCACGTTCGTGGGACCCGATTTCACGAGACGACCTGTCAAGTACGAGCGATTCATTCGGCCTATGGGTCTGCGGTACAAAAAGGCCAATGTCACTCATCCGGAGTTGGGAGTCACGGTGCAATTGCCCATAATAAGTGTGAAGAAGAATCCACAAAATCCACTATACACGCAACTGGGTGTGTTGACCAAGGGTACGGTTATTGAGGTCAATGTTTCGGAGCTTGGGCTGGTGACCACCGGTGGCAAGGTCGTCTGGGGAAAATATGCTCAGGTCACCAACGACCCGAGTCGGGACGGTTGTCTGAATGCTGTTCTCTTAGTTTGAAGGAAGAGCACGAATCGCAAGCAACGCTTCAATTTTCGCTTCCCACCTTCGGCACTTCAGCTCAGTTGGACTCCAGTCAGCAATCCCGCATCACAGCTCTTCGGCAAAGATGGCATGATCATTATACCCCATGGCCTTCACCGCAATTTTGGCACTCTGGAGAACTCGGCCCTTGAGACCGAGCGACTGGCCCGGTCGCTCGACTTTCTCGGCTGTCAGCGAAAGACGGCTTACGCAATGGATCCGAGGATCAGGGAATGAGGGAGACACCTACAAACGTTGGAGGTCTTCGCCATAACCCCGTACGTCGCCTTAAAATCAAAAGGTTTCAGTGCCTTCCATATCTTTAACACCTCGTCCGGCGGCAACGGAATAAAATTAGGAATGCTCCACAAGAACTGATACGAGATGGTATCACTCCTCTTCCCCGGGTCAGGGTTCTGCCCGGACTGGACCGCGAAAATTGTATCCGCGACAAACAGCGTTGGTATGGGTGTGTTTGGCGGTGCGGAATGCAGACACTGACTCCCAGGGAAATGACCTCCACAAATGATGGAAGTCAGGCCCGGGAGCAGCTCTGCAGTGGGTTCGGTGAGCAATTTCAGAGTTGCCCCTTCAGGTGGTGGGTTCGTGCGGTTCGCCCAGACGGAATCGACCTCGGTCATGTATACCGGGCATTTGAACGTGGCCGACCAATCCGCCCATGTTCTGCGTTGGCCCGACGTCAGAAGACATACTGTGTACTCCGCGGAGGAGAGGCACGAAGAGAGGCCCGGACTGTACTCAAAACACGAGGCAGACAGGCAGGCACGCGGGCATTCAGCCAGACGATCGCACGACTTGACTCACGTGTAGAAATGCGGATGTGAAATGATGATGAACTTCAACCCGCCCACCTCTGTGATCTGCATGTGCGGTGCGTGAACTCGTTAGTCGCCTGGACGTGGCCTCTTCGTCCGCGCTCACCTTATCCACAGTCCCCTCATCCAAATAAGCAACCAAATCCCAAAGCACATTCCCATGAGGCGTCTGAATCAAGCGCGCCGACTGCCCGATGCCGAACTGATCCCAGCCACAGAGGTTAGCGAGCGAGCGAGCGAGGGTGTAAGCGTGTGAACGAGCGTATAAGCAACCAAGGTGCTCGAGTGATCAAGCAGTAGGTAGTCAGTGCCTTCCCTCCGCAAACCAACCAACGAATCGACCGTACTGTACTCCTTACCTTCGGCTCCGTATGGATCTCGACCACCGTCTCATTCACCTCGCACTGCTCAAACACATTCTCGTATTTTCGAGAGGTGATCAACTCGCCGAGCGTCGTGAAGCTGTGTCCCATGGGTGGGATGAATTGGCGGGGGTCCTACGTAGAAGAGAATGAGTTATCCTGCGAAGCGTAGCGTAGCAATTATAACTACTACGCTACGCCCCGTAGGAGAGAGATCCGGAAACCCTCTGAGACAAACTATTGCGACGTACCTCGCAGATCCGGCATTCCGTCAGGCCTACCTCTTGGGACACGTCGTATTGCGCCCCGCAGGTGCGACAGACGAGGAGGTCGTTCGACGTGATGAGCTTGGGGGTGGTGGACATGCTAGCAGGTGCTGTTGTTGTCGACTTCTTTTATGTGCCTCTCTGTGTGTATTGGTATCTAAGGTCTGGTCTCTGGACTGAGGATCAGGGTCGACTATGAATGATATACTCCTCTAACTGGCGAGGACTGCATATGCCGTAGACGAGATGATGGACGTCAGGGTCGGCAAGGAGTTGCCCGTCGTGCCTGAGTGATGCTCGCCCGTATTCGTTCGTATTTCTTAGTTGGCGGATGCGATTCGTTTGGGTGAACAGTACATACACGACTAGGGTAAGTACATGCAGGTATTTGAGGTAATAGGTCAATATCTTGGAATGGTGCTGAAGAGGTTGAATGCAGAGATGACATATTCTGTTCGCACTGTGTATCTCTCGACTCCTTTGTTTAGGAGGACCTTGCCAGCGAAGTAGCATGCACCTAACCAACAACAACACTGTCTTTCTCTCCCATATGATCGTCTGAAATATCTCGCAGAGGCATGCTCCCTCATACTTGCGCTTACCGACATGGATAGCCCGGCCATTCCGACTCATACTCTGAAATGTCACATGTACAGGCTCGCTGTAAACACGACGTCTCGTCGGATCAATTCCCTCGCCTTGTCCATCTTCTGGTACAGACTCGGATCACCGATCAACCTCGCCGCACTCATGACTTCTCTACACGTCTCGTCCAACCTCGTGACGACCCGTACAATCGTCCCTTCCATCACGTCCGTCAGATCTGTGATCCGATTGAATGACATTCCTCTCGCCCATTCGTACACCACTTCTACCAGTCCAAACCGCGGTCTCGAGACAAAGTCGTTGGCGTCGTCCGAGGAGAGGATGACTTGATGGAGGATTTGATATTTGTTCACTTTTTCCGAGATCTTGATGATCTCGTCTCTGCCTCTTTTGAGGTTCTCGGTGAGTTCAGGTTCGGAGTCGGTCTTCTCCTGGAAGACGAAGGCGGAAAGGAGGGCCACGATCTCCTCGGGCTCGAATCTGCATTATCACCTGTCAGTGCATGTTCCGATGGCTGTTTGGTAGACAGCAAGACACTCACGACGCGAGCACATTCTCCAGTATCAGTTCCGTAAGCACGAGCTCGTCTGCGGAGTGGATCTCGCAGGCGACCTTGCCTTTGAGCTGCACGCGCGACTCCTCGTCGATGAACCCGAGATCCTTCAGCACCTCGGTTCTCTGCTGATAGTCCGGCAAGAGGGACAGATTCTGGTCGGACATGAGCATCTTCAGAGCCTGGATGTTCTCCTTGATCAACCACTCGTCGTGTTGCATGCCGTAGTGCTTCACGAAACTCGGACACGAGAGAGACTTTGCGTTCTGGAAGATTGTGGCAGCTCTCTGCCGCTCAACCAACAACTCTCGGATGGACAGTTCGTGCACTTTGTTCCATTCCTGCTCGTCCCACGCTGTGGAGATCCACGACGAGTACACCGTCAGGAACTCATTTTCCACAAACTTCTGTTGCTCTGCATGGCTGTTTAGTAACAAACGTAGGTCAACCTGCATTGGCTGTAAGTATACTATTACCTTTTCGGACCTGGATGTACCAGTGGGGGCCTTTTACCTTGACGACCGTCTGGGTTAGACATTCCACATCGTCCAACTGAACCTGGGCAACACCCCATCTGACACGAGACACCTTGCTGGGGAGTGGGGTGAACATCGTGCGGACCCGGGAAAGGTAGGGGAGGAGATCTCGCGTCGACCTCTGCGCGTCGACGTCGGAGATTTCGAGCACTTTGAGTGAGGGTCGCGGTCCACCGGTTCGGGGTTCGTCGAGGAGGATTCCTACCATGCGCGTGCCGTCCTGTGCGAGTCAGCTTGAAAGGTGTCCCATAGAGCTGGACCAGATATGCTGGTACCTTCTTATACACTATCAATCTTTTCGCCGTCCAAAGGCGGCGTCCAACGGGTGACGAGAGCAAGCGGATATGGAGCTCTTTCGTTAGTCGTTCAAACTCCATTGCTGCCTCGTGAGCGGTTTCTAAGTCACCATCGCATATGTCACAGGCCTCCCGTTTGATTTTGTCGAGACTTGCCTGTGATAGCGCGACCTGCTTCTCGTGCTGAGGGAGCAGCGCCTGTGTGGCGTTCTCAGAGAAGCTGCGCTTGATCATCTCCTCGATCTTCAGTGCCTCGACGCGCATGAGATTCAGAATCATGTTGTAGTGCAGTCGAAACTGGCTTCGGAGCTTCGTGGCCGGGCCAGTAATCATCTGAGTGAGTTCCCCCGCTGGAGGTGCTTCTGTCCTGCCAGGCGTCACGATAATGACCGTGCCGACGGTGTCAAGGCCTCGACGACCCGCTCGACCCGCCATCTGCGTGTATTCTCCCGGGAGCAGATTTCGGAAATCTCGTCCATCATGCTTGCGGTATCCAGAAAAGACAACAGTACGCGTCGGAAGGTTCAAGCCCATGGCAAATGTCTCCGTCGCGAACAGCACCTTCACAAGCGTCCGTGCGAACAGGATCTCGACAATCTCCTTGACAATCGGCAGGAGACCGCCATGATGGACGGCGACGCCCCTCCCTAGCATCTCTCGTAAGCGTCTGATCTGCGGCAGCACTCGATCCTCTGGCTTCAGTCTGGCAATCGATTTTTCGATAATCATGTGGATTGCACTCTTCTCGGCTGCTGTGCAGAAGTCTTGGTTCGAAAGAGAGTCGGCATTTTCTTCACACCTCTTCTTGGAGAAGACGAAGATGCATGCAGGGAGCAGGTTTTCCTTCCGAAGATGCTGGACCAGATGCACCCACAGATTCCTGTCCTGGGCAGCTGTCGTCCGGCCGCCGCCACGCCCTGTTCGTGCAATGTTGCCTTGACCACGGGTGGGCGTGGGCCCGCGGCCGCGCTGTTGTGTGCCACCTCTTTGATGTGGCCCGCCTCGCTGTGCTGGTTGACCACGACCACCTCGTTGTCCTGCCGGCGCGCCACGGCCTGGCGCACCTCGAGCTGGAGTTTGAGCCTCGATAGCTTTCTGCTCTTTGACCTTGTCCAGTCCGGAAAGGATGTCATTTGCAGCCTTCCATCCCTTCTGGAGGAAACGCTTCTCAGAATCCACGATCTTATGCATCTCCTTACCGGCCCAGAGATAATGTTCTAGCGGCACGGGTCGTTTCGGTGTCGAGATCACATAGATATTCTTCTTCTTGGTACGGCCGACCCAAGAAGCGAACTCATACGTGTTGGGAACTGTGGCGGAGAGCAGGATGAGCGTCACATGGTCAGGGAGCATGATGATGACCTCCTCCCAGACTACGCCTCGCTCGAGATCATTGACGTAATGTACCTCATCGAAGATCACGAATTCGACGTCTCGGATGAGGTCGGCACCACGGTAGAGCATGCTGCGCAGAATCTCGGTCGTCATGATGAGACAGCTAGCTTCAGGATTGATCTGTACGTCACCAGTGAGAATGCCCACATCGTCGAAGACGTTCTTGAAGTCGCGGAATTTCTGGTTGGACAAGGCTTTGATGGGAGACGTGTAGATTGCTTTGGTCATGTGTTTCGCCGCCAGTGCAATCGCGTACTCCGCAACAACGGTCTTTCCGGCCGACGTGTGAGCGGCCACGAAGACAGAGTCGCCACTTTCGAGATGGTAAACGGCCTCCTTCTGGAAAACGTCGAGTTCGAATGGCCATGTACGCGCCATCTCAGGCACCAGTTCGTGGAAGTTAGGGATGTCCTTGTTGATGTCCACCACGTGAGCCCACTCTTTGCCCGTGATTTTCGTGGTCGCAGAGATCAATTCTCCATGCGGTTCGAGTGACGGAAACTCCACTGGCAGGAGGTCATCGAGGTCGGTGAAACCTTCATCTTCTGTCTCTTCTGTGCCATTCTGCAGTGGGTGCCTATCGTCGCCGTTGCGCTGGTCATCATTAGCTACCAATTCCACGTCATCATTGTCTTCTAGGGTCTTTTCCACATCCTCAGCGTCCTCTTGGGCCTGGGCGGACTTCTTCTCAGCCAGTTTCATGCCCCTGCTAAAGCCTGGGGGTACCTCGAGAAGGCCATCATTCCCACCAAAATTGATGATGCGATCTAGACCGCTAGACTTCTTGGCCGGTCGCTTGGTCTCTTCCTCGACCGTCACTTGGGCTTCATAGGCTTGAATTGCATCCACTCCGTCCAGGCCACCAGGTGTAAAGGGAAAGAAGCCCGCAGCGCCGCGCACAAAGTCAGCTCGACTGGCAGGTCTTCGGAGCAAGGACGTCGAATTCTTCGCGGTGGCACTGGACGCGGGCACCGTAACCTGTCGGTAGCCGGTGACTTTCCCTTCAAGGCCTTCACGGGTGAAGCGGGTGACCGTTCTTGTTTGCGTAGGGGCTAGGTGGCAGAGCTCGGCGTAATTGGAAGATTGGTAGTCCCATCGATGCTGCAACTTGTTCAGCCATTCCGGACTGAACGTAGTCGGAGGCCATAGAAATTGCTGCTCCAGCTCGGCTTTAATCTGTTCCGGAGTCTTCTGGAAATGCAGAGCACGTGCCATTTCCGTGTGTCTAAACAAATCGATTTGTGAGTGTAGACCTCAGCGTCAAAATAAGTGACTCGACGGTGGTGACAGCGTAGACGAAAGTGTGAGGGAGAAGTGATTGACTGGCCGTAAAAGCGGCACGGCGGCTTGGGACCAAGCGGATTTGTAGCGATGAGCCCCCGATTTACAGTTCAATGACTGACTGGCCTTTTGAGCCTCGCACGTTCTTTCCCGGTACAGCCCTTTTTATGAACGGAGCTGGATATAATCTCTAAGGAGCCCTCAGTGAGTAATTGCGTACCACGGCGGGAATGGAAAAGAGCTTGCCAACATGATCTGCGCAAGAACACCGCCACCTGTTCACTTCTAGCCCAAAGAGGAAGAAAGGCAGGCCACTTCTCTGACACAATGAAATCAGCCTCTTGTTCTGTCTCGGAGTTCGACAGTAGCTGCTGGCTCGACGATCTGGGGGACGGAGGCCGCCTCTTGGACACCTTGGCCATCGGCACGGCAGCATGGCCTCCCAGACGGACTTTCAGAAATCCTTCTTGCTACCCAAAGTGGTGAGCAGCTTCATTATTGGAACAGAAACTGATCGGTTCAACGTGTACGATGTCAAGTTCTACCCGTACTTCGATCCTTCGAACACAGAACCCGTTTTTGCTGTTGTGTCTCAGAAGAAAGTCTACATTGCTCGCTTGTCGGCTCAGACTGATTGTGTCATCACTATGCTTCATGAACTGGAGGATGAACAGGAACTGCGAGACGGTGATTCTTCGGGTCTCAACTCATGCTCATGGTGCTACGTCCACCAGGACCAGCCCCTGCTCGCCCTCGCCGGTGGATCAGGCCAACTCAAGGTGATTGATGCTGTGACAGGAAATCAATTCACAACACTGATCGGTCATGGACATGGGGGCATCAACGACATAGCAACCCATCCAATCTTCCCATGGATTGTCGCGACCGCTTCGGTCGATAAGAGCGTTCGAATTTGGGACTTGCGGCGACAGAGTTTCCGGCATGAATCGCACACCATCATCATCTGCGGCCAGGCAACAGGCCATTCTGAAGGCCTATTAACCCTCTCGTGGCACTCTACCGGAAGATACTTGATCACTGGTGGTCATGACCACCTCATTTGTGTATGGACCATCCCGGATCTTGCAGAAGGATCATCCTTTTGGCGGGAAATCGGACCAGAAAGCAGGAAGCGGAGCTCCGGTGAAGTTCATGTCATCCATTTCCCTCATTTTACCAGCTCGGCTGTGCATCACGACTTTGTTGATCGCGTAAAGTTCTTTGGTGACCTGGTCATATCCAAGGCCGCAAAAGAAGGCAAGATCGTGCTATGGAAGATGACTGGCTTCGACACACAGAAGCCGCCCCCAAGCCCCGTGACGGCCCCAAAGGCTGAAGAACATCTAGACACGCGCAACGGGTTTATGCGTACGCGTACGAGGGGCAAGAACGGGGTGGAAACTGTGAAGATTTCCCCTGAATACGAAGACCAGCCCCCTTTTGAAAGAATGCTGGAATTCGACGCTCCCAACAGCGAACCCTTTTATATGCGCTTCGGGCTCCTGCTGCCCTCGTCGGACTATCCAGAGCTACATCCCGTTCTTGCCTTCGGCAACACCACTTCCGAGATTCGCTTTTGGGATCTTGAACGACTTGCGCTGGGCTACTCCGTCGGCCTAAGTCCCAACAAAAGCAGTCCAGTAAAGAAGAGGAAAGGAGTTGCCTCGAAAGCCAATCGAGCCAGCATCGTTTCTCAGATTGTTGCGGAAGAACAAGACTCTGCACTGCGGTTGCGTGAGTCCACTGAGTCTTCGATTTCGAACACCAGTTCAGGCTTGTCGGCAGCACGACAGGCTTCGACAGGGGCAACCAGTGAAATATCAGATGGTCCGGTGGCGGATGACCAAGATCAGCCAATTCCACTACCAGATCGTGCAAGGCTTCCTATTGATGATCCGCACCAGCTGGTGAAGCACCATAACGCGGCCAGCTTGACAGACTTACGATACAGGAGACAATGTGCATTCATGACGAGGACAATTGATTGGAGTCCCTGCGGCAGATGGTGTATAGCGGTGGGCGAGTCTAAGCTGTCGGAGGAGGAAGGTTCTGGTGGTGTTGCTGTTCTACATCGCTAACAAAGGTCGGAATCTTGCGCTTGACCACAGAGTCGTCTTTCTCGTATCAGATCAAACCACCCATATCCTGTCACATCGGGGCATTTACGGAGTATAAATACAAGGTTTTTGGGTCCTCTTCACCATCAACTCGGCATTCTCTTTCCGCTCGTGCAACGGACTCACGGAGAATGTGGGGGGCTGGGGGCCCACGGAGACCATGTGCTAATTACCTACGCGAAATCCAGCCTTGCAGATAAACAAGGGGAATTCCTCGCTTCCTGTCGCATACCATCGTGCACACACGCCCCTCCTTACTGAGGGCTTCCAATCCCACGTCCTCTCCGCTTCACTTACGATTATGACGAACAAGTTGCGAAGACTGTGCGACACCATCCACGATGAATATTGACGCCCAACAAACGCCTGCGCAATCGGCGCAACCTCAGAAGTTCCTGCGCTACAGATCAGTCCGCAAATCCGCAACCAAAGATGCGGAACCGCAGAGTAGTCGTCCTCTACCGCAGACTTCGCCAAGCGCTTCGACACGACTGCCTCCGCGATATCATCGAAGACCACCTGCGACACAAAGCGCACCACCGCCAACCGTGCCGCGACTGCCCCCGGACAATGGTCACGCGACTCTCCCGAGAATCCGAGGGAATACTTTTGGTGGAGTTGTCGACGCAGATGAGCCGATCAACGACAGAGCAGACGGCGGACGCAGAATGGTTATCCAGCAGAGTAGTCCCCGGGCGGGCACGCGGCAGATGACGAGCAACATCACCTCGCGCAAGCCGCCATCAGCCTCGACTGGGGGAGTGTCCGAGCCTGAAGGATTCCGGAGGTCGTACGAAGCTGCGAGAGAAGAAGCGCGGCTTATCCTCGAGGGTGAGCACGACCGTTTGATCGCACTCAGACAAGCGGAGAGCAGACGTCGGCATCAAGAGCGGGAAAGGCGCAGAAAAGAGCAGGAGAACGCACAAGAAGTGGCGCACAAACATCAGGCGGAGGAACAAGCGCTACGCAAACCCGAGGAGTCAGTGAACCGGGCAGCCAGGGTGGAGTCTGTTCGCGAACGACAGAACGCCAGCCAACTTGTCCACGGTATTGAACGCGAAGAAGACGCGGTTGCTTCCACAGGTCCTGCAATGAAGCCGCAACGTAATAGCACGAGTTCGAAAATGTGTGCCATGGTCATTGGCGAACCGGCAGCCTCACAACAGGACACCCGCAGACACCGTCGACGCGCATCGTCTGCTGTCGAGCAGCCACAACAGCGGCCAAACGCGGGTCGCGCCAGAAGGAACAGTGCTGGCCGCGTCGACCAGGTGCCCGGTGTTGAAGCACCACCGATGAAGCCAAACTATGATGCTCCGATATCTGCGGTGAATGCTGGCGAGAGACGGGTCACCCTCAAATGTAGGGAAGCATTCATCACTCTGCCTGTCACTCTTTCTACGACGGCCAAGGACATTCTCAAGTCCGCATCGCTATGTATGTCCGAGTCGATTGACCCCAACACAGCCATCGTACTGGAATCGTTCTCGCAGCTGGGCCTGGAAAGACCGCTGCGCCGGTATGAGCGGATCCGGGACGTGATGAACTCGTGGGACAATGACTCGCAGAATCATCTTTTCATCATGGCCGCAGGTGAGTTTGCGGCCTCGGCTTTGCACACCGCAGACGCTCCCAGACAGCAACCGTACGGGACGACAGTGCAGATATACCATTCACAAAGACCTGGCAAATGGGATAAGCGGTGGTTAAAGCTACGAGAGGATGGACAAATCACCACATCGAAGAACGAGAAGGGCATTGACTCTACCAATATCTGCCACGTCTCAGATTTCGACGTGTACACGCCTACCACCAAGCAGCTCATAAAGCTGAAACCCCCGAAAAAACTTTGCTATGCTCTCAAAAGCCAGGAGAAGTGTGCCGTATTTCTCGAGGGCGCAAATTTCGTGCACTTTTTCTGCACGAAGGACAAGGAGATTGCTGACATATGGTATCACGCTGTCCATGCCTGGCGGAGTTGGTACCTGGTGAACATGCTGGGCGAGGGGCAACGACAACCTGCCGAACCAAATGTCGGGCCTCAACTTGGCCGGAGACCCGGTACTGGTGACTCGAAAGAGTCCTTGCCTTATGTGCTCGGGTCTTTTAAGCCGCTGCTTGACTCTGGTACGAGCTTTGAGATAGGTCGGAATCCTGAGCTCGGCTCCGTCCGCCGCCCGTCACAAACTCAGAATCAGAGACCGCTGATCGACCTCTTGCCGGCAAGACCCAGCTTTGACGAGATAGCGACAGGTTCGAAGCTGCCCACAAAATCGTCAGTCGCTCCACCGACGGCATTTCCAAAGAAGTTTATGGTCGAGTCGGCGACGAATTGCAACGGCGTGGATGAAGACGGGCCTTTCACAGGGACGGGCCTCCTGGCGCGTAGTGCCAGCCGTCGTGCGCAGGGCGGTTCCCGAGCAGGTCACGCCGCTGCCGGCGCCGATGGCAAGCCTCTAGTTGATCTGGCTTCGACGAGCGACTTCACGGATGGCAGTCTACTGCGCAGGATGGAGACCATAGCCGCTCGGCAGGGAGCATTCGAGCCAAAGATCGATCGGCAGAAACGGAGAGAAGTCGAGGTTGCGGTAGGAGAGGGGTTCTAATACTGTACGAGCATGAGATACGGTACAATGGATGGCCTTGACAGTCGGTATGGGGTGTCACGATCGAACGAATTGCATGTGGTCAACGATACTTTGGGATACACGAGTCGAGCAGAACCCGCAGGCGACGCTCATGTCGACGATTCATGCTTTTCGCGTGGCCAAGGGAATGTATTTATACCTTACATAGTGAATGACTCTTGAGAGAGACAATTGATGCTGGTGGCTGCCACTGTCAGCATCTAGTGGCGCAGAAGGCGCGACCGCGAAGGTAGATCCACCACTTTATTCCACACCCAACCGCAGCTGTATTTGACCCTTTGTTCCAAACCTCGTCCGTCCCTTGACACCTTTGACCCCTCGATTCAGGGTGATTCGCCAGCGGCAAATCAGCTATGAGAGAAAGAATGCCATCGCATGTACGAGCCGTCCGCGGTCGACACAAGATGGGCAAGCCGCATGCAGGCGACGGAGGCCAATCGAACTGTGAACAGCAGAGCTCAGCCGCGTTGACTGCACACCAAAGGCGTCCCGCCTTCCGGCGCAGCCTGATGGCACGATCTTCGATCAAGTAACGCTTCAAGACCTCAACTTGGTCCAGTTGCAGCAAGCCGCATCATCGAGATCGTCGTCGAAAGTTTTCAATTGAAATCCGACCAGTCACGCCCCTTTCTGTGTCCGCTCTGCACCGTCCAGCGTCGCTATGGATCCTGTGACCGCGCTCGGACTCGCCTGCAATGTCGTCACCCTCGTCGAACACGGTATTGAAGCTGCGGCTGTGTGCAAAGAACTCTACGAACGAGGGTCGCTGGATGAGAACAACATCATTGAGAGATACGCCGATAGCCTTACAGCAGCGAACAATGATCTACAGGCCGTCCTCAAACCACCCGCAACGACTCGTGCAAATAGACTGCGGAAGATTGCGGAAGATGCGTCCAAGGCAGCCGCTGAGCTCAAAACGGAGCTCAACAAGCTCAAGCTGTCGAAGAGTACTGGCAATAGACAAACAGGGGCCGCATTTAAAATGACGCTGAAGACAATCTACAAAAAGGGGACCATCGACAAGCTACTAATACCTTGGAAAAGCAAGAGGCTGCGTTGCAGTCTGGCCTTCTAAAAGAACTCTAGTAAGTCAGTTCGACTCTCCCCCGTAGACTTTGTGTATACCACGTGGACGCCAGCTCAATTGCAAGTCGTGAAACCACTAAGCGAGCAGTGCATATATCCGATATCTGTCCCTCTCTAATGCATATCAGTATACCTTGTTCTAAATTGTATCAGCATCAAAGCAGGCCAGGACGACCTAGCCCGGCGGAAAGAGTTCAAGGCTCTGGATCAAGCTCAGAGAGATACGATTGTCCATGTCTTGGCCCGTCTTCAGCTTGCATCATCTGATATCGAGACATCCATCAAAGCCACAGGGGCCTCCATAACTGAACGCCTTGATCACCACCATTGCGCGCAGACCAGCTACCTTCAGGATCAACAACGAGATGCCCTCAGAGTGCGCCTCCTCGATGCTTTGGCTTTTCCAGAGATGAATGAACGTCGTAACATGATTGAACAACGCGTCTCCGATTTTGGAAGCACTTATGGCTGGGTGTTTGGGCATTCCGACGATGCACCTGACGAGGACCATTTTTTTGATTCTAATTCACATGTTAATGCATTTGTCCAGTGGCTTCGAAGTGGCCAGGGGCTTTTCTGGGTCAGCGGGGAACCAGGGAGTGGCAAGTCGAGCCTCATGGACTACATCTACCAAAATCTACATACACAAAGTCCGGGTTTGACCATGTTGACGGAATGGGCACGGCCGCAGCCAGTACGAGTTCTCTCTTTCTGGTTCTTCAGACCAGCCACGGGCGCTTTGCTGAAGTCCCTACAAGGATTGTGGAGATCCTTGTGTTTTCAGATATTGAACCAAAACGAAAAGCTGGTGGAGGAGATCCGGAACGATGATGATGGCTCGGCTCCCAACAGTCTCAAATCTTGCCTTACGAGGTTCGGATCTCGCGCTCAAACTTGGACGGACACTGATCTGAGATCCTGATTTGAATATCTGATCACATTCCGAGTACAAATACTGCATTCTCATCGATGGTCTGGACGAGGTTGTAAGCGACCACGAAGCCTTACTTCACGAAGTCCGCTATATCGCCTCTGTTTCAGAGGCGGCCAAGATCTGCTGCTCAAGTCGACCCGAGCCAATGTTTCAGCGCGAGCTCTGCAGATATCCCTCGCTCAGATTGCAAGACTTTAATCGCCTTGATATCTCGTTGTACTGCCGAGAGCGACTCAAGCAAACCCGAGCCGCTCAATTTGCAGGACGGATTGCCTATATGGCAGACGGTGTCTTCTTGTGGGCTGCCCTGGTCGCTGGAGACCTCAAAATCGCTGCGGACCAAGGCGATTCCGAAGAAGACCTCGAGTCGCGCTTGGAAGAGTGTCCCGCTGAAATGAACGACCTCTTCACGTTCTTGCTTGAGAAACAGGACACATTTTATGCAAAGCATCCAAAACCATACCTTGCGTTAATCTACGCGTCCACCAAGGCAGGCCAAGAGGTTTCCTCACTTGATCTGCTTCTCGCCTCCTCGGGACATGAACAGCTCAAGGAGTACTTTGCGAGCGGGCTGAATGATTCTCGCCTCGCAGCTTTGGATTCTTCAGCATCCAATCTGGAGGCGAACATAGTAGCAAGATGCGCGAATCTAGTGGAATACGATCGACAGCATCTCCTGGACTACACACATCCCAAATTTCCCGCAGGGCGGCCTTACAAGTCGTTGAACATCGCGCGTTTGACGGTGTTTCGCTTCATCCACCGCATTGCCCAAGATTTCCTGGTTGAAAGTCGAAAGGGTGCTGCTCTCCTTCGGGCTTGTGGCATTTTTGACCAGGATGCTCTTAAACTGCTCATGTTGTCCTCGGCAATCATATCTGCCGTTCACGTGCCTGATCCCATCGCCCAAAGGCCACTCAGATATGCGGGTTGCATTCAGCGGGACCTTTGGACGCCTGACGAGACAGATATCGTAGATTCCATCTTCGCCAAAGCCCAAGCGCAAAATCCGTGGAGTCCACCCTGGGAGTTGGCCAAAGCAGAACACACACGAAATAGCACCGCCAGCGACGCCCAATTTTCGCTTCTGTGTTGCCCACAAATTTCAACTCAGGAAAACGTTGCCCACTATTACGCGGACGTGTATTGCTTATCCGCATATTTCGAATCGAAGCTATTACCTCCCGCTTCCAACGTGTCCAATGGCCTCGGTGGCTTTTGCCTCATCCGCTGGACACTTAAACACGGGAACGGTATGGACGACTTAATTCGAATGCTCAAGGAACATGTTTCATGGACACAAAGTCTTACACTCTGTTACAAACTAAGGCACGTTCCCGAGACCGTACATTCTCCTCCTGTCAGCGTCCCTTTGTGGCAGCATATGTATATTGCCGCTGCGAGATCATACCTTGTAACGGCTCCAGCCACGCGGCCTTCGTCTCTGCGCAGCTCCTTGGGTCATATTCCCCTTTCCGATCGTGGGAGTCCCTACGTCGAATGCATCCTGGTTATCTCACTTCAGCATATCTATATGTGCCCCACAACATCTGAGACAATGGTATCAATTGAGAAGATCCTTTCTTCCACCGACCTCTTCAAGGTCCGGGTGGATGTTTGTGAGTCCACGGGAGTGGGGACGATCAGCCTGGATTTTCGCCAATACTCGCCTGGGGGAGTGACTCAATTCTTCGAAATAGATCCCATTGTCAATCACGCCTTACAGAAACTCTTCCACACGATGGCGATGCAGGAAGCCTGCACGTGTTGTGGAGAGTTCTTGGTACCTATTCTAAATCAACACCTGGATCGATTGGCCGCAGCTGAGATAGCGCAGATCTTACATGGGTCCCCACTCTTTGGACTCTGGTCCGAAGGACTCCCACTTAGAAATATGATATTCCCCGAAGGAGAATTCCGGCTCGTAAGCGAGGTTTACATAATGGCATGGGAAGAACAAGTAAAGTCGAGGACACACCCTGACCGAATCAAAAATAACGAAGAACCCGACCGAGGAGGTGAAGCAGACCCCCTTCTGAGCGAGGTCGCGAAAGCTTTAGAGTCCCTACGGCGCACAGATGAGCAGTGGTGGGAACAGGAGCGACTCTCGTACTGCGAGCGACTGACCGACGATGAATCTTCCAGTATCCAAGAAGACGGGGGGCGTGAGGAAACGAAGAAGACACCAGATTCGACAAGACGGGGCTCGAGACTCGAAGGAATCAGCATCCTTCTATTCTCATTCGAATCGAAATACAACTCCCAAATCTAGAGGCGGAGGGAAGGCCACTCGCCCGCTCGCGTTGGATGCATACTGACTTTTGCAATTGCCCTCTCCGTCTTATCTCCTCGAGACCACTCCACACACGCAACTGGGAATGCAAACGGAGTACGTTCGTGGTTTTTTGGGGAATGTACGTAGTGTAGAGAGACACTCAGGATGTGAAGAAGCGTGCATTGCCTGTACATAGAGAAAGAGGCAGAGGGATAGGAACGGGAATGGCAGCAACCTTCCTTCGCAACCTGGGGCGTCTGAAGGTACGAAGTATTCTCGACCCTATATATACAGTACAAGTCCATATCTCAACCCTCACACTTACTCCCTCCCTCACTCACTTACACTGGGAGGAGAGGACTGCCTAGTAGGCCGGACTTGATTTGACCTTGACTTGACCTCGACCTCAACCTCGACCTTGATCTTGACCTTGACTTGATCTCGACCTTGATCTCGACCTTGACCTTGGTTTGGCTTCGACATACATACACACATCCATTTATATATACGTAACTTGTAGCAAGGGTGCCGAGGGTGCCCCATTTCGAACGTCCAAAGCCATGGTTTCTTCCCCCCTTCCGCCTTTGGGACTCCCTCCCCTGAAGATTACGGTGTAGTACCTACCTACCTAGGCAGATCGAATGGTTCCGTAGCATCAAGGTATACCCCGACAAGAACGGAACGGCAGCCATCGAATTTTGTAGTACGGACTAAATTCGGGCAGTTGGGACGAGTAATGGATGGAGCGGAGCAGAGAAGGAGTGTTGTATTCAATAGTGCTGTATTGTGTGCTTCAAGCTGCGGTATGCCCAACGCATTACACGTGTGTTTGCATCTCATCATGGTGAGGGTATTAGGTATGGAACGTTCTGAAAGCCATCTCATATCACCAATAAAACCATAGTCAAGTATGTTCTTCCTGGCGACCACCGTTGCACCCACGCTCTCTAACGTCCTCATTGAAACATTGTTCGGTCTCTCGCTCTCTCACTAATCCCCCCTGAAGAAATCAACAATGGCCCTTGCTCCCTTCTGGCCCAGCCCTCGCGGCGGATAGCACAGGAACAACGGATCATCCAACGTGTTGAATTTCGCGCGGAACCCCGTCTTCTGGTTCAACCGGAACCGCGCGGCCAGGGTCTGGTAGATGCTGTCCAGCGTGGCAGCTTTCGCGCCGCCGACGTTATGTCCCGTGGAGAGTTTGGCCGTGGCGCCGCCGCCGAATGTGCACGTCTTGTACCCCTGGTCGGCGGCAGCTCTGAGCGCGTGCTGGACCGTCAGTTCGATGGCGCCGTTGGGCGCGCCGGGGAAGTCGAGCGCCCATTTGACTTGGACGCCGTAGCGGGGTGCCAGCTGGGCGAGCACGGCCAGCGAGTGGATTTTGTTGTCGTGGGCGGACTTGGCGATGAAGTACTGTCGGTGTGCGGCGTCCTTGAAGGGCGTGATTTCGCTGAGGTGGACTTGCTCGCCCTCGCGGTTGTTCTGCCAGTCCTTGACGCGCTGCATGACCTGTTCGCGCACGTCTTCGGGCACGTCGCTGCCGTAGTCGACCACGTGGATGCCTTCGTTTGTGGCGTGCCGGATCTTTCGCCGAACGTCGCTTTCGATGTCCAAGTGTTCATTGTTGGCCAGGTTGACGCGCTGTTCGGCCACATTCGTAAAACTCCGCCAGCCCAGTTTGTCGCCGAGGACTTCTTCGACTTCCTTGTCCACCAGGATGAAAAGTGGCCTTAGGCGAGTCTCGCGGCGGAGCCATTTCAGGAACACCGTGATCACGTCCTCGTACTGGCTTGTGTGGCAGAGAGGATTACCTGCGATTATGGCTCGATCGTGCGTGGGGACGTAGGCGATTGCCGCGCCAGTCTTTTCGTCTCGCCACACGTGGAAGCGTTCGTCCATCCACGATGTATTTGTCGCGTCGCCGTAGTTTGCTACCAGGTTCTCGAGCGGCTGGAGACGACCTTTAGGTCGGTTGAGCGTGTCGTCTTCGGGATGCCGTAGGTCTGGTCCTTGGCTTGCTGGGAAGGATTTCGGATCGCGAGGAAACAACGTGGCATAGCGCAAGTTGCCGAGATCGAGGATTAGGGATACCAGTCGTTCCAGCCCAATGCCCGCCCCCGCATGAGGTGGTGCTACCCACTCAAAGGCCTGCATATACTCCTTGAGGTCGTCCGGCTTCATTCCCTGAGCTTCCATCCGCTCTCTCAGGACTTTGTGGTCGTGAACGCGCTGTCCACCTGACAGGATCTCCTGTCCCCGAACCATAAAGTCGAAAGAATTGCTCACACGGTCGTCCTTGGGGTCCAGCATGGTGTAGAAGGGACGTGCTGCCGTGGGGAACTTGTCCAGGATGTAATAGTCAGTATTGTATTTCTCCTTGACTAATTCTCCCAATCTCCGCTCGGCCTTGGTTGGCAAGTCTTCGTGCTCTGATTGTTTGCTTCCGTCGTCATTTGTCCAGCCAGAGTCGTTCAGCAACTTGACTCCTTCTGCAAATGTAAGCCTCAGCGTCTTATCCAACCAGATCAGGTCATCATGTGGGAAATGACGTTTCACAGTATCGACATCGTTTCTGTTACGGTCGTAGATGGTCTTGAAGATCTCCTTGAGCGTGGCGTCGATTAACCACATCGCTTCATGATAATGTCGGTCGATGGCCATTTCCAGGTCCAATCCGGTGTACTCGGTCATGTGGCGAGGAGTGTTCGAGTTTTCTGTTATTGTTAGCCAGTTCTACTACGGAGAGCACAGCAAGGAGACCTACCAGCACGGAAGACAGGACCAATCTCAAATACTCGACCAAAGTCTGCTGATATGCACATCTGTTTGGCAAGCTGTGGGCTTTGAGCAAGAAAAGCGGGACGTCCGAAATAATTGAGTTTGAAGACATCAGCTCCTCCCTCTGTCGCGCCTCCCTGGAGTTTCGGTGTATGGATCTCGAGAAAGCCTCGATCCTCGAGAGTGTTGCGGAAAGTCCTGCATACGGACGACTGAACTCGGAAAATTGCTTGTGCGGATGGGGTTCGTAGGTCGAGGACTCGGTTGGCAAGCCGTACTCTGTCAGAGATCGCGTGGCCATCCGTCGCAGCATCGGCCTCGTACACGCTGAAGGGCACAGGAGCCGTCCTTGACGAAACAACGTGGATCTTCAGGATTTCGACCTCGATATGATGGGCGCTTGTGCTCTTGATCTTCTGTTCGGGTTCTTTGACCTTCGCCTTGACAATGACGATGCTGCCTGTCCGTAGATGTTCGGCCCACCGGACCATGTTCTCACTGATCCCGCCGCCATTGGCACTGAGCACGCCTTGCACGGTGGTGGTCTGTTCTCGAAAGATAATGAAGGCGAGTTTTCCGCTCATGCGCCGGACGATGTGAACTCGAGCCCGGAAACAGATCTCCTTGCCAATCGAGTGGGGGTCAATCTCTGTCAGAGAGATCCACCCGGACTGCCGCTCATCATCGTCACCATCTTCAAGTTCTTGAGATTGCATCAAAGGGAGCACGCCGTAGCGCTCTTTTGCGTCTGGAGAATCATCGTTGTCGAGGAAATCCTCGAGACTTTTAGTCGGCTGGCTATGTTGCAGCCCATCATCGTCTTCATCCTCACTTGACCATTCTTCTTTCTCGATAATGTCAGCGACATCACTCTCAGAGCCTCCACGGATGCCGTCGGTGTCGTGGCATGTCAACGTCTGGCCCAGTTCATGCTTGTGATGCGAAAGCTTGCCGTGGAGGTTCGAGACAATGGTTTTAACTTTGGACATGTTTGCTATGGGAAAACGAGGGAAGTTGTTCGCGAGATGCGAGTTCCCGGCATGGTGCCAAAGAAATGCCCTGCTGAATTTCCACCGCCCATGATATCAAAGACACCGTTCGCCGGGTGAACCACCGGGAAGCACATCCGGTTGGATGGATTGGGCCATAATTGAGGTCGCGATGACACAAACTTCAGACGTCATAGCCCAATTAGGGATGATACGAAGGAGCCGCAGGACGGCTTAATCCCCATGATCTGCATTGCATGGCCAGGGAACAAGCATGAAATCCTGGATGCGCTTGTATTTTTGCTGGGCGAGGCTTAACGTATGCTCCCGAGTGGCACGACAAAAACATCGGTTCCTGCCCGACTGGAGGCGCTTACTGTGAATGTGACGGCAGAAAGTCGAACGGGAGAGCGACGGTCCGAACAACAATCGCCAAACTTGTCCCTGGCGATTGTGAAACTCGCTCGCGACACCAACCGGACGGGGATAGGTGGACTTGGCAAATCCGACCTCACCATGATTGATCCGCCGTCACAATTACGTTTCTGCACCCACACAGCTGGTGCCTCTTCGTTGCCCTTACCCGGCGTTCAGCCAGCCTTTACTGTTCTCTGATCCGCTCTGATGTACGAGTACGAAGTAGAGCAAACAGAAACTAATCAGTCTCCAGCAGAATTCGAAGAACATTGGTACCTCGTAAGACCGGCTCATACTCCGTACAGCTCTCTATCTCGTCTACTTGAAACACACCGCCACCCCCGTTGTTCTGGAAACCAGAAAAAGCACTAAGGGATCGTGCGGCCAACCATGCCGTCATCGCTCTGGCTCATCGCTCCCCACGACGACCACGCCTTCAACAAGTCGCTGAAGGATCTGATCGGCACCACGCTACCGTCAAATTTTCCCCATGCGCCCAAGAACACGTTCATTCCACACGTGACGGTAACCTCGGAGATTGATCCTGCAAACACTTATGAGAAATCATCATCACCACAGGAATGGCTCGACGGCCTGACTCTGCCGGAGTTCCAAAAGGAAAAGAATGAGGTGGTAATCGAGCTCGAGCAGCTCGAAGCCGGAGAGCCCTTCTTCAAGAAAGTCACGCTCCGAGCCAAAAAGGATGCCAATCTGGTCAAGTTCGCCTCAAAATGCAGGGAGCAAGGGCTATTATTGTCCGAAAACGAGGCGCAGAAGTGGGCTGAGAATGAATATCTTCCGCACTTGAGCTTGTTCTATGGCGACATACCCAAGGATGAAGTGCAGAAGAAGATTGGCTTGATCGAGCTGCAGTTGGGCTTCGAGTTTGGGAGTCTGTTCGATTGTTGTGGTGGCACGCTGGCGATGGGTGCCAAACTCGTGCTTGTGGACACGAGCAAGGAGATCAAAGACTGGACGCCCATTGCGCAGAGGGATTGTCCTTGGGTCATTTGGACCATGTCAAAGGGCCTCTTATGATGGCGGGTGGTCCCACATGCAGATTTGGCATATAACCGTCTTCTTATGGCAATGCTCGCAGCATTCAAGTGGTGAGTGCTTGACACTCAGCCGTGGTCATCAGCGTTTGGGCGGTTGTCTAGAAATCACATCCATACGAGCATTAATGCATAGTGAATGGTGACTGGGTTCTCGGTGTGACAGTCGGATACTCAGCATGACTCCACGCAACTAATATGAGACTCGAGGAAGGATGGCATTGTCCCATGTCGCAAAATTCACCCATCACGTATACTTGTGGACTCAGGATCGCGGAAGGCAGAGACAAGGCAAACTTGCTGATATCGAGCCAGGCCATCATATGTCGACAAAAGGGCCACAAGTGGTTTGTCAGCAGTGATCGAGCGCAAAGCTTTCTCAGCATGTGCTGGAATTGAAGGCCTCCCGTCGTCAAGATCGGCATGGCGCTCAAAAACACGCAAGAGCATACTTAACCAGACTGACAGATGAGCCAGGTTTCAGACCGCCAGAACACAGCGCGACCTGTCAAGACACGACGACAGCAAACGGTAGGTACAGATTTAGCCAACGAAAGAGGGACGACACTCCGCAAAAGCCTACGCCGGGTACACCAATTGATGAGCCTGATGGGACTGAAGGCTTGACCGTTTGTCGTCTACTCGGGTTTTCCCCTCGACGATATGACTGCAAGCTACGCAGAAAGGAGAGCGGTCATACTTGTGGCTGGGGCGTGCCGCACAGGATGTTCCAGTGTATGCAGATGTCTGCTTGCTGAACACCGATCGAGGCAAAACCCTTGTGAAAGATGACGCGAGTGAGCCATGGCATTGTCTTTCTGTCTCTTGGGATGGAGCCACCAGGACAACCCACAGGCCGGTCGAGTGTAGTCTTGGTCCCATCAGACAGCAAAAATATCCTCGCCGTCAAAACAGTCCTGAAAAGACTCTGAACGGGGGCCTTCCGCTGATTGAGCCATACCAAGTGACTCGGTTCTCTCGACCGCATCTTTCCCTGTGATCGTCTGGGCCTGTGCGCTGGGGAGGCCTGAGCAGCGTCCGACGAGGCAAGGTATGCAGAAGGATCAGGCAAATATTGTGTCGACCTATGCCGATATTGCTTGACGTGTATAGTCCTGTTTGGGGGTACCTATGCGAGTAAGCAATCACGGAATAAGACCAGCCAAGGCTCATGCGATCCTTGGTAAATGATTAGGTTATCCGATCCACATACCTTACGTTGAGGTGCGGCAATCAATGTCGCATAGCTACTCAGCTCAGGACGCGGCTGTATCGCCTGGCTTGTCGTATATTGCCGCTGTACTAGACCAACTCTCGAAAACATCGATCTTGGGTTCAGCTCTTTGGTTCAGCTCTTTGGTTGCCTAAAGCGTTAGTGGGGCACAGCTCATTCAGGCCCGACGAGCCCGCGTTCGGTGCTATGGAAGAACGGATGCCCAGATGTCCATATCGAGTCTCCGGACACGTAACACTCAATCAAATAGCACCTGACAAATGTTGAGATGGAGGATGGGACATTACCTCGTACACGCCACACTCTCAGTTTCCATTGTCAGTAGGTGGCTTGGCGTGGCCAAAATTGGGTATGCCTTGCATATAGCCCTGGCAGTGTCAGCATAATGCTTTATGGCCGAGCAACTCTTGTCCAAACGTCCCGGTTGATCCTCAGCTTCGAGACTGACTGGAGTCGCGATGACCATATCTACTAGTGCAAGCTGACAGAGCAAGGACTTACCGGTCGGGTTGTCATTTTGTGTCGACGTCCAAGTACAGGTCGTGGGACAGCGAAGCATAAATAATGCTTCAGCTGCCACTTGGACTGCTATCAACAAACCTTGAGAGGCCAGTCATCCAAGCGAGCAGCCAAGCACACACGTAATCGGTCGTCCAGCTGCATACATACCTGAATCCGAGGTGCCCTTACGCTTGAACCGACTCGAACCATGGGCTCTTCATTGACGCCTCACCCTCTTGTAGAGGACCTCCTCAAGCAGCCGGATCTTACTGTCCTTACCGCCTCGTCTCCAGACTGGGAAAAGACCCGGGCGACTTACATCATTGACAATCCTGCGCAACCGGTTGCTATCGCTCGCCCAAGAAATGCGGAGCAGGTGAGCACGTTCGTAACGGCGGCGCGCAGGCATGGCGTCAAGATCAGCGTGAGGGTTGGAGGGCACGATGTTGCTGCACGCAGCGTTGTAGATGGCTGCTTGGTGATCGACCTGCGCGAGATCAACCGCATCGGGATCTCTGAAGACAAACAGACGGCCACTATCGGAGGCGGCATACTGATTGGGGATGTTATCAAGACACTGGCCACTCACAAGCTGGTTACACCGTTTGGGTACTTTCCTACCATCGGGTACGCTGGATGGGCCATGATGGGTGGATACGGTTGGCTAGCCTCGAGGTTTGGTCTCGGTGTCGATCAGATCAAGAGAGCTCGGGTGGTGACGGCTCAAGGGGACATTGTCGAAGCCGACGCAGAGTTGTTGAAGGGGATTCGAGGCGCTGGTGGAAACTTTGGGGTTATCGTAGAGCTCGGAATCAGGATATATCCACTCGAGAAGGTGAGAGCTCCCTATCTCCCGTCGGTCACCAAAACTGACGGGCATGAAGCTTCTAGCAGGAACAATACTGTTCCAGACGTCTGACATCAAGGTGTGCGTGCAAAAATACTTCGCTGGGTACAACGCGATGAAAAAGTCGCCCTATGGAGGTTGCGGACCATTCTGGTTCCCCAAGCAGGACGACTTGTCACGATGGTTGTTTGGAGTCAACTTTGTGTGGAGCTCCAACGACATGGATGCTGGCAGGCAGTACCTTCAGCAGGTGGCAGCTCTCGGTGATGGAGCTGATACTTCTTTGGTCAGAGAGACAACGCCTACGGAGCTCATTGATCTCATCTCAGCACTGTCGCCACCTAGGTCGTATGGGCTCAATGCTGGTAACGCTGTCAGTTTCCAAAGCATTACGGAAAGGCCTGCCAAAGTGATTGGAGACTTCTTGTCAAAAGGTCCGGTTGATACGGCCAACCTATTGTTGATTCATGAGATGCGAGGACAATCTGCAGAGCCGCATCCAGACTCTTGCTTCGGCGCACGGTTACCGCATGGTGTGATCGAGCTCATCGGTATCGTCATCAACCCCGCAAATATTGAAGCCTCTACGCAGAGGTACCGGGAGCTGTACGAGGCGCTTAGAGGCACTGGCGATGCATTGGAGGTGACATACGCATCGCTGACGCAGACCCGCGATACTCAGATTAGCAAGTTGTTCGGCAGCGAGTATCAGTTCGTGATGGACTTGAAGAACAAGTATGATCCCGAGGGGCTTTTTGACAACACCGAACCAAGACTGCGGCCATAGAGGGTAGGGATCGGTGCTGGTGTGATCTAAGCGTCTTCAGAGAAACAGTGAGGCGAAGGTGCCTGTCCAAACACGGCCACTGAGTACTGAGTACAAGGAGTTGATATCTTTGGCTCCGTCTCAATGCATGAGTGCGAGCACCAGCGAGTGTGTCGACAGTGGTTTGGAGATTGCAGGCTCGGTCATTTGAAATGTCTTGGTATATATGACATCATCTCCTCGCACCCCGAAAGACGGACACTGGACCGAGATAGCAGAGTGAGGGTCATCTGCAGTCAACTGCACCGCCGATTGATACCTCACGCGTCTGCTCTCTCATTGCCAGATCTTGATACCGCTAAATTCCCTGGACTACTTTGCCATCTCACTCTCACTCCAACTGTGTGGATATCCTAGTTCCACCGTCAGCTTGTGCCTGCTCTCACCATATCACAAGACCTCAGCCCCATACGGAGTCCTCACGCCGTCACTCGCCCCTCACTCCATATTGCCAGCGATTGTGACTTGACCGCTCCCCAGAGCCCCCCCTTCCTGCGACTGCCTCTTCCTGGCAGCCACGGTCACCATGGCGGCGACGTCATACTCTTCGGACCCTACGCTATACCTCTATACTTCCCTGACAGCCGGATCGTCTCATATCATCACCGCCACTTCAAGGCTAGAGACCATTCTCAAGGCCAACAAGATCCCGTTCCGCGCTCTTGACTGTGCAACAGATGAGAAGGCTCGCATGCTGTGGGGCAGAAGATCCAAAGGCAGGAAATTGCCAGGTCTAGTGAAATATGGAGAGATCATTGGAGTATTAGAGACAGTAGCCCGTCATAACAAATACCAGCTAACTTCATCCTGTAGGACCTTGAGCAAATTGAAGAGTGGAATGAATATGGCGAGCTCAAAGACCAAATAGCAGCTACTCAGGATTTCGGCAGCTTCACCACTGGTACCGCGGCTGCGACCAAACTGGCGCCCGAGATGCCTGGTGCCAGTACTGCCAGCACTCCACAGAGATCAGGACCGCCCTCCCGCGCCTCATCGGAAACTCGCCACATATCGATCACCGAACCCAAGGAGAGAAAGGATGGAGATGGCAAGTCCGGTTCATTACAGAAACCCGCGGATACCCCTGTGAACATAGCCATGCGACAACTAGGCGCAGAAGCCGCAGCCAAAGCGGCTCAAAAGAAGACCGGTGCTGCTGCCTCTCAGCCACTAAAGGCCGCGGCCGCGCCGGTGACTGAGAGGAGCATCCCAGACCAAACCCCGTCATCCGCAGCCGCGAAGTTAAGCACTGAAGAAGCCGTTACCTCTGCAGATACTGCCGCGGAAGTCACTGCTGCCAAAACACCCGCCCAGTTGGCGAGCGAAGGTGCAGGGAGAACCTCAATCGACAAGATTGCCGAGTCGGAAGACAAGCTGGCCTCAGGGGCTGCCGAGATGGAACAACAACCCAAATCGACGGAGGAACAACAACTTGAGATGCGCCGGACGAGCAGCGTGACCAAATCCAAGTCCCGATTGAGCGACGTCACGCCGATCGCGGAGAGCGATTCAATCGTTGCAGAGCCAGAAGAAAGCGTCAAGTCGCCATCACCTGTAGCCGTACCGGAAGGTGAAGTCAGCGCCCGACCCGCGGATATGCCACGACAACACCGGGGGAGCGATATTGGTCAGGCGAGCTTAGAAGAGATCAAAGCATTGGAGAAGAAGATGAGCATACCGGAGGAGGGCGACGCAGGAGACGACAACGTTACATCGACGACAACCAAAGTACCGGCAGTATCGACCACGGATAAGGCAGAAGAGAAGGCTACGAAGGGAATAGAGACACAGAAGACGGAGCCAAAGGATGCGGACAAGGCCGGGGTTAGCGTCGGTGATTAGGCGTTGCAATGTTTGAGCGTGCTGAAAGACGGCCCTCTTACCCGAGGCGAGGGGAAGCGATGTTGGATGTGTCGTCAGGGGTAGAGAAGACGAGGCGTTCTACATGTGAAGGGAATAATTAAACATGGAGATACCCGATGTTGTTGTTGTGGCATGTCGATCAGAACGCCGTTTTCCCCGCGAGCAGGCCTACAGGATAGCTTAGATGTCAATCAAAGTTTTCTACGAAAGCATGGATCTGTCGTGGACGACTCGTGAGCGTTCGATCTGAGAACCGGCCTGCAAGTGATGAAACCTTGTGATGATCATAATACTGGGATTACATAAGCCACCCACCGACAGTCCACCGCGCGCCTCCAAGACCCGGTCGACTCCAAGCAGATATGTTAGTGTCGTGATCCAATTCCAGACCAGATGTCGTTGCGGACTGTAGACTACAACCTCGCCCTGACGATCGTCTTCGTCTCGCGCACATTCTTCCACCCTCTGCCCGCGTCCTCGACCTCATCCAACCGCCACCCGGCCTCCATGGCAATCAATTCGGCGCACCGTTCTCCCACACCCAAGACCGTCAACATGGGATTGATCGTCGTCATGGCCGGGAAGACGCCCGCATCGGCGATCCGCAGGCCCTTGAGGCCACGCACCTTGAGTTGCTCGTCCACAACCGCAAACTTGTCGTTTGCCACGTCGCCCATCTTGGTCGTCCCCGCGGGGTGGTACACCGTGTGGGCGGCCTTGCGGGCATATTCGGAGAGGGCCTCGTTCGACTGCACTTCGGGCCCGGGCGCGACTTCGCGCTTGATCCAGTCCTTGAACGGCGCTTGCTGGGCGATCTTGCGCGCGGCCTTGATGCCAAACACGAAGGTCGCGGCGTCGTAGCCCTCCGGATCCGTGAAATAGCGGAAGTCGAGGGCCGGTTTGACGCGCGGGTCGCTGCTCGTGAGGTACAACTTGCCCCTGGAGCGCGGGCGCGGGATGTTGGGCGTCATGCAGAAGGCGTCGATGGGCGTGTCGTAGCCCAGGCGCGTCGTATTCAGGCAGAAGGGGATCTGGTAGCAGTGCATCATCACGTCGGCGATGTCCGTGTCTGGCAGGGCGTGCGGGTTCGTGGGCGTGGCTTTGCGGCCCGCGGCGTTGGGGGCCTCGCGGCGGAGGAAGATCCCTGCGTCGGAGTCCATTGTCGTTTGGTTGGGCGGGACGGGTTTGTTGAGTTCCCAGATGATGATCGTTTCGGGGTGGTCGAGCAGATTCTCGCCCACGCCGGGGATGTCCTTGACTACGGGGATGGAGAGGGATGAGAGCTGCGAGGCCGGCCCCAGGCCGGAGAGGAGCATGAGGCGTGGGGTGTCAACTGCGCCGGCGCAGAGGATCGTTTCCGTGCGCGCTGTGAGTGTGAGTGCCACGCCGGATTGGAGAGTGAGGTTGATGCCCGTTACAGTGTCGTTGCGGACGTTGATCTTGGACACCCAGGCGTTGGTGAGGATTTTGAGGTTCGGCCTGTGTTCTTCGCCGCGTAGAATGGGGTGGATGTAGGCGACGCTGGCGCTGGAGCGGCGGCCGTCGTCCGGATTGTAGCTGACGGAGAAGAAGCCGACGCATTCCTTCAGCGAGCCCGTCGTGGCGATCTGCTTGTTGAAGTCGTGCACCACGGGGATGTTCATTGCTTTGCTGCACGAGTTGACCCAGTCGAGGCACAGTTGGTTTCGATGCCGTTCGTGCACGGGCTGCACTGTATTACGGAGCTTGTTCAGCACACGCATGAACATGGGGAAGGTCCAGCCTTTCGCGCCCATTGACTCCCAGATCTTGCAGTCGTACTCGAATGGCCGAAACGAGATCAAAGTGTTGTGGCTTGAGCAGCCGCCGAGAACCTTAGCACGGGAATGTCGGATGTGTGAGTTGCCCATAGGTTGCTCGGTGGTTCCGTAGTCGTAATCGAGCTCACCACCTAGGAGGTTGAGCCATTGCTTCAAGTCAAGGACTCGGTCATCCATGAAATCGCTTGGCCCGGCCTCAATCAGCAGGATCTTCTTGCGTGGAAGGTACTCAGCCAGGCGGGATGCTATGACACAACCCTATCGGATGGAGCCTGTTAGTATTCTGGGTTTGCCTGTCTCGTTGTCGTCGGTGGTAGCCCGTCTCTACTACTCCCGGAATGAACTTGGTGTTTCATAGAGACGCCGGCTCTGCTCGACACGAGTGATCACTCACCGCCGTGCCACCTCCCACGATGAGGTAGTCATAGCTATCAACCTCCGAAACATCCAGATGGTTGGTCGTCATGTTGACCGTCGTATCCCACAATATTGTGCGTGTTAGACAAACCTATCAAGCTCGACTTCGGCCTGCCTCAATACTTGCTTTGTAGTGAAAGACACGGAATGGACGTCGCGGTTCCAGCGTCACATGAGCAAGGAATTGGCAGCCAAAGGCCGTAGCAAAGATTGGCCCACTTCAATTTCTGTGGTGTCAGTCCACCCACTAGAGATCGAGGCTTGTACAGTAAAGTATCTGGGGCAACGGAAAGTGCCTTCTGCGCACGAGGCAGCTGGCCTTGGAGGGTTCACCAAGCGGATTCCACACCTCCGGGTCACGCCTTGACCAGTAAGATTGACCGGGGAATCACGCAAAGAAGTGTACATGTGGCATCATTGCTGTTCTAGGCTAGCCTGGGCTTCGAGCTTGTCCTATCGTGGCAAAAATAAATCGAAGCTGTACACAGTAGCCTGCCGCTTGGTGGCGGTGAAAATTTGGAGAGCAACTGTGTGGAGGCGAGACAGGCTTCGGACTGTCCGCCAATGCCTCGTTGGCGTTACCAGAACAGGTGCGGCTTTGCAATTGTTACGAGGTGCACGCTCGGGACGCGGCGAGTCCAAGGAACTGATAACGAAAATGGTTATCGGTGACTGGCCGGGGCTTTGATCATCTTTCTTGGGGGAGCCCCCAAGAATCCGGAATCCGGGTCATTCTGCAGCTAACGAAGGATTGCAAATCGATGCCTGCAAGGGGAAAAATGTTACAGAATGGTCAGCAGACGCGGGCACAGTCTCGCAGTATGCAACCTGACAAAATCAGTCAAGTGTAGCCGACTGCTGTCACCGGCTACCGCCATGCATCGAATTCTCTTACCGCTCCAGTTCGAACAAAAGCAAGACAAATAAACGACGAGGTAAAGGAAGAGAGAGCCAGGAGTGATTTTTGTCTGACCCGAAAAGTAACCGTCGAATCAATTCTGGTCGGGTGGATCAGACGCTGTGGTTGGGGCCAGGAGAAGAACGACCAAGCACCGACCAGGTCGATGCTCCCCCGCAACATCACCGCATTTTACAGCAGCCCGAGCCGGCACACCAGGAGGTGATAGTCTCAGTTATCTGACAGTATCACTTGGGAAGCACTGGAGAAAAGGTTGCCTACGGAACAGTACTTCTGAAAATGAAGCTCTTGGAGCGCCATACGTTCTACGGAGGGAAACCCCAGCCATCATCGGCATCGCAAGGTACATTCAAATCCGTGGACCCCTCCACCGGAAAGGCTGTCTGCACAATTCATACATCATCGCAATCCTCAATCGACGCAGCAGTCTCCTCAGCAAAGGCCGTATTTCCTTCCTGGTCCAGCACATCTCCCGTGGAAAGGGCCAGGATACTGCACAAAGCCGTCTCGATACTGCGATCGCGGAACGACGAACTCGCAAAAATCGAGACCCTGGACACGGGGAAGCCATTCTCTGAGACGTCGACGGTTGACGTTGTCACCGGCGCCGACGTGCTAGAGTACTTCGCCAGTCTCGTCGCCTCGGGAGGATTGAATGGCGAGTCATTCCGCCTGCGCGATTCAGCTTGGGTCTACACGACGAAAGAGCCACTTGGCGTGTGCGTGGGGATTGGCGCCTGGAACTATCCCATCCAGATTGCCCTGTGGAAGTCGGCGCCCTGTCTCGCGGCCGGGAACACGATGGTGTACAAGCCCTCGGAAGTGACACCCCTGCACGGTCAATTCCTCGCCGAGGTCTACAAGGAGGCAGGTGTTCCCGATGGAGTGTTCAACGTGGTATACGGCGCCGGCGAAGTCGGCGCGTACTTGACGAAACACCCCGACGTGGCCAAGGTCAGCTTTACGGGACAAGTCTCCACCGGGAGGAAAGTCGCCGGCTCCGCGGCAGGGGAGATGAAGCATGTAACGATGGAGTTGGGGGGTAAGAGTCCCGTGATCGTCCTGCCAGAGGTGGACGTCGAACAGGCAGTTGACGGCGCGATCATGGCCAATTTCTTCAGCTCGGGACAAGTCTGCACGAACGGGACGAGAGTGTTCGTGCCCAGGCACCTGAAGGGCGAGTTTGAGAAAGTGCTCCTCCAAAAGATGCAGTACATTCGGGCGGGAGACCTGATGGACTTGGACACGAACTTTGGCCCCTTGGTCAGCAAAATACACTACGACAAAGTCACGAGCTATATCAAGCATGGGATTGAGGCCGACAGGGCGAAACTCTTACACGGCGGCCTCGGACAGCCCGAGAGTCTGCCCCCGCATATGAAATCAGGATACTGGGTCCAACCTACCGTCTTCACCGACTGTACGGACGACATGAAGATCGTGAAGGAAGAGATCTTCGGGCCCGTTATGGCTATCCTCACCTACTCTACCATCGACGAGGCTGTCGCTCGAGCAAACAACACGGAATTGGGCCTTGCTGCGGGTGTGTTTGGCAAGAACATCAACGAGTGCCACATGGTGATCAAGCAGTTGCAGGCGGGCATTACCTGGGTGAATACATGGGGAGAGTCGCCGGCCGAGATGTCGGTGGGCGGCTGGAAGCAGAGCGGTGTTGGTGTCGAGAATGGGCGGAGTGGCCTGGAGGCATGGTTGAGGAATAAAAGCACGTTGGTCGAAATGGGCGGAAGCGTGCCTACTGTATTTGCAAAATTGTGAAAAGGTGTTCAATCGATGCATGACATTTGTTCGCGGACGGACATTCCCATTGCGCCATCTTTCATCCTTTCAAGTCACCGAGCGCCTCGCCAACATGGACTGATGTTGAAATCATGCTGCAAACGTCGAGACCCTAGAACCCATTCTGTCGAACATGAAATCCGACATCTTCTTATCATTCATGGCAATGGCCGAGTCGACCAGTCTGGAAGACATGCTGTCTGGTGTCAACTCTCCGTCTTCCATATCCAGCTGGTCTTTCCTGTCTGTGTCGATCTTGAGGTCCTTCAGCCCTGCTCTCCAATTGTCGAGTCTTGATTGCGATCCTTCTTGGGGAGTCGCCTTGGCCGTTTTCTGTTCTTGTTCTGCTTCGACATGTTCGATGCTCTTGAAGTACTATCAGTGCACCCAGATTAGCTTGTCTCCAGCACTTGGTCATGGATTAGGAGTGTCAATTAACCTTGACTGTTTTCACCTGCATCTCGTCTGTTGCAGCATCGTCGCACACAATCATCGCCTTTTCGTGCATTTGAAGAGCACTGCATGTCCACATCTGGCTCACGCTTCCCTCAACAGTTTTCGCCAATGCGACGGCCTTGTTCGAGCCGAGTACGATTACTAGTACCTCTCTGGCGTCCATGACCGTGCCCACTCCTACGGTCATAGCCTGCTTGGGCACCTGACCGAGATCTCCTCCAAAGAACCTCGAATTTGCACGTATTGTGTCTTCTGCCAGCGTCTTGACCCTTGTCCTCGACTTAAGCGACGAGCCTGGCTCGTTGAATGCAATGTGTCCATCCGGCCCAATGCCGCCGAGGAACAAGTCAATTCCACCCGCTGCGGCGATACGGTCTTCGTAGGCGGCACATTCGGCCTTGAGGTCGGGAGCGTTGCCGTTCAGGATGTTGACGTTTGCAGGGTTGATGTCGACGTGCGCAAAGAAGTGCTTGTACATGAAGCTATGGTAAGATTCCGGGTGGTCCTCTGCCAGACCAACATATTCGTCCATGTTAAAGGTCACGACGTTCGCAAATGAGACTGACCCATCCTTGTGCGCCTGAACGAGGTATTTGTATATGATTTCTGGACTGCTTCCCGTAGGCAGTCCCAGAACGAAGGGCTTCTCGGGAGTAGGACCGAAGGCATTTATGCGGTCGACGATATACTGGGCAGCATATTTCGAAGCACCGTCTTTGTCGTCGCGGATAATGACTCTCATTTTCAACAGTCGTCAATCTGGACAGGGACAATAGGTTGAAGGGGGAAAGCAGATAATCTACTCCGAGCGAACAGAAAAGGGTTGACGAGGAAATGGAGGGACTGGGCGACAAACCATTGACGTAGCCAGCAGCAGACCTTTTGAACTGGCTATCATGAGGCGATTACATATGTAGGGCCAGAATGCGGAGCGAGGGACCCGTAGCGGCCACTGAAGAGTTTTGCAGTGGTAGGTAGGTAAGGCATCGAAGAACAGGTAGCACATCGAAGGGTAGGTAGCACAGGTAAAGGGTTAGGTGGTGCAACAGTTGCAACAATGTCATCCAACCACTGGGCCACCCGGCAGGCATCCAGGCGGGAAGACTGGCCATCTTATCAGAGGGGACAGCAGAATGCGCCGATGAAGTCAGCGAAGGGAGAGGAACCGTTGGTTGGACACAGAGTGAAGGACGGGGAGGAAAGCGGAAAGCGAGCGACAAAGCGACTGCGCTGCTACTAAGCTCCCCAGTCACGTGACTGACTGCGATAAGGTAGCAATTTTCCTGTGTGGTCATGTGATCGACTCAGTGTAACAGTCCGGCCTCTCGTTAAGCTCCGCTTGGGTGCCATTCTCTGCTCTTCTCCAGCATTACATTTCCGAGAACACGACGTTGCGGACACCGAATGCAACATCGCCTTCGTTTTGCACCCTTCCACGTTTCCTATCCCTTCGCCAATGCTCCTTTGCCGCCATGCGCAAACCCCATTGCGAACCCTGAGTTCCCCATCCCCAGCTGTCCACTGGTTCTGCAGGCGTGTCAGTGCTCCGCGGGTCGTGACAGACTGCATACCGAACACCGAACTCTCGCACACTCCATTCCTCTCCTGTACCTAGTACAGCCTTACTCGCGTCCCATCCAATCGCACTGCATGTGGGGAACTAGTCGTCTTGCCTCATCATGGCGCTGGCCACCAACGGGGATCAGCCTGCCCTGTGGGACGAATCAAGGTATGAGCGTGCCGTCATGAGTAAGGCTCACCCGGCAGAACTGACCTATATATGACAGACAGCTCGGCCAGCTCTTTATGATGGGCTTTGATGGCACGTCAGTAACGGATCAAGTCAAGACCTTGATCGAAAAGTATCACGTAGGCTCAATATTGCTCAAGGCTCAGAACCTCAAATGTGCCGTCTCCTGTTCTCCTGTGCTGGGATTAAATTTTCTTCAACGTTCACTCGCCATTGACTGATGCTGATCTTCGCATAACAGCTGCCGAACAAGCTACTCAACTTATTCTTGATCTCCAGACCCTTGCTCGCCAGGCTGGCCATCCGGTCCCGCTCTTGATTGCATTAGATCAGGAAAATGGCGGCGTCAATAGTCTGTACGATGAAGTCTACATCCGCCAATTTCCCAGTGCCATGGGCTTGGCCGCTACTGGCTCGAAGAAGCTGGCCAAAGACATCGCGCGCGCCACTGCTCAAGAATTGAATTCATGCGGTATCAATTGGATTCTGGGCCCGGTGCTTGATGTATTGACTAATGCCAGGAACCAGCCGCTAGGTGTTCGGTCTGTAGGCGACGATCCTCAGGAAGTCTCTGCGTATGGCGTTGAATGCATCAAGGGATACCACGAGGGCGGAGTTGCGACATGCGGCAAACACTTCCCTTCCTATGGCAACCTAGAGTTCTTTGGTGTGCCAGACGATGTGCCGACCATCACGGACTCGCTTGAGAATCTGAGCCAGACTGCCTTGATTCCCTTTCGGGCGGCAATCGCACATGGTATCGATTCTATGATGGTCGGTGGTGTTGCAATGGCGTCGTCCCAGGTCAATGTCATGCATGCTTGTCTATCGGAACAGATTGTCCGAGATCTTTTACGGCATGAATTGCGCTTCGATGGTGTCGTCGTCTCCGAATGCCTCGAGATGGAGGCTTTGAGTCGCAATATTGGCATCAGTGGTGGCACAGTCATGGCTTTCAAAGCCGGCTGCGACCTGATCCTCACCTGCCGAACGCTCTCAGTACAAGAGGACGCAATCAACGGTCTGACAGCCGGCTTAGACAATGGTATGATCGAAAGGTTTCGAGTGCAAGAGTCGGTGCAGAGAATTCTCAACATGAAGGCTAAGTATACGTCCTGGGAGAAGGCCTTCTCGCCAAGTGGAATAGACAACCTTGCGCGCCTGCAACCACTTCACACGAGCCTGTCAACAACGGCATACAACAAATCAATCACCGTGGTTCGAGACCAGAACCACTATCTGCCTCTGTCAAGGGTCATAAACGCCGATGAAGAGCTGCTCCTGTTGACTCCCCTGGTCAAGCCCTTACCAGCATCCGCCTTATTTCATTTTCTCCAGAACGAAGCAACAACAGTGCCTCACCTGGGCCGAAGTCCGAGCATTGATACAAATACCTCAATTATGAGTGGGGAACAAGTCTTTAAGGAACTGGGCCGAATGCTTGCGCGATATCGCAACGGCAAAATCTCCCACACCTCGTATACGGCAAATGGGGTTAGGCCTCTCCACGAAAACTTATTGAATCGAGCGCGCGGAGTTGTGGTAGTCACGGCTGACGCAGGTCGAAACATGTACCAAAATGCATTCGCGAAACACATCTCGATGTTATGCAAGCTGTCTGTTGGACCAGATGGCACCACCAGGGAAAAGCCCTGCGTCGTGGTCGCCGTCAGTTCGCCGTTTGATTTTGCCTCGGACACTTCTATTGGCACGTATGTTTGTACTTACGACTTCACCGAGTCCGCACTGCAAGCATTGGTTCAAGTCCTCTATGGCGAGCTTGCTCCCGCAGGCGTGCTCCCAGGCTCATTCAGTCAGAGACCGCAGACCAGCCATACAAGACAACAGTGGCTTGTAGAAAGTTTCAGCGAAGACCGAGACTCGACAGCTCTGGATGGGCTTCTTCTACAATCGCAAGATGAGCCATCTGTGCATGCAGCATCTTTGAGAAACGCAACTTCAAGCACCTTCCTTCTTCGTGATCCAGATGTGGAAGAGGCGCATTTCGTGGTTCGGAACAGCAGCACGAAGGAGTTGTTTGGGTTTTGCACAACATACTACTTCAAGAACAGCGGCGTCGGACATATTGGGGCTATCATCGTTGACCCGGCGCGCAGACGCCTCTCAATTGGTCACTCGTTGCACGACCGTGCTGTCCGGGCATTGCTCCAGAAGAAAGGAATCACCAAGTTCCAGCTCGGCGTGAGGTTTCCGCACGTCTATCTGGGCATACCCAAGTTGGATCCACTCGAATACAAGCGACAGCGTCAGTGGTTCGCGAAACTCGGCTGGAATGTGTCCCTCTCGACGCCTGTCGCAACCATGATGATCCGTGACCTTTCCATGTGGTCGGCTCCGGAGGGACTCGGCCAAGCATTATCGCTTTCAGAAGTCAAGTATGACTTGGTCCATGGCGCCGAGTACACCGATGCCATGATGGAGCATCTCACTAGATGTGCACAGACTGATGTTCGAGGGATCCACCAAAGGGCCCTCGGCGATAAAGCTGGCTGTGGCATCATTCGAGCCAAACGGGCTTCTGACCAAGCCATTCTCGCCAGCATACTGATGTGCCGACCTGGGTCGATGATTGCTCGCTTTATCCCATCAGTGTCCAAGCAGGTCGGAGCGGCGTGCCTGTCATCCCCAGTCATTTCGACGATGTACAGCGATCGGGTCACCCTTTTTCAAGGTCTGGTTCTGTTGGGTATACGGCAGTTGAAGAAACAAGGCGTGCGCACGGTGCTGTTGGATTATGTGAGTACTATTAAGGCCTGTGCGAACGGGAAAGCCTAATTTTCCTAGACCCGTGAAGACTTCACCATCCACAGTCTGAAAGCATTGGGCTTCACGATCACAAACAGCTTTGAGGAGATCTCGAGCGATCCAGTCCATTGGACCATGATGTCGGCAACATGATGGATGCCCATGAGCAATATCACCCGTCCTTCAATGCCGAGTTCACGGGATGTTTCGCAGTTTGTTAAGCGAGAAAGCGTCCATTTAAGGCCACAGCAAGCGCCGGTCACAACCCTTGACACGGGGATGGATCAGTTGGACTCAGAGACATCTCGATCGCTCGAATTGATGCACCGCGGAAAGCAAACACCAGCTGCTTCGTCTGCAGCATCTTGGACCAAACGGACTCCGAGTACGAGGTACTTGTGCAGACTGCTGCGGTATCGAACTTCGGTGACGGGAGGAAGAAGAGCCAAGACGCGATCTGCTAATCGACCTTCCTCATTCGTCACGCTGGTCATCCATTGCCAGCCTTTAGCGGTGAGTGAGCTGGTACTCAGAGGCAGAGACAGCAACGCTTCCGCGGGCAAGGTCAGGTAAGGTCTATATGAACAGCTGTGGACCTTGCGCGTATACAAAACCCGCCTCGGGACCACAAGTATACTCTGAGCCTTAGGGCGGTTTTCGTGTCATGTATTCAAGGATGCGACTTAGATCAGCAGATAGTCGGCGGACGAGAAGAACAAAGCAATCCGGGTCAATCGCAGACCAGGACCAGTTTAGTGCAATTGTCTGAGAAGCCCGCTAACATGATAGAGACGGAGAGACGGAGCAGGTCGTTTTAGGTAGATGGGGCGAGTTTTCCTAACCTGAGCCTCTCGTACGGCGGTGGTTGGGGCTGGCTTTCACATGGTCTGATTCAAGGTGTACAAGGTGGTTGGACTCGACATGGGTCAAGGACTGACAAGCATGCTCTTTAGGGATTGGCTCCTTGCTCTCATGCGGAGTTTCGGGTCTTCGTATTGCCATTCGTTGTCTCACGGACCTAAGCCTGGGGATAGGCACTGCCTCGGTATGGCATCTGTGTTGCGTCGAGGGGTACGAGTTATGGGCGCCGGGTTGTCCCTCCTACAGTAGGCGCAAAGGCTAGGGAACTTTGTGGTTGCACGATCTGACCGCTAGACTTCAGCTCCTCCCAGCGCCTCGATGACGGAACAAAGAACTCGTGCCTGTGATGCGTTTCACGTCATACTTGGCCGCAAAAGCTAGCCATGGCAGACGCGAAGTCGCACAGGGTTGCTATTTGAAGGCAGTGGTCAGGAGGCTACTGCAAAGCAGCCGTGCCTATGTGATTAGCCCATGCTGCACCATTACGTTCCCAGCACCAACTCATTGCTGTCAGCTTTTATCCATGACAGGCAGCCGCAAGCGGGTCAAGCATACCGAGCAGGCAAGTTTCCATGCATGTCAGGCTCTTAGGCGCAGGGATGATCAGCGATGAGGCGCGGGAGAAGCAGGCCAGAGAGGGGTGCGACTAAATGCTTCCAGAGGGGACGGGCCTCTGACTGGAGAATCGGCATCAAAGACCCAGAAGAACCCTGCGTATGATTTTCTTGCTAGAAAGCATCTGGCTAAGACGAGGACTAAGAAGCTTCCAAGTTTCCATGACGGTTCGGTGCATGAGGGGCTGCTGCATGACTCAATCGCATCATGCCAGTCGAGCCAGTGTTCAGGCCCGCTTTATTGTGGGCACGGGCTGAAGGACTGATTAGGATCTGACACTGGGCCTTCCAGTCCACCAGGCACTGATTCTGCCAATTCGATTGCACAAGTGGAAAGCAAAATATCGGGAGGCGCGAGCGAGTGGGAGGGGCGAAGGAGCCAGCAGCGGGGCCTGGCTTTCTTTGTCCTTTGCCTGAGGAGGGTCAGGGGCGTCAGAGCAGGGCTCCTCTACCACAGTACGAGGTCGGCCTCAGGCTCACAAGTAATGGCGACGACTCGTAGGCCTCGGTGCTGCCACAGGCGTGGTGGGCGCTTGGTCCAGTTGGGAAAGAGTCCGAGACTTGAAATGCAAAAGACGGGGGAAAGGCATGGGCGGCCAGAAATGAGTCTCCACGCCACTAACCGTTTACCTACAGTTGCCATTTCACACCTTAGCGTCCTCAGTCCCACGCCCCGTTTCCTTCTAGAAGCCCGGCTCGCCTTCTACCGACCAGCCACCAGCCAAGCGAACCTGTGAAGTCTGTCGCAGCCGGGGGTCTTGCACGCTCCTATGCACCAGGCACTACCTAGTACTGTCCTCGGTACTTATCTACCGACCTGACAGAACGAGGTGCAGGCGCCCAGTGCCAGTGCCCGCAAAGCAACAAGATACGGCGTACAGGGAACATCAACTGCTGTTCGGGCGGTGGTCAACCTTGCTACCTGATCCCCCGGTCAGTGTGCCTTCCCACCTGAGAGTGACACCAACTTTTACTCGGAGACTTGGACCTGGAGTCGGTCACCATATCTATTTGCATACAGCTCTTGGGTCTGTCTCACCACATTGTCAACCTTGACTCACTGCCGCTCGCCCATCTCAAACTCAAGCTGCGCAGGCGCGACATTTCAGCTCATTCATTTCCTGCTGAGATTTGCCTCATCTCATAATCCAACGAGCCATTTGTCGTCAGTCTGCCAAGCTACGGAACGCCCGCCACTTTTCCACGCGCCAATCTGGCTTCCTAGAGGTGGACACCTGCCCACCCTGCTCTGGGTCCCTGCTCTGATCCCTCCTTCCCGCCTCTTGGGGCCGAACACTCCATTGTTCGTGCACCCCGAAGCTTGCGCTGTCTCAGCACAGTATTCAACTGCGCGCTGCTTAAACCCGCCGTTGCTGATTAACACTCTCCGGGTCATCGATATTCCAGTTTCTGTCCTCTTCGACGGTGGCGCCCTCGTGAGCCTTTTCTCGTGCTCTCGAGAATGAAGACGAGAATCTTCCCCTCTCAATAACAATATCCTTCATACCTTTTGCGCAGCTACTCGAACCTCCAACTCCGCACCTGCCTCCAACCTCACTTATGGCCTCCGCTATGGACGGCTACGATCCTCTCGCGACGCCCTATTTTCCCAGTCCAATACCTTCATATGGAGGCGGAGGAATGCAAAATTTGGACTACATGAGTGTGCCGTCAGTGATGGACCTGCAAGAACAGTATTCGAACTTCGACTCGGAACCATATATGAGGTATATACTTCCCCAGCACACTTCTTCTCCGCCAAAGTCATGTCTAACACGTTGCAGCGGTGATGAGCTTGGGTTCGCGCCTCCGAACAGTCTCCAGCATCCAGCTCTGCTGAAGCGCTATTCTTCGGGCTTCGACGATCCATTCGCTGAAGGCACAATGTCCCAGTTCGACCAAGGACCCACGGACGGGCTCCCAGACAGTTCGTCCATCGATCGCGACAGTAAATATCTCAGCTTTTCCATGCCTCAATACAATTTCACCCTCCTCGATGACTCTTTCCGGCGCTCATCGGTCAATATTACTGCCCAGCTACATGGGATGTTCTTCCTTGCCGAGTCTCAGTGGCCTGCTACAGCCGATACTCCTCCACCTCCGCCAGAGCTGACATGTTACCGTCGTAATCTGTTCCAGATCACTGGCTCAGTAACTTTACCCAGGAACCTCAGATATGTGTTCACCGATGACGGCTCTAGAATTCCCATTTACGAGTTAGAATTGGCTGTATCGGCGACCGAATCCGTGGAGGGGAATTCTGTCAAGATCATTTCTGTTCCGTGGAAGACCCCCGCCAGTGGAGAAGCGCCGAAACCGGAAGACAAGGTAGAGCGAGAGCCTCCGACGATACCGTTGGATAAGATGTCGGGACAAGATCTGGACACTGACTTTACGACGTTCCCTGTCCAATGGAAGAGACTCCAGTTCCGAATCGCGACTGCGAACAACGGACGGCGGAAGGAGCTGCAACAACACTTCATCCTACACTTGAAGATCATGGCTTCATTGTCCACAGGCGGAAAGATCGCCATCGCAGAAGCTCAGTCAGGAGCAGTCATCGTTAGAGGTCGAAGTCCGCGAAATTTCGCCGCCCGCAAGGACTTGCCCTTGAGTAGCAGTTCCACAGCAAGGAAACACTTACCAGCAGCCTCACGAGCTTCAAACAGTGCAACCTCCGTTCCCCAAGTTACTTCGGCACCAAAAATCAAGAGCCCTTCGGAGGAAATAGCCCAGATGGTGGTGGGATATGACAGTGTCGATACGAAGCCTGGAGATACTGATGGCACTACCTGGGTCTCACAAGGCGTCCACGATCCCCTTGTCACACCGTATTCGACTTCGACGAGTCGTCCCGCTGTTCCAGCATTCCCTGATGGTACACCTGAAATAGGCACTGCCGGCGCATTTCCATTCACTTTCCCGCAAGAGATGGCGCAAGGCAGTAGGCCGATGAGCTTGCACTTTGGGAGTGACGACGAAGGGGGAAGCCCCCTTCCTCCACAGCAGAATTCAAGGCCCTCGTCACGCCCTCCCACCTCTAATCCTTCGCCGTCCCTGCTAAACAAAGGACCTGGCGGGACCTACACAACCAATACCAGCACTTCACCTGGCCATATCACGAACCAACCAGGCCCACGGCCTCGGCTACATTCTCACCAAGTATCGATGACAAGTGTACCCAGCTCCATGGCCACCATGAATGGTACCAGTGCGATGTCTCAAAGACCAGAATTGCTACCTACGAAGTCAGGTCTACCATATAGCGCCGAGGGGGACAGTGTCGACCAGCTTTACGAGTACTTTCCGTTGGGCCTCGATGATTGGCAACCTCCAGTTGACGCAGTGTTCCGTCCCCATGTGGTACACCACAGCGGTCCTTTACCACCCGATCCACGATCACCCGGAAGACATACGAGTAAAAGGTATTTCTCTGAAGTGGTGTAAATCGACGACTTTGACTTCACTTTTACCTTTTACTTTGTTCAGGGCATCCTGTAGAACCAGGATTGACTGAACCATGACCTTACGCGATCTACATAGGGATTGTATGATACCCATCTCCGACGATGCATGAAAACTGGCATATATACACAAGGCAGGATGAGATTTGCCTGGACGGGGTTTACGAATCATGACTCTGGCTCTCAGTCCAGTAGAAAGAGGAGGTAGAGACGACTCCCTCTTCAGTGGACGAAACTCAAAGTTTCACCATTTTTACGAATGGATGTATTCCTGAAACCTTCGCAATCACAGAATTGACGAGTAGTTCGAAAGATACGGAGTACTTGACTTGGAACTCTGTTCCAACAGGGCTCGAATACCCGAGTGTTCGCTGCTCAGGTGGGTAGAGCCCGAATCACATAAGTGAGAACGGCTTGACCGCCAGATCATGCAGGGGACAACCTGGACCACCTTTGCTTCTACCCACTGGCACGAGTTTTGACACGGTGAACAGAAGTACTGTCAGCCTAACAGCCTAGCACGAACGGGAGCCACTCAACTTGCCTCCAGAGTTATCCAAGACATTGGGTGCCCATGACTATGCGACATCGGCGAGGTCCGAGAATCTTGCCATTCACTTAATTCGTATTCCACCTATAGTCGTCATCCATTGCTAGTGTGCAGAAAACTAATGCACCATGACGAGTGCCATGATCGACACTCGTTTCGTGTCAACTCGTAGTTAGGGCTCGTGGAATGGACGTCAAGCGTCTGACCTCGGCCGGGAAATGGCCTTCCAATCACTGAGACCTACCACAAGAGTGGGCCGGAAAAGTAATCGCGGGAGAATACGTATGTGCTCTGCACAATCTGAGTACGAGGAGAAGCGGTCACGAGTGGTGACAGGATAGGGGGTGATTTGTTCCAGGAGACCATCCCTCCCAATATAAGTACGAGGCCATGCCCATCGAAATGTGCGCTCTCCAAATGAGACCTATACTGGCACGAATTATTCGAGATCACCCGCAGTTACTAGGAGCACCTAGGTCATCCCTCACAGAACGCTCGTAAGGGCGAGAGGAGGTACTCTTGTAGACCATAATGTGGATAGCTTGTAGGCAGAGTACGTAGATGACTTGGAACTTTTGATATCGGCCAACAACTCCTTCCGAGGATGAAGGAGAAAGAACCTCAATCTGGAGTCACCTAGGAGTGAGGGTGGAAAATATTCCGCCTGAGCGCGGCTATCTCGGCTACTTCGGTGTACGCCGGATATCACGTCTACGAGCATGGGACTTTGAGGAGGAGTTATCAGAGAGGAGGGTCTCCCTTGTCGCAGGTCATGATACGGATCACGACTTGGGACGGAGCTGATCAAGGCGCGGGAGTCATACAGTAGACAACAGGCAGGCACGACTAGTGACATGTCTACCAACATTGGACTGTGGGGCGGAATTACCGGAACTAGCATTACTTGTGGCAGTCCATGATACGGATCCCGACTTTCTACGGAGCTGATTGAGGCGTGGGAGTCATACATAGACTATAGGCAGGCTCGATTATGCCGGGCGCAATTACTCGATAAAGCTCTATACAGAATATCAAGGACAAAAACACGCGGGGAACTACCACATGTCAGTAGAGCTCGGACAGAGTGTCCCTCGGCAATCCTTCAAAAGGGGGGTGTGGGTGCCATAATACGAGTAGACACGAGGATGGTAAAGGGGTAATGATATACAGGACAGTCGAAGCCAGTGAAGCTCACTTGTGGCTTGTCCACGCTTGTCTTCACCGGTTACGAGTAGAGGATCTCTGAGCAGAGATCCGCGAGAGTTCAGCGGCAAAGCAGCCAATTGGCGCATCCGTGCCGTGCTGTTCGAGCCGATGATTGGCAGGCGATTTGTTGATGCTGAATGTCAAACAATAATCTGCCTTATCAATATCTTCTGCTCAATCCTCGTAACTGTTTACACCTCTGGCTGCCGTTTCAACGTCATTTTTCGCTTTACTCCCTGCGACTCGAAGTTCATGCATATGCAATGCATGCATGCGCGCCAATGCAAGCTCGCTTGCACGTGTAGTGCAATTTCAAGGCCACCAACCGTCACCAGCCGCGCCCCAGACACAACATTCGCGAGCTTTGCAACTGCCTTCATGAACCCTTAAGTTGCGCCCTGTGAAGATCTGCAGGGTGGAAGTAGTCACGGGATAGCGTTTCCAAGCATTTGGAATCATCGGCCCCGGGGTCAATCGCTGCATCTGCCTTCATTGTGTTCGTCTATCCTTTCCACAACTAGGGTGGCCTGGATTTTGATCCTGGGCCGGCGCCCGGCTCAGCCATCACTCATGCATCCAGCCCACCCAATCTCAGAAATGACCACGAGGTCCTTGCCGGGGAACCACGACACTGTCGGTTAAGACGAGCAATGTATGCCGGGACTCGCTAGACGACATACTTGTGCAGGAACGACCCCACGTTCAAGGCAGTTATTCTGTGCATAGAGCAGTCGAGGCTGAGTGCCCTTTCGACCGTCTCTGTATTTCCAACCCGCTGGAGGGTTCGCTTCCCGTGCATGGAAGTCCGTCATTGCCAGGCAAGCCCCTCCTGCACACTTCTCACCTGACTCTCCTCTGGTCGTGGACTGCTGCCCCAGGTTTCTGTCATATACCCCTTCCCCCAACCTCGACTCATCCTCTTTTAGATTTCTTCCTCAGCTCGTCTTCCCTGAGCTTGGCTTATTCAACTTGGATACGAAAAGTACACTGACTTGGCGGCTGTCTCAACATCATTGACACTACTACCTGCACCACAAAGGCACCAAAAGCTTCTATATCCTGCATGTCGCCACGCAGACTGCAGTGGTCGACCTCGTATTTTTGCCACAATGGCTCACCAACCATTCTCGCGTCCCACGCTAATCGTGCACACACCTGATACCCTTTCGCGTCGGTCCTCCGACCCTGTTTACGGTGTGAAGAGAAACAACCACGCCAACAACGACATTCCTTCCGGTACTTGCTGCTCTGGTGGGGGACACCATGGGTGTGGATGTGGATGCAAGAGTTGCATGTGCCGGCTAACCGACTTCAAGGATGTTTCGAACCGTGAAGCGTACGGAGGGGAGGGAGGACGTCAAGGTATGCCAGGCCCAGACGTTGACTTTCCTGACCGGGCTTCAAGGCTTGATTCGTCCTGGTCGTCTCCCCACACCGACATTTTGAGCAATGCAAGCTTGGACAACAGCATCGGAGCAAGCGGCCATTTCGGCGGACATCCAGCCGCGAGCATTTATATCAATGGAATGGGACATCAATTTGCACCTCTGGAGGAGGAAGATGACGACCATCACCCGTGGCCAGATTTCATCAGCCCAGCAAACAGCCTCGACCATATCTCATTTGACCAGGACTCCTCGGGCATGGTCATCCCCGGACTGTTTGATGACTCCGCGCTTGCGGCTCGTGGCTCTGGCACCGGCATCGCAATCGACGAACGATCAATGTTGAGCAGCGAGTACGAGAGTTCATTCCCGAGCGCCACTGCCAGTCAAGTCCTTACTGGCGTTGGTACTGCATTTGGGAATCATTTCCTTGTCCGACCACTTCCGCTCACCCCAGAGTGTCGACACAGTGTAGACAAACCGATCCGTACAGGATACATACACTAAGTCACCTCAGCGGCGCGGTGGCTGACTGTGCAGCCACATGACGAATTTCCTTGCCGTACACAGCCAAGATCTGGCACCATCAATTCCGCTGTTCGGGTTTCAGTCTTCGATCTCGAGTTCGTTGTTAGATCACAGTCGCTTCAAGCTTGGGACATTGGTTAAGGCTGGGTGGATTCATGTTTACTACTTATGGTCTCGCACAGAAGGACCTCCGATCAGTATACTGTACAAGACAGAGACATACATGTACTATATCTGACGAAGGATCACAGACCGCACATTTTCAAGACTGGGTGTGGTCAGGATTCCTCTGGTCGATTCAAGGAGTTAGGTATATTGGATTACCATTACTATGATACAATTCAATTTACAGTGCTCCAACCAGAAGAGACTGTCGCAAGCGGAATGTGTACTGTGTGTGTAAGTATGGCTCAATCAGCGTTCGTAAGCAAACAAGTTGCCTTTTCGGTATGTAACCACAAGAGCTGCGCTGCCCCTCTGCCCTCTTGATCGCACGGCCCTCATGCTGGGCGAGGCTATTTACCCCTCGGTGGGGTTTTCAAGCTCACAGGGACACCGACCTTCAGCCGATGACGCAGCCACTGTACTCGTAAGTACAACCACCACCGGCAGGTACCTAACTTAGGCACGTATCCCGGTACGCCAAACAATTTATTTCCCATTCTGTTCGACTGCTGCACCCATCTAACCGGACGTGTAGGAGCCGGCTCCAACTCGATTCAGAGATCCGATTCGAGTAGAACATTCTCATTGTGCCTCTCTTCTCGGCCTTCGTGAACCACTTGCCCTTTCTCTGAAGGCACTGCACCACCACCACCACCACCACCACTCTCTCCGAACCACCTCCTCCTTCTCCTACACCCTCACTCACACCCCGGACCCCCAGTCTGACCCCCACGATGAGTCCCCCCGCGATCATCGCGCCCTCGATCCTCAGCGCGGACTTTGCCCAACTCGGCCACGAGTGCGCAAAGACCATGGGCCAGGGCTGCGACTGGCTGCACGTCGATATTGTAGGTCTCGGACGCCCGTTTTCTGGCCGCGAGAGGAGAGAGCAAGAAGACTGGAATGGAAGGGAGGGCCGAGCACGAGCACGAGCACGAGTAGAGCACTGCCAGAAAGACACACCCGCTGCTTGTACCGCTGCCCTTACCACTGCTTGTGGCACGCTTTGCTGAGGCAATTGCTAACTTTTACGGTTCCTCCGACGCACCGCAGATGGACGGCCACTTCGTACCCAACATCACGTTCGGCCCGCCTGTCGTGTCGAAGATCCGGTCACACGTGGAGAGGCCGAAGAGTCCGGGCGGGAAGGGCACGTTTGATTGTCATATGATGATTGCCGAGGTGAGAAAACGCTCCTCTGATATACTCACGCTCATGCTCACGTCCCCAGCCCCACAGATGGGCATCCACGTTCCGCGACGCAGGCTGCGACCTCTACTGCTTCCACTACGAAGCCGCCGTTTCGTCCGTAGCAGCCACAAAACCCGAAGATAAAGAGACCACGAGTCCCACGTCGCCTAAGAGGCTCATAAGATATATCCACGAGCTGGGCATGCAAGCGGGCATTGCGATAAAGCCCGAGACCAGCGTCGACGTGCTGTGGGATATCCTGGAGAATGAGAATAGAGAGGAGAGGCCTGACGTATGTACGCCACGCTTCGGTTGCGGCCACGCTGACACGTTCTGCGCACCCAGATGGTCCTCGTGATGACGGTACATCCCGGCTTTGGCGGTCAAAAATTCATGGCCTCGGAATTGCCCAAGGTCAAGGCCGTGCGCGAACGGTATCCGGACCTGAATATCGAGGTGGACGGCGGGTTGTCGGAGAAGACGATCGACCAGGCGGCGGATGCGGGGGCTAATGTCATTGTCGCTGGGTCGGCGGTGTTTGGGGCACAGGATCCCGGGGAGGTGATTCGCGCGTTGAGGGAGGCTGTTGAACAGAGACGGGGCGGCAAGTTATGATGGGGAATTACAGATTGATGGGCCATGGAAAAATGGCCATAGATTCTGAGGCATTCGGTGCGAGGGATTGCCGCGCATTATCAACGAGGTATGATGTATGAGGTGTAGGAACATAGAGCGAAACTTCCAAATCTGCAAATGGGGCAGCATGCGTGATTGGCGGGGCAGGCGTTTGTGTAGTCCTGGGTAATCTGGCCGTGCTAGTGTATGGCCCGATTCTTCTACAGCTGGTCGTAAAACAAGGTCCGAGATAGATGGAATGTAAATACCTAGGTACTGTGTGCGGGTGCATCTGGGACGTCGATCTTTGGAGTCTGGTACTTTCCCATCTCCTCGTACGCGAGATTGGGTAGAACAGATGCAGTCAGGACATAATATGGGCTGAGCATTACGGACCACCATCGACTGAGCCAAAAAGATCATTACTCTCCTGTTATTGATGCCGTAGCCAACCACCACGACTTGCGATGCATCGCAGCCAGCCTTCACTTGCTCACACAGCCTCACTACTGTGGTACACCCTAATAGCAATTGCCCCTCTTGACGCCTCGTCCACATGCTCCTGCGACCTAATACCCAGTCCTCCCCTTGACGACATTATACGCCCCGCCCGCCTTGCCAAACATATCCCTCAGATCCGCGACGAGATCATCAGGCCGCTCCCACGCAAAGAAGTGCCCCCCACGCTCGTGCCCCCTCTCGAACACGACATCGCCCTGCGTATGCGTCCACGTCGCCGGCAGCACCCTGACCTCGCGCGGCGCGTGCGTCAACCCCAACTTGACCCCGCCGCCAATATACTCGCGCGTGCGATCCCGAGTCACCCGCCTCGCCGGGTCATCCCACTCGTGCGTCGCCTCGTAGTAGATGCGAAAGCTCGCCGCGGGCCCCGCCGTGCTGAACCAGTAGATGCTGATCCACGTGCACACCTCGTCGTCCGTCCAAGGGTAAGAGTCGCTCCAGTCGTGCAGCTTCTCGTACACCCACGCGAGTAGCCCCACGGGGCTGTCGTGCACGGCATACCCCAAAGTTTGGGGCCGCGTCGCCTGCTGGGCGCGATAGCCTGACGACTCCGCCAAGAACCACTTTGTGCGCTGGAGCCCCGCGCGCTCGGCGGGTGTGTAGGGAGCCATGGCGTGCCGGACGGCCAGGGTCGGGTGCCGCAGGAAGGTCGGGGGGTTGCCTTGGTCGAAGTTGACGTGCGTGGCTTTGCAGTGTGTTGGGTAGTGCAGCGAGATGGCGCGTGTGATGTAGTACCCCCAGTCGCCGCCCTGGGTGGCGTACTCGGTGTACCCGAGCTTGAGCATCAATTTGTGGCATGCCTCGGCGTACTGGGCGATCGCGAAGCCCTTGCGCGTGGGGCCCTCGCTGAAGCCGTAGTTGGGCAGGCTGGGGGCCACGACGTGGAATGCTGGAGGCGTTGCGGATGGGCTGGTTTTGGTGGATGCCAGAGCCAGGTCGTCTAGCATCTTGGTCACTTCGATGAACGAGCCGGGCCAGCCGTGCACGAAGAGTAGTGGCACGGCATTCTCGACGTGGCTCCGGCGGTGGACAAAGTGGATCTTGAGCGGTTCGAAGCCCTGGACTGTGATGGACGTGCGGAAGTTGGGGAGGGCGTTCAATCTCTGCTCCGCGGCGCGCCAGTCGAAGGTGTCTTTCCAGTAGGTCGTCAGGCGTTGCACGTCGGCTAGGGGTGTGCCGTAGTCCCAGGCTGAGGAGTCGAGTTCCGTTGGGAAGCGGGCGAGGGAGAGCCGGGTCTTGAGATCGGCGAGTTCAGATTCGGGGATTGAAATGGTGAAGGGTTCGATGTCGGCCATGGTGCCAGCACGCAGTGCACGTGGGTAAGGGCTGAGCAGAAACAGAAGGACAGTGAGACTCAACGAAATGAAGTGATGGATGGGAGCAGAGATCAAAGCTTGAGGCTTGGTTCTGAGCCTCAAATCTCGGCCCTCAATCTTGAAATTGCAGGATACCTAGGTAGGGTGTATATGGTAGCGGTGGCATAGCAGGTTATAGATCAATAAACCAGTCAATGCATGTAGGGATCCGAGCTGCGTTTGTCAGCTTGAAGTACGGCTCCTCGACTAAACTTAGTTCTTGAGTCGGAACCTTTAAGAGAACGAGTCAAAGGCGCCATGTTAGGCCTGAGTTTTTCGTTGAAAGGAGAAAGAGGAGGAGCCGGAGGGCGTGATGAGAGATCTCGTTCGGCAATGATGTTCGGGTGGATTGGTGGTAAAGGTTGGAGATACGCGGGAGATGCAGAAGTCATGCAGTTGCGCCGTTCAGCACCCACATCGTCCATGTACATAACATAAGCAGGTGCAGTAAGGGCAAGTCACCTAGGTGCCAGTAGGTGGACAGCAACGAATACAGCACTGTGGGAGAGAGTAGTAGCCTGCCCAGAATCAGCAGTCCATCGCCGCGAATACGCCCTGAGCAATCATAAGTCAATAAACGCTGACTACACGGGATGCGAGACTGGACTATGCATGCGAGCGGCAAAGGACTTTTCCTAGTGACATTGATACCAGCCCATCTCAGTGACAAGCGAGAGCATACTGATGATACACTACAGTTTTCTGACAAATGTGGATAAACTCGCACCCGCGCCAGCTTACTCGTGCTGCAGAAGAGAACCTAATTCACAGGAGAACGACAGCATCCTCGCCACTAGAAGCTGAGTCCCAGTGGATTGGCAGCACGTGTAGGGTTTGGCCCTGGCAACTTCGCCTTGTTCGCTGTCGTCGTCGCTAAAGGTTTGGAAGCAGCTGCCGACCCGTTTGGCTTGACGGGAGTGGGTTTCTTCGCTGCGGCTGCGCCAGGCGGTTTCGCAGCACCGTTGACACCCTCAGCTGGCTTCTTCCTCATCGCCCCGGGGTTGGGTGTGACGGTTTTGGCGGCATTTTGGACGGGCTTGAGAGGGGCTGTAGGGGGTTTCTTGACAGGAGGGGCGCCAGCAGCCTTCTTCACCGCACCTGCTGGTTTCGCTCCGGGTGGCCCAGGCAATGCCTTCCTGGGCGTGCCAGGTTCGATCTTCTTCTGAGGCGCGGCCGTCTTGCTCGTCGTCATCAAGGTCTTGGAGTTGGCGGACGTGGGCGTCGTCGGCGGTGCTCGATAAACACCGCCGCCCGTCACCTGTCGTTTGCCGCCCGTCTTGCCTGCACTCAACCCTAATGGATTGCTCGCCGTTGCTGCCCTCAACCCGTCCGCTGATGTCCAGTCCATGATTCCATTTCCATAGTCCTTCACTCCGTCGCCATACCGGCGGATGGACCCGTTGATGGTCTCTCCCACTCCATTGATGCTATTCCCCAGTGCATTCACCGCTCCACCGGCAAAGGACCCGGCGCTTGACACCGTGCTGGACACGGTAGGAGCAAGAGCCTCTGAGACCTTGCCCAGAACCCACTGTGTTGCCATTTTTATGCAGAAACGGACTTCCTGGGACCGAGCTTCGGTGGCTTCCGCTTGCCCTCGCCTCCTGCCTGTGAAGCAGTATCGCTCGCGGTGTCGGTGGCTTTCTCAGCACTAGTTGGGGCCTGTTGCAGCTTCTGGGGCTGACGAAGGCTAGTCAACTTCTCTCGTGGTGGGGGTCTCGGTTGACCGCTGTGATCTTCGGGCACGGGCTTGGGGGGAAGTTTGGGAGCAGAGCGGACTTTCCACTCGGGTTTGGCCTTGGGAGCGGTCTGTCCTCGAGTGGCGGTGATGTTGATGAAGTCCTTGTCAAAAAAGATATCAAATGATACGTTAGGCATTGGGACAGAATCTGTACCTGGTCGTGGGCACAGACAGCAATAAAAGAGATTGGAGGATCCTGATGTCAAGAAGGAAGGGGGCACTTTTTCTAGCTTTGTAGAGCTCTCCTGCTCGATCGGCGCGGCCGGTACGAGTATGAGGAATGATATGGACAGTCGAGGACTCAATCTGGGCACGTCATCTGGCGTCCCTTGAAGTCTCACACCAGCACCGCCACAGGGTAGAAATCCTGTTTGTCGCAGCTGGCGACCGCCATAACCCTGTCTGGTTCAGCCTTTGACCGGGGTGTGCCCTCCGATTGCCCCTCATTGACCGCTGGAATCGTCCAATATGCGTGATCGGGCAAGAATAACTGGAGCGGGGGCCCTGTCCATTCGCCCATCATCAGTCTGCTTTCCCATGCGTGGTGCGAGCCCTGACGAGGACGATCGGAAAGCGAGCCTACCGAGCGCCACAAATCGAGGCGGTAGCTGCACGGCTCATTCCAGCCGAGGAGTGGAAACGGAATGCTGCATGCTCCAAGGCACCTGCTTGGGCTGATCGCCGTTACTGTGGTACTGTAGGATATGGACCCTGAGTGTGTACGTCAGAGTGGCGCCTCCCCAGCCTTCCATGAAATGATGCTATTCTATTGATGTGGCTGCTCGACAAGCACACGACAGTCATGGCGGCAGAGATGCAAACTTCGCCGTAGCAGCATCAACAACAACATGGCCGCCTCCAAGACTCCCGCCCTCGAGCCGGCGGCGGGCTTCTCGCTGGAGTCCCGGCCCAAGCGGCCGGATCGCGTGCCTTTGGCAAAAGGGGAATACTCGGTCGCGTCCCGAGCTCTGGGACTGGCAACCTACTTCCTTTCGGGAGCGCTGGCTATCAACATATCTCAATTCCTGGGGTCTCCACTGAAATCCATCAACGAAGACTGGTACAACGCATGGATTGCCTTCACCAAGCAGTCCTTCGGGCTGCTGACCATGACCTTGACCCAGACGTTCGCGCCGACCAAGGTGATCGTGTCCGGCGACGAGTCTGTGCGAGGTCAACTCTTGAAATCGACGGACGGGAATCTGATTTTGGATTTCCCGGAGCGGCTCGTCCTCATCGCGAACCATCAGATCTACACCGACTGGCTTTATCTCTGGTGGATTGCGTATTGCAACGGCATGCATGGTCGACTGTACATCATCCTCAAGGAGTCACTGCGCAAAATCCCCGTCCTGGGCTGGGGCATGCAGCTGAACCAGTTCATCTTTCTCAAGCGCAACTGGGAAGAAGACAAGCCGAACATGGCTAGGTCTCTGCAAAAACTCAACAAACCGACCGACCCGATGTGGCTGCTTCTGTTCCCCGAAGGCACGAATCTGGCGCCCAGCACGCGTGCGAAAAGCGCGGCCTGGGCGAAGAAGAACAACATCCCCGATTGCAGGCACACCTTGCTCCCACGGAGCACGGGCCTGCACTTCTGCCTCGACGAGCTGAAGGGCTCGGTCGAATACGTCTACGACGTAACGGTCGTCTACGCGGGCGTGCCTCGGGGTCAGTACGCCCAGGACATCTTCACCCTAAAGGCAGGGTACATGGAAGGCCGGCCTCCCAAGTCTGTTCACATGCACTTCCGCCGGTTCGCGGTCAAGGATATCCCGATACACGACGACAGGGCATTTGAACTGTGGCTCAGGGCCCGCTGGCGCGAGAAGGACGTGATGATCGAAGAGTACTATCAGACCGGCAAGCTTCCCGCCGACTACGGCGGCACGCGGTACAAGTCTGGCAAGGTCCTCCGAGGATGCGGACACATGGAGGTGCCCATCCGCGCGAGCCATTGGTACGAATTCCTCCAGATTTTCGCCCCCATGGGCATCCTCGCCATGATCCTGTACATTTTCTACGGCGATCTGCCGCAGCGGTTCTGGAAGAGTATCAACAAACAGGCGCTGCGGGCAGGGACACAAGACCTGCGCAAAGCCGGCGCGCAGGCCGGGAAGGGGGTCAAATCTGCAGGATCGTCGCTGGGAGGACTGACACTGGACGATTTCTTCCAGCCGGGCAAGCAGGAGGAGACGTTCAAGGCCGGGGCCATGGCTGTGCAGAGGCTCATCACGTCGCCCCAGGCCCAGACTTTACTCAACCGCGCGGACTTTATGCAAGCCTTCCTGTCCGACCCGACGAAAATGGTCCAAGACACCATTACGGACAAGCAGCAGAGTTTCATGCAGCAGCTGGCTCAAGAGGAAGCGAAAAGGCAGCAGCAGCACTCCAACGCCACTCCTCCGGCGGGGACCGGCTTCGTCAGACCCATCCCGAGCAGGTCATCATCCGGAGGATCAGTAAAGGGACCTCCCGCCACCAACAAGGGCAATTTCTACAACCAACTCAATGCTGAGGAGAGGAGCAGGGGTGGGTCCGTCGCCTCAAACGCAGCAAAGAAGGGAACATTCTATGACAGCTTGAAAGCCGAGGAACAGAGCCGTCGCCACTCCGTGAAGCAATCAGATGCAACAGGAAAAGGTACATTCTGGCAGGACCTGAAAGAGGCAGAGGTCAAGAGAATCGGTTCCGCCCCTGCGGCGAAGACGCCCCTGACGAGCAAGAATCTCGCATCGAAAGGGACTTTCTGGGACGCGGTCAAGAAGGAGGAGAATACCAGGATGGGCACGGTGGTGACGCTCTCCAGCAATGCAACCACGGCTGTAGCTTCGCAGAGCTCCAAGTCTTCTTCCACTTCGCCACCCAAGTTGGGGCCCAAGAAAGCGGGCTCAAGCGCCGTGAAGCAGAATAGCCCAAATGTGGCGAAGGGGCAAAGATCTGTGCAGAAACCATCGAGTGCCACTCCCACAGCGGTCCAGAAGCAAAAAATGTCGGAACCAGCATCAGGACCGTCGATGACGAAGCCGGGCCCCGTATCGTCAACGACTCCGGGCGTGAAGAAGGGCGCGTCATCGGCTGTTTCTAGGCAAAGTGCTACGAAGCCAGCATCAACATCAGCATCCGCCGCGAAGCCTCCGCCAAAGTCGACGCTGGCAAACACGGGACCCCCAAAGCCACTGGCGCCAATCAAGAAGCAGCCGACAGCAACAGCTCCAGCGACGCCAGCCTCGAAGCTCGCGGCCCAGAAGCCCGGGACCACGCCGGCAGCCACAAAAGGAGGAAAGAAACCGACCCCGAAGGCAACAACCAATCCGAGTCCCAGCAAGAGTACTGGCCCGCCGGCAGTGAAGAAGCCACCAGCGCCAGCATCCAACGCTGCTGGGCCGCCGAAGTTGAAGACGATGGCAAAGAATTGAGTCGCTGCCTGCACAGCACCGCATGCATGCCGGGTCGACCTTTATGATTTTGACGCTTTCCCTTTTTTTCCCAATGTACTGTGTGTAGATGCGGGCGAGCGGGCCTGCTGGTTTGGTTCGTCTTTGTCTGATGGATTGGTATTCGAAACGGGCCAAGGTCTCTGCGGCGTGAAGCGAGTGTGTCCCATGTACTCCTTAGGATACGGATGATACCCGATGACATCCCTGGCACCCACCTGGACTTTGTGGCTTGTAGCTCACCTGCGCAGGCGAGTAGCCTGTACCTTTCAAGACCCCGCGTGCCCTTGCTCGACTTGGGGCAGCCAACACGATATGTGTGGTGCGTTATGTGACAAACGTGGTGAACTCTAGATTTTCATCTTAGTTAATGTTGATGCTTGTGATGTGTTCCCTTCGTGATCCAGCCTGCTGCCAACCTGCCAGGCAGTCAACGCAAGAAGTGCTTGCAGATTGATGTATTGTCCGTCGAGCCACAATGTTGTCCCCATGATAGACACTCCACAGTGCAGTGACAATACCGTGCCTTGCTGGCTCCTCAATTGCTCGCTCCTTCATTTACTTACTCACTCACTTCACTCACTTGTCACCAGGCAACCCATCTCTCAACCCATTCAGCTCGGGAAATCCATCTGACTTAACTCAACTTCCCAGTTCGTCCGACGCGATTGATCTGCGATTCATTCTATAGCCCCTCATGACACCTCGCGTCCCTGTTCACCTTTCTGTTTGCGGACCACTGGCAGCCGAGCGGGTTTGTCACTCGCTCACTGCCGGAGTTGAAGAAGTATAAGTGTCCCCCATGCCCTCGCTCTTCGGTTGGAAACTATCTTCAGCAGCATCTTGATATCTTTGACCTCGTCGTCCTCATCGTCGTCCTCCTCAGCTCGTAGACTTGTTCTTCTGATTTGCCAGATCCGGATCTTCTGGCCCACGTGGACACCACATATCAATTTGAGCGATTGGGTTGACGCCTGTCTGTTGCGAGTGGTCGGCCTAAGCCAGAGGTTGATCCTCGATTTGCAGGAGGCCCGTTCAATATTAGACACACGCCATACAACCATCGAATCCCAGCTCTGATTGTCTGCAACGATGTCTCAATCACTGTTGTCTCTGTCTCCGACCAGCCTCAAGAAGTAAGCCTTCTCTCTTTCTGATCTCAAAATCCTTCCTTACCCAAAAGATGCCCTGCACCTCTCGCTCTATATCATACCTAGTATTGAGTTGAAGCCGCTGACCATCATATTAGCCTCAAAGCCGGCGAGACCATCACGATCTGGTACAAGGAGAATGACAGTACCGACACAGTCAACAAGAGAATCCTCTTCGAAGCATTTCCCAAGAACGTCGCAACCACCTTCTCCACCACATGGAAGGCTGAGTTTCCGCCATTGAAAAAGATGAGAACCGACGACATCCTCAAGAACGGCTCGAAGAAGAGTGTGACTGTCGTGGGCGGGAACTTCAAGGTCTGGAAGGATATCCTCAACTGGATGCTGGCTTCGTGTGAGGGCAAGGGACTTGAGCAGCTCAAGATCCCCAACGTCAAACCATTCACCTACCTCTTCATCCTCCGCGCATGTGCTCGTGTCATTGAGTGCGAGCACCTTGTCACAGAGGCCAATCGTCACATGGATCGCATTGCCAAAGTTCAGATCCACTCCGAAGATGTCCGTGCCCTCTGGTTTCTCAATCCTCCTGATGCGGAAATGAGACAATTTCTCGCCGAGCACGTCGCCATTCGCTTCTGGGAGAAACGACTCAAGGCATACGGCGCGTATCGAACCTTGCGCACGGAGATTCCAGAATTCAACCAGGCGATCGATGAATTCTGCAACATGAAGAAGGCTGAGCGCGCTGAAGAGAAGAAGAAGCTCTGGGAGCAGAGAAAGAAGGAACGAGAGATCAAGCGAGCGACGGGCTATGGCCGATCAGGGAGGACTGCCGGTGACTGGAAAGGCAAGGATGGAAACCGGAAGGCCGAAGAGTCCCAGGATGGGGGAGAAACCAAGACCGTCACCTTGAAGATGGAAGTGGTTCGCAAGGGCACCAAGAAGCAACCGACTTACGCAAAGTTGGATTTGGGGGCAATTGGCCTGAACAAGCAGCAATTTGTGGGTGGCAAGTAGACGACCTTCCGGGAGATCCGGTCATGGTGCTCTTGGTGGGATCCGGACACGACTTGAGGACACTCCTGGGTATTGGTTGGGTTGGCGGCAGCGGGGCGGAATTGGTTTTTGGCGCACAAGCTTGACGCGGCCGGCTGTATCTTCTTTTGGCGGTTTTGATTTCCGGTGGTTATGTCTGATTGTTGACCACCAGAGGCAGCAAATGAGAAGCAAATGAGTGTCAGGCAGATCAGCCAGCACAGCCCTCCACAAATACACATTCGGCCATTTTGGATATTATACCATTGTCTGCTCATGTTTCTCGACCTCTCCTTTGCATACATCCTTGATGACTTTGTGGGATTGTCAGACCAAAGGCGAAATGGCCACAGGTGAAAGTCGCGCCCGTCAGGCAGGGTTCCATTCCAAACTGCCTCTTTGAGAGTACCGTAGGACGTAGGTCCCGTCAGCAGAATCGGGAGTCGTGGCAGCGAGGATCAGGACAAGGTCAGGAAGTAGGAAGGCAGTCCACCAGGACGGGATGAAATTGGCGGTCGCGGCGGGCTTTTCTTCGTGGAATTGCTGCTAGCTGTAGAACACTATGCCTTCCATGGAAACGGTCAGGGCCGACGAGGTGTGCGAAACAGCAAGGGCGAGGCGAGGTCGAGCCGCTGACCCAAGGTGGTCGTCGTCGACATTTTGGCATGGCGGGGTGGGATATCCTATGGAGGTTAAATTGGGGAGAGCCAGACTTTCATATACTTTCTGCGGCCGTCAAATGCCCCAGGAGAAAGAAGTCATATCTCAAGCATTGTGGACATCGGCAGGCATCGGGCTCCATGGAGGTCTCGGATGCAAGTCTGGACAGAAACGGCAGGGATAGGATCATGTTGACATGCGCCGAAGTTGGGTACATTCAATGTCACTTTGCCGGGTTCGAAAATCCAAGCATTCGTTGCATGTCCGCAGCTGCGGCCTGTCAGCCGTTTTGGTGGCACAGCATATGCAAAGAAGTCTGTAACAGAATCCATCGGCGTGCAGCAAATGGCGACCAAATAATAATGCATATCAACATTGTAATCTCCATCGTCCCGTCCTCCTGCACTGTCGCCCAGAAGTGCTTACGATCTTGCTGCTACTGTAGACTACCATCATTAGTACTGTGCGCAGTCAGTTCTCCTGTTCGGCGGTGGTGACAAGCTTCCCTCACAGTGAGGTTGTGTTTCAGGGGCATCAAAGCCAACCGAGACATGAAACTGCCTACGGCTAAGCGTCTAGTGGCGTCCCAGGCGGTTTCCTTTAATCGAATAGCGGCGCCTCCATGCTTGAGTCTAGCCCGAAAGCCTAATTGGTGTGACCCAGACCCGCTAGAGCCGCTCCTTGAGCATCCCCAGAAAAGCACGATGCCCGAACTCTATCCGATACTTCCGCTGCAGGCAGGTTACTGGTTTGATTTGCAGACGTGCAAGAGTTCATATCAATTTCAGTCGCTCAATGCGTACTAGGTTCCCAGTGTAATGGTGTGCAGTTCTTGTGTCGGTAGCCATTTGCTTGGACGAGGTTCTCTAATGAATATCCAGTCCTCCTCTCTCAGCGCTTCCCCTATCTTCACCCTGTCTAATAATCTGCTGTGTACTCCGTACTCCGTCTGCATCGTGGAGGTCCAGCATCATCCCTGACAGATGCAGTGCATCGATCCGATCGCCCGTACGAATATTGTGGCGCCAGTGGTCCTCTGTACCGCCTCACGAATCCATCACGAACCCACCACTTACGATAGGTTTGGCGTCTCGGCACCAGCTCCAAGCGAACCCTGGACACTCTTTATCTCCAGACCGTGATCGGCATCCCATCCCTGTCCCCAGGCCAAAATTCCACTGCAGCCGACATCTTCACGACTCACGCGTATTTTGCCCACCACGTTTTGTTGGCAGCTGGAGGACAGTCACAGTTGTGGTGAAGATCGAGGCAGCCGCATCTGCGCTATTTCCTGGAGACCGGGGCACGGGCAGCCGTTGGCCAGGGTGAAGAATGCCCATGCGGCCATGCCATCTGGTAAAATAGGATCATCTAATATTTGTCGACCCATAGCTCCGCCATGTCCACCGAGCCATAGAATCTCACGTTCTTCGTGTTGATCTTGCGACCTGTATTGGAAACCGGAGGAGCCTCGTCGTGCAAACAAACAAGGCCGAGGGACATTAAAATTATCACTCAAAGGCTTTCTCTTTCTGACCGCGATCTCTTACCACGAACATGGCGCCAACAACAGAACATCCGGACTCTTCTCGGCCACTTGCAGATTACTTTTGGATAGCGGGTTTGGATAGTCAGCAACTTGTCGACGCTTTCTCCCAGCAACGGTGGTCTCATGATCTCGTCGAACAGAATGGCGTCGAATCGACAATCAAGGAAGAGGCCACTCCCGAATTCGACCAGTCCTCGATCATGCAGTCACCTCGAGGTTCAGCTAACCACTCCCGGCATGACTCGTACCAGAGACTCTCTCAACTATCCGATGAGGCGAAAAGTACAATTCAGAGTCTCGATAGCGCGACCAGACCCCGAAGTAATCGGAGCAGTATGACAGTCCGGCCTGCTGATGCTGCACCTAACTTTCGAATGTCCTCAGCCATATCTGAGGCCGATTTTGACAAAGCTATGAACAAATTTGCCACAGATCGCGACGAATTCTACCTGGACCTGAGCTTTAGCCCAGCTGAAACAGCTAAACTGACGCGCTCAAAATCACACCTCCGGGCACAGAAGATTGTCGCCCAGGGCGAACCGCCTCCTCCTCCCAACCGCAACTTTGGGAGTATCCGCAGACACTTGTCGTTCAAGGACATGTCCAGCACGAAGCGCCAATTGTCAGTGGCCCGGCGAACATCGACTCGCACCTCTCGCAGAATGAGCAGCTATAATTCAGTTATTCCCAGCCCAGACGCTTTTCACAGTTCACCGGACCAGTATCCCTTGACGAGAAAGTTCGAACCTGCTCTGCTCGAGAGGTATCCCCGTTCGACCACTCCTGAGCAAGGTCTGAAAAGAGGACCATTTCCAGACTACTTACCGATGTTCGCCTTTCCAAACGACATCAAGGTAGTCTCATCCGATATCAAACCGAGATCCAGCTGGCACGAATTTTCCATGACTGCCGCAGACAGTTCTAGGCTCACGGCAGTGTCAGTCACCGTATGGCTTCCAGTAAGCCGTGACATCGCAGCTGCATTGGACGTGAAATGCGATGAGTGGCGGAAAGCTCATATGTCCGAGGCCGAACGGGAAATGGCAGCGTCACTTGCGGAGAGGCTAGCAGTCGAAAGCACCAAGCTCTCTAGCTTGCTCACCCAATTGCCTCAAGTCTCCCCGGATTCTCACGATAGAGAAGCCTTAGAAGAGGAAATCAGCGCGGTTGAAGAGAAGATCACTGTCATGTCTGATATGCTGCGGCCACTTCGCCAGAAGTCAGAATCAGATATCCAGGGGCTCATGACCGCAGAGACCAAATACTGGATTCCAAGAGCTTACGGCATCTTGGGGAGCGACAGTACTCTAGCTAACTTCTGGCGGCAATGGCTGCGGGCGATTGTCGTCCCCATGACTGATGGTGGAGTGCTGCGAGTGCCGGCCAGTTCTCCCAAAGTCGGCATGTGGCTGCCTCTCGAGAGATATGTCGCCACACTATGTCTCGAGGCACCGCGTCCCGTGTCGTCCAAAACCCAAGTCCAGACCTCCATCAGAGAACTCAAGCTCTATGCGAAGAAAGAAGCGGCAAACGAACTCCCAGGCAGTCGTACCACCGACTTGTACCCCCTCTTCAGAACCCTTACCATACCTAATATCGTCCTTTTGCTTGAATACGCCTTGGCAGAGTCGAGGATTATTCTGCTCTCATCCTACGTCGGGATGCTGCAGCTCGCGAGCAAAGCGATTTTGGAACTCATCTGGCCTCTGGAATGGACGGGTGTCTATATTCCAGTGTTGCCGTCGCGACTGGTGCAGGCGTTGGATGCCCCGTGTCCGTATATCTGTGGCATTGACCGCAAATACGAAAAGTACGATGTCCCCGACGACGACTATGTCTTGGTTGACCTGGACAAGAACGAGTTGCACAGTACAGCACCACCGCCCTTCCTGCCGAAGCAGCAACGCCGGAAGCTGATGTCCCTACTCTACCAAGCCGCGCCACTCCATCAGAGCTTCGGTGTAACGCCTGGACCACCCGCGTATGCCACCGAGACGTTTCCGTACGATGCCTTTTCAGCGGAGATCGAGTCCCCGTTTACTGCCGTTGCCAAGTCAACGAACTTGAACAAACTGGCCAGTCTCAGCTCCACCATGTTCGGTCCCCAGGCAGCCACGGATACCATTCGCCGGGCTCCAATGCTCAATGTGTTCTTGGCCTCGACCCCAACGAGGGGCAAAAGTGCTGACCGACCGAGAACATCATCAACGACACGCCAATCAATGGTCACAGACTCGGACAGCCAATCCCCCGTCACTAGCAACTTCCCTGTGACGCCTGCTTCTGCTTCTGCGTCGCCGCGGACCGACTCGGGATACACTCTACAGACGTCTCTGAGAGAGAAGCGGTCCGGACACTTTGACTCGCTCTCGAAACGAAGCTTCTCTGGGTCTACCCATATGCTTCGGAAGGCTAGCATCCCGTTTGTGAAACATGCCGCGAGTCCCTCCACGAGTACTACACTGTCAGACAACCGAAACGGATCCACGTACGCGCCTTCTACGTATGCTCAATCGACTCTGGCGGCGTCTACAATCATGCCTGGGGCGAGTGCACAGCCTGTACGCAATGGCGAAGGCACATACTGGTCAGAAGGTCACTGTTTACAGTGGAAAGCCGCTGATGGTCCCTCCACCTGCGTCCTTTGCGATGACAAAGCTCAAGATGGGTTCTACAGATGCTGGGGCTGTGGGTTCGTCATCCATGATCGCTGTGCCGACCAGATTTCCGTTGTCTGCTCCGCGGCCTTTTACCCTGATCAGGTCCGCACGGCGTTCGTGCGGTGCATGGCAAGCCTGTTTTATACTTATCGGAGATTTATGCAGCCCGCGACTGCACAGAAGAGGAAGCTGGGCTCGGTCTTCACCTTTGACAGCAGTGCTTTCATCAAGAGTCTGACTCCTGACCACGCTGCATACATGGAGATGCTACAGCAAACACAAGCCTGGAATGAGTTCATTATGGACCGCGAGGAGAAATCATCCAAGCCGTCCATTGCGCTCTTCGACGCCATCATCACGGCAAAACGCGGCCGCGCGGGACTCCGGTCCAGCCTTCCGAACATTGGTTTCAACCGCAGGAGCTTTTCGCCGCTCTCCACCCCGGCACCCACGCGGACTGACATTCTCTCGGACACATCCCAGCATCAGTGGCGGATAGTCTCCGTGCCGTCAAGCTCGGAGCGGCCTGAGCTGGGCTCGGCGGCAAAGGGACGTGATTATCACACCATCATCACACGGAAGCCAGCCAAGCTCGAAGAAGGGTTGTTCAAGCAAGAAGAAAAGCTTCCCGATCTACCAACAATCCCTCGCAAGAAGTCGAGAATGAGTGTTTTGACCGGCAAGCTGAACGGTCTGGGTATGCATGCCCCCTGAGCTCCACAACGTCTGGCGCATCACATCCTCAGTGCAGAACGTGCAAAGCGACCAACGATGGCAGGCTCCTAAGCTGCTCTTCGTCGTGTCAAGAGATTGCCCGTGCTGAGAGCACCCCGTTCTCCCATCGTGGTGCGCCACTGAATAGCGAGCTGGCCCAGAACTGCTCGTCCGTCTCGCCTCAAACTACTCTTCACATCCTCCAGACCGTCTGAGACGCCTTCTTGTTGCTCAACAAGGAACGCGACTTGTAAAACATCGCGCGGCTTTAGCAAAGGGCGCTCCCCACTATCTTCAATATCCTCCTCAGCATCCCAATTGAGCGAAGTCGATTTGAATGGCGGCCTCGATTGTAGCCTCGTCTCCTCCAGAACGACTCCTGCGTCTGACACATTCTCTAGCTGGGCTTCCAATACATACCGAAGCAATGCCGTCCTGCCATATGGGCCATACGTCTTATCGACAACCTCCGCGGTCTCCAGCTCAGTGGCCTTGGTCCGGACGCTCAAGCACGGCTGAGCCAGAAACTGATACAACTTGCGAAACGACCGTACTCTGCCGCTTGTCGCTTGACCATCGCCTGTGGTCTCAGTATAGCTTACATTCACGGCCAGGACATGGTTGCCTTCTTCCTTCAGGTCGAATCGGATTATTCTCTGCAAGGCGCTCCCGGGTCCGTCCTCGTCCGCTATGCCCTCGGCGGCATGGAGCTCCAAAGGCACAGCCTGTGACGGAGTTTGCATCTCTGCAAGGATCCGAGTTCCGGAAACCGTCTTCAGGTTCTGGTCGGGCCGAAGTTCATTGTTGGCACATAGCGCGCAGGAGAAGGTTTCGCCGACGTGAGCAGATCCGAACGACGGTGGCAAGCCCAGATTGCTAGATAAGAGGAATTCTTGGTCCATGGCCTCAGCGGGATATGCGAGGGACGCCGTGTGGAGTATGTTCGTCCCATTCTCGCGAGGGAAAGGGTGTTGCTGTACAAGTGACGGTCGCGAAAGCCTACAACACGGATGGGGCATTAATTGGATGAAAACACGGGAGTTGGATACCACGAGCCGAGAAAAAGTACCGGGCTCAACCGACCTTAGCACTGTAGTTTCAATGTGTATTAGCATAAGCGAATAACATAGCTGTCTTTGTAAGAACAAAAGTATTTGGCTTCTCCCGACGTGGGTGCACTACGTGATGACATACCTTTCAGCGACACGGAATGAGGCTCTTTGGGGAAGTTTCCCGTGTCGGCTCGAGCTCGAGCCATGAGCTCAACCTGACCTTCAAATGGGTATTGTGACCGGTCCAGTCGCCGAGAGATAAGTGATGGTTTCGAAGTACTAAGTATCTATTCATCGAGCCTTTGCTACGTGATGCGTTGGCCTTGGCCTTTCCGGCTGGAGATTCTGTAGGTGAAGAAGGTGAGGCCGCAAAGAGGCAGGAGTGAGGTGAAGCGGAGGTGAAAGTGGCGCCGGGAGTTTCCAGCGAGCTCGCCCGACGACCTCGAAGCAATTCGCCCACTCATTAATTAATTACTCTGTCCACTTCTCTCTACGGAGAATTCAGAGACGACTTCTCTGGGCATGCTTTACCATGGAGATCCCTCGAGGCTGCTGAAGTCATGTCGACTGTCTCTGTGTCTGTTGAGTTCTGGAATTCAATGGTCTGAAGAATCTTCGCTTTCCCGAGCTCAGTTGGGCTCCGTCCCCTGCAACAGTTTCAGCTTTCAGCTTATCACCCATGTGATTTAGCGATTCAGGCTCCCCAGCTACTCTTTGCAGGCTATTGCAGCCACTGAACCACGTTATCTTTTTGTATCCAATAGCTTTTCCCAATTCCAGTCCGATCCTGCGTCGGCCGCCTCTCCTCAGGCCAGCCTGCGCATGATTAATGCAGTCCTATTGACTGCCTTACTAAGATGTTGTTGGGTTAGGTCCACCTCTCTCCCAAATGGTGGTGACCTTGGCCCTGGCCTGCCCAAATATATCATCGCAAAAGACGTTTGTCTTTCTTACGTCCTGTTTATTGGTTGCACAAGTACAGGGTATCAGCGCCTCTACGCCGCCACTAGCCGGCGGACACATGATCCGTTCCAGGACCTAAAAGAGCTTCGGTACGGAGTACTCAGCCTCACAAACCCATGGCCGGTCGAATCTCTTCGCAGGTCTGTCGGCCTCAGTCTGCTGGCAACTTTCACCTTCAATATCAAGACAATACATACGAGCCACGTCCAAAATCTGAGAACGAACACCATGGCGGCTGTAAGACAGCCTCAGACTGCGGCCGCTCTGTCACCGGCGGAGATGGAGTTGAAATCAATGTGGCAGGAAGCCGAACTCGAGTTCGGCCAGTTGACCAGGCGCAGTTTAAGAACAGACCGAGAGAAGCGCCTGGATGATGTTCTCGCAGAACTCGACAAAAAATATCGAGCTCCAGAGGATACTGGTAAAAAGGCGAAGTTTCGGGCCACTGTCGCACAGGTACTCAGCTGCATCCAACTGCTGGGCGGTTTGGCCGCAGAAGGTGCATCGATCGTGTTCGGACCCGCCACTCTATGCTTCAATGCCATATCGTTCTTGATTGACGTCCCGGGAAAGATCGCCAGTGTCTACGAGGGTGTCGGTAGCCTGTTCGAGGAAATCTCACATTTTCTTGTCCTATTCAAGATCTATGGGCATTACACCACGCTGGACCCCGAACTTAGAGATGGCATTCACAAGCTTATGATGGTCAGTCCTTTGTGACATTGTGCCGTACCGACCGGCATATGTGTCTCAGCATTCCTTCTGTCTGTGAAAGCAGCTAGCTGATCCCAACTTTGAGAGAACATTAGTCTATGATCCGGATCTGCGGATTGTCGATCAAAATCATCGAGGGTGGGCTCCTTCATCACATAAAGATCGGAGCGAAAGTCACCTTTTTGAATGATGACAGTGGTGTCAGGGCTGAGCTCGACAAGTTCAAAGCTCTGATTGGCAAGCAAAGTAACGTCACAGAGGCCGTCACCCTGCAACACGTCCTCAGCAGCGAAGGCAAGCTGGTGGAGGTCCTCAACACTCAGTATGAGAATGCCGAGAAGCTCAGCAATCTGGAAGGGAATATGAACATCGTCGTTGCGGATGTGACCGACCGCAGGATGCAAGTCATCCTCTCGGAGCGGGTGGAGCAGATGGCGACGATGTTGTCTATGACCAGGGACTCTGCCGAAGAAGCGAGGAAATTGACGCTAAACATGATAGATAATCTTCTTCCAGGGAGTGGACAGTGGTTGCTGGACGATGAGGACTACAAAGAGTGGAAGAGCCCTCTTAAAGACACGATCCCTCTGCTTCTTCTGTCGGGAGATCCAAAGACTGGCAAATCTTCCCTGTTGGCAAGTATCGAGAAAGACCTGCGCATAACTACCACTACCCCGGATGTTGCCATTGCGTATCATACATTCACCGGACGAGATGCGAAAGGCTCGAAAGACAAAAACAAGGACGAGTTAGTGTTCGCACTCAAGTCAATGGCCCTCCAATTGGCTGGCCAGTATAGACCTTATGCCAAAGAGATGGCCGCTCTCAAAGAAGGGTTCAAGCCGCCTGAGGTCGGCAAAGAGAAAGATCCCATCGAGAAGCTATGGTGGGACAAGCTGCATTTTTCGAGATATTCCCAAACAAAGGACGAGGCCAATTTCGTTCTGGTCTTCGATGGACTTGACGAGTTGTCAGAGACGAACCGCGCAAGATTTCTCAAACTCATCAAGACCATCCGGGACGAAGCTCGCACTCCGACCAAGACAGTTCGACAACATATGCGCATCATCGCGGCGGGCGACGCGAAAGTGTTTGAGAACAGATTTGAAACCATAGAGATTTCCGCACGCAATTCGTCCGACATCAGCTTGTACATTGAGGAAGAACTGAAAACCACTGAAGCTCTACAGGGACAACATGCGGAAATGCTCGCGCTACTCCAAGAGGTCCGTGAAAGTCTGCCGGCTGTCGCACAGGGGTCTTTCTCTGTTGTCCAACAAAAGCTGGAAAGGATCAAGGAGGCCGTCGACTCCGACGCGTATCTGGATGATGTTCGGACTATCTTGTGGGAGGACCCTGCTGAAGATTCAGGAAAATTGGCCAAGAAGGTCCTTGGCGACCTCAACGCCAGTCTCAACGCCCACGAGATTGCCGAGTTGAGCGTGCTGCTGCATTGGTGCGTCTTCGGATTCGAATTTCTCACAACGGATGAACTGAGAGCCACCGTCTTCTTGAATACGGGAAAGTCTTCGTTGCAACCATTCGAGAGAAAGCTCAGAAAGAAATACACGAAAGTGCTCAAGATTGAAGGGGACCAAGTGTTGGTGGAGCCGGAGATTGCACGACTATTCACTCTTCAGGGGAGCTCCAGGTGGGACAATGAGACCTCCTCGAGCCTCGACAACGCCAGAATCACCATGACTGTATCTATCAATCAAGCGGACGTGCGCACAGTGCAACAATTCTTCTGGGATCTGACTGAGCGTGTCGGCATTGGCAAGTTCGATTTCCTCACCATGTCCAACAACGATAGCAAGGGCACCGTCCGCACCGATAGGGCTCAGGCGCACTACCATATTACAGAGCAATTGCTGAGACTTTTAAACGACGAGCCCCACGAGAAGACGCAATGCCTTGTTCCGTATGCGATGCGAGAACTTCCCTCGCACCTCAAGGAGGTCTACGACTCGTTGGGCACAGTTGAGCTGGAGGCTACCCAGCGAAGGAACATAGCCAAAAGCCTTGTAGACCTCCTGGCCGATGTGGAGGGTATAGAGAGGTTCTGGAGCGCCGAGAATGTAGTATCCTGGGACTGGTTAGAGCCCAAAAACGCAGCCGTCGTCGAAAATTGGCTGACCGACTCAAATACGGTTACTGCACTCCAACCGCGAGAGCGACGATGGGTAAGGAATCACACAGCATCCACTGAGGGCAAGGGAGGTGTTTTCAAGCCCATCACTTTAATGGTGGCAAGACGTTGGCTCCGCGATCGTACTTGGTGGGCGAGTTCAGCATTTATGTGGATCCATAAATACTTGCTACTGGTAGGCTCCATCCCTCACACAAGGGATGTTGACATACTAACCAGCCGGCAGCAAAACTCAAATGAGGTGCAGGAAGCCGATGCGGTGTACGTCAAGGCTACGATAGAGCCTCAAGAGACCGTGGAAGGTACATCTGGACCAGAAAGTATTGCTGCGCCAGAACGATCGCTCGAGGAGGACGTCTTTGATGCTGCAGCATGGGTGCAGCAGGCCCTGTCGCTCAACGATGCGAACCTGGACGCATTATGGTACGAGCGTATTGCGGAGACTTTTGCCCAAAACTATGAACCTGCGGCCGCAAAGCAACAATGTGAAAAAGCGAAAGATCTAGGTGGTGGGTGGTCGGTCGATGAGATATGGGCAGTGGCTGTGGAGAATATGAGTCAAGATGAGGGTGACCTCGTGAGGAAGGAAGAGTTAAGAACATTGGCATGTTCCAGGCTTGAGACGGTCGTCGAACACCTGAGGTCGTCTTTTCAAACACCCGAGGCGGAAGATGATGCGCGACAGAGCCTTGTACGAAACCTAGTGAGACTGGCAGATTGGCAGGCAGAACTGAAATGCCTCGATCGCGCATTCACACTGTACGAGGAAGCGCTCGCCATGGACCAGGGGAACCATTTCACCCGTGGCGTACTCCTCAAAGCCATCTATGCGGAGCAAAGAGAAGAAGAAGCCAGGAACATGCTAGCTCGGATGGTCAACCAAAAGGAATCGTCGTCAAATCTGGACCTCTTCGCGGCCTTTCTCTTGTATCTTGCTGTGAACCAGAACACATCCTTCTCACTGGACCCGCTTACCATCATCATATTCCTGGGTCAGCCGGATAAAGCTTTCAACAGTCACGTCCTCAAAGCCATCGAAACGGCGATTGCCGACATTAGGGGGAGCAATGCGATCACTGAAGGTGTGCTCCTTCTATATCAGGGCGTATGTCTGGCCCGGGGTACCTCAGAGGAGTCACACATTCAACAAGCCATCCGATGCTGGGACGACTGCCAATCTCTATACATCCCATCAAGCTACGACTTGGAAACGACCCGTGAAATGGCCGCACGCTTTGTAGCGCAGCATTTCTTCCACCAAGCCAGGAATCCAGAGATCTCGCCGGAAGAACGAGAGCAGAACTTCCGACAACTTCTCAGAGTCAACCGCCCCGCCTCGCTATGGCCTAGTAGCTTTCAACCCACCTCCTATCTGGCATCTTACTACGTTCTACAGGGTCAAGTAGAAGAGGCACGGAAGCTATTCAGGGAGGATATGATTGCGGCGCTTGTCATCTTGTCCGACCATGATCCGGACAACGATGTCTTCGGGTATAAGACTATGGCCAACATCCTGATGCATACGGGCGACGACCTCAACGCGCTGAGTGCATGGTCATTGCTCGGACCTGATGACGTTTTCAAGATCCCCGACCAGGAAGCGGACGCCAACAGAGGCTCCGATAGCACTAAGCCGCAGGAGCTTGAGGGCTTTGGTGACGCCGAGGGGGTAGAAGTTGAGGCCTCATGCATCGACGAAGACGCTGTCATCAAGGATGCTGGTGACCGTAATGGTCCAATCTCGTATAGTTGCGACGGCTTCTGCGAACACAACTGGTGGTACGCCAACGATCTCTATGTGTGTCGATACTGCCCGGACACGCAATTTACCGAGGACTGTGTGCAGAAGCTGAAGGCTAACAAGTTGGAACGATACATATGTGATCCTGGACACAGCTGGCTTCACGTGCCGAAATGGTCTGATCAAGATGCTCTAGAAGTTGGGCAGGGTAAAGTTCGTGCGCATGGGCAACTTGTGGATGGAAAGAGAGTTGGTGGAGACATCGTCGAGATACAGCAGTGGCTGAATGAGATTCGAGGCATTTGGCGTCTGCCAAAGCTAGAGGAGCCGGTCACATAGGACAGTAGCAAGGAGATGGACTGGGCCACGTCAACAGCAGAAAGGCCGAGGGAATTGGACATGATTTGATTTCTTCTATCTTGGCACTCCTCGTGGACACCACGCAGTTGGGAACAGAGAGGATGAATGCTGCCTGGTCGCATCTGCTTTACTCCACAACCCAGCTCAAAGTTCACAAGAAGTCAAAAGACGGACGACATATAGGACATATCTGAAAAGCCTGAACATGGTACTCGACGCACCTGTTGACACAAGGAACACGGGAACGGCGTTCTCGACGTGCACAAAACTGCTTGAACCGCTCCTCCAAAGATTACCAACCCCGCTTTCCACTGGTAGAAGCCTCACAGTCATGTTTGCGTAATGTCGGTTCTCATTAGATTTGTCCGTAATCGAGCTGTACTCTGTATTCTTCGTGGTTTCTTGTCAGTACCAGAGTGTTGAATCGAGGCTGGGAGGCGAGGCTGAGGTGACGCCCGTAAACGGCTTAGCGTGCGAATAGCTCTCGGTTAAAGCAGCATCTCCACCCTCGTTGCTGGGGCGCCCCCTTCCAAACAAAGCGCGTCACAGAATGCTCATCCCTCGATCCCTCAGAGTAAGACAGGATTCAAACTCCCAGTATCAGCAACCCATCACACGCGGCACTCAGCCCCCCCATAGTAACCACTAACCACTATCCCGTACACGACACGAGCTCTTAAAACAATTCCCAAATCCTGGTCCTCATCATGCGCATAACGCGTGCAGCTTTGCGAGCTCAGGTTCATGAGGAACCTCCCCAATCACAACTTATCCACGAGGATGCCGACGCGGACACGGATTCCTTCCATCTTTCAGCTGGTAGTAACGCCAACACGGAAAGCTCGAGTCGGCCGCCCTTGAAAGATATTACTACCGAGACCAACCCGCCGAGTCACGAAGATCCTTTTACCGACGAGTCCGGCTTGGCGCTTAAGAAGGCCAAGGGCAAGAAGAAGGGTAGACAGCAGACGAAGAAGGAGACCGAGACGGTCGAGACGGACGATACTACCCACGGCGAACTCCCGCTTGACGAGGGTGACGCGCTGGCAGAAAACCGCGCAGCTCTCGACTCGGATTCCATATTGCACCACGCAGCTATCGACTCAGATTCCATATTGCACCACGCAGCTCTCAACTCGACTTCTACACCGCACCACACAGCCCTCGACTCAGATTCCACACCACACTACATCACGGCTGAGGCTCCAAAGACCCCCAAATTCAACCCAGCTATCCACAAGCCCGTGGAAGGAATAGCAGCTTTGACTGGCGACCTCATTGAAGACTCGTTTGTAGAGAAAATCACCTCGAGAACACCAGGCAGGATGCTCTCGTCCAAAGGAGAGAGCAGGTCGCCCGACTCATTCGTCGAACAGATCACATCGCGAACCTCACGAATTGAAGACTCGGTCGAGGCTATTGACGCGTTGGAAGACGCAATCGAAAGGATTGCCGAGACACTCCCAGCTCTGGAAGATCTGAAGATGGAGTCCCCAGTCAAGTCTAGGAAGAACACCCCCGCCCGCATCAACCTTTCATCAGATGGCCTTGCCTTAAGGTCAACCAAGAAGGCCGGGCTAACGCCAGCACGAACTCAGCGTGAGTCGCCTGCAAAGACGCGAACCGTGCCCAAAGCCAGCGATCGACCAAAGCCCACAGTCTCGCGACAGTCCTCTGTCAGGACTACAGGCAAGCCCGCAATCAAACCCGCAGTCAAACCCGCAGTCGCTACGAACCCGGTCAAGAAACCGATCAATGATGGGCACAAACCTCGACCAGCTGCCGCTCAACCTGCACCACCCTCACTCTCCTTCTCGAACTCCCCAGCTAAGAGCTTGCCGAATACCACCAAGAAGCGCGTTCCTAGTGAGAACTTGTCCACCAGCAGGCCACCATTTGTCCCCACCAAATCCAGCAAACCACCGACCAAGCCAACGTTTCAACTACCAGGAGAGGCCATTTCCGCCAAGTTGAGAGCCGAACGTGAAGAGCGGCTCAAACGTGAAGAAGAAACTGAGAAGGAAAGGAAGGTGTTCAAGGCTCGTCCAGTTCCTGCCAAAGTAGCTCGACCAAGTGTCGTGCCCCGAGAGAACAAGGCCAGTCAAGCGAGGATGAGTATCTACGCCAATGGTATCAACAAGGAGAACGTTGCCCCCAAGTCCACTACTGTTTCTGAGCCAAAACCACGTCCTTTGTCGCTCGATGCAAAACCTAAGGCGGCAGATTCAACCGCCACGAAGGCGAACTCCAGTGTTCGACGTACCGCCTCTTCAGCTGCGGCACAGAAGCCACGTGTCTCATCCCTGAATCTGACAGCCGGTCAAAAGTCCGCCGTCACCAAGAACGACGCCGTCCACCAGAAAGCTAAAGGAAAAGAGGTCTTCGGGCGTAGTAAAGCCGAAATGGAACGTGCGGAGAAAGAGCGACGCGAGAAGGAAGAGGCCACACGGAAGGCTAGGGCGGCCGCTGCAGAGAGAGGCCGGCAGGCCAGTCGCGAGTGGGCAGAAAAACAGAAGAAGAAGATCGCTCAGCAGGCACAGGCTAAGCTCCTGGCGGCCAAGGCAAGCGAGGGTGTCGAGCAACAGGTCGTAGCAGGTCATGACGGTACCGGCATGGACATGGGCGCGAGTACGAGCACCGGCACGGTGGCCGCTGCTTCATAGGCTGATATGGCTGCCGCTGTGTTGATTGACACTCAGAGACGGTATGCCCTGCAGGCCATAAGCCGTGAAGGTATGCAATTGAGTTTCCAGACCTGTTCTTCAAGCGTTGGTGTTGGTGTTGATGTTGATGTCGGTGTCGGCAAGGGAATGTCAACGGACTCTATGATTGTTGGGCCTGGAACTGGAGCCGGAATGACACGTCCACGCTGCCATTCCAGTCTATTATGAGGGAGCTTCGCGAATCCACCAACTGGAACGACCGTCACTCGTTATTCGGTACAGTACTATGCTCACCGCGGGGAGCCCAGGCCGTGGTGGACGGTTCGTGTACGACGTGCACGGTAGTACCTACCTAGCTAGCTGCAGTAGCTACAGTAGTTACAGTAGCTAGAATGAAAGTATGATCAATCCACTCATTTGCTGTGCTGTCGTCCTATGTTGTATCTTGTGTTGCTGTGCTGCGTTGTCGTTGGTTGGATCCGGTTCGATATCGGTTTCGGTCGTTACTGTATAGCGTGCCGTCTTGCTTAGCCGCGTGGCGTGCTGTGGCAGAACAGAGCAGAGCAGACCCCTGGTGTGATAACATCCTGTGATATACCGCCGCGTAACGAGGCAGAAATGCCTTGGATCAGATGAGTCGAGTCAGGTATGTAGTTCGATGGCTCGATGGATGGATTTTCTGGATAGACTTCTAGAATAGATGTATGGCTGGATACAGTAGCTGGGTTGGCTATGCAGTACACGCTGTCCTTGCGAAGTCTCGTTTTTTTTTTGGCTCTGCCCCGGTCTTGTCCTGCCGCTATTTTGTCCTCTTCTGCCCTGACCTTTGCCCTGTTCTCTTCTGTGTTGCCTTGGTCTCCCTCCCTACCCTGTCTTGTCCTGTCCTGCCCTGTGCTGCCCTAGCGAACCTGTGTTGCCTTGCTTTGCCCGGTCCTATACCGTACTGCCTTGCCCTGTCCTTTCCGTAGTGTGCTGTCCTGCCCCACGGGGCCTGTCCTGTCCTGACCTGCTGAGTAGAAGGCTTGCGACTCGCCAGTCTGCGGTGCAGAAAAGGCACTGTATGTATGCATACATGCACGTCCGGACTCCGTACTCGGTGCCAGTGGAGAAACGCTCTCGCATGCTTCCTGTGTTCACCTAGACATTCGAAACGGTATCGGCCGTCTGCCTGGTGTGACTGGTTGGCTCGCTTGCTGCCAGCACTAGTCGACTGGATGGCCGACTGGGCGGTGCTGCTATACCACAAATCCTGGTGTAGAAGAGGTAGAAACCAAGGTCGTCGAGGTAGACTGACACAAGACGCTGGTGAACGCTCGCAGTCCGTAATGTCGCCAACTGCGCGACGATCACATCCACACGCACATTGCTGTGTTAGGGACGTGGACAGTCTCTGGTCCGGCTCCTTAGAGTTGGTATGATCGTCGCATCTCCGGTACTGTAGCAATCGTAGCATTCGTAGCATATATCGTTGTTTCTTCCCAGGCCATCTGAGATCTGGACTTTTCCACTCATCCTCCTGCGCCCGTCTTCGGCTGCACTGGTATCCTCACAAGCGGGACCGGCAACTCTAGCTGCAAATGTTGCGGTTGCTGGGAGTCCTTCGGTCTCTCCCCGTTCTCCTCTCCCTCCCCGTCACCCTCAGCCTTTGATCCTGGCATCGGCACCGGCACCCTCATCCCCACCATCCGAATCACGCCCAGAACGTTCTCCCAGTTCGCGAGGACGAGGCCCACGCTCTGGGCCCCGTCTTTCAATTGGCCCAGTTTCGCCTGGAGGGTCTCCAGCTGGGTGGTCAGTTCGGCGGACAAGTCGCGCAGCTGCGTCAGGTTGTGGAGTTCTTGGCGTTTCTGAGCGATGCGGGCGTGTAGTGCCGAGGAGGGGTTTTGGTTTTGGCTCAGACTTGAGCGGCTCGTGTTTGTGAATGTGCTTGCATTTGGGTTTGTTGTGAAGGACCGGGTGGGCTGAGCCATCGTGTTGAGCCTCGAGGTTGCGTTTCTTGCGTTGACCGTGCTGCTCAGATGAGTCTGGTTTCTTTCACTTTTGTCGCGATGCTGGGATCGGGTCCAGGCAAGAGGAAGGACGAGTTGTTCCTGTGTAGATGAATCGCGCAGTTTGGAGTCTTCCCTCGAAGTGAGGGGTACGCGGAATTTTGAAGTTTACTCAAGTCGCGCGTGTGATTGGACGAGTATCTCAAGCTAGTCCGCAATAGGCCTTTTGTTTTGCATGCTGCTTTTGGAGCCGCATATGTGCCGTTCAACGTCGACGCACGCACTTTGGCTTCACTCTATTGTATATTGCTGCATACAGTCGCTCCATAGTCTGGGGGATCCTCGAGCCGCAGAATCGGTCTACCCTCCTGCTTGGGATGTACTCTCGGGACCGCGCCTCCCATACTCACTTTCACGACAGATTGACATGCCATGGCCAAACTCAACGAGCAGCCTCCCGCGCCACCAGTCGAGAGTTTTGATGCCTGTAAGTTCCTGTCGTCCGCGCTGTCCGCTCTCTGCTCGTGTCGGCGTCGCTGTACCTAATAATGGTCACAGTAAAACGCCGCTTCATCCGCCAGAATCGCGAGATCGCCCGGGTCAATTCAACCCAGTCGCAGCGTATCCGCAACCTCGAAACTGAAATCTCTCGCCTTGTCGCGGACAATATCTCCCTGCGCGAACAAGCGATTGCCGCTCAGGCCGAGGCGGAGCGATGGCGCGCCGCAAGCAGCATCAATAGCGAGATTTTCGACCTCAGGGATCGGCTACAGAAAAAGATGGAGGAAGTGAGCGAATTGGTCGGAGAGATGGGGCGAATACCCGAGAAAGTGGCACGGAAGGGGCGCCGAAAGAGCCGTCTTGCCAACGTTGGGCAGAGATTGAGTTCAGCCACGGAGGAAGAATGGAGGCACCGGCTGTCTATGAGGGAGGCGACGGCGGCCGAGGCGGAGCTGAATGACGGAAGATTACCCGCGATTCGTGAAGACAAGCTCTATCCTAGGCGAACACTGGAAAATGCCGAATTGTCTGTTCTACGAGAGGAGGCGGCAATGCAACAGGCTTCAGAGTCGCCGGAGCTAGGCCCACCACCGGAGGTGCACTTCGACCTCAACGAGCCAGTTGGCATGGACCTGGCGAGGACGTCGGAGCTCGAAACAGGCGGTGAAGACGCTATGCGATTGCCTTCGATGCTAGAGAGAAGGCGGAAACGTCGAACCAGTGCCTTGCTGCAGACGGTGCCCCCAGAAGAGCCTGCCGATGAGGCGTCGGAAGCACAACCTCAACCCCAAGATGTACCGACGCCGAAGCTGAGCCAACAGCCACTGAAATCCGGTGCTAAACGAAAGCTCGATGCATCAGAGCTCGATGGACCAGTTATGCAGCAGCCTCGGACTGAGGATGACGACTTTATCTTTCAACGTCGGCAGGAGATATGCAACTCCGCCGCTGCTGGCACGAAGAAAGGGTCCAGGTTCACGAGGCCACCTGGCCGAGAGAGCGCAACAGGCGTACAGACGGAGGCTCAATCTCCACAGAAGGCCACAATTGCAACTAGAAAGATCCTTGCACCCAAGAGCACTAACTCACCTACGAAGAGGAGAGTACCTGTCTCCGAGAAACCCAAAGACGACCAAGAGGAGCAACCAAGGCAAAGCACGATCAAGCCGGTTCGCCGAATCAATCCTCCGCCACCGTTCGAAACGGAAAACCTTGCTAGGTCCACAGACAACGAGGATGGCGGAGAGAAGGATCTTCTGCTGAAGACACCGGCCGGAGGAGTTGACGGTATACTGTCGCCCTTGTCCACAGAGCCTTCTGCTCGTAATCCGCCTCACCCCAAAGAAACAGCAGTATTGAGTTCGGTGGAGGATGTGCTCAACGGAAGCATTGGACGGGGATCTCGCCGAGCACGAGCTGCAGTAAGCTATGCGGAGCCTAACCTGAGAGATAAGATGAGGAGGCCAGGCAAAGAGCTTGTCGGTGCTGTGGAAGGACTGGAACGAAACAAGGAAAGCACTACGGGCTCCAGAGGAGCAAGTGTTGATCGGGCCAGGTCGGAGGACGCCAAGGCAAATGAAGATCAATGCAAGGTGGTCAATATCAAGCAGGAGAAAGACGCCGGCGCAGAAACCCGGTGGAAGGATCTTCCCATGCGGAACAACGAAGAGCCGACCAGTCCACTAAGGGACAAGGAGAGAAAAGAGCGAATAAACAGTGACAGCAAGAAAAGTGATGAGGGTCACAATGTGACAGAAGCCCTGGCCAAAGCCACCGATCGGCTGAGTATGTTCGACCCGCCAGTATCCTCGCCTAGGAAAGCCGTTGAAGAGGCGGACATCGATCGAAGCGACCACACAGGACCATCGACGGCAAGACGGAAACCATCCGCGAACAGCTTGACCAGCCGAAGGCATTCGGTGCAGCCATCCTCTTCCAGCTGCTCTGCCGCCGACACGGAATCTCGTCACGGTCCTCCCTTGGAAGGAGGTTCCTCCACCGTGCGGGTAGCCCCTACACGCCCAAGTTCTGCGGCCAGTACGCGTAGTGAGCAAATGGCCAGCATCGCGAGGGACATCAAGCGCTCAAGCAGCGTCAATTTGAAACCGAAAGCGAACGAGACATCATCCGGTGGTGGTGCTGGTTCCGCTTTGAGTTCGAGAGCGGAAAGGACATTGAATCGGCGGCGGAGCATGATGGTTTAGGAGTCTCTCTAATCCGGGCGGTTGCTGGAGCTTGCAATGTGGCATTTGAGACACACAGTCCGTAACCCCGTGATTCGGGTATTTCCTCGGTGATTTATAGGTTGGATATGCTCGATGATGAGCGACGCTGGCGGTTATACTGTCCTTCAAGCAAGCGTGGTGTTAGAGGTGGATCGAAAATGCAGTCGTTTCCTTTCAGAAAATCATGCTTCCGACATGACGGTTGCGGCACCCTTCGCTTTCATCCATGTCCATTCGTACGCCCATAATTTACACTCTCAGCCATACCCATCACCACATTCTCCAACCTCTTGACATACCCTCGCATCTCCTTCCGCTTCTCCTTCCTCCGTGTCTCCATCTCTCTCACTTTCTCCACCAACGCCTTGATCTCCTCCGCCTGCTGTTCTTCGCCCCTCCCAATCCCCGGTAATCGGGAAATCAACAACTCAATCTGCTGGCCCTTGAGCACAAGGTCCTCTGCCAACTCTTGCTGGGCATTTTCAAAGGTCTGCTGTGATACGGGACGGAGTGGGTAGGGTGCTCGCTCTGTATCCTCTGGACCGGGGTTCATGCCGGACGTGGACTGGATTTGGGATGTGTCGGCGGGGTTGGGTGTTTGAGATGCCGCGGCGGCGGCAGTGGGTGGGTTTGTGAATGGGTCATTTGGGTCAGGGTCAGGCGCGACGAGAGGGTGGCGCTGAGAGAGGTAGGAGATTGTGGAAAAGAACTGTGTGAGGAGTTGGTCGTAGCAAGTTTGTAGCTGCGTGAGGATGTCAGAGGACATCGTGGCGGACGGCGGCGTTGGAGGGCAGATCGCTTTGAAGGTGAGGGTATCAGGGCAGTAACCCGTGCAGCGAGGAATTACCGCCCACACAAGGCTGAGTGAATCACGGTAGGCGGGACAAGGCTTTAGGTGGGGTGCGGGTATCGCCCGGAGCTTAATTGCACATGCCCGTAAGCTACTCTAGGCTGTCGTCAGCTCAGCCTTGTCGCGCCATAGAGGCAATACTAATTATTGTTCCTTCTATTTGCCTCTGGCAGTTTCCCTCAACACCGGTGTCAACGCCGTCTGCCCGTCCCTTCTGGTCCTCGGCACATCTTTTCTTCTCTTCCTATCTTCTCCTCTGACCCATGACCAAGGATATGTCATTCCGTCCTAAACGGTGAACCTGAACATACGTCACCAAGGCGTGGTACCCCGTACGGGCAGCCCTCTACACAAACCCCGCCACCACTCCCACCATGCATCAGTCATTCACGGGCAGTGCCCGCAAAGCCCGACAAGTCAATCTCTCGGGTCGCAACACTACAAATCCTTGGGCGGCGCTCTCAAAGACCGCACAAGGCTCCGACCCGTCGGGAAACAACCCAATCGCTCAAGCCCAAGCAGATCGAGTCAAGAGACAACAAGAAAGAGATAGACTAAACGCTTCACGAAAAATCCAGAAAATTTGGCGTGGCCACTCGACCCGGCGGAAAGAGAAGGCCCGATTAAGACAAACGTGGGATGAAAATGAGCGGTTGAGACTTGGGAGGGATGCGGAGGTGGATTACCGGGCCCTGGTTGACAATGAGGCGACGATACCGGGGTACGAGAACTCAACCCAGTTGCTGCTTCAGCTCAGACTTTTGCTGCAGTATCAGGAGTACAGGCGGGCCAGAGTCAGAGATGGAATGGATACAGTGAGACTACTCTACTTCGGCCAGGCACTGCAACCTACACTGGTCTCGTTACAAGGGTCTCTCGTCGACCATGTCTGGAGGTTCAACCTCTCACGGCTGGGCCTGGTTGTTTCCCGCCACTTGAAGAGCATCCTGATTGATGAATCGACTTCGATGACGACTCATGGGCCGAGGTTACTAAAGATCATTTCTACAATCGCTATCTATGTCTCGGACGACATGGTGAGAGACTCGACTGTCTATTTTGAAACGATCCAATTGGCCTTGACATCACAAAAGGGAGAGGAGTGGCAGAAGGGCTCTCTTGAAACGATATGGGCTCTCTTGAGGTATCCGACACGAAAACAGCCAGCATACGAAGCTTTTGTCACCAGACTTATGTCTCAACCATCATATGCCGACGACAGTGCGGTTTTGGCGAGACTTGCAACCCCGTTGGATATGCCTCAATTGTCAACCGCAATTACGAAAATGCTGGAGGATGAGGATGTCACGAAGACCGACGCCTCGACCATGACCGAGAGATTATGGCAATTGGCATATCTCGTGTACTTCCACGACGCGGTTAAGCGGGGCTCTGCTGATCGTGCTTACATCGAGGCACTCTCAGCACTCCTGGGAGAATGTGCCAACGAGATCGCCGAACGGTATGAGCAGACCGACCACCTAATGTCTGGTGACAACAGCAAGAACACGCCAGCGCCTCTACCTCCGTTCGTACGTGAGATGATATCTAGAATACCACGACAGGATAATCTGCAAGCAGTCCTCGATGAGATGGGTTCATCAGAATCGTCCAATGAAGACGCTGGAGAAACTGATTTCCAGTCGGCGAAGCGCCTGGCAAACTTCGCTGTTGCTTTGCTGAGGGCGTTTCCAGCGCAGGCTCAGAATATCCGAATGGCCCTCTACCGAGGCTCCGTTAAGACGGTCGGTAATGCAGATGTTTCCACAATACAGTACTTCTGGAATACAGCACGAGGAACAGGCGTATTCAAGAAGATTACACGAGACCACAGGAATGTGCTGTCTCTGCTACGAGAAGCTGCTCCTCCAACCAACCAGATTGGTCAGGCCCCAGTCTCCAAAGCCGAGATAGCTCAGTGGCGAGACGAATGGCGGATAACCTTGCTGTTCTTGGAGCTTTACACTTTCGTGCTCAAGTTCATGGATGACGAAGATTTCTTCTCCTACGATATATCGCATTCGTTCGGTGCAACCACAACTTCTCCCATAAGTGTGTTGTCGCGTAAGGGCTCGCTGCCTCTGAATGACGTCGCTCAAATGACAATCTTCCTGAAGAATCTGGTGTTCGTGCTGTACTGGAACGCTGCCGATTTGGTCGAGAGCAACGAGCATGAGGAGGACGTTGGCATCTCTGCGCTCTTCGGCGGCTCTTCACACTCGAGCAACAGGCAAGCAGAAAAGAAACAACAGACGCTGACCGGCAATGGCGTGTCGCAAGGCTATTTGAAGGGCTTAGTGACGGGCCTCCTACGTATGCTGCACGAGAGAGATTCCCGTCGTTCCTTCGTCCCTCCCGGACATTGGCTGATGACCAACCAAGTAAGCATGGCGGGTTTCATTCCAGCCGTTGTTGCCGAAGAGGAGCGAAGGCATGAGCTCGGTGAAGACGATGATACAGACGATCAGCAGGATGACTTCGACAAGGACGCCGAGTTGGACGAGTCGGCAGGCTCAATGCCGGGTGAGATGCTGCTGAACACCATGTTCGGTATCCGACCTTCGCACATACCACGAAGTCGAGCTTCGAGAATGGCCGACCGCATTGAGAAGCAGCGGATACAAGCCAGGAAGAAGAGACAACTGGAGTCACTTGCGCCGCGTCTGGAGATCCTTCGCAATTTGCCCTTCTTCATCCCTTTCGAGACAAGAGTCCAGATCTTCCGAGAATTCGTCTACCGTGATCAACTTCGACGGCGAGATGGTGCAATCGATCCTGATACGTGGCGAATGTCCGTTGTAACGAGCACGCAAGGCCGTGGAACTGATGGCAGGCCCAGGGGCGTTGACATCATTTCCCGCCATCATGCGGAGATTCGTCGTGAGCACGTCTTCGAAGACGCCTATGAAGCTTTTTACGGGCTCGGTGAGGGGCTCAAAGAGCCGATCCAGATCACGTTTATCGACAAGTTTGGTGCCCCGGAGGCTGGCATTGATGGAGGGGGTGTCACGAAAGAGTTCCTCATGAGCGTCACCAGCGAGGCGTTTGATCCCGATGCCAGCCTGCCAATGTTCAAGGAAAATGCCCAGCGGTACCTCTACCCTAATCCTCTGATCTATCAAGAGACTGCAGCGTATCTGAAGCGAGCTGGGAGGAAGCCGGGCACCGAAGGCTTTGATTTCCAGATGGCTGAGTTCCTGCGCCGGTTCCAATTCCTGGGCAGAGTCGTTGGAAAGTGTCTGTACGAGGGTATTCTGATTGACGTGAGCTTCGCTGGGTTCTTCCTGCTCAAGTGGGCTCTAACTGGCGGCACTACCGTCGGTTCCAACGAGTCTGCTTATCGTGCAACCATTAATGACCTCCGAGAATATGACGAGGAACTGTACCAAGGGCTGCTGAAGCTGAAGAACTACCCTGGCGATGTCGAGAACGACTTTGGACTTGACTTCACAGTCACCGACACGATCACCATTGAAGACGAGCGAGGTAACGACGTACACCAGACCAACACGACGGAATTGATCGCAAATGGCGCCAATACACCGGTCACAAACACAAATCGACTGGTCTATATCGACCGAATCGTCAGATACCGATTGCAGCAGCAACCCAGAGCAGTCACAGACGCATTTCTCAGAGGCCTTGGACAGATCATTCAACCCATGTGGCTTGCCATGTTCAATCAGAAAGAACTCCAGAAGCTTGTTGGTGGGGACAACAGCGAGCTCGACATCGCAGACCTTCGCCGGAACACACAGTATGGCGGGCTCTATGTCATCGGCGACGACGGCCAAGAGCATCCTACCGTCCAACTGTTCTGGAAAGCTCTGCAGGACATGTCCGACAGCGACAGACGGAAAGTCCTTAAATTTGTCACCAGCACGCCCCGCGCACCGTTGTTGGGCTTCAGCCACCTAAATCCGAGATTCAGTATACGCGACTCTAGTGAGGATCAGGAGCGGTTGCCGAGCACGAGTACCTGTGTCAATCTGCTGAAGTTGCCTCGGTACGCGGATATCAAGACGATGAAGGAGAAGCTTCTGTATGCAGTGAATTCAGGCGCGGGATTTGACTTGTCCTAAGAGACGTCAAGAGGGGCCAAAAACGGTGTGTGAGTGCTGGATGGATTTTGAGCCAGGCAGGCAACACAAGGCCACGCAAGCGTGAAGCGGCGAGCTTCTGCCGCTCACAATGCATGTGTGCCTGAGCCGCCGTGGAGTAGAATAGACCTCTCAACATCCGCGTCTTCGTCCGTGTCGCCGTCCGAGAGTGGTGCGCGACGTCTTTCATCCGTTTGTCAGCCCAGTGCAATCACCGACTGTCCCTTTTTCCAAATAGTACGGAGTACCAAGCTGCCTGAAACAACGCGGGCCATCGGAGTTTGTCATCCAGGCGGACTCCGCGATTGCCTTGGCCTAGTCTACGACGAAAATGCTGACTATCCATCCCCACCACGCTGTAGGAGGCTGACATGGATCCTTCTCGCTTAATGTCCTAATACGATAGTCGTATAGCCTGGCAATCGAAAAGGCCGACAGCATGGCCTACTGAAGCTAGATGCTACCGCCTGCGTATATGGGACTGGCGTGGCAAGCGGAGCGGGCGGCCCAGTTGGCCGCTTGCCCATACATACTGCGTACCATCCAGTCAGACACACACTTCCTAGAGGATTGCACGAGATTCTCCAGGCCGAAGCAAGCATATTTAGTATGTATTAGACCTCGATGTCCGCTCTGGGGTTTGAACCGTGAAATGCAGTATTCTCCTTTTCTACTACAAATTCGTAGAGGTCCATCTCTACTGTACACTATTCTCCGTCTCTACTATATAACCGTGACGAGTCTATCTATCCCTGCCACGTTGTACGGAGTATCGAGCAGCAGCTTCAACGTACCTGGTTTCGCGAACCTAGGTTAGTGTCCCCATCGAGTCCGATCATCCTCGAGCAACTGCACGGCACGGCACGATGAAGGAAAGACCGCATCTCTCAGCCGGGGACTATCTCTCTTTACTCCTCGCCATGACCAGAGGCCGTACGTACGATATTCCTACAGTATCTGATTCCTCAGCTGTGGGCGCGCAGACACACACACAGAGTCTCCTCTCAAGCGCATCTCCTCTTACTTTCTACCGCTTCAGATTCTGCTTCCACGGAAGGCCCGCCTCGCATGCAATATATGCCTTTACTAACTCTCGTTCTCGCAGTTGGCGCATTGACGTACTCAAGCCTGACCGGGTGGGCGAGGGGCGAAGACTGCCCAACGGCGTATAAGCGGCATGTCATCTATAGTGCGATGAGGAGTGCGATGTCGGGGTTGACGGTTAAACAGTCTCAGTGAGTCTTTCGTCAATCTCAGGGCAAGTCCGATGTCCTGCCCCTTGTGGTTGTGTCGTTGCAGGCCGAGATCTTGTGCTCACATCTTCTGGCGAAGGGCCATTCAACCGACCACCTCGGAAGGATACCAGACATTCTGCAAGAAGCAGAAATTCAAGCCCGAGATTGTCGAGTTTGAGCATGGCGCGACTGGATGCTTTTTGGGGCCGAAAACGGCGAAAAAGACGCTGGTCTGGTTTCACGGTGAGCGCGGCACATTTCTTCCTGTCGCATTGGCGTCGAGTTTCGGTCGACGAAGGAAGGTGCTGATTCGCAGGTTTACAGGCGGCGGGTATAACTTCGCAGCTGCAGAGGAGCACTGGGGGATGCTGTGGGATTTTATCGAGCTGGCCAAGAAGAATGGCGCAGAGTTGAGGGTTATGGTTCTCGAGTATGGTAAGACAGTCTCCTTTTCGGCCTTGCCGGGCAAGACCAGCTGATTTGGATGTACAGAACTGGCCCCTTATGGTGTGTTCCCTTTGCAGCTTAAGCAGGCGGTCGCTTCGATCCAATACCTGCTGAACTCGGGCTTGCAGCCTTCCCAGGTGAGTACTTGGAACTAACTTCGTCGCTGGCACACAAGTGTTGATCCATACATGGTCTCCTAGATCCTCATAGGCGGGGATTCCGCAGGAGGAAACCTGGCAGCAGCATTCACGGCGCACCTGACTCATACTCACCCCAGCGTTCCAGCTATAGATCTGTCCAGCAACATAGGCGGGGCACTCCTGGTCTCCCCCTGGGTCTCCTTCACCCAGGAACGAGCGTCGTGGAAGAGCAACCATAAAAAGGACGCGCTCGACCCGGCGACCGTCCGAATATGGTCCGACAATTTCATGGGCAAGACGCCCAACGACAACTGGAGCCAGCCTGCCGAAGCACCGGCAGAGTGGTGGAAAGGCTTGAAGGTGGATGACGTTGCCATCACAGCGGGAGGGAATGAGGTTTTGAGGGACGATATTCGAATATGCGCTGAGAACATCAAGGTGAGCAGCCGTCTCCTAGCAAGCACAGGGACAGAATTTGCTGATCGCCCATTAGGTCCATAATCCTCAGGTCGAATACTTCGAAGCGCCTGGAGAGGCGCATGATGCTATCATCATGGACAAGGCGCTTGGGCTGAAGGAGGATTTTGCATCGGAGCAGTTTATCCGCAAGTGGATTCTGGCAAGGGTGAAATGAGGAGGACAAGGAACAGATTGAGAGCGATGGTGATGGTCACTGAGACGGGCCACGACCATATCTAAATCATGTCCGGTGGTCATCGTCAGGTCACGCTGATGCTCGACAGTGGCAGTGGGTTGCACAACAACGTGGCTGCACCTCCTGCTGTCCAACTTCCAGGTCGTTCTGACACTCCCTGGCAGTGCCATAGACGGACATGCAAATGCTGGCACCTTTGATACGAGGTATGCTGGGACGTGAAAGGTTGGAGCAGCGAATGAACCGTCGCTGATCTTGCACGCTCTCCGAGGACCTGGAGCGAGTGTTTGGCTCCGTCAATTTCGTCACTAGGATCGGGACATCTGCCCTGCCTTGCCCTGCAGCCCCCACTGAGTCGTACTCCCGGGCTCGCTAATTATCTCTTAAGGGGTGGCCTGCAGTAAACCTCTTGCCCGCCCAGGCTTAACTCAGGTGCCACTAATCGCCCCTCGGCCCCAACTGATCGCCATCGCGTGAACACCACGCCCAGTCTTTAAACTCCGGACCGTACAGCAACCCAATCGTCTACTGAGCGACCCTCTCCACCTGACTCGAGGTGAAAAGCCTTGCACCTTTCCGCATCGACTACTGCCCAAAGCAAATACACCGTCCATCCATGTCGAATGCGCGGGTGGCAGCCTCGCTATCCAGCCGGTCAAGACCATTCCTCTAGCTCTACTGCTCGCCGCCTTCCATCCGACGCACTTGGGACCATAGCGGGCCGGGCCTCGATCGAGCTCCAACCCCTCAACGGCCGTAGCAAGCACAAGCACTCACACGTAGCCAGGCGGCTCGAAAAACGCCTCTCCAAACTCGAACAGCTCGCAGACCGAGACGAAGCCATGAAGTTCTCACACAGTATTCAGTTCAACGCCGTGCCTGACTGGAGCAGTCACTACATCGCCTACAGCAATCTCAAAAAGCTCATCTACACTCTCGAGAAGCAAATCAACCGACAGCCGGGCGAAGCGCAGACACAGGAAGATGAGGAGAACACAGCTCTGCTGGGCGGATCGCTCGACCCGGACACCATCTTCAAGCGCATGCTGGACTCGGAGCTGGACAAGGTGTGCTCCTTCTATCGCTTAAAGGAGCTGGAGATCTTCGGCGAACTTGATCACCTGTTGAAAGATGCAGAGAACTATAAAGCCGAGACGCGTGATCTGGACATGGACGCCGTGGTCGAGACGGAGAATCGAAGGAAAGCCCAGCGCTCGTCGAGTATTTTCAACGTCCCCTTCCGGCGGAAGAGAAGGACCTCGACCATGAGCATCAGCTTCGAGGAGCCCGAGGGCTTTGACAGCGATAGTGACGCTGAAGACAATGCCGCCATGATCAAGAAGAAGAAGCCGTCGACAACGGGGAGGCCGAGGAGCAAATCCGCCTGGGACGGCGAGGCATCGGCCCATTCAGCCATGGCCGACTCGCGCGACGATCTGAGATCTCTTGATTCACCCACGTTCCTGAGAAGGAAACCGAGTCTCGCCATGGAGATGGAGGCTTCCGAGCCTGGTCAGCTGTCAGCACTCTACGACTCGGGCATCAATCTGAAAAAGCGGACAATCAGCCTATACGTCTCGCTGTGTGAGCTGAAGTCGTTCATCCAGCTCAACCAGACCGGCTTTAAGAAAGCCGCGAAAAAGTACGACAAGGTCTGCAACCGCGACATCCGGAAGGACTACATGGAGAAGTCGGTCAATCCATCATATCCCTTCCAAGAGAAGACCATGGTCCATCTGGACGAGAACATCGCCAAAATCGAGAAGATCTACGCCGACGTTGTCACGAAAGGCGACCAGGCCATGGCGAGGAGAGAACTGCGGCTTCATCTTCGCGAGCATGTCGTCTGGGAACGAAACACCGTGTGGCGCGAGATGATTGGCATTGAACGGAAAGCTCAAGCGGCCAACTTTGGTATCAGGCAGACTCTCCTGGGCGGGGTGCAAGATCCGTCCAAAGCTCGATTACAAGGCGATCGCGAAGCCATCGAGACCAAGGAGTTTGTCACCCCCGTTGGACGCTACCGGTGTCCGAAGTGGCTGTTCAGCGGCACCTTCTTCGCCCTGGTTGGCATCCTCGCGATATTCCTGGCCCTGCTGTACGTGCCGATCATGAAGAAACCCGAACAGCAAAACTGTCTGGCCATGCTGGTCTTTGTCTCCCTCCTCTGGGCCACGGAAGTGATACCCCTGTTCGTCACCTCCCTGCTCATCCCCTTCCTCGTGGTCGTCCTGCGGATCATGCGCTCCGACGACAAACCTCATCAACGACTGGACTCGAAAGCCGCGACAAAGGCCGTGTTCGCGGCAATGTGGACGCCCGTCATCATGCTCCTGTTGGGAGGATTCACGATCGCGGCCGCGCTCTCGAAATACCACATCGCCAAGATGATGGCCACATTTGTGCTCAGCAAGGCCGGCACCAAGGCCCGCAACGTGCTGATCACCAACATGTTCGTGGGCATGTTTCTGAGCATGTGGATTTCGAATGTTGCGGCCCCGGTGCTGTGTTTCAGCATCATTCAACCCATGTTGCGCAACTTACCTAGTGACAGCAACATGTCCAAGGCGTTGATCTTGGGAATCGCACTGGCGAGCAATATCGGTGGAGCAGCCTCCCCGATCGCCAGCCCCCAGAACATCATCGCCCTGCAGAACATGAAACCCGCGCCGAGCTGGGGGGTGTGGTTCTTCATCGCCCTCCCCGTGTGCATCTTGAGCATCGTGCTCATCTGGCTTTTATTACTTGTCACCTTCAAGCCCGGCAAGGGCACGACCATCGTCCCGATCCGCCCCATGAAAGACAGCCTGAACGGCGTCCAATATTTCATCATCTTCGTCACTTTGGTGACTATCGTCTTGTGGTGCACGAGCCACCAGTTGGAGAGCGTGTTCGGGGATATGGGCGTCATCGCGATCATCCCGCTGGTCCTCTTCTTCGGCACGGGCATCCTCACCAAAGAAGACTTTAACAACTTCCTGTGGACCATCATCATCCTCGCGGCGGGCGGGCTGTCGCTCGGGCGCGCCGTATCGTCCTCGGGCCTGTTGCACACCATCGCCCGCTCCATCACGGAACAGGTCGACAACCTGTCCATCTACGGCGTGCTCGTCGTGTTCGCGGCCTTGGTCCTCGTCGTCGCTACATTCATCTCCCACACGGTGGCCGCGCTGATTATATTGCCGCTAGTCCAGCAGGTCGGCCAGGGAATGAAGGAACCGCATCCGAATCTGTTAGTTATGGGCGCAGCCTTGATGTGCAGCGCCGCCATGGGCTTGCCGACGAGCGGATTTCCAAATATGAGTGAGTTGGCTTTTGCTCCCGCAACTCCTAAGCTTCTCAATTGATTCTACTCTGAATACTTTTACTAACCTCGCTTTGTGTTCTGTAGCTGCAATCATGATGGAAGTCCCCGAGACAGGCGTGCGGTATTTGCGCGTCAAGCACTTTTTGACCCGCGGCGTGCCTGCGAGCATCATCACCTTTGCCATCGTCATCACCGTGGGATACGGGCTGATGATGGCGGCTGGGCTTTGATGGGAGTCGGCTCTCGACGAGGATTGTCTGTTAGTCACTGGACAGGATGTATTGTATTTGTTCGGGGACATAGGACAGAAAGACAGAAAGACAGCTGGACGAATATCACATATGCGTGCGCGTACACAAACCGGCGGCATACATGCTCTGTTTACTCCGGATGGTATGCATCTAATCGCATGATCAAGCATGACGTGCTATAGCGTCCTGAGTGATTCCCTTCTACTTGGGTACGCAAGTACTCCTTACTACATTGCGGTTCTCGTTCTCTACGCAGTACGCTCCAAAGGGTCACCAGGGGTATGACCACGAGCCCGGCCAGAAGTGCATCCTGGATACTGGATAAACGGTCCAGCGTATTCCGACACGGGGTATTGATGTGATGTGATGTGATGTGCTGTGCTTGGGCGACCTCGACACTGTATGTAGGTGTTATGTAGAGTGTACTGTACTGTACTGTAGAATCGACATTGTATAGATACTAGATACGTATCATGTACATCGTGCCTAGAAATATAGATAAGTGTAACTGGCGCCATTAGTGCAATAGCGAAGACGATGGCGACGGCGACGACTGGTCCCGCGCGTCTCCATTGACCTTGCCATCGACGTTCACCGCGCGTGTATCACTCTGACTGGCCGGCTACATGGCTGCGTCTCTAGGATGGGAGATACTGTCTTTTCGCTTGGACTACCTGAACAGTTGACCTTTGTTTCCCTTTCCATACCTTTTGCGTCAGAACCGGGCAACGGATAAGGGATGGGCTCACTTACTGTACAGTGCGTTTACCTAGTTTGACGGGGCTCAACGCCCCGATGGCGCAGTAAGTGCATTGCACAGTCCTTCTATATTCATATGTTTTGACATGGGGTTGCTAAACGCCAGTTCTTGTCTCCGGAACTAAGAAGTTGCGTTACACAGTCCTCTCGGACTTATGTATCTCGGCATAGATTTGCTAAACGCCAGCTCTCGTCTGTGGGACCCGTAGACTCTCGCGCATAGGGCATTGGCGTCCCCGGGTAGTTGTAGGAAAGGCGCGGGGCCCGAGTCAACACCAAGCAGTAGTAGTGGCTTCTTTGCACCAATATCTCGAAATGCTACACCATGTTGGTTGCATTGATCTTTTCGACCAGGCTCGTAGGACTCCGGTGATCTCCCCGGCCTGTATATCCGTCTGTCGTATACCCGTTGGACGGGTCAATTGATTTCCAGGGGGAGAAGAGGATTCCATTAAGAAGAGAAGGAGGGAATATACCCTTCTCATTGGCGGACATGCCTTCCTCCCAATGCGCTTTGATGGCTTCACTACCGTCCACCGGCTCAGCAGCGTGAAGAGATCGGGTATTGACCAAACACAATCCACTTCTCTCATTGCTAGGGATATATTCGAATCACTAGGGCTATGCTGTCATCTGGCCAGTGAGATCAAGCGGTTACCCCGCTGCAAGAACAAAAGCTTCTGGGGTTGGGTCGATAGCCCATGAAATATGGTCGGCTTGTGTTTGTTGTGGCTGGATTGCTTTTTCATCTCAGACAAGTCGCCGTTCATGCCTTCTGGTTACGGTGGACTGGATCCAAACATCAGGGTAGACGTGATGTGGGCAAGTCAACTGTTCTCTCCTAGTCGGATGATACGACCAGTAAAAGCAAGTCGATTGAATCCAGTCTTCCCAGACTCGAGTCTGAACCTGTGTTCTTTCTGAGGGTTTTCGACACTCACCAGCGACAATTTTGGGGCTGATGGTGGCCTGTTCCTGAATGTGAGATGTACGACCTCCAAGGACAGAAAGATGAGAGTGAAGATGAGGTTCTCCCATGGTGCCAAAGTAGGTGGGAAACCATCCTACAAAATCTCCGCGCCAGGGTCGATATGTTTGGGAAGATTAGTCTCATGGCTCTGTGTTTCGAAAGGCGCTGTCTGAAAGATCTAGTCGTTTGGTGGTCCAGGTGCCTCGCTCCCCATTAATGCTCTTATCTCTTTCTTCGCCCATAGGACTATCCTGCCTCCTTTTCACGAAGAAAAATCTGCCCATCCGTCGGGTCTCAGCACCTTCCCCTGTGGCCCAAGGATCCTCCACCCTGGACCACGCGATCGGGTCCTCCTTCCATGCTTGGCTATCAGGGGAAAAACTCGTGACTTGATAGGTGTCCCTTCTCCGCCGGATGGTACCATTCTTCCCTTTCTTCTCTTCCAAAGCCAGGTATTCAGCCAGTTTCTCCCGCGTGATTGTTTGTTCCCGCCTATGCTCGGAGGTCTCATCCCGAATCGCTACAAGAGGTTGTACACCGGTGGTGTCCACTTTCTGGATCTCCTTGACAAAGTGCACTTGATCACGGAGATCACTCAGCATTGCACTCTCTTCTGCTGGGGACTTAGGCAACGGCAGCGCGGAGAGCTTGAGGAGGTGGTGCAATTTGTCTCTTGTGATTTCTTCTTCAGTCTCGGCTTCAGTTTCATATGCTGAGGTAGGTCGTTGCCGCGAGCGTAAACCGGAGGCGTCGCGCTCTTTCCGTGGAGGTGGAGCGGGAGGTAATAATGAAGCCACAGACCAGGTCGGAGTCTCCAGGAGCGATTCTATCTCGGGGGAAAGGTCGATTTTCCTGACTAGGCGGAGTTCCTTCTCTCGTGACGGGCTGGTTATGGGACCGCAGAATGCTGTACGGATGCTGAACGCCTGGCGAGGCGGCCGAGGCATGGTATGCGTCTAATGTAGGACTGCCTTGGATCCTACTGGTAGTATTGACGTGAAGATCGCGGTCCAGATGGAGGTGCCAAATGTTCTTAAAGCGGCATGGTGACGTCGATTCGATAGGCCACCGCTTTGGCGGGGCTCCCTGGCCTCCCAGGCCTCCCTCCCACGATGCAGTCTGCGGTCTGGAGCCCATAGTAGCGCCCTAACTCGATCCATCAATCGAACGTCTGGAAAGACAGATATACATTCAAACCTGGTAGCAATTCAACCTCGACCCTTGCTACGCTCCTACCAAGCAAGATATCCCGACGACCGAGCGGATACTGATTACTCCCTCACACTTCCCATCACCTAGTCCTCTCCTCTCGCCATGGCTCAAGACCCTCGGGTCCTGCTACAAAAAGCCGACAAGGCAGCGCAAGGCGCAACCGGCGGCTTCAGTCTCTTCGGCGGACGAGGCGAGAAATGGGAGAACGCCGCCGATCTATACACACAAGCCGCGAATGCTTTCCGGGTACAAAAGCAGAGTAAGCGCTGTAGCCTCGCATTTCTATCCCGCACCATCACCTCGATGGACAGTCCGCAAAGACAGATACACTGACCGTATATGGCCACGCAGACCTCGAAGCCGGCAAAGCATTCGAAAAGGCAGCCTCGATCCAACAGTCCAAACTCAACGAACCGGACGACATGGCCAACACGCTCACCGAAGCGTTCAAAGTCTACAGAAAGGAGTCACCTCAAGACGCGGCCCGCGTCCTCGCGACAGCAATCCAGCACTACACCTCCAAGGGCAACTTCCGGCGGGCGGCCACGCACCAGCAAAACCTGGCCGAAGTGTACGAGATGGAGATTGGCGACCAAAAGAGAGCGCTCGAAGCCTACGACACGGCCGCGCAGTGGTACGAGTCGGACAACGCCGAGGCGCTCGCCAACAAACTGTACCTCAAGGTCGCGGACCTGGCGGCCCTGGAGGGCGACTACCAGAACGCGATCCAGAAACTAGAGGCGGTGGCCAAGTCGAGCTTGAACAACAACCTTATGCGCTGGTCCGTCAAGGACTACTTCCTCAAGGCGGGCATCTGCTACCTCGCGGCTGGGGACCAGGTGGCCACCAGGCGAGCGCTGGAGCATTTCCGCGAACTCGACGGCAGCTTTGCCAGCACCAGGGAGAACATGCTGTTGACGGATCTGGTGGGGTGTGTGGAAGAAGGCGACCAGGAGGGCTTTACGGATAAATTGCTCCAGTTCGACCAGTTGAGCAAGCTGGATAAGTGGAAGACGACGTTGTTCCTGCGGGTCAAGAACGCGATCGAGAAGGAGGAGGAGGATTTCTCATAGTCGTGAAGATGGGCAGCATTTCCAAGCTCAACTTGGAGTTCTTGCTGCTCACTCACCGTATGCGTGTCGTCCTGCCTGGCGCATCAAAGCATTGATACACGCTTCTTTCGTGGCACCACCAACCTGGCATACGTATATACCGTACTCTTTATGGTACTCCATACACATTGAGCGATACAAGCAGACACGGCACGACACGACACGACACGACACGAAACCTCGAGATTGAGTGGGAACGATGGCGTGGTTGGTGCTGGCGTTTGGCGTGCTTGCGACCTTGAGACCGTGGCTCCTGGTATGCATTGCAGGTAGGCACTACAACTCGGTGATGTAGCGTCGCTATCACAGCAAGACCATCTCGTACGGAGGACTCTTCCTCTACTTAGAGCAATTACTGTACTAAATGTGAGGATTCCAGCAATCAGTGCCACGCCAGTTTGTATTTATTTATCCCGTACACGCTTCGCACGGGACGAACGTGCCCTTCATCCGCATGACGAAGTACGAGACTATCGACTGGATGGCGCTACTGTATCGTTTGGACCTCGAGCCACGGGAGTCCCGGCCATGCAATGCAATGCAATGCTATGAATGTACCTCCCAATGCAGTCCAGTCGTATCGTTTAGATGCAGTCTTTACTTTCTGCTTTTCTGAGCGAGGGCCGGCCCAGCCCAGCCCAGCCCAGACCAGTCATGTTCCCAGTGCGGTATATCGTTCTATAGCGAAACAATCCGTCGGTATAATGCAGAGGCGGGCACGGACAAGGACTTGGATGCTTGTCCATCCTCTTCTTGTACTGTAACGTGAACTTCGCGCCCCACGCTCTTCAGGTCGCGCCCAGCTAACACCACGTGAAGAAAGGCTTCTTGCTTTTCACCGTCTCCAGTCTCTCGACAATCACCTTCCTCTTGTGCGTATTATCCAAATCACTCGCCGCCGCGTAGCCCAGGTCGCCCTCGTCAAAATCATCCCCGTCATATACCATGGTGGGGGCCGACTTGTGGTGTTTCGCTCCACCACCAAACGCACTTCTCGTGGACATGGATCTCTGCCTACGAGATCGATCCTTCTGGGACGGTGACGCACTACTGGTGGAGGCCTGGCGAGGGAACTCGAAGCTGAAGCGCGCTTTGTGCTTCGGCCGGGTCGGGAGGGTGGCGCCGGTCTGATGGTGACCCAGACTGCCGTGGGCTTCGCGTGCGTAGTCGAGCGAGTCAAAAGCTGGCGCCGTGCTGCTCAGGTGGTCCAGGTCGGCAGAGGCATGGCCGAGGTCTGCGGCGCTGTCTTCACGCGTAAGGTCAAAGCGATGTGGATTGGGTAGTTCGGCGGTCGGAGAGCCGAGGAGGTCGAATTGCGGTTGTCGAGGCGGCGCGGACCCGTAACCAGCACCTATGTCCATTTCTTCTTGTTGCGGGCGGTCGTGGCGCGCTTTGTGGCGGCTCATCTCGGCGGACGGGACACGCATCGGTATCGCCACGGGGACATCTACGAGATCGTCCCAGACGCATACCCTCGTCCGGCGGGTCAGCTCGAGAGGACCGTGGTCCTCTTGTTTCAACGTCTCGACGACATTCCAGGCCTGGCCTTTCATCACGGCTATTTGCCGCGCGAACATGCTCTCTTTGAAGTCCGAGTCGAGCGCGAACACCCTTCGTAGCGCCAGTTGAGTCTCACTCCACCACGCTGTTGACGTCAACAGAGGGAGGAAATGCTCTCGTGTCTTCCTTGAAAACGGTTGTCCGATCAAGGACACCGGCAAGAACAACCAGCCAAAGGGAAAGCTGCGCCACTATCTCGGCAGTCAGCATAGTCAAGAAACGGGCGGGTTGCTACATACAGCATCAGGGTGCTTCCAGGGCCATGACAAACTGTTGTCGATGGCGCCGAGCGTGATCGAGCATTGCGGCTCATGTGCATTTGAAGGCGTCCCTGACCGGCTCTCCATGGCCTCATACCTCTTGTAGGGCCTCGAAGTGTTGGACTCGGGTCGCTGCGGGTTGATACTCGGGCTGACTGACGGCGGGCGTAAATGCGCATCTCCATTCTCGGTCGTATTATTCGCTTTCGGCGGCTCTGCAACGATGGACACTTCTTCCGTCTTCCAATCGATCTTGATCATCCAGTTGTCCAATCCTCTGTCCGTGTTCCGCATGATGTAATCTAAGATAACGAGCTTTTCCAGCTCTTCTCGGAACGCTTGTCTGATGACGGGCGTCCAACGAAACTTGGGGGTGTTTTCTAACGGTGGCGGCGAGACTACTCGAGGTGCCTCTTCCTCCTCTTCATCGTCTGAACCTCGACCACCTGGAATGCAATTGCTCAAAGGGCGCCTTTTCCGCTTCGTCTCCACATCTGCTCGAAACTCGGTTCCTTGATCGGGCCAGGGGTTCTCTCGTAGGAAGATGTTGGCATCTTTGAATCCCTTCAGGAAAACCTGAAAGCTACCCGGCTTGGCCGGCAGGCCTCTCTTTCCACTCCACGTGCTCCGCCTTTCCCAGAAGTCGTAGTAGAAAACCTTCGACGATAACCAGACGACATCCGTGTAAGGTACGATATATGTCCGCAACTGGCTGTCCAGAACATACGCAGCAGCTTCGGAGACGTAGGATAAGTTGGGGATCAGACATGCACGGCCAAAGGCGAAGGGGAGCAGATTCCGGTGTAGCCATTTTGTCCACTTGGGATTTCTCGAAGCATAGGGCTCTTCATCTTTAGGCTTGAACACTCCGACGACCTTGCCCTCGCTGTTCCGCGCAAAGTAACTGCCCGAACTCCCTTGTGAGATCATCTTCGGATGTGTTCCCAGTTCAATTGCCACCCGGACGCTCTCGACGATGTCGTCAAACTGCATTTGTGTCATTCGATCCGTCTCCGCGGCGTTGTAGGTGGCCAGCTGCGAAGCTGTGTATGGGCGGATGTCTGGGGGAGCTTGGAAGACGGAATGGTGGATCTCTAGTTGCTCCTCCTGTTGTGTCTTGCCCTTGACCGAGCTAATCTTGAACTTGGATGCGATCTCTTCTGCCCATCTCTCGAGTCTGGCATTTATTGCCTTGATATCCACCCCCGAAGAATTACTTCGGACCCTGCGCATCGGTCGCTTGCGCGAGTCGTGATGGCGCATAGACTCGCGCGGCGCAGGTTGTATGGAGGCATACCGCGTCGACAACGGTGAGGGATTGTTGATTTCGTCCTCATCTCCGGAGTTTTCATCTCCCAACGGCTCGTCTTCGTCTGCCTGGGCTAAGCGGGCATAACCTGAGGTCCCTCGGTGTCGAGGCATGACGCGGATGACGGGGAGGTAGAAGGGTGAAAGGGAGGAGAGGGTTTAAGATTGTCGAGGTGCCTTCACATGCTGACACAGTTCCTGCTGTGAGATCGGGCTTCTAATGCACAGGCAGATGTAAACCGCTTAGGGAAAGCACATTGAATCGTATACAGTAGTGACTCGGATGAGATCAAGCCAGGTTCACGGAAACTTTGTTTGCAAGGCTTCGGGCAGCGCCTCGGCGAACACGATCCGAGAGCCGTGCATTATTACAGCACAGGCACGTCCTGACTTCATTATTGGTCTCCTCAAGACTCGGGTCGGAGGTTCGAGAGCAATAGGCTTCGAGAGCAACGTCGGTATCAATGCTGTCCGTACATTTGATTATATGCCCAGTGGTTGCGCAGACGGCCCTGCTAATAGGCGCACTCAGACAGTTCTCAGACAATAAGCAGAAGCAGCACGTTCCAGGATGCAGCTGACCCCATCCTGAGGGCCCGGTAGAGGCCTTTCCGTTTGTTGATCAGTGACCCGCCAGGACTTGCAGGATCGCGCTGTTCAGTCTCGACCGACATGCCAGCAAAGTACGAGCCCCTCTGGTAACAGTCAAGGCTGGCGAGATATCTGGCTGACAGCCTCTTCCCTTGCGCGTGTCGACGAGGTACAAGCTATATACACGGTGTCTCGGATGTGTGTGGGCGGTAGCAATGACATGGTTGGAACAAATGTTGAGTAGAAACGTCCCGGTCTATCTGTACGGAGTAGGCCATAGTTGTAGGTCTGAGGGTCTCTGAGCACAGGGCGGACAAGTAAATAATTATCAGACCGCCGACCGAAACAGCCACGTACATAACAGCCACAAGCAGCCGTCCTCGTAGGGTTCGCAAGGTCACCAGCCACAGTCACGCCTGGATGGCGTCTCGATCGTCACTACCCAACGTCCATCGCCTGGCGCAAGACTGGCGCCGTCAAATCTCGGACAGCGGGCCTTGATCAACCATCCACGCATGGTCTGGCCCACGGTGCGTATTTCCGCTTAGTACTCCGTAGAGAACCACAATAGGAGGCTGTCGGTCGACATGACGAGACCCAAGGCCACTGGCATTTGAGCCGCTTGCTGCGCGGCGCCCTCTGGACCCTCAGGAGCATTGGGCCCCAACGTCACTTTATCTACACCATGGACTCTGGAAGATACAGCTGCGAATCGCCCAGTCAAGGAGATGGTTCCAGCGGCTATTGCCATATCGAGCAAAGCCATGTCGTTTGACTGTGCCACAGGCGCGATACAAAAGGGGCACGTCGGAAGCCGGCGTCTCCACCGCGAGATTGGACAATTTCTTTCATCTTCCCCAGATTTGCTAACGTGGCCAAATCAGCGCCAATTCGCCATTCTTCGTCGCACAGGGACAACATGCGGGTCAATTCAAAACTCATTCCAGAGCCTTTGCCAATAGTGACTGAGACCTCATCATTGGCAGCCACGCGGGAACAATCGAGCACGGAAATGATCTTCTTGCACCCAGCAGAGTGGTATTCTACGAGTACCAGGGTGCGAGGTGATCTCACCTACTCTATCCATCTTCAAGACATGGGCGCAATTAGACGTGCTTTTAGCCTCATCGGCGGGACCAGCATCTTCCTCGCCGGCCAGGATCCCTCGCCTTGTGATCCCCCTGACTCTAGCATGGTATTGGGCAATCCAAAACCCGCGAGGCTCCCGTATCGATAGAGGTTCGCGGTCTCGTCGATAACAATCCCTCTCCTTATCGAGGCCATTCTTGTTCGTTATACCATCGTGGTTCAGTCGAGTGCCTGCGGTATACGGAAGAAGATCGTTGAGTCTCACACCGGCGTCCTCCTACCAATTCTCACCCGTCGAGACCACGGTCTGGTCTCACCTCGTTGAACACGGCGTCCGCAGTTGCACCACCGCTCTTTCGGGCCACGCTCGACCCTACATACCGGCCGCCGTCGACGCCGCTGAGCGACACGCGATTGGAAGGATACAGGACAGACTATCAAAGGAGCAGCTCACCTCTACCGCCGACGGCTGTGTATGGGAGGGATATCACCCGTCCAGCGTCCACGAATCTTCCGTACACTGGTGGTCAGTTTGTCAACCAACCACAGTACCACGCCAGGAGTGCAAGCGTCAACGTAGGCCGGGACTACAATTCCGAACCGCGATTGTCATTACCAGGTCTGTCGGCTTTAACAGCTCTGGCAGCTGCCGCTGCGCCGGCACCGCCTGTGAGGTACGCGAAACGTGAAGGAGCGAAGAACATGTGATGAAATCGTGACCAAGGCTGACAAGATGGCAGGTCGTTCTCTAGTAGCAGCTATGGATCACAATTGAGTTACACGGGCGCGATGCCAGCCGTGCCTACACCTGGAATTGCGGGAAACGCTCCAGTAAGTCATGACTGCAGGTGCGCTTCTTGGTCTGCCAAGCCACCGCGTTCCCCGGCCACGTGATCCGCCATTCACTACCTCGTCATCTCTGTCTGAAGTCTTATCCTTATCGTTATCGCAATGCACCCGCATCTTCTTTTCACCGAAGGCTGGTAATGGCCTCGATTTCCATAGCAAGCGCTGACCCGACCGCACCCTTGCAACAGCCTGTGTGCCAGAACTGCCAGACCTCTACGACACCGCTATGGCGGCGAGACGAGTCGGGCTCCGTGCTCTGTAACGCCTGCGGCCTGTTCCTTAAGCTGCATGGCCGCCCGCGACCGATCAGTCTGAAGACCGATGTGATCAAGAGTCGCAACCGGGTCAAGACTGCCACGCAAGGTCCTAAGAAGAAGGTGAGACACTTGCGACTTGCTTTGTACCTGCCTGACGCGGATCCAGTTCGAGCAGAATGGAGGCCCGCCCGCCGCCACCGACAACATGAACCCGCATCGGCGAGTGTCGCAGATGGCCGCATCGGTCGCTTCTGACCGATCGCAATCACCCATTTCGCGGACTGGCACGCCGGGCGCCCAGCACGATCCGAATATCGCTCCTCAGCACCTCTTTGACGGCGTAACCGCTCTCGCCGATGCCCACTACAGCAATGGCATTCCCACCGACCCGGCCCTCCAACTCAGTCAGCCCCCTGCCGCCTTGAGCAACGGTCAACACGGCGCCGCTGCCATGAGTTACGATGACCTCGTCGGGCTCACCAACAGCCTGCGAACGCGAGTCTCCGAATTGGAAGTCATCAACATGGTCTACCACGACAACGAGTCGAACCTGTGTCGCGAACGGGACCGAGCCCTGCAAGAACGAGACGAATACAAGCGCAAAGTCGAGGAGCTGGAAAGACAATTGCTGGAGGGCCAGGCTGATGACGAACACGTTGCAAAGAGACCACGACTTTCACCACCCGCACCCCAGGCCTGATTCTGCAGGACTTCATGAGGCTTGGGGCAGCGCTCTGCCACGATTGCTTCTGCCGTCATCAGTGATACCCAAATGCACGAATTTTTTTGGACTATCGGTTGGGAGTCGTAAGTAATCTATAGATGAGGGCCTCCTGACTGGCCATCGCGGCGTTACATAGGGGAATCGTGCATTGGTGCTTATGACCACTACTAGACATGAGCTTCCGTGTCAGCATGAGCAGCATCCACTGGCACAAGATATGACCAGAATGGATCCCAAGAGACCGAAAAGTATTGATTGACTAATTGGGAGGCACTGTCGATATTTACGAGCTAATTAATGTGTTGCAAATGGAATCAAATTGGTTGGCAGAGATCAACACATGTCGCGCTACTGTAGATGTGCACAGTACAGTACCTGCTCACCGAAGCCGACACCGACGGTCCGTGTCGGCTTGTTTTCGCCCCGTCGTCGCTGCAACTCTAACATTTCTCCCTCTGTTGCAGCTCGCTTCCCTGGGTATAGACTGGCTGCCCACATCTACTGCCCTCGTGTACTATCCCTGGATGAGCGGCCTGTACCCCACCCCCAGCCCCCCACAAACCACTCGGCTATTCGCGGTCGAGGCGTGAACCCCGACTCCATCAGCCTTGCCCGAGGTCTACAGTATCTTGAATCTCACACCAACCTGTAGGAGATGTTCTTCGCTTGCCCAGAGCACAATCGAGGCGCCCTAACTCGGAGTCCCGCCATGTCTCCGGACTGACTGACTCTGCGCTGCCGTGCCGCGAGAAGGCATTGTGACGCTTACACATATCAACGACGACTCGGCCTCAAATGCAAGCAGCTGAACTAACAGCGGGTGACAAAAGTCAACAAGTCTCGGCATCGGCATGGCTTCCTCTGTGCCAGTCTCCCCTTTACGTCTCCCCTCGTCATTCAACTTCGCGACAGACGTGGTGGAATACTGGGCGCAAAAGGATCCCTCGCACGTCGCCCTCTACTGGACCGATCAATCGTTGTCCACCACCAAGCAACTAACCTACAGCCACTTCGCGCGGCAGTCGCGGCGCATCGCATCGCTTTGGGCCACGCTGGGCATCAAGCAGGGCGACACGGCCATCATCATCTCGCCCCGGATTCCGGAGTGGTGGGAAATCGGCTTAGCATGTCTTCGGGCAGGCGTGGTCATGTGTCCATGCACGACACTCCTCGTGGACAAGGACATTGAATACAGGCTCCAAGTCTCCCACGCGACCACCTTCATCGGGGACGCCACCTCTGTGGCCAAATGTCTTCGGGTGAGCTCGAAGTGCCCCAATTTGAGGACTATCATCCAGCTCGACGGCGTGGCAGACACAGGAGCAGGCGTGATTGACTTCCACGCCGCACTTCACAAGATCCCCTCGGATGCGCCGTTCCGCGTGCCAGCCTCCCTGGGCCCCCAATCGCCCGGCATGATCTTCTTCACGTCCGGCACGACGGGCCCGCCCAAGATGGTGCTGCACACGCAGACGTCGTACCCGCTCGCGCACGCCCTGACGGGGATGCACTGGCTCGACCTGGCGCCAGGCAAGATCTACTGGAACCTGTCGGAGCAAGGGTGGGCCAAAGCCGCGTGGGCGTGGCTGTCGACGTGGAACTGCGGGGCCTCGCTGTTCGTGCACGACGACAGATTGCCCTTCCACCCGCGGCGCACGATGCAAGTGCTCAACAAGTTCCCCATCACGACACTGTGCGCGCCGCCCACGGTCTACAGACAGCTGGTGCTCGAAGAGAACCGGCGGTATTTCGCGACAGCCGAAGGCAAGCCGAGGGCGCTCACCCACTGCTGTGGCGCGGGGGAGCCGTTGAACGAGAGCGTGGTGCGCACGTGGAAGGAGATGACGGGGGGGATCGAGATCTTTGACGCCTACGGCCAGACCGAGACGATCGTCGTGTGCGCCAACCAGAAGGTCAACAAGGTCAAGCCGGGGAGCATGGGCAAGCCGGTGCCGGGGGTGCCGCTTGTGGTTGTGGACGCGGATGGCAACGTCACGGACCCCGGGGTCGAGGGAGATATTGCGATTGAGATCTCGGGATCGGGCTCCCACCACTTCTTCGGCTTCTTCGAGGGATATATCGACAAATCGACAGGGAAGATCGACAACAAGATCAAGACCCTCGCGAATGGCAAGAAGTTTTTCCTGACAGGCGACCGCGCCAGTCGGGACCAGGACGGATATTTCTGGTTCGTGGGAAGGGCTGACGATGTGATTAACTCGGCGGGCTACAGGATAGGTGAGTGCAAGCGAGCGAAGTGAAGCGGAGCGAAGTGAAGCGAAGCGAAGTGAAGCGAAGCGAAGCGGATCCAAGCAGTGCGAAGCAGACCGGGCGAAAGCAGAACAAGCGAAGCACGCGAGGCGAAGCAGACCAAAGAAAAATCCCAAATCTGACTGATCCATCGCTACGATGTAGGCCCCTTCGAAGTCGAATCCACCCTCAAACTCCACCCCTCCGTCGTCGAGTCCGCGGTCGTCGGCTCCCCTGATGCCACGCGCGACGAAGTCGTCAAGGCGTTCGTCGTGCTGACGGACAACGCGGCGGCGCGGATCGCCGGTGACGCGGAAGCAGCAGCCGAGCTGACGCGCGAACTGCAGGAATTCTGCAAACGTAATGCGGCGCCGTACAAGTATCCTCGCAAGATCGAGTTCGTGGAGGCCGCGTTCTTGCCCAAGACTATCAGTGGGAAGATCAAGCGGGCGGAGCTGAAGATGTTGGAGAGGAGGCGTTATCAGGAAGAGAATGCGAGGTCGAAGTTGTGATGTTGGAGGGGGAGACGGTATTATCAAGAAGAAGAGAAAGAGAGGACGGGGGGCGAGGACGGGGGCATGGACGGGCGGCGAAGTTGTAGCTAGGTACCGTAGCTGAGTAAGTATGGGTGCGGAGTACTGTGGTGCAATATTGTATTCTATGCTGTAATTATGCTGTAGGCCGTGCGTGGCTATAGCTTTGGCTCTCTATGGCTATACTTCTAGTTAAAAGTACGGTACGTGTAAATGGGCCCGCTGGTGGAGTGGAATGCGTTGACGACCGCAGGAAAGACCTGCGAGGCCCGCACTGAGCACATGTTGTCGCGGCGCAGCAGATGCCGAAGACGAAGACGAAGACGAAGACGAAGACGAAGACGAAGACGAAGACGAAGACGAAGACGAAGACGATACATAGCTTCTACTGGGAACCCATGCCGATTTCTTAGATCTGTTGGATGGGGCGTTGCCGTCACGGAACGAAACACGACGTGACGGTTCAGCAGGCATGGTTACGGCGCGCTTAGGGATGCTGGCTTCGGTCTCTTGGACCCGCACCGATCGTACCTGAGGGGATGGATAACGTCGGCGTCGCTGAGAGCGAGGCCCCAGCTGAGTCCGACCTCGCCCTGTTTGTCCGGCTGGATGGAAAGTTCTGGGGCCGCTCTCGTCGCTTTCGAGTGTCTGCTATGGTCGCCTTTAGAGAGGTGGGTTCGATGGTGGCTAGTCGTGGGTGTCTCGTCGGCGCCACGCGACATCCTCGACTCTCGTCTGTAGTGCAAGGTCCGGCGAGCGTATCAAGGGAGACTTCGTTGCCCTACGGCGACGAGATTGGGCTGCCACCTAACGTTCTGCATACCGAGTACATGACTGTACGCATGAGCCACGAGGAGGCGTCTTAAGAAACCGACCCCTGCCGCGCCTGAGCCTCGACCACAGCTCGTCCATCATTGCCCGCCAAAAAAGGAGTGTACAATAGCTCAACTCCATCCTAATCAACCGTCAGTCGCAAGTCAACTGGGTCCATCCAACAGGACAAGAGGCGCAGTATATGCTGGATAGCATGGCACAGGCGCAACCCGCAACGTGACCACCCCTGCCCGGTGTTTGGTTGATAAGGCTGTGGCACTTGAGCATCAAGTGCTGCCCAAGCAACTCGTCGCAAGTAGACTCGCAAGAAGGGGGAAGGCCTGGCCAGTATCCGTCGTGGGCAGGCAGTGATCCGCGTTCATTCGAATGACGGAGCCTTGTTGTTGATCTCCCTAGACTGAAACTGAAGAGGATCCTCTGCATCGCTGCCACGTGCTCGACTCCTCTGTAGGACTGGTTTGAATTGACTCAATACGTACGGAGTCCCTCCTCCACTGTTGAGGAAGTGTGGGTGGACGTGACGGCGGCGTATTGAGTCAACTGGCACCTCTTGCTACCCGTATATCAAGGGGAACAGGACTCAGCATGGAGCTGCACTATCGATCGCCCCACGCGAGCTATGCAGGTCGCCCGAGTCTCCGGAGGTGCTGGATTGCGGGGTAGTGGTATAGAGCATGTAGTAGCACTTGACACTCGGAGGTCTTCATGATCTGAGGCCTCAGATCGAGGAGTTTCGCACGACTGTTCGACCCTGCTGTCACTCGTCCAGGCTTGAGGAGGGATCGATCTGGTATCGGACCTTAACGACAGCCGGAAGCAGAGTTGACCATCGATAGTATGCCGGGGATATCACTGGCATCATTCGCGGACCAGGCGATCTCACTTATGTGGTCTTGGTACCGCCGTAGGCTTGTCTGCGTGACTGTTGTCTGAATCATTGGCGAGGAAGTTTGGAGACCACCTCCTCCGCGCTGGTACTGGCCAATCTCTCTTTCGGATCGAATCTCGCATATCACCGCGCGGAAAGTCTGGACGTGGCGACTTTTCGAACCGCACGCAAGACTCCCCGGACGACAAGTGTCCAGCATAACGAATGCGATCTGGAAGGGTAGGTGCAGAGAGAACATTCGAGGGAGTCGCGCTGTTTGCGACGGTACTCGGCAACATAACGCACAGACAGTTCTCTCATCTCATCGTTCGAGATCACAAAAAAAGGCCGAACCCCAGTCGTTTGTCGAAAGCGAAAGCAATATGACTGACCTACCATTCGACCCATCCCCACGGGCCGTTGATAACATTGAACGTCGTTTCTACCAACCTAAGTCGAGCAACGTAGAGGGTAACGGGAAGAGACTCTGTCACGCTGCTCTCGGCGAGATACAGGTGAGGGGTGCCGTTGGCTGGAGAGCATAAGGCGGCGTCACACTCGTCCCAAAGTATGGTGAGCTCTTAGTGGCTGTTCTAACAGCAGCCGTCATTTGGGTGTCATTCGAGGTCCAAGCATCCGAATCGAGGTCAAAGAAACAAGCACCGACACACACGCAAAACACACGAATAGGGAAAAGCACAGCACGCTGTGTTTGCTAAAGACACCTCCAGGTCTTCCTTTTACCGATCTATCCAATACTATGTACTGTGTCTGATTTGTCGCTTGGGTGGTGTGCGTCTCTCAGGTCCACGCCCAACTCAAGCACTCATCCTTCCCTTCCCATCATGCCCTCCTCCTCCTCGTCCTCGGCGGAATCAATCCTCTTTCCGCTCAGCACGTTCCTTCTCAGCATCTACACCCTCTCCACCGCCACGGATGTTTTCATCGCCAGCACAGCCCACCTAGCCCATCGCTTGCACGTGAGCGAAACACTCATCTCCCTGCTCACCGCGGGCGCCGAGTGGGAAGAACTCGCCGTCGTGATCGCAGCCATTGCTCAAGGCCGCCCGAAACTCGCCCTGGGGAATGTGCTGGGCAGTTGCGTGGCCAACATCCTCGGTGCTTTCTCTTTGGGCGTGTTAGCCCAGAGAGAGACGATCGTGACGTATGATGTCAGTGCGAGGCTTTATGCCGTCATCATGTTCGGGCTCACGACCGGTGTGGCGGTTCTCTGGGGATTTGGGCGGCTTGAGGGACACGTGTATGGCGCGGTGCTGGTGGTGGTGTTTGTGCTGTACATGGTGGGCATTGGGTGGTCGATATATTGCGGCGTGTTAGCGGCGCCTCAAGGTTCTGATGCCGAGTCTGACGCTGACGCTGACGCCAGCTCAACCTCGGAAGAAGAGTCTGCCCCCGGAGGAGATGAGGCTCAGCACGACGTGGCCCATCCAGACGAGACGACGCCCTTGACAACGTTTCGATGGAGGAAACCGCCATCCATCTTGAGTTACCTGGTCAAGCTGGTTGTGGCCTTCGTCGCGCTCTCGCTCAGTGGCTACGTTCTCTCCCACTCCTCCAAGTCACTTGCGGCGGCATTCCACCTTTCCGACACCGTCTTTGGCGCGACCCTGTTGGCTCTCGGCACGACCCTCCCAGAGAAGTTCGTGGCTGTGGTCAGCGGATATCGAGGCCACCCCGGTATCATGGTCGCCAACACGGTGGGCAGCAATATTTTCCTGCTGACGCTGTGTCTGGGGATGACCATTCTAAGCTCCCAAGGTCTTGCCCAAGGCTCGAGTTATACCCAGGAAATTGTCTGGACGTGGACCACCTCGGCCTTTTTGATGGTGATGATTCTCATTGGCACCCACAGATTGGTCGGATTGGCCATGTTGCTTGCGTATGTCGGGTTTTTGGTCCTGGAATTCACGCTGTACAAGCCTTGACGTGGCACTCAGTCAGATTGGAATCCCAACGATCTCTTCGCCTTCTCTGCCATCGGGCACCAAGTCGCCGTAGACTGTGATCGGGATAACCACCTCAAACGTCTCGCACTCCACGTTCTCCACAGCGACATTGACGGTGCTCTTCTCATCGTTGACAACCTCCTCCAATAAGTCTGGCGTGGCCAAAATGCCGCCTTCTTCACTCTCGATGGGCTTCAGGGTTCCAAACTCGAATCGGAGACTCCAGTCCAAATTGACTCCTGAAGTCACGAAGGTGGGAGTCGCCGAGGCTGGAATGCTGAATGAGAAGGTGGCTCGCTTCGAGAACAAAATGTTTTCCCACCGGGCGCCGTAGATCTTTCTGGTAATTCGGTTAATCGTGGCGACCGACCTGACGGCAAGTGCGGGGGTTACTTTCTCCGATGTTTCCAGAGTCGCTTTGAGCGACGAAGCGGCTATCTCGCTCTCTGAGAAGTCAACCACGGCTGTAATTGTCTCTCCCAGCCGGTGTAATGGCCGGCCGATGACGATAACCGCAACCCTCTGGCCAGTCCGGGCAATCTCGAAACGGTTCGGACTCGAATCGCCGTCAGAGAGGGAATTACTGTATACGATAGCACGGTCGACCGCCTGCAGAGTCTTTCCACGGCTGCCCGTGTCTTGGCTGTTTGAGAATGCATCCATTGTCCCCGTGCTGGACTGTCTGCGTCGGTTGCGATCCAAAAGCGTATCAACAAACGTAAGGAACTCGGTAGTAGGCCTTTCATCCCCCGGCGTGGTGGATGTAGTAATCTCTTCATGACCTTCAGCTGCGAGAACAGGCTTTGTACGCGCCAGATCACGGAGGATCACATGTGGCTGCATGAGATCATGGCCGTATATCTCTCCATCGCGAGAGACTCCGGGAAAGACACGGATGGGAACGTTGACTTGTCGAACCGTATGCACGTCGCGGCTTCCGGGAAGACCTTGCACTCCGATGGTCAGATTGTAGGAGATCTTGATGGCCTTCCCTCGATGGCTGGATGGTAGACCTCGCGGTAAGGGATAGCTGTACGAATAGCTCTGCTCCTCGCCGGGTTCGAGATGCATGTCGACGAACAGCAGTGATTGTGGAGTAGACAGGAGAGGAATCGCTCTGGAGTTGGTCACGGCATTCATCTCCTTCACGCTGCTCATGTTGTCGCCACCGATCAGGCTGTTCAGCGAGCCCCCGATGCTGTTGAGATTGAAACCTCCCAAGAACCCGCTGTTCGGCCGCGGCTTTTTGACGCCGACCACGCCGCCTCCAGCCTGGCCGCCAAGAAAGCCTTTCGTCTTCACCTCTTCAAAGTGTGACTGGTCGACCAGCGAGGCATCTAGTGTGAATGTCGCATTTAGTTGGGCGTAGCCCATGAGCAGATTCACGGCTTGAGGCTTTTGCGACTGATGTATTGCCGGTCGTCGCGCTAATGGCGCAGAGTAATTCCAGGGTGGTGGACGATCCGAAACCATGGAAGGCTGTTCGGACATCAAAGTCTCTTGAGAATGATTACTGAGCGAGTAGAAGTCGGCGCTGCTTCGTTCGCTTGTAAGATCTTGTCCTGGTGCCGAAAGAGATGCCTGGGCATCTTCGGTCTCGGCCGGACTCGGAATACGCAGCTCGTCCCCTTCTTGGGATCCTGGACGCGTCCTAGAGTGATCGGGGGTAATTCGCGATCTGGGTTCTGAGGATGCATCTCGACCCTCGCTTGCGACAGGCGATAGGGGACTTTTACGGCCGCTCCTGCGCGGCAGCTGTAGACTATTCCGCACGTCTTTTCGTTCATGCTGGCCAGCTTTACGCTGCGGCGCTGAGGACGATGAGTTTGTGATAGCCTGGACAGATTGCAATATGACTTACTATGCAGAATTTGGACTGTCGACGAGCGTGAATGACCGGGTCTTTTCTGCTTCTCCCAGCCTCCAGTGGTCAGGCTTCCTCCTTCGCCGGTAATCGATGGAGAGGCGACTGAGATGATCGATACTGACCTCTGGGGTTTATGTGCTGGCCTCTGCGATCTGATGCTGTTTATACTGTCCCTGCTATTCACTGATGTGCTTGGTCGTTGATGACCGGTTTGATCAGGGGAGTGTTCATTGTTGTTAGATCGCCCATATTGACCCAATCGCTGGCCGTTGTCGGGCCTGTTGACTTGCGCGACAAGCTGACTTATACTCTCGCGTCTGCTTCGCTGGCGGCTCTGGAGAGAGGAAGCGAGAGGCTCCTCCGCCAAGTTTGCGACATTTCTGAAAGTGATGGTGCAGTGCAGTTGTTCCCCCGCAAAAACGGATTGGTCATGGAAGCGGACAGCTACGTGGATATCCGAATGCATACCACGCCTGGAAGGCTAGACTATGAGAGACAGCTGGCTGCCTCGTGAGTTGCCGGGAGGCAAAGAAGCCAGCGGAAGTTGTCGAAGTCGTGAAGAAAGGCCACTTCGAGGATTCATGATGGGAAAACTTCGGCAGTGACGGCTATTGCAGTAGCGACTCTTGGGAGAGACGTAGTGATTCAATTCCCAATCTCTATCCATGTGAACCGGGGAAATGTGTATGGTGTAGGAGTTTAGGGTCACAAGCACGTCTGAATCGTTCTGCAGGTGCTAAGCCCTGCTGCCTGCATTGACATTTTATCCGGTAGCCACATTACCACAGACAGTCTATATTCTTACAGTGCAGCAATACTATTATTGGGTCGCAAGGGACTCCTGTCTTGCCCAAGTCTGTATCCGGCGAGGTTGGGGTGACTTGGGTGCTCCCAGGCGGCGCTGCGAGCGGATTCAAGCGCTTACACTGACCTGGGCAGCGAGCTTTTCGGTTGTCCTTCCGAGGCCATTGTTGGCGTAGAAGTCCATTGGATAAGTCCCGCCTTCCTTTTCCCATCCTTGCTGCGCACCCAGTACCACGAGAGCTTCGTATGGCGTCAGAAGCGGTCGCGGAAATGCGTAACCCCAGTCAATGCTTAACCGCGGACAGGCTATCTGCACCCAGCAGTCCACGTCCTCAAACATGGCCAGCTTTCCGGGGAAGATCTCGCTTAGGAGGAGGTTCACATATGAGATGCCTTGTTGGGTCAGGTAGTTCTCGAGCATGGTCAGAGTGTGAGGGTTGCCCTGACGCCCCAACGCCCCCAGTATCAGACCCCATTTTCTTGCTCTCTTTGCGGTGTTGATTGCAGTAGACCGCATGTCCAGCATTTCGTCGTGCGAGTATGTTTCTCTGGTCAGCTTCCGCGAGTAAGGATCGTATCGGTAAGCTGGAATGTCAGGATTCGCGATCATAGCAGCTTCAAGATGGAAGCGACCGTCTCCCAAGTATAGGATGAGATCCACGTTTGCATCTGAAGTGATCTTGGGAGCAGTACAACCGAGCACCTCGCCCTTGCTCAGCGGCATAACTTGCGGCACTACCAGCTTCAAGCCCTCGGCTTCAAGAGCAGGTCTGATTGTATGTAGGGTGGAGTTGAACTGAATGGTACCCACCATGGCAATTGTCTTCCCGGGAGGGATATTCCTCGACAGCGTGGTCACCAAATGCTTGGTGTCAATCGAGATATCCACGAAGATGTACAGCGTTGCAATTTTGGTAGCTGACACCGGGATCAAGCAGCTGTGAGCATAGTGGACAAGCAAGTCACAGCCCAAGGCTCTTGCAGTGTAGTCATCAATACAGCACGCGCCATAGGTGACATCGCCCATGATCAAGGTCTCTGTGCTGGGACAAAATTGGGTCAGGATGTCTGATATTGTTGTCGCAAACATCAGCAAGCCTTCAGGGAATTGCAGAGCGACCCTCTTCGCCTGTAGTGTACGTATGCGGTGGATGGTCTTGGGAATCTCGAAGCTGTAATTCTGTGGTAGCAGTGCGATCGCGGCTTGAATATCGGGGTCATCGAGAATATCAGAGGGTACCTGGTTCAAGGCTCGGGGTGTTCTTCTCGTCGCTGTCAACTCGTCAGTAACGCCTCTCCAGCTTGTCAGAGTACGGCTGCGTCGTACGCTTTTGGACGATGGCGGTGGTCTCCTCGACCGCTGAGTTGGCCTCTGCATCGTACCTCTGCTTCGCCTGCGCCTCCGCTGTGCGCCTTCCCACAAATCGTCTTCTGGGTGTTCTGGTGCCGCTGACGCCGGTCTCCTCCGGTGCAGTGGGGAAAGCGCCAGGTATCGCCGGCTCATCCATGCCTCTCTTGAAGCGTGCAACTACCACAACCTCGATTACGGATAATCACCTAGGCGAGAGGAATTTGTCTCCGCTACGTAGAAATTGAGCGGCGACCTCCAAAGCGGAATGCGGGGGAAACGAGGCTCTGGCGCTTTTTCGAATCGTTTCTATGTCATTGGTGCAGTCAATCGCTGCGTCACTTCCACCAGCATCGCATGTGAAGATCTGGCTATTCAACGACTGTGTACACAAATACCCGCACCCACAACTCCAACCATGAGGCTTCGTCTTCGTCCATCATAACACCTTGGACCCGTCCACCCGGTCCAGTCGAGTCGAAGCAACATGGTCACCACCTCAGGCTTCACGCACACGCCCGTCACCCGCGCCCTCATCCTCAGCTCCATCGTCCTGTCCATCCTCACCTCCACCCTCACAGCCCAACACCTCCTGCCCATAAAACCGACCCCCCACCTGTGGCCGTACCTCCAATTCACGCGCCTTATGACATACCAAGCGGCGTACACGTCGAGCACCGAGCTCCTCTTCTCCACCGTGCTAATCTACCAATTCCGGGTGCTCGAGAGGTTATGGGGCAGCCGGAAGTTCCTGAGTTTCTGCGCCGTTGTCTTCTGGGTCAACCTACTAGTCACGCCTGCGGTGGTGGTGTTCCTCAAGCTAGGCACCCTGGGCTGGTACAACTACCTCCCTGCGGGATGCACGGGGGTCGTCTTCGCGCTGCTAGCCGCCTGGGCGGACGAAGTCCCCCGCATATACCGGTACAAGATCGTCACGGGAGGTGCTGGCACTGGCGCCGTTGCTGGACAGGAAGCCCCGGGCGTGACGCTCAGTGACAAGTCGACGACCTATCTCCTCGCGGCGCAGTTGGCGCTCAGTCAGTTTCCGTACTCGCTTTTGCCTGCCGCGGTCGGGTGGGCGGTCGGCTCGGCGTGGATGGGTGAGTTGCTTCCTGGCCGGCTGGGGCGGTGGAGAGTCCCGGCGTGGATGGTGGGCGAGAGCAGCGCGCGCAAGGAGAGAGGCCAGTATGAAGGGTTGAGGAGGCGGTTGGAGGAGGAGGGCGGCTCAGCGGATGGTATGAGGAATGTCACGGAGAGAGTTGCAGGCGGTCGGGAGGCGGAGGCGAGGAGCGGGAGGGGTTTTGGCAGTAGATTCGTGGGCTACTTTACTGGGTCGTGACGATGCATTGCACGCGTGGAGGTGGAGTATTGCAGGCAACAGATGATGGCTGAAATGCGCTGTGAAAGATGATTCTCTCATTTTGGCGTACCAACGCGCTGCGCTGTGTCTACACTGTTCTACAGGCTGTGCTTGCCCTTGGCCTTGCCCCTCCCCGTCCACCTTTCCGGCCCTGATCTCAGTGCCATGCATCAAATCCGGTACGGAAACGCCAACCGTAGCGCCCTTCCGCCGGTTGTGGTAAATATACCCGCTCTGAACCCGGTGCCACAAAAGTAGCACACGCAAACTTTCTAAAGGTGAAGGCTCGTCCCAAATCCATCATCAGCCAATCCTGCGAAGCCTCCAAGTAATAGCTGGGGCCTATTCCGTTGTTCAATCTGTCGTCTTGATCGTGAAAGGTCAACGGAGGAGCGGTATCTGTTCTCCGTCTTTGGCTTTAGGTCTTTCGCCCGAACTGGCGCGCGTTATTCGCCTTGTGAACTCTGTGGTGGGATGCTCCGGAAGCTGAACAGAAAACATTCCCTCGACGACTAGCTGACTGGCTGGCTGCTGACCGACCGAATACCACACGCGTACTCACTCAATAAACATCCAAAAATAGCTATCCAAGGCTTCACCCCTCTCCCGTGTTCTTCATCTGCTCCTCAAACGCCTGCTTATACCGTCGAACGGCGACGCCCAAACTCTTCGTCGCGGGCCCGAGTAGCTCTCTGACCACATGGCTTCCACCGCTCTTGATATCCTCGTTCTTGAGCGTCCGTTTCCGGCCGGTCCTTTCGTACCGTGTCTGTAACTCCTGCTGTTTCTTCTTGATCTCGAGCTGTCGTTCCTTCTCCGCATCCTCGGCGATGACGTTGATGCGATCGAGAGCGCGATTCAGCGACTCCACGAGACTGGCTACTTCGTTGGCCCGCGCCGCGTCGCCTGAGAGGAAGGCATTCCAGAACTGCCGGAGGAATTCTACTGTTGTGGCGTGCGTGAGCGTTAGTCGGTCATAAATGGCGGGGCTTAGGTTAGAGGATTCAGGGACCGGGGCTGTTTGGTTGCGGTTCGCACGGATGAGGGAAAGGATATGTTTTGTCGCGATTGACGAGCCAGAGTCTGCCTTGGGGGAGGAGCTGTCGTCATCCATTTCTTCGTTGTCTTCTTCATCTTCTTCGAATTCAGCGATCGGGATGGCGCCCACTCCAGGCTGGGCGAAATGAGCCGAGATGTCGCTGCAGACGTCTTTGACGGCTTCTGCAGGGTCGAGGTCCCGAAATGGATTGGCGCTGTCGCCCTCGCCTTGTTGGCCGGACTGGTTGTCGGAGAAGAAGCGGCTTTGATCGCGAATGTTGAGGATGACGCGGTTCTGCTCGGAGGTGCCTTCGAGATCGCGCAGCTTGAGCTGCTCGTACGTGGTCTCGACCATGCCGATGGGCGCTGACGCATCGACGTCGGATGGCTTCACTGCCGCCATGAGCTTCTCGCTGATGGCGTTGAGTTTGCGGATCACGGGCGCTTTGTCCAGGTTGGAGGGCCGAAGGTCGAACTCAGGACGGTTGCCATAGCCGTAGTGGTTCTCCTCGTTGCCCTCGAGGTCTATAAACTTGGGAATGTGCAGCTCGGCGGCAGTGGCCCGGAGACCCGTCACCAGCGGATGATTGAGGTACCTTTCAACGTCGATGTGTTCGTCTTTTGCGTCTCTTGTGGGGTCTATCTTGAGACCACGCAGCTTCAGGTGCAGCTGGCTTTGGAAGAACTTTGACCAGAAGTCCGCCTCGCTGGGGATCTTGCGGGGCACCAAGTCATCGTAGACGATTCGCATGATAGGGTATTGCTCGAAGATGGCGCGGATCTGGTCTTGTCTAAGGCTCAGCTTGGACTCGCCTTTGTTGATGCCGGCAAGGACATTGAAAGTGCCCTTCTCCTGTGACTTCGAAATTGCCTGGGCTCGGAGCAGATGCACCCGAGATGACCAGAACTGATGTGTAAACTGTTCTTTGGAGAGCGAGTCTGGCTTCAGACTGAGCGCCTCCTTGTAGGTCCTTGCCAGCTCTGGATTTGCCTGTAGCAGAGACTGCTGGAGTCTGTTGTCCGACTTCAGAAGTTCCTCGTCTTCCCAGAGATTGCCCGATCGGCCACCACCTGAGATCGCGTTCGCTATTGTCATGGCGGCCGATTGGCCGCCTGATGAAGTCGTTGCAGCATTTTGAGCCGCCTTCTGCGCCTGAATGACGTTCGCTAAAGCATCCTTGATGCCGTTGGCCTCACCTCGAGGGTCTTTCGAGGAGGTAAATGTGAACACATGAGCGGTGGCTTCAGTTTGCCCCGGGTTTTGCGCAAAGACCTTCAGCATAACCTTGGGGTTCGACTCTGGAGTCTGCTGCAGATTGGTGATGTTTGCTGCGGATAACACCAGACTTGGAGTCGCATCTGGAGGTTGAGCAGGCGTCCATGATACGGATTTTCTATCCTTCGATATCGCTAACGTTCCAGACTGCTTTTTATATGTCGCCTGTCCTTGTGGAGGTGCCATGTCGATTACCTCAGAGTTTTACTGGGAGAAGCAGGAGAAGTTTCGACCCGTCCTTCTGACGGTATCGTGAAGAACACAAAGTAACAAAATGAATGTTGCATTGCGTTTGTGGCCGTTGCAGCCTGCGACGCAAGATCTGTCCAAGCCCAAGCTGCCGATAATTTCGGCCTACCAAAGGAGTGTCAAAGCTTCATTCACTCATGCCTGGGTCATGATCTTATGTATAGGAAAGGCTGCCGAAGGGGAATTTATTTCTGGTCAAGAGGAATGAAGGGTGATTAAAGTCGAATAAGAGCACTAAGGAGCACATGCCTGACCGTGGAATGATAGATTCCAGGCATCCGGCTACGGTGAAGCACTGATTTGATAGGTACCACTCTCCTCCTCGAGCAGCTTGACTAGGGATAGAAAGCAACAAGTACCCGAGACAGCTGCGATCCATCCCAATTCGCTTGGATGTCCCCAGACTCAGGAGTAGTACCTGTAATCAATGGCTTGAAGCAAGGCCGCCAAAACAGAATGTCAAGGACCCCTTAGATTGTCTTGGGATTTAAACCATTGGGTGATATGGTCTCTATTGAAGCGGTCGTAGATACGGGCCCCAAGTTTATACATCTTGTTGGTGGCATCTCATGGTCTTATAGACTTCCTAGTCACTTCGTCCATGGTTATGACCGTCCGGGTCTCAGTAGAGCTGTTGTGGTACATATCATGATGTCCAACTTCGGTTGACATATCCTTGATGCCTCCGATGAGTGTAAGAATACATCTGCAATCCATACAACGTCCTTGCGTGATGTGACGATATATGCTTTGCATGCACATGCTATGCATACACAGCGCAGCAAGCTCACGATCCCAAGTTGAGTGCACCTTGGCTGGACGCAGGGGTTATCTCGATTCGCGAAGCTGAAAGGGGCGGTCTCGCTCCATCGTTTTAATCTTTTCGGGTCATGAATGCTTCTCCACAGACGCTGGCTCAGTTAATATTCTCTCCAGTGCGCCATTCGCGTTGCCAGTTTTCTGTAGTAGAGAGAGCAGAAATTCCCTCTTTTCTTCGGGCGTCCGCTTGGGTAGTCCTTCCTTCGCTCGACTCCTTCCTTCCGCGGACATCATCTTATCGTACTCTTTCTTGTCCTCGAACATGCCCGTCCCGATCAATTCCTGCCTTAGCCGTATCTTCATGTCTGATTTTATGGCCTGCTTCTCGGCGGGTGTGACGTGTTCGCCGCGCTCCTTTTTCAGTTGACGGATTTTGGCCGTTGTGGCTGCATTGATGAGGGCTTTGCGTTCTTCGCGAGTCATATCGAGCCATTCTTTTGCGCTCGGGGGGTTAGAGACCATTGACGCGGGCCGTTGCGCGGAGCCGAGACGCCTACTCGATGTGTGCATTTGGCGGGTCTGCTGCTGCTGAAAGGGCCTTCGGCCAGCTTCCGCACCCTGCGTATATGTTTGTTGCTGGATGGACGCTTGCTTTTGTGCGGGAACTTCCTCATAACTTTGTTCATTTGCAACGATCTGGTTTTCTTGGTAGTCAACCACACTATCGTACTGCGCCGGGTTGAGTTTCTTCCACGCTCTGAGGAACTCGAGCCCGTCGACTCGGGGAGGTGTGTAGAGCGCGCCACTGGGGCCTTCTTCGACTCGAGGCGTTTGTTCCATTTCTTGTGTCACGAAAGGTGAGAGCTGCACGCATCCAGAAGGGTCAGTTGGTGGACCTTCCTAGAAAGGTGTGACTTGTCTTCATCAGAGCTTACAGCAAAGTCCGTCGTGTCAGGCACGTTGAAGTGTGTGGTTTTCCGCCAGTCGATCATGTATTTGCCGAACTCTGTATGTGCACCCATCGAGCCTGTACGGTTTCCTCGATAGAAGCCCCGGCCCACTTGCTTCGTGGTGAAGCGGAGACGACCGCATAGTGCCAGCGTAGGCTTCACCATGCTGAGACAACAGATCTGCGGGCGGCCGGTGGTTGCGTTTGGCGAGGGACACTCAGAAGCGCGAGACTGGTGGTGAGAGATTGAGCAAGCATGAAATCGAGTGTCCGACCGAATGGGGTCAAGGCTGGTGCCGCCTTTAGAGGCCAGTTTGAGCTCCGCACATCTTGGACGCCTATTGGTTCGTAGCAGCGGAAAGTGGTTAGGCGGTGGATTGTCCCGCCAAGGAATCAGTATCTCCGTGGTGCAATCATTTATCTCCGCCACTCGAACTTTTTTTGGTCAGAAGAAATTGCGGAGTAGACCTCGTGGCTTCCATACCAATACCTACCTAGGTATACATTTCTACGTCTTGGGACAATGCCTCGTCAAGCTCATGGGCGACCGCTCCAGCCCGGCCGGACCAATGTGGCAAGCAAGAAAAAGACGCCTCGAAACCGCGGGCTAAATGCCCTCGAGATCGCGGAACGAGAGAGTCCCGATGATATCAAAATCCGCCAACACCGTCTCGGACAGATCGACGATGACGACGGTAACTCACGCAGTCGAGCAGATGCAGACGAGCGCTCCTCGAAGCGGAGGAAGATTGACATTACACACGAGGATGAGATTGCAGATGAAGGCTCCGACCTGGAGGGTAACCGGTGGCACGAAGGCATCGACGAGGATGACGAAGATAGCGACATTGACAGCGAAGATGCGTTTGGGGCGAGCGACGAAGAACGATTCGCAGACTTTACATTCCGAGGGAGCGCTACCGCGTCGTCGGCAGAGCCCAAGAAACCTCGCAGGCACGCAGACGTCGATGTAGATGAAGACGAGGTTACGGATAATGACGACGTAGAAGCTGAGGATGAGGATGAGGACGATTTTGGTGACGAGGGCGTCGACCTGGCTACAGCTTGGGATATGGACGATCAAGATGAACGAGAAGCCTCGAAGCGGCAACGAAAACGCCGTGCAGGAGCTGAAAGCGACGAGGAAGATCTCTTGACAGGCTTGGATGAGGAAGATGAAGACGAAGACGGTGATGGTTCCGAAGCTGAAGACGACTCAGAGTCGACATTCTCCATATCTGATGATGATGGTGGTGGAGATCATTCTCGACTGCAGAGTTTCGTCGAAGAGCTTGCAGGTGGCGACAGAGCGCAGCCCAAGAAACAGCGTCGCGTTCAGAGCCTGCCGGACAAGCCATCTCAGTTTGGTCTCGGTTCAGCTAAGATTTCAGCCGCTGATTTACTACAATACATCAAGGACCCTCGTCAACGGCAATCGCTCAAGATCCTACAGAGTAGCGAGGAAAGAGGCAACGAGCCATACAAAGGAGGTATTCCTGGCAAACTTGCACCGCCCTTGGCCAAGCGACAGCAGGATCGTCTCGATCGGTCTGCCGCCTACGATGAGACCAAGAAAGAATTGGGCAAGTGGATTGAGACGGTCAAACGAAACCGGCGAGCGGAGCATCTGTCGTTCCCGCTTGTTGACGCCGCAGCTGCTGGCATGTTGAGCGGCAAGCAGCTGGGGCCCACTTCCACCTCAATGCCTATGACGGATCTCGAGGCTACCATTCAGAGCATAATGATAGAAAGCGGTATGTTGACGAAAGATGGTCGCCCCCAGGAAGGTCGAGAAAACGAGTATGAAGAGTTGCATGAGAAGCAAATGCCGCTGGCTGAAGTCCGGGCTCGACGAGCCGAGCTTCGCCGGCAACGAGATCTGATGTTCCGGGAAGAAATCCGCGCCCGACGAATCAAAAAGATCAAAAGCAAGGCATTCCGTCGTGTCCATCGGAAAGAGCGAGAGAAGGCCGATGAAGGACATAGAGCCCTGCTAGATGCACAGGGCTTCCTCAATTCAGACGAAGAAAGAGAGAAGAATGACCGAAGACGTGCCGAAGAGAGAATGGGTGCGCGGCATAGGGAGAGCAAATGGGCAAAGAGTGTCAAGCTCACGGGCAGAGCTGCTTGGGACGATGACGCCAGACACGGTGTCACCGACCTTGCACGTCGTGATGAAGAGTTGCGAAGGCGCATCGAAGGCAAGGCGGATGCCGGCTCTGATGTATCAGATTCCGAGTCCTCCGACTTTGACGGGTTCTCGGGCTCAGACGAGGAAAAGGACCACCTCAGAATCAAGCTTGATGAGCTTGATGCTGATGAGCCTGCCGCGTCCGAGACACGACTCGCCTCAATGGCATTCATGAGGAAAGCCGAAGCTGCGAGGAAAGCCGCCAACGAGGAAGAGATGCGCAATATCAGACGCAACTTGCGCGGTGACAATGAACAAGATTCTGCGGACGAGGCAGATACAGAGGAGGAGGAAAGCACAGTCGGCCGTCAAAAGTTTGGTCCTACAGGCAAGGAGGGTCCGGCTAGACCTCTGCCGCACGTGGAGAAGAGCGAGTTCGAGGAGCGCGAGTCCGAGAATGAACTCGAAGACCTTGGCGACACTGACCCGGAAGGCACTAGAAACTCGAAGAGTACCACGACGGTAACCAGTACGCCAGCAACCAAAGGTGCTCTACGACTTAAACCCTCTTCCCAGTCGTCGGGAGCAGCACTTTTGACAAGTGAGCTAGCGAAGCCTGGGATCGGGCCCAGTATAAAGACCAAACAAGCTCCGGCGGCGGCTACACAAGAGACTGCTATGCCCCTCGTCAAGATGTCGAAGGTCACAAAAACACAATTGGCCGACTACACCAGTCCGTCAGAGTCAGAAGACACAGAGGACGAAAAAGCTGCGTTGGCTCAAGCTATCTTCGCCGGGTCTGATGAAGTGCAGCGCGAGTTCGCCAAGGAGAAGAAAGCGACAGTCGAAGAAGAAGGCGACCAAGTCATCGACAACAGCCTTCCCGGCTGGGGCAGCTGGGCGGGCGAAGGTATCAGCAAGAAAGCCCAAAAGCGAGCCAAAGGACGCTTCGTGACAACCATAAAAGGCGTGGCAAAAGACAAGCGACAAGACGCCAAGCTGGACAAGGTCATTGTCAATGAAAAGCGCGTGAAGAAGAACAACAAGTACCTGGCCAGCGAGCTGCCTCATCCGTTCGAGTCAAGGCAGCAATACGAGCGGTCGCTCCGTCTACCATTGGGCCCTGAATGGACGACGAAGACGACGTTCCAGGATGCCACGAAGCCGCGGGTCTTGATTAAGCAGGGCGTCATTCGACCAATGGCGAAACCGATGGCTTGAAGATGGCAGCTACAGCAGCGTTGTTGTACACAGTACCTTGGCTGTCATCAAATCCAGATAGTCCATATATACCAGGCAAGCCAGATCATATCAGACACCCAAGTTCACGCACGTCACGCAATACTCAATGGTCTCTAACTAGCTCTTCGGCCCACACACACAGTGACAGGGAATGGGTGATGGATCTCAAACCAGCTCCCCCATATCATATCATAGCGGACCAGAAATTCAGGAAAGTAACTGATCCTCCACCCCACCACAGCCCATCTTTCGTGCCAGGCATGCGTCAATCCTTGATTCAACCATTCATTTCCCCCGAATTCCCACTGGTAGCTTGACAAGCAAGCGCTCTATAGGTCCCTTGCGCACCTCTGCTGTGACGCATTGCCCAGGGCAAGTGGGTCGCATGGTGGTGACTGTGTGGTTGTGGTGGAGTTGTGGTCCGATCGTGTCCCTCGTGGCACGTGCCGTGTCGACCATTTGCCCCATCCGGCTGCTGCACGGCCATATGGTATGTAGAGGATTCGATCTCAGTGTGGTGGTGAGTAATCGGGTCAGATCAGGCGCAATCAATTCGGCAGCTTCGACGAGGTCTTTGGGCTAAAAAACTCGGGGTCTTGCTGTTGGGTTTCTGGATTTCTCTTCTCTTTCCTGTTGTATTCTGCTCCTCCGCCTAAACTGCTACCCCTCCTCCGCCTGCCCTTCGACCACCACTCTAGCCTCGCACACGACGGCATAGCTGGTCCAGATCCTAGTTAGGCTTCCCTTCAGCGGGCGGTTAGTTTCTAGGGTGCCCCTACCTATCACAGTGCGAGCCTAGATGTGATCTGGTATGGGACTGCTCTTCCTCCAAACCATACACCCTCCTACAACTGAGCAGTAGAATACAACAGCTTATCCTTACCTCTGATATTCCTATCCTCACTATTCCTATCCTCACTATTCCTATCCTCACCATTCCTATCCTCACCATTCCTATCCTCATCGTTCTTACCTCTCATATCCTTACCTCTCATATCCTTACCTCTCATATCCTTACCTCTCATATCCTTACCTC